TCCAATTTAAGATTGATATGAAATGTCCAGCAAAATTTTCTTCAAAAGAGAAAAGTTTTTTTTTTCATTACAATCTTGTGATATTGATGGGTAATATATTTATGATTTTCCTTAACATCTGAATGTTTAAGCTAATTAGATTGGTGACCATCTACTTATTTCCTTTATCTTTTAAAAGACTTCAAAGACAGACATTTTACGATACAACCATTATAGTGTCCAAGAACTCTGATCGCCAAGAAAGATGAGATTACTAGGAAGGTTTTTCATTTTATTAAAAGCCATGATTGCAGTCAAAGTAGGTGTCGAAAAACAGCAAGTTTGTAATAATAATGGATGATGTGTTCAGCCTACAGATATAACTCTTCAAAATATCCCTTTGTGTTTTTTGAATAGTACATTACCATGTTTTTCTAAAGGCAAGAGTATTATTTCATACTTTGACAAGGGAGGCTCTTTTTTACAAAAAAGAATATGGTGTCAAACCCTTTATTCGCTAATAGCTACTACTTAAGGTGCTGCTGCTAAATGGGGAGAGTTAGTTGACCATTGTGCTAACTGTTCACCGAATGAGGAAGGTTGCTATGGTGGATTAAATTGTGTTATTACTGGTGTTGTTACTGTTTTAGCTACTGCTTATGCTATCGGCACATATGTCCAGTTTGCTACAATGTTTATGAAGAGAGACAAAGATTTATCGGCATTACCACCTTTCCAATACTTTGATGGTTCACTTGAACTAATCTTCGATGAAGATGATAAATTATCTAAAAGGGATGGTACAAATTGTTCCTGGCATAATGGTACTGCTACCATAAATGGTATTCTTATGTGAGGGTTGGACATGTCTTCAGATGGGTTAAATAATAAAGCTAAGCTATTATTTATAAGGAGGGACACTAACTCAAAAAATGCGTCAAAACAAAAGAAGGATTAGCACGATGTAAATCATGGACATGATTCAGCAGGAGGTTTCAAATACAACTATTGTTTTCTGCATCCTGAACACCATTTAACTATTCAATATGATTGGAATGATATCTTGGGTGCAGTGGATTCACATATTGGTGACATGGTTGCACATTACGATATCAATTTTGGTGATGTTGATATGAATGATACAGTCGAAGAGGGCTGGAAGGTCTTAATGGGAACTGGTAAACTAGTTGTTGAAAGTTCTACTTTTTTTGGTAGTAACTTTGAAACATGTGATAGAGACATGTTTGATGGACTTGCCAGATAAAAAATGCTATATTGAGGTTATTCCGTCAGCAAAATTTGGGTTAGTAGTGTAGAACATTTAACAGGTGGGTGAAAGGAAAAAAAATACCCTGACAATAATTGAGTGTATACATGATAATTTATACATATTTAATAAAACGATAGTAAAGATTTGTGCGTAGTCTTAAAAGAATATTTGGTGGTAATTCTGTTATTGTCTATTTTTTTATTTTGACTACTGCCTATGTAACTATTTGTAGATTACAATTTTTTGATCAAACTAAGAGGTTCTTGTCTAAAAAGGTTGGGCATATATTAATTTATGGTCAAGTTGTAAAAATATTTTTAAAGCTTTTCTATAGGCATACCTTTTTTTATAATACTTTTTGTATGAAAAATCTTAAGATCGCCAATAGTGAAGTAATTTAGATACTTTAATCTTACTAGAACGACTTTCCAATGAGCCAGAACCCATGTTATGGAAATTTCTTTCCAAACTAGGCATAAAAAGAATTTCTCACAGTAAATTTAATATAAATGGATAAATCAATTAAATATATGAATAGTTATAATAAAAAATTATTTTGTTATATCTAATACGATCGCAAAAACAGTATTTTAAAATATTTCCTTATCTTTCAAAAGAAAATAAGAATTTTATATATCTGCCTGATATTATCCTTTGAGTGAAAAGATTAGTACATAGATGATTAGCATCTTAGGTCATACCTTCATTAGTGATACTACAATTGCTATATAAGTTGATCTATTAAGGGAGAATCACTTCGTAAACGAGTTGTTTTCGTATTATTACTGTAAGGAAATATAGTATTCCAGAAAAAAATGGAATTACAAAGAGCAGTATCATTAGTAATAGTGAGTGTCGGCTATTTTTGCAAAAAAAGTTCTCTCCAGAGTCTTTCTGAAGTAAAGATTTTTTATGTTGTCTGCAAATCATAAAACCTTTAACTGCTCCAGGTGCATTCTAACCTACTATCAATGTCACGGCATTCAAGACAACAGCTTTGATAGCATTCGCAGCAGCTGTAGCTCAATCCCCACCTGACAGATTCTTGCCACTTTGACCCAAACAGGGAATTTTCTGTCAAAATATGTAAATATCATCTGTTCACCTAAAGCGATGTAACAGCAGCATGGAAAGGCACGCTTTTTAAAATTTTTTCATCTTTTAGTGCAACACAATTTGCTAAAATTAACAGAGAGGAAAATAAAATGCTACCTAATAACTTAATCCCTATGCTCTTCCCGTTACAAAGTCAATGTTTAAGTAATTTCTCTTTTTAATTAATAATGGTAGACAAACGATAGTGTATGTAATTTGGAGGAAAAAATATTAAATAACACTGAATTGTTTTGTCAAGTAAATGTTCCCTAAAGTGTTAAATAGCGAGCAACTTGAAAAACCTTCGAAGTTAAATCTCAGCCCAACTGGTGCTTATAAATTCACTGCAGTGAAAAAGCAAATGTAAAGAACATAAAATAATAATTTTTTTCAGCTACTTAGGAGTATTTGTGTATATATAAAATGAATATACACCTATGAAAAAAGCATATCAGGGGAAAGGCAGAAAAAACTTTAGGATGAGAGTGTAATTGATTATATAAAAAAACAAGAATACTTCATTGACTATTTCACAAACAAGAAGCAGATTATTCTATTTGTATTAGGAAAACTTTTAATTCTGTTTATATAGAATTATGAATTAAAAATATGTCAAATCAATAACACAAAAGGATTACCATTTATTAGATTCGATTGTATAACTAAATACACTCTCTGTTAAAGAATACACTTCACATGGTTCAAGTTCCATCATCCGTCAATATTTTATTGATTATATACATCCATAAGCACATGAATTCAGCAGAATATGATTGATATACTCTAACCATTAATAGAATCTAACAAAAAATGCTATCATTAACTGGAAACTAAAACATCTTCATTTTTTCTGTTTTTTTTTTTTTTTGTTTTTCACCATCTGTTTCCTCTTTAACTAATGTCTATTCATGAATTCTATTGTGAATTGCCATAGAGATCTAGAATTAAAGGATCTTTTTGATATCTTTGTTGAACAAAATGAATTGCAACAATATCATTTAATAGGGCATTAATAAGGGGGTTTGTGGCTTGGTCGAAGAAAGAAAGATGAATTGAATCCAAATAACAGTTAGCCCATTAAAACCATCATTGTATTTCTGTATAGAAAATTGATTGCATTGTTAATTTCTTTCATATCATATTCTTTGTGAGCAGTCTTTACTCTAATATCTAAACTTTTTTTTTCTTATCACCAATATACCTAAATTTTGTTGTATCATCCTTTTTCAATTATAGGTCTTTAAACTATGTAACATATCACATATGAACCAAACACAGAAAGAATAATAAAATACTCCAAACCAATTGATAAAGCGGCATCGATACACCTCATGGATTTTTTAATTTGACGATAATGATAAAAAGATTTGTTAGAATTGGAAATTGCACATCCTTTCTCACTTGAGCGATATTAATTTTAAGAAACAGTGTCTTTAGAAAATGTTCAAGATAGTTGTTTCTCATTTATTGCATGGAATAACCCTTATTAATTAAGAAGTAACTGATGAGAAAACATGTGTAAATCCCAATAAAATATACATGTGTATTTTGTATATCAACTAATTGCATAGAAAAGAATTATTGAGATTGGAAGAATTTTTGTTACATGTTTGAGAGTATTGGATCAGGATCTACTTTTGTAACTTATTTCCTATTCGACAGAAAAAACGTGACATTATCCCAAAAATATTGATAGGGTGGTCATAGAAACTTTTCATAATTTTACAGTATACTTTTTTCCTTTTCCAAGTTAATCCTAGCACATAAGCCTTTGCTATTTTTTCCTTATCCCAGTTTTAGCATTACACTATATAATAGTTATTCATGAATATTTAATCACTTTAGTGATGAATGTTGCAAAGTGAGAAGTACGTATGGAATCTCATTCTTTGTTTATCATACGACTTAGAAATCTACTATTAAGTATAACTATGCCAAAAAAGTAATTGATGCTAAGCAGCATGTTTTTAATCATGAAGCAATTTGACTTTATGTATTATGAGTTAGTTTCAATTTTAACGTGCATTTTCATATGCCAAGATTAAAGGTGATTTGATGTGTTATGTTATGAGATAAAAACATAATATTATTACCATACAATAATCTTCCTTTTTCAAGAAAGTTACATATATTTGTCAACTGTTGGTTACTTTTCTTGAAAATGTTACATTTATGAGTTGAATAGATTTGTATTACTATTCACACTGAAAGATTATATAAGTATTATTTTTATTAGCTATATTTTTGGTATAGAAAGAGGAAACGGAAGAAATTGTTTAAATATTGTTGAATATATTTTATTGAAATAATAACTAAATTTTTCTCAATGAATCTATTTATATTTGAAAATTGCATAGAAATAATGTTATAAATATGTTATCATATTATACAGAAGCATACAGATATTTACAGGAAAAAAAATAAATTAATTATTCATAATCATACAATATCATTAGCAATGAAAAATTATTTATTAAAATGAATAAATTTATTTACCGTGATAGTAATGATACTATTTAATAAATAAAATATATGTGATTGTAGTACTAACAAGTTCCGTATTTTTAAACATTTTGAAAACCAATCTTCCAAGATGTTTTCTTTTGTTTCAGCAATTATGGTAGTATAATAATCTAAATACAGAGTATCCATTTCCCTATGTAAACATTTTCTTTAATCTGCCCAAAAATCCTTTCTTTGGTTTTTTTTGTTCTTCTTTGGTCTTATTCTCTGAGGAAGCCGCTTGTTTTGTGGGATTTTTATTTGAAGTATCGTTTTTAACGTTTTTAGTATTACCTTCCAGCTGTGTAATATTAGTAGTTGGATTGTTATGAGTTTTGTTTATAGTACTTTTTTCAACTGTTATTGGTTCAGATTCTTTGCCAAATTTTTCTATTGTTTCAGACTGTATATTTGGGGTTCCACTTTCGATAGTGTAAGAGTCCTCATTATTTTCTCTTGGTTGTGGCTTGAAAATGTTGATATTACTATCTTGTGGTTGATCTATCTCGTCATGCTTATTAATATTTTCTCTATGTTCACTGGTATCTCTATTTATGCTTCTAATTTGTTCTTTATTCATTATATTGGATGGATCTTCTGACTTTGTTTTGTTTTTCAACTCTTTGTTTAAACGATTATTTAATTCAGTTGTATTGACATCTCTAATTTCAGAGAATTCTTGAATATTCTGGGCATTTTCTGGAACTACTGGTCCTGGACCTCCAATAGCCCCAAGAAATGTGTTTTGATTATTACTTGGTTGAGTTATGGGTAATATATGGACTGTATTATTATTACTGTCGGCTTTAGCATTTTGACTAGTAGTAGTATTAGTAGTAGCAGCTGTTAATCCACCAGCTTCAGGAATCTTTACCTTATTTTTTATTAATTTATTTGTTGCAATGATATCTCTTATGCGAATATAATTATTTTCAAAACCACAACCATCACTAGTTTTTGCATATTCATCACTTACAGTCCAATCTCCATCTACAATAAACTTGAAATATATTGTATCATCTTCGTCTTCTGGAGGCTCTGTAAAGGGCACACTTATTTCAAAAGAACCAGAGGAAAGTTTCACCAAAGGTATAGACCCCTTCCAATCATCAAATGTACCTGTAACGATGACATCATTGGGACCAGCTGGCCAGGTAAATGTAAAATTGGTTGTATGTGGCATTACTCGAATATCTATTATATATATATGTATTCACTGAAAAAGTTAACTGTTTTCTTCTTAATGTAGTTTTCTTTTTTTTTTTTTTTTCTTACCCAAAAATTTTTCACTAATTTGTAGTTCGACTTATATTTTATTGGCACTTAATCATTAAACTCAGATAATAATTAGCATATGTGCAAAAGTACGGCAGCTATACTTTCAATTAACCTACTACACATTACGTTCTTGCGATGTTCTTTATGAGTATCTCCGTGCTTATTTATTCCATCTTTGTTGTCGTTTCCCCTGCATTTACCATTCAGTGCCTCCTGAGAAAGACAGGGGAAAACTGCAAACAAACAAAAACACAAAAAACCGTTGAGTGCCAGCCACACATAACATAAAAATAAACGATGGAGAAAAACTAAAAGAAAAAAAATTTAAAAAAAAAAAAAAAAAAGAAGATAATTTTCTCATGTTCGAATTTTCGAGGAGCTGTTTTTTTTACTAAAATTTCTTCTAGAATATTGAAAAAATCAAAACGCGTAAGAACAGAGAATCTCTCGAGGAAAAAGAAAAAAAAGATTATTTGGATATGCACAAAAGGGATCTCATCCTTTTTACTTCCTTTGAGCTTGAGATATATAATATATGAAGGTCGACGCGTAAAAAAGGAAAGAGTATACATTGTCATTAAGATATTTCATGAAGGTCTATCGCAAAAAGTACTATTCTGTGATGATATATGTTCTTAGTAGTGGGTAGGTAACAATATCATATAATAAATATGTTGGTAGCAGTAAGTGGAACGAAATATAGTGGTGCAGATTTAGTAGTTAAATTGTTAGTGGAAAAACATGGGTTTGAGTTGTTAGATTATCAAAAGCCGGCCATCGAGATATTGAATTATGCTACTGAAAATTATAGAAATAATCTAGTCATATTATGTGAAACATTGGAATTGCTAGTTACTTTAGAGAAAAGAACTTTTTTTGTACATTTATCCGTTGATGCTTCTGTTGGAGTCAGATTGAAACGTGCACAAGAATTTACTAATAACTACAACGGAGAAAACGATGATAGTCATATTACTAATGAAATAGACAAGTTAATTATGCTTTTGGATGAACATGATTTTAATTCTGAATCAATAGAATTGCGTGAAAAGTCACATTTTAAATTAAAAATAGTGGGAAATACTTTAACAACATTGGAAGGTAGATTAAATAAAGCATTAGAAAAACAAATAATTGTATTTGAAAACAAAAAATTTGACAATCCAGAAGAATCTAATCCACCATTAAGACCTGATTGGGATACATATTTTATGAGATTGGCCACATTGGCAGCCTCACGTTCAAATTGTATGAAGAGAAGAGTTGGTTGTGTCATAGTTAGAGATTTTAGGGTGATAGCCACAGGTTATAACGGTACACCACGTCATTTGACTAATTGCTTCAATGGGGGTTGTTCACGTTGTAATCAAGGTGATTCGCGTAATTTACACACGTGTCTATGTCTTCATGCCGAAGAAAATGCTTTACTGGAAGCTGGACGAGATAGGGTTGGTAGTAATGCAACTTTATATTGTGATACATGCCCTTGTCTAACATGTTCGGTTAAGATTGTACAAACCGGTATCACCGAAGTTGTTTACAGTCAATCCTACAGTATGGACGAAGAGAGTTTTAAGGTTTTGAAGGCAGGAGGAGTTAAAGTTAGACAATTCAGTTTTATTCAAGAACCAAGAATCATCATTGTATGATGTCTTTTTTCCTACTCTTTTTGTGTGTTTATTTTTATTTTGTTACAGGTACAGAAATTAGTTTACTAAAGCATTTCAGAGTAGAGAAGGGATGTGGGTAGTTGTATATTAAAGTTAGATAGATAAGTACATGCATTATTTATAGCAATAGAAAATACTAAAAAGGGGGTATCATATGCATTGAATTAATTTTATTATAGTTGGTCCTCTATTTAAATATTTAATTTTTTAAGCTGTGTCAGTTATGTTACATAAATATATATATTAATGATACATACCAAATTAAAACATTATGTTATACGATTTTGGTAATTTTCATCAATACTGTGAGAGTATATGTGCTTTTGATTGTCATCTAACATTTTGAATAGGTGGGTCAACAATGATTTCTACTGGCAAAATCCCAGCTGAATGGTGTATATTATATTTTTAAATGAAAAATGGAGAGTGCAACGAAAAATAATATAAACTTTCTGATAATAAATATTGCGAGTTTTTTTTTATCTAGCTTCAAATTGTACCATTCTCTTAGTTCTAGTTTTTAATAGGATTCTATGACCACATTCTTTACAACGAACTGGATCAGTTCTGGATAGAGATAATTTGGCAGAACATTCAGCGCATATATATTTTAATGTAGCTGTTCTAGACTGAGAGGTACCAGAAGCAGCGATATCTAAATTAGTTGGAATTTGGAAACCTTCACGAGACATGATAAACCAAGTGCAGATTTTTTCCAGATTTGTTAGCCCTTATGACTAATTTTGTTTTGTATATTTGTTTTCATCGTGAACTGATACGTGCATATATCAGTTAGTACTATTCAACTCCTCATTTCCACTTTCTTTTACCACTTTTTTTTTCTGTTTTTTCGAAAAAATGAAAAAGAAAAATTTTTAGAAAAGGTGAGGGTAACCTTGATTAGGTAAAAGAATGACAATGTGTTAATGCTAACAGGGACCTCCATTAAAACTAAAATTGATCGACTATATATATTTTTAAACGTCGCTATTCATTTATTTATTTCTATATTACATATATATAACTATGAAAAACTTTATTTATATGGATCATGAATAAATAGGAGTCTACAAAGTGAAAAATGAATATGATGAAAAAGACACGAAAAGAGAAAAAAGAATAATGCTAATAAATAATCATATAAAAACAATTAACTAACTAGAGATGGTTTGGTAGATGGTCTTTGTGCGTGTACTTGTTATAGTGGAGGCAGCATCAATTGTTTGAGATGGGCCAGTAATATAATAAGTACTATAGTATTCATCATCTTCATAATATACGTAACAAACTCTATCTTCAGAGTTTACAGACGTGATAAGGATACTTTGAGTATTGGAGACACTAGTAGATTGTGGTGTTGGAGTGATAGTAGTTAGAATTCTAGAGTAACTGGAGGAAGCTTGTGGGGTTAAAGTTATTGTTTGAGAAGGTATTAGGGTATTAACTTGAGATGAGGATAAGGTACTAGTATATTGACTACTCTTAACATCCATGACCTGACTTTCAGTTGCAGACACAGGAGAAATGGTAGTAGTGGAGCTGATTTGAGGTACTGAAGTATATTGTGGATCAGCAACATCTTGAGCAGCAGCTGTAGTAATAACATCATTCGACGATTCTTGATTAGCAAGGACAGCAGGTATAGATGTTATTATAGTAGCTTGAGTAGTAATATGTTCTGTAGTTGATGTTACTTCATTATTTGCTAATGTAATTTGTCTCACTTGAACGGTTGTATAATAACTGGTTGAAACAAGAACAGTAGCAGGTTGTAAGGTCTTTGTTCTAACTGCATAACTGTAAATAACACCATCTTTGGTTATTAATTGTGCTATATCAGCAGATGCAATTGAGAAGACTGATACTAGAAGGAACCATAAAATGTTTAATAACTTAACTTGCATTTTTGATATTTGTTTTTCTTGTTATCTACTGAAAATAAAATGAGAGACTAGAGTTGGGAAATAAAATAATTGAAAATTAAGGAATGACTTTGGTAAGTTAACTAATGATATTAAAAAGAAAGGAAGCGAAAGAATTTATAAAGGAGTGGACAGTTTTTTTTAAAAAAAGAGAATGTAATAAGTTGGATTAAAAATTAAAGTTTTAAAAATGAAATATCACTAAGTTTTCTAATACACCACAATTTTGTATTGTTGCTATCTTTTCCAGAGTATAGTATACTTCTAAATATATTTTGGTTAATGATATAATATTCCTTGCAAAAGTTGTAATCGTTGGTGTTGTGAAGCTTGTTTTACTGTATAACGGTGGTGAATTAGGGATTCATTCTTCTGACTTGTAATAAACAGTGTTTATTGCATCCTTTATATATGATGAAACATTTTGCAACAAAAACACATGTTGAAGTCATTCTCATCGTTTTCTTTTTTTTTGAATATTTCAACATGGCATACCAATACATTTTAACAACACCTGAATGAATAGTCGAAGATGGGAATGTCTGCTGGGTTATTCATATTTATGTTTATCCTAATTGGACTAAAAATGCTGAACTAGATATGTATTTGAGGTTTATAAAACTAATTCATAAGATAGTAGTCGATCATCTTCGAATAGGACTAGGGAATATAGTATTTAATTTGTCTAATTTCTTATGTATATGCGGTTATTTCGTGTTGTATTTTAATTGCTGAAATGTTTGTTGTGTAAACAAAAAAAGAGCCAGCATAAATATTTTTGTTAACCAAATATGCCAAGAAAAAATAAAAAAAAAAAAAGTAAAAAAAAGAGGGATAAAATCTGTTAAGAGTAAAAAGACTTTTGAGGATATATTAGGAAAAAGGGCTTTATCAAACGAATGACTCCAAGCTATATCAAAGGCACGATTGAAGACCTACACATGATCCTTAGTGTGGTTTATCTTGCTTTAATGGAGATTAGAAAGTAAAATAAGATAAACGAAAGAAAGAATACAAATAATATTATGTTTCCTTTGTTCTCCATTCTATGTATAGAATACACCTTAGGATTTTGTATAAGAAGGTAATATTTTGTCTATAATATTTACTTGTTATTCTTTTGTTGACACTAAGGCAAGTGCAACTAGTTCTAATGCTAAATGATCGTTAATTATTATGTAGAATATTGTTAAATAAAAAAATATTTAGAAAAAAGAAAAATACATCGAGTGGGAATCTCCTCATTTATATTGTGTAGGATATCCCGCTTGTTCATTATAAATACAAATATCGAAGAAAAGGTTGTTTCGACAGCCTGGAAAATTTGAGTGCTTAGTAATAATTATTGTTATAGACCATGTCATCATTCTTGTTGAGATTAACACTAAACTCTAAATCATCGTCCGTGGACATGTCCCATGTCTTATAAACCATCATAAATGTAAATGTATTACAAAGACTGCCAAAGAATAAACCGTCTAGATAATGGTTTACACCCTCGCATATCTGAGTTGAAAACCCATAAGTTAATATTTGACCGACGACAAAAAATAATACGCCCAGAAGGATAGAACCAGTAATCCAAAGATTTCTTAACATAACCAAAGATACTAACAACTGGCATATAACATAAAAAAATAGAAAAACGGTATTGACAATATAAACAACAATGATCATTGCTGTGGCATTTGTCGAATGCATATCATTATGTTGGATCCATGATTTGAATGTTAAAATGGAGGCTAGAAAATTGGCACAGAATCCAAGAAATGATGTGATCCTTACAATTGTCATAGACTTTCTAGTCCCATCTTCCCAGAAATTAAAGGGTAATAAACCATTAATCAATAATGACCAACAACAGGCACCGGCAATACCAATTTGAATGGCTACAAAGTATGGATACGAACCCGAACCTGGTGGAGAAACACCACAGTCTACTATTAAAGTGAAAATGATTAATAAGAGTGATAGGTAAAAAAAATATAGATACTCGGCTCTTCCGATGGCAGTATACTTTTGTCTAATATTAAATATAATAATTAAAATAGTTCCTAAGGCACCGATATTAATAAATGCATTACCAACTCCAAAAATCATAGTATTGGATAATTCAATGGATCTAGCATAGCAACGAGGTAATATACCAATATCCAAGTGCTGTGGATTGAAATTATTTATTTTTGTAGAATTATTTAATAACAAATGTGTAGTCGATTTCACTACTGAGCAGAGCGGTAGTGGTGTTTGAGAACAAATATCTGCAAAGTTACTTATACCCATGACTATTCAGAAAGTAAAATAAAAAAAAGGAAGAAAATAAAGATCAAATTATAAAAATACAAACAACTTTTCTTTTTTGTATCAATGATTTTTGATGAACAGAATAGTATTTCTTGATTAATATTTTTTTATTTTTTTGATATTTAACTTTTTAACGATTATGAGCATTTGATAATGAATCAATGTCTGAAGAGAATATGGTTTTTTTTTTCTTCGAAGTACCTTACAGAATTTATTTTTCAAAGAGTTGTAAATTTTCATTTATGACAGATTCTATTTTTAATTTTTTAATTTTTTTTTTTTCGTGATGATAAAAGCAAACGTGTAAACTTAAATTACTATGCTTTTTGAAAAAAGTCAAAAAAAAAAAAAAAAAGAACAATCCAGAAATTAGGTTGGAATTTGAGAAGACGAAAGGACAAACAGAGAAAATGAGATCAACGTGTTAGTTTGTTATTTACACTCTCAAGGTAGAAGCGCTACAAAACGATAATATACAGACATCAATTCTGCATAATGATTAAAGTAAAACAAAAAAAAAATTTTTCTTTTTTTTTCAATCCAAGAATTCTTGCAGTATAGCTTGTTATTATTTACCTGAGCATTCCACTAACAGAAGTTTACACTCACACTTCCCCAGCAACGTTTATTAAAAAGTACAAGACGATAGACTAGGTGAAACAAAAAAGAGGGAATGTCGGTTCAGCTGATTCCTCGTGCATCACAATCGAAACTCAACACCAGGCGCCCAGCAACGTCCAATAGATATTTATTCTACGCTAAGCAGATACTACAAGCGGAAGAAAATATATTGGTTCACAAAAAACTGAGTCTCATCCATGAATCCCTAAAAAGAGAATACATTGAGGGTAGTACTGCATTTGCGAGAGAAAATGATGTTAGTTCTCTTTGTGAGGGGAAGATAGAAGAAGGTTTGTAGTAGGAAAATGGTACTTTCAAGGGCCGAAAGGGTGTTTGACTTCTAGAATTTTTCTAAAGTTCTCACTATTTATATGAATAGAAAATTTTGATTTTTTCTCATTTTCTTTTTTATTTTTTTTTTTCTTGCTGGTTTACTTGATACGAAAAAGAAGAAACAATACATTTCTTTCGGATTAATTCATCTAGGGTTTTTTGTGAACCACTTTATTTAGAATATTAACGTTTTTATGCAAAACTCAAAGAACATAACATAATAAGAGAGCAGTGAACAATAAATAAATACAAATAAATAACTATATATACATATAGTAACTAAAAATAATAGTAAAGAATCAACATACAAAAAATATAATATAATATTTTTTGTATTTTGGTTTCTTTTTATTTTAATTTATCTTGGTATTCTTACTTTCTCTATTCTTCTGGATAGGAGTCTCTGGTGGAAAGGTTTGATAAAGGATGAAAAAAAGCCATGATACAGTAGATACAACGATGAATATTATAGCTCTCATAGGCTCTTCAACATCTAGAAATGGGTATGGATATGCTTGACCTTTGGAAGGATCAATTAAAAAGAATAAATATTTAAAATAACCGAACCCCAAAAGAGAAACAATGAACCAAGCTTTAGTATTTGATATTTCAAATTTACACCCAAACCCAGAGAAATAATGGTCACTCAGTAGAAAAAGGAATGGGAATAAATGAATTGAAAGATCAGTAGAGATTGGAAGCGGATATGGTTTATCTTTTGGAACTTCTTGTACTATAAGAGTTTGTGCAAATAGTCTTAATGGCCAATACACTATAGGAACAATTGTCTCTAGTGTTAAAGCAATTGGTAAAATGAAATGTCTACATATGTAATTGAAAACAAATTGGTTACCATTGTGGTTTGGCCTCTGAACAAACCAATTTATTATATTTAAAAAATTGCTGATAATTGTAGCTACTAATGACAAATTGGTTAAAAACTGTTTATGACCGGCTTGACTTAAACTTGGAGGCAATACCAATTGTGTACATTTAAAAAGACCTCTACCACAAAGGATTAAACTGGTGATATTGAAAAATAATGATCGTTTGGTTGGAATTAAATAATTGTGTTTTTTAGGAGTTTTACTGTTCGATGTCATTTTTCTTGTTTGTAATTTTTTTCTTCTAAAAGTCTGTGTTCCAGATCAGTTTCTTTTGTAATTGTTGATCCTTTCTGATATATCTGTTTAATTAAATAATGTGGTAGATTTCTCCTGATATGCTCGACACAGTCTTTCTTTTTCTTTCCCTTGCCTATATACGTAGCTTATATTATTTGATAGTGTTGTTCGAATCTAGTAGTATTTTCTATTTTTTTTTTTTTGTTTGTTTGTTTGTTTGTGAATACAGCACGAGTTAAGAGTGAAGAGTATATTTACTGACACATAACAGCGGTAATGGTAGTATAGTGCTTCTCTTTGAATTAACTGAAACTTACCATAGAGTGGAAAAGGGGAACCCTTAACACAAAAACGAGCGGTTATTATTTAAACCCGAGGGTTTCATATGCAGGGTAACCATTGAATCTCATAGAAACAAAAAAAACGAGAATTAAAAAAGAAAGAAAGAAAGAAAAAATTCTGCTAGTGGTTGTTGATATGTATGGGTGTTTCTTGTGCTAGATTGTAAGAGAGGTAGACGTACTCTTTATAAGCTTTCGTTGATAAAAGGGAAATAAGAAAAACGAGTAAACAAAAGAAAAAAGGTGTGATGAGGTCTAGATTCCAGGAAATTAGAAATGCAGAACTATGTGACGCAAAACTAAGAACTGCAGTCCCTCAAATGTGGAAGAATACCTTAAATGCTCTTTTGATAGTCAATTTCCATCTGTAGTCTTTCAGAAGAAGCTCAATAAATGGCTAGTTACTTTTGGTTCTGAAGGGTCCGAAAGGTGTAACAGAGACATGCAAGTGAACTAAACGGAAGAGGGAAGATGGGAAAAATTACTAGAATTGGTTTGCATGTACGAACATCCTTTATGCATAATAAGAGATGCACTGTTATATAATAACATCAATTGATATTTTTTTTATAGGGATAGGAGAGGGAGGGGGAGTTATTCTTTTAAGCAGATATTTCTAAAGGGCTCTCTTTCCTTTTAATATCTGTTTGATTGTTCTTCTAAGGGAATATTCAATATGAATATATACATTCTTTTTGTTGGGTTTTATGTTGAGATCTATGAAGTATTATGAATTATCTTAGTGTGAAATAGGAAGACTTGTCAAATATCTTTTCAACCCTTTTCTTTTTCGTTTCTTAATATTAATTAGGCATGAGATCCCTTAAGTACATTCATTATATTTATTATTGACACTATTATCATTATTATTATTATTATTATTACGATTTTCACATATGAATTTAATGATTATTATACTGAAATATCTTAAATTTTTTTCTTACTTGTGTCTTGATCCTTTTTTTTTATTAATTTTGTAGAATATTGAATAATATCTGCCTATGTATATGTCTAAAGGTATATCTCTTTTCGCTTAACTCTATCATCTCACTAAAATTTTCATATATTTGTTTTATATATAAACTACAACAGAGTTGATACAAAGAATCAAAATAGAGCTGGTATATATTCATTTCTTGTTCTTATTTCAAAATTATCTTATCTTTCTTTTTTTTTTTGCTTCTGTCCTCTCCTCTTCTATATATATTTTCTATTTACTCTCTTTTTATTTTTTGATTATTTTATCACATCATCAAACTTTTTGAGAACTAATAACTGATTTCTTTAGAAACTAGACATGAAATTACAAGTAATAACTACTATATTTTTGACACTTTTTACTTTTGTTTCTTCTACGTCATTACCAGGGAAATATGATCTATATAGAAGAAAACAGGCCTTATATAGGCGTCAGGATCTGATGAGTAATTCAACAACCGGTATAAACGGTACAAATGGTACAAATGGTACTACTGGTGGTAGCGGCGGCGGCGCCAGTAGTGGTACTGTTCCAATAATTGTGGTTGGTGGAGCATCTACTATATCTAATGGTACAGCAGTGTCCAATTTTACTGGGGTCTTGAATTCTACTCAACTTTTCACAATTTTACGTCAAGTAAATCAATCTTTATCCTCTTCCTCTTCCTCCTCTTCTTCCCAGGGAATTGTCATTATTGCAAGTAAGAGTTCTTTTGAATCTATTGCCTTTTTCTTGGCTATTACTGTTAACACAAACAAAACTATTGTTGTTTGTGATGATGCCAGACTAGGAAGAATCGTGGCTACCGATGCGGGTTCTCAAGGTCGTGGTCCATTGATTGTTGGTAAAAATAAAGTTATCTTTTCTGGTACCTTGCCACCATGGGGTGTTCCAGATGGGGTCATCGGTGATAATGATGAAGCATATTGGTTCACCGATGCTTGTCCACCATTATTAATTGCTGAAAACTCAACCTTAAGAACACAATTTACAAATTTCACATCCACTAACGTTTCTAGCAATGTAATGGTTCCGATTGTTTTTGAAGAAGGTATCAGTACAACTTTGTTAAACTCGGTAAGTTCATTTATTCAAGGACTAGTCGTCATCAGTTCCGGTTCTAATGCAACTTCGTCTAGTCAATCTTCGTCTATTCCAATTGTGTACACCTCACCAAAGAGTAAGTTTGTATCATTTATTAGCGATGCCAATATCCCAAGTGGTGCTATTGCAGGTGGATATCTGTCTCCCATCCAAGCCCAAATTTTGTTATCAGTGGCAATAGCTAACGGTGTTAATAATACACAAAGTTTGACTCAAATTTTCCCTTCATGAAATTAAGATTAATTTTTGAATTCCTATTTTTTTATGTTTTAATTTTATTTTATTTTGTTCTGTCTTCTTTATGATATTTTTTTCCTCTTAACGTTAGTCTTTTAATTAATTAATTAATTACACTATTATAATCTTTTTTATCTTACTATTTTTGTTCATGATTTTAATATTTAACATTTATATACATACATGTATGTAGGTGTATGTATATATGGATAATTTGACGCAATATTTTATATATATACTTTTAACAAAATTTATTTTTATTCTCATATATCTTTTTTTTTTGAGTTGGTTTTACAAGAGCTTCTTAATTTGAATGCAAATACTCCAGACATATAAAATTAAATTTACGTATTCTGCTAATTTTAGAAACTAAATATTAAAAATTTACTTTACACCTTAACTAAGGGAAAATCTGAGAAATTTTATTCGATTTATTTTTTCTTATCAAATTTTCATCAAGTTGACAAAAATTTATAAGAAATTCTAATTAGAAATCCTATACATATTTTCTGAACAGCAATTAATATAGAGACAAAGAACATAAAATAGTCAAAGATTTACAACTAAACTGTAAATATATTCCAACGAATCTGACGAATTACTGAGAAGCTTATTGTAACAACTTTTGATCATTGAAAGCGTGCCAAAAATAATTATTAACATTAACAATCATATTTTTTCTACTATATTTTACCCAATATATATCAAGCTAACGACAATTAGGATAATAGGATTTAGTTTCGGGTCCAGAATTGGTGACTTTATAAATTATAAGTATTTATATATCCTTAATATCCAATTTTGGTATATTAGAAGAGCTTGCCTACTTGCATGCCCTAGATAGAAGGCAATATATACTGCATGTATAATAAACCTTCTTTGTACTTTTTTAACAATCAGAGGTTTTTTTTGTATGCTACTTTAAAATTTGTCATTAACAATAATTTATCAATCTTATTATAATAACACTAAGAACATATTACAATTCAGTTAATCCTTCTATATTTTTTCAAAGTCTGGTTTTACTTTTAAAAGATATAAAATCTTTGTTTGGCGCCATTAATCATTAAGTTAAAGTGATTATCACTCAAGAATAGGAAAAATCTAGAATTTTCCTTGTTATCAGAAATAGAAAAAAAAATTTTAACTTTTTTTAGGATTAACAAGCAATAGCAAAAAACATTATGATAATAGAATTTTCTTTTCCATTTTCCATTTTATTTTCCTTCTGGAAAGATATCCCAAATTTCCATAAAAACTAGATCTACACAATATCTCTGAACTCATAATAATCAAGTAATTTGCAATTTAAACATTTCATTTTCTTTCTTACAAAAGTGTTATACTACTCTATATTATTAAACATGCAATAACACAAGCGATAAAAGTAGGTATTCGATTTTTTATCTCTTCCTACATAATAGTTCGATATATTTTTTGCTCGACCATTATCATGATTTCAAGAGATATCGCTAGATTATATCTATATTACTGTATTGTTCTGTAAGAAGGCTTAGTTTATTTATACAATAATTTTTATTTAGAGTTTTAAATAATTCTTCTGATAAAAGAAATAAAAAAACAAATGTTGTCATTTTAAAACAACATTAGAAAAGTTGCACTTCCTTAAAAAAACACTTTTAAGATATAAAAACTAAATACTGAATAAAAAAAAAAAAGAAAGTATGCATAATACCGATACGAAAAGGAATGCAGTTAAAAACAACATCCTTTGTTTTTCTCAAAGTTTGTCGTTATTCGAAATGAGGGTTTATAGCAGATATTCTAGGTCAACTCATTTACACGGATCTTTATGCATAAAGTCATTGTTGAACGAGTGATATTAGGATAAATAACTCAGTAATGCCTTATCTACTTTACATAGTCATTGTTTCTGCACATTTATAGAGCTATAAGAAATCCATTCGAAACACATGGTTGCAGATAACAACTTTATATCTTCTTCTTAAACTCTGATAGTATTGGCAAGTAAGTGAAAAGAAAAAAAAGCATCATACACCTCACTTTTTGAAGATCATATGATAGTAAATACTTGCATGTGATCTTAAAGGAATAACTGATTATCAATTCATCTTTATTCATCTTGTATATTCAATACTATTTGTACAATTATCTATAGATTAACAATGTTTATGATCAAACTACGAACGACATTAGGTTTCAATTAATACGAAGTTAGCCATACGTATACGAGAGGGTAAGACTATAATAAATTGCTAAAAATCTTGCTTTAGGTTTATATTTTTTTTTTTTACAAGTGATTTTTGTGTGAAAAAATTTAAGGGGCGCCACTAATGGTGATGTAATTCTCTAACCCTACCTGTAAAACAGTATAGTCTCACAACTTACTGAATAGAAAATATGCGTATCTAATTTTTAAGGGATTTTGCAAATGCTATGTTTTGAAATTTTTGAGAATGGTAAAACAATAGATAAAAAAAAAAAAATAAAACATGTGAAAATAAAAAATGAAAAAGGGAGAAAAACGGGGGGAAAAACGGGAGAGGAAAAGGGGGGAGGAGGAGGGGCAGAGTTTGAAGAAAACACACAATAAAAAGAAAATTAATAATTAATGTATTAGAAGGCCTCCAAATATAAAATCGTCCAATATTTAAAAAAGTGGGAGGCTGCATTTCCAAAATAGGAAACAAGTTACTCTTTTGATAGATCTTGGAAGACCGAAAACTTTAATAACATGAATTAACAGATCTGGTGATTTCAAGTCGAAAATCCTAACAAATATTAGGATAAGTCTTCTTTTCGTTGAGAGAATGCGAAAAATATTTGTTTTCAAACTGGTAAATAGAAGCGCAAGGAACAAAATTATCACTTATCCTAGTTTTGCTTTGTTTGTTAGCCACTTAAGGAGTAAGGAGGTAAAAAAAAAAATAAACAAGGATCCCTCACAGAAATGATTTTCTTTTCTTTTGATGATGTGACATACAATATTCTTGACTATGGTGGTAACAACAGCCTATTTATCATTTCTATATGCAGCGAACTAGTTATATAATTTCAATTCCAGATAAATAGAAATATATATATATATAAAGTAATCGTATTCTTTCTGCAAGAACAGATGTTCCTCCCCTCCTTCCTTTAAGTTAATATACTTTTGCTGCACACAGAAAACCAAGACAAAGATATTTTACTATCTATTGCAGTCACAAATAAAATAAAAATAACAACCGAAACGAGTTAATTTTATCTTTTTTTAAATTTATTCATACTTTTTTCGAAACTTAAACAAATAATTCAATAATAATGGGTGCTGGTGATTACATTATCTACTTTGACAACCATGGTAAGGATGAGTTCCACATATATGAGGGTTTGAAAGAATTAGCAAAGAAGTTTGATGGTGAGGTCAAGAAGGATTATGAAAAAGTGCATAAGTACTACGTGACCGTTCCAGAGGCCCTTGGTGATGGTTTTAAAGAAGCAGCAGATGCTTTGATGATAACGAAGGGTGTTAACGCTGTTGTTAAACAACTTGACTCTGAAAAGTAAGGATAATGTAAGAGGATAACCAATAAGTTTATGATGCAAGGTGTGAGGCACTGATAATTTGTTAAAAATGCTTATTTTTTGTGTTAAGCCAATCCTATGCACTATTACTATTGTCTTTTTCTCTTTCTCTTCTTATCAAAATATATGTAAAGTATGTTTAATATCTGATCAGAGACAAGCAAACTTTTAATATTCTGTATGTAATGTTTACTTTATAATACTACTTTAATTAATAATAATTTCGTTTGATTATCTGGTTGATAAGTAGGGGGGAGGGGGTGTAAAATCATGATAGTTCTGTGGAAAAAAGCCTTAGAAACGCTATAAATAGGAGAGGACAAGTAAAAAGATCTGTAAGCAATCATTTTGAATATGTTAGTTTCTAATTTGCGTGTTATTTCACTTTTATTTATTTGCTTTTTTCGATAATTGCGAAATACATGAATAACCAAACATTAGCTCAGTTAAAACTCCAAAAATAAGATTTCTTACTGTGTCTGTTAGGTTACAAGCAAAAAAGAAAGTTCCCAGAAGAACTGTTGTTTCTACTTCTTTCGATATTGTAATAACAGACTCCGAAAAAAGAAAAGAAAAAGACAGTACTGTGACTTTTTTCTCCTTTAGCCTATTTGTATTTTTTTTTTGTTTTGTTGCTTCTCAGTTTCCCGCTTTACTGAAGATTTCATTAACAAATTGATACCAACTTTCCTCACAGCGCATACAAGTAATAATGGGCAACCCCCAAAATTTAAGGTAAATGTATATATAGTACCTCTGTATTTATTGTGCAACCATTAACGAGATCTTGAAATATCAGCACCTTCCATACAGCTTCTTTACTCAAATGTAAAAGTAGTTCACTTTTTTATTTTTCTTGTTTATTTACATGTAATTTGTTCTCTTATTTTATTAGTGATAACTATTCTAACCAAACTCAATAGACGATCTTCAAAGAGTAAACGCACAATACAAGTGGAAATAAACAAGAAAATGAGTACTACACATTATATTCTTCATCTTAAACACAATAATGGAAGCAATATCCCAGATAATCTTTTAAATGATATAAAAGGAGTAGTCTCTAAATTTGATGGTAAAGTAAAGGATGATTTTAAGTTGGTGCCAGGGTTTACATTTAGTTTACCAACAAAAATAGGTGAATCATTTAAAAATGCTGCTGATTCTTGGGGTAGTAGAAATGGCGTTACAGTTGAAATCGAACAAGATCAGCAAGTCCATGCCTTATGAGTCACTGCACAATATTCAATAGCAATTTTTTATTTCTATCCTTTGTACTTTTTCTTCTTTTTTTTTATATAACATGTAGTGATATTCTTAAAAACAGCTTCAAATTTTTTCCCTTAATATATGACCGTTATCTACATATAAATACATACATAATATATACACTTATATTATATATATATAAATATACATATATTGATAACAACAAAAAATCAAACCTTAATTTCTGTAAAACATGAAAAAAAAGTCATTTCTTCTCATTTTTTTCAGTGAAAAGTATACTAATAATTTTGCCTGGAGTTGTTGACTAAATTGATTCTAATCTTTTTTCAAAAAATTCAATACAACTGATGTTCAATCTGTTGATAGCTTCCACCAAATCCTCTGGTTTATCAGCAAAAGAAATAGCAGTTCTGATCAAACCACAATGATCCTTGGACAACTCTGTATCTAAAGCCATTTTGTAACCCAAGACAACACCAAGACCGTTTTTGATAAAATATTTCTCAATTCTGTTCATACCTTCTATAACAGAAAATTCACCGTTCAATGAATCAAAATTGATTTCAAAATCAACAAACATACCAGCTGAAGGTTCAATTACCGAAAAATAACCCTTTTTGAAGGACTCACTTTCATAAGCTGCCTTCAATATATGATTTCTTCTATTTGTATATTCTTTAGCCACTTGAATAATCCAATCTAACCATGCCTCCACCATTGGTTTATTGTCTCTTTTAGATATAGTCTGTAATGTTGAATAGACTAAAGATTGAGATACACTACTTGCACCTCTTGTACTAATGTCGGTATAATCATGGATCTGCTTAATCAAATATTTGTTACCACTGATAAAACTTAATCTTAAGCCTGGTGAAAATACTTTTGAAAATGTTTCTAATCTTAAAACCCTACCGTCATCGTCTAATGACAAATAGGATTTAATCATAAGTTCTTCCAAATAACGTTTTCTAGAGAACTCATCCATTGCATACAAATTTTCTTCTGGGTTCAATCTATTAAATTTAGGCATTCTTAAATAGCCATACGGATCATCTTCAATGATGATGAAATCATGTATCTTTGCCAATTCAATAATCTTTTTTTTCTTTTTCATATAAGTGGCTACACCTGTTGGATTTTGACCAGTAGTGACTGTATATAACAATGTTGGTTTGGGTAAATGTTTATAAGGACCAGTAGACCAATTATCTAACAAGTCAGACAAATAGTCCACATCAACACCTTCATCTTTAATATCAAATGGACGATCTATAGTATCTTGATAATTATTTTGGTTGACAACAGGAATATTCAACTTGATTGGAATTGCCTTAGCGCCAGCACCATAGACTGCCGATAAGACGGGTACAAAAGTAAATTCTTCTACCATGACTGTTGTATTTTCATCAGCTAAAGTTTCAAAGATTTTAAATAATGAATCGTTTGAACCATTGGCGATAATAGTATCCCATTCTTCATACAATGGCTGGTTCCCTACACTCTTAACAAAATCTTCAATAAAATCTAGTAAAGGAGATAAGCCTTTAGTATCACCATATTGTAAAACGAATGGTAGATTCATCTCATTTGGGTCTTTTTTAGTAACAGAGGCAATGTTATGAGCCTCTTTCGAATCCTTTCCATCAAAGGGATGATCAACAATGTGTAAATCCATTGACTTAATTGGGAAAAAACCAGGGTTTGGCAAACCCAAAGACAATGGAATAAGATCATCTTTTGGTTTCTTGGATTTTAGAAATGAATCCTCTTCTAAATTAGAGTATTTTGGATCAGGAAGCCAAAAAGTGACTAATTTCTTTCTTAATGAATTTTCGGATATAAATTTAGAATAATGATTTTCTAAATCCTGGTATGTTAATTGAGCCATGATTTGTGTATCTTTCTTCGATGGCAATTTACAAAGCTAATTTATTTCACAAGTGTAAAAAGAGGATATGTAAAATTGTTACATATTATAGTCCCTAATAGTAATTATGGATATAGAAACAAAAACTGGCAAACGGTATGTGCTTAAAAAATACAAACTCTCACATATCTTATCTCATTTATCGTTCCAATAAGTTATCAAATAGAAAAAAGGCTTTGACATAATATCTATTTTGCCACATAATGAAAAGAAAAAAAAATGTTTTTTTCTCTTACTAATTCTGGTTAGTCAAAAGCTGTCTAATTCGGAGGAAACGAAAAAAATAAAAAAAAAACTAAGAAAAGGTTGTAAAAACGGTAGAATGAATGACTCAGAGAAAGTTACAAAGATGCTCGACTAAACAATAAACGACAAATATATATAATTATATTTGACAATTCAAGTCGAGTTCAATATATGGGTAACAAAAAAGTATAAAAATAGTTTTTTATGAATCTAGAAATGGACTAAGTAAATATATTTATCCAACAGACTAAACAACCATCAAAGGAGTTAAAGAAAATGTGGGCAAAAAAGAAGTTGAGTATATAAAAATGAAAAAAAAAAAGAATTTCTTTAATTTTCTTTTTTACTGCACTATTTTCAATTAAGACCTCAAGGTACACAATTTATATTATCATAACCATTTAGCGGTGCATAAATCTTTCTTTGATCTTTTAGAATGCAGAAAGAAGCTTGGTTAAGGTTGTGGTTGTTGGTGAATCTACCTATCAGATTAATAAACAAAAATGGTGTAACAAAAAGTTTGTTAGTGTTAGATATATCACTGATAATTTCTTAATATTATTCTGTAATAATGCACATTTTTATCTATTTTTAATGAAATTTACATCCAGTGTATTATATTTGACATTACATGAATGGCTGGAACTTCTTAACTCCATACGAAAAACATCAAATTACATACAAAGTAGTGTAGCAAAATATTAGTTTAATCTAAAAGAAGTAGTCAACAAGATATTGAAACATATTCTTGATATATATATTGATTTACCAGAGAATTTGTAAGGAAAATCTGTTATCTACAAATGAAGTACGCATGGACAATTTGCGCTACCAACGCACCTTTTTGTCTGCAGGGCAATAGAAGAGAATCTTTCTTTTTCTTTATTTTCCTCGTTATTCTAATTTCGGAGAACTTGGTAGCTAAAAGAAAAAGGAAAATCACCCAAAACGAAGGACAGACTATTGTTAAGAGTGCGGAGAAGAGAAACGGGAAAGGCAGAAACAACCGGAGACAATAAGGGAAGACTAGTGGCAGCCGGCAGACCACGTGCACGTTTATGGCTGAAGCAGAGAACAGGCAAAACGATCAAAACATGCCATATGACTGACTGAATATGAGAGGAAAAGAGATTGGGACTCTTAATCATTCTGTGATAGTACAGAATCCTTTATGATTTGTGGAGATGACTTATGGAGACCACGTTTTCGGTTTGCCTGTTGGTTTGCTTGTTTATCTACGAACATGTGTGCACTACACACTTTTGACTCTTTAAATTAATGTTAAGTTCTTATCATGACGTGAAAAAACTAACTTACACTGCTTTGTACATGATAGCTATTGTTGTCTGTCAATTAAGGATAAACCACGTTTCTCTCATTCTACACATATGTAAAGCTTGGTGGCAATACTTTATAAACTATATCCAAAGATAAAGGAATGATTTATAATCTTTTTTAAACCCTTTTGTATTTCAAGAATAATATGTTCAAAAATTTGTTCTATTCTTTCATTTCTTTCTCCTTCTCTCCATGTGACATGTGTTTTTTGGGTCTTCTTCTTGAAGTTGTTTCAACCTGTAAACCCCACATTTCTTACCATTAGTATAATATTATCCTGCATGCTTGTGACAATATTTCTACCCTTTTATATAATCTACATTTTGGCACAAAATCATATTATATATATATATATATGCACATGTATAATTGTAAAGCCTTTTGTTTAGATACTGATAAAATACACAACAGATGCTGCCCTATGATTTAACGAGAGAGTCTATATCAACAAAGATAAAAATAAATACCAACACCAATATATACATATACTCCAAATTCTCAAGAAAATATTTCCACATTAACACAAAATAACAGACAATGAGTACCAGTTTAGAGAAAGATTTAACAACCCATGATGTCAGAAGTATCTGCAGTGATGATAGTTCCTATTTAGAATACACCCCATTAAATAGTCACATGGACACCACACACAACATTAACAGCATAGACTACATTTCAACTCGATCTGCGCCTCGTAGACATTCCTTCACAGCCACTATTCCAAGGTACTTCCAACTAGAAAACATTAGAAAAGCTTTGAATAAACCATGCCATAATTCAAGAAGGTTGAATCCCACACTATATCATTCATTGGCCAATAATCAAGAATGTCAATTTTGCCATAATCCAAATAACGAAATGGAACATATCTATGATTCATATAATCATTATGAACAAAATAAGTCGTATAGGCATAAAATAGAGAACGTTAATCAAAAAAATTTGAAACATATTAAACATCAGGCAACCAAAGAAGAAATTTTATTAAATCAAAAGATGATTGATGATTTTTGGCTGGAAGGTAATATACCTGATGAAATGGATTTTGATGTTTCAAGTGATGAAGAGGAGGACACAGGGGATAGTAATTAAATTAACAAAAAAAAAACATATTAGTTGTAATAATAAGGATAGTGATGAATTAGAATTTGTACAAAAAAATCTTTATACCAATTTTTTGTTGTGTAAAATACTAAATTTGAACATTCATATCAGTATACGCATTTTATTTTATTTCATTTTTTCCTATTTTTATATTTTTGTTACTTTTCCTTTCCATATTCGCATATAAAATCAATACTTTTATTACAAATATAGTTTGCACTGGTTGTATAATATATTTTTATTCAATAATCTACAATTTTTTCTTTGTTTGCTTTTTTATTGATAAATTTTTATGTATTAAATAATTTACACTAATAAAATTACCTTATTTATTTGTGTATTCCTATAGGTAGTGGTCATTTAAAAGTTACTCTTCTTTCTGAAAAAAAAGAATACTTTAAAGACCTTTTAAATGATGTCGGGATTTTAATTTCAAGCAAGCCATTGGAAAGAAAGAAAAACATAAGGTTTTGGATTCCTTCGATTTATCCAAGATTTTATTATAAATTTTAGATAAGCAACTTGTCTACTATATTTCTAACATATTTTTAAAGTTAGAAAGGTAAATACTTTTGCAAACCCACTCGAAAAATTGCAGTAAAAAAATTTAGATATAACAATTTATTTGTATCTTCAAGACAATCGAACAAACATTTTAGAATATTATTTATTATCAATGAAGTATTAAATAATGAAGCACACGCATATGTTAAAGCAGTCCAAATTGAATACTAAATCACTGCAAATAGTAACAATTTCAAAATTGGAAATAATAATACAGATCATAATAATACCAAAATTACAAACAAAACTGGTACCGAAATAATTGAAAAAGAAGAAAATAGAGAAGATTTAAGACATTTACAAAATCTGAAAAAATATCAGTTCCAACATGAATGCTCTTAAAAATGTTTTGACACCATTCTTGTTGAAAAAATAATATTTTTAAAAAGATACAAGGGACTGCAAACGTACTAATGTGGATCGACTGGTGTCATTGATTGGATATTTTGTAATAAGTTGGGATGGTATAGCTCTTGTTTATGGTGGCAAAGGGGCAACAGTTCAAAAAGTACTAAAGAACTGTTTGTGCAGCTTATATACTTATATTGTGAATAAATTACATATCTATAAAATTAAATAAACAAACAAAAAAAAATACCACCAAAATAAAAGTTTGTTTTGTTTTCGCGTATTTCGGACTCAACAGAACAAATTTTTTAGCATGTAATTTCCCAAAAAGGAAATATTTTGACATGTTCCAAAAAATAAAAACAAAAAAAAAGATAAATGAAGCAAAGCAAAATTAAATGATGCGGATCAAATGTGTAACAAACAATTTCTGAATGTCATACAGTGCTCCAGAGTACAAAGATGAGTAGAAACAGATTGATGTCTAACTTATATTAGCATAGAGCAAGATAATATAAAAGACTTAAAAATTTCTTTTATCCACTCTCCATACAGTAAAATCAAAATTCTCTCTATTCAATTACTAAAAAGATCAAAACGATCCTACATGACTCAACATTAATCAATTTTAGTATAAAACAGGTATTTCATCCTTTCTATTTCTCCCCATCAATTGTTAATTGTTTTTGGTATTATCATATCTCTTTCTTATCAGTATTTTTAGGACAAAATACAGAAGAAGAGTTAGATTTTGTTTATGTAACCTTTTGAAAGGAAATTTTATTTTTAACCAAAGGAGCCTTCTCATTATTTCTTTTATTTCTTTTTTACATTATTGCTGGTGTTCTTTATCATTCATCTATTGCTTTAATTTCTTTTTATCTTTTTTTATTTTTTCACTAATTTACGGTACTTGGACTTTAAAATAAATATCTATCAATAAATACTCATTTAAACATTATTCAATTCATTACTTTTAATCAAGTGCTTATTGGGTTGTCGATAATTAATGCATTTTTTGCCTTTGGTTGCCTTTTGATCTCAGTAATAATTAAATTTGGAAAGGATATAAAACAAAATTTTAAAATAGCACTAATAAATTCTAAAAGAAATAACGGTAACAACAACAACAATAAAAATAGTAATAATAATCATAATCATAATAGCTATAAAGATAATACCATGAATAGCCATAACATTATAGCAGTTAACCAATTGACTAATATTCCAAATAATTTTCAATCCAGAACATCTACTTATTTATTCAAAAATAATTCATATTCCAGTTATAACAATAACAACAACAATAATAATTATGATAGTTATCCAAATAATAATCAAAATCGTAGTACAAATTCCAATGATGGAACTATTGTGGGTTTGCATTTTAAAATTGGCAAAAAAATTGGTGAAGGTTCCTTTGGGGTTCTCTTTGAAGGTGTCAATATGATTAATAGAGCCCCTGTAGCTATCAAGCTCGAACCAAGAAAGTCTGAAGCTCCACAACTAAAAGATGAATATAGAACATACAAGATTATGGCAGGCACTCCCAATATCCCATTGGCTTATTATTTCGGACAAGAAGGGTTACATAACATTTTGGTAATAGATCTTTTAGGACCTTCACTAGAGGATCTTTTTGATTGGTGTGGAAGAAAATTCTCAGTAAAGACTGTCGCTCAAGTTGCCATTCAGATGATAAGCTTGCTTGAAGATTTACATTTGCATGATCTTATTTACAGGGACATTAAACCAGATAATTTTTTAATTGGAAGAGCTGGGCAACCTGATGAAAACAACATTCATTTGATCGATTTTGGTATGGCTAAGCAATATAGAGATCCAAAGACTAAAATTCATATTCCGTATCGCGAGAAAAAATCATTAAGTGGAACTGCAAGATATATGTCAATTAATACACATTTAGGCAGGGAGCAATCCAGAAGAGACGATATGGAGGCTCTGGGACATGTATTTTTTTATTTTTTAAGAGGTCATTTACCATGGCAGGGGCTAAAGGCTCCTAATAACAAGCAGAAATACGAAAAGATAGGGGAAAGGAAAAGAATAACAAATGCATACGAGTTAGCCCAGGGTCTACCAATTCAATTTGGTCAATATTTAGATATTGTAAGAAATCTTACATTTGAGGAAGCACCAGATTATGAAGGTTACCGTAGATTATTTGCAACAGTATTAGAAGAAATTGGTGAATGTTGTGATGGGAAGTATGATTGGTTTAAATTAAATGGTGGTCGCGGCTGGGATCCGAACATTAACAAGAAACCCAATCTTCATGGATATGGTCATCCAAATCCACCAGACGAAAATAAAAAACAGATTAATGGCATATCACTACAAATGAAGTCAAGACAAACACAACTTGGTCAACTCCCATTATTGAAAACTGATCCTAATTTATTTCAAGCATTTCAAAGACAACCACCACAAATATTATCTCAACCATATCAAAAATGTGATCCTTTACAGGACAAGTATATGCAACAACAACAACAAGTGAAAAGATATCCACGAAAGATAGCCATGACACAACTATACGATAAAAGTAATCAAATTAATGCTAGTAATTTAGGAGAAACTTCACCTCATCATGATAGTTATAACGCCGGTTTAAAGGGTTATTCAACTCAACCAATAAATGGGCATGTTTTTGCAAAACAAAATCGACATGAAATGATGACAGAACAACAACAAATGCAACAGCAGCTGTTAGATGATTTAACGGAAACAAATAAAGGTTTTTTTGCTAAATTTAGTTGTTGTTGATGAAATAATTATGTAGTATATTCATATGTATATGTCAACATGCATCATCTGATTTATACTCTTAATAATAAAACATATATGAAAGAATAGTAAATTTGTTTTTTTAAAAATATATGTAGCTAGGTTAAGTCTATAAAGTCTATAATAGGTTCTTCTTTAGCCCGTGTACTACTGGAACTATGAAGAAAAGTACTATGTTCTTCTCCTTCATCATCGTCATCTGTAGAAATATCTGAGTCTATAATAATAATTTCTTCAACCTGGCTTTCCATTAAATCATGCTGGGACAAAATTTCCTGTATATTTACATTGTCGTCTGTATTATTCTTTTCACTATATTCAAAAGGTAACGATCTTTGACCTGATTGTTTTTGCAATCTTTCAATAGCAGCTTTAGCAGTCATTTCTTTTGGTGTTAACCTCTGTTTTCTAATTCCATTTAAAGATCCTAATTTTTGCAAACAATCACTACTATTATTATTAGGAATAGAAGTAGAAGTGAAAGTAAGGGTAGTATTAGTATCATTTTTGCTTATATTTATTAATCCGTTTTGCAAAGAATGTATTCTTTGTTGCCGTATATTATATTTACCACCGATATTTTTGCCACCAAGCCGTTTTCCCACACCAAGAAAGTTATAAGTTAAACCCAAAGTTTCAATGATATATTGTCTACCACACAATTCGTTCATCAATTTCTTGAAAGCAGCATTATGTGGGCCGATTTTGTTATGTGTCAGTTCGTGAATCATAGTATTTATAATTTCGTCTCTGGATAAAAACTGGGAATCATCATATGGTTGTCGCAATCGTAGCATGATCTTGTACCCATGGTTAAGGTTTAATCCCAGTAGATTTTTTTGTTTGGGATAAAATTCAGCTAAGACGGAGACCTTGAGTCCATTTTCGTCCATCAATAATGCTACTGAATTATTAATATCTTCTAATAGATGAAACGCATATTGCGAATTTGGTTTATTTTTCAAATATGTAATTGCATTGATGTGAGGATTCTTCTTAATAGTCATTCCAACCTCTAACAACTTAATTCATTTGAGCTTTGTGTGTGTCCAATATGTATTTACGACACCTCAATCCTTTTCTCTTTTTTATTTTTCTTATTTGTTTGTTTGCTTATTCATTTAACGTAGGCATCTCTTCAACATAGAGATGGCAATTAGACAGGGATGTGTACCTATGTATATCTATATATGCAAGCCATTCATAATCATCTCAACTTCAAACTGCATAGTTTGAAAAATCTTTGTCAGCCTTCACTTTTTTCTCTCTCCGCCAATTGGAGTTTGCGGGTTTTGTGGACAGATAAAAAATATTAAAAAAAAAGAAAGAAAGAAGGAAAGAAAGAAAAATTAGTAGAAAATATTTCCTTTTTAGATACTTATTTCCTAAACAGGAAAGTATACATCGGATTGGGATATTGAATTTTCCGTTTTTTCCTCTTTTTACGTTTGGTTTTGTTTTGTTTCGTTTCTTTTTCTGTTTTCCTGTGTTTACAACACATATAAATATGAATATATATAAATATGTATATAAATATATATATATATAGATATGAACACATAAAGTTGTGTTTAGACAAATACATACAACATATACATGTGCATGTACCTACATAAGTAAATAGTTGAATAATAGTTGAATAATATTTGCATAATATTTGAAAAACAAAAGAAAAAAAAAGATAAAACAACATCAACAAAATATAATTTGAAATATGAAACACTCAGAGAGTGAAGTCACTTTAACAAGACCTGCATTATACTCCATTTACGATAAAGATGTTACCAACACTGTAGAAGATTATAAGGTATTAAAACAAAAATTTATCACACCAAGTAAGAATGAGCTGTCCCCACATAAAACCATCAAAATTTATCAACGTGTCCTATATTTTTTCGTGTCATGTAGTATTTTGTTTTGGATGGGTGTAATGTTTGCGAAGTTATCTACCGAGCTATACGACAATAAATCTTTGAAGAAGTGGATGCTGTCATATACCCTAGTCAAATTTACTCAGTGGTCAAATACCCAATTACCATTCCCAACTTATGTTGTGTATGGTATCTTGGGTGTATTATGTGGCACCGCTGTACCAATATTGGATAAATTTCTACTAAGTGAAAAACAGACTAAACCAGACACAGATTTAAAAGCTGTACTAAAATGTTTTAATGCATTATTTGGCATATGTTTGGGTATTAGAACAATCCAATGGTCCTCATCTTTACAAGCCTCTAGTGCGTGGGGATTATTGAACCTCATTTTATGGCTATATTTTGATGGAACTCTAAGTGTATTGCTTTTGGGTTCTCTTATAAGTGGGATTAGTGTAGCCGTCACTTATCTATCTATGAATATTAACGAGAGCGTGCCATGGTTTTATTTATTGTATATTGTGGATTTCTATTTCCTAAGTTATTTAGTCTTTGGCAAGACAGGAAGATATCTATTACAATAAATGTCGGTGAATGGAAGAAATAAAAAAAAAAAAAGTCAATCAGTTAATTAATCAATCAATCAATTAGTTAATGGATACTTTATTTATGTATAGGGTATAAAACGTTAAAACAAATAACTATATATATAGATGCATAAATATACATATATATGTATATATGTAAATGCTTGTTCATAACTTATAATTATGGAACACAGATTGATTGATAGGGAAAAAGACAAACATAAAGATAATTACCATTTACGTTATTGTTGTTATTATTTTGAGGAGAAAATGGGGTGCTTAATGTTTATCATTTGGATGGAGATTTTGGTGGTGGACCACTCGATATACTGCCCTGTCTTTCAATTTGATTTATGGTGGAGGAATCAATACTTCCAGCACTATTACTTAGTCGTCTTTGTATAATCGATTTCCTGAGTCCTGACGGGTTGGTGACAGGTAAATTATTACTTGAATGCTGGATCACATCATTGGACTTCTCAACGCCTGCTTTGCTTAATGCATAATCACCACTATCGAAATACTTTCTTTCTTGCATTTTATGCTTCAGTAGATCCTTCTTCGATGGCAACTTCCCATATAATTTATATAACTTCAATTCTTGAGTTGTTAGTTTACTAACGTCGACTTTGTTACCGTCATCATCTTTAACAAACCTTTCCTTTGTCAAATCAATTCTACTAGTTGTTGGTGAAAGTTCTTCTGTCATTGGTTCAAATATATTAGATGTTACTTTTATGAAGTTAGATCTTTTGTATTTAAAGTAATCTTAACTAGAAGAATTTCGTTCTTTTTTCTTTTCTTTTCGTTTCTTTTCTTTCCTTTATCTATTCTCTTCCAAGTGCAAACAATCAAGTGATCTAGAGAAACGAGTTCAAATGAAGTATAATTATTTTCTACCAGTTATTTATAACTGTTTTTGGTTTTTGTTTTTTGTTTTTTTTTTTTTTTGTCTCCGTATGTAATTGATGTCAGTTGACTTGATCTATATACAACAAATACTGTACCCGCATTCAACCCGTAATTAAAATAAGATGGGAATTTCGCTATCTCGTCAACAAGGGAAACGAATAGCGTGAAAAAAGAAAAGAAAATAAAATAAAATAAAGAACAAGAAAATTAAGGAGGAATCGGGAGGGGGCGGGAGGAAAGGGGATGAGGATGAGGTAAAAACGGAAGGAGAAGGAGAGGGAGGAAGAGTTGAGAGGTAAATTTTAGTGTTTTTCTTGGAATGTACAAAAACTTATGTAGGGTTTGGAAGCTTTTACCTCTAGGTCTAGATCTAGGTTTTACACTCATGCAGTTAATGTTATTTATCAAATTTTTCAGAGTGAATCTTTCTATCTTCCCTTGCTATATGTGTTTGTGTGTTTTTTCTTTAATGCTGATGGTAATACATACACAAGAATAAGAAAGAAGTTCTAGAAGATTGTTAGCAGTAATAATCACTTTTTTCTTTTTTTTTTTTTTTTACAAGTACGTTCTTTGTCATTTTATCCCACGTATCAAAAGTGAGTCAACTGGATTTATAGCTCATTTTTTCTAGTATTTATTATTCTGATCCAGTGAATCATTTATTAAGCAACTGGATAGAGAAAGATGTCCATTGTACAGAAATTACTATTGCTGATACCTTTCTTTTTCACATTGAATGCACATTGTATAACCAAACATACTGAATTATCTCCTGGTAATTATTCAAACTCTGGTGTAGTCAGATGCCACTATAAAGTTAAGGGTAGACATCTTTCCAATGATCAAATATATCAAAGATTAAACAAATATTCTAGACATATAGATATATGGACTAATAATGACCACTTTATAGATTTTCAAACACATGAGGATTTGTTTAAAAAAATCAATAAGATCTCTAAAACATTGGATGCTAACTGTGAAGTAATGATCGATAAATTAGATTCTCTAATCAAAGAAAGCTTCCCAACAAACAGAAGAGATCATGGGTTATTTAATGAAATATTAAGAGATTATCCAAATAGAAATGTTGATATCTTCAAAGTAATCAACACAAGAAATATCCATGGTAAACTATCAGAATACTTTTTCCAAGACTATAGAGATTTAAATTCACTGGAAGTTTGGTTCCATGTCTTAACTCAATGGTTTCCAGATATCCTTAATTTACAAGATTTGGGATCCACTTTTGAAAATAACCATCTCTATGCACTCGAAATCAACGTAAATAACAAAACTTCAAACCCAGATGGAAAGACTATAGTGATAACAGGTGGGACCCATTCACGTGAATGGATCAGTATTTCCACAGTGTGCTACGTAATGTTCCAATTATTAAGTGACTACGAGTCGCGTATAAATAATAAAGCAAATCATATCTTCAATTCATTCAATTTTATTTTTATCCCAGTTTTGAATCCAGATGGTTATGAATATACTTGGACCACAGATCGTCTTTGGCGGAAAAATAGGCAAGATACTGAAAACAAAGAATGTCCTGGTTTTGATCTAGACAGAACCTTTGGCTACCATTGGCAGCCAACATGGGAATATCCATGCAGCAGTAATTATAATGGCAAAGAGCCATTTATTGCCAAGGAGTCACAGTTGTTGGATCAGTATATTAAGAAGAAATTTGGTCCAGATAAAGACGAAATGTTATCTGTTTTCTTAGATTTTCACTCCTATTCACAAGAGATACTTTATCCATTTACATATTCATGTGATGTTTTACCCAATGATATTGAAAACTTATTAGAGTTGGCGTACGATTTGTCAAAGAGTATTAGAAAGTTTTCTGGGAAACAGTACGACGTTAGACAAGGCTGTAAAGATCGTGATGCCGATCTCAATCCAGCAGCTGGATCCGGGTCATTGTTAGATTACATGTATGATAAAGGTGCACGTATCAGTTATCAGATTAAATTAAGAGACACTGGTAACCATGGGTTCCTATTGCCTTCTAGGTTCATTGAACCGGTTGGTAAAGAAGCTACAGAAGTGATGAAAACTTTATGTGATTTCTTATTGAATCCAACTACATGGATGTCATAAAAATGTGAATAAGAAGTGGAATAAGAAGAAACAAAGAAACTACTTTTATTTTTTTTTTGTTAGCATTGCTATCTGTTCAATCAACATTATATATTTTAAAGATAAAATAGCTCCCTCAATAAACAAAAGAAAAAGAAAAATAAGAATTGTCTTGACTATACATAGTTATATTGATAAGAAATATAGTAGGATACAAAACACGTAACATATATAAAAACTTTATACGTTAATATTCAATAGTTGTAGACTTCGCACCATATGGTTTGCTCTAATGAAATTATAATAGATTTTTTGCTGTTGATTTTTTTTTTTTCTTTGTTTTTGCATATTGCGGGAATTAAAACTCACAAACTTTCGGAATTATTCGGTTTATAAGCCTTTCAATAAAATAAACTCGGTAATCACGGAATGGTCTTGATGCATCGCGGAATTACTTTTTTTTATGCCTATCAATTAGCTTTCAATTACCCTTTTGAGTTTATTTTGAGTCAAAATTTAAAACAAAATTGAAAACCTAGGGTCCAGGCTTAATTCATTATATATCCAATTTTATATATACACTTGTAATAGAAACGCACTCCTGATTAGACAACACCCCATGACAGTTTTTCTGTGTTTATTACCTGTTACCATATTTACTCACTATTCCTGTCACTTATTAAAATTGAATTATTCAAGTTAAACCATTCAAGATCTCTATACACTTTACACAATAGTCTAAGAACTCGTTGTAATTATTCTTTTATTTTTCTTTCTTTTTGTACAGGCTATAAATATTACCATCCGGTACTGAGGTTATAGTTAGTGTTATCAAACTTCTCATTAACTATTCCTATTGTTTTTTTTACAAGAATTTATTTGACGAAGGCGAATCATTATTGAGACAAAAAAAAATAATATATGTTTGGATAAAGAGAAAGGAACTATTGAATCTTTATTATATTTATCGATCTCAAAAGAATCAAAAGCAAAAGTCATATATCTTCATATTTAGATATTGAAAATAAGAAAATAAAAAAAAAAAAAAAAAGAGGAAGAGATAGACTTTATCTTTTTGTTTGTATTCCTTCGATGATGTCAAAGATTATTTCGCCAGATATCTCCTTAAAATGCAACTATGACCCCAGAAATAATTGTCAAGATGATCTTAAAACTAGTATAGATTCCATCAAAACACCTTTATCTGGTTCTAATTCTTCCATTTTGGAATATATTTCACTTCAAAGCAGCAATGTAATGACTCCACCTAGTCCCATCTCATCAGAAAATAGTTTCTCAAATTTAGATACCCATGTCAATAGCAGAAGCGATTGTAGTAATAATGTAGTTGTTAGTAGATCAAGTGATAAAAGTGCTAGTAGAAATAGAGGAACCAATATAGGATCTTCTAATTCTAAGAATAGCAAGTATTCAGACAATAAAAAGCCTATTATTTTCAACCCTATACTGGAGAATATAAAAGTACTAGATGCTACTGAATCAAATACAAGTGAAAATGTACTTTCAGAAGATATAGAATTAACAAAAGATTTATTTTATTATATAGATGGACAGCCTTCACATCCACCGAATTATGATGACATCAATCCTGTTAGAAATATCAGACTTCCGATTTATGAAAATACTATGCCTGTTGATAAAAATGAAAAACCTCCAGAATATACACCAACAATAAATAAGATTATTATAGTATCTTTTAAACTAGAAAGAGTATCACCATATGAACCCTCTACATCACGATTATGGAAGGACTATATTATGGAAATCAATTCTACTCAGTTAAATTTTTATTTAATCAATGATACAATAGCCGATAAAATTAAAACATTGAGAAATAATAAATCAGATCGCTTTCTTAATAACCATGCAAATACTAATAATAAAGACTCATACATCTTATCACCTAAGATAAAAAAATCTAGTGCATTTTTATCAAAACTGTCTAAAGAAAGTTATACATTTGATCTTAATGAAAATGAGCAAGAAAAAATTTGCTCCTATATTTATGAAAATAGATCTAAATATTTATTACCTTCAAATATCTTTAAAACCTATTCTTTGCAATATGCTAAATATGGTATTCCAATTGATTATCATAAGAAACCTTTTGTCTTACGATTACGCTGTGAGTCGGAACAATTTCTTATTAATTTTAATAATATTGATGATATGATTATGTGGTCAGTGTATTTATCTATTGGTATATCAGTATCATTGGATTTAGAAGTGCGAGAATTACCAAACTATAGGGTTGTACCAAGAAGACGTAGACGTCATAGACGTCGTCGTCATCGTCGTCATCACCACGGTTTTAGTCATATTCATAATCGTATTCATTTCGAAGGATTGAATCACGTAAAAGTAAATGTAGCGTTAAGTAGAAACTTTGAAGTGTCGGCAAATTCTTCAATACCAAAAAAATCAAGATCTTACAGTTTAAGCTCAGTAAGGGTCGGCCTTTCTCTCAATAACACTAATTATAATAATAATCATAATCTTCACATGTCAAATAACATTACAACTTTATTTGAAGAAAATATTACAAATTTTACAGAGTCACATAATAATACTCAAGTTATTGAAAAAAGTGCAAGTCCAAATAGTCACTTAACTAGAACTTCGGATACATTTATATCTCATAATACTTCACCATCCATCAACTCTACATATGATTTGAATAAATTTAAAAACAACACTTCTACTTCAACAATTAATGCGTCGTTTGTATCAAAGATGAGAAATATTTTCAAAATGAAGAAATCATTTTCAGAATTAAATGACAGTAAGACTATTAAACACATATCGTCCACTAATCTTTCTAACGATAGCTCAATGAACAATAAGAAATATACAAGAGTTAGAGCAATGTCTACACCATCTATTTCAAATACCCCCAAAAGTCATAATTCTGCTGATAATAAAAATTCTATAAACAAAAAATGTGATCACAAAATACCAGATTCCAGAATATGTGAGAGAAAGATTACCGAGAATCTTATACAGGAGATCCATACTCATCATAGAATGCATTCTGGAAGAAATAGGACTGAAAACACTTTTGATAATTATGAAGACAATAACGAATTGGATGAATTTGATAATATTGATAGTAATTTGACCGATGAAGATGAAGATGAAGATGATATAGATAATAGTAACAACGATATGATAGTATTTAATAACAATGAAGGTAACGTATCAATTTATGCGGAAGAAGGGTATTTTGATGATGAGGATGAAGATGAGGAGGAGGAAATCATGGACAATTCAATATCAAGCCCTATAATAAATAATTCTAGAACTCATTTAAATCAGCTTCCCATGTCTATTGAGGAGTGTGTGTATAATGAAGATGATGATAGAAAATGGCAACCGAATAAAAAAGAAATGTCAAGAAAAAGATACATAAGAGACTCTTTGAGGTGTATCAAACCTTTTGTAGAGGATCAGGAATGGATAGGGCATGTTGTTTTTAGGCCTATAAAGGAACCTTCTTTTAAGACCAATAATCCACCTATATGGACTGGAAATAATGATAATAGGAAGAAATTTAGATATTTATCAAGTAGTGATTATAGTAATGTAAAAAATCATTATTTGAAACCGTATATTGTGGGTCCAATAGGTTTCTTAAAGGCTGAAACTAAAATAGTATCACAGTTTCACCCACAGAATTAGTGCTATGATTATTCTGATTTTTTTATTAGGAGAAAAAGACAGGAGATATTATGTTGTTAACAGTAAAACTTAATTATTTATATATACTGATACCCATCTTTACATTGAATTATCTTCATTCTATAGATTTTTTTGTTAAAGTAATATATTTATCTAATTATATATAGTAATTTGATGTTGATTAGCTTAGGGCTGCTTTAATAGTATAATCATACCTTGAAGGTGGTCATTCTGAAATTGAAATGAGACATTAAATTTACTAGAATTTAATAAAAAAAACTCTAATAGAAATATCAGAAAAACAAATAAACTTTTAGATGCGTTGTAAACGGTTGGCTAATTAATATACACATACTCATATTTGTTCATGTATAAAAATTTTTACTATGTGCACAAGCATGGTAAAATAACCAAAAGATGTATAGTGGTTTTCAAGAACCACTCTATAACCAACCTATTGTTATCGACAATGGATCTAGTGTAGTAAAAGCTGGATTTAGTGGTGAGGATAAGCCAAAAGTCTTCGAATATAATATTGCAGGTAAATCTAAATATGATAAGGTTATGCATAACGGGTTGGCTGATGAGGCATATGTGGGGAATAGAGCACAAAAACATAGAGGGATCTTAAAATTAAGAAAACCAATGGATCGTGGTGTTATAGAACATTGGGATGATATGGAAATGTTATGGTCTCATATTTTTGAAGAGTCTTTACACTTAAACTGGAAGTTGAATGGATTAGAAGAATACCCATTATTGATGACAGAAGCTCCCTTGAATCATATTAAGAATAGAAAGATAATGTGTGAAGTATTATTTGAGAAATTTAATTTTGATGCTTTATATATTACAATACCAAGTGTCTTGTCACTGTATGCCAGTGGACAGACGACAGGGTGCGTAGTTGATTGTGGTGAAGGCTATTGTTCTTCAACACCAGTCTATGAAGGATTTACATTGAAATCTGCTATACGAAGAATTGATCTTGGTGGGAAAGATCTCACAGAGCAGTTGCAATTTTATATTAGGAAGACCAATGGGATTTCATTATTTACCAGCAGTGAACAAGAAATTGTACGAACTATCAAAGAGAAAGCAGGTTATATTGCATTAGATTATAAAACGGAGGAAATGGAATATGAAGAAGACCTTTCAGACTCCAAAATGGCTGAATTTGTATTACCTGACGGACAAGTTGTATCAATTAAAAAGGGAAGGTATAGAATCCCGGAAATATTATTTAATCCATCAATCATTCATTCTGAGTATGAGAGTATATCTACAATAACATCACAATCAATAAATCTGGTAGATATGGATCTTCGGCAAAATCTAAGATCAAATATTGTGTTAAGTGGTGGTAGTACAATGTTTAAAGGGTTTGGAGAGCGGTTTATAAGTGAAATGCATTATTTATCCAAGGATCTAGATTCAAATATTAGAATTTTGGCACCACCAAAAAGAAAATATACTGCATGGATAGGTGGTTCAATTTTTGCCAATTCGTTTGCTTTCAAGAAATTGTTATTAGACAAGAGGTCGTGGATTGAAGATCCGGGTGTAATCTCTACAAAATTCCTATGAAATAGAAGAAATATATCATGTGTATTATGTCATAGAGAATATTTATATAGAATAATATCCTGAGAAAAAGAATCACTGATAGAACAACCAAAAAATTCTTATATAAATAAAGTTGAATGGTATAGCCTCCCTAATCTTCATACTACTTCTCTTCTATTTCATATCGCAATATCTTATCCTATTCATCTGTTGGGTTACACTAAATGTATAGATGTCGAATGTAAAAGTTAGGACTCTTTATATTGTTGATAATAATTTACAGTACTAAATACACAAAAATATCCTATTAAATACTTTATATATTATGTTAATTGGATTCTTGTTGTTGTCTTTTTCTTTGCTTGTTTATTGCTATTATTATTATTATTATTTAACTATTTGAATTAAATACAGTAGTATCTGTCACCGAAGTCACCTAAACCTGGAACTAGATATTTCTGTTCATTCAAACCTTTATCGATACAACCAGTAACGATTTTAACATCTGGGTGAGCTCTATGATAGTTATCGATACCTTCTTTGCAACAGATTAAGTTCAAGAAAAAGATTCTCTCTGGCTTAACACCTCTTTTTATTAATACGTCAGTGGCGATGATTGCAGAACCACCAGTAGCTAACATTGGATCCAGCAAAAAGACGTATCTTTCAGAAATATCATCAGGTAATTTTTCATAGAACAATTTTGGTATAGCAGTTTCTTCGTCTCTTTGGATCAATATCTTACCGATTCTTACTGATCTGCAGCAGTCTCTTAAACCTTGTTCCATAGATTCACCGGCCCTAACAATTGAGACACCACATATTTTACCTTTAAAGCCAACACCACTGAAGTCTTCACCAGTGTGGGTAGCAACAGTTTTAGGGATCACTGGCAAATGATTTAAACCTTCTTCGACTAATAATCTAATAATTCTATCAGAATAAAAAACAAAATCAGATCTGACAGTATTTTTATCTCTAATAATGGTATAAAGACCAGTTAATTGATTTGTTTGTGGTAAAAGACAAACGTTCTTAAATGGTTCGGAAGACATTTTTTTACTATGTGGATGTGTATTTTAAACGATGTGAGATTCTTTGTTAAGAATTAAAATTAATTACAAAAAGTGCAAAAAAAAAAAAATAATGGTGTTATGCAAATTATGATAGTAAAACCAAAAAAAAGAAAAAGTTTAAATGATTACTTTAAATAAAGTATGTATCAAATGAACAACAATTCGGTTTGACCCTAGGATATTTGAAAAAGAAAAATGTGCTTTAAATATAAATATATTTAAATCTCAAACAACTTTTTGATGATTTGTAAACGTATCAAATTGTCTTGACGATAATTTATAAACTGAGATGAAAAGAAGGTGAAAAGTGCGAATCATGTAATTAACTTTTTAGAACAAGAACAAGTTGGATGTTCTATCATATATGTATATATATAAAATGAGCTATACTTGTTTAATATAAAGAAAATGTGCGATGAGGTTGAAAGAAAAAATTTTCAACTGTTATTCTTTTTTTTTTGGTGCCGATGAGCTTCAAAAATTTTTTGAGACAAAAAAATAAAAAAAAGAGAGAGAGAGAGAGCATTCATTGCCTAATTAAGTAAGCATATCCTAAATAGGTAATTGCATCTTAGAGCCTTTCTCACGGGGATACGGCGATACCAAATTGGTTTAAAGCCCTAACTAACCCTAATTTTTAACTATTTCATCTCTACTTAAAACCGTATTACATTGAAAGAAACCACAAGCCATCACGGTATCTATCAAATACATTTAGTAGGGTAGCAGTTGATAAACAAGCTGGACACTTAAAGTGTAATAATAATATCAATAATAATATAAGCAACTGTTTATTATTGAGAGGAAGGACGATATAATAGAAAGAAATCGAAATTGAAGAGCTATATTTGTTATATGTATATTTATTAGAATATGCGGTCTATTGATAGACATAGGGTATCTATGGATTATCCAAGTATTATATGTTATTAGTTTTTTTCTTATTATTTTTATTTTTTTTATCTTGGTGTTTACTTTTGTTTATATATATTATATATATTTAAATTCATTTCATGTCTCATTCAGAGTTTTGCATATAGATAATTTCTGAACCTTCCATGAGACTGATAGATGCTAAAATATTACCTCTTATAACAGTAAAGCCAAGAGATCTAGTCTTATCCTTTGAAATTTTATCATTAGAATCCCTCATATATTCAATTGTTTCATCTAAAACTAAATTCATTAATTGATCATAACCTTTTAACACACCGACTACTAGTCTTCCTCCCATCAATTTAACACGAACTTGGTGGTCTTTATATTTTGCCAAATCTAAAATGGCTTCTCTTTTAGGACTTTCGAATTTCTTTTTTTGTTGAGATTGTGAGAATGATTGTTTCTTGTCTTGTTTCTAAGAAATAAAACGAAAGGTTTCAATGTTTCCAAAAATAATTATCAATAATATATATTGTTAGTATTCCTAGCTTTGTTAGATTATCAATTAAACAGAGAATAGCCATTAATGCCAATGAAAAACCTAATACATACAGTTTCACTCATGATCTTTTTATATATGAATATAAATGTTTTGAAAATATAATATAAAAAAATGATAACTTCTCTCCCTAGCAAGCAGATAAGTTACTGTTAACAATTTGTGACAAAACCTTTCTTGTAGATCTATTGAATAATATTATCAATTTGTTCAAATATAAATCCACTTAGTTTTATTATGGCTTCTTTTGTTTGTTTGTTCAACATTCATTTTATTTCTTTTTTTTACCTTTTAGATATCTTCAATTAAAATTAAAAAAAAAAAATTGATATATTTGCCATAGAATTATGTTCAATTCAAAAAAGAACAAACTACTTACAATGGGTAAATGACTAGTATCCTATACTTTGAATAAATTAGTTAATAAAAAGCCATTATAAAAACTAAGATATTAAATAAAAAACATAACTAAAGCCAGTGAAATCAATTTTTATACACATGAAGAATATTTTTATTGAGTCTGAATTTGTATCCACCTCAAAAGACTTTCCAAATAATATTTTATACAGTGAGTTATGTGAAAAATTATATAAATTGACTGGGATTGAATTAGATGATATGAATATTCAAGTTACATATACAAGTAAGCCTAATCAGTTGATAGATTTAAATACATCGAGCCCAACTATTGATTTATCAAACGTAGAAAAAATTAAAGTCTTGGATACAAATGAGAATTCTCTGATAAATCAATTAAAAAGATCGAAAACAAGTAAAAATAATTCTAATTATAATAATAATAATATATTTCAATTGTCAGAAGAAGACTACTTGAGGAAAAAAGATTCTGTATTGAATTGGAAAAAGAATAATAAATTAGGCAGATTTGACCCTGTATATAATGAACAATTAAAGCAAAATAGATTACGACAGCAAGAACAGGTACAAAACCTGGAACTGAATCAAAGATGTTTGGTCAAATCTTCTACTGGTCCTCATACAGAGAGAAGAGGTTGGTTAAGGTACATTGGAAAAATTCCAGAAATTAATAATGATGATATTTGGTGTGGTATTGAATTTGATAAACCATGCGGTAAGAATGATGGTTCAATAAAGGGCAAACAATATTTTGGTCCATTAAAACCAAACTATGGCGGGTTTGTTAAACCTCTATGTGTGTTGACAGACCCTAAATATATTCCAACTGTTGAAGATGGCATATCAGATGAGGAAATATAGATAGACTTATCCACTTTTTTATTGTGGTTTATCCACATCAAATCAAGTTTAACTGATAAAAATAAAAAGAAATTGATTTAATAAACTAATAACTATCTAGAGACATATTGCGTACTTTAAATATCCTTAATGTGTTTTTATACAATCCAAATCAAACAGGAAGAGAAAGTTGAATATATGCTATATTATTACTATAATCTTATATGCATATATGGATTATAGTCTTTTTTATGCATGTATTCGTATATGTATATATGCATATACATACATGTCCAATGTGTTTTTTTCGTTTAATAAACTGGTACAGCTATTGACACGGAAATTATATCTATTTTAACTATTCTACCATCAACCAATGCACAATTAGACATATTATGTATCACTTGCATCCATAATAACGTAATGTTTTCCAAAAAAAAAAAAAAAAAAAAAAAAATATATATATATATATACAATTTTAAAACCATTTAAGAGATCTTCACTTTTTAATTTGATTATTTTCGTACTATTTAATCTTCTAATATTTTTTTTGCAAAGACTTTCGGCATTGGTACTAATATTCAAATTATAAAATATTAAAATTTTGTTTTCTGCCTATGATACTGTATCAGTAATTAATACACTATGGATATGTACTAAACTCCACTGGACTCTTTATGTAATCCTCTTTATATTGTTTAATTATTTGGGTAAATAGATACTTTTATACAAGTATATTCTACAGATCTATTTTGGCGTGTATAGCAGCAGCTCAGCTGTGAAGGCTCCTCTGATGGATGATACGAATTTTCTAGAATATTTCTACTTAATAGTTCTTCAACTCCACTTCAAAACAAAACAAAACAAAACAAAGAATCCTTTTGACATATTTTTCGAATCAAATAAAAAGAAAGGATAAAAAAAATAGGTGATCATTCATAGAGAAAGAGAAAAAATTATTAGAGTTAAGAGGTATTTTAGTGATTTTATTTTTTTAAATATAAGATTTTAAAAAAGTTAATACGATTTAAATGTGTTTTATTATATGATTTTACAGGGTATATAAAGAAAATGGAAAAATAAGTAGAAATTTTTATCATGCTTCATGTAATGTTGAATATTATTCAAAAAGCTTGTAGCTTAAATGGGCAAGATGGCATTCTGATAAGACTTATGAGCTTTATTACTATTATAAATAAGGTAAGTATAACGAAATGAAGGTCTACCTTTTTTACCAGATTATGATGAAAACATTTTGGAAAACATTTCTGAATATCTTTTCCATTAACTTAATCACACCGCATTTAGAAAGATAAATATTTATAAAACTTGTTTGAAATTATGACAGGTATTAATTTAGCATGTTATAATTGCAAAAATACTTCAAAATTTAATACATAAATAAAACTTATACTAATCGCTTTGCTTTAAGTGTGTTTTTTTGTTGGGAGAATTTGATATGAATAATGGAAAAAGTAGCTTGATTTTATCAATTAACATAAAAAATTTCACAAGTTCAAAAAAGAATTCACCTGGAATATTTTTCTGGAACTGAAAATATATTCACATAATTACCTTTTATATCAACTTCAATACCTGTCTGTGTATTTGTTACTGTATCCATAATTGTCATCGTTATTATCATTATCATTATGATTTTGGTTTGATTTTTTGTATAGAGATTCCAATTTTTCTCTGTTTCTTCTTGACAATACCAATAGACATTGGAGAAATGGATTTTTCGACAACTGTCTTATTTGCAAAACCAGGGTTTGTTTTTGATTGATTATTCTCAGTCAATATATTTTTTTTGATTTCGAACTCATTTATTTTATTATGTAAATAGTTATTTAATTCATTGTCTTTTTTAGCTTCCTCTGCTCGTATCTTTTGAAAATAATCTAATTCTTGCTTACTCAACTTATTAAAACTTTCCTTTTTTTTAACTAATTTTTTGAATTCACGTTGTTTCTTAATAGCATTAGCCCTTAGTTGTTCCTGTAATGATTTCCTTTTTCTTCTCAGTCTTTCATTCTCGTACCTCTTCTGTTGTTGCTCTTCCTTCCTCTTTTGTGTGTCAATGTCTGCAGAACCTTCTGACACAAAGACCAAAGATCTTTTTTTTCTTTCTCCCCTGTTACCTCTATATAGAGTATTATGAGAATTTGTGGAACTTGTAACATTTAAATTTTTTTTATTATTAGATATGGGACTAGTTGTTGAACTAGTAGTTGTGTTGGTATTATTAACAGTATTTTTGGGAGAGCCATTACTCTCCTTAGTTATCGTGCCATCACTCATTGCGTCCTTTTTTTAATACTTCATAAACAAAATGAGATCCAATCTTTTTCTAATTTCTTTTTTAAAAAGAATATTACAGAATGTACGTAAGTGTTATACTTCACCATTTAAGCCATATACTTTGATCTGCACCCTGAGGCTTTTTAAAGCACTTAAAAAGTTACTTTGTAATAAAATACAAGTTTTTTTTTTTTGATTTTTTTGTAATTTTTGACTACAAAGAAAATATATCTAGATTTTTGGCAATTTCAACTGAAAAAGTTGTTGATAAATTCCATTTATTCCCTTGGATTTAACAAGACTGACAGAACAGTAACTGATATCTCTGACATATTATTTTGAATTATATAGAGAATCATCTGCGTACTAGTATAGAACATGCTATGGTTTTTTTATACTGTTTCAGATTGACTGAAACTATATATAAATATATAAAGTGACAGTATGGAATTAACTAGAACAGTGTTTTCCTCAAATATCAATATATATAATCTAAGTTTAACTTTTTAAGTCATCTATTGTTTCTTCAGAACATTGTGACCCATTTAATAATAAGTTATCGTTTGTATAGGGAAATAAATATTGTTGGTTTTTGTCTTTGTTTGTGTCAGAATAGGATGACTGATCAATTGAATGATATCTATTATATTCATAGCTGGTGTTGTTATCTTTACATTCCATCATTATATCGTTAAGAAAAATATCATCTGAACTGTGAAAGTCCATATTCTTTTTGCCATTGCTGCTGTTGTTATTAATCTTGTAATTTTTAGGGTTATCAGAATAAAGATGAGAAAAAGTAATATTGGTAGCTGATAGCTCATTAGTGTTTAATTCTGATGAACTTAGCTCAGCATCTTTATCTATTTGGTTCGTTGAGGATTTTAGTTTGCTGTCACTGATATAGGCATGATACTGAATATATTTTGGATTATTATATATTGGAAAATGGGTAGAGTATAATAAGGAGCCTAGTATTACTATGTTTTCCCTGTTTGGATATTTTATAGATTTTGTTTCGATGTCTTTAATGTTAATTGGTTGCAATAGCCGTTTATCAGGGGACGGAATTATTTTAAAATTTAATTTGGGATAATCTTGAATTATATTACCCTGTCTCTTTTCAAATATTTCTCTTTCCAATTCTTCTAGTCTTTGGATATTGATGAGTTTAGAAACGTTTTTATGTTCAGAAAATGTTTTTTCTCTCTTATTCATAAAATATGGTATTTTTGGAGTTTGTAATTTAGTAGGTGATGACATTTTTGAACTAGATAAACAAAACTTTGTATTAAGTGTATTTATTAAATTTAGATCATGGATGTCTCTATGGATATTTTTATCTATGATATTTTTGATATTTGATTTGTTTTCAAATGTTGCTTTCCCATTAATTATATCTTTATTGGATTCTTTCAATGGTGATGATTCTTCTAAGAAATTAGTACTAAAAAACATTGGTTCAATTTTGTTATCACTGATGGAGAGTTCAGATTGTTGTCCTCCATTATTATAATTTGCAGGAGATCTACCTCGGATAACTAGTGGTGGTGTCTTAATTTCTATTAAATTAACAAAATATTTTTTGGAATAGTTCAAATTGGACATATGTAAAAATTCAATTCCATTGGTTTCCTTTAATTCAATAGTATTTGGGATCTCCACTGTTACACCTAAAATTACATACAGCTGGAAGTAACGTCCAATAGAATTGGATTTTCTAATTCCACTAGAACAGCTAAATTGAATCCTTTCAAATTTTGCAACTTTGTCTATACATTTAGTAGGATAGTTTTTATACAGTGGATCGATAATATTATTGGTATTATCCTGGTGCAGATAATTATATATGTTAGGGTCATTAGAATTTTTCCCTTTATCATCTTTACAATAAAAATAAAATGCTTTTTCTAATTCTCCATTTTTTTTGGGACACTTGATATTAGTTATATTCCTTATTGTATCATGATCTGGTAGATTTGCTGGAACTACAGGACAAATCTCTGGTTTCCCGTGTGGACCTTTGTCCCTCTTTGCGGTATGTTGAACTAAATTTATTTCTTTATCAGAATTTTCAACTTTAGACAGAATTTTTATTCCAAATTGTATTATCTTACAAGTTATTAAATTTCCGTTTTCTTTTAATTCCAACGTATAAGAATCATTGACAAATTCCATAAGATCAGTGATTGATGATTGGAAAGAGGCTGCCAAAGTAAAATAGTTTCTTTTGTATCCTATCCATTGGTTATCAATTAGATCGAATCCTCTATCTATTCTTGATGTTAAATTGAAGAAAACACCATGCTTCTGACTTGTTCTGACTATATGATCATATTGTTTATGCAGTGAAAATGAAGGTCCGATTTTAAATTGCAGACACGATCTAGGGGGGATCTTTGATTTATAAACATTGATTTTTTGTTTTTGTAATGGAGTTCCAGTATATAAATCAGGTAATTCTGCAATATTACAATACTTCTTGGGTGAATCTTCTTCGTCAAGTTTCTGTTTCATTATTTTTTAAAATATATTAATTCTTAAATCTTTAAAATAAAAAAAGAAAGTTAGCAATGGATAGTTTTGATAAGAAAAGATGTTGGGAATGAGCGCCTTTATTCATTGGATATATAGTAAACATTCTCAATATTATATTAAACAGATTTAGTATACAAAATTATAATAAAGTTCTTCACTTTCTTTCTCTATATACAACATAGAAATAATAATATAGAAAGATTGTAAATAAGATAAAAATAATGTATGATGAAATCCTTGGCTTTATATATGTTAACATTCAGCCATTTTCCTCTACGAACAGTAAGATATTTAATAAATAAACTCAACAACTTTTGGTGACCTCTCAACAATTATTACTCAACAATTTATCGTTTAGTGTCTGCTAAAATCTTATTGTTCTATCTATTTTATCATAGAACATTCTATTTCAACATACCACCCATAGATCAATTCAATTTTAGTAGATCCAATTCTCAGTTAACTTGGCAAAAATTTTAACACTCAAAGGTTTTGTAAGAATATCAGCAACGTTTTGACTTGTGTTAATATAATTCACTGATATATTATCATTTTCAATTTCTTCAGCAATGCGTAAAACCTTAGTACCATAAAATTTATTTTTGATTTTTGATATGTCTCTTACTTTGATTTGATGGAGACTAGTTTGACTGTCAGTTAATATTGAACACCTGACCTCCTTGTCTGATATAGCCTGAATTAGAACATTTAAATTTCTTAATCTTGGAATTGCTTCACAAATTGAATAAATTTCACTTTCGGTAGAAGAGGTGCATGTAATTGTTGACTTAGATGACCTAGCACCAATCAAATTTCCATTTAGATAATACATATTTCCAAATTGTGATTTCATATCGTGTTGATTTGCAAAAGCAGCATCAGTTACAGCAGTTAAATAGTTAATGTTGGAGTTGGACGTCTTGTGCCATATGAGCCGTTTGTTCCTTGTTGACCAAATAAACTGAATTAGTTGTTTGGTTAGACTCATGACTTGTTTTGATGGATATAGAGTATGTCTAGCTAGCGTGTTGACATAATATAATATATCATATCTGTACTTGTAACCGACATATGAAGCTAAACCGATTGCTTTTTGTAGCCATTTCACCTTATTCTTGTACTCCTGCTCAGTCGGAAAAAATTCCCTTTCTCTTATAATTTCATTAGGTGTTCCTGGAACTTTTCTACTTTTATTAAGGTCTACACGTAGATTCGGTAGTTTTTCTTCTAAAGATTTAGCCATACCCATTTTCATGGATAATCCTTTAATATATTCTATTTCCAGACCGAGAACATCATATTGATTAATCTTTTGAGCACCGTCATTGACAACTTTGGTTTCGAACTGTGATTGGAGTTGAGAAATAAGGTCATTTGTTAGTTGACGATTATTAGTTAATAATACCATATCATCGACAAAAAGACATAATATCACGATTGAATCATTGATTTTTTTATAAAATACACAAGGCCATCCTGGTACAAAATTCATATGACAACTATTAATAATAAAATTGGTTATCTTCTTATACCAGTTTGCACCAGACTGTTTCAAACCGTAAAGTGATTTCTTTAGTCTATGTACTGTATTTCGTAATCCTAAATGGGGTGGAGAACGAATGTACAGTTCTTCTTCCAATGGAGCATACAAGTAAGCAGATGATATATCTAATTGTATAATATCATAGTTGTTTTGTAAAGCTATTGATAGACAGGACATTAGAGCGTAATGGTGAACAGTGTTTGACATCAGATCTGGTTGATAAGTCGAAGCTTTTTGTTGGTCTCCCCTAGCAACTAACCTGCATTTGTGATGACCATCTCGCTTGACACTAAAAATAAACATAGAGTTAATAATTTTGGATTTGTCTACTTCTGTAGCTTCAATAGTTTTTACCGACCAGGTACCCATTTTCGTCAGCTGAGATATCTCTTTATCATATGCTTCTTGGAATTTTTCTTTTTCAATTGGATCCCTATTGTGTGTGATTGCTTGAAAATATTGTAATGGACCATGCTGGTTGTTCTCTTCACTGCTGACCTGGTTTATGGTGTGGCGTGTAGCAGCAATGTAATTTACTGCATATGTTTTTGTAGTTTTCCTACGTTTACCAATACGTGCCTTAGTTCTTTCGTCCCTGTCTCGCTTCTGCCGTTCTTTGGCATCGACAGGTTCAGGCGTTTCTACATTGGTGTTCTTTTGACGATTACCAGATCTTGTACCACCCAAGGTACTATTGTCAACGTAGAAATTATCAGTAGGAATGGGGGTGAGTTTTGATGAACGATTACTAGATGGTGGTGTAGATGAAGATGTAGATGAAGATGTAGTATCAGTAGAGACAGCAGTGGGCAGTGGTGATGATTCATCAGAAGTAGGATGAGATGAAGGTTCAACAAGAGTTAAGGGTAGTTGATTAGGATCATTGATGTCGATGGGAGTGATTAGTTCCTCTAAATCAGAAGAGGTGGGATGAGTAGTGTGGTTGTTAGATGGATTTGAATTGGAAGTAGTATTGGTGGTGATATTCAAATCAGCATCAGCATCATTTTGAATTAAAATTTTATCTTTAAAGAGTGGATCTTTGTTAACGAGGGAAGATGATTTGGGTGATGAGGATAGAGTAGATAAAACTGTATCTTTATGATTATCAGAAGGTGTGGCTTCAATTTCGTCCTTTGAAGATGTAGTATGTTCAAATTTTGATATAAAAGTTGTGATGAGATCGTCGAATATAGAATCATCATATTCTTCATTTTCATGAATATCAACGTCATGTTTAATTGGAACAAAATTGGATGAGGATACCACCCTACGTTTAGTTGGGAGGTAAAATAAATAGCCATAAGATTCAGCATCTGGTATTAGAGCAAAACCTTTTTCACCTCTGACATGTAATTTGGAGGCAGTTTTATTGAGGTTAATAATGACCGGTTGACCGAATGGTAGCAGTGACTTGGTATCAAGTCCTAGTAAACCGACTTTAGACCGAGGTGAATCCCTCATAGAATTGTTATATATGGAATTACGGATTATAGTTGCATATTGCACAGCGTAATACCATAGGTGGTGTGGGAGTTTTGCACTATTCATAATAGTACGACAATCATTTAATAATGTTAAATTTAATCGTTCCGCAACACCGTGAGCTTGGGAATCACCTGCGTCGGTATAAACAATTTGAATACCGTTTTCAGAAAGAAACGTTTTTACTGCAGAGTTGGTGTACTCTGTTCCCCGGTCAAACTGGAATTTTAATATGGGGGTTTTGAATTGTCGCTCAATAGTCGCAATAAAGGACTTGAGGACATGTAGGATCGTTGCATCATCTTTCCTTTTTAGTAAATAAGTCCACTTAAACTTAGATGCCTCATCAGTGAACGATATAAACCATTCAGGTTTTGTAGCCACAGTTACTGGTCCAAACAGGTCAGAATGAATATATTGAAATGGTTTGAACACCTGCTGGTATTGCAGACGTGAACCAACAATATGTGGTCTCTTCCTGCTTTTTCCTTTGAGACAGTCCTGACACTGAAAATTGTTAAGGTTAGACCAATCAATTTCGTCTATAGATAGATTATTGAAGGTTTTATTTTTGATGGATGTATAGATTGACTGAACATTGACGTGACCTAAAATGCGATGAATCATGTCTAAAGGAAATTTAGTTTTTAACGCATTTACAGATTTACGGGTTGCAGTAGATGGAAATACAATATGATGATTGGATAACCAATGTAAACCCTTTGAGGAGTCAATGTTTGCTGCAACATCACCATTAGCATCTTCAATGGTGTTGAGACGCTCGTTTAAAAACAGATGGTGAGAACGGAGATCACTAGTAGATAAAATGGTGTGATCAATTGTGGGTGTGTAAAAGGCATGAATTTTTATTTGGCTGCCATTTAATGTTTTTAGAATTAAATCACCCTCTTGATCGTATGGGATATCCGTGTTGGAGCATGAGGTTATTTGAACAGATTCAGGATGAGAGTCACGAAGATTGTGCAACATCTCTTTATGTTTTACAAGGGTGACCGTAGCACCGGAATCTAGCATCATATAATATGCAGGATTTAGTGAAGTTGAAATAGGCCTAAGTAAGGTTGGATCGACTGGGTTATTTTGTTGAGGAATAGAGGTGCTATTTGAATGGGTTTTAACTTGGCTAACCTTTTTAGAACGAGCTTTGGTAGATTTGGCTTTTGGCTTAACTGTTGAAGGAACTGTAGTATTTTTGGTGTTCAACACAGTAGATGTGTTGTTTGCTCGTTTATTCACTGATGGATTTGTTGGATACTGTTTTTTTGAAGAAGATGGAGGATTAGGGGAAAAATGTGGATCGGAAATTTGTGAAGCTTGATGGTAGTATTGATATTCTCTCTTGATAGAAGAGAAAATGTCGTTTATAGTATATGGGGTATCACTCTTAAAAAAGTGTTTAGAAATGGATTCGTAAGTACCTGTTAACGTATCAAGAATTGTTTGTTTTAGCAGGTACTCGTGGGTTTGAAGATCCGTGGGGTTCAATTGATCAATTAAGTTATGGAGATAACTTGTAAATTGAAATGCTGGGTAGCCACCATTATATTTTAAAGATCTAATAGTGTTGATAATGGTATTGACATTACTGCGTTCAATGTCGTATGTCATGGCCTGACGAATAACATCATAGGGATGCATTTGCTTGTGAAAGCATTCTTGAACCCAATCAGGATAACTGCTCTGAGGAACAAGGGTGAAAAATAAATTAATTAAACCTTGAGATTCTTCTGGCGTTGGATCTCTTACAGTACGATCGTGTGAATCAGGAACCAAATCTTTTAGACCAGAAGCAATCAAATGTTTTATTAAGGAATGAACCCAGGAGTTAAATAGACCAACACTAGAGCAGTAAAATAAAGTAGTTGGAATGTATGGGTTGTTATATTTACATGAATGGTTAGGTGAACCTGGAAACATTGGTTGGATTGGATTGATGGGAGAATAATATCCCGGTAGTTGACCATAATAAGGAAATGGCATATAAGCGAAACCAGTTGGTTGTTGGTAACCGTTTATTGGAATATGATGGTCATATGATGGACCATTAGTACCAGAATCAGGATAGGATGACTTTCCAGCCTGAGAAGGATTGTTCGGCGTGGAAGAACCGTATGGAGCAGATTGCTGATCTGGAGAAGCATTGTTTCCAGATTCCCTAGAAGATGGGTCAACATCTGTTGTAGCATTTAAATTATGTTCCAACTGAGGGTTGGATGGGATGTTGGATGCAGTGGAAGCGTCTTGACTGGTATTTATGTTAAAAGCTTTAATACCAGCGCCCGTGGAGGGATTTACAGCACTAGGATCACTAGTGTGTCCAGACAGAAAGCTACCATGTTGGGAATGAGCGCCTTTATTCATTGGATATATAGTAAACATTCTCAATATTATATTAAACAGATTTAGTATACAAAATTATAATAAAGTTCTTCACTTTCTTTCTCTATATACAACATAGAAGTAATAATACACAAAGATTGCAAATAAGATAAAAATAATGTATGATGAAATCCTTGGCTTTATATATGTTAATATTAAGCCATTTTCCTCTACGAACAGTAAGATATTTAATAAACATACTCAACAACCTTTGGTGACCTCTCAACAATTATTACTCAACAATTTATCGTTTAGTGTCTGCTAAAATCTTATTGTTCTATCTATTTTATCATAGAACATTCTATTTCAACAAAAGAGTACACTTGAATATAGTTTCTTTATAAACAAATAAGTAATGTGACTTATAGTTTTGACATGTGCGTATAAAACATTTATTTGATTTATAAAATTGGTCTCTACACTTTTAAATTTAAAAGGTTCTTTTTTTTTTTGTTTGTAACCGCCAAAGTTCACCACGAAAAAAATTACAATGTTTCGTCAAAAATTTTCATAAATCACCTAATTATTAAATGGAAATATTATAAAAACACCATAAAAATTAAATCCAGAAAATATACCAAAATATGGATATTAATTATATATAAACATTTTTGTTGAAATAGAATGTTCTAATAATGAAATAGATAGAACAATAAGATTTTAGCAAACACTAAACGATAAATTGTTGAGTAATAATTGTTGAGAGGTCACCAAAGGTTGTTGAGTATGTTTATTAAATATCTTACTGTTCGTAGAGGAAAATGGCTTAATATTAACATATATAAAGCCAAGGATTTCATCATACATTATTTTTATCTTATTTGCAATCTTTGTGTATTATTACTTCTATGTTGTATATAGAGAAAGAAAGTGAAGAACTTTATTATAATTTTGTATACTAAATCTGTTTAATATAATATTGAGAATGTTTATTATATGTCCAATGAATACAGGAGCTCATTCTCAACAATATTCCAGATATTACCAAAGCTAATGATCACGAATAAGTGATAATATTTTTTTCATATCTATTACAATTAAAATCCTCCAAGCTTTTATTTTTCATGTATAGATATAAATATAACAATGAATATAAAAAATAAGTATCTAAAATTTCTAAAATACATCTGTAAGATTTTTTTCATTATATTCCTTTCCTTGTCCCAGCATATAAATTCACTTTTGTGATGAATATGTTACTCTCATTTATCTCTTAACCATCATTACTTTTTACAGTTCATTTCCAAATATAGACTAAATTATTCATATGTGTTTATCTAATATTTCCCAACATACAAATATCTATTCAATAAGAGTATATATACAATTATATATCTTTTCAAAAATCTCACCACATAAAAAATATAAATAAACATTTCAACTAAAATGAAATCCGTATATTCAAATCTTTTTGTGATGTTTAATTGTCAATGCATAGATATCCAGATACGACGTAAACTTATGAATTATTTCGTTCATAAAAAATCCATGGATCCCTAACGATAAACCAAAACCTAACCAACTTAATGCATGGGCTGTTTGTTTTGAAGGACCATCAAATACATTTACCACAATTAAATATAAACTCAATTGTGCCAAAGGGATCATTGTAGAAATATTGAACATTGGAAAGTCTTGCTTGGTTAAATGATGCACAATAATACGTCCAACAACAAACGCTATGGTTAAACCTATGGACGACATGAATGCAAATGATAAAAACTCAGGTTCTATGTAGACAATAATCACAATTGTTAAATAATAGATAAAAAAGGGTAATAAACCCTGCATGGCTTGCTTAATATTAGCCCTTTCATTTAGTAAAATTTTCTCTCCACTATAATATTTTATAACGTTTGATCTTGCGGTATAGATATTAAATAACAAACCAATTGATGAGAGGACAAGGAAAAGATGTGATGTATCAAAACCAATGATCATGCCATTCCATAAAGTAATATTAAAAATATTAGTATGCCATAATAAATCTGGACCCATTGTAGCAGTCAATATAAATGCAAAACATATTCCCAGAATACCTTCTACAGGTCCTGAGAATTCACTTAAAAATAAGATATGCGTATGATATTCTTCCCAGGTACTTAAATAAAAATTACACAAAAGAGCAAATTGACTATATAAAGTCAAATATGAATATCCAGAACTAATCATAGATGAGAAGATAAACAGACAGAGAGTCGTGTTGATCGAATCTATACTGTGGTCAAAAAGTTCACCAAGTGGACCTGACTGATTTATTCTACGAGCATGAATCCCATCACACCCATCAAATGTTTGGTACATAAATATACCAAAGGCATGTGCAAAATAAACCCACCTAGGTGACTCTTGATTCAAGAATGGATCATATATCATTACCAATATTACATTGAAAATGACAAAGCCAAGTCCTGACAAAGTAATCAAGTTCGGCGCCATAGTCGACGGAAATATTTGTTCAAACCATAACCAAAAAGGTTTCAACAAATGCCTTGATATAATTGAACGATCTTCGCTCTGATATCTATATTGTTTCAAATTTTCAATAGCTCCATCAGGAAGGAAGTAACCCATTTTATCTTTTATATAATATTAACTTTGTATCTTTATATTTTTGTTCAACAGGATAAACTCAATTTAATAGAAATATATAAACCCCAGCATACAGAAAATGTCTGTAATATGATTACACAATGCATTAAAATGAAAAGATGATTATATGATGAAAATTTTGATCCAATCCCCTCCTTCTATATCTGTGTTGCTTTGGTCCTAAAGAGCTGCCATTCTTTTGCTGTAGCCATCTCATTCTAAAACTTCATCGAGCATTATTTTTTTTTCTTTTTTACAAACTCCAGATTATTTTTCAAATAAAAAAATAAAATAACATACAAAACCTCAATTAATTTATTATTTTTTTATTTAAACGTTTCACCAAGTGTAGTATGCACAAAATACTCACGAAGTTTCAACAACTTATATGAAGAACAAAATACTTTTAATTCTAATGATTTGATTAGTAGAGGGTCGGGCTGTCTATTTTCTTCACTTTAAACTATATCAAAACGACAGAGAAATAAAATGAAAAAAAACAAACAGATATGCATAAACGTATATAAATGTTACTTAAGATATTAGCCAAACTTCTATCACGGATGAAAATGAAAAAACCGAAAAGAAGAGATATAGGGATATACAGCAAGACTTGTTATATTTATTTACATGTAGATAACATGTTTGCCACAACGCCCAACAACTGCTCATTTTCACAGGCTGCTGCCACACGTTCTTTATCATTCAACTGTTTATTTACCTGATTTTCACTGGAGTGTGTACCCTTCTTTAACAGGATTGTAATTCTAAATCTTGGAGGAAGGGATCTTTCCAAACGTACCCTAATCCCTAAACCAATCAAAGTAGCCAATGAGCAATGTGTAATCGTGGGCGTTATTCTAATAATAACTTCTGCCATGTGATTTGGATTACCATCATCATGGACTTCAATATCTTCTAAGTTAACAATTGATAGTTGGCCTAAACTTAACGGATGTTCAGGATCTGAAATATGTGCTGTTAAATCGTAAATTTCTTGAGGATCTACTGGGTCAGGTATTTCCACATCTTCTATTATGGAATCCTTAGACTTAGTACTGTCCAACCCCACTATTTCCTCTTGTTCTTCTTCGAATGATCCCTCATCACTTGTTAAATCAGGGGCTGAATCTAATAGTAATAATTTATCCAAAAGTTCAATATTTTGTAATGCTGGAGAATTTGTAGAATGGTCTATTTTTAATATTATCCTTTTCCTTTTTAATGCTTCAATGCTTCCCAAACTACCAAGTAATTGCTCATTTGCATCTTCTTTTCTCTTTGGTAATTGATTTTCATCCAAGGCATCTGGGTTTTCATTTATGAAATCGGACATCTCTTCTGCTATATTATTCGATTTATATAAGCTTGACGTAAAATAAAAACGCTAATCTGCTACTTTTTCAATTCTATACCATATATTTTCAATGGAAGTAAAACAAAGCAGCCGTATAAATATCGAACAGATTACGTCGCAACTATGTAGAGCCACTTACCATTCTCTTTTCATCTAATTTATTTCATATGTAAATTTGCTTTTCTGAACGTCCCTATATACTTTAATTTTTTCATTTTGTAATACAAAAAATTCCTCCAAAAAGTGTGGATGTATGGGTGTGACTCCAATTAGTCAGCAAACGTGTATCTATCATCTATCATTGTCGAAACGAAAGACTCTTCCCTGAGTCAGTTGTCATGACAAAATCATATCTATTTACGATACTCTTAAATGGATATATCCATTGAACAAGTAGTAGAATATTTTTGCAAAGAAAACGTTTATCCTTCAATTTCCAAATTTTGTACCACTTGCAAAACTTCATAAGGAAATCCAGCCATTTTCGCTACGTTGAATGCATCTGATTTCTCACATATACCTGGTTTCAACTTATAATCGTACATAAACCTGTTATTTTCTAGTTTTAAAACACTGGTTTGGTAATACTTTATTTGTAATGCTAGCAACTTGTATGATTCATCCTTTGAATTTTCTAGTATCGTTTTTATTTCTTTACCAAAATGTGTGGCAAAGAGAGTTCTACATTTGTTGTGTTCCATCATATATTTAATGGTAGCAAATGCAATCCTAACCCCTTCTTTGCCGCTAGTCCCTCGACCAATCTCATCTAATATGGCTAATGATCTCTTGGTAGCTCCACGCAATATAAAAGAAGTTTCAATCATTTCTACCATAAATGTACTCATGTCGTTGTACAAATCATCAGCGGACCCTACACGGCTAAAAATCTTATCTACTATACCAATTTCTGCTCTATCACAAGGAACGAAACATCCAATTTGTGCTAATATGACAATAATCGCATTTTGTCTTAAAAAGGTTGATTTACCTCCCATATTAGGACCTGTGATAATCCATACTTCACTCGAATTAATTTCACAATCATTACTAACAAAGTTAGATAACGATTTCGAGGCTAAACCATCCTCCACCATTATATGTCGACCATTAACAATATTAAGAGTTACTTCGTTGGTTACTTTAGGACATACCAAATTTTTCTCTCTAGCTAACCTTGCAAAGGATATAAGTATGTCAAGATACCCTATGGTGTTATTGATGTTTCTGATTTCGTTACTCCTTGACACTAATTTATTTTTAAAAGTTAAAAGAATAGCATTTTCCTCCGTCTTGATATTAATAATAGCATTTTCGATGGCATACGCCAATTCTGTCCATCTTTTATTTGCAAGCCATAATGTCTGACTTGACTTTTGTAATACAGAAAATGTAGAGTCATTAAATCTGAAATCCTGATTTTTCGATATTTTTTCTTGTAGTTTCTGAATTTGTTCACTATTTGCAACAATCTGGACAACATAATCCTTGCTTTGCCTTTGTTTTAAAGATATTCTTTTTATTTCAAATGAAGAACCAAAAAAATTCTTCATCTTCCTTTCTAACTCTAACTTTTTTTGTTCTAAATTCCAATAATTGTTAAATAACAATCTCAATTTAGGATGAAAGGCAGGATTTATAATACTCATCTCGTACTTATATCTATTTCCATCATTTGATTGGTCATTTATATCAACTATAGACCCTTTATAGCATTCATCATCCGCTTGCCTCTTTTCAGATTTAAGTATTTCTTCTTCGCTGAGTGAATTATAAATATCATCAACAACAGTATTATCAAAACGTAAATTTTTAACTAATTCCTCTAGAATTGCCTTATTTCTTTTTGTAGTAACACAATTTTTATATTGGTCTAACTTTTCCAAAATAATTGACAAAGTTTTTAAAGATTTCACAATTCGTAAAAGATCAATACCGTTGCCTTTACCAAAACTGAATTTTTGTAAAATCCTCGATATATCAGAAATATCTTTAAAACATTGGACAATAGAATCACATAATGCTTCATTGGAAGAAAATAAATCAACAATATTTTGCCTTTTCTTTATTTCTTTAATGTCTGTGGATGGACCTGATAACCACTGTTTTAGTAGTCTTGATCCAACTGGTGTTATTGTTCTATTAATGGTAGATAATAATGATCCCTTTCTATTGTTATTTAATACTGTTGAATGTAGTTCAAGAGCTCTACTTGTTCTAGAATCAATTTGCATAATAGAAGACACAGCCTGTCTATTAGGTAATTGAAAATTTATAGAATAGTTTGGGAAGTGATCACTCACATAGACTAGTAAATTTCTTAATGCTGCCAATTCCTTCTGTTCAAAATTTTCAAAAATATATCTCAATTGGGACCTTGTATTATCAGACAACTTTTTATTTTGAGAAGCAAACAAGGATATAAATGAAGACACAGGCCTATAATGTGATGAAGGGTTTTGATACTTAATGAAATATTTCTTCAATTCTACTAATTCAGGATACCAATTACCACTTTCAATCTTGTATGGAATAAGTTCATCCTTCAGAACAATCTCCTTCGGTTGAATTCTGGTTATGGTAGAAACAAGTTCACATAAATGCAGTTGTTGAACATATAATTCACCAGTAGAAATGTCACACCATGAAATTCCAATTTTTATATCACTGTCTACTACTCTTTCCATACATTTATCAGGAAACTCTATTGTCAACAAATATGAATTTTCTTTAAAGTTCTCAAATGCTTCATCAACAAAGGTTCCAGGTGTAACAATTCTAGTTACACGTCTTGTAAACTTAGTTGGATTGCTATTAACATCAAGATCTTTTTTGAATTGATCCACAATAGTAACACTATAGCCGTATTGATTTACAAGTACTTTTAGGTGTCTATTCAACTGATGTACAGGAAATCCAGCAAATGGAACTTTTCCTGACGCAAATGACTTACTGGTCAATGTTATATTCAACTTAGGGGCATATTGAGTTGCATGCTCGAAATATAACTCATAGAAGGAACCCATTTGGGTCAATACAACATTATCTTTATATTTATCCATCAATTGTCTCACTTGTCTTATGGACGGAGGTAAATGGTTAGTTGAATTTAATTTTTCATTGTTTGTATTTTTCTTCTTAATAGAAATATCCATGTCATTATTAAGTAAAAGCACTTCCCTTTGATCTTTTTCCTCCTTGTATAAATCATTAAAATCTACTGTAAAATTTGTAACTACAGGTTTCTTTGTTGTGAATTTTTTTGAAGTAGCTGACAACCACTGTCGTCTATTTAAACGTAACACATTAAAAAATTGCGATGTTCTCATTATTCTATATTCTATGATAAAATCAACCTTGTTTGGTCAAAAAGTAAAGAAAAAAAGATACATTTCGTGAGTACTTTATTTACCTAATTCACAGAAAATTTCCATATATACGTATATACAATCCAATCTGTATATACACTTCGTTACAACTTGTTTATAGAATAACAAAAAACATGAAACAAATTAACCGCTAACAACCAAATCTCGTTTTTAATGGAAGTATGTTTTTTTTATTATTTCCACAATACACATTGCATCTCGAAGGGATTTGAAAATTTCAAGTTTCATTTTTTTTATCAACTATTTTTTATGATATAATAAATTAATTTGATGAAACTGAAGCTTGGAGAAATAAAAAATAATAAGACAGAATAATAAATCTTATTACTCTGGTTGTAATTGTGTTTTTGATAAAACTAGCTAAACCTACAATGAATGCTTTTTACAAACTCCATCATACAACTGTTCTTTGTTTAATGATTATATAATAGCAAAGATTATCACAATTCCTTTCTATTAGTTCTTATACTAATCTATAATATTTAATTCGTTAAATGTGTGATTATTATAAAATTTCAGTTAATCCTGTAAAATACAATGCAATAGTTGACAATATAAAAATAAAGTAATATATACATATATTTCAATTCAAAATTCAAAAGAATGTATTAATTTAAAAATCCTTTACAGCTAGGTGCGCCACAATAACATGGCAGTCTTTCCTCATCATCCTTTTCTCTTTCAAATTTATAATCATATGTCAACTCTTCATTTTTAGCAATATCTCTTAATGCATAAATGACAATACGTTTCTTACCACCCACTTTAATAATCTTCGCAGTACAGCTGGGTTCACAACAATGATTTATAAATCTAGCAATGCCACCCTTCTTTGTCGCATCAATAACATTATTCTCATCTACTCTGAACAGGTAACTTGAGCCTATACCGCTTTTCAAATATCTTTTTTCACGCATCTCTGATACTGGTTGTCTTATTCTTTCTCCAACATACTCAATGATCATTTCATTTGCTGCAATAGGCTCTAACACATATAAACCCCAATTATGAATAGCAGATCTTGCAAAAGTAACAGGTTTTCTACGCTTATTTAATTGATTTAATGACAACAATTCAGATTCAGTACCAATTGCAGCCTTCTGTGCTTCAATATCCTGTTGAAACCTTCTATTAGATGCTCTATTTTCTCTTGAAGAAATAATTTCCTGACCTGTGATAGCATTTTCTGTAGAATCAGGTTTCAAAGATTCCTCTCTTTGCACTGGTGTATTTGAACCGTCCTCTAAAGATTCATACCCTATATTTGCGCTATGACTAACAGTATTAAGTGGTTGATGTATTCTACGACGATGCGGCAAATAACATGATTTGAGTCTATCTGGAACCTTAAAGAATCCATGGGTCTTAAAAGAATCCCCTTCCCATAGTAACGATTGGTCAAAAGGAATACCTTCATTTAATTTAAAGTGTGTTTCCTCTATAAATTCCTCTATGTTAATAGAATTCTTAATTTTCCATAACTCATATTCAATTAATTTGTTTTTAGTATCATTTGCAGCTTGATAAACACCAAATTCTTCCAATACCTCCTTTAGTAACCTCAGATCTTCTTCATCCTTTATGGTTTCTTGAAGAGTTTCTACCGTTATTTGACTTTTATCAAATACATTATCTTCATAAACAGGTACTGGCTTATCAGTTTCTGTAGGATTGTATATATCTAAATCTTGTTTTTCTCTTTCTAATTTGCCATCTAATTGTACTTCATCCTCCGGCGTTGTAGGCATTGTTTCCAGCGTTTCTATTTCATCAATACCCTCTTTTTTATCACCAATAAATTCATTATGGAGTAACTTAAAGTCTTCATCTTCATCTTCATCTTCTGCATTCTCCATAACTTCATCGTCTTCCTGAGAAGAAGAAGTATCTTCTTCCTCTTCTACTTCCTCTACCTCTTCTTCTTCTTCAGAGTCATGTATTGATGATTCTGTTGCATATGTAGTAGGTGTTGGCTCTCTGGAATTAAATTCGTCGTTTAAGAAATGTTCCATAGGTTCTAACTGCAATCTAGCTCTTTTAGAATGACTGTGCAAATGATGAGAAAGACGTCTTTTATGGACATCTTTTGGTTTTAAGTATCCACCATAAAGCTTGAAAATATCCATATCCTGTCCTGGAGTACTAACATTTATATTATCTTGTAGAGAAGTACTCAACATATTTGCATTTGTACTTGCAATATTACTTTGTTTTTGGGCTTCATTTTTTGACTCTTCAAGTTTCCGCTTGGCTACTAAGTCTGGAAAATTGATAGGATTCAAAGTGTCAAAGACACTCGGACCAATAATTCTCTTTCTTATATCAATAGTCAATGCATCTTTTAAATCTTCTAATATATATTTAGTAGCAGCTCTTAAAAGATCTTGTTGATTTTTATATAATGTTTCTTTTTCTTCTGACTTTTCCTTTTCATTGTTTGATAGATCTATGCTATAACCTGAAAATCTTGAACGAATTAAAACTGGCAGAATCAAAGTAAATCTAACAATAATTGAAATTCTTCTATACCCACGAGAAGTAATTGTCATTTTTCCAGACTCCCTGTTAATGCATCTAATCGCTTCTCCAATATCATTAAAAATAATGTAAAGTCCTGTACTATGCCTAATAAAACGAGCAACTTTATATTGCCTTAATTTGTAAGCTAAATCCTCCTTAGTAATACCATGATATCCAAGAAAATTTATTGAAATAAATAAACATGCTTTATTGCCCACAATCCTTTCTATATCAAAAGGCATTCTCTTATTGCTTCTGTTATGCTCCTTTGACAAATCTCTAAACAACTTATGTTTTTCATCGAACGACAACTTAGATAGATCCAAGTCCACTGATTTTCCATTTAGGATCAATGAACGAGAATCTGTCGGCAAATTCACTTTTTTTTCACTTGAATTAACCTTCACAATTGTTTGATTAGTTTTTAATTTTAATGCGCTCAATTTGGATTTCCTTGTATTTTCTTCAATAAATTTTTCTTTAATAAATTCCAATTGTTCTTGATTTTTCTTTATCACAACTTTAAAATGACAATTCATGATATTACAACCTTTATTTTCATGCCTCTTTACAGCCATATATGCTGCCTTAGCAGAGTCGTTTATCTTTTCATGAAGGCTTGTAAATTTAATTAAATATATATGTAATGGTAATGCATTATTCGGATCATTATATGATTCAAAGTGTGATATAGGTCCAAATTTCTTAAAATAATTTTTTATTGAAATGTCCAGTATATTAATTAAATTAGAATTATCGCTCTGATTGCATGGATACACTAGTATTTCAGATGAAGGTGGTGGTCCAATTGAATATTTATCATATGACACACGTCCAATAATAGCCAAAGCGGGTTGGTATTTTCTTTTCGTCCTATTAACTTTATTCAAGTAAAGGTTAACATCTTTTTCACGAGGATCTACGCTAGGTTGTTTAGGATTTATCATATATGATTTACAACTATTAGAATCATGAGCCAATTTCCCATCCGGTGTTAAGTTAACAAATCCATTTATAGGGAATTGTTTTGACTTATTCCAATTATGAAAATCATTAGTATTTACAAGTTTATTGGTTTTTGGATCCATATAATGATATTTAGTGTTGAAATATTCTTTATCATATTTTAATACAATATTTATTTTATCCTCTGCTAAAGTATCTGCGTGATGATTTGTAGGTAATGATTGTGATTTGGCAGATTTACTAGAACTAATTCCATTAACAAGATCAGCAGAAGTATCTACATGATACCTTGAAGATTGTTGATATCTGGAAGGTTCAGAATCTTGAAAACTTCCCATATTTTGAGATCTTGTTTCATAATATGAATATCTAGTTCCTTTTGGATGACGTGGGAATGAGTTGTTATTATAACTGTTGAAACTATGATCGTATGTAGAAGAATGTGAATGATATAAAACATGAGAGCTATCACTAGGATTATCTGATACAGTGGGGTAATTTTTATTAAATCCTGATGATCTTGAAGAGGGATGAACATAATTTCTGCTATATGATTGTGTGGGAGATACATGATAATTCCTGTAGCCACTACTATTATGGTAATTGGATCTTGAACTTTTATGATTACAATTTAAATTATCACCACTACCACTGTTATTAGAATTATTACTACTATAGCTATAGCCTGAATATTTCGTGGAATGATAGGGGCCTGCTCTAGGATGTTGTGGTAATCTTCTGTTATATCCAGACATAGTGATATTTATAAAGAGTTGATAAAGTAGAAAAAATTTATAGCAAAAATGAAAATAGTCCACAAAAAATAATTCTTTCAATTTCCTCTTTCAAACTTATATGTATATAAATTATATAAATTAACTCACCACACTTACACACCCCCAAATAATTATCTTATAGTTATCTCTTTGCTTAAGTCTAATATTTCTTAGATTCGCCTATTCTAGCTTGTTTCAACCTTAAATATAATTATTCTTTTGGTGCTCCTTTAACGACAGTTGCAGTTATAGTAATCTTATCTTTTATTTCACTGTTGTTTATCAATTAATTTCACTATCCTTATGACTGGGCTCTGTAACATCTGTAACTTATTGTTACATAGTTTGGTTGTTTTACTCTCTTAAAACCTTCATAATATCATTAATTTTTTTTATGTAAGTGCAGAAAGAAAAAAAAAATATCAAAAAAAAAAAAACATTAATAAACAAAAACCATAGCGAAAATATTGCTGAGAACATTTTAGAAACACATTATTCAAATAAACTAATGAGGTCAAATCTGCACACCATTTATTATAACCACTCTCAATATAGTACTTCACTTTTATTCTCAACCGAGTATAGTGTTGCAATACAAAAAACGGAGTAGAAAGATAGTAAACCAAGAAAACAATATGTCTACCCTTCAAATTCAAAAGTGCCTTAAGGATGTTCTAGCACTAGATCAAGAAAACAATTCATACTTGGATTGGAATCAAGGCAATCTTAAAAGACTATTTCATGCCACTTCTGTATTGTATCAGACCTCGATTAATAAGGTCCCTTTAAGAAATGATGAGGAGACAGTTAGAGGCCACATTTGTGCATTATTAGCTTGTGAAAAGCTACGTGAAAAACAACAATCAATCAGGTACAACCTATCAAAAGAAAATGAGAATAATAATGTTGAAGTCATTCAATATTATTTAGATAGAATACCGTTAGAGCCTAAAAAGATTAACCGCCTCATTAGTGTCTTTAAACAAAATATATCCCAATGTTCGCCAGTGAAACAAATTCAGTGGTCTCCAAGTCCCAAGAAGTCAGCATCAAGAAGTCAGCTAAATAGTCCATTAAATTCTCCCATAAAAGCCAGTTCCATAGATAAAGGCAATAATGGATTTACAACACATGATCCAAAATCACTTCGAAAAATGCTATTTGAAGATACACCTAAAAACTTACAATGTGATCAAGTATCTTCTGTAAATATAACTGTAATAACACCTAATAAAAATATATCCCCATTATCGAGTCCAAGAAGAAGATTAAAGTTCGAAATGGTGGATGAAGAAGATGCTGAAAATGATAATAGCAATGACAAGAATGAAACTACAAGTGACAGTAATGAACATACGATAGGAAATAATGAAGATGAGATACAACAAGATGTAAATATTTTAGATACAAAGACAAACGATCAAGATGCACAAACGGACGATCCTTTATTTATAGATAAAACGTTTGAAGCTAATAGTGATAAAGATAATAAACTTTCAAAGAATAAAGTTACAAAAAAGCCAGTTATAAAAAAAAATCCAGAAAGAACCATAACACAAAATCTTTTATTTAAGAGATATGTGAAAGTTGTTCCATCAGATGTAATTAGTCTATGCAACCATTTTGAATTACCGCAGTCTGTTTCGTTTACAATTCTGGATTTTTACATGATTAACCAATCATATTTAATCTATCAGTGGCAATTGGTCTGTGGTTTAGTATTACATTGCACATTTATTGTATTTAATGAAAAGAGACGTAAAGATCCTCGTATTAACCATATATTACTGGAAAAGATGATGGATTATATGCGTTGTGATTCAGTCAATGATATCCGTGAATGTTTTAACATAGTTTATGAACTTATTGTTGGTGAACAATGGTATAGAGATTTGGAGATAAAATATAATTATTTTGAAGGCTTAAAGTATGAAGAATCGATTAAAATCAAATTGGGTTCGATGTTACAGGATAATAAGACTTTGTTTAATGATGATCAATATGAAAACTGGAAACAGAATATCTTATTTGATTTATCCTTAAAGGAGCGTTAAGTTTACCGTATACACAATCAAGGATCATAAAAGATTGAAACAACATTGAACCAATAATATGACTGTATAGGTCATGATTCTATATTCACAACAAAATATACATAGCTAAAAAGTATAGAATGATAAGATAAACTGTAAAGTTAATTCAATTGATCATTTTTTAATTATATGTTTATATACACAGGTTATAACATTAAATAATTCAGCATCAAGTGCTTTGAATACAGAAAAAGAAGTAAATACATGTAAATCCGAAATAAAAGAGGAAAAAAAAAAAAGAGAGAGAATAGGGTAGGTAGAAAAAATAATAACATTGGTTTATTTCATGTACTTAGATCATTTTGTATTGTACTATATAATATCACATCACATAATTAGATCAATCCTTGTGCACGATATTGAGCCAAAGCTTCTTCAACTCTCTTGCTAATGATGGGATCAGCTCTAATTCTCTTTTGAATCTTAGCGGCTTCAGCAAACGTGATGGCTTGTAATTTTTCTTCATGGGTTCTTGTTAAGTGTGCAGCCTTTTCAAACAATTCAATAGAAGTATCTACCTCCTCTTGTTGCAGTTTCAATTGTGCCAAACCAACCATGGCTTGGTCATTTCTTGGGTCTTTATCAACAGCACTTTGGAACAAATCGACAGCTAGTTGGAAGTTTTCCGGTGTAACAGGCTGTTGCCTAGCTAAGATAGTAGCTTTACCGATTAAGGGAGCTACACCAACATGAATTTTCCCACCTTCCTTTTCAGCAATGGCTTCTTCTAATTTAATAGCAATATCATATTGTTTCAAAGCATGTTCTAAGTCATTTTTGTCAGTTAATAATTCAGCAAAGAAAGTAGGGATCTCTGGTGCCAATGGGAATTTCTGTCTTGCCTCGCTGAATTGTTTTTCACACTCAGGATAATTATCTTCACGATACGAAAGACATGCTAATTGAATATAAGGGAAGACATTATTTGGATTCAATTCTATAGCCTTAGTGAAATCTTTTCTAGCAGAATCATAATCTTGGGCAATAAAACTGATTTGACCACGATGGTAATATGCGATAGAATTGTTTGGATCTAAGGCTAAAGCATCATCAAATTTAGCCAAATATTGCTGTTTCAAGGACTCATTATCAATTTGTTCATTAGATTCGCCACCAGAGACAACGGCAGAGGCAGCGCCACGCATGACGGAGGTGGCCCATTTGTCTGCCAAGATCATAGCCATGAAGATATTAGCATTAACTCTTGGATACAATTCGATAGATTCTTTCAAGTTATCTTGAGCAGTGACAATATCATTTTTCATGAAATTTAGGATACCATTATATTCTAAAGCAATAGCCAATTTTTGTTGAAGAATCTTCTTTTGATCGCCTCTATTTTCATTTCCAGTTCCGTTTTGATTTTTATCAAGATCCCTTAAAAGGTCTTTAAAAGCAACGACACTCTTTGGGAATTCATTAGAAGCCACTTCAAAACCGGAATGTGTGAATTTGTACAAGGTATTTAAAGCAGTCTTTAAAGAGACATCAGCGTCTGAAGATTCGTCATAATGTTCGAATTCTAATTCAGGTGGGATCAACATATTAAAGAAAGAAGCCAAAGAGGTATCAGAAGGCAAAGTCTTTTCAGCATTGCTATTATTGTCGGATTGTTCAGTGATCATTTCAGTTAATTTTTTTAAAGCTTGTTTGTTCAAGTTTCTTTCTAAGATAGGTTCAATGGATGCGCCACTGAAATCGTTATTTAGTGACAAAACAGATAAATCGAACATGGCATCTTCGAAGTTACCCTTTTGTTCGTATGCGGAGGCTCTTCTCAATAGGACTTTCGAGTAATCTGGTTTCAACTGTAAAGCTTTATTACAATATTCCACTACTTTATCCAAATCATTTAAGGAGACGTAGCAAGCAGAAATGTTGGAGTAAAACACAGGGTCTTCTTTGATACTTAATGCGTATTGATAGAATTTCAAGGCTTCATCGAAGTTTTTTGATTTGAATTGTTCGTTACCGATTTCCTTTAGAGTCAAAGTGATAGTATCTTGTTCCTTTGGATTGAGAGTTTTAATCTTTTTGATATCAGGTTCTCCGTTGTCTAAGACAGGATATTTTTTCTTAAGATCCGAGATATTATCTTTTTGCTGTTTTTCATCTTCCAATTTCTTCTTCTTTTTCTTATCTCTTTTTTTTTTACTTTTTGAAATGGAAGAAGCAGTAGTGGCGGTAGTTGAGGATGCTAAGGAACCGTCTTCGTCATAACCATCATTATTATCATTATCATCGTCTTTATGATTTCTAGACTTTTCAACAGATTGTAGATTCTTATAAATATAGTAGGCCGAAGCTGCAGTAGAAACCGTTACTACAGTCGTGATGATTGCTTTTCTGTGCCTATAGAAGAATCCAACAGTGGATGATTGATTTGTAGAGTTATTTCCAGGCATTGTTATTATTACTGTTAAAAAGGAAGAGGAAGGAGTATTAGATATTCAAAGGATAAAACAAAACAAAACAAAACAAAACAAGAAATGACGAGAAAAAATCTGAATATGGTCTTTATACTTATTTCTATTTTATTTTAAGATTTCTTCCTTTTTGTTTCAACAATATCTTATTAGGAAATAATGTAGATATCCTGGGTTAAAAGTAGAATAGATATCTTATATCTTATATCTGATATCTTTTTTTTGTTTTATTTTTTTTTTTTTTAAATTTTGTAAGAACTTATGTTGTATATTAGACTGTAAGTGTGTTAAAGTTTCCTATTGAACCGATTTACAATATTTCAATAGTTTAATAATTAAATAATAATATTATTATTTTTATTTTTACTTTTATTTTTATTTTTTTTCCCACCCAACCGAGCACTAAAATAAAAAAAAAAAAACAACAACGACGTTGAGATGTACTGATGTTACTATTTTGTCGTTGTATACGGTATACTGTGGGTGTGTGGATGTTCGACAACAATTATTTATTTATTTATTTATTTATTTATTTATTTATTTACAATATGTACATGTATTTTACAATATATATCCATATAAATATAAAACTATGCATCCATATCTATATATATGTATGGTTATCTTCTCTGTGACATCCACATTGCTTTACAGTCCTTGTAAGTTTTAAAAAATTCTTTACAAACTGTTTTTTTATCTGGATTATCCCAGTTATCTTCCAAACACTGTCTACTCATGCGTGCAGATTCTTCACATGGATCAAAATATCGTGACGGTTCCTTAATTTTGAATTGCATCTGTGATTCAAAACTTGTTGGATTATCTGGGAAGTATTTATAACTGGATGGATCGTTTTCATCTGGTATAAAGTCGATATTAGCCTGTTTGCTAGTATTACTACTAGAACTACTATTATGATTATTTGATAACATAATTATATAAAATCTTTAGGAATGATTATATATATATATATATAGTCTCTTGTATTTCTTCTCCTTTTCCCTCTTTTTTTCTCTCCAGTCAGAATTTTCTGCTTTCTGGTGTTCTCAAGAGATTACAGTATAAAACAGTGCACAAAGTTATTAAAGACAGAAATAAGATAACTCATAACAAATCAAAACAGATGATATTATTATAATGTTTTGCACATGTTGATGGGTGGTGCTAGTAGTTGTACAATGTGTCTAACGATGTGTTTGTCTTAGTATAAGCACTTGGTTATTCCTTCGTGATTTCTACGGACTTCCCTTTCCGATTGCTCTTTAATGGAAAACTCTGGTGGGCGGCTCCAGTGAAGAGAGAAGAAAAGAAGGGAGGAAAAGAGGAGCAAAAAACAAACAAAAAAAAAAGGACAAAACAAAAACAGAATAAAACAAACCCTAAATGAACCTAAGTAACCCTAACAAATCTTAAATAACCCTAGGGTTGCTGCAACATTTTTTTTTTTTATTTTATAGTCTGGATGCATGGGTGGATATCATGAAAGTTTCTTTTCTTTTCTTTGTTTTTTTTACTCATTTTACTTTCAAATTTTTGCAAAACAAAAAAAAGAAGAAAAATACACACAAAGAACGAAACAAAAGTGGCAGAGAACAGGAACAACAGAGAGAAAGAAGAAGATAGAAATATAATTTCTTAGTGTTTCTATGTGTACTCTACAAAGAGTAACTAACTTTTTATATACAGGAAACATATAGCCAGATTAATCAGTCTGAACTAACCCAAGGTATTCTCTCTATATTTACCATAATATATATATCAGTCTGTGTTTTGCTAAGAAACTGAAAGATTGTGTGACTATCATATCATATCATATCATATCATATCAAATCGTATCATATCATACCACATTATATTATATTATATTATATTATATCATTAGCATTCCATAAATTAATATCTGTATTTAATTACAAATAGTCCACATCTTTTTCCTTTTTACTTCTCTCTTTTCATTTGTTTTTGTTTCTTTTTTTTTTTTAATCTTCTGTTTTTTTTTTTTTTTTTTTTTTTTATTTTGTTTATTAAATCATTTTATACACACGGCTACACAAAAGAATTCTGTGGTAGACATTAAAAGATAACATAACATAGCATAACATAACATAAGATATATATATACATACACACACAAACACATACATATATATATATATTAGTTCTCTCCCAACCTCCCTTCCCAATTATATATCAACCACATGAGTTCTCAGTTCTCCGCCTTTGGTATAACTACTCGTACACCCAATTCTAATACTTCTGGTCAGAACACAGAAAATAATAATCATCACAATAATATAGGTTTACATAATCATATAATGAATCCATTTAGATCAAACAATTCTACTACTACTCCTACTACTACTACCACTACCACCACCACCACTACTACTATGAATAATAATAATAGTAACAACAACAACAATAGCAATAGTAATAGCAACAGCAACAGCAATAATTTTAATATTAATAATAATGTTCGATTACCTATTTCTTTATCTTTAAATAATAATAATAATAATAATAATAACATGCATCAATCTTCACAAAATAATTTGATAGAATCATTGGGTCCCTTTTATCATAGTAATAATAACAGTAACAGTAACAGTAACAATCTAAATAATAATAATTTATCCACTGCTAATAATACTATATTGAAAAATCTACGTCACTACATTTATGGTGCAGATAACAACAACAATTCTTTATCCTCATCAACAACGTCTTCAACTTCTTCTCCCTCTAATAATAATAACAATACTTTAAACCTAGACAATAACCTATCGTTGGATTTACCTGATAGTGTACATTTACCATCTCCTTTACCTCGGGAAGAATTGAATAAAAGAAAAAACAAATATGGTCTTTTCAGCATCAGATTGACTCCATACATAGATAATACCCATAATCATAACAACAGCAACAACAACCTTAATGATAACAACCCATCCATGAATAGCGGCAACGGCCTGTTCTTTGAACCAATCATTAGAACCGCCGGGCCGGGTTCACAATTAGTTATTGGCCGCTACACAGAAAGAGTGCGGAAGGCCATCTCTAAATTACCAGAGCAATACCACCCCGTCGTTTTCAAATCTAAAGTCATCTCTCGCGCGCATGGGTGTTTTAAAGTAGATTCACAGGGTAACTGGTTTATAAAAGATGTCAAATCCTCCAGTGGAACCTTCTTGAACCATCAAAGATTATCCCCTGCATCAACTTTATCAAAGGACTATCTTTTACATGATGGTGATATCTTGCAACTAGGTATGGATTTCCGTGGTGGGATAGAGGAGATTTATAAGTGTGTCAAAATGAAAGTGGAACTAAACAGATCTTGGAAACGTAAAGCCAATAAATTCGATAAAGAGGCTTTGCAACGAATAAGAAATTTACAAAAGTTGATTAACGATGGTGTGGAAGAGGAAGACTGCTCTATTTGCCTTTCCAAGATTAAACCTTGCCAGGCCATCTTTATCTCTCCATGTTCACACAGTTGGCACTTCCATTGTATTAGGAGATTGATTATGATCTCTTATCCGCAATTCGTTTGTCCTAATTGCAGATCCACATGTGATCTAGAAGCTAATTTAAGTGAAAGCGAAGATGATATGGATGATTACGTAGAAGGGGAAGAAGCAAATGAATCACAACAGCAAGAACAAAATGAAAATGGAAATAATCCCATCACACCAAACAATCCCATAACTAATAACACCGCCCTCACCACCACTAGCAATACCACTACTACCACCACTAATAACAATAACAATAACAATAATAAATCAAATACTGTTGTAGCACAACCATTCTCCAACAATGAAGAAATCTCAAGTATGTATGATATTAACATGTCATAATTTGTTTAACTATCTTAGTCTATCTGATTTTTTTAATCATATACTGCATTTATCTACATAACATAAATATAAATATATAGTTATAATCTTGCCTTCCTTCTAATCTACTTTTATATATATACATATATAACACTAATACTTCTTGCAAAATGTATTTTATTCATACCGATATAAAATATGCAAATATATAGATTAATAAACGTATGAATAGTATAAAATACTTTTTTTTTAGTTTTATTTATCTTTAAAAAGTAGTCTATTTTATTTACAATAACTTGTTGGAACAAGTCCCTTAACGCCATTCAATTCACCATATGTCCAACCACTACCATCATCTCCCCGTATCACAGTAATCACATCACCAGGGGATATACTTAATTCGTCATTACCTTGTGATTGGTATGGATATTGAGCAGTTATAGTCCTCATTAATGGATTGTTGCCACGCCTAGGTGGTGGTACAGTTGGTGGGCTAGAAGATGTGTTGCTCTCATGAATTTCAATGTAAGTTGTTGGAACTAAACCTATGATACCATTCTTGGACATATTTCTCACTAAAGTCCATCCAGAACCAGTATCTTTTTCCACTAATTCAATACTATCACCAGGGTGAATAGTGATTTCATCATCTTCTTGCTTTTTGTATGGATACAAAACTTTATTTTTATTAACTGTGTATGAGGATGTTCCTATTGATGAACTTGTTGTATTCGACCGATTTCTTCTTGTATTTGAACCATTAGAAATATTCAAATTTTGTGTTCCTGTATCAATATCTTCAATTGTTGATTGACGATTACCACTATTATCAGTATTCATGAAACCACCGTCTGTATGTAAAATGTTTTTCACTTTTAGTTTAGAGAATAAACCGCTTCCGCCGTTGCTATTGTCACTACTAACATTGCTGCTACCACCTCCTAAAAGAGACAGACGAGTTTTACCTTTTTTGGATGCTTTATTTTTATCTTCCTCATAATTTTGAACATTTAAATCAATATCTTGTGGAACATTATTTTGAATGCTCTCAATTTCTACCTGAGACAATAATTTTATACTTTCGTGAGAAGTAAAGCCTGATATAACAGCTAAGTAATTTTTCAAGTTATCATAAAATTGTACGCTATCGAATGACTCTTCGTTATTCTTCAAATTTTGTTTTATCTTATTATATTTGGCCAGTTTTTCTAATTCCATAGTTGTCATATCCTGCATTTGATTGTAAACTTTTTGTGAATTCCTTAATTTCAATTTAAGATCTTCTAATTCATTAGATCCTGAGATAATAAATTGTTCATCATCATGCCATATAGGAGAGGGTTTAAATTGAAAATCTAAAGGTTCTTTCCAATTCTTAACATTATGTTTAATAAACATAGCAGTACTTAAAGAAGGTCTATTCTGTTTAACAACATCACCTGAGGCCTTCATCCTCTTTTGTAAAGAGCCACCCAAATCAATCTCTATTTGACTAGCTTGACTCCAAATATTGTTTAAGAAAGAAACACGAGCCTCATTAAGATCTTGTAAAAGATCTACTACCTCTGGGATATCTTGAAAATAATATTTATCCTTGACTCTATTAGCTTGAGAGATTTTAATTAGATATGAATTTTTAGCAATATTCATTAAAGTCTCCTTTTCACTTAGTTTTCGTTTATTTCTATCATTGGGACTCTTAGTGTATTTACTGCGTGCTAACTCCATATTTTGACATGAATCATCATAATTTCTTTTTGATTTCTCTAAATCTGAGTACACACTATTTTTCCTCTTTTCCATCTCATTAAAAAACCCAACAATTTTAGTATATGTGATGTCTAACTTTGTATAAAGACCATTAATTTGCCCACTGATAGTGTTAACAAAATCCTGTGACAGTTTTTCGTGATCCTTAGCAATTAATTCAGTTTGAGTCAATATTTCATTCCATGCTACTACAGAAGCAGCCTCAATAGAACCAGGAGTAACGGTAGGTGTCTGTCCAACTCCTAAGGTGACACTAGCCACACTTTTCTTATTGAAATAATCTGCTGTTAAAGCCTTTAATTTATCACTATATTCCTTCTCTAATTTGGACCTTTCTCTGTAAAAACTTTCAACTTCTGATAACCATTTTAAATTATATTGGACCCATTTGGATGTCACTTCAAATGAATCCTTTAATTCATTCCCAATGGATAAATGACTCATTCCTTTAGTTTCTTAGTATATATGTTAACAATGTATTATATTTTTGGTTTTTGGATCAAACAGGGTCTTATATTAAAAAAAAACGGTGAGTGTAATCCTACAAACTATTAGTTGATTATCACAGCAACAGTCTAGTTTCGTTTTTCTTAGGATTCACTAGAAGATTAAAATTATCTCGATGGGTGATCCTTTTTTTATGGAACTGAATCTTAGCGATTTTTAATTGCAAATATGTATATATTTATATTTTCACAATTCTTAAAGCAAAAAAAAAATACAATATTGATTATAAAAAAAAAGACACCACTGCACATATAACTGTTTTTGATAGTGAATCGGTTAATAAACACTAATGTGTTATTGATATAACATTACATTAAAAAATTACAAAAAAGTTATTTTTGCAATTGTTGAAGAATAATATTGCTAGTGGAAAAGATTAATAAACGCTTTCTCCTGAGGTCTCTAATCATAATTTATTTCTGCTAAATACACACCGTACACTCTTGTTATTTATTATAATGCCACATCAACAACGTTACAATAATGGTTCTATGACAAATAACGAGGCAATAGAGAGACAACGACAATATGAAATGTTTCAAGAGTCTTTACCTAAGGTGAATAAAATATTGTTCCAAATGATTCTAAATGAAATTATTCCGCTCTCTGTTCGTATTGAAAATCAGTTGACACAAGGTAATGAATTCCAAAATGATACAAAACTTGATACTCTGGGTGATTCTTCCTTTGATAAAGCTTCTGATTTGGATAATATTACTAAATTGAAAGATTTATCCATTAATGCAAAAGCGAATTCAGAGACTCATTTAGGAAATATATCATCACCTGATGATGTTTTAATTTATAAATTATCACAGTCAGTAGACGAGAATGAAAACAAATATAATAATATATTAAAAAGGATTAGAGATATAGGTATCAAAATTGGTACTAAATTAGTCAATCTACTAATATTCACTAATAACATCAATTTAAATTTTAAAGAGATGGACTTGTTATTGATAATGAAGTTCATTTGTCGTGATGTTTGGAAACACGTTTTTGGCAAACAAATTGACAATTTAAAGACTAATCATCGTGGAACATTTTATTTAACTGATTTAGAATATCCTCTTTTACAATCTTTTTGTATTGAAACTAATACTATTCCATCTCAATTAAACGAAAAATTTATTTTAAATAAAGAATCAAAACTTGTTGAACCATTTTTAGAGTTACCAGTAGGCATCATTAAAGGCGTATTATTGTCATTAGGATACCCTCTTGATGAGGTTATATGCTTAGCTACATTTATTGATAAACCAAAAGAAAGAATAAAAAACAGTTTCCCTAAAGGTATAAGCTTTCATGTACAAATCACTAAATCATTCTTGCCACAACAACAGAAACAATAAAGTATTAAATTCATGTTATATATGTATTTATATATCATTTATAATTTAATATATGCAATTACCAATGTTTGATAATAACAAGAAGTTTAGTGGATTTATTTCCTTTTCCACCTTACGTTTTATAATTTAATTTTTTGAAATCGATTGACTGTGAGTTAATATTCATATTAGGATTATAATTTGAAATTATATTATTTGTTTCATTTCTCTGTAAACTCTTCTTTTTTTGTCTTTTATTCGCATTTCTTCTACTACTTAGATTATTTTTCCTCTTTTGACTAGTCATAACTTCAGTAGTACTAGGAACTACTGAAGCACTATCTTTTCCCACCATAAACATATTTTTATTATTTTCATTTTTTGAATAAGCTGTATTATTGTTAGAATTTGTATCATCTAGTAGGAAATAATCTGGGAATGTGTTTGATGGTTTAACCATATTGATATTTATATTATTTTTATCAAATGCTTCTTGATAGATACCAATAATGTCAATATCATTATTTTTATTCATCTTATTATCAGCCTTTATACTATTATTGGGATCTTTAAATTTAGAAACCATCATTGGTAAGAAAGTGGAAGTTGAGTCAGACTTAGGATTTGTGTCAACAGGAATCCCTTTGTTAGTATTAGATAAATTGTTATTCTTTGGTGTTGTAGTATAATTAGAGGTATCATTTTTATATGAAATTGGCATATGACTACCTTCAAAATTATTGAAGTTAAGATTTGTAGTCATTGACTGTAAGGGGCTTACGTGGTTATTAACATTAAAATTTGTAGAATCTGCTGTAATACTAGAATTTGAACCGTTATTATTATTATTATTATTATTATTATTATTATTATTATTATTATTATTATTATTATTATTATTATTATTATTATTATTATTATTATTATTATTATTATTATTATTATTATTATTATTATTATTATTATTATTATTATTATTATTATTATTATTATTATTATTATTATTATTATTATTATTATTATTATTATTATTATTATTATTATTATTATTATTGAATTCGAGGTCATTTTCCACTTCACTGTTTGTAGAAAGCAAACTATGATCTTGGTCTAAACCGGGAATTAATTTAATGTTTGCATTACCTTTACCACGTCCTTTAATACCTTTATTTGAATTTTTATATAATGATGCAAAGTATTCTAGTAATTGCCTATCATGCTCGGGCATATCATCAGTCTGTGGATTCCATTTAGCCAAAATATTTGTCAGGTGTAGTACTGTATCTTTATGGAACCTATTTTGGTGTGCCTTCATGTTCCCTAATTGTGTAAAAGTTTTGTTACAGTTCTCTAACTTACAAATAAAGGGTTTTGTATCATTATGTGTAAACATATGCGCTTTAAGATTCCCTTTCCTAGAAAATTTTCTCTTACATATATGACATTCATATGGTCGTAACCCAGTATGTAATTTTTCATGCGTTCTCAAATTTCCACCTTGAGTAAATCGTTTCTCACAGAATCTACATTTAAACGGTTTATAACCTAAATGAGATCTTAAATGGACTTGAAGATGTGTCGACTGTTTAAAAACATGTTGACAATACGGACATACATTTCTATTAATCAGCTGTTTCTCTTCTGAAGATAACTCTTCAATATTAAAGAAATTATTCAATCCAGTAATATTCAAGTTGTTTTCATTACTTGTGTTTGGTGATAAAGGAGTATTTGGATTAAGCTTATCTTGATCAATACTTTCTGCAAGATTAATTTTGGCACTATCTAATTCAGAATCAGATTTTAATAATCCTTTTAATATCGATTCAGAATCGCTTTGGTTTCCTGATATTGGTCTTGAAAGAATTATGTCCTTCTGAATAGGTGAGAGAGTCGAAATATCTCTATCTTTACGTTTGGTGATACCTCCAGCTAAGATTTTTTTATCTGGAACAATATTTGGATTTTCATCTAATAATAATTCACCTTCCTTGTCGGTTTTAATTTCATCTGTGATACCTTTTTGTCTGGCTTGAAGCATTAACATTAATTGATCAATTCTTGTTTCACCCAGCGGTGTCTCAGATTTATCATAGAATGATGTGTTTGCATTGGATTGTTCCTCTTTTATTAATGTGGATTTCTCAATGCTTGCAGGCTTGTTTTTCTTAATAGCCCTTTTTTTCTTACTATTCGTTTGCTCCAATGTATTTTGTTCATTTAATAAGGGAGAAATACTGGCAGGTGATAGAATATTTAGATTATCAGTAGTGATATTAGTAGTAGGAGATGTAGTTTTGTCACTATTATTTCCTTCTAAATAATTATCTATTGATTCTGTATTAATAACTGGAATAGTCATTTTATCACCAAACAATAAATTATTTAAAGAAGAATTTCTTTTACTATATGAATTTGATCTTGATTTTTCTATAATTATGTTATTATTGTTAGTGATATTATTGTTGTAATTGGAAAATGATCCATATGGATTCAATTTAATAAAATCTTTAGGTTGAGTGGATAAAGGACCAATATCATCTGTATTTGCAGTTATATTAGTGGATGTACTGGTGATTGTATTTGAACTAGAGTTAGAATCAGCAAACAATTTATTGGAATCCAAATCTTTTAGTATCATAGAAGATGTTTTCTCATTATTGAGAAAATCATAATTATTAAATGATAACGGATTAAAGTTATTATTACCATTAGTATTGTTTGTTGTTGGATAGGTCCAATCAAAGGATTTTAAATCATTTGGATCCATAAAAAGTATAGAAGATTTTCTTTTGGGTTTAATGAAATTTAGATTTGAACTAGCATTTAAAGAAGTGTCTAAAATAGTATTTAAATTCGCATTAAATAATTCTCCACCATTACTTATATTTATAGTATTATCAGTATTATTTCCAGTGTTGGTGTTATTATTATTATTAGTGTCTGCCGATTGATTTGAATTGAAAATGCTAGAATTAAAAACAATGTTATTTTGATTGATAGTATTATTATTTAAATATACATCATTTAAATTAATATTATCGTTTTTATTATTATTGTTATTTATGGTGGCTATGCTGGATGGAATAGAAGATAATCTATATTTTGTATTGAATACTGGGATATCTTGGTTGAGAGCAGGTAAAATCTGTTGATTTTGATACGATTGTATGTTATTATAATTAGAGGTAGAATTATTATATGCGTTTTTAACATTACCAGCACCATTCTTATTATTATTAGTACTAAAGATCATATTATTGTTAAATATCGAAAAGCCTCTTATAAATTGATTCAGTTGAGGATCCGGGGGAAGTATATCTGTGTGAGACACACTATAGCGTGCATACTGTGGTTCATTCTGTGCTGGCACAGTATTATCAATATTATAGGACAAAATAGTGGGAGCAGTAGTGGGCGTAATATTATTATTGTTGGTACTGAACATAGCTAGTTATAACAGGGGAAAAACTTATAGCTACTATCAATATAAATTTATAAACAGTTTTATTAGAAAAAAGATAACAATAAAGTATTAGATAAAATAAACGGTTAATTGAATATGGAATATATGAATATGAATATAATAAATGTAAATCGAAATGGATAAGCAAAAAAGGGGAAAAAAAGGACAAATAAACAAAAGAAAAATCAGTGGATATTTGAAATACCAGATGGAATATCTTATAATATTTATATTTATATATCTCTATATTGGTTAAATAATTAGATCCAGGATGTGGAGAAAGATGAAATATTCTTTTATTCAAAGCGATTTCTACCGAAATCTATTTGTATAGCTGATGTTATTTGGTGTATTCTCTGTTAATCTGTTAATCTATTAATAAAGAGGGAAATATATACCTTCTAAAAGTTTTATAGAAGAAAATATAACAGGGTATAAGGATGTTAGTGCTACAGACTCTAGTGTTCCCTCAGTGCACCAATAATAAATTAAAGTAGCATACACTCACACACTTTCTCTCTCTATTTCCCTATTCCTTCTTTAACCCTTCTCTGTAGAGTCATTAGGAAATCCGCAGTTGATTTCCCACAAAAAAAAAAACAAAAAAATTATAAATTAAAAAAAAAAAAAAAAAGATTACTAAAATAAATGGGAGTTTGGGGACAGATCAAAATATCGGAGTTCAAGAAGAATGGGGAAGTAAATCCAATATCGAACAATAAGCAATACGTATTGAGTATATATGTACAAAGAGTCATAATATGTGTAGAGGATGGAATAGATTGTTTGATAAAATTCTGAGAATAACATTACAAAACCAATGTACGTATATATTTTATACAGTCATATATATTCAAAATGGATTGAAGACGGAATGGGATTACCAATCATCATCCCATGCATCGTCAAATTGCTGTTCTTGTTGTTCTGTAAACTCTTCCTCATTGGATACCTTTCTTGTTATAGATGACTTAGTTGCTATTAAAGTCTTCTTTGATTTTATGCTGTTATTGCCTAAAATTGATTTAGCTTTGTTAGCATTGCTTTGATTTAATATAGACCTTTTTTTTGCTGCCTTACTATTCTTCAATTGAATGTTTCCTAAAATTCCGGTATTTTTTTTTGATGTAGTACCATCATTTGTTATCGTTAGTTTCTGCATTGAATTGTTAATATTTGAATTGTTTAAAATGGATGGTTTTTTATTAATTGAATGAGAGGGTCTGGTAGGTTCATTCCAATCATCAAAATCATCTATCCAACTGTTGTCATGATTATTATTTGTAACAGTAGTAGATATATTATTGAATGTTTTTTCATTGGAAAAAAACCCCTTTGCATATGAATTATCTTCTTGATAGTCATAAAATCCATTTTCATCTTTATTTGATTTTAAGCCATTCATGAATTCTTCAATAATACTATCCACAGCTTTATTTCTATCTGTGTCTGCATTTGTCGATTCAAATTCTCTTATATAATTATCAATAACACTAGTATCATTACCGATATCTTTCTCTTCGCTCTCTGCATTTTCCCCACTACTGCTTGCAAACTTTAAATCTGCCTCAGTTTCCAATTTTTTTAAATATATACTGAACAATTCCTTGGCCTTCATTCTTATAATTTTATCTTTATCCAGTAAACCAGGCGCAATAACACTAAGGATCTTATTAGCTATCACTTCCACGTTAAACAAATCAACACTAACTTCTAAACCATACAATGCAGCCATTTTGGTAGTAACACATGGATCTTTTAACGATTTAGTGTAAATTGTGGCTAAAACACTGTCTCTATTATTTATACCTGTCAATCTATGTGATATTTTAATTAAAACAAATACTGTCCATGTTCTTATATCTTCTTCTTGATCCACCTGGGTTTTTGCAATAGACCTTAATATCTCATTGTTTAATTGCCTCTCTGTGATCTCTTCTAAGATATATGGGATGGTCTTCAATGTCTGTAACCTTAATACTTTATCGGTATCTAGCATACCTTGTAAGAAAAATGTGAAACATCTATTACTGAAATCCAAAGTCTTGGTCGGCAAGCAATCAAGTAGCTTAGGCAAAAAGATCAATAAAATAAATCTAATTTGTCTGTCATTAGCTTTAAAGAACAGATATATCAACTCTTTAATATCATTGTTAATGATGACCGTATCCGAATTCGATGAGACAGGATGATATTGTGCAATTAAATCTAATAAAATCGTTAACAATTTAATTAAATCACCATTGAACATTTGCAATCCATTATCAATTGACATAATCCACTTTAGAGTACTCACAATCTCAGGTATAATCAGATTTTCAATGAAACCGGTGGTTAATCCCTGAAACTGTTTTCTATCATGGCATCCAACATAGTAATTTTCAAATCGTTTCATCAAAATCAATTTATCTTTATCTGTTTTAATATGCAACTCTTTTAATTCGTTATATATGAATAATAGTTCATTGCGTGTCCATAAATTAGTAGCTTCTACTTGTTGAATAAATCTTTTCATTGATAATGTACCTTGAATCATTGATCTGATCAAAGATTGCAGATCCTTGGGAACACTAATACCAGATATCGTATATATCTGGTTGATTAAATGGCCCAATAATATACTATCTATTAAGTGGGGTTCGGTTGAATTGGATAAGTCCTCCAAATCGAACAGAGTGTTTTGATCATTACTATTACAAATTTGATTCCAAAGTCTAATATGGTCTTTAAATTGGAAAGAATCAAATTTGTCATCAGATTTGTTAAAACAACATTCCAAACCAAATAATACCCATCTCCCATTTTTGTCTACGTAAATATTATTTATTGAGAGATTCCCTATAATGAATAAGGGATCAATGACACCAAACAATTTGAATAAATCAAAAAGACCAAGTAAAATCCCTTGAGAATTGACTGCATTAGATATCAATTGTGGCTGTAAAGGCTTTACAACTTCAGTAACCACAAAAATGTCATTTGAACCATTCCTTTCGTCAAACACATCCAATACAGAACAGATACCAGGGACTCTAATGACCTTACTCATATAAGCAGCATGTGAAACAAGTCTTTTCAAATCTTGCTCGGAAGTCATAGATAATCTTATATTAGCATTATGGGTATTGTTAGTGGAAGAGAGTCTGCCTTTAAAGATAGTCACTGGCTCTGAATCAGTCTTACGTTTGCCTTCATATAATTCCCATAATGGAGTAGTATGATATGGTTCAGATGCAATAGAATATGGGAATTGATAATTAGTCAGATTTTTAAATAGTGATCCAATATTCATAGTGTTTTGATTGGTGAAAGATTTTTATTCAATTATAACTGCAACGGGAATCCATCAAATAATGCAGATACTTGCTTTAACTCTATTTGTTGAACTGTGCTGGTTCCTGCACCTAACCTATTAACTAATAGATATGTTTGTCTGCTTGTTGATCTTATCATAGGTATTATCGAGCTGAAAGGAACTTAAATAGAGAAAGATCAATTAAACAAACAAAAATGAAAAAAAAATTCTTATTAAGGTAAACCAGATTACAATAGAAGAATACTCGAAAGATATTTAACATATTAGGCACCTAAAAAGGGCTGATATAGACATCTGTTTAGATAACCAGTGTTGTTTATTTTCACTGGCCTTGGATATGCATATATATTTTTACATATATGTACCTACTAGAAAAAATGATTGACTTGTTTGAGTGAAGATACGAAATGAAATAGTTCAATTGAATATATAAACATATATATATAGATTAAATAGTATACAATGAGATATCTGTTCAAATAGATGGAACTACCTCATTAGTTTATAAGATGTAACAATGTCTTGTACGTTTTATTGACAGGTAACCCAACAACGTTATAATAATCACCTTCTATCCCCTTTATTAAAACTGCAGAAGATCCCTGTATTTTGAAACCACCTGCTACATGTAACCCATCTTTGGAGTCAACATATGTTTTAATTATATCCATTGGGATATCAGGATCAAAATAAATCTTAGTAATCTCTTCAAATTGATGAATAACCAGAGTCGTCTTATCTCCTATATCTTTACAATCCTTAATCAAAGCCACAGATGTAATAACTTTCACAGATTCATCACCAACACATTTTTTTCCATAGCTATAACAAAACTTAGTTAAATATTCTAATTGTTTCTCCTGCGTAATGGGCTTCTCATATATCTGATTCTCTGGACCAACAACAATAGTATCGGCACATATTATAATTGCACCAAGTTCCTTCGTACTGTACCTTCCTGGGTAGTATTCCTCAAGGATACTTTTGGCCTTTAAACGGCATGTGTCATGAACATACTTTAATGGATCATCTTTATACAAATTTTTATCCAAATCTTCTTCAAAAGAAGGCTTCAACACTTTTATGTCATGAATATTTAGATAATCTTTTAAAAGGTCATATCTTCTAGAAGATGAGGATCCTAATATGATATCATACTTAGCTAATTCTCTAGTCATGTTGGTAAAATTCATTTTTATTGATTCTTCCAGGTACTTTTTAACAAGGCTCTATGGCAAAAACGTTTTTTTTTTTATTATTACTTCTTCTTTTTGTGGTCAGTTAATGTTGAATCATGAAGTTGTAACCATCAGGTACCATTGCTATGAATCGTATACCTGTTAATAATTAATGCATTTAGTTATATTTTTATTTTTATTTTTTGTTTTGTTTTGTTTTACTAAAATGCTTGTGCTTTAAGAAGAAAGATAACTAGAGATATAAAGATATTCAAATGTTAAGAATAAACATACACGTACCCACACAGTAAAATTGTTTATTTTTTTATCTATACAAGCAATGTATAATTAACTTAACTTTGTAGAATAGTTACATATATGGATGTTCATACAGGATGTAATCCAGTTAGAACAATTCTATCTTTGATTCTATATATCATTTCACCATGTTTATCAGGATCAATATTTAAGTTATATCCACTAAATTCATCACTTTTTGTACTGTAGTTCATTGTAACATCCATACTTTGTTCTTGATCCTCTGAAGACTCAGTTTTATCTTTTTGTTCTTTATCACTGCGATCGTAAACGCTATCATTCTTCATAGCCTTGTCATCATCAATATTCTTTTTGTTGTTCTCTTCATCTTCTAGTTTCTCATCTTCATCTTCCTCATCATCATCATTAGTATGATTACCAATACCATGAATGTTATTATTTTTAGTCTTATTATTTATAGAATTTCTATTTCTTTTATGTAATATGGCCTCATTGGGGAATGCTAATTCTGTACCAACCAATTTTCTCCAGTCACCTTCATATAATTTATTACCTATCCTAATTAACGGTTTATCTTGATTCAATCCAGAATATTGAAAGGTAGCATTTTTTTCAACGGTCAATCTATCTTTATAGAATCCTGAATTTAAATCTAAACTTACATATACAGTCTCTGTATTTTCTTTATCTTCCTCCTGTTCTTTGTTTAGGTTGGTCTTATTATCACTCTTTTGACTACTATCATCGTTTAGACTTTTTTTAAAATACCATGGTTTTTCTTCACCATTTCTTAAAAACACAGTATTACCATTCATCGTAATTTTCCATTTAAAGTCTAAAAGCGATAGATCACTAGATGATCTATTATCTATATTCACAAGATCATCTAATTCATATTTATCTAACGAACAACATCCACTTCTAATAGTTACAGAGTCATAATTGTGTTTACAATCAATTACATCCAATAAATCTCGATAACCTAACAAATTTAAACCTAAAGATATTTTTATTGGAGCATGTGTAAGCAGAAGTATGTTTTCTGCATCAGGCATTTCTTTTTCCAGATGTTCCTCCAACAATTGCAAAAAGGTCTGTGTTCTTTTATGTAGCTCCTCCTTTGTCTCTCCTTTTATCTTATCATGTTCCTCTCTGTTCTTTAAATACGGATCAACACAATCTTTCCACGTAGTCTTAATTGAATTGTTAAACAATTTATTCAATGTTGTCACGTCACTTGGTGGGTGAATACCATTATTCTTATCTATATCATTGTGTTGATCAGTTGACAAAACAGAACTAAGAAAAGTAGGTCTAATTGAGTTAGTAACTTCATCCCTCGTCTCAAACCATTGGCCAATACCTTTGTCAGTATATAACGGAATATCTAACAATTTGGCAATATAATGTGCTGTTTCTACACAACGATAATATGGCGATGATATGATTAAATCAGGTTGTGTGTCTAATGACAATAGGTAATGTGCCAACTCTTTGGATTGTAAAACACCATGTGAAGATAATGGTGTATCTCCTGGTATACCAGTTGGAGGGATCAATAAACTGTCAGTGGTATCCTCGTGTGAATCCCATGCTGAATCGTAACCATGTCTGGCAATATAAATTGTTCTTAACATCATTTTCCAAGTATCTAATGACGTATATGTCTATTAATCAGCACCAAAGAATTATTAACTAGGGTAGAGTGGTTTTTTTTATTACTACCTGATGGTTTCCAGATGTGTCTGTATATTTTTTTCTAAAACCACTCTTCATTAAGATATTCTGTAAATCTGTTGATCATCTGCTATTTCTTATTTAGTTATCTTCTGTATCTTGAAATTTTCGATTATCAAGAAAAAAAAATCCCTAAATTTAAAGAGCATGTACAATGAATGAATTATGTTATTTGTGTAGATTAAATTATGACGGAAGGTAGTTGAAAATCAGGTAAATTGGTATTGAGCATTGATACCGCTACATTAGTGTTAAAAAAGAATAATCATTATACATATAATATTTTTAAAGAGGATTCATTGTACCTCTTTCCTGATTATTTTTACTTTCTTCATTTTCCATTCTCCCCTTCCCTTTCTCCTTTAGAAGAATCATGGCTGCTCAACCTAGTAGTAAAAGAATCAAGACATTATCTGTCTGTAGACCTATTATATATGGCAATACTGCCAAGAAATTAGGTTTAAATAGACCAAATAACGCACCAGCAGAGCATACTCATCTATGGACAATATTTGTTAGAGATCCAAGAGGCGAGGATATCTCGTATTATATCAAAAAAGTTGTCTTTAAATTACATGAAACATATCCTAACCATACAAGAGTTATCGAAGCTCCTCCTTTTGAATTGACAGAGACTGGATGGGGTGAATTTGATGTGCATATTAAGATCCATTTTATTGACGAAGCAAATGAAAAAATGTTAAATCTGTATCATCGATTAAGGTTACACCCATATGATAATCAACCAATATCAGATAGTGTGGAGATTAATGAAGCTGGAGAGACTATTATAAAATCAGTTTTCTTTGATGAAATTGTGTTTAATGAACCTCATGAAAACTTCTTTCAAATCTTGATGTCGAGACCTGGTAACTTATTACCTTCAAATAAAACTAAAGATAATGTATTTTCTAAACAACTGGAACAAGAAGAAATATATCGAATCAGAAAAGGCATTGCTGAAATTGATAAACAAATAGTTGAATTACAAGACAAAATAAAGGAAAGAATGGGTTCAAGTTAATTATGCCAGGAAAAGAGATATACTTTATAGAATTAAAAGGAATAGAATTGATGGGCAAAGGCATGTAGCGGTATTAAACAAATATTTAGATTAAATTTAGCCGGAGCAAGATAAATTATAATTGTGGAATTTTTTTAATATTATAATATTGGTTGATTTTCTTGTGATGATATTGTGAATTTTTTATCTCCTGAGTATGAAAAATACATAAAAACTAGTATGAATTATCTAAGAGTTCATCTTAGTATAATTTATAATTATATATATGTAGTTGTGCGATCTTATACATATACCTAAATATATACAATTGTGCATACAATATTTGTAAACACTTTCTTTTTACTTTTTTTTCTTTGTTCTTTTACTTCTCAATATGTGTCTGGTAACTTTCATTATGCTTCCATGAAACAGGTTTTGTAAAACATGATCTCAGAGGTTCATTAAACCTATTTTGGTGTTAGTGGTTGCCATGAATTTAAAGATAATCTATGTATAGAATCCTTTGAATTATTATTATTTTGTGTTAAATCATTGTTGGTGTTGTTATCTGTTATAGGTACTTGGTTAGATTCCTTCACTACCACGTTATTTATATTGCTATTAGCAGCAATATTTTCATCATTCTTATTACTAGAAGATGAATTTGTATTAGAGTTGGTAGTAACTGATGTAGGGGTAGATGATCTATTTTTTGGTATCAAAATAATATTACTATCAAATCCAGGTGGTTCATGTATCACTTTATTAGTGGCAGGTAAAGAAGTTACACTTTTGTGCATATCATGGGTAATACCGTGGCTATCATTAATAGATGGAGTAATAGTTGTTGGTGGTGGTGAAGGTCTTGTTAGTCTATTTGTTTTAATATTAGTTACTCCACTTTCTAAAGATCTAACCGCAGTAGGTATTTTATTATTAGAAGCGGATTGCATTGGAGATGATACAGTTTTATTCATAGATAAAATTGGCGGTGGAGGAGGACGTAATATTGGTTTTGTCATAGATCCACTTGGATTTGTTGCAATAGACTCGAGTTTTGTCATTTTATCATTACTTTCTTTCTTTGGTTGCATTACAGGGGGTGATAAAGATGATGCTATTGATGCTGATGAAGAAGAAGCAGTTGCCGATGCAACTAGACTTGTTGTTCTTGATGGGTCTAACGTCAATCTTGTCGAAGAATTTCCATTAATGTCATTACTGTTATTGTTTGGCATATTTAAAAAACTTAAATCTGATAATGAGGTGTTCATAGATGGAGGATTTTCTTGGCTATCTTCTAACCCTAAATTAAGAAGTTGAGAAGTTATTGTACTAGTTTCATTAGGATGCATTTTTTTATAATTTTCAAATAATTGCTGAGTTAATTCAATTTTTTTCGTTTCATCGACATGTTTTACTTTAGCTTTATATGCGCCAAAGACAGGTTTGTGATCACTGATTAATAATTGTACATCAGAATAAGCTAATGGCTGGATATTTTGGCCTTTATAAACGATCCTGTCAGTCCAAGATGGAGTTCTTGCTTTTTCTGAAGAATCATATCTTCCTGTTCCATTATCAAATTTATATGTGGGTCTGAATTTAATTTCTGGCTCAACAAAATCTTTGAGGATTCTACCACCTTTCATCTCCTGAATCAATTGATCATAACGTAATAATCTAGATAAATAGCCTTCAGTCTTATTATTCAATTCTCTTCTTACATCATCATTGGGTAAATTTAATCTAAAATTTGTATCACCCAACCAAAATATAGAATCATGATTATTAATAGTATTTGATCTGGTGAATAAAATACCTCTTTGAATATTCTCATAATCATTTCTACGATCTTCTATATTATTAATGCCTGCAGCGAAATGTACGTTTACAAAGCAAAATGATGTTTGTGCAAATTTGAATCTAATAGCTACCGCACCTTTATTTCCTGCCATCCCGCCAAATCCAGTTTTTTTACTTGCACCTTCCACCTGTTTAACATATTTAGCTTTATCGGACTTAACAAAAAATACTATTAGCATGGATGTAACTTGTTCTACTCTTAAAAGGATGTATTTATCATTATATTGATTTAAGCATTCGCTAACCATATTCTCCCAAAAGGATCTTTTAGAATAGTCTGCGTTCAAGATAGAACCAGCAGTTAATTCTATGACTTCTTGTAAACCCAAAACAACTATATCTGGCTTAAATTTTTCCCCAATAGGGTACAGCCATTTTGATAAATCCAGTTTCCGTGTATTCCCGTTGGCATTAAAAGTTCCTACAAATAGATTAATAACAGAGTAGGAAGTGAATTTTTCTGACATTCTTTCTAATTCTGATGTTACATATTCATTAACTGGATCATATAATTGTACCGGAACTTGATGAGGTAATCTACCTAATAAAGTATCGATATTCTGTTGTTTTCCCTTGTCCATGAAATTGTTTATATACATTCTACTAACAGATTTCGTTGCATCAGATAAAGCACCAGCTAAGGACATTTTCCCTTTTCTTGAAAAAGAAGATTTTAAAGCATTCGTACCAGTATAAATTTGGGAGATCATATCACCATGATCAGCCCATAATGTGTTATGTATATTCACGAAATCTTCTTCATCAATGTAGGTATTTTCTGGTATAAGTTTGTAATCTTGTAGAAAGGATTTAAATGCGGCTAACGAGATCACCTGCTGAACTAAGTTTGTTCTGTCTAAACAATCCAAACAATTGGTTCTAAATATTCCATGTTGTTCAGATAAAACTTTCTTTTCTTGAATATTGTAGGCAAAATAACCCTGTCTCAAAATAGCGTCCATGATTTTGGGTATCAATCTAAAAACTGCAGAAAAACCCTCTTGAGATGTTTCGCGATGAAAATCAAAAGGTGTATAATAAACATTTTCATTTAAATGGATCTTTTTGGAACAAGTAATGTGCTCTTTATATCTTTGTGATAATTCAATCTCAGAAGATTTAGTTGAAAGCAAGTTGACAACATGAACGGAACCATATTTCTTTATGAGTTTTAGGAAATGCTTGTCTAAAACGGGTTGTGTAGCTTCAATGGATCTTGTAATTTGAACTTTGGGATTTAACAAAGATGTATCTTGTTCCCAAAAAACAGGAATACTACCTCTAATTTGACTAAAGGAAAAACAGATATTTTTGGAATACATTATAAATTCAGTCTCTACAAAATTAGCAACATTACTATCATCATCAACACCACGAGCATTAAATCTAGTTCCCGCTCTTTTCCAGCTTTGTTTACATATAACTGTTAATGCAACTTTAGTGTCTTTAATATAGGTTACAAATGTCTCGGCAAACCCTCTAATAACAGTAGTTAAAAATCCTTCATCATCTAATATTTGCTTTGCATGATTATCTAGTCTATCCCTATAAGTAATAATTTCTTGCATTAAAAAGGAATTCCACATATATTCATCTTCATAGTTATCTGAGCTTAAGGAATGAGTACCCACTCCTCTATTCTGTAAAGTAGATGTTAAATCAAAGTCAGAACTATAGTAAAAGGAACCATTTGAAAGTAATTTTTTTAATTCAAAACATGGATGTTTTGGCAATGTGAGATTACTGCTACTATACTGTTGGTCAAAACTATTTGAGTTGGAGTCGTATGGATCTGATAAAATTGGGTAGCCAGAAGAATCTAATTCAAAGAAATCCCAGGTTGAGTCGTTCAAACAGAAAAAATCCACAGAGTGAATCTTATTAACATTTTCCTTCGGGATAGGAGATGCCACTCTTGATTTACCAGTAATGGCACCAATAAATATCAAGCCATCCACTTCAATAAGGCCAATAAAACCATGTATTTCCTTAGTAGATAGTTCGATAAAATGTTGAGAATCTATAATATTTTTATTTACCAGTTCAATAGCACAATATGGTTTATCTTTTAATTTGTTGGATTTATGGTTATGGACTGCTTTAAATATTAAAGCATATTCATTCGAAAGAATACCAATTCTCCTTTCTGGATTATCTGATAGGAGAAGCTTCATTATTTGTCAATTGGCAATATCCAAATGTTAAGCCAAGAAGCTAAAAAGGTAAATAAATATGAATAGCCCTAAACAGTTAGACAAGTGATTGTGGTTTATTACTTTATTTGTTAATACTCACCAGGCAATATAACTTATTATGCATTATTTTTGTACTTAATCCTTTTTTTCTATGTGTTTTCTTTATCAGTTTTAATTTTTGTTATATCATGAATTTTTCTGTGCCCATTTCAAATGAACATAGTTTAATTTTTCTGTCAATAAAGGAAAAAAAATATGTCAAAGGGGAATTTGAAAAATATATATAGAGAAATTCCAATTAAGTTATAGAAATTAGTACTATAAACAATTAGATCATAAGTGATACGTAGTATATATATTTATGTGCAATTATATATAAATCTATGGAATTAACTTTCTTTTTTTTTTTTATTTTGAACGATACATTACATTCTTCCTACAATATATTCTTATATCATTTTTTATTTCATTATTCAAAAAAAAATTTTAAGTTTAACTTGGCAGTTTGATATCACCTTTATGAATAATGTTATTAATAGTAGCAAATATGGCTTGAACAGAAGAATCGCTAACATCCTCTGATACACCAACACCCCAAGAAAAGACGTGTTCATCATCTTCATTACGTCTGTATTTTAGTTGAATATAGGATGCGGCTTGTGTAGAGGAACCAGACCCTAAGGAATGTTCACTGTAATTCTCTACACTCAAATGAACATTAAATAAATTAGACAAAGCATTGACCAAAGATGAAATAGGACCATTACCTTCACCTTCAATAGAAATTACTTTATCATTGATTTCTACTTGTCCAGTAAGAATTCTACGTTCGCTGTTCAGTTTTTTGACATCATAGTCTAGTAAAGAAATATATCTATGAGCCTCATTATTGTAATTGTATGTGTCTTTAAACAACTTGGTGATTTCAGTAGCTTGCAATTCTTCTCCAGTGGAATCTGCCTTTTCTTGTACTATAGTTGAAAACTCAATTTGCATCAATCTTGGTAGATCCAAACCTAAAGCTCTTAAAATAACCCATGCTGCTCCACCTTTTCCAGATTGTGAGTTGACTCTGATAATAGCTTCATAATCTCTACCTACATCTTTTGGATCCAATGGTAAATAAGGAATTCTCCAGTAATGGTCACCATCACGCCTTCTTTTCTTCTGTAGCGCAAAACCTTTCTTGATCGCATCCTGATGAGATCCAGAAAATGCACAGAATACTAAATCACCACCATATGGGGCTCTTTGTGGGATTGGAATTTTATTACAACGTTCAACCACTTCTATTAAGGAATTAATATTTGAAAGATCTAAATTGGGAGCAACACCTTGAATATACATATTTAATGCTACAGTCACTAGGTCCACATTCCCAGTTCTTTCACCATTATCAAAGATACAACCTTCGACACGATCTGCACCCGCCATTAAAGCCAGTTCAGTGGCAGCTACAGAACAACCTCTATCGTTATGTGTATGTGTAGATATACAAACTTTATTCCTATCTTTGATATGGGTTGCGAAATATTCTATTTGGTCAGCGTAGACATTTGGAGTGGAAACTTCTACTGTGGCAGGTAGATTAAAAATGATTGGATTATCTTCAGTTGGTTCCCATGCATCTAAAACAGCATTACAAATTTTGACAGAAAAATCCACTGGGGTATCACTGAAACATTCAGGAGAAAATTCATATGACCAGAGAGTATTTTGTTGGTTGGGATCATCTTTAGTCATGCTTCGTACTAGTTTAGTGGTTTCCACAGCTTTCTCTATAGCTTGTTCCTGAGACATTTGAAATACAATATTTCTAAACATATCACTAGTAGCTAGGTATGTGTGTACTGTAGCCTGTTTAGCACCTTTCAAAGCGTCTATGGTTCTTTCTATTAAATGTGGTCTTGATTGTACTAGAGCTTGAATTGTGACATCGTCAGGTGCATTCTCTACAGCATATTTGGTAAATTCGAAATCTGTCAAAGATGCAGATGGGAAAGCCACTTCAATTTCTTTAAATCCAATTTCAATCAATTTATGGAAATATTCTTTTTTTTGTTCCATATTCATTGGATCAGGTAATGATTGGTTTCCATCCCTTAAGTCCGTAGACAACCATCTTGGAGCCTTTGTTATTCGTTTATCTGGCCATGTTCTATTTGGCAAGTTTATAGCTATATATGGTTTATATTTGGTGTATGGATCTTTTAGCATATTTTTATAAGGCATATTTTGTTGCAACGTTCTAGTACCAGTGTTTGTATTTATAGTATTTGTGTATTTTGGAGTAGTACTGTGGATGATTCTAATAGAACTGGATAATTTTGATACAATTAAATTAGATCTTTTCATGATTAAAAGGAGAGAGAAGAAAAAATGCAATGGTTAAAAACGTTTTATTTTTTTTTTATTAATATTAGAATAATCTATAAGTTGGATATATAAGTAGGTTATATCTGTATATGTATGCAATAAAGGAAGGCAGGTAAAACAAATGAAGAAAAAGAAAGAAAGAAAAAAAAAAAGGGGGGGGGGTAAAACGATATGAATTGGTTGGTTTAATCAGATTTCTTCAAAATAGAAATCAAAAGAGATTTATGATAGATAAGAATTAGGGAATTTCAAAAGGAAGATGAATAAAGATAATAATTATCTAAGAAAGAGGATTGTGGAGGAAATAAAGCAAAGGGAAGAATTCAGAATATTAGTTGAAAATGGGCGTATTGAACAAAACAGATTGCAAAGTCAGTAAAATAAAGATATAATTGCAGAAATAATGCTGTCAGTTTTCTGTTCGCAATATTATAAGCTTTTGTCTTCCTTCTTTGTAGGTTTTTGTTGTTGTTGCTTTTTAGATTCTGTTTTTCATAATAATAAAGGATTCTTGAATACTTAATATAAAAGATTGGTTCCATAAAAGGGAGTTCGAGTCAGGGATCAGATAAACCAGGTTTTTTTAACTCTATTATTAATTTTGGTCTTTGAAGATTCGATGTTCGAATAACATAGTCGTTGGATAAAACATATCGTGCCTTTGGTATTTTTTTTTCTTGTGTCATCTCTTTTTTTTTTTTTGTTCTCTTTTTCCTTGTTGAAGAAGGAAGGGAAGAGGGTAGACGATTCTTCATCGAATGTAAAACTTAAGAAGAGAATCATTTGGCACGAGTCTCACACATATACATTTTTCTGGATGTAAATATATATCTTCCAACATCCGACAAATTATATAAAAATTAAGAACATATATGAGGGATATATGAGGGTTTGATTGGGTTATGATAACATAATTAATGATAATTGTATTATTTAAATATATTATTTATGTGCATGCAAATATTTTATAAAAGAAAAAAAAAAAGGAAAATATATGAAGTAAAATTATTTATATATGCAGAATAGGATGATTTCAATAATATAAATTAAAGCAATCATCTTTGGAAATAGTTATGAAAAATAATGACGCTGTGGGGAGTTAGCTTTCGATCAAAGTTTTTTTTTTTAAATGAAAAAAAAAAAATGAAAGAAAAAGTATGAAGAGATGAAAGAAGGAAGAAACAATGGTGTGTAGAGAAGAAGGAAATAAAAGAATTGTCTTCTTGTGCTACTGCCATTGCCACAGACCGCTAGCTACTATATTTGGATTGTTTTCTTAATCTTACTGAAAAACTTTCTGCTTTTTAGTAAAATTGAAATATTTGAGTCTCGTGTAGACTCTCTTGCTGTTAGAATCAGTACGTTTTTTTCCTTTAAATTATTACACGTTTTAGGATGAGCAGATGTAGTAGAATCAATATTTTTCTTCTTAGATAAGCTTTTCATGTGTTTATTTGATGGTTTCCAACTAATGTTGTTAGAGACTTTATTTTCGTTTCTCTTTGTCTTGGTAGTGGTAGCAGTAGTAGTATCAACACTAGAATTAGTTGTATTAGTGGTGGTTTTAGTGGTTGTAGTCTCTATTGCATTCTCTAGGAGCAATTTCCTTCTTTCCCATTCCTCAGGTGTTGTTTGTTGAATATATTGAATAAATCTAGTATATGCATCTAAGAGTAGTCCCAAGATATGCTGGATGGCTTGAATAATATAAATTTGTTTAGGTGGGATTTCTCGTCTATGACAATCATCAAACAAACCTCTAATATATTGTGGTAAGTTACATTCCTTAGGAGAATCGACTTTGATGAAAATATTATAAATCTGATCGTCCCACAATTCCAAATTGAAAGTTGAATACATGTTTGATGATATGGTAGACACGATAGAATTCGATCTTAAAGATTTCTTATCATCGTACAGTAAGAATTGTTTTGTCATTATGAAAAACTCTAAATTCTCCTCACAGTGTGTTTTAATTAAAAATTTATTGAACTCTTTTAATGTGTAAGGGTAGTCGTTTATTATGTTGCTGTTATTATCCTTTGTGAAGTCTGGTAGATCATTAATCTGTGGTGGATCTATTTTCTCTAAGGAGTGATACATATCGTTGTTCATATTATAGTTGGTAATAATATTCCTGTTATAATTATGAATCCTATCTGGTTCAATATAATTTAACTCAGACAAAATATCATATAAATTCGGCGGTGTTTTCATGTTGATATATCATTTATAATGAATTGGCAAATTTGAAAATATGTGGGTTGGCAAAAAAGAAAAAGTTTATTATTTATAGTTTTGGTTTTGATACTAATAAAAGTTGTTTTTTTTTTGTTTTTATCTTTTTTTTTAAAAAAAAAAAAGGAAGAAGTAATGGAATATGATGCAATGTTAAAAGAATAATAGATTGAATAAAAATGCAAAATTAAAAAATTTTTTTTTGAATAAAGGTAAGTGTCTATCTATCTCTATAGTAATTAATTTTTTTTTGTTCTTTCTTTCTTTCGTTTGTTATGTAACGGTAAGAATAGATAAGTTTTGTTAGTTGTTTTATTATACTTTATTTTGTTTAAAGAAATTTAATCTAATGGTTTTCTGTTATTATAATGAATATGGTGAAATCAATATAAGATATAGTTTTTATCGTCTTGTCATCAAAAAAAGAAAAAGAAAAATAAAATAAAATAAAGTTAACGTATATGCCTTACTTATTGGATTGAATCAAGATAAAACAATAAAATGGATAGGAGAGAGGCATGCATGAATAACGTCTAGTTACTATCAACTAATGTATACCTGGAACAGGTGTATTCAAATCTATATATATATATACAATCGAACGTGTGCGTATGGATGTATGTTCACAGCCAGTGGGAATGACAAGACAATGTGAAGAAAAAAAGTTGCAGTCAACTGAAACACGATGAGAATTTGTATATATATGCGATGGTCATTCTTTGAAGTGACGAAGACTTTGATTAGATAGAGATAATGAGATAAGAATAATGGGAAAGGATTTTAATTTCCATAATTTATTACAAATAACACCGAAATACCGTCATTAAAAAAATAAAAAAGAGAGAAAAAAAAATTTTTTTCCTTCTTTTCTTTTTGTAGATATAAAAAAAAGAAAAGAAAAAGACAAAAACAAAACAAAACAAAACAAAACAAAACAAAACATATTAGAACGAAATGAAGAAAAAAACACACACAAAGGGATTTTCAGTGATTTTAAGAACGGCTTAAAAAACTTAATGATTGTTCAAAAAAATTCAAAAATAAAAAAAAACAGAAGAAGTCATAGAAAAAAAGAAACGATATATATTGTTAAACTAAAATTATTATGTATTTTTTTTTCTTTTATGCAAATGAACTTAATAATTGAATATTACACACTTTTTTCTATTTTTGTTTTGTTTTTTTTTTGTTGCAAAATATTCTTCTTTTATTCTTTTTTTCTTTTTTTTAATTCAAATTTGCTTTGTTTTGTTTTGTCTTTCTTTGGTTTGTTGAGCATCTCTCTTCTTTGTCTTTTCTTTTCATTGTTTTATTTCACATTAGCTTAAAATGTCGTTTCTTTTGTTTTTGTTGTCTTATCTTTTGACATCTATTGAAAATAAATAAATGAATGAATGAATGAATAGATGAATAGATAAAATAAAATAATAGACTGCTCAACATAGAAAAAGGACATAAATTGGTAATCAATGGCACCTTGTTTTTTTTCTTATGTCTTGAACATCTCTGCACTCAGAAAAATGACTGCAAAAAATGACATCTGTTTATGCAGCTTCCAAAAAAAAAGACAAATGCAGTTAAAAGTAGCAAGAAAACATTCATTATGGAAAGTACTGAGAAACTAGCATGCTCAAAGTTTAGTTTATGATTGTACACACATTCAATGAAACAATCTGGCATAATTTGAAATAATTGTAGCACTTATAATTGAGATACAAGAGTATTCAGAAATACATGCAGTTTGATAGATTGACTAAATACTCTCAGAGGAAAATTGTGAGTTGTGTAATCACTCTATACGTGACCTGAACTTCTTATATACTAAATAAAGATGTATATAACCTACAAAAATTTCTTCAAGAAATTGACTTTTGTGGTTTCTGATAGTACTTGATTACAAAGATAGGGTCATATTAACTTTTAGGGTTTTTATTTATGTAAACATCTATGTATTCTTGAATAAGGTTTTTGAGTTGCTTGTATCAAGCAAGATATCATTTTTATTTCATCTTTCTTCTTATTTTTTTTTCCTTTTTTCTTTTTTTTTTTTTTTACTTACCTTCTATATTTGAGGTAATTTTTATGTTTCCTGGTTTGGAAAGAGATTAAAAAATAATGTTAACAAAAAGAGTGACAGAATACAGAAAAAAAGAAAAGAGGTATTTTTTTTTCTTTTGAGGAATCACAATACATAGAATTTTTTTTCGATAATCAGTATATTGTCCTCTATTGAATAACTAATTCTAAAACCTTCTAAGAATGCAATGTTATAAAGTATCTAAAAGTAAAAAGAAAAAAATAAAATAAAATAAAACCGGTTTTCATAAATTATAGGATTTTTTTTTGTTCATTTGTTTACATTTTTACTTTGATAAAATGATAGATAAAGGCTAATATTATAGCAAAAGTTAGGTTTGACAAAAGATCTTAGTATCATTTGTCGATGACTATTTAATACTAATATTACAGTTTTATTAAAATAACAATAATAGAAAATAATCTTGTTTTAGATTGTTGATAAAAATTTCTAAAGTGTAGTTAACATTTTTTATCCATGAAAACTCTTGGACATACAAAATTATGTTATATAATATCATAATGACATCAGATATTTATGTCATGTTACAAGCCAATTACATCCACAGTAAATATTGTCTATGATAAAAATAACTAATGAAGGAAAGTTAGAAAAAAAAAAAAAGAAAAGAAAAGAAAAAGAAAAGAAAAAGAAAAGAAAAAGAAAAAGAAAAGAAAAATAAATAGTATATTATCTATTTTTATAAAATAGGTCATCGCCTTATAACCTAGAAATTTTGATAAATACAGATATAAGACATGTAAGGTTGCAATAGTCGAAACTTACCAAATCTGCTTGATAAGCAAATTTGTCTAAATAACATGTCATAAAAGGCTAAGAGAAATTATACAAAGGCAAATGGCTCCTATTTGAGTGTATTTTTATATAGTGTGTTATTCTTAACAACATTTGCAAATATCTTTCTTGTTCTCCTTTCCAAGCAAAAAATAAATGAATGAATGAAATAGAAGCCACTACTATTATACTCAAATACTTCAGAAAATGCAATTCAGATAAATACATTCTTACTTTTTGTTTTGATACAGTTGAAGTTGAGTTCTACTGTTGTCTTCTTAGACTTTAGTTACAGGCTTTAAATGAGACATTAGTTGAATTACAAAAAACTCGGTTATTAAAATTGTTAAAAACTAGATCGCCAATTTGTGTTTGTTTCTAATGTGTACATGAATAATTAATGAATATACAAAAAAGAAAAAAAAGAAAATTAAAATATATCACAGAATACGCAATTGCGTTTTAAAATAATTGTTTATTTTTTTTGCTACTACTCAATAATATTTGAGTGTAGCTTCTTATAGTAGTAAGTGCAGTTATCAATATGCTTTGAGTTTTGTCCTAATTTTTTTTTTTTGATTATCTCTTTAATGCAGTAGTAAATAATCAAGTTGGATAAGGTGCTTGAACATAACCATTGTTTTTCTTTTGTTGTGCTTTTATTCTTTGACCTTCCAAATCAAAATCTTGTTCTAGTTCGAATACACTATTACTTTTTTGGTTTCTTTCAGAGTAATATCCATAATCTGGAATATTTTGAGTACTTTCCTCATAGTAACCCCTTTCAATGGGTTGATACACTACATCTGGAGGCGATCTATACATCATTGGTTGTTGCGGTTGATAGGATGGTGTCATATGTGGATTATATCCATGGTTATAATTGTTATTTGGATAACTATTGTCTCTTTCATTACAGTTGCAACACCAACAAATAAAACCACTAATCCCTGTGACACCCTGTCTGACACACGTTAGCAATCCACCTATTAGCCATAAGCCAACTATACACGCTAAACATATCCCAACAATAGCGATAATTTTACATGGTTTATCTGCCATACATGAATTCCAGTTTTTGAAGCTTTTAGCTGTATTTTTAACATCATCTGTAAAGTCTCTACGGAAGATCATGTTGTGATATTGGATGAAGTACTTCTTAAACAGAAGGTATATGCGTGTCTGTACATTCAACGATGAAGAAAGTCAAATGTAGCGTGTCAATTGCCACTACCAATGTTTTTCCATTCATATCTTTTCTCATAGATCAACCTTTGCCCTACTCGAGCGAGAAATTACTCGATTTTATCGTTCTTTTTATTTTTTTTTTCTTGTTATTCCTTTTTTTTTTTTGTTTTTTCCTCAAAAAGAATCTATTTTAAGGTTGAGAAGAAAAGCCATCGCAAAAACAATAATTGACTATTTTTACATACAAAGAAGAAATCTAATGGTTCTATTGTGTTTCATTTTATGAACCAGTGCTAATATCCCTTGAAAAATGTGGTGATATTACATACAAAAATGTAATTATTTCTCTATAACGAGAATATCAGTTATTTAACAGAAATGAAAAGTCGTAAAGTGTGGCGTAAGATAGAATAATGATAATATTTCTTTTCTTTTAGAATAGAAGGGAATATGGAGATATATAGAGAAATTACATAACTATACAACATCCACCACCACTGGATTTGGATTTACTTGCGTCAGTGTTGGCAGTATTTTGATTTGATGGCGATGTAGTTCTTTTATTATTGGACTGTTTAACGTGATGTGACTGTTTTGAATCTGGATTTTGTACATTATCTTGATTATTTTTTGATATTGATTGGCCATTTGTCACTGTGGTCGCTATCGGTTCAGTATCCCCTTCACCTTGTGGTTCATTTAAAGAATGATTTATGCTATCATTAATATTGTCATTGTTACTATTGTTGTTGTTATACATATTTGTATTGTTCATGTCATTGTTGTTTATATTTGTATTTGCGATATTTTGATTATTCATGGAGTCAAAAGTTAGATTTGTATTAATCTTTTGCATGATGTTTTCAGTATTATTATGTGGATTATATTTTCCACCATTATCTCTGACGATTCTAGACAGGGTATAAAAGGCTTCTTCAACGTTAATATTCTGTTTTGCAGAAGTTTCCATAAATGGGGAATTCAACTGTTTTGCAAGCTTCATCCCATCCTCATAAGACACTTGTCTCTCATCCTCCAAATCTGATTTATTACCAACGATAACGATAGGAACGTAGTCACTGTCTTTGACTCTTTGGATTTGTTGGTAGTATGTCATTAGTTCTTCAAAACTTGTCTGTGAAGTGATGGAATAGACAAGTAAGAAACCTTCACCAGTACGCATGTATTGTTCTCTCATCGCAGAATATTCTTCCTGCCCTGCAGTATCCAAAATGTCTAGCACTTGTACTTCGTTATCAATAACGACTTGTTTTCTATAGGAGTCCTCGATTGTGGGATCATATTCATCCACGAAGTGGGAATGGATTAATTGGATAGTTAGTGCAGATTTACCTACACCACCACCACCGACAACGACGAGCTTCAATTCCTTGATACCTGATTTATCTGGCATATCGTAGCTTAATTTATGTATAAATGTATTTATGTGTATGTGCTTGTTTGTTTGTACCCTTCTTCTTTTGTATTTGGTTAGTTTTTTTTTTCTTTTTGTTTGACTTGTTCTGTTATTATTGCTACTTGAGGGTTCTTTCAGCAGAATTAAGATCTGTTATAGTTCAAGTTTCTTATATGTATATGTATCGATAAATCGATAGACAGATAGTTATACGTATTGTGCAATTGTTACACTTGATCTATTGTAATTTAGTATTATCTTTCTTCTGGTTGAATAGTCAATCTTAACTTAAATAAATGATCTAGAACATCACTATCAAGTAGAAAGAATTGCTTTCTTCATGTTTGTTTGTTTGTTTGTTTGTTTTTTGTTTATTTAAAGAAGCAGAGAATGTTACAAGGGGGAAGAGATGAAAGGAGACAAGAAGAAAGGAGGTGAAGGAGACCACGTGGGGAAGGGGGTGAGTTGCAGGCACAAATAAGGGGAATTCCTAAAATAATAGGGACAAAAAGTATTTTGTTTTTTTTTTGTTTTTAGAATTCTTTAGGGTTGAAAAGAAATTGAAAAAACATATGGACAAACACAACGACAAAACAAGAATCCAAAAAGAAAATAAAAAAAAAAAAAGGAAAAAAAGTAAAGGGGAAAGACCGGAACAGGCAAATAGCCCTAATCATTTTGCAAAACCTAATTTTGTTCGACTCCGCTTTAAGAAAGAAGATAAAGGTGAACCGAAAGGGTTAAAGATAGAAAAAACTGAATGAATTGATGGGCAAGATCAAGTTGGTAGGGGGTTAGAGAATGTTCAAGCTTCTCAGATCCAATATTTTTACATATTCAATTTTATTTTTATTTCTCTACCACTAATGTCTCAGGAAATCTGTAATATTTTATGTTTAGTTGTCTGCATTCTGCTTGACAACAACATCGGAAACATTTCTGAGACATTTCTATTCCGCCAATTTATTTATTCCGTTTATCCGGAAAAGGGATGGAAAGGGGAAAAAGAGGGGCAAGAAATGAAGAAAAAAGTTTCCAGATATTTCGTCGAAAAACGATACGCCAAAATTGGACACACAGTCATTATTTGCTAAGATCCAGTACGGTGAGACCTTCTTTCAATGGGTTCCCCCCTCATATATATATAAATCATATTGTCTCAAAGTTGTAAGATAGAATAGAGAGGGGGGATAACGACAGAACAGAAAAGAGCTACATTAACAGTCTACGGCTTATAGTTTGCAAACCTCTAAATCTGACTATATCATTACATCTATCTGTACAACTCTGTATGTTTGTGTTTCGTAGGTTGACACTTAGTCTTCTCTTGTGTCTCTGTTCTCGTCTCTCTGCGCTTTTCTGTTCTTCTTTTTCCTTTTTTCTATTTTTTTCTTGTTATTTTTCTGCTGTAGAGATAGTCATGCATCCCGAAAGAGAATTCCAATGAGCTAATTCTCTGTAATTTGTAATATTGACTATTTTTTCAGTATCTTATTATCTTTGCGTGATTGTTTAAGCACACCTAAGTCATGACCGTTCCTTTTTTTTTTTTAATATAAGTTGCTCCAACTCTTGGTTTCTCTTTCATTTTTTGTTTCGACCCAAAGAAAATACAAGTATATTAGTATCTTGAAAATTAAAGAATGACATATATATATATATGTATATGTATATGTGTGTTTGTGTGTGTTTGTGTATGATTACATATGTGTGATCGTTACAATTCTTGGGCGATATCGATATTATACGCTAGATTTGGACCTGTTGTCACTTTTCTTCTATCTTGACATATTCTATATAAACAATAAAAAAAAAAAGAGAAAACAAAGATATAAGAAAATACCATTTCATTTTTTGATCTCTCTTAATATTTCAAACAACTAATCTCTTAGGTTGAGTCCATCCCAGCGGTTCTTAATTTTATACAGATACAACAACAAAGACAAGTCCTTACACACAGACACAGACATAACTTGTTTTTACGATATCTTGATACTGATATGTCCTCAGATACCTCATTAAGTGAATACACTCTAATCGAAGAAGAATCCAATATATTAGAATCCAAGTCTTCAGCATCTGCTCCTCCGCCTCAAAAATCTGCTATACGTGAAAATATTAAATCTTTAGTAGCTGGTGGTGTAGGTGGTGTTTGTGCGGTTCTCACGGGTCATCCATTTGATTTAATTAAAGTTAGGTGTCAAAATGGCATGGCAAACGGTACTGTAGACGCCGTTATATCCATCTTAAAAGATGCCCGTGCACAACCTAGTGGTTCATTCCTACTCAATTCACTAAGGGGATTCTATAAAGGGGTTATTCCACCTTTGTTAGGTGTGACACCAATCTTTGCTGTGTCCTTCTGGGGTTACGATATGGGGAAAAGAATAGTGTCTTGGAACAGTCAAGGGGATCAACCGTTATCCATGAAGCAAATGGCTGCAGCAGGTTTCATAAGTGCAATCCCAACTACTCTGGTCACTGCACCAACTGAGCGTATTAAAGTTGTTCTTCAAACATCCTCCGAGGGGTCTTTTATATCATCAGCAAAGCAAATTGTCAAGACTGGCGGTGTGTCTTCCTTGTTTAAGGGTTCTTTGGCGACTTTAGCAAGAGATGGGCCTGGCAGTGCTTTATATTTTGCCTCATATGAAGTCGCCAAGAAATATTTGAACACATGGAACCCATCATCTACACCAGACCAGGTCAGTATATCCAATGTCTGCATGGCAGGTGGTATAGCAGGTATGTCTATGTGGCTAGCAGTTTTCCCTATCGATACAATCAAGACAAAATTACAAGCTACCAGTGGTTCGCAATCCATGATTGGGGCTACCAAAGAAATATATTTGACAAGGGGTGGTATCAAAGGATTCTTCCCAGGTTTAGGTCCTGCTCTCTTAAGGTCTTTCCCTGCTAACGCAGCTACGTTCCTTGGCGTAGAATTGACTCATTCCTTATTCAAAAAGTATAATATCTAAAAATAAAATAAATAGATAATTAAATAATTAAATAAAAAAGCAAAAAAAGAAAAAAGAAGAAAGAAAAAAGAAATTAACATTATGTACATATATAGATGTATAAAAATAGAGAAATAATAAGAAAAAAAGAAAAAAAAAGAAAAATTGAGAGTATATTGATAATATGGTTTCACTTACAATATACACAGCAATCTTAGTGGCTCTTATTTTCATACTCTCTTGTTGACATGTTCTTTCCAACCTTCTGGTTTAGTCATGTCATTGACGGTGAAAAACTTGGTTGTACAAGAAAATCCATTCCAAGTGAAATCCACCTCTGGATTACAATCACATTTACCTGCCAATCTAACCTTGTCGTCAATGTTACATGAATAAAATGGTGCATGGAAGTATCCAACATCTTCGAAGAAATGGATTTCACTACGATCTAGGAATAAAGCAGCAGCAATGGAATGGACAGGTGCATCACCCCATCTTTCGTAGAAAAAGCCACCAGCTTTGTCCAAAAAGTCAAAGTATGCACTGTATGCTGGACTTCTCCAGAAGTCTAAAGACGCAATTTCGAAATTGGACCAGAAGTGACACATGTTGTAAGAAAGACCATTGTCATCACTAATGAAATCCAACATATTATTCTTGGAAATGTATTCTGGATATTTCTTCATGAATTTAACAGTAGTATCCCATAGAGTTGGAACAGTGGCTTCGTATTCATGAATAGAGATAGCAAATCCGTATTTTTTACCGTTGTCTTCCATAAATTTGAACAAGTCATAATCCAAATCACAGGTCAATTTAATACCAGGTTCCACTCTCCAATACCACTCGTATTCTTCCATCAATGGATGTCTGTAGAAAAACCCGGATTCGAAACGGCACATGTGTCTGTACGAGATGGAATCACCGTAAATGATTTTTTTTTGTCTCATTTCCTCTCTGACTTTTGCAGCCTTATCTTGGTCGATCCAATCAGGGAAGGACCAGTGTTCCTTTGGAATGACACCGTATTTGGTCTTCCCACTGACCAAAGCAGATGTGACATTTTTGAATTCTTCAGTGAACTCCACATCGTTCAAGAAAACCCAGTCGTATTGGAACTTATGATTAAATCTATCTTCCACGGATTTGATAGCAGGTAGAAGTTCATATAAATCAGAGTTACGTGCTAGTGTGACAAAAGTAGCTTTTGCTTTTTTACCTTTATATGGGGTATAAGAGACTTTTTTTTTTTGATGTAGCCGTTATCGTCCTTGATTACTTCAATATTCTGTTTGATAGATAAACCAGAGTTTGAACTGTTACTATCATCAGCGGACCCGTTATACAACATAAACAGGGAGAACAGGATAATAACAATCAACCCAATTTTTTTAAACAATTGTTGTTGTGCAGTAGAATGTTTAGCATGCAATCTCCCCATTTTTGTACTGTATTGCTACTTTATGCGGGTTTAGAGGAAATTTTGAACTCAGTATGTACTTTGAAATAAAAGAAAAAAAAACAAAAAGAAAAAGTAAGATGATGAATAGAAGATAAGAATCTATCAAAGAAGAATGCAACAAGAAGAAGAAAAATGCATGAGATAAAAGAATCTATTAAAATATTATTCTTCTCTTTTTTGTCTTTGTAAGATATATATAGATTGAACCGTGTTTCAAATTCCTTCCTTTAGAAAATTTCTTTCATTATTTTTCATTTATTTATTTTTTTTTTTTTTTTTACTTTTTCAAAATTTTCTTTATCTTCGAAAATTTTTCGATCTCCGAAATCCATTCGCCAAAAACAAACTTAATAAGCTATGGTAGCGCCGACATATCCGCCGACACACCTGCCAACTCAATTCATTTCCTGCGAAGAGTTATATGTACAGGATTCGATTTATTTGAACTTTCTATAATTGAAAGTGTTATACAATTGATTAGTGGCTCTTTTTCTGGCTAGTTTTCAGTTGTTAATTGGGCATCTTCCATCTGCCACGTGACACTCTGATAGTTAGTTCTATGGGTGTATGGATGTATAACTCTTTTTATTTTTTTTTTTTGATGTCCGCTTTTCTGCGATTTGGAAGGGAACAAAAAAAATTTTATGCAGAGATGTTTACATATTAATTAGGTTATGAAATATATACTGGATACATAAAGCGAGAGATAGACAGAGAAAGAGAAACAAAGGAGGAAAGGACTTATATTACTAGGTTCGAATTAGTTTGTGTTTCAACAGACAGTATTGCTTACAATCCATATATAGTCTACTGCATTGAGTTAAATTATCTTTTTTTTTTTCCTTTTTTTTTCGTTTTTCTCCTTTCTTCGACAGTAGGAAAACTGTCGTTCTCGTATTTAACCCTTATCTGTAAGTAAGATAGACTATTAAAGAAAGATATTGTATTTCTGGTTAGTTGTTGTCTTTCATTTCCGGTATTATTTTTGTTTTTGGTTTACTCTGCACATTAAAGACAAATAAAAAAAAAGATGACTACAGTAAATGAATCTATGGTGTCCTCCTCACCGATCACCGCCTCATATGGACAGGATAAATCGAATAAAAAAAGATCTATTTCTTCTTCTCTACTGAATTTCTTCAGTAGAATCACACATAATAATGAAAATGAAATTAATGACTCTTATCCAGATGAAGCTGTACAAATAAGGAAGAAAAAAAGATTAGGATATACCAAATCATCTCCTTCGCATAATAGTAGCAGCGATAATGGTAATGATGATAATAATAGCGATTACCATTTCACATACAACAAAGGAACAAATTCATATATGGAGCAACCATTAATTTTATATGAAACAGATGACCATGGTTCAGATAATCAGGATATTTCAATAAACAGTATAAGGCCTCCAATACTGCCTATTTTGCCTATACAGAGATTGAAATTATTGAGACGAAAACAAATATTAAGGTTAAAAAGGGATACTGAATTGATTCAAAATATAGATTCTAATGGAGTTGATACTAGGGATACTAGAGATACTAGTGTCAAATTGTTCAAGCCAAATAATAATAAGGCTATTGACTTGAAACAGCATCAAACTTTATCTTATCCGGAACCATTGGATTTTAATCAAAGTGTAACTATAAATAAATTGGATACTCCATCTCCCGTTAAAAATTCATCACATATCGACGAATTGATATTAGACTCAACTACTAATAATATTGTTATAAATAATAAAAAACGCAACGCAACTATGTACAGGAACAACAATAATAATAATGATGATAATAATAAATTGATTCAATTGCAATCAAAGCGGATTCCTACAAAAATGAATAAAAATAAATTCAAAGGTACTAGATGGTCTGGATATTTCAAATATGATTTATCAGAGTATGATACAAAACCAAAGATTTTTGAACCTAGTGGTATCATTGATACTATATCTAATTCTACTAGACAAACAGATGACAGTAAAGACACTACCAAAAATAGCGGCAACAATAGTAGTAGTAGTGACAGTGACAGTATCGCTAATAATAATAATAATATGATTAATTTTGAATCTGGGAAGACATTTAAGATACCAATTTCAGAATTAGCAGAATTTTCTGAAACCTCAATTACGAACAAGAAATTATCAAAGAATAAACTAAATATATTGATTCATGGTTCTAAATTACAACAATATGCTAAACATAATGAAATATTACCAAAAAATGATACTGTTACAGAAGATGAAACTAAAAATAGTAAGAAGAAAGAAAATTCATTTGTTTCTATTGGAAAGATGAAGAATGAGAATAATGATAAGGACAAGGATAAGGACACTAAGAAGTCAAATATTGTATTACCCACCGCTGGTTTTGATTTCCTTAAGAATGATGTTGCACAACCGAAGAATATTACATTCTCGTTTAATAACCAAAATAAAGTTGATGAAAACAAGGATAAGAAAGATATTATCACAGAAAAATCACTCTTCTCTTTTTCAAATTCTATTAAAACTGGAAAGGATGAGGATATTGAGAAGAAACAAGAGGATAAGACTGCTGGCAATGGGTCAAAACTATCCTTTTCCTTCAATACTAAAAATGATTTTACTAGCGGTCAAAAAGACGAACAACTCGTACAAAAACATCCTTCTTCAGCAGTATCTATTGATCTGACAAAAGATCTCAAGAAACCAACTTTTACTTTTACCTCAAATAGAAATACAGACACAGAAAATAAAACTTTATCTTTTTCATTTGGTTCGCAAAGTAATGATAATGTCAACAACAAACCTAATATAACCACACCAAAATTTTCTTTTGGATCTACTAATTTGAAATCCAATAATTCTACTTCAATAGATACTACTAAGACTCCCTCTTTTGTATTTGGGACTAAATCAGAAACAGCAAAGAATAGCTCAAAAGATTCCAGAGATAATGACGATAAGGAAGGTAGTGATGAAGATGATAGACGTCCTAGAAAGCGGCCTACCTTTTCTTTTACTACCCCATCGACAACAGATAATAAGAATTTGGATGCTGGTATTATTAATGCTACAGATACGATTAAACCTTCATTTAATTTTGGCTTTGCTAATAATACTATGAATAACAAGGAGGATGATGGAAAAGAAACAAGTAAAACTCCAAGTTTTTCTTTTGGCTTAACAAACTCAAATGTAGAGAAAAAGCCATTATCTTTTTCTTTTGATAGTAAACTTAAATCTAGTGAAAACACTGTTTCTGCATCGTCAAAGATAACACCTTCAGAGGAAAATAATCTTTCTAGTTTGAATTTTGCCACGAATGTATCAGGCACACAAGAGACAGGTAATCAAGATTCTAAAAAGCAAAACATATTTTCTTTTGGTAAGAATACATCCAGTGAGCAAGCATCTTTAAAAAAAACAATAGGAACAGCAGCAAAAGCGTCTAGTGGAGGGCCAAGTTTCACTTTTGGAGCTAAACCTGCTACAGGAACTTCAGAAACTACTCAATCGACATTTCCATTTAATAATAAAGTTGATATCATTAGCAATGACTCATCTGCGAAACCATCTTTTACATTTGGAGCCACTACTAGTTCAAGTACTGGAAAACTCGGAAGTACAGTTTTGAGCAAGCCTTCGTTTAGTTTTGGTGCCCCAAATAAAGAAGCGACATCTATTAATACTGTTACATCAACTGCATCATTATCCTCAGTTAGCAAGTCTGCAGGAACTATGGATTTACAACTGAATAATGATGCCAAATCTTTAGGGGTATCTTTAACTAACCCATTACTAAGTAAGTCAGGTGACTCAAACGCTACTAATAGCGGACCATCTACGAATGTGGCCAGTGCTGGTGGTGGTTTTAAATTCGCAAGACAGCAGGTTCTATCTTTGGGTACTAATATTGGTCAACAAGATAGCACAAGTGCATCGGGAACTTCACTATTTGGCGGTAATACAGCTGCAGGTATGAATGGTATGCAAACTAATAATGTACTGAACAATAATAACAATAACTTAGGTAATAATCAGGGGTTCAATTTTACATTTAATGCAAGCAATAATAATAGTAACAATAGTACTATGAATTCATTTGGTAATAATACCAATAATAATACACTTCCGGGTGGTTCTGTTTTTTCTTTCAATAATAATAACACATCTAACAATATGTTTACTAGTAATAACAATATGAACGGCTCAAGTTTTAAATTTGGTCAACAGCAGCAATCTCAGATAAATAATACATTTCATCCATCCAGTCAAGTTAATTTCAACTTCAACCAAAATGCAAATGCGAATCCTGCTGAAATATTTTCTGGATCTTTGAATAATAATAACGGTATGGGCAACATGACTAATACGATCACACCTCAACCAAATCAATTCCCACATAGGAAGATTGCTCGTATGAGAGCATCTCGTCGTTGAAGTAAATATAGGAATTCATGTATAACCATGTATATTTATCGTTATAATTTAATATATTTGATAAACATTCGATGTCATATGAGAATTTATCGATGTTACGTAAATAGTGTTGATGTTTATTATAGAGGAATTGGGAAAAATTATAAAATTGTTTAAGGATGAAAATCTTGAAATTTAATATCTTTAACAATCAAAAAAGTACTTAAACTTAAAGGATTAAGTTTTTTCTGTAATGAAGACATCTAGTAAGATATAGTTGAAATTGCATAAATGAATAGTGTCATTGCAATATGAACCAGTTACTTCAGAATGTACATATTCCCTCATTTATTCTGGGATTTATCTTTTGTATGTTTTTGTCTCTTATTCGACCAGGCTTACTGTCGATATTTGGTGGATTAATTAGTTTCTTTAAAGTTGTTACCATCTTTGGGATGTGTACTGCTGCAGTTTTCGTTATCCTTAAGTCACAGCAACAACAACAAATATGGAGAGATCGTAGAAGTGTATCAATGGATAGCCGTCCGGATGTAGCGAACACGGTAAGTGGAATTCGTGATGGAGTTAGACAAGAGGCTCATAATGAGACAGGTGAATATAATTATTTTCCAATTCCTATCACAAAATTTGAAAATGATCCTAAAGAGATTCCATCAAGAAGTGCCCTACAATCTCGAGAAATGAAGGTCAAGGTATCTTCCGATGACATCGAGAACAAGTATGATAAAACTTTAAGATATGAGAATTTTGTTAAAATGGCACAGAAATCAAGAAAACGTTAGGCAAAAATGACTACAGCAGAAGTTTATAATGGTTAGAGGTGTATAGTATAGTAATAGACTATTGTAATGGCACATTTGATAAGGTGACGATATTAGACTACTATCATCGCGTAAGTTTTTTTTTTTCTTTTATTTTTTTATTTATATTTTTTTTTATTGTGATGATATATACGGAAATATAGAAATAGATATAATATTTAAAGATAAATAGATAGATGGATGGATACATGAGGAAGAGTAATGCCTAGTCAGTTCCAGCCTATACGTTTTACAAAAATTAGTGGGTTCCAGATGGAATTTCGAAGACTATTTGTTTACCAGTTAGTTTATTGTAAACAGCTTGGAAAGATTCTAATTTATAGTCAATTTGTTGGATATCTTTGGGGTTCAATAAGACCTTTTGGATCTTATTACCACCGACTAAATATCTGACTCTCTTGCCAACAATTTCAGTTGGAAAAACCATATCTTCTAAAATCTTGTCATGAACAGAGGTTAAAGTTCTAGATCTTGGTCTCTTTTGTTGTTGCCTAGAGCCTCTAGATGGCTTTGGTAAGATTCTTCTTTCAGCTAAGAAAATGATGTGACGGTCTTGGAATTTCTTTTCTAATTCACGGGTTAATTTAGTTTGAACTTTGTGAAAACCAGCTAAAGATGGAACTGGGACAAAAACAATTAAAGCTTTCTTACCACCGGCAACATCAATCTAAATAAAATAAAAAAAAATATCAAAAGAATTGAATTAATCGGTTTTCAGAATACAGAACTACTTTCTCAATTAACATAAAATAAAAAAAAATTTGAGTAAAAGAGAATCAAGTATTATGTGAAAGGATTAAACTGTTAGTAATGACAATTCTATCGAAAACACAACAAAAAAAATAAAATAAATGTTTAAATTGAGAGAGATGTATATATACGTCTCGAAATTTACACATGCTTCTTTTTTCATTACACTATAATACCGAGTGTTTTATATGGCTTATACCTTTATAGGAGAATTTTGAATTGATATGTCATTGATATATTGAATCATGGGTTGGATAGGGAAAAAAGATACTTTCCTGAAGAGATATTAGAAGATCTATAGGTAACATAAATAAATATCATTTAAACTCGAGATTTCATTTGCCATAATGATGTATGGTGGTATATACATAAAAAAAGTATTGAGGACGTGGAGTCGCATAAGGAAAATATATATTCCTTATAATGAGATGGATATCCATATTAATTTTTTTTTTTGCCCACTAAATACAAGTATATTTCAAAACATATGGATCACTCTCTCATTTAATACTTTTTATTTTTTATTTATTTGATATCAGTATCACCAATATTTTATGGAATAATTAGATAATAATATAATGACATACTTCTCTAATAGATTTGAACTGTAATGGTCTTAATTCGGCCTTTAATTCTGGAGAAGAATTTTCTAATTCAACGAAGGCTTGAGCCACTTGCAATTCTAAATCAGTTGGGGCTTGTGATAAAATCTTGTGAGACATTTTTGTTGCTGCTCTTATCTTATAGTCTTACAATTATCCGGTTCTTCTTTCTTCGATGGGTATGACAATATCAATACACTAAACCTCAAGATATATATACATATATATACATATTCTACGCAATATGCATGCTCTACAAGTCAATGATATTGATATAGTAAGATTTACAATGTAGTTTTTGCCCATCGAGACCGTCTGCGCTCTATTGTTGAAGGAATCTCCCCGCCCCCATAGGAAAAGTCTAACAGATTGAGAATGCGGACACATTAGAGACGCAGACACATCCATCATACTCAATACCTAATTCTTGTCTTTACTTGTTTTACAATAATGTATAAACATCATCATACACACTATTGACAAATTCCATCTATGATAAACTTGGAATTGAAAAGATAGTCATTCCTTAGAGAGACAGAAACTGGTGAGAATGGCTATGGTACAGGTAAAGGGCATTGGGGAATAGTAGTAGTGGTTGTAGTGGTTGTGGTGGTGACAAGCCTCTGCCAGGAGTTGTCAGACTATAGAAGTCTACCGTCAATTGGTTCAGATAGATTAAAGAGAAGTTCTATTCATTAAACAGAGGGAAGGAAAGGATGGAAAAGAGGAAAGAAGAGAAATGGAGGGGAGATAAGATATGAGATTGAAGTTAAATTAGGTGGAGAGTAAGAAAAGCAAGACATGGATTCTCATCTGTTCTTGAGGGGAATCTACATGGCGCACATTTCCAGGAGATTCTTTCAGGGTAAACGCACATTTATTTGCATTTTGACAATTTGAAATGATTTCCGAATACAAAAATTGCATAAAATTCAAACATACTATTATATACCTTTTCATAGGTGTACGGATGTAAGCAAATAAAACGGTCACATTTTTTTAAATGGTTGTTGTGTTTTTTTTTTCTTTTCGTTTTCGGAAAGAGTTGAAAGACGGAAGAACAGAAAAACAAAAATTTCAATTTCGTAAAGCCGTGGATTGAATATTAATTACAGAAACTTACAATAGATTCCTCCCCATTATCATTAATTTAATCAGTTTGTTGATTCGATAAGACTTTTGGCTACAATGACAATTCATATGAAAATTTTCTAACAACAGGAAAAATAATAGAAGTAAAATAATAGAAGTAAAAAAATAAAGAAAATAATAAAAGAAAAAAAAAAAGAAAGTGGTATTCATATTAGAATCTGAAAACCACATCACTATTAACGGTGCTCTACAGTAAATTGTTATATGTCTAGTTGGTTTTTTTTTTTTTGATTGAACCCTAGCAAGATTAGTCTGAACAGAAAGTAATGTAAACGGAATAGTTCAAAGAGGTTTTCTCCAAACCCTAACTCCAATCAAGTATGGTAGTTGGGGAAACCCAGTATAAATTGTTTTCCGTTTAACCTTTTTTGTGTCATTGTTATGCATACATTCTTTTTCTATTTTCTTTTTTTTTCTTTAATAATTTTTTTTTGGGCCTTAAAATTTTTCAAAAGGCCACCACTTTTCCAATTTTAGTCCATCATACTAGAGTTCGTTAATTTTTATCTTTTTATTTTGTTTTAATTAGCGGAATACATCAATACAAGAAAACAAAAGTTTTATTGATTCTTGGAGTCATCAAAACAATAATCAAGAAAGAAAATGTAGCCACTTGATTCTTAAATTTGTATGGTTTTAATTGATTTATTGTGATGAACGCACATCGCTTTGTATAATATTATTAAAATCTGGTTATTCTAGTTCTTGGTAATATTATTTTTTTTTTCTTTTCATTGGAAGATATATTGATATGAGATGAGTTTAGCTATTTATCTTTGCAGAAATACATACATATATATATGTATGTATATGTATATGTGTATGTTCTAGTATAAACAGTTATGTCTGTGCGTGTATACTCACTCATCTTTTTCACATAATATGTATGCATTATCACTTGTGATCAAGCTTAAAATATATCTACTTGTTTAGATTCTTCAGAAAATTTCCTTGTAATGTTTGTTAACCATGAATTGCTCATTTTCTTAGAGCTATCATTACAAATTTCAGACATAAAAAACAATAGATTTGTAATTTTTTTTTTGATTTTAAAAAACTGCTAACTTAAGGTGTGTATATAAAATTAATTGAAAGCTCATCGCAAGATATAAGAAGATATTATCGATTGATTCAAACAAGTTCTCATTGGTATACTCATCTAAGTCACAACTGAGTTTGATTAGCATAGTTTAAGTTTATATTCCATTAATAGATTTTAACGCTGTCTAATTGTTAAGTTATTCACACAAAGAATAAAAAAGAATAAAAACAATCAAATAAATCAACATCACTATATATATATATATATATCTGTGCATAAACAATGTCTCCAATTCCTGCTATCAAAGATTTACCTCATCTAGATGATCCATTGGAAGATTCCAAAAGAATTGCGGCATACAGAGCAGTAGATGAAAACCTAGATGTTGAAGTTCACAAAATTATCGGTATTGGTAGTGGTAGCACAGTAATTTATGTTGCAGAAAGACTAGGTCAATATTTACAAGATGAAAGATTCAGCCAATTTGTCTCCAAGTTCATCTGTATCCCAACGGGGTTCCAATCAAGAAATTTAATCTTAGAGAATGGGTTACAGTTAGGTTGTATCGAACAACACCCAGTTATTGATATAGCGTTTGATGGTGCAGATGAAGTAGACGTCAATTTACAACTAATAAAAGGTGGTGGCGCATGTTTGTTCCAAGAAAAATTGGTTAGCACAAGTTCAAAAGTTTTTATTGTAGTAGCAGATTATAGAAAGAAATCATCACAATATTTAGGTTCCAATTGGAAAAAGGGTGTTCCTGTTGAAGTGGTCCCATCTGCTTATGTTCGTGTTTGTCATGACTTAAAGAATTTGTTAGGTGCTAAACAAGTTGTAGTAAGACAAGGTGGTAGTGCTAAGGCTGGTCCTGTTGTTACAGATAATAACAATTTTATACTTGATGCAGATTTTGGAGAGATTCAAGATCCTAAGATGTTGCACGAAAATATAAAGTCTTTAGTTGGTGTTGTGGAAACGGGTTTGTTTATTGACAATGCTGAAAAGGCTTATTTCGGTAATGCGGATGGTTCTGTAGAAGTCGTAACAAACTAAAAAATTATTTGAGTGGATATATAGATAAATAAATATTTAACTTTGTATACTTGTGCTATCTTAAGTTTCGTAGGACGATCTGCTTTAAATGTTACTCCACTATTTGTTACAATATATTTTTTCAGAGTAAAAATGATAGAATTGTTAAATATTGATAAGATTCTTTTGTATTTTTCTATATATATATATATATATGTATATATATAATGTAAAAAAATAAATGATTATTTACAAATAGTCAAAAGAAATTGACAAGTGATTATCATAGTAGTTGGTTATTATAATTCCCATTTTGGGACTGACAATAGAATTATTTTATATTAACTGATAATCGCATGTGTTGTTAGCATCAACTGTCAAATTATGTTGTGTTTAGTAATACTTATTAGTGCGCCTTCTAGTTTATATTAGCACAATTCCATCAGATTATTCTGAGGATAATAATTAAATTCCATTATTAATAATTCAATTCATTTATGTGGTATTATTCCATTTTATTTCCTGTTTGGGTTACTTACCATTTGTTGTTTATTATAAGTTGTAGTATCCTTTTTATAATTTGTTTTTGTTGTATTCACTAATAAAACTCTTTAACGTTTTGGTTAAAAAATTTTAATTTTCTTAAAATATAAGGCTTATCCAAATTCATAGACTAAAATATAGATAATAATTGTACATATACAAATACAAGTTGTAAAGTTAATAATGTTATTTAATAAAATAATTACATTTTCCTTGTTGATCAGGTTATACTAATAACTCTTGAATAAAACTCAATATAAATAATACAAAGGTATCTTTTATAAGTTTCTTAATAATTTGTCGTCAACATTAGTCTAACAATCTTAAGCCTAGAGTTCTCAGCACTCTAAACCCTTCATCTTGACACTCAACAGTGCCCAGAAAAAACATATTTTTAATTTGAGTTTTTTTCAAAATACTCTAAAAAGTAATAACTCTACAGATTAACAAGCTGACCTATAAAAAATCTATATCCCAAAATTATACCTTCCATTATTTGATATTTTACATTCTGATCGATAAAGAATATTAGAATACGTTTTTCTATCGTCTCGATGTGTATCTTTATAAACTGCATTGAAAATATCAATAATACAATTATTAAAATATGAAGAAAAAATAAAAATACAAGATATATTATAAACATTTAATCCAACTGGAAATTCAACGCATAATTTTACCCATTTATTTTTTCTTTACTCTTAACAAAGGTTCCACAATTAATTTCGTTTTATTATTCACAACTATATGTTTATTAAAAATATTTTAATAAATATGAATTGTGTATTAATAGATTTTTAATTAAGAAAATACGTCACTATTTTAAAAAAAATACCTATCATTCCATGCTAGTACAGTAGCCATTCATTTTATTTCTAACTTTTATTGGTAGTTTTTTCACTTTTTATACTGTATGAAACATACATTTGCTACTTATGTATATGCATATCTTATTAAATAATGTCATATAATAATGTACAATAATAAAAAAAAGACCAAAATTTGCAAAATGATATTACATTCTAAATTAAACTTTACAAAATATTTTATGGAAACTTATAATAGTCTGTTTATAAACATATAAGCTAAAAAAAATTTTAAGAATTATTTTGGCTGTTTCTTTTTAGATAATCTATATTAATTAGGTAGGTCTAGTTTTCTCTCATATTTTTTTCTTGACAATAAAAATACTTGAAGATGAAATAAGTAACATCAATATAAGTATTTGTATAAAAACTAAGAATCAACTCCAAAAACAACATATACTACCTACAATGTTTAACATTATAAAGAACAGACAGCAAAACAAGAAAACGTTTCATTATATACATACATATAATCTATAATTATACTTTAAAATTAATATATACTTTTTTATTCTTTCAAAAAAGATATATTTTGGATTTACTAAACAATGAACCTTATATATTGACACTTTTTATATGATCTGGAAGCATCAAAAAAATGACTAAATAAATCAAACGTATGTGATTCATCAATATCTATTCTGTATAAAAAAAGTACATTACCATGTATTAAATCAATACTGATGCATATATTAATTTATTATTACTTTCTATACTATCTTTATTTAAATAAGATGAAATACGAATAATCTTATAACTAAATTAAATGAAATAACATTAAGGTATTACTTCTTAGCAGTATTGTTTGAAATCCATGAAAGTCCTTCCATTAAACCTTTTCCTGTCAATGCATTACTTCCGATAACACACCATAATTGATTCTTTAAATTAGTTTCCAATTGTAAGAAGTCTGATACATCTTGGGGTTTCATTGCATTTTTCAAATCTTGTTTATTGGCAAGAACTAATAATACAACATTTTCCATTTCTTTTTCGCTGATTATACTATATAACTCTTCTTTAGCCTCCTTCATCCTATCATGGTCACTAGAATCAATAACAAAAATCAAAGCCGTTGTAGCAGGGAAATAATGTCTCCATAATGGTCGTAATCTCTCTTGGCCACCTACATCCCACATGTTAAATTTCACATTTTTATAAGCCACAGTTTCGACATTAAACCCAACTGTTGGAGCTGATGTTTTAATTTTATCTAATTTTAATTTATACAATATTGTAGTTTTACCTGCATTATCTAACCCCAACATTAGTATTTTCATTTCTCGTGAACCAAATAGTTTACCTAACACTCTGGATATCGAATTACCCATTTTCCTTATCCTATTTTATCCTATTTATATTTTATTCTTCCTTTTTTTCTTACTATTGTTATCTATGGAATTTACGAAAATGTTTATTCTTTATTTCTTCACCAAACTAATCAAATGTAGAGAACAGTATTATTCAATTGAACTTATTCGTATTCTTCTTGAACGACAACTATATGTGTTAACTGTAACTCGCAGAAGTTTGTAGCTTTTACTATGTGCCTCTTCTTCACCTTACGTTAATTTAGTTTAATTTAATGAAAATTTCCTCGAAGGGAAAACAAATCGAAAATAAAATTTATTTTTGATTTCATATATTCTGAAAAAATGGTCAAAAGAGGTGACAGCTAATTAAAAACAAGACATTAAGGTCAAGTGATGAGCCTATCTTAAAAACCAGTGATAACATTTTTGTCGTTGTATTCTCAATTTAATATAGCTTACTACACTTTACTATATTGCAAAAATCTATGTGAAATTTTTTAATCTTCTTTATTAATGTTATGGAAGATATTACTGAAGTTTACCAACTTTGTTGAAATACCCAGTAAAACATACTTTTATTAACTTATTATTGAATAATCCTAATCTGCATATAAATAAACTGACAGAAAAATAATCTAAGCATAAGGATGAATCTAGATTTTACGATACCTCCCTCCTTACCTATACATATACAAGAGAAATTAAATTCTTTGATTCAAGACTATAAAGATGAAAACCTAACTATTAAAGGATACGAGACTAAGAGAAAACGCCTTCTGGAACCATACATACATGATCTCAAAACAACCGTCCCTAGCAAAACACCAACTAATATAGACAGAAAACACACAGTACATATCACAGGTCGTAACCAAAGTCTCTCTTCTACCTTATTGGAAAGAACTATAACTCCCTCTACACCAATAAATTCCTCGAATAATTTAACATCAATAGATAATTTTTCTATATTATCGATTACAAGGTCCCGATATAATTATTATAACAGCATCGACACACCACAATCTATGTATAATGTAGCTACAAATTCATCTATTTTTAATACACCAGGTAGACCAAAAGTATCACATAGACATGCTTCATCTATACAATTGTCTTTACCAAGTCACGATATCACAGATGATAAAAACAACTATCTTCCTATGATACCATTATTACCAAGGAATGTGAAACAGCCAATATCATCTAAAGGTAAATCATTTAATTTTGATAACCAATTACCTTTTTCCTTATTACCTATATTAAAAGGTAGATCTCAATTTAACGAAGGACAGACAGCTATTATATCTTTAAATGTAAAAGGTAAAGAAACTTATATCACATGGGATAAATTGTATTTAAGAGCAGAAAAAGTAGCTCACGAATTGAAAAAGACAAAATTGTACAGAATGGATAAATTATTACTTTGGTATAATAAAGAAGAAGTTATTGAATTTACAGTTGCATTACTTGGTTGCTTTATTGCAGGGATGGTAGCTGTTCCCATTTCTTTTGAAACTTATTCCTTACAAGAAATAGTGGAAATCATTAGGCAAACTAATTGTAAGCATATCCTAATATCAAACGAATGTTATAGACAACTAGATAATTTACATTCACCAACTCATAACACAACTATCAAGATAAGTAGAAATGACATGTTCAAGAACATCTCATTTTTAAAAACCGATGATCTAGGTACATATTCAAAAGCCAAAAAACAACCTTCAACATTTGATATATCTACTATTGCATATATAGAATTTACCAGAACACCATTAGGAAGATTATCTGGTGTAGTTATGAAGCATAATATCTTAATGGATCAATTTGATTCATTGGCTGAAATTTTAGATTCTAAAAAAATGCCTTATTGGAAAAAGAGCCATATATGGAAACCATATGATAAGAGAATACCAGTGACATTAGCTACTAAAGAGAAAACAGCAAGATTTACTGTTCTAAATAGTTTGGATCCCACTAGATCAACTGGATTAGTACTTGGTGTTTTGTTTAATGTTTTTACTGGGAATTTATTAATATCTGTGGATGAGAAACTTCTTCAAAAACATGCAGGCTACGAAACATTGATAGACAAATATAGAGCCGATATTTTATTAAATGATCAATTGCAACTTAAACAAAATGTAATCAATTATTTGGAGAATCCAATCCCAATGCCTGAACGAAAAAAACATAAAATGGATTTCAGTTGTGTTAAAGTATGTTTGACTTCTTGTAATACGATCGATACAGAGGTAACTGATATGGTTATTAATAAATGGTTGAAAAACTTAGGTTGTACAGATGCTGTTCTTTGTTACTCCCCAATATTAACATTAATTGATTTTGGTGGAATATTTATTTCAACAAAAGATCAACTCGGGGGTTTAGAAAATTTCCCAATACATAACTCCTCTCTAAAATTACAAGATGATATTTATGTCAATAAAGATAAGCTCAAAGTCAATACTATAGAAGCTAATATCACAGCAATGATAAATTCTTCACAGACATTTAAAGATTATATTAGACTACAATCATTTGGTTATCCTATTCCAGGCACCACGCTCTGTGTTGTAAATCCTGATGATGCCACTCTAGTTCCTGAGTTATGTGTTGGCGAGATTTGGTTATCTTCAAAAAATTTAGTAAACGAATTTTATCAAATGGATAAAGTAAATGATTTTGTATTTAGGGCAAAATTAAATTACGCCAAAATGTTTTCCTTTATTAATGATGGACCTCAAGTTAATGACAACACTTCTGTAGATAGACTAGAAACTATCTATAACATATGTCCGCCTAATACTCAATTTTTAAGAACCAAATTAATGGGTTTTATCCACAATGGCAAAATCTATGTTCTTTCTTTGATAGAAGATATGTTTCTTCAAAACAAGTTGATTAGACTTCCAAATTGGTCTCATACATCTGATATATCAAGAACTTGCAAATCTTCTTTTTACACATCAACGAATAACAGTATTTCAAACATTAATGCCTCAAAACATAGTTCCATTTCAGATGGATCCAACTTTGAAGGTTCAGAGACTAACTGGACAACATCATACAAAGGAAAACGTATTGTTGAAACTCATTACCTACAACAAATTACGGAAACACTAGTTAGAACAGTAAATACAGTCTCTGATGTAAGTGCCTTTGAATTGAATAGGTACAAAGACGAACACTTCTTAGTACTAATAGTTGAAAGTTCTTTGGCAAAAAATTCAAATGTTAGTTTACTAAACAGTGAACAAAATTTTTTAATTAAGACAAATAGCCAAAAGGAATCATTTGAAAGAAAAATGAATGAGTTAACGGATCAAATCTATCGTATTCTTTGGATATTTCACAAAATTCAACCAATGTGCATCTTAGTAGTACCACAAAAGTCATTACCAAGACGTTATTGCTCTTTGGAATTAGCTAATAGTACAGTCGAGAGAAAATTTATTAATGGGGAGCTTAATTCAAAATATGTCAAATTTCAATTTGATAATATCATTCTTGACTTTATCCCACATTCTAGTTATTATAATGAAAGCATATTTTCAGAACATTTGTCAAAATTAAGAAGGTTATATATTGAGAGGAAGAACATTATTGAACAAAAAAAGACTAATGGACTAACCAAATGGCAAACTTCTGGTATAGATTATAGAGAAACATCTTATGATTCAAGAAACCCGCAGTTAAAACTGTCTGACTATAAATCGATAACAGAGATTTTAGAATGGAGGGTACGCACAACCCCAAATGAGTCTGCGTTTAGTGACGGTGGCAATACAGCCTCTTCAGGCAATTATAACAATGAAAATAATATTCAAAAAAATATTTCCTAGAAAATTTTTGACTTAATAATTGCTGCCTTCATTAAAAAAATTGTTGGCTCTAAGACCCCTTTATCAGCAGGTGATCATGTTATTATTATGTGCGATAATTCTGTTGAATACGTTGCAATGGTAATGGCATGCTTCTATTGTCACTTGGTAATCATTCCGTTGAAACCTATTTCTGAAAAAAGGGCAGAAAGTGATATCACGTTTTTATGCTCAATCATTGAAGGATACAAGGTGAAAAGGTTATTTATTGATGGTAAGCTTCATGCTATGCTTAGTAATAATAGTATTATTTCTAAACTCTACAAGCATTACAAATACTTATTTCCAAAAGTCACTGTTTTTTCCAAATTAAAAAAAAAGAATGGTGTACATAGTGAAAGTTTTGAAAGTATATTAAAGCAAAAATACAGCTATAAAGCTGGAACAAATGTTAACACGATACCAGCAGTTATTTGGGTTGATAACGATAAAGATATAACAAAGAATTTACATATTTTAATGAATCATGAATCATTATTAAACATTTGTAAAGTATTAAAAGAAACACTACAATTGAAAATAACAACCCCAATATTATCACTAGATTCCTATACTAGTGGTCTTGGGTTTATTTTGAGTTGTTTTATTGGAATATATGTTGGGACTTCAACCAACTTGTTTAGTTTAAACAGTGTCATGAATGATCCGAAGGATTTCTTAATGGCAATTCAAAATACAGGTTTCTCTGATCTGTATTTAAAAATTGATACCTTTCACAAAATACTTCATAAAACATCAAATCTTTTAAGTAATGAAGTTCATTCTAATAAATCAAAACATGTTGTTAAAAGTGGTTCGCCAAATTTGAGGCCTGATTTATTCAGAAATGTTGAAAATATCCTGATTTCATTTATTGGGAGACCGAGCTTCAATTTTATTGAAAATCTACTAGCAACCTACAATAATGTACCGATATCTTCAAACCAAATTAACTTTGTTTACCAACATCATTTCAACCCAATCATCTCGTTGAGATCATACTTAGATATTCCACCAATCGATGTTTATCTTGATCCTGTTTCCTTACGTGAGGGTATTATAAAAGAGATTGACCCTACATCATCAAAAGTTTATAACGCATTGAGGTTACAAGATTCTGGTGTTGTTCCTGTTTGTACAGACGTTGCCATTGTGAACCCAGAAACCTTAATGCCTTGTGTCGAAGGAGAAATAGGTGAAATTTGGTGTTGCTCAGAAGCCAATGTGTTTGACTATTCAATTTTTAACTCCAAAAAAAAATCTAAGAAAGATTCTTTTATAACTGAGCAGTTCCAGAGTAAATTTAACAAAGAATATGAAAATGGATTAACTTACCTCAGAACTGGTGATCTTGGTTTTATCAGAAATATTCAAAGAATCAACAGTGAGGGTGATCTAATCAGTTTGAATTTATTGTATGTACTAGGTAGCATCAGTGAGACCATTGAAATACTGGGATTAACACATTTTGTGTTTGACTTAGAAAAAACAATCAAATCTACAAATAATGCTATTCGTAACTGTTTAATTGCTAAAGCTGGAGGATTATTAGTTTGCCTAGTTCAAACAAATTCAGAAATGACTGAGAAATATGGTAACTTGACAGCTTTGATGGTATCTGAACTAATGAACAACCATGGTGTAATTCTTGACTTAGTTTCCTTTGTTAGTCTCAATGCATCTATCATATTAAAAAAATATGATATGTGGAGTTTAAACAGGTTATTTATTATAAAAGATTGGTTTAATGGTGATATTAAAATCGACGCTCAATTCGCTATCAATTATGGTGAAAATATTTCAATGTATCTATTATCTGAATTTGATAAAGATACACAATAAATACACCTGTTTTAGCTGAAACAAATTGTGCCTTTATTCCAATTCTTTATCTTATTACATTTTCTTATATTAAATTATTTATATGAATATCATATAGTTGAAGACTTTCTCTATATATCAATTGTAAAACTAAATGTCTAGTATAAACCCTCATAATGCAATATACAAAAAAAAATAAAAAAAGAATTAATTATTAAAACTTTTCTTTTTTCATCTCTCTGAAGATATGTTATAGAATATCTTATTGAATTGAATTTTTTTCTTAATATCATTATAGTAGTAAATGCATGGCAAATCTATAATTTCATTTGAACTTTCAAGAAATATGAAACTAAAAATGGTAAACTAACCACCATCAGTGGATATTGTAACATTAAAAAGAATGAAACACATTCCATTTGAATTGGATTTGTAGTATCCACTGGTGTATATGATGCAGTGAAATAAATCAAAGTAGTCATTGTGGGTAGATTCCAGGTAATCGCTATAACAAAAAGAAGCATTTTATCATCTGTCCAGTTAAGCCATCCTGCTTTTACTAAACGGTCACACCACAAAACACCAAAGATTGGCATGACACATTGTCTCAAAATGACTAATAAGCATGCTGATTTCCAAAAACCCGGGTATAGAGTCCCGATTTTCAACCGACCTAAAGTGGCACCTAACAAAAGCAAACCAAATGGCACTGATGCCGCACCCACATAACTGGTGTAATCCATCAAGAAACTTAATGCAGGTTGTTCATCTGGTGCTTGTCTAATATGAGGAGTAGTTGGTGTAGTGACAAACAATGCTTTAACCCATGGAATAAATGCAATAATCAAAGCAATAATAACTGCCATAGAACATGGTCTTAAACAGTTTTTCATGAAAAATACAATTAATGAAACCAATGGAAATTTTCTTAGCCATTTAGGTAGGGAAGAACCTGATTCTTCTATATCTTTTTTACTGACCGTAGCATCTGATGTCAACATTTTAGTCAAATTGGATGATTTAATTCTTTCCAATGTAGATTGATGAGAGAATGACGAATGAATACTAGATGCATCAGATACCAATGAAGATCTTCTAGGTCTACCAAATTGATCAACATTAGAATATTCACGAATAATATCTTGCATTGTTTGTGGCGGTAAGTCACGACTTTCAATAGATCTCAAAGATACAACACGATCCAGGTTGTTTATAGTATTTTCATAGGATTGATAACCTGTGGCGATATTTCTATTTCTGTTCTGCTTATGAAAACGTTGATGATGAAAGTTCCTATTTCTTCTATTTTCTGGTCCTTTCGAGGTTAATGCAATAGGTTGGGATCGAGTTCTGTCAATATTATCTCTAACATCATAAGTTGTTGAATATTCGTCACTATCAATAGAACTATGAGTACATATAGAAGATGCAGGTAAGGATTCTGTAGTCAAAAGAGAATTTTGTATTGATACTTGATCATGTAAAGATGTATTTTCATTGTTACTGTCATTTTCGTTTAATCTGTTTCTATTACTGCCATTATTATTATTATCAGTAGCATCCTGCTTCTCATTTCTACGATATGGTTGTGGGATTGCCTGCATTTCGTTGTCATCCAGTGAAGATTCTAAAGATTCACTATTTTGAAGCGAGTCAGACGCAGAATTTGAATTTCTTTGCCTCAATACATTATTTTCCTTTTCTGAATTGTCGCTCTCAATACTATTCCCGTTCTTTTCATCTGATATCGAGTCTGATAAAGAACTATGTTGGTTCAACGAATCGTCCTGATTACTATCATTATTATTATCATCATTATCATCATTTGAATATTCATCCTCATGGACTGCATTCTCCTCATCATTATATTTAAAATCATTTTCAATTAGTCTAAACCCACCTAAATTAAAGACACAAATCAAAAACATGGCCAAGAAGATAATAACATTAGCAACCCCTTTATTACCTTCTTGTGGAGTAAAAATAAAACCTTGGTCCATGGTTTGAATGTAAGCAATTGGTAAATCACTAATATTTGGAAACATCCCACCTGCTAAAATCCCACCGGACCATTGTTTTGGTACAGGCATAACTTTTCTAATTACCCAAGCAAAAAACAAACCTGTGGCAAAGATTAATACGGAACTCAAACATATAATCCCCACGTTTTTAATATCATTATCTTCAATATTGGCCACAATTTTATTAAATGAAAGACATGGCAAAAGAATTGTTAAGACGATATCACTAATTGTTCTTGTTGCTTCTGCAGTTAAAATATTCATTCGAGCCAGGAAAAACCCTGTCCCAATAATTAAATAAATTTTAATAATTGGCTTCACTGAAGCCCAAATGGCCTGACCTAATGTAATATGCATTGTTATAAAATCAATATGAAAGAAAACAAAATAAAGAAAGAAAAAAAAAACTAGTAATTAATAATGGTTTCTCAAAAAAAATATGTTCTTATCTATATCAGATCTTCTTTTTTTCTTTTTGTTGTTTTTTAATGGTTCTTTCAATTTTAGTAAAATATGTTTGAACTATGAATAAAAAAATCTACAATTATGAGTAGTAACGAATCTTAATATTTATATAGAACGAATAAGTATAGTGGCAATGTGAAAGCTCAATAATAGCAATAGAATTACTGCAAAAATGTTAAAATCACACAATAATACTTGATGATAAAAAAAGGCTACAAAGAAAAAATAAATAAAAAAAAGAGAAGTATTAATTGTATAGTAAGCAGACGTAATAATCTGGACACTGTTTATATCTATATGTGTATTTATATAATGCTATATTGGTTGTGCAAAAAGACAAAGTATGTTCTACGTACTTATCAGTATGTAAACAACAACACTTGAAACGCAGAAAAGTACAAAACTGACTCAAATAAATCTAATAATTAGTACAGCAGAAACACTGATATGAAATAATTAATCAGGAAGTTGATATTAATTTGATAGGTAGAGAAATAGATACATATCGTTGGATAAACATTATATATAAAGTTGTTAATAACAGAGAGCTCCCCAGGATAAGTGTATTTCCCTTCTTCTTTCTATTTCTTTCTTTGACAGATTAATGTATCGTTGCTGATTATACGAATAATAAATAAAAAAAATACTTAAACATTTGGAAAATCATTCTGTCATTTCTATTATTTTTTTCTCTTTTGTTTCCTTTGCCTAATTCAGTAATTAGAACAATAGGGAACAAATGTCTTTATATCCAGACACGTGGGATGACTACGAATTTCCGTGCGTGGGGATAAAAGAAGGGGTTGTTTAAAGAGTTTACAGAGTTTCCAGAGTGGTGTACTAAGCTCATTAGGGTTTATCTTATTTTTTACTTTTTGTTATCTTTTTTCCTTTTTGTGTTTTTTGTTTAACCAACTCTACAATGAATCACCAATATCGTATTTGATAAAGATAGTAGTGAATATTTGAGATTGATTAAGAAGGCATTGAATCAGTCAAATATCCAGCACCAGATTTAGATGCACTTTGTCTTTGACAAGGTCTATTTTTTGTTTTGATCTTTTTATTTATTTATTATTTATTTTTTCTTATCAATTAAATGAAATTACCCATTTAAAAAGTTCATACTGTTTTAGTATATTGATAAATTACTTATTTATTACTCTACCCTTATATCTTTAGTACATACATACACATAACTTCACCAATGTCATTCTCTTATGAAAATTATATGAATCTGATATGGCATTTAAACTATAGTAAAGAAACAGTACCGTCTGATATTGCCAAAAGAATAGTATCGCATGGAATTGCGCCTGTTATTACTGTTACATCAACAGCAGATCTAGATCGTCATATTCAAGACATATATGGGCTAGATTCTATGTATCATCTTCTAAGATTCTTTGGTGGCTGTGTATCTGATAGAGATCAAGCCAATGAAAAGGACACTATTCTGAAATCTTCTAATAACAATGATAATAACGATACTACTACTACCGCCACTAGTACATTTTTGAAAGTTCCTGAACAAAATATTCCTAACCAAAGTTCTACCGTCACTACTCCGGGCAATAGACGAAGAAGCAATTCTAACAGTCTGTTACAAAGAGATCATACTCAGTTACAATTTATAAGATTTTCAAAATCTTTACCTGATCTATTATCCTCACTGTCTTCACTAAGTTACGAGAATAAAGACACTGATGTCCCAAAAGGGACATCACTTAACTACAAGGAACAATTATTATCAGAGAACCATTCTTTAGAAATATTTTTACGAGATTATCTACATATCATAAATGAAAATACATTATGGAACACAGACCATCTTCTTCTAAGAAAATCTATTTATCATAATTTTTTCTCCCAAACTTTGTCATCAACCAAAGATTTATCCCCATTTGAATCCTTTAATCATCCTATTGTCTCATTGTTTGCACTAGATATATCAAAAGAACAGACATATGAAGATGCAAGAGAATTATTGACTACTTTTAAAAATTTGAACAAAATTATCGATAATTTCCCACCTTATCTTAATATTAACGACATTTTACCTATATTTCTGCTATGCTATGATGCAGATTCAACGGAACAAACAGAAACATGTCAAAGTTTGATTAAAAAATTTAAAAAACAGTTATTTGTAGAGAGTGTCATGTTACCTCTATGGAAAAATAATCACATCAATCAGGAGCAAGATGAAATGGTTCCATATAAATTCTTACATGAACCTGTAATGACCTCACTAGATGAAATTTTAATTTTATTAGCCAATCCAGGAGATTTGAATCGTAAATATAGATTACCATCCGCTATTATCAATGAAATTTACAATATGTTAGATATCCTAGTCTATGATCTTTTAATCCCATTTATGCAAAGAAAAATTTCGTATTGGAATGAAACAATAATGGCACCAAGAAAATCTATCTTTCATGGATCCAAATTTTTGAAAAGGTTCATTAATAAATCAAATCAACAGCAAATTCAAACATATAAGACACCTGAGGGAATTGACCATTTCTTAGCATCTTCAAATGAATTTTTGTTAAGAAAATTGGCGGATTGGTCCTTAATGATATCCGATTTTAAAACTGCCTATACAACATATGATTCTCTCTCAAATGATCTGGACAATTTCCCTTTATATTTGGCTTCCTGCTTAGAATGGTGCTCTGTGTCTTTACTGATGGGTGCACAAAGTATAGTAACAGTTAAAATGATCAAAAATGACATCACACCTTTAATTGAAAGAGCCGTAGAAATCTATAAAACTGACAATAGACCAATTTTAGAGACTAGATGCATGTTATTATGTACTGAACTATTCCTTTCACTAAGCGATTCTTGGACCTCCACTCCATATGCTATTCACTACCTTGAAACGATACTATCTGATGGTAAATTAAGTTCTTTAGCAAAGACACTTATATGGGAAAGGTTAAGTGATTGTTATGCATCAAGAATCGACCCACGAGTTAGGTGTAAAGTTGAAAATAACATTAATATCACTAGTACTAACAATGACTTAGTTTCTTTGTCACCTTCAAATGAGGATGGTAATACTCTTGATGATTACATCCTAAAAAGATACAGTATAGATATTTTGTCTAAAGGTTTTACTAGAAACAGAAAAGCTGCATTCTTCAGATTAATTGCAGCTAAAAAATGGGCAGAACAAGGATATTGGAGACAAGTACATTGGTGCTTAAAAGATATCCATCATATTTATGAGCATATCGGTTTATATGACAGACATGGGTTAATGTTAAAAAATTTACACGTAAAGCTACAAGAGAAAATGACACTCGAAATATGATATCGCTATGCTAATAATATCTCAACATGCGGCATATATTTCTATAAAATACTTATATATATACATATAAGATTTAAGTACAATAATCTTATAAAATCTTTTGCTTGGTGTTCGTGCAAGTTTTATTCATTTAATTACTCATTTGATATTTTTTAACTAGGTCCCTATATTTTCTTTGAGTTTTAATCATATCTAGATATATGTTGTATTTTACATTTAATAGCCCCTTTTCATAATCATTGGAGAGTTTCTCTACAGAATAAATTTTTCCCGCTGGTGTAGCTTTAGTCATAACATCCCACAAAATATGCTTATCAACATCCTTTCGATTTGAACTAAATATCTTATAAGCACACATACCTAAGATAGCTGAGCCATAAGCTACTGCAGAATTAGTTGACGAAGATTTGTTAATTGTCTTATGTTCTGGGATTATGATGTCCAATCCAGTACTCTCCATCATTAATCTAATTAACATATCATTATTTACTTGACTTCCTGATATATAAATTGCTTTAATACAATGGCCTGAATTAATCATTGTCTCAATAATATGTCTAGTTTGTAATGCGATAAATTCACAAGCTGCTAAATATAACAATGAAAGGGATTCTATCGATGTATCTAACGTTTGTCCGATGATAACGGCCCTCATTTCCATGTCTGCTAAAGGTGATCTATTTCCATGCAAATCACCGTACATAAATAAATCACTAGTCAAATCACTAACAGATTTGCAAGATTTCTCTTTTAATAATTTAATTAAAGTATTATTAAGGTAATCATACGGATTTTGGTTTGATTTTTGACATGCATCAATTAATTCCTTATATGAGGGGTGAGTAGTTAAGATATGATTTAATAAAGCACCTGTACAACTCTGTCCACCCTCGGTTACCCAAAAATCAGGCAATAATATGTCTTTATATGGTCCCCATACACCAGGAACCATTATTTGTCTATCAGCCATAATAATATGGCAGGTAGAGGTACCTGCTACCATAGCCAATCTCTCTGTCCTCTTGATATCACTATTTTTTTTAAAATTCAATGGAATTGATGCTACAGTACCAATCCAACCAGCATAGGCATCAATTATACCTGAACTGACGATGCATGACTCAGTTAAACCCATATCATCGGCGACAACTTTAGACAAACATCCCACTGGTTGACCTGCAGAAAGAAAAGAATCCTTCTTCTTTAAAGAACCACCAAGACTAAAAAAGTTGTCCTCAATCAACTCATTCAAACCAATTTTCTCCAAGAAATCTGTAGACCAACCATCAACGGAACCGTCTGATCCAGAAGGAAGCATACCTTGTTTACATACAGCAGAACATAGGGACCTTGTTTCTTTTCCTGTGGCTTTATAGGTTAAATAATCAGGTAAATCAAAAAATTTTGCATTTTTAATAGATCTGAATGCCTTTAACCACTTAATCTTTGGCAGTTCCATCTCCACAGACATTTTACCTCCAACATATTTCAAACATTTATCCTGAGTAGAATTAATGAAGTCGGTCTCCTTTCTAGCTCTATGGTCCATCCACATAATTATATTTTGATCGTTGTCTGAAAAATCAGGACCCACAGCTAGTGGTAAACCAGTGTCTTTATCAACGACTACTAATGAACATGTTGCATCAAATCCTATGCCCAAGATATCCTTAGGATCTATATTTGATTCTGTAATAGTGTTCCTGACACACTGGCAAACAGAATTCCAAATACTGGTCGACGATTGTGTTATATAACCAGGCTTCAATTCCTCTCTTGGAATCTCCAATTCATGTTGAGTTAAAATAAGATGATCATGAACAAGACAAGCTCTTACCGAACCTGTACCAACATCAACACCAATGTAATAGCCATCCATTTTTTAAATGTTTAATTTTTAAATACTTTATACTTTATATTTTATAACAATATATCTTAGATTAGACCTATTAAATCTCACAGTTCATTTGATGAAAACAATATAACAAAAAAAGAATAAAATAGATCTCAGTTGTAGATAATCACTTAATAGTGAATACTTTGAAAATTACTCTTTACCATTTTGTATCATCGACCAATTACGTTCAGAAAAATGATTATTCTAGTTGTTATTTTCTTATTCTTTCAGCCTTTTAATTGCAAGATACCTATCTCAACAATAATCTCTTATATTCTCGAGGTAATTTCCAAAAAAAAAATCTCTTAATCGTAACGAATAGAGTATCATTAACAAAAAAAAGCACTATTTTAAAAATAGAAAACAACACATGCTCTTTATTACATTTATTAACATGACAAAGATAATCTAAAAATTTAGTGGTGTTTAGCGTTGGTCAGCTATTATCAATAACAGTTTCATAATATATATAAACAAGTAAAATAACGAGTAAACAATTTCCTTGGTGTAAATGGGGTTAGTGGAAACATTTCAAAGAAAAGCCGCCAAATTAGGTCTTTTCCCAAAACTTATACGACTTTTGCCCATATTCTCACTAATTACTACCATTATTAGTATAATTTTACTTTTAATATTACCACTTGATGGACAATACAGGAGAACATATATCTCTGAAAATGCCTTAATGCCATCACAGGCCTACAGCTATTTTAGAGAATCCGAATGGAATATTTTAAGAGGTTATAGGACACAATTACAATCATTTAGTAATAATAGTAACTTTGAAGACATTTCCAATCAATTTGCACAGAAAATAACTACATCTGAAGAAAGATTTAGGACTATTGAATCCTGGTTGAATGAATTCGGTGTCAAAACGTCTATATATCGTAATAATGCTACTGGTGATACATTATATGGTATATTACATGCCCCAAGGGGTGATGGCACGGAAGCAATGGCTCTTTGTGTACCCTGGAAAAATAGCAATGGTAATCTAAATATTGGTGGTACTGCTTTGGGTATTGCTTTAACTAGATACTTTTCAAGATGGCCAATTTGGTCCAAGAATATAGTCATTGTTTTCAGTGAGAACCCTAAACAAGCATTAAGAGCATGGGTGGAAGCTTACCACACTTCTTTAGATTTAACTGGAGGTTCTATCGAAGCTGCTATTGTTTTAGATTATCCTAGTGTCAATGATTTTTTTGATTATACCGAGATACATTATAACGGATTAAATGGTGAACTACCAAATTTAGATTTAGTTAATATTGCAGTTTCTATTACTCAACATGAAGGTATGAAAGTATCGTTACACAATTTACTAAAGGATGAAGTAGATGAAAATAATTATTGGTCAAGACTGAAATTGATTCTCTTAGGTATCAAAGATTCAACTCTAGCTGGGGTTAGAAAGGTCCATGGAAATGAAGCATTTAGTGGTTGGAGAATTCAATCCATTACTTTGAAAGCATGTGGCGACAGTGGTAATATTGATATAACTACCTTTGGACGTATTACAGAAGCAATGTTTAGATCAGTTAATAATTTATTAGAAAAATTTCATCAATCATTCTTTTTTTATATATTATTAACTCCTAAAAACTTTGTTTCTATTAGCAGTTACTTACCAAGCGCTGTATTATTATCAATTGCGTATGCTTTAGCTTCAATAAATTCGATATTAAATACAAATATATCCTTTAATAGTTACCCATCATGCTCTATCATTGCAGGAATTGTTTGGCTAATCTGTATAATAGGAACTTTCATAATTGGCCATGTGATGCTTTATGCCACAAGTACTTTCAGTTTTGTCCTATTATTAATTGGCAATATAACAATAGTCATGTCCCCTCTAGTGTTTTCAAAATTCACTTATATTAAAGAACCAATAATACAAAGAACAAAAGCCCTTGGATTCCTATTCTTTAGTTTAAGTCTTACATCATTATTGATGTTAAACTTTTCGTTTTCTTTTGTTCTAGGTCTTCTAGCTTTCCCAATGACATTAGTACAGATTGTTAGTATTCATGATAAGACTAGTATGTCTAAAATACAAATCAAAAATATGCTATTCCTTTTAGTATCGAATCCATTTATATCTATATTAATTTTTACTACTATATTCGAAAGTGAAAATTTCAAAGGTTTAGAAGTGTTTCCAGCATTAATATCAGCATGGAAGGACCTGAATTGTTGGTCTTGGTTTGTACTTTGTGTATCCTGGTGGCCCACTTGGTTATTGACAGTTTTCTCCACAATGACTACTATACCAATACCAATTGTTACAAATGATTCTGAAGATATAGAAATTAAGAAAGATAAATGATTTCCAAAAAGACATATTCTTTAGTTGTAGTTTCATTGAATAAATCTGCTCACTTTACTATCTACATACATATTAAATATATGTATATATATGTTCAACAGTATATGTTATATCATATTATATTTTATATATATATATATACATCTTTGTCGAGCTAAATGATTTCCTATTTGGGAAAGAGATGAGCTTCTATCGAAAAGCTAATCGAATATTAAATTAAAATTTTTATGTCGACTGTTATAGATCATCAGAAAGAAGAAGACAGAAAAAAATGTTATAGTACTTGGTTACTCTATTACTAAATGGTATTGTACCGAAGCTATTTTATATTGTTAATTATGACAAACTTATGGAACTTTAGCTTTTTAATAGGTAGCCAAAACGAACTATACATGCATATATAACGGAAAAGACAAAGAAAGTAGAAAGAGGAAAATAGAGTGAATGTTATTCCGAGTGCGTTGTGAATTAACCTGCATTATAGATTATATGATATGGATTCTGCTTTAGAAAAAAATAAGGAAAGAGCTGATTTATTAGAAAGAAATTTAAATTTTGATCCTGCACGTCCTAGATTGAAGAGTCAACAAAAGGGCAGACATGAGCCTGTATTAATCCCATTAGTTGGGGAAAGATACACTAAATACATGGGCGATGATGTTGACAAAGAATTTTTACAAAGAGGTGAAAGAGAAGTAGTCAAATATTGTCAAAGTATTAATGGAAGGATGACTCAGGATATGTTTGAGTTATTTGTAAATGAAAATGTCACTAAAGAGACTATACAACAGCTATATCCTTATGACAATAATGGTGATGTAAGTCGTAAAGTTATGTATTTACATCGAAGATATTATAAAGATGAAAATGGGTTGATCCGCGATCAACTGAAAGACAATAGAGTGATATTTAATCCTATTTACACATTTGATATGATTATGGGATGCCATCTTTTAAACTCACATCCAGCTGCTCGACATGTTCACCAAGGTTTATGGGAATTTTATGCTAATGTGAGTCGTGACTTGGTCGAGAAGACGGTGCAGTTCTGTACGAAATGCAATCCAGAAAAAAAATTAACGCCACTGGTAAAAGTCAGATCATTTAATGTCCATAATGGGTTACTGCCATTAGAAAGAGTCCATTTTGAAATATTCGAACCATACCCAGGTGAGTTGATCGAGGGGAAATATAGTCATGTGCTTTACTGCAGAGATTATTATTCTAGATTTTTGTGGATGATGCCATTGAAGAGTACTAAGTTTAAAAGAATTGTTCCAAAAGTAGCTGAAATGTTATTACTTTTACCAAGATTACCTATATTTATTGAATCAACTTCTCTAAATTGGCAAGACATGTTCGATATCTTTGAGACTATTGCAAAGAAGTACTCGTTAGATATTGGATTAGGTACTGGACAAAAGCATGAATTGTTTCATGTAGGATCACTAAATCATACTAGACAAAGGTTTCTTAAACACAAGAAGGAGGGGATTAAGGATTGGAATATGTTACTTTTAAAATGTTGTAACCGTCGTAATTATCTATACGATATTCAAATTAGAGGTGTTCCAGCAAATTTTCTAAGTTGCAACGTTCCTAATTTGAAGCAGAAATTTAGAGTCAAGAGATCTAATTATATGTACAAAGCAACAGGTTCAAATATTGTAAAGGTTGGTAAGGGATGTATATATCTGGAAGTCGAAAATGAAAATGAAAACAATGAGAACGACGAAGGGCAACAGAATCAAGAAAATACTACTAGCAATCTCACAAATCAAGATGACGCTTTTGAAATTATGAACAGTATAAGTGATAGTGATGATGAAGTTGTGATTGCCAAATACAAAGATATGCAATCGGAAAGAAATCCTTCAAAAGCCATGAAACAAAAAATAGTAATTGCCAAATCTTCAGATGACGTTACAAATACAATCATTAACGAGAAAATTGATAACACCCGAGATATGGAAGATATCAATGGTGATACTCTTACCACCTCTATTGAAACATTGCAAAGAACTAATAATGGACTTAATTTAGAACAATTACCACAGAGTACTCAAGAAATGGAACCTGTATCCAGGATAACAGACGAATCATGTGAAATAGTAGATTCTTCTACTGCATATATTCAAAATCCATCTTCTGATAGACGTTCAAGAGACATAGATGATGAAGAGGATGAACCTACAAAAAAGAAAGCTCATCTTTTTGTCGTTGGAGATGAAGAGTCGAATATATCAAGAGAACTGTAAGAAAAAAGAATATTAAAGATATGACATGGCTATTTATAATAATAGTAAAAGGAAAACAATAAACTCCTCTTTTGATGTATATATGTATATATATATATGTACTCTACATTAATTGAAGTATTCCTATAGTGAACTTTTTAATTTAATAGTAATTAAATGACTTTATAAGCATTGAATAAGCCAATAAGTAGTAAAAAAGATGATGTATTGAAACATGCAAAACCAATAAATAAAATGGTAAAAATGACAAAAAAAATGATAGTGAATAGGAAAAAAGTTCAATCACGGTACTGATCATAAAATTCTTTATGGAAAGTTTCCCAATCTTTAATCCATTTTGTACCTGGCGCCAAAAAGGTTGTTCTTACATGCCAAGTACCATCAACTTGACCAAAACCCGATCCTGGAACAGTACATATCCCAGTAGCTTCTAACAGACGTAAACAGTAAAATTCATCCGGTAACAGATTCAATTTTTTTGCTTCTTCCAATGCCTTTTTAGGTAGTAATAAAGTTGGGAATAAATACATTGCACCTTGTGGTTTTTGACAGTTAATACCTTCCAATTTGGAAAAAATTTCATATAGCAAAAACCCGCGTTCTTTCATGTTGTTATGAATTGTTAGTCTTTCAGTCCTGTCTAATTGGTAAGAATCATCACCTTCTTTTGGTGGGTCCACCATTAAATCCACAAGAGCTTGACCTGTTACGACAGAACATATTGAAATGGATGCTAATTTAGTTATGACCTGTCTGACTTCATCAGTAAACCCAACAATTTCCATATAACCACCTCTTTGACCACATTCACCGAATACACCTTTTGATGTCGAATGTAAAGAAGCCAGCTGAACGTTCTCATAGCCAGTTTCGTCTCTTTGTAAAGTTCTTAAAACCTTTTTCATAGAATAAAATTGGACTTCTTCATAATATATATTATTTTGATAAACCTCGTCTGCAATGACTACAATACCATATTTTGCAGCCACCTTAAATATTTTAGCTATGGTATCAAATGATAATACAGCGCCTGTTGGATTACCTGGGTTAATAACAACAATGACACGAGGTTTGATTCCTTTTGCAATGGAATCAACAACAATCTGTTCAATTTCGTCTGCATTGGTGGACCAATTTGAAGATTCATCTAAATAGTATGGTAACATAGTAGCATTATACATAGTAATAGAAGCTGTGTATAATGGATACTGCGGTATTGGGACCAAAATACCAGTAGATTTATCTTTGCAAAGAATTGAAAGTAAGTAAGTGGCGGCTTTTGATGCTCCATCTGTAAGAAATATATCATTTGGATCCGCAGGAAACCCATCTCTACGAAATATGGAGTTTGCTACAGTTTCTCTAATACCATAGACACCTTGGGTACATGTATAGGCACCAACTGATTTACCGATCTGTGTTAATAATTTGCATGCTCTGTCGAATGCATCCTTCTTGTATAAACCATTCGCAATTAAAACATCTTTGGATTTTATAAGTTCAGGGTATTGCAAGATTGAAATGACTTGTCTTGTAAAGGTTAAAGGCTTTTGATCTAATTGCTGTGGATTACCAATACTTGCATAGACCACATTATTGAATGGTAAATCTCCATCTGTTGTTGTGCTCAATTGGAATTCTAACTCTTCTGCTCTAGTTGGAATAGCACCTCTAATAGCATATTCTGCATCAATAATATTTTGATTTAAATCACATAAACCCAACTTGGGTGCTGGTTGAAAAGTTTGTTCTACCATGATATTCTTTAATATTTCTGTGTCTGTTTCTTTATGATACAAAATGTGACAGGCAGAAGAAGAGGAGGAAGAGAAAGAGGTGGGAGGAAGGAGATAAAGTTGTGTGTTTGTAATTATGGTTATCTGCTAGATATTATCTAAGTCAATTTATTATAATTTAAATTACTCTACACAAAAAAAATTTTTTCTCAGAAACATTGTATTCAAATGATTATAGAAGATGACTCACAGGCACCGGGAATAAATATTAATTCTTATGTTGCTTTTATAATAAGCCTGAGTCATGTTGAATGCATCCAATTAATTAGTCATCGGTGTAATTGCTGCAGGAACGACCTCCGTTAAAAATTTTCTCTTATTTGCTCAATTAGACATTTATTTCTGTGGTAATATTTATGAACGTGTAATGCATTGAGCAAATTAAATAAAAAATTGTAATAAAAGATATATTATTAATATATGGAAATTGTATATAGTTCAAAATGATTAGCAAAAGTGTATATATGAGTAATGATAGTAATAATAATAATATTTATATATCTATTTATCTCAGGGGATTAATGAGTAACAATTTTAGTCATAGATGTTATTTGATCTTAGTTAACGAATATGATATATATTAAGAATATGATAAATAGATAAATAAATAAATAAAGTGAAACCGTTGTTAGTGTTACAAATGTATATGTATACATATCTATATGTTCTCCCTTTGTTCTTTCTTTTTTTCTTTTTTTCTTATTGTCGATTAAATATCATTGTCAATTAGATCTACTATATCATCGTCATTCAATCCATCGCCATTATATTCTATATCTATTGGTAATAAATCTAATGGTTCATTCTCTGTTATGTAGCTATCTTGCTTTAAAGTCTTATTATATGATATCTTAGTGTTATGATCATTATGATGATCATCATCTACACTAGTATTTAAACATGTTTCTAATGGTAAAAGTGTAGGAGATACTATTGTTAATTCTTTATCCTGAGAATTATTGAATAGGTTATTATTTAGTATAAATGCTGTATTTTCTTCCTCTTCGTCATGTTTCACTATGGTTCCATTTATTAAAACATTATATGGATGATATTCAGACAACTTGTTTAAATCTTCTTGTGAAAATGGTATGTAACCATCTGGGATATATGGTATTTCATCTACGTCTTTCGATCTATATTCAATATCATCATCTTGATGCACATCACTCTTCACGTTGGTATTTGATGCTTTCTTATCTAACACATTTTGTAACTTTAATTTCAATGAATTATTCTTAAAATGACTCCATTCTTCATCACTCCCACTTTCACTCTCACTTTCACCACGTTTACTAACTTTATCAGATTTATTTGAATCGATCGGATCCTTTAAGATCAAACTTTTTGTTCTTGGTAAATTAATACTATGGGACGATCGAAGCGATAGTTTATGCCTATTGTTATCGTTGTTAATATCCAATATTGACCCATACTTCTTCAATCTTTTTGTATTATCCCTTCCTGTATCCTTATTTTTATTTCTATCAACCAATGGTTGTTTAACAATATTACTAAACAGGTTTTTCGATACGTTGAAACTCGAAACATTATTATCCTTTGCAGCAAATGGTAATCTTTTTGTTGGTGACAAACTAGCCCCTCTTTTACTCTTGGTTCTCGTTAGCCCATCAAGACTTTGTGGTTTCAATTGCTGCAATGGGGTACTAGGTATAATAGAGTTTTCTTTATCTGTGTGGACAATATTATTCATATTTTTTATTTTATTATCTATCAGTGTTGGACCCACGTCCTATGAAAAGTAATCTGTTTAATAATTTAATGGTGTTAACAATCTATTTAATCTGGATCACTTGTTTTCTCGGTTACCTGAATAATTTTTTCAACGTCTTTCCTAGGATCACACACTCTTTCTCCTCTTTTGTATCTTTTTATTTTTATTTTATTTCTCTTTTTTCTCCCTTTTCAAACTTTGTTTTTTTTTTTGTTGATGTTATTTCGAGTTGAGAATAAAACAAGCCACAAAACTTATGAAAAATCTAAGGAAAAGTTGTCTTTTTTTTTTTATTTTTATTTTAATGAAGAATAAGCAAGATCTGTTGATAAAAATGGACATAAAAGAGTACTTATGCAAGACAGTAGACGTTGGGCGGTTGCCTGGCCTTAAGATTGTGTGTTTTGGATATATACATATGTCTACTCCATAAAACTAACTGCAAATAGAGAGTGGTGTCTTAATTTTTCCTGCTATTCTTCTTATTTATTTTCTTTGTGACTGTCTGAATTCTACAAGTCTCTACTGATTCATATTCCAACATATATATATATACTTACTCCCTTTTTACATTATTGAAAACATAACGTATCCATATATTTCAAATAAAGATGTCCCTTGTATCATTCTATGGAAGATCTATTTTGGCTCAAGGTATTAATAAGCCATTGGTCCTCAAGAGTTTATTGTCCCCTGTTGGTGTTCCCACTTCAAATTCTATCGTATCATCAATGAATAATGGCCCATTATCTGCCATTGAACAAAGAAGGTGGAAGTCTCGTGGTAACACATATCAGCCAAGCACTTTGAAACGTAAAAGAAAGTTTGGGTTTTTAGCCAGACTGAAAGATAAATTTAAATCAAAGATGATTAAAACTAGAAAAGATAAAGGCAGATGGTACTTGTCTCATTAAACTGTTCAGAGTCTTCCTATTGTGACTATTCTTTTTGTTTTACTGTTCCATGTCTCATGTAAATATTTTTTTATTTAGCATCTAAAAAGTTTAAGGAATATTCTTTAGATATATATATATATATATATGTGTGTGTGTGTGTGTATTGATGACGTTATTATTTTATTTTATTTTATTTTGTGTTTTATATACATGGTAATAATAAAAAATAATATAAAGATACATAATATCATTGACTAACTTTATTAGTATGTTATTTCATTTTTGATTTAAGTCTCATTCAATTTTGCTTATTTAATTATTGATAGACTAATGTCCTTTTTATTATTTTTTGTTTGCTTGTTTGCCTGCTTGTTCGTTTGTTTTTGTCCATTTAAACAAAATCAATGACCAATCCAGGACCATGTGTACTAGTTAAAGTGGTTCGCCCTAAGATACTAACCTGATGTTTCTTTGCAGCTTTATCCTTTTGTATTTTAGCTGCATCCATCACTGCATTTCTAGCTGCAATAATATTTTCCAAAATCTGTTGATCTGACATTGAACATTTGCCAACACTAATGTTAATGGATGCTGTCTCAGTACCATGCTGTTTAAATGGTATTTTACTAACATTATTTTGAATCAATTGTAATAAATCTTCGGCTACAGTGCCCTTTTTAACGTTAGGTAAGACCCCACGTCTACCCAGCAATTTACCTAGTTGTTGATTCAATTTAGGCAAAATATCTGATGTGGCAAAGGATTTATCAATCTCAGTGACCGGTAAATCTCCATTAACTATCTTATCTATTAAATCTTGTCCACCTGTCGCCATACATAAAGACGATACTTTTTGCAATTTTTCAGAGTCATTACTAAAAGCAATGATTCTAGAAGCCTTTAAGGGATGAGGCAATTGGATATCGCCATTCAATGGAGTCACACCCTTTTCATTAATCACTTGTATTGTGATAGAGATAGTCTGTTGAGATTCTGGTTGACCTACTTCCAATGCTCTAATGATTCTTAAGGCATTGGGAATAGTCACATATAATGGGTCGGCATGTGCAGGTAATCTGGCTTTAATCTTTTGTTTCACTTTACGTTTCAATTCCCTGCGTTTCAATTGTTCTTTAGTTAACTTACTTACGTTTGAATTGATGGATATATCTAAGGAGTCATCCATTTGCAAGATCAATCTCTTGTTTGTGGTAGAAAATAAATTTTTCAAAATTAAATTAGAGAATGGTAATAACCCCTTACTCGAGGAGAATTTAAGCATGTTTGATAACATTGGTTATATTAATATCTTAACAATATGTATTCACGATCGTAAATGTCCCTTCTTTACTCTTTTCTCGGATTTGGCTACTTCAGTAACTTTCTAGTGAAGGCCAGGTAAATTTAGCCACACTTTTCTCTTGACACTTAATTACTCTTAACTTATCGAGAAATTGAATAATTCCTCGATGAAGACTTAGATATATTTAACTTGACAACATTGTTCTTAGTTGATCTACAATTACTCATCCGCTCCCTTTCAATTTTATTTTGTTCTCTTTTCGCACAAAAGAAGCTGTGAAAAAAAAAAAAAAAATAAAGAAATAAAATAAAAATGAATAAGATCCTTCGAGTTTGTTTCAACTTTTTAAGAAGAACATAGAGAGAAATGAAGAGGGAAAGCCAGAAAGAGGCAAATTGGTTAGTAGTTTGTCCGATATGTATACTCTATATAATCGTACATGTATACAATGGTCTTTAATATTTATTATCTTAATGTTATGTATAAGTTTTGCATATTATATGCTTCGCCTGTTCATTTCATTTTCTATTTCTTTCTGTTCTTGTTCTTTAATTTATTTTCAAAGTCAATCCATTTATTCGGAATCCCGATTTTATCATTTAAGTACTGGATAATAGTTGATCCATGCGGCCCTTGGATTTGCACCTCCAAACCAAATTGAGGTGTTTCGCTGATAGTAGTTGAACCACTACATAATTTTCTCAAATCAGAGGCGATTTTTTCTGAATCTATATTATACACTTCAAAATTATTGATTCTTGTAACTATCTTTCTACCAATCTTCAGCTCGGTCACAATATTGATATGTGGGACGGAACCTCTCTTTGGAGCCTTGAATAATGGGGTGCCAGCTTTATCAAAAATTTTATAATATTCATTGAAATTGTTAGTTACAATAGCTTCCATTATTTGGGATCTTGGGATTATTCTATCGAATTTGGGTGATTTAACACTTTTATTAACCATTTTAAACAATGAATCATCCAATAAGATTGTCTTTGGATTTTTTTGATTCACTAAAGAATACTTTTTGATATAAAAATCTATCACCTCTTTGATAGTAGAAATTGTATAATATTCAGTTTGTACAAAGTTTGGAGGATTATCTTGCTTCTCAGAATGTATACTTGCCAATTGTTGTGGCAAAAATGTTTTCATTTCTGATGTTGGCTTATATAATGTTTCTACAGTGAAACTATTATTAGCAGAATTATTTTTTTCGGTCTTATTACTATTTCCATTGCCTTTATTATTCACATCATTGTTGTTGCTGTTGTTGTTTGACATTTGATTTGAAACTTTATATGGAACAAAGTTTTTAATTTCATCTTTTTCCTTATTGACTTGAACTATTATTAAATCATCACCCTTTCCTTTTAATTTTAAAAACCCTTCCTTTTCAAAATGCTTTAAATATTTGGCTGTCTTCTTCCAGGAACTTTTCTTTACATTGATTTCTTCATGATTTAAATTGGGTGGTAGATTTTTCATGATATGATTGGAGATAAAAGTTGAGGCATTGATTGGTGTACTCAATATTTGATCTTGTTTAATTGTATAGTACAGAGTTCTTGTCATAAAATAATCAACATCTTCCATGCTTAATTTCTCTAACACTTCTGCTATTTCTTTAACCTTGATGTTATGATTTGAACTGCTTTCTATGATGGCATCTGCAGTATTATTAGTAGCAATAGATGCAAAATTATTCATTTCTTCATCGTCCTGCACTATATTTGTATCCTCATGGCTTTCAATTTGAGTAGAGTCAGGGACATCTAGTCTTACTTTAAATTCTTTAAACAATCCGTCCTCTAAATGATGAATAATTTTAACGGCAACACCACTCTGACCCAAGACACCAATTTCATTGTATCGAGTCAAATCAGCCAATTCTACTATTCCAATAGCCAGAACTACATTTGGTGAAATTTTATCCACAATACCACAGATCACATTTTGTTGTAAACGAGAATCAAATGGTGGTACGGTACCAGAGATCATTAAGTTTGCACCATTAAAGATATGGTCTTGTAATACAACTTTATGAGTCAGGACAGCAGGAATTAATCTAGGATATGACCAACAGGTGTAAATTGTTGGATAGATGGTATCATTATGTTTCTCTTTGAAGAAAATTGGGATATTGCCATCATCGTCAGTGTAAATGGTTCCCTCTGTTACTGTTGACACAAAATTGGTTTGTTTAATAACATTTGATCGAAATTTAAATTCAGGGTCATTGAATTGTGTTTGAATCCTAGTTTGTAATTTCTTTCTTTCAGAATTTTTTAAATTACTTAATGCTTTCACTCTAGGTTCCTTTTTAAACATTGTTATATAACATATAGTGTCACTTCTGGTTTGTTATTCCCTGATTTATGTTCAACTGATTAGTCCTGTCAGATTAACCGTACTTGCTCAAATTAAGACACACTATCAACAATCAGAAAAGAAGTATATATGCTTTCTTTTAATCGGCGCATTTATATGTTGAATATATTTTGTTTTCACTCTTTAGTTTTAATATTTATGTATTTTTTTGGTGCTATTTGAAATTAAAGAAGGGACACTTGCATATATGAAGAAGCATGTAGAGTGTAGAAGACGTCAAAGTAACTGATCAATAGGAGATCGTAAGTGTAATATTTCTATTATTATTGGGTGGAAGAAGGATAAAGTTATAAAACTTTTTATAGTTGATCTCCTCCCTAAGAACTAGCCAGAAAACAAAGAAAACTAAATTAACTACTTGGTTATTTAACTAAAACTGTATCCTTCTCACCTTATTGACTTTGAATTCTATTCCTAGAATGTTATTAAATGGGTTGTTGACACCTAAAGAGGGATATTATGCTACATTTAATAAACAATTAAAAGTTTATGCTACTAGAGGAGAAAAATCAATTCAAGTGAAAAGGCTCCATAAAGGTCTTACTAATAACAATAATAATAATGATAATGATAATGATAACAATAAGTCTCAAAACTTGGTTTCCTCAATATTTATTAGAGACTTGAATCAAGTGGTCACATGCAATTGGGACCTGATTAATGGTAAATACTTGACTATATTCTTTAAAGATGGATCAATTAGAATAAATGATATGCTCCAAAATGGCAAATTGGTTGCCTTTTTACGCACAAAATTAAATGATATAGACTTTGGGTATTGGGATAGAATAATAATTAGAAAAGATCGATATGATGAAAATGAATCAATGTCTTTTAATTATGATATTTTGGATCTATTGCCTAAACTGGTCAAATATAATTCAAAGGATGAGCCTCCGAACATGTCTTTGTATGTCCCGCAAGTCCCTATCTGGAGAACTTACAAACAGAAAATTATTGATATCCATCTTTTACATCAATCTGTCACAGATAGTTTTGTGCTGGTAATAGATGGTGAATATATTATTAATTTATCCGATTCAAATCCTAATAAGAAACTTTGTAAGATATTAAAGGAAACCGACGGATTATATAGCTGTTACTATGAAAATGGTTTCATAAAAGAGATTGATGTCAGGAGTATCTTAAACAATAATAGTAAAGGAAAATTTTTGACTTTAATACAAACATACTCTCTAATAGATGATTATTTTGAATTTTGGAAATATCATATTAATACTATACTACAGGATTTAGTTTTACCATTTTTAACTTTTACACATAAACTAAAAGATGAAGAGATACATGGTTTTAATATATATGAGCATTTGGTTACATTGTTCTTTGATGGGATAGTGTCTAATAAATTAGCAGATTGGCTAAAATATTCATTAAGTGAGAAAAATTTGGAGATGTTACAGGTTATGATTGATCAAGCTTATAAAACAACAACACAGATATTGATGATGTGTATTATTCCGGTGATAGAAAGGCTACTTATATTAACTAATCAATTACAATCTATTCTATTATCTATACAATTAATCAATCAAGGAAAAATGGCTGAATTAGAACAGATCTCAATAATAGAGGCTAAACAGATTATAAAAAAATGTCAAGAGTTATTAAAGAAAACTATAGAAAAAATCAAAATTATCACTCATGAGAATTCTTTATTGAAAATATTATTAATATGGCTAGATGATAAAAGAAATTCTGTAATAGATGAGGATCATATAGATAATTTGGATATTAACAGTGACAGTAGTTATGGATTCCAAATTATGGACGGTCTCGACATAATATTCGGACGAGACACAAAATATGACATATTAGACAGTTCAACATTTTTAGAAACTATTAAATTATGCAAAGATCAATTACAAAAGGTTAATAAACTGTATGTTATAGAATTATTGACTAGTGGTTTAGTGATAGGAGATTTTATCCCATTTATGAATCATATCTATGGATCTAAATTTATTGCATTGTTAGATATTGAAATGACTACTTTCGGAGATAACCAAATAATAATTTATATAGTTAAAATATTAGACAATACAGAGTATCAGATAAAATTAGGATTGATGGACTATAATGATCATAGTGTTAAAAAAGATGTAAAAATTCCGTATGCAAATATTGAAGATGTAACAGGTATACATATTGCAAATGATACAATTATAAAGAAAGAGTACAGTGAAAATGATGAGGATGTTGCTGGAGACAGTATAATCTTTAATGATAAAATATGTATTATTACACAGTATCATGATACTGAATATAGGAAGCATGTTTGTCATATTTTAAAAGAGCCATTGTCACCTTTTAGAACAGATGCAAATTTAAATAAGCATCATGATTTACTGAAAAGTTTTATACCATGCATGGAACTATCATTTTGTGGTGATACATTATAATTTAAGGATTACTTACTTAATGAAGAACGAAGTATAAAGGAAGATATGTCGTTTATATTATTATGTATTTTGCATAATGAAAACTATCATAGCATACGAGAATACTAAAAGGTATACAATAAGATCTTGCTATTTCCTCAAACAAAGATCAATTCATAACATTACTTTTCACATACTCCAATATTCATGCATATATATATATGTGTGTGTGTATGTATGTATGTATATGAGTTAAGGAAAGATAGATGTCAACGATTAATTTGTGATACTTTGCCTATTTAATTAGTATCTCATCGCTGCAATTTTGTGTTAAAGGAGAGAAGGGGGGAAAAAATAAGTGCAAATATAAAAAAAAAATTCTTTTAGATATGTATTTAGGTACGAGGAATACTAACCTCTATTGACAGCCTTTCGATAAGAACAGAACCCTTACGATATATAGACAGTTTGATGAAAGAAAACTCATTATTAATCGGATGTGGTTTGAATAGATTGCTTTATAGTCATCATCAATTTATTTAAAATATAGTTTAAGATAAAAAAAGAAATATTATCTTTTAAAAGTATAGTTGTTTCACACAAATAGCAGAGATACAAATCACGCTTGTACTAGTTGTTACTAAAGATCAGCTGTTACCAATTTTGTATATATTAAACAATGGGTAAAAAGGATAAAAGACGTAAGAGAATGAAAAATTTCATTCAAAACAAGCAACGACAAGAAAAGGCTAAACAAGAGCAGGTCCTATGTCCAACTGAAGATAAAAATACTAACAACAGTAATACAAATAATGAAAATAACACTACTGCATCACCGTTTCATACTGTTGTTCATAATATAACTACCACATGCACATCTCCAGATGATAGTACTATTACAGAAGATACACCATTAAACACTGTAACTGATACATATGAATCTATTAAGCCTATAGATGACACTATTCATAATTCTTCATCTCAATTATTGTCAAGATCGTCATTACCACCACTAAATATAGAGACATCTATTGGGAATAATGATACTGCATCGTTAGAATTATTGTCTGTACAACAACGACAACAACAGCAAAATGTGTCCAAAGTTTCCAATACTACACCTCATAGTTCAACCTTTCCACCTTCTAGTCGTGGTAGTTTAGCCCCAGTAGATTCAATGAACTCCAATATTCCTAATGTTAATAGCATCCCAGAATTAGATTTAAATGATCAGGAAGACAATAGTGAATTAAGTAGAAAAAGTATAAAATCTACTTATTTATTGACTCCAGTGAGGAAATGGATATCTATTAGTATTATCTATTTATTTTCTATGGTGATCGGGTTTGATTTAGGGAAAACTTGGATCCATCAATCAATTATATCTTCTAAGTTCCAACAATTTTACAACACTTCACAATTATTAACATTTCTTGCCTTAGGATATTGGTTACAAAATCATTTTAGATTAAATTTTTCTGTTAGAAATAATATAGCTGTTGTTTCTATATTTGAAATGCTAAGTTTTTTTACCTTAGATTGGACACCTTGTTTCCCATTATTGTTGTTGTCGAGATTAGTAACAGGTATATCGGTTGGATTATTTTTAAGAGGGACTTTAACATTCTTTGAGAATATTGGATCAATTAGGTATAGAATTCCATCATGTATCTGTGCTGGTACCTTATGTGCTATCTTCTTCAATACAGTTATGTGCAATTGGCTATTTTATGGTACAATTTGTTTAATTATGATATCAAGTATTGTTGTTTTACCAAATACAAAGAATCAAATTGAAGTGACATCATATGTGATTAATAGACAGAATTTATTTGTAGTGGTAGGTTATATTGCTATTCAATTTTTATTGATTTTTATTGATAATTCTTACAAATTTATTTTAGCATTTTCAATAATCATTCCACTATATGTTCATATTGACAATAAAACTAGAAATGGAAAAATGATGTCATTATTTTCTTCTCTGTCTTCTTCTTCTTCCTCTACTTCTTCATTATCATTAATTGCGACTTATAATCAAGACAAATTAGCCATACTTTTAAGAATATCTGTTTTATTGTTAGCCACAATCGATTTCTATTCATTATCTACATATTTAGATATTTTACAAAGAAATTATGATAGAGTTTATTGTTTATTGTTGGGTGTTTTATTTGGATCTATTTTATCAGAGCATATATCATATAGAGCAGCCTTCTTCACCTTGATTCTAACTGTATTGATTACTATAACTATGAAGATCAATGACTTAAATTTATTTTCTAAATTACTAGTGGTTGTAGTTGTGGGATGTTTTGTCATTATGTGTGTGAACACTAAACCATTACGAGCAAGCATTCCCAGTAATTACACTTTTGAGATAATAATCATTATATCAGGTCTAATAATAGCTGATGCATTGACACATATATACCCTAAGAAATTAATTTACAATAGTTTGATGGAGATAAAATCAAAGAAACATCCATATGATGAAATTATAGAAATTATAAATCATTCAAATAAATCAATTGAATGGATTCATAATAAGGCACCTATGTTTGCCCTAACGATTATTAAGTCTTGTTATGAGAAATCATTTATGATAGTATGGATCTTGTCAGGAATCCTTTCAGCCCTCATATTTCTTTTAACTATTATTATAAATCATCTAGAATAGTTCTATTGTTGCATCCTTACAAAAAGCAAGAACAAAAAAGGAAGAATACCGAAAATATATATAACTATATAAAATCAATGTATAGCAAATAATGATAGTAATCTTGAGTTTGTTTGTTTGTTTGTTTGTTGTTGTTTTTCATTTCATTTCTACAAGAGAGAGTTACATTTTGTCGTGAAGCCACGTAAAGTTTCTCTTCTACAGTCGAGTCCTCTGTCTCCTTACGACTATTATTATGCCTCGCACTTAGTGATATCTTGTATAATGTTTTTCATTCACGTATTTACTTCTTTTTATTTTCTCCTTGTCATTTCATATAATCTCTAAATGAATAATAAATTCCTTCGTATCTATTTCTTCTCAAATTGCATATCAAAACGATTTGCCAATAAGATCGCGAAGTTCGAGAAACATAGGAAAACAAAACAGAGAGACTCGAACTTTCTATGTCTTCTCCTTTTCTTTTATCTCCTCTATTACCGAAAAAAATAATACAATAAAAAGGGTAATCCATTAAACGAAAAATTGGTTTTTTCTACTTTTAATTTATGTTTGGCTCCATTGGAAATATAAAAACCAAAGGAAATAACTGCTCGAACACGCAGGAAGATACTACAAACTGGAAGGACAAGGGAAAGAAAGAGAGAGGGAGAGAAGAGGGGGAGGGGTCTGCGCATGTTTTTTCTCTTGGATACGAGATTAGTTGATGAGTTTTAAGTTCTACAGAGTTAGTATCGGTTGGGTTCTTTCTCTCTGTTCGCCTTAGTTGTGTCCGAAAGGTCTTCCTTCTTTTCTACTCCCCCCCCTCCTCCCTTCCTTCTCCTTTTTGTCACATCATGTTTACTCTGACAGTATTGGTGCATTTTTGCAGATAGATATATCTACGTTTGTTCATATATATTTCTCTTCTTATTGAAGTCTACTCTGTGTGTATTCTTGTGTGAGCTCTTCTGTGTCTTTGAACACCTGTGTAGCGTTGTCGTGTATTACATTTTTTTAGCTATTCATTAATTTAATACAACTTCTCGTGTATCTAGCTACTAAGGAAGAACGGTGTGGAAAAGAAACATCCTACCAATAAATTATATAATAAATATAGACACATATTTTAATCGTCATCCAATATTAATAGTGTAAAAATGTTCCGTTTACAACTTTCAAAGGCAGTCCAAAAAACAGGTTCTAGATTGTTACTACAACAAAGGGCTTATTCCACCGGTGGTCGTGTTGGTCCAAACTTTTACGTTACTGAATTAAAGCAAAGATTTGGTGGTGTTTTCCTATGGGCTGGTACTTTGACTTTGTTATTAGGTTGGCCAGCTGCTTTTTACATGTATCATAAGAAAGTTAATGCTCTACCTGACTTATAAGTAGAAGCCTTGACAATTGAGATAATCCGACAAAAAATAGAAAAAAATTAAAATACTAAAATAAAAAGAAAAATAGAACCCTTGAATTTTAAAATATCTATATATACAAGTATATGTAATTAATTATTCTGCTTTTGTTTATTTTTATATACATATTCCAATACTACTTCTTCTTCTCTTTAAATTTGTTTTTGTTCTAATATACACTTTAATTTTATTTGATATCATTAATTTTTTTTTTGCTTTCTTTTTTCTTTTGACTTCTTTATATATTGATTCTTTTTATCATTATCATTACTTATTATTATTATTAGTTCAGTATAAAACATGTATATAAATGATACATTTGATAAAATAATATTAACATTAAATATATTACAAAAATAAATCATATAATTTCTTCTTCTTACTGTTATTATTACTACTTTTTTGTTTTCATTTATGTTTCTATTAACTGGAATTTGGACGAGCTTTAGGCCCCCAATTTTTAGTAGGATTTTCTTGGTACTTAACGATCTTTAATTTTCTTAATTTTTCTATCTTACCACTTAATTCATTTTCTTCAAATGATAATTTCGATGGATCAAACAATTTAGTTCTATTACTTTCTTTTGGCAGCCAATTATTCATATTTCGTATGATCTGATAACCTACGCCTCTTTCATTCATTTTAGATATATCTTTATCAGGTTCACAGTGTCTCAAAACATACCAAATCGCCTCCCATGGTGCGTCAGTCTTCAAGGATGATGGTTGTGCATGTGTCATGGAACAATCGTATCCTAATGATCCAAGACCTGCAGCTACTTTTCTCAGTGGTGGAACTTGTAATTTTAAGATCGAAGAGACAACATTTGGACTGAAATAAAATGGTGCATCAGATATTTCATTCTTGGCCAAGGTTAACATCCCTTCGATTCTTTTTCTTGTACCATACGTATCATCCATATCTTTATGTTCCTCTTTATTGATTCTCAAAACCTCTTCCACGAATTCTTTGTTATGCAATGGGCCAGCATACATTGGTCCTGCGAAGTGATACGTACCACCGCAGAACTTACATTTTTGATCCACTGGTGGGCCCTGTGCAACACTATATTTAATTATCTGTTTTAACTTTTTCTTGCCCTCGCGTTCAGTCTTTCTACCTAGTGGTTGGTTGTGATAGGATCCACATTGACTACAATGGTAAGTTATCATTGTGTTTGATTGTAAATCTTTAACCAAGATAGGACTAGTCTTGACCTTAACAAAGACGCGGACATAGAAATCAATACTTAGGGATAGCAAAGGTTCCACAGTTTTTTTATATTTGGCAGCGCTTTGATTTAATAGATTTAATACTAGTCTTAGGGCAGATTCATGTGTAGCTTCGTGAGACACAAGATTGACCCCACCATAAAGAGCAAAACATTTTTCCGGGTACCCATTTCCAGCAAGGACAGCTAAATCTGTACAAGTTACCAACATTAGACCATCTTCATCTATGGTCTGTAACGCTGCATCAACAAAAGGTGTAACAGTTCCATAGGGATCTAAATCAATAACATGATACTTAACCTTTTCGGCTTTATTTCTGTACATTAAAACATTGGCATCATCCATATTGCATTTAACTAGATGACTAACTTTATTATATTGAATATTTCTGTCAATAGATTCCACGGCAGCAGGTAATAGATCATTAGCTATAATTTCTTTAACATGAGGGATCTCATGTGCATATCTGATAGCACGTAGCCCAGTAGCAGATAATGCTTCAAGGATTCTTATGTAGTTGGAACCTTTAAAAGTGTCAATTGGTTCACCAGTGTCTAATTTTCTACGTTTTCTATTCTTTTTACTCCTAGAATTATTAGTGTTAATCTTTTGTCCGTACAAATTATCCCATGCTTTAATACAAGTAACACTTAAATCCCTATTAAATTGTTGGATCGGGTTATAAAAGACAGTCTCCTTTTTGGGGAACAGTATTTGTGCTTTCCCTTCTTTAACAATATTATAATCATCGATATTGAGAGTTTCGTTAGAATCAGAAGAAGACGAGGGAAAAGATGTATTGTTATTACCAGAGAACGTTGTTTTCACTTTATTAAATGCAGCACGTAACATTGTAAAATGGGGTTTTCCTCTGTAAAGGATCATTCGATTTGGGAAAAGTGCATAATAAATAATATAAGCGATTGAAATAAAATCACAATTGTAATATTTGACAAAGATAGATAGAATATGCATATATATTTACATATGTTGTGAGAAGGCATCGATTTTTAATATTTTTGTTTTTTTTTCTTTTTTTTTTTCACTGTATTATTTTAAAATTTTTCAATCTGGCTATGCAATTAAGAAAACTGAATGGTGGACAACAAATGAAAAAAAAAAAATAAAAAAAAGAAAAGATACTTTTCAGATAGCCCAATTCCGATAGGAATATTCTGCGGAATACAAAAGCCTTAAGGGGTTTTGTTCGAAAAAAGAAATCAAAAGGGAAAAACGAAAGGTATTTTAGAAAAAAACAAAAAAAAAATACAGTATTGCAATTGTAAAAAACAATTCCGAAAAGACACTAGATAAATCAGAAATGTAAATATATACATAAACATATATTTATAAATACACATATTTATACACATTTATGTATATTTATATATGCGTGCATGTGTGTATATGTGTATTTGTAAAAATATGTATGAAAGAAGGAAGAGGACAAAATATAATTGCATATCATAACATAGAATAGCCTCTAATATATTTTTGCACATTACACACAATATATAATGCCACCAAAGGGTTGGAAAAAGGATGCACAAGGTAATTACCCAGTTCAATCGTTCATTAAAGAACAAGAAAAATTGACAATAGATGATTTATTGTTCCCTAAAAGTTCTATACTGAATTTAATTAAGGAGGTGCAAATGGAGAACAATCCAAACAGAAAATTAGTAGTCACTAAAGCTGCATCATTAGCATTACAAAGAAGTGCTACTGTGTTTGTAAATCATTTGCTGGTATTTGCCAGAGAGATTGCGAAAGACCAGAATAGAAAGAGTTGCAATGTGGACGATATTCTAATGGCATTAGACCAAATTGGTCATCCTGGTTTAAAAAACATTGTAAGTTCTAAAATGGACGAATACCAAAGGATTATGAGTGAAAGAAAACAGCTCAAATTAAAGCAAAAACAAGAAAATGAACAAAATAGTAATAATAGTGAAAACAATAGTAGTAATAGTAATGAAAATATACATGAATCGCAAGATATAAATCATGGAAACAATAATGCAGAGGTAGAGGAAGATAGAGATGGTGTAGATAATGAAAATGAATTGAATAAGAGGCAAAAGAAAGATACAATAAATGGTACTGAGATCAGGATATCAAACACCTGAAAAGTATTTAATATATTATAAGACATCTGGCATCATTGATATTGGAAATAAAATAATCTTGATAATAGATATGATTTGCATTTCAAATAAGAATACTAAGTTCTCTTCAATTGTTATCAGCCACGTTATATATCTATATTCATCTCTATATATTATACATAGAGATAAATATATATTGTTTGATTTGGTTTTGTTAAATCAAATTGGTTCTATTTTAGGATTTACTATACATAATATCTAAGTACTTTATGTTGTTTTTTTCTATCTCCATGAAATAAATATATGTGTTACTATTATTAGTAGTAGTATTAAATGACTTTGTTTCCTCTTGATTTTTCTTGTTTTTCTGTAAGGCACTAACAAGTCGGATCTTGGGTATGCCTTAAAATCCGAATGTCATTTATTATTATACAGAAACAATTACAGAAACAATATTTGTCTTTTGCTTCTTTTGTCTAAATTTTGTTGCAAAATATTAAAATAACAAACAAAGAAAAAAGAAACACAATACACATATTACACTCATACCTTTTGTAACATTATTCTTTTTCAACAATAGTATTTTCTTTTGAATTGTCTTCTGACACATACTGCATTAAGCACACAATGCTAAACAAAGCATTATTGTCTCATTACTATTTCATCTTTCTTGCCTTAACAAAATAAAAAATTAGGGGAATGTTCCTGATATTGTTGTTTTATTTTTACTTAATCCAATAATTTCGCCTCTACATAATCTATGGAATTTTATTCTGGTTAACAGTGAAATCAAAAGAAGAAGAAGAAACGAAAAATACAAAAAAACAAAACAAAAAATAACAAAGGGGTACCATTACACCAACAATCCTTCTCTCCCCCCCCAGGAACAGGATGCTTTTAAGAAAAATAAATAAGAACTGACAATTTTTAAACACACATCAAATTTCCCACCACTACCACAACTACTGTTACTAACAACATCATAAAACATATATTTGGAACCTCATATTATTTATCTAACTACTGCTATAGAAGTCATTGATAAACTTTTTTTTCTTTTTTTTTTTTGAACCATCTATATTTAAATTCATTCTTATATTTTTTATTTGTTTGAAATAAACGAGTAACACTCTTCACTAAATTTGGTTACATATAAATAGATATATAAAATATATATTAGGTATTCATAAGAATATATTATCATCAAAACTAAAAATAAAAAAATACCTAAAATTCATACATTAATCATATCAATAAATTTAATTTATTGGTTCTTTTGTTTGTTTGTTTGTTTTGTTTTGTGTAAGCGAGTACAGGTACCAAGACAGCCTATATATATATATATATATATATATATATATATATATATTGTTTTATTGCTTTTATTTTCAATATATTACATTATTATTATTATGAACCCATTAGAATATGCAAATGTTCCAACAGAAGAGGCCTTCAAGAAAAAGACTCAACTGTCTAAAAAAAATTCAACAATTAAAGAACGAATTCCCAGAATAATTCCACAACCATCCAATAATCAAATTATTCAAAATGCGAATGACGCTCTCAAAAATAATTTGAAATATTTGGATAGAGATCTAGAGGAACGGCACTATCATTATCATGCTCGTTCGTCCAATGAAGAAACTAATGATAATAGAACAGACTTAACTATTAATCAACTGTTATTAAAAGACTTCTCAAACGATACTGAAGACATATCAAAGATCAATTTTGAAAAAACTTGTAGGTCAAGAAACTACCCTTATAATAAAAGTGCTGATTTAACTACTATACCCACTATCAACACTAATGATAGGACAAATAATAGAGATGAAATTCCTAAGGTAGAGAATATTAAAAAAATTACAAGAGATGTGTCTCCACTATACAATGAACGGGCTCGTCATAATCGCCGTCAAGAAGAACAAATATTACCAAACAAAAATAAACATTTTTATAGGACTTCATTGGGTGATTGGGTTTTCCAGGAGACTGTTGGAGCTGGATCCATGGGTAAAGTTAAATTAGCAAAACATAGTTATACAGCTGAATTGTGTGCAATTAAAGTAGTTAACCGAGCTACTAAGATATTCTTAAATAAACAACAAAGTTTACCTAACCCCAGGAACAAGGTTGAGATTCAAGATAGAGAGAAAAGATTAGAAAAAGAAATTTCAAGAGATAAAAGAACAATAAGAGAAGCCTCTTTAGGGCTGATATTATATCATCCAAATATTTGTAAACTATATGAAATGTGCACCTTGTCAAACCATTTTTATATGGTATTTGAATATGTTTCTGGTGGACAGCTTTTGGATTATATTATCCAACATGGTTCTTTAAAAGAAAATATGGCTAAAAAGATTGCACGTAGCATAGCAGGAGCATTGGAATATTTACATGCAAATAACATAGTACATAGAGATTTAAAGATAGAAAATGTTATGATCTCAAAAGATGGCGCAATCAAATTAATTGATTTTGGATTATCAAATCTTTACAATAAGTCTAATCATTTAAATACTTTCTGTGGTTCTCTTTATTTTGCAGCTCCTGAATTATTACGTGCTCAACCTTATATTGGACCAGAGATCGATATTTGGTCCTTCGGTGTCATAATTTATGTTCTTGTGTGCGGAAAAGTCCCATTTGACGACGAAAATTCAAGTGTCTTACATGACAAAATTAAAAGAGGTAGAGTTAATTATCCCTCCTTTCTATCTATCGAAGTTATATCTCTATTAACAAGAATGCTTGTAGTTAATCCTTTAAATAGAGCAACTTTAAAAGAGGTGGTTAACCATCATTGGATGCTTCATGGATATCATGGAACTTTAGTAGAATCGCATCTAAAATGGAGATCTCCATTGACTCCATCAAATATCGATAATAAAGTACTAAATGAAATGTATCATTTGGAATTTATCGATAATATTATAGAGACAAAGAAGAAAATTATCAGCATAATTAAAGATGATAAATATATTAATCTTTCAATTGAACATGAAAAACTACATTCATTTGCATTTTTAAATTCAAAGTCCCCAAAAATCAACTTAGCATTTGATGATCCACTAATAGCGTATCATCCATTATTGTCAATCTACCATCTTATTTTGGAATGGTTGCAAAGAAATGGTAATATATCTAATAAAGATATAACAATCAATAATCGAATGCATGATTTTACAAATATCGATGATGAAAATATTGAAACTAAATCTGAGCCCTTGTTAAAACAAACTACCCAAAATATCGAGAATAAGGCTAATAAATATCAAAAAGATAAGTCAGATAATTCAGATGACCACACAACAACTGTACCTTTAAAGTCAAATCCTGGTGAAAATAACAATAATAAAATAACTACAGTGACTATGAAAAACACTCGAGAATTAGATCGTCCAAAACATATTTTAATACCACCAAAGTTGACTGCTAAGGCTAAAGGATATATATCATCAACCAAAAAAAATCATTTCGACCCATCAGATAATGCCATTCCGACAGAAGACTCTACTTTGAACAAGAATGACTTAATTAGCAAGCATAAAGATACTATAAAAGAAACACCCACTTTAAATAATCAGGAGAGAGGAAAAATAAATACTATCTTAAGGAGATTATCTCTCAAAGTTACTCCTAACAGCAAAGAAGAATGGTCAAATATACCCACTTCTCAAAGCAATATTAATCAACAAAAACATAATATGTTAAACCATTTTACCTATCTGAAAAAGAATTTAGAATCACAGAACAAACATCAGAGAACAATGTCTGAAAATGATGATACCACCACAAAGATTATTCATTTTTTAAATAACAACGACAATAATCATCTGCTTAGCAGAAAGGAAGGTGTTTTAAGTGAGGATAAAGAATATCCGAATAACAATCATTATACAACATTAGAACAATCAATGACAGATAGTAAAAGATTTCTCCCAACCTTTGATTCCCAAACAGATTTTGATATTACCTATGCAATTAACAAAAATAGAAATAGAACTTTGTCAGTAGGTCATCCACGTCAAAATATGTTAAATTTCTTGAGACCTGATGTTACAAATAATGAAAATGTTATTCCCAACAAAGTTTCTCATGACCCAATCAAAAGTAACACTGTTAAGAAATGGAAAAATCATCCCAATAATGAAATGTTTAGCCAAGAACAAGGAGAATTACATGGACATCCTTTAGTACTTTGCAATAATCAGAATATGCTTGCTAAAGATCTTAGTGAGTCTGAGATTATTGAAAATGCAAGGAAAGCATCATTAGGAAGTATGCCGTCGATAGATTACCCACGCTCATTATTCCTAAGAGGATTTTTTTCTGTCCAAACAACTTCCTCTAAGCCTTTACCTGTAGTAAGATATAAAATCATTAAGGTTTTACAAGAAACGGGTATTGAATTCCAAGAGGTTAAAGGTGGATTTTCCTGTATTTATATGTTATTTTCTAATTCAACCAAGGACGATGGTTCAATAGACACAATTAATCATAAAAAAGACTTACTAGATAGACATTATGAAATCCACCAAAAAGGTTCCTATAAAGATAATAGTTCAGCAGTAAGTAATGAATTTGTTGCAGCTCTTAATGTTAATCCTGAGAATACAAATATCAACTCTACAATAATGCCTCATGATACGCATTCAAAGGAATCCTTTAGTTCTTCTAGTTTACCTGTTAGATCCTACAATGGTTCCCATGAATTACCTGATAATTCATCTACAGTTAAGAATTATGAAACTAATGGTTCATCATCTGTAACGTTTGAAAATAGTTCTAATCTATTACATCTTATACCATCTAGAGAAAACAATGATGTTATAAGAATAGCCAAAAGAGAGAAAGTAAAATTTGAAATACATATTGTTAAAGTAAAAATTATAAACATCGCTGGTATTCATTTTAAAAAAGTCAGCGGTAATACATGGGTTTATAAGGATGTTGCTAGTAAAATTCTTAGAAAGTTGCAATTATAATTCTGAACACTGCCAAAAATATTGCTATTTATTTTGTTTTGCATTCAACTTGGAAAATTAATAAGAAATGAAATCAAAACAATAAAAATTTATTAGTATGCGCTTCAGCCTACCTAAAATTAAAACAATAGTATTACAATAATTTATATTATCAAAATACACCATTAGGTGCTGGTTTACATTGAAAATCATATTTTAATATATAACTTTATAATTTTTGCATGATAAAGAGTAAATATCATTATGTTTTCAACAGATCTAATCGTATTGCTAACTCTTTTTCTAAATATTGATAAAATCAAGTAATATTATTGACGCTAGTAGTTCAATAAAGACCGCCCATTATCATCTTTACTATTATGTTATCTAAAATATTAAAGTTAATCTATCTAAAATAATAAAGTCTGATATATTATGCATTTACCAAACACATATAGTATATATTTGATTTTATATTATTATTATTATTATTATTATTATTATTATTATTATTATTATTATTATTATTATTATTATTATTATTATTATTATTATTATTATTATTATTATTATTATTATTATTATTATTATTATTATTATTATTATTATTCAATATTTTTATTTTATGTATTTAAAAAGCAACTTGAAAATAGTTATCTACTTTTAGCTATCCATGCCTATTCAATCTTTCTAGTTCTTGCTGTAACGCAAGCAACCATATATCTCTGTGATTTCTAGATTTTGCCATAAATGTCATAATCTTAAATTGAAATTGCATTTTAATATGATTTTTATTCATTATGCTGTAGCATATATCAAGATCTTCTTTATTATCATTGTATCCAACATCTTTGTGATTTCTAATGTACTTATTCTTAGTAGAATTCTTCCTTCCAAAGTAGATTGAAAAACAACGACTGTTACTCTCCTCTTCAGAATTCCATCCATCTTCAAATAGCTTTGGGGTCGTATGATATCCTGGATTAGCTGAATCAAACGTAAAATCATCGTTGATTAAATCCGAAGAGCAAGCAGTTCCAGAATAAGCATAACAATTTTCAATAGAAATCGTTTGGTAGTGTTCGTATTGGTATAACAGATTTCTTTTGGATGAATATGTAAGAGAAAATAACATTATAAACCCAGGAATTAAAATCACAAAATATTTATGGAAGGAAGAATGTTTTCTGACTTTTTGGAATAATATCCCTTTCTGGATTATTGGTCGTAACAATGATATATCATTTATATCAAATTTTTTTTTATTTAAAGTATGTTCAGTTAATAAAGAAGATGTTGCACATTTATGCATTTCTATAGAGTTTGTCTGTTTTGAATCTTGAGTTTGCAATTCCCTTAATTTCTGTGAATTAATAAAATTTTCATAATTCCAATATTTCATCATATTATTCAATGACACAATCCAAATTTTTGTTACTTGCAATGTGGGTCCCATTAAATAAATAATTTTATGGTTTTTCATTATTATCTTTAGTAAACAATGTTTTAAACAGAAAGCATTACTTTCCTTTTTCCAAAATGTGTGGTACGCAGCTGCTAAAGTCTTTAAAGTGGTTGGATCGACATCAGTAGCATACGTTACATTTTCAATATCGTTCATGTTGATTATTCCATCAGATTTTAATATTCTTAATAATTTAGTATTATAGCATTTGAATGCAAAATAATCATTATTCTTGAACTGCTCATTCTTGAAGGAAGGAGTAAGCCACTTAAATAATCCATTTCTATCTAAATCATAGGGCATCTCCTTGTAAACTAATGGAATTTTGTCTAGTTTTCCTCTTTGTGAGGCAATATTTAGTATAGAACCCATTTTATCAGTTTTGATATCCCTGGGTAGTAATGGTGAACATTTATATGAACTTGTACAAAAAAGTAAATTGTCAGAAGTGAAGATGTAATAAAGCTTAAATTTTTCCTTTTTGAACATATTGAAATAAATGTCCTTATCACAATTAATTTTTAATAAAAAACCTTCTATAGGAGTCGGTTCGTCGGTTATGTTCACTTTCCCTCCTTCATAATAACATAGGCTATGACTCCAATTTCTATATTCTAGTTGATGACTGTTAAACAAGGCAAAGTAATTTTTTAAAAATGCTGAATCATTGCTAGGGTACAATTCAATTCTATTATTAATCTTCAGATTACATCCTGCATTACTATATAAATTGCTTAAATTTTGAAATTGCTTTATTTTAGTTTGAATAGTTAGTTTCCTCAAAATAATAATATAAAAATATCTTACTAATGCACATGGAAACACGTAGAGGCCTCCTTCCAAAAATGCCAATTTAACTATATTTCTTTCCTGTTTTTCTATCATTTCTAGAAATCTAAATATAACTAAATTTATTTTTATATTTAACGCTAATTTAATCTCTGGTATTTTCACGGTAATAGTTCTAGTCATACTTAGTTTTTTGAAATATTGGTTCAAAGTATTGAACCACTGAAAGGAAGTGCTTACCAGTTTACATTGAAGAATAAATATTTCAATATGTTTTATTAAACTTTTTCCTCCTGTATGACTATGAATAAACATAGCATTCTGAATAACAACAGTCTTATCAAGTAAACTATAAAAGCTTATAATTGATGAGGAGTTTAAGGATATTATCAAAATAGGTTTACAAGATTGTGGTATATCACCAGCGAATTTGTAATTTTCTTTTTTGTAACATTTTATAATTAAAGGGTAACCTACATCACTCGTTTCAGTCAATATAGCAAAATACTCGCACCAACGTTCCTCAATTCTTGTATCAATATTTTCATTCTCATTGAAGGTTTTATTAGGTGATTTGTTCATTAATCCAATTTTTTGCATAATCAATAAGTCACTCGACAATAATTTGTGACATGGATATTTTTGAGGTGTGATATACTTCTTATTATTAAAGATTAATTGATTAACACCATTATTATTGCTCATAGTAATAGTATGTTTATTTTCAATTGATTTTAAATTATTTATTTCAGGTAATGAATTATTTAACTTCAAAAATTCTTCTAAATTTTCTTCCCCTATTGGCTTTAGTAGTTTCAATAATTTATACTTATTTTCAATATTATTTTTGATAAAATGATTTAACTTATTAATATTTGAATATTTTGATCGCCTTTTATTATAAGACTGCTTATATCTCCTTTTTCTTTTCCTTATCTCTGAATACTTAATGTCCAGCCAATTTATCATATAATTATCCTTAAAGTGATCTTTGAGATCGTTGGACTTTTCGTTTAATGCTCTAGTGGACAATTTTTCTGAATTAGAACGTTTTATATTCCCTGAAGTTTTGTTTAATCTTGAATAAGCAGCTATAGATGTCGCTGTAGAGTGTCTTCTAAACAATTTTTTACTACAAGATACTGTAAAGCCCCAACCTTGTGGATCTTTCTTTTCAGTAGAATAGGATGAAATATGTTGATTAAAATCAAAATTAACTAATTCGTTTCTATTCACTACATTTTTCAAAAGTTTTATTTTAGGTATTTTATCTTTCTTTCTAGCATTAAATTTGGAGTTTCCTTTTATTATTGCATATATATTTTTATTATATATTCTTTTATGACCATGCAAAGTTAACTTGTTCATTCTTTCTTTTACTTTCTTTGTATAACAGCGAGTAAAAAATTTCCAAAAATGGCTTTGTTGTTCTTGGTACCAATACTTTGGAATACCTCCTAACAGTAATGTTTTTGAAGCTTGTGATATTTCCCAAGGTGTTGCATATGTTAAACGAAATCCAGTAAAAGATTTACGTGGTATAGTTTTTATTTCATATTTGACGAGATTCTTTGGGGTGCAAATATATTGAAGGAAGTGTTCATCACTGGAAATAAGTTTAAAGATATCATTATTTTTGCACATAGTCTGAGTTCAGTAGGTGTTTTAGTTATTAACACATTTGAAATATTTCAAAGGATGACCAATTAATACTTTTACATAAAATAAGGTTTTTGTTTTGATATAGTTTTTCATAATTTTGTGACACATTAATTTTTCATTAAATAATAAAAAATGAATTTTCTTTTTCATTTTTTTATCCTATAAAATAAAACCATAAGTAATAGTAAATTTTTATTCAACTAATAATTATTGAAGACTTTTGCATAAAGTTATTATCATTCGGTGTAAAGATAAAATTATGTTTGTAGACCATTCCCACCTTACAAAAATGAAAGAACTTAGACATGATTTGTTTTACAATTAGTAGTATTCATCATAATTAAATCTATCCAAAACTAGTGGAGCGATAATAGTCCAATTATAAAGACCATAACAAATCCATGCACTGACTATTTTCACCCAAGAGTAAAAATAAGTTCTACCGACTGGAATAAAATCCCCTAAGTCATCTTTCCCAATATTTATTGTTAATAGCATGGCAATCCACTGTGTAGCAAGAAAAAAAATAACATGGAATAAAGTATAATTATATTTAGAACCTGCATATTCCTCATCGTTTGTGGTATTTTCACCTTCATTATGTAATGCAGGTGTGGAATTGTGATTGTTTGATTGAATCATCCACATTGAATCATATAATGCACTTTCTGGAAGTGATCCTTCATCTACGGCCTGCTTGATAGCTTCGAAACGAAGTTGATTTCTTGTTTGACCGGATAATCCTTCGTATTCAATTTCGTCATTGTCACTCAAAAATATTTGACCATTTTGGTTGCTACCTTGAAGGGCACGATTAGCAGCTGCTCTTGTTGTGGTATAAGCAATTGCAATAAATGTGAAAATGGAACCAACGATAATACTAAGGTTTCTAGTCCCACTATTTCTTACTAATGGATTACACATCTTATCATCTGGTTCAGATGCCATAGCACTCAATGTTAAATAAGTACAATACATAGAAACCATACTACTTTGAGCTAAGCCTACACCAGGATTAGCCGCTTGTATTTTGGGGTTAATAGATAGTACAGTACTTAATATAGAAAGAATTATATTAGTTGTAATTGCTGTTTTATTCATATGGCACTGATCACCAGCAAAGAGAATAAACATTACTACTGTCATTGCAAATGATACCGTAAACATTGCAGCAGTACTTAATACTAAAAATTTTTGCCACAATAAAGAATTATCATCTTCTAATTCTACGTGATAAATACAGGTTTCCACCCATTCATGAGCAAAATCTACCATTAATATTAATCCAATAAGTATAAAAAGAGACCCACTCGGTACTGAAATCCATTTTGAAAAGAAAACATAAAAATTATTGGGTAACACAAAAGCGAAAACGACCAATAATAGATATACTATAAATTTTAGGGACCACCATGAATTTTGCAATGAAGCTCTACGATCTCTAGTTGATTTAACTCCTATTAATAAAATAGCCATGATGACGTGGAATATACCTAATGCAAAATTTAGTCTATGTACAGTGAAGAAACCACATTCACCAGTAGATGTACATGTTTTACCTGGCCATAGGTATGACTTATTAGCAGACATAGAAATCCAGGAAATGACTGAGTTAAACAATAAGGCAATTGTATACAGTAATCGTGTACCCAACGAGGAAGAACCCACAACATTAAATAATTTGGATAGCATATTTGAGCAACATCCCCCAAGACATGAAGCCAAAAATGAACCACCCATGGTAATTGGAAGTGATATTATAGAACCCATCTTTTTTTTTATGTCTTTCTATCTTTTGTAGATTTAATTTTATTTAATTTTTACCCCTTTATATATATATATATATATATATATATATATATATATGTTTTAACTTGCACGTTTATCTTTTTTGTATCTATCTTTAACTCTCTTTGAGTATTTCCAATAATTGTATTTGATTTTGTAATTATTTTATTTTAATATGATGACAGTTTATATAAATTTCTTTCTTATCAAACACCATATAGAGAAAAAAGTATATTAAGGTATAATGTACAAGCTTATTTTACAGATTCACTTTTAATTTTTTACTTTTTTTTATTTTCTCCTTCTTTGAATGTATAAATAAAATGAAAAAAAAGCTAAAAATGAATAATTAAGATATGATATGATGGAGAAGCTGTGGGAAAGGTGAGGCTGGTGCAGTATACTATCTGATTAGGAACATGTAGCAGTTAGGTTTTAAGGTGTTTCCTGATAAGAGGTCTACATGTAGCACTCTGCTGTAAACATTAGGGATAGAGAAGATTTTATAAAGAAACAAAAGCAAGAAAGAAACAAAAAAAAAGGAGAAACAAAAAATAAAACTATGTCTTTTGATTTGTTAATAATATGCACACATCAAAATATTGTCGAATTTGGTTCTTTGCATAGTTCAACTCCTGATGTAACCATTACATTAGATATTAATGAAACCACCTATATTGATCAATTAAAACATGCCATATACGATTACTTGAAAAAAGTGAAAATGAGTAACATGGATAACATTAGTGGTAATGATGTCTTAAATTTGGGTGTTTTATATACTGAAGGCATTATGTTCTCGTTGAGTGAAAGAAAAGAAATTTATAGATTGATTATATCCTATTTTAAGTTCAGATTTATAGAATTTATACCTAATCCCTTGTTATATTGTTTTGGTAATAAAATCTCAAATGCTATTATTATTGATATAGAATATGATATGATTATTGGAACCCCTATCTATGAATATATTTTGCTTGATGAATATATATCTGTCTCAACTAGGTCCATACAAGATATAGCAGGTAGGAATCAAAAAGCTGTATGTACAATATTATTTGGCGATGATAACAACAATACTAATAATGACAACAATAAGTCATCATATCACAATTGTAATTATGAGTCAAATGATCAGTCCATATGCATGATAGTTGCTAAACTTCAAAGAGTTTTACCAATTGATATTCGTAAAACTTTGACGCAGAATGTTGTGCTCAACGGTTACTATAAGACACTGTTATTAGACTATTCTCAGCATATAGACATTTCTTTTAATGTTAATTCAAAGTTAGACAAGTCTCTTTGGTCTTGTTCATTGATATATGGAATGCATCTAATGGAAAACAAATGTTTATCCAATGACTTTCAACCACTGGGCAGTTACTCAACCAATAGAAATTTAGAGGCTCTTGATTGGTATCAAACAAATTATATTTCTAAATAAAAATCTTAACTACACACATCTTTCAAATTTGCCCAAAATGATCCAAAATCGTATATATTTGGTATATCTTTAGGAGACTCCACTTTTGTAAAATCTGATAAGGTATATATGGTATGGTCATATGGATTAGTACTATAATATTTAGTTTCTGAAGAACCAAGACACTGTGTATCTAAGTCTGGATCCAATATAAACCATGTGGAATCCTCTTGTGGTGCCCCAGTTCTAACTAATCGTCCATTCCTCATGAATTCTTGTATAGTGAACCATTTATCTTTTTCGTTTGTGGTCATACCATCTTTGATAAGTGAAAGTTGCATGTAGGTGAAACTGATACAAATCACAGAGAATGTTCCAGACAAGATAAATAGAGTAAGAACCGGCTTGTTTGATATCAATGCTTTAGATCTGAGTAAAACGTATAATAGTCTTAAAAATGCGTATGTAGTAACAGAGATGTTTCCAAATAGAAATCCATAGAAATATAAATAGTTTCCCTTTCCAATACAATTATTCATCCATATGCAATGATGATCATTGAGTAAAATACATTTATTACAAATACGGCAGTGTTTTGATCTAGCAGGTTTTTCAAGTTTGCAGGTATGACAAATTGTTTTTGGATAAAACAAAATATTATCAAATGGGTACTTGCCATTTAATTTAGATTGATAATTATGGGATTGTGTGTTCTGCGGTTCAATTAACATAGTCTTTAGACCAGTGAACAATGTTAAAAATACTAACACAGGTAATATAAATAGATTTTCTAAGTTATTTGAATAGTTATAAATTAATGGTAGTACATTGAAATAATAAAGATCAATCATATAGAGGCATAATAATAGGTACAAAAGTGGGACCAAGTAATATTTCCATTTGTATTTTGAAGAATCTTTAAAAAGAGGTCTATATATTCTCATATAGTACCATTGGAAGACTCTCAAATTTCTTAAGCTTGGTGATAACAACAAAAGAATGACTTGGCAAAGTGTTGTTACCAATACTAAATTATAAAACATCTTGAGCTTAGCTACGTGGTATCCGACTAGCACTAGCTGAAAAGAAAATGACGAATACTTTTCTAGACTGCCAGATATCTTTTATAGATACAGATAAACATACAGCACACACACACGCACACACACGTGTATACACAAATCTATATTCAATTATATTAAATTTTGAATGGTATAAGCGTGATAATTTTCGATCTACCGGCTGAAGTTTCTTTCACTTGTGAAGACTTCAAGGTTTGAAGTCCACTGTTTGTTGTCTTAGAAATTTTGTAAAGAAAGAGAAGACCTTTTCTTGCTCTTCCACGACCGCTACCAGATTGTCTGAAAAATATAAAAAAAGAAACTTCACATGTCCCAAAGAGGCAACAATGTTTTCGAAACTATAGCAACAACACAGGATTTTTATATAGTAAAAAATCTGTCAAGACAATATTCTATTGAATTGGACAGCTCATTAATCACTTATTTTATACTGGAACCTTTTAGTGCCTGTAAAACTATATTGAACTTTGTTAACAACTGCTGGTTTATTTGATTTTGAAGTTTGCTTCAGTTGCAATTCTATAATTATAATAATAATAATATCATTGGTGTAATTAATAACTATGATGAAACATGTATTAATATACTTATTTTACCAATTCTTGGTAATGTTTCATTGTTTCTATGTTATTATTATTAATTTCTTTTTTTTCAGAAATATACTACAATTATCAAGAAAACTGCAAAGATATTTACGTAGCATATTTACTTGTACGTGGATCATCACAAATCTGAAGAAATCTTCGTTATGATTATCACTACTATTCTCCATTTAAAATTGTATAGCTCAATAATACATATATTCACTACTTTAAATGTTATCAAGCAACAAATACAAATTATGCAGTGGATTGTTCATTATATATATATCTTGTTAGAGTTGCTTCTAAGAGAAAAACAAAACCTTTCTCCCTTTGTCCCCCTTGCCCTTACACAACTTTCTATCCTCTTCTTTGGAACAATAATGTTGCTGTTATAATTAAGACATGTTGTATAACCACCCATCTACATCTGTGCACACATGTGTCATAGTGGTGTCAGAGGGATTACTGTGTGAGGAGTATCTTTGTTTTCTTTAGTAAAGTAGAAGAGTGATAATGGTTCGTTTTGGTGTGTCTTTCTTTAGTGTTTTGTAGATTTTGTAGATCTCGGAAATTTTTTGAAAATTTGGAAATTTGGAAAAAACGAGATGAGCGAAGAAATAGAGAAGAAGACAAAGGTGCATGTGAAAATAAAATTAGAAGTCGGTAGACAAAGCTGATTAAAACATAAATGGTTGCAATGGATATAAGCTTTAATTATTACTTGCACCACCCTACTACTAGTACTTGATTCAAATTGTCCTAATATAGACAAATAATGCATGAAGAATAACTATCTTTTCATAACTGGAGAAGAAATTTGTTTAAACTAGATTGCAAATGGTAATATTGTTTCATAAAATATCTGTTCTAAAAGGGGAAATAAAATAAAAAGTATTGACAGATATAACAGTAAGAATCTAAAAAAAAGAACAACAAGTGAGCATATAAATAAATAGATAGGTAAATAAGAAGAAAATATATTTGAATTAACAATGGATCCATTGGATTTATTCAATCTCGATGCAGACATAGATTTTGAAACTGCTTATCGCATGTTAAGTGATTTTGATTCTTTTAATAATCAAATTACGACTACAACTAACAGTAACACCCATAATACCCCATTGGACCATCATTCAGGATACACTCAACAACCACAGCAACATGTTGTTGTAAATCATCTCAAAAATGTTCTTCCGACTAATCACAGTAATATATCAATATCACATAATAAAATGGCACCAGCTATCTCAATATTAGAAAAACCGACACATTCATCCCTATCTCCTTCTCCAATGTGTCTCTTTAACAATAAAACAGAAGAATATTTGCATTTAAATGAAAAAAATCTATGCAATAATATATATTCTTTGCCAACTGAATCTAATCACTCTTCTCAAACGCCAAAAAGATACAACACACAATTACATGATCTTTCTCATTTAACAACATTTAATCAATCGAATTCTACAATTCAAAGAAATCAAACTTTTATCAAAATTGCATCTCATAATAATAATAATAATAATAATAATAATAATAATAATAATAATAATAATAATAATAATAATAATAATAATAATAATAATAATAATAATAATATAATTTCATCAAATCTACCGCCAAAAAGCACATCACCCTATAATTTTAAATCAACAGCTGATCCACAAATTTCAGTTCTTAACCATCAAGATATCTTATTACATAATCATTTATCTAGTCAAGGTGTTGGTGATGAATTACTGAGTGCATATGAAGCTAATGCCATAGAACAGTTTTTAGATAACTTACTATCGTTAGATAGTAATCAAACTATACCGTCAAATGTCTCAGCCTCATCTTCAGATATAAAGCATAAATATGATAATTCTAATAATAATTATATTAAAGATGAGTTAATGGAAAAACATTTAACCTCCCATAATCTTACACAAAAAAATACGGCTAGTTTAATAAAGACTACGGTTGAAATAACAGAATCAAATGATAGCAGAGATACAATAAAAGATGCAATTACTAGTGAATCTGAAGATATTATTACATCTAGCATGTTTAATGAAGATATTGATAATGAGTATATCCCTCAACCAATTAATATCCCTGAAATTACACTAGATTTATTGGATTGTCCAGAACATCTTATCTCTAAGACAAATTCTTTGGAATTCAAAAAATGGAAACATGTAGAAGTGGAAAAGCTAAGAAGAAATCAAACAAAGAAAGCTTTTGATCAGTTAGTTTCATTACAGAATAAATATTCAAAGCCGCTTAGTAATAAGTCTAAACGTGTTGCAAAATATCAGTTATTAACCCAAGTCAAGCATGATATCCAAAATTTAATCAAAGCAAATAGATTTTTAGAAGAAATAATTACTAGAGATTCAGAGAGAATGGCATAAAGTGTGTTAAATAATTTCAAAACTTTTAAAACCTTTTCAGGGTTTGATAATATTCAAATATTTTTAGCAATACTATAATATGTAAGTCATACAAAATAAATAACTTTTAATTTGGATTGTTTATTGTTGTACACATAAATATAATTATTCTTCTTTTTCCTTATTATTTATTATTTATATGCAGATTAACAGGACACAAAAAGCATACTTACAATATTACTTTAAATTCTTCTCTTTTCTTTCATTGAATCTCTATTTTATCCGCTTCATGTTTATGACCACATAAAAATTAAATTAGTATATGATACATACAGGTACTACTTCAAATATACTACTATATATACTCATAAAATCCCTTATCTTTCTTAGTACCTTCAGTCTTTTCCGTATTATGATTTTGAATATCTTTAATGGTTTTATCAATTTGATTTAATATAATATTGTATGAGTCTGTTGTATTGGATAATGAAATTTCCTTTGATATATTTGGTCCTCTATTAAAAGATTCCCTAGTTTTTTCGGTTAAATTATTAGACACTCCTAAACTTACAGAATTATTAATACAGTTGTTGACTGAATGTGCAGACTTACAAAAAAATGTATTTGGATTAGTAACAACAGGAGGAGATATATGTAGAGTCATAATAGATTTATTATCACTGTCTTCAGTTTTTTCAAAAAATATAGAGCCATTATTGAATGAATATCTTTCAGAAAACATGGAATCTATTCCATAATTATCGTCACTTTCAAAAGTTATATTGTAGCTATAACAGATAGTTTCCAAAACACAATCCCATGTATTTACTTCGAACAATTCTTCAATTTTAGAACTATAGTCAACATTTAGATATCCTACTTTAATTTTTAATTCATTAGGAGTATGCCTTCCTATTTTGTTAAAACAGGAATAATTTTTCATTAAACAAGAGGATTCTTCTTTCATGGCACTATTTGAAATAACAACAACACCAATATTTGAGTTCAGCGTAGAGGGATATAATTCTTTTCTTAATGATAAGAGGTCGAATTTTTTCATTGAACAAACATCTACTAATTCTTTAAAATGTCCAACGTTTATATGTTCATTTATACTAAAAAATGATTTTAATATATAACCATTATGATTCACTATACAGAGTTTTGATTGTGGTAAGGCCAAATTTAATGCTTTTAAAGTGTTCACGATCGTATAGTAGTCATTGTTGTCATTCAATTTATTAAAATCAACTTGCAAAACAATAAACAATTCATCCGGTTTCTCTCTTTTAAAAGAAATTATAGAGCTAATGGATGTTTTCATAGAAAGAAGGGTATCAGCTGCATTGTTCTTTTGGTTATTTTTTTCTATTAAAATACTTCTTCTTAAGAAGATATTCTCTGAAGACCTTTTTAAACTGCTTAATTCCATTATTTTTTGGGGGTTTATTAAACTGGTAAAAGTTTTGCTGTTATCATCATCTGTAGTTTTACTTTTTAATATTAATGGTAATTTTAGTGTTGAAGTTATGTTTTTTTCATTAAATATCATCTCATTATCTAATAAACCAGAAATCCATTTTTGTAATACATTACTGAAATTATTAATCAGAGATTGTTTCAAATATGCTTTCTTCTCAGAAAATAATGACGTATTGTTATGTTCAGAAACCAATAAGGTAGAAGAATCTATTGTCTGAACATTTATATCTTTAAGATTATCAAACTTCATAAGGTTCCTTAGCTTAGTTTCCGAAATAATATTATCAGAAGATATATATGAGGGTTCATCAACAAATGCGATTACAAAAGCTCGAGAAAAGAGAAAGCACCAAGATGTAATATAATCGGAATTGTCATAGGAGACTAGTAACTTGTCAACTATTCTTAATAAGCCAAACTCTTCATCTAATTGCCAATCTGATAAATTATCTCTAAAGTTTTCTAAAAGAAGTTGTGTAAAAAATGATCTTATTATGGGTAATTGATCTTTGGTTAAATTCAACGAAGTATTGTGATTTGTAGCAACATCAGATACCGCATCAGTATTTGAATGAGTAATTCTCTTATCGAAACATGGAAGAACAAAAGATTCATTTCTTGACTCTCTTATTTGGTCTTCTTTACTGTTTTCTAATGTAGCAAACTGTAAATTATATATATTGTTATTTGTATTAAAACTTCCTAATGAAAATTTTTTCATTGGAGGATCAGATAGAGAAATATTATATATTTCTTGATTACTAGACTGTGAAATAGAAGTGGGACTTTGTTGGAAAATGAATTGGCTTTGTACTTTATTAACTGGAGTGGTGAGTGTAGAAAACCCAGTTTGTGTAGGAGTATCGCTTGACTGGAAAGTAATAGGAGATGACGAGCTGGTATTTATTAAAATATTAGATAGTAATCTGTCCTTTAAATCTTCATTTTTAGGGATGCACTTTCGGACTTGTCCTTTTTCTTCAAAGCATTTATTACATTGTGGAAATAAGCTATGAAAATCCAGAGATGTTGTGGTAGACAAATTATCTATAGAAATAGATAAACACTCTTCATGACACAGATGTTTACATTCCAATTCCATTATTCGTTCTCCGATGCTCTTATTGGATATCGATTCATTACAAAGTGTACATTTTTCTTTGATAAAAGATCTCTTGTTTCTATTTGGAATTGATCTTGAAATTGGAGGATTTCTAGGTGTAGATGGCTTAGACAAATCACACTTTGATGAGAGTTCAACAATAAAATTTGAAGAAAAAGAAGATTTTAAAGGTGAATAATTTTTAGATACAGAGTTTTCTCTCAAATTACCTTTAACAACAGATATCTTTGATTGGGACAAATTTTCACTTAATGGAGATGTTTTTTTTAAGTTTTCATTCGAGAATGTTATTTTTTTCATATTTTCTATTTTATTTATATCGTTTAAAGATTTTGTTGAAAAGGACCTTTGAAATTGTAGATTAGGTGTTGTTTCTAATGGCGTCGATATATTTATATTTTTTTTCTCTCTTTTTTCATTGATTTTTTGGAATTTTGCAAATTTCGTAGTCCATTTACTAGTCCTTGAGGAAGATAGATTACTTATTATGTTATGAGGACTATATTTATGTGATTGTGTAGTACTGGTATTCATCAATTTATTAGTTATTAATTCCTCAGGTGTCTTCACCATATAAAATAATTATTTTCAGTATAGAATAATATAATTAATTTTAAGAGGATATTTAATAGTAGTAATTCAAAAGAAGTAAAGTTACTGAATAAAGTAAGGGTACTTTCTTTTTTGAAGGTTTTTCACTTGCATCTTTTATTCTGTTTTAAGTTCAATAAAGGGTTTTTTGTTTCTATTTAGATACTTAAAATAATTCATTTTACCATCACTATCTGTCAATGTCGATGATATGGTTGGAAGATGGCAGTTGACAATTTATTACAGAAACATATTGAGGTTCAATATATTTCAATTATTTTCCAAAACAGGAAATACTTGTAATACTGACATCTCATTCTTTTAAATAGAATTTTGTTAGTGCCCTTCATTAGCTAATTCTGAAAAAATTCAGGAGTAAAACAGCCAAAAAAGCAAACAAAAATATTATCGTTTGCTTGAAATTACCATATAGCTTTATCTGATATATTTGAAAAAGGTGTCAAAACGTCTAGCTAATGAATATACATGATATATTTTTCATTACTAAAGAAGGCTGATTATAAGGAAGATATTTTTTCTTTTGATAAGTTTTGACATTACAGTTTACCTAGGTGTCTGTTGAAAAAAAATGATTAGATAGGTGGTAAATGATGCCACAGTAATGGAAGCTTATTTAGCTGTACTAGAGTTTACATTATCTTAGGTTTTACTCCAGTCAGAGTAGTTATTTTGGACATTATCAGCTTTATTGTCTTGCATCATTCATTAATTTATTATACTCTTGTTTTATACTGTGAATATAGGTATTATTTAGTCGTTAAAAATGATAAAATAATTCTTTTTTTTTTTAATTTTATTCATTTTTTTTATTAGTATTATTGAGAAACTTCAAAAAAATTTGCGATGAGATGAGGTTAAAGTTTCGAAGTTAGCTAAAGGTTTGATTATATTATAATAAGATATATTAAAAAGGTATTAATTCCTGTTGCAAGATCTAGTTTAACTTATAAATCTTAGAAAGTTCTGAATTATTAAAAATTTTCTATTTAATTGAGTAGTATTAACAAATAACAAGATAGATATAGAGATAAATAAACTTAAGTCAGAATAAAATATGGAATTAGCTGTGTCTCATGAAGATTCTCAAATCCTTTTAAAAGATAAAAATGTATTGCAAGAATCTGTTATAGATAAATATAGAACTGCTGGTCAAATATCACAAACAGCTTTAAGATACTTAATCAATTTGATTAACAACATATATCATTACAAGTCTATCCAACGTCAATTGACTATATCTGAATTATGTTTGTTAACAGATTCCTTTATTTTGACCCGTCTAGAGCAGTATTACAAAAATAAAGTTAATGAAAGAGGTATTGCTATTCCAACTACCATTTCCGTAGATCAAGTTGCTTCAGGTTGGTGCCCAGAGATTGATGATGACGAAAACATTAAAAAGTCTAATAAAGAACAATTTTCTAATGAAACTTCTCCATTTAACTCTACTGTTACTGGGGTCTTGAAACCTGGTGACTTAGTTAAAATTACACTTGGTGTTCATATAGATGGTTACACATCTGAAATATCTCATACAATGGTAATTTATCCAGTTGATGCATCTGATATGAATAATGTAAAACCTACTGGTCCATTATTAGGTGGAAAAGCTGATGCTATTGCTGCTGCACATATTGCAATGGAAACAGTAACTGCTTTACTGGCTTGTGCATTGACTTCAGAAAAATTACCTCCTTCATTAGGTAGTAATGTCACTGGTTCTACAATTAGAAATGTTGTTGATACAATTGCATCTTCTTATAATTGTGGTATTGTTCCAGGTTCTAGAGTTCGTAGAATCAGAAGATTTTTAGCTGGTCAAAATGAAGGTATTATAGCAGAAAGAGAATACAAGGGTGTTATTTGGACAGAATCTCATGAGGAAGCCAAATTATTGGCTAATACAGAGGTCAAGGATATATCAGTTATTACTAGTAACACGCCACGTGTTGCTTCTGCAGTTCCTACTGATAATTTTACTGTTGTGAAAGGCGAAGTTTATTTGATTGATTTGAAATTTGCACCCTTAGAAAACCTTTCTAAGAGAGGGTTGATTACTTTGAATACAGTTGATTCTTTCACTGGTAAGTCTCATGATATTAATCAATTAGTAGCTAGATCTGGATCTTATATCAGAGATTATTCCCAAAGTTATCAGCTGAAATTAAAGACATCTAGACAATTGTTGACTAAGATTGATAGGCAAGGTGTTTATCCATTTAAGTTGTCTCATTTGTCCGACAATTTCCCAATTGATTTAAATTCTGGTAATGTGGACGAAGAGCTTGACTTAATTAAGAAAGATTTGAGATCGCTTAGACTGGGTATGAGCGAAATTTCTAACAATTACTTATGTGTGGAGACTCCGATACAGATAGCTAAGTGGGTTCCGTGGGACCATATCTTAAAATCTAATAATCCAAATGGTGTTCTAAGTTATGATGCTACAGCGGCTTTGACCTTGCCTGGTCATGAAGTTCCATTACCAAAGTTAGGTATCTCTTCATTGAAGTTGAAACAATTAATTAAATCAAGTAAAGAAACATTGGAGTTACCTGTTGTACGTGAATGTAATGCTGTAGTTTTGTGTGATTCGGATATCAGTAGTACTGGCAAACCAGAATTGTTAAGATTGACTGGTGGTAGTAAGACATGTTCTCCAAGTTGGATACATTCCAAATATGAATTAAACAGTACTGATCCAACAATCCAAGGTATATTTGATTTAATGTCCTTGACGAAAGACAAGAGATTTGGTATTTCTATTAGGGAAACCCAGCCAATGAAAGAAATAAGTAATAAGAATAAGAATAAGAATACTGCTAATTCTGATGAAATGGAGATGTAATGCAAAGGCTGAGAGAAAAGACAAAAAAACAATGAAAAAATTCGGAGGGCCATATTAGGCACAATAGAAATAGTTCAAGAATATACATACACGCATATATATGTATATGTATATGTATATATGTATATATACATGTCAACTCTATTGTAATATAGTGAAATAAGATTTATCTGAAGAAGAAAAAGTTATATTTTCCTATTTGTTTGTATATTCTTGTGAATAGCTTTACTTTTACATATATATATATATATATATATATACATGAATAATAATTTAAGTTACACAACCTCGTCATCGTCATCATCGTCAAATTCGTCATCACCAACCATAATTACATTGTTAGAGATTTTAAAGTTATCAGGTTCTTCAATAAATGAAGTGAAATGGCAGAAAATGTACCCTAGCCCAGTGAAAAACAATATAAAATTGGTAATGAATTTGAAAGTAGTAATGTTATGCCCTAATAAAGAGACTAAGAGAAAGTGTAGCATACCTCTGCCTAAGAAACTAAAATAAAACGACGCATACTTATATAATTGTGATGGGATCTTAAATTCCAAGTAGATAACATACGTGGATAAGACAATAGCAAATAATCCTTGAATAAAAACATTAAACTCAACAAAAATTCGACGTATCTGCGATACACCACCTAATACAGCAAGAGTACCAACAAATATATTTATATATTTAAAAATTGCAGGAGTTATAGGCGTCATCGTTTAGTATGAAATTGAATTGAAGTATATGGAGTAATGCCTTTTTTTTTGTTTCTCTTTTTTTTTTTTTTAAATGCTTTCCTTTTCTTTAATGAAAAATATTGCTGGAGATATTTAAATGGGACAATTGGTCATGAGTGTAAGAATCTTCAAGACCTCTAACAAATGTGTTTGACATACAGACTGCCACCCTTTATAAGTAGATTGAGACTAATTGAATGACACAGACAATATATTTGAAACATGTCAAAGACAGATCAAGAGAATATGTGTATATGTAAAACGCGGAGGGGAGGGGGAGGAGGGAAAAAGACAGGGACAAAAAATGAAAAATGAAAAGAAAAGGATAAGACACAAGGAACAAAATAACTAGGAGAGTGTATGGGTGCAGGCGTTGCTTTTCAGAAAAACAAGCAAAAGGGCCAGACGTCTCGTTTCTTTTTCTTCTCTTTTTTTCTCTTCTTTTTGTTTTTTTTCTTTTTTTTACCGTTTGGCAAATCCCCAAATTTCAGGGGAAATGAAAGTAATTGACTTTTTTTTTTTTGTGTGAACCGTTTTCTTAATTCACAAAGAGCTCTCAGGCAGTTCAATGTAGTAATTCCTTTAATAACGAAGTAGATTGGGAGGGGGGGTAGGTGTAGAGTAGAGTGCAACTGACATAAATATTACATACCATTAGATTCAGATGGATAGTATATTGCATACTATACAAAATATTTTGAAAAAGAGAAAATGTAAAATATATTTATAAAAGATACTATGATTATAACTATTGTAATAAAATATGTATATATAGTAAATTCGTATTAAAAATGATAGATAAAAGATATTCAATACAAAAAATATCTAAAGTAATAAAATAAAATAAAGTGAAATATATATATATATATATATAAATAAAAAAAACACAGGAAATATATAAAAAAATATTATACTAGATATATCTGTAAGAATTCTTTTATATATATAGATAGTAATTCTGATACATCATATTATCATTTAATTTATTTTGGTGGCACATCATCATCATCATTTTGTTCTGGGGCTGGAGGTTGAGCTTGTGACATTTCATCGTTACCTTCAGACATGTCAGAAGTCCATAAGGTTAAGTTATCTCTTAATAATTGCATAATTAAAGTGCTATCCTTGTAAGATTCTTCGGATAAGGTGTCTAGTTCAGCAATGGCATCATCGAATGCTTGCTTGGCCAAATGGCAAGCCTTATCCGGAGAGTTTTCGATTTCATAGTAGAAAACAGAGAAATTAAGAGCTAAACCCAATCTAATTGGATGGGTTGGAGGAAGTTCAGTGGTGGCGATATCAGAGGCAGTTTTATAAGCATTCAAAGAGGATTCAGTGGCTTTGTCTTTGATTTCACCGACAGAGAATTCGGCTAAGTAACGGTGGTAGTCACCTTTCATCTTGTAGTAGAAAACCTTTGATTCACCAGTGGAGGCAGATGGAATCAAGTAGGTGTCTAAAACAGACAAAATATCATCAGAAATCTTAGTTAATTCTTCTTCGATCTTAAGACGATAGTTTTTGATCAACTCAACTTGATGTTCAGCCTTTTCTTTAGTTTCTTCTTTTTGTTCGATAGAAGAAACAATTCTCCAAGAAGCACGTCTGGCACCGATAACGTTTTTATAAGCAACAGATAATAAGTTTCTTTCTTCAACAGTCAATTCTTGACCAGAAGAAGCAACAACTTTCATGCTTTCTACCATTTCCTCATAACGTTCGGCTTGTTCAGCTAACTTGGCTAAGTAAACAGAATCTTCACGACTTTGAGACATTTTTTTTTTGTTTCTATTTCAGTTAATTTCTTACTTGGTTGTGTACTTGAGTTTTAAAAGGAAATAATACTTTTCTTCAAAAAAAAAAGAAAAATAAGTAAATAAATAAACAAACAAATAAAATCTTTTTTTTTTTTGTTCCTTATAGTCACTTCCTAAAATCTGATTTTTATTAATTATAATAAATAATTTAATAGATATTAATAAAAGTAGGAAATGAAGTCTCTATGAAATAAAGATTTCTAATACCTTTAGAATATCCTTTAATAAAGATCTTTTATTTTTTATTTATTTACTTTAAAATAAACTTCTAGGGATTGGTTATCAAAAGTTCCTTTTAGTTTGTTTGTTTCTTTCTTTTCTTTATTTATTTTTAAATTTTTTTTTTTTCTGGTTAATTTTTTTTTTTTTTTTTTGGATATTTTTTTTCTTTTTATAAACAAATTTTTTGTTGTTGCTATTTTTCTTTCTGTTTCTTTGTTTGTGTGTGATTTTATTCTTTTTTTTGTTTTTATTTATTTTTGTTTTTCCTATTTCACTTTTGTGTGAGAAAATGAGAGAGAGTTAGGATTTTTAAAGGAGAAGAGGGAAATGGAGTTTTAGGAAAACTGAATACTGAAAACAGAAAACATATAACACACAGAATTATTTACAACTGCGTATGTACATATGTGTGTATATGTTTTATGGCTTCGAAGAAAGATAAAAGGTACAGGAGAATAAAGACGGGTAGTAGTATATAATTGTTTGTATTTTTTTTGTGCAAATTACAGGAGGTTGTTCTAATTGACAAAAAGCAAACGATAAAACACCAAAGGTAAAATAAGATTAATGTGGGATTATTAGATATAAGTAAAGGGTCTGAAGAATGAATGGTTGTGGAAAATGGTGTAAAAAAAATGACTAAGAGAAAGCTAGAAAAATTAGATGATTTACATGTTGTCCACTTTTTTTTCACTTAGAACTTCGTCTGCTTTTATATTTAAGGAAAGAAAAATACAGAATATATAAATGAATTAACCAATATTAAGTGTCAGAACGTATTTGTACTTATTGTATATAAACACTTCTATTATTTTACAATCAAGGATAGGTATGTGAAAATCATGACGACTGGTATATGTTTACATTTAAAATTCGATACGGGGATAGCAAAAATATTCTATGTCTGAGTGTATATGCACTTTCCTTTTGTCATAAATTATACAATCATGTTATGCAAAAGTTGTTGAGCATTGACCTCTTGAGGCTCATTAGAAACAGATGTAATTGACTTTTTCAAGAGCACTCTTTTTCTTTTCGTTGTTTCAATTTTTTCATGAAATATCTAACTATTCTCATTTCAATTTGACATAATTTCTTAAAATATGAAGAAAATTATTCTGCAGCAATATTTCTTTACGTTCTACATTACTTTATTAAATTTATCGTACTATAAAAAAAAAAAAAAAAGAGAGAGAGATACAAATAAGATATAAATCTTTAATATATATATATATATATGTTTTTAGTTACAGTTCTTGTTGATTCTTTACTCATTTGTTAAGCGAAAGAAATATTCTAATGATCTGCTAGAAACGATTTGTAGTAAAGTAAAGCAATGAGTAAGCATATTGTTCACTTTCTTAATATTTCAAATCTCTGAAACTCAAATTTGGGCGTAAAATAATAAATGTTTTTGATGTACTATAATATATTTTCACACTACATAATATATAAGAAAACTAAATTAAAACTAATTTTTCTGAAAATAGCAGGAAAGAAATTGTAATTATAGTAAGTTGTAATGAATTGATATGAATATGTTATATCAGACAAAACTGTTGTGGTATGAAGTAGTCAATAGTTTTGTATTATCCAGGAAGTGCGAGAAATATCAAACAGATATTTCTATTAATAATCGAAGACAATAATTGATACAATCGATAATACAATTATTAATACAGTCTTTATACACTAGCGGCTATATCGAACTTATATCTTTATTCTTATCGTCGTCGTTTTCCTTGTTATCGATATATACAATATATAAATTATCTATAAGAAAATGGTTATGGAAGATGGTTCTTTATCTTCAGCAAATGTTGTTCTTTTACATGTTTTCTAGAGCACAATTAATTATTCAGATTGATACATTAATGAACTTAGTGATCCAAATCCTAATATTTATTATACTAATTCAGGTGTACTGGTGAATTAGTAACTGCACCCTAATTTATTAGTCATGGTAATGGGGTGTACCAATGATAAATGACACAATTCTTATGATTATTCGTAATAAATGTGTGAATTATTAAAACAATAAATAGTTCTAAATTCATTCAGGATCATATGTAACCTTAATGGTAATAACTATCTTATTCCACAACAGAAAATGTTGTAGTATGGTGTGGTGAAGTCCTTTGTGTATTCCAGGGAAGCGCAAATAATATTAATAGTAATTCAAATAATCGAGACAGTAATCAACTATAGTCGATAGTATAATTACTAAACGGTCTTATATATTAAGCGACTTATATCGAGCTAATGTACTTATTCGAAGTTCCTTGACTTGTTACTTGCTTGTTATTCTCCTTTTGTTCATATATAATATATAAATTATTTACAAGAAACGGTTATGGAAGATGATCTTTTATCTCCTGAAAACGTTGTCCTTTTATATGTTTTCTGGAGCTCGATCGATTATTCAGATTACTACATTAATGACTTGACTGATTCAAACCCTAAAATTTATTATATTAATTTAGGTGCACTACTGGATTAGAACTGCATCCCAATTCTCTAATCATGGTGATTAGTAATACACGTGGGACTTAATAAAACAATAGGTAAATTCTAGATTTGCCAAGATCTTATGTAATCCAATCTTTTTATTATGCAGCATCTAATGTTGTAGCACATGTAAGGCTTATTAATACACTAATTGGTTCTAGATTCATTCAGGATCTTATGTAATCTTGATGGTTATAACTATTCTATTCCACAACATCTTCCTCTCTCTCTTGGGAACCTTGTTTCCATAATTGTACGAAATTGTCAATTAAAGATTGACCAATATTTGTTGGGAGTAAGTTAAATTCTTCTACTGGATATTCTACTGTAATAGTCGGATCAACATCTTCCATATGACAATAAAACACTTTGTTATCTTTATCGTAACCGACTACATTAATAATTTCATGTACTCTTAATTTCCTTTCGGCAGCAGTATTAGGCGGATCTTTTGGATAGCGGTCTTTTCTACGTTTTAACGGTTTTAGTTTTTCAACATTAATAACTCTGTGAGTCTTTTTCATCGAAGGTAAATCTAATTCGTAAGCATTGTCATTTATTTTCTTAACTACCTTAAATGGGCCAACGTATATGGGTTGTAGCTTTAGATATTGACCTCTCTTAAAATAAGCATCACGATGTAGCAGTACAAAATCACCAATTTCAAAGGTAACTTCCTTCCTCCCTTTGTTATGTGTAACTTCCATGTTGATCTGATTCTCAGTTAAGAAATCTTTTGTGCGTAAAGTAAGTGCTTTCAACTTTGTGGCTAGTTCTTGTGTTGAATCATGACGGGAAGAAACAGCATCTCCTGTAACTATGATTGGTTCATTAGGGATGTATCCAATATCTACTTCAAAAGGAGCTGTCTTGGTTACGCGATTGGGAGTAGAGTTATAGACGAATTCGATGTGAGGAAGTAAACGATCCCATTGTCTATGATTGTTACCAGTATAAGTCTTTAATAACCTATTAAGGATCTGTATTGTACGTTCAGTTTGACCATCTGTTTGTGGGTGATTTGCTGTGGACATTTTCAATTTTATATTCAACCTTTTTGCCATTTCTTGGTATTCTGTAGAGGTAAAACGAGGGTCTCTATCTGAAGTAATGGAATATGGAAATCCATGGTAAGCGAAAATATAACGGAATAAAGCATTAATAACGGAAGTAGTATCAAATGGGTAACTACCAGCAATTAAGTGAGTTCTTTTTGAAAACATGTCGACTACAACCATAATCATGTCGTTACCTTGTTCTGATTTAGGTAAACCAGATACAAAATCTATGCTAATATTTAACCATCGACCTTCGGGAACTTCAGAAGGCATCAATAAGCCCTGTCTATTAGGGCGATGAGATTTAATCAACTGGCATTGTATACAGGAAGAGACATATTCATTAACAGAGTGGTGTAATTTTGGCCAATAATAACGACTTGCAATTTTATTGTATGTAACGGTTGAACCGAAATGACCACCATAAAGGCCATGGTCGTGATATATTCGAAGGACTTCATTTCGTTTAGCGTCGGGAACAACATAGCGTTCTTTAAAGTAAATAATATTGTCATTAATTGTAAAACAATGGCGAAAGGTTCTTGATAAGTTCAATTTCTTCATATATTTCTTGAACAATGATGAGTTGCAAATGGGTAAGTCTTTTGTATCAAGTTTGGTAATATAAACAAAACAGGCAGCACATAATGGGTCAGCTAGGTATTCTTCGTACCAATTTTTCGGATCTAATGTGACGGCAGCATCTTCAATAGCAGCAATATTGTAATCTGCTCTGGAAATAGCATCAGCTACTACATTCTTTGGACCTGCTAAGTATTCTAGTTTAAAATCATATTCGGCTAATTCATTTAACCATTTAATTACTCTACGAGAGGGTTCTTTGTTCTTTTGTGCCGTTAGTAAACTAATATGGTCTGTTCTCAATATAAAATGCATGCCATGAAGCATATATTTAAAATGTGATAAGGCTTCGACAATGGCTAGGAGTTCAAGATCTCCAGCAGAGTAATTTTTTTGAGCGCCTTGTAAAGTTTTTGAAAAATAACCCACGACCCCGAGAATTTTTCCTTGCTCATTCACTTCTTCGAGTACAGCACCTAATCCATTCTTTGAAGCGTCGGTTGTTAATCTGTAATGACCATCGTGTTTAAAGGAGACTAATATTGGGTTTGAGATTAGGTGTGACTTTAATGTGTTAAAGCTCTCATCTTGATCCGTCGACCACTTACTTTTACCATGTATGTAATCCTGAATCGGTTGTTGGATGTGAGAGCAGCGGGGTATAAAGCGTCTATAATAGTTTATCATACCCAAAAATCTTTGAGCTTCTTTAATTGTTCTGGGAGTGGGAAATTGTTCTATAGCTGCACATTTCGAGATCAACGGTTGGATTTTATTAGCAGAGATAGTGTATCCCAAAAATTCAACAGATTTAGCGGCAAAGTTACATTTTTTCTTTTTTACAATTAATCCTTCTTGAGTTAACCTTTGCAATACGATGTCTATATGTTTCCAATGTTCATCAACGGAACGGGAGTGAATTAAAATATCGTCGAGGTAAACACAGACATATGGTAAGTCCCTAAATAAATCAGCCATATAACGAGCAAACGTGCTTGGAGCATTAACGAGACCAAACGGCATGACGGTATATTCATACTTTCCATTAGGAGTAACAAAAGCGGTTTTGAAACGATCGTCCATTTTCATAGGTATTTGGTGATACCCTGAGTGGAGGTCCAAAGTTGAAAAAATGGTTGAAGAGCCAATCTTGGCCAATAGGTTGTCGATTCTAGGTAATGGAAACGGGTCTTTGATTGTCACAGTATTTAGAGCTCTGTAGTCCACACATAAACGATATGTACCATCTTTCTTTTTAACTAGAACCACTGGTGAACTACAGGGTGACTTGGAGGGTACAATGAATTTCTTTTCGAGAAGGTCGGCAACGATCAGGTTTATCTCTTGTTCTATTTTTGGTGTCGTCTGATATGGCTGTCTTCTAGGCAGGCGTGCACCCGGCTTAATTTCGATCTCGTGTTCAACCTTTGGAGGTTCAGCGAATTTCTTAGGTGGTAAATCATCGCGGACTGTAGCAGAATATTTCTCTTTTAACCAGCGAGGTAGTTTATCAAATCGATCATCTGTATCTGTTTCAGAAATCTTTATAGCAAACACAGCAGCAGCATTTTCAACATCTAATTCTTCGGTATCATTCTCGGTAAGTACGGATACAATGTATTCAGGGACCGGTTTCTTGTTATTTAATATCTTGTGGAGCAGCGGGTGAGATGATATAATCGGGTGTCCTATTATGATTTCAAAAGTAATAGCATCAGTTATGTATACGGGTGTTTTAATTTTTATGTCATCGAGTTCAAGTAAAATTTCGGTGGATTCGTTAGTGTATGACGATTCGGATGATACAACACCTCTAAAACGGAATGGCGGAGCGGTAGAACGTGTTAACTTGAGGTTGTCAGCAATATCGGCTCTAATAAATGATGTGGGGGAACCAGTATCCACTAAAACATTGACAGGTTTTTCTTTAATAAACATTTTAATTTGGCAACTGTTGCCTACGAGTGGATGGGGAGCGGACACGATGGGAGCTAGTGTGACGGTTTTGTTGTAGAATTGTTTTTCATTTGGGACTGCTCGCCTTACGGTTAGGGCAGTCACTGTAGCGGTGTAATGGCTTGTAACAATAGAAACATAAACCATGATCAATACAATATTGACGAGAGGGACGCTTAATTGGTTGTTTGTTTGCTTGGGAAGATTTGTGATTTCCCTTTCTGCCCCCTCTTCCGTGTGAACGATAAACAGCAGCAACTTGAGGATGATGATCAGTAGTAGAGTCCATAGGGACTGGGTTAAGAGCAGCGGTCATATGGATGTCTCCATCCATATCATAGGTGGTGAAGGTAGGAAATGAACGGTTGGTGATGGAAACTGTTTCACTGGCAGCTTCCATAGCAGCATCAACAGTGGTAGGGCGAGCTAGAGCTACCATACGGGCAGTATCAGGAGTAAGACCGCGATAATAAAAAAGTAATTCTCCCTTGGGAGTCCAAATGTTTGAAGGCATCAAAGCTAATAGTTGTGAAAACTTTTGATTATAAGCGTCAATGCCAACGGTAGCTTCCTTCAAGCGTTGGAACGCATTGAGGATGGCATGAGGGTCGATCATACCAATAAACTTATTTTTAAAATCCACAAGGAATTGTTCATAGGAATGTTGGTCATGATTACGGATCCATTGGACATACCATTGAGCAGCGGGTCCAGTTAAGTTTCGGCCAAAAAAAGCTATACGATCCACATCTGTTTGGAGGTTTCGAGCATAAAGTTGTGCTTCGACAGTAACAAGGAAATCTGGTAGTTTAAATAAATCATAGCGACCAGAGAAGCGCATTGGAGCAGTACTGTAGTATTTGGAATCGGATGGGACTGGAGCAGGAGCAGAAGTAGGGTCAGCGGTTAGGTTAGTAGTTGGAGCAGGAGTAGTGGTTGGTGCGGTGGTATGATGTTCTGTAGCCGTAGATGCATCAATAGCGTCTAAAAATTCGTTCATATTTAAATTATTCGAGGACATGATGAAATAAACGCTACCAGTTGTTGTAGTATGGTGTGGTGAAGTCCTTTGTGTATTCCAGGGAAGCGCAAATAATATTAATAGTAATTCAAATAATCGAGACAGTAATCAACTATAGTCGATAGTATAATTACTAAACGGTCTTATATATTAAGCGACTTATATCGAGCTAATGTACTTATTCGAAGTTCCTTGACTTGTTACTTGCTTGTTATTCTCCTTTTGTTCATATATAATATATAAATTATTTACAAGAAACGGTTATGGAAGATGATCTTTTATCTCCTGAAAACGTTGTCCTTTTATATGTTTTCTGGAGCTCGATCGATTATTCAGATTACTACATTAATGACTTGACTGATTCAAACCCTAAAATTTATTATATTAATTTAGGTGCACTACTGGATTAGAACTGCATCCCAATTCTCTAATCATGGTGATTAGTAATACACGTGGGACTTAATAAAACAATAGGTAAATTCTAGATTTGCCAAGATCTTATGTAATCCAATCTTTTTATTATGCAGCATCTAATGTTGTAGCACATGTAAGGCTTATTAATACACTAATTGGTTCTAGATTCATTCAGGATCTTATGTAATCTTGATGGTTATAACTATTCTATTCCACAACAGAAAACGTGGTTTATTGGTTCTATAGTGTAGTGGTCATCACTTTCGGTTTTGATCCGAACAACCCCGGTTCGAATCCGGGTAGGACCTGTTTTTTGCTTTTTTGCCTTAAATTTATTTAAAAATTGTGGAAATGTGTATTAGTAATGTTATCACAGTTGATTGGCTGAAAAATAAATTGTGGGTTCAAATCTTTTTCTTTTTTTATTTGTTTTTTTTTTTGTCGCTGAGGCATCTAAATATTATTAATTAAAATATTTCATAGAGAATCCAAACCAAAGAATTTGTGAAGGAACCTTATACCACACATCATCATGTCTAATGAAAGTCTGATTTACTTCGTTAATCCTTGTTTTTCAATTAAGTATTGATTATTCTCCAATTTCAGAGGTTATAAGATACACGGTTCACTACCACTTAAATAAATTTCGACGCACACTTTTCGATCCTTCTTTTACTAGTTTCATCTTTTTTTACTTCGTTTTTCTTGCGTTTATTAAGTAACTTTGAAGATAGTTTGCGTTTCACCAATATAAATAAACTAACTTGAAGTTTTGCAATCAAGTTCTTTTGTGTTAAAATCTTTATATTTTTACGAATATTTGAAAGATTAGTTTATAGAGAAGTTTTATTATTGTATTTTATATATAAAATAAATAACAACACACAAACATTTAACTATCGTCAAACCACCAACATCATGCCAATTACTGAAATTAAAGATCAAGACCAATTCACTCAATTGACCACAGTGGATGTCCAGGAAAAATTAATTTCTTTATATTTTTACACTAACTGGGCCGAACCATGTAAACACCTAAATCAAGTCTATCAAGTGATCAGTGATGATGCATCAAACAAAGATGTTTCATTTTTAACTATAAATGCAGACGACTTAAGTGATGTTGCAGAACTATTTGAAGTAAGTTCTGTACCATATTTTGTAATTATCAACAATGGTACTATTTTGAAAGAATTCTCCACTGCAGACCCAAAAGAGTTTGTGAAGGAATTAGATCAATGTAAGAAATATGTTTCTAACCAAACTAATAATACTACTGCTGATGGTGAACAAACTGAAGAACCCGAAGGTGAAACAGAGGAACAAATCAATGAAAAACTAACTAAATTGACGAATGCAGCACCTGTGATGTTATTTATGAAGGGTTCACCATCTGAACCGAAGTGTGGTTTTTCAAGACAATTAGTTGGAATGTTAAGAGAGCATCAAGTTAGGTTTGGTTTCTTTGATATCTTAAGGGATAATGACGTCAGAGAACAATTAAAGAAATTCTCAGATTGGCCAACTTATCCACAATTATATATTAACGGTGAGTTCCAAGGTGGGTTAGATATTATCAAGGAATCTTTAGAAGAAGATCCGGATTTCTTCCAACATGCGTTACAACAGTAAGTTGCATCCTTATGAAATTAGATAATGTTTATAAGAACGTGGTTATAGATGATATTAATATGTATAGAGAGAGAGTATATAACATTAACTCTAATATATATCTGCTGTCCCCTCTATTGCTTTCTGTATTGACAACTGATTGTAATGCATAGGTTATGTGTGTGTATATTCGTTAATGACTGATTGCAAGGCTGAATATTATGTAATATCTTTCACACGTGTAATTTCTTCTCTTCAGAACAGATCTGCGTTGGATCTTTACGCGTTTTTCTTCCGGTTTTTGTATATTTTTACGTGTTATATATATATATATAAAGGAACAGATATAAATTGAAAATAAGTCCTTTTTACGCGTTCCGAATAATCAATTAATACATACACACATGCCTGTATCAATACATTTCAACCAGGTTTATTTTTCGTTCTATTCAGGATATACTCATCATAATAAAGATCAACGATTTGAGGAACATTACGTTCATAAATCATTCTCATACTGAGCCGGTTATTGCTACTATTATTATTATTTATTCATCTTCTTTATATTCCTCTACAGCTGTATTAAAACCCATTGTGCATTTTCTATATTTATTCCTAAGATCAAGTGTTGTCTATAAGATAAATATTTTAAAAATATGGCTCCAATTACTCCTAGAGCTTCCAAAATTTTGAAATCCAAGAAAGATACAACCCCATCTTCCTCTCAAAAGAAACTTAAACAATCATCTCTATTGTCTTTCTTCTCAAAACAGAAACCTGATAATAATATAGCTACTCATAATAAATCATCAAGAGGGTCTCCTATCTCTAATAAAACCAAAATATGTAAAAGTAATGATTTCCCTTCGTCTGTAGGTGAAAGTGATACCACTTTAATAGATAATTCAAAATTAATAAAGAATGATAACCAGCCTGAACCTAACACTTCAATCACTGTAGATATTGAATCAGGAGACGAAATGGATACCACTTTTGAGGGGAAAAATAATGCGATTGATAATATGTTAAAGTCGACTTCTAAATCAGGAAGAATTAAAAGGCATATAAACTATGCCGAGAGTGACGTGGAAGATGAAGATTTACTTTTATCTTCATCTAAGAAGAGAAAATCAAATATGAAGACCAAATTATTTACTGAAGATTCAGATTTTGAATCAGATGAATATATTCCAACAAAGGAAGAGCTAGAAGGAGATCAAGATGTTGATTATGAAGAAGAAAATAATATCAAATCTAACAATCGTTTGGGTTCCCATCAAAATAAAAGAAATGATTTTGATGATGATGATGATGACGATGAAGATTTATTATTGTTATCAAATACACAAAAACGTAAAGATAAACCAAATATTAGCAAGATACAGTCTATATCTAAGCCTGTTACAAAATTAACAAAGCCAAAATTGGCAAATACTACAATAAAGAATAAAAACTTTAACAAAGTTAATGAAGAAAGGTATTCATGGTTAGTTGATGAAAGAGATGCTCAAGGAAGATCCACCAATGATCCAGAGTATGATCCAAGAACATTATATATCCCAAGTAGTGCATGGAATAAGTTTACACCCTTTGAAAGACAATATTGGGAGATTAAATCAAAGATGTGGGATTGCATTGTGTTCTTCAAGAAGGGTAAGTTCTTTGAACTTTATGAAAAAGATGCCTTTTTGGCAAACAATTTATTTGATTTAAAATTAGCCGGTAATGGTAGAGCAAACATGCAACTAGCTGGGATACCTGAAATGTCATTTGAATACTGGGCTTCAAGATTTATTGATTTGGGTTATAAAGTTGCGAAGGTGGATCAGAAGGAATCAATGCTGGCGAAAGAAATGAGAGAAGGTTCTAAGGGGATAGTTAAAAGAGAATTAGAATGTGTATTAACGTCTGGTACTTTAACAGATGGCGACATGATTCATACAGATTTAGCCACATATTGTCTTGCTATTAGAGAAGAAGCTGGTAATTATTATGATATTAATGGTATTTTTAGTCATAACCCGGCGACTGCATCTCTGTCAAGTAAAATATTTGGTATTGCATTTATTGATACATCAACTGGTGAAGTCCAAATGACAGAATTTGTTGATGACAATGACTGCTCTAAATTAGATACTATTATGTCACAAATTAAACCAAAAGAAATTATTATGGAAAAAAATAATTTGAGTAGTTTGGCAAATAAAATAATTAAATTTAATGCTGCGACTAATGCTATTTATAATGTTATTAAACCAGAAAAGGAATTTTATACTTTTGAAAAGACATATAATATACTGATATCTAATGAAAATGATATTTTTGAAGATGAATCAAAATGGCCTCAGGTATTACGAGATTATTATAAGGGAAATAAACAGGTTGGGTTCAGTGCATTTGGAGGTTTATTATATTACTTGAATTGGTTAAAATTAGATAAGAGTTTACTATCTATGGGGAATATTAAAGAATACAACCCAATAAAATTACATAATGCATTAATATTGGACGGTGTGACCCTACAAAATCTAGAATTATTTAGTAATACATACGATGGTTCTGATAAGGGTACACTGTTTAGACTATTTAACAAAGCTATTACTCCAATGGGTAAAAGAATGATGAGACAATGGTTAATGAGACCACTATATAATAAAGCAGATATTGAGAAAAGATTGAACACTGTCGATATGTTTATGTCTGATACTGATATTAGACGTCTTCTCGAAACATCCTTAGCAAGATTACCTGATTTAGAAAGAATGCTAACTCGCATACACTCATGTACCATAAAGGTCAAGGATTTTGAAAGAGTAATTACTGCTTTTGAAGAAATCATCGCCTTGGTAGATTCACTCCAAAATGAGGTAAAATTTCAAGATAACATAAAGACAACAGCTTTAGGAGAATATCTTCAACAAATTCCAAAAGCCTTATGTGAAAATGTGACTACCTGGTCTAACGCATTTGATAGACAGAAGGCAACTATAGATAATGTTATTATTCCACATCGTGGAGTAGAACCAGATTTTGATAAATCCTTAAAAGATATTGAAAGTTTAGAAAATGAATTACAAGAATTATTGAAGCAGTATAGAAAGCAGTTTAGATGTTCCAATATTGTGTACAAAGATTCTGGAAAAGAAACCTACACAATTGAAATTCCAATTAACGTGTGTAAAAATGTGCCATCTAATTGGACACAAATGGGTTCAAGTAGATCAACTAAGCGGTACTATTCTGATGAAGTGAAAGTGTTGGCTCGTCGTATGGCAGAAACACGTGAGAGTCATAAAATTTTAGAAGAAGAGTTAAAAAACAGATTATGCCTTAAATTTGATAAAAATTATAACAATATATGGGTACCTACAATTCAAATAATATCTCAAATTGATTGTTTGATTGCATTAACAAGAACATCAGAGTCTATTGGATTTCCATCTTGTAGACCAGAATTTGTAGATGAAGTAGATCCTTTAACAGGTAATAGATTAAATGGTTTTATTAAATTCAAATCTTTGAGACACCCCTATTTTAATGAAGGTAGTTCAGTTATTCGTGAATTTATACCAAATGACATTGAGTTGGGAGGTGATCAACCACAATTAGGTCTATTAACTGGGGCTAATGCTGCTGGTAAGTCTACAATATTGAGAATTACATGTCTTGCGGTAATTATGGCCCAAATGGGTTGTTATGTTCCATGTGAAATGGCAAGGTTGAGTCCAATTGATAGAATTATGACTCGTTTAGGTGCTAATGATAATATTATGCAGGGTAAATCTACATTTTTTGTAGAACTATCTGAAACGAAGAAAATTTTAGATATGGCTACAAATAGATCATTATTGGTAGTTGATGAATTGGGTAGAGGTGGTTCTTCAAGTGATGGGTTTTCTATTGCTGAAAGTGTTCTGTATCATGTAGCAACTCACATTCAGAGTTTAGGTTTTTTTGCCACACATTATGGGACACTAGGTTTACAATTTATTGGTCATCCACAAGTTAGACCCATGAGAATGCAAATCCTTGTAGATGAAAAGACCAGAAATGTGACATTTTTGTATAAGTTAGAGGATGGAGCTAGTGAAGGTTCTTTTGGTATGCATGTTGCCGCTATGTGCAATATTCCCATGAGTGTTGTCGATAATGCAGAGAAAGCAGCTGAGGAACTAGAGAATACTTCAAAACTGATGAAACAGTTGAATAATATACATGAACAAGCTGTTAAAAATAGCACAGTATCCGATGGATTACAAAGTGATTTAGTTAGATTGTTGTATGGATCTGGACTAACCAACGATGCTATGGGCACAGGTGAAGGAGTTGCAAATTACGATTCTAATATTAAGTTGAATGTATTGAAAAATCTTTTTAAGTTAATAGAAAGTACACAGTAAGTATTATGTATGTAGTTATTACATAAATAATCTATTGAACATATATAAAAGAAGAATGGATTAAACTGGTCGTCATATTTGTTGAATTAGTTACAAAAAATTATTAAAGGTGAAAAAATAAAAAAAGTAGTCAAAGAAAGAATTGGTAATCAAATGAGCGTGAACGCATTCATTTGAATAAGTTAAGAATATGAAAAATTAGTTTCTATAGCCTCATTTACAAGGTATCTTCTTGTTTAAATGTTGTAAAACATGATCCCTCCTTTTAAACTTTTTGCCACATTTGGGGCAGGAATGTGGTTTTTCACCGGAATGAACAGATTTTTTATGTCTGGTTAAGTGGTGACCAGAAGAAAACTGTCTCTTGCAATCACAACATACATAAACTTTGCCAGAGTCTGTTATCAACACTTCACTAGGTAGAAATCTAGTTTGAGATTGATGTGAGGTAAAAGTACTTTGTGAATTATTGATAATTTGTTGATGTTGTTCCACATTAAAATGTCTTTCTTCTTTAGTCGGAGCAGCATTTGAGACAGTGTTATCTTGATTAAATTTTTCTTGTTCTTGAAATCTACTATATAATAAATTGTTATAATCTAAAGTAGTATACCTTTTCTCCTTCTTCTTTGATACTCCTTTTCCCAATTTTTCCTTTTTATTGGTCCTATCATTAATTTCAAGGTCATTTTCGATTAAATCCATACTATCATTATGAAAGGAACCATTTTCTAGTAAAGAATAAGGATTAGTTATGTTTCCATTATGGGTAAAATAGTTTGGTTCATTATTAACCATTAAAGAAGAATTCATTAACTTACTTGGTTTGTTTACAGTGCCATATCCTACATTTATATTATATCTTCCAAAATTTTCGTTTGATAATGGAACAGTCATTGATAATGATAGGGGACTCTCAGTGATTCCTCTTGAAATATTTAAGGGCAAAAAACTTGGTGAAGCAATTCTTCTTATCATATCATTCCTTGTTGTAGATGTGTTAAGACATATTTGTTCTGGGTTTGGATAGTAACCTGTATAGTTAAAATTGGTAGTATTACATTTACTATTATTAATGATATTACTGGTGTTAGCAATGGTATTATTATTACTGTCACTACTGTTATTGTTGTTATTATTATTTGATAACATTTGATTGGTTGAACTTGTCAACGTTGCAGGATTAGTAGTAACTAATTTATAGTTTTCCAACTGTGGAGTAAGTAATGGCGGTAAAGGTACATGCGATGGAGATGTCATGGTTTTGGATATTTGAGTGGAAGAATTGACATTCATCATAATATTTGAAGCCGGAATGAACTTATTCTTAAAGATATGTTTTTGCTGTAAGTCATCATTAATAATATCAGAAGAGGATGAATTTGTTAGATAAGGTCCAACTTTATTTTTATCATAATTTATATCTAAATTAGTTTGATTGTCATAGTGTAGTCTGTCGTTAATATTCGCTACACTTTCAATAGATGGTAATAAAAATGTGTCGCCATGATTCCCCTTTTCATTGATATTGAGACTATCATCATAATTTGTACCTCCACTACTTAAAGTGGTTGTTGTGGTATTTCCTGTATTTAATAATCTAGAAAATAGAGGCGAAGAAATCCTACTAATAGATTCATTGAATTCATTTGTTGATAATGAATGTTCTAACGTTGATCTGGGGATATTAGTGGAACTATTAAGGGCTATCATGGTGGGAATAGTAGTACAATTCATAATATTTGTAGGATTATCTTTAATTTTTTCATTCCTATTATTGTTATTATCAATACATAGACAGTTTTGTAATATAGTTGGTCTGTTATGATTTACTTTAAAATTAAATTGGATTTCAGATATTCTATTGTCATTAGTTAGATCTAAAGCAAAAGTACATGAATATGGGAATAAAACAATCATTTCATTACTATATTGAATAGTTTTGGTAAATCTGATGTCATGGTCAATTAACCATTTTGGATGTATTATAAAATCATCGTAATCAATAAATTTTTGGTTTAAATTTTTCTGTGCACTTGAAATTTTTAGCTTTAAATCTAAATTTTCTCTTAAAATCTTGTAAAATTTACAAATATCATCTTCAATAATTGAATACCAAATTCGTATGTTGTTTTTGTTGTCTTTGATACTTTTATTATTATTATAATTATTTTTATTATTATAATGTTCACTCTTCTTCATTTTATTATTGTCATGTAAATAATAAATCTTAAAAGTACTTGATTCCAAAATTTCCCAATTTTTGATTAAACCAACTGAACTTTCTACAAATTTAATTTTAGAATCATCTTGTAATAAAGAAATGTTCCTATTACTTAAAATAAAATTATACAATTGTTTTTCTTTAGGAGTCTGAATATTATTATTATCATTATTATTATAATCATTATTGTTGTTGTCATGTTTTAAATTGATATCAAAAAGGGTATAATATGCAGAATAATTTAATAGATTATCCCAAATAGTATCTTCATTAAAAGTGTTATTATTCAGGTGTTCCAAGTTGGTTTTATATTTAATCTGTTTAAAATCATTATCATTATAAGAATGGGTATTTAACAGATGCACACTATTGTTATGTGTACTATTATTATTTTTTAATTCAACAATAAAATGTTCCCCATTATATTTTTGCCTGTTATTAGTAGCAGTGGTGGTGGTGGTAGTAGTAGCGTCATTGTATTGTGTAGCATTATTCTTGTGACCTGTATCATAAGGTAATATTTTACAAATACCAACTAAATAACTAAATTTTGAAATTTTATTCAAATATGTATCAAAATTATCCCATTCTACTTTATTAGGTTCAAAGATCGGTACTTCAAGTTCTTTATCTTTGTCTTTATCTTTAGCATTATTATTAGATGTCATGTTTTCTAACAATTTAATATCATCAATCCACTCCATCTTTTCTTTTTTTTTTTTTCTTGCTTTTTGCTTATACTATCTTTATTAATTTGTTTGTCTATTCCCTATTTCAATTGAAACACAACAATAAAAATTAAAAAAAAAAAAAGCAACAGACCCTAAATTTACTCTTTTTTTTAAAAAATAAAAAAAAAATAACACGTTCTCCTTTATTTTATTTGGAGTTTTAAAGGAGCCTTACAGTAGTAAATATTTTAAATATGTAAATACGAACTTATATCTTTAGTTGTGAGTGATGGTAGATATATTGCTTGGGTATAATAGAATACAGAGGAAGAATAGGGAGTTATTTAAGAAATAAAATAAAATAAAATAAAAACATTAATATCAAAAGGAACCTTCCAAGACTCGTATATAACTAAAGTAAATTTAATGAGGGATAAAAAGAAATCTAAAGAAACATTGTGAATATTTGATGTATCTAGCAAAACATTGCTAAACGATAAACAAGAGCAAAATAGACTAAGCAACTGAAAGACTAAAAATATGAACGATTAAAAAAAAAAAAGGTTAAAGGGAATGAGAAAGGGTTAAAAATTCTTGAGAAATATTCTTACATATATATATAAATGTGTGTGTATGTGTGTCTACAAGTTGTTTCTTTGTTTTTTTAATTTGTCTCTCCTAAGTCAATGTAAAATAATTGAAAGAATGGAAGAAATTAGATGTACAATGAAACGCGCGCACACAACACACACACACACACACGTACATACATACATACATACATACAAAGACAGAGAGAGAAAAAAACAAATAAATACATGTCTTCATGTGGTGAGTGGGTGTTTACTATAGTTATTTCTTTGTTTCTCTTTTATTTCTAATTAGTTGTTATTAACAAATAAGATGAAGCTACAAATTGTCACATTGATTGGTACTGTTATCATTATTACAAGTATTATAATTGTTCTTGTTGTCTCTTGTTGTTTTTGGCTACATAAAATAGCAATAATAAATTAATTTCCAAGACCGAAATAGGTTGTCAATAAGACGTCATCGTTCGCATTTGTTTTGTTTTGTTCTTTTTCTTTGTTTATTATTCCATAAAAAAAAGAGAATGACTAGCATTTGCGAAGAACACAATAGATTGATAAAATTACTTTACTTGTTCTATTGTCTTGGGGAATGATCACCATTGTAATAGTTTTGTATCCATTAATTATTACTATTTGACGTTTGTAATATTAATAACAACGGTATGTATATATTTAGTTGTTTACCTTTTTTATTTCTCAGCTTCTCCTCTGCTCCCCTATAATATTCTCTAATATAATCAGCAATTTTAACAATAATAATGTAACATGATAATGGGTCTAAAAAAAAAGAAAAAGAAAAAGAAAAGAAAAGGAAAGGAAACGGTATGTTTATTTTTTTTTATTATTATTTGAATACAAAAGTGTCTAGAGCCGATGTCTCTCCAACACAAGAAACTAATATACAAGACATACACACGTTATAATACTAAGTATAGAATGTATTATTTTAGATATACATTTTCCGATCATTCAGTTATGGAATAAGTCTTATGATGAGATAAAAAAATGAAAACATGTATCCTTCCATCTTCTTACCCATTTTTACTGTGTAAGAATAGTAGACACATCATCTCTAGTATACGCTATTGCATATTATTGTTTGTTATTTATTACATTATATGTATGCTACTACATACAGTAATGCAAACCTAAAAATATTCTGTATCCCTTAATAAGTCCGTAATATCTACTGCCGCAGATATTTCTTTATTAATAATATTTATATTTCTATAATTATTTGATTCTAATAAATTGTTGTCATTATTATTATTATTATTATTATTATTATTATTATTACCATTATCATAAAGATTATTATTGTTGCTGTTATTACTGTTATTATTAAGGTTGTTGTTATCTTTAATCGGTGATAATAAATTTGACATATATGACAAATCACCATTGCTACTATAACTATAGTTATTATATTTATAATTATAACTGCAATCAGGAGATAATAAACTATCCACTGTATCACATGATAGCAATTGTTCCAAATCTAATCCTGTCTCTTCTTGTTCTGAGTCAACAGTATTGTTTTTATCTTTGCCGTTTTCCCTATATTCATATCGATCATATAAAATAGGGAATAAAAGGTTATTATTAGCCATTGTTCTATTACTGTTATTATTGTTATTGTTAGTACAATTATCACTATTGTCCGTATTAAAATCATAATAAGCTATCGAAGATTGATCTCTTTTGTATTTTTTTATATTATCTAATTTATACATTTTAGTGGGTTGATTTTGCCATATATATCCTGATTCGTCTTTTGTTGATATGGAGAGGCTGTTTTTTATCTCTTTTGTATTCATTGTAAAATTTTGGTTGCTTTTTAACATTTTATTAAAGTCTAAATTAGCATCGTTTTCATTACATATAATTGAATCATTGTTATAATGATTGCCTTTTCCATTAGTATGGTTATTATGAGGTTTATTATTATTATTAATATTATTGCCATTATTTTCTAATATATAATTAACAAATTTAATATATGGGTAATGCAAATTATTAATACTTTTTCGTCTGTTTTTCTTTTTTATAACATAGGAACCCATAATACTTGCGTTTGCATTTGCATTTGTATTTGCATTTACGTTTACGTTTGGCCTTCGAATTATTGTATGGTTATAGTTATTTGTTCTATATTCTGCATTCCATATTAGACTATCTTTATTTCTTTTGTTTGTTATTATGTTATGTTCACCATAATGTGGAATTTTCCAGGGAATATTCGTCTCTAACCCACATTCGTAATCTCTTAATATATCATTATCCATTTTTTTTTATTATCTTTTAAAATATATATATATATATATATATATATATCCACTCTATATAAACACTTATATTTGTATGTTGGTTACCTTATTTGTTTGAAATAAAGGATGTTTTAGTTTGTCATTGTTTTATCTTAACTGAGCGTAACTAATCCATTTATTGCTTACTGTCATAGGATGTATATATTTATATTTTCCTTGGTAAAAAAAATGACAGATTTCAGGGAGTTGAAGGGGGTTTGGGTAAAAAAAGATAGAGAAAAACAAAAGAAAGGAACTGTCTGTTTTTTATTTAACATCTATCATTTTGACATATGAGAAGATGTATTGTTTTTTTTATTATCGAGGACACTAACAAAGAAAAGATAGAGGAATTTACAAGAATTTTTATTGTTATGTAATTGTATGGATTTCAGGGGCAAGAAGACAAAAAAACAAAAAGCTTCCGTGTTTTATTGTTGAAAATACTTGACGTTTGACATGCCGAATTTCTCTTGCTCGTAAGTTTAGTTTCAAACTATTTTATATGATAAAAAAAATAAAGAACAAACAAAAGATATATATAGATATATATATGCCTATGTATATACCAAATGAAAAAAAGAATTTAAAGTATCGTATGTATTAATACTATCACAGGGTACTATGTCTATCTTTATATACATGTCTATCAACATTAGAAAAAAAAAACAATAATAAATATCAAAATATTACAAGTTCATTTACATCTATCTATATATATTTTTGAATTTTTAGATTCTATCGTTTCGTAAAGATTTTTTTTTTTTATTTTTTTATTGTTTTTTCATTTACTTAGTAAACTTGATGCTCTAGTTACACCAGGTAAATCCAAGGATAATCTATTACCATGTATGCTATTACGGACTCTGGAGTTTATATTTATATTTATATCTTCGCTGTTAGATGAAGAATTATTTGCATCTTGATGTAATCCAACCATATCTTTATTGTTGTTAAATTTCATATCATATAATGGATATTCTTCAACAATTAAACTCTCATAACTGTTATTATAATTATTGTTACTATTTTCAGTATTTTCATTTTTAAATGGATCTAAATTATCATACCGATCCAACTTTTCAATCTTAACACAATTTGGATCTGTTGGATCATAATCTTCCGGATATTTATCAAATTGTCCCTTTTGCCACATCTCCCTAATAATATCGATATCATTAGGATACAATAATTTCTGTATGCAATCATAAAAGAATCTTGGTATTATACAGAAAAATACTCCAATAAATATCACTGCCCAATATGACGGCGTATTAAACACTCTTGATGCACTCTTGAAAAATTCAAAACTGTTCAGTGAACTCGACCAGATACCTGTCCATCCAAAGTAACAGATAGTAGATAAGAATATAAATAATACACTAAACCAATCCCATCTACGCTGCTCCATCAAGATATACAGATTAGCTGCTATCACACAGATCCCTGTCACAGGAATACCAACATAAAATCTATGGTCCAATCCTAATCCATTTTGTGTCACAATATCATTAGGACGGTATAGCAAGTATGGGAAGAAAAATGATATAGCTGATTGATAGATACCGTCTAGCATATACCAGAAAAATCTATATTGACTCCAATCCTTTCTTAATATCCCTGATATATATAACTCCGGTACTACCATAGATATTTTAGCCGACACGTCTTGATCCAGAATCCCTAAGATAATCACAGGCAATGATGTAAAGGCTAAATTGTAAAATGTTAAATATGTGAATTCAAATAAATACGACCCATCAAAATCATTATAAATACCGTACCAAAATAGTGCAATTGTAAAAATGACATTTTTGAAAAAAAATTGTGGTACCATCTCTGCTAATCTTTTATATGACCAACGGCCATGCACTAGCAATAATCTGGTTAAATATCTAAATTGGCCAATAGCAAAATCTGAACACATCACAGCTTGACGACCTTCTTCTCCTGCTATACCTATACCAACATCCGCAGATTGGATCATAGCTACATCATTAGATCCATCTCCAATAGCTAAGGTCATAACATCTAATCCATTTTTCACCATCTTAACAACTGCAGCTTTTTGTGCTGGAGAAACTCTACAACATAAGACAGCCTTGCAATTTTTACATAATAATAGAAATTTTCTTCTCAGTTCATCGTTTCCGAGAGCAATTTTTAATGCATCTCCATCGATAATAACGGCATATTCACCTTTTGGCAACGAATGATCTTTTTTTGCTGCTTCTAGTTCTTCTTCAGAACCTGACATACTAAACCTTGTTCTTAAATATTCCATTATTAAATTTGAGACAACTTCCAAAGGTTCGGAGCCATATTTCTGTACATCAGATCCGTCTGTCTTGACTACTAACAATTCCATATCATTGTTTAATAAATTGCACGAAAACCCAATATTAATTGCTGTTTCCACTTTGTCACCTGTTAACACCCATAGTTTGATACCTGCTCTTCCTAACATAGATATAGATTCAGGAACACCATCTTGCAACTTATCTTCAATTGCAGTACCACCCAATAAAATCATATCTTGTTCAATCATGTCATACACTGTTTCTAATTTGTTCTCTCTATCAATCAAGGCTGCCGCAGCAACGTTATATTTTTCATTCCATTTCAAATACTCTGACCATGACAGCTCTTTCTGCGCTAAACATAATGTTCTTAAACCTTCAATCGCATATTGCTCTAAATGCTGTGCAGTTTTCTCCAAAACATCAATATTATTGGTTCCTTCCTTATGAGACAAACGAGAATAAATTACTGAATCAGCACCCTTACATAATAATAAAACCTTAGGCTCCTGAGTATTTGTTTGTGGAATTTTGATAATACAACTCATTCTTTTTCTTGTTGAATTAAATTCAAGAACATTAAGAACTTCGAATTCTTTCTGTACACCTTGTACTTCCACAATATAGCCAGTCTTTGTCTTTCCAATAAAGCTAAAACCAACATCTCTTGCTGTTGTTACTAAAGCCACTTCATCCGGTGACTGAGCCTTGATTTCTAATTTATTTGGATCTTGTTCATTTGGTTCGATAAGGGCGGTATGACAAAGTGCCAGAGCTAACATAAAATGTTCGCAACTTTTCTTTTGCTCATTTCCATGTTCTCCTTGCAAATCATGTACAAAATTTTTAGAAACAAATGTGATTTCTTCAGGATAAAATTGAGAATTGTCGGCAATTTTTCGTAATTCTTCAATCATCACATTAAGATCCTTTTCAATTGCAGCCTTTTCAGTAGCAGCTTCATTCTCTACATCAATCCCTTGACGTTTTCTTAAGCCAAGAAGAGCCTCCGTGTAAGCACGACCATAAGAGACTCCGTTAATAGTACACTTCTTAAATTCCATAACATTCTGCGTTAATGTTCCTGTTTTATCAGAAAAAATATATTCTACCTGTCCTAAGTCATCAGATATATTCCAAGATTTTGCAGTACATGGATAATCAATCTTTTCGCAGTATAATAAGACATCCAGATAAATAAAGATAGCCTGACATGTTTTGATAATTTCAATTGAAATATAAAGGGAGATTGGAACTAACGATTGATATAGAATCAATGCAACCCAGAAGGAAAGAAACCCATTTAATGCTGGTGTGCTAGCAATCGTACCAAATTCAAAAAAATCACGAGATGCAGGTCTTTTATTGTAATAGACACCATTAACAACACCAGCAATAAAACATAAGAAGAAAAGGAGTACGAAATTGATTAAAACTGATAAATTCAACTCTTTTGAAATACGTGACTTTTTAGTTGGTGTAATACCAGCATTCAGCATAATTTTAGTATCATCACCCGTAAATAAAACAATACCCATAGCCCATTTAGTATTTCTTAAAGTACAGCCACGAAGTAAAGTATTATTAATTGTAATCGCTTCATTCTTCAATTGCTTATCAGATGGATCAATCCACTTTAAGTTCCCTTGATAGGAATATAAGTTTGCATGTGGACCTTCGCTTTCTATCCAAAATTTCGTTCTGGTAATGTCCTTAGAACTTTTAATTGAAGAACTACATCTCAAAGATTGACGGATTTTCAAATTTGTCTCACCATCTAAATTTTTGGTTTCTATGCAACATACACCGTCAGGATCAGAACTCGATAGGATAACCACGTCAGCAGGGACTTCATCATTATTGTGAATACGAATTATGTCACCAACCTTAACATTTTTCCAGTAATTTTTCTTAAATTTACAATCATCCCTGATAGGCATAGAAAAATCGAGAAACTCCGTCTTTTTATTGTGTTCAGATATATTAGCATCTATGATTTGATTGTCTAAAGATGGACGTAAATATTCGCTTGAAAATCTATATTCACCAAAAGACTCTAAGGAGTTACGAGGTGACTTCTTTCCTATTCTTTTCAATTGTTCTTCTCTTAGTTTACGTTGTTTTCTGATTTCCTTCCCTGTGGAAGTGAAAGTTTCGTTAATATAAGTTAAAAATTTCATTATTACCCTTGTATTGGCCTTTTTAAATTTTCTCCAATAGGATACATGGTCAATGGGAACATTTTCATTCTTAACACCATCTAAGATATAAGTTTTTGTATTATTTACTTGCATGTCTAGCAAAGCTCTCCTTGAATCTTCAAATGCATCCTTGATTGCTGTTAAAATGACAATGACAATTAACGGCACAGCTGCCAATCCAGGATTTGAAACACCGAATATTTGGAAAGCACCTAAGATACAAAGAATCAAGAAATATATATTTGCAAAATTATTAAATTGCAACATAATATTTTTGGGAAAAAACATTAGTGGTGTGTATTTCGTGGTTCTAATTTTATTTCTTGGATATTTCATAATTGGCATGTCATCTTCATCTAACATTTCATCCGGTAGAGGTAAATTGAAGAAAATGGTTCTAAAATCATGTTGTTTATTAGGGGTTTCAAAAGTATCAGATTTATCTGTGTGATAAATATCTTTAAATTCATTGACAGTATCTTTAATATTGTTTTTCACGTTATTAAATGCCTTCTTTGAACGGAAAGCTTTCTTTTTACGTTTTTCTTTTCTAGATTGTATTCGTTCATGGTATTCCTTTTGATTACTGGCATATTCCGGGAATGGAGTAGAAGATGATTCAACATGTGAGTCAAAAAAAGTAGTGCTATTTTTCATCTCATCATTGTCAATAATCATTTCCTCAAATACATTCTTATCATCTAAGCCTGATTCCTCTACTTTACTATCATCATCATTATTCAGGCGAAATCTATCATCGAATGGGGATCCTCTAGCATAAGATTCCTTTGTATCTTCACCATAATTTCTATCAAAGGTAAAACTATCCTGTGACATGCTTCGGGAATAGTAATGAAACAATGATGCGATTCTGGCTAAAGGAACTATTTTCGTTTTAGTTAGATATTTCTCTCTCTTTCTTCTTCTATTTGTATTTATACTTTCTGATATGGTTCTTAAGACGACTATAATAAAGGGAAAAAAAAACTAAGAGAATTAAATACCTCTAAAAGAATGTTATAGTAATATTTTTATTGTTGAGGAATTGAAAATTCAGTTAATGATAACTTTAATTTTAATTTTCTTCCTACAGTTTGATTCGTTAAAGATAATACGTTTAATATAATATTGAATTATGGGATATTATTATAAGTATGTTTGTCTTTTTGCAACATAGTAGATAATCACATATAAAATTCATCCACTATTACTCTTTATTATTCATACTGAATAGCTAATTAATTGCGAATTGAAAGATCTGCTGTCAAAAAAAAAATAAAATAAAACGCTCGTATATTTAATTTTTTTTTTTTTTTTTTAAAAAAAATCGATTTAGGGCTATCTGTGTGAAAATGACGGGGAAAAAGAGTAATTACATGCATTTTTCAAATTATGAAAAGAGTCCTATCTATATATGGATTGTATATATAATGAAAGATCTGAAATACTTTCAATTTATTTACTCCATATAAGTATGTGTATTTTTATTAACCTGTTAAATAGCATCAATTTTGACACTTCTTCAACATAAGAACATACTAAATTATTGTTAGAAAGATATACATTTATGTATATATATGTATTATATCATTACAAAAAAAGTGAAAAAAAAAAAATGGATGATTAAAAAAAGAATTTACTTTCTCGATCATTACTTGAAATTTTTGTATCCAGATATAATATATATTTTCATCTTTTCATTTTTTTTCTTTTCCATACAAGATTTAATATTTATATTTGTAATTATTATGATAATATAAATATTAATTTAAACAAAAACAAATCCTGTAAGAACTATTGAAAAATTACAGAGGAAACAAAAAAAAAACAAAGAAGAACTTTTTTTCTATAATGTTAATTTTTCTTATGTGCATATAATTCGGTCCATTCACGAGCTTTATTCTTGGCACCTTGTTCGTTTTTGATCCAATCTTCAGCTACATCATTGGCTAAAGGATCATTGGGATTTGGACTAGCCAGCAAGGCTTGGATAGACAATAAAACAGTTCTAATTTGTAGAGCAGGGGACCAGTTAGTCTTCAATATGTCAAGACATATACGACCTAATCTATCGATATTTGGGTGATAAATTTTTGTTAGAAACCTTACTTTGGGTGCTTCCATTGGATATTCATCAGGTAAATATAATTCTAAATCAAATATACCATTTTCGTAAGGTGATCCTGCTGGACCTTCTATAGTCACTTGAAAATAACGTAGATTATCCTCATGTGGTGTTGCTGTAATACCTGGTACTGGATCACTTACTAATCTTTCAGTTTCCTATCAAGAAAGACACAGCTCAAATAAAAGTGAGTTTATTAAAATAGTGTTAGTAAGGTTATAATTCGATTACTCCTGGGAAATGATATTAAAATAATAATAAAAAAGTCTTACATACTTTTATAATTCTTTTAGGTAGAGATGCCATTTTGGTACGTGGATAAGACTTATGAGTGTGTGTTTATATGATATGGACAAAATTGAACAAATTAAACGACAAATGCTCCGATAGGTGATTTATTATTTAATCGTATTAACCCAGCAAATATAGTTCCGAATCAGGATAAGCTAGAGTCATATAACATACCAACTAATAAACTGTCTTTCTATCAGTTGTATTATATGCACACGCATCAAACAAAGGAATATCGACGTTTTCTCCCTTTTATCAAAATCTGCAAAAAAAGAAAATAAAAAAATAAAAAAAAGTTTTAAGACCTCCTTCAGCTTTTAAAAAGTTGAAAATCGCAGAGAAAAAAAAAAAAAAAATAGAAACAAAAATTCTTTACACACAAAGTTTAAGCCATTAAAACAAACCAGATTGATATAATGTTGTGGATAAAAGAACATTGGTATTGGAGTTTTATTAAGCTGGCATTTACAGTACAAAAAAAAACATTAGATATGAAGTTATCAATCTGTTTTTTCTTTTGTACCTTATTTATTTGTATGGAGGAGATCAACCACTACATTTTTTAAGATTGATTAAATATAGGAATTCTGTATTGATATTATTTGTTTTTCATATATAGATACATATGTTACTGTATACTTTCACTATTATTAAGATAGTAATATAGTTCGTATATATTTTGTTGTCGATATAGTATCATGACACTGGCTAAGACTTTTTCAAGAAAGATTTTTTAGAATTTTTAGTATTGTTGATTTTACTTCTAGGTCTATCAAATATATTTATCATTAATAAAAAGAGAAAGCAAAAAAAAAAAAATATTTCTTCTTTATGATACCATTTATTCCAATAAAAAGGATTGATGGTTAAAATTTCGTTTTGGAATCATTTTTTTAGGTAGATTGGTTCCGTGCAGTAGATCTTAAGAAATTTTATTGTGGTGCATTATATACTAAAAATAAATTATTTGACACCATTTAAATAAAGCAAAGATAAAAAGTATCAAAATAATGTAAATGATTGATAATTGTCCTCTGGATGAATAATATTAGTATACATGTTTTTAGCGTCGGTAATCATATTATATGTTATTATTAGGTATTATTATTATGGTAATATGTAGAGTAATTTTCCCTCGAACTCTTGATTGGGAATTAATAATTATATAAATATAAAAGAAATATATGATAAAATGTATATAACTTATTCATCCAGATTGGAAAATTAATAAGTAAAATCGCCTATTTATATATGTTTACCGTTTGGCAAATCTTCATAATATATTAATTTATTTTCATTCTGTTTGATCTTATCTCCGTAATATTGAATGTGCAAAACATACATTTTTCCTCTTTGATATATTTACATGTTACTCAAACCGGTAATATATCATTCCAGCAAATTGATACTTTAGGATATATATTTAGTAATTTAAATAAGTTTTTGTAATTAGTTGTTTATTTGGCTAGTATACTTTTCACACTTTTTTTTTTTATTTTATATTTGGTTTCGGAAATTTCTATTTGAAATGTACAAAAAATTAAGTCCTTGGAATGAAATTTAACTCAAAAGCTATTACATTTAGCACCAAATTAAAACGAATCCTATTTCTAGAATACTTTTTTTTTAAATAATTTTCAAATACAGTTTTGGAATGCTCTTTTGTATTTCTATATACAGTTCTTCTGTAATGTTTTTTATCCTTTCCAGTAAAATGCGACAATATTTGAATAACTTTTCTCTGTTCTCCCCTTTATATATATATATGTATATATACAATATAAAATATAGATGAAAATTTGAAATTATCAAGGTTAATTAAAATACAAAAAAGGTGAAATTTAAAGAAATAGAATTCTTATAAAGCTAAAATAGAAAACTTTAACACAAGTTATACATGTAAATGTACTCCCTATATTTTATCATCAAGATAAATTCCATAAAAAAAAAAACTATAGCATAACTGACCCAAAAAAGATCAGGTTCATGCAAGGAACCTAACTGGAAATCCAGTAGATACGCAATTCCGAGGGTAACACCTAAGTGTCTGGGTGGAGGATTGGTACGGCCATGTGTGCAGTGGCTCGTAGAAGGTATTGAATCTGATTGGACGATTTCCAGGGAGTGAGACTTATACCAGATCTTGCCAAGAGGCCTTTGATTATTGAGAGATATGCCAGGGGTAATCATCTTATTTAAATACATCTTAGTAATGATATTAAGAGTTGCCTCTTAATATCATACAAGAACAACAAGAAGAAATAATACAACATCAGGGTTATTAATTAGTAATATATAGAGCTTACGTAAGAGTGTTTATACTTATACTAATTGATACGATTCATCCAGTTACATACAACAACTCTTACAATTCATTCTTTTAAAATCTACAAAAAGAACATTGTAATTTAAGGTACAAAAGTACCATTTATCTTCCTCACCGTGAATTTAACTTGTCTACACACCTGTCAAATTCTAAATATAAGAGAAAAAAGTTGCAAAGGAAGGTCATGGACATGATTTAAAAACTACAAGATAGCAATATGTCTCACTTAAAACTCATTCAAATAAATACAACGAGGTACTGCAAACTGTTATAAAGATAAGAAGTCTTAAAATATGTAATATTTGAATTATTCAAAATCATAGATGAACAATAGTAATATTCTGATGACAAATGCCTTTCTCGAATCCATATAAGCTTTCGTATAGTATACTGCGTCTATTTATCTCCTTTACAATTTTCTACTATTTAAAAAGGAAAAAATATAGTGAAAAATTATCTATTTTCCTTTTTTGGAAATATTGAAAGAACCTAATAATAAAAAAAAAATTATATCTCTTTTTCTTTTTAATGAATTTTTTTTTTTTTTGCAAAGATTTATTTCTGTAAAAAGAAAAAAAATTGGAAAAAAATTTTTTCTTTTATGCGTTTTGTATAGGAAGGAAAATTTGGCAAAAGAGAAAAAAGAAATCGATGCCCATCATGTTGAAATTAAATATGATAATCCCAAATATTACGTTAACTAATTTTCATTAGTTGTTTTTTTTATATATTTTCTCACATTTGTATATTCTTTTATGTATGCCGTTTTAAGTTCACTTTTTTTTCACTACTTTTGAATGTTTTCACTACTTATCCTTTCAGCTCTCTCTCTCTCTCTCTTTCTTTTCTTTTCTTTTCTTTATTTCCATATCAAGATTCATTAATTCTAATCCTGCTTTTGTTTTCTGCTTAGATATTAAAGTGTTTTAGTACTATTGTTCCCTTTAATATTCAATTCCCTTTAATTCCATCTTTTTTCTTACTTCCTTTACGACTTTCAATCACTCTGTTGTAAATAAGTATAGCCAATCCCATTACCATATAGATATTATATTGATCTGTGTAACAGGTGTTCCTTTTACCATTCAGGAAAACAAATAGGCAAACTCCAATAGTTAAATAAAAGACTAAAACAAGATGAGTGAAAAGAACAGTCGTATTGCTATCGTTAACGGAGATAGATGTAAACCTAAGAAATGTCGTCAAGAATGTAAACGTTCCTGTCCAGTGGTTAAAACAGGTAAATTATGTATCGAAGTTACACCAACCTCAAAGATTGCTTTTATCTCTGAAGTTCTTTGTATTGGTTGTGGTATCTGTGTGAAGAAATGTCCATTTGACGCTATCACTATTATTAACTTGCCAACTAATTTAGAATCTAACACTACTCACCGTTATTCTGCTAACAGTTTCAAATTGCATAGACTACCAACCCCAAGACCTGGTCAAGTCCTTGGTTTAGTTGGTACTAACGGTATTGGTAAGTCTACTGCGTTAAAGATTTTAGCCGGTAAACAAAAACCAAATTTAGGTAGATTTGATAATCCACCTGAATGGCAAGAAATTATCAGATATTTCCGTGGTTCAGAATTACAAAATTATTTCACTAAAATGTTAGAAGATAACATCAAAGCTATTGTCAAACCACAATACGTCGATAACATCCCAAGAGCTATAAAGGGTCCAATTACCAAAGTTGGTGAAATCTTAAAGCTTAGAATGGAAAAGCCACAGGAAGACGTCAAAGAATATATTAAGATTTTACAATTAGCTCATGTACTAAATAGAGATATCACCAAATTATCTGGTGGTGAATTACAAAGATTTGCTATTGGTATGACTTGTGTACAAGAAGCTGATGTCTATATGTTCGATGAACCTTCCTCTTATTTGGATGTTAAACAACGTTTGAATGCTGCACAAATCATTAGATCTTTATTGACCCCAACTAAATACGTCATCTGTGTCGAACACGATTTGTCTGTCCTTGATTATCTATCCGATTTTGTCTGTATTTTATATGGTGTTCCATCTGTCTATGGTGTCGTTACTCTACCATCTTCTGTTAGAGAAGGTATTAATATTTTCTTAGATGGTCATATCCCAGCTGAAAATATTAGATTTAGAACTGAAGCTTTACAATTCAGATTAAACGATGCAGGTGAAGATTTAAGAGATGATGCTTCCCGTGCCTACCACTATCCAAAGATGAAACGTACTCAAGGCGATTTTGTTCTTAACGTTGATGCTGGTGATTTCTCCGATTCTGAAATCTTGGTTATGATGGGTGAAAATGGTACTGGTAAGACCACTTTAATCAAATTATTGGCTGGTGCTATCCCTGCAGATGATGGTACCGAAGTTCCAAAATTGAATGTCTCTATGAAACCACAAACTATTGCTCCAAAGTTCCCTGGTACTGTTAGACAACTTTTCTTCAAGAAGATCAGAGGTCAATTCTTGAACCCACAATTCCAAACTGATGTTGTTAAACCATTGAAAATTGACGATATCATCGATCAAGAAGTCCAACATTTATCTGGTGGTGAATTGCAAAGAGTCGCTATTGTCTTATCTCTTGGTATCTCTGCTGATATTTACTTGATCGATGAACCTTCAGCTTACTTAGATTCAGAACAACGTATTATCTGTTCCAAGGTTATTAGAAGATTCATTTTACATAATAAGAAGACTGCATTTATTGTGGAACACGATTTCATCATGGCCACCTATTTGGCCGATAAAGTTATTGTTTTCGATGGTACACCATCCAAGAATGCTCACGCAAGTTCGCCAGAATCTTTATTGACTGGTTGTAACAGATTCTTAAAGAACTTAAATGTTACTTTCAGAAGAGATCCAAACTCTTACAGACCAAGAATTAACAAGTTAGATTCCCAAATGGACAAGGAACAAAAGGCTTCTGGTAATTACTTCTTCCTAGATAACACTGGTATCTAAATCTAACAATAATAAAAAACAAAAGAAAAAATGAAAAAGAAAATAAAAATAAAAAAGGAGAAACCACATTAAACCTTAAACTTCTGTACATTATAAGAAAGATAGAAAAAAAAATAAAAACTAGTTATTGTTTGTTGTTTATTCATAATTCAGTTATACTTGTAGGGATAATTGGTAAAAATATTTTAATAAACATGTTATAGTGTTTTTCTTTCCCCAATTGTATATGATATTATATATATATGTATATTTATGATATCGATCTTTCAATATTTATTTTACCAGCAAATTATTTATCTATTTATCTATTTATTCAATAACAACAGCAACATACCAATAACCTAATAAATAGTTTGATGGGTTCAGAAATATTTCATGTTACTATAAGATCAATTTTATCACAGAATTTATATTAGATTCCCATTTTTATTTTATTTTTTTTTATTTCAATGGATGTCAATACAGTATTCTTTAAGTCGACCAAATCTAAAGAATTTTTATAAAATATTAGGATTTATATCTTGTTCCTCTTCCCCATTTTAATTCAAAAGACCCCTGATATATTTTCAAAATGTTCTATATCTTATTGTTTTTTATATCGTAATAATGATAAAACAAGCAGAAAAGGTGAATATCCGTACATAATGTTGTTAAGTGAACTCTCCCATAAACAAACTGATAAACACGCAGTAATGCTTCTACCCTTTTGTTCACTCATAATGAGAAATGATCATTACACCCACAGTTATACCAGCCAATGCACTTGTTCTGGATCATTAACCCATCCAGGTCATCCAAGCAAGAAAGACTCAGCCAACAAGTTATAGTATTGAAGAGGTTGTTAATACACAACGTGACAAAGATAAACAATTTATGACTATGACCACTGTAATTTCTTTGGGAACACTAACCGTCTCACTTAGGTTTGTTCATCCTCTTTTAGTCAGCCATCTTTCTATCTATTGATGCTTTCTGTCTACGAAACTTTTTCTTTCCTTTTCTTTTCTTTGTCTGCTTATCTCGTTTCTTTTTCTCAGCAGGGAAAAATTAAAGTCATATTCCTTTATAAATAAGTGTGCATCTCTCTCTTTTTTTTCTTTTTTCTTTTTTATTTTGGCAATATTCATAGATATAGAGATTACGTGTCGGAATTGGTAGATATGACTCAGTAATTATATGACTATCCCATAACTATCAGGTTCAACTGTTAAAGACAAAGCACTGGTGTGGACATCAGTTCTTTTGCCAGATCAATTATACATTAAAGAAATTATATTGCCTTTTTTATTTTTTATACACTTGAATATATACAGAAAATGATCTCAGATGAAGCATCTACCATTCTAGGTACCATTGCAACAGTATGTTGGTGTATTCAATTGATTCCACAGATCATATATAATTATAAGAGGAAAGATTGTACAGGTTTGCCTCCTCTTATGATGTTCCTGTGGGTCATTTCAGGGATTCCATTTGGTATATATTTCTGTATCAGTGCACCAAACATTATTTTACAAATTCAACCACATTTGTTCATGATATTTTGTGCAGTAAGTTTTGCACAGACTTTATATTATCCACCTTGTCAAATGAATAGATTGAAAATTGCAGCTATCATGTTAACCACCACCCTCATAGATGTCGGATTGGAAGTAGGGTTCATTATCTGGCTAAAGCCCTTGTATCAAAAGGGCACAAAGTGGCCTGATTTAATTTTTGGTATCAGTGCATCGATCTTACTTGCAGTGGGTCTATTACCTCCATACTTTGAATTGTTCAAAAGAAAAGGCAGAGTTGTCGGTATCAATTTCTTATTTCTATTTGTGGACTCCTTAGGCGCATGGCTATCTATTGTCAGTGTCATCGTAGGTACAATGGATGTCATGGGTATTATTCTTTATTGTATTGTAGCTGGCATGGAATTAGGTATCTTTGCATCCCATTTTATTTGGTGTTGTAGATTTAAATGGCTTAGAAAAAATAAAGAGACCGATAATGAACTATCCTCTGTAGAATATCACGAAAAAGAAAGTGGAGAAACCCCAGATAATTTAAACAGTAAAATAGAGATGAGTAAGGACGGAACCTCTCACTCTTTTCAAAGCCATACAAAGGAACTTCATCATGTAGTGACAGATCATGATACTGATAATGAAATAATAGATAATATTGAAGAGTTTGAGGTGTACAGTACCACCGTCCAAACTATCCATGGTGTTACAATGCAAAATAGCTCTATTAACACCGAAAGTATCAGAATATAGTGACTCTGGGTATATCAAATTCAGAAGATAAAGAAAAAAAGACATTGTAATTAGAATACTTCATACAATATTACTATTTTATGACAAAATTCAATTGATTTTTTTCAATAATTGTCATACTCTTATTATATCTAGACTCAGTCAGTGAATTTTTTTAATATTAAATAATTCATTATGTATATGCATATACTTATATATTCAACTTTAAAAGTATTTTTTTTTCTTTTTACCTGTTCTATAGCACTTAAAAGTATATTTCAATTATACCGTAGCATACACTTATCGTGATGGTGGTAAATAATACAAATGAAGTAACATAATGCCATGTGGGAGCTAAAGTAAATCTGCTAAAAAGCAACAACAAAGATACTGTGATTAGAACTAACGCTATAACCAAAGTAAAAATGATACTAACAATTAGAATTGTCTCATGGGACACTTCAACATTCTGACTTTTTTCCCTGAAAAGAGCAATAATAATGGAAATAGTTATACTGGTAATAATAGTAGATGCTAAAAGAGCTGCCATATATAATAATGATATAATTTCATCATGCCTCACTTCATAAGTTGATTCTGTATTATTGATTTTATTCGGTTCAAGTTGCATTAATCTTTCTAAATCATCATTGGATGCTGCAATAGAACCATACCTTTCTCTAAAACCATCTAATAATTTTTCCTTTGATTTAGAAAAAGCTAGCATACTCTGGATCCTCTGACACTTGTCATACAAATCATCAATAAACCTTTTATCAAACTTAATAAACCCAGCATCATATCGTGAATAAGATAACGATGAAGCATCATCTCCATCCACATTAATATAAAACATTTGGTTATAAAATTCAGAATTTTCATCTGCATCATCAAATTCATTCCAATATCGTACCAGTTTTCTCTTTGGATTCAATGCTTTCACTTGTGATATCTTTGATAATTCCAGGTTATTATGACTGGTGTTATTATTGTCTTTTCTTTCACTTATCGTCAAATCATTTGCATATTCCGATTGAACCTCTTTAGAGCATAATTCTACAAGTGAACTTTTTCCTAAGTTGAAAAATTCTTCCTCTGTTAGACGATGATCTTCATCAATCTTATATAAATCTTTTAGAACTAATGTAAATAAATCTTTTTTGCTCGACCTTTGCAAATAATATAATTCTAATGCTATTTTCCAAAGAGTTAACTCATTTGGTAAGGGATAACAATTCAATTTTTTATTAATTATGGTTGAATACAATTTATCCAAAAACTTTGAACTCCTCCGTTTTTGTGTACATCTTAATTCAAATATTGAATAAGGTAAAGTTAGGTTTTCGTTGATAACAATATCATTAGATATTGCTAACATATATATATTGTTCTGATGATAAGAGATAAGCCGTAACCTTTTAAAATCGATAGTGGGATTGACTGGTTTTAAGCTATGTGAGTTAATCCAATCTATAATCAACCTATTTATATGATGTTCAGTGTCACTTACATTGGAAGTTGAAAGCGTACATACTTCGTTAGTAGTTGACATAATTTTATCTATCATATTTTGATCAATACCAGTTGTAATACAATGATCTCTTATTCCACCAATATGACACATCACAGCACTATGACCAGTATTCTTGTTGGTCATAATCATATCAGGAAATTGATTTATTTGGTCTCCATTTAATATATTTTTACCCTCGGAAGTGTTCCCAGCATCTATTGAATTAAATAACAATTGATATTGGATGTCATCTTCCCTTTTAATCTTAGTATTATTATTACTAGCTTGTAAATCAGAATTATTATTTAGAGTATCAAAATCAATATTTTTTAATGGATTCACTGTCAACAATGATTGTGAACGAAACTTGGTAATATCTCTAAACGATCGTAAGGACTTAATCGAAGGTTTCAATTCAATAGATATATTTGCATTCGTAGTTCGTTGCTCTAGATTACCATCATTTGTAGAAATAATTCCGTTAGTTGTTTTATCCACAATATTTTTTGTTGTGGAAATGATATCTTCATCGAATAACTGAAAGGAATTGGTCAATAACATAAATTTAAATTCTTCTACATCTTCTTTAGATATAAGAAATCTTTGCAAATTTTCTGTTTCAGCTAGGAAAATCCTATCATAATCTACAATAGAAGATATAGGTTCTGCCTTTGTAGCTTTGATTGATGTAGATCTATCATTTTCATTTTGTTGTGAGGATTGGGCTCTATATGATGCTTCCTTAATGAAAAGATCAGTGCTATTTTTTTTAGCTGAATTCAAATCGTTATCTTTATTGTCGTTATCTGTATTAGAATCACTAGAGTTCAGCTTTGTTGTAAAATCATTAATTACATCAAATATCAGAGACAATTCCCAAAAATACGGATCCAAATCAATGTTATTGAATGAGAAATTTTCATATCCAAATTCAAACATAGGCAAGTTTTTAATATCATTAATTAATTTTTTACTTGATTCACAATCATAATTATTTGAAATCTTTTGAAATAATTGTTTAACAGCTATCCTTTGTAGAATAATATATCTTGATAACTTTTCTAATTCTCTGCTATATTTGCTTGTATGATTCTTTATTATCTTCAATTTTCTCCTTAAAATGGAACTATTTTTATCAAAAGTTTCCTGTTGATCCTGTGAGAACTTAATTATAGAGGATTCGATTGATAAAATTTTCGTGGAAATTTCTTTAATCTTTAAAGATAAAAAAATATTGACAATCTCCAATTGTTCATTAAATGTGTCAATTAATAGTTGTTTATCATCTTTATGTGATATTATAATTTGACCAATCTTATCGTAATCTATATTATTATGCTTCCATTCAGGCACAGATTTATCACGAATCAAACTACTAAAACTCATTGATCCATATAAAAGAAATGGTGAAAGGACGCCTAGCAGTATACAAAAATAGATTATCCTTATAATATAGTGCTAAACAAAAAATAAGGTAATGATAATTTGGATGAGAAAAATATTTCTAACGAATAGTCATATATGAATAACTATATATATATATATGCATGTGTGTGTGTGTATGTGTGTTTATGTATGTATGTATGTATATGTAAATGTAACGCAGTAAATAAGCATTTCGATCAGTCACTATTTGCACAATGAGTATGGAAAAATAAATCTTCAAATAAATAAATAGTGAACACAAAATAGAGTTCTATATAAGATAAATGTATATAGATTTTTTTTCATGTTATCTCTTATCTAAGGATTGCTGATAAGACCATTTCGTCCTAGTATATACTTAACTTTTATAGACTAAGAACTGTAGGTATGTTTTCAAGCCTAAGTTATATGTAATCTCAGTATTTTTTATATTTATTGACATTCTTATTCTTGCAGACAAGAAGGTGCTGCTGAAGGGCACTACCATCACGATATTTCATTTTAATTTTTGCAGTAAAACAGTATTGTTTCATTTAAATAGTGGATCAATACATTTACCAGCACAATCAAATAACTAAATACTAATACATATCTTTCATAACTGTTTATATATATCATCCTCTGCAGTAGTATTCATATACAAAAGATATTATTCATCATTTTACTTATATATATCTATAAACATATTCATTGATTGACCAAAATATTAGCTACAAATTTGATAGTAATGCAACAGCAATCAAACAACCCTGATAATCAACCAAAAAAACAGCAGTCACTTCCTCAGCAGCAACGAATAAGAAAAATTCGACAAAATGAACATATCCCCCGATATATCAAATCACAACCATGGTACTATCAATCGTTAAATTCAAATGACTATTTAATTCACCACAGACAATCACAAGATAAAAAGAAATTATTCGATATTGAGAATAATAGAGAAGCAAAAGTTGGTGGTGGAATCAATGATAAATTTGTAAAAAAGGAAGTGATTAGTATTGAGAATTACAATAAATACAACATTCAAGACACTGGACACAAATTTTGTAAGAATTGTGGACAACTGGGTCATTTAAGGAAAGATTGTCTTGAAAGACCAAGACAGATAAAGAATAAAAATGTATTAATACAAAAACACGAAATAAAAAAACAAGATAATAGAGAAGAAGGAAACAGTAAATTTTTGACAATTAGAGATGATGAAAATTTAGATTGGGATGCCAAAAAGGATCGATGGTATGGATATACAGGTGACGATTATGATAACGTTGTACATAAATGGCAAGCAAATAATAATGAAAATGCATCTAGACCAGTAGCATCAAATAAATATGATCGAGATGAGGAAATTGAATTATTCAAATTGAGATTAATAAAATATTCTAAGGGTTTAATAAGACAGCATCAGTTCAGCGAACAAGAGAGGAATTTAGGTAGAACGACAGTAAGATTGAGAGAGGATAAAGCTGTGTATTTAAATGACATTAATTCGTCTAGAATGAAATATGATCCTAAGTCTAGAGTTTACAAAACTGCAACTACAGGGTACATTGATTCGAAAACAAAGATGTTCCGTAGACATTTGACTGGTGAAGGTTTACAATTAGAACAGTTGTCTAGATTTAACCGTAGGTATGCACGTCAACAAGGAATTAACGATGCATTACAAGATAAAAGGAAAATCGAGCATGTATTAATAGCTAATCCGACTAAATATGAAAAATTGATGAGAGAAACTAAGCAACTACAGCAACAACAAAAGCAACAAGAGAATTCTACTTCCAAGGCATCAATAGATTATTCACAATTGGAAGCCCAAAAAATTAAAGGAAAAAAACAAGATTCTTTAACAAAGAAAGTATTGAAAACCATGTATGAATGACTAACACTATCAGATTTATATTAACAAAGAATATATGCTTCACTTTTGTTATCGATTATTTTTTATTTTCTTTTTTTGGTTTTTCCAATTAATTTTTAAAACAAAATGTCCAGAAAAAAAAAATATTATTAACTAAGTCTTGCTTATTTTTAAAGGCATTAAGGAAAAATTACCAGAACTTTAACGATAAGACATTAAACTTTTTTTTTTTTGTATTAGAAATTAAAAAATCATCGGTCGATGAACCAGAACAATGTGATGGAAGTAAACTTACAGTCAAATCATTAGTCGATGCAATCAATCAATATCAATGAAAGTTTCACATAACTATTTCCTAAGATATAAAGAAATTCAAAAACCATTGTTTATCGACAAATATATGGTGTATAATATGAAACGTAAAAGTTCTTCTTGAAAAACTAGTGCTCATAAACTCTTTCACTATATTAACCAGTTATAAAATATTCATCGAGTTCTTTATAGTTTTTATACAATCATCAAATATGTATACATTATTTTGGATAATAAATGTCAGAGCAATCATATTTGTTCAAATTATGAAATTCTTCGTGGTTTATATCTACACTTTTAAGATAGTTTTATTAAAAGTTGAATCGAAAGTTGAATATTATCAAACTGTAACAATGAAAATATCTGTTGATCTATGTAAATCATTAATAAATTGTGGTATCTTTAAGGTTTGATGTCCTTTGCAACTCTGAGGATATTATACTTCATTTTTTTTCTTTTTTACGAAAAATGTTTTTAAATAAACCCTATACATGTTGTTTAGGCTTTCCTTTCAAAAGTATACCAACCCTAATACATTTGTATAACAAATCATAAAAAATTAATTCCGGTTTTCATTTTTCCTACAGAAGAAAAAAAAAATAAAAAAAAAAAACATAAAAAAAAATATTTTTTTTTATTTAACTTTAATCGATGAGATAAGGTTAATCTTCTTAGAAACAGTAAGCATTTTGTTTAACTTGGTTTATTTTGATTACTTCATTAAATAAATGACTGTCGGTCCTAATCAATGTTAAATTAGGTAAATAAAAAAAAGGTCCAAAAATGGAAACTTCAACTTTTGTCAAACAACTATCGTCTGTTAATAGACCAATTAGGGAAAAAGCCCTTGAAACCTTGAGAACTTTTTTACTGTCTGATAAATTCAAACGTTCCAAACAATTGCAGTTTGACAAATTATGGAAAGGTTTATACTATGCAATGTGGTTTAGTGATAAACCAAGACCGCAACAACGTTTAGCCAATAAATTAGGAGAATTATTTATCATATATTTTGATGATAAGGACAATGAAATCGAGAAAAATAATAGTGATAAAGAGATCACTATAAATGATAAAGCGTTTATTAAGTTCAGTAAAGCATTTTGGAAAATTTTATGTATCGAATGGTTTAATATCGATCGTTATAGGTTGGATAAGTTCCTTTTATTAATTAGACGTGTCTTTTTCAACCAAATCAAGTATTTACAATTAAGGCAATGGAATAAATCATTAGTAGAAAGATACATTGAAAAAGTTCTTAAGAGTATACCTTTGAGTGGTGATAAAAAAGTTTACACTGGCCTTCCATTACATGTGATAGATATTTTTTTTGGATGAATGGGAAAGATTATACACTAATTTCAATGAGGAACTTGATACTGCAGATGAAAAAAAAGTTAGAAAATATTGCTGAATGGACCAAGAATACACCATTTAAGGATTTTTTATCTATATTCCAAGGATTGAAAGATGAAACTCTCACCCCAAAGGCGATTAGAATCAGAATTAAAGAAGACTTGTTACCAGATAATAGACTTGTAACATGGGGAGTTATGGACATAAAAAATAATGATGTAACTGATAGAGAAGGCGAAGAGAACTCAGAAGACAAAGACGAAGAAGAGTGGAACGGTTTCTGAAATAAAAGGAATAGATATATAATTATCCATTAGCATTTAATTTCATCTCTTTGCAATGCATTTGTGCGTTAGTATTTTATTCACATAAATATATATATATATATATGTGTGTATGTGTGTATGTTTATATTAAATCTATTATTTTTTAAATATATCCGTTTATTGAACCAGCAAAGTTAGAGAATTCAAAGTTTCGTCCCCATACACAAATACACATTATTTGAGCGACTATATATATAACTCTTATGCTCATTATAATTATCATATTCTTTCTCTCCATATACACTTTGGTGTGCCTTGAGGGTAACTGTTTTTTTTCTTTTTTCATCTTCGAAGATTCGCCATGTTCGAACTGAAAAGTTTTTGCCTACAGTATACAAAATTTTCGCAAAAAAAAGAATAAAAATTGAAACAAACAAACGCAAAACAGATAAAATTAATCTCTAATGTTTAATATTAATACGACTTTATTATTAGGTTTAAATTTACTTGGTATACACTACTAATACATTAAAGACTAGGCTAAAGCAATCAAATAACAGATATAGACCATATATCTATTTTTCTTCCTTTTTTCCTTTTTTTCTGATATTTTTAGTGGATTTCATATAAGTTATTAACAAGAATGGCCGGTGAAAAGGGTAATCAATCTAACAACTTTTTGGAATCTCCAGTCAAGTTTATTCAAGAAGGCAACAACTTTTTAAGTAAATGTAAGAAGCCAAACTTAAAGGAATACATGCAAATTATTAGAGCCGTTGGTGTTGGCTTTGTAGCTGTTGGTATCATTGGTTATGCTATCAAATTGATCCACATTCCAATTAGATACATTATTGTTTAAAATAATTCAATATGTTATGAAGTATAAAAGTCTCTTTTTTTTTTCCTATGCAATTATGCTTATTAATATATCTTCTACTGTCTCGACTCCTTTAGAATTAAAAAAAAATAGAATAGAAATATTTCTTTAATATTCTATATTAACTTCCATCTTCAATTACCACAAATTTTAATTAATACAAGGAATATAAGTAAGTAAATAAGGTAGAGATCTATATATTTCTTTATTTTTTTTGCATATAAGTTATTTACTAAATAAATGGGTATGCTTATGTATTATTACATATTCAAATAGATTAAACAAGTTTTTTTTCTTTCAAACTTTAGCATATATATATATATACATGTGTTGAAATCTAATTACGGTTTCTTTCAATAATATATTATATTCAGTTATATAAAAATGAAAGCTTATATATACATAAAATTACTATAATAATTTATTTGGTATCGTTACAATGAAGTATAAATAATTAGAAAAAGGCAAATGACAAAAAAGAGAAAAATAAATGAAAGGAGGAAAGAAGGATAAACTGAAAAATGTAATAAATACGAAAGATATCTGTAAGATTCATTTAGAATGTTTCACAATTGTAGCAAATCTGTATTATTTGTCAAAAATTGGTAAATGCTATAATAATTTTTGTATTGTTAACGTTGCACTCTCCTCTTGTTAGCATTAGTTTAAGAACCAGATTCAATTCTATCTCTATGAAATAGTAATATTCATGATGCTATAATTTAAAAATAATCATACCAATGTAGTAGATATAAGAAATGATAAATTGAAAAATATTCATTTTTAACAAGTTAGTTGTTAAAGTAATTACCTATAATTGATTCGTAACATTAACTTCATATTTTCTTCAATTTTTTATGTATACTGTAATATGTTGTAAACGCAATGCAAACATATTCTTCTACAAACTATAATGTCAGGGATAAAATATCAAACTATCAGAAATCAAGAATTGAAAATCAAAATATTGATAAAAATAAATTAATAAGAGATGTTCCGTTGAAATGTAACAACAAACGTCTCTTATTAACCAAAATCTGTTCATTTATTCAAAAAATAAGATGTAGATTTAAATATAGATCAATTAGAAAAAATAACTTAGACGTAAAACCCAGTATGAATGTGTTAATTAGCTTATATGGAAATATTGATGAACATAAAATTTCTGAAAAAATATCCTTGACTGAAACAGTGGACGTTGGAAAGATGATGAATTTCGATACGTTGCAGGAAAGTTTGATAGATATAGACATGATATTCAATAATTTGATATCAAAAATCGATCAATCAATGAGTTCACTTCAAATTGAGAAACCAGACTCAAATTTAGATGACTCACTCGAACCATTTGACTTAAAGCATGACCATAATACATTATCAACAATAACTACAATTAACAATTATCTGCCACAACTTAGTGGTAATAAAATTACTATTTTCTCTGATTATGATTTGGATTTTGATCAACAATTAATATCTGATTTTAGTGTATTAAGTAAGTTGATTACAATTATCTTACCACCACCAAGGTCCAGTAAAAGGCCAATCATAAAAGATAATGAGAACGCTAAAAAATTCTATTATGAGAAAATCGAATTTAAAAATTTTATTGATAAGTTAAAGCTAAAATTTACAAATGTCATTATACATGATGATAGCAGTAAACCTTGCTCTAATAATGGTAACCGAAATAATTTATCAAATTGTCTAGATAAAAAGAAAGTAAATTTTTCACAGAATATTTCACTTTGTAAAACATATACTGATAATGAATATGATCGGTCAGATCCTAATGTTACCTGTACTCTTCAAGCATTAAAAAATCCAGAATATGTTCAATCACTCAAATCAGAAATCAATGAATTTAAACACAAGGAGATGACAGTCCATGAGGGTTCAATGTTATTTACACATTTTATTTAATTACCTTTTGTATTCAAATTGCTCCCTATCTATATTATTTATGCGTGTACATGTATATTAAACCAACCTTTTATGAGGATACCCTAAATTAGGTGCTCTTTCAACACAAAAAACTAATATATACAGTTATTTTATAAAATATTTAGTCAAAGAACAACATCTTTTTTCCATTAGGCTAACATTATAATATATAAATTCTCCTTTATTTGGTTAGAAAGTCGTACTGCCTCTACATATTTGATGAAACGTAGATTTCTCTTTATTTTTTTAATTTCTGAAGTTTTTTTCATTTTTCCTTATTTCTCGAAGCAGTGCATGCTACATAATGGCTAAATTGGTAGTATAAAGCAACTACATGCAATAATTAAAACACTCAACTATGTAGTTAGTAATCTATGTGCACATGTTATTTTGGCTTAGTACTCATATAAACTATATTTATGAGCAATTTATAGTATCTCATCTGTCTAAGTCTCTTTACCCCCTTCTTTAGGCGAATCAAACAAAATGGAACAAATTAAAAACTTTTATAACACTATTTTAAAATCTTCACATCCAATATTATTAGCGATACATTTATCAGGGAAGGCTGCTCCCATATTGTTCTATATATTAGGATCAATCTTTACAAGTTTTACGGTACAATTTATCGTAATTATTTTACTCGTTTCCTTTGACTTCTACATTACAAAGAATATAAGTGGTAGACGGTTAGTCCAATTGCGTTGGTGGTATGATGCAACTAATAAATCCAATTCAAATTTTGTATTTGAATCATACAAACAATATGATCAATCTTTAGCTGTACTTAATCCAATTGATAACAAATTATTTTGGTGGTCTATGTACTTAACACCTATAATCTGGTTTATTTTCGGTATTATGTGTCTTTTAAGATTGAAATTGTTTTCCTTCATCTTGGTCATTGCTGTGACATTTTTAACAGGTTGTAATACATATGGTTTCAGATTATGTGATAGATGGGAACCAAATTCCGAAAATAATAATAATAATAATGGTTATGAAGGATTTACTACATGGTTCCAATTACCTAATATTTTAGACAATTTGTCAAATGTGGGCAGAGTTCAAACACTGTTTCAAAATTTTGGCAATAGAGGAAATAATAACAATTAATGATAATATTATTCATTTATTTTTTCAGATCGTATATTCATATATACATATATTAGATGTGTAAAATAAAAAATATATATTTAAAGATAAAAAGTAAGATAGCAATTCATATTAACATGTATACATTACTATTAAATTAACAATATCATATTGAATGAGACTATGATAATAAAAAAACATATATATGCCTTAGTGTTACATATATGCAATATTCTGTTAGTATTTATTTCATTTTACTTATATATTTATTATGCATATCAATTTTGGATTAAGAATTATCTTCTTTTGTAAATACATGGTTTTAATAGCCATTTACCTTCAGCAACCTCTTTTCTTCTTTTTTCTAACTCTTCTTTAGCTGTTTCAACTTCAATGAACTTTTGTCTTCTTTCTAGCTTTGCTTTTCTTTCATCGATAATATCTTGTGGTGGCTTAAAAAATTCAAATCTTGTAAACATTTTATTCTCATCATCAGTTTTCTTATGAAAAAACCCCATTAATTTTAGAGTATTTACAAACTCATCGCCCTTTCCATCCCCAAATCTTGATTTGATTTCAGCAATCCATAATTCACCTCTTGGGGCAAGTATTCTATAAGCTTCTTCAATGAAATCTAAGAAATTTGTACCCATTAGTGAAAGGCAAAATATAACAATAGTACATGAATTATCTGGTAAGGGGACATTCTTAATATCTGCCACTGTGATGCTTTCATTAACCTTTTTCAAGTCAAAGGAGTAGACTTTATGATTGTATTTTTTAAATGATTTTCTATTTTTGTTGAATTTTGCAAAATATTGGTCAATCTTTAATGCTAGTATTGCTTCACCACATCCCATATCAGCAATAACAATTTCCTTAGAATTTGGTAAACCTGGTAACCCACCTGGCGCATTAATTGGTCTTTTTGTCCTATCAATTATTTGTTTAGTAAAAACATCAACTGGATTTTCTGGCCATGTTGTTACTTGAGATCTAAAACCATCATGATATTCATCAAATAATTCAGGTTGTTTTTTAATAAGAGATAATGCATCTTCCGAAGAAATTGTGTAGAGCTGTTCATTAATCCATCTAAAACGGGACCCTGACAATTTAGCCATCATCTTCTGTTGTAAGGGAGTTAAGTTTTTCATGGCTAAATTTAAAGCAGGTTTACTGACTCTATTTGAACCATTCTTCTTATTGTCAACGAAAGGCTTAACTTTAGATGAAACTTCATCATCATTTCCCTCTTTCACCTCTAAGTCTTGTCTGTTTGCTACTATCTCACCTTTATCCACTTTTGCCTTCTTCTGTTTTGATTTTTGTTTCTTTTTGGTCTTATCCTTATCCATATTCTTACTTTTTATCTGCTTTTCGAACAACTGCAGTTTTTTTTTAGTGCTAGAGTCTTGAAATGCAATCTTCTTAGTCTTTAAATTCCAATCACCTGTTTTAAATAACTCCATATTGGTCTTTTTGTAAATCTGTTTTCGTCTATATTCTCTTTGTTCTTAATTAAACTCGGTATTTATCTTTTAATAGGTAATTGGTAAATACATTACGGTACTAGTTGAAGCATATCAAGATAATCACCATGTATATATATATCTTCTTTTAACTGATTTCATTTCTACTTTTAGGTAGTCTTCGAACTAAAATATGAAAATTTTCATCAGGATAAAAAAAAAATAAGAGAATAAATTCATTTGATCTTTTAGCTCATCACAAAATTATTGGACTTTTTACATCAAAGAAGATACATATCAAAAACCAATCTAAAGAGTTAAAAGAATTGAATTTAATCTAACAAAAAGATATTCACCATATACAGTATAAAAATCAACAATCTAAAAAATTCATTTAACCATCTTGTTTTTTTTATAAACAAAATAATATAAAAATATACTAATTTGTAAGTCCACATCCAGTTTTTACACAATTGTGATATATTTAGGAAATATTCACTAAATCAAATCAATTATATTGGTAATTTATGTATATGTTGTTTTCTGTAAATACCTTGCTGCTACTAGTACAGATCAATTTTGGATGAGATTTAAATATATATGTATATATACAAAAATAAATCATTATCTTTAAATTAAACATGTATTTATAATGACAAACAAATTATACCATTGTCATTAATAACCAATGTGTTTTAAATAATTTTTGTTTCAAAAATTTATTATTATTTATGGAAAAGATTGAACAGACGGGCAATCGTAAAATATAGTAATAAGTGCGATATTATTATTGCTTTCTAAGATCAAAGACTACTTAATATAATTCACTCTTTGATTAAATCTGATGCAAATTATAAGTATTGTGAAAACAAATCCTTAGATCAAAGATAAAATAATTTCCAAAAGTTATTTAATTTTCCTGATAATTCTAACCATAAGCAGGCTTTGACTGTTGAGCTCTTTAAAGAGATTAAAAAAAATGGAATAGATTTAACATTCGTTGCTAAGAATCTTGCCTATTTATCGTATTGGCTAATAATTATATTTGGACAATGTTATTACTACACCTATCATTAACTTTTCATTATTACTCATACTTATACACAATATTCGCATAGTACCTCGCTATATACATAACCATTTTATATATTCCTGTATTCGAGCAAAACTTTATTCCAAATTATTTGAATACCACTTAAAAGGTTCAATATACTCTTAAAATAATGTATTTATAACCACAATTTGAGACAGGATTCTCAAGACTAAATAAATATATATATTTAACAAATACTAATTTACTATTTAATAAAGCCTCGTTAATTTCATGGGTAATATGTGGGTTGAAAATAATTGATGAATCTTTACATTCACAATAACCTATTATTAACCGTTCACAAAAAAAAAAGTATAAAGCTCTACCATCCTGAAATATAAAGAAAATACATCAAAAGTAGAATCCATGTATAGATACTTATATTTATCACTGATACCATGATCCACAAATTTCAAAACATCACCTTAATGCCTTAATATAAGATAATATTTGTATATTATCTAAACAAGCATGTCTATAATTTAAATATATAATTCTTATTGCTATCATACATTTAAACACCAGAATAAAGCATTTTCTACGTCAGTTCCCATATTCCTGTCCTCTTTTAAACAAAATAGAATCCAAATCTCCAATACTACCACAATTGCCTATCAAATAATTTACATTTCACAAAATAAATTATTTAAGAGTTTTTCAAAATAAAATGGACTAGTGCGTACTTATGGTTTGACACATTTTGATCTAATTCAAAATACCAGGCATTGACATATGGATCATCTAATGTTAAGTTATTTAACACTATTTTAAATAAGGACAATATTGTTTCCACATCTAATCTGGGTATAATTCTTTGGAATGCATGACAAATTATTTCAAAATTTATTACATTTATTTTGATGTGTAATCTTAACCAAGTGTGACACTTCGAATCAATAAATGATAATAATTGCAAAAAAGGTTTTAAATCACAGCTATTAATATTATTAAAAAAAGATAGCAATCCTATAGCTTCATACTTCGATAATACAGTTTGAAATAATGTAGATTTAAGCAAACTGGCCGAAATTTCATTATTTTCTCTTTTTTCTTTTCTTATTTGCTTCTCACTTAATATATATTGCTCGATCATATCATTCAATCCATTAAATTTGTATAACTCAACAACTGAAATATTTTGGGCATTTGGCACTGAAAGATGATAGTTGTAAAGTGTGGATAGAAAACTGAAATTTATCATCTTCATGGTAATTCTATTATTACTGTTATATCTATTAATACCAATATTATTTTTATAATTGGTTTTACTGTGCTTAACATTATTATTACTATTATTTTTATTATCAACTTTAGAAAACTCAATAAAATCCTCTGTGGAAATATTAATGAAGGAAATATTTCTATTATTTGATTCGTATACATTCTGTCCAAATTTATCTAATTCAGGTATTAAAAAAATATCGGTTGATGAAGATACATCTTGTGGTTCTAAATATGGCGATAAAATTTCCAAATTTTTTTTAATAATATTATTATTCAAACTTTCAATAAAAATATGTTGTTGCAAATTACCGCTATTATTACTATGTATGTTATCACCGCCATTTTTATTATTATTATTTTCATTTGTAATTGAGGTTTTTCCAATAATCCAAATATAATTTTGAAAACATAATTTATCATTGATTGCTAACTTCCAAAACTGAATCTGATCCAATAAATCAAAATTATAATTTACAATTTTATCGATTCGAATAGTTTCATTAAAAAAATCAACATTTGACACTTCGATATAAATATTTCTTAAATTCTGTAAATTTCTATTAATAATTGACTCAAGTAAATTTCTATTTATAATAAATTTGGGTAAGCATAATTCCTGTTTGTTATTCTTAGTATCATTAAATGAATTATCATCGATTCTAAAAGCAACGTATTCTATATTATGAAAATAGTTAAATCGATAAGATATGATATTCCCACATATAAAAAATTTGTTAATTGGACTATTATTCCAAAATAAGAAATTTTTATTAAACTTATAATACAAGTTATTGGCCTTGAAAATTTCGAAAGAATATGACCAAATTTTTTGTATATCAATCAATAAACAATGTGGTTTATAGTTATATAGTTTATTTTGTGTAAATAATAATGGAATGTAAAGATTCCAATTATGAGTTCTGTCATAATAAATTACATTTTGTTGTGAATCCATTTGATAGAAAATAATACAATAAATACGGTATATTCTTTACTTTTCGTTTTTTCTTTTTCTTTTTTTTTTTTTTAAAAAAATGATATAACGAATACAGGATAGTTTATAATAGCTTATAGTTTGCAATTCTCTTTCTCTCTTATTTTCTTTGTCTATCTTTCTTTTGTTATTTCTAAATCACATGACTTAATTTTTTTTGATGAGTATAGCAAAATTAAACTATATGATTCTGATCAAATTTTTCTTTTTTTAGAATTATCAAATATCCATAATCAACAGTTAATTTATTATCCAAGTTCTTGTAAAAATGTTTTTTCAAGTATTCTGTAAACAGTATTATTACAATAATCACAATGACAATAATAGTAGTAATAACAATAATTAAAATAATAAAAAAAAAGTCAAAAGTATTAAAAATACACAAATTTTTTTAAAAATACCAAAAAAAGAAGTATTACCCGGAATTAATGGTTATGGATCTGAAACAATAGTGTCGTTGCTCATTGTGTATTTCATGCACGTGGCTTTTTTTGGAACTCCTGTTTAAGTAAAAAAGAAACGTAAAGCAAAACATTCTCTTTGGGAAATACATTCCATATTTAGAAAATCTTATCATAAGAACAAGAATTTTCGAATAGAAAAGATAATTTGAATCTTCTGTAAGAGTTCAGTCCACTCACCATGTGTTCTGTATATCTTCTTTCATTTTAATCTTTTTATCAAAATAACAAAAAAACAAGGGTGTTGTTCTCAATTACCTGATTTATTTGCCACATACTTTAGACTAATTAACACTTAAAAGAAAGAGAAAGCTAAGAATTTGAAATATGAACAGGAAAAACATTTGTTTTTAATACTCTTCATACTATGTATATGCTAATATGTCGAAACATGTATGATGCTGAATTGTTCATTTGAATTTCCTCATACCCTCAAAATGTAACATAAATACTGATCAGACACAATTGCTTCTCACTATTTTCAAAAAAATAACATGTAGTTGTTTTACCAATAGGATGTTCTGTAAAAATACAAAAAAAAGAGGATAACATATGGCACAGGGAGAAAGATACAAGTGATAAAATCGTTTTGCAGGTTTCATCAAACTAATTAAATATTGACTAGTTTAATAAACTCTGTAAATTGTTTCAATATCAACGGAATGGGAAAAAAAAGGAAAAGATGCGAAGCAAATAGTAAGCAAGCCGTCTGTAACAACATAGTGTGTATCTGAATGTTACCTTTTTTAAAAAAAAGTTAACAGCCGATTTCGTTAAATATATCATATAATGTATAGGATAGTTTTATGTAGTCCAGTAATAAGTAAAATAAAATATTGTTGGTACAGAAGTAGTAAAACAGTAATGCGAAAAAATAAGGGAAAAACAAAAAAAAAAATAAGATTTTTACAGATCTTCTATCGCATTCCCTTTTTTTTCCCTTCCCCCCTTTTTTTTTCTTTTTTACGAAATTATAATTTTCCGTAGTAAAAACAAGCCCGATTGTAATCCACTTTAGGAAATAAAAAAAGACTTTATCGTAATTCATGATGATCTTTTTGTTCTTTTTAGTTTTTCTCCTCAGTTGTTTTAACCCTGAGGTATAATTTAACTCCCCTCCCTTTTCCCTCATTTTATTTACAAATATATTATATGAGATATTAGCCCTAATAAAAAAACGTGGATGAAAAAGACTATATACATTTTTACAACTAAACAATGTGCTAAAATAGGATCAGTTGTAATATCGTAATCATACTTTTATCAACAATTTTAAAACTGAATATTAAAACTAGATGCTTTCTTGTTTTTTTTAAAACCTGGTATTACTATTAAGACGGATGAGAAAAAAGTTTTTTAGTGTAGTTTTGATAATAAAAAAATGTAAAATTTTTCCAGATAAAAGATATTTGTCCAAATGAAAGCGGTTTAGTAATTGATTTGTAAAGGAATATCTCCATTTTGCTGTTTCCTATTGTCCTGCCTTAATGGCTCCTCTTTTGATCATCAAAATGTGATTTTTTTTCCTTTTGGACATCTCCAAAAAAAAATTGCCAAAACAATAGCACTATTGTGTACTATTGAAAATAATAAACAATACATCGCGCAAAATTTTTCTTTTAGGAATTTATAAACTGTCTCGAGAGATCTTGCTTATGCAGAAAAAGGATTACATTTAACATTTCTTTAAGGATAAACAATCATAATGGAGACACCTTTGTTTCTGTCAAAGTTCACTGTATTTTTCACTTTTGGGTTCTTGAGAATATTTTTTAACACATTCATTCTTTTCTGTTACTTATTTCTTGGTATTATTTTAATATGGTTACTTTGTTTACATCACTTTAAACCTCTTCTGTCAAGTGGCAAACTACATCAAGGTGACATAAATACGTACATACATACACATACACATAGACACAGACACGGACACAGACACAGACGCATATATAAATACAAATATATATATATATATATATATATATTAATTAATTAATTTATTGTATCCCAATAGTTGTTTTTTACGTTTTCTCAATAAATTAATGCGCTTCCCCCAAGAACTTCAAAACCCACATCAAGGACAGCAGGCTGCTCCACCCCTTCCACCAGATATTCCCAATTTAACTACCAATTATCAGCATGATATATTGTACTACTCACAACATCAGTTACAAAATCAACCTACTCTTTCGCAAGCTCATTTGAATCAATATCTTGATACTACAAGATACATCGATACCAATACTACTTCTACTTCTACGGATAATAATTCGAATAACAGCAGCATAAGTAGTGGGAAAAACAAGAATAACAATCCAAGTAATATTCTCAAAAATGATATGGTTTCCCTTAATAATATTATTAAAGAAACAGGAAATTCATTTGTAAGTGAATCGTTAATGAATAATCCATTATTAAGCAAAAATAACCAAGCTATACTATCACACATAAATTTGAATCAATTGCCCGCAAATCCCGATAGCATACATGGCAGTGATCAAATACCACAGGTATCTATATCACAAATAAATTCTACGACAAGTCGTAAAAGTAAAAATACTAACAATAATTGTGATTCTAATGGTCCAAAGAACAGTAATATTACACATATAAACAATAATAACACCGCAAGTACTGCATCAAGTATTTCTAATTCAACTTTATCACATTTACATTCTGGTAATCATGATAAAATAAATACGTGTAACAATAGCAATACATCTAATTCATCCAATGCCTCTAATATATCGTCAACTAATACAAATGTAGATAGCTCCAATCTCTCAACAACAACAATACCGAATGGTGAATTAGTAAAGCCTCCACAAATGAACAATCCTGAAATTAAGAAAGAATATAATATGCGTGAAATTCCCCAACATACAAAAAGTATGTATTATAATTTGATGAATAACAATCCTCATGTTATCAATGACCCTTCCATTCAGGAGTCTTTATCTCCATATTTTCAACCATTCGGCGTTGATGTATCACATTTGCCAATGACAAACCCACCCATATTTCAAACTTCTCTACCTTTATACGATGAGCCTGTTGGAAGAAGGAGAATTTCAATTTCCAATGGTCAAATTTCTCAATTGGGTGAAGATATTGAAACTGTAGAGAATTTATATAACACACAACCTCCACCAATGCCTTCAAAGGGTAGCATTAGTTCATCACATCCTGTGATAGATGATACTGTAAGGAAACAACAAATTTCAGTGCAAGTAGCCCGAGCTATTCATAAAGATATGTTAAAATCTTCTCCATCAAACATTACTCCCAGAAATGAACTATCACACCCATCTACACAAACACAACCTCCTGTTCAAATCCAATCTGGACCTCAACAGGAAGGATGGTCACAAAATGCATCACCAGGCAATTTCGTCCCTCCAAATACAATGCAATCACAATATGCATTACTTGTTGGACAAGAACAATCCATACCTCCACATAACCAACTTAATGACATCAATCCTATGACGAATCCTTCATTAATGGTACATCAGCAGTTACCTTTAAGCTTCAATCAACAAAATTTACCGTTACAAACACAACCTCATATAAATCAACAGCATGCAACTTTATCACAACGTAATATTTCTAATATGGTAAATAACAGTATTAATAGTAATGCCAAAACAATGACACCTAGTCCCTATATGAAACAAGAAACTATTTCACCAAATACTATTCCAGACAATTCTATTGGGAAGTCACCACCTCCAAATGATGTAAAATTTCCTGGCACTGAAGCTTGGAAAAGGGCACGTCTATTAGAAAGAAATAGAATTGCTGCTTCAAAATGTCGACAAAGGAAAAAAATTGCACAATTACAATTACAGAAGGATTTTGATAATCTTTCAAGGGAAAATATTGTTATAAAGAAAAAGTTAAAATATTACGAAAAGCTTATAACTAAATTTAGAAAATTCACTGAATCACATTTCCAAAACTGCCATAAATCAGATGGATTAAATGATTTAAAAATGATTGAGGATATGTTAATGATTGACCAAGATATCCATGAGCTTGATGACAATAATTCTGTGATCGGGTTAACTGATGCTTCTTATATGAAATAATTAATATCCATTGTTATTTTTTGTTTGTTTTGTTCTATGATGTTTTTTTTTTTCAAGCGTTGTTTCCCATTCTTTTTTTAAAATAAAAATATATAGATAAATCACAATTTCATATACTTTTATAGCATAAGAATACATAAATTCTTTTCAAATTAATCATTGATTCTAATTATAGTCAATAAAAAAAACCGTCACCTTATAAATAAGATTGAAAAAATGAAATCCCTTGGAGAAATTAACAATTAAAAAAAGGTCAAACAAGAAAACAATATCTTCTATTTTCCCAATAAATTTCATATTTTTTTTGATCAAACTGTTATCTTTAGGGCCTTGTCAAACAAGAATTAAATATACCTTAATTTTAATAGGTCGTAACAAAATTTTAAAAACTTCTCTTTACAAGTACATTTTGCAAGGTTTTTATATGAAAAACTTTGATAGAACTTTGCTAATGGCAGTGTATTTCCCCAAACCCTAAACCTATATATGCTCCTTATTCTTTTCTTTGTCTTTTATTAATTAAAATACAAAGTCAGTATTTCTTACAAAGGTATATATAAATATATAAACACATATTTCTTACATATTTATGACTAAAAGGTCTAAATTTTTTTATTTATCACACACATTAATTCATTCTTTCATCATTGTCATTAGCATTTTCAACCGTCTCTATTTTATGTAATTGTTTTTCTTGTTCTGCAATTGGAGCGAACCATGGGTGACCCATAGCCTCCTTAGCTGTTAATCTTTCTTGGTGGTCATATCTCAACAAATTATCAATTAAATCAATAATTTCTTCATTATCGGAAAGATGCCTATTATTTTCATTAATAAATCTATACCATGGTTTTCTAATATAATGATCCATATCATGAAATTCCCTTGGTAGTACAATTTCATACTTATTTAAATATTTTTCAAAATCTTCACTACCTAACACTCTCACAATTTTAACCAATTGATCCGTGTTACTGTTACCATGGAAGAATGGCTCTTTTTGAAATATCATAGAAGCTAACATAGTACCAAACGACCACATATCTAAAGAGTAATCATACATTCTATAATCAACTAGTAACTCAGGACCTTTAAAAAATCTTGATGCTACTCTCACATTATATTCCATATTAACATGATAAAATTCTGCTAAGCCCCAATCAATTAATCTTAATTTTCTTTGTTTATGGTCAATCATCACATTATGTGGTTTAACATCACGATGCATAATCCCCATCGAATGACAATAATCCAACGCCTTTAATAATTCAAACATATAGTATCTCATGTCCATAGCAGTCAATTTAGGATAAAGTACTCTAAAATCATAATTATTAATATATTCAAAGACTAATGCAGGTGTACGTGAAACAGGATCCTTGACTATATCTAATAATTGGATGATATTTTCATGGCCATTATGTGGTAAATCATAAATATATGGTCTTATCTGTTTTATGGCATATTCCTTTCTATTTGTGTAATAATTATCTTTATTAAAAGCTAAAGTTGTTGGTGGTATTGCTTCGTTTGACAAATTACTTAAAATTTTAATTTCTCTCTTAATCTTTTTTTTCTTAACTGGTTTCAGCATTTTTATAACAATTTTACTTCCAGTTTTCATCTGAACACCTTGAAACACTTCAGAATATTTACCCCGCCCTACTTTAGTCTCAATTTCATAGTCCTTTAAATTGTCAGTGGACCATTCAATAATAGTATTTTCATAATCCCAATATTCTTGATCTCTTTGCTTGTTTACATTTGTGTAAACTCTAGATTCTGACCAAATTCTACTTTTCATGGTGTCGATGGAAACATAAATCTGAAAAAAAAAATAGTAGTGTTTCCTTGGTTTAGCTCAGTTGTGTTCTAAGATTGATTTATTATGTCTTCCTACAATTGCAACTAATGGGAGGGAAAGAATAATATGAAGTTCAGGAAACTAAGGAAGTGGGATAAAAATAGTAGACTTGATAGTAGTTAATTATTATTTGTAAATATAAATATGAGTTATGATATTTCAATTAACGCCGTTCAGCTCTCGAAGTCGACTGAGTAAACCTCTCTATTTCCATTGAACCATTCACATCAACTTTAATATATTTTTTTCCCTATTTGCATTCAAGAAAATATAAAAATTTTTTTTTTCTTTCTCTGTCTCTTTTTGCCTTTACTTCGAAGAAAAAGAGCGGAAAATGGCGGAAAAAAAGAACAATATACCAAGATAAAGCCTTGTAAACCCGTAAAACGGAATTGGCAAAATCCTCCAAGAATTTTTGAACAATTCCTTAACAATATAATGTGTATATTATACTCTTTTATAGTGCCAGTTAATATTATACTGGTTAAACGTACAAATGTGCGTACATTTGCATATGTGAATATATTCAACAAATAAAAGAGAAAAAGAATCAATAAATTCAATTCTATAGATTCAATTGTTCTAAAAGTTTTTTCTTACGCCGTTCTACTAACCACGATTCCAATTCCTCTTGAGTGGTAACATTTTGGGCTAAAGTAAAAGTTGATGTCTTACCTATACTTTCTAATCCATTAGGTACATGGTTAATATCCTTTATTATGGGTGTCCAATATCTTTCAAATTTTTCCAATTGTGGTATCAGTTGTGTTGACGTCTTCAAATATTTTTTGTTATTCCAATTAATCTTTTTAACATCGATCCACCTTTCCAACTGAAGTCTTTTCTTTGATTGTTTATCTAAATGATCTTTAATTTCAGGTAATTCTATAGCTCTTCCGTAGTACCATTTACCCAGAATTAATTTCCCATTTTTCAATTGTGTATACAGTCTTAGATTATCACCAGAAGTTCTTCCATGCAAATTATTCTTTATATGCCAATCCCACATCTTTAATTGTTTAACCCATGTATTCAACTGTTCATTATATTCTTGTAATTTATCTTGCCCCAAGAGTGGATCGAACATTTTGTTATGACGATCAATAATATCCTGAATCAAACTTCTTCTCCATTGTAATGCTACATTTAATATTTTAACATTTGATATTTGTCTATGAGTATGTGGCCTCTTTTTATTATTTTTTTTTGTTTTCACATCATTAAAATTTTGTTCCATCTTGATATATTGCTTGAATTTATAGAAAGTTAATCTAATATTTTAGCAAATGCATTTATCTCTATATATATCTATACATGCATATATGCTGTTCTATAGGTGTCTTTCTTCTTCTTCTTCTTCTTCTTCTTTTTTTATTTTTTTTCATCTGATATATGCTATTTTTATTAATTTAACTATTATTTTCTTTCTATAATATTCTGGATTTAAATTTGCATGGGCTATCTTCTTTTTCTTTTTCTTTTTCCTTTATAATAGTAACATAAATCTTTATACTGCTAAAAGGAAACCCAGAGAGGAGCAAAAACAGAAGATTGATAGAAAATACAATACAGCAAAAATACAATCAGGAGATACCAACAATATTCCAAGATACAAGACACCTCCCTAGATGATATGATTATTTCTAATATTTGATAAATAAAAAGAACAACAACAACAACACTATATTGGTGATTAACATGACAAAAACTACCAATAAATTAAACTAAATCTATACATGATTATGACTATTACATTATATTATGTCTTTCAAAATGCATCTACCCTTATGAACTAGAAAATAACTAATCTTGAACCATTTCAATTTTTGTTTGGATCAAAATCCGCCGGAATGTGTGGCTGCTGTTCATCACTGACCTCTGTTTCAACCACATCACTATCGTCACCATTGTCAGACCAATCAACCACAATCTTATCTCGATGATTATTGCCTAAGACTGTATAATCTATGTTCAATAATATGGAATCACGTTCTTGTTCCCATTCATCTCTCATGTCTTCAAACCCAATGTCCCAAATACGGTCATAGAATTCTTTAATCTTATTTTCTTGTATTTTTCTCTTTTCTTCTTCAGCCATCCATGCCATATGTTTCAAATCTTCTGTTGAAGGTTCATAGATATGCCAGATCACATAATGGGGTAATCCTACAACATCATATCCCATTCTTCTTGACAATTTGCCAAAGGCTTCTGTTTCCGCATGTTTTTCAAAAGAAAATGCTGGGAAGTGTGATCCACTTCTAAATACCTTAGCCTTTGACAAAATAGAAACACCACCAATTCCATCAAGATGCATTTCCACTTCAGGATCGCCATTAGGGTCTCTCATATAAGCCAAATGTGGTCTCCAAGTGGCAAACTCTGGATAACCTTCCACGATCACTGCATCTTCATCCAAGACATCTGCCAGTTCTAAACCCGCATCAGATTCTTGCCATGAATTTAAGTCATATGGTTGAATATTTCCTAACCAATCTGGTAAGGGTCTCCAAACATTAGGGACTATAATATCTTTATCATGATGCATCAAATCCTCCATAATAGTTTTCGGAATAGTTTCCACGTCTACATCCCTCCAGTAAACCCAAGAGTGATAAGGTTTGATAGCAACAGAACCCAACCAATTACGTGCTCTTGCCATCAATTTACGACGAGGCCCTTGTGCGGCAAACCCGTGTCTATCACTAAATGATTGACCTATAATTTGACCAAAATCTTTTTCAAAAATTTCAATATTACCGAATCTTAAAAATTTATTCTCTTGTGATTGTATTTGTTGTAAATGTGTTAAAAGAACATTCATGGTGTCATCACTTGAATCTGATACTAAAAATGATAGATCAATAAGATTGTGTGGATATGTCATTTCACTTAAATGTTTAAAAAATCTTGGTAAATGTTCAGCTGCATCTCTTAGTGGAACACAAAACAGTATTCTATCTTTACGTTGCCAACCATTTGCATGACCAACATAGTTACTTAAATCATAAAATTCTACACCAGGAATATTATTAAAATTTGGAACATATCGTTTATTTGATTGATGGAAAATAATATTCTTTAATAGGCCATATATTAGTCCCCATGGAGTCAGCATGGACATACCGTATAACCAAATAAGGAGTCCCCATAAAATAACTATAACAATACCAATGAATACCCAGTAGAAGGGTCCTAATTTATTCCTTACTCTATAATTGATTCCAAACATTATATAGGTATTTTGCTTAAATGGGTTGGGTAAACACCAAAGTAGTAAAAAGTCGATAGACGGGTCCAACACTCTTGTTGTTGGTTATCGAATGACGTTAAACGTGTGACTCAACAGCAGTACAATGCTACTTAGCACTCTCCTTCTTCCACCTCCTCCTCCCAAGTAATAATAGTGGACAAACTTGGATCGAGAGTTCCAATCACAACATTAAAATACTATAATGCAGACAAACTATGCCTTTTTGCAGTCAAAAAATAAAAAAACAAAGCAGAACAAAAACAAAAAAAAAAATTAAAGAAATTCTCTAAAATTACAGTCAGAAACCCTAAAACAAAAAACCAGGGCATTTTACCGTTTCAAATGATATTAATGGCACCACCACTTGTTTTTTTTTTTATTTTTTCTGTCTTATGAAAAACAGAAAAAATAAAAAAAAAAATAAAAGGCAAAGCCATAAACATGTAATCTTGTAAAAAGAACTACACATGCTTTCAGATCTGATTCTGAACTTTTACTGCAATTAAACTGATTTTCGATTCTTATATAGATTTGTCTTTTTATAATCCTATTTTACTAAATCCCTTTTGAATTGTTTATTGAAAGAACAAGAAAACAAAAAGAAAGACACAAGATACACATAATCAACAATAACCTATAGTAAATAATGTCTGACGAAGAACACAATTTCGAATCTGCTGATGCCGGTGCTTCTGCTACCTACCCAATGCAATGTTCTGCTCTAAGAAAGAATGGTTTCGTTGTTATTAAGGGTAGACCATGTAAGATTGTTGATATGTCTACTTCTAAGACTGGTAAGCACGGTCACGCTAAAGTCCACTTAGTTGCTTTAGACATTTTCACTGGTAAAAAATTAGAAGATTTATCCCCATCTACTCACAACATGGAAGTCCCTGTTGTTAAGAGAACTGAATATCAATTATTAGATATTGATGATGGTTACTTATCTTTAATGACCAACGATGGTGAAACCAAGGACGATGTTAAAGCTCCAGAAGGTGAATTAGGTGAACAATTACAAACTGCTTTCGATGAAGGGAAAGACTTAATGGTTACCATCATTACTGCCATGGGTGAAGAAGCCGCTATTTCTTTCAAGGAAGCTGCTGGTAACTAAAATAACAAAAGACAAGAAGATGGTTTAACTAAAAAAAAAAAGAAATATTGAAAATAGATTTTTATTTAACCATTTTGTTTTATATATATCTGATCTTTATTGTTCTTATAATTATTTGATCTTTACTAGTCATTGAATTATGTATAAATAATGCATGTTTTCATAAATGTAAAAGTATAAATAAATAAATATATTTATATATATAGTGTATATTTATATATTTTATATCTCCACATTGATATAAAAATTGACATGCTTAATTTTTACAAAGGCTTTTCCCACCTATAAACTTTCAAACCATCAGTTGTGTTTAACAGCTTGATATCTGACCGTTGCTCAACCAGCCTGTCTAATATTGTCTCAGCTTCCTTAAGCCCGATTGGATTGTTACCATCATATAAGGAATCTACAATCATGGTAGTTAACATGGTTACTGTATAAGGTTCTGCAACATGTAAACTTTTCAAAATATTTAATACTTGTCTTGTCTTGGTCGTTAAGAATTTGTCATAGATCTTGTCTTGTTTATCTCTTTCCCATAAAGCGGAATTTTCTTTCATCTTAATCCTTTGTAAAAGATTTTCCTGTGTATCGAATGGTTTTTCCTTAAATTTAAAATAGCTTAACTTAGAATCATGAGTATTATTATTATTATTGTTCATACTATTATTCAAATATTTTCCCTTTTTAAAAGGAACAGCCAGTTTCCGCTGCATTAAAGGATTCGTAGTGGTATCCTGAACTGGTATTTGTCTTTTACGTAATTGGAAGACGGGTATTTCAGCTATAATATTACCAGTATCATCTGAATCATGATCTTCCAACCATTTCATTGCATTCTTATAAAAAGTCAACTTTCTGGATTCATTAACCATAGAAATTAGATTGTTTCGTTTAGGGACCACAATGACCAAATCATCTTCATCAACAAGACTATAATCCAATTCATAACAGTGAGGCCATAGTGTCATCATTTTTAAGAAAGTTTGAATAGTAATCTTATTACCTTGTACCATTCTGTTGAGCTGTGGCAATATATATTTTGTTATAGAAGGGTTTCCCTCGCCATTTACAGGTTTTTGAATGGAATAGAGAGATAGGATAGTCTCGCAAGAATTGAAAAGTTTGATCAGGTCCTTGACTTCTTTACTTAGTTTTAATTTATTTGCTTCCCTTACATAGAATTTTGAACCGATGTATGGATACTGCTGTATCTGTTCTTGAATAAAATCTTTCATTGCAATTGGATCACTGAAAGGTTTGTATGTGGTCAGATAAATTGGACACAGTCCGGGATTAATCTGAATTGGGGTAGTTGTATGTAAGCCGTTAGACAACTTTTGAAGAGAGGCTGCAGTATGTACCAAGAGACAGTCAGGTTCGTTTATGGTTATCCAGACGTTGTCCTCAACACTTGAAGTTGCAGGTTTAATTTTGATGCCTGTGGCGAGAGGGAACATAAGTAAGAGTCCAGAAGAATTGACTGAAATCCAATCGTAGCTATTATTGTTATCAATGATATCATCTATGTAATATTGATCATTATTGGAATCAGTACTGCCGACATAACGGGTTAACATTGAAGATAGTTCGATATCTACATCAGCAGGGTTCTTGTCAAAACAATGTATTGCAACCTCAGTGAAAAATTGTCCAATAGACCAAAGGTGATTCATAATACGTTGACAATTAACATTTTTGGGAACGGATGGATTTATATTTGAATCATTGACATACTGCTCCACCCAAAGACTTGGATTATTGTCAGAGTCGGTATCATTTGATTCATTATCCTTATATATTGGGATAAGACCAGTGAAATCATTATTATCAAATGGTTTCAAACCGTTGGTAATTTGATTAGATGATTTTAAGTTATTTATTAGTCTTTGCAAAGACTTGAAGTTGGCATAGTTTTTCAATAAAAAGGTGTCATAATTCGATAAGATTTGTTTAACTATCGGTAACAGTTCAGTTTCACCTGAAATCTGATCTAAATCAATAATTGGTAGCATTTGTCAAGGAGGGGAATAAATAAGTCTTTCCTTATTGAGCCAAGTGAAGTTCAAAAGAAGAAGAGAGAGAAAAGAAAGAAAAAAAAAATAAAAATGAAAATAAAAAGACAAGAACAAGTATGAGAGTTTTCCATTTGCTTATTTGTTTATTTATTTATTTAGTCATCTAGTCATTCAGTCAATTAATGCATTTTACGGGAGTAGAGTGACAGAAGATTAGATTAAAACAAGACAAGTTAATGTAATTAATATCTGTTAGAAAAATTTGTTCGTGTAATCAAGTGAATTTGCAGGGCATCGAAGATCTATCTTCTCTTGTGAGAAAATAAAGAAAACGAAAAAAAATATGGAAACAAAGTAAACAAAATAAACAAAAGATGTACTTAATTGAACATAAAATCCAAACATCCAAACACCTCTCCATATGTCACTACAAACGAAATAGTCCAAGACAGATTGAGTCACGATATCAAAGATCATCACCGACGGAAAAATGGGAAAACCACAGGAAAAATCAGCAGAATGAAAAAACAAAAAAGCAAAACAAACAAAACAAACAAAACCAAAATCCGTCGTCCATCCATACACCACACTGCTAATCTTTCACACAATCTCTTATTTTTCTTTATACTTCTTTTCTTTTGGTGGAAGATAATAGAATGGAAAAGAATCTTGCAGAAAGAAAAAGAAAAAGAAAAAGAAATAAAATAAAAAAAAGGGGGGGAGGGGAATAGGAGGACGAGAGGGGTGAAAGGAAAAAAGAAAAGTTGTCTTTTTTCCTTTTTTTTCTTTTTTTTTTTTTCTTTTTTTTTAATTTTGCTTCTGTGGAACAATTTTGTGGAGGCAAGAATGAAATGGAGTTGAATTTTGGATTTTGGATTTGGAAGGTTAAAGTTTCGATTTTTATTTTCTTTGTGGAAAAACAAAAAGGAGGAAGTATATAAAGAGAAGAGAGAAGGAAGAATATGTCCCGCATGCTGGCGCCGTTCTCCGTACTTCTCGCTATTGCTCGAACGCACGTACTGCATACACATATACTCCCCTCTTCTCTTCAGCTGGATCGATTGTTCACTAGTATCACTTGCAGATAAATCCACCTTATCTTCTTATAAACTACTCGCCCGTTTCTATTCTTCCTCAGAATAAAAGAAAGAGAGAAAGAAAGAAAAAAAAAACATTATAAACAGACAAACTCGTGTATATAAAACCCTTTTAATACCCAGTCGCATTCGATATCACATTTTTTTTGTACATATTAATAACATCTTTGTTTTTTGCTTTCTTCCTTTATCTGTAACATCAGTATCGATCGTTTTATTTTGTTGTTTTTCCTTTTTTTTTTAAAAAGAATAAATAAATAAATAAATATTATTATAATATAGAAGATTTTTCTCATCATGTTATCCCTATTAGCTAAAAACAAGAATTCTGCTAGGCCATTATTTAACTCTTTATCCAGCACTGCTGCTCGTTTGCAATCCACTAAAGTTCAAGGTGCAGTTATTGGTATCGATTTGGGTACTACTAACTCTGCGGTGGCCGTCATGGAAGGTAAGATTCCACGTATTATTGAAAACGCCGAAGGTGCCCGTACTACACCATCGGTCGTCGCTTTCACTAAAGAAGGCGAAAGATTGGTCGGTATTCCAGCTAAGAGACAAGCAGTTGTTAACCCAGAAAATACTTTATTTGCCACAAAGAGATTAATTGGTCGTCGTTGGGAGGACGCTGAAGTCCAACGTGATATCAAACAAGTCCCTTACAAAATTGTCAAGCACTCTAATGGTGATGCCTGGGTCGAAGCTAGAGGTCAATCTTATTCCCCAGCTCAAATCGGTGGGTTTATTTTAAATAAAATGAAGGAAACTGCAGAATCTTATCTAGGTAAGTCAGTTAAAAATGCAGTTGTCACTGTGCCAGCCTATTTCAACGACTCCCAAAGACAAGCCACAAAGGATGCTGGTCAAATCGTCGGTTTAAACGTTTTGCGTGTTGTCAATGAACCAACTGCTGCCGCTTTGGCCTATGGTTTAGAGAAAGCTGACTCTAAGGTCGTTGCTGTCTTCGATTTAGGTGGTGGTACTTTCGATATTTCCATCTTAGATATCGATAATGGTGTCTTTGAAGTTAAATCTACCAATGGTGACACCCACCTTGGTGGTGAAGATTTCGATATTGTCTTGTTAAGAGAAATCGTTAAGAAATTCAAAGCTGAATCTGGCATTGATTTAGAAAACGATCGTATGGCTATTCAAAGAATCAGAGAAGCCGCTGAAAAGGCTAAGATTGAATTATCTTCCACCGTTTCCACTGAAATTAACTTACCTTTCATCACTGCTGATGCTTCTGGTCCAAAACATATTAACTTGAAATACACCAGAGCTCAATTTGAGACTCTTACTGAACCATTAATCAAGAGAACTATTGAACCCGTTAAAAAGGCTTTGAAAGATGCTAACTTATCTACCTCCGACATCTCTGACGTTCTTTTAGTCGGTGGTATGTCTAGAATGCCAAAGGTCGTTGAAACTGTTAAGAGTTTATTCGGTAAAGAACCATCCAAGGCTGTCAACCCAGATGAAGCCGTTGCCATTGGTGCTGCTATTCAAGGTGCTGTTCTTTCTGGTGAAGTCACTGATGTTTTGTTGTTAGATGTCACTCCATTATCTCTTGGTATTGAGACTCTTGGTGGTGTCTTTACCAGATTAATTCCAAGAAACACTACCATCCCAACCAAGAAGTCTCAAATCTTCTCCACTGCCGCTGCTGGTCAAACCTCTGTTGAAATTAGAGTCTTCCAAGGTGAAAGAGAATTAGTTAGAGACAACAAGTTGATCGGTAACTTCAACTTATCTGGTATTCCACCTGCTCCAAAGGGTGTTCCTCAAATTGAAGTCACTTTCGATATTGATGCAGATGGTATTATCAACGTTTCTGCCCGTGACAAGGCCTCCAATAAGGATGCATCTATTACTGTTGCTGGTTCTTCTGGGTTATCTGAGGCCGAAATTGAACAAATGGTCAACGATGCTGAAAAGTTCAAGGCACAAGATGAAGAAAGAAAGAAGGCTATCGAAACTGCTAATAGAGCAGATCAATTAACCAATGATACTGAAGCTTCCTTGAAGGAATTCGAAGGCAAGATTGATAAGGCTGAAGCTCAAAAGGTTAAGGACCAAATCGCTTCCTTAAGAGAATTAGTTGCTAAGGTTCAATCTGGTGAAGAGGTTGCTGTTGATGAATTGAAGACTAAGACTGAAGAATTACAAAATGCTTCTATGAAATTGTTTGAACAAATGTACAAAAACAACTCTACTAATGAAGGTCAATCTAATGAAAACAAACAATAATGCTATAAGTGAACATAATATTAATGTTAGTAACCTTTTCCTTTTTTGTTTTTTTCTTCTTTTCACTTCCCCTGTTTTTTAGTGATTTAGTTTCATTTTAATAGAGTAATATCTTCATAATATGTCATATGTGTTATGTTATTAGCTGCTTTCATTTGTTTATATTTAATAAATGTTATTTGCTTTCTACATGCACTCATGAGTAATTTTTTTTTCTTTCCTTTTTTTCTGGGTTTCCTGTATTTAAATTATGTAAATATTGTTAATTAATAACTATAAACAATTTGGATAAATTTTAACTCTTAAATTTACTAGTTTATGATTTGAACAATTTCGAAGATCTATTAATCAAGAGGGAATTTGCATGAAACATGCATTCTTTATGTATGCATAAGACTGTTTTATACCATTGATTCGTTTTTTTTTTCTTTTCTTTAGAAGAATGTGTATACGATATATAGTAACATGGATCCCATTCAAGGTTGAATAGTCAATCCTTATTAAAAGGCGGGTTCTGCGGAAAGTTTATTCCGCATCCAGCTAGTGCTTTTTTATTTGCTTTATTTTTTTTTTTTTTTAATTGGAATTTTGACACTTGGACCTCTTTTTGTTTCTTAAAATTCAATATTCTATCAAAAAGGCGCAATAGAAGTAGTATACACACACACACATATATATATATATAAATACAAAGTAGAATAAATATAATATAGTGGTCTATCAATACAGTATTATAATAATTAAAAGACACTATTAACAATTTGAACTAAATCTTTTTTATTTTTTTTTTTGATTATGCAATTAAGAGTATCACCTTTAACTAAGATTATATCACTTTCAGGGTTTTTGGCTTTAGGATTTCTTTTAGTGATTTTATCCTGTGCCTTATTTCACAATTATTATCCATTATACGATATAGTAATTTTCCTATTAGCACCTATACCAAATTCATTATTTAAAAACAGGTCAGACTATGGTTCAGGCTCGTTTATGAACGATCCACTTGACGGTTCCCTAGGACAAACAGCCTCAGAATTAGGTTATTTTTGCACCGGGATGCTTGTCACTAGTGGGATAACGCTACCTTTGGTGTTCTATCACTGTCAGTTAATTAATTCAGTTAGTTGTGTAATGAGTATCAGCGGTGGTTTAATCATATATTCGAGTATTGTTATCTTTTCCTGGTTTTTCCATTCAAGCTGGAATGATGATGATTCGAACAATGCTTTATTTACATGAAATGAAACTATATATATATATATATATATATATATGTATATGTATATGTGAATACATCTGTGTATGTATTTGGGGAATCCTTTTTCCTTTTCCCCTTCTCAAGCATTAATATATGAATATAACTATAATATTTCTTTCTTTGGGGTGTCGACAGTGCGATTTGATAGCGTCAACAGAGAAGTGCAATCTGTAAATTCTTTCCGTTTGTTTTTTTTTGGTGTTTTTTTATATTCCATTTTATTTTTCGCGTTTGAACTATTCACCGAAACTTTTTATTGAGTGCATTACTTACTTTTGTTTTATTTGTAACATTTTTGGTTCTACAGATTATTGAAATTAAATATGAACAAAGTTTGATTTAATAATGCCAACTTTTATTCCCTTTCTTATTTATTCACTTCTGCTTTTAAGTCGTTATTATCATTGAGATGTTTAAATTTAGTTTACTATTAAAAAAGAAAAGAAGAAAGGAACAAAAAAAATCACAAATATTAGGACCTTACCTATATGTGTAGATATATTTCAAAAGAGTAAGAAAAGGACAGGAAGAATAAAGTTATAGGAATTTTAAATACAATGTCAACGTCTAAAGTTATTGAATATATTAATGATAAATTACATAGAAGATGTCAGCCTATTGTATTTACAGACTTAATGAATAAATTTCACATTGGGCCATCTGACGCAAAACAAACAATGTATAATTATTATAAAGAGACAACTACGATGAAATTCAATTGTATAATCATGATATGTTATAAAGATGGTACAATAAAAATGGCTACCGACCTAAATGAAACAGAAACACAGAGCTCAAATAACATACTGGATTGTTTTATCTATGCATTCAACCCAAATAAAGAGTTTACACCGGTTTATGAGTTAAACGATCAATGTGGTTCAAATTTAATAGTTAATCCATATAAGTTGGTTATTGAGGATGAGAAGAGGGTGGAATCTGTTGGTTCTCCAATCAAAAGATCCCAGACGGATTCCAAAGTGAGTAATGTTAAAAAAGATATTGTATTTAATCCTGTTAGATCTAAGACGGATAGTGCTGTTAATAGTAAGAGCAATAGCAGTGATAAGAACACAAGTAAAAAAAACGAGCCAGCTAAACCTAAGAAATCAATAGGATTGAAATCCACGGAAATATTGGCTAAAATGAGAAAAGCTAGGGATGAAAAAGAAGCTGAAAGACAAAGGCAATTGAAACAAAGAAAGCAAGAAGAAGAGGCTAATAAACTGAAAAGACTGAATAATGATCCAACAAGAAAGGCACAAATGGAGGATCTTAATAAGTTATTTGTTGATAGTGATGAGGACGACGTTGTAGATGTTGACATGAACAATAATAAAAATACAAATGAGAGTAATAAAAAATCTGAAATTGAGGACTCAGATGTTGCTACTACTACCACATCAACAATAAAGATGAATAAAACGATAGATGGTAGTAAATTAGAAAGTTTGCCAGACACCACAGTAGAGGATTCGCTTCTAGAGATTGAGAGAGATGAGCCAAGTAATAATAAACAAAATAATGAGGCGGTAGATCCAAGATCCAAGATCGAATCAATAAATCCCTCAGAAACTTCAGAAGCTGAAAACAAAGAACAGGCAAAGAAGGAGCCACTTGGAGAGGAATCTATTGAGGAAATTGTTACATCATATGTAGATGAGGATGGTTATATTGTTACAAATAGAAAAAGACCGCAGCCTATAAGCACCAATAGTGACAATAGTAAGAGGAGTATTGGACAATCAAGTAGTCCAAAGAAAGTAACTTCTAGGGCCAAGTCAATATTAGCTAACTTTGGAAATGCATCTAAGAAGAGTTCACTACCACCCAGAAAAAAAGTTAAACAAGGTTCTATTGAAAGTTTCTTCAAAAGGTCATGATATATTTGGATATTACTAAAGAGAGAATTAAAATAAAATAATCATATCATTTTAGTCTTTTTTGTTTTGTTTTATGTTAATTCTCTTTTCTCTTTTCTTAGATATTAAATTATAGAATACACACACCTTTATATAATTAGATAATGTGATACGATCAAGAACCCATGACAAGTAATCACTTTATGTTCACTCATACTTCCGTTTACAGCACAGCACACGAACTTTTCATTTTTATACTTAAAGTGTTTACATCTACATGGGCCTATATCGTATGAAATAACATTTCATACAAAGATTGAAAATTTCGAAAGGAGTGTGAATTCCTGCATTGCTATTTAATTTTTTTTTTCTTTTTCTAATTGCATTTTGAAAAATAAATAAAGTGATTAAAGGAAAGATAAAGAAAGAGAATTAATTAACAGTGACATGAGAACCATAGACTTCAAAAGAGAGACAAGCAGGTGGAAACTATATACTACTATTTTTCAGCTCAGTCTATACATTTTTTACAAAAGCAATAAATATAACTGAATTAAACAAAAAGAATTTAATAGGAATCGCTGACTCTCCTTTATACCTATATATATATAATACTCCACAGATAAGACTAATAATATAAGATGACTGATTTATGCCCAGTTTATGCTCCATTTTTTGGTGCCCTTGGTTGTGCTGCCTCCATTATTTTTACCTCATTTGGTGCTGCCTATGGTACTGCTAAATCCGGTGTTGGTGTTTGTGTCACATGTGTTTTAAGACCAGATCTTCTAATTAAGAGTATTGTCCCTGTTGTTATGGCTGGTATTATTGCAATTTATGGGCTAGTTGTCTCTGTTCTTGTTGTTTATTCATTGGGTCAAAAACAAGCTTTATACACCGGGTTTATTCAGTTGGGTGCAGGTCTATCTGTTGGGCTAAGTGGGTTGGCTGCGGGTTTTGCTATTGGTATTGTTGGTGATGCTGGTGTTAGAGGTACTGCTCAACAACCAAGATTATTCGTTGGTATGATTTTGATCTTGATTTTCTCTGAAGTTTTGGGTCTTTATGGGTTAATTGTTGCATTACTATTGAATTCAAGAGCTACTCAAGATGTCATCTGTTAAAAATATAAAAATATAATACATAATAGAAAATAAATATTATAGCTTTATTTTCTCTTCGTTTTTTTATGTTTAACTGAAACTTTATATATTATATACATATAAGATGTTGTATGTATTACCTTTATTATTCATTTGTAATTATTTCTCAATATCTGTTTTGTCAATTAATGTCTAAATACATTTATATCTATATAGATATGTAGGATCAACAATACTTAAGAAAACCTTTTAATAATGAATTGTAAAATAGACCAGATTCTTTCATTCAACTCTTCATTATAGTGATATTTTGCACCAAATCTTTCTTTGAACAATGTTCTTTGAAACCTGATGATATCTTTAGAAGTTATTATACCTTTTAACAACCCATGATCCTCAATAATAATACTCTTACATCCATTGTCTTTAAACATATGAAACAGTACCAATGTAGATGTATCGAGTTTAGCAGTTAAAGGTGAGGAATTAACAATGTCACAAAAACTTATTTCATTTATGTTAACATTCATATGATTATTAGTATTGTTTTTTCTTGAATTAAATCTTTCAATATTAAAATGAACTAATGTCCTTGATGCATTACTACTATTTATATCCTGCATCATTAATTTTTGCACTAAATGTCTTCTTAAAACGTAGCCAACACATTCCATATCTGGATCAGTTGTATCACTGTTGATCACAATTGGGAACCCATTTACTATCTTATCATTTGATTCGTATATTATTTTTTCGATTTCTGAGATATACATGGTCTCACTTAATACAATAAGATCTTTGGACATAACATCTCCAGCTTTGTATGAGGATAAAAGTGCCTCACCCTTTTTGAGCTCTTCATCTTCCATCTCTAACAACGGAAATCCATTAACTATAATCATTTGATCGGCAATTCCCACTGTTCCAGACATTGATAATATTATCCTTGAAATTGCAACAACTATCATAGTTGGAATAATATATATAAAAGCTCCAGTCAATTCTAGCATGATTACCACAACAGTTAATGTTAAGTTTGTGATACCACATAATGTGGCAGCCGCGCCAAGGAATGCATATGCACCAGAGGTGATTATACCTGCTCCAGTGATATATCTTTCCACTAATAGACTTATAGCTCTTCCAAAAGTAGCACCAACTGCCATAGATGGTACAAAGATGCCTGCGGGTACTTTTGCACCATATGAAATAATTACTAATGCGGCCCTAACAAAAGTAGCATATATTAAAGAAAAAAACATTTTTAAGAATCCAAACATTTCAGTATGTTCATCCAAATAACACAGTTTATGACTAAATACGGAATTATTACCATTATCCTGTTTTGCATCTCCAGAGACACATTCATGGAAAAGTACACCCATGCTTTCGGTCATATCCAATTTTAAAAATTCATTGAAATACGATAACAAAGCTGTAATTAATGCTAGGATCACAATTTCTTGAGTAGTCCATTTAGACAAATATCTTTTACGGAAATTCACGTATGCAATGTTCAATTTACTTACATATTTTCCGTAGAGACCGCCAAATATACCGAGTAAAATAAAGATAGGGATTTCGCCTGCTCTCCAATTCTTATCGTATGTAACGTTGAATAAGATAATCTTGCCATTTCTAAATGGATTAATGCATTTTAATGTAGTGACTGCAATTAACGCTACATAATAAGATTTCCATAATGTTTGGGCGTTAAAATCACTAGCAGATGATAATTCTTCCAACCCAAATAAAACACCACCGATAGGAGCACCAAAAGCAACAGCAACACCAGCCCCGCCACCAGCTATTAAATATTCAAATTGAGATGAATATGTTAATGTATCTTTCAGTAGCCATCTTGTCACAATAAATGCACAACATGTTGCATAGTGAACAGAGGGACCTTCTTTACCCAAACTTAAGCCTGCTGAAATTGCTAAAGGTAACGCTACACTTTTCACAAACAGTGTGGTCATACTTAAGAACTCATTTTTATATTCAAATCCTGAGACCCAAACCTTAATTTCCGATATTCCTGAACCAGTTGCCATAGGAGCCACATATTTAACTAATAATGTACTAATAGTGGCAAATGTTACAGATAAAATGACAAATATCAAAAATGGAGAAATGGCACCTGACCACTCAATCCATTCTCCTTGATTTGTACATTCAATTTCCTGTCTTTTTGTAAGACTATTAAAGAATGATCGATTCGTAACAGCTTCTTTTAATGTTTGAATATTACTACAACAAAAGGATTTATTTAAAAGAAAGTTTCTTGAACAATGGCCTGTTTTCCAGTTTACTAAAGTTTCAGTGAAAATTTGTATAAACCCTGCAAAACAACCTATCACAACAGCCACTGTGGTTAATGTAATAAAAGTTTTACATTTATTCCATATGATTATTTTGTATTTCTCGAATTTTGAACTTAATTGATCTCTTTCATAATAGTCATTATTTTGATTATATATATGATTAGATTCAAAATTATTGAAATCACTTCTTGTTAAATAAGAGGACTTCCTATTAAGTCTTACTGAGCCTGTTAGAATTGGACTGTTCTTTTCAGCAATTTTGTCAATCGTAATGAAATGATCGAAATTTTTAGTTTCAGGGATCACTTTCTTAAAATCTATCTTTGAGAATTCATTACCATGATATTGGTTATTTATTATTTGAGAATCGTCCTGGTAGGTGTCATCTGAGTCTTGAATTGAAATTAGAGAGTATCCTTTAGCCATAACTACTATTGGAATTTGCAACACTCTTCAATTTATGTAGACAGATGTGTCAAAGCTTAAATGTGTTATTAGTACGTACAGGATTATACAGCTTCCAAATAGTTTATTTTGTGTTTTGTCAAGACAGTTGCAGAGGACGCTCTTTATTGTTGTTCATACTGTAAATCATAGTTATTTGTTACAAGGTCATCTGCACAATCGACTCCAATTCAACTATGATTGAAACCTTTTGTTGTATATATATATATATATATTTTTTTCCTTTAGTAAATCTAATAGAAATAAGTAATAATAATATATTTTCAATAATATAGAAAAAATTATCTAAGGGAAAAAACAAAAAAATGAAAAGACATCCGATCACGTGAACATCACATGACCTAGTTTACGCTCCACCCAGACACCAAAAGCTTAGTATTTCTTAAATTTGTCATTTCCGACCACCAACGGAAACTCAGAGGTTGCCGTCGTTCGGAATCAGGCGGGTTAAGATCCGAACACGGAAAGGGAGACGGAAATAGAATCTAAAAAAAAAATAAAGAAAATAAAAAAAAGAAAAGAAAACTTGAACCCTTCTACTAAAAAGAAAAAGTCACGTGCTATGACTTTCGCTTAAAGATATTTTCCTAAACAGGAAATCCAAGTTTGGAAAAAAATATAGAAGTATTTCTTTTTTTTTTTTTTGTTAAATACACATAAAAAAAAATTTTCTGGAATAGTTTAAATTCGGAAGATGAAGCTCATCACTTTTTTTTTTTAACTTTTTATTTATTATAACTTTGGATTGGTTTAAAGCTTTTAGTTATACGTTATTCTATTCAGTTTGGTCATATTAACTATGAGGCGTTGTTTGTACACAGTTTTGACTCCTAAGTAAAAGAAACCATTCAAGCGAGCTGGTTGACAAGTGTTATTATCACTTATACATTATACACACATCACATTTTGCAAGGAACTTGAATAACCTATTATTTTTCCATTTTACTATTTTTCAATAAACCAAAAAGGCAAAGGACCAAATTAAAAAAAGTTATATTATAATGTCTTCCACTCCAAATCCAAAAGCTTTCCCATTAGCTGATGCTGCTTTAACTCAACAAATTTTAGATGTTGTTCAACAAGCTAGTAATTTAAGACAATTAAAGAAAGGTGCTAACGAAGCCACTAAGACTTTGAATCGTGGTATCTCTGAATTCATCATCATGGCAGCTGACTGTGAACCAATTGAAATTCTTTTACATTTACCATTATTATGTGAAGATAAAAATGTTCCATACGTTTTTGTTCCATCCAGAGCTGCATTAGGCAGAGCCTGTGGTGTTTCTAGACCAGTTATTGCAGCCTCTATCACCACTAATGATGCTTCTGCTATCAAGAACCAAATATATGCTGTTAAGGATAAGATTGAAACTTTATTAATCTAATTGGATCTTATGTTTGCATTTCTATCTAATTATTTGTATTATTGACTTCTTTAATATATGTATGTATATGTGAATGTATGTACCTATCTATAAAGAATATTCTAATAACATTTATCTACCTATATTCTTTATGTTATCTGAATTGTCATTGTATTTATTGTTTTGTGTTTTTAATAATATGTTTCAGAAGTTAGACTAGTAAATTTTGTATTCTTTAATATAATTTTATCATTTCATAAATCAGACAATATTAAACGTTGGATTACATGTATATTAAGTTTGAAAGAAAGATTTAATTATCAAAAAAAAAAAAGAAAAGAAAAGAAGAAAAGAAGAAAAGAGAGAGAGAGAGACTATTTGAAGTAAATATAATAAAGTTAATATTAGCGATACTATTAATAAGACAATTTCTACTAGATACTTTCTCTAAATTATCGATATTCAGATTCATGCTAGGTATAAGTATGTGTCATTGGTTATTGAATCTTTTCTGACATCATAGATAATCTTTATTAGTAGGAAGAAGCTATTTCTTTTTTTGGTTTTTAATAAAATTACAATAGTTTGAAATTCTACTAATACATATTCAATATGATGATCAGACAGATCTAATTTAATTCAGATTTCAGAAAATGTATATATGGATAACAAATATATTTGGGGGGGGGAAGTTATCATTGAAACCATGGATATTGTATTGTTTGTTCCAGTGGGATAAAAATGGGTATTAGACTCGTTATTCTTAAGAATACATTAATAGTCATTCTTAAATGTTTGAAGGGGGGTTCCTCATATTTTGCAAGGCGTAGATTACCAACAGTACATACGATAGGATATCCTATAGTAAGATTCTACGGTTAACTTTTTCATCAATTGATTCTTTATCTTTAAAATATATCTCTATCTTTTGGTTTTTAATAGATGGTAACTCTGCAGAATCGCAAAGAATTTCCCTTCCTGTAACTTTTTTTTTATATTTATATTTAAAACAAAGACAAAATAAAATAAAAAAAAAAAGGGGGGAGAGTTACAAACGAAGAGTTATACAAGAAAAGTTATAAAGATTTGGAAGTTGGAGGTAGTGGATAGTTGATTCTGTGCTATCAATTGGAGAATAAGAGAATATAAATTTAACCATTAGAGAAGTGTTTAGAGGTTAATTGCGTGGGGCTAATATCAAAGAATAAACGTTTCTGTTATTTAGTCTTCTTTTCTCTTCGTTACTTCTGCTGGTTCTTGTCACAAAGTATACTATGGGGTTCCTCTTTTCCAGAAGGAAGAAACTCGATAAGTCTATCCCACAGAATGTTCATAAAAATTCATTATCGTTTATTGAAAATGCGGATGGCCCTCCTCAATCAACAGAATTTAAAATCAAGGCTAAAGGTGAAGGATCCTGTAGGAAACGCAGTATCTCGTGTTTATGTTGTGGGTCCAAAGCGAGTATCAATGATGATTGGAAGAAATTTAGATGTTTAATTTGTTGTACGACAAATTATTTGAGTAATGAAAAACCCTTGATCTTGGAATCATTAATGATACGATCTTCTCAATCTCAATGTTGTTCATTACAACAATTGAAGATCCTGATTAAACAATGTTATAAGACAGGTCTGAAAACAAGCACTAACGCTGAAAATATTACTGAGGATGCATTAGTCCCGGATTTTGAACCTATCACCGCATATCTCTTAAGAAGTTTCCATGATATAAATATTTTAGAAATGTCTTTTCTAAATTTAAATAGTCCCATAGTTATTAATATTGACGAACTAAAGGAATTTTACTCCTTAATAATGCACCTACCTACAAGAAGGCCATTTTACAAGATGCTTTGTGCATGTAATGATCTTTTGAAAAGACCAACGGTGAATATAAAGCGGTATCGATGGATATTCATTATTTGGGAAATTCCAGCCATTCGAAATTGTTTAACTTTTAAAAATGATTCGCTTGGATATGATACATTTCGTATTAAGTCTGTAGCATATGAATTAGTTAAACGTTGTATTGGCTATTTGTCTCATATTTTAAATCACACAGATAGTAATAATTATCAAATTTTTCTTACGTATTTAAGATACTTGCCAAAGGAATTGTTTTTAAATCATATAGAGACTATTAATTTATATTTAACGTATCAATTAACTAAGATATATTCAAAGGAAGTTACATTCAATAAGAAAACTAAAAATGACTTCACAAATTCTACTAATACCAATAATAATGATAATAATAATAATAACTCCATGATAGGGTTGCTGCCACTTTCACAACCAGATAATCCAACAGTTATCCATACAAATGATAGACCCTTTGCTGACACAACTGAACAAGAAAATACTTCAAATGCATTAGATGATAAATTATTAAATATATATGGCAGGAAGAAAAATGATCAAAAATATCCAATGATAAAAACTTTTAAATATCAAAATAATTGGCATCTTGAAACAGCAGCTAACTTGATGAAACTTTACTATCTTGTAAACTATAAGAGGGTATCTATAAACAGCAAACAGATATATGGAAATACCAAATTAAACATTAATTCTTTCTATAATATAATGTTGGATTTTATAGATTATAAAGACGATTTTAATAATTGGGAAGGTTTGGAAGTTAAGAAAAAACTTGACGATATCATTCTAATAGAAGAAGAACAACAAAAGCAAAGAAGAAAATTTACTTTTTGTAAGTATTCATTTTTACTATCATTGGGTGTCAAAATATCTATCATGGAATATGAGACAAGAAAAATTATGGAATATCATGCTGAAATGGCATTTTTGGATTCACTTGATAAAGGTAAGAATATCTCTGTATATTTTAAAATACGAGTTCGAAGAAACCATATTGTACAAGATTCTTTAAATGTAATAAAGGGACATCAAGGTGATTTTTTAAAGGCATTAAGAATAGAATTTATAAATGAAAAGGGTGTTGACGCGGGGGGCCTTCGAAAGGAATGGTTTATGTTATTGACTAAGAAATTCTTCCATAAAAATTCAACTTTATTTGGAACTGTATCTGAGAGTAGGTACACTTGGTTCATAGTTTATTCTCCCAATTCAAAATCCATACAAAATAAGAATTTACTTCATTCTTATTTTTTGTTTGGAGTCGTGGTTGGACTGGCAATATTCAATGGTGTTATTCTAGATTTAAAATTTCCTAGATTATTTTACAAAAAAATGTGCAATGAACAAGTTACTTTTGCAGACTATTTAGAGTTATATCCTGAAACAGGTAAAAATTTGCAAAAATTGTTGGATTATGATAGAGAGGATTTTGCTGATGTGTTTTCCTTAACTTTTGAAACAACCATTGGGGATAAAAATCAGTTTTGTTCCATTGAATTGTGTAGTGGTGGATCGAACCGAATTGTCACTTTAAAGAATAAACATGAGTATGTTCATTTATGGATGGACTATTATTTAAATGTGAATGTTAACAAACAATTCATTCAATTTATGAGGGGATTTAATAAAGTGTTTGATGGATGTAATTCTATAAAACTATTTAATTCAGAAGAACTTGAAAGGTTGTTATGTGGAGATATTCAAGATAAAGCATATGATTTTGATGTGTTAAGGACCGTCACAAAATACAAAGATGGATATACGAATAAAACACCGGTAATAGAGTGGTTTTGGGAGATCATATCAGGTTGGGGGATTGAATTGCAAAGTAAGCTATTACAATTTGTAACAGGGTCAGATAGGGTTCCTGCTACAGGTATTAATACTCTTTCCTTTAGAATTAGTAAATTAAATGAAAATAATGATATATCGTTGCCAGTTGCCCATACATGTTTTAATGAACTTTCACTTCCAGAATACAGCAATAAAAAAACATTAGAAAATAAAATTGTAATGGCAATTACAGAATGTCAAGGTTTTGAATTTCGTTAAAGGATTAATATACCGTTAAAGGTAGTGAAAAGTTGAAAAAATAAAACTGCTCTTGATATAGTTTTTTGATTATGAATTATAATATGTATATATATATAATGCTAGATTTAATAATGATGTCTATGATTATGAGAGACAATATGCATGATTTTAATACATAAATAGTATTCTAATAATGTGATCTATGATGAAATGCTACAAATTCTCTTATCTAAATTCTTCATTTAAAATCCATCCCCTCTTCTGCTTATCAAAGGTTGCAATTTTGTTTAATAGAGCTCGTAGTTTGATAACATCTTCTTTTTCATTAATAGATAGTTGTAAGCTAGAAATAATTTTGGATGACGGAGCAAAAAACCCATTCTGTTGAGACAAAAACTCTTTAATCTTTGTTAAAATATTGGTAGAATATGTTATTTTTGTATCTTGTTCTAATATAGTTTCTTTTATTGAATTCTTGACATGTTGTTTTTGTATATTTGAAAAGATAGAGTTAGTTTCTATTTTATTCTTGCACATATTTTTATTTTTATTTTTAACAATTTTACCTGCTTTACCAAATTTTCCTGTCCACGTTGGTGTTCCAATATCGTACTTTTTAGTTGCTCTACGAGACTGTCTTAAGGCTTTCATAGCCTCGTCGGCTAGTCTTTCAGCTTCTTTTGTTATCAATCTAGAAGATTGAAAATGTGTATTCTCTAATTTTTCTTGTGTCATTGCACTCTCTAAAGCTTCATTTCCACCAAGTAAACCTTCTATAAGACGGTCATCCTCATTTTTCTTTTTATCCTTGAGCTCTTTTCCATTATAAAAACTCTCTAATTTAGATACACCCATTATTTTTGTTAATTCATCCAAATCATCGCTTTCATGTGTCACAGACTTTTTTAGAGATTTAGTATGTTTTTCAATTTCTTGAGTCATTTCTTCTGTCGCTAAACCTTCATCACCACCAAGTGTAAATAAATCATGTAGTTCATTCATTTTAAAGAATCTTTTTTGTCTTGGATCGCTTAATATTTTATTTGTTAAAAATTGTTTGAAAATTTGTCTATGATAGATTTTCTCTTCGATTGTTCCTGACACCATCAACCTATAGATTGACACTTCTCTCTTTTGACCTATTCTCCAAGCTCTTTCACGAGCTTGCATATCAGTGGACGGATTCCAATCAGGGTCGAAGATAATAATTCTATTTGCACCAGTTAAATTCACACCAAGTCCACCAACTCTAGTTGTTAATAAAAATACATCATAATTTTCATTATTAAACTGATCCACTAAGGTTTGTCTTTTTGAAATTGGAGTTGTACCATCCATTCTGAGATATTTAATGTTCAAAAGAGCATCATCGAGAACTGATATAAATTTCTCAAGTATATCTAACATTTGTCTTGATTGAGTAAATAAAAGAGTCTTACGTCCTTGTTTTTTCCACAACAACAATAATTGTTTGACCACTTGCATTTTACCCGATTTTGCAGGATTCCCATAGTTTTTAGTATATTGTAATTTATCTTTTTCTAAAAGATCAGGATGGTTACAAATTTTTCGTAAAATGTCGATGCCAAATAATACATTTTTTTTGCCATTTTCAATTTTTGTTAATTCGTCAGAATGTAGGAACTCTAGATATTTTCGCTTTTGGTATTGGGTTAATTTACAGAATAAAACCATTTCTTTCTTTTCAGGTAAATCCTTAGCAACATCGGTCTTAACTCTTCGTAATAGGTAAGGAGATATTAAATCTCTTAATGCTACTGCACACTTATAACCAGTTTGAACTTGCACATTTGTAGCATTAGCATATCCTCCGGTATTAATTGGCAATACAAACTGTTGTTGAAATACAGGTAAAGTTCCTAATTTACCGGGATAAATAAAATCAAATAAGGACCACAGTTCATTTAGATTGTTTTGTATTGGGGTCCCTGATAGAATAATTCTATTTGGTGTTTTCAATTTTTTACATGTTAATGATATATCAGAATCTGGGTTTCTAATCTTGTGACCTTCGTCTAAAATAGCATAGGCCCATTTAATTTTCAACAATTTATCAGAATGGATCCGTAATCCAACATATGTAGTTATAAGGATATGTCCATTTGTGGCGACCATATTAATCAATGAATCTAAGGTTAAATTTGTTTGGATTTCATTTTTTAATTTAGAAGTATTTTTCAAACTTTCATAAGATATTTCATCAGGACTAGAATTAATGAGTATTTGTTCCAATTCTTCCTCATTGATAGTTTTTTTATTATTATTACCCATCCCTGACCCCATGGAATGTAAAATGATTGATCTGAAAGGTGGCCACCAATGGTGCAATTCGTTACACCATTGTTTCATAACTGTAGCAGGACATACAATTAATACTGGGCCATTTAGTAAGCCTGAATGATGTAGAGATGCTAAGAAAGCTATAATTTGAATAGTTTTACCTAATCCCATTTCATCACCAAGGATTCCACCACAATTTTGTTGATATAATTCATAAAGCCATTGAACACAAGTCTTTTGATAATTGAACAAAGATGAAAAAATTTCACCAGGTATTTTGAATGTATCATTTAATTTGGCATCAGGAATTTCAGGATTTGGTTTTCCCCATTCTGGTGAATGTGGATAATCATCATGTTTTCTTAATTTGGATCTAGCCTGAATCCATGATTTGAGTCTTTTTTGATAGGAATACTCATCCCCATCATCTTTGGTTACATCAATTTGACTCTTTATATCATGTTCACTATCATCATCATCAGAATCATTATCATAATCATAATCATTATCATTATCATTATCATCTTTGCTGTTATCTGTATCATTATTTAATGTTTTTAATTTGTCATGTCCTGTATAATCTTTACCATTTAGATCATATTTATTATCATCAATATTATTTGTATTATTATCCTCTTCAATTGTAAACCCATTGGAAGTACCAAATGCAGTAATTTTGCCTAATCTAATAAGATAGTCCTTCTCTGATTCATCAGAACGTTTACCGTCTAAATGCTTATTGACACTTTGAGGATCATCATTGTTTTTATTATTTTTATTGTGAATGCTGGACTTAAGTTGTTTAATTCTTTTTTTAATATCACTTATATCATTTTGTACATTTTTTAGATCACCATTAATTAGTAAATCAATTTTATTCCTTAAATTTGATTTAACTGAGATTCTATTTGAGTTTGCCAATTTTTTTTCAAGGTAGGACTTTTCGGATAATACCTTGTTCAAAAGATTGGTTGATCTTTGCAATCTATCCTCTTCCTGTTCAATTAATTTTTTGTTAGTTAAGAATTCAACATCTTTTTCAATTTTATTTTCCAAAGATTGTTGTGATAAAATATTGACAATACCTAATTTTTTTTTAATTGTTTCATTCTCATGTTCATCAATATTTTCATCTTGATGATTATTAGTGGTAATAGTGTCATTAGTCGGTTCTACATTATAATAATCTTGGTTCATGATATATAATTACATATGGACACACACACATATACAAACAGATGATCAAATAGACAAATAAACACAGATGTATGTGTATATATGTATGTATTGTTCCTCATAGTTTTTCAGTGCAAGGACTATGAATTATATATAATTTATATTATTCTTTCAAAAATGCAAGAAATCTTAAAAGAGAGGGGAAAAAAAAAAGAAAGAAAAAAAGAAATTCTGGAATTTATTACATTTCCTAAAATGGAAATCATTCTATTGTTGATTAGTAATAGAGATTACTAATTACAGTATAGTGAGGTATCAAAACTATGTGATTATCATGGTGTGGTTATGGTTCAGTGATGTTGGTGGTAGTAATAAGAATAGGAGGAGGTCTATTCATATACATATATGTATATGCATGTTTCTGGTGTGGTATTTGATGTCTGATTTGTACTGAGAATAAAATAGATATCGTTATTGCATTTTATATACATGGACATTGTAACATAACATGAGATAACATGATATATATATATATGTATGTATGTATATATATAGCTATTCAATCCTTTCTTTCGCTATCTAGAATTTCTAATTTCTTCATCTCTTCTCTTGGATCAAAATTCCCCGAACATAGGTTTTCATACTGTTGGTCATATTTACCTGTAGACAAAGGTGCATTACCTCTCATTCTTTTGGACATATCCACCATCCCACTCTTGCAATCTAAAAAGGCTTTCATTTGAGCTATACATAATTCAGGTAATTCCTTCCTCAAGTCTGGGTCATCTACACATTGTTGTGGTTTATGTCGTTGAATCATTACACATGGAGATCTTTGTAAGCATATGGCTACAGCCTTTTTTTGATCTTTACAACTGGCACCCATCTTTATATCCCTAGTATCCAATATTTCTTACATCACTTTAACACACCACCAGTATCTATATATATATATATATATGTGTGTGTGTGTGTGTGTGTGTGTATATCTATATTTGCATATATTATGGGATTTTGTATATAAGACACTATTCTGTGAAACGTTTCTTTTTTTTTTGGGATCCTCCTTTTTTTTTTTATTTTATTTTTTTTTCTCTCTCGAGGGTCTTTGTGAAGAAAATATAGGTGGATTATCATAATAATAACAATATGACGTATACGTGCTAGCATTTATATGTATAGGCATCTGTATGTATGTAGATATAGAGATAGATGTTGGTTTAGAGGTATTGGGTGTGTGCCATTAGTGTCTATTAAGATTATTTTTTTTTGTATTTTTTTTTTTATTACTTGGATAGTAACAGACATACAACCATATTATGTCTTTGAATTTCTTACCTGGACGACCAAATGATACAAGACAAACAGCTTGTCAAGGTTATTGGCAAGGTCATACCATTTTTGCATACTGCTCAGGTAATAATCTAATCATATTAACTAACGCTTTTACTAATTTGCAGACTATTTACTTAGATAAAGATTGCCTGGCTGTCGATATTAATTCAAATAATGGGTTCATTGCGATCTCCGTGGATAATAATCATGTCTACATATACAAACCTATCTACCAGATCATGAAATCACCGAAATGGTCAAAATGTTGTCAAATTTATCACGATCCATCAAGAGTAAATTGTATTAAATGGGGTGGGGACAACGAGTTGATCTTAGGGTCTGACTATCTTTCATTTTGGAAAGTGATGGATCATTTCGGTGTCTTCGAACCCGTTTTACTTTGGAATAAAAGGCAACCGAAACCTGTGTATCAGATAGATATCACCAATAATTCTCAATTGATTGCAAGTTATGGGAAATACGATCATACCGTTAAACTTTGGAAAAGAATATCCATAAGTGGTGATCAAGTAATTTTCACTTTGATTCTATTACCTCATCCTGTTTCTGTCACTTCAATCTACTGGAAGAAAATGAATTACAATTATCTTGATAACAATACCAGTGGTAATGATAATGATAATATACAAGAACAACAACAGCGACTGCAGCAAGTTGAAAATAACTGTTATCTTTTGTACACTTTATGTTCTGATAAAAAATTAAGAGCTTGGTTATGCTTAGAAGATGATCCTGCTCATTTAAAGATACAGAATTGGACAACTTTAACGTTAAATGATACAACAAAATATTGTTTAATTTTAGATAATTGGATTATTAAAAAAATATATTTTAATAATAATACTAAGCATGACAAAAAAGTTAACCTTAATTTGAAGATGTTTTTAAATTCAGATATCATAATGTTTGGCAGTGATAACGCAGATGATTGTTTTGATATTTATGAACTAAATTATAATAATGGTGTTACAGATAATATGGGCAGTAATAATCAATGGCCACTGAATTTGATAAAAAATAAGTTACAATCAAGAAAAATCATTCATCCATCCCTATTGAATTCAATAAATCACACGTTTTTATATTTTGCAGATTTGCAACCGTATGATGATAGTAATACTGATGTGTCATTAATTATTCACGATCTACAAGGTGTTATTAAACAATCTTTAATAAATATACCAGAATTTGTAGATCAAGAATTTTCAGTAAATAATTTTCAAGATTCAGTAGCAGTGGTCCATTTAGAGCATAAATTTACTGGCCATAATAAGTCAATTCAAAGACTTATTAGAAGTAGCGATGGAGAGGCTCTGTTAACTATCACAAGATTCTCAGAGAATTGTGTATGGACACCACAGCAGTTAGGTTCAAATGGTGGTGTCACTTTGAATCTAAAGAATTTTGTTAAAACTGAGACTCCAATTAAACTGGCTGTCATACATGAAAAGGGTAATCTAATGATTTGTCTACTGGAAAATAATAAATTACAAGTATGGGATTGTTCTTGTAATAGAAAAAATTTGGAAAATGATTTCAATGACTCCATCTTGAAGGATTCTTATCAACTTGATGATGATAGTGATCTTTGCTCCCCATTATTAATGTTAAATACACCTGAGACACATCATAGTCATGAACATCATTTTGTAGCAATTATTTATTCAGATGGTTCCATTAAAGGGTTTGAAATATCTTTGCAGAGAGGTATAGAAAAAGTTACATCAGATTCTTTACCCTTTATTAAAAATGGTGAAAACAGATTATACAAAATATCTATTATTGATCCAGTTCATTCTACATTTGTAAGTGATAGACCATTGATATCTTTCATTACAAAGGATGGTTTTGTAGAGACTTATACAGCAGTTGTTGACTATGATAATAAACATATTATATGGAAGATATCGTCGCAATTAAATACTGGGATACGAAATGCACAATTTATTAGAGGTTCTTCGACTGGAAAGCTGTGTATTGTTAGCTCAGATTATAAATCTATGTCACTTTGGGATTTAAATAGAGGAATCCTGGAATATGAAGAGTCCTTCCAAGATCAGATTAAAGATATTGATTGGACGAGTACAGAATTGGGTCAAAGCATTGTGGCAATTGGATTCATTGCATACTCTTTATTGTACACACAGTTAAGATACGATTATACTAATAATATTCCTAGTTATTTACCTATAGAAAAGATAGATATTACTTCACATACAGCACATATAATCGGTGATTCCATATGGATGAAAAATGGTACGTTTGTCGTAGCATCAGGTAATCAGTTATATATAAAGGACAAATTGTTAGATGTCTCTGATGATTTCACACATAGATCCATTGGTTCAAGAAAAATTCTGTCTAATGATATATTGCATTTAAATAGTGTTCTTAATGGTCCACTACCTGTTTATGATCCGCAATTTTTAATCCAAGCTATCTATTCAAATAAGATAGAATTGGTTAAGGAGATATTATTAAGATTATTTGTGAAGTTACGAGAAATCGATTTTAAATCTATGGATGTTACTACTAATTTACCTTCAGATTTAAATATTCCGAGTCATAAATTTTTGGTAGATAAAGGTGAACATTATGATGTAGAAAAATTCCCTGATCCATATCCTACATTTGATAAGACTGTGGGTGTTTCTTTAACAGAACAATTGACTAGAATAACTCTTCCATATATAACACGTCATCAACAAATAACGTTGATAACAGTTATTGAAGCGATGGAAGAGGTGGTTAAATACCAACACATTATGGATCATAATGGTATTAGATTCTTATTGGGGGTGAAATTATTTTTGTCTCATCGTCAAAGTCAAAAATCGCTACTGATGAGAGATATCTCATGGGCATTACATTCTGAGAGCAAAACATTATTATTATCTATGTTTGATAGTAATATTAATACATGGAAACACGCAAAAGAATATAAGATAGTTTATTGGCTTAAAGAAGATCAACTAACCAGTAAGTTTGAACAAATAGCTAAATTTGAATTTTCTAAAGAAGATAAAAGAGATCCAAGTAGATGTGCCGTATTTTATCTTGCTTTAAAGAAAAAGCAAATTTTATTAAGCCTCTGGAAGATTAGTACAGGTCATCCTGAACAGCAGAAAATGATCAAATTTTTAAATAATGATTTCACACAACAGAGATGGAGAACAGCTGCTTTGAAGAATGCTTTTGTGTTATTAAGCAAGCATAGATACATGGATGCAGCTTGCTTCTTCTTGATTGGTGACTCATTAAAGGATGCAGTGAATGTACTTTGCAAACAAGTTGGAGATATAGATTTGGCTATTGGGGTCTGTAGAGTCTACGAAGGTGATGAGGGAACAATATTAGGAACTTTACTAAAAACTCATTTACTACCAACGGCTGTTTTAAATAATGATAAATGGACGACAAGTTTTATATATTGGAAGCTAAGAAGACAAGATATTGCTATTAAATCCTTAATTACATCTGCAGTTGATTTAGAAAATAATAGAGAATTCGTGTCAGATGAAAAGTTGGTCAATAAGTCATTTTTGGTAGAGGATCCAGCATTATTATATCTATATCGACATTTAAGGACGAAAAATATTAAATATTTCTTGGGTTCTTTGGAATTGGGATTAAAAATAGAGTATAAGGTTGTCCTTAGAAGTATAGACATTCTTTGCAGAATGGGATGTGATTATCTGGCAGCTTCATTAGTGAAAAACTGGAAGTTTATTGAAGAATCAAAACATACAGTGATGAAGCCTCCTGATAATTCATGGGCACAGACTTCCATTAGTAGTTTTAATAAAGAACCTATTACCACTGTAAAGGTAAGACCAAGTCTTTTTGACAAATTTGACAGTATACAAAATAACAAGATAATAAGTTCAACGATGAGTAATCAACAATTAAAGTCGCCAATTAATCTGTTAGATAATTACAATCAACTACCTACGCCTGCCAGTAGTAATAGTTCATCCAGAAATATTTTAGATGATTATTTATTACCTACTAAATCGAAAAACCTTCTAGACGAGTATGCGCCGTCAAATAAACCTAAAAATCCTTTGGATAATATTTCAAATCAGCTTGATACAAATACTTTTAGGAAAACTACACCACCAGCTACTGCACATAGTATTTCTACTGTCGAATCTACTGTTTCCTCAGAAAAGAAGAAGGTAGCAGCAGCACCACGGAATTTATTGGATGATTTTATGTAAACTGCTATTCTAATATATAATTTCTAAATTTCAGGTCATATGTATATATATGTATATATGTAGGTTCTTTAAAAGAGGATATATTAGTAGCATCTATGAAATAATTTAATTTATGATAGAGAGGTTAATGGAATGCAATAATTTTTTAAAAAGAGAGTAGTCAATAAGTATTGACTAAGAAAAAAATTTAGCAAGACTTTTCTTTGTGTTTTCCTTTCTTTTTTCCAAAATCTCTTCTACCTGTTCAATTTTCTTAATAACTACTTTATCATTTGGATTTAAATCATTACACTGTTTGTAATCTTTTAATGCTTCCTCATACCTTTTCTTAACAAAATAACAATTAGCTCTTCTATAATATCCTTTTGCCTTGTCCATGTCAGGTACATTATCTGAATCTAATAGATAAGTTGCATACTTAATGGATTCATTGTAATTTTGCATATTAAAGCATACCAAACTAATATTCAAATACAGTTTTAATTTTAAATGTGAGAATTTAGAATTTAAATCTTTATTAATACTAACATCTGGGATATATTCATTTGTATATTTTAAAGATTTTCTATACTTAAAAAATGCATTTTGATAATCTTTCTTTTTAAACAATAAAGTCCCTGATTCCTTTATAATAGTAGCAGCATCAAGTGCTTTAGAGAAATCATCATCATTAAAATGTTTATCGTCATCAGGGTATTCTTCATAAATATCACCACCAATTTCGTAGTTACATGCGTTATATAAAGGGATCTCCATAGTCTTATTCCAAGCACCACAATCGGCGATTCTTATACATTTTTCTGGAAAACCATCTGAATCTACTTTGGTTTCTTTGATGGTATGAATTACAGATTTACCATGTATAACTTTACCAAAAATACTATGCTTTCCTTTTAGATGTGGTAATGCCGAGGTATTTATAAAGAATTGAGAACTATTTGTGTTTGGTTTACCTGAATTAGCCATGGCTAAATAGAAAGGTTCAGTGAATTCGGCCTGATTTTCATCAATGAAGTTACCATAACATGGAATATCAACCTTTTCAGAAAACTCCTCTTCTTTTGCATAAATTGAGCAACCACCTTTACCAATGTCATCAGTCTTTTGGAAATTTTTTGATCCATACATAATATCACCAGCTTGGATCATAAAATTCTTTATAACACGATGGAAATAGTTATTTTTATAGGAAAGTTTACCATTAAAGCCTGGAATCTCAGTACCTATACAAAGATGATAGAAATTGTAGGCTGTAAATGGAGCCTTATCTGTAAATAATTCCATAACTATTCTGCCAATTTTTACCTCATCGATAGTAATATCAAAATAAGTGTAAACATTTCCATGTGAAGCAAATAATTGTTTAGGATCCATGATATAACGAGAGTTTTATAATAATACTAGTCCGTTTGTGATACTTAGATTCCTCACAATATTCAATCTTAAAATAAATTAGTATGTAAGATTAAGAAAGGATAAAATCAGTTGAATAAAATCTAATTGATTATTGATACTATTTGACTTTGTAACCAATTTCTATTTTATATTCAATTTTTTTATACCTTTAACCTTTTTGTATGTGTATGTTTACTAAAGTTTATCTTATCAAATTCAGTTTTTGACAACTTTTTCTTTCTGTTCTGTAAATTCAATGGAAATTTCTGAAATTTCAAAAATATTGGAAAAGGACATTGAATAAATTACGTAACCTCAAGATGGGGAGCTAGAGGTCATTTCAAGAATATATGTTATATATACAGAGTTATTACTTTTATTAATTTACCTGTAAATTGAGGTCGCGAAGCATCACTAGTGGCTTAGAAAAGTAAGGTGTTTGTTGCTAAATTTGACTGTATTACAATCACAAAATATATATAATTATTTTGAGAGAGATAACATCTAAAAGTTTTTTTTTATGAGTGATCTTTCAGGAACTTGTCTCGGTGAGGATCCTGTGGCAATTCTTTTAAAAGAATGTTTGAAATTAATAATAGCTATTAGATATCATAATAATACTATAAAACAGCAAACATCCTCTGATTATCCATTAATACTTGGTGGAAATAATGAATATTTCAAGGATTTTGATGAAGATGAGGAAGATGAGGATTATGATAATGATAATAGGGGCGAGGAGAAAAATAAGATTAGGAATAATAGTTCAAATTTATCAGATATTGTAAATTTGAAAAATATATTAAGTGGATTGACTTCAATATATTCTATAGATTCTTTAACTTTACTAAATCCATTTTTAAATGTATTAACGCTTAAAAAATCAAAGAATGAGCATATCAAGAGATTAACATTGGAGTCACTTAATAAAATTTTTACGCTTCAACTGATTAATTTAAATTGTATCAATTATGTTCAAGCATATAGAAAAACAGTTTCCATTTTAATTGATCTTGATCCACATTTCAGTAACAATCAAGACACAAAGGATTTAATAGAAATTGAAATAATCACACTTCTACAATGCATTATATCCACATCATGTGGGAATTGCTTGTCTGATTCTTTAGTATATGAATCATTAAAAAAAGTTTTATTGATTGTTTGTAGAAGAAAATTATCAGACAAGTTAAAAGTCAGAGCAGAATATGTCCTTAAGAGAATGACTGTTCATGTGTTTACTAAACTTAAGTTTATGAATCTATCTGCTATTAATAATAAATATATTGATGATGAACATATAAAGAAATATTTTGTGTTTAAAAAGGCTAACGATTCCAGTGAATTCGATTTACAGGAAGAAAAAGAGGAACAACTGATCAATAAAAAGAATCATGAGAATAATAGCAGTGATTATAGTGAAGTAAATGTAACACCAAATTACAGTCTTCCTGTGATAATACAATATCTGGAGTTATTGTTATCTTTAATAAGTTTGGAAAATAAATCTGAATATACTGCTCGCACTCAAGTAGTGGGTTTGGAATTGATAAATACTATGGTAGAATTAGTTGGTAGATTATTTTTGAAACATCCAAAGTTATTAAATATGATCTCAGATTCAGTCTTTAAATCTATTGCATTAATAATGGAAACAAATGTGGATAATATTTTGTTAATGGATAAAGTTTTAACAGTTTATACTTCCATTATATTAGCTCTTGGCTGGTTTTTACCAAGGCAAATAGAATTGACATTGCCTAGATTATTTGAAAAACTTCAAAATTCCTCGTCACTCCATTTTCAAAGAATTATTATTGAAAAACTTTCGTTGCTGTGGGTGCGTGACCCATCTTTGTTTATTAATTTTTTTGTGAAATATGACTGTAGTTTTGAATATCACGATTTGTCGGTTAAATTTTTAACAGTAATGATGAATATGACTAATCCAGAAAAGGATCTGACTATTTCAACCTTTGGGTTAGATGCTTTGACAACATTTGTCGATTATGTTTACAACCAAATAACCAAAGTGGATGAGTTTCAATTTGATGATGCGCCACAAAGTATAATTCTAAAAGAGTGGAGTAGAAAAGCTGAATTCATAAATTGTATGAAAATGTTTAATGAAAAGCCAAGAGATGGAATTAAATTATTAATAGACAGCAAATTTATTCCTAACAATAAAGGAAAAGAAGTAGCAAAATTTTTATTTGAAAATGATAGTAGACTTAATAAAAAACAGCTAGGGTTATTGCTTTGTAAGCCTGAAGAGACAGAACTTTTGGGTGAATTTATGAGTTTATTTAATTTTAATTCATTTAGAGTAGATGAAGCGTTGAGGGTCCTATTAACCAAGTTTAGATTACCTGGTGAATCTCAGCAAATTGAAAGAATCCTTGAAGCCTTTTCCAAAAGGTATGTTGGATGTCAACAGTACGTAGAGAATATTTACAGCGAAGAAGAAGAAAATCTTGCTCAGGTTCAAGCTGATGCAGATTCTGTTTTTATTTTAAGTTATTCTATTATCATGTTAAATACAGATATCCATAACCCACAAGTGAAAGAACATATGTCCTTTGAAGAATATTGTAGTAATTTGAAAGGCTGTTATAATAATGGGAATAACTATCCACAGTGGTTTTTAGAAAAAATTTATGCATCAATACAAGATAAGGAAATTGTTATGCCTGAAGAACATCATGGAAATGAAAAGTGGTTTGATGATGTTTGGAATAATGTCATTTCATCTAATACAGTAATTACAGAGATACCGAAAATTCATTTGGATGATATCAATTGTTTTACATCTATTGAAGAAATTCAGTTTGAAATGAAACTTTTTGAGAATGTCGGTATACCCTTGATTAAAAAAATTTTTGATTTATTAGTTTTAACAAAAGATGATAACACAATCAGTTTGCTGATCGATTTAGTTGAAAAATGTTACAAAATTTGTAAATTCTTTAAATTGAAAAATATGTTTAATGAATTGGTAGCAAACCTTGCCACTATGACAACTTTGTTACCTGATGATTTAAATTTGAAAAATAATGGTAATTCAAAAGATATTGTAAATAAGGAATTGGGTGAAATATACCCTGTAATAGATATTGTAGACAAAGAAGAAGGTACAATAATTACGATAAGTCCACATTCGATTAAATTAGGTGAATCATTTAAAGCACAAATGTGTTCTGTTTTATATTTTAATATATTTGGTCATAACAAGATAACAAATTTCTTAAATGAAGAAAACTGGAATAATTTAATAAAAATTTTGCTGGTTATGTTTCAAGATAGGATGATTATTAATAATGTGAAAATGGGAACATTTTATCCTGAATATGATATCATTGAGCAGAATAATCTCAGCAAAATACCACATTTACCAAAGGCAGATTACGTTATTGATGATATCAACTTTAAAAGTAATCGTGGTTTATTGTCATCATTTGCCTCATACTTGAAAGGTAATGATGAACCAAGTGAAGATGATATTAAAAAAGCTATTAAATGTAATGATTGTATTAAGATGATCAATTTCAAAAAATACATTTGGGCCAATGATACAATTGTGACACCAAAGAATATTATCGATTTATTCAACAGGCATATATTAATGGAAAGAAATGTTACTAATTTTAAATATTTCGAAGAAAGGATTATATGCATTATAGAATTGTCTATTAATTTAATGTTACAGTATGATTGGATTGGTGAGATTGGTTATAAATTATTTAATAAGTTAAGTGCATTATATGAAATTGAAAACTTATCTAAATCATATTATCGCCGCTTGATGGTTTATAAAGTGCTAGTAATATCTCTATTAAATGAAGAGAAATTATTATCAAAATTGGTTGAAAAGGAAATTATCGTGTCTAATGAGATATTTACTATTGATTATTTCAATGAAACTCTTGATGGACAATATATTGTGAAAGTAATTATGTTTAGCATCGATAAGAATAATCCAACTGCTTGGAAGTTTTTGAATTATTTAATAGTTTCCAATGTGGATAAAACAAATTATGAAGGAAAATATTTGATTAAAAGTATCAATGATTACATCTCCAATAGTGAGAATATAACAAGTATCAATATTACTCAAGTCATTGATATTATGAAACAATTGATTAAGTATCGTATAGATATAATAGATATTTTATTCCAAATTTTAAATGGTGAAATTAATTTTGTTCCTCCTATTGAAGTTCAAAGCATTGTATCTTTAATTCAGCTGGTATTAAGGCAAATATTGGACCAAATTGAAGATTTTCATGGTAATAATGAGGAAGATGACAATTTTCAATATTCTTCTGTGTTACTAAGATTAGGCAAAAATCTCAAATCGGACAAATCTCTTTTGAAGGAATATGATGATAGGACTATTAAAATAATTATTGATCATTCTATGTTACAAATAATTGGTGATATTGGAAACGAAGGCCAAAAATTGTTTAATCTTGAAGTATTAAAGTTATGTAAGGATATCTTTCTTTATTATTTCAATGGAGTAGATATAGAGTATGAGGATAAATTTAAACAGATCCAAGATCAATTATCTTGATACATGATATGTATATGTATAGAATATTATTTACAAGCTTATGCATATCTAGATATATACATTCGTATATTTAATTAAATATAGATATAATTCATTTGTGTTATACTGCTTATTTTTAATTTGTATAATATTAGTAGTGTAGAAATAGTTCTTTTTTTTTCTTGTTTTAACTTATTTTATAATGTAACTTTTGATTTAGCGGATCTATAGAATGGAAGTGTGTCTTTGATACTTTTAACACCTAAAATATATGCAATAAATCTTTCTAAACCAAGGCCAAACCCACCACTGGTCCGATACCCTGATCGTCTTAATTGGACATACCAGTCCAAATCTTGTGATACATTAGGTATCAACTTTTCATAATTATCCTCACGCATAGAACCACCAATAATTTCTCCAAGTTCGGGGAATATTAAATCAAAACATTGAACAGTCTGTAACTTCTTATTATTTATATTATTTTTCATATAGAATGGTTTTAAAGATTTTGGATAATTTTTAATAAACACAAAACCATTAGAGAATAATGTTGAAGATACCCATTTTTCATGTTCTGAATTGATATTATTCTCATTTATTGTGTCCAATGTTGGTGGTTTGGTGGTGAAAGCATTTGAATTCCCGTCAAGTTCTTTTATTACATCGACATAATCAATCTCATGCCAGTTTTTTGGGTTTGCTATCCTTTCCCATCTGTCCGAAATTTGGTCGGTAGTCATTGTATCCATCGGTAGAGGTAAATAGTTTTTATGACTATTATTATGATTAATTAATTCATCCCAATCCAATACAACTTTTTGATTTTTTAGCAAATCTTTTAAAGTAGATATAATAAAATTTTTTGTTAGAGAGACTAATTCATCTAACGTATTATATTCAGTAGTCTCCAATTCTAGCATCCAAAATTCAGTTAAATGTCTGCCTGTGTCTGATCTTTCAGCTCTAAAGCATGGTGTTAGACTATAAACGTTAGATAATGATTGTGCTAGGATCTCCAAATGCAATTGTGCAGATACAGTTAAATTGAGCGAATTCGGTGCATTTAATGGGAAGATTCCTGAGTTTGTACTAGTCAGTTTAAAAGTCTCATTATTACCTTCTGTGTCATTTGTTGTGATAATTGGTGGATCAGTTTTAATAAAATTGAATTTATTTGACAGGATATTGAAGAGAGTTAATTCTAAATGAGATCTGAATCTTTGTAATGAGGCCATATAATTATTTTTGAATTTGTGTAAAGGTGTATTTCTTAAAGTTGATAAATTAATATTCTTTTCGTTATATTGTAAAGACAAGTCAATTGAATGTGAAATATTGAAAGTAGAGTTTGGGGAGTTCATTTGTAATTCGAAGAATTGAGTTCTATTTGGTGTTAATACAACATTCCAGTTATTTAATTGGATAGTATCTCCTAAGGTAATATTTTGAATATTATTATTTTTATTAGATAGTACAAGTTTTACAGAAGACGATGTTGTGCCATCCATTATATCAACAAATGTAAAATTTTTCAATTTATTAATATTTGTTATATAACCATTTAATTTATTGACATGTTGGCCGTCTTTAACTATGCCATTTTGTACATCATGAAACAACTGCTTTATTATATACTTTCTTTTAAAGATTTTTAACATTATTTTGTGGTGACCTATTCTTTAAATAGATTGGTATGTTTTAATGCATATATAAGTAAGAATTTAAGTACGTATAGATATTTTACAAGAAGGTTATTTTTTTTTTGGTGTAATATTGTTTAGTATTTATTTATTATTCAGTTCCCTCTTTCTCTATTACCTTTCATACTTTCATTTATTTTTCTTTGATTTTTGTTGAATAGAGTTAGAGTTCGAAAGATGATATGTTAATTAAGCAAAAAAAAAAAAATAAAAAAAAAAAAACGAGAAGTATATATGTATAAATATATATATACATATGTATATATAGTAAGCAGGAACAAAAGATGTCTGTTTAATTGACATTGAGAAAATGGTCCATTAAAAGATTTTGATATTTAGTGATATTTGATACTTGTATGACTCTTTATATATGGCCCAAGACAATGATAATAGTATGTAATAATAAATATATAAATTGAATCAAAGAATGAAGGAAAAGAAAGCAAAGAAAAAGGTTTTGAGAAAATTGGGAAACACACACTAATAAACATTCTATTAAACTAAATAAGTTTCTTCTTATATGCATACATACATAAATACACATATATACATATATATAAAATAAAAGTCATAAACTTATTCGAAGTAATAGGTAATACTTTATCTCGAGGAAGACAAAAATAAGGGCAAAACAAAAATAAAGGGACGACATGTGACGACACAATGACAAGAGGGGAGACACACTCCTCCCCTCTCGAGAATTGTAATTATCTACTGTCTAAACCAGCTACCAAAGCACACAAAACTCTCTTATATACACACACAAAACAATAAAAGAGTGTGGTATCAATAGCAGGTAACAACAATAAGTTTAGACAACTACAATAATTATGCGCCACACATCCTGAATTTTCTTTGCTTGTTGTAACAATACCTGATGATTCACCTCCCATATTCTTATTTAACCTAATTTTAATCCCCTTTTTGTTCAAATAATAATGTAACAACAGAAGAAGCGTATTACATCATTATAGGGAAACACACATTTATAAATCAACTTTTGTCTTGTTTGACACACACATAACAACAAAGAAATTATAACAATGGTATAATTGAAAAAACTTAGTAAAACAAAAAAAAAACAGAAAATAGATAAACATTGAAAGGCTAAAAAACAATAGCAACAACAATAGCACACAATATATGTTGTCACTCAAAGATATAGTAATAAGAAAATTTGCATTCTTCAATATTAATTATTAATCTAATATGTAGTCTTCTTTTCAAATTAATGGTACAGAAAATAAAAAACACATAACAATAATAAACATTATCATTAATGTAACCAAACCAAAAATTTTATCTTTTAACCTAAATACGTAAAAAACAGGGGTATTGTCATTTATTTATATATTGTTTCAATCAATTAAAACATAGATTGGAGGTTTGTAATGAAATAAAAAAAATAAATTGAAATAATAGAAACAAAAAAAAGAAAAGGCATAGTGAGAAACTGCTAACTAAGAAGTTGCAAGATTACTTAGAATCTTTGTAAACCTCTTTGTCTAGCTTGCCATTTTCTGTAGATAATAGTGGAAACAATAGCAATACAAGCTAAACCAACTAAAACAAAGACTAAAATAACACCACCTGGTAACATTTTTTGTGTTTCTACTTGTTTTCTATGTTGTTAAATTGAATAAATGTTGTGTATGGGTTCTTTCCACAAGTAAACAAAGCAACAAGAGAACCAATACTACAGAAAACACTTGATAAGGAGAGTAACAGGAGAAAAGTATGGAACGTAACACACGCAAGCAAAGAGGGAAGAAGAAAAAGTTTTCCTTATATACCGGTACCTGGAAGGAAATGAAAGAAGAGACAAATGTGGAACTTATCTTTGTATGTTTATATATAAGTTTGTGCGCACATATTGTGGGTGACGAATGGACGCCCATCAGGATTACTCTTTAAGAAAAAAAAAAAATAGAAATAGAGGAAGAGAAGAAATGAATGAGATTGAATAGGAAAAACCTCTTTTTTTTCTTTGTTTGTTTTTTTTTATTTGTTTATTTATTTTTTTTTCTTTTTGTTTTATTTTCTCTACAAAAAGAAAAAAGAAAAGTTATTATTTTACGCAAAAACAGAAGAAAAAAGCAAGAAACGAAGCAGGGGAGAAAAAAAAAAGACGCAGATGTTATATCATATGCTAAAAATGGAAAAAAAAATAGTATTTTAAAACAAATCTCACTACTAGTTGAAAATATCAGTTCTAATGATAGGGCTAGTAAAAGTTTTCCGGGAAATTACATTTTTTTGTCCGAAGAGTTTGTACTAATAGTAAAAAAAGACTGTCTTTTATTTTTTTCTTGTTCTTGTAACTATTTTCTTTCTGACTTCAAAGAGTTATAACTATCAGTAATTAAAGAAAGAGAAAGAAGTAAGTATGCTTTTTATTTTTGTAAATGAGAGCTACCTTCTAATAAGAAAAAAAATTTGTAATGTACGCTTTACATAGTAATGCCTAGAACTTTGCTTGTCTCTTCTTATGTAACTAAGAAATAAGGTTTACCATAGTAGAAGGTTTGTTTTTTTCTTATTTTTAAGAATCTTTCGTAGAAAAATTTAGGGTTAACATGAAAAGGGGAGATGAAAAAGATAGTTTAAAATATCAATGATAATTCTTTGTTTTTTTCTTTTCCCCTATTAACTAAGGTGGTGGTGATATAAACTAAAATCGTCTCCTTAATCATTTCTCCTATTTTTTTTCTCTTTCTACTAAAAGAATTTTTGATAAGAACTTGATGGCGCGTCTTTTTTTTGTTTTTGTTTTGTGTATTTCTGGTTTTTGTTCATTTCCTTTTTGTTGTTTTTGTTTCTATTATTACTATTTTCGGAATTGATAAATATAAAACAATTGGCCTAATACGGATTGTAAACAAAAGTTTTTCCGGATACAATATTTTTCCCTATTTTGGCAAAAAGCAAGAAAATATTTTCGTTAATTATGTTTGGTTTTTGGGGACTGTATTTCCCTTTCCAGAATTCCCTATTCTCTTTTGTTTATATTATTATTTTGGTTTTTTCCTCTTTGTTCAATTCTTTTTTTTCATCACAAAATAGAGAACAATATGAACATGAAAAACAACGACAGCCATAGCAACCACAACTACGACAAGAGATTGGCTAACAACAATAAAAAAAGAAAAAAATGACATAATCCTAGTTAGATTGGTACATTTTTGAAATCGTATTGTCTTTAATTGGTCTTTGATCATGGTTGATGGAATAATGCCGAGGTGTTTTTTTCATTTTCCGTTTCTTTTTTTTTTTTTTTTTTCAAATAGAAATTATTAATTGTCATTTCTAATTTTGTTATCATATCTTTTCTCGATCTAAAGTATAGATCGGTTAGCTAATTGGATCACTGGCTGTGATGCTACAATAGTCTAATGTATATGTATATACATGCATATGTATGTGTGGACACACGTGTGTCTGCGTTTATACTGGGACATGCGAGGAGGCTTGAACCACGTCTTCGTGGCTACGTGAGTCTCTTACCTCTAATTATGATAATTCAAGGTTATCAGGCTCTCTTTCTGTCAACTGACTCATCCTGATAAATATTGTCGATGATGTCATTGAAGATATCGATTATTTCTTCCTCCGTCTCCTTCAGATAGTCAAGCATTGAATCAATCAGATTATGGTTGCCTTCATCGTTGTTGTTGTTTTTTTCATTTTTATTTTTATTCCCACTTTTATTGTCACTTTTTTGTGTTGAATGATTTATTGATTCAGTAGTTGTTTCTGTACCGACGAGCGTGGTTGTTTTTGTATTGGTTTTAGAGTTTGTCGTTCTAGATGAAGTTAAGCTGGAGAAAGTTGTCGTTGGAGTTGGAATTGAGGATGATTTCGTTATAATATTCCCATTAGTACTTGAACTTGTAACCGAGTTTGTGATAGGACTTGTACTTAAAATTGGATTTGTTGTCGAGCTTTCATCGATTTTAATGGTATTACCTATTTCAACATAGTGATTGAATTCGGATGTATACTGTATCGTATATTTGTCTCTGTTTGGATTTCTGTCTCTAACATTTAAACCGACTAATGAACTTATGATGTCATAGATGGCAATATTATTAAATGGCATCAAGTATCTATTATTATCCATATAATTTACAATAACATCATGGAAATATGGACCTTGTCCAATAAATATCGAACTTTCTTGAATTACACCGATATCTTTTGTATTTTCTACCAATAAATATGGATTCTTAGGTATTAACCATATATCATCCATCGACTCATAGACTATTTTATCAATCTTAGATGGGTTTTGAAAATTAATATTATATTCCTTAGGTAGATTATCCTTTATATGTAATGATACTTGGCTTGAATCGATCTTTGTTTTCAACATTCTATATATTTGATTTCTATCGTTTGTATCTTTAATTTTTATCGAAATTAATCTCCCCTCATGATTATTAATCCGATCTATTTTCTTTAATAAATTCTTGTATATTTTTTTGGCATCCTTATTACTATTTTCTTCTTCCAATTTGAATAATTGTCTTAATTCGAGCTTCTCAATGGGTTTCTCCTCGTTGTTCATAGTATCGTCTTGATTTAATGTTTTGATGTCTTCAGTACTGCTACCACTGTCACTCAATATTATTATATTTGTTAAGTTAACCAGTAAATTACGGTGTCTTAACTCATAAACTAATTTATGTAACAATCTATCCATATGATTAATCTTCTTATAAGCAGAGATTTGATTTTCACCATGGATAATAGAATCCATCAAATCGTTCATTGTCAGTAGAATTAACTGGGGACGTTCTCCTTTTTCTATAATATCAATCAATTTTATAACCTCGTCGATCTTACCTTCACTATCTAAATGTTCACTATTATGATAATGGTTTCCATCATTTTTGAAATGTGTCCAACCAAAGGATTTCATGATAGATGTATTATTATTATTAGTAAACACTTTATCAATGGTGTTCCAAATAGGAATAGTAACATTTTCGGCCTTTAAATTTTTAATATCATCTTTCAACATTCCATTATTTATGGGATAGTTTCCTGTAACCATACACCAATCTTGCAAATTAGAATCATATGGGAAATTAGGTTCTAATTCACCAATAATTGTATTCATTGACACATTATTTAATTTATTTTCATTTGGATAAACCATATCATATAAAAAGGGACTATGATCTTTATTTATTTGTTCAAAGGACATATACCTCAAATTTATCACAATAGTTAGTGGGTAAAACTTATGTGTACCATTACTGTACAATTTATTTGGATTGAAATTGATCTTACTGTTGTATAGATGTTTATTTGTTGTAGAGAATATCTTGGTGATATCATTATTTTGGCTCAAGTTACTGTTTTTGGACCAAGTAATCTTTAATATTACATGAATCATGAAAGTTATAAGCAGCCCCATTATAATGATCCATTTCAAGAATCTTATTAATATAAACATTCTTCTTCCTAGAGACCATTTTCTACTGAAAGATGGGAAGGTTCTTGAGTCAAATGATTCGAGTATGTCATTATTGTCATTAGTCGAATGAATAATTCTGTCTAGGTTCTCATCAGTATCTAAATCATACAATGGAATTCCATGATTATTTAACTTATTTAATCTTGATTGTGACAATGTTTTTGTATCAAACCAAGACTTGACTTTATTTAATAAGCTGGAATTGTTTCGTAGGAATAAACTGATAGTATTGTTGTTGTTATTAGATCGGTGCAGATCATATCTCAGGGGGTCATCTTGGAATATATCATCATCGTCTGTAATTGCAATACCATTGTGAATTTCACGATGAGTATCCATGCTCCTGACGTCCAAATCAAAGGATGAGTCAGTATCACTAAGTTCAGCCATCTTTATATCACCGTTGATTGACTCAACTTTATTTATTGTATTTGAGGTTGTTGCACGTTTCTTTTTTTTCTTTATATACACATATGTGTGTGTGTCTATGTATGTATCGAAGATCTTAGTTATTAACTTCACTTTACCACATTCATTATTTTTTGTTCTATATATTTTTATCTTTATTTGTTCGTATTTGTCTTGTTGTATAAAAGGTGATAGAAGAAGATATATATCCCATTATATGAAAAAACGAAGTATTTTAGTCACTTATTTAATCATTCCCTTGCGTACTTATACATGTATATACACATATAAGTAAGTGCTTAATCATCTATTGTATAGTAAATGATATAATAGAATATATTTTAAAAAATACTACTTGGATTATATATATATATTATGATAAAGATAATAATATAACTATGACAATAATGAAAAATACTAATAATTGTAATAAATAAAGGCAAATAGGATTGTTACATTATGGTACATTTATCATTATTAGAATTATTTTGAATATTTAGTATTCTATCTCGTTCAATTTTCATTAATTTAATAAATTCATTCATTGAAAGGTCGATATTATAATTGTCTCGGGAACTACATTCAAAAAATAATGAATTTAATTTTTTGGATAATTGTCTTCCTTGATCCCATGAAACCTGCCGTGTGCTTTGACTCTTATTTGGAGAAGTATTAGAAGCATTGGTGCTTGTGGTGTCACGTATATCACATTTCATACCTAGTAACAGTATTGGAAAGTGTTCAGTGGGTAAATCTAAATGTGTTATAAATTTACTCCAAAGATCCTTTAATATCACAAAACTATCTAAATTATTGACATTATAGCAAAGGATACAACCATCCAGATTAACGAAAGATTTATAATAACTTATATTTAAATTCGAATCATTTTTAGATTCTTGACCTACTGTATCAATAAACTCCAAAGTTATAGTGTCACCATCTAAATCTAGACTATACTCGTTCTTATCTACTATACTGTAGGAATTACTATCATTATCAATGTTATGAATATTATTTATGCTAGATATTTGGAAAGGGTTATCATTTGACGACTGATTTATATAATTTTTATATAAAATATAGTCATCCCTGCTATAATTACTATTATTACTATTGTTGTTGTTGTTAAACATATTTTGTTTCATATGATTTTTGTCAGTAAAAAGAATAGTCTTAGTAAAATGATTTTCCTTGTTGGTTGGATAGTAAGACTCTAGAAATCTAAATTCAACATATCTTGTAATAAAAGAAGTTTTTCCAACATTATGAGCACCAATAACAGCTATTTTGAAATACGATTTATGTAAAATATTATTAAATCTGGAATATTCACTGCTTCTGGAACTATATTTATTATTACTATTATTATTATTATTATTATTATTATTATTATTATTATTATTACATTGAGAAGCGATGTTTAAAGAAGTATTGGTGATATTATTCATATTGTTATTAACTGTTATAAAGCTATTATCTACAGGACTGTTATTTTCCATGTTGATATTCTAATTCGATTAATTATCATAGGAGTGGTATATGTGTATATATAATAATTTCATGCACAATATTTGTTTTTTTTTTTGCTTATCTGATCTGTATAGTTTTTTTAAAGCATAGTCAAATCCTCTGCTATAGTAGAATTTGAATTGTATCGTTATCTTTTTCTCCTAGTAAACCACGACAGTTAAGTACATGTACATATGTATATGTTTAATATGTATATGTAGGTGTGTTTGTATCTATTCTCATTTGAGCACTGGAAAACTTGTAAAGAAAAAAACAAAAAATGAAGAAAAGAAAAAATGGAAACTTAAGTGAAGCAATGAAGCCTGTAATTTTTTGTTTTTATTTTTATTTTTATTTTTTATTTTTTATTTCTTATTTGTAGACTGATGGCTATGAATACGGCTAAATGAGTGTTGGGACGTTATACAGTATGTAAGTGTTCTACGTATTTAATATATATCTACAATTGCTGAATATAGAATATAATGTGAGGTGTAATAATGTAATATTTGTACTCTATAAATGGGTGAATAATTAAACTATATTTAATCCAAAAAAGAATAAAAAAGAAAAAGAAGAAAAATTAAAACAGAGTAATTACAATGTTTTGTTATTTTGTTTGTTTTAATAAATCTATTTTATTTTTCAATGTTTGTAATAAAATTTGTTGTCGTTCGATATTATAACATAGTTTATATTTATCTATTTCTGAAGTATCTGCTAAATTGAATAATTCTAACATATTTATCCTCTCATCTAGCATATCATATGCTGTTAGATTTCTCAAAGTTACGGTATCATTATTGTTGTTGTTGTTGTTATTGCTGTTAATGATGGTGGAAATAGCAGAAGTGGCAGTAGTGGTCACTGTATTTGCATTTGTTGAATTTGAATTTGGCATGACAGAACGTCAGTTAGATATTGAGGGGTACAAATGTTTTAGAAGATTGTGGAGCTGAATATAAAAGAAAAATAAAAAAATAAAAATTATGCCAAATGTCTTCTTTTTCCTTTAGTTCTTAAATCTAGTTAGATCTATATTATTTTGTAATCACCAATGGAGTACCAATATAGCTATATATATATATAGATAGATACTTGTGTTCAGTTGTACATCTGTCTGCTCTCTAGTGGTTCTGGTAATGTTTTTCTTTTTCCTTCACCTTTCCTTCTTTTTTCGTTTTTTTCTTTTCTCTTCTCTTTTCTTTTCTGTTTGGAATCAAAAGCTTTTCGAACGTTGGAATTTTTTCCCTGTTAATTTATGGTGATTGGTGTTTGTGGGTAGCTGTAACTGTAGCTGTGATAGAGAGATATGTGATGGGCAATGATAGATAGACCTACCTATTTTTCAATTATTACCTACAAGTGTATAGTTGAATAGACATGGAACATGTTTTAATTCATATATTTACATGTAAAGAAAGATAAAGAGGTTATTTTTAAGTCTCTCTTGTTACTTTAGTGCGTTTGATCTCTAATGTATTATTAGATGATATAGAATCGTCATTTTGAAAAGTAAACCGCGAAGAGATAGGAAAAAGATTTTGTTTATCTAATGGATTAATAATGGTTGTAATATCATCATTACGAGACATTATCGGAAGCACATTATATGTTAACGTTACATATGATCAGCATATCATGCTTACAGGGAAATTACAAGCCATTGACGCTCAAGGTAATCTTTTATTGGACGATGTCAAGGAAATAACAACTGGAAATAGTAGTGATATTGGTGGTAGTAATGGTAGTGGTGCTAAAATAAGAATGGTACATCAAAGAATGTTAGGTTTAGTCAGTGTACCTAGAGACTCAATTATATCTGTTAAGATTGATAAGACTCTCTTTGAGAGAAAACAGGTACAAAAATCAGATATTATTAATAATGTCATATAGCATCTTTGCACTATTGTGTATTTGTATATATTAATCTCTTCTATTCATAAGTTGATTTGTTAATTAATACTCTGGTAATTTTATAAGTCAATTGTCACTAGTTTGTTCGGTTTTCGTTTTTTTTTTCATTTCCATTTTTTCTTATTTAGGATATTTCCCTTTTCGATACTTCCCATATGACAGAGATCACATCTTGATTGTAGTACTTTTATAACAGTTTCTCAATTTGTTTTTTCTAATAGTTGCAGTTTTAATAAGTTATCTAAAAGTTTTATTGTTCCAATGGTATTATTCTTGGTTTTTTTTCTTTTTTCTTTTGGTTTTAAGTTTAAGACATAAGTATATGTATCTATGTGTAGTATGGACCATTTCAATCAATGAATATTCAAATAGCTAATATAATAACGTTGACGTATATACGTATATATATATATATATTTGGGTGCATATTCCCTTAATTCTATAAGTATACTGTGACTTCTTAACGCTTCTCTTTGCTTGTTTTTTTGTATGTATATATCGCCAACATAAAAAGATATTAATAGGTAAATTAAGTCAATATAAAAAAAAATCATGTCTACTACTTCTCAGTTGATTGCTAAGTATCTAGATATTTATAAAAAGGCTACTGAACATCAACTTACAAAAGATCTTTGTCAAGGTATTTTATCTGATAAAAGACTTTTTGTATATTTTACACAGGATTTAAATTTCTTCGAGGTTGGTCTAAGGTTGATTTGTAAAATTACTTCATTGGCTCCCGATACCTATCCATTAATAACGTTAGCCAGAAAGATTGGGTTTTTCGCTAATGATGAAAACACTTATTTCCAAAACTGTTTAGTTTTATTGAAAGAAAACTTATCTGATGAAGACATCATTAAATACGGTGATAAAACAGGATCTTTACCTGGTGTTAAACCATATGTTGATTTTTTAAAAGAAATGATAGACTCAACTAAGTTTACTTATGCTCAATTGATTACATACCTATGGGTCTGTGAAGCTATATACTTGAAATGGGCTCATGACTTGCCAAGAAATGAAAATTTACATTGGAAATATCAAACTTGGATAGATCTACATGATGGCGCTCATTTTATTGAATGGGTTGATTTTTTAAGAAAAGAAGTTGATAAATTTTCAATGGCTGAAGTTGAGAATATGTTTGTGAAAATAGTTAAGTATGAATACGACTTTTTTGAATCATGTTATAATGTATAGTCGTTTGTATTCTTTTTTGTTTTTTTGTTTTTGTTTTAATATCTATATACTTTTTCTTTTGTTCCTGTTTTGTTACTAAATATCTTTAGCACTTAACTCTAATAATTAAAAGTTTCTTAAAAAGTTTTTTCTCAGTAATTTCCCATTAATGTGAATCTGATGACCATTTAAATGCATTTACAGACTAGATCCAGGGTTTTGGTCGCCCCAAAACCATTCATTCCAACATTAAGTATTATCCAGGAGGTATATCTTTCCGGATTTCTAATCAAGTTTTGTTACATAATCATATATAAAAATCTATGTCTCTCAAAAAGAAATTGCAAATTTGTGATGAGTCATTGATGGCTAATAGTTGATAAATTTATGATGTTTTTATCTTTTATTGTATTACTATATCTTATATTACTTTTATTTTCCTAGTTTAAATATGTGATGAACATGTACAATAGATATTACTCATTTCACCGTATTAGTTCTGTTTATATATATACTAATTTCAAAATAGCGCATAATATCTTCATATTTTCTTGCTCTTTTTATATTTTTGTGTCAATTGGAGCTTTTTATAGAAGATAAGGTTTCAACAAATAAAATAAACAAACGAAGCAAAAACGACCTATTCTTAAATCACAACAATATACATAAACAAAACAATCAACAAATTATACTTATGTATATAAAGAATCTTTTTTTATAAACACACACACACATATATATATAACCTCTCCCTCCTGTATTATATATCTTTTCTTTTTGTTTTTCTTTCCCATAATCCCCTTTCTCTTTTTTCATAATCAATATATGGAATATCTAACAATTTAAAAATCCTTTCTTCATCAAAACTTTCTATCATTTTTCCACGATAGAAAAGTCCATGTTGTGTTAATTTGTAACCTTTTTTAATCGCCTCTAATCGAATCCATCTATTAAACTCCGCAGATCCTGTCCATTGTAATCTTGCAGCCCCCAATTCAGACCATCTACAACTAAAAAAGTCCAATCTTCTACAATAATTAGTTGTGCCGGTTCTATCACTCCCAGACATAAATAAATCAACATCCTTTAATTTGCTAGATGATGACTTTTGTAAAATTGTTTCCCTTTCTCTTATAGTTAGTTCAAACTCTGATCTTTGTAATATTACACCCAAATAATAAATTCGAGAAAATTTATGACTAACCATATGACATTTTTTTGGTAATTTCAAATCTACTTTTTTGAAAATTTCGTTAAAATCATTTTTAAATTCATCATATAATTGTGTTGATAATTGTAAAATACATTTAATATAACCTTCTCTATGTAGTTGTATTATCAATTCTTGTAATACAGATACTATTATTTTGATGTCATCGCAATCCTCTCTATAGAACAATAAATCAATATCTCCTGAACTTTCCATACCACGATTATAACTACCTTGAATTTCCACATGACATCTTTCATCAATCTTGGAAAGACATTCCTTAATCTTATTGAAATGTATTGCAGTCTCTCGTCTCAATATTTGCATAGACCATTCTTCATAATATTTCCAACCATATAGTAAAGGCCATTCAGTTATAAAATCCTGAGATAATTTTATTAGGACATCTTTAAAGCTATTCATCCTTAACAAAGCCCATCTTTTAGCCATAGATGGACCAACCCCATGACAGTTTTGGAAATAAGTCAATATTTGTTGATGAGAGATCTCTATCTCTTCTCCAGGTAAACTTCCTGTAGTAACAATTCTTTGGATTAAATTCCCAATACGGGGGCCAATGTGAGGCAATTGCCTTTCTGCTTGTTTACCAGAAACAATTTTAAAATTGCATTTTTCAATAACCTTTTTAGCCACCGAATAATTGCTACTCTTAAAATGGTTACCTTCTATCTTATGTCTTTCTGCAAGATATTCTAATGCTTTTATAATCTCACTGTTATTTTGAGTTTCTTTCCTTGGTGTTTTTTCAACATCCTTCTTATCATTTTCTTCATCCTGATTTCCTGGAACGCTTCCGATGGTTATCGATTTATCCACAGACAACTGTTCATCTATATTACAATTACCATTATTCTCTTGATTTTGTTTACGGTCTAGATTCAAATATACTTGTTCATTAAAGTTGGACCTCTCATCCTCATTATAAACTTCTATCATTTCTTTTGTAAAATGAAGCCTCTGTTGGATATCATTAATCGGTACTATATGTTTACTTAACCATCTACCAACTTGGCTACACTTAAAGAAGAATAAATGAAACTCATCTATTTTATTAAATAATACATTTAAATCAAACGATGACTCTTTAACAAATAAAACCATGTCGTTGATACCATCTTTCTGAGAATTAAGAAATGAATCGACTATTAATACTACAATTTGATTATTATTTACATCATCCATTGAATGGACTATGGTTCCACCATTTTCCTCTATTAATTTACATCTGAACTGTGTTGAACTTGCATTTATATTAGGTAAAATTACAAAACCTAGCTTCTCAAATAACATTCATATGCACGTAAATCATCTATTACCCTTAGTATGTAATAAATATGAGATATATGTACTATAGGTGCCTGGTAAAACGAAGGAAAATCTCTCTGTTGATCTATAATTAACGCATAACAAGGAAGGTGTTTTTAACAGTTTGCAACTATTTTCTTCGTTTTTCACAATAAAACCTTTCTAACCCCTCCATAATTTTCGTTCTTTAAAAACAGCCAGTATACCTTTATTTCAAAGGATTATTTTTTTTCTATAGTCAACTTGACATAAGTGAAATAGTTCAACAAGAAATTCCATACACAATTAAGGAAAACTATAAAGAGAACTTAGATAGAGACTAGAATAACAATAAAAATACAAAATATAAATAAAAATATCATGTTCACACACTTCTATACCAATCACTAGTGAAAAAATTAGAGACCGGCTCAAACTGGTGCAATTGTTTCATTCTCTGCAAAAAAAGAGTAAATAAAATAAACCATTATATTCTGATATATTAAATCACCAACTACTGACACTTAGCCATTGCAGTTGATAAGGTCGAATTGGTCTTTCTTGCATGTTTTATTTGTGATGAGAGAGTAAGATCACAACAAAAACTGCAACTAGTAGGACAGGTGAAAGATAGGTAGAGAAAAAGATATATGAACACAAACTTTTGAATAATTTTTTTATCTTGTTTATTTTTGTTTTATATGACTTTTTTTTCTTTTCGTAATTTTTTTTTTAATTTTTTTTGTTTATTTTCTTTGATCTCTGTCCCATTCACAAAACGAAATAAATACTAAAAAGATAGGAGAAATAAGAACATGTATTTATCATTAATTAACCGTCTAAATTCACAAATAACTATATTCGTTGTAACAGATAATAATATTCTTCTGTTGTATTTTTTCCTTGACGTTCATAAAAATGTACTTTCAAAAATAAATAAATATCTATATACTCCTATACGTACGAGTTATATTAATCGAAATAACGAGGATCACTCAATACATGATAGAAATGTCCATCCTCCCCATCTCCTCTAAATTTATCTGGAAATTTTAAGTCATCATCATCCTGTTCATTTGTCCATTCCGTATTATATATTGAGTCTCCTGCTTCAGTTAATTCCTCATTAGTTAACACTTGGAACTTACCAACTTGCAATTCAGTATCCGTAATACTACCTCTAGCAACTCTAGCATATCCATTTCTCTTAATATTCTTGTACAAAATGTATTCACACCATCTTTCATCATCACTCGGATCTATATCGTGCATACCTGAGATGTCACTCACATATGTGTTATAATTACCTTGCAATGGTTCAGTGACCAAATAACTTAATAGTAGAGTTGGTCTATCGGTGGAACCCATCAATTTAGCTAATGCTTCTGTTTGAAGTTTTCTATCCTCCACATCTTCTTCTTGTCCAGAGTGGAAAACAAAAATATCAACTAATACATCATCATATGTCCTTAGGGTAGCATGTATAGCTGGAGCAAGTTCACCCACAGGAGATGGCATCAAGAAATGCGTAGAATTGACAATAGGGAACTTAGAAAGTAATATACAACCCCATGTGTGTTTATTTGGACCAGGACCGAAATCAGCATACATATTCAAATCATGTGAAAGTTTACTAGTTAGATCTCTGTTTCCCATCACAATACGTTGAGAATCGGTTTCCAATAAACCGACAACATCTAGTTCCATATCTTTGATTAAGTTAATCATACGATCTTCAGATGCCCACAAGTCATTATCTAAACCGAAATGAATTGTCCAGATACCGGCAGTAATCACTTTAGAATCTGGATGATATGGAATAGGAACTCCTGTTGGTCTATTATTATAAGTGAAACCACCAGTCAACAACAAACAAACTAACGCGAAAAGCGAAATTATTCTTACAAACTTTTTAGTTAATTGAGTTTGTTGAATAGGTTTTTTAAATATTAGGCCTAATAAAATCAATGTTGTAGAGAAACCTAAAAGTAACTCAATTTGTTCTCTTAAAAGCCAACCTCCTGGAACAAATGCATATGCCACTACCCAGACATGTCCTAAAATCAGAATGTTGTAAAAAAATAATGAAAAGGTGAAAACACAGATGCTCCTAGTAGACGCCACCAGCATTAAATAAGTTGGAGTCACCATGATCACTGATGCAACATAAAGTAAACCACCTCCAATATATTTATTCCACTCTTTAACTTCTTTCAAACATAGAACAATAGTAGAAATGACTAAAATAAATGATGGTATTAATGGTTTATTGATAAAATAAACAGAGAGAACCACAGCAACTACCATTATTGCACAAGTTAATGCACTCCATGGCCATTGTAAGGGACCAGAATGTTCTGAGTAACCTTCCCATGACCAGTATATAATAGTTGATGAATCTGTTAATAATTGATGAATACTAAACATTAATGCACCAAAACCCAAAGAGATTAAAAATTTAACAAAAATATTAAAATCACTTCTTGGTAATTTAGATGGAAGTGAATGTATCTGGTTAGTAAAAGGTACTACCATACCAAATATAATTGCAACCACAATACCAGTTTTATTGTAACCGTTAGTATCTTCATTCATGATAGCCCAAATTGGGTTATTAGAATAGAAACCCATTTTAATAATCACCGAAAATACCAACCCCAATAACCACGAAATAGAGTAAGAAGTAAATACTTCAGTGGTTGTAATTCTTATAAGATTTTGAACAAATGTAGCAACAAGAATTGCACAACTAATAGACACAACAATTAGTCTACTTTCTGGTGTGTTGATTAAGTAGGCACCAATACTAATAACTCCACCAAATAAGCTACCATAATGATAAATAATGGTGGACATCAGAGGCAATGCCAAAAAGACACAGCCTGTAGTACCAAATATGGCGATTTCATAACCTGAAATACCCATATACCATAATGGGAAATACCATACCATACAGTATAATGAAGTGATTGCAGACCAAAATATAAATGAATTGACTGTGTTGGTTAAAATATAAAAGAAGGAATCATATGTAAAAATCGTGTCTTTAGGGTTAATTGGTTCAATTGGCTTCACTTTATCAAATTGCTTTATTGAAACCCTTTCATTTATTTCCATTTTATTATTTGTGAATAAACTTCTTTTTGAATCTTTGAAGATATCTTGTAAATCAATATTAATAGTTAGAGATTGAAAATCTGTATATGATAACATATCAAAACCAATATCAAGGAAAATCAGTGACCATTCGAAATAAGCATATATAGAATAAGCACCTGCCACATGCTTAACTTGATGCTGATAATACCAATATAACATTGGGATTAACAACAAGAAAAATGTTGTTGCAGTTAAAGCTTTCTTCAACTTAAATGGAGAAACTTTAGTAATCATGATATCCCAAGGTAAGGTCAAAACTATATATGCTATCATAAATATATCGTGAATATCATGATCATCTGTACTTGTAATGTATACCCAACCCCCACATGTCACAGTACGTAATACACCAACTAATAGGATAAACTTGGAACGACTTAAGAAGAAATGGCCCAGCAACAATAAAAACCTGGGAAAGGCAGTTAAAGCAATTAAAATTTGAAAGATAGATCTTTCTGGATATCTATCACCAATAGTTGCCGACACACTGGGGAACCATTCATCTGGGTAAGTGTAATGTGCATTTGTGACAATCTTGTGAAAATGTAAATTATAACCTGTGAGCAAAGCGGCTACAAAAGCAGATACAGCACATAGTGTGTGTACCAATGGAATTATTTTCCCATTCAAGGTAAGCATATTGCTTGTAAATTAAAAAAGATAAGCTTGTTTATCTTGACGACAGCACACCCAGTTTTTTTTTTACATGTTATTTCTTTTTTATTCTCACACATAAAATATTGTATTACCAAAGGTTTCACTTATACTCCTGTTATTTTTTTTTCCTTTAAAATTTTGTAAAGTACGTTTTAAAGAATCAAAAAAAAAAGTTTTCATCAACGACTTTTTGACTAAATAATAAGATATACAGTAGCCAGACACTAAGATAAGTTGAAATATGTACAGCAGATAAACACATTGTAATTGTATGTGTACTCTTCAGGTGTATAATGCAAGATATGTAACATATATTCGCACAGTGTTACTGCAGACGATTTTGTAAACTCCTTAATCTATAATAACATTTTTGTTCTTCGCATTTACAAGGTTATATATCTATCTGTATATATCTATTTATCTACGCTACTCTATATTTACAGTTAAATTTATCTTCCATATATAGAGAACGACAACCAATAATTATTTATTTTATTTTATATGCCTGAAAGACATATCTATTGTAACAGATCTTTATCTATTACATTGTCTCAAATTAAATGTTAATCAAATGCTCATAATCAAAGAGCTATCACATGTCTTGTATTACAGGATGTAATAAACCAACAAAAAAATTCTTCAATCATTTACCAAAAAAGTAGCGTCGCCAGGTTTCGATCCTGGGACATCAGGGTTATGAGCCCTGCGCGCTTCCACTGCGCCACGACGCTCTAACAACCGTCAATCGTGGAATTTATTAGAAATTAATAATTGTTTAATAAGAAGACAATATTTAAAGAAAATAGAAAATTTGAAGAGAAATATCGCAAGAAATAAAAAAAATTTACTCCAACTAGGTTATAACAAGTAGGTACATACACGTTTAATCTAAAAAGAAAGTATTTATAATTTGATAACATCAGCCATTAATATGGATACCAAGAGTTCTAAATTCTATTGAAAAGGTAGCAGTATTTAAATTCACTGTGTGAATCCTTGCTTTTTTATGTAAGGAAAAAAAAATAGACAATATAAAGAATATGTAGTTATGTAAATACCTAACTTGGAAAATACATTATAATAAGATATACGTAGAGATTGTATATGTTTGAAATTCTATAAATTTCTACTTGAACACCAAACATTGTGTTTCTCATACATGCTGTATTGTTTCTACATATCACTAAATTTTTATTATCTGCAATTTGCTATCATTAATGACTTTAAATATAGTATCTACAGTATCTTGGTATATATTCCAAAAATTCATTATAACTTCTAACAAAAAAGGATCTGAGATTTTTACAAATGCTCAATTATATATAGCATTTAAATTGTTAATCATTATTAGAAATTTCCGTAATATTTTATATGTTATGACGTTTTCAAATAATTTAATTGCTTTATTTTGTTACAGATAGTAGTAAAATTAAAAAAGAAAACGTAAAAAAACATGTATATATGTATATATGTGTTGAAATAGAATGTTCTATGATAAAATAGATAGAACAATAAGATTTTAGCAGACACTAAACGATAAATTGTTGAGTAATAATTGTTGAGAGGTCACCAAAGGTTGTTGAGTTTGTTTATTAAATATCTTACTGTTCGTAGAGGAAAATGGCTTAATGTTAACATATATAAAGCCAAGGATTTCATCATACATTATTTTTATCTTATTTACAATCTTTGTATATTATTATTTCTATGTTGTATATAGAGAAAGAAAGTGAAGAACTTTATTATAATTTTGTATACTAAATCTGTTTAATATAATATTGAGAATGTTTACTATATATCCAATGAATAAAGGCGCTCATTCTCAACAATATGTATATATGTATATATATATACTTTATGAAAAAAAAAATACTCAATTTTTTTATGATATATAAAAGAGCTAAATAGATCATATATGCACACATCCACTTAACATAAACATATTTTTCTTATAGATTACAAATTATTATCATAAAAAGACAAATTTATTTGGTTTGTTTTATAAAGAAAAAAACAAGAATAAAAAAAAAGGGTAATTTTAATTTTCAAATATTAAAATCAATCCAGTCAACAATTTATATCAATAATAAATAAGGCTATTTACTCAAAAACAGACTCTTTGGTTTGTGTTGATTCTTAAATGTCTATTCTTTTATTTGTACGTAAAATTGATACGCAAAGTCGAACACAATAAAATTTTATTTTCACAACATTCAAATGGGCCTTATTCTTAAAAGCATTATACACAAATAAGCATGTAATATTAATTTTCTTTACCTACTTACTTACTTACTTACTTATTTATTTATATACATATGTATAAAGACTTAAGCAGAACCAGAGATGAAGAACCACTTATCGATGGATTTGTCAATTGGGGCATCTGGCAGTGGAGAAGCAGCTGGGATTTCATTAGCAGCAGCAGCAGAGAAGGAAGCAGAGTCCTTCAAAGTGGTGTTAGTTAAAGCAATACCCTTGGAATCAGCAGCCTTACCAGCCATCAATTGTTTCCAGGATTCATTAGTTTCTCTGATGACATCTAAGGCATACTTCTTGTTCTTGGCTTCACCAGAGAAGGCGAATTGGTTTTCTGGCTTACCATCTGGGATCTTGTAGATTCTGAACCATTCATTAGTAGCCTTTAGTAAACCTGGGAAGTATTTTTCAACGTCTTCAATGTCGTTTAATTTTGGAGCTAATGGATCTTTAACGTCAATAGCAATGACTTTCCAGTCAGTTTCACCTTCATCTAACAAAGCCATGATACCTAAGACTTTAACTTGTTTAATTTCACCAGTATAAGCGATAGTTTCACCGATTTCCAAGACGTCAATTGGATCGTTGTCACCAACAGCCTTAGTTTCAGCGTGGGTTTCATTTGGATCTTCCCAAGTTTGTGGGAAAGCACCATAGTTGTGAATGTAACCGTGGTGTGGGAAACAGTTTCTGACAAATCTCAACTTACCCTTCTTAGTGTCTTGAATGATTGGGTTCAAAGTTTCTTCTTTGGTGATTTCTAATTTAGCGTTAGACCAACGTGGGATTTCAACAACCATGTTAAAAATGTTGTTTTCTTTGTCGGCATATAGTGGGATATCATGGAATGGAGAGATTGGCTTACCATCTTCTTCGATGTAAACTTTGTAGTCTAAGGTGTTCTTAGCACCAATTTGTCTGGTAGTGTAGGCCATTGCGAATCAAGTGTAGTTGTTATACGGGTTGGCTTTAACAGGATTTATAAAAAGAGGAAACTGCAACTATAAACTAAACGGACACTAAAGCAAAAACAAGTCAAAGATACAAAATGAAGCAAGACGAAAACAGATATAGACGCAAAAAAAAATATTGAGTTTATGATCTTTCTTCCACTTATTCCAGGTCTTTTTTAAATATTACTTTATCTAAACAATTCTAAATAAACCATTCCGTGAATCATGTAGTAAGATCACAACCTATGCAAAAATTCTATTCAAAACAGAAAGATACACACATATCTATGTCCACACTTTTCTGGGATATTTTTTCTTTCTGTCTTTCTATTTTTTCTTTTTCCGTTTTGTAAATTTGCCTGTCGGATTTGTGAAAGAAAGCCTCGAGGAATTCTCCAAAAGTAACAAAAAAAGAAAACAAAAGAAAAATAAAAACAGAAAAACCCAGAAAAAAACAAAACTTACAAAACCCATAACATCCATACACCACACCATATATCTTCCTGTCTCTATTATCTTTGTTTTCTCTTTCCGGTTTCACTCCATATCTTAAACTCCAACATCCAAAATGGGAAGTTGTCACTCTGGTGAGACTTTTGAATTTGGATGCAGGAAAAAAAAGAACCCTTTTATTAAAAGTTCCCAATATGGCAAATTTTGTATCACAATTAACGAATTGTATTGGCACATTCTCTTCCCCCCTGAACTTGAAGAAATAGCCAAAAAAAAACATGGCTTTACCTTTTTTCAGAGGACCTTAAGTTATATAGACAAAGTAAATGTCATTAGCTTATATGAAAACTATAAGTAAATCATTAGATTCATTAAATAAGTGTTTACTTAACAAAGTACATAAATAAGAAATAAAAAAAAACATAAAGTCATACATATGGATGTGTCAGATTATGTCACTAAGATAAATCTTTTCTATATTATTATCATTCTTAGTAAAGGCAAAAGGAAAAAAAAGAAAACAAACAAACAACAATATAGATGTAAATTGTTTTATTCTATCCTAACACTTATTTTTGAGATAAGTAAGCAACACCTGGTAATTCCTTACCTTCTAACAATTCTAAGGAAGCACCACCACCAGTGGAGACGTGGGAGATCTTCTCAACGACACCGTACTTCTTGGCAACAGTAGCAGTGTCACCACCACCAATGATAACAGTGTTACCGGCTTCACAAGACTTGACGACTTCGTCTAACATAGCCTTGGTACCTTCAGCGAACTTTTCGAATTCGAAAACACCTGGTGGACCGTTCCAGACAATGGTCTTAGCCTTAGCAATAGTAGCAGCGAATAATTTTCTGGATTCTGGACCATTGTCTAAACCTTGCCAGCCAGCTGGGATACCTTCCTTGTCGGAGACAACCTTGGTGTTAGCTTCTGGAGAGAAAGCGTCAGCAATGACGAAGTCAACTGGTAAGACAACTTCGACGTTCTTAGCCTTAGCCTTTTCAATTAACTTTGGAACAATTTCAGCACCAGCCTTGTCGAAGATGGAGTCACCAATTTCAGTGTTTTCTAAAACCTTCTTGAAGGTGAAAGCCATACCACCACCAATGATGATAGAGTCAACCTTGTCTAATAAGTTGTCAATCAATTGAATCTTGTCAGCAACCTTAGCACCACCTAAGATAGCCAAGAATGGTCTGGTTGGGTTTTCTAAAGCCTTACCAAAGTATTGTAATTCCTTGGTTAATAAGAAACCAGCAGCTCTTTGTGGCAAGTCGAAACCAACCATAGAAGAGTGGGCTCTGTGAGCAGTACCGAAGGCATCGTTAACGTAAACATCAGCTAAGGAAGATAATTGTTCTCTGAACTTAGCAACGTCTTCCTTGGAAGCCTTGACCTTTTGGCCGTCAACCTTTCTGGAACCTTCTTCTTCAATGTGATATCTTAAGTTTTCTAATAAGATAACAGAACCTGGAGCAGAAGCCTTGCAAGCGGCTTCAACTTCTGGACCAACACAGTCGTTTAAGAAAGTAACTGGCTTACCTAATAACTTTTGTAATTCTTCAGCAACTGGGGCTAAAGAGTATTTGTCGTTTCTTTCACCGTTTGGTCTACCCAAGTGAGAAGCTAAGACAACGTATCTTGGGTTGTGTTCTAAGACGTACTTGATAGTTGGTAAAGCAGCAACAATTCTTTGGTTAGAGGTGATGGTCTTACCGTCTAATGGGACGTTGAAATCGACTCTGATGAAGACACGCTTGTCCTTCAATTCCAAATCTTGGACAGTTAACTTAGAAGATAAAGACATTTTTTTTGTTTTTTTGGTGTGAGTTGTTGAGTTTTATCTCGACGATGTTATGTCAAGAACAAGTAAGAAAAGAAAGGAGAAAAATTTAAGAAAAAAGACATAAGAGGCACTAAGGCGAAAAAGTAGCGAAGCTTTCAGACAGCTCCAATCTTACATTATCTCCAAATATCCAAACTTGTTGATGTTTTATATATTGAACATGAGAGATTTATCTCCCCTTGTATCTCTCATAAACAAGGAACAAAGAAGGACAAAGAACAAAAAAAAACAAAGCAAAAGAAAAAGAAAAAGAAAAAAGAAGACTGTAAAGGTTTAGTTAAAATCAACAACGTCAAACAGCACGAGTATTATCACCATCCATATCATAATCAACAAAATGAAAGTGTACGCTGTGCTATGAAGTAGTTGGATATGTGTGTGAGTGGAAGAAGAAGTCTACAGAAACTAAGAGAAAAAAAAAAAAAGCAATGGAAGATGATAAATCACCTTTAAACAAAAAAGAAAAATTTAAATTATTGAACCACCAAATGTGCTTTCAATAATAGAAACAACGTCAACAGAAAAAAAAAAAATAGAAAAAAGCAAAATAGAAGAAGCTGTTTGTGTCTTGTTATGAAACCTGACGATTAATTCTACAAGAATTCCCAAGATGGCAGTTGTTTTACACATTTCTATTAAAGAAGGGTGAACAGAAATATGATTGTGTATCTTTCTTTTTTAGGCCCACACCTACCTCTACTGTTATGATTGCTAATGACATACAAGAAATATAACGCCTAACAAATTAGCATTCTTCTTTTTGTTTTTCAACTCTTTGAAAAAATAATACAAAATCAAACAATAAGTTGGAAAAGCGTTAGTGGATGCTTCGAACTTGGCCGAAAAGGGAAAACTGTAGAAGAGCTTCCTCTATTTTCTACATGTTTGTCTTGTGTTCTTTAAAAAAATAAAACAGAAAAAATCACAGAATTCTGAATTTTAGACTCAATGGTACAAACATACAAAAGAACCCTAAGAAAGTCTTCAGGAAGTTTTCAAATAGACACGAGGGTTTAAATAAGATTTTAGAATAATTTCAATAGGGTTACTAATTTTCAATTAGGATTTTTAAACCTACGAACATTATTTTTACCAACTTTCATCTTCCAATCATATAGAAATTTAATATTCACATATTTTGTATCAAACACATCTTGTCTGCATTATTTCTTTTTATAAATACTGATTTTAATGCTACATGTCTACAGTACGTTTAACAGTACGTTCTTTGTAAAAGTATATCTAGAAATAAGACCAAAAGGGTTTGAGATGATATTATATTACATGATAACAATAGTAGCAGTCTTAAACTATACTTAAAATTAAGTAAAGACATGTATTTCATTGAGAGTATTCATCGTTGGCTGCTTTCCCTTCCAGGCCCTTATTATAATATACTTGATGATAAAATGCTTATCTTACAGTCTCTTGTTTTCACTTTTCTTCTTTCTTTTTTTTTTTTCCTTTTTCTCTTATTCTTTCTACATCAAAATTTTTAAAGATAAGGGTAAAAGGTGCATACATTCTTTTTACCTTCCTTTTTTTGTAAGATGCAACATAAAATAAATACTAATGGAGCTAAACCAATCAACTAACTAACTGACAGTGTCACATAGTTGATACACTTAGTATCTGTGTTTAATCAATAATATTCAATTATGTATTTTATTGGACTGTTTTATGTCATATCCTAATGGTTTTAAAGATCCTTATAAGTAAAAAGATAATAAGAGAACAGGAAACTAACTTAAAAGATAAAGAAGAAAAGACAACAAATGATAATTCTTTGGTTGCTCCAGATATTATTAGTACTTTCCCTTCAATTGGAATATTCTGACTGTCAGGAGGTTAATATAGCAAATATAAAACAGAGAATAAATAAATTATACGACTCTGATTACTCATTCGCACCTGCTTTAAATGATCCGTTTGATTATCCGCATGGTTACAAACCAACAGAAAACGATAAATGTCCACCTTGCTTCAATTGTATGCTACCCATGTTTGAATGTAAGCAATTTTCTCGTTGTAATGAATATAATGGCCGTTGTGAATGTATTGAAGGTTTTGGAGGTGATGATTGTTCCTTGCCCTTGTGTGGATCGTTAGAAGATCGTAATGAAAAACGACCAAATAGATCTAATATTACTAATACATGTGATTGTAAACAAGGATGGGGAGGTATCAATTGTAATGTCTGTGAAATGGATTCTGTTTGTGACTCATTTATGCCGGATGAGTCCTTGAAAGGTACTTGTTACAAAGACGGGATGGTCGTCAATAAAGTTTATCAAACCTGTAATGTTACGAATACTAAAATTTTAGATATACTAAATGGTAAACTTCCACAAGTATCATTCAGTTGTGATAAGAGTACTCAATCGTGTAATTTTCAGTTTTGGATCGATCAGGTGGAGAGTTTCTATTGTGGATTAGACTCATGTTTTTTCCAATACGATCTAAAAAATAATGTGACCCATTATTCTTGTTCAAACGCATATTGTAAATGTGTTCCAGGAACTATGCTTTGTGGTGCCAATGGTTCAATAGATATTGGTGAATTTTTAACAGAAGAAGTTACAGGACCAGGCCAATTTACATGTTCATTAACAGATAGAAATTGTAAGTTTAACGAACCTGCAATGGATGATTTAATTCTTCAAATATTTGGTGATTCACAGATCGATTTAAGCTGTAGATCTGGTGAATGTTTACATTATAGTGAAATTCCAGGGTACAAGAGTCCAGCGGACAAAATTAATGATACCTGGCAAGGAAAACTAGTTTTGGCTCTCACATCAGTTGGTGTGGTATTTTTAGCCATGATTACAATACTCTATATCTCCAAATCACCTTTGTTCAGAGAAAAATTTGATAATGATAATAGTAATAACCGTTATGGGTATATTAAATTACCTGTTAATGGCGAGAATAGTGATATTGATAGAGAAAATTTTCTGAGAAATGATAAATCCTCTACTTTAACATTTGAGAATATCAGCTATAAAGTGACATCCCTTAGTAATAACCAAAAAGAACAAAGTATATTGACTGGAATTTCAGGAATGGTTAAACCTGGTGAAATTATGGCTATTATGGGAGGTTCAGGTGCAGGTAAAACCACATTATTAGACATTTTGGCAATGAAAACTAAAATTGGAAAATTATCTGGTAATATTAAATTAAATGGACATCTGATCAACAGGAAGGATTACAAAGATATGATCGGGTTTGTTGATCAGGATGATTTTCTACTACCGACTTTAACTGTTTATGAAACAGTATTAAATAGCGCTCTTTTGAGATTACCACGTTTTATGACATTCGATCAAAAAAGGCAACGAGTTCTCAGGGTGCTTGAGGAATTAAGAATAATGGACATTAAAGATCGATTAATTGGGAATGATTTCACACGTGGTATTAGTGGTGGTGAAAAGAGGCGTGTATCTATTGCTTGTGAGTTAGTCACTTCCCCGATAATTCTTTTTTTGGACGAACCAACTTCCGGGTTAGATGCCAGCAATGCAAATAATGTTATTGATTGCTTGGTAAGACTAACACAATTGTATAATCGTACCATTGTCTTGACTATCCATCAACCAAGATCAAATATTTTTAACAAGTTTAATAAATTAGTACTGTTAAGTCAAGGTGAAATGGTTTATTCTGGTGATACAATAAGAATTAATGAATTCTTATACAACTGTGGTTATAAAATTCCATCTAATTATAACATTGCAGATTATTTGATCGACATTACCTTTGATAAATCTCCAAGGGAAGGGGGATCTGAACATAGCATTAATGATCTAGAAAGAAATATCAATATTCCCGAAATTCAAATTAATTCAACTCAGATCCAATCTACCATGAGTAGATCTCATAGTTCATCAGAGGAATTACGTTTACAAGAAGAATGGGAACACTATGCAACACATCGTGATGAATTAAGAAGTATCCTACAAGATGATACTGATAATTTAAATCATGAAGTCAATGAGAATCTTCGTCTTTCAAGAACCATATCTGAACACTTACATGTTATATTTCAAAATGGACCATTGTTTCAAGAATTAATCAATGATATTGCAAGTTTAAGTCCACGTTCAATGGAATTACCTTCATTACGTACAACTGAAATAAGAGCATCCTTTTATCAACAACTAATTATATTAAGTTCACGTTCTTTTAAAAATACATATCGTAATCCTAGATTATTGATGGCAAATTATTTATTAGCGGTCTTATTAGGGTTATTTTTAGGAATGATATATTATAATGTCACAAATGATATCAGTGGATTTCAAAATAGAATGGGTCTTTTCTTCTTTATATTAACATATTTTGGATTCATCACGTTTACTGGGTTGTCCTCATTCGCCATGGAGAGACTTATATTTTTAAAAGAAAGGTCTAATAGTTATTACTTGCCAAGTGCGTACTACATTAGCAAAATAATTAGTGACATTTTACCTTTGCGTATTATCCCACCAATCATCATAACTATTATTGTATACCCATTAGTTGGATTGAACATGATGGAAACAAGCATGATTTGGAAATGTATGTTAATTCTAATTTTGTTCAATTGTAGTATTTCAATGGAAATCATGACTGTCGGGATAGTTTTTCATGATTTAAATAATTCCATTATTGTAAGTGTAGTAATTTTATTATTCTCTATACTTTTCAGTGGGTTGTTTATCAATACAAAGGATATAACAAATTATTCTATAAAATATTGCAAAAATATATCAATATTCTATTACGCTTATGAGACACTATTAATAAATGAAGTGAGAAGTTTGATATTGAAGGAGAAGAAATATGGATTGAATATAGAAATACCAGGTGCTACCATTTTAAGTACGTTTGGATTTCAAATTCAAAATTTCAGTTTTGATATTAAGATGTTACTATTATTTAACGCTTTATTTATTCTGTTAGGATATTTGGCATTACGTTTGATAGTAGTTGAAAAAAGATAGTAAAATACTATATTGGATATAGAATGTAGATATTGTTCAAATACATAAGCATTATATAGCGGTCTTTATGATATTGGCACTTAAAGAGGTAACTGTCATGTGTGTGTATGTCTGTTTTCCTTCTTATTCACTTTGTATAAAGGTAAAAAGAAAGAAGTATTTTAGTGAGATGCGATGAAAATAAAAAAAAATTTATTATAAGAAAAATAACTGACAAAAAAAAATAATAAAAAATGTTTAGTGAGATCAATCTTTAAATATAAGAAATAAAAAAAAATAATAGAAAAGCAGCTAGCTTGTAAAGAGATTCTATAATATTGTATTTGATCTGATAGGTAAACTGATTTAAATAAGAGGAGTTATATCATCCACTTTTTATTAATTAGTGCTAGGAATAATAATAGTAATAATAATAATAACAAAATAGCAGAAATATTTAGAATAGGTAATATAGTGAATAATGAATAACAACGTAGAACTAAGTGATGTGGCTAGAGAGTTACATTCCCACATGCTTCGTTCTAATAAGGATGGATCTAAGTTGTTTACCCAAAAAGAACTTCAAGACAAGTTACCTGGTAATAATCCAACCTTAGCAGATTTGATGCTTATTGTACAAGAACTGTTGGATAAGAATTTGATTAAATTAGTGAAACAAAACAATGAATTAAAATTCCAACCCGTTGATTTCCAAGAAGCCGCCAAAAAGTCCACAATGTCCAATGAAGAAGCATTAGTCTATTCATACATTGAGGCTAGTGGCCGTGAAGGTATATGGTCTAAGACTATTAAAGCACGTACTAACTTGCACCAACATGTTGTCTTGAAATGTTTAAAATCCTTAGAATCTCAACGTTATGTCAAGAGTGTGAAAAGTGTTAAATACCCAACGAGAAAGATATATATGTTATATCATTTACAACCAAGTGTAGAAGTCACAGGTGGACCATGGTTCACTGAGGGTGAATTAGATGTTGAATTCATCAATTCGTTATTGACTATTATATGGAGATATGTAGCTCAAAATAGTTTCCCTAATGGGTTCCAAACGGTGGTAGGTAGAAACGATAACAGTAAAAACGGCGATATCAAGAAGAAGAGTAGTCAGTATTCACCACATGTACGTTCATATTCTACGACACAAGAGATATTAGACTTTATTTCGTCTGCAGGGGTGGCGAATGTTGAATTGAGCACTGCAAATATACGTTCTTTATGTACTGTTTTGGTTTACGACGATCGTTTAGAAGAAGTAGAGTTTGATTGTTATCGCGCTACATTAACCTCAGTTGCTCAATTGGTGGGGCCAATAGATGAGGGAAACACAGCAAAGAATAGTAAGAATAAATTGTTGGACGAAATGGACGAGTTTTCCATCTTTGATTATCATCAAACCATTGGGCCTTCTGAAAATGATAAAGAGGCTGTTTATTTCGATGAATGGGCACTATAACCTCATGTGTGATAGTATACATGTATGTTGTATGTAAACTTTTGAATGTAGTATCATATGTATAAGGCATAGTTATTTATAGACCAATAACAAAAATGCATTTATGTGATAAAATATCCAAGGTTGAGACTATGGCACTATTCTTTTCGAGAAAATAAGAATATGTCGATGATCTGTTTTCTCTCTCTTCATCTTTGAAACAAAAGCAGTTTAGGCTCAATGGAGTAATCAAAAAAATAAAAATAAAAATAAAAAAATTGAGAAAAGAAAAGAAGTCTAATAATAGTGAATGGTTTGGGAAACACCATATAGATGGATCTAGAGATTGCCGTCTTTTCTATCTCATCTCCCTTATTGAGGCATGCCTATTACAACTCTTTTATTTGTTTTTTTTTTCTTCTGTTTAAATATTCTTGGTGTCATTTGAAATATTATCTTGAATCTGCCTTTAATTTCAATTTTTAGGTAAACAACGGTCTATGTATCAGAGTTGTGGAAAGGGTTTTGTTTTTGTACAAGAAGATGTCTTTTTTTTTTTTGGTAGATCAGTAATTCTAATAAGAATAGGGCACCAACCAATTTTGTTTGGAAAGAGTAGAGCCTTTTTATTCTCCCAACTTTTTTTACCATAAAAGATACGTGTTGCATGGTATATTTGATATTAGCAGTGAGTTTACAATTCGTTTAAAATAGTAATGGAAGGTTTTTTTTTTCTGCAACCCAAAGTGGAACAAATCACATGGAGTTAGTGTGAAATGATAATAAATATATATAAAAGTGCAGACAATACAATAAAGAGATAGAAAAGAATGTTTATTAGATGGCTTATGTCCTTTCCTCGAATATTTGGGGTATAAGGTAAAAATAAATAGTACACTTTCCCTCTTGCACTACTTAGATCTGAATGATTTGATTCTATTTCTTAATGTTTCCCAATGGTAATAAACACTTCTCAATAGATAAATCGTGTTATAATCTTAAACAAGCACGTATATATGTTTATGGACCAAAAAGGAAATTCCCGTGAGGAAATCCGGATGAAATGAGAGATTCTTTTGTTGTTTTCCATTTTCAATAATCAAATAAAAAAGGAAGAAAGTGTGATTCTTCATTGAACGGCTGTTTTTCATGAGTTGTCTTTCGTATTTCTTGAGAGATATGTGACCATAACAGATGACAGTCGTTGGTTGGCTGGACGGTTGGTTGTTGTCTTTTCCTTCCCTTTTTTTCTTCTTCTTCTTCCTCCCTTTTTTTTATTGTTCTTGAAAACTTCTTTTGTTATTGAAAAACAAAACAAAAAAATGAGTCCTCCGGATCTGTTTTTTTTTTCTTTCTTGTTTTATAAGAGAAAAAAGACAAAAGAATTTTTGTAAAAAAAATGCGGGGATAAACAATAGGTTCATTATTATTAAATTTGAAAAAAAAAAAATAGAGAGAATGAGAGAGAAAGGCCATATACATTCCTCAAATTCCTTTGGAGACTTTTTCATTCAAAATAGTGATAGTAAGACTGATAAGACCAATATTCTGTTATTTGATAGGTGAATAAAAGTCAAAGATAGAAATATTATTGAACGCTTCTCTTTATAATGACTGATATTTTACACTAAAGAAACAATATGCAAAAATCACATTCGAATAGCATTTGAAAAAATACATCAGTGTCAGCTATATTCTTTTAACACTGTGTCTGTAAAGAAAACCGTAATAAAAAATTTGTTATGACCCTCCTGTAAACTAACTTGTTGTTTAACTTTTTCTTTTTTTTTTAGTTTTTACTGGACACTGGCAATAATAGTTTGATTAAGAAAAACAAAAGAGAGAGGGAGAATGCATCCAAACTTGAGAGTCGTCGTAATTGACATGTTCTAATATGATTTCTTCGATTCGAGAGGTATACAGAATATATGTAAATGAAATGATTTCAAGATGTTTTCTGTATTAACCCTCATTTCTATTAACTGTAATCATTGACTAAACACAAATTATTGTTTTCTTGTCCGATTTTTTTTCTGAACAAAAAAAAAATGTCTTAATACATTTTCTTTTTTGTTTTACTGTTTAAAATAACAACATTGTTTGTCATCTACCGCATTGTATTCTCCAATGTAGAATGGAGTAACGGAGATCCAACGGTAATATAAAACTAAAAATGGAAATTGCCATGCTAGTTTTTCCTATCTTATAATTTTTATTCTTGATTGATTTTGTTGGAGAAACAATTTTATATATTTTCCTTTTTCTTCCTTACATATGGATGATACTGATAGTGATGTTATAGTTGTTGTCATGGCAGTTGTAATAGTGGCAAAGAAAAAAAAAAAAAAAAAATAAAAAAGTACCATTGGTAGCAACAGTAGTAGTAAGAGCGGTGTTGGTTTGTCTTTATTGATAATCCCCAACATAACTTATATTGTCTACTCTTATTATTTCTTCAATTGATATATCAATAAAAGCAAAGAGATTAAATTTAAAAAAAGAATTAATGGAATTTGTTTTGATTTACATATATAAGGGAAAGATACGTTTCAAACTGTAGATAGCCTTCCTCTTGAAAAATTTCTCAAGTTATCTTATCCTATTTCAGTCTGTTCACTTATAAAGTAAAACCAAACGAAAAAAATAAATATTAGGAACTACTAATATTATACCTTTTTTCCTCTTTCCATCGAATATATATATATATTAATTTCTTCTCGATATATTAAATAGAGTTTAAAGATAAAAAATAAAAAAATAAACAATGTCTGACAAAGAAATCACTTCTGATGAACCAATCAACTCTGTCGATGAAGAACAACACTCCCTTTCTAGAATTTATACTTCTGGTGCAAATAACAAATATATTTATATAGGCAGGCAAAAATTTTTAAGAGATGAATTGTATGAAGCCTTTGGTGGAACGTTACAACCTGGCTTGGCTCCTGCTGCCTCTCACAAATTTGCCAATCCAGCTCCTTTAGGTTTGTCTGCCTTTGCTTTGACCACATTTGTCTTGTCCATGGCCAATGCAAGAGCCCAAGGTGTTAGAACTCCAAATATCGTTGTCGGTTTAGCTTTCTTCTATGGTGGATTAGTCCAATTGATTGCTGGTATCTGGGAAATTGCTTTAGAAAACACTTTTGGTGGTACTGCATTGTGTTCCTACGGGGGTTTCTGGTTATCATTTGCAGCTATCCATATCCCATGGTTTGGTATCTTGGATGCTTACAAAGATTTAGATAATGATGACTTACAAAATATGTTGGGTTTCTTCTTACTTGGCTGGACAATTTTTAGTTTTGGTTTGACTTTATGTACTTTAAAATCCACAGTTATGTTCTTTGGCTTATTCTTCCTAGTCAGCATCGTTTTCCTATTATTATCCATAGGTGAGTTCACTGGTAATGTTTCTGTCACAAGGGCTGCTGGTGTTATAGGTGTCATTGTTTCACTTATAGCTTGGTATAACGCATATGCCGGTGTGGCTACAAAAGAAAACAGTTATTTCTTGGCTAAAGCTATTAATTTACCAACTAATGAAAGAACATTAGTTTAGGAATAGCACCAGCCAAAATTATATAGTAGTGATAATCAAGCTGAAGGTGATAAAGGTGGTTTATCAAAAAAAAAATAATTTTTTAACATACAAATAAGGAATTTCATGTTTTACACTTACTTTTAATCTGCACCATATTTCTTATTTATTTATTTACTTTCTTTTTTTTTTGGTGATTAGATATTCCCCGTACTGATAATATTCGTTTATTTTTTTATATAGTTTATAGCTTTTGATTATATTCCCATAAACCTTTTAATAATACTATAGTTCTGATGTTCTGTAATGAAAATCATCCCTTTTAGTTTTTAACCCTTTGTGTAAAAGCAATATATATATATATATATATATGAGCTGGTGATATATATTTATTCTAGAATGAATCACTAGTATTATCTACTTTTTATAATCTATTAAATATCTAATTCTAATTCTTCTAACAATTTGTTTAAAAAATTTTGTGAATTAAAAATGAAATCTGTGTTATTATCTGGATTCACTAATAGATTACTATTATTATCATAGGCATCCGTGTTTATGCCTATAGGATGATTATTTATATGTTTGTTATCATTGGTTAAATGGATATGACTATTATGGCTGTTATTGTTATTATTATTGTTGTTTACATGTTCCACAAAGGATGTATCATCATTTTGGCCACTTACACCCACAAAATTTATATTAAAATAGTTGTGATAGTTACTATTGTTTGTAGCATGATTATCACTGCCTTGTAAGGCACCTATCCGGTTATTATGGTGATGATTAACATTAAATTTTTTTGTTATTTGGTGATGAATACTATGATGATGGTTATTATTTTTAAAATATTGCAAATTGTTAATCAATTGTTGATTTAGCTCTAAAAATTTATCATTGAATTGTTTGAATATTAATTCTAGAACTTTTAAAATTCTTTTACCAGCACTCGAATAATTTTGCAATTCAATCAAAATTTTATAACCTAAATTACAAACATTTTCAATTTCACTTAGTTTTTCATCATTGGGATTTCTACGTTCTTTTAATTGGTATTTATAAATTGTTAGGCATGCAAAACTGTAATAGATAGTATGAATGGAATACCAATAGGTTCCACTAAGTAAATCCATATTGATCATATCATATGATAGGCGAATAATTTCTATTGATATCTTGATACAATTAGTAGACATTCTAATTTGAAACTTCAAATTGGGATAATCGTCAGAATTCAAAGTTATGAAATGGAAAAAAGGTTTATAAAGAGTCAATTTAGTTAATAAAAAGTCTAACTGTAACAATTTCTGTGGCTTTAAATAGTAATCCCTTTCGTCATCTGTCTTCATCTTATATGTTGGTTTTAAAGCAGATGGTAGTTGTTTATACCAGTTTTCCAGTTGTAATTCCAAGTCATGAATATTTTTTATTAATTCTGTTTTATGTAAAATTTTGGAAAGCGTTAATTGTGAAGTATAGTCATAGATTCTAGACATCACCAATAATAATTTAGTGTGTTCATTGTTTATACCGCAACTACTTATCTTTTCAAAACCAGTTTTATTTGGAGATTCAATGATTCCATTCGGTGTGATTCTTTCATCGTCCACATCTAAGGGCAGTTCTTGATCAATTTTATCCTCATTCATACTAGAAGGCAACCCTAGAATACAATTCATATATATATCTACCTTATATATAGACCAGAATAATCTTTTTTTTGTTTCATTTTCAATTGGTGTTGGGCCTGTCAAAGAAGAATTTTTATACAAACCTTCCTTTATTGCACTTCTTAATGCAATTCCAATATAATGGTAACACGACTTTAAATTGGCAGAACATTGTAAAAACAATGTTAACATGAAAAGGGTCTGAATTGAATATAGATCTGAAACATCAGCAAAATCAATCAATGATTTCGATTTGATGAAAAATTTTAAGCCTTCATCACCATAATATTCTTTTTTTATATTTGAATCATATGTCTCCAAATGATCATCTTTTGAAAATAGTGCACCCACTGCTAACACAGCATAGATTAATGCTTCTGCTCTGCTCTCGTTAATACTTTTGGGGTATCCGTTATCTTCATATAAGGAATATAATATTTTAATTATTGTAGGTCTATGATAGAATCTAAATAATACACATGCATAATTCCATGTCTTCAAAATCAATTTTAATGCGATATGTTTTGGTGGTAAAATAGATTGATTGATCATTCTAATTTCATTTAGATTTAAAAAATTATCTTTGTTGATATTCTTATCAATTGATTTTATTAAAAATTCGTTGATATCCTTCTTCTTGTCATTTTGATGACAATATCTTATAATATTTTGTAAATTTTCCTTTGTGAATAAAGTTTCCACTATTCTTTTATAATCTATCGTATCATGTGGATATACTGTAGGAGGTGAGTGGGATATCTTTTTATTATTATCAAGCAAAATTCTAGAATGTTCTTCTAAAGATTCTTCTGCTTGTTCACTGTGAATAGAATTATCAAAAAATGATGGATTATTATGCTGTGATTTTTCAAATTTTGAAATATTGTTTGATGTATATGTATCAGAGTAATTATTTTGTATTGAAACAGTTGTTACTGTCAAAATATTATTACTTTCGATGATATTATTCTCAGCCTGAATAGAGTTTGATATTTTTTTGGATTTATTTAGAATATTATTCATACTATTAGTATCTGTGGTATTTGGATTTGCAGAAGAAGAAGTTAAATATTCACAGTTCAAATGATTTCTATGGCAATATAAACAAGGTTGATTTCCATCGCATCTTCTCTTCTTTTTTCTACATGAAAGACAAGCAACAGCAACCCTAATTCTTCTGGGTGTTAATTTTCTAGTCTTTAAATCAGTTGAAAGAACTAATATTTTAGGTTTCTTTGTCATAATATGCTAATAACCACTATTATATTTGTAATTTTTGTTATTGGAAGGTTTATTCAGTAAAAGTGTTTGATTTTTATTATTTGAAGACCTGTGTCTCTTTTCGTATATGTAATAACTTACAGTACCCAATCCAATAGCAATTAATGGGTCCCAAACTTTACCAAATAAATATGGTGCGTAAACAGTAGTCATGAAATAGAATTAAAAAAGATAGAAGAAAGAGTCAGTAGTATTACTTAAAGTTTGTTATAGAAGAATTATAGAATAACTTTTTTTTATCAAACAACGCTATATTTGATCCAGCTCCAATAAAAATTTGTCTATATCAAATAACAACAAAATTAATTTATGGAATTTATATGGTGTTGTATAATTCTTTAACAGACTTCACAACTATATATATAATAGATATAGTGTATACGTGAAACTATTTTGAAGCTCTATGAATCAATTATAGTAGTAAGATTATTTTAGACTTGTTTTAAACAAACTGAAGATTATTTCTCGAAGTGATATCATGCGAATAAAACAAGATAATAACGTTTCAAAATTTGTGAAGAACTTGTTTAGCCACTCATTTAATGGCAATAGCATCCAGGACTTACTTGCATTTAATGATAGCGGAAGATAATTTGCTTCCAGGAAAATTCATTTTGATGGGTTCGTGTTGTGTGATTTTAGTCTGATCCCATTTTTATTTTCTTAGTATTATTTTGTTTAATCAGCAGTAGTACCCATTTCTTTTTATGTTCTGTGTGTAGTGCAGTATTGTTATTATTAGAATATTCATATTTAATTACAGAGATACACAATAAGTTGGAGATGTTTAGAATACTAGCAAAATCTAATATACCTCACCATTTACTGATAAAAGTAAAAATGCAGTCTATCTATCTAAAAGTTTATTTTAATGTTTTCATATGGTTAGGGAAGAAATAATTGTTTGTGATAAATCTACCATAGATAATAAAAATAATAAAAGATCTAATCTATTATTTTTCATATTCGTTTAGTAGTTAAAAAAGTTTTTAAAACGAGAAGTAATTACTGTCTAATGGTTCTTTTTCTGGGGTTCACAAAAAAATTAATTGTATTTTATAAGGCTAAACAGAGAAATGAAAAATATAAGGAGTTTAGCATAATATTTTACAGTTTAGAAATATACTTTTGGGATATTCTAATATTAGTTACATCACCTTAAGTCATCTATTTAGTCTGGCCTACATAATTTATTCTTTTATGAAAGATATTCCAGTATAATACTAAATCGAAGATTAAATTCAATTAATAATATTTTCCGTGGAAATTATAAAAACATGAATTTCTTTGACCATAATCAAGTGAAAAAAAAAATCTTTAACAAACATCTGTTCATGTATTTAGTGTATACAGTATAATTTCAGCTGTTACTATGATGCATGTTGGAAAACATAATAAGGTTCGATATATTAGAATAATTTGAAGATTTTATATAGAATGGGATAAACCTAGATCTGGATTTGGGAATATATACAAAAAATAACTTCTGTAGATATATAACATGTAATGTATATAAGTTGTACTTGTTACTAGTATTGATAAGCATTGTTTTGTTCTTCTTATCAATGTTTATAAACACGACTGAATAGATCACCCAAAACTCTAATATTTAAGGATGTCAATTAACATCGTATAAAAAAGATTTTGTTTTCCAGAGTATTTCTCCTCTGTTCAGTAAAACTTTGTTCTATTTATAATTTTGTGTACTTTATAAAGATTGTTTTCTTCTATTTTTTTGTTAACCTTGTGTATAGAATCGTTTATAAAATCCAAATCCTTTTTATTATCTTAATAGTAAACACGTTAAACTCTAGAAAAATAATAGTTCTATGCAAGAAAATTAGATAATATCAGCAAAATATTCACATGATGATGGTTCTTCTGATATCTTTAATACATTAATATCAATATCAAAATGTTGCATGAAATCTTTAAACATACTTTTTTCACTTAATATTTGGGACAATGAGGGTTAGTAATATTTTATTAACTACACTCGCATGATTAGATTAATAGAACATAAATCGGTATAATATTTTCTAAGAATGTATATAAATATATTACTTAGCATAAATTTTATTAGTGCAGTAGTTTTTTAAATATTAACTCTAAAAGTACAGAGTGAGTCTATATGTTATATTTTTCCAAGAGGGTCATGAATATTATTATATAATGAATGTTATTAAAATATGATAACCAAGTGGTTATTGTAATATTTCATATTGCAAAGCAAATATGGTTGTAATGTATTTTTTCAATTTATTTGTTTAATTTTGTTTTTGAAACGCGTCATTGTTGTAGAAGAGCTTTTTCATGAGGTCTGAATTTGCGAGATATATCGTTTTGAAAAGCAGTAAATTAAACATCTATATTTATTTTATCTTAGTTTCTAAGTAAATTGGGCCTTTAATTCGATAAAAAACTATGTATTTGTTGGGAAATGAGAGTTTATTACTGTCATTTCCATAAGAATTATTTTTAATTAGTTTTTCTATATATTATGTGGTGTACGGATGTACATAATATCAGGAAAACATTTTAATTGTCACCAAATATGTCTTTCGAAGATTTGAAAAGAAATGAAAAACTTTAAAAGAAAACTTAAAGTAAATAAAAGAATGTATACTGAATACACTATATAATAAATATGTACAGGTATTTAATACAAAAACATAACAAGTATCTATAACTTAATGATGTCTATCATTACCATGGACGCAGAAGGCTCCAAATTCCAACAAGCATCTATGACTTAATGATGTCTACCATTACCATGGACACTGAAGGCTCCAAATTCCAACAGTATTGAATATAAGTAATTTTATTTATTATGTTTATAACCAAGTACATATTAATTTTTTATAATTTTAAATCGTTTCTCAAAATATTTCTTCTTTTGAAAAAAATTTACAGACAGCCTATTAAAAATAGTTTTAATAAGGAAAACTAGTAGGCATATTATTTTCCAACAAAGTTCACAAAATAAAACTATTGGAATTTGTAGCACTTAATATTCATGGTAATAGCAGACGTCATTAAGTTATAGATGCTTGTTTTATTTTCGTGTTAAATATATGTATATATTTATTATAAGGTTTATACTTTTATTTTCCAACATAATTAATAAAAAATGAATTTATAACAGCTGTTGGAAATCATCCAAGAATTCAATAAAGAAAATTAATTTACAGTTTTGAAAAGGTATTTCTATCAATAAGGAAAGGAAAAAACGATGGCCGTTCCAGGTGTCTTTCTCTACTGTTTATGTGAAAATTATTTATTAGCACATAATTTACTGCTTCACAACGAGTTAGGCCTTGTTGGCGCAATCGGTAGCGCGTATGACTCTTAATCATAAGGTTAGGGGTTCGAGCCCCCTACAGGGCTTTCTTTTTTATTTCGTGACTGTAATATTCCTGATATTACTGTTTAGGGTTTGTTTAGAAAAAAGAGGGTTGACAATATTTTTCTAAACTTTCCTTTTTGCAAAATTTTACAAACATACATAAAAACAGGAGTAACCAACATAAGTACAAGAGAGCAACCAAGAAGAAAACAAGGAACAAGGAACCAAGGATTACTTAAGTTTAGATATATGGCATATAAGTGTATGCTATTAGGATATCTTAGATTAAGGATCTAGATATATAGATATATAGGAATATTACATCTAGAGATATAGAAAGAGTGTATATTTTATATCTATCCGAGTGAAATATTATTGAGATTTCAACAAGAATTACTGTTATCAGAAACACATAACCTCAGGGTTATTACAACTATACAAAAAATTTTAACAACAAAAAGGGGGCGAGCTGGGAATTGAACCCAGGGCCTCTCGCACGCTTAGACTCTTAAAGGAACCCAAAGCGAGAATCATACCACTAGACCACACGCCCCGAACAATCGCTCAATGTTGTGGAATAGAATAGTTATAACCATCAAGATTACATAAGATCCTGAATGAATCTAGAACCAATTAGTGTATTAATAAGCCATACATGTGCTACAACATTAGATGCTGCATAATAAAAGATTGGATTACATAAGATCTTGGCAAATCTAGAATTTACCTATTGTTTTATTAAGTCCCACGTGTATTACTAATCACCATGATTAGAGAATTGGGGTGCAGTTCTAATCCACCAGTGCACCTAAATTAATGTAAAAAATTTTAGGGTTTGAATCAGTCAAGTCATTAATGTATTAATCTGAATAATCGATCGAGCTCCAGAAAATACATAAAAGGACAACGTTTTCTGGAGATAAAAAATCATCTTCCATAGCCGTTTCTTGTAAATAATTTATATATTATATATGAACAAAAATAGAACAACAAGCAAGTAACAAGCCAAGTAACTTCGAATAAATATATTAGCTTGTCAAAGCCGCTCAATATATAAGACCGTTTCAGTAATTATATTATCGACTATAGTTGATTACTGTCTCGATTATTTGAATAACTGTTAATATTATTTGCGCTCCCCTGGAATACACAAAGAATTTCACCATCTCATACTACAACATTTGTTGTTCTAATATAAAATGGTTAGATTCTTTTGTGTATTTCGGGGGAAACGCAAATAATATTAACAGTTATTCAAATAATCGAAACTGTTGGAAAATGAGAGTTTATTACTGTCATTTCCATAAAAATTATTTTTAATTAGTTTTTCTGTATATTATGTGGTGTACAGATATACCATAATATCGGGAAGACATTCTATTTTTCACCAAATATGTTTTTCACAGATTTGAAGAAAAATGAAAATCTTAAAAGAATCAAAGTAAATAAAAGAATTTATACTGTATACACTATATAATAAGTATATACATGTATTTAGTACAAAACAAAACAAGCATCTATGACTTAATGATGTCTACCATTACCATGGACGCTAAGGGCTCCAAATTTCAACAGTTTCTTTTATATTTATATAATTATTAATTCCCAATTAAGAGATCGAGGGAAAATTACTCTACATATTAACATAATAATAATACATAATAATAACATATAATATGATCACCGACGCTAAAGACATTTATACTAATATTATTCATTCAGAGGAGTTTCTTGTATAGTTGTTTTTGTGAACAAGAGGTCGAATTTACTTAGCTAGTTAGTTATAATAAATATAAATATACATACTATGTAAAGAAGAGGGTTAGCAATTTTATTAATAGTTAATATATTAATAATAATATCAATTAATCATGGCCATTAATTTTATTATTATTTTATCGGTTTTTTCTCGGAAATTGATAATTTTTTCTAGTTAATTCTTCGAAAATTTATATATGTATTTGAAATTTATTTATTTTTAGAGATACATTTTTTATTATGTACCATTAATGAACTTTAAAATTTTTAAACTAAACCCAAATTAAGAAAAAAGAAAATACAAAAACAAAGTTTTATAAAAACTACATAAACTTTACTCTAAATGTATTTGCTGGAATCGAACGTTCTAGAATAAATAATAGACCAATTAGATTTTAGTAAACATTAATTGATAAGCAAAAAGTGGAAAACGTATTGTTTGCTTATCAATAAACGTAAACAAACTTCAGCATAAATCTGGTGCCGTACATGGATGAGATGTGCCGGATATAAAAATATATAAAGCCAACATTTTTTTCATATCATGTTTCTTCCCTTGCCCATCTTCTACATTTTATCATTATACATTATATACATGAAAAAAAACCGAAGAACTTTATTATAATTTTGTATACTAAATCTGTTTAATATAATATTGAGAATGTTCACTATTGATAAGAATGAGCGCCTTTATTCATTGGATATATAGTAAACATTCTCAATATTATATTAAACAGATTTAGTATACAAAATTATAATAAAGTTCTTCGGTTTTTTTTCATGTATATAATGTATAATGATAAAATGTAGAAGATGGGCAAGGGAAGAAACATGATATGAAAAAAATGTTGGCTTTATATATGTTAACATTAAGCCATTTTCCTCTACGAACAGTAAAATATTTAATAAACAAACTCAACAACCTTTGGTGACCTCTCAACAATTATTACACAACAATTTATCGTTTAGTGTCTGCTAAAATCTTATTGTTCTATCTATTTCATTATAGAACATTTTATTTCAACAACTATATATCCAATGACTACAGGTACTCATTCTCAACAGTATTATAATCATATATAATGGAAATGCCACACAATTATACAGATAATTTGAATAATAATCATTGATGAGCTTTTTAAACAGAGATTAAAGAGATATTTGACAATGTAAATTCATCCTATTAAATGACTGAAAATTCTATATCAGCTTATAAAAGAAGAATTAAAATAAAATGTGTTATAATGTATATTAGTTATATATGTATACTAAATCTGTAAAACAGAAAAAAATAGTAAATACAATATAAAATTATATAATATTATAAAATGATTTCTTTTTGAGGATTTTCCCTCAATTTTTTTTCTAGGAAATAAACAATTAAACAATTATAAATAAAATATAAAAACACACTGTATATATATTCTTCATTCAGGTTTAAAAATTTAATAAATAAAGTTGTCCATCTATATCCTTTTTACTTTTGAAAATCTTTTCATAATTTCTTTTATAATTTTGAAATTTTGTGAAATATCTCCACAACATTGGATTGTGCATGGCACACATTTCTTTTCTTTGAGAGAATAGTTCACTTTTTATGTAGGTAGGAAATCATTCTAGAATGTTTATTATTGAAAAAAAATACCAAAAAGAAGATTTTCAGTAACTCATCAAGCTATACAATAATTCTACATACATTTTCCTTTTTTAATATAATCAAAATATAAATCCAATATCATATTCAATCCAACATAGTTTAATTTCCTAATGTAGTTCTTAGAGACACTTCTTTATATTTTTCGAATACTAAGCATAACAAATGAGATAATTTGACACCCTATATTATATTTTTTATTCCCACATGTAATTATGCATATTTAACTGCCTATATCTTATACCACTAATGTAAAAATATTTTTAGAACATATCACATGACTCGGATAATAACACACCATATAACTACCATATGTCCACTAAAATATATTAAGACGCTCAACATATATCTAATTAGTGCAAGTCTTGGAACACAAGTAAAAAAATTCACCTGAATACAATTCTTAACTACAACGAACAAATAGCAAGCAAAACTTTATGGCTTAACTAACACTACTAAGTGTTTGAATTAGCACATATATATCAATGTATATTTCAAATGGTGATTAAGCATAAAAGAAGAGGTATTATCGAATACAATCTTGTTTGAACTTTAATGGTGATAGACTATATTAAAGTTAAAAAATAGAAAACAAAAAATCATTAGTCTCTAACTATGAATAATAGTAGGCAACGGTTATAAGAACAAATTAAAAGAACTATTTTCTAAAGTTTCTTCATGATTAATAATTTTTCACTTTATCATACTGTGGACATGTGCTAATTTTTTTTACATATGTTATCTATTGGGAAAGCCACACAGAACTTTATCAGTACTTATTTTACATATAGCTGCAACCTTAATTATTGATCATATATACCAATCTCAGTGTTATCTTATACAAATCTGCTCATCACCAATGAAGAAAAGATGCAAGCCCCTCTAATACACCCATAACGGATATAACTTATCTTTAAAAGACAAATTATTCCTCACTATTGACGTCATTTTAAATTTTTACCTCTTTCACTCCAGTTTTCTTTAGAAACAAAAAAAAAATTTTTTTCTCTGCCATCAAAACCAGCTTTTCCAAAATTTAGCTATCAAACAAAAAAACGAAATTATTAGCCATTCATAAGGACAAATCCCTGTTTAATAAAATATAGACATTTATATATAAAAAGAAGAAAATTTTATATTCGTATCATAACAAGCAGGTAGTATCACTTCAAACTATTTGATATTTCCACATCTATCTATTCTGCTACTTTCAAGGCAGCTAATTGCTCACAACACCATCATAATAACCATTCTATTTACACATTTTTCATATATGGATCCTGGATAATTTTTCTTCTTCCTTATTTTTTTCTTTCTAGATTCATTGATATAAATCTGATAAGGATATATTCCCTCTTATTATCGTTAATTAAAGTAAGATATCAAAGATAAAAGGTATCTGAACTATATAGAGAAATTTTTATCACAGAAAAAATAATTGTTATATCAAAAGTTATCAGTTCAAAAAAATAGAAGTGACCATACGCGTTATATAATATTATCTAAAAACCCTTTCTGTCCTTTTGTTTCCCTTTTAAATTATTATTAATCATACTTATTAAATAATATATGCCATCTATTAGCTCAAACGATTCTACTGTTAGTCTAGAATCAAGCAATTCTATTGCAGTCTCTTCTGGGAGTTCTTTAGGTTCTATGAACACAAGAGACCATAATGAACTGTATGACCATAGGCAACATCCTGATTTTAGTACTACAATAGAGAATCAAAACATTGCTAGAAATACAAACAGTGATAACAATAATAGTACCTCAACGAAACATCAACTTACAAATATAGGTGTCAACCCCAATAATAATACTGAAACTGTTATGGATCCTGTTATGTTAGACACCATATCGCATGCTATGAATAATACTGCAACTATTGTTAGTAACCAGGTAAAATTATCAGAAAATGTTGGTGTCCATCATCAGACGAAAAAACCACATGTTGCTTTTTCAAATGTTACAACAGAATTATCCAACGATACAAAATCACCAGTTATACCTTTGTCACATAGATATCGTCGTCATTCTCATCAATCATACTTAGGACCACCTATGCTTCCATCTTTTTATCAAAACCTACATAGCAAAGCTGATCCAGTTATAGAAGCAGCAGAATTAGCTGCACATCAGTTTAATTCTATCGCAAGACCATCTAGATTAGAACATTGTATTAAATTCGAAGGGTTATCCTTACATCATAATTCAGCTGATAATGGACACGGTACTCAAAGTGGTACTACTGTTCCAACCGACTATACATCATTGGAACATAAGGACCCACTTTTTAATATTCAGAAACATAGACAATCTTCAGGTCGTAGATTATCAAAAATCCATTCCACGATCGATTCAACATCTCCAAAAATGAATAAGAAAAAAAACCGGTCTGATTCACTATCTTCCACACGTAATTTTTCTGAGAATAGTAACACTAAGATGAATCAATTCTCTGCCGATGGTCATATTAGTTCTAATAATATTGACAACAACAATGAAAGTACTTTAAAATTAGTTAAAACTAAATCCAGTGACAGTAATAATGGGCAAGGTTTACATAGAAAAACTACAAGAGGCTCTTATGATAGTGATGATTCACAAGGCTCTAGAGACACACAAGAAACAGAGGAGGATGTATGTTTTCCAATGGAACCTCAATCTCACTCTCGTATTAATGGAATTGATTTCGATGAATTGGAGGAATTTGCTCAGTATACAAGACAAACGAAAGAACAGTACTTGGGATCTATGCAACCATCTCTATCACATAATAATAACGATAGATTAAATGGTTCTACTTCATCGAGTATATCATTATCGAGAATATCATCTGCTGCTTTAAGATACACTCCAAGACCATCTGCTCAACAACCAGTATCCTCATCAATTTCTAATAGTTTAGAGAGTAAAAGAGATGAGGAAGAAGAAACTGAGAAAGTTTCTTATGTGAGTCCACCAACGGACAGCCCTGGTGTACAGTTCGATATAAGAAATAAAATTGAAGGCGAGGATCTTAATAAAAATGGATACCAATATCACTATTTTAACCAGGATTATACCCCAACTGATTACAGCAACAACAATTTTGTAATTCCCAATAGGTTTTCATTCTTTTGCTCCGATTCTGAGGAAACAATCCACACAACCGATATTGCCTCTTTAGTAGCTTCTGGTCAATCATTTTACGATTTATTTAGAGGTGGTGAGCCTACTTGGTGGTTAGACTGTTCCTGTCCAACAGATGATGAAATGCGTTGTATTGCTAAGGCTTTTGGAATCCATCCTTTAACTGCAGAAGATGTTAGGATCCAAGAAACAAGAGAAAAAGTGGAATTATTTAAATCTTATTACTTTGTTTGTTTCCATACTTTTGAAAATGATAAGGAATCCGAAGATTTTTTGGAGCCTATTAATGTTTATATTGTTGTCTTTAGAAATGGAATCTTAACGTTCCATTTTGGACCTATTTCTCACTGTGCAAGTGTGAGAAGACGTGTAAGACAACTAAGAGACTATGTTGATGTTAACTCAGATTGGTTATGTTATGCATTAATTGATGACATTACTGATAGTTTTGCCCCTGTTATTCAATCAATTGAATACGAGGCTGATGTTATTGAAGATTCCGTCTTTATGGCTAGAGATGTAGATTTTTCTGCTATGCTACAAAGAATTGGTGAAAGTAGAAGAAAGACAATGACATTAATGAGGTTATTAAGTGGTAAAGCAGATGTTATTAAAATGTTTGCAAAGAGATGTCAGGAGGAGGCTAATGGGATTGGTCCTGCACTGACATCAGACATAAACATCGCTAATTTACATGCTGGTGACTATTCAGATGGTCAACGTGTTCAGCCTAGAGGCGATATTGCAATGTATCTAGGTGATATTCAAGATCATTTACTGACCATGTATCAAAATTTAGCAGCGTATGAAAAGATTTTTTCGAGATCACACACAAATTATCTAGCACAATTACAAGTAGAATCATTTAATTCAAACAACAAAGTAACCGATATTTTAGGTAAAGTTACACTTATTGGTACCATTTTTGTTCCATTAAATTTGATTACTGGTTTATTTGGTATGAATGTCAAAGTTCCAGGACAAGATGCATCAATTATTTGGTGGTTTGGTATCTTGGGTGTTTTAATAGGCCTAGCAATCGGTGGATTTATTTTCAGTACATACTGGATAGGAAGATTTACACCACCTACGACTTTAAATGAGGCTGCTGAAAGTGGTGCCACTTCTGTGATCCCAAGTATATTTGGCAGAGGCAGAGGTAATAAGAGGCACAATCATACTGATCTAAAAATAAATCCAACAACAGGCTCTATCAACAGTCTACCAAGCAGATTAAGTCGTTACAAATAAAAAAGAACCAAAGGCATCACAGCTTTAGTCTTATTTACTAAATAATACTTAATAGTTATTTGACTTATTTTCATTTTATTTAATCAAATAACAATGATCTAGCCATTTATACAGTAATACCTTCTTTTGTACTAATTTCAACAAGTATAACTAATAATACCTGTTATATTTTTTTGTATATTCTAATCAAATGCCTATTACATATATATATATATATTTTCGACTTATTTGGTCTTTTTAACTGGCCATCGAACTTTTGTCGGACTGAAAAAAAAACTATGTTTGCCATGAGATAAGAGTGATAATAAAAGTTTAGGAGCATTTTAGCAAAGATTGTAGAGAAAAACAAACAAAACGAATCATGCCAAACAAAATAAGTTGACTCGATATGCATAATTAACCTCAAAACTTCTAAATAGAACTCATTAAACGATTTTATATTCATTAACCTTTGTTTTCTAATTTTTTAAATAGTTGAACCTTTTCTTTCATATACTTCCTCTACTACTCTCCACTTTTTAAAAATATAGTAACCATTCCCGAAACTATAATCATTATAAAATCTAACTATAAAACTTTAATGGACTACAGTTTATCCATAAGACATAATCCAACATCTCATTATGCCAATATCACTTCTGGATATTATACATTTCTCATTTGTTTTATATTTGCAATATCAGTTTTCCTAGTACGAAAATATCTTCCAAATAGATCAACACAGAGATTTGTCAAGATTATCTATAAACTAAATCCAGCATTTTTAGCTTGTTATTTTGCCACCACAATTACTCTAATATTATTTTCTACCTTCTTTACCCAACAGGAGCGCGTTGTTAGTGTGTTTACAAAAAGATTAGGAAGAATTAGTTATGTTTTTACCAACCTGCTCATTATAATAATGTTTCAAGAACCATTATCCTTATTCAAAGGGTTAGCCTCATACTTAGAATTTATCAATCTACACAAATGGCTGTCTCGTGCGGTATTTGGTTTAAGTATATTACATAGTTTTATGTTCATAGGTAAATGGTCTAGTGATCCTGCTATTTCAATTTGGAATAAATTGATTGTGAAGAAGGCAAATTTTATTGGATTTGTAATATTTATTGAAATATGCTTCATGTTAGTAATTTCATTAAAACCCATGAGACAAAAATCTTATAAGTTATTTTACTTTTCACATCAATTAATAAATTTATCATTTATTATTTTAATACCATTTCATGCAAGACCTCGTGTCACTATCCCATTTTTCGTTATCAATTTAGTATTGTTGACAATATATTGTGTAAATAAAGTCATTAGAAGTAGCCAGGTAATGATTTTAAATAAAATGGAAGTCCCTGAAAGTAGATTATATACAGTAACTTTACCAGCAAGTAGTCTAGGTGATACTTCTGTAATTTCTCCTGGATCACACATTAGAATCAGTCCATATTCAATATGGAGTTGGCAATATTGGTTATTGCCATCCCATCCATATACTATTGTATCATGTATGAATGGTGAAATAAAATTGATCATCAAAAAAACAAAGTTTGAAGTGAATAAGGATGAAACTTATAGAATAAGTGGTCCATTTGAAAATATTTCCATAACTAATTTTATTAAATGGCAAGAAGATTTAAACAATATTATTCTTGTTGCTGGTGGTAGTGGAATATCATTTATTTTACCAATTTATCATTACTTGCAATATAACAGATATTCTATAATATCATATAGATCATTAAAAATGATATGGTTAGTTAAGAATATTTCTGAATTCCAACATATTAGAGACAATATTGGATTGCCATGTGAATATTTTAAACAGATAGAAGTTTTCATCACTGCTGATACTGAAAGGAATACCAAAAATAACAGCGTTAATAATGATGTGGTGAATTTTGCAAATGAACATCGAGATGTTATTGAGCTACAAGATTTCATTCCCATTGAAGGTAAACTTGATACTAATGAAGAAGCAGAAAATAATATTAAATATGGTAGAATTAACTGGGAGATTGATTTTTTTGAGGATATTTTAAATAATGATTGTGAAAACAATAGTAATAATACAAACAATTACATTATTGGATGTGGGCCGGAATCATTAATTCAAGACTGTATAGCGTTTGGCATTCAACATAATTATCAAGTGATTAGTGAGTATTATTCCTTATGACATACACTATTTATGATAATAATTCCTACTGAAACTAAAGATACATAACAAATGGAAACAACAATAAGATTATTTTTAAAAGGGAAATCTTACAACAACATGCAATTATCAATTATCAACTATAGCTTATTATTATACAGATAGAGTTTGATATGCCAAGATAACCTGTTTAAAACCAAAACAATCAAGCAAATAAAATAGACTTGATTATATTTTGTATTCAGTTGTCATTATACCAAAAAAAAAAAATAAATGGGTGAATAAATAATAAACAGTTTCTCTTAAAAGATTTCCTAAAAGATATAACCCTCTTATCAGACAGGTACACATCACACTGTAAAGGGGCTTTATTCTTTTTATTATATTTTTTCATTTATTCTTTTGTTATTCTCAGCCACTTCATACATTTAAGTATTTTGATGTTACTTATATTGTTTGTTATCTTATCTTCATTCTATATTCTTTTTTTTTTATCACATGAAATATTAGAATATCAGACTCATAAATAACTATTTCTATTCTTCACCTCTCCACATATAACATGGACTTCTTATCAAGCTTTATGATGCAACTTCATAGAAATATCTATTTGTTAATCCAAGCCACAGCATTGTTCTGATTTTTTCTAACAATATAATGAGGAAAAATAATGACATAAATAATTGACTTCTATAGAATACAAAAAGGGAAAGGATGCCGAGACAAGAAAAAAAAGTGCCTACAAACTATTATTATTTGGACTAGCACAATGGTTTGTAGAACTGAATTAACACCAAATTTTGATAAAACAAAACAAAAGACAACGAAAAAAGTCTCGACATTTTTCTATAGAATTTTTTATCAGCTCCCCTTTTCGGTATTCTTGCGAACAAAATGGAGGTCTGAAATAACAAAAAATAGAAAATTGAAAATTTCGGTGTTCAAAAAAAACCGGAATTATCTTCTCTTCTTTATTTGCTTTTATCACATTAGGAAAGAGGAATACAAAAAAACAAAAAAAAATAAAAGTAAAATTGAAATACAAATGGCAAAAAGTGGAGAATTTTGACGTAAAGTAAACTTTTTCTATTTTTGTTCCTTTTCGAAATTGATGGAGTGAGTTTTTGATGAAAAGAAGAAGATATTCTTTCTCAAAAAAAACAAACAAAAAATAAAACTATCGAACAAAAAAATCTGAAATCAAAGGAAAAAAAAATACACAATACACGTGGTTATGCAAAAGATATTTATCTTTTCTTGTCTATTGTTTGTTTCTTCATGATTTGTAATAATGAATATTCAACGTAGTGACTACAAGAAAAAAAATTGTTTAATTCAGGTTAAAAAGTCATAAATGCTAATCAAAACAAAATAGATGCAGTATCCTTCTTTTACCACTGCTATTATTGCTAGAAATCGTTTAGATTTCACATGGTATGATGTCCAATAAGTTCATATCAAAAATTTCTTCTTGGCCCAATAACCTTTTGAATTCCAAAAAAGATGCGATAACAATTGCATAACTGAAAAAGTGGAGCAGGAAAACACAACACAACACAGCAAAACAATAACAACAATAAAATCTACAGAAAATACATAAAATTGAGTTATAGATCTAAGAAAACTTATGACGACTCACCTTTGCAATAATCTAACATATATAAAACAGTAATACCCATGTTTCTCAATAATAATGCTGTCATTTAAGCCCACTGTCCCAAGATATTCTTCTTTACCGAGATGTGATAAGATAGAAATCAAAATATAGACAATAATAATAAAAATTATACCAAAAAAGATGATCTTCAATACAAACAAACATAAAAACGATACAATTTTCAGTCCTGTGTCGTCAAAATTTAACATAGATGGAGACATATTCTACTTTGATAATGATGTTCTTATTTCAACATATACTTCTGTTAATGTTGAAGACTATCCTCCACTATTACACAGTAATACTGTAGAAACAAAATTACCAGGTATAGATAATACAAACAAAAAGTCCTTGGTTGTTCATAATAATCAATTACCAGATAATCTAATTTGCGATTCGAACCAATCTTCAATCATATTACCTGAAAATGACTCTAAATCATCAATTCCCAGCACTCAATCTCAATCAACAAATTATTTCCCAGAACAAGAGGAACTACAAGGTTATACATTAGTTGAGAAAATTGGTGAAGGTGCATTTGCAAAAGTATTCAGAGCTATCCCCAATAAATATGAACGCAATTCTTATCTTTTAAAAAATTATAGTGAAGTAGCTATAAAAGTCGCTAGAAAGGAAGCATTTTTTAATAATAACAATAACAATGATGACGTCTCCTGTGGTTATAAAACAGGAATGAGATATTATTGCCCCGAACACCGTCGATACCATCATCATCGACATAATCACATGGAAAAGTATATAGAAGCAAATAAGTCGAAACAGTTGAAAATAAGCCGATGGGAGGATATTCAAGCAGAAGTTTTAATCCATAAGAGTATTTCTCCTGGATGCGAACATATAGTAGATTTTATTGATTTTCAAGAGAGTTCTTCCTATTATTATATCATTTTAGAGAAAGTAAATGGGGGCGATGTTTTTAACCAACTATTAAAATATACTTATTTCTCTGAAGACTTGACACGTCATATAATTCATCAACTAGCCATCGCTATCAAACACTTACATCAAGTAGGAGTAGCTCATAGGGACATAAAATTGGAAAATATTTTATTTGAGTCCATAGATTATACCCCATCAAAAATACCATACTATAGAAAATCAGATAATAAGGATACAAAAATTGATGAAGGCGAATTTATTAAGGGAAAGGGCGGTGCTGGAATTGGACGTATAAAATTAGCTGACTTTGGACTATCCAAAAGAATTACTATGAATGGTACCACCACACCATGTGGAACCTTGGATTATAGCGCTCCAGAAATGCTTATTAAAAATCAGTATTCTACAAAAGTGGACATGTGGGGGGTTGGATGTGTATTATACACCTTACTCTGTGGGTTCACACCATTTTATGAAGAGAATACTGAAAAATTGAAAAAGAAAATTTGTGAAGGTAAGTATATTTTTTTAGAACCATGGTGGGATGAAATAAGTTTAGAGGCCAAAAGATTAGTATCCAAATTATTAGAAACTGATCCAAACAAGAGGTATGACATTGATGAGTTATTAAATGATCCTTGGTTAACTAACTATGATTGCGACAAAAATAAATCACAATCAAGACCAAATTTTTCTAATACTGTTTTTGAAAGGAATAAAAAATCAATATTATATGACAATAAGATGTCTGTGGCAGAAAAATCATATTTATTGCATCCTACATTTTCAAAAAATAATGACATTCAAAGGTCAAGACAAAACAATATTAATACTGACTTAGCCACCGGATTTTTTATCAAACCTAAGCAATTAATACAATCAAAACTTCAAAGAGGAATGTTTATTACACCGAATCTAAATCTGAGTCCAAATTTAAAATTAAATCTACATACTTCCACAATTTTTAAAAGAAGAAGGAGTAAGATATTACATATAAAAGAAAAACTTAATCCATGGTCAAAGCATACCCAACGACAAAGACATGAAAATTATACGAATATTTCTTGAAAAAATCCTCAACTAAAGATTTAATATTACTTGATCATTAATTCTCCGACATTCGTTTACATCACTGGTTATAAACATATATACATATTTGCATATGATTTCAAATACATCCATTACTATACATTTAAAATACATATAGACCCTACTAATATTATAATGTTGTTGTACCCATTCTATATTCGTGCATATCTATATACTTGTGAAAATATTCATCTTACTATAATATCACAACAAATCACAGCAAACCAAAACAAATAAAGAAAAGAAAAGCCTCAACTCTACATCCACACACCCAACACCTAAACGAGTAATTTTTTCTTCTCCCTTTTTTCACTTTAATTGATATCAATCTAGGGGAAAACCTTGTTTTATGTATCCTCGTATATATATATAAAAGAAATAAACCTTTGGTTAGATCAATGGTGATCTTAAATGAAATCTTCAAAGAAAACTAAAAATAGGAAAATTATTAAAAGAAGAGGAGAATAAAAACAAAAAAAAACTTAAGATACAGTAAACAATATACTTTTTTGTGTACTAATCTAATTCTTTATAAAATTAGCTACTACTTTCACAATGTTTGAATATAGTAGAAGGAACTATGATCCTCAATTCAAGCCAGTGAAAAACATTTATGCAAGTAGATTAAGACAATTCATTAACAGAGGTGGTGATTTCCCTGACCTAAATTTACCAAAATTTTATGATATTGACCGTATATCTCTAGATCAGAAACATGTCAAAGTTTGGTGGTATCAAGTGGACTTCCAAAAGAGTTCATCTCCTGTTTCTCCGGACAAAAGACCCAGTTGGAAAAGTATTATAGATGCCGATAAAGAAGGTAAACTTGAATTTAAAGTAGCAAGTAGAGGTCAACCATTTGGACCCAGCTGGTCTACCACGTGGTTTAAAGTACAACTTGAGATTCCAAGTGATTGGTTAGAATCAAAACAACAATTAATCTTTGAGTGGAATTGTAATAATGAGGGTGTAGTCATTGATCCAGAGACTTTACTACCTGCTACTGCATTCTCTGGGGGTGAGAGAACTGAGTATCTTTTACCATTTAACAAAACTGGGAAATACTTCTTTTATATTGAAGCAGGCAACAATGGTATGTTTGGATGTGGTGAAGGTTCTGATATTAATCCTCCTGATGATAATAGATACTTCCATTTGGACAAAGCCGACATCGTTTTTCCAGATTGGGAAGCAAGAGGTTTATATATCGATTACTGGATGTTAACTGATGCCTCAAGGGAACTTCCTGATGATACATGGCAAAAACAAAGAGCAAGACAAATTGCAAGTCAGGTCATGGACATTTTTGATTGCAATGATAGGTCCAGTGTTGTGGCTTGCCGTAAGTTCTTACAAAAAGAATATTTTGATGAGTTTTCCACTTCAGAAGAAGTATATTCCAAAGGGGACATAAAACAAATTAATACAGTTTACGGTATGGGTAATTGTCATATTGATACTGCTTGGTTATGGCCATTTGCTGAGACAAGAAGAAAAATAATAAGATCATGGGCATCACAATGTACATTAATGGATGAATATCCAGAATACCAATTTGTTGCATCGCAAGCTCAGCAGTTTAAATGGTTGCTTGAGGATCATCCTGGTTTTTTTAATAAAGTCTTAATCCCTAAGATTCAACAATTCCAATTCTTCCCTGTTGGTGGTTCTTGGGTTGAAAATGATACGAATATACCATCAGGAGAATCTCTTGCAAGACAATTTTTCTTTGGTCAAAGATTCTATCTGAAACATTTTGGCTCTAAATCAGATATCTTTTGGTTACCTGACACCTTTGGTTATTCTTCTCAAATCCCACAGTTATGTAGACTTTCTGGTATTGATAAATTTTTAACCCAAAAATTGTCATGGAACAATATAAATAACTTCCCACACTCAACTTTTAACTGGGTTGGCTTAGATGGCTCTCAATTGCTTGCACATATGCCTCCTGGAAATACGTACACTGCAGATGCCCATTTTGGTGATGTGTTAAGAACTGCTAAACAGAATAAGTCCAATGAATTTTATGAGTCTGGTTTGATGTTATACGGTAAAGGTGATGGTGGTGGCGGTCCAACACGTGAAATGCTAGAAAAGATGAGAAGAATCAGATCTATGTCCAATCGCAATGGCAATGTTATCCCAAAATTGCAGGTTGGTACCTCTATTGATGAATTTTATGCAAACATTCTTGAGCGGACTAATAATGGTGAAATTTTACCAACATGGGAAGGTGAATTATACTTTGAATTTCATAGAGGTACTTATACAACACAATCATACTTGAAGAAATTAATGAGAGCCGCTGAAATATCAATTCATGATCTTGAATGGCTTGCTACAAAGGTGTCTATCCTCTATCCCTCCATATATAAATATCCAGTGAACAAAATTAATAGCTTATGGGAGGATATATTGTTATGTCAATTCCATGATGTTTTACCCGGCACCTGTATTGAAATGGTCTATAAATATGAGGCCATACCAATGTTAAAAAGTGCGATTAATGAATGTCAAATTTTGATTAATGAAATCACATCAATTTTAAAGGAGCAAAATCCTCAATCAACTCATTGTGGAAGAGTTAGAACATTATCATGGCAACCTAGCACCAAACTTGATTCAGTTGACAACACCACTTTCAATGTTACACTTACTGAAAGCAGCACATTTTATGTACTAAACAATGGGAGATTGCATGTATCCATTAATAAACAAAAGGGTGTTATTACCGATATTTTGGATCTAGTAACAGGAGTGCAGTATATAGATCACAAAAATGGAAGAAATAAACTTGGTGCCAATCAATTTGTTCTATTTGATGATAAACCATTGAACTGGCAAGCATGGGATACTGAGTTATATTCAGTTAATCAATATAAATATATTAATGAAATTGAAGATATTAGAATTAATAAAAACTCTCCACAAGAGTGTTCTGTTGAAATTATATTTATAATTACTAACGATTGTAAAATAAAGACTGATATCAGTCTAAAAGCAACTACTTCTCAAGAACTTTACACAAATTTTGTAGAAATTAATACCACAGTTATCAATTGGAATCTAAGGAACAAATTCTTAAAAGTTGAATTCCCCATCAATGTTAGAAATGAATTTGCATCGTATGAGACACAATTCGGTATAACAAGAAGACCAACCCATTATAACACATCATGGGATGTAGCTAAATTTGAAGTCTGCCATCATAAGTTTGCTGATTATTCGGATTATAGCAAGGGTGTTTCTATCTTGAATACTTGCAAATATGGGTTTTCCACACATGGCAATTTAATGAGATTATCCCTGTTAAGATCTGCCAGAGCTCCAGATGTTCATGCAGACATGGGAACACATCAAATAAAATATGCAATTTATCCACATATGGGGCTGTTAGGCTTTGATACTGTAAGAGCAGCACATGAATTTAACTATAATGCAGTATATTCCTTGCCGGAGCAAATAGCTTCTAGAATTAATAATTTAATCACTATCCATGGTGCTGAGAACATTATCTTATCAAATATGAAAAGAAGTGAGGATGATGCTGAATTAGTTTCCAACTACTCATTAGAAAAGAAATCAGGTAAAAGTATTGTGGTCCGTGTCTATGAATCATTAGGTGGGGAAGCATTTGGTGAATTAAGAACCCCACTAAAGATAAAAGAAGTTTGCAAAATCGACAATCTTGAATTGAACACGATTGAACAAGTTATGACTGAATCAAGGCAATCTTTAAACTGTATTCCACTACACTTAAAACCATTTGAAATAGCTTTATTTAAAATAGTCTTTGATGCCTAATAGTAAAGAAAGGTATCTGTGAAAATCTATTTATTTTGCTTTTTATTTGTTTACTGATCTTCTTTTTAGTAATTTATTACTCTAGCTTATCTTGCTATGTCTTATATATATTAATGTGTGTATGTACTATCAACACTTCTATATATTTATTGTTCTTATAACCTTATTCTATTTAAAGATTTGAGAAATTCTTTTTTCATAGTTAAAAGTAATTTCTATTTACTGCACATAAAAACATCTGAGCGCAAACATATCTTGCATAGGAATACTAAACGATCAAGATAATCTAAAGGAAATATACAAAGAACAAGAGCAAACCATCTATTAACAATACATTCTCCAATATAATATGAACACTACAAGTTTAACCAAAACCATCAAGTTTATTGAAAGACATTTGGATCTTTTACCAAGTCACCAACAATCTCATGATGTAAATAAGTTTGCGTTAATATTTTATTCCATAGTTTCCCTTTCCGCACTAAATCAGGACGTCACGGATAAATACTATAAATATATCAAATGGATTAGAAGCCATTATATAAGAATAACTATTAATAATGATAAAAAAATTAGTGGGTTTGTAGGAAGCTTAACTTTAAAGACTGATAATGTGACAGCTATTAGTCTACCTAACACACTATTTGCATTATTAACACTACTAATTATAGGAGATGAGACCATTTTTATGAATGATAAAATTAAGCATGAAATCAAAGAATTTGTTTCACATTGTCAGATAAAGACTCACGGCGGATTTGTTTCAACTCTAGATTATCACACTTCAGAACCCTCTCCTACAGACTCCCACGATCTAAGGTTTGCATATATTGCAGTAGCCATCTTATATATATTAGGGTGTAGATCTGATGAAGACTTCAAAAAATATATTGATATAGATAAGTTGTTAGGATACATTACCATACAACAATGCGACTCAGGTGCATATGGTGAAGAAAATGAACCACATGCAGGTTATACATCTTGTGCCATATCTATACTATATATTCTAAAAAAGTTAGATACACTCTCTTCCGGATTTAAACAAAAAACTGTAGAATGGTTATTAATGAGACAGGTATCTAATGAAGGTTGTATGAAATTACAAAATGGATCAAATGAAAATTATGATTTAATTGATCATGGTGGCTTCCAAGGCAGAGAGAATAAATTTGCTGATACATGCTATGCATTTTGGTGTTTAAATTCTTTGAAATTACTATGTGGTAATAGTTGGAAACAATTAATAAATTATAAACTTGTTGAGAAGTACTTAACAAATACCACACAAAATAGGCTCATAGGAGGATATCAAAAAAATAATGAAACTGATCCCGACTTATATCATACATGTCTTGGAATTGCAGCAGTCCAATTAATTCATAATAACTTCGATGGCGCTTTATTTATTCCAGCACCAGTGGCTGCAGAGTATAATTTATTGTATTCAAACCAATAACAAATGTTAATATGCAACAGAATTTCAGATAGAAAAGGCAAAGAAAAAAAATTCTTTTTTAATTCCTACTAAAAAGTTTCTGACAATTGCTAATTAATTGAATACTAAAAGCAAAATTTCCCTACTTCATGTTTATTACTATCTATTATCAGTTTCACCTAGGTTTTAAATAATGTATGAGTTCTTTAAATGATATTTCTACTATAGTAGGAATACAGTCCTCACATTTGTCATTATTCTTTGCCTTTTCTGACAAGCTACTCCGATTATAACATATAGATATAACTTCTTGCCTCTTCGGTTGGATCCAAAAAGTTTGAAACTCTATCAAGTTACCAGCAATATATTTACTTATTTTAAGTTGATCTTTTTCAATAGACCCAATGTCCACTTTCTTTAAATCAATATTTAACCCAATTCCCAAATACTTTGCATAACTTTCTTTTAGAGACCAATAATGGGCAAAAAGTTTCTGAATTTCGTCTTTTGAGCAATCGTATAAAGTCCTGTATTCTTCTTTTGTGAATATATCTGTATATAACTCCAATTCTTCCTTACATCGTAAATCATTTATAGAAGCAATATCTATACCAACTTCATAATCGAGAAGATCATTTTCATGATTCCAAATATACATACAAACGTATTCTTCCCCATTTGACATGCTGAATGATATATTAAGATTATCCGCTTGTAGCACTGGTTTTCCAAATTTATCTCTGGCAAACTTCAATTCTCCTAATTTCCTATCATCATAATGATTTACCATAATCAAGCATCCAAAGTACTGTAACAATTTATTACATAAATGTTTAATTTGATCATTACGAAATTTCTTTTTTAAGATATTAGCCTGTTCAGGTAATGGTAATAATCGTATTGCATGTTCAAAATTATAGTCATCTTGTAACCCAGTTTTACCCAAATTCAAAATTAAAATAACCATAGACTCATTAGTCCAATCCATTTGTTGTTTTTTATCACTATTAAACAATATGAGAATCAGATAATACTTCAATCAAAGTCACAAACAACTCACAATGATTATTAACTTGATTCAGTTATTATGTATTACTTTGTTACTTTTTGACCTTATTTCTTTAGCATAATCTACTTGTTAACAAAAAGTATTTATGCAACATTCCAATATGGACATTAAGGATACTACCTTCCTTCATCCACCCAGTAATTTTTACTCTTATCTAGTAACACACTCCATGACACAAGGTTCAGTTTGATTCAATTGTTTAATGAAACTTCACCTGTTTTAGTTGTTAGTTATTTTTCACATTTTAAATATTTCGAAAAATCTTAAAGTAGAGAGAAAAAGTATCAAACAAATATTAGCAGGGCTGACAAATGAAGAGAAAATTTCTTGCCAGTTGGATGATTAGTGACAGAAGAGAGTAAATTGCCTGCAAGAAGAATTTTTAGTTAAATTCTAGGTAAAGGATAACGTTAATAATATTGCTAATTAATTATCTGTTTGTCTTTTTTTATTCTTTATTTATTCTAATTCAACTGAAAATAAAGTGATAATTAATCAAAAAAAAAAGAATTAAAAATAAAAGAGCTTTGTTAGACCTAGTACCTTGAACTTACAATGGAACCATCAAACGATAAAAATACAGGGGAACAGAATATGAATACTAACAAATCAGATTTGATTCAATCTGCAATCTCATTTTTAAATGACGATACCGTGAAGGATGCCCCATTATCTAAAAGAATTGAGTTTTTGCAAAGCAAAGGTCTTAATAAAGAAGAGATTCAATATGCATTAGATGAGTCTCAAAAACTGCAAAATACAGTAACTATAAATAACAACAATAACGATCAACATGGTAAATATTTTAAAGCTAATAATGATACCAATAATAATAGCCCAAACTATATATATGATATTTTGCCTCCCCCTTTACCTGAACGTACATGGAAAGATTATTTTGTGATGGCTACTGTCACTGCAGGCTTATTTTATGGGTTATATGAAGTAACTAAGAGATATGTTATACCCAATATTTTACCTTCATCCAAAAACAAACTGGAAAGAGACAAAGAAGAAATTAATAATCAATTCGACATGATAGATAAAGTGTTAAATGAAATTGAAAGAGAACACAAGGAATTTAAAGAAATGGAACAGACAAAATTGGATGAATTAGATGCTACAATTGAACAACTAGAGACTTCATTGGAAGAAAATAAACAATCTAGGGAAAAAATTAATGATGATTTTAAATTACTTAAACTAGAGTTATCAAATTTACAAAATACTTTAGAAAAATTCATGAAGAATAATCAAAATGTGAAAGAAATTGATAATATCAATCAAGAAATAATATCTCTGAAAAATCTTATTAAAAATTCTGATATTTTCCCACCACAGCAGAAAAAACTTTATCAAAGCAATAACTCTATCCAAGGTATGGATGGAAGAAGTAATGAGGACAGTATTAATAATTTAGAAAATGAACCTGAAGATATATTATCAATGCCTGCTACAGATGGTATTCCTGGAATTGATGCTATCCCATCAGCTTCTGAACTTTTAGCCAAATTCAATAAAAAGAAACCAATTGAACCAGCCATTACTAACGAAGTTTTCCGTAGCAATAACGAAGGCACAGATGACAACAATTCCGATAATGATCTAGAAAATACTACAGCACCAGCATGGAAAAAATCTAGAGAGCAAGCATTTTCTACAATGCCACAAAAAAATAATTCCAACACTAATGGCACTACTTTAAATAAGGCCGCTGATGAAATGCCAGAGTGGCAACGTATGCTACAAGATGAATCAAATTGAATAAATATATATTAACTTTAAGAACTTAATTATCAAACATTACTTCAAAGGTCAAAAATTGTGACGTTCTGTGTTTTTATTTATATATTTTCATGTAATATGACAACGGTCTTTTTAAATGCAAATATCATTACAAACGAAGATGTTGCATATGATATTAAAACATCCATACACCACAATACAAAATGATGTAATATCTGACTTTTTTTTTCTTTTTTCTTTTTTCTTTTTTCTTTTTTTTTCATTACCTGAAAAAAATAAAAATAGAACGAACAAAAATAATTATGGCAGTCCAATTTTATACTATACCTATAATATTGAGTATTATTTGTAAGTATCTGGCTTTAGTTAAGAGTTTGTGGCTTTACAACTAGTAAAAGATTAAGCAACCAAGCGTATAAAGGATAAACACGTCGATTTGGATTAATTCTGATTAAATTCTAATATACATCAAGCACTATCAATCTTAGTCTCGATTGTTTCACTAAGTTATTTGATCCATTTATTTATTTTTTATTTATCATCCTTGTTTTTTTATCACAATGGATTTACAAAATGAAAGTGTGTTTACTTTAGCTATCAAATGTTCTAATAAACATTTATCTCCTACAGAGTTTGTTAACCTATATAAAGAATTTTACAATGAAAAGTTTGCTTCAGTTTTTGAAAAAGAGGAAGAAAATGAAGAAACAGAAAACCAACAACAACAACAGCATGGAACACAAGAGGATCCTAAAGGGGAAAATATCAAGCCAAAAAAGTTATATGCAAGCCCAAATGAGAAGGTGAATAATATACATACAGATGAACAAAATAGTTCAATTAAAAAAACTGGAAGCGATGCTGATATAAATAATAAGAGCCAACACGATGATTCTATAAGTAAAAATATCAACAACGAAAGACGAAAATTGATGGATATATTATCTGATGACTTTGTTAAAATTTTTAATTGTGACCAACCTTTTTTATTGGCCGATTATGCTATTGAAATAATATTTATTAATTATGACAGTGATTTGGTCCATTCTTTTATGCCTAAATTGACTACTGTGAATTTATCGTCAAGTTCCTCATCAATGCTCATTTATTTTTTCAATCGATCCTGTATCTATTTTGATAAGTTAAAAGATAAAATAGTCATCGATTCGTTAAATAAAGACTTATCAACAATAATAATACCTAATATGTTAAATGGTAAACTCTTATCAAGTTATAACAACAATAATGATAAAAATCAATTAATATTAGCACTAGCCAAGTTTTTACATTCAATGTTAAAACTCAGTTCAATTCCTATAGTGATCCAAACAAATCCCTATAAAGATAATTTTATTTCTTTAATGTCTGAGGTTTTTAAAATTAACAGACTGCTTCATAAAAAGATTTCAAATGCTGCAGATTCAAAATTAATCTTTAAAGATTTAGATTCATATTCAAATAAAGATAATAAGTTGTCCCAAGGATCATATTTACACTCATTTACACAACAATCTTTGTTACCAGATTTTGCAACAACACCTTCATTAACTTCACCACAGTTTATCCCTAGTCCATTATCCACAGTAAAAACACCAATTTCTAATCATTCAATGCATCATACATCAACAAATAAATATACCAATATGAAATTGATACGTTACTATAAAAATTTATGGTTGAATAGCAAAATTATGAATTGGGAAACATTTAATGATAATTTCTTATCCAAATACAGTTCAATTTCTTCTTATGTCTTTCACAAACCTACCACTGTCATGAGCCCCCAGAATAATGAGACAATATTGACTGATCTAATTGAAACATCTTTTATTTGTTTTGCACAATATGTAAGTAATAAACAGTATCATAGATCAAATTCAAATTTAAATCTACTGGAAAGGCAATGGATGATCTTCATCTGTAAACATTTACCTTTATTAATTTTACAGCATTGTCCAGATAACCCTCAAATAGTAGTAAATGCTTTAGAAAGCATTGATACTAAAGTTATCAAGGCAATAAAATCATATTACTCCGAAAAAGAAGATATTAGAAATAGAAATGAAGACCTATTTGATGATTTTTCCGTTACTAGCTTTGATATAAGACATGATTTCATTAAATCATTAATTATGTTGGGATTACAACCACCAACACTAATCAATGAATTTTTACGAGAGGATCAACTAATTGATCCTAAGACTTTACAAACTTCTGATGATGTTTTAATTACTACCTCACAAGGATTTCAAGAGCCATTGTCCAATATTACTAATTTCTTATTGAATTCATTGAATTCCTTAGAAATAGAAGCTGTTGGTAATTTAAATAATGAACCAATTAATGGCATTCAACAACTTTTAAATGGTTTTGAAAACATTGCACCAACAAAACAAAGAGAAATTTCGTTAACAATCGTAAATATATTACATCAAGCCATTGAAAACTGTGACCATCCTAAGATATCAAAATTATGTAGTTTACTAGTTTTTAATTTTTCTCATTCTTTAACATTTATATTCACATATTGTTCACCAAAAGGGATTATTGAAATGTTAATGAAATTTATTGATAATTTGTGGGATAAATCTGTAAAATTAAAAAAAGAAGATGGCGAAAACTCAGAAGAAAATAATGAGTTATCATTTTCATTCAATTGGGTTTTATTATTATTACTATCCTGTTATAAAAACTATAACATATCTCTTCGTGACATTGCACTAACATCACCAAATTTGAAACTGGAAGGGTCGTTTTGCATTAAATATCTTTCCAAAATTCCTGAAATTCTTGATGATTTTTCTATTAATGTTGAAGACAAACAAAATCCAGAAGTTCAAACACAATCACATAATCTAGTCCAAAGCTGGTTAACAGACTTATTCATAAATGGCTCTCTATCAGATAAATTGACCAATAATACTGATACAAAGCAGCTTGCAGAGTTACTCCCTTTTATTTTAAAACAAGTATTCTATGCAATAGAAATGAATGTAATTAATGATATAAATGTTATTATTAGTGGATTAGAATATTTTTTACAACCTTTTATGATTGTTGGATTATTAAAAGTTATGTTTTGGTTTAGTGAATATTTGATTTATCTTTACAATGAACCTATTTCAGATGAATTATTACAAAGGATACTTACTACAATAAATTCAATTATCAATCCACCAACATTAAATGAGGACACCAAAGCTTTCCATAATGCTGTATTAAGAATAAATGCAGTATCAACACTAAGCATACTCAGAAAGTTCAAAGAAAGGCAAGCCCAATCAAACTATGGTGTCTATTCATCTGATTTCCAAGATCGCTCCGTATTAGATCTTCTAATCGAAAAATTTACCAACGTTTTAAACATATCACCAGTATATAATGTAGATCCAAGAGTCTTTCTAAATGACTCAATGTACTCTCAACAAAAGCCAATAAGTTATGGTAAATTGTCAATCCTCAATGAAAATCCAATTAATAAAATAATGGCAAATCAAATTAACTCATTTTGGAATTTACACAGTAGTACATATTATAATCTTGATTTTCTGAAGGAGATTATCAAATTAGTAACACCTAAAAATTTCCTGTATGATGTATTAGAAACATTGGACTACAAATTAAAAACCTTTGGTGTACCAGTAGCTAGAAATAAAATGAGTTCTATTGAATCTGAACAAGTATTGGAATACTTTTTATATTTCCTTGTGTTACATGACTGTGAATCTCAATGGGATGCAGCAAGTATGATTAATTTATTAACAGAGAATAGCAATGAGAAAAACATTGATAATACAATAAAAGAAGAAACGATAGAAAAGCAAGATATACAACCTAAAACGGAAACAATTCCAGATGACGATTTCGACATGCTATTTGGTGAAAATGAAACCAGTACCCAAGGCATCAATAATGATATTCTACCTGCTGGTATGGAACTAGAAGATAATTCAAAAAAGTTAAGTGAATTTAATGCTTTAAAGAGAGACTCCTTTGGTATACTTCTTCATGAATTAAAACCACAACAAGAAGAAGCATACCACAACAAAGAGCTATCGAAAGAGGAATATGAGAAATTCAATAAGATTTACACTCTATATTTAAATATGTTGAAAACATGTGTTTTTTGACATCTAAAATAAAAAGAGATGCATCAACATTTAAAAGTTTGTACAATTCTTTTATATTTATATGCAATAGATTATTATATAAATATGTGTCCTTGTTAATAAAATACATAAAATACTGAAAGACAAATCACATGTAAATCAAACAATATTTAGCTTATGCTAATTAGTTTTCTCTCCTATATTTGCAGATGCATCAATGGTTTTAACATGACGACCTTGTGTTTTACCTTCCATGACAACCTGTTGAACTTGTTCCTTTTGTTTAGCTCTATCTCTCATTCTTTCTTCAATAGTACCTTTAACCAATAATCTATAAACTGTGACTTGTCTAGTTTGACCCAATCTATGTGCTCTATCCATAGCTTGTGAATCGATTGTTGGATTCCAATCAGAATCATAAAATATAACAGTATCTGCAGCAGTTAGATTGATACCCAAACCACCGGCTCTTGTGCTTAACAAAAAGATAAAAATTTCAGGTTTTGTTTGCCAATCATGTACTAAATCACGACGATCTTCTAACTTAGATGAACCATCCAGTCTAATATGATTATATTGTTTGTATGTCAAGTATTCTTCCATTAAATCCATCATTTTTGTCATTTGGAAATAGATTAATACTCTATGTCCTTCTGCTTTCAATATTGGTAACATTTCATCCAACTTTTTCAATTTAGCAGAATCAGTAATAAACCTATCCATCGAAGGCATAAAGATATTCGAGGAGAACTTCTTGTTCAGTGGGGCTGGATATAAGCCTGTTACTGGGAAATTTTCTATTGGGATATTCCTCTTTACGTGCATATTGTATTGAGTAATTGAAGGAATATCACTAAATGCTTGAGAAACAACAGGCTCGAATAGTTCTCTATGAATCTTATTTGAAAAATTACTAGATCCCAAAACTTCAATAGTAATCGGAGGAGCAGCGGCACCATCATGGTACCCTCTATTTAAAGATTCAAAATAGTTTTCTTCATAATAGTGCCTTTTAATATTTAACAATGAATTCAACACACCCTTAGTAGTAGTTCTAGCCAATTCAGTAATTTCCTTACTTCTCCCTGTAACAATTAAGCTCCTTTCAAATCGAGTTATTGGTTCCAAATGTCTCTTTTTATTCTTAATCAACCTTGTTATTAGAAAATCACTATGGATACCTGCTATGTCATTACCATTATAACCTGATATTCTGTATAAGTATGCATTTAATCCTCTGTTATTAATAGGTAGATAAATGTTCATCATGTGATTCACAATCTTATTGAATGTTGACAAAGAATTTTTGTATTGAGGTAGTAATAGTTCATTGTATATTAATCTTGGCAAGTGGTATGTAATAGGATTGCGAGAAGAATAAACAACATCTGTTAGATTCGTTAATAAATGATTAGACACTAATCCGCTATTGGCAGAACTATCAGTTGTGGCCACATTTACCATACTATTATTATTGATGGTGCTTGCTCCACCAAGATTGGAAGAACCCTTTGTTATTCTACCTGTCTTACCAAATGTAGCAAAGGAGAATGGTGACTCAACATCAGCTCTTTCAAATAAATCTGGGTGATTACACACTTTTCTGAACTGCATAACAGCGTTAATCAAACTTTGATCACTATTGTTCTCATCTGAACCAGCTGCATTTTCGATATCATCATAATTCGAAGACAACTGAGATTTTAATACTTGATACAATTTCTTTTGTCTTTGTGTTAAATCACATAAAACATCAATTTCAATCTTATCACCTAATTCTGATTGAACGTTCTTTTTAACACGTCTTAACATAAACGGTTTTAAAATCATGTGTAATCTTCTAACTTGCTGTTGATTTAATTGTCCATTACCCTCTGCATGCGATTCAATATCTTTAGAAAACCATTCACTAAATTCATCATGTGAGTCGAACAAAGTAGGCATAATGAAATGCAAAAGAGCCCACAATTCTTGCATATTATTTTGAATTGGAGTACCAGTTAATAAAAGACGGTTACGACAGTGAAAGCTTAACAAATTCTTCCAACGTGATGATTGAGAGGACTTGATAGCTTGTGCTTCATCTAGGATCATATATTGCCATCTCATCTTTTGTAAGTATGTAACATCTGAAACCACCATTTGATAAGACGTAATCATGACATGGAAGGGTGAATCCTTATTATATCTAAGGTTTTTTCTGTCCCAGAACTTTCTTAAAATTTTTCTATCATTTGCATTCCCCCAGTATGGTAAAATCTTGAAATCTGGGACGAATTTATTAATTTCATTAACCCAATTATGTAAAGTCGAAGCAGGTGTAACAACCAAGAATGGACCCCATATATTATAATGTTCTGCAAGATGAGCCAAAACTGATATGGATTGAACTGTTTTACCTAAACCCATCTCGTCTGCTAAAATACCATTAATACCTTGATCATACAGATTTGCTAACCAATTCAAACCCTTTAATTGATATTCCTTCAGAGTACATGCTAGCAGTTTTGGTTGTTCTAATGTGATATCTCCTAAAGAAGTTGGATTTTGGAAATTCAATTCACCATCACCATCACCATCTTCATTATCATTATCTTCATTGTAGTTATTACTGTTTTCAAGATCTCTTGTTGTTTTACTATCAAATTCTTTTGCCTTAGCTCTATTTTGTGCAATAACACTGGACGCATTCTCTGCAGCCTTTTGCCTCAATTGTTCATCATCTTCATTATCAAAATCGATATCATGCATGCTTGTTCTATTAGCACTAGTTCTTTCTAAATCAATCTCACCATGTTCACCGCTTGTATCACCAATCTTATTTATAGTAGTACTTGCAGATTCATTACCTTCAATCTCGCTTGTTTTAATCTTTCTTCCGATGAAATGTGAGTATAATTCCGTTTGTGTTAATAAGAAATTTAATTTTTTAGCTTGTCTTTTATTTTCTCTTTCTTCTTCTTCTCTCTTGGCTTGCTCCAATGCAATCTTTTCAGCTCTTTTCTTAATTTCACGTTCTTCACGTTCGTTCCTCTTCCAGAAATTCGACATTTCTCTTATACCTCTTCTTGCTTTTGTCTGCAAATCTTTAACTTGTTTAAAATTTCTTGTTTGCCATTTTTTAGCTTCTCTTGCACATAAAGATGAAGTCTTTTTAAAATTAGTTGATCTAACAGATTGAATCTGCTGATATAATCTTAACATTCTATTAGAGTCTTTACGTGCCATATCCTTCCAAATTGTGATATAAGTGTTATCATAATGACGTTGAATAGCTCTTGCTTCTCTTGCGGACATTTTAATCCCGTAGGTAGGTAAATCGTGAGTTTTCCTTTTATTAACACTTTGTACATTATTATTATTGTTATTATTATCCATATCATTATTTGCCGATTTCTTCTTGTCTATTGAAGATTGATTATTTTCGTTTGAATCTGGTATATTAGTTGTTGATGGATTTAGTTTCCGTCTTTTCTTTGAAGGAGAAGTTGTTGGTGTATTTGAGGCACTGCTATTAGGGTTAGTTGAATTCGAGGAAGATTTATTATTATTATTATTATTGTTGTTACTGCTGTTTGATTTTTTTAATAAAAGATCATTCTCTAATTTTTCCTTCAATAATTTTTCCTTTAATAACTTTTCCTGTCTTCTTCTATCCTCATTAATTAATCTTCTTAATTTTTTTGAATGATTTTGTTTTAAGGTGATTCTAATTTCTAAAGTTAGTTGATTATTATTATCATCATCATTACTATTACTATCACTATTATTCTGATAATCATTAATGAAAATATTTGTAAATCTTCTTTTTTTGGTTCTTTGACCTTTATGCTTTTTATATAATCTTTCTAATTCCTTGACAATAAATTTATGATCGGAATGAATATCGATGTCAATTGGGTTATAATCCATTTGGTTTTGCGATCTTTGTAAACGTGGATTTCTTTTAGTTTTTCTTTGATAGCCGATAGTAAAATCTTGGTCTTTATCGTCTTCATTATAGATATCTTCGAATTGTTCTTCATCGAGATCGTCAAGATCGTCAATATCTTCATCGTCCACTTCTTCCATATCCTCTTCTTCCTCATCATCGTGTTCACCTATTGTATTATCTTCTTCATTCTCATTCTCAATATCAATATCAATATCATTCTCATTTTCATTTTCATTCTCATTCTCATTTTCATTCTCATTCTCATTCTCTTTTTCGTTCTCATTTTTGTTTTCATTCCCATTTTTATTCTCACCTTGAATACTATTCTTTTTGTGCTCTATTCCTATATTTTGTTTTTTATACTCCATAGTACTGTCATTCTTTTCCACAAGACTTAGTTTATCGTTATTTTTACTGGAGATAGACCTGAGTATAGCCTGATACCTAGTGTCTTTATAGACCAGATACTTTTCCCAATTAGAATTCAGACTTGTATAATATTCATCGGCTGCCTCTGTTGATGGATGATCATCCTTGTCAGACAACAACAGGATTCTGTTTTTGTTCAAGTCTTTCAAATTAAGATAGTTCCACTCGTTGATCAGCTCGAATTCTTGTAAGTTTAGGAACTTCCAGTCCTGGTACAGCCATTCCAGATTGTCTCTAAACCTGTATCTGTTGAATTGGTCATTTAGTTTGTTCAAGTATTTCAATTTCCGGTCATTATCTGTCCTATTTTTGACATTATCAGTTAACGAATCATTATTTGAAAAACCATTAGTTGAGGAGTTGGCAGTAATGTCAGTAGTTGAAGACTTGTTGATAGGGATTATGTCTTCATCTCGATCATTTAATAGTGCAGCTAGAGACATTATATCAAACTAGTTGTGAATTTTATTTTTTTTTGAGTATTTTGAATATATGAGTGTATATGAGATAGAGAGACAAAGAGACAGATGGAAGGTTAAAGAAAGAAAAAAAAATTGTAATATGTATATGTATATGTATATGTATATGTTAGGGATGATGTTTATGGTTATTTACTAAGGGTTGCTATACGATATCCATACATGTGTACGTACATAGAGATAGGCATCTGTTGTAACACATTTGCTTTTTGAACAAGAGACAAACAGACAAACCAAGAAGAAACAAAGAGGTAAAGAAGGAGAGTGGATTGGGAACAGATTATAATTGGGAATGAGAAAGGAAAGAAGATGAGAAGTACAAGAAGGAAAACGTAAAAGAATAAAAGAAAAAAGTAAAAAAGTAGAAAAAAAGAAAAAAAAAAACCCAGCCCAACAATCTTTCTCTCTTTCTTTCTTGCTTGCTCTCTTTCTCTATGATGGTGTTCTCTTTACTTGAAGAATGAAAAAGCGCATAGAGAACGAAAGAAAGAGCCAAATCTCTAAACATTATCCTCTCAACTTTAAGCCCTCAATCCAAATAAAACAGGAAAAAACAGGAAAAACAGGAAAAGACAAAGACAAAGACAAAGACAAAGGAAGAAACTAATGAACACAAACAAATAAATAAACCATACAATCATTCAAGTATTCAAACGTACAAACATACAAATACAAACACACACACACACACACACACATATGCTAAGAATGAACTGTGTGGTACAATACCTCTTGCATCTTACTTTTATTTTTCCTTTTAAGATCAACAAGACAAGAAAAGAAGAAGGGATAACATAAAATAAAAAATAAAAAAAAAAACACAGACAACCATAACACCTGGTGAAAGAGAGCCATGTATTAATAGGGAATTATGAAAGAACAAAACAATTATATTAATGTGTATTATAGACAACTATATACACGAGTTAAACAGAAAAAAGGAAAAGCTGTCTGATTGATTGATTATACATCTCTGTTTCTCATCAAGTTCCTCCCCTTCTCCATCTTGTTAAAATTATACATGTACCTACATATAGACACAATTGTACAAAAAAAACAAAACAAAAAATCTTGTTCTAGTTACTGGCTCTTCTTGCAGATGATCAAAACATCTAGCATGTAAGTTAATGTATACAAGTATACAAGTATACATACTCACACAGTATGGATTGTGTAACACATTAAGATTGTATACATTGTATTAACATCATTTTAGACGTGAGCGTTAGAAAGCCATCTTTAATTTCTTTTTGTTATATGTCATAACAATAATAATCCATAGCAAAAAAGCAAAAAAAAAAAATACAAATTAAAATTATAATAATGATAATAAAGGTACTCATAATAAAATGACTAATAATCACCGATACTATAAAGTAATATAAGGAAAAAAAAAAAATAAAGAGTCAAACAAAAGTATATACCTGTAAATACATATACACATATACGCGTTTATACATTTGTGCATTTGTATGTACGTATAGAAACAAAACACAAAGTAACTATCTCAAATATATTAGCAATAGCAATAGTGGACTATTAAAATATAAGCTAATTATTATTCAAGATATAATATTATGTCCTCTTTCGGTACTATCTTTAGAGTCACCACCTATGGTGAATCCCATTGCCAATCCGTCGGTTGTATAGTGGATGGTGTTCCACCTGGTATGACCTTGTCAGAAAAAGATATCCAACCACAATTATCAAGAAGAAGACCGGGTCAATCCAAACTGTCCACTCCAAGAAACGAAAAGGATAAAGTCCATATTCAATCAGGCATAGAAAATGAAAAAACTTTAGGCACCCCAATCGCCATGTTGATCAAAAACGAGGACCAAAGACCAAACGACTATTCAGAGATGAAACTATACCCAAGACCATCGCATGCAGACTTCACTTACTCCGAAAAGTACGGCATCAGATCATCCTCTGGTGGTGGTAGAGCTTCCGCTCGTGAAACCATTGGGAGAGTCGCTGCAGGTGCCATCGCAGAAAAGTTCTTGAAACAGGTCGACCCAAAGATCGAAATCGTGGCTTTCACATCCCAGATTGGTGAGGTCAAAATGAACAGAGACCCCTTCAACCCTGATTTCCAAAACCTTCTAAACACAATCACCAGAGATAAAGTCGACTCCATCGGCTTCATCAGATGCCCAGACCTGAATATCGCAGGTGACATGGTCAAGGAAATAGAAAAATACAGAGGCCAACAAGATTCCATCGGTGGTGTGGTTACCTGTGTGGTAAGAAATATACCTACCGGGTTAGGGGAGCCATGTTTCGACAAACTGGAAGCTTTGTTAGCTCACGCCATGCTGTCTATCCCTGCTTCTAAAGGTTTTGAAATAGGTTCTGGTTTCGTCGGTGTTTCTGTGCCAGGTTCAAAACATAACGATTTATTCTACTACGACGAGGAGAAGAAAAGATTGAGGACTAAAACTAATAACTCTGGTGGGATCCAAGGTGGGATATCTAATGGGGAAAACATTTATTTCTCTGTTGCTTTCAAGTCCACTGCAACCATCTCTCAAGAACAACATACCGCCACCTATGATGGTAAAGATGGTATCTTGGCTGCTAAGGGTAGACATGATCCTGCTGTCACACCAAGAGCTGTTCCAATCGTCGAAGCTATGACTGCCTTGGTATTAGCTGACGCTTTATTGATCCAGAAATCAAGAGAATATGGTAGAAGTGTTGTTCATTAATAAATAAAAAGAAACCACGGGAAAAGAACTTTCCTTGTTTTCTCTTTCTCTCTCTCTCTCTCTCTACATATATACATATATATATATATATATTTGTGTAGACTAAAATATTAACAATAATATATTTCAACCTATTTATTTATCTGATTATAAGGAAAAATATGATTATTGTATATATTAAAAGTAAAAAATGAAAGAAAAAAGAATGTACAAAGAAAAGTATATATATGCTAAATAAATTATACGTATATATATCTCCTTCTTTCTAATTTACTTAGATTTCTTCTTCAATAACACCCTTAGAAGAAACATAGATACCGTCTAAGAACTTACGGATATCCTTGTTTCTAACTCTACAGATTTGTTGAATATCAGCAGCATTTTGAGAAACGTTTTCAACAGAGTTACCAGATAAGACAATTTCATCCTTTTGAGTGGTGGAGAATTCAATAGTAACACCTTCTCTAACTGGAACTAATCTGACCTTCTTGTCACCTAAGAAGTTTCTAATTTCGACAAATTTAGCACCATCCTTTTCAATAACGTTGACGTTGATTGGGAAATGCGCATAAACGTATCTCATCTTGTACTTGTAACCCTTAGTGACACCAGTAATCATGTTGTCAACTAATGATTTGACAGTTCTTAAAGCAGCAACATGCTTTCTGTCACCATTGTGGACAGTAACCTTGATAGTGTTAGCAGAGGTCTTGGTGAAAGTAACATCAATGTGCTTTAAGGACTTGGTTAAAGTACCTCTTGGACCGGTAACCTTAACAACACGGGACTTGATGGCAACAGTGACACCTTGTGGGATGGCAATGGTTTGTTCAGTTTGGATGTGCTTCATTGTCTATTACAGGATTACAGGGTTCTTTTCTTCTTGAATAAAAGAGAAAAAAGATGTTACTGCAAAACAAGAAATGTACGAAACTTTAAGAAAACATAGCGATGCTAATAGCAACATATTACTAGATAGCAAGGCTCCCAAACAATCCTTCTATTAACCAACATTGCTACACTACCCTGTGTTTTAATTACTTTTATTTTGCCAATCTTACCTTCAACCAACATACAGAAAGGCATTGGCACATTATGATTAACAAAACTAACCGAATCCCGCAAAAAGTTGGTATGACCTTTGTGAGTTTCTAAATTGGAAAAAAAAAATTGGAAAACTCGATGAGTTCCATTTTTGTTTTTGTTTTTCTTTTTTTTTATTTATTTATTTATTTTTTTTTTTGAAAAACAGTTCATACCATCTAATTTCCTCATTGAGTAAATTGCTAATTGGAAATTTTTGTTTTTTCATAATGTTTTGTGTTATTTGTTTCACAATTTGAAAAAGAAAAAAAAGAAACTAAAAAATGAAACTAGAAAGAAGGTAATTTTTAAAGAGAAAAGGTCTACACAACCTTACACCCACAAACAGTCCTCAAATCCAACTTTTTTTCATCACACTGACTTGATTTACTTTAAATCTACTTACTTTTACTGCTCTCTAAATTGAACCATAACGCTAAATACTTATATTACATACATTCTTGTCTGCTAACCAAATTTATCAAATAAAAAACTTATCTTTCATTATCAGTATTGTTATTATTGTTCTATTAATGTATCGATTGATACTCTAGTCAATCTAGAGTTTTCACTATGTCTTGTGCATATTTATTTACCAACTCAATCGCATCTTCTACTAACCTAGGTTTAAAACCTTTCACATACGTGTCATTTAATGCAATGGTTCTAACAGGTGCAATCACTTTCCCTTGTGACCAACTGATAATTAATCCATTATTAGCAACCATGCTCTCGTTAAATGCCGGATCGAAAAAGATGTTATCCCCAATAATAGCCAAAACAAAGACCAATGGCGGAGATACATCCAACTTCACTAAATCATAATCATGGAACGTAGGTAATTCTTCAACTTCTAAGTCATCAAATGAAGAAATTAATTTGGGTAAATACGTAGACTTCAACGCTGAGTATATACCAAATGAGATTAGAGATACTGGATACGAATATGAAGACAATACTAATACATCGATAAAAATCTTGAAACTGTATTTCTGTGTCAGTTGTAATTTGGATGAATCAATAGTATCAATAATCTTATTAAATAATGATGATATACTTTCCACCAGTAATGAATCATCTCTTTCTCCAGCAATATCTATATCTACTTGAATCAAATCCTTCTCTACAGCATGGTCTACGACTTTACTTTTAACACTAATTATACATTCGCTACCATCACTAGCAATGATTCTTGCAGAACCATTTGAGCTTGGTAAAAAATCTGTGTATACTTCAATAGGTCTTAATTGATGCGCTAATCTTCCATCTGGTCTCAATGCTTGAGGACTTGATAGAGAATCAAATAAATATGATCTTTCAGCTACCGATAATGACATCGTTGGATTTCCAAGTAGAGAAAAAAATAGCTATTTTCTTTCTTTCTTTTATAAGTTATTAGTATGTAAATATCTTATTTTCCTTCAAGGTATCCTATTAATATTAAGCTCTAACGAAGAAATGTTATACTAATGTGTTCACCTTTTTTTTTGTATCGTTTACTCCAATTCTATTCTTGTATTCACTTTTTTGATAGTTGCCTTTCAATTCCTTTTCTTTTTTTTTATTTTTTTAATTATTTTCTTTGTTTCGTCTATCTTCTTTTTAATTAGAAAAAAAACAAAAAGAAAATTCAAATCTTGAATATGCAAAAAAAAAAACCAAAAATTAAAGAGCGTAAAATACTGTATGCATTGCTAAACATATATAAAGATTGTCTAAATTCGAATCATTTGCAAACAGTAACAGAAGGTATCGCGCCTCATTCACAAATGTTTTTATACTCTAACATTAAAGGCTTTCTGGAATAGTTATTTATTTCCATTTACTATTAATCCACAAGAAGAAGAAGAAGTAGATATGTTTTTTAAGAATTTGTGTTGACATAATACCAAGATAAAGAAACAAAACAACAATTGCGAATTATATCCATCAGTAGATATATATAATAACCTAGTAAAATGAATTATAATATTATTTAAATATTCAATCGATGTGTTAACAAAAAAACAACTAATTAGTTGCCATGGTTACACCATATTTAATCAAAAAAGAAAAAAAGAAATATACTAGCAAACACCTCACATTTATATGTATACCATTCTAAATAGTTTGCTTAAGATAACTAAAGGAGACCCTTGATTATTGGATGATACGCCAAAGTGATTCTTTTGATTATATATTTCTTAATACAGACATCAACAAGGTGACTCTTAATATCATACCAAGCCATAAACATTACAATAACCACCCATTTAATCATAAAACATCAAAATCCTTATTTAATCCTATATATCTTTGGCAGAAGTATTTATCTTGATACTAATTGAGACAAATCATCCTCTTTGCACATCACTGTTCTTCGAGCTTTATTGCAATAAACGACATAAAAAAAATACTATTAAACAAACGAAAAAAATGCTAATTTTATATTATAATATCTAACACTAAACAAGTGCTATATAAAAAGACATTAGTATTATATCCTAGTCTACTTTATTTTATTTATTCATGATATTTTAATATTGATAGCTCTTGTTAATTTACTCTGATAATATCTAATGTAAATACATACACACACACACACACACACACATATATATATATATATGTATCCCTACTGGAAACTCTCACAAACAGTAAACAAACAATAAAATGTAATATATTCTCGACTACATCTATATATGATTCGATAATTAATTGCAAAAAGATAGTTTGTAAAAAAAGAGAAAAGTAAAAGAAGGCACTGCTGTTTCATTTATTTCATAATCTATAATGTAAAACTAAATTAATATCTAAATTAGCTTAGACAATCCAAAGTAATGCATTTTGTGACACACAGAAAAGGGAGGGGAAAAAGAAATTAAAATGTGCAATATATATCAATGTGTTGATAAATTCCCCTATTCTATTGAAAATGGTGTATACTTTCAACAACTACATGATGAAGCATTTGCAGTAGCATCAGCGGAAGCAGCAAGATTAACTCTTTGATTATCGGTAACGTTTAATCCATTTGGAGTTTCATTTACATCATTAGAATTTTTCAATGGAATAGTTTCACCAATCTTTAAAAAGACTTCATTAATATTTACTGCCGTCTTTGCACTTGTCTCAAAAAACAATAGATTTTCCTCTTCAGCCAATTTTTCAGCCTCTTCTTTAGCTACTTTTCTTCCATCTGGATCATCTTTCAAAAGATCTATTTTGTTTCCAATCAAAGCAATAATTATATCTTGACTAGCCTGTTCATGTAATTCTTTCACCCAATGGCGAGCTTTTATGAAAGATTGAGGCTTGGTCACATCATAGACCACTAGAGCAGCTTGTGCATTTCTGTAATACATGGGAGCTAAAGATGCAAACCGTTCTTGTCCCGCAGTATCCCAAATTTCGAATTTAACTATATGATCATCGATATTAACCCTCTGAGTCAAAAATGCTGCACCAATAGTAGGTTCTTTATTTTCTGAAAAATCATTTGATACAAATCTTAATACAATAGACGACTTCCCAACTGCTGCTTCACCCAATAATACTAGTTTAATACTCGTTACTAGGTTGTTCATTTTTTATTTCTATTTTCAAAATTCTTTAATGTATAAATATAAATCGAAATTCAATCTATGATGATATTGAATGTTATCAACCTGTCGTTACCAATATTCTTGAAAGATAGAGAAAGGAAATCAAAGAATATGTTAGAAACTAACGTTTAAATAAAAGTGCATACATACACCAATAGCAGATAACGAGAAGAAGAAAGAGGAGGATAAACCGGAATAAAACACCAGTAACTTAGTTTTATTGCAAAGTCAAGTTGTTCTAGTTGTATTTTTTTTATTCTCGGCTTTTATATTTTCTTCCCCTTAATATCTTTTATATTTTCTTCTTGATTTCAAAATCTCTTTTTCTGTTTCTTTTTCTTTTTCTTTTTTCCCTTTTCCCTCTTTTTCTTTTTCTTCTTCTTCTTTTTTTTTAGCTGTCAGTTATTTTATTTATAGTTCAATAAAAGTGACATTTTGATAATATATATTCATATACAAAGCAGTAGTTACCAACCATATTGATAAATTAAAAAGACAACAACAACAACAACAACAACTATAACTAAAGTCATTTTAGTTACGGCTGTAGAATATTCAGTTGCGAATTTTTATGAAAATAAACGATTTTGCCACTATATAATTATATATATATATGCCATATCATAAAATTCAATAAATCTCAGTTCCTTGGTGAAATTGTAGTTGAATTCATTTCATACATTCCCACTCTTCTTGCAACTTTTATTCTTTCTAATGATTTTCTTCACCAAAGAATACTACAGTGACGGTCAAATCATCTCTATATTTCCTACTCTTCGGAGATGGTATTGACAACAAAGTAGACACAAATTCTTTTCTACCACCAGCACTTAGTGCGTTTCTTATCAAATGAGTGGCTATATTTGAATCTTCTAATAAGTATCCTAAGGAGTTACTATTATTTTTGTTTCTATTTTCTCTGTACCTGAATGCAGTTCTTTGTGAATCGTCATCAATGTTTTCTGTTATATCTGTCACTAGAGGTAATTTAGAATCTTTTATCAATCCTTGGTCATTCTCCAACCATTTGATAGCTAATGATGCAATCTCTTCATTTGTTAAGAATTCGAACAAACCATCTGATCCTATCACCATTAATTTTATATTTTCGTTAATCTTAGTTGTAGTAATCTCAGGTCTTGCCGTAACATATGGCGGTGTTAAAAAATTTCTAGGTTGTGATCTTAAATATAATTTCAAATAATCAGGTAAACTATCTAAAGCTTGCCCATCAATCTCTTTCAACTTATATCGATAGTCACCAAAGGCTCTAGATGGCTGCAAAGAACCTAGAATTCTACCACGTGTTATCACATTAGGTTCATTTGGGTGTTCTTCACGGATTCTTTTTACTTCATTTAGATTATCCCCTGTTTGATCGATAGAACATGACTTAACAAACCATTGTTCATGGGCTCCATCTGATTGCTTCCCAATTATTAAGGCTCTAGAATCTCCAGTGACAGCTACTTTCAATTTTTTAGTCCTTGAATCATATATGCTTAACAATGCACATGAACCAGATATGGCAGGAAAAACATTTTTAATAAATGTTTTATTTGTAGGATCTGATAACAAGTTTCTAAATGCTTGAATCACAATGTCGTTATCTAATTGTAAGAAAGCGTCTTGAATGGTTTTATCCATAACATCTTTATTACTATTATTAATTAGATCATTTTTAATAATATTTCTGACTACATATGCAATTAAAGATTGAGATAGTTTAGTTGATGTATAAGGACCACCATGTCCATCATAGATACCAAAAAAATACAAATCATTGTTATCTGTACTTGATTCATTATTTTTTTTTATTGCATCATCAGACCTCAGTTGAATGATATGTTCTGAATGGTTATCTTCAATCGGATTGTTTGACGGTAATTGGGAAATATCATACCTATAGATACCTGTACCACGATCTATTAAATAGCTTTGTTGATTGGTCCTCAATTTGGTATTAATTTGCTCATCAGATAACAAAGTAACAGTATCTTTTCTGTGACTTTCATCAAAATTAGGTAACGTATCAAAGGAAATATGTCTTTTTGAAGAGTACCTCACATATATGACAGTTGATAATACCACACCAGCAAGAATAGTAAAATTCCTTAGTATATTTCTTTGTCCCTTGTATTTTAATGCTGAATATTTTCTGAGACTATCTCTTGTCACTCTTTTATAAATCACAGGAAACATTTTTGAACCATGTAATCCATTATTGCTAAACACTCTACTGAATAACATCTTTGTACAAAGAAACAATAGCCACAGTGACAGAAATCGTAAGCTTCTATTCAAAAGATTGATATCACTTCCTTCCTTTTTTCTTTTCTTCTTCTTTAAACTTAATCTTTTATGATTGATAAGGTAGATCTGACTCGTCTCTAATTGAAAAGCACCTGTTATAACAACAAACCCTTATCTTTTCATCAAATATTGTTGATCATAGTTAGTGTATTATTAACCATTTCACAAATTCCAACACTTCCCCTCTATATTCAAATGGGCGGAATTAATTATCCGTAGAACTTTCCGCCATCTGCGAAACTCTTAACAAACTTTTTTTGCGAAAACAAAAAAAAGAAAAAAACTTCCTCGAAGAATTTGGAAAAAAAAACATAAAAAAAGAAAAAATAAAAATTTTTCTTTTTTTACTTCTTTTTATTCTTTATTTTCCCTTTCAAGAGAGATGAGTTTCTTATCTTTTTATATATCGAAAACATCAGTTACACAATCCAACATCGAGAAGCAATAGATTAAAAAGGTGTAATTATAAAGTCTTTATCAGCTTAAAAAAGAGTATATTGCCGACTCAGAAACTAATCACATAGTGATTTTTTATTTTTTGCTTTTTGTTTTTATTAATTGAACACCAATTTAAGACCATCCCTATCAAGTTAAAGAGTAATGCCTCCAAAGAAGAACAAACAACCAAAACCAGCTAAGAAGAAAGACAATGTTGATAAAACGTTTGGTATGAAAAACAAAAATAGATCTTCCAAAGTCCAAAAATATATTAAACAAGTTCAATCTCAAGCCGATCCATTAAAAGAAGAAATGAAGAGAAAGAAACAGCAAGAAAAGAAAATGAGAGAAGCTGCGGAAGCTGAAAGAAGAGCTTTGTTTAATCCTGTTGTTGATCAAAGAGTCAGAGCCGGAGTAGATCCAAAGACTGTTGTTTGTGCCTTGTTCAAAATGGGTAATTGTAATAAAGGTTCCAAATGTAAATTTTCCCATGACTTAAATGTTGGTAGAAAAGTGGAAAAGAAGGATCTATATCAAGATATTAGAAAAGAAAGGGAAAAGGATACAATGGATTCATGGGATGAAGAGAAATTGAGAAAAGTCATCTTGTCAAAGCATGGTAATCCAAGAGCCACAACTGATAAAGTTTGTAAATATTTCATTGAAGCAGTTGAAAATGGTAAATACGGTTGGTTTTGGGTCTGTCCAAATAATGGTGATAAATGTATGTACAGACATGCGTTACCCGAAGGGTTTGTACTGAAAACAAAGGAACAAAAAAGATTGGAAAGAGAAGCTCTTGAGAATCAACCAAAAATTACATTAGAAGATTTTATTGAAACTGAGAGAGAAAAACTGGATAAAAACAAATTAACACCGATAACGGTGGAAAATTTTGCTGAATGGAAAAAAAAACATGTTGTAGAAAGAATAAATGCACAAGAAAAGGCCAAATTGCAACAGAATGGTGGCAAGAAGAAATTAACTGGCCGTGAAGTCATTCAGAACTTGATGCAGGAAAACAAGAGTATGGGTAGCGACACATTTGTTGAAGGCAATATAGAAGAAGATGCTACAGATAAACCAGAGGGAGAGAACAATGATAATGACCATGGTTCTGCTTGGGATTTGACTGAATTCACTGATGCTCTAAAAGAGGCAGAACATAAAGACGACAGTAAGATTAAAGATTATGGTGATGGTTCAAATCCAACATTTGGTATTATGGGTAATTAAACATTAATACTAGTATTAAATAAAATAAAATAAATAGGAAAGAAGGAATGATATTACAAAACTATAATTAAAGATGTGTGCTAAATAGTAAGATAAAACACAACTAAAAAATATAAATATATTTTACACCATTTTCTCTCCTCTCTTTTTTATTTTTCATCATATTCTTAATAAACTATCACAGTTCATTTAGACATCAAAATCAATTAAACCTACTTGCATAATGTACAATAACATATATATATATATATAGTCAATATGATAATATAACTCGACTAATAATCGTCAATCAATCGTCACCTCCTCTTTATTGACATTAGTTAGATTACCATTTTTTGATTTCTTTTCTTCTCTTTTACAGATAATATAAAATTGCCTTTTCATAAGTTTAAAAGGAAAATTAGGAATGCGAAATATTTGGAGGATCAACTGATCATCTTTAAAAACAAGAAAAAATAGAAACAAACAATGATGAATATATCGATATATATATCAGGTTTACATATTATGCAATAATACACACATTACAAGCAAAGTAGACTATCAGATATCCGTAATTATTTTTTTTTCTTTGTTTAATTTCTACGTGAATGGCATATATTGGTTCAATATCATCACCATATGAATCACCCACATTCGGTACATCCCTCTCATTAAGAGTAAATGGTGGGTTCAATGCAGTGTCTATTAATCCATCGGGTAGAGATGTGGTTTTAGCAAGTAGATCTGGATTATTTATTATAGACTTGGATGATCCGTTTTCCCCACCACGTTGGTTACATCATGATACACCGTGGCAAGTGGCCGATGTTCAATGGTATCCTCATCCAGCAAAACCATATTGGGTTGTATCTACATCTAATCAAAAAGCAATCATATGGAATCTAACACGACCGGCACTTAATGCAATAGAATATGCTTTACATGGTCATTCTAGAGCTATTACAGATATAAACTTTAATCCACAAAACCCAGATATCTTAGCCACATGCTCAATTGATACATATGTTCATACATGGGATATGAGAAGTCCGTCAAGACCGTTCTATTCAACAAGTTCTTGGAATTCAAGTGCTTCTCAAGTTAAATGGAATTTTAAAGACCCTAACATTCTAGCCTCTTCTCATGGCAATGATGTGTTTATTTGGGATATACGGCATGGGTCTACTCCATTATTTAAATTCGAAGGCCATGAAAGTGGTGTTAATAGTATTGATTTTAATAAATTTAATAGAAATGAAATTATGTCTAGTTCAAATGATGGTACTGTCAAATTTTGGGATTTAAGTAACGATGGTAGTTGTCTAAAAACCATTTCAGCTGATTTCCCTATTTGGAGAGGTAGGTATTTACCGTTTGGCAATGGGTTTTGTATTATGCCTACAGTAGGTGGTAACAACTCTGTATTTTTGATGAGCCTTAATGAGGATAATACTAATGATGATTCAGATACCAGTAATATAAATTGTAACACTTTGTCTACTACACCTACTTCGAATAATAATTTCACCATAAATAATTTAAATAATAGTAAAAAAATTGAAAAACTTCAACCGGTTCATACTTTCAAGGGACATAGTGATAGAGTCATTGATTTTTTGTGGAGGTCACGGCATTCACATGATTCCATTGTTGATGATCGTGAGTTTCAATTAGTCACTTGGTCTAAAGATTCAGATTTAAGATTATGGCCAATTATGGATGAAATATATGAAAAAGTCAATTTTGATAGAAATCAAGTATTAAAAGAAAAATTGCCAAATTATGAATATATTTCTTTTAATAGGTGTGAAAATGATTCTAATCTGTCTTCTGAAGAGATTACTAATGGATATAGCAATGCAAAGGAATATTTTGTCACAACTTCAGGTTTGACAAGGTCAGATGATATTGATCACCTTAATTGGTTATCTGGCGTTAAGATGAATCGTCAAGATACACCAAATGATTTATTTGAAGATACAAAATTACAAAATCTAGGTGAAGAAGTAAGCTCAATTGGTCATAATTTTCCCAATATTGTCTTTGAAAAAATATCAGTATCAACGGGTGAGTTGGTGCTAACGTTAAAAGGACCTTGGTCCAAGAGCGATACTGAACCAAATATATTTTTAAGAATTGGTATTAAGGTTCCACCACATTACCCAAATAAAGGGAATCCTCCTAAATTTGAAATTGAAGAAAATAATAATTTACCACCAGAATCCAGGAAGACAATCATATCAAAATTAATTGAAATTAGTGAAGCTTATGGAAATATAAACCAATATTGTTTAGAAGCGTGTCTTAGGTACCTTCTAGGCGAAGAGATTAATTTGGATGATATAGAAAATATTGGTAATGAACCCTTATTCAACTTTGACATGAATACTCATCTTGATTTGGAATCCTTTGGTTCCTTATCTGATATCGATAGAAATTCTCAAATTTTAGATTCATCATCCTCAACATCGTCTGAATCTGGTCTTTTAAAAAATACCTTTAATAATGAACAAGCGAACGCACATAATCTATTTGGAAGAAACTTGGCCTTTGATAGTACACCTGTACCGAACTTATGTGGTGCAGTTTGGACTCCAACTGGTCGCCTTATAACATTTTTTGTTCCAGAAAATAAAACAGATAGAATTACACTCAATAATTTGGAGTTAAGTGAAAAAACTTTGTTGAAAAAACAAAATAGTTTGAATTATGAACCACAAGAGTTATTTGATCAAGACGAAAACAAGTTATTTCAGAATTTAAGACCTAAAAGATACGTCGATACACTTTCAACTCATGGAAACAATACAGAACAAGAATATGATACCTCTGATGAAAAGTCTACATCAGAAAGTAGTTTATATAGTTTTGTAGATGATTGGCATGATATTATTGGTAATGATGTTCTTGTAAGGACAAAACTTCCAACATTATACGATAATTTTACTAGAACAATAGGTTCTCTTCCTTCTGAAAGTGTCAGGACTGATTCTTCCAGAAAGACCAAGAATATAATTATTGATACTGATTTTAGTCATTTAATACCAGATAACAAAAATTTAGCATTAGAGTATCAAGTAATCGACAATTCTCCAGGTGAAATGGCTCGTCATAATGCATTAGTAGCAGAAAAATATGGTTTTGAAGAAATTAGCCATTGTTGGCAGATTTTGTCAGATTTATTTATGGCAGATAATAGTGATGATCCGTTGGTTTTCATTTCTGAAAATCATTTGTTAACAGTACAATGGTTTGTTAGAGAAGCTTTAAAATATTTCGAGAAGGCAAATAACTTACAGATGGTAGCAATGTTATGTTGTGTGCTTGCATATCGACCAAACTATATTTCTTCATTTAATGATAATACAACATCAAGTATCAATATGGAAAGTACCGTTACATTTGATAAAATGGAAGGTTCTGTTAGTTATCTTTCCAATGATTCATCATCAATATATTCCAGGACCTCTACGCCAATTGGAACTAGTTTAGCTATAAACAACATAATCATTGATAATCATCAGAGATATACTCATTTGAGTTCCTTAGGCAATAATAATTCCGCAAAATCAAAAGACATTTTTATGAATAGTACTACAAGGGCAAATTATTCTTCGTTTAGAGTGTCACCTTCCTTTAGTAAAAATTCAATACATCCTTACTCACAACCACAATCATTAACTGCAGAAAAGGATTCTAATAGTCCAATAATTCAAGTTCAATTGATAGATGATGAAGTAGTAAATGTAAAGAAAGGAATTAATTATGATATATTAGATTGTGATGCATTAACAAGATATAAAAATTACGTCTATCAATATTCTAATCTACTTTTTCAATGGATGTTACCTATAGAACGTGCAAAAATTCTCAAAGTAGACATCAATATTTTATGCAATAAAGTACGTAGGAATTCACCCCTACAACAGCCCTTTTCAACCTTTATTGGGAATACAGAGATGTATTCGAATGGTGTAATCACATCGTGGTTGAGAAAATCACCAAAGGATTATACTTTTTATAACTGTAACTACTGCCAATTGAGAATAGTAGGCAATGCTTTTATATGTGGTAACTGTCAACATGCTCTGCATCGCAAATGTGCAATGGAATGGTGGAACGTTGGCGATGAGTGCCCAGCTGGATGCGGTTGCAATTGTGTGAACTTTTTCGATGTTCAATAGTAATTAAATATGCTTATATATTCGTGACTCTTTTTCTTTATAAATAAACTATTTTAAGCAAAATGAACATTCGCTTTTTTTCTAAGCATTAATTAGATCCAAAATAAGGTCCACCTCCTTTATTACGATGTAAACAGACAGTTATTGAAAAAGTTTTCCCATTTTGGGATAACTAAGATCCGACTTGGACTCACCTTTAAACGAACAAAGGTAGACTCGTATAAACAGGGATGTGACATAAATCTTGAAAGTGTATAAAAATTTATCAAATCAACAAAATTATCGGGACTTCTTTCTTTATCTTCTTTCATTATTAATAAACATTTTTATATAAACTAAAGTATCTGACTACGGTTATAAGAATTGAATCAAGATATAAAAAATGGAGCGTGATAAAGTTGCGGTGATTTTGGGAGCTAATAGTAACCTTGGTTTCAATATCGCTTTAAGATTAGTGGAGCAGGAGGATCCGCAATGTAATATTACTTTTGTTGTTACATCCAGAACCAAAAAAAGGGCTGATGAAGTTGCCAAAAACATTGAAAAAGGCATTACGCACATTAAAAGATCAGGGAAAGTGGTATGTGATCCATTTGTTATTGATCTAACTTCTATGGAAAGTGTCAAAAATTTTGCTGATGCTTTAAACCATAAATACAAGAAAATCAATTATTTTTTTAATAATGCAGCAGTGGGTCTTTGCGATGGGATCAATTGGTTGAGAGCTGTTTTGGAAGTTTGTATAAATCCTATAAAAGCGGTTACCGATCCTGGATACAGAATTCAGAAGAAGGGACTTATTTCGAAGGATGGAATGGGTTATGTTTTTCAAGCTAATGTATTTGGTGCTTATTTCTTGATACATCAGTTATTAGATTCATTATCAAGAGGTACAGCAGCTGTAGTGTGGATATCTAGCTTATGTTCCACGTCTAAATATTTGTCACTTGATGATATCGAGCTAATTAATTCCAGTAGACCTTATGATGGATCAAAGAGAGTCATTGACCTTTTACATTTAGCTACATATAAACAGTTAAAAGCCAAAAATATTTATCAGTATGTAGTTCAGCCAGGTATCTTCATTAGTCAATCATATGCGGAACAATTAAATATATTCACATATTGGTCCATGCTATTACTCTTCATGTTAGCTAGGTTCTTTGGATCAATTTGGCATACAATCGATGGTTATAAGGCGGCTAATTCTGCAGTTTATGTTGCAACCTTTGTTGATAAAAATTTTGAACGTCAAGATTTAAAGTATGGATCTGCTACATATAGTGATGGTAAAGAGTATATTAAACCTCAAGAGATAGAAGACACTGGTAAGTATCAAGTGTGTGATTATTTAGAGACAAAGCGAAAGGAATTTGAAAACAAATTAAAAGACAAATAGACTTTTTATACAAAAGTCATATGTCTTAAAACTAAATATCAAAGAGAGAGACTGGGACACAAATACTATTAATGAAATGACGCTTATTATTAAGTTACTGAAGAATATAAATGCAGATATGGATCTAAATATATAATGTAGTATATACTTTATAGATTATGTAAGGTAGTAAGTAATGATTGAAAACTCTAAATGATTTTCTTATGGCTTAATCTTTGTCCTTTTCCTCTTTTATTGTATACGTTTTCGTATCTTCTTCTAATTTATTATGTTTAATTAATATATCACTCAGTAATAAATCTTGGGCCTCCTGCTTTTTAATAATAAGAGTTAGCATCTTTTTTATGTCACTCAATTCTTCATAAATTTTTTCAACCGATATATTTGAGTTAGATAAAAATGATGTTTTATTCTTCATGGTATCTAGTCCTTCATAGGTTTTTTTAGATTCTGAGACATCAAATCGAACCGATTTCTTAGGTTCCTCTTTTTTACTTATCTTAGATATCATTTTATTTCTATCTAATGCCTCAATTTTACTCATTTCTTGTTTCAATTTCGATATAATATTTTTACCTCTAATTGGTGAAAGATCTATGGGAATCTCTCGTCTAGGCGATACAACGCTGTTTGGATTAGGTATCAAAGAAGGAAAAGATGATGATATATCCTTATCTTTAGTTTTTGGTTTTAATGGAGAATTATACGTTAACGCTCGATTTTCAGAGACTGCAAGTAAATTACTAACATTATGTGTTGTACTTTGACTATTCAACCTATCTTGAATCCTGTGTTGGTATGATTTTAAAGCATCTGGGGACTCGAGTCGTTTAGGAGGTATTCTATAATTTTGTGGACTTGTAATTTTTCTTGGTGAAAGTCTCATTGCAGGTTTTCGTAAAGAAGTTGAACGTGATGGTGATGTGTAAGACCTAGTTACTCTTTCATGCAACCTTTCTGACATTTTTAGTTTCGTTATTTCTTTTTGTTTTAATGAAATTTAAAGAAATAATAATTTTGCGCTTCTTTTTTTTTGCTTTTTTGTTCCCTTGCCAGATGTTAAAATGCTTATAATTGACTTTTAAGTATTATTTGGTTACTAATCCTTGTGAACTATTTATTTGTTTGTTACTTGAATCTTTCTTTGTAATGTTTTAAATTTGTTTATTCTTTTAGAGTTTTCTTAATATTCTTTGTTTTTTTTTTTTTTTTTTTTTTTCATTGGTCTCCGTGTAGCATCATTTATCTTCTCTATTTATTTATTCTACATTAATGATATTAAGGTGGTGGTACAATATGATAATATAATTGAAAGGAAAGAGTATGTAAAGTTTAAACAGCAAGTTATATAATATTCCTATCCAATTGACAGTCAACTTATTCAAATAATGATTCGTTATTAATTAATTCATACACTTGATTACTTTTATAATTATGATTATGAAATATTGGAATATTACATCTTTGCTGTTCATCGTATTGAATAATCATAGTAGGTAAATCATTGATTGTTAAATACTTTAAATTAGGGAATCTTATAATGAAATAATCTAAAGTTTTTTTTAGAGAATGGATATAACTATGGTATAATTTAATAACATCTTCGCATGTCACATATCGATCATTATTTGGTTTATTATCGTAACCTAGCAAATAGTTCAAAGTTTTCACAAACTCTTCAATGGGCCTTGAGTAGAACCCTATACTAGGATATATATCAAAATAATGTGAGTATGGAACAATAGGGTACAATTTAAACATCTGTAAAATAAAGTTTCTTTTCTCAATGTCATTAAAATCTTTGATCAAGTATGATTCATTGGTGGGGAAAATTTTGAATAGTATGATGTTATTTAATGTGTCTTGGCAAGCATCGCATTGACAGCTCATATTTATGATAAACTGTGATAATTCATCACCCTCATCTATAGATAGTAAAGGATACTGATTCAATTCAGTAAATTTGATATCCAAATATTCTATATTCTTATGGCACGGTGTTATAGCCATAAGATCAATAACTGACTTTTCCATAGGTACCTCAAACATAAAGTCAACTTTGAGTCTTCTTAACTTATTAAACTTCATTATACAGTCCTTAATGTAATCCATATTTGCAAAAAGGGAAAAGAATGATAAATTTTCTATATTTTTAAATGAGAGAAATTCCCTTAAATTCCATAATTCATATATATCAATATCAGAATCATATTCGCCATACCATGATAATACTTCTAATTCTTTCAAACTGTTTATATCAAAAATATCAGAATATTTGATATGACTGATTTTATCGCTCTGACATGTGTCTGGTCTTAAATTTAAACAAAGACTTTCAATGTTTAAGGGTGGGTTTAACTTAGGGAAAAATTTGCAAGCATTTACATGAATATTTAATTCTTTGATTTGACTCAAATTATAACTTTTCAGTAAACTTTGCGTTCTTTCAAAGTATTTTAGATCTGCGCTTTGGTTCAATGGTAAAATGTTTGGTGGTGGCAATGTCAAAGTTTGCAATGAATATGAATGATGAACCAACTGATTCGATATTTTGTCCCTAATGAAATTTTCGAATCTGGTCAAATTATGATCATATTTATTTAGTAAGGAAATGAATTCGGCCATAATATCTTCATCTAAGTGCCACGTACAATGGACGCATTGAATCAAAGGACATAACTTTTCAGGTGATTCTCTGAGAGATCTGACTAAATGCTGAAACTTTAATTTTGCCAAAGATTTTTGATTCTGATTTGCACCTTTCTCTGAAGTTTCGTGCACATATTTAAAATACAATATTGACCATTTATGTGTTCCTAAAGAATTATCTAAATCGCTCGGGAAATAATATCTTTCATTTAAAAAAAGGTTTTGGTACAATGACGGTATAATACTTTCATAAACGTTTTTTGAAACATATGTTAATGATACTTTATCCTCCTGAGCTAAAGAATGAGCAATCTTAGAGACCACTTCTTTAGGTAATCTATCTAACATTTTATACTTTTAAAATCCTTGGACAGATTAAATAAAAAGAACTAAAAAAAAAAAGAAAAGGAAAAAAAAATCCAATCTGAACTTTTTATCTATTTGTCAATATTGTCAGTATTATTTTTTCTCGACATGGTATTTCCTTAATATGTAGTTTTGTTATAAGTATATATTTTCAGGTAAATCTTGCGAAAGCTTTATATGATCTCGTGCCTTTGATTTCTCGATAATATTTTTCACTCCCTTCATAACGACTGTCAGTTTTTTTCCTATTTTTTGTAAAGTTTCCAAATTGTTTTAGGTGTACATGTTTATCAAAGTATTGATTGACATCTATGATTGAGCTATTGAAAATAATACAGCAAGGGTTGTATAACATCTACCAGTAACAGCACCAACAAGTATCGCTTACCATCATCTATACACGATTGTATATGTGTGCAGGTTTATTGGACACCAAAATATTTTCTTTCTATTGATTATGGAATATACAAAAACTATTAAAGAGTACATAAGATAGAAATGCTGTTGTATTAATAACTACAAAATATTTAAATAGTGACACAAATATAATATTTTTTGTTTTTTCAACCTGGATATTCAATTTTCATAAAAATTCTAATTGCTGACCCCATACTTTCAAAGTAGTGTATGCCTGTAATTTGACTGCTAAAAGAACAATAGATTTGCTTGAAGAATCGATCGCCAGTTTCCAAATGGATTTGGATAGATATAAACGTTGTTCTTGTGCATATTTAGAAAATTTAGTTGAATTCCCTAAGTTTAATGTATTTTCCATTATCTTATTGAAATATTCATTAAGATTCCCCAAATAGCTTTGATCATTAATTACAATATTTGCAAAATCTAGGCATGCAGGTATAACTAGATTTGCATCGGATCTTATAAAATTGTGTTTCCTAATACTATCAACATTGTTGTTGGTTGTTATTTCAGGAGTTGAATAATTAATTTTGTAATCTTGTAAATTGACATTTTTCAATTTCAATAGAGTGGACCCGAATACGGACTCGAATTTCTTAGCAATATTTCCAGTGAGGTTTAAGTATACTTTTGAATCAACCTTATTGAATAATATTGAACATTCTTTCGTGTTTAATTGGAAATTAAGAACTCTTTCATAATCATCAATGAATGGCCTTTTATAACTTACAAAATTCCAATTAGAAACAATTGTGGATGGCTCTTTTATCAGATGATGGTTTATAGCATTATCTTTTAATTTAGGTTTCTTTAAAGATGGTTCTCTAGTGACTAACTTTAATTCAGAAACATCATTGTTATTATTGCCATTACTATTAACGTTATCAGATACTTCAAATATATCTAACACTTGCATTGTGCAGGGTATCACTGTATGATTATCAGATATCACATCATAATTTTGTATGGAATTAATATAAGACACGTTTTCATTATTGTTGTTGTTATTATCAGAGTGTTTAATAGTTATACCAGAGTCAGATAATTTTGTTTTAATATTAAGTATATATGTATTTGTTGTGTCATCTAATACTGAGTAATTAGGCACGACCAATCCACGTTTCACAACTTTATATAAATTTAAACAAATCTCTTCTGTGTTTAGAAATGGATTGTATTCGACATGACATTTAATTAACCTTTGTTCTAAATTTAAAAATCTATAAAATTTACATTCTTGTATCAATGACTCCCTTAGCTCATCATCAAGATGAATTCTGCAACCGTTCAGCAGATCTAATAGCATTTCAAAATATACAGGCGATCTTGGGACAAAGGAATAGGAATGAGGTGGAGGTCTTAACAGTTTTTTCACCAGGATCAAATTTTCGACATCGAGATATAAGGAATCTGTGGTAACTTGGAAATAATTTTGATTATCGCCATTTCTTCTCAGAAGTTCTTTAGGAAATTTAAATGATCTGTCGCCGATTCTTGAATAAAAATATTCGGAATTCTTAAGAAGAGCTTTCAAACGAGGCAAATTATAATAGACTGCGTCTGCTATTAACATGGTGTATTCTACTTCATCTTTAATATTTATGAAATAACCTTGCAAATGTTGGTAAATTAAGGAAAAGATCTGTGGAGACCGGTCAATAAATAAAATATCATTGGATTGACGAAAATTCGAAGAAAGAACTCCACTGAAAATTGAAGTTGAAGTTGAAGTTGAACCGGATACATATGATCTTGGGGATTCTGAATTATTGTTCTGATTATTTTCTGAATCCTTTTTTATAAAATAATTGGTGAAATAGCTTGGTCCATCTGAGGAAAGGGAAGCACCAGATATTTTGAATAATTTTGTGCCGATTTGAATATTGTACATTTTGTCGTGTGGTAAAATTTGTGGAATATTTGGGTCAAAATGACCTTCTACAATTGAAACATTGGTACTTGCCATTTTGTTTTTTGAGAAATGGGTTGATAGTTTATGAATATCAGGAGGCTATCCAGTTGTACATATAATGATGTATGTTAATTAAATAAAAATTAGAATAAAATAGCCCTTCTTTCCATTGCACCATTTTTCCGATATATTTATTGAACAAATATAGGAAAAAGAGAAAAAGAGAACTTAGAAGTTAATATCATTATAATAGATGGATAGATAAGTAGATATATATACTTTAATAAACAAATAAATAAATACATAGATAAATAAAAGCAAAAAGATAAAGCGGGAAAAAAAAACCATCTAATCTGATATAAACCAAACAGAAGTTATTCATTTATTGATAGCGTAGTATATAAATAATAAAAACGTAGAAGAAAACTTTTTTATACATTCTTGTATATATAAAATCAAAAAATGAATGGGTATAAAATAAAAGTTACACTTTAGATTAAGTAAAAGAAATAAGGAAACCCTTTCACGACTTTATTACCACAGTTAAACGATAGTCAATAAAAAATAAAAAAAAAAAATAGGGAAACAAAAAAGCATATTGAATAATTAATTAAACATAAACATGTAAAAAAAAAACTTATGATATATTTTTTTCTTCTTCTATATTAAATGTAAATAAATAAGAAATAGAAAACAATCTAAGTTAAATTAAAATATATTTTTTATAGACAGTCTGGGATTACCTATAATAATAAAGCGGCAACACCAGCGACTAAAGCACCAGCAGCTGGAAGGACTTGAGCGGCAGCACCAGTGTAAGAAGAAACCTTAGCAGTAGAGGATTCAGTGGTCTTGGTGGAGGTAGCGTGAGTAACTGGGGCGTGGGTGGTGTTGTGAGCGTAAGCGTGAGAGACAGCGTAAGCTTCAGCAGTAAGTGGACACCAGGTAGTGTACTGAGTGACGACGTTGTTGATGGTGACGGTGGCAGTGGAGACTAAAGCTGGAGAGACGGTTTCCTTACAGGCGTTGTCTTTACAGGAAGTGATGGTGATTAAAGTGGTTTGGTTTTCGGTGGCGGTGGAAGTGGTAGTAGAGTTGTAGCGAGCGTTGGCAACGGCAGCGACGGAAGCGATAGTGGCTAAAGTAGAGAATTGCATTTTTATGTTAATTATTGTGTGTAAAAGTAAGAATTTATTTGAGCGAGTGACAAAATTTTATTTTTTTGGTTGATTCTTTCTTATTGAATAAATAGAGAGACAAGAGTAAGTATAGTAATAGGAGAAAACGAAAAAACACGCAAAAACGAACTACCTTCGAAGAATAGTAGAGATTGAAAGACAGAAACAGAGTTTGGGAGGATGCAATGCCTTGGGTAGAGAAAAGATCACAAATATCTATTCCTTATATATAATGTTAGTTGGAACTGATTAGATAAATGAAATAGGACAAACCAAAAAAAACAAAATAAAATAAAAAAAAAAAAAGAAAGAGAGAGAAATCGTGTAGTTAGCAACGCGATCCTCAAAGAAGAACAAGAAGAAGAGTTAGAAAGGGAAGATCTCTCATAGTGACAGCGAGACAGTGAAACTGGAGGAAGCGGGGAGGGACACAAACAGAGAAAAAGAGAGAGGAGATGGTGGTGGTGGACAGGAAAAGATTGCTAAAAATAGATTCTCAGTTATGTTTTTGGGCGTTCCCTATCCTAATCGGGAAAGCACTTGTTTTCGAGAAGAAGGAGAGACTTCCTAAAGAGGAAAACTCAGGGTGTTTATGACGCGATCCCTGACAATGTTTGTCCTTTTGTTTTCCTTTGTGACTCTTTGTCTTCGTGTTTTTGTCTTTGTTGTTGGAGTGTTGGACAGAAAACAATGCAGAACAATACAGCATCGTCCATGACAAATGATCATTTACGGTGTGGGCTCCTCCTCCCCCGTGTTGTCTCTTTCCTTTTTGGATCAGCGTGACTGTGTTGGCTAGCCCAAAAGGGAAATTGGTCTATTTACGTTTTTTTTGTTTTTCGCTTTTTTGTTTTTTTTTTTTTTTTTCCATCTTTCAATCTTTGGTTGCTCTGTTCAAAAATGACGCCGCCGTTGTTTTTTCCCTCTTCAACATCACCACTAACCAACCACCACCCATCATTACCATCAATATCGTCTTTTTTCTTTGTCTTCTCTTTCTTTTTTTTTTTTTTTTTTTTTGTTAATTTCTTTTTTGATGTGCAGAGAAAGATTACTTCAAGATGAAAAGAAAGAAAATGATATGGGAACAAACAAAAAAAATACACAATAAAAGAAAGGAAGGCTAGGGTGGTGTATGGATGTGTGCATTTAGTATTCTTAGCATTTCTAAAAATACTTTATCCGATATACTGAGGGATCAAAAAAAAATAAATTTATATACTACAAAATAAAAGATAGCGCAACTTGATAATGTCGAATGTATATAACAATAACGTGAGCATAAAGTCAGTCAACTACGTAAGAGGGTTTGTATCGAGTAACAATTTAAAGTGTGATCTAGATTCGTATGTGATTATCGCGTCTCATCTATTTTTCTTTACCTCTATCTCCGCACACATCTATATATATATATATATATATATAAATGTGTGCGTGTATATGTGCGCGCATGCATTTGTGGTAACACTTTCAGTCCTCTAGCTCTTCATTTTTTCTTCAATAAACCTGCCTCACTACACAAAGAGTAGAATAGTGAATCGGTACGGCTTAATAAGTTTTCTGGGGTATCGAATTCGGCTATACGACCATGATCTAAAACTATGATTCTATCGTTATCCATGATCGTATTGATTCTATGTGCAATCGTCAGAATAGTTCTGTCTTTAAACGCAGTACGGATAGTCTCTTGCACCACTTGATCTGTTTCCACATCCACTGCCGCTGTAGCTTCGTCCAATATTAAAATCTTCGATGGAATCAGCAGTGCACGGGCAAGACACATTAATTGTCTTTGTCCAACACTTAAATTACTACCTCCTTCATTCAATGCAGATTCAAGACCTAATGGACCCATGCTCATCACATGATCCTTCAAATGACTCAACTCCAATGCTCTCCAAATGGCCTCATCAGAATATAGATGCGTTGGATCTATGTTTTCCCGGATTGTACCTTCAAAGACCTGGGAATCTTGTGGAATAATAGATAATTTATGCCTTAAATCATATAACCCCATGGTATCAATAGGTATACCGTCGATAATAATTTGACCAGAGGCTGCCTCGATGATACGGAATAATGCCAACGTTAACGACGATTTTCCTGCACCTGTTCTTCCCACAATACCGATCTTCTCTCTTGGGTTAATCGTCAAGTTTATATCCCTTAGCACTAAATCAAGTTCGGGTCTGTATCTTGTAGAATAATTCCTGAACTCGATGGATCCCTCTTGTGGCCAATCCGATGGAGGTCTCTTGTTTTCAATAACAGCAGGCGCCTCACTCTTGATCTCTGCATACTCCTTGATTCTTTCCACCGAAACTATATTGGTTTCCACTTCCACTGTCATTCTAACAATCCAATTCAACGTTTGCGTGATCTGTAAAGCATAGGATAACGATAAACCTACCATCCCTGCAGTCAACGTGCCTTCACCTAATCTAATAATAGCCAATGTGGCAGCACCCAGGATAATCACAGAACCGATGGTCTCTAATCTGAATGCTAACCAACGGTTCGAATTCACCGATGGGTAATAGGCACTTAAGTTGTTGTCCACTCTACATTGATTTATATGGCTGAATCTTGTTTGCTGTCCAAACCCACGAATAGTAACCATCCCACCCAACGTTTCTTGAAAGTGCGAGTAAATTGGTGACTTCGTTAAAGATTCTAAACGACGTAATTCTCTGGAACTTCTTAAGTAGTATTGTTGGTAATAGATGTATAATACACCTAATGGAATGATGATAAATATAAATTCCCACGTGGTCCAGCAGATAACAAGCATGGTGAAAATTACCTTAACTGCATTGACCAAAAATTGCGAAAATGTTCTTCCTAATACAGTATCCACTTTGTAAATATCGTTAGAGAACCTGTTCAAGATACGGCCAATCGGTGTGGTCTCAAAGAAGGACATTGGAGCTCTGAATATAGCATCTGTCATGATGCCGTGTAGGTATTTAGAACCATGAATTGTACAGAAAACCCATAATATCACAGTTTGAATCAGTGTTGACAAAGCAGACCCAACACCTAGAGCCAAATAAATAAATAGGTAACGCCCTGCATTAGGGTTAGCATTATATTTAGTATTGATTTCAGACCAATGTTTTAACCACACACTACTCATCACAGTTAAAAACATGGACAAAATAATGAAGCCAATTAATATTATAACGTTACGTGGATTGCATGCTTTAGCATACTCCCAGTAGATGGACCATTTTACTTTACCTTGTTCACGATGTTCTCTTCTCTCACTATCACCAAAATCCATACTACGGAGAGTTGCATCACTAGCTCTTCTTAAGCTGCGTGAATCTTCCTCCACTAAATCTAAATCATTCAATTTCTTTAGTTGTTCTAATTCAGCTTCTAATGGAACACTATCTTCATGCTTATTTTCGATAGAAGAGGCAGAACTAGATTGAATCTGGGACGTAGAGTTAGTTTTACTATCTTTCTTACCAAACTCGCTAATCAATTTGCCTAATGCGGAATTTTCATTAGATGTAACCTCATCATAGGTACCATGTTCCACAATTTCACCATTTTCCAATAATGTAATAGAATCAGCAATGGAAAGGACTGAGATCTTGTTTGTTGCTAGAATTTTTGTCTTCGTATGTAATAAGCCATGAGGACCTAAAACATGTTCAATTAAATGTTTGGCAACATGTTCGTCCACAGCAGCTAATGGATCATCCAACAAGTAAGTATCAGCTCTAGCATATACAGCTCTAGCTAAAGATAGACGTGCCTTTTGACCACCAGATAATGAAATACCCTTTTCACCAACTAAAGTATTATCACCGTCTACTAAAACAGCTAAATCAATAGTTAAAGCACATGCTTTAATAGTCTTTTCATAGAATTCAGGATCATACTTATGACCGAATAGAATATTTTCTCTAACAGTACCGTTCATAATCCATGGGACCTGGGACACATAAGCTATAGAACCATGAACAGTGGCAAATCCCTTAACTCTAAACAAATCACCTAATAAGCTTTGGATAAACCCACTTTTACCACTTCCAACCTTACCGACGATACATGCTAACTCGCCTTTCTTAGCTTGAAAATTGATATTTTTTAAAGCAACTTTGTATTCAGGTTTACGTTTCCACAAAAAGGTGGCATTGTCGCCAACATTGACAGCTACTTCACCTTGGTTTGTGACCTTAGATAAATGTTGAACAGAATCCTTTTGCAATTCTTCATTAGTTAAGAAACTGAATAATCTTTTGATGGATACAGAGACTTCAATAAAGGAAGTTAAAACGTTTGGAATGACGAATAATGGGAAAGATAGTAAGTTGAAAAGGGTTAACGCTGGGAAAACTAAATCAATAGTTAAAGCTCTTTTTTCTGTGTAGACGAAAACAGCAAATGTTGAGCATGAGACCAAAAATGGGACAATATTGAATTGGAAGGTTGTCATAGCCATAAAAACACCTAGTTTAGTTAAATTGGCCAATTCCTCGTCATTTCTAACATGTTCTAGTTTTTCCTTATATGGTTTTTCCCAGGCATATAGTTTCAATGATTTAATATTATTTAATATTTCACTAATTACACTAGTTCGCTTATCTTTGTAAATCATTTGAGTCTTTTGTAATTTCTTTTGAATCTTAACAAGGTAGGAATTAAATGGAATCATAATAACCAGGATTACAACACCAATCCACATAGAGGGACCCAATAATTTGTCCAAAGATACTAAACAGATTACGATTTGGAAAGGACCAGACCAAATCAAATGGAAGAATTGGCATAAATCTTGTAATTTTTGGATATCAACACTCATTAAATTTACAACATCACCAGTAGTGGAAGTGGCAGAAGCTTCATTAGATAGAACTAAGGCTTTTTCATATAGCATGCATGTTAAAGCACCCCTAATTTTCATACCAGTGTTGAAAGTGTTTAAGAAGTACTGATGAAGAACACAGGTTTGAGTAAAACCAACGATAAACATACCTAAAGCAATCATAAACCCACGAACCAGTGGTAATCGTTTCAAATTATCAAACAAAAAAACGTAAGAATCGGAAGCCTTTCTTTGTTCATTATAGTCAGAAACGAACTTAATTAAAATTCTTAGTAGTTGTGGTTGTGTGAAGGCTAAAATATCATGCAAAACTTTAAAGAAGGCAGCCAATAGCATAACTGGACCATATGTTTTGAATAAGGCCCAAGTCAATGATGGATTGGTTTTATGTTTAATTTCATTTTCCCAATTTCTATTTAGATTCTTGGAGACTTCTTTTGCATCAAAACTTTCTGGTAATTTATATAAATCCTCTTCAATTAAGTATTTTTCATAACCAATCTTCATTAATTCAGACATCCAGGTGAAAGAAATTCTAGAGAAAATGTTTGCAGTATCGTTTGGGTTTGGTTTTCTTCTCGATAAATATTGTTGGATTTCATGGTATGGCATGATAGGTTTAGTGGGCAGAGCTTCAATTAACAGAATAGATATAGATAAGACAGTTTGAAAAACAGTGAAAACAAAAACAGATTCATTGAAAGGCCATTCCCCTTCATAGTGATGTCTAATGAAAAAATTAAAAAATTTAGCAAAATTACCAATACTTTCAAATAACCAGTAGAATAGTAGAATACCGTTAGCTACTCTACATTTATGATATTCGATCCAGTGTAAAGATAAAGCAATAAATAGTGATAGGAGAGTAAAACTGTATTGAGTTATGACAGTTAAATCTTTACCTTTATGAACAGGTAATTTCAAAGGAATCCACGCAGTGAAAAGGATTTGAAGAAGTATCAATAAAATTCTAGTAAAAATTAACCAATTTCTTCTATATTTGATACCAAAATTTTTCCTTTTAACTAATCTAACAATTTCTCTTGAACCAAATATTATCATAAAAAAGGAAGTTAAATTAAGCAAAATACCATCAATAAAACATTGTGTCAGGTCACCATAATATGAGATAGGGCCAAAACCTTCTGAAGAATGGCATGTTTGACACCCCCAAGAGGCAATTCTATCTCTCCAATTCGTCTCTACAAGCATAGTATTGCTAAAAATAGAATAAATGGAGATATATAAATGTAAATGTAAATATGTATATATATAGAGATAATGATCTTTTTAGATCAATGTGCTGATCTTGCTATATGTATCAATTACGGCTGTATGTTGTAATATGGTAATGGAGAAAGAATAATATCGTAATGTCGAAATATATAGTGTATAAAGGTGTTTGTTTGCTATTGGTTTAGCTGGTAAGGATCGGAGATATATATACGTGTAAGTAAGTGTATATATATATATATAAAATTCGGCTCTTCTTATCATATTAGTAATTCTATTTTGTCAGCCTTTAGTTTTTTTTCTTTTTTAATTGTAGAAGTATCAAGACAGGGGAAAAAAAGAAGAAAAAAGAAGAGAAAAGAAGAGAAAAGAAAAAAAAATGGAAGAAACAAAAAGAACTATTTACTAGGCGAAATGACATTACAATTAAATATTCATAAATAAAAGGATATACAGAAGGTGTTTTTTGAAGATTCTATTTAATAATATTTTGGTGGAATAATACTAAGGAAACATTTTTAACATTACTTGTAGCAACAGTTACAGTTCACTTGATGCTGTGCTGTTTATTGCTCATCTCAGATAACAATATTGGATTTTTTTCCTTTTTTTTTCTCTTTTTTTTTGTTCTTTTCCTCTGAGTGTAAGATTGCTTATCAAAAAGGTTTGCAGAGTGAAATTACAAGTTGTGAAAGTATTCAAGTGAACAATTCTGTGAAAAGATCACCGTTTGAGTTCATATCTCAGAGTCGAGGATAAGCAAACAAACTAAACGTGTGCACATATCTTTGATCGGAACGGTTACAGGGTTCTTGGTATTTAAATTCGACATAACTAAAATATGCCGATGTCTAATGAGTTATCTATATATCATTAGTTCAGGTGGGTCAAGATATGTCTTTGATTTAATAATCATATAAGAGTTTATGTATATATACTCTTGAATAGTGAATGGTATACATTTCCATTATAGACAGCTTTTTACGAATATTAATTTTAGAAACATAATATAATGACCCTTTATATCATATTATTTACATCATGTAGTTTAAGAAATCTTGACTATATCTTCCCTAAGGTTGTTTTTCCATTTTTGTGGTAGATGAAAAATGGATATATTTCTTCTAATGTTGCGTTTTCTTTTGATAATAATCATGAGTTGGAGATCATCAACAATAATTGTCCAAGTATCTGATTGGATGATAGGTACAGCCATGTTTGCACTTGTTGGTAATAAGACATTCAATTTGATTAAAGAATTTACTGGAGAGTGATAAACATAATCAAATCTTGTTCAATTAACTTTTGATGATTGAGGAATATATCAGAGGTGGTTACCTCATTTAAATATATATTAGTAATGATTCTAGGTAATGATTCTTAGTAGTAAACAAGTACAATATTACATTATAAGGCAAGTTTAGTAATAAAATATTAAGGTTATTATTTAATGTTACACAAGATTTAAGTAAAAATAATTATATCTATACTAATTGAAATAATTTTTCTGCTTATATATGAATACCAATTTTTGGAAGGACAAACAACTCTGAATGTTGATATGGAAAAGCTTAATGGGGAATTTTGATATATGTAGTAGGCAGGGAACATTGAGTGTCTAAGTGAAGAACTCGGAGCAGCTAAACACCTAGGTTTAAGCTATGTATGTATTCAAACAAATAATTTCAGGATTAACGTTGGTGGTTAATTGCTGAAAAACTTATATAAAAGACTTCTGATTATTGAAAATGTATGTCAAAGATAATTACCAGCATTAACGTATTTATTTCTGGTGTTGGATTGTGGCTAAGAGATATCTGTTTAATAAGAACTGTAATAATTTTATAATTGATTTACTACTTAAGACTAACAACTTTGTGGCTTGGAAGTAATTACATATGTTTAGCAGTTATATTTTAACATATTATTGAAGGTATCGTCTTATGAGAAATTTTCTCTTTCTAACTCACCGAAAAAATATAAAAAATTGCCCAATTCATAAAAAGACGGAATATAAGCTCAAAGTCTTAAACCAAAAAATTTAACCTTCATATGTGTCAAATTTTAAATTCAATAACGTTTGTACTTCTCATAATTTAATAATCTATCTCATATTTATCAAAATAATACACAACCATATTTCTTTACTTTTATTTAATTACTAAAAAAAGTTCAATACCTACATACATGATATATATATATTTTCAATACATTTCTTTTTCTTTAACACATTAAAGAACTATAAAATTTTTTAAAAAAAATACATAAAATTACATGTAGAAACTTAATTATGAAAACACTATTAAAGAAAATAAAATATAACCGTAATATTATTCTCTTGAGTGTGCTTCCAGAGCATTAATTACACTCAACTTTTATATTTGTGATATTTTTGATTATATACTTTAACTTTTTCAATGGCATAATTCTTCTTATATGAATTTTTATTTGAAAATTACATTATAACAATTAACAATAATTCATCATTTCTACATCTGTTTCCCTCCCAATGTTAAAAACTCTATGTATATCTACAGCCTGTAAATTAATTCAATGTAGGAAAAAAAAAGAAGCAAAACAAGAAATATACCTTTTCTTTTTTCATGGAACCCTCTATTTCTATCGATACTTTGTTGCTATTTATACGTAAAAAATAAAACAAAACCCTAATATTTTCATTGACGTAATATTGAAAAACAAAAATAAGCACATTACTAGATAGAGAACCAGACATCTAAAATTATAACTACCAACAACTAGAGGGAACTAAATATTATTATAAACAAACAATACCTAAACGACTAATCATCAATTAATAACACTTCATCATTTCTATACAGAAGAAAATAGATAAATAATAGTAATACGAGCTATAATATTGTCATCGTACATACATATATATATTCTATCATTAGTTATCATGCATACACATCGAGCTGAATCATTTCTAATATATGATAATGTCCGATTAGAGATTGTACACGAATCCAATCCATTCTTTGCAGGTGAACCAATATCTTTAATATTACGATTGAAACATTTAGGATCTACAAAAGAATACGAAAAATTGAAAGCCGACATTCATCAGTATCATCAGAAGATTGAGAATGAATTAAATTCAAAACAAATCCATTTAAATGAATTAAGTAAAAATCAGCCTGAAAATAATTCATCTTGGTCCTTTGTCTCATTACTGAGAAATCCCTTTATGAAAAATGATCAGTTAAATAATAATGTCACGAAAGAAATGGAGCAGTTGTCTCTAAATGAAAAAGTATATGTTAAAAGTTTAACTAATCAATTACAATACCATAAACCGATAAGCTTAATCTCTGGGTTTATTCAAATTACTGGCTTGTTCCAATACAATGTATCATTAATCAATGATGATAATTTTAAAAATAAGGGTACAAAGATTGTAAGTATCCTGAACCATAACAATACTGACACAAATACTACTACTACTACTAACACAATTTCAACCACTGAGGCTACAACTTCTTATGCAACGAGTGATGATAACTATACTGATTATAATATTAATAACAATACCAATATTAGTAATACGCACACTACATTTCCTCCCTCTTTAAAGAATAATACAAATAGTATAGACAATTTTATTAAATATTCTAACTCAAATTTTGAAACCATGTCCTCACTAGATGACAAAACAGTTATAACTCCCAATTCTAAGTTCTCATATACTCATAGTCAATACAAGCATTCAGACACAACTAATGAATATAACGAGTTGCCTCTATTTTTGATCCCACAGACACTATTATTTCCAGAAATCATATTACAACCTGGTGAAATAAAGAGTTTCCATTTCAAATCCTCAAATTTACCGAAAAATTTATGTCCAAGTTATTCAATCCCATTAAATAATATAAGAATAAATTACTATATAGAATTTGGTGTTAATGTTATTACACATAAAGAAATCATACCAGTTAATCTTAAAATCCCAATTTTTATATCTCCATTTATAAATAAATGGAGTCAACAATATACAATGATACTGGACAACGTAACACATATTATGCCTCCTGCAACAGTGAAAGAAGTTCTTAATGAACATCCAAAAAGAATCACTTCTACTACATCTGTATTTTCAAACGATCCTATGACTATAAGTAACATAAGTGATAGAAAAAGATCTAGTTCTGTATCTTCATCTTTTTTTAGTAATTTGATAGATGTGAAGAGTGATAAACATGATCAAAAGTTAAATACAGATCCAATTAATCTATTAAAAAAAAACTTTGTAGATATAATAAGAAAAAATATTACAAACAGTTTAGACATTGATCAATTGGTAGGATTACAATTGAATTATCAATTTCAAAAAATTGACAATGAAAATGAAAATATTGTTACTGACTTTAGTATATTACAAAGAAATGATAAACACATAACAAGAAATAATATTTCAAACTTTAAGAGAGCTTTACCAAATCTAAAAATCAAAGATACCGAGAATCTAACTAATGTAAATACTGATAATAATAATTTAACCGATCAAAATGGACAACTTGTACCACAATTAAATAGTAATCTGCAAAAGAAATTTATTGTGAATAGAGATGGAAAATCTATTGCTCAAATCAAATTATCGAAATTTTTCTATACTATTACAGACGATATTAATCTAATAATATACCCAGAACGAACTTCAAATTTTCAAATAAGTGCAGTGAAAGTTTCGTTACAATGTATTGAGTTATTTAACAAACTTTACATTTTAGAAAAGGATCAAACAAAACCATTTTATAAAACAGTATGTGAAGCACATACAGTATGTTTTGATAAAACAGATTCATTGCCATTAAAGTTGATACTTCCAAGAAGTCCCATGAACCATTTACCCAGCCAATTTAAAACCAATATTTTTGAAATTAAATGGGTATTAAAGTTCACATTCATTTTGATTGATAAAAAGAATAATAATACTAAAGAGTTATTTTCCTATAGTGGGCGCCTTGAACAGTTCTATGAAGATAAAAAGGGTGCTTTGTATCATTCCAAAGAAAATCTTAACGGTTTGGATTTCACATTCAGAGTACCTGTTGATATTCTTCCCTCAGTAAATGACTTTTCTGGTTTATAAAGGATTATGGTTATTGGTAAATAAGATTATATATATATAGTCATATATAGATAGTATTTCAATACCATATCCCCTTTTCTTCATTAACAAAAAATCTATGTAGTAATTCTATTAAATCGACAAATATTACTTAAAAGACAATTGCCCTGATCCCTAATAAAATTACTTGTAGTAATATATGTATCTGTAACAACATATGATTAAAAAGATATACGATTAATGAGACCTAATTAATTTTTCATTTTTATTTTTTTTCTTTAAACTATTTATCAAAATAAGAAGCTAGAAAATGAAAAGGCACGCCAGAATTAAATATCAACCAATATGCCGTTGAAAAACATACTGTCGATTAAAAGACTTTGATCTATTATATTAATCATCAATTTAAAATATCTTAGTGGATTTTATAGAATATTTGGCATACTACAAAAATAATAGAAAAGTTTTTTCAATTAGTGAGATCAAACGAAAAAGCACCAATAGAACAATCATGATTAATTGTGATAACACTCTTCAAGAGTGTAGTAACTATGTTCTTAACTGTATAAATTCTATACTGACTTCTAATCCAGAGGTAAATATTTTAGAAAATCCAACAATTGATGCTTTATTTAATAAAGAACTTTTACAATATAGTTGGAAACCCTTAGAGAATATAAATGTATCTGATTTAAACAAAGATTTGCTCGCTGATCTAACTCTGAAAAAAATAATCACTGACCTATTTACAGTTGATTCAGAAGCTTTAAATTTAAGTTTTGATAATAGTAATAATAATGATGATGGTACTACAAACAATAATAAGGGGTCTACTGATGCTTTAGTTGGTAAACTTCGAATTGCCGCTTTAGTTTTGGATTTATGTTTCCATTCTAGACAATTCAGACAAGATATTACATCATGGAAAATTACTTACTTCGATTTATTTGGACTAACAATAAATTTATTGAGTTGGCCAATTGATATATTCAAATTTTGGATATATGCAGAGTCACGTATTGAATGGTTTAAAATAGGTAATTCTGCTGACCCTGATCACTATAATGGTATGTCTCAATTAATTAGTTACAAACCACCATTATCTGACAAATTAAGACATTGGAATGATATACTTAAATTATTAGAGTATAATTCTGCTTTAAATACACCGTTAGATTATATTATGAAATATAAACTTGAGAAATTTATATCCAATTTGTTGCCAATTAATGAAGAATCTAATTTCAATCGCTCTGCTATAATTTCAAAGAGACAAGATTCTGGCACTACTTGGAATGCTAGAAGACTTTTAGGAAGACCTAACACTTCTGAAGAAAATATGACACAGGATTATAAGTTTGTTTTCAATAAATTCATCTCCTCACCAGTCGAATTCACTTTTAAATCAGTTGATTTTAAGTTAGATGTTGAAAAACCATTGTATTTATTACTAGATGCTCTTTTTGATACGGAGGATGATTTTTATAAAAGAATAAAGTACATTCGTAGAAAACAGTTACTCATTGAGGATAAAATAAATCCAAATTTTCAGTCAGACTTCAATTTCAACAGTCATGCTATACCTGGTTATATGAGTGAATCTGTAATATTTCAAAATGACAGAACTAAAATATGGAAGGACATTGAATCATTTCATAACCCATCTCTACAAATTGTAAGACCTACCTTTTTAGATATGTCATCACAAAATTATTCTGTATTATATAAACAATTAACAAGTCTAGAGAATGACTATTATAGGAAGCAATTTATGTTACAAGTAATATTTGCTTGCAAGATTATAGAAAAACTACTGACTATGGAAGATGTCAAGGCCTTTTATAAAAATTGTTATGCAAAGGAAAATATGTTAAAATTTGTAAATTTTGACGATTTAGATGAATCGAATATAAGAAAAACCAAATCATTATGCCATCATATTTGTGAAATGCGTGTAAAGACATTTTATGCTACTAGAGATCCAATCTTTTATAAAATTATTCATTCTTTAGAACAAAATGATGAGTTATATATAAATGCTAAAGTTGATGGATTCAAATTTTTTAATAATTGTAATCTATCTTTAAGCAAGAATGAAAATAATCATGTCAAGGAGAATGTTAATTATCAATTTAAAAAATTCGGATTTATTAAATTAGGTAATAAACAAATTAATAATGTATGGAAGATTCAAAGTGGTTTAGAATCAATAGCGGAAAATACTATTGATCCAAAGGACATATATGACCGTTTAAAGGAAAGTTATAGGAATGATAACCCTAATACAAAGGAGGCAGATGAAATTATGAAACAATGGCAGACACTACGTTCTTTAAGATCCCAATATCTTTTTGAGTTCAACAAATTCAATGAAACGATATCATTGAAAGATTTATTTGATCATTCTACAGTCGAAAATAATACAAAGGAAATGGATAAATTTAAAGAATTCCAATCAAAGATTAAAGAGTCTCATAGAAATAGGTTGAAAAAGGCAAGAGAACATCAAAAGGCTAAGGAAGTTTTAAAAAGAAAAATAGATGATGTTGAGATAACTGAAAATACAAGTGAAGATGGTACCAGAGAAACTATAAGTAATGAAAATAAAAAACTAAAACGAGATGACAACATAGAAGTGCAAAAAAGTGTATCTCCTATATTAAATGAACACAGCTCAGAGAGTGAGAACAACGAAAATGGAATTAATGAGCAACCGCTGAATAAAGATATTACAATTGAACAATTGAATGAACAAAACAGTTTGGATAACAAAAATAATAATAAAGAAGAGGAACAACATTCTACTATTAACACTCAGAAAGATAACAACTTTAATCTGAAAGATAAATCAACCACCAATGAACCTCAAAAAGAAGACAAATAAAAACTACGCATGACTAACACCAAATATTACAATTACTTTTATTTATTAACAGAAAAATGAAACAATATGCATATAATGTCACAAATATTGGACTTCTAAATTATTTAAGCGTATTAAGAAATTATGATGTCAAAATATTATCAAATATCTTTATTTTTATATAAATACTTAACTCTAAGAGATATTATTAGAGGAGAGTAAGTAATTACATCTTCAAAATCTTTTTTGCAGTTAAAACACATTTTATGTTCCATTAAATCTGTATAAATGGTGTGTTTATAATATACATAGATATATATACATACATACATGTTTGAAAAGAGGGAATTTGTTATGTACCTACTATCTATATTAATGGTATTAAAGCTAGACCACTATAATTCATCATTCTAATCCTTTTAATGTTGCAAATCTTCTCATAGAAACATAAATTCAATAGCCACCTCTTAAAGTCAAAACTAAATGAAGTTGAGTACCTGGTTTCAGGTGAGCAGATAATATTGTGTCATCATCTGAACTACAAAACAAATAAAATGTAATAAAATATAAATAAACAATACAAATGTAAACTCATTGGCAATAAAAACCATTATAATATACAGAAAGTTAGTATTCATTATCTTATAGGTTCCAATATATCCTTGAGTATACATCAACAGGTTATGATGTAAGTTCGAAGGAAAATCAACAGCAATATACACACACATGCCTACATAAAGTTACAAGCACATGATTACACATATCACACATACATTTGTTTTCCTTGATATATTAGTCTTTGTTGCACTGGAGGAATACCTTCTTTCTCTTCTAGGAGTTCTTTAATACGATAGACACGATCTGTCTCTTCTATTTCAATTGGAATTTCTTTTCCAGTCAACGTCCTGACTTTAATCTGCATGATTCTTTATATAAATACTGTCTTATATTTAGTTAATATTCTAGATTAAGTTACTGTTGATGAACTCTCCCTCTGGATGGATTAATAGGCAACTATTATATGTATTTTCTGCTGTTATTAGTTACTATTAATCTGTCGTTATATTTTTTCTTTTTTTTAATTTTTCTGTCTTTACAAAGTTATGAGATAAAATACTTAGCGCAGAAACAATACATGTACAAAAAGACGGCGATCTACAGTTGTGTTTTGATGAAATGACAAAAGGAATATACTGGCAGTAACTAACCTCAATGTTTTACATAAACTAAACTATTGTATCGTCATTAGATTTAAGATAGATATCTGCTCAAATTTTTGCTTTTTTAGACAACTTAGAGATGCTTCCAACCCCATACATTAAATGCGATTACAATAAAGTTTATGAACCTTCAGAGGACAGTTTTTTGGTCCTTGATTCTTTGGAAAAAGATTTAGTATATTTAAGAGAAAAATTCAAAAATAGAGTGACTTTTGTCTGTGAATTGGGTCCTGGATCAGGTATCATCACAACTTTTATGATTCAAAATGAAATTCCAAATAGATCCAATTCTTTATATTTTTCTGTCGACATTAATCCATGGGCCCTAGATACTACTTTAACCACTGCAAAGTTAAATGGTTGTTCAGAGACTAATTGTTACTTAGAATGTATCCAATCTGATCTTACCACCTCAATTAGAAAGAGACAGGTAGATATTTTGGTATTTAACCCTCCATATGTACCTGCAGTAAATGTTCCTGAGATTCCTTCAAGTAAAGAAAATCTTGATCAATGGCTTGATCTTGCGCTATTAGGAGGAAAGGATGGAATGGTCATTACCCAAAGAGTTATAGATCAATTAGACGATATACTCTCTCCCACTGGTGTTGCCTATATTTTATTTTGTGCGAGAAACAAACCTGAACAAATAGTATCTAACATTATAGAGACTTGTGACCTATGGAATATTGATTTGGTTAAACATAGAAAAGCAGGTTGGGAGGTACTCTCTGTATATCGCTTCAGTAGGAAATAAATAATTGACGACATATACAAAAAAAAATAGAATATATATAGATATGTATGTATGGTTAATGAATGTAATAATAAAATTAATGGACTACACCTTCATACACTTTTGCTATAACTCTCTCTATGTATATATATCTTCTAATAAATCTTTTTCAACTGCTTCATAATCTAAAGATTTCATACTATAAATATCCTCATAATGAACATAACTCAAATTTGTGAAGAAGTTTCTTAGTTGATGATGATTCTCAATTTGATGGACACCTAAAAGATATGGTAATTTATGATCTTCTCTAGACTGAACCAGCTCTATATCACCAACTTGTGCCACAGAATATTCTTTGAATTCTGCAATCTTATCCACTAGAGAAATATATGGATACGTCTTGTAAATACAATTAATTGTATCAATTGTAAACAACCATTCATTGGTTGCTATAAACCCTTCAATATTCATTGCTAATAAAAGATCTAAAGTTTTACAAATTTGTAGCAACAAATCACAGTTGATGGACTGTTGTAGCTGAAAGTGTTCCAAAAATTCTTGTAGATTTGTTTGAAGACAATATGAAATCATCCCCCAATATTCATTGAAATGTGATTCAGAAAATTTTAATAACAGAACTCTTAGCAGAATCCAGCATCTTATCTTCAATTTATCCTTATCAGATACTAAATATTGACATATACAAGAAAGTAATGCTTGGAATTCTGATAAATAGGTGTTATTTGGGGCTATTTTAATCAATAACGCAATCCTTTTCAAATTTTGACATTTAACCATTACATCAGAATCATTCCATGATGAAAAGGTAATTAATGATGGTGTTAATCCTATCTTTTTGGACCCAGTTAATTGTAACAATTCACTTAATAACCTTTCCTTATTTTCAGGATATTGTGACCACTCATATATTATGGTGTTCCATAAATCTCTTTTTTCTGTTGGAATCACATAGTTGTCATCTCTAAACGCATCATTGATGAACTCTTTCCATATTTTAATAGAACTTCCAACTTTTGTAATCGAATATGCTAACGATAACATATAATCTGGGATCTCTTTTTCAAATTTTCTCTTTAGATAACCAACCAAACAATTAGCACAAATACTAGATAATATGTTATTAAATCTATCACCACCAATAACATCATTCGTCAAATATGCAACATTATCAACCAGTCTTTTTAGCGTATTGAATGCTTTTACCTCATTACTCTTAGAAATTGAAGCAAAATCATTTAATGCTGCTGGCAAATATTTATTAAAAATATCAGAAATTTCTTTCTTAGTTTTCTTTTGTTCACCGAATTGAGTAGTTTTCAATTTTTGACCAACCACATTAATCAGTTCAATAATATCGAAGAAAATGGCTTTATACAAAGTGTGGTTGAATGCAATTTCTTTAAAGAAATTAATGAAATCGGTGTAAAATTCTTCCACGGCTGAATTTTCCAACGATTTTGAATAGGCTGTTAAGAACACTATTAATTTTTCACCAGATAATTTACGTATCAATGAAGTGGTTGCCCTTGAACCTCTTTGAGAATTCTTATAAACTGAGAATTTAACAACACTGCCAGCATTATATCTTTGAATGATACCATGAAAAAAATAAGGAATAGATAATATAGGCTTATTACCATCTAATGCATGTATAATAGTAATTGTTTCATAGGTGGATCCAATTATTACAATATTTTCGAGAACTTCTAATGGTTCCAATAAAAACATTGTTTCTAACAACTTCTTTGACCTGAACTTATATTTATAAGTACTATAATTAACACCACCTTTTTCATTTTCATCTGCTATATTGTTAGAAGATTTATGAGACCAAGTCCATATTTCTAGGGAACAGGCAATAACTTGTTTAAATGCTTGTATAACTATATCTCTCTCACCTTGTAGTTTGCTATCGTTATCTAAAGATTCAGAGTAAAATACGTTAGAGACAACAGACTGAATGAAATCCCCCCTTGTAGAAGACCCAGAAAAATAACTGTTCTCATCACTAGTAATGTAACTATGTGATATCTTAATAAGTTCTTCTACAGACCCCATTAACAAGGAAATTGCATAATATTGACCACCTTTCTTTTTTTCTAAGATAAATAGTCGTTGAATACATTGAATAATGGACGTGACAAATGGTAATAATATCGTAAAAATTGATTTACCAAAATAGGAGATACTCTCAGACAATAATTTAACATAGGATGTTATAATTAGAGGACTCTCAATTTGAGATATGCTGGTTACCATGAAATCAATAAATTTTAAATGTGAGCTATTATCATTAAATATCTCCAACTCAATATTATTATCATGCGATATTCTTAATACTTTCGATATAATATCTAAAATCGATACTGCAGTAACTTCTGAATCTATATTCTTTTCTGAAATACTTTTAGTAAACATTTGAAGTAAGAATATAACGAATTCAGTAAAATTACTCTCCGTACCATCTAATAAACAGTCTAATAGAATCAAACAACTTCTGATACTCTCTGCATGATCATTGTCTTTTAAATCTAGAAACTTTAATAAGATACTTAATAATAAAGTCTTGTAAGTAGATGTATCTTTATTGGACCACCCTTCTAAAGATTGAAAGGTTGTTGGTTCAATATTAAAATTTTTAACCAATAAGGCAGAGTTACACTTTAAAACGTTTGTAATCATTTTAATTCTGTAGGTAAACATATCTAAATCATCCAATTCATTAATCTTCCCACTTTGTAAAAAATCAAACCTTAAAAGATTTTCCACTAAAATCCAATATAATCTTCTAATTGAATCTGAATTTAATAAAGATATAACCCATTTAGAGACAGCCAAATAATGTGGGTTTTGTTCATCAGATAATTCATCTAACAATAGTTCCAATGGATGTCTAACAATATCTAAATATTCATCCATCTGATTCCATAAAAGTTCCAACACTGTTAACCTTTTAGATATCACTTTTTCCTGTACAAAGTTTGCCGATAATGATGTTTCAATATATTTAAGTTCCATATTCCTACAAAGCGATTTCAGACATTGAATAGTAATATACTGCCTGTTTGGATCAACCATATAGATCCAAAGAGAACCAATTATTTTATTTAACAGTTGAACCGACGGTATTAAGGAAAGATGCACGGATAAGTAATTACTAAAAATATTGACAATTCCAATAATCGAATCAGAGTGTGTATAAACTGTTCCATCTTCTAAGACATCCATTATATTCGTCACTAATGAATCTATGATCCATCTTGAATTTGTTATTTCATGTGAATGTTCTTCTTTATCCTCTGGAATCTTTTCAAATAATTTGACTAACATAATAGACGCGTTATTTATATTAACTCCCTTCAAGATATCACTATTCACCATGTTTACAATATTAAAAATCACAATATATGTTAAATCAGGTGTTGAAAAAGGATATAGAGACTGTTGAGATGACTCTAATTTATTCACCTCAATGGAACCTGAAACAGATTTGTAGTAATCTGTTATTGAGTTTAATGTATTTTGAAAATCATTCTCTACCTTATTTTTTAAGGTTGAATGAGTTAATGGGAGAAAGGCTCGTTCAGGTATAATATCCAATAAATTTTTCAAAAGAGAATGATACTTAATTCTTAGCAATTGGGAAGTATTCTTATTATTCGTAGCAGTGCCAGTAGAGTTAATATTTATTGAAAAATCATTAATATTGAAAAAGCATAAGAGTGCAAGGAATATTAAAGGAATATGACGAACAATTATCTCTTCATCAGTTTCGATATTAAAATTAGATAAAACAAATTGTAAAAAAACAAAATCTTTTTTGTTGATTATCCATTCGAATATTTGACCCCAAATAATATTAGTCTCTACTGTATCAAAGAAAGAATTAGCTGAATTAAGTACTTTTGTATCATTTTTGAAAGTTTCTGCAGCTTTCATTAATGGGATAAACATTTTTGGAATGATATAGGAACCAATTTCCCATCTATCCATAAATACCAAACATATTTTAAAAGCAATAATTAAATCATCTTTATCGGACAATAAATCATTTAACGCATTTATCAAAGAATCAAGCCCATATTTGACAAAATATGTGGATGAAGATGATGCCTTTGCTGTTTCATCCTTTTGCTTATCTGTTACATTATGTTGATTAGGTCCTAACAACCAATTCCACACTCTTCTATTCAATGACATATCCTTAGATAAAGTAGTCTTACAACAAACTAGAATCAGTAATTTTCTATCATCTTCATTAACCAACATCTGTATAACGGGCGAACTTAAATGTAACCTTTGCAAAAGGATATCTAAAGTGCCTCTTTTGATCAAAAGATCGTTCTCGTTATTTAAAGATGCGATAAAAGAACGAACTAAAAGACCTGGTTCAGGATGGACCAAATTTTTGGCTATAGGCAATAGCGTGGATAAAGCTATCTCTTTAACTCTTTTCTTGTCAATAGAGTCAACATTTTGTTTCTCCACGTTTTGTAAAAGATGAGGTACAGAATTTAAGGATGGGAATTTTTTGGTGAACCATACCAAACCGCCTAGCCTACGATCTTTATTAGATATCATGATGAGGAAACAAGTTTGCCAAAACAGAGAATCATCATTGAGATTAGCTTGTAAAGTTTCAATCAGAGACAAAGTTAAAGGTAAAAATTCGCTACTCTCATCATCTATCCCAGGAAATAAAGAGGACAATAGAGGTTTGATAATAACTTGCAAAGTAGCAGAAGGCAATTGGACCAAATATGTTTCATATACTTCTATTAAAATGGATTTGACAGACATTGAAGCGTATGACATCAAGGGCAGGATTCCAGGAATCCAAATATTAGTTTCTTGAGCTAAAGTTTCAATACCGATCTTCTCAAAGATATATTTGTATACTTCTAAAGTCTTTTGATGCACACCAGCAGGCAAATCTGGAGATAAGGAAGAGGTTAGCCGTCTACTTACTTGATATGGATAAGGTACATAATATTTGATGTTTTGGAACTTGGGGGACCAACTTTGCAATGCTTTTAACAGCGTGCCTAAACTAGCAATATAATCTGCCCATTCTGTAACTGAATCAAATCTTTCTAAAGCTTTATTAATATTTGAATGGAATTTTTTCTCTTTTGAATCCAAATGTTTAGTGTTAGTGGAATCTACAGTGAGCAGTTTCAGCTGTAAGGACATTTTTTGCAGTATCTTGCTGTCTATCTCTGTATCTTTCTCACTTATTTATCAATTGTGGTGAGTAGGAAGGAAAAGAGAAGGACAACTGATTCAAATGAATTAAAATGAAGAATCAAAAGGCCAAAGAACAAAGGAAAGTAACCTCAAACTTACCAGCTATAGTTATACTCAATGAATCTATGAACAGCACAGACTGTACCAAATCAAAAGTGTGTGTATATCTATATGTTTATTCTATGTACATGTATATAATACAAACAGTGTACTTGCACACAACTCCCATCTCACTCTATCTTTCTATTTCTCTGTCAAATATAATAAACATATCCAGCCATGTTGGCTTCTGCATTTTTTTTCTTATTTTAATCTTTTACTATGACAAAAAAAAAAAAACAACAACAACATAAAACACCTGAAACTCCTCCTCCCACAGTAGAGACAACTTTGTAAAGATTAAAAGATTAACAAGTTGGGAGATTGAAAAATTGAGCCATGTGTGTGCATGTGTGCTTGTACGTCTATGTTTGTGTATTTGCTTATCTCAACGCATTCCATATATAGGTATATCCATCCCATGCAGTAGTAGCAACTATACCTGGATCACCCCATAAACTCCAATCTGCTCCAAATACAAACTCTGTATGTCTGGTCATCCGCTTTACACAGCCATGGTTTAATGTATCATGAGTCATATTATTCCGTCCCGTGTAAGTTTTCCCATTGAAAGATAAATCATTCCATACACATGCTGTCATGTCATATGATGTGGTCATGAAGTGATGACTACTATGTGGAGACCACTTGATTTGTCTAACAGCTAACGCATGTCCGTTGATAATCTCATTCACACATGATGTAACATTATTGTTCAATCCCTTGAACTTTGTTTGGTCACTACGTAACATACGTAAATCCCATATCTTGATCCTATTATCCACGCCTCCAGTAGCTATAATATGTGGTCTGTATTTATTGAAATCACAACATAACGTCTCTAATCCAGAATTCGATATAAACTGACATATTATATTGTTGTTATTCACTGTATTTATCCGAAGATCGTACAACGATACAATGGAACTACCTGACGACGCTATTACAATATTATCATCATGTGGTGAGAATTTAGCTTGATATATACAATTTTTATCACTATTTACCATATTTTTGGACTTATCCTCTTGACTTAAAGTAAATAAACTATTCTCAGTTCTTGCTGGGGACCAAAGTTTGACAGTTCCATCCCATGAACTACTAACAAATCTATCTTTATTGACCAAACTCCAATCACAACTTAACACCTCTCTTTGATGTCCTTTAAATATAGCAATGGGATACTGTTTCAAATTGGTGTCAAATAACCGCAAAGTCCCATCTCCTTGCGCCACCAGCACTTGGTTCGAATTTGATTCATTCCATGCCACATCAAAGGGGCAATCCTTGGTTAGAAACGAGTTCGTCTCCAAGATCTGTCCATTCGGCTCAATGCTCAATATAAAGAGTTTACCGTTTCCAACTAACCCGAAGTTTGATCCTGTTACTAGTGCAATCTTATCATCATAATATGGGGAATATTGTAAGTTGTATCCACTGAAACCTTTTGTATAGTATTGTAGAAACATATCAAACTGGGTATATAAATAAAGAAACGAGTAAATTAATAAGTGGATGAATATATATCTAAAAAAGTATCACTTTAGATCTTCCGCATGTGTGTAAATGGAAAATAGAAAACATCTAAAAGCATGGTGCGGCTATCAAAACTATATACTCATCACTGCAAACCTTTCTATTCTTATCAAAGCTCTTCATTGGAGTAACATTACTCTGTGTTGTCAGATCTAGATATCCTTCAATGAATAAATCAATAGAGCTCCCTATTACTTTTTTTCTTCTTCTTGACTAGTTTTTTTTGTTTTTTCTGTTTATTTTTTTTCTGAAGGGAAAGAAAGAAAATAAAAGACAACTCAACTCACTCTTCTTTTATCGATATTAATACCGTCAAGAATAATTACTTTCTACTTTCCCTCCTCTTCTCTCTTCCCATCTCTTTTCCCAGCTTGCACTCCTAACCTTCTCACTTGTACGCCATATACATTATTATTAACCTTAATAATATCTAACACAAAAGCACAGAAATAGAGCAGAACCGAACAAAACAGCGTTGAATATGTCAGACTTGAACAACAAGGACACACCTGTCCAATCTAGTCCAGACAGCAGTACAAATAATACCAATGCTAGCACAACTAACACCACCACCACTACCGCCACCAGCACCAACAACAATAGCAACAACAAGTCTTCTAGTCCCGCGGTTACCACTACTACGCCGAGATTGACCCAACAGCAATTACTTGAATTGACAAACAAATTTAAGGAATTGGTTACAGAAGCTAAAAGGGTAGGAGAAACTACACAGAGAGGCAAAGAACTTTTAATTCAAGCATCAAAGATAAAAAATATTTATGATAACTATACAAGGGCCATCAGACAGAGGCAAGATATTCACAAATCTAATATTGCAGCCAATTCTTCGCCTTCACTTTCATCTGGATCTGGGTCTGGATCTGCTTCTGCTTCTGCTTCTACTTTGTCCACTAATAATAACAATAACAATCATATGAACATCGGTACCCCTACCTCAACGGTTAATACTCCTACCACGAACATCAACACTCCAACTTCTAGCTCCAATAGTAACAACAACAACAACAACAACAACAACAATAACAATAATAATAATAATAATAATAATAATAATAACCAATTTGCCATGTTAATGAGACAAGCATTGACTCCAGAGCAAAATCAACAGTACGAAAAATTATCAATTGAATTTCAAACAAGGGCAAGAAACATTAGAGAGAAACATAATTTCATTAAACAAAATATTGACACTTTAACACAAGAGATTAACAAACTGAGTGATTTAGAAACAAAGAAACAACTAGTTGAGAAAAGATCCGAATTGCTTAACACTCTAAGACAGTTAAGTCAAGAACATAACAATTTAAGGATACAGTTTCAAAATGGCAGAAAAAATTTTTATATAGAATCTGCTAAAAACAACCCTGATTTACAAAGAATTTTACAAAGATCATCCCAGCAAGCCACCCATTTATCTCAAGCACAAAATTCAGGAATTACACCACAACAACAACAAAAAACTCAAAACCAATCGATTTCAAAACAAGATATTGTATCCCAACCAAATTTACAAACAAAGAATGAGAGCACCGATAACTCTAAACAACAACAAGTACAAGCCCAGGGACAAGTTGACTCATCAGCAAAATCCAATAGTACTAATGAAACACAAAATAAGAGTGCCACAATAAAATCTCTATCCAATAACAACGTCACTACTAATACGAAAACTGACACTCAAACTGCGCCTACAAATGATAAGAATAATAGCACGATTAACAACACAGCAACTGTTAAGAATAATAAAGCTAATAATAATAGCAACACCTCAGCTCAAGTAACTAATGTCAATGCAACTGCTGCTACCAATGTATCATACTCTACCACAAAACAAAAAATATTCAAAACTTCAGAACCAAATATTCCAATAACAGAAAACCTAACTACAAGACAACCAAATGCAATAACATATAAAATAAATAGACCAACCATGATGGGTGGTTCCGCCATGAGCGCAGCTTCTTTAAACACACCAGTAATGACAAAGATCCCACCTTATGAGCTAGATACTGAGAGGGTAATGTCAAAGAGGAAGCTCAGAGAATTAGTTAAAGCCGTAGGTGTAGATGAAGGTGATGGTGAAACTGTTATTGACGGTGATGTAGAAGAATTACTCTTGGATTTAGCAGATGATTTTGTCACTAATGTCACCTCCTTTGCTTGTAGGTTAGCAAAACATAGAAGATCTGACAATTTAAATGTCAAGGATATTCAACTTCATTTAGAGAGAAATTGGAATATAAGAATTCCAGGCTACTCTGCGGATGAAATCAGAAGTATTCGGAAATGGAACTCAAGTGCAGTTTACAATCAAAAATTGCAAGCTATAAATACTGAAAGAAACCATAAAGGTCTAAGCAGTTCAGGTAAAATTACTAAGAAATGAATCGTTTAATATTTATTTCTACGTTAAGCTGTATATGCTAGCTCAAATGTATGTATTTATATCTGCGGGTATGTAATATGACAATCTATTATATATATTATGTGAAATTTCATTTATAAATATATATATACGCTTTACAATAACAAAAAAGAAAAAAGCCTTTATCAATAGCTTATTATCTTGACTTATTGCTACTAGATTCAATAGTGGCATTCATAATGTCAGCATCCCTTTGCGCCTTTAACAACCATCTTTGAATTAATTTGTTATGCTCTACATTTAAAAGTTTAATTTTTTCTTGTAAGACATTATTTTCAATGGTCAAACTAATTATCTCATCATTCAATCTTTCATTATTCTTATTCATTACACTCATGACTTCTTTCAGTTGATTCAACTCTTTCTCTTTATTCATTAATTCATTACGGTATATATTGATTATTTCAAGTAATTGCGATTTAGTTAAATCAGGTGGCGATGCATCTACGTTATCATCCTTCTCCTTGTCCAATGCATCTGCAATGGGGATATTAATAGATTGAAATAACTCTTTATATTGACTCTCAACTGTATTTCTGAATTTCAATCTATTTGATAAAGTATTCTGTTCAAGCATATTTCATTATAATATGCTGTATACACCTTTTGTGTATGCATGTGTGTCTGTGTACCTTTATTTATGTCTATATACTCTGGTAGAATTATAACTTTTTTTTTTATGCTGAATCTAAATTCTAAAATATATTTCTATCGCAACCTTTATTTAAATCCCAATATAAAGTTATAATAAATTATTCTATGTTGAAAGAGTGCGTATATGTATACGCTACAATAGTTCAATAATGTATTTACAAGAATCAGTCCTGTAGACATAAATAGATAGTTATAAATACTTAAATACTTTTCGAATAGTCATTTCTACATATGATATATTGAAACAAGGATCAATATCCAAACAAAATTTATATTAACTAAAATAGGATAACCATTTAATTATCAAAAATGAATCAATATGTTAATAATGAAGAATCAAGTAAGCCTTATCGTCGTTGGTTTGGTTTAAATTGGCCTCAATCTATTTCACAAAATCAAGAAGAAGAAGAAAACAATCAGGATGATGATGGTGACACAATTATAAATAATGAGTCAATGAATAATAACAACGAGAGTTGGTATCAAAGGTTATATCATTCAATATTTTGGTATTCAAATACACAAAGGATACATCCAATAAAGATAGATGAAAATACAAGATATTCACAGCTAGATTTAGAACAAATTAATTACTTAGAAAATGAGGCTTTATCTGTAATTAATAACTACAGCAACTCATGGTGTTGGTTTGAAGATTTAACTGATATAGAATATACTGAAGATACATTTACATGTAGTGGTAATGCTGATCTTGGGAGCACTAATAAACAAGGGCCTGGTGTAGTTAGTGTCTTTGGGACCAAATGTGGGAAATGTCCATTACCTTTAGACAAATCACCTATTGATACATGTTTAGGTGATCAAGCTTATGTTAAAAATTCAATTTTATTACCATCCTTGACACCAAGAGATTATTTACATAATCTACCTTTAAGGACAAAGATAGCTAATGCAATTAAGGAACACTATAATTACCCTAATGAAAAACATCTTTATTTAAAGAAGGATCCATTTAATGACCAAAAGTATAATCAGGATACAAATGCCAAAAATGAAATTGAAAATGAAAAGGCTCATAAGAGGCATATAATATTTACTGTAGTTGGTTGGTTACCAGATAAATATGAGAAATTATCAATTGGTGAACAAAGAACTGCACAATATTTATCTCGAAAAGTTGCACAAGCAATAAGAGAAAGAAACAAATCCTTAAAAAATCTGTATAAGACAGATAATAACAAAAGTGAAGATAATGAAGAGATGGAGAATAATCATGAAATTTTATCGTTATCGCTTGAATGTCCTCTTCACACAAAGGATATGAATACGGTATTAAAAGAATGTTTATCATTACTAAAACATTGGGAAACTATTTTTTTCAATGCAGACTCAATATATTTTATTGGTGTATATCATAGTGTTCCATTATTAATCGAACTGTGCTATACAGTTTTATCACAGAATCAAAGGTATGGGATCAACTTAAATACTACACGTATAGGGATGTTAACCTTAAATTCATGTTTAGGAGGTTATAGATTTTGGGATCATAGTGTTGATCGTTCTATTTACAAAGAGGAGAATATTTCAAACGATAACAACAACAATAATAACAATAATAATGATAACAATAATAATAATATCGAAGGTACGGAATACTTATCTGATAAAGTAGTGTCACAAAAGAACAGTAACAAGAAATACACTACAATGCAGCTTCCTGAAATAAATCAAGAATACTTAAAATTAGAACAATCTAAAGAGAAGCAACTATTCTCTGGATTAAATAACAATGAAATCGAATTATTATCGAGAATTAAAAAATATTATGATCCAAATTCAGATGAATCTAAACATATACAGAAACGATTAGATTGGTTATTGTACAATTGCGACACGTTTAGATTAAATTTGATAGCTACATTATACGACAATTTTATGACAATAACACAAAAACTGGCAATCAATTATAATCATCCAAAGATTATTAGAAATATTTGGTGTGATGGTAAATATCTTGATATTGATTTACAGAGACCCGAAAATTTTGATATACCAAATTTTGAAATCAAAACCCCAGATATCAAATTTACTTTGTCAACACCGACAGATAGAAAATTCGAAATCATTTTATTGAATAATTTGATTTTAACACAGAATTTGGGGTATGATAAGTTCATTACGATTTTACGATTGATTAGTCCACATTTTATATCAAGATCGTTTAATGAGAATACTATTCCATCCACAGTAAGAAAGCAAAGAAATAATCAGACAAAACAATGGCTTCAAGAGCTAGAACAAAAATGGAATGGTATCAATTCAAATATTAATAATACAAAGAGTAATAATACTAACAATACTACTATAAATGGAAATAATGATATTGATACTGAAGCAATGTATGGCAGTACTTTACCTCAGGATGTTCATAATGTACATGATTTCCTGAAATACATTTATTATCAGAATATTAAAAATCCAGAATTGTTTCAAATATATGGGCAAATATACGATGACGATTTGATCTATAGGAATTTCATAGAAATAATTAATTTGACAAGAAATCCTACACACAAAAAACATTTAAAGATAATTAAACTCAGCAATGAAAATAATGATATAAATTTAGATTCCCACATGGGATTGTATAATAGCATATTAGACACACAAAATCAATATGATTTAGTTTGGAAGTTCCACGAAATGTTATGTAATTTTCTTAAATTAAAGAATTTACCTATTCAAGATCCCAGTATGGATTTAAAGATATCTATCAAACTAGGTACCCAAACAGAGAATGACAATAGTATTATTGTTACAAGCCCAACTTATGATAATGATTCAACTAGGGTTAGTTTCAAAAGAAATTATGAGGAGTCCAAGAGACGTATAACACAGATCTGGAGAAGCTACCAGACATGGGATCCAAAGACTCGTGGATTAGTTAATCTGAAACGGATTCTAAGTGTATTGACTTCCTTCTCTCAGGTTGAAGATTTGTTGAAAGACATCGAAGAATGATGACTAATCATGATTATATCATCCAAAAATTCTAGTGCGCCCAAAAACAGGCAGGATGTACGGATGCAAGCCAGAAACCTGAAAAAAAAAAAGTATCAAGAAAGAAAAAACGACAAAGCCGAAAACAGAAAAGTTAAACTTAAACGATTTAGTGATAAAAAAAAAAAGGAAAAAAAAGTGGAAAATCGGCCATATTCATAAGAATAAGACATAAACCAGTTTTTAGTGAAGACAAAATAGAGGGAAATTAAGGATTTAATATACTAGTATCCAATATTATAACGAGCAGCGGTTCTTTACCACATTATAGTTACTGCTGGCATTATTGTCTGATTTTCCTAATAATACATTTTGTGTTTCCACAAAACTAGCATCCACATATATACCCAAATATATTCGAAAAGATTGCTTGTCCAATAAAATAGATAGGTAGATAGATAGACAGATAGCTAGAAATATACAAGGACAAATGACTACCAAATATACTAGCGAACAAGAGCAAGTAGCATTGGAAATTCTCTCCAAGGATAAACATGCTTTTTATGAAATTTTAAAGATAGAAAGGACAGCCTCGGATGGGGAAATTAAGAAAGCATATAGGAAATTAGCGATCAAATTACATCCGGATAAAAACCCTCATCCTAAAGCAAGTGAAGCATTTAAAATTATAAATAGAGCCTTTGAAGTACTAAGTGACAGTAATAAAAGACATATTTATGATAGAATAGGTAGAGATCCCGATGATAGAAGTATTCCATCCTTCTCAGAAAGTAATAATGGCACTAGCCATGCATCAGGGTTTAGTGGCGGAATTCCATCGCAATTTTTTAGTAATAGATATCAAGCAGGAGGCCCTGAGGATATATTTGAGTTTTTGTTTAATATGAATGGTATGGGTGGTCCCTTTGGCCCAGGAAATCCATTTATGCATGCAGGTGGCGGCCCAACAACTTTTACTTTTGGCCCTGGGGGGTTTAGAGCTTATACCAATGGGAATCCAAGAGCTTCTGCATTTCAAAGACGACAACATGAACAACGAGCTAGAAGAGCTCACGATAATGAAACAAGGTATCAGGAAATTTTACGTGTATTATTACCCCTATTATTTTTCTTTTTACTACCTATTTTGGAAAGATTATTCTTTGGTTAAATTGTATTCATTTAATTTAAACTCAACAAAATTGTATCTATATTTTGCCTTCCTTCTTTAATATGATGCATATTCCTTCTTTTTTTTTTCTTTTTTCCATTTTCTTTTCTTTCCCAATTTATATCAGAATAATATTGCATTTGTTAGTCTTACTGACCAACTATCTTTAAATTATGTTTAATCATTTATTGTGGAAAAAAATGTTATTGTGTCTAGTATGGAACAGAAGTAATTACTGAAGCGATTTTACTTTTATTTTCTTCACTCACTACTCGGAAGAACTCGGATTTTATATATATAATTTTTTTTTGCTTCATTTAATCTTTTACTATCGTACTAGTTACTACTCATCTATATCAAACATTAATTGCATCAGATTACATTGTGCTTCCTTTTTATCTTAATCGAAACCTCTTCTGAAAAAAAATAATACCTGATTACTCTCCAAAATTGATTAATATGTTATATATAATGACACTTATAAATCCATAGATAAATAAATAATAAAAATATATATAAATAAAATAATTCTTCAATTCAGATTTCTTGGAACTGACAGTACCATTAGAATATTATTAATATATTGGAACTTCCGACAGACAGCAGTTCTTCTATATGGATGATTACATATACGTATTATATAAGATCTAAAGGAAAAACATTTTATTCAAGATCTTTCATTCTTTCTCTTATAATCTCCATAACTTCTTCATCGGTCTCCTCATTATTCAATTTAAATCTTAATTTCTTACTAAATTTACGTGTTATAAAATCTGAGCCTGATAAACGATTAGTATTAACAGAGTTTCTATTACCCTTCAAATTCATCATAATATCTACATCATCTTCATCAAGTAAATCTTGTTTTTTAATCACTTTCCCACTAGGCAAAGTTTCATACACTTCTGGATCGTACTCTTTATTAGATGCGCCTTCATTGTCATTTTTCCCACCGGGTATTATTTTACCCACTACATTACTCCATGAAGATTCACTATAATTAAGTTGTTCAGATATGGTAGGTAAGGACGACTCTTTTAATGATTTGATGTCCTCGTCAATATGATTCACTGAATTTGTTCTAGTCCTTGTTCTTGGTTTAGACAGTTTCTTATTATTAAATAGTTGACTCTTATATCGTTCAATAGAACTTGGATCATGTTCCCACGTCCAACCTTGTTTCATTTCATTATATGCACCAAATTCCAATTTTTTTCTTACATTACTCTTTTTCTCTAATTCGGCAAATATATCTGAATCAGTAGGCCATAAGGTTCTTTTCAATGTTTGATATACAATATCTATTATAATAGGTAACACAACCAATGCAAAACAAGTACACCAAAATGTTATATCTTTACCAAAATGATTATAAAATCCATAAGCAACATCATATATCTCATCAGTTGGATTCAATATAGGTAATGCGCAACACCATACCAACCATCCTCCAGTTGACAATAGAACAGATGCAAATGCTATCCAATTTCTATTTCTCATTTCCAAAAATTGCGCCTTAACATTAATTAATACAACAATAGCTGTAAAATTAACAACACCTAAAGGATACAAAGTTGAATCTGATAAAGCTGTTTCACCCCAAGTAACCACATTTAAAAACGTGATGATTACAGAATTGCATGCACCCTCTATCATCCATTCAAGGAATATCCATAAATTAAAGCCTTCACCTAATCTACCAAAAGAGTACAATTCAGGTATAGTTAACAACGTCATTGGTTTCAAATCCTTTTCAAAGATACCAATACAAAGCACCGGTAGTGACGTAAAAAGTGTATTAAACATAGATAAGGACCATGATTCATACATAGATGTACCGGAGAACAATGTAAATCGTTGGAATATAACTTGTGTCAAATAAAAAGTTAATTCTTTGTAAAAAGTACAAAGAACAAATTTTGCCGTTCTAATGTAATTATATCTTCCATGAACAAATAATAATTTTAATAAATATCTAAACTGAGCAATAGAGTAATCTGAGGAACGTGATGCTTGCAAACCTTCCTTACCAGTAATACCGACACCAATATCAGCAGCTTGAATCATCGCAATATCATTAGCACCATCACCTATTGCCAGAGTCACTTCTTTTCTGTTAGTTTTCCGGATATTACTAACCATAAGTGCTTTTTGTGATGGTGAAGCACGACAACATATCACTGAATCTGTCTTAGTACACAATTCAACAAAGACAGCCATTAATGTAGGGTTACTTTCGAAAGAACCAAGAGTTGCACCATCAATCACAACAACACAATGTGCCATATTACCAGTACTAATTTCTTGACTAACGGCATTCATTTTTGAAGCAATATTTTCATCATCCATTGTTAAAATAACAATAGTGGAGTAATCATAAATTAACTTACATGAGTAACCAATATTAATGGCTGTTTCACGTTTGTCACCTGTTAACATCCACATTTTTATGCCAGCCCTTTTTATCTTTTCTATAGCCTCAGAAACACCTTCTTGTAATTTATCCTCAATGGCTGTAGCACCCAGAATATTAAGATCTACTTCAATTTCTTCTCCAACTTCCTCCGTCTTTTTCTTTCTATTAACTAAGGAAGTCTTTGCTTTGTGATATTTTTGGTTCCATTTATCATACGTTTTGTTATCAATCCATTTATAAGCAAATAATAATGTTCTCAATCCTTCAGTTGAAAAATCATCTATGGCTTGAATTGTTCTTTCTAAAATGAATTCTTCATTAGTCAAAAGATCGTCATTACCAATATAGGTTTGTATATCCTCATCTTCAAATCTAATTTTACTATGATTATTCTCTCCTTGCAAATGACTGATTTTATCATTTTTATTTTTATTTGTGGTATTTGACCCATATTTTTGCATTTGTTGTTTATGCAGAGATTTACGACTTCTCATAATTACATCATCAACTTCCCTTCCATTTCTTTTTACATCATCTACAATGTCATCAATGGTATCTATATGCATATCTGATGGACCAGTTCTATTTCTCTGAGAGATACTTTTTCTTATAGCTTGTAAAGATAAACTTGCTCTAGTATCATTATGACCTGCTCCACGCAGAGAATTACGTCCTATAGTTTCATCATATGTCATTCTTTCCAATGATTTTCTCTGTTGAACAATTAATTCAGCTTCCTCCTCTTTACGAGTGGTTACAGCATTGTTAATTTCATCAATTTTCTGAAATGCAATTTCTTTATTATAAAGTCTCTCTAGGATAACATTATCAGCACCTTTGCAAATCAAAAGAACATTATTTGGAACATTTGGCATTTTAACAATAACTGACATCCTCTTTCTCTGAGAATTAAATTCAATTGTATTTAATATTTCATATTCCTCTAAAATTGGTGATTCATCAAACCCATTTGGATACGTTTTGATTGTCAAAGTTTGAACATTCTTATTAACTACTACACAGCCTAAATCTCTAGCTGCAGTAATTAAAGCTAATTCATCAGGTGAAGATGACTGATATTCAATTGCATCTTCTTCATCTTCATGACCATCAACTCTCTTTGGCAAACAAGAATGACATAATGCCATCGATAGAATAAAAAATTTTGCTTTCTTTGAAAATAACTTATTTGGATATCTTTGAATATACCTAATTAAGTCATATGAAGATTTGATATTCTCAATTGTGCTACTTTCTTGAGAAGAAATAGTAACTTCTGATGAGCGATTTTTATGTTGCCTGATATACAAAGAGCTCATACTTGGCCTACCGGTATATACTGCAGAAGAATTTCCCTTATAATCTATTGACGGTCTGGGTTCATCTGAAAATGGAACATAATCACTTGGGGTAGGTATGTTAAGATGTTGGCTTAAAATTTGAGGTGCATTTAAGGAAACAGTATCAATATCATTGTCAGTGAGATCTGTTTGCAGTGATTCAACTGATTTCGAAGAAACCATTTTCATATCATGTAACCAAGATGAACCTAAAAAAGAAAATTTACGAAAAATCATCTTGTTATCTGTTAATGTACCTGTTTTGTCACTGAAAATATAAGATACTTGTCCTAATTCTTCCAGAATAGTCGCAGTTCTTGACTCACAGGGGGTATCTGTTTCTTCATGATACATATCAATATCCCATTCCATAAGTTTACTCTGGAAAACTTTAATTATTTCCATTGTGACATATAAGGACAATGGAATCATTGTATTGAACATAATAATAAAGGACATAATAGTTGCAGCAGTCCCAGCGTCTTGTCTAAAAAGATACCATGCTCGATTACCATCAAGAGATCCCCTCTTAGCTAATACATTCCCTAAATAAGAAAAGAACGAAACACATGCCACAACAAAAACCATAAAAGCAATAATCATGTTAATACTTCTTTGAAGTTTTGGTGCTTTTGTTCTAGGATTCTTAATAGCGTTCATTCTAATTTTTGTCTCTTCACCAGTGAAAATAACCATACCAATCATTGTTGGAGTGTTTCTAATTATACTACCCCTATAAATCACATTGTCAGGACCTATCGGATATTTTTTAAAAGTGTTATATTTGGTAGCATCCACTTCCAAATTACCCTCAAAATTGTATAGATCACTGTTAGGATCTTCAACTGTTACCTTGGCATTAATATTAGATAAATTAGATTCGGAAGAAGTAAGTTTGGTCAATTCCATATGAGGCTGTCTATTTTTCAGATTTGTTTCCCCATCTAATGCCATGGTTTCAACATATACTTCATTATTAGTCCCATCCGATTTCAAAAGTAGTAAATCAGCTGGAACCCAATCGTCTTGCTTCAAAACAACAAAGTCACCAACTTTCAAATCTTTCCATTTAGTTTCAATTATATGTGTATTATATTTGCTAGCTAGCAAGTTTACGTTTAAAAAATGAGGCTTTACAGAGTATTTATCATCATTCCTTTTTAGTTCATAAGAATTCCTGGAATACATTTTATCATGATTGTCTTCAATATCATTATGTTGTTGATTTTGTTGACTTTCTAATTCTTTGCTTAATGTTGGATCTTTAATTAAAATATTCACCGTTCTTGCATTTTCTTCATTATCAAGCTGATGTCGCCTGAAATCATTCCAAGCTTCTCTAGCCATAGATATACCCATAAATACTAATAATGGGATGATTGTTGTATATGTACCCGTAGTTGACCAACCAGGAATCATTTGTAAAATTGCAATAACAAAGAAGTAGATATTAGCCACTTTAGAGAACTGTGCATATAACTGTTTGGGAAGAAATGAATATATTGTATATCTTGATGAAGTTATACAATTATTACAATATGGCTTGTTCGTTCGTTCGTCAATTAAAACATCACTTTTTCCATTTGTATACTGTCTATATTCAGCTAAGGTGTGATCTAAAGTAATTGGAATATGTCTCCCATCTTTAGAATGAAGAATCCTTCGTCTATCTAACAATAAATCTAATGCTTTAGTGAAAAAATTTATTTTTGTTGATTGGACTTCTTTATGTTCATTGTCACCCATAGAATCTTTAATAACATTTTGGTCTTCTAAAGATTCTTCCATTGCTTCATACATCTGTGAATCATTATCCCGCATATGATTGCTTATTGATGAAATATTGTCATTATTTTTACTACTATTATTATTATTATTTGAATCCACATCATTTAATTCAATATCTTCTGGCTTATCTTTTTCTTTCCATTTAGAGTTTATTTTATCAAAAAAATGCTTATTGAATAGTTGGGTTCTTAAAGAACTTGCTCTTTTTCTGTTACTACCATTTTTATTATTGGTCATTATATCTTACTCTTCGACATGAATTTGTATTATCTATAAAAAATACTAAACGAAATAAAATAAAATACGAATTTGAATATAATTTGAAATGAGTGTGCAATAACGAAACTAAATGGTTGGTTTGTTATTCAATGTACTCCCAAAAAAATGTTTAGCATGGGTACGATTAGCAAATTTAGAAGTTATATCAAAATGTTTACTTTTCAGTATTTAATTATTTCTTTTTTTAAAAATAAAACACAGAGCTAACTGTTGCAAAAAAAAAAAAAAAGAAGAAGAGAAAAGGACAAGAAAAAAAACACGAAGTAACGAGAATTTGTTAAATTTATAACAGAAAAATCTATAAGGCAAAAACTGGCCTAAGACTGACGATTATTATTTTTAGTAATTTAGTTTACAAAAATAACAAAGAAGGTGCCAACTATAATATTTAACTATTAATAATACCGTACACTTTATTACGACAGCAGTAGCATAGAAGGAAATTCATTTTAACTAAAATAGAAATAAAATTCAATAATATTATTTATCTGTAATCGATCTGAAAAATCATAGGTGACAATTAAATAACTGTAAACGTGACAAAAAAAAAACTGAATATGCAAACTTTCTTTAAATAAATATGCTAACTATATTATCAATATTCTATTAATTCTTTTATTTCGTAGATAATGGGGATTGTATCTTCTGTAGAGAAGGAATTCGATATTGTTCTACCATTATTGACATTAGTATTATCTTGATTTACAACATTTGTATTTTTTTTCGAATAAAGGTTTTTGGGGTAAGTTGAAAATGACAGAATTGTGGATGGAAATGTTTGTGTCTTCTTATTTTGTTGCTTCTTTAATAGCTCGAAAGATTTTTGTGCTCTTAGCTTATTTTTGCCCAACTTATTCTCATTAGCAAAATTGATAATTTTTTCATTAAGTTTATGACGTAGCTCTTCATCACTTAATTTTTGTAAACTTTCATAATGATACAACTTTCGATCATTATCATGGTTCTGATTATGAGTAATGTTTATTTTTGATAATACCTTACCATATATGGTAGGTGATTGAATTGGTGTACTTAAATCAGAAGGAACACAGGTGTCCTCATTTTCATCATTATAAAAAACTGAATTACTTTTAGTTGTGTGTGTCATTTCGCTCACGTTTTCTATGTTATTTGACATACTTTTTGTATGAATATGAGTAAATTCTGATTCATTAGATAAATTTATTTTGGATGCTTTTGAAGAATCAGATTGATATAAATTGGAATATATATCCAGATTATGTTTAACAATATCTAATGAGAACCCACGGTTGCTTTTATTCATGGGGGCTGATACTATTCTTTTGACTTGTTGATTTGGTTTACTGGAATAATTGTATATAGAATTTTCAAAGTTTAAAGTATCATGTATGGTAAAGAGTAAATGTTGTAATTTATTCATTAATACTTTATTTTGATCATTGTTATTACAATACTTGAAAATATCATCTTTTAAAAAAGTTAACTTTGAATCAAGTTCATTTACCAACTTTGTCACTTCAAATAATTCGTCAGTAACTTCGTTATTTATGTAAGTATTGTTGAGTGTAGCCTCAGTCTCCAAATTTAAAAAGTTTTTATAATTTATAAGTGAATTAGATATTGATTCTAGTGACATTGATAGACCATGTAAAATACCTGTAAGTGATTCATACTGTTTCAGTACACTACCAATCTTATCATTACTGGTAGAGTAACAGTAGTTTTTATCTAAAAAATTTATATTGAAGATATAATATAATTCAGTATTTCTATTATTTTTGTCTTTGCTTGTTCGTTCATGAAATGATATTGATAACAGACAACAGAGAAAAAATTTTTGTGTAATGGTTACTCGATATGCTTTTTCATTTAAATGTTGAATGTCTGTGTTAAGGTAATACTTAAGATCAGACAATTTTATTCCATATATTTCGATATATTTAGATAAACTATTTTCATCTGTCAGCGGTAATATCAATTCAAGCTCATATCGAAATATATAAAAGAACTGATCTAGGTGAGATTTAAGTAAATTTTTGATAAAAATGGATAAGAAACTATTATTATTGCTAGTATTGTGATCATGTATATTGGCACCACAGTTGTTTTTATCATGACTGTTTTGTTTCAAAAATGACTCTTGATCAAAAATATTATAAGTTTGAAGTGTTTTATAATTTAATAAAAATTTATGTATTACCATATCACAATTTTCTAATTTATTTAAAAAATCTTTTAAAATAATCATCAATTTACATTTAATCGTTTTCAAAATTTGTCTCTTCTTAGAATAAATTATATTAAATGCTTTTGATAGTAATAAAAAATATTGCAATTTAATATCTATACTAAAATTCCAATCTTTAAATAATATTAGTATTCTATAGTATTTTAAAAGTAAACCATTTAAGTGACTATTAGTTATTTTTTCACAATTTTTTTCATTAAAAAAATCACCTAATGATAGTTTAGTTTTTATTATTGTATGTTCCTTAAGATTCGGTATAGACTTTTTCATTTGTACGTTTTGGAAATAAGAACTATAATCATTAAGGATATGTGAACTTACAATGGGATACCTAAACACATCATTAAATTGTTCATAATCATTTTGTGATAATAATAATAAATTTTCAATTTGTCTGATTTGTTTTCTAACACATCTATATTTAACAGTTCTTGGCCTTTTAACCAATTTTGATTTAGAGAACGATGCATTCAGTTTATTTGGAAAAAAGTCACTGGACCTGGAACTAGAATTACACTGTAGTAGGTAATCTGACTCTTTATAATTTTTCATGGTATCTATTGTAACAGTATTTTTAAACAGTTGCTTTAACGTGGAATGATTTTCATTAGGTATGAATATTTGAAGTTCCGGTAATTCAAATAATTGTGATACCATCTAACACTTCTTATATATTGTTGAGCTGATCTTCAATCGAAAAAATAACAACCACAGGAAACCATACACAGGATATTAATTTATACAATTGTGTATTTTTTTCTTCTGTTATTTTTTTATCTTATTGATAGTTTTATCTACGATGTTTAAAGATCTTGTTTTTAATGAATCATCTGTATTGTTTTGTTTTGTTTACATTTTTGCAAATATTTTCGTTTTTCTTGACTGATATATTTTCGCAGGAATCTTGAGAAAACAACACGAACTTTTTCAACTATTAACGGCATAGGGATAAATTATTTTGTGCACAGAAAGAAGGAAATATTTGTGTATAGAAGAAGAGAATAAGCCACTTCTGACAATGCATTATTTGTGAATCAATGATATATTGATTTAAATGTTTTGTGCATGTGCTCCTCTGAACTTTGATTTTTAAGTTCTTTCGTGTATCAATCACTTATGTGAAATCTATATACATAAATATATATATATACTTCAATATATGTATAAATAGATGCTTAGTTTGAAAATTCATCTTCATCAAACTCATCTTCGTCGAATTCATCCTCATAACCATCATGCTCTTCTGTATATCTCTCATTAGAATTACTAGCATTATTAGGACTACCATCATGAATTGAATGGTTATCATCTAACACATTGATCTGAGATACTCCAGATGTAGGCAATGACGGTTTTAAGATCGATAATTTTTTCATATCTTGATCAATTGTTGTCATATCAATTGATGATAACAATGGAGAACTTAAGGGTGACCCAAGACTTAAATACATTTGTTTACCTATATTGTTTTTTCGCTTTGAGGAATTGTCTGGTGTTGTAATATTATCATCCGTCAACTGATTATTAATGGTAGTTGATTTTGATGGACTAGTGTAAGGAATTTGAAATGTAAAGGATTGTCGACGATTACTATTTGTTACAACACCTTTATCGTATGGACTGTTATTCTTAGGTGATGAACTGGTTAAAATATCGCCTTGTTTTTTATTGGAGTCACTATCATCACTTAAATCCGATAAGTCATTAATGTTTATTAATGGTTCTCTCCAAAAATTTACATCTGTAAACTTTTCACCTTGGTTACTCATATAAAGAGACTTCGCTTCAATTGTCCTATTTGAATCATAGTTATCCATTGACGTATTTACAGGTGAGCCTGGACTAGTTGATAATATACTTCTAACATCATCTGAAGAAGTAGTTACTGGAGGGAAAAAATGATCTACTAATTCATTTATATGTAAATAGGAACTTTTATAACCTGCTAATTCTAATAGTTCCATATGTACTTCTCCCTCCGTGTTAATTGTGAAAATACGTGAACTGGGAATCCCAACAGTTCTATATGACAGTGCATCTGTAATTCTATTACCAAACCCTGCAAAGAATGGCGTTGGCTTTTCCTCATTATCATCATTGGCAGCATCCATGTCTATATCTTTATGAAAATATAAGGATCTGATATCATTTAGGCATGCAATTTTAAACACTTCAGGCTTTTTCAATATAACTTCTCTTCTCAGCGCAGCCATTGTCCTATCAGGTGATAAGATAACAGGTCCTATAGGTAATTTATTTCCATCTTGGTTAATAGATCTAAGATAACTTCTAGTAGAATCAGCTTGACCTGCACTTCGTGCAGTTAAATACATAATATTGTACCCGTTTCTCGAAACTTCACTGAATAATTTAGCCACACCTGCATGAGTCCAGTCCTTACCGATCATAGCCAATACATGGCCTAATGCATCTGATTTAGTAATCGTGCCGTCGATATCACTAATAACAATAGGAACATCCCATCTCCATACAAAAAGTTTAGAAGTTATAATTGCTTTACCTTGATCTATAGAATATGTTAAATTATTTTCACCATAGTTTAAATTTAAACATTTTAATTGATCACTTGTCAATCTTAATGTTTTGATATAATTTAATTCATGTGTATTTGAAGAAATTTCACCATTATTGTTTATTTTGGTGGAATCATTAGTATTATTTGTGATTGTAGTCTTAAAGGTGGTATTATTGTGATTAATTGGAGTGTTTATTCTGGGTATAGTTGAGCTTAACTTTTCTTCCTTTTTTTGGCCATTATTGGAAGTTACAGAGCTAGCAGAGTCTGACAATATTGATTCATTGTAATCTGATGTGGCATGTTCCGTATCGTCTACCAATGATGGTTCACTCATAGATATGGAGTTGTATGCAAGATGTAATACTTTAGTGGGTTGGGTACTTGGTAATCCTGAACCTGTAATGTGTTCATAAGGATTTACTATCCGTATGCTTCCATTACTATCTTCTTTAATAAATTTAGTAATATCTGTATCATTGTCCAGCTCTTCTTTCAATAATTGTTTTAGTTGCAAATCAGTATCATGCATAGTATTGGTATTTGGCATATAACCCTCCATATCTAGTAGAATATCTCCATTATTATCTACTGTATTTGGAATATGAATCTGGGTTAATCTTCTGTTTAACTTCGTTTGAAAAATCTTATTTTTTTCTAGAGAACTATCTTCTTTATTTACTTCAGCAGTCTTACTCAAAGATTTTTCGTTTTGTTTATCATGTTCTAAACTTAACTGTTCTTCAGGTTCATTAGTAGAAACGGGTGACATTTTGGGACTATTGGGGACACTGGAAACTGGAGAGCCAATTAAATCTGAGGGAATACTATTTACATCAGAATATGTTTCAAAGACAAAATATGCTTCACCACTATCAGATAATTTCATTGGAATATTTGTTGATTTGCCATTCACCAAAACTTCTACTCTCTTTTGTGAAGGTTTCAATATTTGAAATTTGCCAAATCTGACATGAAATGGAGAGCAAGCCAAGGTACCATCTGGTTGTTCCACTACTATGACATCGATAGCACCGGACAAAGTGGCTGGATTAATAGAGGACCAAGTCTTTGAAACTGATCCAATAGCTCTTCCAACGTATTGCATTTAAGGTAATTTCTATTTTGAAGTAAGAGTTTATTATATTAATGTGTCAATTATTTTTTTTATTTCGGCTGTAATTGAAAGATAAAGTTTCTATCAGCTTATAAGCAAAATGCTTTAATTAGTATAAACATATAATAGATAAAATAAAATTACACTTTCTACCCACTTTCGAAAAGTAATACAATACAATAATAAAATCAATTTGAATAGCAAAAGTAAAACTAGAAAATATCTAGGAATTATCTTCTAAAAAATATATGTTCATTGATGTTTTATTCAGTTTTAATAAGCTTACAAAAAGCATATAAATGGCTGTGTAAAAGTATATATTCTAATATTACTTGATTATTTCTTAATTTATGTTAAGCTCTTATTCTCACGTGGCAGGTTTGAAATGTTTAAGACCGGTATTATTTTTTTTTCTATTTTGTCACGCTTTTAAAACCCAAATATTTAAAGGATTCGTTTAAAACGTGAGAAAAATTTGTTGGCTACGATGAAATATTGTGTTATTAAAGTATTTAATAATGTAACCTGTTCGGTTTATTGATAATATTTACATAAAGGTATGCCTGTATATATACATACACACATATATATATATGTTGACTATTGTCTTCCCTCTTAACCCTATTCAAAATTGAAAAAGAAATAAAAGAGATGAAAAGAATATGCCAGAAGCGTATATAAGTTAAAGAACAAGCTTTACTAATATTTTGATTTGAATAAAAAAATCTATATTTGGTCTCAAGTAGAATTTTTACTACTATAATATTGTGTTCGATTTAGTACTTTAAGTGTTACTTGATACAATAGCAACATTATACTAGATTGTACACTAGTCCACACAAATCTGGGACCCATTCCATTGAAAAGATTCCATATACCTTCCTTCATATAAACCAATTGTAAACTTTTACATATTGAATTAGTTAAAACAGAGGGGGAAGTTTTAGCTCTATCATTGATAGTAGAAGGTTGTTGTGTCTGTAATCTTGTCTTAATAACATCTAATGGTGTTGTAATTATACCAGCAAGACCACCTGCACAAGCACCTGTAAGAATTTCATTGGCAATAGATAAGTCATGTTTATGCGCAAGTTTTCCCTCTAATATAAATGCCCATTGACGAAATTTTTCATAAAATGCAAACTGCAAAGCACTGAATGGTAAGTCTCTTACTAATGTAGCTTTATAACCGAAATACAATGCACTCCAACCTTCCTGTTTTATTATTGTTTGTATTGCATCTCTCAAATTTTTGTAATTGTAACCGGAATTAAAGCTTGGGTTGTTGTATCTACCTTGTAATTGTAAACGGCTCTTCAATACCTCAGAAGGAACATATACTATACTCGAAACAAAATCACCTATAAAACCAGCAGTCAAATGTGAAAACGAATCATTTAAATTCCATTGATCAATAAGTAGTCTTTTTGTGTATTCATAGGATCCAAAGAAAACAGCTGCACTGGGTAAAGATCCCAGCATTGCAGCAGTGTATCCACTGTACAGACCTCTACAAATACCTTCTTCTAAATAAATTGTTCGATATGCTTGCCACATATTTCTATATTTGGTAATATTAGGTGCACCTTGTTGTCTTGTTTTGACTGTGTCTAAACTATGCATAACAGAATCACCAATAACACCACCAAGACCACCTGCTAAAGAGCATTGCCATATTGGATTTTGTTTGTTTTCAATTATCATACTGTTATCTTCATCATTATTGCCATCATCCTCTTCAGATGGTGATGAGGTATCGCCTCCGAAATGTTTTGATAAAAATGAGTCTGTAGTATTATTTCCATCGTGGGTAAACGGTATTGATGATATAAAACTCCACATTGAAATATGTTTATGAAAGAATTGATAATAACAACAAATAATAATTACAAGTATTTAAAATAAAAATAAGAATAAGAATAGTAGTAATGGGGAGGAAAAGGGAAGATAATAGTTAATGAATATAATATAATGCTGCAACTTCTTTTTTTATTTTATTTTGTTTCTTTGGTCCTTTTCAATGAATGGAATGTGAGAATATATTAGAGGTCATTAACTATAAACAAAATTAATAAAATTCAATTTACAATTTGAATAGAATCGTATTTTCAATGACTGTTCTTTGTTTTTTTTTTTTCCTTGAATGCCACAATAACAAAAAATAAATATAGAATTTGTTGAAATTGGAAAAGACAAAAGTTCAAATGCTTTAAAAATACAATATATCCTTTAAAAAAAATCTTGTGCTCTTCTCTTTCTGAACAATTATAACTGTTAATAATATTAATATAAACTTCCTAAGGAAAAAACAAATAGTGTGGTATAATAAAAAAGGAAATTAAGGGAATAGTAAAAGGGAATGAATTAAACGACGTATGAAATATTCAAATCAAAATCTCATTTAACGATTTCTCAATAAGGAATTAACATAAAATGTAGCAATAGAAAAATAAAAAATAAATAGTACAATAAAGAGATGATATCTATATACAAGTAGACAATTAGTATAATTTATTGATGCTAAAATTCAAATAAATAGATCAATAATTAAAAAACAAAAAAAAAATAGTCGAATAAAATAAAATAAATAACTCTTCTGAGCTTGGTTTATTGAGAAAGAATTGTTTATAAAAGAAATGGGGAATCGATTATCAAAAAAATAAAGTGAAGATAAAAATAAATGAAAAGGGCAAAAAGAAATACTAATAAGTGTCCAATTGACCTGAGGTATGTAATAAAAGATGCAATGGATATTTGATTTTGATTTTGTTTATGAATCTATATATAACTAAAAGTTGAAAATTCGCATTCTCGATTATTTTTCAATTCATCTTTTAACATAAAGAAAATATTTCGGATTTTCTTTTTTTTTTTTTGCTACCCAAAGAAGACGCTCCACCCCTTTTCCTTCGAGAAGATTTGAGATTTGAAATTTTACTTTCCATCGATTTTTGTCTGCTCGAAGGAAAAAGCACGTGGACAGGATGTATGGATGTGTAGTGTTAGGGTTTGAGTTTAGGGTATTTCTACCAAACATAAGGTGTGTAACTTATGTAGTATATTGATATAGTATATTTATTAACTTTTCAATATGGCACAATATTTTTTTTCTTTTTTTTTTTTTATTTTTGGAAATTATTGATATTATTTCTACAGCAGTTAAAACATTCACTTACTTCCATGCATCAAAAATGCTATATATCTTGATAAAATAAGCAATTACGTTTTAACCTGCACAATCGCCGTAATTTGTTCGTGATAGTGTCTGTTGCTAATGATTAAATTTGGATAGTGGTTCGAAAGTTAAAACTGTTAGTAGAATTTTAACATTATATAAAGATACCCCTTCCTATAAACCATTTTTTTTTTGTTTTGTTTTTGGTTTCCTCTTTTCCAGGTGCATTTATATTGACTATTTAGTAAGGATGTCAGAGCAGCAAAGAAGAATTAAACCATTGGATGTGAGTGTTGTTAATAAAATTGCAGCTGGTGAGATTATTATATCTCCGGTCAATGCATTAAAAGAATTGTTAGAAAATTCTATAGATGCTGGTGCTACCATGATCGATGTATTAGTGAAAGATGGTGGGATTAAAGTATTACAAATTAGTGATAATGGTTGTGGTATCCATAAAAGTGATCTGCCTATACTTTGTGAAAGGTTCACCACATCTAAGTTGATTCAGTTTGAGGATTTGGAGTCTATTTCGACATATGGTTTTCGTGGGGAAGCATTGGCTAGTATATCACACATAGCTAAAGTGACGGTAACTACAAAGACTAAAGAGGATAAATGTGCATGGAAGGTTTCTTTTATGGAAGGCCGTATGTTATCTGATCCAGTTCCAATTGCTGGAAAGGATGGAACCGTTATTCTGGTAGAAGACCTATTTTATAACATTCCTTCTAGATTAAGGGCTTTACGTTCCCCAAATGATGAATATAACAAAATTTTAGATGTGTTGGGCAAATATTCCATACATTGTCAAGGTATTGGTTTCACTTGTAAGAAATTTGGTACTTCTACTCTTTCATTAACAGTTAAACCAAACCTTTCTATTAGCGATAGAATAAGATGTATATATGGGAATTCTGTTGTGTCCAACTTGATTCCATTCGAAGTAAAAGATGATATTCAGGAATTAAATATCAATAAAGTAGAAGGCCAAATTACAGATTTAAATTATCTGTCAAAAAAATCCACACCACCAATTTTTTTTATTAATAATAGATTAGTAACATGTGAACCTTTAAGAAGATCTCTACAACAAGTATATCAACTCTATTTGCCCAAAGGTAACAAACCTTTTATATATTTAAGCTTACTAATTCAACCAGACACTGTTGATGTAAATGTTCACCCAACAAAAAAGGAAGTCAGATTTTTAAACCAAGATGAGATAATTGAGAAAATTAGTTCGCATTTACAGCAGAAATTGGTAAAATTAGATTCTTCTAGAACATTTAAAACATCAACTTTACTCACTGGTTCACAAAAGAACGGTATTTCATCTACTCCGTTTTCTAACATACCTTCTTCTTCATCACAAAGAAAGACTCAAAGATTACTCGATGAATCTGGTGATAATCATTTCCTGTCTTTGTCATCCCAAAATAGAGCATTTAATAGATATGATTCAGCTGTCGCTAAAGTTAAAAGATATGACCACAATTTAATCCGTACAGATTCCAACCAATCAAAAATCACAACTTTTTTAAAATCAAATCAATACATGAATGAAGTACCTCCAATAAATAATAAGATATCTGATAAACCACAACTAACTCAAAATTCGACAGAAAACGGTACGGCCACTATTGATGAAAATAATCGACTGAGTTTTACTGAGTCTGTCACCAAGGTGTGTAACAATGAAAGTAATGAAACTATTTATCATGATAAATCGTACACAGAAACTAAAAATATTGAAAACTTATATAAAGATTTGGAAGAAAATAAAAATGATGAAATTGAAATTACAAAAATTGAAGATAGTAGTAGAATAAACTCATCTTTTGCTATGGACGTAAACAATGATCAAAAAAGTAAATATACAATTTCACCAAAAAAAAGAGTAGATGTGAATTTAACTAGTATCAAGGAGTTACGTGAAGCTGTAGATGATTCAACACATAGGGAATTAACTACAGTATTTGCCAATCTTTCATATATTGGATTGGTTGATGAGGAAAGAAGAATAGCGGCTATTCAACATGATTTGAAATTGTTTCTAGTAGATTACGGCTCAGTCTCACATGAACTGTTTTATCAAATCGGATTAACAGATTTTTCAAATTTTGGTAAAATCAATTTAGATTCAAAGTACAAGAGTGATTTGGTTTTAATGAACATTTTAAATGTATTCAATGATGTTGAACCAACCGTTAAAGAAAACATTATATTAAAGCTTTGGGAAATGAGAGAAATGATGGATGAATATTTCTCTATATCAATTACATGTGACAACAGCGAATATTCTCCTGATGCTGTGAGGATTAACTCTTTACCACTGCTATTAAAGGGCTATAATCCACCATTGGGTAAGCTTCCATATCTTATATATCGGTTAGGAACTAAGGTTAATTGGCAGGAAGAAAAACCGTGTTTTAACGATATTATACACCAAATTGCTTTATTTTATATTCCAGAAATAATACCAAAGAGTAGTACACTAAAGGAAACTGGAATTATGGCCACGAACAAGGAGATTCAAAATGAGCAAGATATTGAACTAGTTAAACGTAAAGAAGAGATGGTGTCTACTTTAGAACACGTGTTATTCCCATGCATAAAAAGAAGATTATTAGCTCCTAGAAAATTACTTAAAGATGTTGTAGAAATTGCTAATCTGCCAGGCCTATATAAAGTCTTTGAGAGGTGTTAATTAATTCATAAGATTTTTTATCAGCTATTTTACTTTTTTAAAATACCATTTATATGGTACATATAATAAGATCCCTTGATAGAAAAAAACTTCTAATAATTGATATCTTACATTTTTGTTTCTCAAATCGTTTTTTTTTTCAGTTAAATTTGTATGAGGTGTTATTCAATAGCGAATTTCAAAATGAATAAAAACAATTCTATCCTCTAATCCATATGATATTTTTATTTCATTTTTTATTTTTCTCTCTGAAATATCTAAGTGATCAATTAAATCTAGTAACAAATAATCTTGAATTGTCAGTACAAAAAGAAAAAAATATTTACTTATCTTTTTTTGGAGGATCGAAAATATTGCATGATCACATCTATAATTATACTAGTTTGATATAATGTTACATACTTTACTTATGTAATATTAATTGATAACTTCAAGTATATTATGCTCTTGTTGGAATGCTTGAATAATGGTTTTAAACTCTTCGTAAACAGCAAATTCATCTGCCTCATCTTCCTCACTATTAGAAAATACTGAATCAAATTCCTTATTACTTAATAACAAACGTTCGCCAATCTCAGTCACACTTTTAATTAGTAAAGGTTTCTTATATGTAAATCTACTAATTAGTCTAATATCATCTTGAAAAATCTTGAAAATAGGATGAATTATACCTTTTTTTGATTCAATAATTTGAACTTTATCCCATAAAATACCTAAACTTTCCAGTCTACTAATAATTATGCCCAGTCTATTAATGGAATCACCAAATATGATGGGAAGAACAGTTATTAATTCTTTCATATCGTCTGCTAATTGAATCATATCTGGTCTAGGTTCAAAAATATTATAGAATATTAAGAAGCCAATTATCCTAGAGACAATATTCAACACATAAGGAAACTTATTGAAAAGGAAAAATCCTCTATTGATATTGTCAACTAACTGATAAATAATTGATCGGGTATAAAATATGAACATATCTAATGAACTAGATGTTTGATAATATATTAAATATAGCCTTTCCATTTTCCACCTGACTGATGTTTCCAAAAATTTCAAAATAAATTCTTCAAAAAGAGAATTAGTGGTCTTTTCCTTTGTTTTAGTTAGTTTCTTAATAGAATTATTTAGTTTTTCGAGTTCTCTCTTTGCAGCATCAATTGTTTTTAAAAGTGGTCTTTGTGTAGAATCAGATGTCTTTTCTATATCCCTGTCAATAGAACAAATTTTCCAACATACTAATTCAAAAGTGTCATTATTTTGATAAATGTTCATCCCTAACGCTGCGTAAGATGAAGCTGATTGAAAAAGAGACGGTATTTCTGAATGACATTCAATGCATTTTAATGGGGAACTTTGGAAATAATCTATAAAACACAACCTGTACCACATTTTACTGAAAACTTGTTTTGATAATCCCATTGCAGTGTCATCTGTAATATATTGTTTAAATGTGGTAAGATTAAACATTTTAAAAAGTTGAATACTTTGAATAACCAAATTATTAGTTAAAGAGGGTAAATTCAATGATATAGTAGTGTTATATAGGATCAAAAAAATTTGGATCAATTTGACATTTGGAAACATCATATAGTTTGTTCTCTTCAAAAGAACTAAACAACATTTCAAAAAGCCTTCATATACAGTTAGTTGTAGAGTTTCAGACCATTTATCTTGGATATCAATCTCTAACCAGTTAAAGATTGGTTTTGGATCTAAAATTTCGTTTAATTGGTCTATTGATGCATAATACAGACTTAATGTAAATATTGCCCATAGAAGTGCATCCCAGTAGTAATCCTCAGGTGTAGATGATCCCTTCCCATTTTCTTGCTCATGGTGACGTTTTCTTCTCCAATATTGTTCCAATTGGATAAATAAATCGTTAATATCACCGACTGAAGAAAAAAATAAAGTTCCTAAATTTTCAATTGCAAAGTTTAATAGGTCAAAGCTATTCTTTTCCTGTAAATAATTTATCCAAAACTCACTAACATTCAATTCTTGTTCTAAACTCATTATTGTACTAGATGATGACATATTTCTAGTTTTCATTAGTCCAATATTAATAATCCAGTATTCATAACTTTGCCATATAGGCATTATATTGGTAATATCGTCTTTATTTCTTATTATTGTACTTTGAGATAGTATTTCCAAACTTGATTCAATACATTCCCTTTCGAGGCCCTTTCTTATACATGTCCCACATGGAATTAATCTATCACATTTCACTTTTTTTACTGTACAAAAATGGCACGCTAGTTTAGTTCTTTCCATTTCAAAATATTAATAAAGAAATCCTAATGTTGTAACCTGAGAACTTGATTAGCTATATCAATTAATTAATTTCTGTTGTATAGTTAAATATAGAAAAGTTCATTTGGATGTTCTAAACGTCATTATCTTGACTGAATATTGCAGTAGATTATCATAAACATATTTAATAAGAAATTGTTGAAAAATGGCTCACGTTTCTTCTATATTTTTATTTAATTGTTTTTTTTTGTTTGTTGAAGTTTTTCAAATCTCAAAATTCCTTGTGAAATTTTCAGACAAAGTTAAGTTATTCTTAGTATTAGAAATCCAAAAGAAAATTCCTATTTAGTAGTAAATAAACATTAAACTGCTATTATACGCTGTACTAGCTAGTCTCTCCGTGTCAATACGAATGTTTGTTCCGTTGAACGAGTCTAAGTCATGAATACAGAATACAAGAAGAAAATTATTTTGAGAAAACAACACTCTTACAAAATAATTCACAATAACTGTTAGATTATGTAGAATTCTAAATATCTTAATCAAATTGATTTTTTTAGGAATATGTATACCAAATATGTTATTCAAATTAACTCAAGTTTTAACTGTCATTGCAATGTAAAATTAATGCATCATTTACTATGATATATGAGGATATCTTATGAATTTTGAATTTTTATTTTAAATTGCAACTTATTTACTTTATGGTACAATATTATTTTTTTTAATCTGATTTTCTGTTGCGGTAATAACTATTTTATCTTAAATTTATATTCTAGTATAAATTAAACTAATAGGTATACATTTTTTATATAAATACTATTTTAACTATTCTTTCCAACTATTGCTTCTTTTTATTTTGTAATAATTTTTTTTACATTCCATCTGAAAATAGAGATAATTCAGTGGATTGGAACATGAACTGTTTTAGTTTGAAGAAAAGACTTAACACCAGCTTCTCCTAACTCACGACCAATTCCACTCATTTTGTACCCACCAAATGGTACAGAAATTTCTTCGTCATTGGAAGAGTTTATCCATACGGTTCCAGTCTTTACATCCTTTATAAACTTATTTATTGTATTGATGTTGTTAGAAAATACCATGGCAGCTAAACCATATTCACTGTTGTTTGTAAGTTTAATGACTTCCTCATATGATGTAAATTTGTAGACACAAACAACAGGTCCAAAAATTTCTTGTTGCATTAAATCAGAGGTCTGTTCTATATCTATTACAATCGTTGGAGGGATAAAATAGCCTTTTTCGACATTGATTGGGTCAGTAATTATTTGAACTTTCTTTGATTTCTTATTTAAAAAGTTATTGATTTTATCATATTGTATTCTTGAGATTACAGGACCCATTGTGCAATGTTTATCAAATAAATCAAAATTGCTCCCAAATTTATAGGTTTTTCTTGTAAAACACTTGAATAGGTCAATAAACTTTTCATATATGGATTCATGAACGTAAATTCTTGAGTTTGCAGTGCAATTTTGCCCTGAATTATGAAATATTCCCTTTGTGACTGATTCTAGAACAATATCAAGGTCACTATCCTCAAAGATGACTGCTGCAGATTTCCCACCACATTCCAATGTCACATCTTTTAAATTTGATTTTCCAGAATATTCCATAATTAATCTTCCAACTCTTGTACTCCCAGTAAAAGAAATTTTGTCTACATCCATATGATTAGCTAGTGCTATTCCTACCTTATGACCTTCTCCAGGGATAATATTGATTACTCCGGGTGGAAATCCGGCTTCTTTGAAAAGTTGACCTGCATATAGGATGGATAAAGAGGTTAATTCTGACGGCTTAATTATAACGGTATTTCCAGCAGCTAGAGCACCTTGTATTTTCCAACATGCCATTGCAAAGGGATAATTCCATGGAATAATTAAAGCAACAACACCATAAGGTTCTTCTCTGGTATAGCAGTATTTGTTTTTACTAATTGGAACAGTACTACCTACTGTAAACTTGTCTGAAGCACCACTATAAAAATGAGTCAATTCTATAACTTGATCTATATCACCCAAAGCATTGGAATGGTATGGTTTACCAGCATCTAAACAATCTAAAATAGCCAATTGGACTCTATCTCTTTTTATTAAACTAGCAAGATTTCTAAGAAGATTATTTCTTTCTGTAGGTGAAGTTTGACTCCAAATATGATTAAAACAGGTTCTTGAACTTATTACGGCTCTATCAACATCATTTTTGTTTCCAACATAAAAAGAGGTGATGATTTCTTCTGTTGAAGGGTTGATAGAATTATACTTGTTACCATTAGATGAGGGAACAAAATCATTATCAAGAAACAAACCGATAGGTTGGTGGATATCAGGCAAGCTAGAATGAGTTTGGATCGTTGTATAAAGATTGGTCATCATTCTCTCTGTGCTTCTCCCTTTTTTTATCTTAGCATTTTTTTTTCTATCAAATAATAAACTGTACTATTATACTAGCATCAATCACTTCATAAATGACAAGGAAAATAAAAAATGATAACTATACAGAGACTTTAGTATTTTATGCATTATATATATATACATGTATATGAATCAATAAACAAATTTATTATAACCAACAATAGCCTAACCCTTTTTACACATCCCTAGTCCTCTTTTGTCCTTTTTTTTGACTCCCAATTACTGAATTTATAAGTTGGAAATACTATAAATCTCATTAATTCACATTTTTCTGTACAATCTAACAATGGAACTCATTTTTTAACAAAAAATGTATATTTGATGAAGAGGGGGGGTGTTGTAGGTAAGAGTTTGTCAGTTAGTATATCACTTACACAACTAAAGTCCCTAACCAGTCTATAGCTTTATCTCTATCAATTTGATAGACATACCGTAATGGAAAATCACAACTAATATGAAATTTATAATTTATATGGTATTCCCACACACACATATATATATATTTATATCTATGTTTATGTTTATATAACCATGTATATAAATAAAAATACCCGATAAAATCCCTATCGAGATATATGTTCAATTAGTTTTGTTCAATTTCCATCATACGTTGAGGCTCGATTGAAGTGGCATAATCATTATTGTTTCTGTCCTGTTCATCCTCATCATCATCCTCTACATAATTATTTTCTATTTCATCTAGTTCACTTGCATGAGTATCACCAAGATCTTGTTCTATCATTCCATCATACTCATAATCTAAATCTTGAAGACAACTGGTTTCCGTATAATTCCCTTTATGTTGGTTTAAGCTTGAATAATGGTTCATTCCAGTACTTGAAATAAGTTTACGTATCAGCGTACGCATCGGTGATTCTCTTATTATAGCACCATTAGATTCCTTGTTGACAACAATTTTATTTAATGATGAATCATATATTGGTGGATCAGATGGCAGGTAACCCATGGATATTTCTTCGTTAATACTATGTGGAGATGTACTGTATTCAAATCCAGGAGGTGGAGGCAGTAATTTTCCAGTTGCATCTCTTAACTCCCCATTGTGATATTTATCGGTGTGTATCCTTTCATGTGCATCGTTTAGTAAATAAATATCTTCATTATCATCGTCTTCTCCTGCACTTTCTATTAAAGTATCTTGCTTATATTCCTCATAAGATGGTGGTGGCAGTTTCATTCCAGTGATTCTTGCATACCCCCATTTTTTCACATTCGCTTCAATATATACAAATCCAAAGGTTCCAAAATTGGCATGGATTCTACATGGGATATTCGCACCGATGCACGGATAAAGGTATTTGAATTTCCAACCACGAATATGACCGCCACAATCCTTTTCATTAACTTTTTTACCATTTCTAGTGAAAAATATCGTACCACTCCTTGTTCTATAACCAACACCGATAACATCACCTCTCTCACACTTAGGAAAAATCGATATTAGAGATTCATCTAATGGGAAAGATGTATTTACTCTACGATCACCATTCGAGTCATATGCTATAGAATTGTGATGTCTACCAGGCAATCTAAAATAAGGGTAGGGAGATGAGGCTAAACCAAATGATATTAATCCCTCCACTTGTTTATCCTCTAATTCATCCATGGTATCTCCACTGTTTGATTGCTGGTTATTCCATTCAAATATTTTAAATTCACAATAATAAACTTTGTTAATACATGGGATTGGTAATGTAGTCATGATTGATGCATCATAATTATTATTTAAAAAGATAACTTCAGTTTTATTTTCTACCAAAATAGTATCATTTGGTAAATTTGGATCAGGACGAAACTCCCATGCGGCTGCACCTTCATCTTCAATGTACTGTATTGTTTGTTCATTAATAACTGGATCAAAGACATTATCATTTCTATCAGATGAACCGTCGTTTCTTTCTCTATCATGATCATTCGGATCGTCAATGTTACTTCTTAAATCATAAGTATTATTATTAGCTATTAATAAAGGGGGATTCTCTCTAAGATATTCTTCTCCCTGGTGATAATAGAATTGTTCTTCTGGTGACAATAATACCAATTTAGAAACCACTTTTCCAGGATCATCTAAATAAACAGACCATTTATAAGCTTTCTTATTTTTTTTATATATCCTAGAATCACTAGTCGTTGTACTTGTCATATTCATCTGCGTGAAACATGGATCGTAATTCTCTGTCTCTGTAATGTCTGTATCATTCAGCAAATCGCCCTGACTCTGTTGTTCCATATCGTTTTCGTACAAAGACAAACGATAATTATTTCTATATATTGATAAGACATTCGCTATAGTTCTAATAACCCAGAGGAGAAGATTTGCAATAAAAATAATTAGTATAATAGATCCAATAAAGAATAATATTGAATATACATTAGGGCTTTCATTTTCGTACTGTGGTTGTTCAATCTTATCAAAGGGTAGTCCAGGATAAACTAAATCATTATCCTTGATTATCGAGCCCGATTTTGTGTCCTTATTATTTTGTGCCGGTTCATTGTATTGTATTATATCAACCATAGTTCCATCCACATATACTTCCACTTCTTGGTTAGTAGGAGACGGTAAAGCATTGATATTTTTTGGAAAAATTAATAATACTGTAGAAATTATCAAAAGCCTATTATTCCTTTGAAACATTTTTTATTTCTTTTTTGATTCAACAGTTATTTTATATTATTTTCTATTTAAAGCTTTTATCTTTTATATATTGAATCTGGTCAAGTTTTATGTTTAGAAAGAATATTAATGTGGATAAGAATATGGAAAGAAAAAATAGGTATCGATATCTAAATAAAATTGGTATTATTAGTACTAATAGAAATAGAAATGACGAAAAAATATGAAGGTACAGTAATTTGTGTATAGTAATATATTAACCTTTAACTTATTATAAGTTTCTCCTCTATCTATAAAAATATAAAAATATAATAAAAGTACACAAACGCAAACACAAAAATGAAGATAAAAAATAAAATTTAAAATGTAAAGCAATACCAAATAAACAAATAACTAAAAGTTTGGTTTGGATCGTTGTAGATCTTATATTTTTTACTAATTATTAAGTTTCGATATATATTGTGATCGACTGATCTCAGCTTCGTTATTGTGACGAAATAAATATAAAACGAATCGCAAGTCAGGATTATGTTACCACACTCAATTAAAGCTTTTCTTTCTTCTTTCTATCTTTAATATCCGTTGTTTTTTTTTAGCTGTTAAAAGAAAAAAAACAAAAGTTTCAAATAGTTTTTTTTTCAAAATTCTGAGACTGAGGTAATTCGAACCACGGCCCCTATCGTATTTGATTTGTAGGAGTGAGTGCCTCCCTCTTCAAAATATATTAGCTTCAATTCACATAGAGAGATTATAACATTAATTGCTAGCTGTCTAATAGTGTTGAAACTTTCTAATAAGTCTATTGGTTGTCTAATTTTATGCAATTCGTTAGGCTATGTATTCATGCATTCATATATATGTATATATATATATATATATATAATAATTTCGGTAATATTACGATAAATCAAATCTAGCTCCTGCATTAATTGCGTATAATAACTTTTGTTTCAGAACTGTTTTATCTCCGTAATCTGGTAGTTTTAAAAGATTCACACACGTGGATGCAGTAGGTAATCTGTCTAATTCATATTTACCTCCATTGCGTATCCCAAATTTAGGTTCTAAAGCAGAGAATCCCTTTAATGGTGCTTGAGGCACTGATGTCACAAATCGTAAAAAATCTCTTCTCTCTTTGTCATTAAATTCTTCTAAAACTTCCCAGAAATATTTAATGGTTGAATCATTTTCATCGTATCCACCATATTCAGTATGAGTTCTTAGATCCTCAATATCAACAGGCTTATGACCACCTGATATCAACATTTGAAAATCTACAGTGTTAAACATACCAAACCAATGTTGAGGAATGATGCTACCTAATCCTTCTAAGAATTTATAACTGGCTGGCTTTGCAATTGAAACTAACTTATAATGGGCTAATTTCCAAACATACTGTAAAACATTCTGTTTATTAACTTTCATTTCAGAACCATTAGGAATCAATTCTACTATTTTTTCTGGATAAAACATGTTCATGGTTTCAAAAGTTAAATCTAATTCAGTTAGTTCTTCATCAGACATATCCAGTAATGAAATTAAATTATCATATAGTGTACGATCCAAACTACGTAAATCATCAATGGTTAAGTGATCAACTCCGATTAATAACAACTTCAAGAAAAAATTTGCAAATTTTAAATCCACCAAAATGTGATCATATAAACATTTCCCAACTATTTTCCCTAAAAACAAAATAATTTTCAATGACTCTTGATCAGTGATAGCTTTAGGATATATTTCGTGTAATTCGTTTGTATTAAAAAGTTTATATTTAGAATCATCCTTGAATCCCTCCTCAATCACGGAGGTTAAAAATTCCTTTGTTACACCTCCACCATCGATACCTTCTTCTCTACCAAATTGATTAACAAAAGTTACAGATAACTTCGATTTTAAATCGGAACCATAATTATATGCATCCATAGCATCTTCCAACACATGTTCTCTAGATATAGTAGCTGATCTGCTTCCACCATGCATAGGAAGTCTTGCAGCATCTTGCAATATTTCATTGGTTAATAAATTCATTACATTATCATAACCCATTGCATGTTTATCAGTTTCAATCAAAAAATAAAAATAATCCACACGTTGATTAAATGGGATAAAAAATGGACTTTTTATTAAAATATTCAACTTTCTAAATGGTCTGGACATAATTCCATGGTATTTCTCTTTCAATAATTTCTCTAACACAACATTTCTCTTTTCATAGATATCTGAACTAATACCTATATTCATTTCCTGTTGAAATAACTCTTCATACTGAATTAATATTGGATATATATTAGTATCAATAAATGACTCATCAGTAGCACACCAAAAGCTTTTATTTGTTCTTGAAAAGAAATATCCTCTTGAGTCCCTAAGATATAATTGAGTTAACAAAGATAAATCATCTTTTATATCAAATAATATATTATCAATTGTTTGTGTGGTAGTTTTACCTATCGACACTATTTCATTGGACCTTGAATTCCAGAGAGTGTTAAAAGTAACTTCTTTTAATATTTTGGTTAATAATGTTACCAAAGGCAATGACAAATATGAGCGCGTTGAATTAGAAAGTAAATCTGCATCTGTAGCGAATTGTAAATATAACCTTGTCAAATCTTTTGTAATTCTATATGCAGGTGGCATCGATGTAATATTGCTCTTATTGTGTAGATTTAACTTCATAAGGCTTTCATATAGAAGCATATTAAGAGATTGTTTAGCTAATAAGATCATTAAAATATTATTTCTATTCTCAGAGTATTTGCTAATTTGTAAAAGATTGTCAATAATTGTGAGTGGTAAATCCGGAGCATTGTCTTGTAGAGAAGTACATGATAATATTTTTTCTATAAAACTTTTTTCTAGAGTTAGTGATGAATATTTTAAAAAGCAAAAAGTCGCTTTGTCTAAATGGTTAATAATGTCAAATACCATGAAGTAGAATTCATCAGACACTTTGGATTTCATAGTGACTAAGATATAGCACATATTGTTTAGAAGAAAACTGCCATTGTGAAAATTTTGAAAATTTTTTGGAAATAGTTTATATTTGACAATTGAACAAAATAAATTATAATCAGGTTGAATACTTTCTAAAAAATTTATTAGCCAAGGATCTGAAGCAGATATTTTTTGTAATGATAAAAATTGGCAGAGAGCTTCTGCACTATTTGATGAAAGAGCTCCTTTATTTGCAACATTTTTTAGAAAAGGAATCACCCCATTGTTAATAAATAAATCCATATTCAGAATTTCTAATCGTAAATTAATACCCCTTAATATATTTATTAAGCATGATTCAGTCTGTAAATGGCCTAATATATCAATCAAAGCATTATTGCTATAAGGTTTTTCATATAATTGGCAAGAGTTTTGTATATTGAGCAAAGCATTATTAAGATCTGACTCAGACATCCCAAAAGCAAATAATTTTGACTTAAAAAGTATAATCAATGCTAGTTGTTGTCTTGTATTTAAATTGGCACATGTTGGGCTATATAAAAATCTTTTTAGATCTAATCTTTTTCTTATGAATTTCTGGATGGTTCTGATTGCTTCTTCTTTCTCTCTATTTTCAGCTCTTCTTTTTCTTTCTTGTTCTGCTCTTTGCAAAATATCCTTTTTCGTAGTGGACCTATTTTTAGTTCCTAAATTAATGACTCTTCTTCTTGTTTGACCACCAAAATTCAGCATTGTAATTAAATGCTATGATGTACTGGAAATATGTATAATGTATACAAGGGAACTGTTTTAATTACTATTAAATACTTTAGATTACTCTATTCCAAGTTATCAAATAAGTGAAGCTAGTTAATACTCGCTAACATATAATTAGTGATAGTTTTTGAATTATTTGTAATATTTCCTATTTTAAATATGAACATTTCAGGAGCCTGGTAGTCATTACGTAATATCTAATTCACTCAAAATCAATTTTTTTTTTAGTAGACAATATTTTTCACTCTTTAATTTTTCTAATCTTTTTTATTTTTCTAATAAAAAAAATTCGAAATCTAATATTATTGATACTGAGACGTTGTGTCAATAGGCATTACAATGGAATCTGAGAATCCATGAAGTCAAAAACTATATAATTAAAGAGTTCAAAACAAAATGCTGGCGATAGATATTGTAGTGTATCTTCTTTATAATTGTTCCTGCATATCTTAATCGTTAATTTAGATATTTTGAATAAAATACTTATAGATTATGTAAGTTCATATATATTACATGAAAGGATGAAATATGCTAATAATCAAATGACAGAATTCGACTTTTTACGAATATATTTGTTTTATCTAAAATAATGCATCAGGTAACAAAACTACAAAAAAAAAAAAAAAGAAAAAGAAAAAAAAATATTGGTAACTTTTTATAAGAATAGAATCATTATGCTGAAGATTTTTTCTTTTTTGTAGCTTCAGCCACTAATTCTTCGAAAACTTGAGCTTCTTCTTGTTCTGCCTTAGTTCTGTATGCTCTTTGGAAGACTTTACCTAGTATTTTTAATGCTTCAGCTCTTCTTATTCTAGTATTTAAATCAACAGTTTGATCTTCAAGAACCTTTTTACACGCACCTCTCAAGTTTGACATAATTTCGAATTTAGAACCATGCCATGCTGCAGATAATACTTTACCCATTAATAACTGTTCTTGTCGAGCCATTTCTGCTTCAGTTGGTTTTTCAATTTCTATACCATTTTTGTCAAATATAGGTTCGTTCTTCTCGGTGGCATCTTTCATCTTCTCTAATTCTTGCATTGTGTGTTGTGCATCAAGAGCAGCAGATACAGTTCTTAAGGTATCCATGACTACACCACCCTTAGCTTTCATAGAATGGAAAATTCCTCCCCATCCAAAAAAGTTTTGTGATCCTAGAAATATTCTTGCTTGTTCACAATATACGTCGCCAATTGTATGTAATATATCAAGACCAAATGATTCCATCTTCAATAGATTTGCCTCCTCTTCAAATTTTTTTTCAAACGATAATTTACAGTCATCGTCATAGGAACTTTCGGTTAGGATAGAAAGTCTATCAATTAAAATCTTGCTTAAAGCTTCGATTTGTTTTTCCTTTTCAATAGCTTGTTCTTCTTCAAATTGTTCTAATTTAGTCTTTTTTTTTTTCTTCTCCTTGTCAGTGTCTTGATCCGTATTGTTGCTTTCATGGATGGTTAAATGTTTAATATCACCATCTAATTTTGTTTGATTATGTGACTCATTAGACTGTTGTTGTTCTCGCTTCTTTTTTTCTTCTTCCTCTTTTTCTTTTTCTCTTTGTTTTTCAGCTTCATCCTCATTTGACAATTCTTCACTCTTTTGTAAATTTTTTAGTAATTGTAACTCACCGATGTATGACGCAAAAGCATCACCGCCAAAGATAACATTGAATTGTTCAGCAGCATCTTCAAATCCACCCTTTGGAATGGCTTCTTTCTTCCCAAACTTATCATATTTAGCACGAAGAGTCTCATCACTCAACACTTGATACGCCTCAGATATAGCTTGGAATCTTTTTGTAGCTGTTGGATCATCAGGATTCTTATCAGGATGTTCTTGAATAGATTTTTTTCTGTATGCCTTCTTAATCTCCGCTGCAGTAGCTGTTGGTTGGATGCCCAAAAGATCGTAATACGCAGTGTCAACGACCATATTCGTCTAACTTCGAAAATATAATCAAGATGATAATAATTCTGTGGTCTATTTATTCGTCTGTTTTTAACACACAGTGTGTGAATCCCATAAAAAAGCGCCTGGTATCTAAATATATAATTTATAAAGGTTGAAGTAATTGCTAAAGCAGCACTCCAAAGCACAAAATAGGATACTAGACAGAGGTTAGACAGTTATGGATCGTCAAATTTTATGTATTGGAATGAATGCTGTATACAATTGAGATTAAGCATATGTTTTTTGTTAGGAAAAAAAAAAGCCTGAAGTAAAAGATGAACTGTCTTTTTTCTTTTTTTTTTCTTTATTTCCAGCTTTATTGAAAGAAGCAAGAAAAGAAAATAAAGATATTCTTCAAAAAACTATTTAGGGTTATAAAGCTTTTGCCCTAAATTGGGGAGTTTATTTATTAGGGTTTAAGGTAATTTCTCTAACTTTTACTTCAGAACTACTGAAAGATGAAGGGCTCGACACGAAACAACGAAAATAATACAATTTTTAACAACGATTCCATGTATGGAACAGAATTAGTGAATTTATGATGCATAAACATAACAAGATATATATATATATATGTATGTATATATAGGTACATGTACGTATATGTTTTCTCAATGAAAGCTGTCGAGAGAAGGAAACATTTTCAGGAACTTAAATGTGGTTGTTTGGAATACTGTTTCTATGGAGACTCTTAAACAGTCTTATTTCTAGGACGTATTTCCAAGCAGATGAGTTTTGGCAAACATTAGAACCTGCACATTGGAAAGCGTTTGGTTATGGAACAATTACATGGGAATGGAAAGAGGGATTCCGAAGTTATGCATTCCCCTTTTTATTTGAAATTGTGTATCGCTCTATATTTTTATGGAAATCATTATATAAATTTATAGGGTTAAATATGGATTGTTGGAATGCTATAGAATATAAAGCAGTCTTATATCTACCCAAGATTTTAATGGCCCTTATTGCAGCAATTGGTGAATATTATATGTGCCTCTTTATAACAAACTTTTTATGTCATATAAATTACGAAAAAAAATCTTTTGCAAAGGATCAAACATACAAAGAGAAAGTGACTAAAACTGTTTTAATTTTAACAATGACAAATTTCTTTAATGGATTTTTTATCACTCGAACATTTATAAATTCATTTGAAATGACATTAACTTCCATCTCCCTATATTATTGGAAATGGAATAACATTGGTTTAGAGCAATTCTCCTTTCAAATGTCTTTATTTTTAGCTTTATTCACGTGTTTACAGAGACCAAGTAATGGTATTATATGGATTATTCTTGGTTGTAGTTTACTTTATAATCTTTTAAGAGATAAACAATATTCAATTGTTACGCAACTATTATACTATGTCATGAGAAATTTTATTATTGCTTTAATCTTTAACTGTATTATTGATTATCATTTTTACCATAAGTTGGTATTCCCAATATTTAAATTTATTGAATTTAATTTTACAACACCATTATCACAGTTCTATGGCGTTGCACCTTGGCATTTCCATATATTGCAAAGTTGTCCTATCCTTTTAGGTTACAATATCCCATTTTTCATTATTGGATTTTTTGTTTCAAACAATTGTCAAAAAGAGTCATCATTTTATAAATTATCCCCACATTTCACTATGAAGTTGGCTCTTATAGTTAATTTAATAATATATTCATGTCTACCTCATAAGGAGTTCCGTTTTGTATTTCAAATTCAACCTTTCTTTTTGTTATATGCAACTTTAGGGGTCTTAAGAACAATTAATCATATTCCAAGGTGGATTATTTATTCTGTACCATTAATTTCAACAATTGGATTTATCATAGTCGATTATTGCCATGAGGCTGGATCTATTGAGGTCATAAAATATCTACATAATTTAGATGAAATTGAAAGTCTTGGATTTGTTATGCCATGTCATTCAACCCCAGGTCATTCATATCTTCATAGGGACGATATCAAAGATCTGTGGTCGATATCTTGTGAACCACCTCTAACCCTTTTAAATGCAACAGATGTTTCGATTAGGTTATCAAAGTATATGGATGAAAGTGATCATTTTTATAATGATATTCCAAATTTTTTTAATAAGTATTTTTCAGATACGAAGAATAATAATAACTCAGTTAAATCTAAAGAATTCGATAGAATATGGCCTCAATATTTAGTAGTATTTGAACATTTAAATAGAGAATTTTTGAGCTTATATTTTCAAGAGAATGGAACGTACAAAGAATATAAACGATTTTTCAATACATTATCTCATTGGGATTCTAGAAGGTTAGGAGATATTATTATTTACAAAAAAATAGATATATTATAATACAAATGGAGTCTTATATATTCTGTTTCTCTTTCTTATGAATTGTTCATTATATATCGAGTGATTTCTATGTAAGTAACCATATCTTTTTATTATAACGACTCTATACATATTTTCTAATTTTTGGATATCTCTTATTTCTTTTAATTCTGTATGTGGTTTAAGTCTCTTAAAATAAAATATATTTATTCCCTTCTCTTGTAAATAAAACTAGAAAGAGAAGTAAATCTGGTTCAATCCAATATAAATGTATTTAAATAAAAGGATAAAATAGAACAGAAATAAAGTAGAAGTACGATTCAGAACATATCGATGGATTATTAATGTTAATGTATCACCCAACTGTAATTACTCGTCTGCTTCCTGTAATTTTTAGGAATGGTTATAAAAGATCTGATAATATTATAGGATTAGAAAAGTTCCCGCTGGGAAGGTTTACGTTAAGAGAGGAAACTTACTCTACTGTAGCTGATATTAATAATGGTGGTAACATTAGTGATAGAATTAGGATACTACCAAAAAGTTTGATTTCCACTGCAAACAAATATGTAGAGAAATTGTTGGAACTAGAAGACTCATTATCAAAGGGGCAAGAATTTAGTGTAGAATCTCAACAAGAATTCTCTAAACTTTCTTTAATTAATGGGGTGTTTGAAAATTATAAATCTATGCTTAATGATGTAGAAGAATTGCAGAATTTGATTGAGACAGATATTACTTTGAAAGAGGAAGCCACTGAAGAACTGGATAAAATGATACCGAAATTTAACGATTGTTCCAATAAATTATTGGAACATCTGATTCCATCACATCCTTTTGCTGAAAAGCCGTGTTTACTCGAATTGCACCCAGGGGTGGGTGGTATTGAAGCAATGAATTTCACGCAAGATTTATTTAATATGTATATGGGATATATTAATAAAAAGAAATGGAAGTCCCATGTAATATCAAAACAAAAAAATGAAAGTGGATCAGGTTTAGTTAGTGCCATTCTTAGTGTTGACGAATTGGGATCTTATGATAAATTAAGATATGAAGCTGGAGTACACAGAGTACAAAGGATACCTGATACAGAGACAAAGGGTAGAACCCATACGTCTACAGCTGCAGTTATTGTTTTACCACAAATGGGGGATGAATCCGATAAAGTAATAGATGCATATGAAAGAACTTTCAAACCTGATGAAATTAGAATTGATGTAAAACGAGCAAGTGGTAAAGGAGGGCAGCACGTCAACACAACTGATTCGGCAGTAAGATTAACACATATTCCAACTGGAATTGTTGTGTCTATACAAGATGAAAGGTCACAATTAAAAAACAAAGCAAAAGCATTTACAATTCTCAGAGCGAGATTGGCAGAAAGAGAGAGAAAGGAGAAGGAGGAGAAAGAAAGAGCAGCAAGGAAGGAACAGGTGACAACCACAGATAGGTCAGATAAAATTAGAACATACAATTATCCACAGAATCGAGTCACTGATCATCGTTGCGGTTTCACAGTTCATGATATAGGTGGAGTAGTATCTGGTGAAAAACTACAAGAAATTATCGATGCAGTAAACAAATTTGAGATACAACAGAAATCAAAAGCTCTTTTAGAATGATAGGTGGGGAGGCTCGTCCTTACAAATATCTACCTTATTGATCCATTATCTTTCTTCTCTTTTTCTCCCATCCTATCTATCACATATCCTATCTGTATATAAGCAAATGAATATAGGTGTATATAGAGATAGGTATGCATGTAAATATATTATTCTCAATATTATACTTGACTACTGCTTGTGGAATGATTATCTCCTTCCTTTTCTTTAAATTTCTAGCAAAGGGCACTAACAAAAATTAGCAATATTTGCAAAGAAACAAAAAAGTGATAAAGACATTCTACTAAAAAAATTGTTAAATATTACGATGGCAGTTATACATAGCATGTTCGCAAACTTTGAACAACTCATAAAGTTACATATGATGTCTCTGCACGCATCAATCTCTTATTTAAATATTCTATTACCTGGATATTGAAGTCTATGTATTTCTTCAAGTATTAATAGATGGTAATGAACTCCAAGAAATGACTGCAAGAGATCAGAATGTATGGTTTCATTATAGATCATCATTAAAGATTGGCGAACTAGAGAGATTCATAATTAAATATGATTTGTATGAAGGTGCTGTAATTCCTGAGGATTTAACATTGGATTCCTTATGGTTAAGGATCAAAAACATTGAACAACTTTCGTATAGAGCAGGTTATCTTATGGGTCCGTATTTTATATATACAGATTTAAGGACAGAAAATTATCATCATTCACAAAGGATTATCTATTCAGCTGATCAGCCAAAATTTGAACCTAATTTACAACCTCAACAACAGAGTATAGTGGAATTACCTGTTCATAGAATTCAGAAGCGGTATGTTTGGATTGTAGATGTTATAAGTCAAATTCTTTTTTCTACAACCACAAAAGTTACCTTTGAGTTGTCCATTGGTACAACTAGAGGTTCAATTGATTCTAAAAATATTGATTTTCTTCCAAGTCTGGCTACATATTCAGATAAACTACAAGTAACTAGATTAACAACATTAGATATATGGAAATTGTCTTCACAATTGTCCTTGAAATGCGACAGAGATAAACCTAAACATTTGATTATTTTAACACATGGATTGCATTCAAATGTGACCACTGATATGGTTTATATACAAGAACAAATTTACAATCAACAAAAAAATTACCCAAATGAGAATTTAGTGGTAGAGGGGTTTCCTGATAACGTTTGCCAAACAGAGAAGGGTATAAAATATCTTGGAACAAGAGTTGCCGAGTATATTGTATCCAATTTATATGATAAAAGTATAAAAAAAATATCTTTTATTGGTCATTCCCTCGGTGGTCTTGTCCAGACTTTTGCAATAGCGTATATTGCTGTTAAATATCCATGGTTCTTTGAGAATGTGGAACCAGTAAATTTTATTGCTATGGCATCTCCTTTGTTGGGTATTGTAACGGACAATCCAGCCTATATAAAGATGCTACTTTCATTTGGTGTTATTGGTAAGACAGGACAAGATTTAGGATTAGATAAATGTCCCAAAGATGATAATGCACTATTATATTTATTGTCTGGGGAACCTGTCAGAGCTATTTTATCAAAATTTAAAAGGAGAACTCTGTATGCTAATGTGGTGAATGATGGTATCGTACCTTTGTATACAGCGTCATTACTATTTTTAGATTATGATGAGATCTTAAATTCATTAAATGAAAAATGTGTGGATAAGACAGTTGATAGTGAAAATATCACTATTTCAGATAATACAAGATTTTTCCAAAAAAATTTTATTAATCCGTTAAATAAAATTATGGGTGTTTGGGCACCACAAATGTCTTCTGATGGAAAAAGGAATAAGGATTCTAAACTACCTAAAGTTTCAATATTAGAATCTGCGACATCAATTTTACTTCCACCCCTACCAGATAAAGCATATATCATGGATCCAAATTCTCGTGAATTATGTATTATTCATGATAAAATTTATACAGAAGATGATATTCCACCAGTAAAAGACATAGAAGAAAGTATATATAATAGTAGTAATATCTTATTACAACCATTCACAATTGATAAAAGACAAAAAGAAAAATATCAGAAATTAGAAGAGACAATTGCAAGGCGATGGCATAAAGGTCTTTCATGGAGAAAAGTGATTGTTAAGTTGAAACCGGATGCTCATAATAATATTGTTACAAGAAGAAGATTTGTTAACGCATATGGGTGGCCGGTTATTGATCACATGATTGATAATCATTTTAAAGGAGATATTTCTGAAAATAGTATAAAGTTTGATAGTTATATGGAAGATTATAGAAAGATTAAAGATGAAGACATTCCTATGAAATATCAATGGATAGTCAGAAAGGAGGAGGAAAGTATTTTTGATGTTGGTCCTACTGGAATGATTTCAACAATGGCCGAAATGTTAGATAATTTCACCCAAAAACAATTGATAAAAAAAACCAATATGCATACTGATTTAAAAGAAGAAATAAAAAAATATGAAGAGATGAATAACACTTTGTTACATTGACAAATGTTGAAAGACAGTATATAAGGAAGTAACTGCATAAAAGCGTCAATGAAGCAGTTAAAATATATTTATATATGTCTGTATTTATAACTGGATAGATAGATTAATATGTTTATACATATGTATGTAAGGAATGGCTATTAGTACTCAGGATGTCTCTTTCATATAATATTACCGTATGCAATTCTAAATAATGCATCTTGGATATCACTGTCTGTTAGTTGCATGATATGAAGCCTTTTTCTAAGTTGATTAAAATCACCTTTTTTAATGTACGAAGAGTTAGTGAATTCAACATATTCATCATTATACTTTAGATCAATAATGGACATTATTTCAGAAAAAAAGACCTCTTGTTTGTTTTGGAAATCACATAAAAGATTTAAAGTCTCTTTAACAGATCTGAAATCTATTTTTAATTGGTAGAGCCCCATTCTGTTAAATTTATTTAATTTTAGTATTGATTCAATAAAATAATTTATCATAATATTTAATAGTTCATTCTTAATATTGAATAAAATAGCAGGAGGGATATCTGAATTTTCCAATTTTGTTATAATTTGTCTTAACATATTCACTGTGTTTGTTATTTCAGGTCTTATAGCCTCCTCAGTTAATTCATTCAATGTCCATATGCCAATTTTGAAGTAAGTTTGTAACGAATCTTTCAACAATTTTTGGGTTCTGTGAATAACAGCTTTTGGTAAATCCATTAACATATTCTCTCTATAATTTGATAAAATATCCTGAAATACGGAGATGTATTCCTTTGATTCTGTTTCGTTTATAGTTTGAGTCAGTTTAATGAATATACTTTGATTGGATAACTCATTCAATTGATTGTAAACAATATTGAATAATTCCAATTTACTGATAGTTTGGTACAATTCTTCTTCTTTTGAATATTTATCAGGCAATGAATTAGTAGTTAAAATATAGTCCATATATCTGGAAGATAAATCTAAATATATTTCTGAACATGTTTTCAATTTATATTTTAAAAGCGGTTCAAAATCCAGCTCATAAAAAGGTTTAAAATAATCGTATACTTTATCTAAAAGTTTAATAAAATTGTATCCTGATTTGATCAAATCCTTTGGGTTCTCGGTGATTACATGATATTGATTAATTATAGTTTTAATTTCATAATTTATCCAAATATCCCAAAATTTATCTGAGATAAGGGATACTAAACCATTACCATGATAATGGAAAGTTTTGATTAAATTTTTATCAGTGTAAATAATTTGAGAGATTAATGTGATTAGTGAGTTTAAATTATTATTTGATAAAGTATTATTAATTCTATCTCTCATAGGTTGTAATATATGATTGATAAATTCTTTGTGTAATAATTCTTTTGTCAAACCAACATCATTGTCTTGAAAAAGAGTGATGCATTTATTAAGATTAGCATTTAAGTAATCATTTAAAAATCTGAAATAAACAGCAATATCTTTTGAGTTAGAATTATGGAAATGATAGGTGAATCTGATTTGGAAATTTGTTGCTAAAGATTTAAAAGTCCAGAATTGTCGATTTTCTTTTTGCAAGTATAATAAATCCAGTTTATAAAGATTTGAAGATCTGGAGCGTAAATTATTTAAAGAAGTGTTATCAGACAATAAAAACTTGTTTGTATCCCATTTAGAGTTGAGTAACAGTTGGTTCAAACATTCATATTGTCTTTCGCAAAACGGACTCAAGAGTAATTGATCAAATTTATTAAAAATAGCTTTTATCACAGGTTCATTTTCTGTAATATGTCCCTCAGATAATATGTTCTTTATATTGTTATGGATACCAGATAAGTTTTCGTAAGATGTCTTTCCTAAGTCAGAAGCAATAATTTCATCGATATCATTTTCCACTTGTTTTAATTCTTTGATATTTGATTCATAAGCTAACTTTTCTATCAATTTGCTTTCAATTATATCTAATATTTGTAATTCCCCATACTTTTGTTTAAGGTGATCGACATCAGATAGTTGATGAATATTTTCAATCAGATCATCTGCGATAGATTTAAAGTTTGGAGTTTGTTTTGAAAGTATTTGTATAAGTTTCTCATTGTTTGTTAATTTGCTAGATAATTGCTTTCGTTGATTGTTAATTGATTCAATATTCTTGTCAATATCAAATATGTCTTGAATATCATTCATTATAACCATAAATAAGTATAGATATTTATACTTGTATGTAGAAAACCAGTAATAAGAGAGATGGGTGAACCGGTTGCACACTCAAAAAGCGATCTTATCTAGTAAAAGTATCCACGAATAAATTTTAATTATATATATATGATGACTTAAACTAAACTGTCAACCTTTCTCTAAGTAATATAATGATATCTTTCCTATTAGTGGTACTAGTATTATTAGTATCTATTTCTTTTCTTCTTATACACTTTTTGTTATTATCATAACAAAAATTGAAGGAGGCATACTACGGAAATGTGCGGAATTTACGTTAAAATTTACGTTAAAATTTACGCTGGAATTTTTAAGTATTTTGTGGAGCCTCATTATTTCCGAGCGGAACGAAAAACGATGATAGGGATGGAAAAGTAGGGCGGGGTTCAAATGGCCAAGGTTACCTTTTCTCTGTGTCTTTCTTTCTTTCTCTGAAGATAACACTTGAAAATTCAACATTATTCTAATTAGTAGCTGTATTGAGTTTCATTATAGCATGTAAATAACATTGTTGATGCAATGTTATGATTGCTGTTTTCTAAAAATAATAATAATAATAAAATCAATAATATAATTAATGTTAATAGTCGAAAAATCTTGACACATTTAGTGAAATTTTGGTAAATGCATACTAGTTTTATTTTGTCATTGTGAAGAATGGTCAACTGTAATAAAATTCAAAAAATAAAGGCAAAAATGAAAATGAAAATTTAACATTTATAAGGAAATGTGCCTAACATGCTACTAAACTTGGTGATAGTGAGTATATGGTAGAGCGATTGATGTTGTATCATTAATAAAATTCTTTGATATTTTTTTCTTATATTTAGAACATTTATAATCACGAAATGCAATTGTTTAATATGTTCAGAAAGGGACTGAAAAATTTTGTTTCCTTAACTTCTTTTCCTTAACCTGATCTATAGTTTTACACTTCAGGACAAATAAACTATTCTCATTAATCTCTTTATTCGTATTTTTTGCTTCAGCTTAAGTAGTAATTTAATTGTTAGATGTTGTCTGAGGATATAGAATATATAATTGGGTTACTTTATTCATATATTTATAATCTGGGTAAAGAAGTAGTATAATATTATTTTATATGTTTTATATATTTTTTATATTTTTTACTTGCATTTTATTTTTTCTTTCTTCATAAGATGTTTATTTTTCGGAGGTGGGACAATCAAGGATCTATATTGTTGATAATAGTTTTTACAACAATTCATAATAATTGTTATTCAAGCTTTCAAAGTTATACAAAACAATCAATGTTGACTATGCTATAAAATAATTTTGAAATCTACTAATCTAGGTGTTGCAGTTTTTTATACTGAAAATAAATAAATAAATAAATAAATAATAAATCTTGCAAGTATGTTACAAAGAGATAAGTAAATAATATTAGAATTTTCAAGATGCAAAGAGTACATATATAAAAAATTGTAAGATAAAATTATCAAATAACTGAAATTCATCTCAACATAAAGGGTTTTATTGTGCTTTAGCCAGTTTTCATAGAAACTATAATAGAAAGAAAACTAAACAAAAAGAAAAAAAAATTGTAAAAACCTTTAATAATGCTATTAGATATTCACTAATATTTTATCTTCTATAAACAAAGAGTAGTATATCTCTCTCTAGAGTCTTGAATATTCTATTATGAATCATATTAGTAACTATTATTAAACTATATTATGATAGAATTCATACCTCCCTTTTACTCATAGTCTTCTTTCCAGGGAGGATAACCAAATTGAAAAAAAATGCTTAAAAAAAAATAGAGCATTATGATATCTTCACCTAAGTTGAAAAAAACTAAGTATGTTTATTTATCTATAGATTTTCTTTTCATGATAAAAGTTCTATAATTATTTATTGTTTTCTATTTTATAATTATGAGTTGAAAATATCTGTCTATATTAAAGATGGTTACTGTCCATATAAAAAAAGAACGAAAAAGTGATGTTTTCAATAAAAAATTTTAAACTAACAACTATTATAACATTTAAACAGTTAAATATGTAAATACTTATTTATAACTTATATAATTTACATCCATCAAATATAAACACTTCTATTTTATATATATATATATATATATTATTTTTTTTTTTTTAAATCATAAGAGTTTTCTTTAAAAAAAAAAAAAAAACAAACAAACCACTATTTTGATATTATTATATAACTATATATATACATACACACACCCATATATATATATATATATATATATATTAATTTTTTAAAATATGAAATTAGAAAATTAGATGATCATATCTTAGAAATCAGCATCGAAATTGAAAGCACCTGCTTCAGTCTTTTCAGCAGCAGCCATAACACCAGCCTTTTGGTAATCAGAGACTCTCTTTTCGAAGAAATTAGTTTTACCAGCCAAGGAGATGTTTTCCATGAAATCGAATGGGTTTTCAACATTATAGAATTTCTTGTTACCGAAGGCGACTAATAATCTATCAGCGACGAATTCAACATATTGGTTCATTAAGTCTGCATTCATACCTAATAAAGCGACAGGTAAAGCATCGATAAAGTATCTCTTTTCGATTTCCACAGCTTGAGTAATGATTTTTTCGACAACTTCTGGATCTGGCTTATGTTTCAAATGGGCGAATAATAGACAAGCAAAATCAGTGTGTAAACCTTCATCTCTACAAATCAATTCATTGGAGAAAGTCAAACCTGGCATTAAACCTCTCTTTTTCAACCAGAAAATTGAAGCGAAAGAACCTGAAAAGAAGACACCCTCAATAGCGGCGAAAGCAACCAATCTTTCAGCAAATGGTGCTTCTTCATTTTGGATCCATCTTAGAGCCCATTCGGCCTTTTCTTTAATTTGTGGAATAGTTTCAATAGCATTGAACAAAAATTCAGATTCCTTTGGATCTTTAATGTAGGTGTCAATCAAAAGAGAGTAAGTTTCGGAATGGATATTTTCGATCATAATTTGAAAGCCGTAGAAAGCTTTAGCTTCTGGGATAGCTACTTCAGCAGAGAAGTTTTCAACTAGATTTTCGTTAACAATACCGTCAGAGGCAGCGAAAAATGCTAAAACACGAGAGATGAAGAACTTTTCGTTTGGATTCATTCTGTTGTTCCAGTCATGAAGATCCTTACCTAAATCGATTTCTTCAGCGGTCCAGAAGGAAGCTTCAGCTCTTTTGTAGGCTTGCCAGATTTCGTTATATTTAATTGGAAAGACGGTATGACGGTTTTTGTCACCAACCAAGATTGGTTCTTCCTTTTCAGTTTCTTTTAAAGCATGACGTTGGATTCTGTGAGAGTGTAAGTATTTTTTGTGTTCTCTAGCTGCTTCACTCAATCTGTCATGAACAGCTTGGACTTCAGCATCATTAGCAGGTCTAGAAATAGCAGTATTAGACATTTTGTATTATTATTATTGTTATTAGATAGATTGGGAAGCAAGAATTCAATATTCAAATAATGAACGATAATGCTTTGGTTGTTTGGTCAGAGCTTAAAGAAAAAAAAAGGAATTAGTATGATCAAGAAAAAAAAAACCAGAGCAGAGATCAAGAACCAATATGACAATCTTTCATTTATATATAATTTTATTTTCGTATAACAGCTTTTATAACACTATCAGATGCCCAAAGATGGGGAGATACAATAAATACAAAAAAATAGGGAAAAAAAAAGGAGAACGAAAAGAGAAATAGGGAAAAAAACAAAACACACACACACAAAAAAAATGAAAGAAAAAAAAAAAAAAGAAAAAAAAAGAGAAAGAAAAAAAAAAGAGAAAGAAAAAAAAAAGAAACAAGGTTTACAGAAATAGGAAAAACACCTATTATTTTAAATATGATGTCTTTTTTTTTTTTTTTCTTTATTGTAAGTGAAGTTATTCTTCTAGAACAAAGCAACAATTATTAGGGATTCCAATAAATAGGGAAAAGAAAAAAAAAGAAAAGATATAGATGACAATAACAAAAATATTAAAAAAAAAAAATGAGGCAAAAAAAATAATAAAACTCATTTAAAAAAAAAAAATCTGATTTTGGAAATTGTTATGGCAACAAGCAACGGTAACCATGATAAAAATAATAAATAACTAAATAATGTACACACAATCACGACACCAACGTTTCTTTGTTAAAGAACAACCTCACGTCCGTTTTTTTTATTTTTTTTTTTATTTTTTTTTTTATTTTTTTTTATTTTTCTTTTCTTTTTGTGTGTGTGTGTGTGTGCTTTTTTCCTTTTTTCCTCTCCCTTCTAATCTCCAATTTCGATAAAAATCCTATTATCGTTTCTTTTTATTATGCCTTCTTCTGTATTACTAGTCAAAACACCCATACATTAGTTCTGTTGCCATAGCAATGGGAGGAGGCGGAGGAAAAAACAAAACTATTTTTCTAAAACTTTCAACGCTTCTCTTAATGTTTCCACTAAAATAGAATAATAGAATAATATAACGTTTCGTTTAAAAACCAAAAAAATTACTTATTTTTTTGTTTCCGATCCTCCCCTTTTCTTCTCTTCTCTTCTCTTTTCTTTTTTTTTTTATTTTATTTTATTTTTGTTTTTTCTTCTTAAAAAAAAAATGGAATATCATTTAATAACTTGCTGTTAATTTCATAGGCATAACAAACTTAACTGTTGAAGAACGGCTAAACAAAACACATATTATCGATGTCTATAAGAAAAAAAAAACAAACAAACAGCTAATAAAGGATAAAATAAAAAGAAAAGAAATGTTGTTATTGTACTAATAAAGTGACAAATTCCAACGTTTCTCTTTTCTTTTCTTCTTTTATTTTTATCAATCTGATGTTATATCTGTTGTATTACCACGTATTAACCTGTGGGGGGAGAGAGGAAGTGATGATGCATTGCTTCTTTTTATTTAATATCTTCCTTCTTAAATCTGTTTTCTTTCCTCCAGTAACACATACATACATATATACATACATATATATATATACAACAATATGTGATAACATTAAAAATAATAAAATGCTTTAAGTATTTGATAATATATAAGTCATACACTTACAATCTTACCAACAAGACAGTGAAAACTCTTTTTTGCTTTAAATGCTTAATCCTTCACTCTCTGAGAATGGTTATCTTTTTAGTTCTTTCTTTCTTTCTTCTCTTTTTCTTTACCGAATTAATTTAATTTATTATTAGTTAAAATTATGAATAACTATAATCTCCATATATGTATTTTTGTATTCATATCATCAAATTAATAAAGCATTATCGACATGCTATGTCATACAGATTGTATCCATTTATATCACCAGTGAATTAAAAGGGAAAAACAAAAGTAAAAATCTTAGTTTTCTTACGTATATCAAGCGGATTTTTTTTCTTTTCTAAAAAAAAAAAATAAAACCCTAGCCCATATCTTTTTTATTTATCCGCTCAAAAATATCTAAATTGAAAAAAAAAAAAAATAAGAAAAGAAAATAAAGTATATTTTTAGTAATCGGATCAGAATCTTTTCTCTTTTGACTTCCCTCTTTTTTTTTTTTTTTTTTTTTCTCTCTTATTTTCGAATTACTCTAACCCTACATATATTACTCAACTAATCCGGAAAAAATAAACATCAGAAAAAAATAAACCTATATTTGGTTCATCTAGGAAAACGGAAAAAGTTGGTTATATCAATAAAGCACGTGAATATATCAAACTAAGAACGATGTGAGTCATCATGACATGTGTATAAATATTATATATATATGTATGTAGATATAGAAAAAAAAAGAAAACAGTTAGGATAAGCAAGAAAAACAACGTAAATCTTAACGATGGGTACAGCTTGTGTGTTAATCTTTCTTGTAAATAATATTCAGTGTATTAAATAACAATCAAGTAAGGACAAAGGTTTTCTATATCAATGGGTTAAATAGATAAATAAAGTACATAAAAAAAATAATAAAAGAAAGAAGGAAAGAAAGGAAATAAAATGAGTATAGATGCACCATCTAAGATCAATTTCTTCAAGGGACACCCATCGAATAGGCTCCTACCGAACAATGAAGTCATTGAAGCCACAAAACAACTATTAACACCAGAGAAAAGGCCGTACGATTCACAAACTGAGAATAGACATCCGTTGACATATGGATCGGATGAAGGGGCACTTTGGGTCAGAGAACAAATCTGTGAATTTAATAACAAGGAAGTATTCCATATAGATAACTCAAATTCTTCTATATTATCTAAACCAGAATTTCTCAATCTAACTTCTGGCTCTTCGTACGGTATATTAAACATTTTATTACAAACTACTTTGGCACATACTGGATATACTAGGCAAGCATTCATCATCACACCTACATATTTTTTGATCAATGATTGTTTTATCGATGCTGGTTTCGGTGATCATAAATTGACTGCTATTGATGAATATCCAGAGACCAATTCTATCGATTTTGACCTATTGCAAAAAAAATTAGACTATTTCGAATCTTTATCATTAATTGATGGTTGTGATTACAATGATATCAGTAATAATATTAGCATTAGTAATAACACTAATTGCATTGTAAACCCTGAAAAAAATTTGAATCAAACAAAAAAAATTTATAGATATGTTATGTATTGTGTACCGACTTTCGCTAATCCAAGTGGGATGACATTTTCCACTAAATGCAAATTAAGATTAATTGAACTGGCAAGAAAATACGATATGTTGATAATTTCAGATGATGTATATGATATTCTAAATTACGATCCCAACACACCTACACCTAAAAGACTCGTTCATTTAGATAGAGAAAGTAATACTGACCCAGCAAGTTATGGTAACACTATATCGAATTCTACCTTTTCTAAAATCATTGCTCCTGGATTAAGATTTGGATACCAGGAGTCAATCAATAGTAACTTGGTTAGACAACTTTCCAAAGGTGGTGCTAATATATCAGGAGGTACCCCTTCCCAATTAAATTCAATGATTGTTGGAACATTATTACAAAATGGTGAAGCGAAAAGGATAATTAATCGCTTAATATCCGTTTATTCACAAAGAGGCAAGACACTTTCAAATGCAATTAAGAAATACCTACCTAAAGGTACTATCCATAAACCCATAAAGGGTGGATATTTTGTATGGATCACATTACCAAAAGGTTATAATTCTATAGAAATAGAAAATTTATTAAGATCGACGTATCAGATAATCATGGCTAATGGATCTAATTTTGAAGTAGTGACAGATAAAAGGAACTGGGGTACTAGATCTGTCAGATTATCGATAAGTTTCTTGGAAGAACAAGAGATTGAAGAAGGCGTAAGACTGTGGGGTGAAATATGCAAAAGGTATGCAGAAAAACATGGATTAAAATTCTAACACATCTTTCCTTGTGTAAATATTTAAATGATATTAATCAATTTTTCTTTCTTTATGATATGGTAAATATCTTTTTTATATGCTGAAAAAGATCACTAGCGCACTGTTTAGTTAAAGTTAGTATCATGTACATAATGAAGCATCGTGCGATTTATATAAAAATTCTTACTCTTCTCCTCCTCTTTGGTTTTATTCAGCTTTCTTTTTTTTTTTTTTTTTTTTTTTCGACAATTATTCTCTCTTTGGATGAATCATATTGATTTTTTATTTTTCTTCAATCTTTTCAAAAAAAATATTTCAATTAAACAGTCTCTCTCGCTCGATAGATATAATTTTATACCCTGCTAGATTTTAGTCGTTTTACAGTTGTCCTTACTTCATTTATACCTGTAATATTGGATACTTCAGTAAGTTGCTGTATATTAGGATTACAGGGGTAAATACTGTATTACTATTTACTTTTTTCTTTACCTAAGGATTCTATTTATAGGTTTATTATCTATTTTCTTTCTTAAATAAACCATCAACAGCACTAAGCAATACATCATGGTAGATAACAATGAAGAATCATATTCAATGTATCCAAATACTCCATCATCTCCACCTCCACCTCACGCAAATATGAGATTTCCCGTGTATCAACCACCCACTCCAATGTATGTCAGTTATCCACAAGGACCTTACATGTATGCTGCTGCACCAAATCCAAACTATCACTTTAAAATGATGAATCAAAGTCAGGGTATGATCTACCAAGGTGCACCACAACAGAATAATAATATTACAAGTATAAGTGGTAATAATGGGATCAACAATTCAGGATCTAAGAAAAAATGGAATAATAATAGCAACAACCTGATAAATGGTAGCAGTAATATCAATATGGTAGGTAATAATATGTATCAAACTAAGAGCAATAATTATTACCAGGCTCAACATTATTATAACAGTAATGCCAACAACAATCAACCTCTAATTAATAATAAATCTAATTCATCAACTGCTTTATATGACCCTTTTAAATTTGATGTCTCTAAATCAAACTATAGTAGGAATATTGATTTAACTACAGATTTACCACTTTTTTTTAATACAACACCAGAAGAATTTTCTGAAGCAAGAAATAGAAAATATGAACTAAAATTAAAGTCTATTGAACAGAAACAAAATATCTCAGTATTAAAGGCAAAAGAAAAGAAAAAGATCACTGATGTGGGGAAAGCTGTAGAAGCAATAACTAAGCCATCAAAAAGTTCCAATGAGGTTACTGAATTAGTAATAAAAACTGATGTTAATAGTAATGTTAAGGCGAAATTATCAAATGAAAAACAAGAAGAAAGAAGTAGGAAAGTTGAAGTTGTTAAAGAAAACGTGTCTTCTGATATTCAATCTAAGATGGAAAATATTTCAAAGAAAGATGAAAAACCAGTTGTATTAACCAAGACTATGAAATCTGAAGAATCTACCAAGAATAAGAATGATAATCATAAAGATAAAGCTAAGGACACTCCAACATTAACAGAAACGATCATACATAAACCAGTTAAACAAATAGAAACCACTACCACGAAAGTTATGGAAGTTTCAACTGCAAAGCCAACTCCTGTGGGGACACCAAAGCCTGCTGTAAAATCATGGTCAGCTATTGCCTCGTCAGCAGCCGTAAAGAGTAAGTCAATTACGACCAAGCATATTTCATCTGTTTCTTCATCTGCAACTGTATCGACGCCCATTTCTGCATCTCCTTCTTCTAGTGTTATTACTGTCTCCTCTAAACAACCACAAAGGAAAGACAAGAATTATATTCCTCCATCTACAAAGGGATCTGAACCGTTAGGTTCCCTTGCTTTACGTGTCTGTTTTGATCCAGACTTTGTTAATTATACATTGACAAATAAAAAGAATGGTGAGAATAAATTACCAGTTAACTCAATTATTCCAAGAGGTATTATTAATAATGCTAATATATGTTTTATGAGTTCGGTTTTACAAGTATTATTATACTGTAAACCGTTTATTGACATTTTAAATGTTGTGTCCACTAGAAACATAAATTCCCGTGTAGGTGAAATCTCTTGTGAATTATTAGATGCTTGTATTTCTTTCTACACCCAATTTGATCGTGAATATTATGAGGCGGAGAAGAAAAATGCCATTAATGAAAAATATGCCCATGAATCAAAGAAAGAAAAAAAGATCGGTATTTCAAAACAATATGAAAGAGAAGAGTTTGCTTCAGTTGTCAATTCAGTTAAACCTGATCAATTTTACCAGGTTCTATCAAAGATTCCAAAATTTAAAGATCTACAATGGGGTCATCAAGAAGATGCAGAGGAATTCTTAACACATTTATTAGATCAATTACATGAAGAATTCATCTCATGCATTGATTGTCTAACAGAAAATGAGATTCAGAATCTATTACAAAGTATTAAAGATGAGCCACTTAAGATATTTTTTATTAGAAATTTACAACGTTACAAAAAAGCTACATTTATTCAAAACGCCTCATCTCAGTTCAAAGATTTGTTACACAAATATGGTGTGATCAGTGATGATGATTCAAAAGATAACGATGATGATGATGATGGCTGGCATGAAGTAAGCTCTTCAAGTAAAAAGGGTAAGAAGACTAAAACTGCTGCTAAAAGAACTGTTGAAGTTACTCCATCGCCAATATCTGAATTATTTGGTGGACAATTTAGATCTGTATTAGATATTCCAAATAATAAAGAATCTCAGTCTATTACATTGGATCCTTTCCAAACCATTCAATTGGACATCTCTGATAATGATGTGAGTGATTTAGAATCAGCATTTAAGAAATTTAGCGAATTTGAATTACTACCATTTAAATCATCTAAAGGCATAGATGTTGAGGCTAAAAAGCAAACATTCATAGACAAATTGCCCCAGGTCTTATTAATACAATTGAAGAGATTTGCCTTTGTTAGCACCTCTGAGGAAGACAAAAATATGGCTAACTATAATAGTTACAATGGACGTATTGAAAAAATTAGAAAGAAAGTTAATTATCCACATCATTTAACAATTCCAAAGGAGACTGTATCTTCCCAGTTTTTGAAATTTAATGAAAGTAATAGACAATATGAATTATCTGGTGTTATCTATCATCATGGCGTTAGTCCAGATGGTGGACATTATACAGCAGACATATATCATAAGGAAGCGGATAAGTGGTACAGAATTGATGACATCAATATTACACCATTGAAACCTGAAGACGTCTTAGAGGCTGTTGAAGAAGGTACCAGTTCAAGAACTGCATATATTTTGATGTATCAAAAGGTTTAATTTTATTTTTGATATTTTTTTCTTTAACTGAAATGTTAATAGCTTCTAAAACATGTAAACTGTGTGAAGACAATAAAAAGCTTTAAATTAATGCTGTAACAAAAATGAGATTTATGTACTTTTTTTCTGTTATGAAAATGTTATTTAATGTTTGAGAGAATGTATATAGCATAATTGTTAAATATGTATCAATTCAATAAATATGTGTTATAGTATCATTTTTTTTCCTGTTATTTAACTGGCAAATCATGCAGAATAATCTAATAATATGCAGTAGCTAAAGACAAGATAAAAAAAATATAAGCTCATTTTAGACTTTTAACATAATGAAACGATTACTTCTCTGGAGTTATTAGTTTTTGTAAAGAGCTCCAACTAGAAATTCTGAAATACGTAGTCTGCAAGCAACGCCTAATGTCGAGGCAAACAAAATGGAACAACCGAAACTCTGGGCCCAAGGTTGTGAGTGTATTTGAACGAACAAACGATCATTGAATAGACATTAGTGGCAAATTACTAAGAAACTTATTTAAGAAACCTTTCATTATCAACAGATGGTATCAGGGGTAATTATCAGCATTACATTCACATTTTATTTCCTAAGTTCCACCTAAGGGAATAACAACAACATTAACAAAATAATAACAAGAATATCGACAATAATTAGGACAAATCTATTTAATAATTAGGATAAATCAATTATATAATTTGCAAGTGTTTATATATATAATTAATATCTCTATTTTAGTATACTACTTCAGATAACCACTTAAATATATAAAATTGAGTAATTGATTGCGTTTCAGAAACGTATAAAAAGACAATACTTTTAGAAGATAAGCTGTCTTACGTAACTCCTCTCTTATATGTAATTTTTATAATATATATAAAACAATCAAAAAAGATCAAGCAGGAAAAACTAAAACAAATATTAGATCGATATAGCGAAATACAATAATCATTTAATATATTAGCTATTAAAACCATATAGTAATTATTTGATTGTTTGCAACAATTACTGTTATCGAAGTAATATCCTTCAGATGTTAACTGTATTTTCCAATTAAATCACAAAGTAAATTATTATTTATATTTTTTTATTGTGAAATGAGGTTTAGAAATCCGATAATTTAACAGATGGACTAAAACGGACAGATGAACTGACGGACAATTAATTAAATACTATCTAACAGATAGATGATACTAATGGATAATATAGAGACGATATATTAATACAATATTTGTTATTTATTTATTGCTTGGTTGCTTCCTTTTATTATATACATTACACAAATGAATATTTACGAACTACAGTCTATCTTCTGATAATGTCATCCTTTTATATGTTTCTGGAACTCTATCAATCAACCAACTTGGTACATTATGAATCAATTCATACATTATATTTAATAACTGAACTAGCTCGATGAAGTCTCATGAACTTCTCAAGCAATATAATGTGTGGCAAACAGTCGCACTTTATTTGTTTGTCTATTATATTTACTATAGTTACTTTTTTATGTTTTTCTTTTATTCTTCCTAAGTTGATTTTAACTTATTTGGGAAACACAATTTCTTTTCTAAAATTTTATTTTTCATTTTATTTCAAAACCTTAATTATCATTCATTAATGTCACTATAATTACGTCTGATCTGCAACATTCTTCTGTTATGCTATGAAGTGGTCAATAGTTTGGTATTATTCAGGAAGTGCGAGGAATATCTAACAGATAATCTATTAATAATCGAGACAATAATTAATACAATCGGTAATGCAATTATTAATACGGTCTTATATATTAATGACTATATCGAGCTTATATATTTATTCTTATCGTTGTCGCTTTGCTTGTCGTTTTGCTTGCTTCTGTTATCTTGTTATTCTCTTTTATTTCCCAGATATATATTATGTATAAAAGAGGAGTTATGGAAGCTAGTTTTCATCTTCAGGAAATGTTGATCTTTTGTATGTTTTCTAGAACTCAATCAACTATTCAACTTGACATATTAATGGATTAGTAATCTGTATCTTTATTATTAGTTACAATAATATATTTGAACCTCCTGGAATATTTAAAATAATAGGTTATGGTGGTACAGTGATAGAGGTATATAAACACACTATACAAAAATAGGTGATAAATGAACACGTTGTAGGTAATTTTAGATTCAACACGGAATCTTATATAATTTTAATGGTGTCAACTAATTTATTATTGAAGGATTCTATTGTGGAATAGAATAGTTATAACCATCAAGATTACATAAGATCCGGAATGAATCTAGAACTATTTATTGTCTTAATAAGCCATACACGTGCTACAACATTAGATGCTGCATAATAAAGAGATTGGATTACATAAGATTTTAACAAATCTAGAATTTACCTATTGTTTTAATAAGTCCCACGTGTATTACTAATCACCATAATTAGAGAATTGGGGTGCAGTTCTAATCCACTAGTGCACCTAAATTAATGTAATAAATTTTAGGGTGAATTAGTCAAGTCATTAATGTACTAATCTGAATAATCGATCGAGCTCCAGAAAACATATAAAAGGAAAACGTTTTCTGGAGATAAAAGATCTTCCATAACCGTTTCTTGTAAATAATTTATATATTATATATGAACAAAAATAGAACAACAAGCAAGTAACAAGCCAAGTAACTTCGAATAAATATATTAGCTCGTTATAAGCTGCTTCAATATATAAGACCGTTTTAGTAATTATATTATCGATTATATTTGATTACTTTCTCGATTACTTGAATAGTTATTAATATTATTTGCGCTTCCCTGGAATATACAAAGAATTTCACCACCTCGTAATACAGCAGATTCCGGAGGTTTGGAGCGTCGTGGCGCAGTGGAAGCGCGCAGGGCTCATAACCCTGATGTCCCAGGATCGAAACCTGGCGACGCTACTTTTTTGTGTACGTTTGTAATATTCCTGATATTACTGTTTAGGGTTTGTTTAGAAAAAAGAGGGTTGACAATATTTTTCTAAACTTTCCTTTTTGCAAAATTTTACAAACATACATAAAAACAGGAGTAACCAACACAAGTACAAGAGAGCAACTAAGAAGAAAGACGAAGGAAGTAAAGAACAGGGAACCAAGGATTACATAGGTTTAGATATATAGTATATAAGTGTATACTATTAGGTTAACTTAGATTAGGGATATAGACACATAGATATATAGGAATATTACATCTAGAGATATAGAAAGAGTGTATATTTTATATCTATTCAAGTGAAATATTATTGAGATTTCAACAAGATTAACTGTTATCAGAAACACATAACCTAAGGGTTATTACACTAAAAAAATTGTAATAGATGAAAACCCGATTACGAGAGATATACTCTTCTAGACGCTAAAATAGATAGATGTAGCTTGAATTGTTCTCTATATATGACATATAAACCGTACTCTACATAAAGAGTAAACTAATATATACAGATAAACATAGTTATATAAACAAGATAAACATGAAAAACAAGAACATCGTTGTCGATTAAAGAGTTCACAAGATCGTTTATAGTGACATCAGGATTTCATGTGTCACAAATTCATAACATTGTATATTTAACTTATTAGCTATGAGCTTTTAATAGCGGTGAATATAAAATAATATTAATGCATACTGACATGAATAAATGCAAGACATAGACTTACTCTATATCTTTAGAGGAATCATTAAAAATATTAAGCTAATCTAACCAATATTAACTAAGTAATATAGATAATCTACTTAACTATCATAGTTACTCTACTTCTTAGTAGCCCTCCTTCTTATATTTCAACTACCAAAGCTTAATTATAGAATTTTCCAATGAAGGAAAGCCTAGGAAATTATTGATAATCATCATTTTTCTAAACTAATAGTTACAACCTTAACACATTAATGTTTGAAAGATTAAATTTATCCCTTCTCATGGAACAAACTTCACATTGTTTCTTTTGAATTTACCATTTAACCTCAGAAAAGCTCTCTTCTGCAAGATCTGCTTCCATTTTACTATACTAACCTGGATTAAATCAACTTCTGTGCTACTTCTGCAAAAAGGACAATTACAATATCCCACAAGGGAAATATTCTTATTTATTGCTTTTAAAACTGCCCATTCCTTCAATCTATCAACAATTTCCCATTATCAAATTGCATATCTGATACAAAATCAGTACTTATAGCCTCAAATCACTTTGTTGGAACTTTTAACTAATAATAAACGTCAACAGATAATAAACGTAACTTTTCAGCTTTCTAACATGATTTGTAACTTTTTACAATCTTAATAATCATATTTTTCATCTTTTTCCAATAATTGATTGCAACAATATTAGCAGTTCTATTTACATTAGGATGTTCTACAGTTTTTGAACTATGGTAGGTACATAATATTTTATATTGTAGTTCTTTATCAAAAATTATTAGTCTATCTTAGAATCCAACTATTGCACCATAACACAGTAATTGATGTCTTTTAATAATTGTTGTTCACTCGACTAAGTATTCTTTCTTCCCTTTTAAAATCTCAGATACTGAGATGATTGAGAAATATATTGTGCTTTTAGAGCTTCCTAATTTTCTCTACCATAAAATTGTCTATATTACGTGTACCACCATATATTTTTTCTTGATGATAATTCTAGTCAAATTATTAGTCTTATTATGTTCATCCAGAATAAATTTAACTTGAAAAATTTAATATATAAGCTAACTAATCTATATTTATTATCTACTATTCAATTTAGTACTCTTCATAATGGTTTCTAATGATTTGTGATTAATGTTTAATTCAAAGTTTCTACCAACAAGAAAATGTTTCCATGTCTTCAACACACAAACAATTGAATAAAATTCCCTACCATGGATTGGCCAATTCCATTAAGGCTGAAACAACACTTTACTTAAATAAATAATGATATCTATAAAAAACTTACAAGCATCTATAATTACTTCGATCCTGTATGTATCTCTAAATGGAATATAAAACCGGACCATTCAGTAAGTTTTGGAATGCAATTGTTTGTTATATCTTTCATTCTTACTTACCACCATATATAGATATAATTATTGAACTGTATGACTAAATTTCCTCACAAAACGTCTGACAAAATCACACATTCATAAAAACAGTTATGTCTCTTTTGATTTCTTCAAAACTAGCGATTTTATAATGACCTTACCTTTCCCTGGATCCACACGACTTCTGTCAAAATCAATGAAATATTCTAACCGATTCAAGCTTTGTCTACACAAATTACACCTCTATTTCTTAATATATAATTTAACTGATCTCAGAAACAGAAATACTTTTTTGAATATCCTTCACATTTTGTTCACTTGTTGGAACATAAACCAAAATATCATCCAAATATATCACGAAATGTGTTATTTTACAACCATTTGAAGTACAAGTATAACATTTATTATAGAATTTACTATTAATTCAATACTACTTTGAAAACGTATGATTTTATTTTTCTTAATAGTAGTAATTCTTTTATTTGATAAAACAATCTCTAAACTTAATATGCTTTTTATATAGAGTTCGATACAATAAATAATAACACTTATTCCAAAACGATTATATCCTCTACTCACAATCAATGATCTAGGCACATTTTCTGTCTTATGAAAACAGTGCTTTATACCTTACTGTCAGCAACTCAACAGACTATACATATATGTATTTATCAGAAAATGCACTTACATATGTAACGTAAACAAGAATATAATATTTGTGGCTACTCATTGTGGCATTTTTAGAAATTATGTAAAGATTTAAATGATTTTTAATGGAAAATTAACTAATATTATTGTTACAATTAAAGTTTATGTAAGATATTATCTCAGGTAATATATTAAGACAAGAATATCATCAAATACAAACATTTGCAAGTTATAAACTAATTTGTTCTAATCAATAAACCACCGATACTATTTTTTTTAGTGTTCTTGTTATAGTTTGTAATTACTTTTGGCATTCTCTTTCAATAATCAGAGGTTTCTTAGATAAGTTTTTCGAAAACTTGCCACAACCATTAACTTAATGGTCATTCATTTGATCAGCTTCAAAGCCTGGATCCAGAGTTTTTTCTGTTCCAAGTTCTTAATCTTAATGCCAAGCGTTATCTGAGAAAATGCGTATCTCTAAAATTTTAAATTGAAAGCCTATAGTATATAAAAAAATATTTATGCAAAAAAATACAAAAATTAATACAAAGAAACAAAAATGACCAAGCTAAACATTAAATAATGGATATTGCAAATAAAAAAACTGTAATATTTACAAACGTTTAATTAATTAATTATTATTGGAGTTGATGGTAATAGTAAAATAGATATAATAGAATATGATTACAATTTCATTAAATTATGAGCATCAATGACAGAGAGTTGTACATTTCAAATAAAAAAAGAATTACCTATAGGTAATATATGTAAGATGCAGAAACAAAAAAAAAAAAGAAAAAATAGATAGAAAGTTAGCAGATTAAAGAGTCATAAAAAATAATCCATTTGTGGTTTCTTTGTCGGTATTATTGCATTACCAACGTTATCCTGAGGTTGTACAGCTTCAAAGATGGTATAGTCTCTCGACATATCATCATTCACTTTTAACACCGCAGCAATATTCCCACATCTATAGCAGTAGTTAGGAGCAGACCATACAGTGACCAATCCACCATTGAACATTTCCTTATAGCCTTCCATAACTAATTGATGTGCTCTTGCGATTAAATTAAATCCATTTTCGTATAAAAACTTGTTAACTTCATTCTCACCAAACAGAAAACCCGCACCACGTGGAGACAGTGACCATGTATCCACATCATCTGGGTCACTCCATAGTAGATCACACATAGCACCTTCATGTGGTACCTCTTGCTTTCTATCAATGGACCTAATTTCCTGTATTGTTGATGCATCAGGGGATAAACCGCCATGAACGCAAAATATTTGACTATTTATAATTGCACCTAATGAAAGATAATCGAATACTTCACAACAATACCTCCAAACATTACTATTACCATATTTTCTCAATATTTCATCATAAAAACCATAAACTTTGGTAATTTGTCTTGTTTCATGGTTACCACGAATCAAAATGATTCTATCAGGATACCTCAATTTATAACATAATAATAAAAGAAAGGACTCCAACGAATAAAACCCACGATCTACGAAATCCCCAAGGAAAATATATCTTGTGTTCTCTATCCCACCACTCTTCTGAAAAAGGGTCAAAAGATCATGTAATTGGCCATGAATATCACCGCATATTGTGACTGGTGTATCCACATGCGTTACATTAGCTTCTTGAATAAACAATTCTTGTGCTTTTAAACAGATGGAATAAACAATTTTCTCAGGTATTAACTTACCCAATTTTAACAATTCAATAATTTGCTCAATGTTAAACATGATAGGCAATAAATATACAAATAAACGAATGGACTTGAACAAAATCTGGAATTCTCTTTCTTTCTCCCTGAAAGGTTTTATTTTAGTAATAATATTACTGTTAAAATATTTTTTTTTATTTTCTCTATTATTACAGAAAAAAAAAAATTCTCCACTCTAAATAAATAGTATATATGCAAAAAATCACCAGATACCAAGATGAACAACTATATAATTTTAATAGTTGTATAATAACTGCTGCAACTAGTTAGCATGTACATACATATGTGCAAAAACACAACACAAACACATGTATATTCATGTACATGTCTTTATTTCACACCACTCTAGACATTTTACAATTATTTGTTTTCGTTTCTTTTTTTCTTTTTTTTTTTTTCGTATGTCGGTGTGTGAAAAAAAAAAAAAAAAAAAAAGAAACGAAAGAAAAATCTTGACAGTAAAATCTGGATGTATGGGTTTGCACTATTACTAAGCAGCATGACTAAGCAGTGCTTGTTCTTTATGGTAAATAATCACTACAATACCAATAGATACTCATACAACAATGTATTGGAAGAAAATCTTCATTCGTATTCTTCTGTAACATAGGGCCCCAGTAAAGTATGTGTAATAATTAATATTAATAAGGTACCCTTACATTGTAAAGATCATAATGTGTACTTTAGAATAGTTTATTTCAAAAGATGTCTATCTGTATATTTATGCCTCTATGGCTCTTTGTACACATGTACGTGCAATGAACCATGCATTGATTAGCCACCATGGCCTCTCCAACAACCCAATACACAGACCAAAAACAGCATACGTCCAGCTAAAATAAAAGAAATCTGCAACGCGTAACACGTAAACAATTTTTGTTGCAGATAAAAGAATAATATAAAACACGTTAATTCAATACTTCGAATAAAGAAATTTCAAAATATGGAAAATAGAAAGTAATAAAAAATAAACAAAAAAAAAATTAGCAATGCTCGAATAAATAAAGAACGTTGCAAATAATATGAACATTACTTCACACTTACACATTTTTCTAAAGCATATTGATAATACCAACTTAACTGTGTTTCTCTTTTAGTATTTTTGGAAGGAGAAATTAATGCAAATTTTAAAGTTTGGTAAAAAAAGAATTTGGTAAAACAGCAATTAAATAACATAAGACCCAGGACAAATATACTCAAATAAGCAAAAAGACCAATCAAAGAACTAAAAGAAAAACTTCATCACCAATATCAACAACAACGAAACCTTACTATCATAAAATGAACAATTTATCTCTTTTAAAGCAGTCTAATCCATTACTGTTTACACCAGAAAGATACGATGAATATCCATTAGACCCAATTGAGTTGGCTCAGTTTTTAAATAAATCCTTAGAAAAAGATTCAAATAATAATATATTGTTACGTGAAAGACCATTTACCTCTGTGGATCAGTTAGATTATTTATTTTATTTGGATTCTGATACACAGGAATTGGATCTTGATAAAAAATTGGCTATTGAATATGCTCTTTTTCAATTACAACTATTAAAACAAGCAGAAGCAATAAACAGTGACAACAATAGCAACAACAAGCGAATAAATAAGAACAGTAATAACGATTTTTATAATGCTGTTAAGGATGATGATCATGATGGGTTATCTGATTTTGAATCTTTACGAAATTCTGATTTTAAAAGTTTAAACGGTCTGAAAAAACTTTTATTTACATTAAATAAAGTTAATGGCTTAGATTTAGATTTAAATAGATTAAATCATCTTGAGTCCCAAATCCACTACAAAAGCTCTAGTGCTAACATTAATGCCGTAAATACAATCACAGCTACCTCTTCTCGTACTGGTATTACTAATGATTCTAGTATATCTAACGAATCATTACATAAAACTATAAAAAATTTTGATTTAAATGACGAAAATCCAAAAGAAAATTTTATAGACAATGCATGCACTAACTCAGCTGATGATAGCATTCAAGAACTAACTTCATATTTATTATCAAATACTATTAAGAAAGGTATCGATTTAAGACCGAAAGGTGAAATGAATGATTCGACACAATTTTTGAAAAACTGTATCGATTCACTGATCGAGGTAATAATAACAAACAGAACAAACAACTCTGTTTCTCAAATTGAAGTATCAAGTAGTAGTAATCATAATAATAATAGTAAAGATACAGACAAAGATAAAGATGAACCAAATGCATTCATGGATTCAAAGTGTAAAGAATTAGAAACTAAACTAGCTGAAATGACTACCGCATTCAATGATCTTCAGTTGGCACATAATTTTTTGACTAAACAATATGAAAATGATCATAATGATTCAATGAAAAATATTGAAAAATTGACAAGAACTAATAAAGAATTGCAAGAAAAAATATTAAAATATCACTCAATTTTGTCTAAAAGGGAAGATTATAATAAAATACATGAAACTGATGATAATAATCAGAGTGACACCATTAATAGAGATAACGAAAGTTCGATTTTTCATAGTTCAAATAAAAGCTTTACTTCACCTATCTTTGGACACCGTGAAATTTGGACACCACAAACCCCTTCATCAAATAAAAACAATATATCTACTATGAATAATACTATGAATTCACCATCTTTATCAATGATGAAAAATGAATTTAGAAGATTACTGACAGAAACTCAACGTAAATATGAAAAAGAGATTGATCAAGAGAGACAGATTAGGAAACAACTTCAATATGAATTGAACCTTGTTAAAAAATAACCTTCACAAGTTATTATTCGTTCAATTTCAGCTGATAACTTCATGACATTTCATATGAAGTTTTTTTTTTGTTTTATCTATCTATTTATTTATTTATTTAGTTTTTTTTTTGTTTTTTTTTGGTGGTTTGTATAAACCTCTATATAATAACAATAACAATAAATAATCGTGCAATAGACAATATGATTTAATTTTTTACCCTTTTTTTTTCTTTCATATTAACTTTCTATTGGATTCATTAACATGTAACGTATTTCCTAATACTAATCTTTCTTCATTTAAGTAAAGAATATAGACAAGTTACATCTTTCTAAATTCGCTTAACACAGGATAGATAGCTTCAAAAGCTTGATAAATTTCTTCCCTTTGTTTTGCACCTGTTAAGACAATTTTACCAGAAACAAAAATTAATAGAACGATCTTTGGCTTCACCATTCTATAAATTAAACCAGGAAACAATTCAGGTTCATACGAGGAGAAAGTGCCATGACTAAATGCCAACCCTTCCAATCTTATTGGAAATTTTACATCACATGAACCAACAATATTTTGAATCTTAAAATCTGTAAATTTTGCAGCAAATCCAATCTTTTGAATAATTCTTGCATATTTTCTGCTTGCCAATTTAGAGTCATCTTCACTTTTAGCACCAGTGACAACCATTTTACCAGAAGCAAAAATTAGTGCTGTTGTCTTTGGTTCTCTAATACGCATAATGACGGCAGCAAACCGTTTTGGATTGTATTCAGCATTACGTGCATGTAATGCAACAGTTTTCAAATCTAGTCTACAACCTAAATTTACAGTAGCCACAATGTTTTGTAATGTAGGAACTATCCCAGATGTTGCTGCATCATCCTCTTCATTTGTATTTGACTCATTTTTAGCTGTCTCTATATTCTGTTGTTGTTGTTGCTGTGACGTTATATTATTATTATCATTTAATGTGCTATTATCAACATCAGTTGTACTTTCCATATTTTGATTTTCCCAGACTTGTCTTGTATTTGGATCAAATACGATCTTATTGGCTTCTTGAAATTTTTTTAAACGGGCATCATCAGACATAGTAAACTTTTCTAATACAATGTATTTGTTTATTTATCTTTAACTGTGTTTGTGATCTTTGCTAACCGCTTTTTTATAATACAATTATTTTAGGACAATTTTTTTTGCAAACTACGATATTGTTCCTGTTAGTACAAATATAAAACAGGTCTGGCAAATTACATAATTATTCTGGATATATTAAGTACCTTAGTTAACACTCTTTCCACTCCTTCCCTGTTAGTAATCTTTAATTAGTTTATTTTTTTTCCACAGAATATTTTTTTCTCTTTGAATTTTACTTTTTTTATGGTCTTTTTTTTCTCCTGTGAATTTTGATGTTATTTCAGACGGCGATGAGCTTTAAAACATGAATATTTCCAGATTGAAAGTGTATATAAATGTACAACACACACATGTCGTAATATGATTTGTGTACATCTTTTTTATGCTTGCTGATATTCTATAATTTCGCAGATCCAGTTACTTCAAATAACAATATAAGACTAGATATGAATCTACAACAATGGTATTCTTTAGCTCTAGAGTATATAAATGCGGCACATGAGAACAGTGAGTTAGTAAAGAACTCTAAACAAGTCGAACAATATTATCAGTTGATAGACTTAGCAATCCATATACTGATGAGTTTAAAGGATAGTGGAAAATGGTCGCTAACGATAAAACAAGATCTGTGCATTACTATGCGATTAGTTAATTTATTACTAGAAGAGACTTTAAATATTGATATGGCTGAAAATTATCTTTCATCTCTATTAGAAAGATTACAGAACCAACCAATGGATCTTACAATATGGAATTATCAAAATCTGATTCAATATTGGCTACTTTATGAGATACCGATTAGAAGAAACACCAATTTTCATTTAAGGATTGCGTTACATAATTATCAAGATTTACTTAGCAATCAAGTTGATTATAAAAACGAGAACAGTTGGTTTTCTGTTAATGCAGAGTTAAATACATATTATTCTAAGATTTGGCCTTCTATATTTGAATATGTAGCAAGTCAACTATATTGTAGATTACGTAAATACAAATCGGCACAAAGAAAATTAGAGTCTTTGATAAAAAATACTAATTTGAAAATGATGTATCCCCAATGGTACGTCTTTCTTTTCATTAAATATATTGCACTTTTATTAGGTCAAAGATTATCTATCCCAGATAATATTTGGTCCCAGTTAACCAATGATGAATTATTTAATAACTGTTCTATCATTGGGCCTATATTATACAGCTGGAAACTATTATTACAATTATGTATAATGATTAATAAAGATTTTAATATTACTGATATCTTAAAGGAATTTAAAGTTTTATTTCAGGATTATAAAGAACAGTTGTCTTTGAATGATGATTTAGATATTATGATTTTTAAGATTTCATTAGATGACGATAATGATAGCGATGTCAGTGACCAAAAGTTTATATTAAAGTTTAGATTTGATTCATTCTTGACATATAAAGATATTAAATTAATATTGTTATTATTACAAAGTGTCAGTTATTTAGTTAATTGTTATGACAAGAATGCACAATTTTCAATTAAATTTTTACCAAAAGTAGAGAATTCATTAAAAATGATTCTTCAAGATGGAGTCTGTTCAAATTCATCTAGTCAATCAAAGGAATTGAAATCACTTCTTAAACAAGATACTGTTTTACAATGGTATAATAATATATTAGAGTATTGTAAATTTTATCAAGTTTGGGAAAAAATGCTATTAAGTAGTCCAGATGCTTCATCAAGTATGTCTGAGCTAGTCTCCATGGAAGATAGTGCTACTAAAAATAATTTTATCTGCATTAAATCCATACCTTTGCATCCATTTTATAAAGATATAATAAAGACGATTAGGAAACAAATAGATCTTCCATTTACTTTAAATAACAATAATTATGATCATGATTTACAAATTAATGAAATACTAAATGATTACAACAAAATGATTAAAAATAAAGTTACTTCCATCGAAATTAAATTAATATCATTATTAAACTCATATATTCTGGTTGTATCAAAAATATCCAATGAATCTGATTCAATTCCATTTCAAGATAAAAGTATGCAATCATATATAACTCAAACAAATGAATTATGGAGCCAAATTATCACAATTTATCAAGAAAAAAGTGAAAATAATGGTAACAATAATAATGATCGTATTGACATTAAAGAAAATATGGTTTGGGATTGTACAATAGTTATAATATGGATTATAACCCATTTTGAACCATTTACTTGGAATCCTTTGCCAAGTAATGATAAAGAAAGAAACGAGTATCTCAAAAGATTGAAAAAATATTATATAAATAATAAGATTATAAATCATAATAACGATGGTGGTGACAACATTAATTTAAAAAATCAATATATTTTGAAAAAATCTATGTTATTAAGGATACTGATTAATTATCTAGGTGGTAAATTGTTTGAGACTGATTTAGAGGTGTTATGTCAAATATCTTTAAAATGTTTTAAGTTTGCGAAACAAGATAGGCATCTGATTAATATCCGTTATATAATTGGATTATGGCATTTAATGAACTGTACAGTTGCTATGAAACCAAAAGAAGTCGCATATACCACAGCCAAATTAAACCAACTAGTCCAACAGATGTTGAACTCATAGGGATCTAAAAAGACAAAAAAAAAAGAACTGTGGGAATAGATAGATTACGTGAAGCAATGAAAAAGTGTAAAGAACAATTCACATTTTATAACTGGTTATATCGTTACATACATCTATCATCAAATTTTTTTGTAATTACGTATATTTATTTAAACTAAATAAAGAAAAAAAGTGATAGAGGAAAGAGGAGAATATATGTATGTGTAAATATCACTTGTATTTTCAAGTGAAATGAATGATGTATTTTCTTTTTTATTATATTATATATCTTTTTTCCCACCAGGAACTAACATTACAATATTGTTCCCACTTAACAACATTCTTCCTTTGTGTTCCATCACCAATTCGTTTTGATCTTCGTTAACTATCCATTCTTTTGCGTCTTCTACGATCACATTCACAAAATCATCAAAGCCAATAAGGGTTCCTGTGAACTCTCTATTTGATTGTAAAATGATCCATACAGGTTGATTTATAGTCTTGTCAATTACCTCTAATGGTAAAATATCAGTTGGTGCACTCATTTTCACTGTATATTTCAGATATGTTATTTTTTTTTAGATTTATTGTTCTCCTTATATGATTTATTTAAATATATAGCTTTGATAAACAATGGTACTATTAATTTAAATCAATCATTTCTTATTAGAAACTTTAATACTGAATAGAGATAATTTAAAAAATCTTTAAATCATTGTTACTTATTTTATTTTTCAGTTAACTTTTTATGTTTCCTTTTTCATTTTATTAATTTTTTTTACAGGAAAACAGAACAAAATCCTCTATATATTGTAATGTTAAAATAGGGTTTATTGCTTTGAAACTTTTTATTTATATATTTACACAGATATAAATATAGGGTTATTATAAAAAATTAGCGAAAAAATACTTAACCTAATACAGTATATTAATGTCATTTCCAGTTGGTTATAAAAAAAAAAAATAATCTGGGTGTCACAAGGAAAGGATTTATTGTTTCTCTCGAGAAAACAGAAAATGTTGTCCTTTGTTTTTACTTCCTACGATGCCAAATCTTGAAATAACAAAATGATAATCAAAATCAGGGTGCATTCTAGAGTTCAATGACAGCCTTTTTCTTCAACAATCTACCCTTTCTTCTCTTTCTTGTTGGTTCACTATTTCTCTGCTTGATGATTCTCTCTTTCTCGTTGTTATATGATTAATTTATTTGGAATTTTTATCCACTAAACATCGCTATTTCAATGGAATTTAGCAGCGGCCCATTAGGTGCAAAACTAGATAAGAACTCTTTTATTTTTTTTATTTTGATTCAATCTGTAAATTATGCACCTTATTAAGGAAGCTGTTATTGAGTATGACAAAAAAAATACATATCGTACTGTAAGACAATAGCATGTTTGAAAAGAACCGTTACATTTCTTGAAGGGATATCTCACTAATGAATAGTTAGTTAGGTATATATATGCATATAGATGGTTGAAGATGGATAAGTTAAACCATCATAATGATGTGTTGGTAAGTAGCTATACCTTTCACCATCGAATATCTTTCAAAAGTGTCACAAGGAAGAAAAGATAGCAATTTTATTTAAATTAAATATATCATATTTATTTTTTCATTAGCCTAGTCAACCAATTAACTGGACATCATTATATTATTCGACGTATAAAACAAAAGATGGCCAATAAAGTTTTCAATGTTGCTGTCTTCTTTGTTGTTTTTAGAGAGTGTTTAGAAGCAGTCATTATCGTCTCTGTTTTATTATCTTTCATAAAGCAAACAATTGGAGCCAAAGATAATGTGTTATATAATAGATTAGTGAAACAAATTTGGTTTGGTTCAGTTCTTGGGTTTATTATTTGTTTGATTATTGGCTGTGCTTTTATCGGTGCTTACTATTCTTTACAAAAAGATATCTTTGGATCTGCTGAAGACCTTTGGGAAGGTATTTTCTGTATGATTGCGACACTTATGATTTCAATGATGGGAATTCCAATGCTTAGAATAAATAAAATGCAAGGCAAGTGGAAAGTTAAAATTGCAAGATCTTTGATAGAAGTACCAAAAAAAAAGAAAGATTGGTTCCGTATTGGGTTTTTGACTAGACGTTATGCCATGTTTGTATTACCCTTTATCACAGTTTTAAGAGAAGGTTTAGAGGCTGTTGTCTTTGTTGCTGGTGCTGGTGTTACTACACAAGGGTCCCGTGCCACTGCATATCCACTACCCGTAGCTGCAGGTCTGATTGCAGGTGGATTGATAGGTTTCTTATTATACTATGGTGCATCTCATTCTTCTCTACAAATTTTTCTTATCATTTCTACATCTATCTTGTATTTAATTGGCGCTGGCCTTTTTTCCCGTGGTGCTTGGTACTTCGAAAATTATTTGTTCAATAGAGCCACCGGGGGTGATGCTTCAGAGGGTGGTGACGGTAATGGTACTTACAATATTCATAAATCAGTATATCATGTTAATTGTTGCAATCCAGAATTAGACAATGGTTGGGATGTCTTTAATGCTTTATTAGGTTGGCAAAATACTGGCTATTTATCTTCAATACTTTGCTATAATATCTATTGGTTATGTCTAATCATTTACTTGATTTTGTTAATGTGGGAAGAAAAATACGGTCATTTGCCATTTACTAAAAATTTGCAAATGAAGCACTTAAATCCAGGCTATTGGATTAAGAATAAAAAGAAGGATGAGTTAACTGAAGAACAAACAAAGAATTTGTTTAAGCAAGTAGAGAATTTACAATTAAATGAAAAAGGTGTTATTGAGACTGTTGGTTGTGAAACTGCAAACTTGTTTGAAAGTGAAAAGGATGGGAATGTGGTTACAACAACTAGGATAGAGAATTCTACCAAAGCTGGCAAAGCCGATCATAATATCAGTGAATTCAATAAAGTTGCTACCACTTCTACTATTTCATTGTCAAAATCAAAAACTGAACCCTCTTGAGTTCAACAAATAGAAACGTATGAACCTGAATTGTTTCCTGGTTTAATTTATAGAATGGTGAAGCCAAAGATCGTTCTATTCTATTTAAAAATTATATTTTTTATTCTATTTTTTAGTTATAACATATTAATTAAAATCTTAATTTTATCTCTTTTTATTCTTTTTGTGTCATGTTATGTATTGGTAATATTAACTGTTTGTGTTTTTTGTAATACTTTGAATTGAAGAAAAGCAGAATAAATATCGTTCAAGAAAAATTACTTTATTGAATGATCGTAATATCATTATCAAACACTACAATTTGTCAAATATAGGAATATTTGGTTTTGTGTCACTAAACACTAGCTTTAATAATAAAACAATAGCCAGATATCGTCAAAATTGCTTCTGCCTCATGTGCAATAAAACAATACGGTAGCACCATTCTTATTTTAAATATGTAAGGGAAGACTCAGAGATTTATGTTCAAACTTTCGAAAACAAGGTCTGTTTTTACATCGTCTACCTAATATTATAGGAAGCAAAGTGACCCCTTTGATTTAAAAAGTATATATTTGGTGAGGTGGGATTGAAATCATATATTGTAGGTTATAATATTTTTTTTATCATTTTTATTAAATACTAAAGACCAATGAATATTCAAGGAGGAAGTTTATCTGATCTCATTCAAGAATGTTTACGCTTGTTAAATAAATATAATTATTTATGTGGAAAAATCCAGGAATTATCAACTCAAAAGAATAAAAGCTACTATGTCAACTGCGCTGAAGCTTATCATTGTTATAGATATTGCCGTACTTTAATATTGGAGAGGGCGGTTAAAATGAATGATTTTAAATATTTCAATAGCACAATCGTTAACATACCGAAAAACATAAAAGAGAACCCATCTCTAATTTCTATATAGATCAGGTTGAAAAGTTTGTTATTAGTAGACATACGGATTGAATGGATCACAATCGAGTTTTATTTTTATGCTTGTTGAAATATAATTATTAGAGTTATGTTTAATAATCTAAATTCATCGTACTAAGTGATCAAAAGTTATGAAAATTTATAGTAAAGAAGATTCAAAGATAAAATGAGTATACTGTATAATATTGTATCTTGTATATTACTTATATAGAAAGGAAAGGACCAAGGAATAACTTATAATACCACCAATATCCTATTGTAAGTTACCTTATCTTACTATATTAGTCTTAAATGAACTCTACTAGAATGTTTGATTCCGAAGCCTTGCGTCAACAATGCTTACTGTAACTTCATAAAAAATAATAGTTACTTAAGAAATTTATTGTCACATTCTTGGATATCTATGTATTCTTCGAATAATATTTTGAATCTAAAAAATACTTTGAATTTAGTAATTGAAATCACTAGAAATCAAGAACACTCGACAGTAGGAAGTATTATATGTGAAAGAAACTATATTAGAATATCTTCAAAATTTATAAATATTAATGAAACCATTGAGCAATTATACGCTAATTTAGAACATTCATTAGAGTTCTTAATAAGTGATTTTATCCTCTTCAAGAAAAGATGTAATTTTGATTATATTATTTTAATCACTACAGATGATACTAATATAATTGATAATAACATATCAAATACAATAAACTTCAATGGGAATATCATTAAAATGCTTAATCTCTTTGAAAAAATTGCTAAAAATTTAACAAGAAAGAAAAAATCGGAAGATTATGCTCACCTTTATGTTGGTATTATTAAAATTAATAAATGGAAAAATATTTTGAGTGCCACTAGGACCAATAATGATAACAAAATGATAAAGAAATCAAAACATTTTAATAGCACAGCTAGTACAAATAATGCAAATGATAGTATAATACCAATTGGCATTCATAATCAAAATAATTCTTGTTACATTAACTGTATTATTCAAAGCCTAATAGGAACTGATGATTTTTTTAATTGGATATTAGCGTTTAATGCTAATAAAGAATTACATAATTCATAGAAACAATTATTTGCCACTAATGGTTTAAAAAATCTCTTCAAAGATATTCATGATTGTAATAAGGTAAAAACAAATAGAATAATTAATATTGAATCATTTAAGTATATTTGTGGTATTAGATGTAGACAATTTCAGGGGAATACTCAAGAAGATTGTGTTGAATTTTGTAATTTTCTATTTGATTCCCTCAATACTGAATTGAAAGCAATGAGTCCTATCCCAAATAGCTTTGTAAATAAAGAAATGTCACCTTATAATATGAATTGGTTGAAATATTTGTCTGAGAATGATACAATCATTACATATTTATTTGTTGGACAAGTTAGTTCCAGATTGAAATGTAAGATATGCCATACATTATCAGTCAATTACGAGGCATTTTCTATATTGTCCTTACCCATACCAAATGTTGTTACATGCAACATTATGGAATGTTTTAGACAATTTTTCGAAGAACAGCAATTGGACCCACCGAATCAATGGAATTGTGTCAAATGTGGCATAAAGACACCTTCTGCTCAAAAAATAACACTTATAAAAATGCCTACTATTTTAATTATTCAATTAGCAAGGTTTCACAATAATTTAATCAGAAATAATTGTTTTATTCACTACCCACTTATTCTTGATTATCGATATACAGGAGTACTAACCAATTCTTATACAAATAATTTCAAATATGAATTATATTCAGTAGTATGTCATCAGGGAAGTGTTAATAATGGTCATTATAGTACATTTGTCTATAAAGGTGATAAAAATGGATGGTATTATTTTAATGACACTATTTTTAAATCAATTCAAACACTTAATGAAATTATCAGATAGGATGCATATTTATTATTCTATAGACAAGTCAAGTGAAAGGAAAGGAAATTAGATAAGGAGAAATCAGAGCAAATATATGCTTAGTATATTAATCCCTTTAAAATAGTTGTATAATAAAGTTTATAATATTTCTATTGGGATATAAATTATTTTACCTAGGATAAATATACATATATATGGACACATTTTTTTTGGATGAATTCCTAATAATGTATCCTTGCTTTCTTTCTCTAATATGTTTATTTTCTTGACAAAATTTATCTATTTATTTAATTTGTAAATTATCATAAAAAAAAGCTTGTTGGTTCATTCTTTTGTGTATGTATATGTATATGTATATGTTTATTGAAAAAGTAAAGCTGCAGCATATTCAGCATTACCACCAGTAGTCCTCAAAGCTCGTATAACTTCGTTTCTTGAAAAGCCTAAATCCATTAATTGTTTTACTATCGATTCCGGAAAATTCATATTAGACAGTATATTGTTTCTTGATTGACCACTAATACCAGATTTCATATTACTGATATTATTGTTTCTTGGGAACTGTTGTATTGGAATATTATTATGGTCATTAACGTTGCTTGTATTGTTTGTGTTGTTGACCAAAACAGAGCCCCCAGTGGATGTTGAATTAGGTATGGTTGTTGGTTTAGACAAAGTTTTTGAGGCGGTTTGTTTAACTTCATTTTCAAAACCTTTCGGAATCTCAGCTTCACTTAAAAATCTTGTTTCAATTCCTGCAATCCTTAAAACATTTTTAGCTAAATCAATACAAGCTTGGTGTCTTTTCAGCATGTCAAGTCCAATCAAGACATCAATTTCAGTATCTAATACCACAAAACTGTTGCAAATGTATTGTGTTTCGATCTTTATCTGTGCTTGATGAATCCTACCAATGATTTTACCTCTGCCTACACCTCTAACTTCACCTATAAACCGTCTATCGATCAGCTTACTGAGCCCAGTCGCTTCAGCTAATCTAGTTGACATTATAGTCATTTGTGCACCTGTATCGACAAAAGCTTTCACAGGATGCCCATTAATTTCTAGGTTAATATATAGCATACTTACAGTAGTAAATACTTCAGGGGTATGTTCATAAGCATTTCTTAATTGCTCATCTATAGCTTGTTGGTCAATTAATTCATTGATTCTTTTTTGATTAATTGGATTATCTGGGTTACTCATCAATTTATTATATTCATCTTGTGGAATACCAAAGGGATTCAATGATTGCTGATAAAAACCACCGTACCTTCTCTGTAATATTATTGGCCCCATTCTTTCATAGAAAAGATTTGAATCATTTAATATGGAATCTAGTTCAGGCATCTGTGTTACTAACTGTTGTCTCATAGGTTGGCTCATATTTAATTGTTTCCTGAATTCTTCCACATATTTTCTATTGTCCAAGTTCCCAGGTGGAATGATGGAATTGTTTGGATTATTGTTTGTTTGTATTTTATTTTTTATTAATAATAGTTCATCGTTGTGGAGACCTATTTCAGATAAAATTTTATTTTTAGATTTATTTAAATCTAAAATGTCCATATTTATATATAGATCATTTTTCAAAGGATCAAACTGACATTCTACTTCAAGCAAGGCTATTAAGTCCTCTAGTTTCATATCATCATTGATTTCGATGGGACCATAGATTTGCCCGGTAATTTCATTTGATATAGTTAAATGCATATTTGAAGACACAATTTGAATATATTTATAAGTAAATCTCCTTTATTATAACCTATAATTGGGAGTTTCAGGATTATAGGGTCTATTAGAAAGATTGTAGTATATTGTTTTGAAAACTTCATAGACCCACGACAATTAACAATCTACAAAGGTATCTTTTACCTTTTTCTCTTTCTATCTTAATCTGACATTTTGGGAATTACATAATCTTTGGAATCCAACCCTTACACACTACAAAGAAAAAGAAAAGAGAAGGAAAGAACCCAAAAAAAAAAAAAGAAAAGAAAATAAAAAAAGAAATAAAGAAATGTGAGTGATTTCGTTTCTTTTTGACGTCCCAGGCGAGAGACATCCAGACACCACATATTTTTAATTACTTTAGTGGAGAATCAAGACAAGAAACAAAAATCCATAGTGCATATTTATTCATATATATGCGATAAAGTAGGAGTGAACAGAGCTGTTAAACCTCTAAAAGTTGAACAAGTCCATATTGATCCTATAAATTGCAATTATATGATGGGTAGAATAGTGATTTACCTTTAGTTTTTTATTGTATTAGTAGGAGATTTTAGAGAGAAAAGTAACAGAAAGAGGACCAGTCAGGTGGGTAGTTAAACATAACAATAATATATATATATAAGAGTATTTATATCAAGTAATCAAAACTATATTGATTTATATGCTTTTTTATACATATATACATTAATATACATATACCTGCGTAACTAACTGATGACAAATTTGAAAAGAGATCGGATTGATGGCGATAACGACAATGATAATGAAGGTTTAAATAATAAAAAACAGAAATTAGTTGATTGTAGATTACCTTCTCACTTTATTGAATTACATTCAGAATCCTTCATTGAAGCATGTAATCATGTATTGGAAGTGGACCCCACTTTATTACCTATACTTACTGCAGGTAATTTTTCTCAATATTTGAAATCTGATCAGTCTATAGGCACTTGTAAAGATCATAATAATAATAATAATAATAACAATACAGTTGATTTACAAGAATGTTTTAGTAAACTAGCTAATGCTATTATTGGGCAACAGATTAGTAATAGGGCTGCAAGAAGCATTAGAGAAAGGTTATATAATTATTTTGATGGTCAATTTCCAGCTTTCAAAACATTATATGATTCTTTGCAGGACCCTATTATAAGAAAAGAAATAAAGTCCTGTGGATTGAGTGATAGGAAACTTATCTATTTAGAATCGTTATCACAATATTTCAATGAACGAATAAAGGAGATTGAAACCTTATTTACTTTAGATACTAATGATTATGAAAACGACCAAAGGATTATTGATCACTTAGTTAAAAACATTAAAGGGATTGGGCCTTGGACTGCGTCAATGTTTTTAATTACTGGTCTTAAAAGACAAAACGTTTTTACTGCAGATGATCTAGGTATTGCTAGAGGGTTTTCTAACTATATAGCAACAAGAAAGGAGCTATTGAATGATTTAATTGAGAGAAGAATCTCAATTAAAAGGAGCAAAATTAAACATAAAAAGTATAAATGGAAAATATACGATAATGATATAATTGAATCCTGTGCTCAAAAATTTGAACCTCATAGAACATTATTTATGTTTTTATTGTGGAGATTATCAAGTGATAATATTGAAGATATGGTTAAAATACAAGAGGAATTTATGCAAAACTAGAATGACTCAATAAATAAATAAATAAATAAATATTATAAATGTTCTTTTCATCAATATCAACAATATATGTAAAAATTTTTTTTTCTATTTACGTGCATATAAATCAATAGATACTGATGATCAGGAAAGAAAAAATCAAGAACAGGTATTGATTAATTATTTACAGTTTTTTAAATTTAAATTTTTATTTTACCTTTTTTGTTCCTTCTTCATTTAACTAAATTGAATGTTTCTGTAACAATTCTCTTTCCGACATTACCATTAGCCTGATGTTTCAAACGTGCAGCCATAGATGAATTTATAACATTCTTGATTTGCATTCTTGGTTTTCTCAATTGATTCATAAACATTAAAGACACTGTCACTAGAGCTAATGCACCTGCTTGGTGAGTAGATGCTAAATGGATTGGTACAGTGAATAATATTGTAGTGATACCTAAGAAAGCTTGTAACGTTACAACACCCATCAAAGCATGTAAAGTCATTTGAGAGTTCCTTGGGATGAGAGGTTTCTTCTTGATTGCATACATATGGACGTAGAGAACGGCGCAAAAAGCCAAAGTAGCAAAAGTTCTATGAACCAATTGAACAGTGGTTGGATTCTCCAAAAGATTTCTCCACCACAAATCTTTTTGGTCATCACGACGTGTGAAGTTTGGATCCATTAATTCACGTTTACTTGGAAACCAATTTTCTCCCATCTTAGGCCATGTGTTATAGATTAAACCTGCGTCTAAACCAGCGACCATACCACCACTCATAGCAGTTATAAATGATAGACCTAATAAGAAGATAGACATCTTTCTTAATGGACCTAATTTACTACTATCCAATTTTTTAAACAGTTCAATACATTTTTCTGGATTCTTTAACCATTTATTTTCTTTCAGAATGTCAAGACCTGTCCAAAGCATACCTAAATATAGGATAAATGCAGTACCCAAATGAGTAGTTAATCTATATTGAGATACAGTTGGTTTGGATTTTCTTTCATTTAATTGTTCTTGATCTAACCCTGATTTGACCATCCACCAACCGACAAACCCTTGTAAACCTAACAAAGAGCATAGATAGAATAAGCGTTTATTGACATGAGGAGAAGTTCTTTTTCTAGCAGCAAAATAGATTGCAGGAATAACAAAAACAAGGCCAATGGCACGGCCCCATAATCTATGGATCCATTCCATAAAGAAAATGAATTTGAATTCATCTAAATTGATGTGAGAATTCAATTGTTGAAATTCTGGTGAAGACTTATATTTACGGAATTCTTCTTCCCATTCCTCTTGAGATAAGGGCGGCAAAGAACCTGTGACAGGTTTCCATTCGGTGATACTCAATCCAGATTCAGTCAAACGGGTTAAACCACCAAGAATAACGATACCAAAGACTAATCCAGATGTACCAATTAACCAATAAGCAACTTGGTTAGAAGATGTACGGATATTGGTGGTAGTAGAAGTAGCAGAGCTTGATGAGTCTGATTTAGAATTATGGCAGGTAGAAGAGAAAGATCTGGTAATATTCATAGTAGTGGTAGTAGCTGTAGTAGTATATTTATAAAGATCAGATCTTTTCAAAAATACATTATTAGTATGATTCCACAATTCTGTTGTGAAATTGTTAGTAATTTTAGTTGACATGCATCTAACATTTTGTGATACCAATTTTGTTCGATTTAATAGATTATTTCTTATACATCTTGGATTTGAAAATTTTGACACTTTTACAGTATCAAATAATAAATTTCTAAACATAGGGAGGGGAATAAAAAAAATTATTCTGTTAACCTTAAGTTGAATCTATCTATATATTTATTTATTTATTCCCGCACTTACAAATACAGTGATTAACTTATTAATTACTTAATTGTTTGTTTGTCTTTTATGTGTGTGTTCGTACAGGTAACCTTCGAGAAACTTAAGACTATTTGTCAAGGCAAAGAGATCTTTTCTTCTTCCTTTATTTCGAAACTTTTCTTTTATTCTTTTCACATTGTTTGTAATGTTATGTCATTTTATATTCCTTTAAGGGGGTAAGGAAAATGAGGTTTTCTTCAACAAAATTGCGGAATTTTACCGGATGTGATGGGAGATCACGTGGCAAGAAGCAGTAAGAGGTGAGGAGATTTGAGCAATCTGTTTTTCTTTGCATGCCTCTTTTTTTTTCTTTGTTTTTTTTTACCTTTTTCTTTTGTTTTCTTAACCTGTCACATTTGTTTGATACAAGGTTTTGTTGCGGTTGCTCTTTTTCTTCTTGGCGGACATGCTAATAAATTAGGCTTACTGAGTATTTTTCGAGGAAAAGTAAAAAAAAAAAAAAAACAGGACCAAGGCTATATGCTATTTTGTTTGTGAATGTTCAATTTAGTTACATAAAACCATTTTTATTAAAAGATTCGTTAACTGTGAATGAAATGGACATTCTGACTGAAAATGCACAAATAATAAATAACTAAGGTTAAATATAGGTCTAGAAAGAATTGGAAGATTAAAAATTGTTACATTGTTTCGTTCTTTCATTCTTGTTTGAATATTGATGTGTCTATATGAGATATAGAGGAATTAGGTTTTCTGTTCCCTTTCTTTTTTTTTCCTTTTTTTGATAAAAAAATTATCAATATTAAATATAGATATATATTGAATATAAAGAGGTTATTCTGGAATTTATTAAGGAATGTATATGTTAATATGAACAAAAATGTAATGCATGTTAGTTCATAGGCAAGCACAGATATATATGTGAATATTTAACATACTTTGTATCTCTTTTTCTTTTCCTTTATACAGATGCATATATATATATATTACCATATTCTCTTAGAGACCATCTTATATCTGGTTACTGTCTCCAAAGAGTCAGGCAATGAGTTATCATGTTTTATTCGTTTCTCAACAATACTTAATGGTATCTTTTTTTTAGATTCGCTATCATCACGACCACAGTAAATCGTTTCTCTTGTCCTTTGATCCATAAATCCGAAGCCATCTACAACTTCTCCAGGAACATAATCTGACTTAGTCACTCTTGTTGTAAGGACATTGTTAGTTCCTTCATATTGATCAGATAAAAATTCCTTACTCAATTGCTTAAGAATACTATTCATAACAACCTTCAGCATCAATAAAATAATAAAACTGATAAATATTATCCAGATTAGTCTTATTGATATTGCTAAACTATTTGGTAACTGTTTTAAAGGCATCAAGTTCTTAGCAAAACGAAACATAACAGGACGTATCATTACAATAGACAATACGACATAGGCTGGTAATATTAATCCTAACCTTTTTTCGAACTGTGATATACCAACCGCATTGTCTTTACACATTATTAAATGGAATTTTTCGTATATTTCCGGTCTGATTCTATTAAACTTAGTGATATATGCATGTTTCATCCAGTCAACTATTATTTCACAACTTACAATACTCACAAATGGACTCCAAATTAGTTTCATAATCTTTTGTGTCAAGGACTTGAAATGATGGTTATGTAATGCTGTCTTGATTAATGTGGATATTGATAAAACATCGTTGCTCATACTATTATTAATAATAGCCCCTGTGTTACGAATAATGATAATAATTAATATTAACAGTATTTTAAATCTTTGTACAATATCACTAATGGATAATTGAAATAACCCTTCTTTATCTGTTTTTTTAAATACAGAACTTTTAATCTCTGCAAATTGTAATGATAATAATAATGCCAATAGGGAATTATTGTACGAATTCACTGCAACATTCAAAGATATCGACTGATATATCAATATATAGCCATGTGCTATTAAATATATTGCACTAAGAGAAACTAGCAATATCTGTTTATACCTTTTCATTTTATAAGTCTTCACGGATTCATCAGATAAAGTTACATTTAACAAAGATTGACCCATACTAGCTAACATCTTATCACACATCTCTAATACATTGAAAAGCATATAAAGCTTCATAGTGTTTTGTCTTTTGATTCTATGATACACCTTTGATGTATCAAGATGGCTTAACACTAGACATGCAGTAATGATAAGACACAATGCGCAACGTTGTTTATAGGTTTGTATCGATCTAAATGGTGGATCTTTTTTATATATTGCAATGCTTTCAAATATATTTATTGGCAAGACAGTAAAGAAATATAATAAATCATTTATTGAAGCTAGCAATGTGAAAGTCATCAATTTTTCCAAATGAAATGGAATTTTTATCATATTTATCAACTGTTCTAATTCATAATTTGGATCAGCGATAATATTAATTTTCTCATTCTTAGTGTGAATATCATTTGTGTCAGATGTGGTTTCTATATTTTTATCTTCCAGATATTCTCCTTTTTCCAGTTGGTAATCTATTAATTCATAAAGAATTTTTTTTAACCTTGACCTATTTTGCATTAGTGGCTTTTGTGACCAACTTTTATTCCTAATTTTTGATTTAGATTTTTTACTGTTCATTAAATTATTTGACATATTTTTTTTAATGCTTTTGGATTTCATTGGATAATTTCTATTTGATGGGTAGTTTTTTCATAAACAGGTAGCGCTAAAAGTGGTAAAACGTGCTAATCTACAAGAGCTGTATTGCTTACAGTATTCCCAGTATTTAATCAACTCATATTCAAATAGTACTTTACTAGTTTACCTTTATTACAATACATTTATATGACTCTGCCAATTGATGAGTTTAGCCTTTCGATATTTGGAAAATCTTTGTTTATCAAACATGAAATTTTAATTCTGAAAAGAGTAGAAAAGAAAACAAAAGAGAAAAAGGGAAGGAATCACATCTATAATTAAAGTTTTCTAGTAACAAGATGAATAGTTAAACTAAATATATAGAAACTAGTTATTGAATCAAATATTCTTCCAGGAATATCTCTAACATAGAGTCAACATATTAATATAGTCATTTTTTACCATTAGTAATCATACTGAGCTTGATAGTAGTGACTCCTTCAATTATTATAGGTTTATTATTGGTCTCTCCTTCTTTTCCCTCTTATAAAAAACACATATTTTATATTCAAAGATGCCAGATATTATTAAATATGATATAAAAGATTTACAAGAGACTGTTTTAACACCATATCAAAAACATAGGCAATTAAGTATGAAAGAAGCACAATCTATAACGTTAGATATCCTTTCAATATTGTGTGATGGCCAAGTTAAAGATGAAGATACTTTAAAGTGGTTAGCAAGGTTCATGACTTCCGATACGTATTCAGATTTAATGGATGAAAGAAATCTTAACAAATTATGTGGATATCCTATGTGCCATGCATCTCCAGAAAGAGAAAGAGATCCATTTGAGATGTCTAAACTTACTAAACAATTTTTATGGGAAAATAATCCTTATGCTTATTTATCTAGGTTTTGTAGTAAATATCATTTCCGTTGTTCTCAATTTTATCAAGTTCAATTATCAGATGATGCCTTGTTTTCAAGGACTGGGATTCATTTAATAAATAATTCTATGCCAACAAATATTATTATGAATGAAAAATATAATGTTGAACTCATGGAAGCCATGCTAAGGAATAAAGCCACGGAAGATGAGTTTAAGAATATCATATTAGGTGTGAAGAAGTTAGAAATAGATGGACCTGATAAGGTTACTAATGATACTAATACAAACCCAACTCCAGAAGATTTAACGAAATGGTTTGAAGATTTTAAGATCATTGAAAATGAAAAACCTACAATTATAGATGATTATTTGAAAGATCATAGATGAGTTGGATTTGTTGAAAGAAAATGTACTTTGTCATGTATATACATATATGATGAGTGAACACTTTATAAATTAATTGTGAAGATCGCTTAGAAGAACAAAAATAAAGCTATTATGGTAACATTATTAGCTATTTTATTCCTGATTAATATTTGAAATAACTATTGTGAATTGAAGATACACGGATCTATTTTTTTAAAGTTGGTATAATATTAGGTATTGTGATATTTTTAAGGTTTTAAAACGTTAATTCAAAAATATATTCAGGGTTTTACCTATTTCACACTTCAGTTAACGGTTCCCTTTCACTGTATGAATTTGTATTAGTTGAGATATGAAAAAGGAAAGAGAAAAAATATTGGAGTTATAACAATGTAATTGATAAACTATTTATTATTGGATCATAATTCCATTCATTAACTTCATAAGAACCCTATGATTTAATTATTATTATAGTATTAGATTGTTTAGTATTTCATTTTATATTTTTGTCTTAGTTGTGAAAGTATTTTCTGTAAATGAGAAAAATCTTTCAGTTTCATATTTCATAATGACTGGACTAAAAACGTCTAGATGTGCGTCTTGGTAAGAATTATATAGTGTTTTGTGTGTTAATAAGGATCTTATGAGATATAATTGTGTACAAGTTTTAATTTTAATGTAAACAATACACTGACATTTGGAGATCCTCCGCCATGTGATTTTGCTAATTGAAACGTTGGAGAACTTTTTGTTTTGGAAGTATTGGTAAGTGAATTTTAAATTAATATGGATAAAGATTTAATCATTATGGCATGTATGATATTAGTTCTTTTTTTTTAAAAAAAGAAAGAGTAAAGTTTGAGTAAGGAAGTAGAAAAATAGGAAACAGTATAATTACTAGATAACCATTTAAGACCATTGATAGATGAAAAACGAGAAGTCGTACTGAGTTGAGAATTGTCAAGGGCATTGAGATGTTCATTTGCTAATAATTTTTTAGAATATACGTCTGCATAAATAATATGATACGATTTAAGCATGTTATGGAGAAGCTATGAATTAAATAAGTTTGAATAAGCAAATTTTCATTTTAATCAATCGTCATAAGAGTTTTTTAAAATAATATGATAGCAATGGTATTAACTAAGGAAACATGAAGAGATTCCAATAATCAAGTATTTGGTTAGATATATTCCTTATTAACAGAGTTACAAGTAATAAGAACAATAAACGCTTGAACGTGGGTAATCTAGTATAATATGCAACATTTGGAGGTGATTTGAGTTGTAGTGATTGCAAATTGATACTGACAACAGTGCTAAAAAGATAAAACCATTCTCTCTTAACATTATTAATGATATTTGATTAATAACTTTATTTTCTATTTTGTGTCTATAGTATATATATATATATATATATCATAGAAAATCATCAGTGTATCGTCAAATTAGTAAAAAATTGGATTAATAAAATAGAAGAGGATATCTAATAATGTTTATTTAGAAAAAATTTTTTTTCTGTTATTAATAAATATAATATATCTATTTAAGTTAGTAATAAATAAAGTACAATAATTATACAAGTAATAAAAATCATATCGAGAAAAAGAAAAAAGAAAAGAAAAGAAAGAAAGAAAAATTAATCCTTGGCTAATGATTCTGTCTCTTCTTTTACTGCCTTTGCTAAATCTGGATGAACACGCTCAAACATTGCATAAGCCCTATTTCTAAGTTCAGGCCTAGCCCCACATAAGCTTACAGAAATGTTATGGGCCAAATGCTGTTGTTGATTATCTGGTTGTTTGCCTAAAACATGATATAGAGCAGTAGCCTGGACAAAATCTGAATCATCAGTGGTTGTAGTCCAATGATAAGGAAGTGCAGGACCGTTCCAAACTTCTTGATGTTGCTGTATAGGTCTATTTGGTTGAATGAAATTGTACTTAACATTAGATGCATAGTAATTTGGTTCAGAACCAAAATTCCCATTAACATTCATAGGACCGTCTCTAATTAATGGATTGTGGAAATTGGCTGCAACAGGACAATTCACTGGAATTTGATTATAATTGGGGCCTAATCTGTATCTATGAGCATCTGCATAAGCGAATAGTCTACCTTGCAAAACAGGGTCTGCACTGGGTTCTTGGTATGGCACAGTATTACTTGGTGCAAAAGCAGCCTGTTCGATTTGAGCAAAATAATTATCTGGATTCTTATTTAAAATCAATTTTCCAACCCGTCTTAATGGGAATTGGGAATGTGGCCAGACTTTTGTCAAATCAAATACAGAAAATGGTAACTTTTGTGCCTGTTTCTCTGTCATAGTTTGAATGTAAACTGTCCAAGATGGGTAATCACCTTTTTCAATGGATTCATATAGATCTTGTTGGATATAATCTGGATTTTCCCCTGCTAGCTTTACAGCCTCCTCATTAGTCATTGTTTGAATACCTTGGTCAGTTTTCAAATGAACCTGGACATAATGCCATTGACCTTGTTTGTTTGACCATTTATAAGTATGGCCAGAATATCCGTTCATGTGTCTGTATGAACGTGGAGTACCTCTATCTGAGAACAATTGAATAATTTGATGAATAGCGACTTGATTTTCTGGGATGGTGAAGAAATCCCAAACTGCATTGGGATCCTTTAAATTAGTTCTTGGGTTTCTCTTTTGAGTGTGGATAAAAGCAGGGAACTTTGATGGATCTCTGATGAAAAAAATTGGAGTATTGTTATAAACCCAATCTAAATTCCCCTCTTTGGTATAGAACTTGGTAGAGAAACCACGAGGATCCCTTACGGTATCAGCAGACCCACGCTCGCCGGCGACTGTAGAAAATCTGGTTAGACATGGTGTTTTTTTACCTATGGTATCAAACATTTCAGAACCACAGATATCTGTGATATCATCAGTGACTTCAAAATAACCAAAGGCACCGGACCCATGAGCGTGTGGGTTTCTTTCAGGTATTCTTTCACGATTGAAATGTGCCAAACTTTCAATTAAGTTTGAATCTTGTAATAATAAGGGACCATGTTGCCCAATTCTTTGAGTTGCAAAAGGTTCATTAATGGGTGCCCCGTTAGCACTAGTAACCGACAATTGTTGTGAAGATATATTGGTAGCGTTAGCCATGAAAGGGCATTGGTGGGTGTTACTGAAGTTTTTTGGATTATTTTCTTGTGACATTAATAATTGAGTGAAGTAAAGAGTTAATTATAGGTTATTTTTTTGTTTTTGATATTTTTGAAGGTTGGTTTGTATAGTTGGATTGTAGAGAAATAAAAATGGAAAATTAGCTAAATGAATATACACAATATCTCCTATTTATATATATTTCTGTGTATGAATACATGAGTGGAAATGTGAAAAAAGTGTCATTGTCAATAGTAGTTGTTAAAGACTTTACTTAATATATGTTATTAGTAATATTCTTGAATTGATGATATATAATGAGTCCAGAACATGTCCAATGTTTCAGATCTCTTGACATCTTCCTAGTATATTAGATTCGTAAACAAAAAAAAATAAAACGAAAGATCAAATAAACGAACAATGGAAGGAAAATAAGGGAAAAAAAAAAGAAAAAGACAGTAGAAAAACCGAAAATTGTCGAATAATAAATTGTGGAACAATTCCAAATATTTTCCTCGGCATCTTTATTTCCGCATTACCAAATCTTCCGTCCCCTTCTCTCCTCTTTTTTTTCTTTCCCCGACAGTTTTTTTATTTGATTTCATGTTACGTAATTTGTACGGTTTGCTGAATAATAGCATAACACTCGGAAAGAAGATTAAAAAAAAAAACAGAGTTCTCGATCTCAAAGATTTCTAAGATTTGGAAAGAGATCTAATCACAATAATAATAAAAGAAAGTAAGTAACAATCTTAAATGACTAACGTAAACAGTTTTATTGGACTTCTTTTGTTCTAAAAAAAAGCTTAACGATAACATTGCTTGGTATTCTTGCCTAAGGCTAGTCTGACCTATAATCTGCTTGGTAATCTCCAACATTTGTCGCCTCCAGATCTCAATCATAAACATTGTCTTTAAAACGTATTACTAATAGAGATATTAGCATTTTGTATGGAAATTCTTGTATACTTGTATTTTTTTTTACATATATTGGTTTCTTTTTCTTTCACTTTGTTAAAAGTTGTGATTGTTGGGCCCAAAAAAGTGTGACTTGGGATTATTTTTCTTTTAACATATATGGGGTGATCTTAACAATTGACTTATTAATATTACTTCAAAACTCAAAAAAATGTATACTAATATTAATATAGCCTCTTTTTAATAGTTAAATAATAAAGAACATAATATTATGATTAGATTCCCTTCTGTATATACCGCTACTAAATTAAATTATTTTGTGTTATTAGATATGATCATAGCTAATGTATTCAAATTTAATATCACTAGGATTAATTATCATATTTAAAAAAATTATATAGAATTTCAGTTAGAGTAGGTTTCTTTATACTAATTGATGTGATTCATGCATTCACCTGCTACAACTTTTTGAGTTTTTTATTCAGGTAGTTGATGAATAATCTTTTTTTAAAAAGAAAATTTCTGTCTTTTCTTATTTAATTATAGTGTATTTTCCAGTTCTATTACACTTCGACAAGGTAAAATTTCTTTTCGATTCTTCTGCATTTAAATCGCCAAATTGTTTGTTAATATACACATTAAAATTTATGAAGATGTTTTATGTTTTGAATGCGTTTATTTTGGGAAGCCAGTTACTCCCTTTCTAATCTTAGATACGGTTAAAATATTAAAAAAAAATTATTATGTTACTTAAGAATTTCTACTATACTTTAATTTAATTTTCTTTTCAAGGATATTAAGATATTTAAGCTTTTTAACTGTATATTGATTTTAAAATTTGCCATCATTATCATCAGCAGTTACCACTGTTGATGAATTATTTGCTAGTGAAAACAACAATTGTTACCTTTGAACAAGATGCTGTTAAACAATTATATCTCTTTAGGGAAGGAGAAATCTGACAGATTTTGTGAATTTCTTTATAGAAAATTTTTGTAATGTTTTAGGATTATTATTGCTGTTGTTGTCCAAGGAACGAAACAATGTTCTAGTTTAGAAACTTGCAAGGTATAGTGGTATCTTGAAATATTATGATAAGAAGAATTAAACAGTGAGATTAGACAATTGCGTAAATATTATCTTTTTATATACTTCATACGTATCGACTGCTTACTTTTGTTATTAATTATTTTTATTCTTTTTCAATGCTACAAATAAGATTTACTTGTTTTAAAGTAAAATCTTCAGAACGTTATAGAGTATTAAAAATTGAGGTATAATATAGTAAAAGTCTTTTGTCCTATTTATTGTTGCTGGCAAATGGACTTATACAGTTAATTGAGTGCTATAATAAAAAAAAACCTTGTTCAATTCATGTTGTAGATTTTGGTATATCTGATATATGCTTGTATGGCACTACCATACCTCCACTGATTAAAAGATAAAAAATAACTGAAAAGTCTTTTTGTTTTTTTTTTTTCATTTTTTTAAACGAAATAGGTAGTTGTTAAATCGAACAGTGGGTTTAATAGGTAAAGGTGAAAAGGGTTTTATCTTCTACGACTTTTGTTTAAAAATCAACTTTTTTGACTATATCAATTTTTAATTAAATTACTAGTCCTCTTGTGTTCGTCTTTAAATATTTCACTTTGTTGCTCCTTTATTATTAACTATTAATCAGTCAGTAAACAAAATAACGAACAGGGAATACTTTTACTGAAAGAATAAATTTATAAAGTACATAGTCAGTTCTGTCTAAGTCGTAATTTTGATTGAAGAATAATATATTAGATAATATTTTGAAAGAGAAATAAAAAGAAATCAAGCAAAAAAAAATGGTAGAAGAGGAATTAGATACTAATTATGATGTTATCGTCTTAGGTACAGGGATTACCGAATGTATTTTATCTGGGTTATTATCTGTAGATGGAAAGAAAGTTTTACATATTGATAAACAAGATCACTATGGTGGGGAATCAGCCTCAGTGACACTATCGCAATTATATCAAAAATTTAAACAACATCCAATCTCAAAGGAGGAAAGGGAAGCTAAATTTGGCAAGGATAGAGATTGGAATGTTGATTTAATTCCAAAATTCTTGATGGCAAACGGTGAATTGACTAATATTTTAGTTCATACAGATGTAACTAGATACGTTGATTTTAAACAAGTATCAGATTCTTATGTTTTTAAGGGGGGCAAAATTTATAAAGTTCCAGCAAATGAAATGGAGGCCATTTCATCACCATTAATGGGAATTTTTGAAAAAAGAAGAATGAAGAAGTTTTTGGAATGGGTAAGTTCTTACAAAGAAGATGACATTTCTACACATCAAGGATTAGATTTGGATAATAATACTATGGATGAGGTCTACTATAAGTTTGGACTTGGGAATTCCACTAAGGAGTTTATTGGTCATGCTATGGCTTTATGGACCAACGATGATTATATACAACAACCAGCAAGACCAAGCTTTGAAAGAATTCTTTTATATTGTCAAAGTGTAGCTCGCTATGGTAAATCTCCATATTTATATCCAATGTATGGGTTAGGTGAATTACCACAAGGGTTTGCTCGTTTGTCCGCAATCTATGGTGGTACTTACATGTTAGATACTCCAATAGATGAAGTCGTATATAAAGAAGATGGGAAATTTGACGGTGTTAAGACCAAATTAGGTACATTCCATGCGCCATTGGTAATTGCTGATCCAACCTATTTCCCAACTAAATGTAAATCAACCGGACAAAAGGTGATTAGAGCGATCTGTGTGTTAAATCATCCTGTCCCAGGTACAAATAATGCAGATTCCTTACAAATTATTATTCCACAGAGTCAAGTAAATAGAAAAAATGATATCTATGTGGCTGTTGTGTCTGATGCTCACAATGTTTGTTCCAAGGGTCATTATTTGGCTATTATTTCTACAATCATCGAGACAGACAAGCCACATATTGAAATTGAGCCTGCATTCAAACTATTAGGTACAATTGAGGAAAAATTTATGGGTATTGCAGAGTTATTTGAACCAAAGGAAGATGGATCCAAGGATAATATTTTCTTATCAAGATCCTATGATGCGTCATCCCATTTTGAATCTATGACTGACGATGTTAAAGATATATACTTCAGAGTCACTGGTCACCCATTAGTCTTGAAGAAAAGAGAGGATGCAGAACAACAAGAATAAGTAATATAACGTGTCTCCTTTCTGTCTTTTTCATCTTTCTTTTCTTCTCTTAATATGTTGTTATTTTTGTCAAATTCTAAAATACACAATAACCGATTTTTCCCCTTTCGTATCTATATTATTACTATTATGCGATTTTATTGATATCTTCATGTAAATGTTATATAATTACATATATGATTAGATATAATAAAAAAAAGTAGCATAAATCTATGGACCAAATAGATAGGGATGGAAATAGATCAACTTTAATGGAAAAAAATGCTTTTTTCCTCATGCAAGTTAATATCCAATATATATATATATGGATATATATGTATATGTGTGTGTAGTTATGTCCTTGCATATAGATGTTATCCTTTTGTCTGTCTCCCATTCATTTGAAATTTCTTGTAGTTTATTTTTTTTTTTTGTTTGTTTGTTTGTTTGTTTTTCTATATAGGACAAATTGATTGATAAAAGGAACAGCAGAAGATATATCTGTAATATAAAGAAAGAAAGAGATAGAAGCAGATAAAGAGGGAAAAGGTCTAGTAAATCTCAAAAAATATTATATTTATTTTTTATATTTAAAGACAAGCCAATTACGTAGGATAAGATAAGTAGATACATAGAAGTTTATACAGACAAACCAGAAAGTAAAAAAATAAATTAAAATAAAAAAAGCTTTCTTTTTTTGAATGAATTATGAATGGCAATAAAGAACTAGGAGATAGATTAGATACAAATACATACCTTAATGTGGACTCTATCAAGATTCCAGAAGAATCTCTGATACCAGATGACATAATAGACACAATGCCAAACCATCCTGTAATCGAGTTAAGAGAACAGGATAGATGGTTACCGATAAACAACGTGGCAAGATTAATGAAGAATACTTTACCCTCGTCTGCAAAAGTGTCAAAAGAGGCGAAGGAGTGCATGCAAGAGTGTGTGAGTGAATTTATATCCTTTGTGACTAGTGAAGCAAGTGATAGATGTGCAGCAGATAAAAGAAAGACGATTAATGGAGAAGATATTCTGATATCATTGCATGCATTGGGGTTTGAGAATTATGCAGAAGTTTTGAAGATTTATTTAGCTAAATACAGACAGTATCAAGCTACCCGAAATCAACAACTATGTGAAGACGAGACAAAAGAAGAGAATATGAAAGTTAGTAATAATAGTAGCGGTAGTAGTAATAGTAATGGTGATAATGGCAGTGCTGAGGCCGTTGGTGGTGGAGGTGCTAGTTAGTGGTGACACTAATAATAATATAGTCATGGTGACCAATACCTGGATACAGTAGATCAAGCGTGAGGATACCATCTGCCTCACACACTCAATATTCAGACAAATTATCAAGCCACCGAACATCTTTAGACATGTACATACACCCATACATTTTTATATGCATATTATATACGTAAATTAATATATTCACTACATCCGCACACCACACTATGGGATGTTGATGCGGGGTGTCTGAATGCAAGTAGAACCCACCGATTTGTTTCGCTTTCAATAGTCCGCCACACAGTGGGGGGATCCAGCATTTAAATATTTAGAATACCGCATACAAAATATGATACACAATATATGTGATAGGGTATCCTAAGAGCAGTCACAGTATGTTGGATAAGACTGGTCTGTGCCAATGTGTGTATGTGTGTGTGTATGTGTTGATATATTTTAAACAGGTGTTGTTTTGATTATATTATTTTACCATTTGATATTCCCTGTTTTTCTTTTTCAATTGCTCTTTTATTTTATTATTTGGAGGGTACTAATACCACAACAATAACTTGGAGATATAATTGATGTTACGTTTTAAATCACCCAATACTTTGCTAAAGGTTCTTAGACAACCCTTTAGCACACGGTTCATAAATGGTCAAAGATCTATTCATAAATTAGTGGCAGATGCTATCACTTATAATAATAATAATAAAGTCCGTTCAAATCATGCTAGGTTTGCGTCTACAATTACTAATGATACATATCTTAATAAATTAATATCAAATAATGAAGAAATTTTACATTGGAAAAGATATTTAGCTCAAATTAACAATCATGATCATTATCACAATCATAATAATAGGAGGGAAAACAGCCTTGTCGATGATTATAAGTCTCCTTTAGATAACATTGTATTGGACAAGTCTTTTGAGATTTATGATTTAAAACAAATCACTGATCTTTTGAATAAACCAATTATTTTGAAAAATGACACAAGTAATATTAACAAGCATCATAAAGATAAAAATAACAATAACAAGATTGAGAACAAGGATGAGGATGGAAATGAAAATAGGCCTGAAAATGAGCAAGAAAAAAATATAGAGAAAAGAAATGAAAAGGTCTTGAATGAATCAAAGCTAAATAGTTCTTCCTCTATAAGTTCCTCATCTTCTTCCTCCTCACAAAACTCAAATGACGGTAATGATAATAACAACTCTTCGTCTTCCAGTAATAATAATAATAATAAAAGTGATAATTCAAGTATACCAGAAATCTATCCACAGATGTTGGCCTTGCCCATATCAAGAAGACCTTTATTTCCAGGGTTCTATAAAGCAGTAGTGATTTCGGATGAACGTGTAATGAAAGCTATTCAAGAGATGTTAGATCGTCAACAACCATATGTAGGTGCTTTTATGTTGAAGGATTCAGAAAACGATACTGACGTCATTGAAAATATTGGTGATGTCTACCAGGTGGGTGTTTTGGCTCAAATTACAAGTGCTTTCCCAAGCAAAGACGAAAAGACTGGTAAAGAGACAATGACTGCGTTATTGTATCCGCATAGAAGAATTAAACTAAATGATTTGACACCACCACAAATTGATCAACAAAAATTCGAAAAAGAAGAAGAAATGGAAAAGAAAGAAGAAGAAGAAGAACTAACAGAAGAAAGGAATGTTGATGCACAAAAGGTTGAAAAGAATTCCTTGAAACAAAAACAGACAAGTAAAATACCAAAACTCGAAGATATTATTGTAGAGAAAGTGATTGAGCCTCAACAAAGCTCTAATGAATCTTTGAAAAAGACCGATTCAAATGCTGACAAAGAAAAGCATATATCTGATGGGCAAGAAATTCTTAAAAATAAAGAAACTCAACTTACAAGACAAGAAGAAGACGATGTTGAAAATCCTACTGGATTTTTGAAAGATTATAACGTGTCATTGGTAAATGTCTCTAATTTGGAAGATGAGCCCTTTGATAGGAAATCACCAATCATTAATGCATTAACTTCTGAGATTTTGAAAGTGTTCAAGGAGATCTCACAACTGAATACTATGTTTAGAGAACAGATTGCTACATTTTCAGCTTCAATTCAATCTGCTACTACCAATATATTTGAAGAGCCTGCCAGATTAGCTGATTTTGCAGCAGCTGTCTCTGCTGGTGAAGAAGAAGAATTGCAAGATATTCTAAGTTCGTTAAATATTGAGCATCGTTTAGAAAAATCTTTATTGGTATTAAAGAAGGAATTAATGAACGCTGAATTACAAAATAAAATCTCTAAAGATGTTGAAACAAAAATTCAAAAAAGACAAAGAGAATATTATTTAATGGAACAATTGAAGGGGATTAAAAGAGAGTTGGGTATCGATGATGGACGTGATAAATTAATTGAAACTTATAAACAAAGAATCTCTAAATTGCAATTACCTGATTCCGTACAGAAAGTGTTTGATGATGAAGTAATGAAATTATCAACTTTAGAAACCTCTATGTCTGAATTTGGTGTCATTAGAAACTATCTAGATTGGTTAACTTCTTTACCTTGGGGCATTACCTCTAAGGAAAGATATTCTATTAATACTGCTAAGAAAATTCTAGATGAAGATCATTATGGTATGAAAGATGTTAAGAATCGTATCTTAGAATTTATTGCTGTTGGGAAATTGTTAGGAAAAGTAGATGGTAAAATTATTTGTTTTGTAGGACCACCTGGTGTTGGAAAGACATCAATTGGTAAATCAATTGCCCGTTCCTTGAGTCGTCAATTTTTTAGATTTTCTGTAGGTGGTATGACAGATGTTGCTGAAATTAAAGGCCACAGAAGAACGTACATTGGTGCATTGCCGGGTAGAATCATCCAAGCCTTAAAGAAATGTCAAACTCAAAACCCACTTATATTAATTGATGAAATTGATAAAATTGGTCATGGTAGTGTACATGGTGATCCATCGGCAGCTTTATTAGAAGTATTAGATCCTGAGCAAAATGGGAACTTTTTAGATAATTACCTTGATATTCCAATCGATTTATCGAAAGTGTTATTCGTTTGTACTGCAAATAGCCTTGACACAATTCCAAGACCTTTATTAGATCGTATGGAAGTCATTGAATTAACAGGGTATGTGGCCGAAGAAAAAGTTAAAATAGCTGAACAATATTTGGCACCTCAAGCCAAAAAAGCAGCTGGGTTGGAGAATGCTAATGTTGAATTAACTGATGATGCTGTTTTGGCTTTAATGAAGAATTACTGTAGAGAAAGTGGTGTTAGAAATTTAAAAAAGCATATTGAAAAGATTTACCGTAAGGCAGCATTGAATGTATTGAAAGAGTTGAAACTTGAGGAAAATGGTCAGAATCTGGAAACTGCCATGGCGACGATGACAACAGTATGTGATAGCAACTCTATGGATGGGATAGATAGTAAGAAAGGTACACAAATAATATCAGAGAAAATAGATAGGACAGGGATGAACGATGAAATTGAAGTGGAAAAGACTAAAGATAATGAAACTTCAATGATAGTTCCTCCAAAAATTAAGATAACTATTGATGCAAATAATTTGAAAGATTATGTAGGTCCACCAATTTATACTACTGATAGACTTTATGAGACTACACCTCCTGGCGTTGTAATGGGCTTAGCGTGGACTAATATGGGTAGTTGTTCTTTGTATGTTGAATCAGTATTAGAACAGCCTTTACATAACTGCAGGCATCCAACGTTGGAAAGAACTGGTCAATTAGGTGATGTAATGAAGGAATCATCCCGTTTAGCATACTCATTCTCGAAGATGTTTTTGGCTAAACGTTTCCCTGAAAACAGGTTCTTTGAGAAAGCTTCAATCCATCTACATTGTCCTGAAGGTGCTACTCCCAAAGATGGTCCATCTGCTGGCATAACAATGGCTACATCCTTTTTGTCTTTGGCCTTAAATAAGTCAATAGACCCTACAGTGGCTATGACAGGTGAATTAACTTTAACGGGAAAAGTACTTAGAATAGGTGGCCTAAGAGAAAAGGCAGTTGCAGCTAAGCGTTCTGGAGCCAAGACTATTATTTTCCCTGCGGATAATATGAGTGACTGGGAAGAATTACCATCAAATGTCAAGAAAGGATTAGAACCAGTACCGGCTGATTGGTATTCAGATGTCTTTAAAAGATTATTTTCTTCCATCTCAAAGGAAGATGGAAATAATGTATGGCAATCTGAATTTAAAATTATAGATGAAAAAGAAAAGGAACATAGCATTTCTGCATAATTATGCAATCTAAATCATGTTAACTGCTTTATTTTGCCTAATCTATGTAATATTTGTTTGTCTTTTCATTTTGCTTATTTATTTATCATTTAAATAACAATCTATTTTTTTTTTCACCATGATCATTGTAAATAGTAAACATATAAATTGATAAATATTTTTAAAACAATATATATATACATATGTGTATGTGGTATAGAAAATAGAATAACTCATTATTAGCTATTTTTTGTGTCTTTCAAACTCAGAATATCTTTGCTGATTCATATTACCATAAACTGAAAATAGGCTATTGACAGTTATTACATGTCCCTTTTAGGAAAACAGATGCCCTATTTCGAGATATCGAAAAAAAAAAATATTTGAAGATCAAAAGCTAACAAATCAAAAGAAATGAATTAACTTATAGAAAAGAGTTGATTTATTTTGTAAAGAATGAATAAAGTTTCGAAAAATCTAATTGAGTAATCTTTGTTGTACTAGTTTATGAAACACAAAGGATTCTTTATTGTATTTTTTTTGAAGTCAATATTACTAAGAGTTCGAGAATAAAGAGGATTACTTCTTCTTAATCAATACGGCAAACATTAAAAATTTAAAAATGTCTGAAAATAGAAGACGTAGACGTGAAATCGATGATGACGTTGATTCTGAACCAGACTTGCCGCCATCCTCACCACAACAAACAGCTAGAAGTCTGGGTCTAGGTGCAAACTCTTCTCCTATTGGATCTCCCTACTATGGTGATGAGGATCAGGATAATGATATGATTAACCCTGAAGGTGATGATAACGAAATTGATGATGACCCTGATATTGACGAAGTAGAAGAACGAATGAATCAGGTTGATCTGATAGATGATGATATGTATAGGGATTATGCACTTGATCCGGAAAAAGATAGATATGATACAAATCAACTAGATGATACTGCACAAAGAGAACTTACATTAGGTGAACGTCGTCGTATTGATGCACAGTTAAATGAAAGAGACAGACTTTTAAAAAATGCAGCATACATGGAAGATGAGGAGGAAGATGAAATGAATAATGAATTAGATGCTATGGGGCTACCGGTTCAAAGAAGAAGACGCAGAAGACAATATGAAGAATTTGCACATAGTTATGATGATTTATTAAGTGATATGGAAATTGATCCATTGACAGAGGAATTAACTCTTGAGTCGCTAAGTAATGTAAAAGCTAATAGTTATTCAGAATGGATTACTCAACCGAATGTTTCCAGAACAATTGCAAGAGAATTAAAGTCTTTTCTTTTAGAATATACTGATGAAACCGGAAGATCGGTGTATGGTGCACGAATTAGAACTTTGGGTGAAATGAATTCGGAGTCATTAGAAGTTAACTATAGACATCTGGCAGAATCTAAGGCTATTCTTGCTTTATTTTTAGCTAAATGTCCAGAAGAAATGTTAAAAATTTTTGATTTAGTTGCTATGGAGGCCACTGAATTGCATTATCCTGATTATGCCAGAATTCATTCCGAAATTCATGTTAGAATATCAGATTTTCCTACCATTCTTAATCTACGTGAGTTAAGGGAATCTAACCTTGGTTCTTTGGTACGTGTAACTGGTGTAGTAACAAGAAGAACCGGCGTTTTCCCACAGTTAAAATATGTAAAATTTAATTGTTTGAAATGTGGTACTGTGTTGGGTCCATTCTTCCAAGATTCTAATGAAGAGATAAAGATTTCATTCTGCACCAATTGTAAATCAAAGGGACCATTTTCAATAAATGGCGAAAAAACTGTATATAGAAATTATCAAAGAATTACATTGCAAGAAGCTCCAGGAACAGTCCCTGCAGGTCGTTTACCAAGGCGTAGAGAGGTTATTTTATTATCAGAGCTGGTGGATGTTGCTAAACCAGGCGAAGAAATCGAAGTTACAGGTATTTACAAGAATAATTATGATGGTGGATTAAATGCAAAAAATGGGTTTCCTGTTTTTGCTACTATCATTGAGGCAAATTCTGTTAAAAGAAGGGAAGGTAATCTTGCAAACCCTGAAGAAGAAGGTTTGGATGTATTTAGTTGGACTGAACAAGAAGAAAAAGAATTTAAAAAGCTTTCTAGAGATCGTGGTATTATTGATAAAATAATTTCATCTATTGCACCATCTATATATGGTCATAGAGATATTAAAGTTGCTATTGCATGTTCTTTATTTGGTGGTGTTCCAAAAAATGTGAATGGAAAACATTCCATCCGTGGTGATATTAATGTATTACTGTTAGGTGATCCAGGTACGGCGAAATCGCAAATACTTAAATATGTAGAAAAGACTGCTCATAGAGCAGTTTTTGCAACTGGTCAAGGTGCTTCTGCTGTAGGTTTGACAGCTTCTGTCAGAAAAGATCCAATCACCAAAGAATGGACATTAGAAGGTGGTGCATTGGTTTTGGCGGACAAAGGAGTATGTTTAATTGACGAATTCGATAAGATGAATGATCAAGATCGTACTTCAATTCATGAAGCTATGGAACAACAGAGTATTTCCATCTCAAAAGCAGGTATTGTGACAACATTACAAGCACGTTGTTCTATTATTGCAGCAGCCAATCCTAATGGTGGGCGTTATAATTCCACATTACCGTTATCCCAAAATGTTAATTTAACAGAACCTATTTTATCTAGATTTGATATACTATGTGTAGTGAGGGATTTAGTAGATGAGGAAGCAGACGAAAGATTAGCTACATTCGTTGTTGATTCTCATTTCAGATCACATCCAGATAATGAAGAAGGGGTAGATGCTCCAGAAGAATCTGTGGATGGTATTGATAATCTCGATGATGGTGAATATGTTTCCGTAAGACAAAGGACCTTAAAAAGACAAAGAAAAAAAGAAGAAGAAATATCTCCTATTCCTCAGGAGTTGTTAATGAAATATATACATTATGCTAGGACCAAAATACATCCTAAGTTACATCAAATGGATATGGATAAGGTTAGTAAGGTGTACGCTGATTTAAGAAGAGAAAGTATATCCACAGGATCATTCCCAATTACAGTACGTCATTTAGAATCTATATTAAGAATTGCCGAATCTTTCGCTAGAATGAGACTCTCAGAATTTGTTTCTTCGTGGGATTTAGATAGGGCTATTAAAGTTGTTGTTGATTCTTTTGTTGATTCTCAAAAGATTAGTGTACGTCGTCAACTACATAGATCTTTTGCCATTTACACTCTTGGCCAAAACTCTAAAAGCTAGTCTTTTGTACTATAACAATTTATTATTATATATATATACTTGATTGTGATAATAGTTTCTAGTAGGTAGATAGAAACAAATGTATATAAGATAATTATTAGATGACCATTTTCTGATCAGAAAAAATTGAAAAAGTTCAGAAGACAAATCAAAAAGAAAGTACCTTATATTAGCATATATGATGTTAATGTTATTTGGCTTTTGAATTATCTGTTACTTATTAATAGTTCCATAGAATCGATCTAATAATATATGGATATTTTTCTTCGAAAACCTTATATTAACAGAAGTAATATTAATGTAATATGGAAGCATTACGTTTTCTTTCAGCATGATCGCTTTGAAAATTCTTATAAAAATATTGTTGTTAATTGCTTAATTTGTTTTATAAGGTTTAAATTAATCCGTCAATCTATAAAAAGATTTAGCTGTAGTGACACTTTTCAAAGTAGAATCTCACAAAAGATTTTAAAAAAATGTATACTTCCAATGATAATTCTTCTAAAACAAATATATGATTTATATTATGATAATGCATTATTATGGAATCACTAAAAAGATTTAAAAACTTTTTTTTAACAAAATAAAAATTTGATACCAGAATAAATAGCTTGACGCTATTAGATTGAATGATAGTTGTATTTGAAGATGTCGTTTAAAAGTTATAATAGTTAGGTCATCTGTGTAATTTCTAACTAGGCCTAACGTTTTATCATAATTGTCAATAACAGTTTGATAACTTTAATATGGTTTCAGTGATTTGTTAATAGGTCTAATGAATTAAAAAGCCTCATTCAAGGTGTCCAAAAGAAATTTTGTTATTTTTCTTTAAAAGAAGATATCATGAGTTTTTGGTATCTTTTAAAATTGTTAAAGGGGTTGATATAGTGCATATATAAATCAATTTTTTTATATTTTTTTCTGTCTCAGATATAATATTTTCAAGGAAGAGTTATTTAATCTGAAAGGTTATTTTGTACCATTATGTAAATCTTAAAGTAATTGTGTAGTTTTAGAGCTGAATCTTGTCTATATATGTAGGAGATGGTGATAAACTTATAAAATTCAAAAAGGAAGGATGTTATGGACACAAACTTTTGTCTATAATTATTAGCACCAGTGGTCTCTAATATTAAGAATTTGCGTTGTTTTTGGTAATTTTTTCGGGCATATGTAATTGCAAGTTTGATTAATTTGAATAATATAATAATCATTAAGGCAATTAAATCTCTTTATTATTAACTATTATGGTAAGTAAATATAATAAATGGTTCTACTTAACTATTTTAATTTTTTTATTTACAGAATTCTTTTAATTAGTGACTCTAAATATTATAGATAAATTCTTTTGTTAACATTGTTTAATTTTTGTCTACCCGCCTTTGTTAATAACAAATTAACTTAGTTGCTTAAAATAAGTTTCTTATTTATTGTTTTTTATAATAATTTCACTTGTTTTGTTTTTAAACTTGGTTACCTTTTCATAATATGTCTTTTACAACATTTTTAGTTAATGAGTTGCTAAAATTCAACCATTTTTTATTTCACGTTTACATTATTTTATTAGTTTATAATAGTTTATGATAACTTTGAATGTTCTGCTTTGGACCATTTCAGGCAATATTAATCAGTATCTCTAATAGATAAACTATTATCTTGTAGTAAAACTGTTTCTTTCATGTTCTATTCTATTAGCAAATACTAATAGGTATCAAAATATATTTATCAAAATATATTTTTGTTCTGTTCCCTCATGAAGTGTTCTTTCATCTTCAGATTTTGATAGCTCAAATAAATTGAAGAAGTACCGTATAATGAAGGTAGTGAAATGGTTGAAATAGACAAACCAACAATCTTTTATATATCAAATATCTGCAGGGAAATCTCTATAGTTCACAAATTTAACAAATGATTGTGCAGGGCCTTTGCCAATTATTGGTTTGGAAGTCTCAGTATTATTTGTCAAAGCAGTAGCATCTTCACTCTCAGAACCATCATCATAGCTTTCACTTGTATTCTCTGTTCCCTCTGAATCACTATCCAATTCAGTAGCTGATTCTTCCGAATCCATAGAATAGAAATATTCTTCTATCCATTGATCCACCAGTAAACCTAATGTAATTAAACTTGTTTCATCAAAACAGTTAATTAGATGTGGATACCTTTGTATACACAATTGGGTTAAGAAATAATGTAAAACTTTTAGGTCTATTTGGGGTGCTAAATTGCCGGTATATAATCCCTCTTGTTTATCTATTTCTGATATTTGTTCAAAATCATTTCTTGATTTAAAAGGAATAGGTAATATATGGTTAATTTTCTTTGATAATAATTCATCTGCTGGCATAATATGATTTTTGGACACTTTGATAATGCTATTACATGCATCATACACAGTATACTTATTCAAGTTCGCGTTAGATTGTTTACTCATAGTTGTTTCTAATGTTTATCCGTTTTGGTGTATCAACAATATTGTAGATTATTAGGGAAGTATATGTATAGATGTATATGTATATCCTGTGTCTGTGGGTGTAAAAAACTTATAATTAAAAGTTGAAATGTTTCTATGCTCTGATTCCTTTTTTTTCACTATCGGATATTGGTTTCTTTCAGTAATTAGAATCTATAGAATCAAATTTTTGGATGCAACGGTATTCATGAGATAGCTTTTTCTATGGAGATGAATGGATATATATTAATGACTTTCCCCAGAGTAAATTACCACAAGATAAAAAATAAAATATTAATTATTTTAATTTCAATATTTATTTCTCTAAGAAAAGTAAATAAAAACATATACATAAAAATTGAAGGTAATTTTAAAATGAGAAGGACATAAATTGAAAACGAGTTATAAAACAGTTTTATTGTGTGACTATGTTCCAGTGATATTAAGAAACTTGATACCTTTCTTACAGTCTCGCAACGCTTTTGATATCTTTAAACAATCTAAACACCTTATAATTAATCTTGGATCATTTACTAGTACAGCAGTCCTATAAATGGATTTGATGATATAATCCACTGGTGGAGGTGAGTTTGCAGCTAACATACTTTCTAAAGTTAATGAACTCCAGTCTTTCGCAATAGAGTTATCCTTATGTAGTTTTGCAGAGTTCAGCCCTGTAAAAGGATCATTAACACTTACTTTACTGTATGATCTTTGGGATTTTGATGGACTTTGTAAGGGGTTATTTACCTTCATTAACGGATCAATCGAGTCGTCAAAATATTCCTCACCTTTCTTGATCTTTCTTTTCATTTTCTTCAATGAAAGTATGCCAACACTGGATTCTAGATTGGCCAAAGATTCATCACGAATGTCACGGAAGTATCTCGCATCACGTAAAGACGTTCTTGAAGAGTTTTCTGTAGATTTTCCAGAAATTACTGTATCGTTTTCGTTTAAATTTTCTAGGATAGACCTTTCAGCTAATTTCTCTTCTTTTGTGTGACTGGAAGCACTACCATTATCAGTAATAACATCACTATTGCTGCTGCTACTCGAACTGCAAGTATCATCTGGAGTTAAAATATCTAATGGATCTATATGGGGTATAGAACCCTTTTTACGTTTTGGTTCGAAACTGTAACCACCATTTATGGATTCTGGTTTATTAGAAAGTTTTTTTAACATAATTTTTGGTGAAGTGTATAGTAAGTCATCCCCATAATGGGAGATTTGATCCTCATCAGGACCATTAATACCAATTTCTTTACTCAAACTCGATTTTTTTCTGACTTTAGGGGATTGAATTATTGTAGATTTTCTTGGTTCAAATGGAACACTAATAAACCCACTTGACGAGCCAAGTGAATTTAGACTAGGTCTAGGACTGGGGTCATACATAGTATGAAAAAAGCTATTTAATTGCCCTGTCATATCATTCCTCCATGAGGTTATTCCATCAATACCATCCCCATCACTACTGCTTCCTCTACTGCTTTCAGAATAGGTTCTTGAAGATCTCGCGAGGGTATCAATTTCTATAAATCCATCATCAATCATTTCCAATGATTCTTTAATTTTAATTAAATCTTTATAGTATGAACAATTATTTAAATAATTTGTTATTTTGTCTTTATTATTTTCAAAATGTTCTTCAACACGATCTTTGAATGATACTTCTGTAGCCTTACAAATTAAATACAGACTTTTTTCTTTTTTTCCAATTAGAAAATAAAGTACTTCTGAAACCAAGCTGTAAAGTAGTGGTATTTCATATATTTTGCTCATTACTAGTATATCAAGAACAACTGGTGCAAATAACCACTTACTACTAACTTGACCTGTATAAAAAAATTCTGAAAAAGCGCGAATTGTAGGAGTTGGCCATGGCATATATAAAGACCGTGGAATCATTAGTGGCTCTAAATCAAGAGGCGACATTGGTATGTGACTGCTGATACTATCAGTGTTTGAAGTTATTGACAATCTTGACATCCCATTAATCATAGAGTTATTCTTAGACAAATCATAAAAGGTTGCGTTGCTTGTTTTTGGTAGAGAATAATTTAATTTTTCTTTGTCTAGTGAATTACTTTGAAAATTAGTTTCGCTTGAACTTTCTAATAACTGTTTATCTAAAGAATTTTGAACAGTGTCCACTGATGATTTCATGTCTGGAATGCTATAATTATTTAAGTAAGAAGGTCTTCTTGATGACAGTGGGCTTTCTTTACTAGAAATTTCATAATCATATAAAGACGTATGGTTACTAGATATTGATGGAGTGGGCAAGGGCTCGTTTGGAGCTTCCATTTGAGGAGGTAGCGTTACTGATAGAAAACCAGGATTTTGCAATTCATGAATACTATTTTCTCTGCTACCATTTCTACTTTTTCCCATCCTATCAGAAGAAGAGCTCACGAAGGAGATAGAACTCCTAGCACTGGATCCAGTTTTGGAGAATAGGTGCTGCAAATTTTGCACGATAGGAATATCATTTTTTCCACTGACTGTAGGATGTGATGCACGTCTATGACGTAAATCAAAATTCCATGGGTATGTTATTTTACTTTTATCTTTGAGTGGCAAACCCATAAGTGATGATCTTCTCTTTTTATTATTATTTGAATTATTTATTTTATCTTGGTATAAATCTCGTGCATTTGGTGAGCTTGTTGTTGTAATGTTATTTTCCTTAAAGGGCACTCTAAACACCAACCCACCAGAAGAACTCGTGGTTGATGAGGATACATGTGCCTGTGTTGAACTTGGATTATTCTTATAACTACTTCTAGTATTGTTTGAAACAATATTTGAAAAATTACCTGTAGTTGCATGTGGAGGAATAGATTCATCTCCATCATCAATTTTAAATGAAATACTCGAAAACCTTCTGGAGGAGTCTGGTTGTAGAAACTGTATTTTTTGAGACATCATATTATTATTATGTGATGGAGTAATATCAGACAATAATTCTTTATCCTCATCTAATGAATCGGATCGTCTTACAGTGGTATTCGGTAGTGAATTATTTTCAATTTTCCCAGTAACGACAGGAGTTTTGTACGATGAGGTGTTGCTAACCCCACTAATACTATTTTCGGCATCTTGTCTAGAGAGGGAGTGTGAAAGGGAACTAATAGAAGACCAACGTCTATTGCCACTAAGGTCTGTAGAGCCAGCTCTAGATGATCTTTGTGTATTTTTCAGAAGTGCTGATTGTACCCCAGATTGCTCGTAATCTGCAATAACATTAGAATAACTTTTGGCCAGCAATAAGTCGAAATATCTACCCCACCTTTTTCTTAATAAATATAATGGAACTCCAAGGGTATCTCCTTCTGAAGTGATAAATTCAAAATCTGATAAGGATTTACCAAAAATTTCAAGGGAATCTTTACCTAAAACCATGGCATAAGAAGGAAAGGTAGATCTAATGTTATTTAAGTCGACAGAAGGTGCAATGTAACGAGTATATTTTTCAAACTGAGACATAGAGTTCTTTCTATCATTTTTTTCACTATCTCTAATCTCTTGTGCTTTTTGTTCATAGCTCGCAGTTAACTTTTGCTTAAATATATTGTTTAAATTATTTGGTGCTACTGAATTGGAAATATCATTACCTAAAGCTAACCATGGTGTTTCTGATAACGATGGATAGATATTATTAAAATCGTTTATCATTGATAAACTAAATGTTAATATATGATCAAATTTTTGGACACTAGGTAAATAACCATCGTTTTTTTTAGTTCCTAATAAAAATGCTTGATGATGAGATTTCCAGACAAAAGTCCTCCAAAATCTATGTTCAGCATGTTGTGAATCAAGGCATTTGATCGATATATTAGTCCATTTCCCTGAAATAGTGTCAAAGTTAAAACATTTGAAACTAGATGCCTTTCTGTCTGGATAAAATCCACCAATTAATATATTGTTTCCATAATTATCTCCTGTTGGAGACTTCAGATTAAATGGTTCTACCAAATGTTCCTTTTTTTGAAGTCCATTGTATGTCATTCTCACCCCCTCAGAGTTGGGTATTAATGGTAATGCAGTAATAGGAGAAATAATCCTATTAATTTTATCTTTTTCATGGATAAGGTTAATATTATCATTGTCATCTGATATATCATCTCTTTTTACTTCTTTGTTTGATATATCTGTTGTGTTTTGACAATTGGGTGTAAAAAATGCTAAGGTTGGAATTATGCTTTTATTATTGTCCATTAAAATACAAAAGTTTCTATCATTGGTTAAACTTATGGGAAATGAGTCAATATTTGTCTTTAAGGTCAAAGGTTTAGGTGGAATTACATCATTTTGCCAACAATTTTTAGTAATATTGTATACTTCTATAGTGTCAATTGGTTCATTTAGATTGGTTAACCCACCAACAATAATCAATTTGATGTCTTTGGTATCAGAAGATTCATTTACCACATGCATAGTATGATTGAATCTTCTTGTAATGCTTGGATCATCCGAAAGTAAAGTCCATTTAGAAGGTTTTGGTCCTTTTAAATCTAGTTTCCATAATTCATTAGAGGCAACTAGCTCATAACCATTTTGTGGTGATACAATCAAACCACCAAACATGTATAAAGCAGAGTTAAAAAAACAGATTGAATGATATAATCTTTCTTTTAAGGGACAGAGTAAAGGATGACATTTATTGACTTCAGCTGTAGGCGTCGTTATTGTTAAATGTGTATTAGATTCAGGATCATTTTCCATGGTAAGTTGGGTGGATTTATTAATTGTAGATTGTTCATCAATGGTAGTTGGAATATGTTTCCAAGTTCTGGAAATGAGATCTAAGAAAAATAGTTCTGAACTCATATGTTGATTCAAATTTTGGAATGAGATGCCATCTTTATTTCTTTGTTTAGCAAAATACAGGATTAATTCCTTCTGTAATTTCAAAGTATTAACCTGATTTAAATTTAAGGGAATTGTTAATCCGCCATGTACATAAATATTTGATCTAGCTATGGTTATAGCAGCACCTGTTCTATATTCCAACCCCAGTTTTCTTTGTACTACTTCATCAAATGTGGTAGACTCACCTTTTGGAGTATAAACGACATTAGGTAATTTCAAAGAAAAACATTCTGCATCGCTTGGTTTCAAAATAGTCATTACTTTAGAAGCAGTTCAGTTTAGACGGTTATATTTATGCACGGATGGTTTATTTAATAGCAAGTAAACTATTAAATATGTATAGAATTTATTGTTTTTGATTTAACCGATGTTGAAAGAAAAGTATTCTATCCTCTAAATTTTTTCTTTATATGATTATATATGTATGTGTGTATTTCTAATAAATAACTTAATTAGGTTACCTCTACTGCTATTAGTAGGAAGGTTTGACGGAAGATTTCAGGCATAAACCCTTTCAGATCTGTTTAACCATCCATCTTTACGCTTCTGTATAATTTATATTTTTTTTTGTTCCTTGTCAAAAAAAAAAAATAGAAGATTTCAGAGTTTCCCTTCCCTTTGTTTTTGATCTTACAAAAAAAATAATATAAAATAGAAAAATGTATATATATTTTTGCTTTAGCTAGAAATCATTGTCCCTAAGAAAATTTAAATACCCTAAGTTAAGAGGAATAATAAAACAGAATAATTGTATATATAATATACAGACCTAATTTATATGTTTCATTCTGAATACCTTTTTTTTTAGCGGGGCATCTTAATTTTAATAAGGTGTCTTTTTGTTATATATGTGTGTTGCAACGTTTCACTAAATAGGTGATCATAAATAATTCCAAAATGTTTGACCCTCAATCTGTTTGATATGTTTAAACATTAACTGTTTTGAATATATACATGTTGAAAATATCAGATAAGATGTGATGAAGGAAGGAAATATATGTAGTATAACTTTCCTATAGGACTTTCTTATGTATATCTATCCTATTTGAAAAAATTTTATCTATCTTAGCTTACGAAAAACAATTTTATCATTGGCACAAATCTGATAAAAGCTGTACAGGAGTAATTTACATTTACAGAAATAATAAAAGTGTTATCGTAATGCAGTTACTTGCTAATTATTTTGTGGAAGGAACAAGAAAGGAAGCAAATAAAAAAGACGGTATAATTGGCAGTTCAGAAATGGTAGAAATATCAGTGTTTTATATATAATATTTGTACCTTATTAGTTTTGACAATTTTGTTGTAACTTTAAGATGGGGTAAAAAAAAGGTAGCAGTAATGGATCTCTCACTCAAGCCTGGGCTGCTTTTAAAAAAAAAACAACTAGAAAAACTAGATAAAAACTATTTTGCCCTATAAAAGTATCTGAGTTCTAGCTTTATTGTAACTTTTTTTTTTTAAATTTATGACAATTTTAGCCCTAACATTTTTGGTTAAAGAGACAGAAATATTTTTTTTGTTTTTTATAAAAAGAAAAAGATATCTAGTCCGTTTTTTTTATTGTTTTTCTTATAAAGGAATAGAGTCTTACTTAGATCATATATAATGAGAAATATGCTTAGTATGTAGACATTGTTGACTAAGTAAATTAATGTTCTTTTTTTATATGGAGTAAGGGTACATATATATATAAATCGAATAAATTAGATGAGAAAATATAATCAAAAAAATTATAACACTGTTGCAATCCATCCTAATATTAGGTATAATATTCCCAATGGGAATAATTGGACAAATCCTTTACTTTTTGTGATGAATGCAGTACATTTAACTGCTGCAAAGACCGTCCCGACTAATGTAATTAGTTCTATGAAAGTTAATGCTCTAACTATCATGTTTTGAGCGGAATTTGATGATATTTTTATGATTATTGGAATTAAAATTTGTGACAATAAAGAATATAAAGCTATAAGGGAGAGAGGATAACCACATAAAGATAAGTATGAAATCAAGGAAATCTTTCTGGTTGGTTCAATCAGTCTCAAATGTAATCCCATTAAGAATAGCATAGACCAACAAAATAAAAATAGAGTGGAAAAGATAGATTTACCGTGTGATACACAAAGAGAATAAAATATGATAAATAAAAGGGGTGTCCACATATCACAACTTGTTGTTAAACTGTTGATTTCATCATCTGTGATATTTATTCTTAAAATTGGAGTAAATGTTAATTTTAATCTTTCCATAATATCGCGAATATCTTTTGATAAAGTTTCCATTACAGACTCATCTAATGTTCCTCTTTTGACAACGGGGCTAACGTCTGTAGGTATGTAATTGTCTTCTTGAGTAGTTTCCATGCCAGAAGCAGAAAATGGATTTGAATAATCTGATGTGACATTATTACTCATGCTAGATGTACCCTTGTTACCGCCACTAAACACATCTGGTTCAATGAAATTTGAATCGATATTATCCGGCATTTCGCTATATTTGCTATTTAGTGATAAACTTGTGAAAATTATCTAACAGATTTAAAGAAAATATAAAAATAAAATGATTGTTTGATTAGTCCCTCTTGTATTTATTGTCTTGGTGGCTGGTTGATAAGTTTATTATATTATCTTTTGTAATTGTTCTTCCAGAGGATCAGAGGCTGATATATTAAAGCATAGATTTTTTTTCTACCTTGCTTTCAATCATTTTTTTGCATTCTTTCCTTTTTTTTCTCGTCTTTCGACTCTTTTTTTTTTGGACGTTTTTGAACAAGTAAAGAGCAAAAGAGCATATTATTCCTAGAATACCCTAATTGAGCTTTTTAGAATATAGTACACATTTTAATGTTTTTTAAATAACCCTACTTTTAATTAACCGTGTTATTATTGTTTTTTTTTTTCCAAAAATAATTTTTTTAATAATGTTTCTTTCTCTTACAACAATATTCATAAATTATTTGAACGCGAGATAAAAAAAAAATTCTTTTTTTTTTCTGTTTCTTGATGGGAACATAAAATAAACAAACTATATGTTAAGTTATTTTATTTGTATGTAAATACCTTTTGCCAACATTAAATAGCATAAAAATATTATTTTGTGATTTAGAGAGTACATCATTCAGAAATAGTTCCACAAAAAAGGTATCTAAATCAAAAAAAAAAGAAAAATGCAGTGGTCTTTATCACAACTTATCTTTTCCATCTTTCTTTTTACTATTGTCAATGCCCATAATGTTTTACTACCACCATATGGTCGTCGTTGTTTCTTTGAAGAATTAAATAAAGGTGATGAATTAGCCATTTCTTATCAATTTGGTAACAGGGATCCACAACATAACACTCAATTGACTGGTGACTTTATTGTGTTAGGGCCTGAAAGAAACGAAATATTAAAAACTGAAAGGGATGTGTCTCACGGTGATTTCTCAATGATTATTCCATATAAGGGGAAATACCAATACTGTTTTGTTAATGAAAATTCAGGAATTAACACTAAGGACGTAACCTTCAATATTCACGGTGTGGTTTACGTTGATCCAAACGATATTAATGCTAACACCCTTGATGGTGCTGTTAGATCCTTAAATAATTTGGTTCATGCTGTTAAGGCAGAACAAAGTTATATTGTTATTAGAGAAAGAACACATAGAAACACTGCTGAATCTACTAATGATCGTGTTAAATGGTGGTCTATATTCCAAGTTGTCGTTGTTATTGCCAACTCTCTTTTCCAAGTTTACTATTTGAAGAGATTTTTCGAAGTTACTTCGTATGTTTGATTTAATTATATATTATTAAAAAAGATTTTACATTTATACAGATAGCTAATATTTATATAAAGTAGCTACATATATGTGTATTTTTAAACATACTAGATTTTTGTCTTTTATTAAATACTGTATTTTGTTTTTTGCATAGTTTTTTAAATAATTGCAAAGTCTCATGTTATATGTGTGAATATCACCATGAAGAAAAATAAAACAAGTTTTATGTCACAAAATATCTACATTCATTTAAAAAAGTAAACATAAAGGGTGTTATCAATGTGTAATTATTAACCTACTTTCCCTCACTGACATAATTTTTCATATATTATGAATGCTGTACTAATTGAATTATGTTTATTCACCCATACACTTGAAAGTCTCGAAATTCATTGCAACACCCATACATTTTTCTATTAATACCAATAGATCAAAAATAAAATGCCACTTGCCAGAATTGAACTAGCGACCTTTGCATTACAAGTGCAACGCTCTACCACTAAGCTAAAGAGGCACCCAGTACATGGGATGCTACAGGATAGGGAAGTTATTACCATCAAGATTACATAAGATCCTGAATGAATCTAGAACTATTTATTGTTTTAATAAACCATACACGTGCTACAACATTAGATGCTGTATAATAAAAAGATTAGATTACATAAGATTTTGACAAATCTAGAATTTACCTATTGTTTTAATAAGTTCCACGTGTATTACTAATTACCATGATTAGAGAATGGGGGTACAGTTCTAAGTCACTAATGTACCTAAATTAATGTAATAAATTTTAGGGTTTAAATCAGTCAAGTCATTAATGTACTAATCTGAATAATCGATCGAGCTCCAGAAAACACATAAAAGGACAACGTTTTCTGGAGATAAAAGATCATCTTCCATAACCATTTCTTGTAAATAATTTATATATTATATATGAACAAAAATAGAACAAGCAAGTAACAAGCCAAGTAACTTCGAATAAATATATTAGCTCGTTAAAGCCGCTCAATATATAAGACCGTTTTAGTAATTATATTATCGACTATAGTTGATTATTGTCTTGATTATTTGAATAACTGTTAGTATTATTTGCGCTTCCTTGAAATACACAAAAGAATCTGACCATTTTAATATTACAACAGGGGGTTCTGTATAATAAAGTTGTTATAACCATCAGGATTCCATGGTAATGGTAAACATCATTAAGTTATAGATACTTAGAGTATTTTGTACTAAATACGTGTATATACTTATTATATTGTATATAAAGTATACATTCTTGTATTTACTTCAAGTCTTTTTTTAAAGTTTTTCATTTCTTTTCAAATCTGTGAAAAACATATTTGGTAGAAAATAAAATGTCTTCCCGATATTATGGTATATCCCTGTACCATAATATACAGAAAAACTAATTAAAACAAATTCTTATGGAAATGAGAGTTTATTACTCTCATTTTCCAACATAAATATTAGGGTTTGGATCACTAGTTTATTAATATATCAAGTTAAGTAATTAATCGAGTTCCAGAAAACATATAAAAGGACAACGTTTTCTGAAGATGAAAACTATCTTCTATAAATCCTTTTTTATACATAACTTATATATTAGAGGAATAATTCATTTTCTATAAAGATGTTTGTTCATTCTGGTATTTTTTTATTTCGTGAAGCTTGATATAGTGGCAAGGATTCTTATGTGACAAAGGCAATCTTTTTACCTGTATGTTATAATATTTTATTCCTTTTCAAAATTAGATTTCAACTGTCCAGCTTTGATCTGAAAATTAGGAATTTTTAGTAAAGGTTTTTTTTGACATAGGCAAATTACTTTTTTTTTTAAAAACCTTCATGTTACAAATGTTTTGTTTTGAAAATAGCTGTCGCAACTTCCGCGAAATACAAAGTTTTCAACAAATAGTTATCGTTAAAAACTTTCCAACTAATTTAAACCAAGTAAACAAATATTACAAAATATAAAAAATCATAATTGAAAATCCTGAAAGGCATAATCTACAAGTAATACTTAATCATAATGCAAAGACTTTACAATAACTGAATATCTGTTCTCTGACTGTATGTGTTAATATTTAAAAGAATGTTGAATTAACATTGATAACACATTACAGAGAAACATATTCATGTAAACTTCAATTATTGAGAGTGAGAGCCAGAAACATCAGTATTAATTTTCTTATTTCACCTATTAAGTTGTAACTAAAATATATCAATAATAGTAGGAAGATAAAAAGAGTCAAGTAATTGACGAATGTGTCTAAGATTAACGCCTGCACATTTTGTAAGTCTTTATATAGCATTAATATTCACTTTTTGATATACTACTTGAAATAATTCTTTACACCAAAAATTATTGAAGAAACCCAACAAATATGTATAATCTCTTAACCATTAAACTGTTGTTTATACTTTTACTCACTTTTTTTATTTTCAATGAGTAGATGTTGTTAATTCTAAAACAAGTAATCAATGCCACTTGAATAAAATATTTTAGAAATATGGAGAAGAACCAACAAGAATTTACTTAAACCTTAACGCTTAGAATGATATACAATGAATATCGAAAATAATATTTAAACTAAGAACTTACCTTTAAAAAACTTTTTTAAAAAAAGTAATTTTAACTTTCAAGTAAAAAATAAGAACATAAAGAAGATAAGTAATTTGCTTTTAAAATTACACTAGAACATTAACCTAAAAAAATTATACAATATAACCCAAAAATCTAAAAAAGGAAGATACTGAAAGAAGTAACTGAGCTAGTGAGGCATATCCATTTATTCGTAATATTTTATTAACAAAGACCGTCTCTTTGTCATATAAAAGTATAAATAATAAAACAAATCTATCTGCAGAGTAATATGGATTTAAACAGAACAAAGAAGGGAGAAAAACAATAACAAATACAAAAATATTTAAGTAATTACTCATTATTTATAATATTTAACAATATTACTTAAAGTTGAATTCTCATTTTCCAACCTGTTTATATCCTGTTCTAAAGCTTTAACAGACAACTCAAGGTTACTAGTTTCACGGAATCTATTTTCAGTTCTCTTGACTCTTTCCTTTTCTTTTTTACTTACAAATTCAATTTTGTATTTCTCATAAAGTTCATTATTTTGTGTTACCTCCTTCTGTAATTGATCATGCTTTAAATCTAATTTTTCCTTTTTGGATAATAACTGCTTATAATCGTTCTTTAACTTGTTTTCCTTATTAATTAACATAATATTCTCTTTCTTATACTCTTCTTCTACTTTGCTAAATTCTAATTCTTTTTTCAAGTGTGCATCCTTTTTCTTAATATAAATTTCTTCAAGATTTATTTCTTCGTTATCTAATATCTTGATTTGATCTTCTAAAGACTTTAATGTTGATTCATTTTGTTGAATAGTAGTTTTCAAATTTTCAATCTTAAATGCATTTTTTTCATCATTGGTTTCATTTTGTTTTATCTTCGACTTTAGATAATCAATTTCCTGTCTTAATGATGCCAATTTTTTGTTTACTTCTTTCTTTGTCTTTTTTAACTTAGTTTTTTCTTCAGTTAGATTGGCATTAGTGGTCAAGATAGAATGCTTAAGAGTTAATAACGGGGATAAAAATTTTCTATGATAATATGATGGAAAACTAAAATCTAATTTTTCAAATTGGTTTGAAGAAGACCCTAGACTATTTGCTACTTCATATTTATTTGCCTTTAGACTCATGGTCCTAACAATCAAATCACATATCAAGTAATCATCCTTGTGTCTTAATCTATTAACAAATTGAATATCATATGAGCAAGATGGCACTAAACCACTAACGACGACATATTCTTCACCAGAATGTTCCAAAATTAAAGCACATGATACTTCTGACCATATTATACCATTGACTAATACAATCAACTCTCCATCAGTTAAATTTTCAATATGAAACGTTAAACTATGTGTACCAATATCGATAATACAAACCTTATATTCATTTTCTTTATTATTAAATATATTATTGTTGAACTTAATCAAATTTAATTGATCATAATCATCGAATTTATTCTGTGCAATCAATGCCATTGAGTTTGAATCACTAATATTGAAAACACTCTTATTAATTGGGTCTGAAGATTTTTTATTGATAGAATTCCTACTATTAATATCAACACTATCATGGGTAGCAGAGCCTTCATTTTTTATTGATCTAAGCTGACTATTACTATTATCTTTATCATTTGTCACAAAGTTTGTATCTCTTAAGATTTTCTTTTCAAAGTTTGTTGTTCTCCATGTAACAAATATCGCCCATAGTGGGGAAATAATGTATTGTGCATTTTTTTTAAATAAATAGTGAATAAAATTTTCCAAATTTGTAGTAATATTAATATCATCTTTCAAATTATTAATAACATTAACAGGAGAATCCAAATCGACATTTAACTCATATAATTGATTAGTAAAATTCTGAATATTGTCAACATTATCCATTGATCTTTTCATATTTGATCCAGCTGATGCCAATATAGTAGTATTAGGGGACTGCAGTTCATTATCTGATCGAGTAGTTACAGCAGGCTCAAATGATTTAATACTTTTAACTATTTTACTAAAATAAGGTGACAATCCTTTCGAATTAAGTGAATGCGTAGATTGTATATTGCTATTATTGTTATTGTTTGAAGACATTTGATTTGAGGAATGTGATTGTTGATAGATGGATACAGAATCTACAGAGTTTTGAACGTTTAGATTTGGTGAAGAATCTACGCCAAAATTTGCCATGTTCTGATTATTTTTTAAAATTCCTTTGTTTACGTCTAGGTGCATAGCTAGAGAAGGAAAATCATGTGATGTATGGATAATGAATGCTTTTCTAGAAAATTGATTCACAACAATATAAAACGATAAATAATAACGGATGATTCTAATATATTTAATATTTAGAAACTCCCAGTTTGGTAAATAATCAAATTGCCTTGTCACAACTTCAATAAACTTTTTAATATAATTAATATGAATGTTGCTATTACTATTCAAATAAAAAAATATAAAACCTGATATTGAATTTGTCTTTGATAATGCTAATAGTATATAAAATCTTTTCAATATATTTACGGATATAGCATATAACACAGAACATGAAGTGGCAAATGATAGACATTCATTGGGGTCATTAATTAAGGATGAGGCAATTATAGACACTGCCAAATTTTCAATTGGAATGATAAAATAATTTCCAGCATACATTCTTGCTAGTGTAGCGACTAATATTTCAATTAACACAGACATTGGAGAGAGCTTAGAATGATGTGAACGATAATGTTTTCGATCTTGTTGTTTTAATCTCATATTAGGGATGCTATTTTGATGATTAAGTTGATAAGCACTATTTAGGTTAGAGCTAAAATTATTACCATTAACTGTATTGGCTGTAGGAACACGAGCTATTTTCTTACCTTGTACTTGGGAATGATGATGGCTGTGATGAGGATGTGATTTAGATAGATTTAGATACTTTGGAGAGGCAAATGACGCTTCCTGTTGATTAGGATATGAATCTCGATGGGTAATGTCATCAATAGATGGAGATGGACGCTTAAATAAACATAAGGTGATAAAACTATTCGCTATCACACGACGGGTTCTGGTAGTCACAATAAATATCATTAACATACATAGTGATGTGAAATGATTAAAACTTAAAAATACAATAAATAAGGCAAATGTATCTTCAAACCTATGCTGTCTTATCAAAGAAATAGGTTGATGACCTGACGATTTATTTTTAATACTATCGGTATTCATGTATAGCCTGGTTTAATAACCCCCCACTGCTTCCTAATGGCTTATTAAATAATTGAACAAATAAATGGATACAATTGCTTATTTTTATAAAACAAAAAAAAAAAACACAAAAGAAAAACCTATATATAAATAGTGTTTGGGTATTCCTTATTATACTTATGTATTGGAACATTTGTTATTAATAACCAAAACTGATGTGACAGAACCAATTAGATATAATTATAATCATATTCTTTTTTTTTCCTTTTTTTCTTATTTTTTTTTTTGTATTTCCATTTTCTTCTATTATTTTTTACAGTTTTTCTAATTCTCTTTGTATGAAATTCATTGATGACATATTTAGTTAGTTTTCTTTTCTTTTTTTGATTATTTTCCTTTTTGGTTTGTTAAAATGATAAATCGTATAGTGTAAACTGTTCCTATTCATACAAATTGCCATATCCTTTCTTTATATTTCAAAAAACGTCGCTATTAGATTATGAAATATTATTTTAGTAGAGTAATGCTTTAGAAAATGGTAGGGAAATAAAAAGTCAAAGATATAGAACACCAAATATTAAAAAAAAAATTTGGTCTCCTATATTAGTATAAGTTCTATAATAAAAAGTATATATAAACCGTATGTAGCTATGAAATGCGCAAATATAGAGGAAAGAAAAAAGAATAGGTAAAGAAGAACGAAATAAGAATAATATAAGTGTTCTAATCCAGTTTTCATTTGAGTAAACTTAATTAAAACTTAGATAATTCCGAATCAAAGTAAGAAAAAATATATGTAAAAAAAAACTTCTAGTAAATAGTAAGATTATCTTATTGAATTTTTACCCCACTAGTATATTTTCATATCTAGTTTACATATACATATACATATACATATACATATACATATACATATATATATTCCTGTACATGCTATGGTATTGTCTATATTATAGTCTAGCTTCTTTTCCTAACAACATTATTTCTAGCAAACCTTTATCTGCATAACAAATATAGTCGCCTATACCATATATATGTAAGAAACTTTTAAAATTAGACATGACTGCTAGGAAAAAAAATAAGAATAAAAACAACAACAGAACATATAAAACACAGTAGAATCAAGAGAAGTTGGATGATGAAATTGTAATACGGATATAAGTGCTTCCTGACTAATGAGGAAATATCTTTTATTGTATCAATATAGTGTACTGGACATAAAGCTTTTGAGAAGGAAATGAATCTACTATTATTTTATAAAGAAGAAGATAATTAAATATTGATGACGGATACAAGATTAGCACTGAACTGATTCTTAGCATAAATAGGTGAAGTTAAAGATGAAGATATTGAATTACAGAAAATAAAAGAATACTTTAGAGATGCTACAGTTGAGTCATACTTTTCTGTAATAGTAACATTTGTATCGGAAGAAAGAAAAATGAACCATTAACAATATCTCACGCTGTAGGAAAAAATAGAGTGAGATAAGTTGACTGTTCAAGAATGATGTGTTGATCACGACAAATTTACAACGTTTTCATATACACACACACATATATATACCTTGTTTCGTATCCAATAACATAATATAAAACACGGTTTGGAATTATGTAAGGATGCACATATTTGTTTCTCTTTTTTTTTTTTTTTTCCTTCTTTTTCTTCTTCTACTTATTATTATTCCTGTTTATTGTTATTGTGGTTTTTTTTTAATTATATATAAAAGAACAGACGTTAGCGTCTATTACGTAATATTATTGTTTTTCATTACCACCTTTTTCTCTCCCCTCTTTCTCCTCCCGGTTTCAATATTACAAACTCCGTTAATATAATAATAATAACGTAATAATAACATAATAATAACGTTTATTCACGGTCCAAGAACTTTGTCTCTTCGCTTTGTTTTGTTTCTGTTTTATTCTGCTCTATTTTTGTCTCTTCTTTTAATCCAACCCTATAATTTTCTAAACAGAAAGCTAGTAGACCTAAGTCTGAAAAAGGGGGAAGGGGAGAAGAAGAAATATTTTTTATTTTTTTTTCTTTTGCAGATTCTGCCGGTCGAATATTTTGAGAGAAAATTAACGGCTGAGCGTTTTGAGGTAAAAGAAGAATGTGGGTGTGTGGGTGTGTGGAAACAGAGGAAAACGAAAATAAAAAAAAAAGCGGAAAGTAAAAAAAAAAAAAGCGGAAAGAAAAAAAAAAAACCAAACCAAAACAAACCAAAACCTCTTCTTTGCTTCCCCCTTTTTCACCCCCCATTCAAAAAAACAAAAACCTAGATAGAAGAACAAAAAAAAAGGAAAAAAAAGAGATTCGAGGTAAGAAAGAATATAGACGTCGAAACACAGATTCTCTCTCCCTTTTCTCTTCCATCTTTCCCACTTCTCCTTGCTTTCAGCCTTTTCAGCAACCTCTCTTTATCAACTTTCTGAAACACTTTCTCCTCCTCCACTCACCTCATGTATAATCTTTAACCCCTTTTACTAACGTTCTTGAAGTTCTGTTTATATATCTATTACTACATAACACTCGTCTTTAACTAAATAAGGATAATATTACTCGAGAAAGACTTTCTTCTTTCTTTCTTTTTTTACCTTTTCCTTAACTATAAATATAAACACACATAATTAAATAAATAAATCAATACACTAATAAATATATCAATATATCAAAAAATCAACAAGAAAGTTATAATATGCACAGAACTTATTCATTGAGAAATTCAAGGGCTCCAACCGCATCCCAATTACAAAATCCCCCACCACCACCAGCTACCACCCGTGGTAAATTCTTTGGCCGTGGAGGTATTGCTTATGCCTTTAGACGTGGTGCAGCTGGTGTTTTTGGTCCTGAATTAGCCCGTAAATTGTCTCAACTAGTCAAAATCGAAAAAAATGTTCTACGTTCTATGGAAATCGTCGCAAATGAACGTCGTGATGCCGCTAAACAATTATCTCTTTGGGGTGTCGAAAACGATGATGATGTCTCTGATATCACTGATAAGTTAGGTGTATTAATCTACGAAATTAGTGAATTAGATGACCAATTCATCGATCGTTATGACCAATATAGATTGACTTTAAAATCTATTAGAGACATCGAGGCTTCTGTACAACCAAGTCGTGACAGAAAGGACAAAATCACTGATAAAATTGCATATTTGAAATATAAAGATCCACTGTCTCCAAAGATCGAAATCCTAGAACAAGAACTCGTTCGTGCTGAAGCTGAGTGTCTTGTTGCAGAAGCACAATTATCTAACATCACAAGATCCAAACTGAGGGCAGCTTTCAATTATAATTTCGATTCCATCATTGAACATTCTGAAAAAATTGCATTAATTGCTGGTTACGGTAAAGCTTTATTAGAACTGTTAGATGATTCTCCCGTCACACCTGGTGAAACAAGACCTGCTTATGATGGATATGAAGCATCAAAACAAATTATTATTGATGCTGAAGCTGCATTGAATGAATGGACTTTGGATTCTGCTCAAGTCAAGCCAACTCTGTCATTTAGACAAGAATACGAAGACTATGAAACTGATGAATCTGAAGATGTCGGTGATATCGTAAATGAAGAAAGTGAAATAGCAGATGAGGAAGCTGGTACTGCGTGGTCTAATGAAGAGGAAGAACAAGAAGTCGAACAAGAAATAGAACACGATGAACCACAGAAGGTAGAAGCACAATAATAGTAATAAAAGTTCGTTTTTTTATTACAATTTTTATTTTGTTTTATTTTCTTTCTTTCTTTCTATCCTTTTTTTTTATTTCAATTACCATTTGTCATTTTTTCTAGTTCGACATTTTATCTTTTGTATATTCATTGAATTGAAAGCAATGTAATCCTTATGTATGCGTATTTATATGTACCATATTAAATGTATCCCAATATTAATCTTTTTTTCTACTTTTTCTTTTTTCTTTTTTTTTTTTTTGAATATAGAACTTATTTATTTTGTACTTATATATAATTAATTCTTCCCTATATTCATATTAATAATTTCTTTGTTTTTTGTCATTTAGATAGATAGATTTAAAATTTCAGCGTTTGTCGAGATTCGAACCCGTGCTCCATATATATGTATATATGTATACACCCGTACAAAAATGCAGAGTACTGGTAGAGAAAAGAACAAAAAGAAAAAATAAAAATCTTGTAAAGAAGCACAAGAAGTTTGAAGGTAGTTTCAAAAATAGTCTTAGCTTAAACTTTAGTGGGTACCAATTATTTTTTCCTTCTTTTCTTCTGTATCGTTTTCTATTTCTTTTTTTTTTATTATTATTTTTATTCGTATTTAGTCACGCCAACCATCAATATCCCTTATAATTATTATTATTATTATTATTATTATTATTATTACTTTCTGTATTTTTTCTTTTTTACCTTCTAGATCGTGGATATGATTACAACAAGATCAATTACAACTAATATAATCAAAATATGGCGTTCTCAATGCTCTTCATGGATCAGATTTCAATCTACCTCCACTTCAAGTAGCTCAGTGAAATCCCAACTAGATGAATATTTGACATACTATAATACAAAGAAAGAGTTGAGACCATATATATATAGACCCAAGAACCATAACAAATTGTTAACCATGTCTATCCCAATAAAAGATGATTATGGAAACATTATCGATCATGCAACTCCCGAACCTAAAGATCCGATTAGACCCATTTCTCCAAAACTATTAACAGAATATATCGATTCTGTTGAGGATAAAAAAGAATTGTTTAAATGGATCAAAAAATGGACTGATGTCACTCCTCGAAAAAAGGATGTTTGGAAGCTTTGGAAACCAAAACACTTACAAAAATTGCTGATCAAATCGCTAACTGAGCTTGGTGAATATTCAAACGTGCTTGGGTTTATTTATTCACAGAAGAATAAATTCGTTCAAGCCAAGAATGGCCAGGTTTTCAATGTAGAAAATTTTTTCAATACCGTACTTTTATGCACAATATTAAGAAATAATTTGATTAAATCTCCTAACTCTACAATAGCTCTGAAGAAATTGAAAACAGCTTGGTCAATTACACAATTAAAAGAAAATAAAACTGGGTTATCCAACATATTAGTCCAAAGTCTGGAACAGATTCAAAATTTTAACGTTTCAAATGAACTAAACGGATTTGAAAATAAAAATCTAGTTCTACCAAACTTATCAAACTTAGATTTGAAGCATGTTGCATCAAATAGAAATAAAATTATACAAGATAATGAATTAATTTATTTTATCTCAAGAGCTTTATTGGAACGTGCAAACCTTAAACAGATTGTTCTTCCTCCAGATATTTTAACATCCTTGCAAGAATTTATTATGAACTTTAGACAATTATTGCCTGATAAGGAAGATAAATATGATAAAATGATGAAATCTATGAATGAATTATATAAAAGCAAATAACTGATATTTTAACTTAACCTCATTTTTAGTTGTTACTCAGTTAATAAATTTACATATATCTACTCATATAGGGTTTAGATCTTGTACATAAAAAATATTCTAATTCTAACCATCCTTCTAACTATGTAGATTTTTAACCAGCACCTTGTCAACCTATTCAGCAGCTAGTGTAAAGAAAGGATAGAAAAATTTGTTCTTTTCGGATCCTATAGATTATTACTATTTGTTTGATTCGTATATCACGCCCTATATTTTTTTTTTATCGATGGCATAAAGAAATTATTTTTTTTCCATTTCTTTTTTTCCCAATTGATGATAAATGAAAGTAAAAACCTATACTTATTAGAAGAAGATTAACAAGCAGCATTGACATCTATAGTGTATGATCAATACAGTTTCTACAGTATCCTGTGAAGAATTATCCTTCAACGTAAACCTATTTCAGTACTACACAATCAAGGAAAAGGCATAAGGGGAAATATCAATAATTGTTTAGTCATTTATTTGTTTTCTTTTTTTTTTTTTTTTGATATCCTGCATCATTAAAGAATGAGTGAAAATAATACCGAATCAAAGACTTCTTCAGTAACTACTGCTTCCCTAGCATCTGCTACTACTGGTGAAAGAAAATTAACTAATAAAGAATTAAAAGAACTTAAAAAACAAGAAAAGGCTGCCAAGAGGGCTGCCAAAAAACAAGCTAATGGTATATCTCTGGAACAACAGCAACAGCAAGCACAAGCCAAGAGGGAAAAGAAAAAACAGCAGCAGCAACTGCAACAACAACGTGAATTGAAAAAGAAGGAAGCCAATTCCAAAAAGAACAACCGTGAGGATGGAAACTCTGTAAAAAAAACTTCATTGTTTAGTCATCTTGAAACTACTGAAGAAAGAAGAGCAAGCATCTTGGCGATTACTTCTGCAGTAACTAACCCAAGAACTTCTAGAATCACTGCTGCTGGGCTAATGATTCCAATGGTTGCTAGTGCATTATCTGGTTCTAGAGTATATACTACATCCTCATTTGCTAAATCAATGTCTGCACCCTCTTCAAAGAATATTAAAGCTAATAATGGTGGTGATTCATTGTCTCCCTCACTTACTGGGTCTGGCGTTCAAAAAACCGTTAATAATACTTTAGAGAGTGGAATAACTGCCAAGATATCTGGGACGGATGCCTCTATAACAGCCCAAGGTAGTACATCTAATATTCAAACAAATGACATTTCCAATACTATGGATATTGCTAAATCTTTAGCCACAATGTCCTTAAACTCAGATGAATATTCTGTAGTTCCCGGTATATCCTCAATTGTTCCACATATAATGGAGCAAAGTTTTGAGTCACAACAATTAATATCTTCTTTGAAAGAATTATTGTTGAATAAAGATTATATACATCCTGCTGTTGCATTATTGACAACCAATATTGCACACTATAAAATTGTTGGTTCAATTCCACGTTGTATTGCCATGTTAGAAGCATTCCAAATAGTTATTAGTGATTATCAAACTCCAAAAGGTACTACTTTATCACGTAATTTAACCAACTATTTATCTCATCAAATTGATATATTGAAAAAGGCAAGACCATTGAGTGTTACAATGGGTAATGCAATTAGATGGTTAAAACAAGAAATTTCACATATTGATCCATCAATATCTGATAGAGTTGCAAAGAAGGATCTATGTGAAAAGATCGCTCAATTTGCCAAAGAGAAAATTGAACTAGCAGATCAATTAATTATTGAAAATGCTTCACAACATATTGAGGAATCTACTACTATTGTTGTGTATGGTTCTTCAAAAGTTATTACAGATATTATCATACACAATGCTGTTACTTTAAAGAAAAAAAACATTAAAGTTATTGTTGTTGATTCAAGACCGTTATTTGAAGGTAGAAACATGGCTAATACTTTAAGAAGAAAAGGTATAAATGTCGTTTATGCATTAATTACAAGTTTAGATGCTGTATTCAACATGAATGTAGATTATGTTTTCCTTGGAGCACACTCTATCTTATCTAATGGGTTCCTTTATTCCAGAGTTGGTACCGCAATGATTGCAATGAGTGCAAAGAGAAGAAATATCCCAGTATTAGTCTGTTGTGAAAGTTTGAAATTTTCTCAAAGAGTTCAATTGGACAGTGTCACATACAATGAATTGGCTGATCCAAATGACCTAATACCAATTGACTATAAAAATCCTGTTGAAAGATTTGCTAATGAAGGCACTTTGTTGAAGAATTTCATTAAAGAGCGTAAAGAATACAAACAAAAACAAGAGGAAATCAATAATAAAACAAAGGGTAAAGTTGCGAACAGAAATAATAATAATAATAATAACAATCAAAATGATAATAAAAAGAGTGATAACGGTAAAGATTTTAATAACAATTATGACTCTGAAAATACAAACGTACTTGATGGCTGGCAGAACTTGAAATCATTAAACATTGTCAATATATTATATGATTTGACCCCACCAGAATATATCAAGAAGGTTATCACTGAATTTGGTTCATTGCCTCCATCCTCTGTTCCAGTTATCTTAAGAGAATATAAGGGTTCTGCGTAATTTAACTGCATAATAAGTTGTAAAATAAAAAGAAAAAAAATTTAATAAAAATGAGATCAATTAATAAGAAATATAATTAATTTTATATAGAAAAGAAATGGATAAATGAACCTGTATTATATACATGTATACATAACTATAACCATAATTACTATTATAATCATTTTTTGGCATTCAAAAAGAAACATGTTCAAAATATTAAAGCTGATATAACATGAATTGTCTATCATTGAATTATAATAATAATGCACAATCGTACTTTTTTCACCAGGCATAACAGTAAAACTCGAGATATAAAGGTTGCAAATAAAATAAAAATATGATAGATATACATAAATATAATATATATACACTATTTACAAGTAATTATAACCAATTTTATTCAATATCGTCTATGTCCTCAGGTTTAGGTTCACGAACCAATTTACCATTTTTGAAAAAGGATGTCATATTTTGTGGAGGTAATTGTTCTAGCATCAATACTAAATCTTTATATATTTGTGCTGGAATAGTTCTTTCGTAAATATTCAACAAATCACCAGGTCTTGGGTATATAGTTAGTGCTTTATAAAATTTAACTGCTGAATTTAATTCTTCACCTGGTATATTTGCCAAACTTTCTCCCTCACCAACATACTTCATAAACATAGCTTGCACATTTTCTGAACTAATATTGCTTGGAGGATCTTTAACCAATTCATTAGTTAAAAATCTTACAATTTCATCTTGCTTAGCTCTTTTAAAAGCATCAGTCTTGGCTTTGATATCCTTTTGGTGCTTCTTAGATCTTCTTTTCAATTGTTTTCTAAATTCAGGATCTGTTCTTCTTTGATAATCAAAATAAGCAATATAGCTAAATAAAGCACAAGCAGCAGCTACACCAGTTAACACAGCCCCACGAGGCATCACAGTTGGAAAAGACATCTTGAACGTACAGTGTTATATGAAAAGGGGTTTATTTGTATGACGACTATTCTAATTATTAGCTTTATAAATATCAAGTTATTCACAAGACACCAATGGGAAAACTAATGTTAATACTCAAAAGCATTCATTGATAAGAAACAGGTTAATCATACTGGACTTATCTATGCTAGCAGGTTTTATTTAGACTTTAGTCAGGTTATGCTTCACCTACTTGTCTGTGCCACTTTCGGGTTCCCCAGATTATTATTGATTAAAATTTCTGGATTAATTCCAAATAAAAAAAAAAAAAAAAAAAAAAAACCATAAAATTTTTTTGAAAACAAGAAAGTTCGTATAACATGATTAAAAGTGTATTGTTTTTGTGTTTAAGTATTTGCAGATCGTTTTATTGTGTTTTATGTAAGATGGTTCATTGTGTACACCAATAAGTATTCTTCATAAATATGCCATTTTAAATTCAATTATAGAAACAAAAGCACTTTTAAAACAAGAAGAATTTATAATGTTTTTTATATATATCTTTGGTTCAATGTCATAAGAAAAGCGGTTCCAAGTTTGGGTTTTCAATATTAAAAGTTATATGTGGTTATTTAACCAACTGAAATTTTTTTTTCTAGAAAAGTTATGATCCCAATTATCATTATATATTTGTGAAAGTGTTAAATAATTTCTAACTAATATGGATGCTGTCTTCTACGATCCTTTTTTGTATCGCGGTCAAAAAAATTGAGATCTTTTAAAATTTCATTTTAATATCTTTTTAAATAAGCATCAAAAATTAATTAATCCAGTATCTACCATTATTTTCTTCAAAACCAAAAAAAAACTAATAACAAGCTACTAAATGAATCTAATAATGGATCAAACATTAGATATCACAGTTCACTATACAGAAAGTAATGCGACAAATATCATCTTTCTTACTTGCCAAGATGACAAAGAATCACCACCATTCAAATATGAAAAAATTTAGTAACATTTTAGAGACATCTACTGAATTATCCATATAATATCAAGAAAGGTCATTGAATTCAACATATTAAACACAATTTCCAAGTAGCTGAAGATTTACACGAAAAATTATAGAAAAGAAAAGATAAAAGTAATTTAGTCTATGATATTTTGATTATTATTCTATTATTGATCTAAAAAAATGTAAATAATAACAAAAATTAATCCAATTCATAACAAACTACTTTTGGAATATCTTACAACCAATAGTTAATTTACAAAATATTTCTAAAGAGTCTAAAAATTTTAAAAATGAACCTAACAATCTATCCAATATGGCTGATATTGCAAAATCTTCAAATAATGGTTCTGAATCTAGAAAACTCAGTGAAAGTAATGTAAAAAATTTAAATTAGTTAAATTCAATTATTTAAGAAAATGAAGAGACTTGCAACACATTCATTTTTTTGTAATCCAAAACCATATTGATGAATTACTATTAGGTGGTATGCTATGCAGTAATTGGGCAATGGATATGTGTAATCGAAACAATCTATCTCCTGAAATATAAATTAACTTTTGCTGACTGCATTCAATATCAGGAATACTGTGGAAAAACTGTAAAAAACATCCAATTGCAGAACTACTTTTGATAAAGTAACTTATGTTGACCCATTTGTATGAATGACTGGTTTTTTATGGGAATTATTGCAGATTTTCTTATTAATGTGTTATAATATAGTGGAAAGAAAGTTTGTTTATTTAAGAATTTTATTTTTGGTGAATCTAAAAAAAATTTTTACTGATCAAAAAATCCACATTTATTTTTTTTGTTGTTTTTTTTTTTTTTTTGAACTCCAATTTTTTCTCCCCTCTACACTGACTGATAATAGAAGCTCATCGCAACTATTGAAAAGAAAAAAAATAAAAAGAGTAAGAGAAAGAGACTTTGGGATTAGCTGTTATTTGAAAGTTAATTGCTTTAAATCAGATCCATTAAAAAAAATAAAAAAAAAAAACGAAAACAGCTCAACAAGCAAATAAACATATAAAACTAGCTGTGAAGCAAACAATACTAATAATGGTTGCTAAGAAAAGAAATACATTAAGAGGAAAGGTAGCAGCAAGGCTGGGCTCTAAACCTTTAGATATATCTACAATAACTCCTACGGTAGATGATGAATTATCTGAGGATCCTAAGGCTTTCTTACACCAATATAAAGAATCCAAGAAAGAGAAACAAATGAATAAACAAAGTGCTTTTATATCAAAGATTAAACAATCATCAAAAAATGAATTTTCAGGTATATCTAAGTCATCAATAAGACGTAGAAAGAGAAAACTTAGAGATAATTTAAAACCAAGAATGGAGGATTTATTAACTTCTTTAAAGCAAGAACTTGATTTAAAAGAATTTACTACAGAGTCTCCAAATAAAGAAGACATCATGACAGATGAATCAACCATTTCTTTATTAGCTTCTAATAGACCTAGTAGTGTTACTCGTATTGTTGATTCCAAAAAACCACTAGAACCTGGATCCATTAAGATAAAAAAAAATGAACCTAATATTAGAAACAAAAAAGGCGCTAGAGCCTTGTCTATTAAAGAATCCAAGAGATTTATTCAAGTATTAAAAACTGACGAGTTTAAAAAAAATTCTTTTGCTGCATTAAGAGATATTATTAAATTGCAAAAACATTGATTATATATATATATATGTGTGTGTGTGTGTGTAAAATATAGAATAAAATGGCATTTCAAAGGGAAATAATATAACATAATTAAAGCAGTTAATTAACATAGTTAAATTAAATCTCGTTGAAAATCATTACAGTTATAACTATCACAATATTAAATATTCATTTTATAACAACTCTGCTAAATTTAGCTATACAAATACAAATATCAAATGTTAAGTATCTATCATCTAGTTAATCGGTTTACAACATAAAATAAACATTAAAAAGCACTGTTATTAATCAACATGTATGCATTAATGCCTTTAAATATATATAAAGGATAGTTGCATCCATATGTTACTTTTGTAAATAAATATATTCTGATTTTTCATATTCCTCCTTTAAAAAATTTGTTTTTCAGTTTTTTTTTATGATACTATAAGCATCCATTGATCACACTATATGCTATAATAATAATCTAATAAAGACAATCTTATAACAATGCAATTTTGACTAAAAGAACACAGTGAATATATTATTTATTTCTTCTAAAAAATAAAATTTCTATTCATCTATATTAAATGATATTTAAAATTTTCTAGTTTCATGGGCATGACAGCTCTCCTTAAATTATAAGTGCTTATTATATTTGTTGGAAAATGAAACTTTATTACTGTCATTTCCATTATAATTATTCTTAATTAGTTTTTCTGTATACTATGCTGTATGTGAATATACTGAAAAATAAAGAAAACATTTTATTTTTCACTTAATGTGTCTTTTAGATATTCGAGGGAATGAAAAATTTTAAAAAAAGAGTTCGTGTAAATAAAAGAGTTAATAGTGTATACACTATACAACAAATATATACATGTATTTCATACAAAAATAAAATAAGCATCTATAACTTAATGATATCTGCCATTATTTACCACCTATTTTGTACAGCTTGTTCACATATCTCTGTTACTATGCCACTATAACATATTATGTTTATCTACGGTGTGTTCACATACTTGTGCAATTGTGCCATCATAACGTATTGTCCTAAATGTTCTATGATCTTCGATTATATTATTGTAACTAATAATAAAGATATGGATTACTAATTCATTAATATATCAAGTTGAATAATTGATCGAGTTCCAGAAAACATATAAAAGGGCAACGTTTTCTGTAGATGGAACTATCTTCTGTTACTCCTCTCTTACACGTAATTTAAATATATTATATATAAAAGGAACAACCAACAAACAACCACCGAACATCGAATGCAGAATACAATAAGCAAATAGTATAATTATATAAGCTCGATATAGCCGTTAATATATAAGACTGTATTAATAATTGCATCACCGATTGTATCAATTATTATCTCGATTATTAATAGATTATCCGTTTGATATTTCTAGCGCTTCCCCGAATAATATTAATAGTCATTCAAGTAATCGAGACAGTAATCAATTATAGGCGATAATATAATTACTAAAACGGTCTTATATATTGAGCGGCTTATATCGAGCTAATATATTTATTCAAAGTTACTTAACTTGTTACTTGCTTGTTGTTCTCTTTTTGTTCATCTATAATATATAAATTATTTACAAGAAACGGTTATGGAAGATGATCTGTTATCTCCAGAAAACGTTATCCTTTTATGTGTTTTCTGGAGCTCGATCGATTATTCAGATTAGTACATTAATGATCTGACTGATTTAAACCCTAAAATGTATTACATTAATTTAGGTACATTAGTGACTTAGAACTGTACCCCCATTCTCTAATCATGGTAATTAGTAATCACGTGGGACTTATTAAAACAATAGGTAAATTCTAGATTTGTCAAAATTTTATGTAATCCAATCTTTTTATTATGCAGCATCTAATGTTGTAGCACGTGTATGGCTTATTAATACAATAATTAATTCTAGATTCATTCAGGATCTTATGTAATCTTGATGATTATAACTATTCTATTCACACGCTGTTGTAGTATGGTGCGGTGAAGTTCTTTGTGTATTCCAGGGAAGCGCAAATAAGATTGATAGTTATTTAAATAATCGAGACAGTAATCAACTATAGTCGATAGTATAATTACTAAAACGGTCTTATATATTAAGCGGCTTATATCGAGCTAATGTACTTATTCGAAGTTACTTGACTTGTTACTTGCTTGTTCTATTTTGTTTATACATAATATATAAATTATTTACAAGAAACGATTATGGAAGATGATCTTTTATCTCCTGAAAGCGTTGTCCTTTTATATGTTTTCTGGAGCTCGATCGATTATTCAGATTACTACATTAATGACTTGACTGATTTAAACCCTAAAATTTATTACATTAATTTAGGTACATTAGTGACTTAGAACTGCATCCCAATTCTCTAATCATGGTGATTAGTAATACACGTGGGACTTAATAAAACAATAGGTAAATTCTAGATTTGCCAAGATCTTATGTAATCCAATCTTTTATTATGCAGCATCTAATGTTGTAGCACATGTATGGCTTATTAATACACTAATTGGTTCTAGATTCATTCAGGATCTTATGTAATCTTGATGGTTATAACTATTCTATTCCACAACACACGCAACAGTCGTATGGTTTCGTGGTCTAGTCGGTTATGGCATCTGCTTAACACGCAGAACGTCCCCAGTTCGATCCTGGGCGAAATCATTTTTTAAAAATTTGGTTTAAAATATCATGTGATACGAAGTCTTTACAAGATGTAATGGATAAAAATCCTATTACTAAAGATATACTCTTCTAAAAACTAAAATAGATAAACGTAGCTTTATTTGTTGTCTCTATACAATATATAAATTATACTCTACATAAAAAGTAAACTAACATACACAGATATACGGATAAACATAGTAATATAAACAAGAGAAGCAAGAACATTATCGCCAAGTTAAGAGTTCACAAGATTGTTTATAGTGATATCCAGATTCCGTATGTCACAATCTATGCTTAATAATAGTAATTAACTTAAATGGATATGAGGTATAGACTTACTTTATATTCTCAAATGTAATATATATATATATATATATAGTTTAATGGAACAGGGACTACGTACACTATACTGACTTATCCATTCCTCCTTATTCTTTTTTATCTTCTTTTAATCCTTTATTTGTTACTTCTGCTTTGCTTATTTGTGCCCTTTCTTCGCAATTTCTTCATTCCAATTATTAAAGTTTGCTTATAATACTTACAAAGTAGAGAGTTTAGGGAAAAATCATTAACCTTCATTTTTTTAAATTACTAGTCAAAATCTTGACACATTAATATTTGGGATACTAAAGATACACAGTATGAAAGATAAGAATCCCCTAAAAGAGATATACTCTATAAAAGAGTTAGATATGCTAAATAAAGCTTGATTGCACCTTCAATATCTAAGATATGTACTACATTCTATATAAGAAGTGATCTAAATAAACAAATATACAGGTAAATAAAATGTCCATGCACAAAAAAAAAAGAAGGTCATCACCAAGGAGAGAGCTTGAAAGGCCAGTTACAGCTACAGCGTTGTAGTATATGTCACAAAATAAAATCTTCTTCTAACTATTACGACATAATTACTTATTTTAAGAGAAATTAAATCCTATATATATATATACTTAATTTACAATCATCATTCATCATCAATACTATCTAACACCTTTAGATAATAGTGTTATATTGGAAATAAGCCATTGACTTAAATTCTTTTTCTTCTTCCTGGACCCTTTGGCCTATTGAATTTTTTTACTGTAGAGTCATGGTGTACTTCTTTATCTAAATCTTCTTGTGTAAGCGTAGATATTAATGAAATTTCCAATTCATCCGGTTCACCAATCTCTATTACTCTAGCAATGGATAATCCTTGTTCCTCTCTTAAATATTTCAAGAACCCACTTCTGTTAGACGCATACAACATACGATCTTTAACCTTACTACCTGATGGACAAGCATAAATAAAATAAATAAGATTTCCATTCTTATAAAGAGTGTATGTTGGGTGTTCAGTGTTAATTACAATATCTGTTGGAGTTGAAATGTTTTTCTTTGAATCAATTTTAACATTTTCGTTGATACTGTCAATCTTAAATGAAATTAAATTAGTTCCTTCCAATTGTTCAATTAATGATCCTCCTTCTACATCAACTTCAAACTTTAATTGAGTTGACACCCCGTTAGTTTGAGATACTAGTTGATGGCCACCAGCCGATTGTAATTGCATCTGGCGTTGTTGTTGATTAATTTGTAATTCAATTTTTTCATGCTCAGTTAACAAAGCATTTTCATTAATTTTAGTTTCCTTGATTGTGTCAGTAATATCATTAAAATCTGTAGCTAAAATCTGTTGATCTAAAATATTACTACCAACTTCTCTTAATAAAGTATTCTTAGTCGATGCATAAATCATCTTAGATCTTATTGAAGAATTATCCGGCACGAACGAAACAAAATTATAGTGTTTTGTATCTTTTTGAAAATTTTTAATAAATATGTATAATGGCTCATCCCCCAAATTTTGTTTCAATTGTTCTAACAAAGTAAATTGAGTTGAGAATTTAACCAGATTCGAGTCCTGAGATATCTTAGCTACAACAATCAAATATTGACTATCATTTTGTTGTTTTGAATTATTTAAAATATCTAGCAATTCTTGATCAGCAGTAATACCTGATTGATTTGACATTTCTTACTATGGTAAACTTATTATAATTGAATTGAGGAATCAAAATGCTGAAATCTATATGTGTTTTCTTTTACTATATACTACCCCTCCTTTCTTTTAAGAAGCATCATAGCAACTCAACTTCCTTTTTAATATTTCATTATTTTTCTCGATCATATTTTTTCCATTCTGTTTCAAGAAATATTGTAATAACGAACAAATTTAGCAAACACAGGCACTACCAAGCCTTAGAGAAAATCAAAGAAATGACGCAATATAAAACTAAAATTTCAACGCATTAATATACAAATATACAATCAATATTAAAACTATACATGAAACATCGATTTATATTAGTAGATATACACATAGAAGGTCAAAAATAAACGAGAATGTAAATATATGGATATATGTTCTTTCCTTTTTTCTTTTTTTCTTCTCTTTTTTTATTGAAATTCTGACATACTGCCATTAATTCCCCTAGTACCTAATGATAACAAAACAGAAGGAATAAATTAGATCAACAAAAAAAATAAAATACTACAAAAAATGAACAAGACTCTTTTCACTAAAAATTTACCAAAGTGTCCAGAAAATTACATAAAAAAAGGGAGCACATGAATAGTAGGTCTACAACATGAATTCATTCATTTCAAGACCTGTTGAAATCATTTCACGAAACCCACTTTTTCTTCTGATAGCTTTTTGCAATAATAACTTCTTCTTATTAATCCTTCTACCTCCTACCAAACCAGTTGGATCATTTGAGATAAAATTAGTTGTATTACAATTATTTTTAAGTTGATTTGTTGTTTTTAGGGAAAAGTTACCGTCAGCATCTCTATAACATAATAATTTAATATTATATTGAGGTAGATAAGTATTCATTGTGCTAGAATAATTACTACCACCAGTACCACATGTAGTCAAATACTCATCTAACAAAAAATTTTCTATTGACGAACTACCTATATTATATGACACCACAGGTGTTTTCTTGTTTGTATTTATATTATCATTATTATAGCAATCAACATTAATTGGAATAAAATCTTCGTTGGTACCCTTAACCTCTTTCCAAAAATCCTCATCCTTAATTTCTTCAAACAACTGCAAAGATAAACCAAGTGTATAAGAATCTGAATTTGTTATATCAACAGTTGCTGATGTTGATATTGAACTTGCCTGTTTCTCTTGAAATTTCTTTAACGGGAAGAAATGATCGTTTTTACCATAAAACATATCATCATTATAAGTTTCCTCTTCAAAAAAGTCATCCCTATCAAATGCATCATAATATGGCAAAAATATCATATCTGAATCTCGACTTTGCATAGTTTCTACATCAGAACAATTTGATTCACTTGATGGGATACTATCTATAATAACAGATTTAATTGGTTTTAGAACTTTTGTGCCACAATTTCCTTTTACATTCATACCTTCTATATTAGAGTCCTGTATCCGATTTTGATAAGATAATTTACTCGAACCTTTTCCTCTTGTTAATACTGTAATGTCATTTTTTGTTATTATTTTATGAGCAAATAAAGAAGGTCTACTTGAAGAGTTATTCTTATCTTTAGCATTATTAGTTTTAGATATAGTCTTATTACCTAACGTATTATTGGAGTCAATATGCATTTCCTTTTTTTTTTTATTTTTTCTCAAATATGTAGTGGAAAAATATAAAAAATCACTTGAGGTATAAAATAGCTTGATAAACAACACATACACGTTTATTATATGTATCTTCTTTGATTACGAAAAAGGGTTCGAACCTGAAAAAAAAATCTATAGAAGTGAGCAGAATATGTTGAATTATAAAATTTTTTTTATTTGAACAAACAAACAAAGTTAAATATTTACATGTATATATATTTGTATATTCTTTTTCTTTAACTTTTCCATGCACATCACGACAACGTACTACTTAATACCCTTTTCTTTCTAAGTATTGACCGAAATATTGATAAAATAAAAACAAAAAAAAAATTGGTAGTCTCATCGATTGAAGAAAAAAAAAGGAAATATAAAAAGGAAAGTTAAAACAATTGTTAAACATGCCTATTGTGCCCCTATATTGTTATTTGCCAATATTTCCTCGAAGAAATATAAAAAAAAGTTTCATTCAAACTAATAATAATTTTTTCTTTTTTTTTTTCTTTTTTTCAATTTTTTTGTTTTGTTTCACAAAAAAACCGAAAAATTAAAAAAAAGAAACGATGCAATTTTAAATGAAAAAAAGTTTAAATTTATGTGGAGAAGGCAAATCTTAGGAATATTGTTTTATATAATTAATTTAAGCATAACAATTTGACTTTTATCAAGTAAATTAACTTCGTTGAACTATTTAAACAATATTTGAGACAGAAATACGTAACTAAAAAATTCATCCCTTATCTATTCACAATCTCAAATAACTCACAACATACCTTATACAAATATTATGTAGTGTATTCATACACAACTTTGTCTAATTTTACTCTTTTGCAATCAAATGAGTGGTCCTTTGTGCATGTATTTATATCAACTTTTGTTTTATTTAGTATATGTCTACCAAAACGCTAACCAACCAATATACATTGCTGCCAAATTATCAAAAGAAGTAGCCTCTTGAATCAATGTTTCAACCTGGCCTGGAACACTAAGGACCAATCCATCACGAGGATCTATACCACGTACTTTATTTCTTAGAATTTTTAATGAGTGATGCAGTGAAGTGTCTGAGCTTCTATCATACATAATTGTTTCAATAACATTTACTAAAGACACCTCATTTCTTCTCATCAAGGATAAAGTCACTTCACTGGATTTTTTGAACGTACCTTCTGTACCAATAATACCAAAAGCATCTGTGATATTCTGAGTCAATCTAAATGGAACAACTTCAGGTACTGGTAATTGTTTACCTTTCTCAAATAAACAATCAAAATCAACATGAAGAATATTTCCTAATTCTACATCTAATAATATGTTTTCACAATGACGATCGCCCAATCCCAATATATGACCTACCATAGCCATTACTGCATACGATCTTGTGTACCTATTTCTTGCATTAAACCATTTTATCGGATCAGGGAAGGTTTCTAGAAACCATTTATATAATTGGGGAACAAACTTTGAAACTTGTTTTTGGAAGAATTGTCTTCTTTCTACATCCTGCAAATCTTTCCATTCTGCGTACATTTTCCCAAGACTGTAGTTGAATTTTGATCTATCGTATTTATTAACTAAAATCGATCTTAATGTGACAACATTAGGAACAATCTCTAATAAACCACAGTCTTCTCTTAAAGAAAGGACAGAATATGTTAAAATATGCAATTTTCTTTTTGCAGATTCCACATCTTTGCTTAACAAGAAATCCATCGTAGTAGCAAATTGCATGTATTGATTATCTTGGCGAACATCTTCCATCTTACACATAATACCATATATCTGCCCATCTGATCCAATGATATTTATTTGTTTAGGCTTTTTTAAAGATGAAAACACCTTATACTTATCAGAGAAGCTTTCAATACTAACAAGAGATCTAAATGTTTTATAAGTATTTTTCATTTCAGTCGACAAAGTAGGTGACAACATCTCTAAATTAATCCGAACAGGAACGGCTAATAATGTTGGTGCAATATCTAACTTAAATTCAAAATCACCTTGAAGACTTTTTGAAGTATTCTTTATATCCTTAATATCGGTTACACAAACTTTTGTAAATTCAGTAGTCAATAAGTTCGCAGATGTCATTAACTTTGCATGATTTGTCTTGGATAAAAGTTTTTTTGCAATATCATCACCAATACGTCTTCTTCTTGTATTCGACGAGTTCATTAATGCAGCAACATACCAAAATATATGTTCTGGAAAATCAATGGCTAATTTCAATAGGATTTCTCTAATCAATTTAGCAGATTGTGGAAATGGGTGCAATAAACGAGATAACAATTGAGTTAATACAGAATACCACATATAATTAGGACACGTTTGAAAAGAATTATTAACGGCATTGCAGATTTCTAGTGCAGTAGAATTTTGTACAGAAGCAGTAGTATTAATTTTGGTATTATTGCTAATTGCAAGGGATGTAATATCTAGCCAAAACGTAACCACTTTTGGTAAATTTTCCCTAACTTTGCAAATATTACGTTCAAAAGCCATCAAGAAAAAGGATATAGCCTGATATTCAAAATAACCTGTTGTTATGTAACCCTCTTCTTTTTTTCTTTCTAACAAACGACTATAATACAAGCCCATAGAATAATAAGGCTTATCCCATTCTGGATCCAATTTGAAAATTTCTTTATATTGTTCAATAATTTTTGATGAAGATGAATTATTAGATAAATCCAGCCATTCAGTATATTTCAATAACACAGTGGCTGCATTTCTTGCATTTATATTAGAATTATTTTTATATCGCTGGTGAATTTCCCTCACTAATTTCAATGCACCATCGTTCTCACCCTTTTTCCATAAAATTTCTGCAAATTCAAGCTCTGCTTGAAGATGGCCAAATGATAAGCAGTTCATTAATGAATCAGTAGCAATATCTAATCTTGAATTTGCACGAGCCATCTGAGCTATTTTAAAATATGTATCACCAAGATCCTTTTCTGTATACTCTGTATGCCTTAATAAATCATAAGATTTCCTTAGAGCCATTAAATAATAGTTTGATTTGAAATCAGCACCAACACGCTTTAACCTAAAATCGATTACATTACATTTAGAACTAAATTGATATGTATCAACTTCTGAAGAAAGAAGCAATATATCGTACAAACCATGTAATTTCATCAAAATATTTTGTTGTTTAACAAGAGCAGCGGAATTAGCGAGCGTTGTAAAATATGTTCCAGCAAGTTTAAAACAATTATTAACATAGAATTGTAACTTTTCAACATCTCTGCTATGAATACAATACAAAGCTTTTGCTATATTATATTGTAAAAGCACATTATGATCTGGAGTTTTTTGAAGCATTTCCACCCTATTAATCCATTTCCCCAAGATATCAATATTACCTAATAAATTAGCAGCTTCAAGTCCCATACAATACCATTCTGACTTCTCACCTTCCAATACAGATAATTCTTCTGGCAGTATCAGACTTGTTCTATTAATAACCTGCATACTCAGTTGGTGTTCACTCATTGAACGCAACATTTTCGTAGTGGCAAGAGAATCTATTTGGTAATTACCCAAAGTCTCAAAACAATCCTGTGCCATCTTCCAATTGGAAGAATATTGCAATTCTTTAATCTTGGATTCAAAATTGCTAGAGGTAAAGGTTTTAAGCATACCATCAATTGAGTCAACATCTTCAATTTTTTCATACATATCTTGCAAATCTTTAATTAATCTTATATTGGTGTTTTTTTCAGATTTTGATAAACGATAGCAATCCTCCAAATATAAAATAGAACGTTCATAGGAAGCGGTGACTAAAGATCTTTTAGCTAATAAATCTGGTGGTATTGTTGTCAAAAATGTATCCAATCTTTGTAACATCCTTGCATATGTAACCTCTGCTACCTCAGTTGTAGCATACCTGTCATAATATTCTTTTCTATATTGGGTTGTCCATTTTTTACAATACTCAAAAACGCCAAAAATTGACTCATACGCCATCTTAAGAGTATCACGTTGTAAGGAATTTAAATTATCCATAGGATATTCGAATATAAAGCGAAACTCCACCACAATATTATCAATTAATTTAACAAATTTTGTCTTTGGTTCAGCTTTGAGAATAATATCAACAACAATATATGGAAGTAATAAATTTGAAAGATGTCCATCATCCTCTCTAATGAGTGATGAAAACACATGTAATGGATTGTTTTCTTCAGTACCAATTTTTAACAGATCCAAAGCTAAAGCTCTAATCCATGTTTTATAACTTTCTTTTTCATTAAATATGGGATATTCAAGTGGTGTATATTCCTTCCAAGACTGAGCAAGATATAATGAAGACATCAAAGGATATAAAGTGGTTTGTGAGATTGTGTTGAATTGCTCCCATAATTTCTTCTGTCTAGGATATTTGTCTGCTTCACTAATTTGCCACGAGTCACTGCTAAGCTCACAGTATCTAAGTGATTCTTGCATTACCAATGCAAAAAATAGTTGTTTTCGAGGATTCTCACTTTGCCAAAAAGCTGGAACAATTACGTCATTTATAATCCAAATAAGAAATTTTATTACTTGTATTTTATCATTAAAGAAATACACATTATTATGATTAGAATAGTCTTTTAAAGAATGTTTTGTAACATCCAGCACACCAATCATACTAATGCATTTTGCACATTTCTCACAGATTAATTGATCAGATGATCTAAATCGATGCGAAGTCTCTAAAAGTGCTCCTAATAAAACACTGATATCCTGTCTATGACTATCGTTTTGAAAAATATCATCAATATATTCTTCTTGATGATTTTTTAAAAATATTTCAATATCTTCTAAGTTTTGCAGAATGACATATCTATTATTACTTTTTAGGTTGCTTGAAAAAACAGTTATGAAATCTGTAAGTTCTCGAGTCTTCTTAACAATTCGGGCAAATTTTGGATTATGCTCGGCTAATGATAGTCCTACTTTTTGAGTCAGAGCAAACGTCACGTAAGGTTTAATAGAAGTTATAAGACTAACCTTACTTTCAATGATAATATCTAATATTTCATAAATCAAATTTTTTAAAATACGTTCAAATGTCGACCATTTTTGTAAAATAAATGCTATAAAAACATCAATTATAGTTGACAACTCTTCATCAGTCAAACGAATAATTAGCTGTTTCCAAGCTTTAAAAGCACTAAATCTTACCTCTTTAATTTCTAAACTAGTTTGGAGACAAATACTAATTTGTGCAAGCGCAGAAATAATGGCTTTTTTCGACACGATCTTAATTAACAACATAATACCGTTAACGACTCGAAGCTTTTCATAATAAGTAGTTTTTCCTTCAATATTATGGATATCACTTGAATAAACCTGAAAAATACCCAAAATAACCTCTTGGAACTTCTTTTGAAAACGATTTTCTTGTTCCACATTCCAGTTTGAGTCATTCAAATATAGTCCACCACGCCTCTTATCCTTTTCAAAATTAGTAATCAGATATCGCAATGCTTGTATTATACGCTTTTCATTTTTTTGGTCACCTGCATCTGGGTTATCACTATATTTATTTAACTTTGTAATTTCAGCCAGTGTTTTAAAATCAAAAAGAAATCTAACGACATAACTTTTGTCAAATTGAGGTGCTCGATTAATAAATAACTTTTCTAATGTGTCTAGAGAAAAGATACCATGTTTAACTAAAGCTACTGCAAAAATTTGACGGCTGTTAAATTCTAACATTTCTTCCTGTTGCTGTTTTAGAAACTCTACCTCACCATCACAAATAATTCGAGCTATTTCTCCAAATGTGTCATTTTTATGGTTCATCACTGCGTAAGGAACAATATAACGTTGAAACATCTCTAAAATTGTTTTACCTGAATAACCTAGAAGATCACATAATCTTTGAAAAGAAGCCTTTTTTTGAACCAAATTCTTTCCAAATTGTTGAAGTAATATAGGGAGAATGGGTGATAATAACTGATATGGTGTCTTTCCTAATGTTCTCGCCAAATTTTGTATTTGAAAGGTCATCATAGTATGAACAGTATAGTTATCTGAGTTAAAAATATCCATTAACTTCAAGAGTAATGTATCAAAAAGTTCTCCATTTGTTGTTTGAATGAACTCTATCCATCCTAATATTACCGTTTCTGTTGTTATAGGATCATTGACAGATTGTAAGAGTCTCACTAAAGTTCTAGTATTTTCATCGTTTTTATTATAGAGATAAGTGATGTTTAATAAGGGTATTATTTTGACACTTACCAAACGAAGGTACCTGCTGTTACTAGCAAAACATTTTGTTATAAGATCAAAATATCTCGAAGGATTTTCAACCTCATCAATATATAATTTTTGAGGTTGAAAATGTGTCAATATTCTTTTCAATGCAAAAAGTATTCCACATAATAAACCTTCAGAAAATTCCTCAACTATAGGATTACATATAAATAGCCGATTCAACAATTCAAATGCTTTACTTTTAGTATTATCTGGTCTTTCTGGATTTACATTCATAGTAAAGATGTGAGTGTTATTATTATCACATATAACACAACTTTCATAATTTAATAATTTTGAATTATTTGAAAAATGTGCCTCAAAACAACCCAACCTACCCAGTATTCGAGTCCATGAGACTAGTTTACTTGTTATCTTAGCATTGATACAATTTTGAATACTCTTCTCTAGTTCCTCATAGAGATTACTCATATCTTTACTCATCTTAAAAAACAAACTAGGGTCTAAATTATCAATTTCATATTTCAACAAACAAACTTGATCATTAGTCCGAAATTTATATAATATCGAGCTTCGAAGTTTTTCAAGTTGTTTCAACTCTTCAGGAAGTGGCTTACAAATTATGTCAAGTAACTGTTCATTTTCTTCTTTTAATGTCCATACACGATATTTTTTATTAAAAACCAAATCTGCTGCATTTTTCATTATTTTACGGTTACAATCAAATTGGATAAGAAGTATTGCTTGTATTGTGAACACGTTATATGGCAAATCTTTGCTGTTTTCTGGTAATAAGAACTTATCTAAATCAACCCATTTTTCAAAACCTAAAATAGTAATACATAGATTCAGATACTCCAGAGTATCAGCATCTTCCTTAACTTTTTCTGCATCAATACATAAAGAATATATCCTTAATAAAGTTTTTGCCAAAATATCATTGTTACTCAGAAGACCAAAACCATTCTTCAAGAAGATTGAAATTGCTTCCAAAGTAAACTTTAGTTTGTTTAATGAAATTGAACTTTGATTTCTTAACTCAGACACTAATAAATCTACTAATACAGACATAAATTTTACCTGTAACAATGCATAATCTGGAGTTGGAACACTTATAGATCCAAATACAAATAACAAAAATCTGATTATCTTTTCAAACATAAGATCCCACTTAGTCAATCCCATTAAAGAATCCAGAAGAGTTAAGCTAGAGCCAAACACATCGTGTGGACCAGAGAGATAATAACACAGTATATATAATTTCTTAAGATTTGAAATAAATTTTTCAACTGGATAAATTCCAGTCAATACTTGGGAAAGCTCTTGTTCTGTAGTAGTAATTAATGATAGGAAATATTCCGTTATTTCATACTTATATTGCATATTGTATAAATTTATCAGTAGGTTACACCATTTCCCTAAATGTTTCCTAAGAAACCATAATCTGTGAGGTACATCGTAATAAGACATTCCAACGAATAATACATCCTTTATTATCCTCTTTATTCCCAGTATTGTCTCATTTGTACTATATGTTATAGGAACCTCAGATACCAAAAGAAAAGGTCGTGAACTTATCAGAAGATCTAATGCTTGTACAATTTTTCCAAAAATATTATCATTTACAATATATTTCTTTTTATTCTCGTCTTTCAAATTACTTAGTAATGTTAATAGGACTTTCAAACTTTTTGGATCCTTATCCAATGATTTTTGAATAGACACATTATTCATTAAATTATTTTCAGAAACATTTTTAGAATCAAAAGACGTCAATCGCGATTCTTTAATAGCAATGATCAATTCATCTAGATATTTGCTATACTGCTCCATAATATCTAAATCACTTTTTGTTAGTTTTTTATTCTTCTTTTGTATTATGCCTATATTGAATCTGTAATTGTTATATTCTCTTCCGTGCCGCTTCTTTATATACATGTTTCTTTAAAAGCAATTAAAACTTAGAACATCAAAATTTACAATACAAATAAATTACCAAGAATTTAGAACGAACAAAAGAAAGAAAACAAACTATATTTAAAAGGAAAGAGAGCTAATAGGCTATCTTTGGGAACAATAACAGTAATCTAAGAGTCTAATGCTAGTTGTATACCAAAATAATTTTAAATAGATCTTTTTGATAAAGATATTATATGATATATTCTTTTTCCATACTAAATTTCTAATCATGGTTCATATAGTGAATAACTCCAAAATAATATGTATATGAGCCGATATCTAATATTCTATAATGGTATATATATTCTATTATAAGCATATACTTAGAGCAATAAGGATAACTGTCTCAAGCTTTTCGTTAAAAATGTATTCTGCAATTTAATCAATTAGTTATTATAATAGATCAATACCACAATTACAAAAGCTCCTATTTTTAAAATATTATACGATATATATACCTCTGAAATGGAAAACAAATATTAATAAATAAACTCTCACTAAACCTCGAAAGGATCATCTTATATTTTTATTCATCTATACAAAACTTATTTATACAGTGATTCTTACGTTAAAATTATAATATCATCGGCATTGTTAAAATATACTTCAATTTTTAGACTTCACATAATTACTTCACAAAGCTTCTATACACATAAAAACCTACAGTTTAATCAACTTCACTTTCAAAAAATATTCTTAAAAAAACAAACTAATTGAAAAGCTATGCGGTTTTTTGATTTATATCTATAGTTGGTATTCTATAATCAGCTAATAATCTTACATCAATATTGCCTTACTATTCTTATTGTTGATTCTGTCCTTCACTGTGCATACTTGCTGCTTGCTGCTGTTGTTGTTGTTGTTGCAACTGTTGTTGTTGTGCTGCTCTCAATTCTGCTTCAAAGTTTAGTGGTCTTTTAAATAATAATATATGAGGTTCTGGAGCATGACATTCGTAATGTTCCCATCCTAAAGATTGTGTAATACCTAGCCCTCTCCATTCATCTTCAGTCAATATACGTAATGTACCTACTTCTGAGTTGAAATAGTCAGATGGAATTACCTTTAACATTGCTTTAGGTAGCATAACATGTCTATATTCAAAGTTATCATCCGAGTATCTTGGCGAATAATGTATAGACTCTTGAAATTCCAAAACACGGGCTCTTTCCTGATCAGTAAGTTTTCTACCTTGAAAGGTTCTATAGTGTTGATACATATTCAAATTCAATATAACAGTCTAGTGATGTATATGCAAGCTATTTTATATTTTTAAAATTTGATATCCGCAGCTCAAATATATTGATATTCCACCTTTACTAAAAGTATTTTATAAAAATATTGCAGGACACAGCACTTTAATAAATATAAACTATTACTATAATATCCTGTTTATTTATTATATATCTTAACGCTAATGTACTACTGCTTACTTCCTATTTTTTTTCTTTGAAGCTTTAAAGATATTTATTTTTACTACTATCCAAAAAAAAAAAAAAAAAATAAAAAAACCGAAAAGATAAAAAAAGGTGAATAATCTATAATAACTTTTAACGAAATTTATAAATATATTGTATGCATATATTTTTGAAAAATTGGGAATAATTTTAGTTAAACTATTTTAACAATTGAAAATTACAGGGTTATTACATTTAAAAAAGTTAATCAACTAATTTCTCAACTAATTCGAAAATATACTTTAATGATTTCAAATAACTTATAATGTTAATTTTGACTAAATATTTACTCACGGCAAAATATACACCGAAAAAAATGTAAGATAGTATACTTTTTCTCTATCTTGAGTTAGCTTTGAGCACAATTTTAAATAAAAAAACAGATATTATCAGAACACAAAGCCAATTTTTCTGTTCATCTTTTAATGGAAAAACTTCGAACTAAGCAAAATTGTATTACAATATCAAAATTTATAAAGTAAGCACAGGTGTATAATATTCTAATATTAAATTTTATGTTATTGATATTAGAATATTTCCTACTTGACTTATTTTTCGTAGTAGACAGTTTATATACATTTTGTGAACATTACTACATAGTCAATTATACAATTATAAATAAGCAAAAGGAGCTACTAGATATGTGTTATTTCTATGGGCAGCTAAAATATAACTAACTAAGACGAGAATACGCTATTCACAGACAATTCTAATCACGCATGTATACAAGGGAAGAAATTTCAACGACAAAATTTCAACAACTTTCCATAGTTCTAAATCTTGCAGAAATGTTTACTTATGATTATGTTTTACTAAAAAAAATATTTGAAAATAAAAAACGCTTGTATTGAGATGACTTCCCAGTGATGATAGTGATGTATTTCTCAATATTAATGTGAGAGAGTTCCTTATTTTTAGGTTTATTTAATTATACATAGTTTAGAAGGTTTTTGCCGCAGGAGAAAGAAATTAATTGTAAATGACTACTCTTTATTTTCCAGGAGAATGCTTTGGCTGACAAAAAAGAAAGTCACATGTCATAATACACAAGGAAGTATTACAATGAAATTCATAATCACAACCACTATGGGAAAAAAAAAAGTAATCCACATTGGAAAATTGTTTCAAATCTGCTTGAAAATTATTCAAAACCCTAATCCAACTTGGGTCGAATAATTTTGCGACACTTAACATTTTTCACCACTTGCAAAAAAACAAACAAAAAATATAGAAATGCTTTAACAATAGGCAAAAAAACTTTTGTTTTATTTTTTTGATTTGAAAAAATACTGATGTATTTTTAGAACAGGACTTTGTTATTATTAGGGTAACAAACAAGCAAACTAGATAAATAACATATCAGCTATGATCTAATAAAAAACCTAATATTACATCCACCTATATATAATATACAGAAACAAGTTAAATATTGAAATACAAAACATCTAGTTGATAATATCATCTATCACAGATATTAAACTTAAAATCTGCAAAGGCCTGACAACAAATATTCAAAGATTATTTTGTTTTAGATGCAGAGTAACGTTTTCATTGGTGTTAAACCATCTTTAAATCATACTGTTGGAAATCTAACCAATTCAAACGAATATATAAAAAACGATATTTTTTCTGGAAATTACGATTATATCCTCTTGCCAATAACAAATTCAAGATATAAGGAAACAGTAAAACATTACATAAAAGATTTTAAGGATTCCCAAGACAAGACATTTTGCAGTGATCTAACTATACCTGAACCTCAATTACAGGATATATCGATATCACCTTTTAATGGAGGGTCGCAAGAAGAAGCTCCAAGATATATTGGTCTACTATCATCATGGCTAGAACTGGAGAGTCCTGATTTACTTCAGAGATCATTAGCCTTCCAAGTTCTCCTGAATGAATGTCGATATGCCAAATACGTTGGAATAAAAAAACTAATTTTAGCTCCACCTAAAGATTTAGTTAATTTACAGGATTATTCTCAAATTGTTGCAAGATTACTAAACTCTGATATTTTTAGGCCAGGACAAGATGCTACTCAACAAAATACAGAAAGAATGATACTCTCTATATCATTGCCGTTGTGCGAAGATAGTGATCCATTGGCAACCTGGGAAATCTGGAACACAGTTAGAAAATTATGTGATTTCCATCCTTCTTTAACTATTTCTCTGGCTATATCCAAGGTTAAAACACCAAACTATGTACTGAACAGATGGCTTTGTGAACCTGTAAGTTGTCTATTAGTATCATCGTCCATTTTTGCTACCAATAAATATGGGTATCCTGTACTTTATAAATTTAATCAAAATTTGATTAGAAAATTCCAGGACATAAATGGAAATTCACAAACTACTTCAAACGATCTGTGTGTATTGCTCCATGGAATGGAAAAGTATGCTTACAGTGTCAATGGTGGTGAAAACTCTTACTTAGCCTACATTAATCATTTATTAAAGAAGGGTGACCAGGCTATGTTATCTGAATGTATAAATGGGTCCAATGAACCTTATCTTTTATCCCCACTGAAGCCCAATAGTGAAAATCTAACAAATGAAATATATTCAAACTTTGAAAAAGATGAAGTCAAATATGACATGTATGAGAAAGCAATAGAAAAGGCTATATGCAACATCAAAAATTTTATTGATAATTCTTCACAATTCACAATTTTAATTGCAGGTGCTGGACGTGGTGCAATAGTGGATAAGTTATATCAAGTCATAATGAAACATAATATCATAAATCGAGCAAGAATATTGGCATTGGAGAAGAATCCTGAAGCGTGTTTATATCTACAAAAGAGAAATTTTGAATATTGGAATAGCCGAGTAGAATTGATTAAAGAAGATATGAAAACTTGGAAAGACCCAACTATCAAAATTGACATATGTATTAGTGAATTACTTGGATCCTTTGGATGTAATGAGTTGTCTCCTGAATGTCTATTTGAAATTGAAAAATATCACGGTAAACCGAATACAATTTATATTCCCAAATCCTATTCCTCATATGTTGCACCAATCACATGTCCGTTGATATATCAAAAATTAAAAGATACAAATGATCGAAAAAAAAATTTACAATCTTTTTGGGTATTACACAAAATTCCATATCAAGTACTTTCATCAAAGATTAGTAAAGTATGGACTTTTAAACATCCCATGATTAGAGCCAATTTTACTCAGCAATATACCACAGTTTTTAAACTGAAACAACGAGGGGAAATCCATGGTTTAATTGGATTTTTCACTGCAATACTATATGATGAAGAAACAATCCTCTCCATCATCCCAGATGGTCATATAGTTAAAGACAAATTAGAAAACTATCACATGCATAACATGGAAAATATTTTTCATACCAAAGACATGATATCATGGTCTCCTATAATATTCCCGCTTGAACAACCATTGCCTATAGTAGATGATACAGAGGTATCTTTATCAATATCAAGATTACATAATGGTAGGGAGGTATGGTATGAATGGTCTATGGAAAGTTTTATGTACTTTGTTGTTCCTGAAGAAAAAGTAAGACAAATAAACAATCACACTAGTCTCTCAAAAGATGTATCAAATAATAACCATGATCATAATATTTATATAATGCCTAAAACAAAATACATGGGGTATAGGGATATGAGCACATTTGAAGAAGTTACAAATACCAAAAATCCAAATCCAAATCTAAATCTAAATCTAAATCCCAAATCAAATTTAAATTCAAATTCAAACTCTAGTTTGACCTTGAGTAAAAGTAAAAATGCAAACGCAAACACGAATACAAATATTAGCTCCAATCTTGAAGATTCACAACAAAATTCTTTATTAAAAAACAAGAACTTTGTTAACTTAACAACAGACAATGAGGAAGATGAAAAAGCTCAAGATTTCGCTTTACAAAACTTTAATAGCGGCTGGCAAAGTGTCAATGATATACATGGTTGGGTTACTGATGATCCAATACTGGCACAAGAACATGGCACGTATATTCATAAGGATATTAATCCAACTCCAACATTTAATCTAAGTAAAAACGATTCTAATAATACTCACACTTCTCCGCCCAATCATTATTTAAGTTCTCCACCTCCACATAAGCCAATGATCATCCTTCCCCAACAGCTAGATTTAGAACCTATAAATGAAGAATATATATCTCAAGAAATCCATATGCGTGTGAAAACCGGTTCGACTACTATACACAATATTGGTGGGCATGCCTTTTCAATTCCAATATAGGATTCTAATATGGAATTAGATTTATTATATTTTTATTAGTAGTAATAGATCTTGTACAAGAATACATTACTGCATATTTTCTATCCTTTTGTTTATTATTATTATTATTATTATTATTATTATTATTATTATTATTATTATTATTATTATTTAATTTTTATATTTTAATTTTTGCATTATTTCATAGATCAAATATTAAAAAAGATGTCATATCTGATTGATGCATTTTAAATTTCTATCTCTGTGATACTTTTTTTGACCCTTATTTTAAAGGAACGGATCATTACTACAGAAAATTATTTTCCATATATTAATAGATCTCAAAACAAACATTAGCATAACAAAAAACCAAAATAAAACAAAAACAAACAAAAGGAATTAATTCTAGTTAGTCAAAATAATACGTTCATTATCAATATACTCGCCATAGTAGATGGTCATTTCTACTAGTTTTTTCCTGTTAATTAATTATCTGTTCATAATAAGACAGTGTTATATATATGTACGTATAATTATACATATTACATAGATCTCACAATCAATTTGTTCTTTTTTCTGCGTCTTCCAATTCCGCTGCGGAACTGTGATTTAACTTTGTTCTTTTGTTTTTGTTCTTTGGCCGGTTCCGCCGTTTTTGCCATTTCTTTTCTTTTTTTTTTATATCTTTCATTTTAGCGTGATTTGGTTAGTCATCAAAAACAAAAGAGTGGAAAAAGGAAGACAATAAACAAAACAATAGAGTTAATGATGAGTGAATCGGAGATTGTGATTTTTTTGGATATTCTGTCAAGTTGTTTTTTATTTGTTTTTTTTTTTTTTGCTTTCTTTTTGCTTTCGTTACAAATTGTTTATGCCATATTTCTGCGAATAACAAAGTTGGTTATTATGATCATCATTAGTATTATTATTAATTACATCTTTATCTTTGCGAAATGACAGTTTCCCCCTCTGTAAAAAATTTCCCGGCACCCGGTTTCAACTTTCATAATTTTTCTGTCTTGCTTTGTTTTGATTTACTGCAGCCTCGAGATGTCTGCAAACAACGAAAACCCTTTTAATTTTCTTCTAGATTTCAACTTTTCTTCTGGCTTTGTTATTTAGATACTGTTTTGCCAGTCAATAACCAGTAATCTCTTCTTTGATACCCTCATCTTCAATTCTCTTTCACAACAGATACCATTCTGTATCATATCATTCACCTTTTTTTTTCTATTTTTGTTTTTACTCATCTTGCTTTTCATGCTTTTCTTTTTCCCTTTTTTTTTTCTTCTGTGTCTTTGCATTCAAGTAATAGAAATCCAAGATCAGCTAACTAATTGCTTCTTAAATATATTATTAAGAAGTGTGGAACAAGTTGAGAAATATAGACAAATAAACAATCAAATAATCTCGTCTCTTTCTATCCATACACACGGACACTTACATATATATATCTAATAATCCTCACTAATAAGGTTATCAAGTATGCTTAGGGAAAAGCTTACTTTCCATTATAATTCTAAAAAGACAAGAGAGGAAACTAGTAAGTCTCGAATAAAACTTTCTAGTAGAGACGGGTATTTGGAAGAAAACATAATAGATGAAGATAAGTTAACTGAATGGTATCCAGATTCTATCTCCATTATAAAAAACCCAAGACATAGTTTTCAAAATAAAAATTCAATAAGTTATCGATCAACAAGTGAAGATGAGGAGGCAGAAGATGATATAAATGATAACGATTCCACTACAGGTCTACTTTATAACACAAAAACACAAAGAAAACTTTTGAACAGGCATGTTCAATTCATTGCAATATCTGGTGTTATTGGTACTGCATTATTCGTAGCCATTGGTAAAGGTCTTTATTATGGTGGTGCAGGGTTCCTACTAATCGCGTTTGCCACATGGTGTATACCAATTCTTTGTATCACTGTCTCTACTGCAGAAATGGTGTGCTTTTTACCCATTAGCTCCCCCTTTTTAAGGTTAGCTAACAAATGTGTTGACGAATCCTTGGCTGTAATGGCAAGTTGGAATTTTTGGTTTTTAGAATGTGTTCAAATCCCATATGAAATCGTCTCCGTTAATACCATTATTCATTATTGGAGAGATGATTATTCTCCTGCTATCCCACTGGTTGTTCAAGTGATCCTATATCTCCTTATCTCCTTCTGTGCTGTCAAATATTATGGTGAATTGGAATTTTGGTTAGCATCCTTTAAAATCATTTTAGCTATTGGTCTGTTTTTTTTCACTTTCATTACAATGGTAGGTGGAAACCCTAAACATGATGTCTATGGGTTTAGATATTTTCGTCATCATTCCTTCAAACAATATTTCCCTGATGGGAATACATCTCCAGGTCCCAATCTTGGTTATTTCCAAGGTTTTTTGGTATGTTTAATCAGAGCTGCTGCCACTGTTGCAGGAGGTGAATATATTTCAATGTTGGCTGGTGAAGTTAAATTGCCAAGAAAAGTATTACCAAGAGCATTCAAACAAGTCTTTATAAGATTGACTATCCTTTTCTTGGGTGGTTGTTTATGTGTAGGTATTGTTTGTTCTTCAAATGACCCTGCTTTAACTGCAGCCATCAACGAATCAAGACCAGGTGCTGCTTCATCTCCTTATGTTATTGCAATGAATAATTTGGGGATTAAAGTGTTGCCAGACATTGTAAATATCGCTTTAATCACAGCTGCTTTTTCTGCTGGTAATGCATACACTTATTGTTCCTCAAGAACTTTATATGGTATGGCTTTAGATGGATACGCCCCCAAAATCTTTAAAAGATGTAATAAACAAGGTGTTCCAATATATTCTGTCGGTATATCGTTGTGTTGGGCACTGATAAGTTTACTTCAATTAAACGCCAACAGTGCAGTCGTTTTAAATTGGTTGATTAATATCATTACATCATCCCAATTAATCAATTTCGTTTGTCTTTGTATCATCTATTTGTTCTTTAGACGTGCATACCTAACACAAAGAGATAATTTACCTGAATTACCGTTCAAATCATGGGGACAACCCTATACTGCAATATTCGGCCTTATCTGTTCCGTCTTAATGATTATGCTTCAGGGCTACTATGTGTTTTTTCCAAAATTGTGGGATGTTCAAGATTTCTTATTCTATTATTTGATGGTCTTTGTCAATATAGGTATTTATCTTTTCTATAAATTTATCTGGACTCGTGGTAAAGATAAATTCAAAAATCCAAAAGAAATCGATTTCGAAGTGGATATTCGAGAGATTGAAGAACACGAGATAAATCATTCCTTTGAAAAATATAAATTTTATACCGATTAATACCTTGCTTTCCCTTTCTTCCCTTTCCCCCTCCCTGGAAAGTAATAGATTAATTGGTAAACACTGCATAAAAACATAAAGGCATATTCAAAAGGAAGTTCTCCCCTCTCATCGTAACAATATATAATTTATTTATTTATTTATTTATTTATTCATTTATATAAAATACAGCATTAACAAATTGTATCCCATTATTTTCAAAACTATGAATATAGCTGCTTCTCATTAGCTAGGTAAAGTGATCATTAACTTATTAGTATACATCTACATATATGTATATATGTATCATCATCATCATTTATCTATTGAAATTGTTCCCACCAATCAACAACATCTTTCCCAAGACTATCTAATAAAGTTTTTCTGTTTAACTTCAGTACACCCTTATTTTTCTGTATTCCATACCAATTTTTAATAACCATAACCAATCTTTGTGGATCACTTCTAATATAGCAGATCAACCCATTATCTAACATCAACAACCTTTCTTCATTGACACTATCTAATTGTTTCTTTGAATTTTTAAAGGTTTCCAACAAGTCAACAATATTGTTTTGTAATTCCCATGCTTTATCATCAGATAATGATTTTAAAAAGCTATCACATGAATAATCTTTACCACCTTCATTTTCTTCCAAACATGAAATGAATCCAAATATTTTCCCCATAGATTTGAAATTAATAGAACAATTATCCATTCCAGTAAACACTAAATCCAGAGGAGATACATTATCCTTGTTCCGTGAATCAAGTGAATTGAATAAAGTCTCAGCAAAAAATGGTGGAATAGATGTCTTAAGAGTTTGATTTGAATCAGTTTTTTCCATTACCATGTATGCAAATCTCCTATCAATTTGACCAATATCACATAGTGTTAAATTCTTTAAAACTTCCTCATGGAATTGCACTATTCCTTTTGTCAATAATTTATCCATTTCTGTTAAAAAGGAAGTATCCCATATTTTTTCAAAATTTTCTTTACATACTATCAACAGCAAAATATCATTATAAAACCAAAATAGTGTATTATATCTTATGTTGTCTTGACTTTTAAATTTTAAATGCAATTTTTTTATTTTATAGGAGATTGGTAAGTTTTTATTTGCCAAGGGAGATATTAAAAATCCATGTCTTGGAATGTTACCTCTTTCCAAATAACTAATATTACCTGTATCCATACAATTATTTTTATCAGGATTATCAGCCTCAGTAGACCATCGTGGAATATAATCCTTGAATAAAGACACACTATTCGATATTTCTGTAGTAACACCGATTTCCCGAATTGCATCATAAGCAAATGACATCGGCAGGGTAACATTATGTAAAAATCTATTTGAATAAGAAGATAATGTGCTCATCACACTTTTTAACTTTGAATTTTCCAAAGAATTGGTTGTATATTCATTATCTGTGTTAGAATTAGTATTTCCATTATTTGAAATAGTAGTATTTTGCTCCCTGGCATTATTATACATAGAATTCTCTTCCATATCGATAATCCTCTCCTTATAATGCATATTACCAGTGATTACATGATTAGAGATAGTTCCATATGAAGTATGCAAATGATATAACCAATTAGATAGATCATTTAAATTTTCCAAATCGTTTGTAAAATTTCCTATAAATCCATACTGTTTTTTTAATATTGATCCCTTAAATTTAGATTGTTTATTACTTGGCAAATTATAGATCAAAATATCAACTATCCCTGGAAAACTTTCTTCATTTAAAATGACATCCCTTAGGATTATCGAATCCCAAGATTGAACACTGCCACCATTATCAATATTATCTTTCTTGTTATTATCCATAGCACCCGATTGTTTTAAGGAATTATTCAAATTAAACTCTGCACATTTAAAAACTTCATACCATAGAGCATCTAAACCACGTCGCAACAAAATTGAGGGTTTCAAATAAATATCATTCCAAAATGGAATCATATGTTCATTAAGTAAATTAGTTAATTGTTTAGTAGTATGAGTATCTGTATTGCAAAATGACTGGAAAGTGCCATATTGAAGAAGAAAAAATCTATACGATAACCACAGATGACTTAAATAAAATTGATAGGGTATCTTATTAGTGGATATATTAGTAGAAGATTCATAATTATTACCATTGTTTCTTGCTGTTATTACATTCTCAGTATCACTATTGGATAAAGTCAACGTTACAAAAAATCTAGATTCAACAAAAATAGTCAATATTATTTCATTGTCCAATTCAGTAATATTTTCATTGTCTAAGCCTTCTTCAACATCAGCAATTTCTTGTGACATTGACCATACACCTTGGATGATACCAATACGAGATAATTTTTCATTTATTGAACAATTATATTGATCCCCAAATTCATGATAAAGCAATAATGAGGATCGTGCTTCACTATCCAACTCACCGTTCTTAGATGGATCAAATATAATTAAATATTTCAACATCCATACCAAAATATATCTACTCTTATTTACTATTGTTTGTTCACACACTAATGCCTATCAAAACCAATCAAACCATTTGATATTTGAATGATACTCTTGGATCATGTAAAGACCAACAATCAATTTTTTTTGTTAAAAAAATATCTTACTAAAGTAGGAGCATGATGCATATAAATTGACTAAACTATAAGAATCGCCTAAATGCGTGATAACCATGTCTTGACTATCTCTCGCCTAAGTGCACAACAGGTGTAACCATTAGACTCATATTTAATGACCCTTTGTTCTCTTAGCATTTTACTCCTTCAGAACTTTTCAAAATGCTCGAGGAGACAATGCCAATTGTTTCCATAAAAGGAAATTGGAATAGAAAAAGAAACCATTGAAAAAAAGAACCAAAAAAGAAAATAAAAATTTTCAGATCATCCAGAACGAACAGACAAAAATAAAAAAAAACCAAAATGACAGTAAAAGGTAAAATAGAATGAATCAATAAGTAAAAAGAAGTAAATAAAGATAAACACTAACAAATTTATTTCAAAATACAGTATATTCTAGGAAGACTTACTTCGCTGGGTAGCCAGTTGAGATACAGTGGGTTAAATTGGTGTGACTCTAATATAAGTGCTAAATTTTTTTTCTTTCTTTGTTCTGTCAGAAATGGTTTTAGCTAATCTGGGGAAACGTATTAACAATGCTATAAATAGTGCTATATCAAATACACAAGATGATTATGCCACCTCTGTAGATATAATGTTGAAAGGTATTGCCACAGCCCTTCTAGAAAGTGATGTTAATATAGCTTTAGTCTCAAGTCTAAGAAATAATATTAGAAATAAGTTATTGGACACATCTACCAAAAATAATAATAGGTCAATGACAAATGCTCAAACAAAAAAATTGGTTCATAAGACTGTTTTTGATGAATTATGCAACTTAGTGGATGCTAAAGAGACGCACGTATTTCAACCAAAGAAGAAGAAGACTAATGTGATCATGTTTGTTGGGTTACAAGGTTCTGGTAAAACAACATCATGTACAAAACTGGCTGTATACTATTCTAAAAGGGGATTTAAGGTGGGGTTAGTCTGTGCTGATACTTTTCGTGCTGGTGCATTTGATCAATTAAAGCAAAATGCTATTAAAGCAAGAATCCCATTTTTTGGTTCATATACTGAGACCGATCCTGTTAAAGTCGCAGCTGAAGGTATCTCTAAATTTAAAAAGGAAAAATTTGAAATAATTATTGTGGATACATCTGGTAGACATCGTCAAGAAGAGGATTTATTCCAAGAAATGATAGACATCAGTCATGTAGTGAAACCAAACCAAACTATTATGGTTCTTGATGCATCTATCGGTCAAGCTGCTGAACAACAATCAAAAGCGTTCAAAGAATCTTCTGATTTTGGTGCAATTATATTGACTAAGATGGATGGGCACGCTAAAGGTGGTGGTGCAATTTCTGCTGTGGCTGCAACAAAGACTCCCATTATCTTCATTGGTACCGGTGAACATATCCATGATTTTGAGAAATTCTCTCCACAATCATTTATTTCCAAATTATTAGGTATTGGTGACTTCCAAGGTTTGATGGAACAGTTTCAAACTGTATCAAATAAAGAAGATACTCAAGCTTTAATGGAAAATATTTCACAAGGTAAATTCACGTTACTAGATTTTAAAAAACAGATGCAAACCATAATGAAAATGGGTCCCTTATCAAATATTGCACAGATGATCCCTGGAATGAATAATATAATGAACCAAATCAATGAAGAGGACGCTGCTAAATCAATGAAACGTATGGTATATATCCTAGATTCTATGAATCAAAAAGAATTAGAATCTGACGGTAGAATTTTCATTGAAGAACCTAGTAGGATGGTTAGAGTAGCTAAGGGGTCGGGTACATCTGTAGTTGACGTTGAAACAGTTTTAATGCAACAACAAATGATGGCAAGAATGGCTCAAAATGCTAAACAATCTCAAACTGCTGCTGCCGCTGCTTCTAGTAGTGGAGCTGGTATCCCAAGAATCCCAGGTATGCCAAATATAAGTCCACAAATGATGCAACAAGCTCAACAGAAGTTAAAACAAAATCCAGGCTTAATGAAAAATATGATGAATATGTTTGGTGGTGCCGGTGGTGTTGGTGGTATGCCAGACATGAATGAAATGATGAAAATGATGCAAGATCCACAAATGCAGCAAATGGCAAGACAATTTGGTATGGGTATGTGATTTACGATAATAATTTTGCTGTCTTTCTTTTTATTTTCTTTTTTTTTATTAATTTTCTTTTTTCATGACATGAAAATAAGTCTTCAATTATCCTAATTATAATGATGCTTGCATTAAAGTTCAATAATTTTTATTTGTTATTACTATACTTTATTTTATGTTTTCTCATAAGTTCGCATCAGATATGAGATAAATAAGGTTTTCTAGTAATGTGATCTCTCATTTCAAATCGTCTCTTTTTCATTACCATGTTACATACCATAATTAATTACAATATAACAGATTTTGTGATAAAAATAATACATTTCCAGTATCCAATCTGTTTTATAGTTTACATAACTCATATTCCTTTCCTTTATGCTTTTTAGGTTTACAAGTGTCAAATAAATTAATAAAAGAAAGAAAAAAAAGAAAAGAATACAACAATCATACGGTCTATTTATTATGAAAAACCACTATGCATATATATATAGATAAATTGTGTAATATAAATTTAGTAGACTAACGCATATAATTTTTGAATATATATATATATATATATTGTTTTTTTATTTTACTTTATATATCACATAAAGTAGAACATGTTTTTACCTATTTTAATCTGTTTTTTTGTTTTCTAAAAAATAAATTACTGTTCCTTTCCTTTAGTAACATTACACCGATAATATATTTTCAGTGCAACTGGATAACACAGTAATTAAAAATAAGCAGAAATAAGTAAATCACTTAAGTGGTAGAAGTATGAATTTTTTAAAACAAAAAAAAAAAAAAAAACAATAGCTGGAAACATATCACTAATCATATCATTAAAAGATTTGTTCTGAAGCATAGTCTATATCCATAAAGCAGAAAGAAATAAACAAAGATATTCATTAAGAAATGTACATCTATAACAACACAATTAATAATAATTTTTATTATGATTTGTCTTATTCCTTTTTTTTTACCCCTGTCCTTTTCAAATTTAGGCAAATTATCCATACTTACTACACCGTTTGCAATTAATTGTGGATCAACACAAAGATTCCTATGTTCATAAAGCAATTTATAACCAGATTTTATTGTCCCTTCGGTGACTTGAAGTATTTGTGCCACTTTGGCTGCACTAACAGGTATCTTAAAAAGTAAAATATTTAAATAAATAGACACAACAGCAATAGTGATTGGTGATTTACCTGCAATTTCCTTGATCTCTTTACATTTTTTAGCTGTATATTCTGCAGCGGTGGTAACTTGCATAGGCAAACCCAAATGAGAACAAAACCTTGGTATATAAGTTAAATTTTGTGCACCACTCATGTTGTCAGTATTAATTTTAATAAACCCATCAGAAGATTTTTCTCTCAATATACCTTTCATAATACTAAGAGTCTTTGAGAATTCCTTTGTCTTGACATGAATAATAGATTGAATTTCCTTAAAAGTTCTAGCCACCTCTGCACGTCTACAACCAATTAAAATGGATGCAGCCATAATACTTTCTGAAGATTTCCCCTTCAAAGATTTTTCATCATGGCATAGTTTATAAGCTTCTTTTGCACAATCTTTAACAATTTTAGGTAATTCTGCAGCATCACAAAGCATGGTAATCTTAGCAAAAGCTGCCTGAACTTCACTATCCTTTTTATCCAAAACGTTTTTCCCCTGAGCTCTATTTAATTCTTTAGTAAATCTCATGTCTGTACTCTCACCTTGACCAATTCTAGTGGATAAATTGTTACCATCCAACAAAGGATTCGAAGCTTCACCAACACGCGATGGGTCATCACCATTTTGGTCGTCATTGGAAAATGTACGCCATTCAGATCTTGTATCGACTAATTTATCAGATAGCACTAACCCACAAAGAGCACAAACAACATCACCCTCGCTAAATCTTTCCACAATTTTGGGTGGATACACTTTACATTCAGGACATGTCAAAACAACATTCAAATTTGGTCCCTTCCTAGGTCTTCTTTGAAAAGAATTAGCAAATGGGTTGGATATAGCAGCAGTTGATGTAGACATTGCAAATGAGTATTTGAATGAGATAATGCAAATAAAAAGGGGAAAAAATAGATAATTAAATTGATAATAACTATGTAATAATAATACTAGTAGTTATGAGAATGTATAATTAGTGAATATCTTTCTTACGGCAGATTATATAAGAAAATAATAAATATATGTATGAGCTCTAAAAAAATGAAAAGGAGTGAAGAAGGGATGAATTTATAGGATGTAGAATATCCTTGAATGAATAATGTTTAGTTTCTAATACGCTGAGCAGTCTACAACCCACTATATATCTGAGAACCTGTAAGTTACGATTATATTCTCCCTCATTTAATACATATATCTCCTTCTTGCTCTTCTTAATTCCTCTTAGTAATCTAAAAAAAATTTTTTTTCTTTTTTGAAAATTTAATAAACTACTTAAAATGGAAAAACTATTTTAGTTTCTTTTTTTTTTTTCTCTTTCTCCTTTCATGTTTTATAAAAATTTCCTGTCTTCATTTTGTCTTATTTTCTTCTCGAGGTTTTCCAATGTTTGATTGACAGGAGTAGTGATATACTTCATGTAATTATTTACAGATATTACTTATAACCGTCAAGGTGGTACTAGTGATCTTGAATAGTGGATCATTATTTAGACATATAACCAAAGAATAGGAGAAGAGATAAAGAGGAAAGGAAAAAAAAGAAATATTGTAAATTAATAATTGACAAAGATGAGCCATCAAAATGTCACGTCAACGACAATGGGGTCTCCGGAGAAATTAGGACAGCAACATGCATTATTTATGACTCGATTACAAACATCTCCAAGTAAATCAAATAATGCAAACAATAGCGGTACGAAGGATAATGAAAATGGTAATTTAGATAAAAATGATACAGAACCCAATGTAGCAAATTCGAATTCTTCAAAAGTTATTGATTCATTACGTGAACAGATAGACACATTAACTGAGACTAATTTAGAATTGACTAAACAATCCCATCACTTACTGAATAAATTAGAAATTGTACAGATTAATGAAACCAATTTGGTTGAAGAATTGAATATTTTAAAATCATCAAATGATACAATTAATAATAATTTAATAGATTCAACTAACAAATTGAAGTATTTAGAAAATCAATTAAATCAATTAAAATCAGATTACTCAAAAGAGATAAATATCAAAAAGAAATTTGAAGAACAGATTAAGCTACTAAAAAATGATAGGGATGAAAATTCAAGTGAAAATGGAATTTTAATGAAACAGACTCAATATGATATTTTATTAAGTAATCAAGAAGATTATAAAAAATATTATACAGAAAAAATCAATGAGTTAAATGAATTATTAACCAAAATTAAACTAAATTATGAATCAAATGAAGATAATAAAGATAGAATAATCACGGATAAATTGAATGAGATGGAAAGTTTATCAAATCGATATGAAATTTTAGATAACAATATAAAAGAATATATTCAAGATGATAAATTGGACTATTTAATTAGTCAAAAATTTGATATTAATGATTGGATTCAACTATATAATAATATGAATGAGAAATTTTATTATTTTGCTAATGAGAGGATGGAATTATCTGATGTAACAATAAATAAACTAAAACATGAATTGAAAACTAATCGTAATAAGCAATCAACCAAGACAAGAAGTGTATCAGATAGCAATGACTCTAAAGATAAAAGAACTACGAAATATTATGGTAATTTAAGTACACTTTCTCAAGATTCCTTAAATAACTATAGTAGCAATATCAGTACTAATAATAGTAATATTCATATTAGTAGTAGTACTAGTAATAGTGGCAATGAAGAGTCTGATAGTTCAAGAGTACCGTCAAATGGCTCAATATCAATGCTTTTGCCTGGTGTCAAGAGAACTTCTTCTGTAAGAAGAAATCCTAGTATTAACTTGCGTTATAATAAATGAATAGATAAATAAATAAAATTCACTCTGAGCATTTAATTATTCTGAACAAACCAAAGTATAATGAAAGATTTAATTTATAGATGCAGTACATCTCAACATATATTAAATACAATATTACTGAGATGTAAATTCATATTTGTAATTTATTTCTCTTAATTCTCTGTCAATTGTTGTTTCCTGAATATTTATTACTAATCATCCTTATTAATTTTCTTTATTTCCCCTATTGTAAAAGACATTTGGAAATGAAAAAAAAAAATCCGATATTATAATAATCTTAAGCGTAATGATATACTACATACATGCAACCAGATCAATGGTTGTAATGACATACTTATAGATACATAAAAATATAATAACACACATTTTGTCATACTAAAATTATTCAGTATGTTTTATATACAATTTATTGAACTGATTTAGTCATTAAATAACAAAGGATAATAACGAATTAGACGATTGATCATGTGGTTATGATTTGTAAAGTATGTAATAATGAAAGCCATTGTCCATATTTTATCTGTTCTAGATGTATTAATACATCACCGAATTTAATCCTTGTATTAAAGATCATTTTGATTCAAAAACTTGCTATTAGTAATCATTTATCGGAACAAGTTAATGCTATCTTAGAAGAATCATTAAAATGCAGTGAAAATGGTGGTAACAGCAGTCATAGAAGCCGTTATGCAACTAATAATGATAATGATAATAAATATATTATTGATATTCTAAGTTATCAATTAAAGAAAGTAAAATTGATCAAAGAATTAAGAAAAAATAATAAAATTAAACAAAGTATACAAATCATAGAGGCAAGAATAGATAACAAGAGGAAAGAAGTGTCGAAGATGAAATCATCATTATTATTATTAAATAAAACAACTAGTAGTATAAATAGAACAATAATAGAAGTTGATTCATTAGATATAAATCATTTAATCGAATGGGAATCAAAAATTAAAGAAATCCAATCATTTTTAAGTATTCAACAAACGAGAAAAATGAAGGAATTAAATAAATGGTTTGGTATTGATTCCAGTATGGATAAAGACGATTTTAGATTATTTTATCAACCTATAGTAACAATTCAAGCGTTAAAGGATAGTATAAACAATATTAATACTGAGAATGACATTTGTTTGTTAAGTAATAACTTAAAAATATGTTTAAAATATTTAAAATTAATTACCCAAATATTTTATATTTCTATACCATATTTTGAAGAATCCAATGAAAAAGTAGGTCATTTAGAATATGGTGTAAGTGTATTAGTATATTATTGTTATATTATCTGTCAAAGATTACAACTCTTTCCATATACCAAGAAAGGCCATGTGATTTACAAAGATATTAGGTTGTTATTAAAAGATTATACTATTAATGAAATATTCTACCACATATCAAGATGTGTGATGTTGGACCAAAAGAGCACCAATATACCAGAAGCGATAGAAGACACTGTTATGTATTCTAAAATTGAATGGACTTTACCGATGATTCATAACTATATTGAAAAGATATGTAATGATCATACTGACATAAGTTCAAGGAATACTGTTATCTTACCCCGGATAAAACAACAGAAAGAATATACCCCACATCTTTTTTACAATGAAATGAAGAAGAATAGTAATAATATAACATCAATAAAACATATCTCTGCATCTCATAATAAAGATAACAATAATAGTAGTGAACAGTGGAAAAAGATGCAACGAACAATATTACGAACAAAAAGCAAATATACACCTATTGTTACCAAAGCACCGCCTTCAATAGTAAAAATAATACCTACTACCAATCTAAAGATAAAACCATTGGTAGGTGCAAAAGGAAAGGACGAAACTACAATAGCAGATAGATGGTTTGTTGTTGGATAATTCATATATTTCATATAGGTTACATTATCTTAATTATAACTCCAAAGAATGTGTATCACTATACATGCATCTTTCTGGCTATCTATATATGCTTTACTTTAATATTATTCTTATTTATGTATCTTTCCATCTCCACTATTAAGCCCATATTTGCATATTTTGCTATGTTTGTGGAAAACCACTAGTTCCTAATGAGCGGAATTTTCTTATTCCGCCAAATTATCTTTTATCTTCAACATTTATTTATTTATTTTTTTTTTTTGCTTCCAGGATTTTTTCGATTTTTTTGGTATAATTCGATTGTTTGGTAAGATAAACTTTCTTAAAACACTAAATTCATACATTTTCATACATATAGAAAGACAGCAGTACTCCCGTGTTTGGTTAGATAAAACTTTATTGGCACAACTTGTTGTATTCAATATTTTCACCCTGTATTAGGCTGTTTAAATAGAAGCAAAAAAAAGATATACACACAGTAGAGGGGTAAAAAAGTTATTTCTATAGATTTTTGTATTCCACTTTTTAGCTATTTTATATTCTTCTCTCCTAAACCAAAAAATAAGTAAATAAAACTAAATAAATAAATAAAATGGTTCTCTCTGACCAGGAATTGTTTGAATTAAACAAAAAAGCTGTTCAACAAGGATTCAATATTAAACCAAGATTAAATTATAATACGGTTAGTGGTGTTAATGGTCCCTTAGTTATTTTAGAGAAAGTTAAATTCCCACGTTATAATGAAATTGTTAACTTAACTTTACCTGACGGTACAATCAGACAAGGTCAAGTCTTGGAAGTCCGTGGTGATCGTGCTATTGTTCAGGTGTTTGAAGGTACTTCAGGTATTGATGTTAAGAAGACTACCGTCGAGTTTACTGGTGAAAACTTAAGAATTCCAGTATCTGAGGACACTCTAGGTAGAATTTTTGATGGGTCCGGTAGGCCAATTGATAATGGTCCAAAAGTTTTTGCAGAAGATTATTTAGATATTAACGGTTCTCCAATCAACCCATATGCCCGTATCTACCCGGAAGAAATGATTTCCACAGGTATATCTGCTATTGATACGATGAATTCTATTGCCCGTGGTCAAAAAATTCCAATCTTTTCAGCATCTGGTTTGCCACATAATGAAATTGCAGCTCAGATTTGTAGACAGGCAGGTTTAGTCAGACCAACGAAGGATGTTCATGATGGTCATGAAGAAAATTTTTCTATTGTTTTCGCTGCCATGGGTGTTAATTTAGAGACTGCTCGTTTTTTTAAACAAGATTTTGAAGAAAATGGTTCATTAGAACGTACTTCTCTATTTTTAAATTTAGCCAACGATCCAACCATTGAGAGAATCATTACTCCACGTCTTGCTTTAACCACAGCAGAATACTTAGCCTATCAAACTGAACGTCATGTATTAACAATTTTAACTGATATGTCATCATATGCTGATGCATTAAGAGAAGTTTCTGCAGCACGTGAAGAAGTTCCGGGCAGACGTGGTTATCCAGGTTATATGTATACAGATTTATCCACGATCTATGAACGTGCAGGTCGTGTTGAAGGACGTAATGGTTCAATTACTCAAATTCCCATTTTGACTATGCCAAATGATGATATTACACATCCAATCCCGGATTTAACTGGTTATATTACAGAGGGGCAAATATCTGTAGATCGTCAATTACACAATAAAGGTATCTATCCACCAATTAATGTTTTACCATCATTGAGTAGATTAATGAAGTCTGCTATTGGTGAAGGCATGACTCGTCGAGACCATGGTGATGTTTCCAATCAATTATATGCCAAATATGCTATTGGTAGAGATGCAGCAGCTATGAAAGCGGTTGTTGGTGAAGAAGCATTGTCTATGGAAGATAAATTATCATTAGAATTTTTGGAGAAGTTCGAAAAGACCTTTATATCCCAAGGTGCATATGAAAATCGTACAGTATTTGAAAGTTTAGATCAAGCATGGTCACTACTAAGAATTTATCCAAAAGAAATGTTAAATAGAATTTCACCAAAGATTTTAGATGAATTTTATGATAGGGCAAGAGATGAGGAAGAAGAGGAAGAAGATGATAATGATGAAGAAAATTTAGATGTTAGACCTTCTGAGGAACCATCTCTAATTTAAATTTACTCATTTTTTAAAACTATATATATATATATATATATGTATGTATGTATCATGAAAATCAAACCATAATAAATCACTATTGAAAAGTAATAAAAAGTATATCACATTACAAGTTTTTCTATATTAATCTCAATGATAAATATGTACATGTAATGCATATATGGTTACTGGAATCAATGCAGAACAACGTTTTTTCTGTGTAGTTTTATACATTTCATTTACAGCAAAAACAGTATAAAATGTCATTTATTAGCAATGAAATCTTTAAAGATCAAAAAAAAAAAGAAATAGAATATACAATTAGAAAGAATATATAAAATAAAATAAAAAGTAGATACAAATGTATGTGCTTCAAAAACTGACCAATCTGGAAGCCTCTTCAGGTGATATACCTTTTTCAAATATCATCAAAGAGACACCCAAGATGATACAAATACCAGCTAGAAGTCTTAATAGGGTAGTTGATTCCATAATGAATGGGATAAATTAGAGGGTAAATAAAAAAAAAAGAGAAAACAAAAAAAAAAAAGTACTATATAAATACAGTGAGTTATATAGTGCACACGATATAAATTATTCAAATGGATATAATTTGGAATATTATTCTGTGTTGAATGACTTGTTCTTCAGTCGCTCAAACCAACCACATAAAGGATTGAGAAAATAAATAATAATCTTATATTAATTGAAATATGAAGATATCTTTCTTACAAATGTTGAAATGTGCACGACAGCATTCGAACTGGTGAATTCATCGAGAAAAATCAAAAAAGAACCAAAAAAAAAAAGAAAAAGAAGCAATTGATTATCAAAATGACGGCATATAACCATCATCTTTTACGATAGTTGCAATAATAACAAGTCTTACGACATTAATTCTTTTTTTTTTTTTAAAAAAAAAATAAAGGAAGGGGTGACAGAAAAAGGACAAATGAACAAAATAGAGACGGAATTAAGGAAAAAAACAGAGAAAAGAGCGGAATTATTTCAGATCTCTCCTGTTTCTTTCTGTTTTTCTTTTTTTTTTTATCTTTTGGAAATAAACCCTACTATAGATCAGTTGTAATCCAGTATACTTTACTCTAAATTTTTTTACAGTTAGTAATGCAAGCCTTAACCTTTTGTGTCTTAAGAGCTCTAGTGAAAGTTATATATATATATATATATATATATATATATATATCTTCTCTTTTCATTTCTGCTATCAACCATTCAGAAAATCGTTTTGGAGAACGCCCTTTTTTCTTCTTGTTTAAAATTTTCCGCCAGTCGGAAAGAGCGACGATTCCTCGAGAAAGACGGAAAGAGAAACTGGCAAATGGGGATATAAAAGATAAAAAAAATAAAAGAAACAAAAAAAGAGAAAAAACGGAAAAGGCACGGAAATTTGCGACAGAAATCTTCTAAATTCCTCCTTTTCCCTTTTTCCCACCCCTTTTCCGACCCGTCTCCCCCTTTTCTCGTGCATAGAAGTATAAATACACATGCGCACATTTACATTGTTGTCTAATCTAATTCAAGCAACCATAGTTGCGTCTCTGCAGAAGTTGTAAAAAGAGATTGTTGTCGACACTTACTCGAAGCTTTGTAAGGTTGTTCGGTTACGTTGTTCTTTATTTCAACATAAACTGAAGTTTTTGATCCTCTTATTCTTTCTTTGTTGCTCTCCCTCCTTCTCCTTTTCTCCCCCCCCCCTTATTTTCATCTGGTGACTGATAAATAAGCAAAAAATAAATAAATAAAAAGGGGCAAATAAATAAATTATCTATAAGAGGCAAATTAAGATAACAAATTTTTGACTGATACAAATAGATTACAAGAGATAAAAAGTAGAAGTAAAAGTAAAAATAAAAACATAAACAAAAATAAATATGACTGAATCTAAGTCTAATGCAATTAGCGCAGTTTCTAATCCCAATACAACACCTTCCCACTCTGGAAATATTATTGTAGTATCCAATAGATTACCTGTGACAATCAAGAAGAATGCGGAAACTGGTGAATATGAATACTCCATGTCATCTGGTGGGTTGGTTACTGCTTTACAAGGTTTAAAGAAAACTTCCACTTTTCAATGGTATGGTTGGCCAGGTTTAGAGATTCCTGATGATGAAAAGGAAAAAGTTAAAAAAGATTTGATAGAAAAATTCAATGCTATTCCAATCTTTCTAACTGACGAAATTGCAGATCTACATTACAATGGGTTCAGTAACTCCATCCTTTGGCCATTGTTCCACTATCATCCAGGTGAGATTAACTTTGATGAAAACGCATGGTTGGCTTACAATGAAGCTAATGCCACCTTCGCTGAGGAAATCGTGAAGAACGTAAATGATAATGATTTGATTTGGGTTCATGACTACCATTTGATGTTGCTGCCTGAAATGTTGCGTTCAAGACTTGGTAACTCTGTTAAAAATATTAAACTAGGTTGGTTCTTGCATACCCCATTCCCATCATCAGAAATTTATAGAATCTTACCTGTTAGACAAGAAATTTTAAAAGGTGTCTTAAGTTGTGATCTCTTAGGTTTTCACACATACGACTATGCAAGGCATTTCTTATCTTCTGTGCAAAGAGTATTGAATATAAACACTTTACCAAATGGTGTTGAATACCAAGGAAGATTTGTCAATGTCGCAGCATTCCCAATTGGTATCGATGTTGATACTTTCACTGAGGGGTTGAAAAAAAAGAGTGTACAGACACGTATTCAACAATTAAAGGAAACGTTTAAAGGTTGTAAGATCATTGTCGGTGTGGATAGACTGGACTATATTAAAGGTGTCCCACAAAAATTGCATGCAATGGAAGTATTTTTAAATGAACATCCAGAATGGATAGGCAAAGTCGTCCTAGTTCAAGTGGCAGTCCCATCTCGTGGGGACGTTGAAGAATATCAGTATTTGAGATCCGTAGTCAATGAGTTGGTTGGGAGAATCAATGGTCAGTTTGGTACCGTGGAGTTTGTTCCTATCCATTTTATGCATAAATCTGTTCCATTTGACGAATTGATATCCCTATATGCAGTTAGTGATGTCTGTTTAGTTTCATCTACACGTGATGGTATGAACCTTGTATCATACGAATATATTGCTTGTCAACAAGAAAAGAAAGGGTCATTAATTTTATCTGAATTTACAGGTGCTGCTCAATCATTGAACGGTGCGTTAATAGTGAACCCATGGAACAATGATGAGTTATCTGATGCCATCAATGAAGCGTTGACTTTATTACCGGAAAAGAAACAAGCTAATTGGGAGAAATTGTATAAATATATCTCTAAATATACGTCTGCATTTTGGGGTGAAAATTTTGTCCATGAATTAGCTAATACCAGCAGTGACAACAACGTTTCTAAGAAGGTCTCTACATGAATAATATACTTATATGAGCAGACAAACAGTAATATTGAGAACTGCTCTGAGCTAATAATGATAACAGTAATATAAATAGTATGGTATTAACTATGACATGTTCTTAAACTGACTTTCTATATCACCAATAAATCGGCTTTCTCATCATGTATAACTAATGTATCTCTATGTACATGTATATATATATATATTTGTTTATATTTGTTTATATTTATTTATACGATGGATGGATGAATCACAATCTACTTAAAAGCTCTCTGTCTTTTTTTTCCTCCTATCTTCCTTGGATCTGTTTCATATCATAGCTTTGTTAATCTCTTTTATCTGTTAAATAGACAATGAGAAAAGGGGGAGGAAAATAAATACTGGAATGGAGATAAACGGTGAAAGTACTGGAAAAAAAAACCGAAAGAAAAAAGAAAGGAAAATTAAGTCGAAATTTGAGATCAAATAAAATAAAAAAAGAGATGGAGGAAGAGAATTAGAAAAGACGATAGTAATAAGGTTAACAAAGTCAACTGCAGATATACTTTATTCTTCCTTTTTTTTTCATGTGAAACCACATAGTTTACTTTAAGCAACGGACACTGAATTGTATTATAAGAAAGTTGATGGTTGATTAAACCATATACGTATTCATACATATTTCTGCATTCCTGGTTATCTCTTTTTGCTGTTCTTATAATAATAGACTGTTTTTTCTACCATTAATAGTTCTATCAATTTGATCTTTTCATTTTTATAAAATTCCAATCAAAGCAACTTTTAACGTCTACTTTTTTAAGTAATTAGTTTATTCAGTCTGTCAGACAACACTTTTATTTCATTCCATATAATCTATTATTAATTAAAGCATACACACACACATATATATATATATATATCTAAATACATCTACAAATGGGTCAATTATTATCCCATCCATTAACTGAGAAAACTATTGAATATAATGATTATAAAGATCACGTAGGTACAACCTATTTATCACATAAATGTCCACGGTTTTTCAATTGCGTGGGTTCAATGCAAGGTTATAGGCTGACTCAAGAAGATGCACATATGATAATAAACGAGGATGAAACTTTATCTTTACAATTTTATAATCCATTTAAGAAAAGATTGGAACCGTATTTAATAAGTCTGTTTGCAGTTTTTGACGGTCATGGTGGTGATAATTGTTCGAAATTCTTAGCTGGTGGGAACGGAAATGGTTATAATCCTAAAAAGGGGTTGAGTAAATGGATTGCATATTCTTTTGAAAACCACTCATATGGAGACATGAAGGATAATGATGTTAACATTGGTGACAAATTATATAGAAATATTAAATTAACAAGAAAATTCCATAGTTTACAAGGTTTAATATCACAAATCATTAAAGATGCATTTTTTCTTCAGGATAAGGAACTATATAAATATTTCTCCACTACTCCGTGTGGATCTACATGTATACTATCCTTAATAATTAATGGGGAATGGCTTTATGTGGCTAATTGTGGGGATTCTCGTTGTATAGTATCATCTAAGAATCGTGGTGTGAAAACAATGTCCTTTGACCATAAACCACAACATATTGGCGAACTGTTAAGAATTAATGATAATGGTGGAACTGTATCTCTAGGACGTGTAGGTGGTGTTCTTGCACTGAGTAGAGCATTTAGTGATTTCCAATTTAAAAGAAGTGTTTCGTATAATCATAATAATCATAACAATAGTAATAGCAAGAAATTTTCCATTCCGCCACAAGAAGCACAAGTTACAGTAGAACCAGATGTAATTATGCATAAGATAGACTATAAAAGAGATGAATTCTTAGTCCTTGCATGTGATGGGATATGGGATGTTTATAATAATAAAGATTTAGTGCAATTTATTAAATATCATTTGAGTTTAGGATTAAAACTAGATGAAATTATGCCTAAATTATTAGATCATGGAATATCGCAAGCTAACAGTAGTACTGGAATTGGCTTTGATAATATGACTGCAATAATCGTCATATTAAATAAGCAGGGAGAAACTTTAACAGATTGGTATACTAAAATGAAGATCCGTCTAGAAAGGGAAAGGGGTTTAATACGATGAATAAAGAAACTTTAAGCTTCTCTTTTCTTTATAAGCAGTTTTAGATAATGTAATGTATATACATCTATGAACTATATTAACCATAAGTTTATAACGACACCATATTTATAATTAGTTATTATCATTTCTTCATATAATTAATATATAGAAAAAGGCATATATATATATATTAGTATTATTTCCCTGATGAATTATCATGTAAAAATCTGGCTGTATGTATCTATGTATATTTGTATATGTATGCCTTTGTATATGTGTAGCACTATATGCGTATATATGCGTGTGTGTGGATGGTTAACCGGTTTGATGTGCGAAACAAAGTTATTTTATCTCTTTTCTTGAGAAAATATAAGAATGTTGAAAATAGGAAATAAGAGATGAAAGCTTTGAGAGATTATTTGTTGTAAATAAAGAAACAAACAGTAGTTAATAGAAGGACGTCAGAGAGTTGATAGCACTGTAAAATTGTATATAAATTATTTTACTTTATTTGTTTAATAATTTTCATTTTTAACCAAAAATATATTAGAAGAAATAATAATACTGATAGAAGAGATTAATCAAACGTTGGAGAACAACACTAAAGCAGGTTTTGAAAATCCAAATATAGCAAATACCATGGAACAAGACCAATCACATCATAGACATGAATATGTATCTAAGAATGTTGAAAAGACTACTACTAATGATTTGTTGGGTTTGAATGATAGAGAACAAGATGAAACAGTCACAGTAGGACCAATTGCTAAAGAATTTACACTAGATATTCCTAGAATTCCCAGTTTAGAATTACCTTTGAATGTTTCAACGAAACATTCCAGTGTTCAAAGAGCTATAGAGATGTGTGGTGGTATTAGTAATATCAAAAAAGCCTTTAAAGAAGAGGGACCTATAGATTCTCAAGATGGATTAGAATTGTATTTAAATAAAGGTGATCCAGGGTTTTTTAATGAACATCCTTTAATTGGAAAAAGAGTACCATATAGAGATGATTCTATTGTTTTAAAGATTACTTTACCAAAAGGGACACTAGAAAAAAATGATGGGGATTTAAAGAAATCATTAAACTCACTTAATGAAAAGGATTATAGGGTTACTCCTATAGCTATTGTTGATAACAGTATTAAATTTAGAGAATTGTCAGATTTCCAAGTTAGATTAGATAATTCAAGTTCTGCAAAAGAATTTGAAAACAAGATTCATTCTTTATCATGGAAAGAGTTACGACAATATGTGGATTCTGTACAAGATAATGACACTAGACCCTTTGAAAATATTAATAATATTATTTTAAACAGAGATTTGAAATGTCCAAATAATGATTTCCAATTACCACCACCACCAAAATTCGCAATGAATGGATTATCACATTTATATAAATATAAAGGTAACCCCTTAGCCAGAAAAACAAATGGTGTCACAGAAGTCAAGAAATCATATATTAAAAATTATCAAATTTTATTACATGGATTTAATAAAAATATTAAAATTCCATTGGAGCCCTGTGAAGAAGCAATTACTTGCTATTTAATGGCTCAGAAAGATGGTATTTACCCCGGTACAAAGAAGGAATCTAAATTTTATGAATCATTAGAAGAATGTTTAACAATATTAAAGAAATTATTTGAGCAGAGACCAATTTGGATTAAAAGACACATTGATGGGTTGATTCCGAAGAGAATTCACCACACTTTGAGGGTGGCATTAGCATTAATAAGTTATAGATTTGTTATGGGACCATGGAGAAACACATATATTAAATTTGGTATTGATCCAAGGAGTTCTAATGAATATGCTAAATATCAAACAGAATATTTTAAGATCGTGAAAAGACTTGTAAATTCACCCTTGGGTAAGAAAAATATCCCAAAAATTCCTTCATTGGTATTTGAATCTAATAGACCAGGTGATATAGATAGTAGGTTTAGATTTGATGGTACTCAAATCCCATGGTATTTGATGTTGCAAATAGATATTTTGATTGATGAACCAAATATTAGGGAAGTTTATAGTAAAGTGGAGTATTTGGAAGAACCTAATGAATTGACTGGCTGGTTTAAAGAATTGGATTTAGTTAAAATGAGAAGAATAATGAAATATGAGCTGGGTTGTTTAGTTCAAGGGAATCATAATTTTAACCCTTATAGACTAAAATATTATAAGTCTATTAGAAATACAAATGAAACAAAACCAAAGGAGATGAGCTCAAAGGATGATTTTAAGAATAAATTGGATGCAGAAGGTGATATAGAGATGGAAAATTCAGTAGACAATAATATAGATGCAAGACAAGATGATGATGATGATGATGACAATGGTATTATATCAGATGAAGCTGATGAAGAAGTCTTGGAGGATGAAGAGGAAGAAGAAGAAGAAGAAGGAGTTGATGATAATGAATCAAATGATATGGATAAAGCATATTATAATAATAATGATAATAATCAAGAACAATTTATCGATCCAAGTATGAATGTTTATAGAAAGAATACCTCTGATATAAATAATAGTGTCAATTATAAGTATGCATCATTTGGAGATATTATTGACAGAATTGCAAAATTGAATCCTTCTGAAGCGAAAATATTAGAATCTCAATTAGAAGGATTTGTACATGAAAGTCGTTTATGAATATATAAATGAAAGTGTAAAGTTTGGGTACGTATATTATAATAGTATTAATAACAAATCAAGTAATTTGGTTTAATGCCAAATTACAAACAAAATAAAATTTCAGTATATGGATATAATTTGACTGTCGAATATTTTTGAATGTAATAATATATATATATACTATTAGATATTCTCTTAATGATCTATAATAACCATCTGTTTAGATTCTCTTCGTCTCTGTATAGTTTAGCTACTCTATATATTTCCTTTATCTCCATTATTCAATTTTCTTTATAAAAAAATATCTTTTAAAAGACAGAAAAGAAAGGGAGAAAAAATAACAAAAAATTATAAGAGAGAAACAAAGATATAGTGAAATAACAATGCCCATATAGTGGTATAATAGTTATAAATTGAATAAGAGAAGAAGGAAGAAACAAACTAAGGGTGTGTTAGTATAGTATCATTTAATAACTGAAAGAGTACATAAACTATTTTGTTGTAATTTATTCTAATATAATATAGTAAACCTATAAGAGAAGAAAAGCGCAAGTGATGAGAATAAATCCAAATTTACTTAGAATTTCGATTAGATATGCTTCTTCCAGCAGTGGTGGATATCCTGGGTCAATGAGAACAGCATTACCTCGTAGACCTATAAGAAAAATCCCAGTAGGTAAAGCACGTCCTGCTATATATTATCAGTTTGATGTTGCAGTAGAATTGACTGATGGTAGTGTGGTTATGAGAAGATCACAGTATCCTCAAGACGAAATTCGATTGATTCAGGATCAAAGAAATAATCCATTTTGGAATCCAAGTAGAGATGATTTGATAGATGTGGATCCTAATTCAGTTGGTAATATTGAAAAGTTTAAACAAAGATACAGCGGTATGTTTGGTTATGCACAAGATGCACAGGAGTCATCAAAGTCATCTTCTCAAGGAAAGAGAGTTAAAAAGAAAACTTCTTCGAAGTTTGATGATGTTAACAGTAAAGATAAAGCTAATGTTAAGGAGTCTATAACTAAGAACAAGGGACAAGTACCTTCTGAATTAGATGATTTCTTAGATTTCTTAGATGAAACTGGGTCGACATCTACAAAGAAAAAATGAGTTCTAAATTATTTTTATATATTCAGAATTTTTCTTCTGATCATAAGAGATATAAAGAGGGGGGGAAGAGAAGTAAATTATATGCATGTGTGCAAAAAGAATAGGCGATTAGAAATAATGATAGGAAAGACATCCTAACTTCGCAAAGGTACTTTTTTTCTTTTTGTTATATGTTGATAGTGGCATTAGCTACTAGTGTTATTATAATGTTCTTATTCTTTAGGCCTGTAAATATATATCTGTTTGATTCAAAATACTATCATGTTTATATATTATGTTATATAATCTTTATAACATAACCTGACTTTCGTTGTAGAGGATGTTCTCCGGAATCATGTTTCCCGAAAAAATATGTGTTTTATCAACGAAAATCGATCTTGAAATTTTCGTTTCTTTTTTTTTTTTTTTTTCTTTTCGCTCGAGGAAATTTTCATTTTTTTTTCTTTTTGTTATCTCTCATCGAATTTCTTGAAAAAATTTTTGGTTTCGATTGCGGTTAGTAGTCATAATTGTGATAGAGTAGTAGTAATAGTAAGAGTAATAGTAGTTAGCAATCTAAGTTATTGTTACTGCTGTGTGTGCTTTCCCTTCCTAGTGATAATTATTGTTTTTGTTATTCTGATATTTACTGATGTCTGTTTAGCTTTTTATATTCAAATTCTATCTAAACCTCTTTTATACAGTGATATTCTTTGCTGCTATCAATAATTTTATATTGTTGTTATTTGTTGTTGTAATTAATACATATTACTTTTCAAATTGTCATTTCTATCGAAACTTTGCGGTATCTTACCCAGACGATACTACTCGCGAGTACCTATTAAGAAGTCTGTGTCTATTAAAAGGATGAGTGTTGAGGAAGTCCAAAAGGCTAAGCAAGCTGTTGAATTCAGCAGAGAACATCTAGAAGGGATCTTAAGAGGTAGATTCTTCTATTCTCCAGCTTTCGATCTTTATGGGGGTGTTTCTGGTTTATATGACTACGGTCCTCCAGGTTGTGCATTCCAAGCCAATGTTGTAGATGTTTGGAGAAAACACTTCGTTCTCGAAGAGAGTATGTTGGAGGTCGATTGTACTATGTTAACCCCATATGAAGTCTTAAAGACTTCTGGTCACGTTGATAAGTTTTCTGATTGGATGTGTAGAGATTTAAAGACTGGTGAAATCTTTAGAGCTGACCATTTGGTCGAAGAAGTACTTGAGGCTCGTTTAAAGGGTGATAAAGAAGCAAGAGGTATTAATAGTAATGAATCAAATGATGAAGAAACAGATAAAAAAAAGAAGAACAGAAAGAAGAAAGTTAAGGAAATCAAGGCTGTTAAGTTAGATGATGAAGTTGTAAAGGAATATGAAACTATCTTAGCCAAGATTGATGGTTACTCTGGTGCTGAATTAGGTGAATTGATGGAAAAACATAATATTGGTAACCCAGTTACTGGCGATAAATTAGAACCTCCAATGGCTTTCAACTTAATGTTTGAAACTGCTATTGGTCCATCCGGTCAGTTAAAGGGTTACTTGAGACCTGAGACTGCTCAAGGTCAATTTTTAAATTTCAACAAATTATTAGAATTCAATAACGGCAAAACACCATTTGCATCAGCATCTATCGGTAAATCTTTCAGAAATGAAATTTCTCCAAGAGCTGGTTTATTAAGAGTTCGTGAATTCTTAATGGCAGAAATCGAACATTTTGTTGATCCATTAGATAAGTCTCATCCTAAGTTCGATGAAGTTAAAGATATCAAACTATCTTTCTTGCCACGTAGTATCCAAGAATCTGGTTCTACTGAACCAATTGTAGAAACAATTGAAAAGGCCGTTGCTACCAAAATGGTTGACAATGAAACTTTAGGTTATTTTATTGGTAGAATCTACCTGTTCTTAATAAAGATTGGTGTTGATCCAACTAAGTTAAGATTCCGTCAACATATGGCTAATGAAATGGCCCACTATGCTGCTGATTGTTGGGATGCTGAATTAAAGACTTCTTATGGTTGGATTGAATGTGTTGGTTGTGCTGATAGATCTGCTTTTGATTTAACTGTTCATTCTGAAAAGACCAAAGAAAAATTAGTGGTTAGACAAAAATTAGAAAAGCCAATCGAAGTCACTAAATTTGAAATTGATCTAACTAAAAAGTTGTTTGGTCCTAAATTCAGAAAGGATGCACCAAAAGTTGAATCCTTCTTACTAAACCTTTCCCAAGATGAATTAAAGGTCAAAGCTAAAGAATTAGCTGAAAATGGCAAAGTTACTTTTAACATTCAAGATATTGAAGGTGAAGTTGAATTGGATGACAAATTTATTAAGATTGAAGAAAGAACTAGAGTTGAACATGTTAGAGAATTTGTGCCAAATGTTATTGAACCATCTTTTGGTATTGGTCGTATTATTTATGCTGTTTTTGAACATTCATTTTGGAGAAGACCAGAAGACACTGCTAGAGGTGTTTTATCTTTCCCGCCATTAGTTGCTCCAACTAAAGTTTTGTTAGTGCCATTATCCAATAACAAAGAATTACAACCAATTGTTAAACAAGTATCCGATATTTTAAGAAAATCTGAAATCCCATTCAAAGTGGATGATTCTGGTGTTTCGATTGGTAAGAGATATTCCCGTAACGATGAATTGGGTACCCCCTTCGGTATTACTATTGATTTTGATTCTATTAAGGATAGTTCTGTTACTTTAAGAGAAAGAGATTCCACTAAACAAGTTAGAGGATCTATTAATGATATTATTAAAGCTATTCGTGAAATTACTTATCAAGGCGTCTCTTGGGATGAAGCTACTAAAGATTTGGCTCCATTTGTGTCGCAAGATTCTAATTAAGTTGGTGTAAAAAGGAAATGGTGATACAAGTATACTCAATACAAATTATTGTCATTTGATTGTTTTTTTATTCTCTTGCTCTTTCTCGCTTAATTGTACATAGGGTTTAAGAGTCGTCGTAACACAATGAATAACTCAGTTCATTAATTAATATAATTTGTAAATTATATGTATATATGGTTCTTTTTTACTAAATAAAAATAAAAGGTAACAAAATTAATATTACCCAGGTTGGATGTTACTTGTATAAATTTACCCTTTTCATACAACGTGTTTAAAAGAAGTTGAAAGATATTAAAGGAAAAAAATATAGAATAAAAAAAAATGTAAGAATTTGAAAAATGAATGTAAAGGGATTGTTCAAGTTAGGAAACTTGTTGTTATATTAGTGATTAGAAGCTTTGTATGTGCTTTTTATAGATTTTGTCCTGAAGAGATTACACAGAAAGTAGCATAAAGTGAAGGCAGATATTGGTACACTTCTGTATCTAGTCAACAACCACATTAGTTATATAATAATCAGTAAGTGAGAAATATACCAAAAGATGTTATCAACAGTTAAAGAAGGGGCTAAACAAATGGTGAAGCTTTTAGAAAAGTTTCCACAGGAAAGAATGAAGCACATGATTTCTTTTAAACAAACACAATTAGATAGATTTAGACGTGTAGCGGGGTTGCAGGTAGATAATAAAATAGACTCCAACGAACCTAACTTGTCCATTAATGAAATAAAAGATATGTTAAATAGAAGTAAAGGTCCATTAGGATTACAGCGAGATGTTTTAAAAAAGATTCAGGCAGTTATACCAAGAGACCAATTTACAGAACAAGATTTGAAAAGGCAGATCTCTTCCCTTGAGAATATAATGTCTAATAAATATAAGGATTATTATGACGTTGGAGATAAATTGTATAAACCTGCAGGAAATCCTAATTACTATGTAAGACTAATGGATGAAATTAATGGCAAAAAGAAGGAAACATTCATAAGTGCAATGAAAGTAATATTCTTTGGTAAATAGTGGTGATCCATTTTCATAGTTGTGTTGGTTTTTTTTTTGTTTTGATCTTCCTTTTTGGAACAATGAACTGTTAACGTATATATACATGGCAGTTACCAAATAGCTATATATATATATGTATGTATGTATTTATTTATTTATTTATTAGTATGCATATACATATCCAGATTATCAATAAAATCTGGAGAAATATTTTCATTTAGTAGATAATAAATAGTCCTGTATATACCAAAATAGAATACAAATTCAAATATCGTCTACTCATTTTATTTAATTATTTGGCATAACCTACCAATATTTGTTGTTTCTTTTCACCATTTATGTAGTATGTATTTCCAACTTTTTTTAAAACATGTTTGGCACTTTCAATAGAATCATATTCGACAAAGGCCAAATGACGAGCAGGAACCATTCTAACTTCAATAAAGCCATCACATTGGAAAATATCTATTAGTTGGTTCTCCTCTATACTTGTTGGAATATCTTGAATTAAAAGAATCTTATTTGGAGGATTTTCAGATACATTAACTTTATTTTGTATTTTATTTAATGAGACCTCGGGTTTATTGATTTGTCTTGTTAGTTCTGTGAAGCTTTGTTTTTTCTTCGATTTGGAAGTTTTATTGCTATTTTGCTTGGAGACAGCACTTGATTTAATTAATTTAATCTTGTGTTCTTCACTTATTTTATCTATCTGTTCTTGAGTTAAATTCTTTTTGGACCTTAATTTGCTCCGAAGTCTCCGTAATTTTCTCTTCAAATTCAATGGGTCATTAGTTTTCTTCAATTTCTTTGATTTCTGAATCTTTACTATCTTGTTTAGTAATTTTGGATTATCTTTATATACTTCCATATATGATCGTTTCTTAGAATATTGGATCTTTATACATCTACCCATAAATTTCATATTTTGAAATCTTTTTATGAATTTTATTACCGAATCTTCGTTATCAAAAGTGATATAACATTTATTCTGAAATCTATACGATTGAGGACGTGAGATAGAGATGATACCTAGAGACTTATCGAGTAATGGAATATCTTTCCTTGAGCCAAATCGTAGGTCTGGTAGGCTATTCATATAATCACAGTATTCGTTATTGGGGTTAAAACATTTTAATAATGCTTTAATATAGTTTTGTTTGTTTTTGGGCCTTTGTGGTAGATTACTTAAAAATAGTGTTGTCTTAGACACCATAGTTATCAATATCTATGTTTAAATACTTTGTAAAGTAGAAGTAGAGGTTATTAAAAAAATCTACGTATCTGTAGGCACACGTGTGTATATGAGTGAGTGGGTGTGTATCTGAGTATTCGTATATCTGTGTATCAGTGTGTGTATGTGTACGTATATAAGATACCTTATTAAACTTGAGGTCCTATATATTTTTTATTCGTGGTAGAGATAAATATTTATCTTAGAAGGGGTCTTTGTCAAAGCAGAAAAAAAAGATGAAATATATATATATTGAAGAAGAAATCCAGAAGATCAAAAGGTGAACTGAGTATAACAGAGAATTCTTTGATCAAGACACTTCAACAAGAAATATTTATTTATTAGAATCTGTTGATTAGTAGATGTATAATATATAACAATTGTTAGCTATTAAAAAAAAAATGTATAACTTCATAGAAAATAGTATATATAAAAAGTATATATATTTTCCCTTTCAAACCTCAATGCCTCTAAAAGATATCCTACCTTCTGAGTATGAAAGACACATAATGTAAAAAAAAAAGTATGATATATGTTATTATTTAAAATAATATTTTAAACTTATATTTATATTATGTTATATTATACTATATACTGAAGAAAAATAAATAAAAAGAATCAAACGAAAAGTTCAATCTTTAAACTTATTTGGCAGCCTTAGCAGCAGACTTGGTAACCTTACCAGCCTTGTCGGACTTTTCAACAGACTTGATAACACCAACAGCGACGGTTTGTCTCATATCTCTGACAGCGAATCTACCTAATGGTGGGTAGTCAGTGAAAGCTTCAACACACATTGGCTTAGATGGAACGAATTTAACTAAAGCAGCGTCACCAGACTTTAAGAATTTTGGATTGTCTTCTAATTTCTTACCGGATCTTCTGTCGTTCTTTTCTAATAATTCGTCAAATCTACAAGCAATGTGAGCAGTGTGACAGTCTAAGACTGGAGAGTAACCAGCAGAGATTTGACCTGGGTGGTTTAAGACAATAACGGTAGCGTTGAAGGATTCGGTAGCCTTTGGTGGATCGTTCTTGGAGTCACCACAGACGTTACCTCTTCTGATTTCCTTAACAGAAACGTTCTTGACGTTGAAACCGACGTTGTCACCTGGCAAACCTTCAGCTAATTGTTCGTGGTGCATTTCGACGGATTTGACTTCAGTGGTAACACCAGCTGGGGCGAAGGTAACAACCATACCTGGCTTGATGATACCGGTTTCGACTCTACCGACTGGCACAGTACCAATACCACCGATCTTGTAGACATCTTGTAATGGTAATCTTAATGGCTTTTCAGTTGGTCTGGTTGGTGGTTCAATGGCGTCAATGGCTTCTAATAAAGTCTTACCCTTGACAACACCAGCCTTGGTTTCCTTTTCCCAACCCTTGTACCATGGAGCGTTAGTAGTGGCTTCAATCATGTTGTCACCGTTCCAACCAGAGATTGGGACAAATGGAACAGTCTTTGGGTTGTAACCAACCTTCTTGATGAAGTTGGCGGTTTCCTTCTTGATTTCGTTGAATCTAGCTTCATCCCATTTGACGGAGTCCATCTTGTTAACAGCAACAATTAATTGCTTGACACCTAAGGTGTAAGCTAATAAAGCGTGTTCTCTGGTTTGACCATCCTTGGAGATACCAGCTTCGAATTCACCGACACCACCAGCAATAATCAAGATAGCACAGTCGGCTTGAGAGGTACCGGTAATCATGTTCTTGATGAAATCTCTGTGACCTGGGGCATCAATAACGGTGACTTGGTACTTTGGAGTTTCGAATTTCCATAAGGCAATATCGATAGTAATACCTCTTTCTCTTTCAGCCTTTAATTTATCTAAGACCCAAGCGTACTTGAAGGAACCCTTACCTAATTCAGCAGCTTCCTTTTCGAACTTTTCAATGGTTCTCTTGTCAATACCACCACACTTGTAAATCAAGTGACCAGTGGTAGTAGACTTACCAGAATCGACGTGACCAATAACAACAACGTTAACGTGAGCCTTTTCTTTACCCATTTTTGCTTGTGTCTTAGTGTTCTTGTTTGGTTTATTGCGGGAAGGGAAATAACGATAAGAAAGATCTCGTACAAGAAGAAGACGGAAAAAATATACAGGGGAAGGAGCAGAGAGAACAAGAAACCTAACTTAATTATATTAAAAACAGGAGAGAAGAGATGGTGAGAATTGCATTAGGACATTTAAAGGAAAAAGGAGGAAATGGATGGAAAAGGATGAAACTCTTTCCTTAAATAGTCCTTGTTGAAAAGAAAAATACAAAGAAAAAACAAGAAGAAAAAAAAAAAAAAAAAAGCAACAAATTTTAAAAATGGAGAAGAAAAAAATTTTTTTCTGCAATTTTTTTTTTGTTTGTTTGTTTGGTATAAGTTTCTTTTTTTTTTTTTCTTCTTGCTTTTTCGTGTGAGGTGACAATAGCTGGTTTTTTTTTTCTTTTTCTTCCATAAAATTTCTTTTTTTTTTTTTGGTTTTGTTTTGTTTTGCAGTGGTTTTCTTTTTGGTTTGTGAAGAGAGAGAGTGATCTTGCTGTATGTTCATTATGCCTTGCCAATAGCAACAGCAATAGTACAACTCATTCCCTTACACATTCTTTCTGTTCTCTTTTCTGTTCTTTCGTTTTTCGCCGTTTGGATATATAGGAAATAATTGTACATGCAACATTTGAACCTAAATTTGTGACGCGATCTTACAGTTTAGTATGTAATAGCCGTATATCGGATCTCATTGATTTGTAGCTTTAATATGTCTTGGTTTTGTGTGATACTAAGAGATGATTTTTAAAATTAGTGCTAAGGTTTAAACAAGTAAGATGTTGGTTTAACTTCTAGTCTTGGGCTTTGTTCAGGTTCAATGGTGTTAAGAAATTAAAAAGATATTTTCATTGTCTTTTTCGTAAAAATTATCTCTTTTTTTTTTTGTTTAAATTTAGCTCCAAAATTACTGTAGTATGTAGAAAACATTTTATTTTATTTTTCAGATATTCAAAAAAAAATGTAAAATATCTTTTTATAAAGATATGTGTCAATCGAAGTTAAATTTATAGTAACTGTATGTCAGTGGTTAATCTAAATATATATATATACCTCGTAAGCACCTATAATTTTTGTAAGTGATCTTTTTAGTCAACAGATTTTTGGAGAAAAAGATAACAGCGTCTTCCGATGTAGTGTAACGGCTATCACATCACGCTTTCACCGTGGAGACCGGGGTTCGACTCCCCGCATCGGAGTTTTTTCTTTTTTCGGATATTTTTGGTTCATGTAATAAACACCCTTAGGTTGTGTGTTTCTGATAACAGTTAATGTTGTTGAAAACACAATAATATTTCACTTGGATAGATATAAGATATATATACTCTTTCTATATCTCTAAATGTAATATTCCTACACGTCTAATCTTATTTAATCCTTGGCTCCTTTGTTCTTGGCTGCTCTCCCTTACTTATGTTAATTACTTCTGCTTTTATGTATGTTTGTAAAATTTTGCAAAAAAGGAAGGTTTACAAAAATACCTCTGATATTATTGTCAACGTTACTATTATCTGTTCTGAATGAGAGGAATATATACGTATTTGTTCAACTGAAATATAAATACACAGTTTTTGTCCAGTTTCAAGAATATTTGCATTTTAGTATCATAAGGTTATTTGTGATTGAAAATGAACCAAATGCAATCTTCTTTTCCCTTCTTTTCTTTTCTTTTTTTCTCTTGTCCAATAATTTAATAACGAAGAGTAAAAGCATAAGAAAAAATCAGCATCTGTTGAATATAAAATATGCTGTTCAATGCGACCCAAGAATAATATCATTAATCAATGTATAAATATCAGAATATATGTCACAATATATATAATATATATTTGTTTATTTTTGTGATAACTAATTAGGGATGGATATGTTAATTCTGAGAAAGACTCCTTGTGACAACATAAAGGTATACCTCCAAGATTTTTGACCATTTTAGTGTTGCTTCTCTTCTCTTCTCTTCCCTTTCCTTTCCTTTTTTTGTTTTTTCCATTTTTCTATTGATTTCTTTTCTTTCCTTTTCTTTTCTTTTACTATCCCTCAGAATGTCTTTACCCTTATTGTGTCTTCTTGTCCTAGTATATTAAGGTCAAGGGTTAAAGTCAAGGTTAAGATTATGATCACTATCACCATTACCATCACCACCACCCCTTAAGAATTAACATCCCAAACTACATATATAAATATAGTCAAGTGTCTACAACAAGGACACGTTTTTTCAATTCTTTTTTTTTCTTGTTGTTTCCTTTATTACTTCCTCCTCTTCTTTGACTTCATACTACTCTCTCATCCATATCTAAATCTTCTTTCTAAATTCATACTATCTTAAAACCTTGCGTCACATTTACTTGATTTTACACTTTAATATGAAATTTGAGGATATTGATAAATTAGCAATCTCTACGTTGAGATTATTATCTGTCGATCAGGTTGCAAGTGCACAATCTGGTCATCCGGGTGCACCCCTAGGGTTAGCACCAACAGCTCATGTCCTTTGGAGACATATGAAATTCAATCCAAAGAATGTTGGGTGGATTAATAAAGATAGATTTGTTCTCTCCAACGGTCATGCTTGTGCCTTATTATACTCTCTTTTACATTTATCTGGTTATGACTATTCAATTGACGATTTAAAACAGTTTCGTCACTTAAATTCAAGGACTCCAGGGCATCCAGAAGCTGAGCTACCTGGTATCGAGACTACCACAGGTCCTCTAGGACAAGGTATAGCCAATTCGGTGGGTCTTGCTATTGCACAAGCTAATTTTGCTGCAACTTATAATAAACCAAATGATAACATGATAATATCGGATTCTTACACTTATGTTTTCCTTGGCGACGGTTGCTTGCAAGAAGGTGTGGCTAGTGAAGCATGCTCTTTAGCTGGTCACTTGAAATTGGGTAACTTAATCGTGTTTTATGATGACAATAAAATAACTATTGATGGTAAAACACAATTGTCTTTTGATGAAGATGTTTTAAAAAGATTCGAGGCTTATGGTTGGGAAACTTTGACAGTTGAAAACGGCGATGAAGATTTGAATGCAATCTCAGATGCGTTAGAAAGGGCGCAGAATAACAAAGATCAGCCTTCCATTATTAAAGTCACCACAACAATTGGATTTGGTTCATTAAATCAAGGTAAAGAAGTAGTTCATGGATCACCGCTAAAGGAGGACGATGTTAAGCAGATCAAAAAGAAGTTTGGATTCGATCCCAATAAATCGTTTGTAGTACCACAAGAGGTCTATGATTTTTATAAGAATAATATTATTAACCCTGGTATTGAAGTTAATAAAAAATGGGACCAAATTTTAGAAACATATCTAGCTAAATACCCTAAAGAGGGGGAAGAGATAAAAAGAAGATTAAATGAAGCACTTCCATCAAATTGGGATCACTGCTTACCAACTTTTAAACCTGAGGATTCTTCTATGGCAACACGAAAATTATCTGAGATAGTGTTAACAAAAATTGTTCATGAATTGCCCGAAGTTATTGGTGGATCAGCAGACCTAACTCTATCGAATCTGACTAAAGCAAAAGACAGTGTTGACTTCCAACCTCCACAAAGTGGGATAGGGGATTATTCTGGAAGATATATTCGATATGGGATAAGAGAGCACGCTATGGGTGCTATCATGAATGGTATCTCTGCATATGGAGCCAACTTTAAACCATATGGTGGTACATTTTTAAACTTTGTTTCGTATGGTGTCGGTGCATTACGATTAGCCGCTATTTCCAATGAACCTGTAATTTGGGTCGCTACACATGATTCTATTGGTTTAGGTGAGGATGGTCCGACTCATCAGCCCATTGAAACATTGACTCACTTAAGAGCTATTCCTAATTTGCATGTTTGGAGACCTGCAGATGGTAATGAGACTGTTGCTGCATATAAATGTGCCATTGAATCAAAACACACACCAAGTGTCATTGCCTTATCAAGACAAAATTTACCCCAGTTAGAAGGTTCCTGTCACAAAAAATCTTTATATGGAGCTTACATCATTTATGACGTGGAAAATCCAGATGTTATCATCACCTCAACAGGTTCCGAAGTGTATCTGTGTATTGAAGCTGCCAAATTACTAAAAAAAAGAAGCAATCCAATCAAGGCACGTGTAATTTCTCAACCTGACTTTCATTCATTTAATAAACAAACCAAAGAATATCAACTTTCAATCTATCCGGATAGTGTACCTGTTGTCTCGGTTGAAGCAGGTGCAACTTATATTTGGAGCCGCTATGCACACGAAAGCATTGGTATTAATAGATTTGGATGTTCTGGGAAGGGTTTAGATGTGTATAAATATTTTAGCTTGGTTCCAGAAGAAATTGCTAAAAAAGTTGATATAATATTGAAATCATATGAAGGAAAAGTTGTTTATTCCCCCATTAATAAAGTTTTACCTTTATAATATTCTCTTTTTTTTTTTATTTTTTTCTTGACTATAAATAAATATATTAAAATAATTTACATTGTTATTTATTTGTCTAGTTTAAGGAAGCAACCTTTAATCTAAAACAAATTCAAAATATTTGTTTTGAAATGTATTCCTCTTTAACAGTGGTGGATTTAATACTTTTTCTTCTTTTGATAAAATATAAAAAATTATAATGTAAAGTAGCCTTTTGAAGAATATTACCATTTTTTGTAGGATTTATAAATAATCATTTTTTCTTAAGTAAAGAGTGTGCTACGGGATTTTTTCATTTATGGATACTAGCATATGTGAGATAGTTAGAGTGTAGCTATTATAAAACTAAAGAACATGTTTACAGTTTGGAATATGTTATGCAAACAAATTTTCACTTTTACTCAAGCCGTAGATAAACGATTTTATCAAATATCTAGATAATCTACCCAGTTGATATATTTTCAGTGAAAACGCCTCTGTTGGAACAATCTGTATCTATTTTTTATTTTTCTGGCTTGTCTTAAATAAGTCATAGTACATAAATATTATTACTGTCTGAATATTAGCAAGTTAGATGTTGAGATGTTCTTAATCAGTGTCTGTCTCTATATCAGTACTTATATCAGTCTCTGAAATAGTTTCAGTCCCTAATGTGTTCTTCTTTAGAGCTCTGTTTGTCTCATCAGAATTTTTTCCTCTTTCATTATTATTTATGTTTTTACTACCCTCAATAGTAGTTAGGTTTATTTCTTCACAATTGTCTCTTGGATAATTTGATGTAAAATCATCCTCACCCTGATCTATATAATTATCGAAAGTTTTATTAAAATCTTCTTTTTTTATTAGTTCATAAAGCAACGATGTATCATCATTCTTAGCTTTCCTATAGATTAAATTTTCTTCATTATTATATTTTTTAGTTTGATCTTTTATCCTTAATTTGGGGATTTCTATCTCTGGCTCTACTAAATCTAAATTGTCAAAATTTATTGTTTTATTGATACCTAAAAATTTAGAGTTATTGAAACCGTCAAAAGTATCGTCATTAGCAGCAGTTTTAAGTTTAGTTTTGACATTATTATCATTTCGACTTTCTAAAGATGGAATATTTGTTGGACTATTTTTAATATTTGTCAAAGATGGACCGTCACTTTTAATTTTGACAGAGTTTTTTCTTCTAATTGAGGGTATTGGTGATTTGAGGTCTGCATAAAATTTTCTTTTTCTTCGACCTGGTGAATTTAATTGGACAATTGGGCTATGGACATAGTTGTTAATTAAATCTGAATCTGTAACCTGGTTAGTTTGTAAGGATGATAATTTGGAGCCTAATTCTTTGATTTTAGACTTCTTTTCGTTTAAAAGATTTATCATCATAGCCTTTGTCACTTTATCGCGTTTTTCTAAAAGAGCATCTAATTGTTTTCTTTCATTAATTGATTTATCAATCTGTTCCCTTAGACTCTTGTTTTCTTGTAATAAACCTTTTATCATGGAGTTCGACGTTTTTAAATTTTCAAACATCCTTGACGATAACAAAAACAAATCAATTTCTCCATTTTGAACTATTTTTAATGTAAATTGAGCTAAATTTCTTATAATATCAGTATTTGAATGCAATTCAAGTGTAAATGACAAAGAATTGTCAATATTATCAGACGAATTGATATTGTAGTGACAAACAAAATCTGAATACTCAATCACATTGTCACATTGGAAACAAAATATTTGATTACCAGTTAATATTTTAATTAATTCGTACCATATGCATATTCTATAAAATTGATCTTCTTCCATATTTATACTATTATCATTAAACCATTGTTCAGAAATATGTGACTTATAAGGAATTGATACAGATGTAAATATTTGTAATGAATCTATGGTGACTTGCTTTTTTTCCCAAATGTCCGAACCATCACTTATTTTTAAAGACTCAACGTTTAATTTAACTAATTGATCAATATTTAAAGTGGATAGGCATTTATCGCATGTACTATTATTTCCGTCTATAACTATAATACTTTCACAGAGTCCAAACTCTACAGTAGTATATCTTTCAGTTGATGTTAAAAATGACGATTTCTTAATTGGTAATATTTTAACACAACTGGTGAATGATATTTTCATGACAAAATTAAAATTGAATCCATGAATTTATATATATATATATCTTTGTGTATGAGATAGTCTATTTGTTTAATATTGTTTTTGTGTTTATGTGCTATCATCTCTAAATGAATGTAATGGCTTGACATCTAACATATATAGTTAGCATAAATGAGCAAGCTTCTGGTATAAGTTATTATTATTCATAGTGTTTGTATTTGTTCCCTCTTAATACAAAGTAATATAAGCTTTGGTTTCACTTTCGGAAATTTTTTATATTATTTGAGGGGAAAAGCTGATATTTTCATGAGTAATCATTGTGAGTAATATTAGGTTAATAATGATTAATAATTGGAAATATGAGTCAGCCATAAGTAATTAGTAATCAAACATGTTTGACAATAATTACTTTTTCTATCTGCCCGTTTCTTTTTTTTGTTCACACGTTAATGATCTTGAAATAAGATCAAGTAATATTAAAGCGCATAATATATACAAAGGCAAACTATTTTTATTTGATATCAGTCCTTTTAGTTAGGCAAGAATAACCATTCATCCCTACTATCATTCCCTCCTTATCAATATTGCTAGTTTAATCACTTCTTTACTGTTTTATGCTTAAGTGCACCGGCTGATATTTTATAATCAAAAAAAAGTATTAAATAACCAACTATGACTATGGATCAGCACGAACCTAAACATGAGCCAATATTACCTACTGAAGAATATCCCTTGAATGAGCCAGAACCAGAGCATTGTCCAGGTCCAGAATCTGGAATGGCAGGAAAAGCAGATGCGTGTTCTGGTTGTGCCAATAAGGAAATTTGTGAAAGTTTACCAAAGGGACCTGACCCAGATATCCCATTAATTACAGAAAATTTGTCTGGTATTAAGTATAAAATTTTGGTTCTTTCTGGTAAAGGTGGTGTTGGAAAGTCAACGTTTACTACTATGTTGAGCTGGGCATTATCAGCCGATGAAGATTTACAAGTAGGTGCGATGGATCTGGATATTTGTGGTCCCTCTTTACCACATATGTTAGGTTGTACAAAGGAGTTAATACATGAATCAAATTCAGGGTGGACTCCTGTCTATGTAACAGATAACTTGGCTACAATGTCAATACAATTTATGTTACCAGAAGATGACTCTGCAATTATTTGGAGAGGTAATAAGAAAAATCAACTGATTAAAAAATTTTTAAAAGATGTAGAATGGGACGAATTAGATTATTTAGTTATTGATACCCCACCAGGCACTTCAGATGAACATATATCTATTAACAAATTTATGAAGGAGTCTGGTATCGATGGTGCTTTAATCGTGACCACCCCACAAGAAGTGGCTTTATTGGATGTCCGAAAAGAAATAGATTTTTGTAAAAAGGCCGGTATCAATATTCTTGGGTTAGTAGAAAATATGAGTGGTTTCGTTTGTCCTAACTGTAAAGGCGAATCTCAAATATTTAAAGCTACCACTGGTGGAGGTAGAGCATTATGTGAGGAGCTGGGTATAAAATTTCTAGGTTCTGTTCCATTGGATCCAAGAATAGGAAAATGTGCAGACTTTGGTGAAAGTTTCTTGGACACTTATCCAGAGAGCCCAGCATCTTTGGCTGTTCTTAATGTTGTAGAATCTTTGAGAGATGCAGTAGGAGATTTATGAGTCAAGCTATCATTATTTTATACATTGAATATTTTTAGAAGTTGACATAATCAATTTTCCTATTCTTTTTAAAGGGAAGGTGTTTCACTTTTGTCAAATGTCACAGAGAAACAGTTTCATTAAACATCATAATTTAAACTGTTTTGATATTTTAATAGATGGATTGATTTATAGCATAAGGCAAGTGAAACACTACATTCTTAAAACTGAATAATTAAGTGTGTTAAAAGTATATCTCAGTTGACGTGTTATAGACAGACACATTGAGTATAATATATATTTTCTCTTCAGTAGTAGCAACCTTAGGGGTATGTGGATTGACTATTATTAAAGTTATATATATTAAAATAATAATATGTATACATATGTTAACAATCTTGATAATAATTCCATAATATATTAATAAATGAGGTTAGCACTTCTATATATGCATACACATATTAGCTTATTTATTCATTAAGCATAGTCTGTAGCCTTTTGTTTATAATGTTACAGCAGGCTGGAACAATTTTAATATGTTTATTATCTTCATAATACTTATTAACATTTTCTTGCAAAGATGTAATATGCTCTTTCTTAAAATCCTTATTTTTGTTGTTTGATACAAGCTCGATGAATTGGGAAAATATAGATAATTCTTGGGAAGTTTTCTGGTACTTTGATGGTGATATTTTTTCTAAAAAGTCTTTTAAAATATTCAAATATTCTGCATCTTTATCTTGATTATAGCATAAAAGAAGCTTTGGACCAACTTCACTACAGATTAACTTACCAGCGTTTTCAAATAATCCACCTAAAATCAAATATTCTATCTCCTTGATGTAATTACCGTTGTATTTCTCGTATAAAGCTAATGCTTCATAAACATTCTTTTTTGGTAATTTTAATTTTTCTAGTATCATGTTTCTTTCCTCGGGATTTTTCCAAATAAAAGAGATATTATGATCTAGGATATCCTGACTGGTTTGTTGCATTATATTATTGTCATTTATAAATAATGATACATATAATGCGGGCAATGCACTTCCCAGCAATTTTAATTGATCAATATATGATAAGCCAATATGATCCTGTAATGATTTGGAGATACTACGATGATTTCGAAATATTAAAATTTGAGTTAGATACCAGATAAATTGAATATTGATGTTAGAATTCTTTGCAGTATTAGTTGATATTTGTTCCAATAACTTATCAATGTTACCTACTTGGGCATATATTTCAAATATTTTAGATATTAGTATATCATCCGCTTTTTCAATAATAAATAAATTGCATCCAATTAATTCTTCTAAACTCATTTCATCAACTTGACCATAAAATATAGCCAGAGAGAATGTTGGCAACCAACCATATTGTTCAATAAAATTTGTAATTTGTAACTTGTCATTGAATAATTCTCCTGATAATAGCTGATAAACTTTTCTAATTTTTGGATTAACAGAATGGCCATTAGCTTTCCATGATGTTAATTGTAATTTTGATAGATCACGGATTCGAGGATCATTAGAACCTAGATAGGAAATTAAAACAGCTAAATGTTTGTTATTTGTTGAAATAGCCAATTTAGTTGCCTCGACGATATCATTTTTTAACAAGGCTATGAAAATGCAATCAAGCGGATCACTTTTGTCAATATCTTTGTTATGTAATATAGGTGTAGTATTATTCTTTAACCATGATGATAATTGATCATATCTCATTTGTTTTAATAAAGTTTCTTTGACTGTATCATTTTCTACTTCAAAAGACAATTCAATACCATCAAATAAGATTGAACATAATTTCCAAACATTATACATTGGATCATTTTGTGGTACAATTTGCAATATATCACTAAATTTAAGATCAAACTCTTTAATATATGGTAATTGAGAACTGCTTCTTATGGCTACAATGGAAGATGCAATATGTTTTTGAAAAAGTTCTCTTTTAATATTAAACTTATTGCCACATTCTGATTTGGGAGTGTAAATGGAAACACCTGAAATACTGTGTCTATTTTTAATAAGTATGCTATTATTAAATAATATAGATGAAAAATTTGAAGTACTACCTAGTCGTTGGTTCTTTGTGATTTGTCTGTATGCGTCGTGTTCTTTATTAAATTTACCAAAGACTTTTTTAACTGTATCCTGGATAGACATTAACTCTGATCCATTTGTAAAAATAGTGTGATCACATGAACCTGCTAATTTCAATTGCTCCACCCAATTATCAGAAACATTCAAATCAGGGTTAGCTTGTAAAGCATCAAAATCTTGTTCTGATATATCTGGTTCATATTGTTTAACTTGAATGATATTTTCATTCAACATAGATTCTGAATCTTCCATCAAGTAATCTTCATCGTTTTTATTGCTGATGCTTTGAAAATTCATGTGTTGCTTACCAGATCCATAATTTGTAGGATAAATGTCATTACAAGTATTTTGTCTACATGTGTCAATTTCTTGTTTATCAACTTCAGCATCCTCTTCGTTAATAAGTCCCCATATGCTAAAATGGTTTACTTTGAAAGTCCAAATACCACCAAATGGATTATAAGACACAAATTCCATGTCTCTCATGTTTTTTAATTTTGTAATCAAAACTTGTATTTCATCAGTCTTAGAGACATCAGTTATTGGTTTTTTTGTCTTCTTATCAATAGGATATATTTTTTCTAAGGAAATAGTAGCAGGAACATTTAAACCGTATCCGACAGCAGGTTTGTTATTTTGGTCTGGATAAACTTCAACAGTTTTGGTTGAATGAAATGTAACTGTTTTTCCAAATAGTTCTTCTTTTAGGTTTGGTACAAAAGCAGATAAGTCAACAGCATAATTAAAAGATATATTACCAAAGCCTTTTCTTCCAATAATGAAATTTGATATAGTCTTTAATTTGGTTGGTGGCATTTTAGATAATGTTTCAATTGAAGGTGAACACCAATATTCCGTATTTTCAGTAACTATGTTATTTGAATTAAAATTGTCCTTTTCTGATAATTTTGAAGTCTTATCACTTTTTCCTTCATCATTATTTTTGGTGTCCAGATTACTACATTGTGCTTCTACTTGGTCTTTATCTTTTGCCTTCGATTCCACAACATTATCGGTAATTGTTTCACGGGGCTTTTCTTGACTGTTTGATTTAGTGATTAAGGGGGTCCCAGATAATAATTTCATTTTTTTGATTGCACTTCTCTCAGTATCGATTTTTAATCTACGCATTTCTTGAACATTGTTATATTTGTTGGTTATCTTGGCAATATCTTTAACAGTCGTAACTCTTTGGTTCAATGAATTATTCGATTTTAAGTACTCCGTGGAATTCCAAGATGAGGAAAATATCCCTTTCGTGGATTTAATATTGTTAATGGTATTTAATTTAGAATTTAAATTGTGGAATAAGCTAGAATGAGAGGCATTATTTATTGGAGTAGTAATATTTGAAGTTGCTGAAAAAGATCTCTTGTTAGTAAGAATAGGTTTTTTAGTATTTTCTGGTCTACTCTCTTCATCAGAAACTTTCTTTACTGTCTCTACAATTGGAGCTGGCATATTGGATATATTTACAGTCGTGTTGCAACTAACATTCAAACCATAGGGATTTAACTGAAGTTGTTGTGGAGCTGCTGGTTGAGAAGTAGCAGAATTACCAAATAAACTATTCACAGAAGTGGGCTTATTACTGAAAATATTACCACCTCCAGATAAATTATTACCATTTAAAGTATTTGTACTAGAGTTACCAAATAAGGAGGAACCGGTAGTTGAACCTATTGTATTAGTTTTTGATAAAGAGGAATTACCAAATAGTCCACCTGTTGTGGTTCCAGTTGCTGTAGCGGTTGTAGGCTTAGAACCAAATAGTCCACCTGGATTTTGTTTAGTAGAAGTACTATTACCAAATAGACCACTAGGTGGTGCTAACGTAGTATTCTTGTTGGCAATAGCAGAATTTCCAAATAATCCACCAGTTGGAGTGTTAGTAATGGTAGTGTTAGATGTAGCTGTGCCAAAAAGACCACCAGGTTTATTCTGAGAAGTAGTACTATTGCCAAACAATCCACCACCTAAAGTAGTAGTAGATTGTGTAGTGGGTTTGTTCCCGAATAATCCGGTAGACGGACTTGGTGTAGAAGTACCTAATGATGTTGCATTATTGACATTGTTAAACAATCCATTGGGTTTTTGTGCAAATAATGAAGTATTATTACCTGTTGGTGCAGGCGCTGGAGTAGAAAAAGGAGTAGAACTATTAAGCTTAGTATTAAACATCTAACTAAAATAAAAAGATCTGTTTAAATAGTGAAATTGAAAATTTTTGATTCCATTCAATTTGTAAAGTGACTTTTATAAACTTCTAAGATAGAGAGGAAGCAAAAAGTTTTTTTTCGTTGGTTTGATAATAATTCTTGAGGTGAGAATGGGTAAATAACAGACCAACATATATTGTCCTTCCTTTTCAATTTTAGCTTTTTGTATATTTTGAATGTTGTTAATAAATAAACTTTTGCAATATATTTTTTCTTTGTTTTCTTTTTTTTTTTCTCTTTTTTTTTTTTTCAACTCTCGAACATCACATTTATTTATTAGGTTGATACCAAAAGGAAAGAAAAAAAAACTCAGGTCTAAAAGAAAATTGAGTATAAGAGGTTGGATAAACAACGAAACAGTTGTTAAGGAGAAGAAGAAAGCAATTTAGGTAAGACTTACCAAAGCTTCTCCCATTACTATAAAGTTGGTGAAATAATTGTACAATGAAAATAAATTAAAATCAGATACTGTTCTTGGATAATTTCATAGTGTTCTTTATTTGTTTTTTTGTTTGATGTTTAGAAAATAAATATATATATATATATGTGTGTGTGTGTGATGATAGAAGTGTATTTTTACAAAGTTAATTAATATATATATGTATATGTGCATGTATACTAAAAGGCTATAGTGTCTGGTATTAATGTAATCTTATTCTTGGTTAAAAGAGGAATAGCATGTTTAGTCTTCATTGTGAATAAGTCTATTAATTCTGTTAAGTTTATTGTCTCTTTTTCTTTGGTTGATACATAGACAGTTAGTTTTTCAGAATTACCACAGACAAATGATTTGAATTCCAATAATGGAATATGATAAAGTATGAGTTGATTGGATTCGAAATGTATCTGCTTTAGTTCTATTAAATATTCATTATTTTTATTTTTGTGCTTTTTTAAATGTGTGATAAATATTTTTTGTAGAAAATAGAATTGTCGTAATACAGGAAATAACATTTTAATGTCAATTAATATTGAATGTATTATATCTACTATGGGTTGTTGATGGTTATATTTATTTTGGAAATGGGTGAGAAAAAAAAATTCTAATAAATTTATCTTTAATATAGTTTGAAATATTTGATAAAAATGTCTCAAAATCATTCTTGAGTTGAATTTCCAAACTAATATCCATCGATAACAACGGCATTTTCAAGATCATTGTATCACTCATAATGTTTGAGAAATGAATTCCTGTTAGATTTCCCCATAGATTTAGCTTATCTTTTAGCTTAAAATTAGATAGCTGTTCTTCTTGATATTCACCAATATTTGTGTCTTGATAATTCCTCTTTAATTTGTTTAAAGTTTCATTTAAGTCCATAACATCTGCTGATAATTGTCTCTTTTTGTTTATTAATGTTGGAAGTTCTTTGATGTCGATTTTATGGACCTCTATATATCTCTTTAATTTAGCTAATTTGATTTTATTATCTAAGGAGACCTCTTTAAAATTAATATCGACATCATTTTTATATGTAATAATATCATTTTGTAAGGATTCTCTCAAAGTTGTTAATTTATTATATACATTTTTATACTGATCCAATTTTTGATCAAGTTTTGAACTTTTTAATTTTAATAAAGTAAGATTTTCCTTTAAAATGATTTTCACATTTTCTAAATTTGATAATTGCCATTTATACCAGGATTTTTTTGCTTCCAAGGATGAATACAATTTAATTATACTCAGTTGTTCTTTTATAATTCGTTTTTCGTTATCAGTAGAATCATAGTACCGTTTTAATAATAATGGTGGTGCTTTTGAATTTGAAATTTGGGTTTGTAAATTATTTAAAACATTCTGTGATTTTTCGTTCATCATTATTAATTCTTTTGACATAAAAGTTATCATTTGCAACCATGGAATATCAGAGTAAAGAGACAAAAAGGCACGAAGTTTATTATTTGTTAAATCATTAGCACTGTTATTTGCTGCTTTAAGTAATACTGGTTGCGGGTCAACTTTCATATTATTTATAGCTTGTACAAAATTGGATTCTATATCAGTTAAAAATTTTACAAGAGAATAATTTTTGGTAGAAGAATTGCTATTATCAATATTATTAGTAGTATTAAGTTCATTAAATTTAATTGGTGACATTTGTTCAGCATTTGATACTGAAATGGGTTTATCATTTGAAGTCCTTTTTGGTGTATATGTTTGATTTTCCTCATTATGGTTTTCTCTTGATCTTTTAGAACTTTTACTATAGACATCCTTATTATTAGCGGTATTATTAATTGTACTTTTGTTATTATTATTGTTGTTGTTTTTATTATATGTAAAATGTGAAGAAATGTTGGTTAAATCCATGTCACTATCACTTTCGGATTCATTATAATTACTATGATTATTATTGTTATTATTATTATTCTGTAAGTGTATCTGAGTAAATTCTATTTCATTTTCAGTTAAGTTTTGTTCATTTTCATCAAAATTATCGATATTTGTTTTACTTGAATTAGAATGGTATGGTTGAGTTAATTCCATTTTGTTTCCATTATCGCTTAATTGTGCTTGATCATTCTTCTTTCCATTTATCTGTGTGAAATCCATTTCTTCATTCTGACTACTTATTATCTGATTCAATGATGCCATTGTGTTCGTTTTATTAATATTACTTTTATAGATCTGAGTAAAATCCATTGAATCTCTATCAGCTTCAAGAAATTTATGTGGGGTATGTTTTGGAATCTGTGTTAACTCCATGTCTTCAGGATCATTCGTTTTACTTACAAATGGGATCTTAGTAAAGTTCATTGTATCAGAGTTATTATTATTATTAATAATGTTAGAGATATTTTCTGAATTAAAAACTTCTGTCAATTCCATAGTACTATCATTTTTATTAACAAAATTATCATCTTGCATACTAATGGATAAAGGAATTGGGGACATTTTTTCCTCCCTTTCGATTGTATCAGCACTGATGTCACTTGTATTATTATTTGTATTGTGGTTTTTATTCGGTAAATTGATTGGACCCGTCAATTCCATACTCAGAGAATCTTCATCTTTTTCTTGAGATGATATATCAAGAACTGGTTTAATCTTAACAGGTATCATTAAAGCCGTATCATTCTTAGTTGTAGTAGACGTAGTGATATTAGTATTGTTCGTATTTTTATTAATAACAAAATCAAAACTATGCAATGTAACATCTGGAGCAAAGGAAACTGTTCTATTGGATTTATCTAATAATGTCTGAGTAATAGAGGTCAAATCATGGTTATCATTTTGATCAAACTGATCAGGAACAGCAGATCGTTGATTTGTCCTTGACTGTGAAGTGTTTGATAAGACATCTGGATCATTGGTTATAGTATTTTTTAAGATGCTTTTTTTTGGTAGATTAGAAATTGAAGATTGTTGTGTTGATGTGGACTCTTTTTTTATATTGTCCCATTGACTGTTATTACTACTCATATGGTAATTTGTAATGGTAATTTCCTTTATTTTTCGTATATCTTATTATTATATTCCAATCAGTTGTATGTATTTAATACTGGAAAAAGAAAAAAAATAGAATAAAAAAAGAGAGAAAGGGAGGGAAGGGGAGGGAGGACATTGTTCCAGCATGTTTGAGGATATGAATAAGGTGTGTGTAGTTTATGTTTATCTGAGTGTCTCATATATTGCTAAAACAAGCTTATTGATGTCATTTCCAGATTTTAGGATTGTCTGTTTGTCCTCTTTCAAATCCAAAACCCTAGGGTTGGTTAATCCCAAAAAAAAAAAAATCAAAAAATTAAGTAAAGGGAAATTTGAAAGGCGTTCGAACCCCGAGGTGTGCCAAATATTTTTCTCTCAATTCTACCGTTTTTCTGCTTATTTTTTTTGGTTCGAGAAAAAGTAAGCGATTGCCTAATCCAAGGGTTGTTATTACTGTTATGTCTTTCAATATGGAGGTTTTTATTGTAACAATAAATGTCTGTTTTTTGATACTGAGGGAATATTCTGTCAACTTGTGTATGTGTATATGTATGTGTGTACATGTATCTGTACATATAGATACGTTTGTTACACATGGAAAGATTCCTTGATAGAAAAATATAAGAGTTAATATATATCTGTTATCTCCCTTTATTTTACCTTTTATTTTTCTTTTTTTAACATTGTTTTACTACCTGACATTCTTTTTTATTGCTTTACGTGAAAGGGTCAAATCAAATTAGATTAAAAAAATACAGGTTAAATGAGAGTATATATTATATACTCATTTGTTTGTTTGTTTAACAGTTGAATATATTTTATTATACATAGATTATATTCCACTTCGAATTTTATTTGTTGCGTTTCGTTGCGTTTATCTTTTTTTTTAATTTTTTTAATCATTTGTTTATCTATTTAATACAGGTATAAGAAATAGAGTTAAGGGTAGAGTTGAGTATACTGATTTGCATCCGTTTCTTTATTATCTTTGATTTTTTTTTTGTGGTTCTTATTTCCAATATACTTAGCAATCACAGTGTTGGCATTAAAATAAAAGACATGAATAATTGGCAACACTTGTTTAACAATACAGATAGCATAGTAAGCCATATTAACAAACCATATTTAAGGTACGATAACCGTGAAAAAAATGTATCCAGCATAGTATTTGATCAATTTGCCAATTTACTTTGGGCTGGGGACACTTATGGTTGTGTCTCTTCTTATGATCCAAATTTACAATTATATACGAGGTATAGAGGTCACATTGGTGGTTCCTCCGTGAAAAGTATTGTGCCTCTAAGAGAGGGTATCCTATCATTAAGTGAAGATGCTTTACATCTATCTAATAGAAGAGGCGTTACTATATTTAACGTAACCAGTATAAATATCGCTGAATTTAGTGAATTACAAACCATGTGTCCTATGTCTATTGATAACCATGATTATATTTATTGTGCAGGTAATAATACATCGGTAGGGATCACCTGTCTTGATTTAAACAAGGTTAAATTGACAAGTATCATAAACTATAATGCAAAAGTTAAATTATTGAAGTCTGCAAGAAACTTATTGCTTATCGGGAAACCTTCAGGTGCAATAGATCTTTTGGACTCTAGATCAAATCAACTAATTAAATCTTTTATTTGTCATTCAGACACAATCACATCAATGGACATTGCAGATTTTACTTTAGTAACAACAGGGAAGTCAAGATCCTCCTATAATTCCTTTGCTGATCCATTCGTTAATGTGTTTGATTTAAGATCTATGAAACAGTTGGCACCGGTTTCGTTCTCAAAGGACAGTAATACGGGCGTGGAAGGTGCATCATTTGTACAGCTACATCCTGTGTTACCCACTGTTATGTTTGTTGGTTCTAAATCTGGTGATTTCGATTTTGTTGATTTGTCAAATCCAATAATAAGAACCCAATATATTCACCCAGGTAAAGACATTAAGTCCATGGTTTTATCTCCGAGTGGGGACCACATAGCTGTATTGGAAAACGATAATATTCTAAGTACATGGTCAAGATCACCTCACGGCGGTAATTTCACTAATACACCTGAAATTTTACAGTACCCAGATTTCGTTGATGATGGTCCACCTAATTTTGTGTCTGTTGATAACATGGATTTTCCCTTGAGTAGCGTCGGTTTACCTTATTATAATGAACGATTATTATCTGCTTGGCCATACACTCTTTTCAATAGTGATGGGTCTATTCCAAAGATAATCAATACAAATTTATCATTGGCACATATACCAAAAAATAACAAGCTACTGTCTTTAAATAGTACATCTTTAAATCATTCCTCGAAAAAGTTCCCATTCTATAGGTATGATAAAAATAAGTATGGAAGAAGAAATGTAGCTACAAGATATGTTTGTATGAGAGATTTGAGGAAAAACATCTTGACTGGTAATGTTGATAAAGAAGAGATTCTGAATTATAAAGGGTCTGGTAAGAATATACCATCAGCATATAGCCAATTGCCCTTTACGTATGGTAAGTATGGTTCGAATAATTTTGATTTTCAATCTTACAACAAGACAAAGTATTCAGGACTTGACACAGATGTTGATAATTCTTACACAAATTCAATCATTCAATTGTATCGGTTTGTTCCGGAAGTTTTTAACTTTTCAGTGTGTTGTTTAAAAGATGAAAATTTTGAGAAACCATCACTATTATCTGAGTTGGGATACCTATATGATATGATGAGTAGATCCAATGGGGTAGTCTGCAGATCTGCAAATTTTCAAAGTGTATTAAATTCAATTCCTCAAGCTTCTAAATTAGGATTATTGGATAATAATATAAATGAATTATCTGAAATGAACTATAACTCTATTTTAGAAACTTTAAGTACTAATAATAATAGTGATAGTGGTAATAATAGTAATGATAGTTCATCACAAAACGATTTCTTGTCTAAAAGTGTCATACAAAAATTCAATGAGTTTTTACTAAATCGATTGTTAAAGGAAGAATTTGAAAGTACTGGCCATAATATAACATTGGAACAATGTTTTGGGCTTACAGTATCTACTGAAATCAAACCCAAATGTAATCATTACAATAAGGTGACCAATGTGGAGGCATGTTTAACTCTCCAATCCCCAATTAGAAATGGTGTTAAACAACACCCTAAAAAAATAAATAATCAAACTATTCTACCATACATTGAATCATCTATGAGAAATATTAAAATGCAAAAGAGAGTCTGTGAAACGTGCGGTAAACATGACATGGTAGAGGTTGAAAAAACGGTCAATAATTTGCCACCACTAATGTCTCTTCAAGTTATGTTGTCTATATCAGAATGGAAAACTGTTAGAACTGTTAAAAAGTGGCTGTCAAAAGAATTCTTTGCAGCCATTTATAAAAATAAAATTATAATTAAACCTTCATATCAAGATTTAAAAATGCCAGGCGAAGTATTCAAATATGAATTAAATGGATATGTTGCTAGAGTGACAGACCCATCTACAAATTCATCTCGATTAGTGACATATGCACGTGTTTGGGATCATGAACAACAAAATTTTAAATGGTATATGTTTAACAACTATCTAGTTGTGGAAATCAGTGAGGAGGAAGCATTTAACGTTTCGTACTGGTGGAAGAGTATAGAAGTTATTCTTTACTGTGATAGTGAAGAAATAAGAAAACCTTTTTTTTCTATAAACACATATTCTTTAAATTATGATATTCTTTACAAAGATCATTTTTCTAATGGAATTAGAGAAGGTTATAAGAAACAATATAAATTATTAACGAGGACTGAAGCTCCTAAAGAAGGTACTTTGATTGCGATAGACGCGGAATTTGTTTTATTGAAGGAGGAATTATGTGATATTGATTGTCAAGGTACAAAAACAATTGTAAGACCTAAAAAATCTTCTTTAGCAAGAATTTCAGTAATCAGAGGGGAAGAAGGACCCTTATATGGTATTCCATTTATTGATGATTATATTGTCAATAAAGACCATGTGGAGGATTATTTAACCAAATATAGTGGTATTATGCCAGGTGATTTAGATATAGAGAAAAGTCATAAACCATTAGTCTCGAGGGAAGTAGCATATAGAAAGATTTGGTTATTAATGCAAATTGGTTGTATTTTTGTGGGTCATGGATTAAGTAATGATTTTAAATTGATAAATATTAATGTCCCTAAAGAGCAAATCAGAGATACAGCAGTATATTTTTTGCAAGGAAAGAGATATTTATCACTTAAATACTTAGCATTCACATTATTAGGCAAAAATGTTCAACAAGATAATCATGATTCTATTGAAGATGCATACACAGCATTGATTCTTTACAAGAAATATTTAGATATCAAAGAGACTGGTAATTTACCAAAAGTTATTGAGACATTGTATGAGGAAGGAAGAGCCTCAAATTATAAAGTTCCAGAACCTGTATCTTCACAGACAAAGAATTAGATATGATAGTCTTTAATCATAACATATTGATAAATATAAATAAATTACAATAAGTAATAGAAACTGTGATGATTAAATACACCATTACAACAATAAGTATGCAGTCGTATATAGATTCGTATAATAATAATTAAGTATTATAGAGTTTTATTATTAGTAATGAATAAGAAGTTAAAGAATTAAAATATCTATATTTAACAAAAAAGGATAAATAGATGTATAAACGAGTAGAGATATTTGAAAGAATTTTTTGTTTCGCAAAATAGACAATTAGCACTATTAGTTGATATGTTACTTTATGAGGTCTCGATATATGCTGAGCAAAAGATGCCCCATTTACTACATAACTATCTCTGCTAATATTTTCATTAATACGAGGCTGCTTTAATATGAAAATATCAATTACCTTCAACAATCTTAACAACGAAAATTATTGTTGTTTTGAATAAAGACCCTATCAGAATGCCATCTCTTTATTTATTATGCGGGATGGTGATATTCCGCTCCAAAGCCGTCGATTTTTAATTTTGTTCACAACCTACAACGAAGTTTTTTTTTTTTGTTTGCCTCTATTTTTGGTAGAATTAGAGGAAGATATAATGTGAAAAGATAAGGAATAAATATTTTAGATAAATGATGGATATTATTAGTTGAATAAATGTTTGAAACTTATGTAACTTAAATATGAATGGGATAGAAATTATTGGGCTTACCAGAAACTGAGGGTTGTATTATTTTCTGTCATAGTAGTTTTTTTGTTTGGATATATCTCACATTAGTCACACAAAGCAAAGATAGAAAAATATAATTATATAATGTCTCTTGCTGAATTTGATGAATTGAAATGGGACCATTCCGTGAAGAGATTGGATACCCCATCGCATTATCTGTTAAGGAAAGCAAGAAAAACACCTCGTGGGTTAGAAGAATTAAGAAAATCTATCGATAGTGCTACCATATACGTTGGTAATTTATCATTTTATACTTCAGAGGAACAAATCTATGAATTATTTAGCAAATGTGGTACAATCAAAAGAATTATTATGGGTTTAGATAGATTTAAGTTTACACCATGTGGATTTTGTTTTGTCATCTATGAAACGGTTCAAGAAGCACGTAATGCATTGAAATATCTAAGTGGTACAAAATTAGATGAAAAAGTTTTAACTATTGATATGGATCCTGGTTTTGAAGACGGTAGACAATTTGGTAGAGGTAAAAGTGGTGGTCAAGTGAGTGATGAAATGAGATTTGAATTTGATGCAGCTAGAGGTGGATTTGGTATTCCATTAGAAGAAAGAATTAGTTGGGGACAATATCCACAACAAAGGTTTTCCCGTCCACAAAATCATCATTTCAATAACCGTCATCGTCCAATTCGTCGTCCTGTAGGTAGTAGATTTAAGAATAGGCATATATCAAATAATGCTGATTATAATAATAATATGAATCAATATGTTAGCAATAATAATATTGATACACAAAACACTATAACAACCACACAGGAGCAAGAAGAAGATAACTATATTCCACAATGAAAAAGAGTAAAGTTGAGTAGTGATGTAATATATATATATATATATGGGTGCATATAAACAACAGATTAAATAATAGTTTATACAGTTGTTTTACTTTTTCAGCTTGGTTATATCAATAAGAAATTCAATAAAAGAAAAACTTGGATCTAAAGGGAGTACAATTAGATAGTAATTCTTTGTTATAAATATGATGTTATTTTGGTTTCTTTTACTGCTTAAAATAAAAATATATCATAAACAAGCTTAAAGATAGAAGGCACATAAAAACTTTTATGAATGTATAATATAAATGTTCTATTCCTATGTATGTATAATAAGTAGTTACCATATACATATATAAAAATATATGTGCAAGTATATATGTGATACGATGAGTAGGAAAAAATATGCTTATGTATTTAAAAGATATCTATATCATGATGTAATTTTTGTATTAGCGTTATTGTGAGGATGGCGGTGAATTGACTTAGTATTACCATGATTATGGTTTGCTTGATCTACAAAGACTTTACGTCTTCTGACATTGATAAACCAATTTGATAATTGTACTTTAGTTAAGCCAGTTTGTTCTAGTAATTCTAATTTTTCCTCTGGTGAAGGATATGGATCATGCAAATGGCTCAATAACCAACTATTTAGTATTTCAACTGTCTTTTTAGGTAGATTAGATCTCTTTGTTGAGGTTTTCTTTGTGACTTTATTAGTACCAATCATTTGCTTAGATGTTTTGTTTGTATCAATGTTCTCGTTATTGTTGTTACTATTTCTATTATTACTTTTAGCAGTCTTTCTGTTGAACATATCAGCGCTCGACTTGTTATCTTTATTGATTTTCACGTGTATCAAAGATCCACCCATGGAAGGAGAGTTAGGTATACTTTGAAAACCAAGTTGACCTGCAACTTGTTTGTTATCCATGATAGATGGACTTGACACAGGATATGATAGCGGAGATGTTGGAGGGGATGTTTTTAATCTATTAGAATTATTATTTGAAGTGACTATGTTTGCAGAAAACCGTTGTTGTGGGTTACTGTACATATTATTATAATATTTGATGGATGTTGTATAGTTTTTATTATTATGTATTAAATGCGATATTTCATTGATAGATGCATTGGGTTTTGTAGTAAACACATTATTAAAATTTCTTGTGGAAGGAACTGGAGAAGGAAATGGTGGCATAGTATTGGGGACAGATTGATAAAGATGGTTGCTTGAAGCAGGAGACGGTGGTAGAAGCACATCTCTTTTTGGATAGCGGTATGATGGTTGTGGAGTAACAAACCTAGATGCAGCAGATAACTCATCTAGAGCATTATTAGAACTATTTCTGTTGTTTGATAAATCATTATTTATAATATTGAATATGTTTTGGATTGATGGTAATTCGACTCTTTGATTTTGATAGTTCATGTTATTGTAATATATCAAACGCTATTATATAATATAGAAAGACACTTAATTTGCTACTAGATATGCAGTAGTGTTGAATTAGAGAATATGGTGATATGGAATTAAACAACAAATGAATTTTAGCGAATAGGTATTTGTACAAAGGTATAAAATGGAAAGTGGACCTGAGAACCTTTTAGTTGTATCTTGCAGAAAAGTCTTTTGTATATATATCTTGTTTGTTGTTATATTTGTGTTTCAAACACGCTCGAGTGTTGGTTGAAGAGACGATCGTGAAATCGCTTGGAAACAGAAGAGAACTGAAGTCAATAGATATTTGATTTTCGGGAAGACTCTCGAAATTGTCATTTTTTTTTACACGCACACATATATATATATAGTTGTAGGTAGATAATAAGGATAGATCATATTATTGGTATGCATTGTTGAGGTGTCAACCCGTTAAAGAATGGAGGCTGGAAAACAGAAGGGAAATGGAGTTAAATGACATAAAGAGAAAAGCATTACTCAGATTGATGCTATATCGCATACTTTAGCTATTGTATTGAGTTAGAAAGACAGCCAAATAATCGGAGATGACTACATAATAGTGAAGAAGGACAAGGAAAATCATAGATTATCTCCGTGTTCATGCACGTTTCTTTCGACCAATTATTTAGTTTAAGACAACATTTTCTGCACTAGTATTGTTTAGAACAACAATGGAAAAAATCGAAAAAAATAGAAGGAATCGGACAAATATGAATAATGAAACCAATTCAAAAGCCGTAGGCAAATAATAGAAGAATGTAACATGACATACTTGTTTTTCCTTAAACATACCTTTCCCAAGATTGTTGGACCAATGAGGGGTTAATAAATCACTTGTTTGTCTCTTTTTTTCAAAAAAATGGGGGAATTCATTAAGATGAAAAATACTATAGGCTGGCTATTCTTCCATTGTTTTTCTTTTTTCCTATTGTTTTGTCGGTTTTTTCTTTTTTTTTATTTTGATTCGAGATCACAAAATGTTCAATGATGTTAGCATATTGGTAAACTATTAATTTATCAGGTATTTTTTATCATTATGAAAAACAACACATTTCTTCAAAATGAAGGTGTCTCTTTGTACAGATTATTTTGGATTTTGCCGGAAGTTGTTGGAGATTTAAGATGAAAATTTTGTAGGTACTTTTTTTTACAGTGAAGCTAGGGGTTTGCATCTGTTTATGATATTTAACGAGATAGTAATAGGAAAAAGTAGTGACCAACCTTTTCCAAAAAAAGATCTTACCGAAATTGCTTTTTTTTTTACAAAACAATAGAAACCAGAAAAATAATCTTATTTTTTTTTCCTTTTTTTTGACAGTGTGTTTTGTTTGTCGATTGGACAAAAATAATATAATAGAAAAAAAAATTGAAATTTAAAAATATTTGAACAAAAGAAAAAATCTTAAAACTTTATTTTTTCCAGATCTTAGAAAATATCGGATTAAAAATAAAGTTATGATAAAAAATTTTTTGTCATTGAGAAAGTTCTTCATAAAAATAATAATTTTCTGTGCTTAATGAACTAAACAATACAACAAAAAATAAAATCAAATTTGGTAGTTGCAGTATTTTTGTTAGAGAAAAAAAAAAATAAAAGAAAAAATAAACAAAATAATAGAGGTATTAAAGTGTATTTGTTTTGTCTATGTGGAGTTGAGATTGTAATCTCTCCTAAAAATTATATTTTGTTTTTTTTTTTTTTGGGGAGGGGGGAATATGCCAATTAAGTCCCTTTTATTTTTACTCTGATTTTTTTTGTTAAATAGACCTATATTAATATTGGGAAGAAGTGGGGAAACTAAAGTAAAACAACTCTCAGCACAGAGTTAACCCTACTTAATTTATTACTGTTGAAAGTTTCGAACTTTCTATAAAATTATATTATAGAGAATTTCACAACAGTATATTCTTACTTAAAATCTATATAAAGTATACAAAAACTATATTAGAAATTTATCTGAAAAAAAAAGTTATAATACAAATGGTTTCTAATCTTGTTTATTATTTATTCAATTTCATTAAAGGTTGAGGTTTTTTTTTAGTTTTACAGAGAACATTAAAGAAGAGATTACTTTTTTTTTGCTATTCAACAAAATCTCTCAACGATGAGTATATTAGTGTCTCTTTATCACTCTCTTTCTTAAATGGTTTTTTTAGTCTTTTAGGTTTAATATTTAATTACCATCGTTTATTGATGCAGTATTAGAGACATTTATCGTTAGATATCCTTATATATATCTATATAGTATAAGTTAGCCCTAAATATAAATATATAGTACAAACAGTACTGTTGCATTATACCCTAACTTAACAAAGTTTTTCTGGTTAAAAAAAACTCCTTGAAGATAAGCAATTGCCGTGTTAAATGACTTTATAGATATTTTTAAGGAGATATTATGATCTTTAATATGCTATACTAACATAAACAATATGAGTTCGAGAATTTTGTTGTATTTGACAAATTTCTAGAAAAAAAGATTTTATTTATTTTACTATAATCTATTTTTTATAATATTAAGATAATTGAAATGTTTTTAATAGTTAAAATCTACTGCTATTAAACCGTGGTGCTAAAATGAGCACCCCTTACATTCGTGATGATGTAAAATAGTTATGTAACACAGTGTAAAAGGTATGATTTAATTGCATACCAGTTTTGTACACTAAATTATAATATTATATTATTTCCAAAATAAGGGTTTCATTCATTGTAGAAGAAGGAGAGAAGGTGTAACTTCGAAATGAAGCTATGATACACGAAAGATTTGTTTTATTCATATGGACAGCAAAATGTATTTTACTTTTTTTTTCAAGGAGAAGATACCAGATGTGTTAAAATAAAAATAAAATTGAAAATTAGACAAAATTACACGTGGGCATTTCCGTTTGCGGACTGTCAGAGTCTAGACATTTAGATTATATCATCACGGAAATCTGGTAAAATTATTAAAACGTCAAACGCAAGATCGCATGGGGGAAAAAAAATCACACAATTTGAAAAGCTTTTATCGGAAGAAAATATAATGTCGGCTATTGAAGAAAAAAAAAAGATTTATTAAGTTTGAAAAATGCTGTTTACATCACTATTACAAATTATATTGTTTAATCTTGAGAATGTGTGACAACATCATTCTTGAATTTTCGACTATACGAAACAATGACACAATTGTTTCTAGAAATGTGTAATCTATTAATTTTAAACAATACATATTTTTTGACGTGCAAACAAGGTGCTATTTATTCATTAATGCCAACTTGTTTGTTTTTTCTTTTTTAGTTTTTTTTTTTTTTCAGAATTTGTTAACAATCTTGGAAGTTTTAAGATGAGACAATAGTCTTAATTACGAGAGTCGATTTATGAAATTAGTGTAGATTTTTTTTTCTTTTGTCTAAAGACATATAGATATTCTTGGAATATTGGACATCTAAAACTGTGCTTTATCGTTTTGAATTGTTTGTAGAGTGTTGTCATCTTGTCATCTTTCCGTATATTACTAATATCTGAGGACAAATGGAAGGATCCACTACACTCACTGGGTTGATTTTTTTCTTACATCAAGTTAACCTGAATTGTTCACTTGATGCTAAGTGCAAATAATAAATGAACGGTTTTGCATATCTCATATTTTCATACTTCCTTGCTTTAGTAAATTGTTTGTCTTTTGATAGTTGCTGAACTTTGTGTGAATATTTAGTGTTATTTGGATGAGTATTATGTAATCTCAACTGAATCTAAAATGTGTTCTATTTTTTTTAGTTAGACACATTAGATCAAACAATGGAGATGGAACTATAAAATTTATATTCTTGGAATTCACTATTATTAGCCATTGCCAAGAATTATTTAACCAAATTACGTATTTGTAATTACGAACACTCTTATCTTTAGCATACTGAAAACTATAAAATAGAATATCTAAAAAAAGAAGAGAAACAAAAGAAGAATATTTGATTAAAATTATGACATTTCCCGCTTTATTGTTGATAGGAAATTAGTTTGTAATATTGTTCAAAGATAAGGCACGCTATTCCTGACTGGTTTATTCATTTTTAAAATTAACTTTACAAAGTTCATATTTTATTTTTGATCTTTTTATCATCAATGCTCATATTAATAATGTCTTTATTATGTATAGTAAGCAAAAAAAAACTTGGGCATTTTATTTGTCAATAATACAAAATTGTGGTAAGTATCTTTTAATAAGAAACAGTATAATATATGTTAGCTTCTTTAAAGCCATATTATTAATGTCACTTTTATGACATGATCTTACTGGATTTTTTTGCATTAAATTGTGTTCTGTATATGTGAGAAGAATTATTTACAATAAAGATATATCGAATATAACAACTTTGATTTGTATCATAAGATAAAAAAAAAAAAAGCGAGTGTAGATCATTTAGTTACCGAATTGTCTAATTAATAGTATGGTTAACCGACCTACTGGATTTGGTTCTTTTTTTGTATTATTGTTATTAATTTCAATCTTTATGCGTTCAAAGTTAAGAGGATTTTCGGTCAGTGGTAGTCATGTTTTCTAATGACAATGATCATGGTCATAATAATACATAATAATACATGTATAAACTTATATATAATTAATATCTTTGGGTTAAACGTGGAAAAAAAGAATAGGAAAGGGGATATCAAAAAATCAAATTGCTCAATCACCCATTTCGCTTGCTCTCTTTTCTGCATCTTCTTCAGATAACTTGACACCACCTATGACAGAAAACTGACCACCACAACCAGCCAGTATAATATTCCTATCTTGAGTGGCGGTATTTTTGATTCTTGTTGGAACTTCAACATCTTCACCGGCAGGGCCTAAACCTACTGCATATGTTTCACCAAACCCCCATGAATAGCAAATACCGTTTGTGGCAACTGCTAAGGAATGATGGGAACCTGCTGCTACTGTCTTAAATTTAGGTAAATCAACTAATTTTGTTGGAATAGGAACCGAACGAGCTTTTCCATGTTCATCCTTATATGTATTTTCTTCAGGTAACTTATCCTTGGAAATACCAACTTCACACATATCTAATCTACCAAATGCATATATTTCTCCATCTTGAGTGAGAATTAATGAGTGATGCTCACCTGCCTGGATCATTTTAATATTTAAAGTTGGATCAATTTTGACTTTAGTTGGTTTTATGACAAGGGCACCATCTTCAACGTTCTTAGATATACCACATTGACCGAATTGATTTAGTCCCCAACTAACGACGGTCCCATCTTTCTTGACAGCAAAACAGTGGTTTTCACCGCTGGCAATGTATTTGATATGTCTTAGACCGAATGGTCTTGGGTCCAAAGTATTCAGACGATATCTTTCCATTACTTTTCTCCCTAGTTGGTATTGTTGACCATTACCCCAAGCAAAAACAATACCTTCCTCATCTAAAAATAATATATGATCTTTACCCCCCGCCATTTGAACAATTTGATATTTGGAAAAATTTGGAACTTTCCAAGGAGTTCTTTGAATCTTAATCTTATCTTGATAAAATCCAAGAATACCCTCGTTACAACGGAATGTACCCCACGCATAAATATCACCGTTGCTGAAAAGAGCACAACTTAGATTATCAGTTGCAGTTAATTGCACAACTTTATGACCTTCTGCCAATGGTGGGAATAAAGATCTATCCAATTTGTGTGGGGTGGATTCTAGCTCATTTAAGTCACCATCTTCATCATCACTGTCGCTGTTATTAGCATCCATATCCTTTAAAACTTCTTTGGCACCACTTGTATCTCTACCTAATGCACCGACATCGTTGCAACCCCACGACCAGATATCCTGATTTGAATCTAGAGCAATAGTGTGCATACCACCCACAGCAAATGAGATAATCTTTGCTTCATCGACTGGTAAAAATGGATTCAATCTTGGTCTTTTCACTTCTTTATTTTTGGCTAATGGACCTAAACCCAATTCACACATTGAACCAGTACCAAAACAGAAAATATCTAATGGTTGAACAGAAATATAGAGATGTTTGTAGTCATCAATAGTGTTAATGATGTGGGCTGCATGTGTTTTGGAAGAATGTTTGACAGCCTTTTTTTTATGGTCAAGTTCATTGTTAGCCATAACAGAGTCGTCCTCAGTAGCCGATCTTTTAGACATTATTGTAAATATATTTCTTGTTTTATGTGGTTCTTTACAAGGTTATAGTACAGTGACTCGTTGAAAAGAACTTTTCTAGTATCAGATTAAGAACCTTGCAGTGATGATTTATTTATTACTACAGTGTTAGTTATCTCTGGTTACTATTTTTTATATTTTTCTTTTACATACATCATAGACAACGATCTTATTTTTCCGTTTTTGTTCTCTTTTTTCTTTTTCTAGCTCGACTCTAGATTTCCTGTCGTTGATAGCGACTTTCCTCAAACAGTCCCATCTCATGAGAAATTGAATGATGATAAATTAACATTGGATCTGTCTGTCAGAGGGTGGGTAAGTTCATGCTTAAAGCTATGTCACCATTACGAATGAACAACTTGTGGAAATTTCCCAATACACTATTACTTTATGGTGTATTGTTGAGCATCGACTACCAATTTATTTTTACTAGGAGGATTTGAGTCCCTTGGGTGGATCTTACTTGTTCATAGAATTGTAGGTTTTATTGATGGAGGAAGAATTGGTTGCATGAATGGGTTTTCCTGTTGTGGGTATTGAGTCTCTATGTGTCGTTGAAGTAGTACTAAAAACTTTGGGTCTTGTAGAAATAACTATTTTATTTGTCTCTCGAGAAGAGTCTGATCCATTAATAACAAGATAATTTGACTTAGAGGATGCTTCTGTAATTAACTGAGAGGTGAAGGGCTTAGGAGATGTATGTGGCTTAGAAACATTTTGACTTATTTTTGATTGTGAGTCTCTCTTTAGGAGGGATATTCTGATTACCCGAGGTAGAGGGACTAGAATTAACAACTGTTAGTCTAGAAGAAGATACCAGCGATGTTGATGCTGATGAGGTCGGAGGTAAGTTATTGTTATTTGGTGTTCTTGGTGCCAGTGGTAAATTATAAGTGCGTTGAGCTTTATGGTCAGTTACTGAAGCTATATTTGATGTAGTAAATGATTTTTTATTGGCAGATACACATTTTTGAGGCAAAAAACCTGGTCCATTACTCACAGCCTGCGTTGAATTTATTTGGGGGGAACTTGCAGTGGTTGTACTGACTCCTATCTTAGAATTGTTTTTAATAATTTCTAATGGTGTTTTTATTGCTTCCCTTTTAGCATTCATTTCCGATTTGGGTTGTGGTGATAAGGGTAGTGCAGTAATTGCATTCTGTTTGTTTGACATCGGTTTTTGTTCATTATCGATACTTAGTAAGGATGTAGTATTCGAAATAGGTGTCTTCGTAACCATATTAGTTGTAGAGATGGTATTACTCTTTTCTAAAGATTTAAGATGATCAACATTGATCTGTGCTTTTATTGTTGTTGTCTTGTTAGTCGAGATTGATACATTTACCTGACTACTTATAGTGCTGCTCTCAATATTTGCAGTGGTATTGGCTTTATTAGAGGTAGATGTGTCATAAGCTGTATTCTTACTTGCAAATGAATTCATATGATTTGTAGATATACTATTATTAGTTTGTTGTTTTGTGTATTTGGTTGTGTCTGTCGTTTTATTTGTAGATGTGGTGACACTAATCCCTTGTTGTTCAGGTATTTGTGTTTTTATCGAAGGAGATTCATTTGTTTTTTTAACATTTTCAATAGAACTTTGTGACAGTTGAGGAGATTTAGTAGATGAGATAGCTGTTGGCTCTTTCTTATTAATTTTTTTTTCTGATGATATATCACACATAGTGCTGTCTTTAGAAGTTTCTCCGCTTGTTTGTACAATAACAGGTTTGGTTGTCGTTGGCACCTGGATTTTCAATATAGATGTGTTAATATTCGATGAAGAGTCATTTTTATTAATGGTTAATGTATTACTAGCCAATGATGGATTCTTCATATCGCCCTTTATCTGTATTTTTCTGTTGGCATTGATGGAATCATTTGTGATTTTATTATTTAATTTTGTGAAAAAATCTATACGTGGATTTGTTTCAGTAGTTGTTGTTGTATTTGTGTTGGATCCTGGAACATTTTGATTATTATTACTCATATTTGGATTTTGTTTCCTATTAAATTCTTTCGAAGAGATTTTATCAACATTAAAATTATTTGTGGTGACAACTAATGTTTTTTCTGTTACTAATTTTTTAGTATCATTTGTTGAAATTTCATTTTTTGTATTTTCATTTATTGTTGTTTTAGAAGCGTTTATTGATATGGCTTTTATGGTTTTGTCTATTGGGCTTTTTTTATTTGCCATAATGGAGTTGGTTGAAGTTGGCAATTGTGCTGTTTTTGATGCATCTACAAGAATATTATTTCTATTCATTATATCTACAATCTTATTAATAACATATACATATGGTTTGGATTTCCACGAGTTTATTTCATTATAATACTGGGGTGGACAATACTTTATAAATTCATTTGTTAAAATTTGTTGTTTCCTATGAATGGTTGAATTATAAACTGCACAATGGTACTCATCTAAAGATTCAATCCATTTTTTTAGTTGGACTTTTGATTTTAAAATATCAACGGTGATACTTTGAAATTTTTTCTTAAAGAATTGGGGTAATTTTGCATAATATGGACACATTTTTGATTTAATAGCTTCCCAATAATTGTAGGCAGATGCAGATTCTGGTAAATTATAATCAGGGTATGCTATTTTAAGAACATGTTTAAATAAAAATGAATCTTCTGCTTCATGGAGGGGTGTAATATCATGATGTGACATTTTGTTAATATCATATTTCAATAATGTAGAAAAATGTTCAGATTCTAGTAACTTTATAAATTGATAGGCCCATTTTAAAAATGATTCTCCATTTTTTACGTCAACTAACTTATTGATTAGAGGTAAAATCCTAGGTATTAATGTCTTGATCCAATGTTTTTCAACTTCCTTTTTATTGAAAGTACTGAAGTTTAATGTTCTAACTAAGACTTCTTGATTTGCATGCATATTAAACCAGAATTGTTTTACCCTATTTTTATCTAATATTGGGTCGATTAATTTCTTGATTGTTGAAGTAGAACGCTTCTTTTTAGTAAACTCTGAGTCTAATTGTTTTTCTAAAGTAGGTCTTTTCATATTCCTCAACTCGATATCAGTTGACTCAAACGGCCTCTTTTTATTTCTATTTTCTTCTAATGAACCACGTCTTCTGGCATCGCTAACCATTGCATTATTGCACGCAAGAGAGAAATCTTTTTCATTATTTTGCTTCGATCTTTGGACTTTTAATAGTTTTGAAAAAATTGCAGCCCCAATAGATAATGCTGTATTCAAGCTAGGACGAGTTTTCCACATTGTTAGGGTTTTACTATATTCACCATTACTATAATGTGAAATGCAATAACTGACAGCACGAACAGGATCAAAATGCAAGATGTTTGTGAGTAAACTAAAGGCAGGTCTTAATTTTTCCAACCAAAGTTTGATTTTTTTCTCTGAAGTTAAGTCTTCTAATGGAGGCGTCCTTAATTGATGTAATTTAGCATATGAATCGGCGCCCAATATTTTTTTCTTAATATTCTTATAATATACTGAAGAATCAGGGTCTTTAGCGTCTAGATATTTTGGGAAAAGTAATGCTAGTACATAGTTACATATAAATTTATTTTCTAAATCATGGAATGGAGTTGAACCAGTTACTTTATTATGTTTATGTGTCAGAATAGTGAAATGGTGCTTTTGTAAAAATTCCAAAAAATTTATGTTCCATGTTTCTAAGGGATATTCATTAAGTTCCTTTTTTAATTGTTTTAATTCTAGTAGAGTTTCCCTTAGCCATTCCTTTAGCACAGCATCAGTATTTAACGTTGAAAAATCTGTAATATGGTTTGATTTTATCATAGATTCTCGAAGGTTAGCCCAAGCAAGTAGGTCACTTTTTGATTCATTTTCTCTGATGCTTTCATTTTGCATGATGTCATTTATTTTTTTTAATCCATTATCATTATCAATTTCTGTAAAAGTATTTTTATTTTTTTTAGTTTCTTGTATAGTTTCATGAATAGAAGTAGTGATAGAAGTTGGATTGCCGAAAGTGAAAGAAGTGGTATCATCTATACGTTGAGAATCTGTATTGTTTTCTGTTACTTGGGATAAAGTATAAGTTGAAATAGGTTCTAATTGAATAGCAGTTTTATTTATACTAGATGGTTTTTCAGTAGTTTTGTTTGGAATATTATCAGAATTGTTATCTGGATTTAAATTATCTGGTTTAATCACAGTTGCTATTTTCGTACTTTTCGTTATCTTCTTAACAACCAAATTATTTTTTGAGGAATTATCATTTTTAAAATCAGATCTCTTTTTTGTTTCTATCTCAGGTTTCATGAATTTAATATTATTACTATTAGTAGTCATAGTAGTAGTTTTCGTTGTGGTTGTGGTGGCAGCAGTGTTATCTAATTGTAAAATATTTTTAAATTCTTCACCAGATATGGGTCCAAAAGATTTAGGAGAATTATGTTCAGCTAATATATGTTTTATAGAGTTGATAAAAGTTGATGCACTAATACAATATGATCGCATGTTATCATTTAATTGTGCCACTGTATTACTATCTAATGGTAGAAGCACAAAATTGTTCGCATTTCTAATAATATATCTTGCAAACGATATCTCATCATTGAATTGAGGGTCTGATTTCTCTTTTGTTGACATATTTACTAGCAAACCTCAGCGTGACAATCTGCAATAACTATATTGTAAGATAAATATGTATATGCGTGTGTGTGTGTGTTTAATGGTACAATAGATAAAGTTATAAATCAAATGGAAGAACAAATATTAAGGTAATATTTGATTGGTACAATAGGTTTGTCCTATGCGAACCCTTTTTTTACTGAATATAAATTAATTGAGTCTATAGATGAAATGGTACTAATACCAGTTTACAAAAATATCTCTGTCTTTATCTAGATAGGTTATACTGCATTTACAGCAATCGTACTAAAGCTTCTTAGATTAGATGTTCTTTTGTACTAACTTTTTTTTTAATTTTGTGGCTGTCACTGTGAAGTAATAAGATGCCGAAATAAAAGTAAAAAACAAAAAAACTAAGAAGAAAATGTGACATGATGTGATGTGATGAGTATTCTCTATATGGGTAGATATGTGTATTTAAGAATATATACATATATATATATGTATAGGTATAGGTATATAGGTATGTATGTGTGTGTGTTACAATGCAGGGAATAATTTAATTATTATAAAAGTAACTACTAAACCAATGATCATAAATAGAGTCGTTGTGAGATAAAAGATCCAGCCCAATTTAGTTTTATTATAATGTTTCAATTTCCCACTAACATCAGAGATCCCCTTCGATGCCACTTGTATACCAATTTCAGCAGCACCTAATATCTTCTGATCTTCATCCAACGCAGTTTGGAATGCTATAGCCCCATCTTTTAAACTAGATACTAACTTTGACATATCTTGAATCAAATCTTCTTGTATATTTTCATGGTTTTGTAATTGTTTTTCAACAGACACAGAATTGTTTGAATCCATATTATTATTTTCAACTAGACTCTTGCTTCTTTTCTTTCCCCCCAGTAATCTTTTTCTTAATTGTTGAATTTCATATTCTTCCTCATCTTTTCTCTCTTTGTATATTTCATTCATATTATCATTGTCATTCGTGGTGAAATTACTAGTGTTATCTAACTCATTTAATGGATTGTCAAAATCAACACTATATTTTCTAGTCTTTAAACTATTTTCATAATTTTCATATTGTGACCGAATTAATTGCAGGGTCTTGAAATTTATATTTGAGCTTTTAATCTCTAATGAACCCAACTGATCCTGGTATTCATTCAATACTGATCCATTTAATGAGTCAAGACTATATTTAATTGACTCTTTCTTACATATATTTAAATTATTTGTGAATTTGTTGTTTAGTATATTTAGTAGAAAGAGACTATAAGTATTATTATTATTTTTTGATGTAGAAGTAGTGTTTTTTTGTTGTTCAATTTCTTCAAACTGTTTTTTCAGTTGTTCTAAGTTGGCAATCGTAGTGGTGGTGGCAATGGCTGACATTACTATCGGATTAAAAGATATATAATATAGAATGTGTCTTTCCCGTTTATTTTCTGTCTATCAGGTAGTATCAAAAAAAGAGTATACACAGTATACATATACCATTCACCTCCCTATCTAGCCACATACATATATATATATGAATACGGATATAGATACATATGTGTATTTGTATGTTTATGCGTTTAGTTGCAGAGCCATGTGGGGATATTACAATTAGTATTATCGGAACGAATTTTTTTCCTTTCTCTTTAGAGACCAAAAATTAAAGAAAATGTGAAGAAATTGCATAAAAAACCAAGAACATTTATATAACAGACAGTGACAAAGACAAGACAGAGCCAAAGGAATGAAAGAAAACTATTAGAGACTAGCAGACTGACTGGGCAGGTCTATATAATAACCTGATCTTGTGTTGTGTTATGTGATTCGTAATAGCGGTACAAATACTAGCAATATGGTCCAATCTGCATCTTTTGCTACTTGTTTTTTTGTTTATTTTATTCTTTAACACATTAAGTATGTTGTAATTACGATTCCAAGTTTGGTAAGCTGGAAAAAGAAAGAGTGTGTATATTGTGATGATAGAAAAATCAAGTCAAATATGTTTTATCAAGTTTGTGTTGCCTTCTAACTCCAATAGGTATGTACTGTAAAAATTGTATAATTTTGTTTAATCTATGATAGATGGATAAATATTAGGAAACTAAGCTATCTTTAGATCTTCTTGTATTATCTATTTGGTCGTTCCTTATGTATTTACATATGTTATGCTTGTAATATAACATTATTATATAATTTCCCAGATTTCTATAAACGATCATCTTGTTTGATCAATTCATCATGTAGTGCTTTACTCCACTTTGACTATAATGTCTAATTTTTTTTTTTTGTAAAGATCATTTTTAACCGAAAGAAAACTTTTCAGCATTATCATAAAATGACAGTATAAAAGAGATAAGAATTCAACCCAACTTGAAATTTATTCTTGCCTTCCTTTTTAAGTTACCTTTCTAAGTGGATCCATAGACAATTTTGAAGGGTGGACTCATACTATATAATTGTTCAAACAAGCATTTAAAAAAAGGTAAATAAAGAGAAAGAGAGAGAGGCTCTCTGTGTGTGTGTGCAATAGATATATTCCTTTTCTGCCAGAGATTTTGTTCGCTAGATATATATGCATATAATATTTTAAAATAATTATGACTGCTGACGAAACATATTGGCAAAACTTGAAACCATTTCAAGAAGGCTCATCGATATCAAATCAAGAATCACGTAAACAAAAATATTTAGTTCATTATAATAAAGATAATAATACTGGTGATAACAACACCAATAGTGTTGAATCATTTAGAAAATTACAAGATCTAGATAATACTAAACAAAGGTTTAGGCAGCTATTATCTCTATCGGATTTGTTTAGACATTTTATTGGTGTTAAAGCAAACAAGGATCCCAACTTTAAAAAAATTTTAGATGACTTAGATTCAGATATTAATAATAGGGATAACAAGAATAAGAAAAAGGTGAATAGAAGAAAAAGTGAAAAGGAGGAAGATGCTGAATTGTTGAGAGAAGAGGAAAATAATGAGTTTTTGCCAGATGAATATAATGGTGACGATGGTGATACAAATCAAATGGAATTTCAATTTAGAGATTCCCCATTATATATCAATGGTAAATTAAGACCATATCAAATTCAGGGTCTAAATTGGTTAATTCAATTACATTCTAATAAATTAGCAGGGATTCTTGCTGATGAAATGGGATTGGGTAAAACTTTACAGACTATTTCATTTTTAGGTTATTTAAGGTACATTGAGAAAAAATGTGGTCCATTTTTAGTCATTGCACCAAAATCAACTTTAAACAATTGGAAAAGAGAGATTAACAAATGGACACCTGAAGTTAATGTTTTTGTCTTACAAGGTGATAAAGATGAAAGAGCCATGATGATTAAAGATAAATTATTGGCATGTGACTTCGATATAGTCATTGCTTCATATGAAATTGTGATTAAAGAAAAATCATCTTTCAAAAAATTTGATTGGGAATATATTGTTATCGATGAAGCCCATAGAATTAAGAATGAGGAATCAATGTTGTCTCAGGTACTGAGAGACTTTACATCCAGAAACAGATTATTGATTACAGGGACTCCACTACAAAATAATTTGCATGAATTATGGTCCCTATTAAATTTCTTGTTACCTGATATCTTTTCCAGTTCACAGGCTTTTGATGATTGGTTTTCATCAGATACATCAGAAGAAGATAAACATAAAATTGTTAAACAATTACGTACAATTTTACAACCATTTTTATTACGCCGTATTAAAAGTGATGTGGAGACCTCATTGTTGCCAAAGAAAGAAATAAATCTATACGTAGGAATGTCCTCCATGCAAAAGAAATGGTACAAACAAATCTTAGAAAGAGATATTGATGCTGTTAATGGTGCTAATGGGAATAAGGAATCTAAGACACGACTATTAAATATTGTCATGCAACTTAGAAAATGTTGCAATCATCCATATCTATTTGATGGTGCAGAACCAGGCCCTCCTTACACTACAGATGAACATTTAATCTTTAATTCAGCAAAATTAAAAGTCCTAGATAGATTATTGAAAAAATTGAAAGAAGAAGGGTCTCGTGTATTAATTTTTAGCCAAATGTCAAGATTATTAGACATTCTAGAAGATTATTGCTACTTCAGAGGCTACAAATATTGCAGGATTGACGGATCTACAGATCATGAAGATCGTATTCGATTTATTGATGAATATAATGCTCCAGGTTCTGATAAATTCATATTTTTGTTAACTACACGTGCTGGTGGCTTAGGTATCAATCTTACCTCAGCAGATGTCGTTATATTGTATGATTCAGATTGGAATCCACAAGCTGATTTACAAGCAATGGATAGAGCACATAGAATTGGTCAAAAGAAACAAGTGAAAGTATTTAGATTGGTTACAGAAAATTCGGTAGAAGACAAAATTGTAGAGAGGGCTACCCAAAAGTTAAAATTGGATCAATTGGTTATACAAAAAAATAATGGATTTGGTAAAAAGAAAGAAAATAAAGGTGAAAGTAAAGATTCTTTATTATCTATGATTCAACATGGTGCTGCAGATGTTTTTAAAAATGATGGTAAAAATAAAGAGAACACCTCTTCTTCCACTACTAATACTACTACTAATCAGTCAAATAACAATACGGAAAATACGCATAAAAATAATAGTGTTAATAATAATACAATTGATGAAATGAATACTGATCCTGATCTTGAAGTTGATTTAGATCAACTATTAAGTGCATCAGAAGATAAAACTAAGATACTGAACGCTAAGTATGAAAAGTTAGGCTTAGATGATTTACAAAAATTCAATCAAGATTCTGCATATGAATGGAATGGTACGGATTTTAAGAAACAACAAATTCAAAAGGATATTATAGATCCAAACTGGTTACACTCTACGATTTCAAAGCGTGAACGTACTCAAAACTATTCATATGATGTGGATAACTATTATAAGGGTGTTTTAAACCCCAAAAAGACACCAGCACCATTACAACCAAGAATGCCTAAACCTCGTCAGTTCAATAGTCATCAATTGATGAATGTAGGTTTGAAGGATTTGTATGAGAAAGAGCGTTACTGGATTGCTAAAAAGACAGCATACACACCAACAGTTGAAGATATAAAAGTTACATATGGTAACCAATTATCAGAGAGTGAAATCAATGAAAAATTAAAAGAAATGAAATTAGCAATTAGTAAAGCTGAACCTTTAACCCCAGAGGAAGAGAAATTAAAAATCCAATGGGAAAGTGAGGGTTTTAGTAAATGGAATAAAATAGAATTTAGAAAATTTATTTCATTATCAGGTAAATATGGTAGAAATTCCATTCAGGCAATTGCATCAGAGTTGGCCCCAGGTAAAACATTAGAGGAAGTTAAAGCATATGCTAAAGCTTTCTGGGCAAATTATGAACGGGTTGACGATCATGAAAAAATAATAAAAATGATTGAAGCAGATGAAGAAAAGCTGAGAAAAGTACAATATCAAAAGGATATTCTGAAGCTTAAAATCAGTGATTATAAAAATCCATTTTTTGAATTAAGATTAAAACATCCACCATCCACTAATAACAAAAGAATTTTTTCGAAAGAAGAGGATCGATTCATATTACTTACATTAAATAAATATGGTCTGGATAGAGAAGATATTAATGAATTAATACGAGATGAAATTAGAGATTGTCCATTGTTTGAATTAGACTTCTTTTTCCAAAGCAGAACACTGCTTGAGATTGGGAGGAGGGTATATACACTAATTCAGTGTTTAGAAAGGGAATTTCAACTAAAAGATGGAAAGATAATAAGAGTAGAGGAAAAACCAAAAAAGAAAATGATAAATACTGATGCTAACAGTAACTGTAAAGATAAAAAATCGCCTGGTGCTTCCCCTGATACTCTAAGTATTACAGCAAAGGTTGAAAATGATAGAGATGACGAAATTGAACGTTCAGATAAAAGATCTTCTGAAAAACTTGATGAAGTGAATGTTAAAGATGATGTTGATACTGTGATTATTCCAGAAAATGATGCTGTGCCAAATTATGAAGGTCATCAAGAAAAGAAAATGAGAATAGAATAGAATTATGTATACCGAACTGGTATTTATATGTGGCATAAGATTGTATATATATCACATGAAAATAAAATGAGTTAATAAAAATATATGGGCGCTTGATTTTCATTATGGTAGACAGTACTTGAGATCTAAGCTAATGGAGAGTATATTATTTGACCCGGATTGAATATTTGTGTGGGTAACGTTAAGAATCTTGGATTTGCAATATTATTAGGAGGAAGTTAATAAGGTCGTGCATCGTCTAAATAATAATGAGTAATGTCCTATCAGCTTCCATTACTGCATGTATTATTTCATAGGGTTGAAAGACCTTTTAAATTAGTTGTAAAAATTTGCTTTTAGCTTATTTATTTCTTTAAAGATATACGAATAATGCTATGAAAAACCTATAAGTTATTTTAAAAGGGAGTATACAAATTAGAGAGTATGGTATTGACAAGGTATGGATATTAAATACTGTTGATATCATATGAATTAATATTGGTATAAAGAGGAAAGCTTTGAAGTATTAGGTTGGATATTGCAGCAAAATTCAGAAAAAGTAATGGGATTGTTAGATAAACGTTCTGGTGTCCTTAATACTTATTGAGTTTGGGATATATTATTGTACACTGTCTTCCAAAAATATTTATTAACATAAAAAAAAAAGTATACAAAAGTTACTAATATATTATTCCATAAATGAATTTTTTTTCAATTCTAGTTGAAATTCTATTATAAATTATTTTCCTAAAAATGTGCGAAAACAAATCAACCATAGGTAATATTAGTGTGTAAATTATTTAATATTTTGACTTTATTTATGTTGAAATATGATTAGAGTTATGATTGATAATCTAAATTCATCGTACTAAGTGATTAAAAGTTATGAAAATTTATATTAAAGAAGATTTGAAGATAAAATGAGTATACTATATAATATCGTATTACCTATATAGAAAGAAAAAGACCAAGCAATACAATAACAATTTATAATACCACTAATTTCCTACTATAAATAACAATAAAACTTATAATACCACCAATATCCTATTGTAAGTTACATTATCTTATTATATTAATTTAAAATGAACTCTACTAGAATTTTTGGTTCCGAAGCCTTGAGTCAACAAATATTAATAAATTTCATTTCTATTTGAAAAATTTTTTATATATATTGTGTTTTTGTTTATTTTCTATGTTGACCTTGCAACATCTAGACAGTTTTCCGTCAAAAGGTTTTTTTTATAAAGACTAAAATTTTGGAAAGTATACCTTTTGTACGAAATCTTAAAATATTAAATATAAACAAACAAACGAGCAAATAAGCTGAAAAACCAAAACCTTGATTAATTAAATCCACTCTTAAATTATAAAAAAATATGTATCAATAAGTTACATATCTTAAAAGTTTATATATACCTTAGTTTTTGTAAGTTATAATAATACTTAAGAGCCACAAAAGCAGAATAACTTTCCGTCAATGGAGATTCCATACTACAATAATTTTACACAATAATCAACAATATTGAAAATTGATTCTATTCTATGAGCTAATTTTCTAAATTTACGCAACTTTTTATTGCCTTGCCAGTTATATTTTTCTGTGTTTCTAGAAAACTCTTCCTAATAGAATTTAGCATCAAAAAGAAAATGTACAAACGAAAAGTTATATATTAAACATTTTTAGAATAATAAGATACTAGAAATATAGAATTAACAAATACGACAACTTCAAACAATTATTGAAAATATACTAACAGGTAATATCATAGACAAATTTGTTAACTTTAATATAAAGCGTACTAATTAAAAAATAAATAGGTGGAAATTTTTTATTTTAAAGTTAAGAATATACCTTAAAATTGGGAAAAGAAGTTAAAAATATTTCTTGTACAGCTCCTTTTTTTAATATTCTAAATACCTATATTTTATATTTAGAAGAATCTCTTTTTTATATATTATATAGAATAATTGAAGCATTTTACATGTAATATATATACAAAGAACTACATTTATTAAATATGTCTACTAGCTTCAGTAATATACTAGGCACACCTTCTTGTAAGAAATATTAATATTGTTATTTAAAATCAAATGGTTCAAAAGAAAAATACCAACCTAAATTAGTTCGATATTGACTGGTATGTATATAGTGACCATAAACATATTCAATTTAAGATTACCAATATTTTTTTAATTTTATTTGGGTCATAAAAAACTTGAATTTATAATACGTGCTGTGCTCATGTGTATAAATTAATTTACTAATGTTTTATTGTTATTTTGTATAACTAACTAATTTTATTATTTAATACTAAAGTGTATTACATATTAATTAAAAATAATAAAATAAATTAATTACATGATCATTTAGTACTTTCTCTAAAAAAGCCAAGCAAGAGGGGCCAAGCAAGAAAAGCCTTGTTGGCGCAATCGGTAGCGCGTATGACTCTTAATCATAAGGTTAGGGGTTCGAGCCCCCTACAGGGCTTTCCTTTTTTAATTTTTTAGTTATGTAATATATGGAAATCCTATTAACAAGAAATATACTCTTCTAGACGCTAAAATAGATAGATATAGCTTGATTTGTTGTCTATATATGACATATAAACTATACTCTACATAAATAATAAACTAATATATACAGATATACAGATAAACATAGTTATATAAACAAGATGAACATAAAAAACAAGAAAAACAAGAACGTCGTCGTCGACTAAAAAGTTCACAAGATCGTTTATAGTGATATCAGGATCTCATATATCACAGATAACAGTTGAATAAGAGGTAACACGCTATGGATTGGAATGTAGTACTGCAAATACATTCTTGTAGAATAATAAAAAATGTTTACTAATTCTTGGTTGTTGTGTTCTACATATGATTTATAAAATTTACAAATATAAGAAAACAAGAATGTTATCATCTATTAGAAAGTTTACAAAATTGTTTATCGTGTCGTTCAAGATAGTAAATATCACATAATATTATTAATAATCACCTAAAGAGTTATAAATATAGCCTCTCTTTATAACTTTAGACATATTATTAAAGAATAACTAAACTAATATAATTAAAATCAACCAAATAACATATATTTTATATCTAACTATTTTGATACTTCTTGTCAGTTACTCTTCTTGCTCTTTTTTGTTGGTTACTTCTGCTCTAAGTATCCATATCTATCCTTTATAACTTCTCCATATTTCAAAGATTAAATTTTGATTATAGAATTTTTTAAAAAAAGGTGTTTAAAAGAGTATATATAGTCCTATTTCGCCTAAACTAGCAGTCAGCTCCTTAACGCAGTGACATTTGGGATATTACTATATTTATTGCGGAATAAAAAATATAATATATACTGCTTTTTTTAAACAGAGATAACAAATTATGGTAAAGATGTCAATTCTTTTTTAGTTTATTTTTATTGTGAATTATTCTCACTCAAGATAGGAACGATATATAAAAATATTACTTATAAGGTAGTAGCAAATGTGAAAAATAAGATTGATAAACTTATAATAATAGTTGAATGAATGGCAAGTGCTGAAAATTTAATCAAGAACAACTAAATCTTTTTAGGAATATAAATAATGAGATATTCATGATGGTACCTTTGTTTTCAGAGATTTTCAAAGTTTCAATGCCTATGATTCAGAATATTCTTAAATCGACTTTCATATACATATATATATATGCATTTAATTTGAGTCAATCGTAACACAATAGTATATAGTAGGGATTAATTCAGAAAATAGTTGTTTAAATACATATAAGTACTTAACATAGTCCCTTAATTACAATCTAGTATTTTTATAGAAGAAATAGTTCATATTATATGCTCTATGACCAGATGTACTTATTTTTTATCAAAAACTATGAGCAAGATAGAAAATTTCCTTTAGTTGAGGTATATAAATATACAAGCATATCTTGTGACAGTTTATATCTTAATTATTAGATGTATAAATATTTAAATATACAGTATGACATGAGATATTGTCTTTTTTCTGTAAAAGTTTTTCTCTTCTTCCAATCTCTTCTCCCCTCTACTTCCTTATATCATTGTTGTTGAGCTGTTATAACTGACATACATTTGAATTCATTTGAATATGTTGCCTTCCATAGACGTACTTTACCATCATCACCTGCACTTGATAATATAGTACCAGTCAAATTCCATGACACAGACCATACCTCACCATTATGATCATCGTGTTCACTTAATAATTCTACATTTAAAGATGATGGTGGTTTCTTTGAGCCTAACCTCAGTGAATCGTTATTAAATGTGGAAAATTTTTTCTCGACTGATTTGTTATTGTTGTAATTAACAGTTGAATTATTTTGATTATAATAATCAGTGTCATTAGATAAATTCTCCGTTAATTTAAAGATACGAACATTACCATCTTTGGAACCAGTTGCAATTAATTGATACCATCTTCCAATAGATGGCGCCCAACTAATACTTCTAATTAGTCCTCTATGACCATCCAATTTTGCTATAACTTGATATTTATTTATATTATTATTATTATTGTTGTTGCTGTTGTTATTGTTATTGTTGCTATTGCTATTGGCTCCTGTATTTTCGATATTAGATTTATTACTGAACTCTATATTATCATTACTATTATCCATATCAACATCACTATTAATAATACTTTCTTGATCATTCATGCTTTGAGATCTAAATTCGTTTTTATTATTAGAAGGTACAGAACCAGTAATGTTATCAGTTGAATTTAGAGTATTACTCTTACTTGATTGCAGGTTACCAAGTTTACCAAATAAATCCTGTTTATAACTTAAATTGTTATTATAGTTTTTAAATGGAAGCTCACTAACGTCTTCATTATTCTTAGATACCTTTTCGTATATCATAGCCTGATCCAGAACACGTACAGCTAACCTTTCTGGAGAAAACCTGGAAGGACACCAAGATAATCCAAAATCAGATTGTAAATGATTAGCAGGAGGTATTTTCAAAATATTAATCTCTGAAGTCAAAGTCCATGACCTTAAATCCGATGGCTCTAAAGCTTCGTAAATCCGCAAAGTTCCATCATTACCAATGGTAGCCAATTTTAAACCTAGATGTGGTGGAGCGAATTTAACGTCATACAAAGCGCCTTGTGAGTCGTTTAAAACACAGAGTAGATTCCAACGTTTACCGGAGCATTCTTCTTGATCTGGATTTTCTTCCCACAGTTTTAAAGTTTTATCATATGAGACAGATGCAATAATTCTACCGAACTCAGGCAATGCCCAATCGATGGCTACAATTGATGAATCATGTGCCTTCCAAGAATCACTTAACTCCCATTTATTTGTTTGTTTATCAGCTTTAAAAACTTTAATGTGTTGATCTGAAGAACATGTGGCTACATATCTACCATAAAAGTCATATACAACATCGTGTACGAGATCTTCATGCCCACTATCAAAAGGTTTCATTATTTGTTAAACAGGAAAATATAGATATAGATAAGGATGTATTTATCTATTTGTTTTATTTTATTTATTTGTAATCTTGTATTTAGAAGAATACAATGATTGTGAAACGTTTTTCTTCCTGATGTAATAATATTTAGTGTCAGCTACTTAAATTACATATATAAACATATACATACATATATATATATAATATATATATTTCTTATATTCAACCTCACTTTTTTTTTTTTTTTTATCTTTATTTTTCATTTTTTTTTTGTTTTTTAAATATACTCATAAATAACTTTAAAAAACAAAAAAATAAGAAAGAAAAACCATATTGAAGTAAATCAAAGACAATATTACAACATATCAATCGATAAGTTTACGTGTAGAATATATATATATGTATATGTGTGTATAGGTAAGCATGTGTATTTACTTATTTATTCTGATGATTTCAACTGAATAAAAAAATCCTCTCTTTCTTTTAATAGCGCCTTCAACCAACCTTTAACTTCTTCAGTAGTAATTTGGTCAATACAATCATAGAATTGTTCCAATCGACTCAATTGATCTGTTTTATCATTCTTACTTGTGCAATCTGACACAACCGACTTTTCGTATTCAAAACATTGTACCAACATCTCGAATTTATCCAGATCCTTTGCATAGACTGCTTCAATGCATCTTTGTTCCTCATAATCCAGCCAACGTTCTTTTATTTCCTCACCTGCCTGTTTGTTGTATTTAGCAACTATCTGATCACACAAATACTGAATAGCCTTAGATTCTCGTAGATGTTTTTCGTTTTTATCTACTTTTGTATCGAATGGAGTTATATCGCCTACCAGGGATTCTGCGATATCGTGAACAAAAGAGATAAGCATGCATTTATGCCTATCTATGGTTTTGTCTCTTAAGAGAAATGCCATCATTGCCATTCTATACATGTGGTCAGAGATGGACTCGGCCAAGGTTGGCGAAATTCCATTATTTAGCCATCCCGTTCTTTTTTGTAATTTCAAATTTTGTACGATATGAAAGAACGCTAATGGATAGTTGTAATTATTATAACCACTACTACTACCACTACCACCAATACTACTAATACTACTAATACTACTACTGTTGTGATTATTGCTGCGGGTATCAATATCGACACTTGATGAGTTTTTAGTTGTGGTAACTATATTAGATAGAAGTGCTATTATATTCTTTGAGACATGCTCTTTTGGATCCCAATTTGTAGTGGACATCTTAATATTAATTTTGTAAGAAAGAAATGAATTTTTTTCTATATTTTTTCTTTTCTTTGATTTTTTGGTCTCTGTTACACCCTCCTCCGCCTCTTAGATACGAAGAAATATATAGTTATGAACATAGAGAAAGAAGATAACATGCCCATACATATAGCCATATTCTTATTTGTATTCATAATCATATTCATATATAAAAAGGAATAGAATACAAATTTTGAATAGAGAGAAAAAAATAAAAAAAAAAAAAAAAACAAAGAAAAGAAAAAAGACAAAAAAGAAAAAAAATAGAATTATTTCGATAACGTAATCATGAATTGAAAAACCCAAATAATTATTAGTAAGCAATATTACAAATATAAAGATACTATATGTTTTTATTTATTTATTTATTGTCTTAATATATCTTCAATAAACTTTCTATAATCAATTCCACCATCAGAATCCACATCAATACCTTTTAATAATTCCTCCACTTCATCATCGCTTAGTTTTTCACCAAGACCAGTCAACATATATTTCAAGTCACCGACAGTAACTTTTCCGGTGTTATCTTTATCGAAGACCTGGAACGCCTTTATGAAGTCCTCGACTTTGCTTTGTGTGGTAGAATCCAATAGTTGTTGATTGTCAGAGATCAACTGTTCCAATTGATCCAATGTGAAAGTGCCGTTACTGGCGCTGTTATCTTGTGAGTCTATCAAATCCTGGACCTGTTTATTAGTTGGATTGTAACCTATGGCTCTAAGATAGTCACCTACCATAGAACTGTCAATGGACCCCTGTGCTTTCTTATCAAATAGAGTGAAGATATCTTTATTGTTAGTGGACATGATATATGCAGGAAAAAACAAACAATGGTAATTGTGGTTGTGGTTATAATGATAATAAGAACGGTGATATAATACCGAGATGTGTATACCTATAGAAGGATTGTTCATGCTCTCTATATCTCTTTCTATATATCTATCTATCTATCAATCAAATCTCTCTCTGTATGCATTTTCCATTTTCCATTTTCTGTTTCACCTGTCTCGTTTTTTTTTCTTTCTGTGGTTAGTGATGAAAAAAAAAACCCAGTGTGGCGTCGTTGCAAGTGACATAGTGGGGAGAAAAAAGGGAAAAGGACAAGGGAAAAAGGAAAAAAAAGAAAAAAAGAAGAAAGGCGGCAAAACCCAATAAAAAAGATCTTTGCTTTAAACAAACACATGAACAAACATATATATACATGTGTGTGTGTGACAAGACGCCCTACAACATACCATAACTCCCTACATCTCTCCTGCCCTTACATACAAATCCATTCTCTTGCTTTTTTTTGGTGTTTTTTTTTTTTTTAGTTCTACACTTACCTATGCTATTTAGAAGACTACCAAAGGATTCAACGACTAGTTGGAAATTGGCACTATCTGCTAACCGTCCTAAACATTTAAATCTTAATATTAGAAATACTCATACTTATGGATTCTACAGTACTCTTAATATATTGAATTTAAATGATACTATTATTAAAACTGGTATAAGATTTAACAACAACAACAACAACAACAACAACAATAATAATAATAATAACAGCACTAACATTTCATGGAACAAAAATTATTCTACAAATGCATCTAAAAAATTAACTGGGTTATCTTATCTTCATACTGATTCCAATTCTTCTTCTTCTTCTTCTTCTTCTGCTGCTGCTGCTACTGCTGAAACAAACCCTTATTACAATCAGCTATGTGCTTTTGATGATAATGTCAATCAGATCCTTATGGATAAAAATTTTAGAAGACCCGGATTTAACACTAAAGACTCCTCCAATAATTATAGTTCTATTTCTAATTCTCAAAATGTAGCTCTATTCTGGGACTCCATAACTAGAGCTATCCATATCTATCAGGATTTGGCAGGTGTCTGTCCAGACATGAATCAATATAGAGTCTCCGCTCTAGTCAACCTGATTCACAACGGTTTAAGAATAAACAGGTTCCAACTCATCAAACTGAACAAGAAACCTGATTACGACTCTAAATCCTTTCATCATGAAATGATCAGACATTTGACCATCACTCTACATTCCATTATGGAGGATATCCTTAACCATAAAGTCTCAATCAACGAATACGGACTAATGCATCTTCTAAGCTCCATGAAAGAACTAAATCTACATTTGGAGATTATTCAATTATGGGAGCTCGCTTCAAGGGATCCTGTCTTAAAAGATCTGTTTTTACAACCTAAATGTCTTGGTGTTCTTTTGCCAATATTTTATCAATATGGTAACATAAATAAAAATGAAAATGAAAATAACACAATAGGTTATTCCTTCTCAGATTTAAAATCTTTATACGAACAAAGTCTAACAAAATTGCCATATACACATCCCAATCTAATATGTGGTATGATCCAAACCTCTCTTATGGCCAATGAATCGCAATACGCATTGGAATTATTCGATCAATTGTCTCAGTTGGCTGACAACACAAATGTGCCCAACAAGAAAACTTTACTAAACTATCTAACCGATGCTCATCTCTCCTTTATCGGTAACTGTTCTGATATCAACGTTGCAGAGACCTTTTGGATCAAAGCACGCAACAACGAAATGCCATACAAGATCAATCTACAAGTCTCCTACATTAATTCTTTTTTAAACAACATTTGGCAACAAACCCAGGACTTCGATAAAGTCGTTGATGTATGGCTGACTATGGTAGACCACTACAACCAACTTAACCTAAACTTGGGCATATTTTCGTCATTAAATAATACTTTCATGAACATTTTCTTCAATTATAAATTTGTTGACGATAAAATAGCCGGATTCAAAAAATTGAATCATATCCTCAATCTCTACCAATCAAGAAGACCAATCGATGAACCACTGCTGAATATCATTTTGACTAAAGGCACCTTATCCTGGAATGATAAAAACATATACGACCATATTAGACACCTTTATCAATTGTACAATATCCCTGAGACCATCATCACTAAAAGAATCCTTTTAAAGACCTTGGGTTCCTTGAATAACGATGCGGTGAGTATTAACGATATTTGGAACCAATGGATTGAACTAATTTTGAAATTGGATTCTATGGGACAAAAATATATCGCAAATGCAGATTGGGCAGCTATCAGAGATGCAACGTTGACAAAGGTCAAAAAAAATGATTCTACAGCAACTCAAAGAGAAGAAGACAAAAAGAGAGCTGAACTGTATGTCAAAATTGTTAACTTATTTGCCCCATATTGTAGAGATCCACAACAAAGAGACCAAATCTCAAGAAACACAGTCTCTAATTACCATATCCTGAAACCATACTGGGAACAAGGTCAGTTCCAGAATATTGATCATACTGGACTAGAAATACCCCAATTAAATAGTTTACAACCACAACCATAACAACAAAAACAATATCATTAGATTTTACTGGTGATCTTCAATTTATGTATCTATATTACATCATAGAATGTTCACTAACCCCGTCTCAACGCATATATAGACGCACAAACACATACACCCACCTATATATATATATATGTCTATATATGAATATAATATTACCTGTGAATATGATTTTGTAACGATTTTGATTCAAAACATTATTATCCCTCTTCATATATTACAAGAATTGTCATTACATCTGAAGTGATACCCACTTGCATCTATATATTTAAATAAATATAAACAATAAGAGGAAAGAACAAAATTTTGTTTTATTTAATAATCTCTCCACACCAAACAAAACCAAAGGATTCAACTAGATACATACTCAAGCAAAAAAAGTAATGGGCATCTGTGGTAGCAAACAGAAAACTGTTGATCACAACAGCAATAACAACCTCAATAATAAAGAGATAACAATGTCAAGAGCTCAAACTGTGAGAAACCAAAAACAATTAACTCAAGCTGTGTCTACAAAACCAAAGCAAAAACCAGACAAGAAAACACAACAACCTAGAAACACCATAAGTTCCAAGGGAAACATCGTTGGTACGAATAATACTCTCAATCAGAGTACTTCTAACATAAATAGTACAGGAGTGGTAGATACCAAGAAATTGTCACCAAGGGAAGCTGCTAGATTGGCAGCTGAGAAAAGACTTGAAGAGTCTACCAAAGAATTGACAAAGGGTAAGTTGGGTAAGAAACTGGCGGAGCAACGTGGTTTGAGGGCTCAATAACAGGTGTAACCATATATATTTATATAAGTTGTGTAGTATAGTTTTATATATACAGCTAGGTATATGTAATTTATATAATGACTTGAAATGAAAAATAGAAAAAAAAAAAAAAGATAATCAAGTATTATTAAGGAAATATAGGAACTCTTTAAAACTTTATAGTTATGTCGAATTTCATTACCAAGTGGTATAGAAATATACTCATATCATAAGTTAGCATTTTTGTAACTCAAAACTTGTTATCTAACATTGAATTAAATTAGATAAGAGTCAACAACTTATTATAACTTAAATAAGAATGATGGCTGAACAACCAAAAAGAATACTCGAAATCAACAACAACAATGAGCCTCTTAATCTTCCCATTGTGAAATTTCCACCATACACATTAAGAGCTCAATTAATCGAAAAAGATCCTGTTGTTTGGTTGCATATATTAGAAACATACGTACACTATTGCCAATGGTTGATGGCAGGTGACAACAATTTAGGTCACGGATCTAACATTTCTATGATTGATCAACTAGATGAGACCACTTTAGATCATCTTAGAATCTTTTTAAGAAGTTATCTTCATGAAATGTCGTTAGAAGCTGGGAAATTAGTCAGTTTAGGATATAATCAAGACGTTAAAGAGCAATTACAATTGTTGAGAAGTTGGATATTCTATATCATTAAATCATGTGGTTTAATATATTTACAAATCTTTGGTGAAACTCTATGGGATCTAGTTAAATTATATGTGATTAATAATCCCAAAACCGTTCAAGATTTGATACTTGGTGAATTAGTTCCAACAGTTAATGTTCAAAGAGCACAAATCAATAGAATTCCACAATTACAACAATCTTTGAAACTACTCATTGAATCAAATAAATTTGACAGAACAGATTTAAAGGCGTTACAGGCATTATTATCGTATCATGAAAACACTACTACCACAACTTTTAATAATAACAATAGCAATGGCAGTAATAATAAAACTAAAACTACAAATACAAAGGAAGAATGGTTTTCCGAAAAATATTTAACTCCTAATTGGATAGAAAATCTGGAATTATGGTGGTCGAAGGGAAAAGGTCGTTTCAACGAATTATCAAGACAATTATGTGTAACACTTCTATTATCAGTAAGAGTTCCTCAACTGGTTAAATTTTTAACGGAAGACTTAGAAATAACCAATTCTGATACACTATTATATTATCCATTGTTAGGATCAATCCTAACGAATGATAATTTTTTGAATAAAAGAAAAGATATAATCAATTACTTACCATTTTTGACATTGTCTTCTATTGAAGTTGATTTCAATGATTCACAAAATACGTTATCTGATCAAACTAATTTAGCATCTATAAATGAGCCCAATAATGAAGATATATCATATTTACAAGAATTGTTTCCTGATTTGACCAGAAAACAAGCCATACTTTTACTAACAAATTATGATAATAACCTTAAATTAATAACAAATGAGTTATTTGAGAATCCTACTTTGATAAAAACATTGGAAGCACAAGAAACGAGAACTAGCAAATTCCTATCTAAGATTGATAACATTGATGATGACAAACAGATTGAAAAACCATTAGTTCTCATGAAAAGAAAAGATGAAAGTAAAAATATAATTAAACATGTACCAGATGAAATTAATAACAAGATATTAACTAGAACATTGAAGCTATTGTATCAAGATGATGAAGATGAAAGAGATGACACCTACGACGAAGTAGAAGTAGAGACTAATAGAATAAATGGATCTACTCAACGAATAGGTATTGGAAAAGATGATAGTACTTTTATATTTGAAGATGAGAACAATCCAGATAACACTAGCAATGATAATAGCACATTAGAAGACAGTTTTGATAAAAACGAAGCATACTTATGGGACCTATTAAAACAAGATAAAACCTTATTTGAAAGGAGTAAAAGAGGTTCTAACATTAGAAAAAAAATAAAGAATCAAACTAATTGGTCTGATGAACAAATCGAAGGTTGGGCAAGAATGCTAGAAAGGTCTCCACAGAGAGCCAGAATACTTGAAGAGAGATATATGTTCCATGGGAATATCAGGACTGGGAAAACATCTTATGTCAAGAATAGAGATGAAAATAAAGATACTAATAAGAATTCATCAATATCTAATAAATATAATGAATCATATGGATCAAAACCCAGCAATAATCCAAAATTAAACAAAAAAAAATATCAAAGAGGACCAAAAAAGACAGACACATCTAAAGTTACAAATAAGAATAGAGACATCGTCAAAGGAAATTCTAACAAAAATGATGAAGATGATAAAAAGCACAAAAATAAATCTACTAAGAACAAATCTACTAACAATAAAAAAGCATGAGATGATTCCGTATATATAGCACAAATTAAATGAGATGTTAGGGAATAATAAATAGACTTCATTACAACAGTTTAAATGTCACATCAACATATACATACACACACAAGTGTATATATATATATAATATAGATTTCTTGTGAACATCACACAACCTGTTTTGGAAGGTATCATTGTAGGAATAATCATCCTTTTACCTTCCTTATATTTATCATCCAGTTTTCACTGCTCATATTATTTCTCTTGTTCTATACAAAATTTTTGAAAATCACACAAGAGAAAAATTCAAAACCAAAAAAAAGAAAAACAGAGAGAAAGAGAGGTTGAAGCATAGAGAAAGGAATAGAAGACATAGAAGGAAAATTAAGGAGCTATAAGGTCAGTGTAGTGTTATGCTTGAATTTGGTCGCTTGATTATCTAAAACGACTTGAGTTATTTAATCTTGTATCGTTATTTAGAATTATCTAATAACAATCAACACTGTTAAAGTGAAGTCATTTTATCACTCAATATTGTTGCCTAGTTGAGAGTCTCCTGGTAATAATACATATACACATTGATACATATCTTCAAACACCCATAAAAGCTTCTTTTCCACTGATATACTTATTAATTTCCTTATTATTGGGATAAAATTACAAAATAAGAAAAAAAAATGGATAAGGCTGTCGTTTCTATCTTTAAATTGATCAAGGCTCCAATCTATTCACATTGTTTATCCCAAGATAAGTCATTATTGGCTATCACTTGTGAAAATAAATGTCTTATCTATAAAATTAATCCAGCTTCAAAAACCCCACAATTAGTAGCAACTCTGGATAACCACGATAAGACTGTTACAGCAGTTGATATCTCTATTCATGGTAGAATTGTGACCTGTTCTCAAGATAGAAATGCCTATGTTTGGGAACCATTAAGTGATGGTACTTATAGACCAACTTTAGTGTTATTACGTATTAATAGAGCTGCTACATGTGTCTCATGGGCACCAAACGGTTATAAGTTTGCTGTTGGTTCCAGTGCTCGTATCATTGCAGTCTGTTATTATGAACAAGAAAATAATTGGTGGGTCTCTAAACACATCAAAAAACCTATCAAATCCACTATCAACAGCTTATCATGGCACTATAATGGTGTTTTATTAGCATCCGGTGGTACAGATGGTTTTATGAGAATCTTTTCAGGTTTCATTAAGGGACTAGATTCAAAGGAAATCATGGCTAATTCTCCATGGGGTTCTAAATTTCCATTTGGTACATTGGTTCGAGAACAATATTGTGGTGGTGCTTATATTCACGATGTGCAATGGCGTAGCAATGTTGAAAAAGTAGCATTTGTTACACATGATGGTACTTTAAACATTTTGGATTACCAAGGTACCTTACAATCTGTTAATTCTCCAGATGGTTTACCATACAAATCTTTACTATGGGTTAATGACCATGAAATCTTATGTGCTGGTTATAATTGCCATCCTACCATGTTCTCAGAATCGTCACAAGGCTGGAAGTTTTCTAGAGATTATGACAAAGTTGCTGTGTCTAATATACTCAAGGATTCTTCCAACAATTTGAATACTAATCCATCTAATCAGCAATTTAATAACTCTCTAAATAATGACAATGCCAATGATGATGAGAATCCTACTTTTGGTATCTCAGCTTTAAAGAAATTTAAAGAATTAGATTTAAAGGGTAAAGTTTCTTTGGAACAAAAAGAAGGTGCTCATGAAAATACTATTGTGGGATTAATTCCATTTGTTGAATCTAATGGTCAAATCACACAAGTCTCTTCATGTGGTTTAGATGGGAAAGTTGTGATCTACAATATTTGAATTGGCAGGACGTTTTAATCTTTGGTATTCTATATATCCTTTCTTTCTTTCTTTCTTTTTCTTTTTACTTTAAATATATAAATCATATCTAATATTTATATATATGTACACGAGGTCCATTAGTATTTATAATTAGATAAACACATAATATTATATATACTTCATGGAGCACTAATAATATTTACTACCACGTTTCATGAAACTATTTACCGCAATAATTATAATATTATTGTCATTTTTAAAAGTTCAACTTGGATGATTTGTAGGAGATCTAATCATTTTCCTAATTACCTGTCACCATTATCACCTTTATTAATAATATTATTTTGATTATTATTATTATTGCTTGTATGTATTGAAGAACTATTATTCATTAGATTGAATTCATTCTTTCTTTGTAAGATAAAAGAATATACACTACCCTTAAATAATGTTCCAATAAGTCCGATCTTAGTCTCGATCTGTCTCATCTCCTCCAATATCTCTTCTGCAGACACATTATTAGAATTTTCTTTTGTTTCCCTCGCTGATTGATTTAACTGTTTCACTGTTACATCTAATCTATGAAGAGATTCTGCTAATTGCGAATACTTGGACAATACTTCCTGTTGTAACTTAGACATATTTTGTGAATTTTCTGACATTTTTATCTTCACTGTTCTTACTCCTTTTATCTTTCCTATTCGACTATATTCAGACTAACAGTGTGACAATTACTAACTGTATATAATAGCTGTTTGCTTGCCCATTTCCACAGAACTTTTCTGTTTAAACAGTTAACTGGCATTAATAACTTTATCTTTAGACGAACTAGCTATTAAAAGTTGGTTCTAATTAAATTACATTAAATTTTGTAAAAGAGAAAAAAAAAATAATAAATACTCTAACTTTTTTGGTGTAAGTATAAACAAACATACATAATTCTCAATAAAAAAGTGCAGAGAAATATAATAATTGACATATTTATATAGGTATACTCTCATTTAAGAAGGCCCCAAAACTATCTAGATACTATTTGTGGAGCAATATACCATACGTTGTTTCATTTATCTTTTTTCCTGGATCTTTTTTTCTTATTCTGCTTAGATTTGAAGATGTCCAACCCACAATCCTATACAATTTGGTCTCCTCAAGATACCGTTAAAGATGTGGCAGAATCTTTAGGACTTGAAAATGTCAGTGAAGATGTATTAAAAGCACTGGCTATGGATGTGGAATATCGTATTTTAGAAATTATTGAACAAGCTATCAAGTTTAAAAGACACTCGAAATCTAACATCTTAACAACAGATGATATTGCTAAAGCTTTAAAAGTATTGAATGTGGAACCACTATATGGATATCATGATACAGTATTTGCTTCACGTTCCAACAATATGTCGAATATCTCTTCTAACAGCAACATTAACAATAATAACCAAACCACCACATCTACAACTGTCACCACCACTGTGACTTCCAGTACCACTACGACCGTTGCTAATAAAGGAGTTAATAGTAATATTTCTGCTGATGATAATGCATTAAATGGTAACTCAATTGTAGAAGATAAGAGACATGTGGAGTTCACAAGAGTTAATGTTTCAGGAGGTCAACAAATTTATTACTTAAACGAAGAAGAGATTGATTTTGATAAATTGATAAATGAACCATTACCTGCAGTTCCAAGATTACCTACTTTTACTACACATTGGTTAGCAATTGAGGGTGTCCAACCAAATATCATTCAAAATCCAAATCTAAATGAAATTAGAACTACTATACCGCCAACTACTAGAGGTGCCATTGTGACTGCCCTAAATGACAACAGTATACAGACAGTATCTAATAACACTACTTCTAATGCTAAGAATGCCACCCACAATGCTAATAATCAATCTTTAACCTACGTGAAACCAGGTCAAAATATTGAAGTCAAACCACTAGTTAAACATGTTCTTTCAAAAGAACTTCAAATTTATTTTGATAAAATTATCAATGTTTTAACGACTAAAGAGCAACCAGAAAATTCAGAAGCTAATGATAAATTACAACACATGAAGGCTGCAGCTCTTACTTCATTAAAAACAGATAGTGGTTTACATCAATTGGTCCCTTATTTTATTCAGTTTATTGCAGAGCAAATTACTCACAATTTATCTGATTTAAATTTATTGACTACAATTTTGGAAATGATTTATTCGTTATTGAGTAATCAGTCTATTTTTCTAGAACCATATATCCATTCGTTAATGCCATCTATATTAACGTTACTATTAGCAAAAAAATTAGGTGGATCTCCGGACATATCAAAGAATAGGAATAATACTAGTAATTTTAAATCACAATCCAACAAAGATACCAAAACTAATACAACAACACAAATAAATATGAATGTTCCATCTACTGAAGAGTCTAATGAGCAAATTAAGACTGAGGATTTCTCAAGCCAAGTAGAAAATAAAAATGAAGATAATTCTAACAAAACTATCAACGATTCACAAGAATCATCTTCAGTACCTGAAGTCAAGGATACTCCTGCAACTAATACTGAAGAAATCAAAGAGGATACTAGACCAGAAGCAGAACACATTCAAAAGACTGAAGTTGATTTTATTTCCGATGAATATAAACAACATTTAGAAAGTACTAATGCACTACGTGATTTTGCGGCATCTTTATTGGATTATGTTTTGAAAAAATTTCCGCAAATTTACAAGATTTTAAAACCAAGAGTTACAAGAACTTTATTAAAGACATTTCTTGATACAAATCGTGTATTTGGTACTTATTATGGTTGTTTAAAGGGTGTTTCTGTCTTAGAATCGGAGGGTGTTAGATTCTTCTTAGGTAATCTTTATAGCTGGTCCAGATTAGTTTTTAATGAACAAAATTTAACATTAGAAGACCTTGAAAAACATTCTGGTAATCCAAATATTGTTAAATTTAACAAATTAGAAGCAGAAATATTGATTAATGCAATAATAAATGCTTTGAGTATATTAAAGGATGATTTGCCAGAAATCTATGAAGGAAAAACCGGTATCGTAACCAATGAAGAGAAAGAAAAATTAGTCAAACGTTGTGGTGTTACTACTTCTTATTATCTATTGAAAAGAGATGATGCTAAAGAACTTATCACTGCTATCTTTTTTGGAGAATGATATGAAGTGCTTACTGTTGTTTCTATGTTAGATTACCTCTATTATCTACTCTGTTTTAATTACCATAAAATATATACATACTCGTTTATATTATTAATCAAATATTGATGAATTAAATAGAATTACATTGTTAACCACAGCTAGGAAGAATTATCATTTAATTATTCTATAAATTTAAGTTTTGGTAAATTATTATATAATGATATTTTAATTTGCTATATAGGTATATTATTTTGTGTTATCAACGTAATTATAAGTGCAAGCTGTAGCTGACGATTATGAGCTTTCAAATTAGAATTTTTGATGAAGGACATATTGACAAATAGATTTTCAGCAATAAATCAAGGGGCAAATAGTCTTCTTCTAACATTCCTACTGCTGTTCTTTTTACTATCACTCTCTTTTGTTTGAACTGGTGTTTCAAACACGCTAGGGGACTCAATAACAAGGGATAATGGACTTTTTTTGTAACTGCTATTAAATTGATAATGTGGAGTTGCACCAAACTCGGCAGTATTATCTTTCTTTATAGAATTATTATTATCTTTAACCCTAGATGCGGTATGTGTCATATCTGGTTTGTGTTCGGCAAGTTCATTCATTGCTGGTGATTCAATTATCCCTAACATAGTGGTATGGGACTTTCTATAAGATAATGAAGTCTTTAATGGCGTTGCCATAACTTCTACAGTGTTCTTTTTATTTTTTTCTTTTGAATTATCTTCAATAACATTACATAAAGAGCTTTCATAGAATGATACTTGACGTTCAAAATTATTAAATGCTTGTGGTTTACGTTTTCCTACTCTCTGGAAAGACGTTTGAATATTCTGTGAGTCTTGTTTTAATGTTGACAATAATGTAGAACTGCTATCAATCTCCTGTTTTATATTGATCGTAGGTTTTTGCCTTTTAGTAGTAGATTCAAAGTTTGACATTGGAAGTTGCCTCTTTTGTAAGTTATTCATTACTAAATCAGATTGGGTCCTTATTAAGAATGATGTTTGTTTAGAGATATTAGATTCAGCCTCCAAGAAGTCGCTTAAATTAGAATTTGTTTTTGACATTTGTAGCAAACTACTTGAAACTAGTGAAGAATGACGAGATAGTCTGGGTTTAGATGCACTTTTATTATTCATGTTATTTTTATGCACCAAGGAAGTTGCTGAGAAAACCCTTTCAGATGGTGATGATTGAGATCCCATTTCTCTAAAGATAGGTTCATTAATCATATCTAATTCTGATTGTGTATTTCTTTTTCCTGATGGTTTTTTAGCTCTTAAACTTGGACCTTTCAACTTTTTTATAATAAATTTGGTGGTATAAGGAATGACTTTATTGAAATATGGAATTACGACATAAATAACAAATCCTAGAGAAGAACTTTCTTGTCCTTTATTTAACATATTTTTTTGATATTGATAGAGTTTGTTTCCTATACTTTCTTCTTCATCTGTCTTTATAGTTGTTTCTAAATGTGTTTCTAGCAAAATCTCCAATATTGCCAATTTATCTAAATAAACGTCGATTTGTTCACAAAAATCAATTGATATTGTAAGTTGTTCAGTTTTTTGTGATTCATTAATATTTGAATCTTTGTCTTTTAATGTATATCTATTTTTTCTTATATATGATTTTTTTGTCAAATTGAGTGAACGTTTCATTAACTTGGGTTTATAATTCTTCTCAAATTCTTTAAAATTCCCATCCAAACTATTTTGATGGATCATTTCTAGTAATAAAATTATCTGTAGTTTGATCTCTCTTGCTTTTAAAATTGTGGCTACCTCATTTATTCTTTTTTTCATAGAGTGAGTTGGTAAAAGTGAATATTCTTCAAGTAATTTATCTCTAGCAAATTTTTCATACCTGCTATTTAAGTTAGAATCCTCGAGTAAAGTAGAATTATTGTTATACCTTTTATCAAAAATATCAATGCGGAGTATTAGATTGAGTATTATTGTTTGGAAATTTAAAATGAAATTATCTCCATATTTTTCTTTGCATATATTTCTAAATCGTACTAGATTAGATTTAACAAAATATGCCAATGGATTCTTTAAAGAATAAAGGGATTCATAATATTTTCTTTCTAAATAATCCTTTGGATTAGTGTCTATCGTCTCAGAGAGATCATCTAACTTATTCTTTACCACTTTTGAATCATTAGTACGTTTATCAGGAGGCACCATATTTAAAGTATCATCATCACTATGAAGTGAAGAAGAATAATCGGGTTCTTGTTTCCAATATTTAAATAATTCTTTAACATCAATGTTGTAGTAATTTGCATAACTATTTTTATTGTCACTTGGTACATTCTCCTCTAGCTTAGAATATGTTAATGATGATATATATGATTTTGGAAAATAATAAGTAAGGTAGTTATCCTTGCCGTAGTTTTCTAAAATAAAATAAGTACCAATACTATCATCTTTAATTACGTATTTATTAGCAAAATCTAGACGACTTATATTATCAATGATATACTTGGGTATTTTATTCCTATGTGTTACTTTGGGCATTTCTAAATCTGACAATAGTGATTGTGGCAATACATTTAAAACACCTAAAAGGTTCCATTTTTCCATAATTCTCTATAATAATTATTAATATCAAAATAACAACAAAAAAAATATGGATATATGAATATATGAATGTGAAAACGAATAGTAATGTTAAAGGGTTCTAAAATGCTTTAATTTATTTTGGTGAAGTATGATATATCTTATTTAAAGATTGGATTCATATTTTTTATGTCAGGCCTGTCTAATTATTGTTTATTGTAGATCTCATCTCATATAATCTATAATGTTGATCATATATTTAAGCATTGGGCAACAGAAGAGAGAAAGAAAAAGAGAAAAGCCCTACTTTTAGCAGTTATTTTTTAGGTGAATCCTTATGTATATATATATTTTTTACTAAAATAGTTTTAGGGTTTGTAAAGAAAATTTGTAAAAGTTTATTCTTTTTTTTTTTTTTTGGAGAAAGAAGAATTCTTTGTGAAATTTCAATAACTTACGATTACATTTTATTATGACAATTTATTGAAACTGTCAAGGTAATAATATAAAAAAGAAAATATGCATATAATAGATTTACTTATTTTATGGTTTGTTGCTCAATTAATATTGATCTCATGTTTCAGTGAAATGTTGAAATAAAAATATTAAGCCAGAATAGTTTTTATTTTGCTTTTTTTTTCTATTCACATATATAATATTAGTATAATACATAAAGTACGTAATTTCTATGTCATTTATATATTTCATATGTTATGTTTATTTTAATTTTTTACATTCAAATATTTATTCAATACAATGTAGCTAATATAAGATAATATATACTTAGCCATGGTGCATCTTCTTGGTTTCATAATTTATTTTTGGAATATGTCAATACAAAAGGTTAACTGGATAGTTCTTTATATTTTATTTAAGTTTATTAACAAGTAAATATTTTATAAAAATATTTTTTTTTTCTTTAAAAAAAAATTTCTTTATTATTGTTTATTGTTATTTTCGGATATTTTAGATCTTTATTTGAGCTTTATGTTTCATTTTGTTTTATTTTGGTTAAATTTATCCATTTCAATCTTGTTACTAATTAACATGATAGCTGCTTGCACACCCATATATGTACCTTCAATAGTTAATTTACGTTCCTCAGAATTTTCCACAGGATCAGCAATTATCACCGAACAACCAGTAGTATCTTTGATAGAATTAATATGCTTACCTTCTTTACCGATAACATTACCAACAAAATTTTCATCAATATATAGACTTTGTTTTGTGATAGCCATTGGTTGTGTTGGAATAGTTTTATCTACAAGTCTAACATTGGGTAAAGTCATGTTTGGAACAAAAGTGGTTGCATTAGCAGCGGCCTCAACTGTATATACAATATTGGACTCCATTGTAGTTGGTAAGTTCATATACCCTTGAGGTGGTATCATGGTAGCAGCTGCGCCTTGTGGGTCTATTGACGGTATCAGCATTACCATTGGTATATTTGGGACACCTTTACTGTTGTGGTGTTCATAATTTGATTCCATGCTATTACTATTATGATATCTGACAGGACCCATAATAGGTTGGGGCATTTGATACGGCAAAGAGGAAGATGAGGAAGCTGTCATTAGTACAGTGTTATTATTGTTATTGTTGTTGCTATTGTTGTTTGAATTTGTCATGTTGCTCATTCTTGGATGAAATATGAATGGGAATTTCCCTAGTACACAGTGCATCAGACCAGGTTGATAGGGGATGGTCTTTTTATTTTTTAATTTATCTTTATGTGCATTAATTATACGTGCTACAGTAAGTGTTGCAATACTGATGGAGGTTGGTGAGCCTGTTACACGTAATATTCTGTCTGTAGATGGTAACAAACGATGTGGAGATGCTTGTAGTTTTACTGAACTTTCTCCTTCGATCTCTTTCAATACAGAACCGTTCTTTCCGATGACATAACCCATTAAATAATGTGGAATCAATAAATTTACAGTAATAGTAGAGTTTTGGTTATCACTTCCTTCCACAGTGGTGGACAAATTTTCTTGAGAGGATTGTTTTGAAGCAGCAGGACTGGGTAATTGATCATGATCAAAACTTTCAATATTTTGTTGTTTTTGATTATCCTTATTTTCTGGAGCACTACCAGTATGACCTTCTTGCTCATTCACTGGAGTAGACTCAGGAGAATAATTTTTTTTTGTTTTATGATCAATTAAATATTTACAGATAAGATAATAAGCCTTTGAAACGTTCTCACAAGAACCTCTTACGAATAAGACTCTCTCTGGAACATCTCTAAGATTAGTAGAGACATTAATCTTTGTAAGAGTGTCTCTTTTAATGTTGTTAATAGTTTCACCTTTAGGACCAACAATTACGGAGGCGTCCTTCACTAGACATAACATTCTTAAATAGACATAATCATTATTATAGGTAACATTAGTATTATTAGTGGTAGTATTGTTATCCTCTTTATTATCAATTGGAACATTTAAATTGTTCTTACCATTTAAGTTAGTTGTATCAGTTTCTTGAGATTCGGTATCAAATTGTTGCCTAGATATTGATGTAGTAGACACTGGGGAAGAATTGTCATCATTTAAAGCGACTCTTTTAATACCAGCCTCGATCTTCTGTTCCTCAGCCCCATTCTCATTCTTTCTTTTCAGCCCACCATTTAAAGATTGTTGTGTTTGGCCATTTTGAGGTTGACTGTCAATGTTGTTTTCTTCTGTCATTGTCACGATCCAAACTAATTATTAAAGGAAGCAAATATAAGAAGGCACAGTTTTACTTTAGCTTCTAATAAGTATGTACGGTAATGTATAACCCTGTTAAGTTATAACAAAAAGAAGTGTTCGAGAAGGAAGGTTTCTCTTTTTAACTTAAGAAAGAAAGAAAGTTTTGAAGTCAAAGGAACCTCATAATATTAACAACATGGCAAATAATATTTACTCTAAGCCGTTTTGGCAAATTGCAAACAATTTTTTTTTTCTTCTCTCTGGTTTCCCTGGCTATTTTTCCCCTTTGAGGACAGGACTCGCAGACTTTTCCTTTTTGTTATTTTTTTTTTTCTTTTAATCTTGGCAATTCTGTGTTTCCCTTCTCTATTTCCTCCTCAAACAGAAACGAAGACAACAACCAAAACTTGCAACCGCAACTACAACCACAACCACAACTGCAACTGCAATTGCAACTCTGGCTTGGGAGGGGGACATGCTTGGAGCAAACTCTAAATGTCTTTACACTTTGAAGCTCTTGGAAGATGATAGGGTGGTAACAATTCCATTTAAGATATCTACCCAGAGATAGAAAACGTATATAAATACACACACATAGGGGAAGGAAAAAGGGGAAGGAGGAGAATCTACATAGAATACGTTCGTGTGTGTGTGTATGTGTGTGATAAAAACGTATCAGTTAATGATAAAGAAAGGATTCTTTTCAAATTTTATAGTTTTTTTTCTTTCAAAATAAAACTTATAATAATATTATCGAAATCTTATATAAATAGACTATACATTCCGTCTATCCATCTATATATGTAGAGATATATGCAAGTATTCTCTTTCTTTCCATTAACTACTTTTATGTCTTTTTTTTCTCTTTTTCACATCCAACGAGGGACGTCTAAACTAGTAAAAATCATTGTAACAATACTCATTATACCTTCACCTAATACTAACCCTGAACTGAACACTATCAATCTAGTCTTTGCATCTAAATCACCTTTGTATCTTGTTAACCAGAAATGTGAAATTAATCCACCTACAAATCTTGCTATGGTGAAGCTTGGTGCATTATATATCCCAACGCCCACTGCAACACCAGAGGGTATATACATTAGCCATGGTGCTAGTTTATCATTATCTTTGTAACAATTCTTAATTAATGATAAAAATGCAAATATTGTTCCAAACACAATTGAACATTCTAGTGCTTTATCAGGTAAGGAATTCCCAGTCACAAGTCTTGCACAATCTACCCATACTGCAGCAGTTGGGATACGAATGACCTCGTTTGGTAAATTATAAACTTTATTATAGATGATGTATACTATGCTTGAAAGAAATATTGACCATACCCCACCAATCAGTTGTGCAATGAACTGTGCTCTAGGTGACGCATTTAATAAATGGCCAGTCTTCAAATCTTGCATTAAATCACCTGCTTGTTGTGCACCTGCTTCTGCTATCCCACCAGCTACAATGTTTAATAGAACTGAACCGGGATGGTTCTTGGGCACAATAAATGCAAATATTAATTGGGATAACTTACCTATTCCACTGACAGGATTTAAATCAGTCTCACCAAGTGCACGAATACCTAAAATCGATAAGAATAAAGCTAAGATCGATGCTGTAACCATTGTGTATACAGGGATTATATCTATTCCAAATAGATATATGACAAATACAATACATGAACTGGCAGATATTATTAACCCACTTATTACAGTAGTACAATGAACTAGATATTTAGAATCTACCTCGTGTTCTAATTCTGCATTAGCCAACCTGATGGTCTCTAGACGTCTTGAACTAGTTCTTCTTCTCTTAATATTTATTGCTCTTTCCTCCTCTAAAAGCATAGATTCCATTGAATCATCCAATAAATTACTGAATAATTCAGATTTATTGTTTATAAACCAAAACTTTATCACAGATTTCACTGTAATTACAATAAATCCTACAACACTGTCAACTACCATAATGGATAAAGAACACCACAGTATCCATCCTTGAACACCTTTATCCCAATCATGTACATCAGCGTCTGCTGGGATCCATCCCATAAAACGCGCTAATGGTGCTAGTATTCCCCAACCAAGTATTGCACCAAATAGCATGTATGAAACTGTAGGGAGACCCATAATTATACCTTGTCCAATATATGCTGGAGATGGTTGGAAATTCCAAAGGTACGTTTTAGACAAATAATTGCCAAAGATTGGTAATGAGCTTATTAAGGGAATAAAATATGATACTATTGTATAAAAAGATGCAATTAAAAAAGTCTTCGTCAAAATTGTGATGTTTTCTGTGTATGTCAAATCCTCCTCTTCTTCCAAATTGTTAACAATTGTTGAATCTTCCGGTTCTCTTAACAATATTGTTGGAGGCGTTATAGAAGGTGAAGAGGATTTGTTATTTTGACTAAGTAATTCGTTGCAGATAGATCTCATCTTGAACAAATCTGTCGTTCCATAATCTTTACATCGACATCTTTTTTTCAATTCTTCATTATTTATCCTAAGTACTTCAGCACATTCGGCTTGTAGACGTCTATTTCTCATTTCAATTAATTCGTTCTTAGACACTTCTTGAACAATTTCAGATCCTGTAAGAACAGATATTAAGACAGCTGTAGCTGAACCACTTGGGAATGGTAATTTTTCTCTAACAATCATTTGTTTCCTTAATGGTACAGCAAAAAATATACCAAAAAATGCTAATGAAGTACACCATATAATTAATTGTGTGAATGAAAATGATTCATTTGTGTCTCTTGTATATCCACTTTCTTGAGGAGTAATGAATTTCTCTATTGCAGGGATCACACCAACAAATCCAAAAGTTAAAGGGCCTGTGCCAATGGCTACAGCCATACTTTGTACATATACAGTTTCGACATCAGTAAATATTTGATCATTTGATCTTATTAATGGCCATACTTGTTTAAAAAAGGCTACAGCTAGTAAAGCAGATGGTAACGACATCATGGATACCCAGCCCGTTTGTAGTCCAAATTGGAAATTAGACACTAGGACGGCAGAACCAATTAAGATTCCTATAATAGTGGCTCTAAAAGTGACTTGATTAATGCTTGGTTTATCATTCCAATTAACTGGATATGAATATGTGTCATCATCTGTCGTGCTTGGCCTTATATAATGAGACATCAATGTTTTGTTCACTTCTGATTTGTCCATAAGAACAGAATATAATAGACCAATAGTAAACGAGGAAACAACACTAATGCTTTTCTATTAAAATAACACCTATTTGAATATTAGCTATTAATATTAATTTGAATATGTGGACAATACTTGTGTACTTTGCAAATGTTTGGGAATGCTCAATTACTTCTGAAACATAGATATATACGTTAGTATATATGTATTCATTAGTAAAATGTTTGGTTAATTGTTCTCTTATTTATGATTACTAATATTTTAAATATGAAATATTTCTGACTCATCTCCTTATTAAACCTTTTTTTTTAATTGCCGTACAATTTTGACATAGCTTCAATTTAGAATTAAGCTTGATCCAATACAAACAAAGTTGGAAGAATGAATCTTTCAAAGAAGAAGGAAAGGAGGTTTAAAGTTCGGAAAACGTGTTTGCTAGGTTAAATTTGTGAATTCTTGGGAAATAAGAGATTAACATTTGCCTTTGTATTGAACATTAAAACATAAAATTTTTGTTAATATTCTTGATCTGGGGGGAATAAAGATAAGTCATATATAAAATCAATAAATACACTTTTATTTTACATAATATGTATATATATGCATATATATGTACATGTATATATACAAAATCATGTCATTAAACGTCATTATGCAAGGGCGGAAGAAGGAAAATGGACATGGTACAAACATTAAATATAACAAATGATAAGGAACAGTTTTAGAATAATAGTTAACAAATTATGTTGTATATTAAATGTTCTAGTTTTTATCTCTTTTTTTATTTATTTTTCACCTAATAGGATGTATCTAAGAATATCATCTAACGATAAGACACCAACTAGCCTGCCGTCGTTGTCTACAACAAAGAATCTATGTACTCTTGCCTTTCTGATAGTATCCATAATAGTGGATAATTTATCGTGTTTAGTACATGTATAAACACCCTCAAAATCGTCACTTCTTCTCATTAATGCTTCACCAACACTTAATGATAAGTCGTTGTAAATTCCACCTTTAATCAATCCAAGAACATCCACTGCTTCATAAACATTGATTAAAACACCATTTTCATCTACAATAGGAATAGATGCTATGCCATTTTGTGATAACAGTTGAATTGCATCAATGACAGGAGTGGTCATAAAGCAACTCTTGACATTTTCCTCAGTTATAATATTCAATTCACCAATGCTTTTTTTCAAAAAATTAGTCTCTCTACAATTCAAAGCAACAAATTTTAATATTCTGTATTGTGTTAAAACACTCACCACAATCTCTCTATGTGTTTCTTCATCCTGATCAATCAATGGAATTCTTCTTGTTCTTGAACCCATCATCTTTAGACATGCTTCAAAAAGTGGTCTAGAAGGATGTATTGAGGCTGTATCTAATGGCTCGACACCAATAGCTCTTTCAATATCCTTTAATCCATTCAGTTGTAATTTATCTACCAATTCATATTTATCTGGATTAGAGAAATAATACTGAATAACGTTAATGAAATCACTAGATGTTAGCAGCCCTGCAAATTTTGAAGTTTCAGAATCCCATAGGGGTGCGGATACAATGTTGTTTTGTAGTAAAACATTCAAGGATTTCTTAACCAATAATGCAGTATCTAAAACAATCAGACGAAATGACACAGGAAGGACATCATAAGAAGTCTTCGAACTTAAAAACGATCGGATGGATTCAACAGCCAATTTTTGTTCGATTTGTATCTTCTCAACAGAATCCTGGTTTGAATTCATTGTAATAAAGTAATCCCTCTATAGATTTATCAATGGTGTACAAATTTTTTCTCTAAGTTTCTTAGTAAACAACACAGAAATAGGAGTAAGGAAAATGAGGTACAACAAAATAAACCTACTGCTTTGTAGCAAAGACAGTCGCTAATTGAACGCAATGACCAAGATGTTAACATTTTAAAGTCACCACTCAATAAGAATGTATACTAGAGAAATGCCTTTGTATATTCTTTCTTTTCCGAAAAGAACTGGCTGTTTTTTTTTTTCATATTGGAAGTTTTTCCATTTTTGACCAATATGAGGGTAATTATAAATCTTGAAATTACTGATAATTTCGAGAGTAGAAATTTGATATTTGGAGATGCATTAACATTGAATGGATGATTATGCCATGTTAAATCGATAATAAAAGAAATATATACAGTACTGCCAGTATATATAAATGCTATTATTTGTTGTTTATTTTTTTTTTAATTTTTTTCTGTTGATATATGAATTGATGCGTTTACCTAATCAAATAAGAATGGGCATTAGATCTACCAGAAGAGTCACTGTTTCTATCTAATCCACCGTCTGCTCCTGAATCAGGTACCCTTGTTGCATTTGTACCTGTAACAGATGGTCTGAGTAAATTAATATCATCAACAGCCAAACTACCCTTATTATTTCTGCCAACTCTTTTTCTTGGCTCAAAGATTTTAAAAAATTTCAAATTCTCATCACCACCAATAGTTGCTAATGTAGTTCCATCCGGAGACAATTGTGCACATGATATTCTTGTATCATGTGCTTTCACAATCTCACCAATTTTAAACTTAGTATCATAATTATATACTATAATTGCGTTATCCGGGGATCCTCCGGTGGCCACAATTTCACGATTCATTGTTCCATGATTACTGTGATAACTTTGCCCCCAGTGCAACGAACTTACTTGTGAGCCTGTATTAATTGATCCTAGTTTGGAACCTACCATAGTATTCCAAAAGTGTATATGTTGATCATTTTGACCACCACCAGTAGCTAATACATTAGGCATATATGGACACCAGCTTATAGCTTTTACTGCTGCCATATGGGATCTTTTTACCCATAACTCTTGAGATGTCCTGGTATCCCAAATTCTTACTGTGTTGTCATTGCCACCAGATGCTAATTGTAGTCCATCACTCTTATACGACAAACCACAGACCTCTCCCTCATGGTCATCCCATGTGGCAACAATATGATTTTTAATTCTAACATCATTTATTTGAATTTCACCAGTACGAGATCCAGTAGCAATTAGTGCGTCTAACCATGATTGTGAACCGATTCGAACACCTAAATTAGATCTCATTGTCCTAATTAGTTTCATGCTATCAGTATCCCAAATCTCTGTATTACCATCATCCTTCCCAACCGATATATGAATAGCATCATCTGACCATATAACACTTGCTACTTTGATTGTCTTATAATCTACTAGTAAATCGACTTTACTTGTATTTGCATCCCATATATAAACAGCTGTATCTAGCGCTAATGCCAGTACATTGCTGCTTGACCATGACATTAGGTTTAAATAAAAATCGTCACGAAACCCAGGAGCATCTAAAATTCTCTCTGGACTCGTATCAATCTTTCTCAGTTTGATTAATTCACAAGGTGCATTTTCTGGTTGGGAAAAATTATATGCTGTTCTTTTTTTCATTAAATAACTCTGTCTATCAAATGATGCAACAGGTGGTGGGGGTAAATATTCTAAAATTCTTTGTTTTACCTTTAATCCACAAGCTTGGGCAACATTTTCCTTGAAGACTACTTTAGTTTGTGCCCTAAGATGTTCAGTCGGGGATGCAGTTGGCGGGGGTAATTCTTCATGTAATGATTGAGGATCTATTTTGATTTGAGAATTGGTTTGATAAAGTGGAATAAATCTGTCTGTTCTAATAGGAGAAATATCTTCAATGTCGTGATTATGATTTGTTGTGCTAGCTGTGCAACTATTAGTATTGTTAGAATAAGAAAAACTTGAAGTTCTATTTAAGGTTAATGATGGTATGGATACTTTTGAATCATCTTTAAAAAAAGAAGAATTTCTTTTCAATAATTGCGGAACACTACCTCCATTTAAGTTCAATTTAGGTCTTTCAAATATGGATTTCTTTGGGGAGGAACTATTCGAATTTGAAGGTGAAATACTTGAGTTATATAACTTTCCAAGTAAATTCTTTTGTGTCAAATTTAAAGACTTTGACCTTGGTAGTGATATGGACTGTTTACTAACTCTAGATTTGTTTGTCTTTTTCCAATCAATATTATGATTTTTATTCATATCATGATTTAAGCTAGCTAATATATTTAGTTTTGTAGGGGATGTTATAGAGAGAACTGATCTTTGTGCATTATTGTCGTTACTACTGCTACTACTATTTAAGTTTTTGGACTCGATCTTTTTGAGATTAATTTTACTTAACGTTGTCCTCTCATTAAGCTCGAACATCATCAATATAGATCTCTACTGTAATTATTAGCAATTGGTTGAGTTGATGGAGGAAATCTTTAGCTGTTGGACAGTGGTTTACTTGCTAATCGTTCTTGTACCACTTTTTTGTAATATTATCCTTTGTAATATTGTAGTTATTACATTGATTTTTTCAAGAAATTTTTTTTTGATCTGTGCCATATTTGCCTGTATTGACATATTACTGTTTTAGGAAAAGCATAAAAAACTAAAATAAAAGAGGGTGTAGAAGAGAGTTTAATGTGTACGTATTGTAAATAGTGCATATGTGTATATACATATATATATTTATGTATGTATGTGTGTGTGTATATGTGTATATGCATGTATCTAGAACACAGATATACTTGAAAGTTTACAATTGCATGATAATGAAATATCCATAATATATTATATACCATTAAAGAGTAAGGGTCCTAAAATATTCTTCTATTATTTAAGTTTAACAATGTCTTTCTATGATGTACAAACGTTGAAAATTCAGTATTGTCATCCAAATTTTTCTTGTTGTCGATTTTACAGGATAAGTCTTGCCTCCACACTAGAAAATCTTTTAGTGTAGACGATTCTTTGATAATATTAATATATAAGTCTTTACTAATAGATACTATTTTATCCATGTTTACGAAGATCTCAGAGCTGGCTTCCTCTAATTTAGATTTTTTTTGTGTATCAATAAGTGATTTAAAAACAGGATATATTAGTTCGAACAATTTGCTCAACTCAGTCATATATGGTGTGAATCTATCTAAAATTTGGGTGTCTATTACTTCTCTAGAAGGAACAATCTTATCTCTTGCTAATAGTTGAAAAATTTGTTTTAGGATTTCCTTAGATCTAATAAATAGATGAATAATCTTGGATTTATCTCCTTTAAAATTAGCATTTGACACTGTCTTTAATTCATTCTTCAGTGAAATCACCTGTAAAATAATTGGATGGCCTAATGAAAGGGTGGTAGTAGGTGTAGATATCTTCATATGTTTGACATCTAATCTTAGGTGATCTCTAATAAGTTTGGCGGGAGAAGTAAGGAATCCCTCAGGATACATGATACTCTCCATTAAATTATCAGTGAATTCTAAAAAAGGGATAAGTAAGAGATCAACATAAATTCTAAATAGTTGATCAATAGCTATTTGTCCTCTTCCATCAATCTTTTGTATAAGTTTTGTTTTATCGTACAATATTGGTAATTGTTCTAATATATAATCACTTTCTGAATGAATCATTTTTTTTCTAGCTTCTTAGAATATTTGTTAAAAAAATATAGTCTACTGTTATTGGGATAAAGTCATGTAGTAACTATAAGGGCATGGTATTATAATGAATCATATAGTCAACTCGCTCTCTGTCTAGTATCTTGAATGATTATTTCTTTAAATATAAAAGAAATGACAGAAAAAAAATAATAATACAGGCAAGACTTTGAGAAATAGAAAAAAAAAAAAAAGAAAAAAAAAGAAGTTTCATTTCGCAATATAATAAACTATAAAGATGAGTCATTTGAAAGGTAATAAATGTGTCACCTTAAAGAGTTTTTAAAAGGCATGTATATGATTTTTAATGGAATAAGTGATCTATGTAGAGTAAGATTTTATATATTTTTATAGAAAACTGCTTAATAGTGTTTTGAAGGGTAGTGATATGTCAACTAATATATCCGGCTTAGTAGTACTAGAACACAAAATAAGAACAAAAGTTACCTCCATATAAAACATACTAATAGTATTTCAGATATCATGGATTGTTTTTTTTTCCTTTAAAAGATAAGAGTGGGGGAGTTAAAGTAGTATTTCATGGAATAATGATATTATAAAAGATTTATATAATGCCATTTACTTTTTCCTTTTATGGAAGATTTGTAATTTCTTTAATATTATTCAAATAAACTAAAAAAAATTTTAACGTTCTTTTAGTTGTTCTGTATACAGTCTTGCATGAAGGTAATTTAGAAAATAGTAATTTTTTGAATTGTTCAACCTCTGTATGATATGCAATAAATATATATTCATTAGATTGCAATTCAATGAAACATTGAACTAAGCAACTCCTAAGGCATTCAGAGTTTTAAATCAAAATAGCAATTCATCAAACTTTTTGGAATAGGTCGAAGGGGTGTCCAGTTAGAAAAAAAAGAGTAAGTATTTGTCTTGTTTCAACTCAAATCTTATTATATCTGTATCACATTGTCTTTACAACTTTACTACTATAGAGTTACTTTAAACAAGGTGGCACTCTAGAAATTTAGTTTTTCTTAAAAATAGTTATGCTTCGAAGTTTTAAGTTTTTATTATTCTAATATTTCTGTTTCCAAGCATAATTTTAAATAAAGATTAAAGTGTTTGTTGATTTTTCTAAAATAATAATTTACTATATGTATATATTCTCTAAAAATGATCTAATGATATTTTAGAAATTGAATTTTTTTCTTGATCAGAAATATATATAATGTATAATCCATAATAAAGAAGTTTTTTACATTAAAACATTTATTGAGTATAAAAAAATATAAGTAAGTAAATTTAATTATATATTTTCAGTATAGTTAAAAAAGTTGTAACATATTACTTGATTTTTTTTATATATATCTTCATACTTATATAATCTCTAAAAAAAGTAATAGAAGAGTCCTTTATTCAATACATTTTAGAACACCCATTTTAAAATAAATATAATTGAAAATACCCCATATAGCTATAATATTATGAGTCAAAAATATAATAAATAAGATATAAACAAATTTTCTTCATTCATAGTGAAAAAAATCATTTATATAATAAAAGAATAAAATATTTCCATCCAAGATACCTTAATAATGATAACAGTGCTAAGATATTATAATAAGTGCCTAATAATTTAATTCTTTATTGCTATTGTTGAGATTTAGCGTCTGTAGTAATTGAATACATAGTAAATATTCTTAATATTATATTATATATTTATTGAATACAGAATTGTGTTAAAATTCTTAAATCTTTTTCTGTATGTAAAATGCAAAGATAATAATATATAAAAGATATACAAGGAAGCAGAAATGATATGAAAAAATGATTGACTTTATATATTTTCGTATTTGGTATATGTCTATTATAGACGGCATCAATTTATTGATATGTTTTGTTTACATTTATTGATAAGCAAGCAATATATTCTCTACATTTTGATATCAATTGATATTTGCTAAAATCTAATTGGTTTATATATTTATTCTAAAACACTAGATTTCAGTAGTTATAATAAAATAAAGCCTTAAACAAGACCTAAGTTTTTTTTTTAGTCACTAAATTTGTCCTTCACTTTTTTTACTGAGTGTATTTGTTGTGAGTAAATATTGTTGACTAATTCAATTTTGTAAATTAGGTTGATTAAAGTGGGTATTACTGTCCAATGGAAAAATAAAACTATTTCATTAACATTGTTAAAACTGTTCATTGACGACAAATTCATTTTTTATTAGTGAAAAAAAATTTTATTTAGTTTTCAAGTAATATGTAAATCATATATAGAGGTGCTGAAATCGAACGTTCTAGAATGAATAGATAGACCAATTAGATTTTAATAAATATTAATTGATAACCAAATGTGGATAATGTATTGTTTGCTTATCAGTAGATGTAAACAAACCTTATAAACAATTTAGTGTTGTATGTAGATGAGATGTGCCAGGTATGAAAATATATAAAACCAACACTTTTTTCATATCATGTTTCTTTCCTTGTTCATCTTTTATAATCATCCTTATATATTATATATAAATAAAAAAGCCAAAGAATTTAATCATAAATTTGTATATTAAATCTATCTAATATGATATTGAGAATGTTTATTATATATCCAATGACTACAGGCGTTAATTTTCAACAAAAGGAATTGAAAACGTTTCATATAAATTAATATACATACTAATTACAATTGTTGAGAATGAGCGCCTGTAGTCATTGGATAAAGAGTAAACATTCCCAATATTATATTAAACAGATTTTGTATACAAAATTATAATAAAGTTCTTCACTTTCTTTCTCTATATACAACATAGAAATAATAATATACAAAGATTGTAAATAGAATAAAAATAATGTATGATGAAATCCTTGGCTTTATATATGTTAACATTCAGCCATTTTCCTCTACGAACAGTAAGATATTTATTAAACAAACTCAACAACCTTTGGTGACCTCTCAACGATTATTACTCAACAATTTATCATTTAGTGTCTGCTAAAATCTTATTGTTCTACCTATTTCATTATAGAACATTCTATTTCAACATCAATGGAGTTAAACTGATTCCTTTGCTATTAACGTAAAATATAATATATTGAATAGAAATTTCACCTCTTTTCTCTTAAGTATAATTGAGTATTGGTTTATTGTATCAAACATAATAACTATTTTTGTATTTGGTTATCCCTTCTTTTTTTAAGTTTTATGATTGGAACTGTATTTTTCAGATTTTCTTATTCTCAAAAATTTTTAAAGGTGGAAAATATCTCTTCATTGATGAACATAGTTAAGAGAATAAACAAAAAAAATATTTTTTTATAGAGACAACTTTGCTTAAAAAAAATTTTAACATTCACTATTTTATATGTTACAATGGTAAAAAGTGTTACACAAACAAATATGTGTATATTAAAATAACAGACAAATTATTCATATACACTCATCTAATACTTGTACATGAACCAATAGGCGTCATTACTCGCAGCCTTATTAAAACCAAAAAGATAAATTACTAAGAAAAAATTTAAGAATAAACTACTTGTTTAAACGTTGATACTGATATAATGACAGAATAATGAATACAAAAAAACAAATGTCACAATTTTTATCTAACCATTTCATATAATTACACCGTATAGTTATATATATTTATTTTTATACTTTATATAAAAATGCTGGATTGATATATTACCGGTTTGAGTAACATGTAAATATATCAAAGAGGAAAAATGTTTGTTTTGCACGTTCAACGTTATGGAGATAAGATCAAACAGAATCAAAATAAATTAATATATTATGAAAAATTGCCAAAAGGTAAACATATATAAGTAGACGACTTTACTTATTAATTTTTCAATCTGGATGAATAAGTTATATACACTTTGTCATATGTTTCTTTTATATTTATATAATTATTAATTCCGAATCAAAAGATCGAGGGAAAATTACTCTACATATCAATATAATAATAATACACAATAATAACATATTGTATGATCACCGACGCTAAGAACATGTATACTAATATTATTCATCCAAAGGAAAAAAAGACCAAAAATTTCTAATTAAAGCAAATATATTAATAACCTTATTACTTAACCATAACCACTTTTTTGTAGCAACATCTTAGGTACCTCTTTTAACAAAGCTGCTTCTTAAATAATAAGAGCGATCGCCTATAGTGTTGTTCACAATTGAGGTGATCAGCTTAATTACATTGATATATGAATTAATTGCTTATAGATCATGTTATAAACTGAGTAATATGTTTATTAGGTTTCTTTATTAAATACTGTTGTTAACATATCGTTAATATTTTTTCAAAATAATTCCATAATATAACATATAAAAAGAATATACTGCAGGTGTACATGTTGTATTGTGAAGTGGTGAAATTCTTTGTGTATTTCAGGAAAGCGCAAATAATATTAATAATTATTCAAGTAATCGAGACAGTAATCAACTATAATCGATAATATAATTACTGAAACGGTCTTATATATTGAGCGGCTTTAACGAGCTAATATATTTATTCGAAGTTACTTGACTTGTTACTTACTTGTTGTTCTATTTATGTTTATATATAATATATAAATTATTTACAAGGAAAGAGCTATAGAAGATAATTCTTTATCTTCAGAAAACGTTGTCCTTTTATATGTTTTCTGGAGCTCGATCAATTATTCAGATTGATACGTTAATGAATTTACTGATCTAAACCCTAAGATTTATTACATTAATCTAGGTGCACTAGTGGATTAGAACTGCACCCCAATTCTCTAATCATGGTGATTAGTAATACACGTGGGACTTATTGAAACAATAGGTAAATTCTAGATTTGTTAAAATCTCATGTAATCTAATCTTTTTATTATACAGCATCTAATGTTGTAGCACATGTATGGCTTATTAATACAATAATTAGTTCTAGATTCATTCAGAATCTTATGCAATCTTGATGATTATAACTATCCTATTCCACAATTGTATGACGTAAGAGATGAAGCGGTGGCTCAATGGTAGAGCTTTCGACTCCAGTTAAATTCTGGGATACCTGGAAAATTGCAATTGAAGGGTTGCAGGTTCAATTCCTGTCCGTTTCATTTTCTTTTTTGTCATACATCATAATTATATCACTATTGACGATTTAGTACTATGTGTGTTGATGTTATTATTCTTATTTCCCATATTCATGAAGATCAAACACAATTATAAAAGCTAATCAAACTTAATAAACACCATTACTATTTATTGTTACTCCATTCTAATAGTTTTAAGAAAAAATTACTTTCCCACCACTAATTTAAAAGAAAAATTTTTTTAGACATTTAAAAATTTTTCATTAGACATATATACTCATATTTCATATAATATCACAAATATATTTACTAACTTAATGGTACCAGGTTAACTACATATATATTACAGTAGTAACATTTGTATCTATTTATTTAATACTATTTCTATATACATGTCAAATATATTATATGTCACTATATACCAAAGATTCCATTGAGGAAATCAACAGAAGAATAAGATTAGACAAATAATATTCAACAATATCGCTTATTTGTGTAATTTTCCCAATAATTTCCTTCTATTTTCTGACAGGTAATCTATGCAAATATTATTTTTTTCAAAACAAAAAAAGGAAAAATAACAAAGCATCATTTATTTGATTACAACTTGAAACTATAATATTCAGATATCGAAACTTTTTATTTATTATGATTGTAATTATTCTTTATTCTTTATAAGCAAATATTTGATCAAACAACCTAGCACAGTGAACAGAAGCCCCAAATTTAGCACACAGTAAAAAAATCCCACTGAACTTTCTGTGTAACGAATAAGTTTCTTCTGGTGGTGGACACAGCCTCTCGTTAACCATTAACCCTATATTTTCTCTGATTCTATCTGAAACAGTTTGATTCTGAAAATCAAACAATGTACCAACATTGCCTCCAGTAAAGGGTTCTCCTAATGTCATAACACTATCAACGTGCGCTTCTATCATAGCAGAAGACTCTAAACCTGTCAGGTAACCCAATTCCTCTGACATTTTCTTCACAGCATTTCTATCATTTTTTGTAGTATAGGTCAATAATTTTCTATATTTAATAATGAATTCATCAGGAAATGGTCTCGAAGCACCAAAATCTAACAATTCAATTTTCTGGGTCTTTTCATTATATAAGAAATTAGCCCAATTTGGATCTGTTTGCATGTATTTGAATTGTGCAATCTCTGTCAAACACAATCTCATTATATTCTCAGCAATAAAATTTTTGATTTTCTGCGTATTTAATCTTGGTGGTAACTTCATAATCTCATAACCCTCCATTTTTGTCATTGTTAAAATATTTGATGTGGTTAAATCTTCAAAGACATGAGGTACAGAAAATACCTCATCGCCCTTTAGTAATTCTTCGAATTTTTGTAAGGCTTTAGCTTCACGGATATAGTCACACTCCCACTTCAATTCTTTTCTAGCGTTTGCGACAATTTTATCTAAAAATAGCCCCTTAGGCAATAACCTTGATGCCGTCAGTAACATAAGTAAATTACTTAAATCAGAATCGATAGATTTCTTGACACCTGGGTATTGAATCTTTACTACAACCTTTTCTCCAGATTTAAGTGTTGCTGTATGTACTTGACCTATACTTGCTGCAGCAATAGGTATTCTGTCAAATGATTGAAACCTATTTTCCCAGTCTTCACCCAATTCTGTTTTTAAAACCCTTAATAACTGTCTCTGAGGCATATAATGAGCACTATTTTGAACTTTAGATAAAATACTATACAGTTCTGCTGGTAAAACCTTTTCATCTTGAAATGACATCAACTGACCAATTTTCAATGCAGCACCTCTCATCTGAGAAAATTTCTTAGTTATTCTTTCAATATTTGAGTCTGATAAAATTAAAGATTTCCATGTTGGTGAGTTTCCCTTAGCCACTTCAGTTAAACCTTGTGCGGCAACATTCATACTTACACCTGCGGCCAAACTTCCATAGTGAAATAATCTTGAAAGCCTGGACGATGGAACCTTGGAACTCTGTAGATTTCGTTTGGAGTCACTTTCTTTCTCATCTTCTTTCATGCCATTATTATTATTATTATTATTATTATTATTATTATTATTATTTAATTTCCCAATTTCAGATATTTTAGAAGGATCATCTCTTCTTACTCTTGTTGTGGAGTAATGTCTTGTAGTATTAATTCGATTTAATTTCTTCTGTTTAGAATTTGATAGGGATAAACTAGATCTTATTTTATCGGAGATACCTCTTGCCTTATTCCATTCAGGATCTTCGTACCATTGATAATCTGATAATAAAGATTTTAAAATTGGAGACGAATCAAACCATATTTTAAAGGAATTTCTTGCATGTGAAGAAGATTTGTAAAGGACATTTTTAGATGCTACTGATATTTCCCAAAGATAATATGCAGCTCTATATTTTGTCATTCTTGGAAAATAGAAGGAGGAAAGTTTTAAAAAACAAACAAACCACAGATAAACACGATTATAATAAACTTCTATAACTTCCTCAATTCCTTTTATCCAGTGATGATTTGCTAATCAGTCTAGTATCCCGACAATTAGTACAATATACTGAACTATAATCACTCATGCTCTGTATAAAAATCACTTTAAACTCTCAATGGCCCAAATAGCAAACTCTGCCCCCCCAAAAAGCTTTTGAGCTGCATTTGTAAAGATTACGGGAAAATGAAAAAAAAAGAAGTCAAATCAAATTTTTTTGTACAAAAAAACTCGGGGATGCAAGAAAAAGTTATGAGTGCCATAACTATTACTAATATGGATTACTAATATGGATGATTCGAAACATCTTCAAATTATTATAACAATTTAAACATGTATAGAATTAATCAGTTAATAAAAGAGAAAAATTTACTAAACGCTGCTCAAATAAGACCATCCTATGTTTAACATATATTAATTGTCTTGTATTTTATTTTCACCACTCTTATTGATAAATAAATTTCGTGGAATATAGGGAACAGAGTCAAGAAGGTTTCATTTTAATTTATTCTTATCAAGTTTATCATAAACGACTATTAATTGAAATCTTGGTGAAGTTCAAACCACTTTTTGTAGTACCCTCCCCTTGGTTAATAGAGTTTACTACAATATACATGAACACACACACACGCTAATGGATTATCTATATTGTCCATATTTGTGTCAAAGTATAAGAATACCAGTCAACAATTCTTAAGTCATAAATACCTGAAAGAAAACTGAGAAAATTTAATAATCAACAGTTATATCTTTTTAATAAACATTATACTGCTGTTTGAAATCTAATACGCTTCCATTATAGAATTGGTGAAATCAGATAAAAGTAACAATATTAAAAAATAGTATTATTATGAATATTATATAGTATGTTCGATCAATAAAAATTACACAATGGCTATTGCTCAAATCTATTTAATCAACTAAGTATCTATAATAGTTCTTTGTAACTTAGTGACAAAACAGTGTTTTTTCATTTTTTTATATAATCCAGATTAAAATATCCTCTAGGAAAATTTTTTTCTTATGTTTTTTTTTTTTTTAATTGAAAGAGAAAAAAATCTAGAAAAATATAATCAAATTTCAATTATCAGTTGGATTGAGATGCGATGAGCTGAGCTTACTTAAATATATATGTTTGAAACAACCACTTGCTCTTCTCCTATCTTCTTAATGTCTCTTCTGTAATATACTACTAAGCAGTATAAATATAAACATAAGCACTAAACCAGTGTTTCTACTCTTTTTTCTTTATTATCTCAACAAAAGAGAAAACATATACACGTAATCAAATGGGTTCTAAAAGAAGACATTCAAACGACATGCATACTCATCCTGATCCAATCAAGACCTCTGTCCCAGAACATGCTGCAGAAGTTGCTGAAGAATTAACCAAGAAACACCCTATCAGTCCAGAGGAACCAATGGTTCATCATGATGCTGGTGAATTCTCTGGTTTGACTCGTCATAGAACCACTGCTGAACAGGCAAGAAAATTAGAAGATGGTAAGATTAACCCATTTACCGGCAATGAATACTCCTCTAAATATATAGAGATCTTAAAGGTCAGACGTGATTTACCTGTTCATGCTCAAAGAGATGAATTTTTAAAGATATATCAAGAAAATCAAATCATGGTCTTTGTGGGTGAAACTGGTTCTGGTAAGACCACTCAAATTCCTCAGTTTGTTTTATTTGATGAAATGCCTCATCTTTTAAATACACAAGTTGCTTGTACCCAACCTCGTCGTGTGGCTGCAATGAGTGTAGCCCAAAGAGTTGCTGAAGAAATGGATGTCAAGCTGGGCGAAGAAGTTGGTTACTCTATCAGATTCGAAAACAAGACTTCTAATAAGACAATATTAAAATATATGACAGATGGTATGTTATTAAGAGAGGCAATGGAAGACCATGATTTGAAACGTTATTCTTGTATTATTCTGGATGAAGCGCATGAACGTACTTTAGCTACTGATATCTTAATGGGTCTTTTAAAACAAGTCATTCAAAGAAGACCAGATTTAAAAATTATCATTATGTCTGCCACTTTAGATGCTGAAAAATTTCAGCAATATTTCAATAATGCACCACTTTTAGCTGTTCCAGGTAGAACGTATCCTGTTGATATTTATTATACACCAGAATTTCAACGAGATTATCTAGATTCTGCTATCCGTACCGTTTTACAAATTCATGCTACAGAAGATGAAGGTGATATTTTATTGTTTTTAACAGGTGAAGATGAAATTGAAGATACCGTGAGAAAATTATCCTTAGAAGGAGATAAATTAGTTCGAGAAGAAGGTTGTGGTCCATTAGCGGTCTATCCATTATATGGTTCTTTACCACCACACCAGCAACAAAGGATCTTTGAACCTGCACCTAAATCACATAATAACAGACCTGGTAGAAAGGTTGTTGTATCAACAAATATAGCAGAAACGTCTTTAACTATTGACGGGATTGTCTATGTGGTCGACCCAGGGTTCTCTAAACAGAAAGTTTACAATCCAAGGATTAGGATTGAGTCTCTTTTAGTATCTCCAATCTCCAAAGCATCTGCACAACAAAGAGCAGGTCGTGCAGGTCGTACTAGACCAGGTAAATGTTTCAGATTGTATACCGAAGAAGCGTTCCAAAAGGAATTGATCGAACAAAGTTACCCAGAAATCTTACGTTCCAATCTATCATCTACAGTACTAGAATTGAAAAAACTAGGTATTGATGATTTAGTTCATTTTGATTTTATGGATCCACCAGCACCGGAAACCATGATGAGAGCATTAGAAGAATTGAATTATTTAGCATGTTTAGACGACGATGGTAATTTAACTGCACTAGGTAGGTTGGCGTCTATGTTCCCATTAGATCCAATGCTTGCAGTTATGTTAATCGGATCATCTGAGTTTAATTGTTCGCAAGAAATCCTGACTATTGTGGCTATGTTATCTGTACCAAATGTTTTCATTCGCCCTTCAAAGGATAAAAAACGTGCCGATGATGCCAAAAACATCTTTGCACACCCAGATGGTGATCACGTCACTTTATTGAATGTGTATCACGGTTTTAAGTCAGATGAGGCTTATGAATATGGTATTCATAAATGGTGTCGTGACCACTTCTTGAACTATCGATCTTTAGCAGCAGCAGACAACATTCGTAATCAATTAGAAAGATTAATGATACGTTATAATTTAGGATTAAATACCACTGATTACGAATCGCCCAAATATTTTGACAATATTAGAAAGGCACTAGCTTCTGGGTTTTTCATGCAAGTTGCAAAGAAGAGGTCTGGTGGGAAAGGTTACATTACAGTTAAAGATAACCAAGATGTTTTAATTCATCCAAGCACTGTGATAGGTCATGATTCGGAATGGGTTATCTACAATGAATTTGTGTTGACATCAAAGAACTATATAAGGACAGTCACCTCCGTCAGACCAGAATGGTTATTAGAATTGGCACCAGCATATTACGATCTAGATAATTTCCAAAAAGGTGATGTTAAATTGTCTTTAGAGAGAATTCAACACAAGTTAGAAAGGTTAAGAGATTTAAAAAGTGAAAAAAAATCTAAGAAAAGAAAACATTGAGGATTTCGAGGGATATAGATAGATATAATTTAAATAATACATATATAATTTTGTATAATAACTATAAATAAAAGAACAGCACTAATAATCAGTGTACTGCTACTAGTACTTCTCTTTTTGGTAAAAAAATTTTTATTGCATCAGCAATAAATTGAGGGAGGAGGAAGAAAGACAAGTTATTTGAAATAAAATTGGAAATACAGCCATCTCCCCTCCTCCTTTGAAAGAAATCTAGAAACAAAAATTTACAAATTAAAAAAAAAGGACGCAATGTATAACACCGACATGAAAGAAAAAGATCGGGTGAGACAAAAAGATTCTGTATTTTTCCAATGCCGATAGTTGTATGATATTAGGGCTTGTTGAAGAAAACGTGGAAACTCTCCAATCTAGGTGACTTTAATGTATATAATCAAGACTAGATAAATTATATTAAAATAAAACATTGGTAAATCTGCTTTAGGTGCTCAATATTCTGTAAATCTAAAAAAAAAAACAATGTGAAATTCATTTAGAATGTCCATTTATAATATTGTAGCTTTATATCTTTTTCTTGAAAGGTCTATAGTTGGCAATTGGATGTTTAATGAGTAAGTGAGAAGAAAAAAGTTAGGTGTACGTCGCTTTACAATAGAATAGGGTTGAAAATTTTTTTTAAAAAAAAAACTATTTTTTTTTTTGGAATACATCTTTTTCTTGCTTACAAGCCATCTTGTTCGAATAACTTAAAAGGGGACACCTACCCATAAAATAGTGTAATATCCAAACACTGGAAGGGGGGTGGGGAAAGGGGGGAAGGGAAAGTTGGAGCAAAAAGTAAATGTAGAACACAGATATTTTTCCTTCATGACTATATATATATATATATATATATATATATATAGGAAATGGAGATTGAGAAACTGAACATGGAATAAAGAGAGCTTCAGTAATATTTCGAGATAAGTTACCATAGTAATATTTGTGTGCATTTTCCTTTTCTTCCCCTCTTGAATTAAAAAATAATTATCATTTGCAATAATTACAACCAATTGACTGTTCTCTCTCATTCTGTTTTTTTTTTTTTTTTTTTTTGATTTCTAATTTTTTTATCTCTTCTTCATTAACAATCGCTAATCATGTTTGGAAATAATATTACCTATGTGGAAGTAAATACGAAAGAGGATGACCCACAACTAAACAATGCCCCCGACCCAGACGAGTTTATGGGAAACAATTTTTGGAACCAACTTATAGCATCAAACCTTCCCAATCCAAATACATTCAATAATAATAGAGCGTCACTCAATAATAATACTGATGGAATATCATTATTATTGACATACAGCAGGTTTCAAACCAACGTAATGGAGACTACAAGGGAATTACATGATCTGACAAGTAAGATTGAATTAATACAAAAAGACCCACCAGTTCTAGAAGATGTTAATTTATTATTACCCCCTTTGATGGCATCCCTTATGGAGAGTAGAGAGAGAGCCAAGAGACTTTATAGGTCCACTTTAAGTAACTACATAGAAAGTAGTGAATCTGATATAGATCGTATCATCAACGAATTAGAGAAAGAACTATTCAGAACTGATGAGCTGTTGGCGTTACATCCTAGAAGAGGCACATTCTATTAAATAAAGTGGTTCTTAAGATTATGAAATATCCTTCTTATAATACACATTTTTCTTTTCCATTTATTTATTTTTCGATTTTTTTTAAACTCCTTTACTATACCTTGCTATGTCAATTTATATGCTTAACTTTATATAATACATTGCATACTTAAATAATCAATGTACAAATGATAAACTTTATATTCTGATACTAATACCATCATCACATACTATCACTACATCTAAAACACAAATCTTTTTACTGATAATAGTATATTAATCCTCCTATAGATTTAATTGTGAGGTTCTCAATATTTATCTGTCTAGTATTTAGTGTCTCAAATGACCAAAAAGAGAAATTTTTCTGTCCAGATTCTTTTCACAAAGTGGCGAAAAACAGGAAAAAAAAAAACAAAAAAGAAAAGCGGAAGAAAAATTTGTCGATCATTGTATAAATATGGGTTGAAAAAACAAATAAGAAAAGGCTCTATGCGTGCTAAGATATAGGTTTCCTACTTAACGCCACCCATGTATATATATATATAACAGCATAACACTGCGTTGTCCTCCCCTTTCTCACTCAAAGTAGGATTATTTATCTAATCAGCACGAGACAACTGTTCAAATAATCACTAACTGCTAACCATAACGATGTCACAAGAACAGTATACAGAAAATTTGAAGGTTATTGTTGCTGAGCAACTAAAAGGTGTAAACAATTTTACAGAAGATGTTAATTATGTTGCAGAATATATTGTACTATTGATTGTCAATGGTGGTGATGTCGAATCGATAGTGAAAGAATTATCTACGCTGTTCGATGCTATCCCAGTCGAGGTGTTAACTGATATTGTTCAAACAGACTTTTTTGCACTTGAAGCTCTACAACAAGGTGAAACAGTAGAAAGCATTGTTTCCAAGATTAGAGAGTTAAATGCCATTCAACAACAACAAGTGCAACAACAACAAGAACCAGCACAACAGCCTATGTCACACATTCAATCAGATCAACCAAAACCTGTTCAACAAGAAATCAACCAACCTGAAACAACGACTGAACAACAACCACAAGTTGTTTCAGCTTTCTCAAATGTTATCTCTACAGAAAAGGCCAACGACTCTAATGATGTAGCTATGGGTAATGATGAAATAACTCCAACAAACTATCAACCCCGTTTTTCCTCACGTGGCCGTGGTAGTGGTAGCGTAGGTAAATCTCGTAGAGGTGGCCGAGGTAGTGCACCTCGTGGAAACCGTTCTTACGGTCATAATAACAATACTGGCAGATTTAATCCATTAGCTAAAGCCTTAGGTATGACATTAGGGAATGGTCCTGACAAAAATAATAAACATAACTTGAATTTCGTTGCTACTAAAAAGGAGGGCCGTTGTAAATTGTTTCCTCACTGTCCGTTAGGTAAATCCTGCCCACATGCACATCCTACAAAAGTTTGTAATGAGTATCCAAATTGTCCAAAACCACCTGGAACATGTGAATTCCTACATCCAAATGAAGATGAAGAATTAATGAAAGATATAGAAAGAACTCGTGAAGAATTCCAAAAAAGGAAGGCTGCTTTATTAGCTGCTAGACAAAAGCCCGTTCAAACAGGATTAGTCATTTGCAAATTTGGTATCTTGTGTTCCAATCCATTGTGTCCGTTTGGTCATCCAACTCCAGCCAATGAAGATGCGAAAGTTATTGACTTGGCTTGGTGTCCAAACAATTTAAAATGTGAAGATAAAGAATGTAGAAAGGCACACTCATCTCTTTCCAAGATTAGACAAGTGGCGCCAATGGGCCGTCCTGTTGGAGTTAATGGGGTCGGCTCCACCACTACTCCTAAACCACCTATTGAAAAGTCTTTAGAACAGTGCAAATATGGTCCTCGTTGCACCAACAAACGTTGTAAGTATAGACACGCCCGTACACCAATTATGTGTCGTGATGGTGCCAACTGTACTAGAATTGATTGTATTTTTGGTCATCCAATTAATGAAGATTGTAGATTTGGTGTCTCATGCAAAAACCCAACATGTTTATTTAGACATCCAGAGGGAAGAACACAACCAATGCAAAATCCAACTACTGATCCAGCTGCTACTTCATTTATTCCACAACAACAAGTTCCAACAAATGAAAGATTATTTGCACTTCCAGAAGGTGCACATATCGAACAAGCACCTCCACAGCAACCAGAAGTACAGCAAATACAGCAACAAGCATACCAGCCACCATTTCTTTCTCAAGGCCAAGGCGATACTGAAATGAGTTGATTTGATTTAAGCTGCTTTTACCCAATTTAATATACCATTATTCAATGTATCAATTTTAAATCAAGATTAATCTATCATTCATTTAGAAGAGTCACTTAAATTTACTATTCTATACTAAATTTTAATAATATATTATATGTGTTTATTTTATCTACAAAATAAAAATAAAAATAAAAACAAAACAAAATAAAAAAAAATCTATAAGAAAAAGAATAAAAACAAAAAAAATAGGACAGATAATTGATTAAATGTAATTTGAATGTAAACATGGCAAACTCCTATTCTTATGCTATAGCCTCTTGTATTCAATTTCTATCTTGATTTTGTCTCTGTTTTCCTGTTTTGCACCTTTTTATACGATCAACTCTTTTTTTAAACATTTCTTATATTTAATCTCTTCTCGAAGTTGTTCTTATTTTATTGAACAATGAATATTATCTTAGAAAGTGCTTCTATAAATCAATTTCCTTAAAGACAACACGTGTTCAATTATTCCTAAAACATACACAAGGGTTCTTTTCAATCTTGAAATGAGAATATATCCTTTATTCCTATGTTATAAATAATGCTCTTCCATAGTAACAGTATAGCCTCCTACATACAAAATCTGATTGACAGAGACACAAAAGTAGAAATGAGTAAAAATTATTCTTTTTTTTTAAGATATACAAATTAATAAATAGTTAAATGTCTATTTATTTATTTATTTATTTATTTATACACTTAGTATCTCTTCTTTTGAACAACAGTGTCATCAGCGTAGATGTCTAATGGAGATAATGGTAAAGCTTGTTCGGCCCATAAGTCTGGGGTTAAGAAACCGTAAGTATTACCAATAGCAGCAAAAGCAGCCTTTAAGGTGTTTTCTAATGTTCTGGTCTTACCAGTAGATTGAGTGTAGACATCTTCAACACCAGCTAATTGTAATAACTTCTTAACAGCTGGAGAAGCAACGATACCAGAACCTCTTGGAGCTGGAATCAATCTCATGGTGACAGAACCACACTTACCAGAAGTCTTAGTAACTAAAGAATGTGGTTGACCTAAGTTAGAACCCCAGTAACCTCTTCTGATTGGGATAACAGATAACTTGGCAATAATAATACCGGCTCTAATAGCACCAGCGACTTCCTTGGCAGTCTTAATACCTAAACCAACGTGACCATTAGAATCACCAATAACAACAACAGCCTTAAATCTGGTTCTTTGACCAGCTCTGGTTTGCTTTTGAACTGGCTTAATGTTCATAACTTCATCAGATAAGTTTGGTAATAAAGTGTCAATGATTTGGAATTCCTTAACTGGTAAAGAGTGTAAGAAGATTTCTTCAATAGTGGTGATCTTACCAGCCTTGACTAATCTACCTAACTTGGTAACTGGGACCCAACCCTTTTCTTCGGATCTACCACCTCTTCTGTTACCACCTCTTCTGTTTCTACCACCGAAACCACCTCTTCTTTGTTGACCTTCTGGAGCAGACATTTTTCTGGCTTATTAGTGTGTATGGACTATTTGTCTTATTAAATCGGAATGGAACACGGAAAGTCGATGTTGGTAACTTTCAATCGATTTTAATAATCACAGCTTTCTGTATGTTGACAGCAAATACCTTAAAACGATAAATGTAGCGCAAGACCCTCTACTACTATATGGAATTTAACAATAGTTTTCTAAATCTAGCTTTGCTCATCGCAACTAATCTGTCAACCACTATTTACGGTTATCTGTAAAGGTATGATAAGTTTTGTTTGAAGAGAATTTAATGACTTATTGATTTTTGCGACATTACATTAAAAGTGAAAAAAAAACAAAAATAAAAATCAGTTCTTTTATACAAAAGTTTATATGTCCCAAAAAAGTAAAAATAAAGTGAAACGTGCAAATGTATGGGTGTTCTAATAACATTAAAAATGAGAAAGAAACAGTCCTTTGAATTAAGAAAATTTTCTGTCAAGAAAATAAACAAGATACTTTAAAACTAAGAAAAAAAAAATAATAATAAAGATATGGAAAGACGTCGAACAGGATTTTAAACAAGAGTGGTTTAAAGAATAAAAATACGATGTAGTATATTATGAATACGTGCAAGTCGGACTGGCATAACCTGATGTTTTGTACATACTTGAGCAAAGAAACATTATATTAATTTTACATGTAGACATGCCTGAAATAATGCCATCTTCTGTTCAACGCATATTACTATTACTTGTGTAACCTGCGACTAGGACTTTTTGAAATTGTTTTCTATATTAATCTATTATGTTCCACTCAAAAGAAATTTGGAAAAATGTGATCTGCAATATATATTTATAACCTGAAATTATTGATTATGCTTTTTGTTAATCTAAATTATCATTTCCTAATTATATTTTAATAAAATATTAATGCTTACAGAAGAAGGTTTTTTCGTTATTACTGTCTTACAAGATCTCTTTGTTTAGTCTCATTTTATTATGCAAAGAGGGAAATGTCTTCCTATCCATCCACAAAAAAACAAAACACATTTAACACAGACATTAATACAGTAAATATCTTGCTTATGCTTGCTATCATATAAATAAGAGAATGGAATATCAAAAGAAAAAAAAAAGGAAAAAAACAATTGAAAAATGATTTATACAGAATTAATACATATGTCTACTTGTGATTTAATGACTTTTTTTATTGAAATGCAATTCATTACTCTTTTTACTCTTGGTGTGCCTTTGTGTTGAATAATGTTTCATATCTTTTATGTTATAATTATTTAATTTATAATTACCAATAAATGTTAAATGTTTTATTAAATGACCAATTTCAATTAGCTGATCCAGATAAACCAGTTCTAATCTATTATTTTTTAGAAAATGTAAATCTCTATTAAAGCCCATGATAACCTTATTCAGCTGCGTCACATACTGCTTAGCAACAACACCTCTCTTAAGCATTAATTTATTGATCTTGCTAATTCGTGTTTGAGGATTTACAGTGTATAACTGCTTATTTTCCAACCATGTTTCAGAACAGACCTTGTCACAATTTCTTGTCTCAATAACATTTGCGGCTTTTAATAGCAAGTCAATCTTTGTATCCATATCCCAAGTTTAATAAAGTTTAGTAATAAAAATATATCTTAGTTTATTCCCACACTATGCAAAAAGAATATTCTACAGTTATTTCCACAGTTATTGATATGAAATGGTCCAGTAATATTCTTTATTTATTCATTCATTTCTCTGGCTTTTATATATTTTTCTCTCTATTAATTGAACGTAGTTTATTACTTTGCTTTTCTTAAATATTACTACATCCTTTGATAATATATATTAAAGACTGTAATTTAATATAAACTTTGCTAATATAAAAAAATAAAAAAAAATTACACAAAACACTCCTAAAAGATAGAACGATGGATATTAACTTGTTTTCGTAAATAGTACATTCTTATTAACTAGGAATGTTATTAAACTTTTTACTGTAGAAATTCGTTACTTGGATTCATTTATAAAGATTTATTAAAACGTTATATTAGTGATCCTATAAACAATCACAAACTTTACGTTATTGATTTATACTACTAAAAATAGTATAGCTTTTGCTCTTATTAAGAGTTTCGCTCAGATAAAATCTAATAAATATGGTAAGTATGAAATAGATAACAATTATCTCTGATGATTTCTCAACAATCTGAGATCTCTTAAATGAGTTTTGAAGTAATTTGTCATCAAGATTAACTTACCAATCACTAGAATGCAAAGATCATCAGACATAAAATCATAACAATACTAACTCAATAATCCTGATAATAAGAACTACCCAAAAATAAATACTTTAGGATCATCAATTAGAGTTTCTTAGGTAAAATTCTTTTAAACTTCCGAAAACTACGGACATCCCTATATAGTCTTGATTTATCCTTTTGGGCCAAACTTAACACATTCATTAATCATATTCTGCAGAATAACATTGTCCAAGAACATGCAATTGAAAGTGAAAAAAAACAGTACCATCCTTGTATCATTTAAAAAGAAAAGTTGCTTTAAAAAAAAATCATTACAATCTTTTAGACCATATACTATAATGTAAGAGTTATCTCAAGTAATATACTAAAATACGGATATTCGTCACATATACAAACAATTGCAGATTTCCAATTAGGGCTTTTTGCAATATTATTCTCTATATATGCGAGTACCTATATTAATATATAAAAAAATATAAATTCTGTTTAATATACACTGGTTCCTAATGTATTTAATGTTTGTAAAGGTATATATTAAATATAAATATATATATAATTTGTATTAACAGTAAAACGTATTTGAGCAGGTGTTCATAGAATTAGCTAATAAAACAAGTAGAAAGACTTGATTAAACAAAAATTGTTAGTATTAGGTATGGATTTATGTGATACTGTAGAATTATCATGTTTTTTTTTAGGAGATTATTTTAAAAATTTTAAATAAAACGATAATTAATATTTATTTCTTTATAAAGATCCTGAATTTATTTTTGAAATATTAAAAGTATGTATTTGCCAGTTAAAATTGTTGAAAATGAGCGCCTATAGTAATTAAATAAATAGTAAATATTCTCAATATTATAATTAGATAGATATAGAATACAAAATAATAATAAAGTTCTTCCATTTCCTTCTCTATATATGATATATAGGCGATTATATATAAAGGATAAACAAGGGAAGAAACATAATATGAAAAAAATTATTGAATTTATATACTTTCATATCTGGTACACTTCATCTACAGACAGCACCAAATTGTTGATATTTTTTAGATCTACTGATAAGCGAATAAAACATTCTCCACATTCTATTATCAATTTATATTTGCTAAAATCTAATTGGTCTATCTATTTATTCCAAAAAAATTCAATTTCAGCAAAAATAAAAGTGTTGAGAATTGAAATCTGTATCTGTTTGTATGTTGTATACATTCTCAGCTGTAATTATTACAATATTAATAGTGTATAAAATTATACTAATATTCTTCAACCATTTTCCGTATGTATAATGTAGAAATAATAATATACAAGAAGTTTACAAATAATCAAAACACGGTATGAAGAAACAAGTGACTTTATATATATTAGCATTTATTACTCCTCTTTTACAAGTGACAAATATTCATCAATTTATTTTGTTTACTTTAATTGATAAGTAAACGATACATACTCCTTATTTTAGTGTATATTTATGTTTACTAAAATCTAATTGACCTATTTATCTATTCTAGAACATTTGATTTCAGTATATGTGACTCTTAAATAATATTTACTGAAATAAGGTATTTTAAAATATACAAATAGACTAATCTGATTTTAGCAAATACCAGATAGTGAAAAACTAGGTATTTATTGTTTATATACTACTAAACATTAATCTAATTATTTAGTTGATTTTTATCACCCCTAGATAAGAAGCCACTCGATATGTCCATGTATATAGACCCAAAGATTTATTTGTATCATATTTTCTCTCCATATATATTTTCTCTGTATAGTATTATTCATATACTGTGTGTAAAGAAGAAAAGAGGAGAGCATCAGTTCAGTTGAGTTTATTATTAAATATATAGAAATTATAATGAAAGAAATACTCACGCTATTCAATACTTATAAGTACTAATTCGTAATAAATATCTATTGATTAAGAAGCACAGTATAAGTATAGCAAATTGATTATCACAGATTCTAGAAACAGGTCACCACTTGTATTTAAAATTTTGAAATAATTACTATTTTTATTTCAAACTAATAGTCGTCTGTGTATTCCTGATATAGTTCATTTATCTAGATTTCAATTTACAAACCTTAAATATTTTATAATTCATAGGCCTTTAAAATTATGTCTTTTTCTTTTTGCATATTGTAAGCAAGGCAAGATTTGCAAGATTTAGAAAATTAATTGATAACTTTTTTCCCTCAACAAAAATACTGACTAACAATGGGAATTTACTTACTTGGTAATAATAATACAAGTAATTATACAGTCACTCTGATACATTATTTCTTAATTTTTGCAAACACATATTATCAGTAGATAACTTCTAAGAGTTATAATTTTTCTTGATCGTTAGATCTAATAGCTTAATTGTTGGGAATGAGCGCCTTTATTCATTGGATATATAGTAAACATTCTCAATATTATATTAAACAGATTTAGTATACAAAATTATAATAAAGTTCTTCACTTTCTTTCTTTATATACAACATAGAAATAATAATATAGAAAGATTGTAAATAAGATAAAAATAATGTATGAAGAAATCCTTGGCTTTATATATGTTAATATTCAGCCATTTTCCTCTACGAACAGTAAGATATTTAATAAATAAACTCAACAACTTTTGGTGACCTCTCAACAATTATTACTCAACAATTTATCGTTTAGTGTCTGCTAAAATCTTATTGTTCTATCTATTTTATCATAAAACATTCTATTTCAACATACCACCCATAGATCAATTCAATTTTAGTAGATCCAATTCTCAGTTAGCTTGGCAAAAATTTTAACACTCAAAGGTTTTGTAAGAATATCAGCAACGTTTTGACTTGTGTTAATATAATTCACTGATATATTATCATTTTCAATTTCTTCAGCAATGCGTAAAACCTTAGTACCATAAAATTTATTCTTGATTTTTGATATGTCTCTTACTTTGATTTGATGGAGACTAGTTTGACTGTCAGTTAATATTGAACACCTGACCTCCTTGTCTGATATAGCCTGAATTAGAACATTTAAATTTCTTAATCTTGGAATTGCTTCACAAATTGAATAAATTTCACTTTCGGTAGAAGAGGTGCATGTAATTGTTGACTTAGATGACCTAGCACCAATCAAATTTCCATTTAGATAATACATATTTCCAAATTGTGATTTCATATCGTGTTGATTTGCAAAAGCAGCATCAGTTACAGCAGTTAAATAGTTAATGTTGGAGTTGGACGTCTTGTGCCATATGAGCCGTTTGTTCCTTGTTGACCAAATAAACTGAATTAGTTGTTTGGTTAGACTCATGACTTGTTTTGATGGATATAGAGTATGTCTAGCTAGCGTGTTGACATAATATAATATATCATATCTGTACTTGTAACCGACATATGAAGCTAAACCGATTGCTTTTTGTAGCCATTTCACCTTATTCTTGTACTCCTGCTCAGTCGGATAAAATTCCCTTTCTCTTATAATTTCATTAGGTGTTCCTGGGACTTTTCTACTTTTGTTAAGGTCTACACGTAGATTCGGTAGTTTTTCTTCTAAAGATTTAGCCATACCCATTTTCATGGATAATCCTTTAATATATTCTATTTCCAGACCGAGAACATCATATTGATTAATCTTTTGAGCACCGTCATTGACAACTTTGGTTTCGAACTGTGATTGGAGTTGAGAAATAAGGTCATTTATTAGTTGACGATTATTAGTTAATAATACCATATCATCGACAAAAAGACATAATATCACGATTGAATCATTGATTTTTTTATAAAATACACAAGGCCATCCTGGTACAAAATTCATATGACAACTATTAATAATAAAATTGGTTATCTTCTTATACCAGTTTGCACCAGACTGTTTCAAACCGTAAAGTGATTTCTTTAGTCTATGTACTGTATTTCGTAATCCTAAATGGGGTGGAGAACGAATGTACAGTTCTTCTTCCAATGGAGCATACAAGTAAGCAGATGATATATCTAATTGTATAATATCATAGTTGTTTTGTAAAGCTATTGATAGACAGGACATTAGAGCGTAATGGTGAACAGTGTTTGACATCAGATCTGGTTGATAAGTCGAAGCTTTTTGTTGGTCTCCCCTAGCAACTAACCTGCATTTGTGATGACCATCTCGCTTGACACTAAAAATAAACATAGAGTTAATAATTTTGGATTTGTCTACTTCTGTAGCTTCAATAGTTTTTACCGACCAGGTACCCATTTTCGTCAGCTGAGATATCTCTTTATCATATGCTTCTTGGAATTTTTCTTTTTCAATTGGATCCCTATTGTGTGTGATTGCTTGAAAATATTGTAATGGACCATGCTGGTTGTTCTCTTCACTGCTGACCTGGTTTATGGTGTGGCGTGTAGCAGCAATGTAATTTACTGCATATGTTTTTGTAGTTTTCCTACGTTTACCAATACGTGCCTTAGTTCTTTCGTCCCTGTCTCGCTTCTGCCGTTCTTTGGCATCGACAGGTTCAGGCGTTTCTACATTGGTGTTCTTTTGACGATTACCAGATCTTGTACCACCCAAGGTACTATTGTCAACGTAGAAATTATCAGTAGGAATGGGGGTGAGTTTTGATGAACGATTACTAGATGGTGGTGTAGATGAAGATGTAGTGAGATGTAGTATCAGTAGAGACAGCAGTGGGCAGTGGTGATGATTCATCAGAAGTAGGATGAGATGAAGGTTCAACAAGAGTTAAGGGTAGTTGATTAGGATCATTGATGTCGATGGGAGTGATTAGTTCCTCTAAATCAGAAGAGGTGGGATGAGTAGTGTGGTTGTTAGATGGATTTGAATTGGAAGTAGTATTGGTGGTGATATTCAAATCAGCATCAGCATCATTTTGAATTAAAATTTTATCTTCAAAGAGTGGATCTTTGTTAACGAGGGAAGATGATTTGGGTGATGAGGATAGAGTAGATAAAACTGTATCTTTATGATTATCAGAAGGTGTGGCTTCAATTTCGTCCTTTGAAGATGTAGTATGTTCAAATTTTGATATAAAAGTTGTGATGAGATCGTCGAATATAGAATCATCATATTCTTCATTTTCATGAATATCAACGTCATGTTTAATTGGAACAAAATTGGATGAGGATACCACCCTACGTTTAGTTGGGAGGTAAAATAAATAGCCATAAGATTCAGCATCTGGTATTAGAGCAAAACCTTTTTCACCTCTGACATGTAATTTGGAGGCAGTTTTATTGAGGTTAATAATGACCGGTTGACCGAATGGTAGCAGTGACTTGGTATCAAGTCCTAGTAAACCGACTTTAGACCGAGGTGAATCCCTCATAGAATTGTTATATATGGAATTACGGATTATAGTTGCATATTGCACAGCGTAATACCATAGGTGGTGTGGGAGTTTTGCACTATTCATAATAGTACGACAATCATTTAATAATGTTAAATTTAATCGTTCCGCAACACCGTGAGCTTGGGAATCACCTGCGTCGGTATAAACAATTTGAATACCGTTTTCAGAAAGAAACGTTTTTACTGCAGAGTTGGTGTACTCTGTTCCCCGGTCAAACTGGAATTTTAATATGGGGGTTTTGAATTGTCGCTCAATAGTCGCAATAAAGGACTTGAGGACATGTAGGATCGTTGCATCATCTTTCCTTTTTAGTAAATAAGTCCACTTAAACTTAGATGCCTCATCAGTGAACGATATAAACCATTCAGGTTTTGTAGCCACAGTTACTGGTCCAAACAGGTCAGAATGAATATATTGAAATGGTTTGAACACCTGCTGGTATTGCAGACGTGAACCAACAATATGTGGTCTCTTCCTGCTTTTTCCTTTGAGACAGTCCTGACACTGAAAATTGTTAAGGTTAGACCAATCAATTTCGTCTATAGATAGATTATTGAAGGTTTTATTTTTGATGGATGTATAGATTGACTGAACATTGACGTGACCTAAAATGCGATGAATCATGTCTAAAGGAAATTTAGTTTTTAACGCATTTACAGATTTACGAGTTGCAGTAGATGGAAATACAATATGATGATTGGATAACCAATGTAAACCATTTGAGGAGTCAATGTTTGCTGCAACATCACCATTAGCATCTTCAATGGTGTTGAGACGCTCGTTTAAAAACAGATGGTGAGAACGGAGATCACTAGTAGATAAAATGGTGTGATCAATTGTGGGTGTGTAAAAGGCATGAATTTTTATTTGGCTGCCATTTAATGTTTTTAGAATTAAATCACCCTCTTGATCGTATGGGATATCCGTGTTGGAGCATGAGGTTATTTGAACAGATTCAGGATGAGAGTCACGAAGATTGTGCAACATCTCTTTATGTTTTACAAGGGTAACCGTAGCACCGGAATCTAGCATCATATAATATGCAGGATTTAGTGAAGTTGAAATAGGCCTAAGTAAGGTTGGATCGACTGGGTTATTTTGTTGAGGAATAGAGGTGCTATTTGAATGGGTTTTAACTTGGCTAACCTTTTTAGAACGAGCTTTGGTAGATTTGGCTTTTGGCTTAACTGTTGAAGGAACTGTAGTATTTTTGGTGTTCAACACAGTAGATGTGTTGTTTGCTCGTTTATTCACTGATGGATTTGTTGGATACTGTTTTTTTGAAGAAGATGGAGGATTAGGGGAAAAATGTGGATCGGAAATTTGTGAAGCTTGATGGTAGTATTGATATTCTCTCTTGATAGAAGAGAAAATGTCGTTTATAGTATATGGGGTATCACTCTTAAAAAAGTGTTTAGAAATGGATTCGTAAGTACCTGTTAACGTATCAAGAATTGTTTGTTTTAGCAGGTACTCGTGGGTTTGAAGATCCGTGGGGTTCAATTGATCAATTAAGTTATGGAGATAACTTGTAAATTGAAATGCTGGGTAGCCACCATTATATTTTAAAGATCTAATAGTGTTGATAATGGTATTGACATTACTGCGTTCAATGTCGTATGTCATGGCCTGACGAATAACATCATAGGGATGCATTTGCTTGTGAAAGCATTCTTGAACCCAATCGGGATAACTGCTCTGAGGAACAAGGGTGAAAAATAAATTAATTAAACCTTGAGATTCTTCTGGCGTTGGATCTCTTACAGTACGATCGTGTGAATCAGGAACCAAATCTTTTAGACCAGAAGCAATCAAATGTTTTATTAAGGAATGAACCCAGGAGTTAAATAGACCAACACTAGAGCAGTAAAATAAAGTAGTTGGAATGTATGGGTTGTTATATGTACATGAATGGTTAGGTGAACCTGGAAACATTGGTTGGATTGGATTGATGGGAGAATAATATCCCGGTAGTTGACCATAATAAGGAAATGGCATATAAGCGAAACCAGTTGGTTGTTGGTAACCGTTTATTGGAATATGATGGTCATATGATGGACCATTAGTACCAGAATCAGGATAGGATGACTTTCCAGCCTGAGAAGGATTGTTCGGCGTGGAAGAACCGTATGGAGCAGATTGCTGATCTGGAGAAGCATTGTTTCCAGATTCCCTAGAAGATGGGTCAACATCTGTTGTAGCATTTAAATTATGTTCCAACTGAGGGTTGGATGGGATGTTGGATGCAGTGGAAGCGTCTTGACTGGTATTTATGTTAAAAGCTTTAATACCAGCGCCCGTGGAGGGATTTACAGCACTAGGATCACTAGTGTGTCCAGACAGAAAGCTACCATGTTGAGAATGAGCGCCTTTATTCATTGGATATATAGTAAACATTCTCAATATTATATTAAACAGATTTAGTATACAAAATTATAATAAAGTTCTTCACTTTCTTTCTTTATATACAACATAGAAATAATAATATAGAAAGATTGTAAATAAGATAAAAATAATGTATGAAGAAATCCTTGGCTTTATATATGTTAATATTCAGCCATTTTCCTCTACGAACAGTAAGATATTTAATAAATAAACTCAACAACTTTTGGTGACCTCTCAACAATTATTACTCAACAATTTATCGTTTAGTGTCTGCTAAAATCTTATTGTTCTATCTATTTTATCATAAAACATTCTATTTCAACAAGTATATTCCTCGACAAATAACTGCTTATCTTGAGTTTATTTTTTGTTCCAGAATTTACAATCAATGGTGTTAAAAACAAAGCATACGAGTAATAATAGAAAGCCTTTTTTCATTATTAGAAAATATTAGTAATGGAATTGACAATTGGGATAAAGATAAATATATTTTTAATCAAATAAATAATATTTTATTTATTTCCTGTTATATGACACATTCTTATGAGATATTGCATAAATTATTTCTAATTTTAGTACTCCCCATCAGAGATACCGAAAACATATTTTGAAATATTTCCTTTTAACATCAGTATCTTCACAGAAAATTTACATAACACCTGACATCAACTGTACTTAACAAGACTCATTTATGTATCTAAAACTACTGTATTATAAATAATACGTAACTTGGCATATTAAACCCTCTTCCATATATTTTATTATCTATGCAGTATATAAAAAAACAATATTAAATATTCATTCAATTGATTACCAATCATAGTATATAGTTCATTAAATAATAAATATAAATTAACTTAGTTTTTTTGGATAAACTAAACCAAAAATACTATATTTTCTGATATATATATATATTTATATAATTATGTTAAGTTAAATTAGTTGATGAAAGATTTTTTTACTTCATAAATGCTACATTTTTAATATTAATTATTTTACTCCATTTAATTTATATTTCTTGAACAAGAAAATTAAGTTTTAAAACTTGATAAAATACTATGACACTACAAATAAAACATATCAATGCTAAAATAGATATAAAATCGCTCCTCTAACACTGTACGTAACAAAAAGATTTTCTCCCTCCTTCGAAACTTATAGTGATTAAAATATTCTTAAAATAAATTTTTTTTATTTGTTAACTGTAGAAAGTAGAAAAATTAATATGCTTATTACTCGCAACTTATAAACTGGTATTTGGATGTTTAGTTTGTAAAGAATGTACACAAATAATACATACATCAATTTAATATGTATGTAAATAAATACTTTTCGATCTTTAATAAATTTTATTTTTGAATGGTTTTCTTCTTGAAACATTTTTCAATATTCTTTTTTACAACTTCTAGAAACAACAAATAATATTGTAAAAAGCCCTAATTGAAAATCCTGAAATAGGTAGTCGGTGAATAACATCGAATGTCGAGGAGAAAGACTTGAAACAGTCAAAACTCTGGACCTAAGATTGTGAGTGTATTCGAACGAACAAACAATCGTTGGATGAACATTGGTGGCAAATTATTGAGAAGCTTATTTAAAAAACCTCTGATTATTGAGAGATAGTATCAGAAATAATTATCAGCATAAACATTCGTATTCTATCTAATAGGTTCTGTCTAGAAGAATAGCTAGAATAGTGATAATAACCTAAATAATAAGACTAATTTATTTATTAGTTAGAATCAACCAATTATATAATGTGCAAGTGTTTGTATATATGATTAATATCCATATTTTAGTATACTACTTAAGATAATCCCTTACATAATTAGCTTTATTTATTATAACTGAAAGTTTTCAGGTAATTTTGAGACATTCATTTTAGATATTTTTTTGTAACTCCTAATTACGTACATTAGGAAGCTTGTAAATTTCAGTACATTAGAAAAATCTGAAGAATCTGCAATGAATTAAAAAAATTTAAGTATACTATTATAATAAACAAATATAATGGCTAGATTATATAGTTAATATATAAATAATATATATATTCTATTTTCGGCATAACTATTTATTATATTGTCTTGTTCTTCTGGTAGGAGCTTGCAACAAACTGTATTTTTTCACAGATCAATACATTAAAAATAATCACCTCTCGAGTAGCAACCGTAATATATATTGTTCTAATACCATTATGGATAATTTTATAGACTCTTTAGTCGACGAGGTCGTTAATGCTTTTAATATTTATAAACATTACATCTATTTCTCCATGCATTTCTCTAGGCTGTTCCTGGTATAGAGTGTAGTTTGTATATAATATACGGAGAATAACTATCGAGAATTATCTATCATATTCTATCTTCTAAAAGAATATATCTGTAATACTTCAGATACCAATGTGTCAGCTAGGGTTCTGACTGTCAGATTAGAAAAATAAGGGTCACAGATATTCAATAAACTCCGCTTTTTAGAACATATTACAAACAAACCTTGTTAGTGAAAATATGAGAAGTTATAAAGAGAAGATACAAATACATAGAGTAAAAATAATCAACAGAATGCAAAAAGAAGATGCACACGAATAAACAAAAAATAATAAGCAAGTGTATTGTTTATATTACTTACTTATATTAATATAGCTAATATATTATTATATCCAGAAATAAAATGTGAATCAATATTTCATATTTACTTGGGTGAACTCTTATAATATATTGTTTACAAGTTGGTTGTAATTAGAGGCTCATAACCAAATGATTATCCCATAATGCGAATTTTTCTTAAATTGTAAAACGATACAAACAATTTAACAAATCACTTGATATATGCACCTTTTGTGACATACGAAATCCTAATGTCTCTATAAATGAGCTTGTCAACTCTTGAGTCAACGTTTTTATTTTTCTTGTTTATATATCATATGTAGAGAAGAAATCAAGCAATATTCATCTATTACACCTTGTACCGACTTCGTATCCCATGATATTTTAAATTAAATTTTTCTAAAAATGATTTCGCCCAGGATCGAACTGGGGACGTTCTGCGTGTTAAGCAGATGCCATAACCAACTAGACCACGAAACCATGTCTTCGTCATAATCTGTTGTAGATCAACCTTGATATTATGATTGTAAAAAACGATTAGGGTTGAAAAATATTGTTAGGGTTTTGTGATGATTGTCAAGAAAAGTTCTAGTTTGGAATTATAGGACTTAGGGTTTGTTGATAAATCCCACATGATTGTTGAATACTATGTAACAAAATGAAACATTCATGAAACATTAAATAGCTAATTAAGGAGAAATGTATCTACGGTGACAGTCGTTACAGAACCTCAAATAAGAAACTATCAACCCATAGTTCATATATAAAGGACCAGTATCTTGGTATCTAAATTTATATGTTTGGTTGATTTATAAAAATATGTAGCACATTGTATAATACAAAAAAGAACAAGCAATAATCGTTTAATTTTCCTAGATATATATAACGTTCTTATATATTTGTTATTGCCCTTACTATTCGTTCAATAGTACTGTTAAGAAAATTGGTCCTAAGTCCAAACTATAACAACTGGTAGCGTCGCCAAAATATCTGTCCATCATGTCCGAATTCCCAACCAATCCTGTCCTCGTCCAAGCCATAAAGGTCGCTCAACCTTTCACAGGTTCAACTCGCTCAGTCTTTAACTTACGTGAATTTTTGTTATCCTTAGATTTAAAATTTGGTCTTCATCATATTACTGATGACTTCCGTAAAATTTGCATCTTTGCTGACAATATTGGAGGTAAAGCTACACAATGGTTCCTTAACTTCTCTGCTGATCATGATCTACATTCCATTTCCTACTCCACCCTGGTCTCTCAATTCACTGCCTCCTTTGGTGCACAACTAGATGTGTACGACATCAGTCGTAAAATTTGTTCATTAAAACAACATAATAACATCGACGGATACATCAAAGAGTTTTACCAGTACAAAAACCTGTTACCCGAGGGTGCCATGAGCGAACAGATACTCATAAGTTATTTTATTCAAGGGTTAAAACCCGACACTAGAAAGGCTGTCGTCTTACAGTCTCCGACAACATTTCATAAAGCCACTGAACTTGCTCGCAAATGTGAGCACTGCTTACTAGATCCAATTACGATTAATTACTCAGGTGACGTCTCACCTAATTCTGGTTCCTACCAATTAGATAGTGACGGTGATACTATTATGGCTATTCATTCTAACAACCGTTACCGTAGAGGTTATTCTACGCATTCTACTAACATTACATCTTTCAGGAGAGGAAGATCCCAGAACTCAGCTGATACCACTTCTTCCAATAAACGTGATAAAGAGGACCTTCGTCGTTTGTGCTTGGAATATAAACTATGCTTCAAATGTCGCAAACCAGGACATCAATCCAGCACTTGCCCACATGCGAGTTCTCGCTAAAAATACCGTTACTTCTCATTCCCATTTCTTTCCTTCTTCTTTATCCTCTTTATCAAACTCCCAAGACACAAATAAATCAAGAAAAAATAAATTTTTTTTCGAGAAAAGTGCTGGGTCACACACCCAATTAAAACACCCAGACGAGTATACAAAAACAAAATACATCGATACTACTACAATACCAGAAGTCACTACTATTATAACCACCACCAAGCCATTAGTAGGTACTCGACACGAACGTCCATGTATCGTTAACAAAATAAAGGTCCCTGTACTGTTTGATACAGGAAGTCCTACTTCACTGGTTAGTGAAGATTTAGTTGCCAAAAACGGATGGAAACCGTACACTGTCCCACCATTCATATGGAAAGGTGCTATCGCAGATCGAACCTCTACTACTACCAAGGCCGTTCAATGTAAACTTTTAGACAATAAGACATCATACGAATTCAACGCTTACGTCACTCCAGAATTACACAATCAAGTCATTGTTGGCAATCCTATCATCGAACATTATCCAGAACTACTTTCTACAACTAATAATATCACTAATTTCAATACTACAACTGACATTACCATAGGTGCTATAGATCAAATTTTTGACACAGACGTAGAAGAAATTTTTTGGTACAATTATCCAAGAATGAAAATCCAATCAACCCCCATCACCATGAACTTCCTATAGAACTTCAGCAAGAATTTAAAGACACTGTTACCAATGAATTACCGCCACAGTCAGGTACTCATACTTATAACCATACGATCGAATTAAAGCCTAATAGTCGTCCTCCTCGATTACCACCCTATCGCATGACCCCGGTACTAGAAAAAGAATGCAAAAAAATAATTCAAGAATTACTTGATAAAGGGTTCATTGTCGAGAGTAAAAGTCCAGTCTCATCACCAGTATTATTAGTAAAGAAAAAAGATGGTTCCTATAGACTGGTTGTAGATTTTAGACAATTAAATGATCTTACCATTAAAGACCCCTATCCATTACCACGAATTGATGATTTAATGACAAAAATAGGTGACTGTTCCATATTCTCTACACTTGATCTACATTCAGGCTATCATCAGATTCCACTAGCGGCAGACTCTGAAGAACTAACTGGGTTTACTACTCCCTTCGGTCATTATCATTACAAGGTTATGCCATTTGGTTTATGTAACGCCCCAGCAACATTTGCTAGATACATGCAACGCATACTTGGTGATATTCCACATGTTTTCGTTTACTTGGATGATATTTTAATTGCTAGTAAAGATTATGAAAGTCATATCCACGATCTTAGACAAGTTTTAACAAGATTACGGCAAGAGGGTTTAGTCTGCAAGAAAAACAAATGTTATTTTTCCCAATCTGAGGTACAATTTTTAGGTCATACATTATCCACTGCTGGTTTTGCTGTTCAACAAGACAAAGTTAAGGCTATCCAAGAACTTCCTATGCCTACTACTATTAAGAGTGCTCAATCATTTATGGGAATGATCAATTATTATCGAAAATTTATTCCACATTGCAGTAAGCTGGCCAAACCCCTTTTCGATTTTATTTCTAAGAAATGTCCGTGGTCGAAAGCTCAAGAAGATACCACGATCAAATTGAAAGCTTGTCTCACCTCAGCTCCTGTTCTCGTTCCGTTTGTCCCAGGTGATAATTACAGGCTTACCACAGACGCAAGTTATGCTGCTATAGGTGGAGTTCTAGAACGTTTATCAGCTAACGGTAAATTATTAGGTGTCATTGGTTATTTTTCGAAAACTATTTCCGATACTCAAAGTCGTTATCATATTGGTGAACTTGAATTATTAGCTATAGTTGAGTCATTAAAATACTTCAGATACTATTTACATGGACATCGATTCTTACTGCGGACCGATCACAGCTCTCTACTATCCTACCGAAGCAAAAAGGAACCTTCTCAGCGTCTATCTAGATGGCTACAGTACTTAGAAGAATTCGATTTTGATATTGAACATATTAAAGGAAAAAACAATGCTGTTGCCGATGCTTTAAGTCGCCCTCAAGACGATTCTGCTATTAATGTTTATCCACTAACCACGTTGTCCTCGATTAATCCACAAGATTGGTATGAATCATTACTCGAAGATCCATGGTCTGCTGCCATTTTAGTTTCCCTAGGCGTTGTTGATAAGGTCAATATTTCAGCCTCTGATGATTCACTTTATAAGAAATATATTAAACGCATGAAGTTTTCGGCCAAAGCTCAAGAACGCTATAAATTTGATAGTAACATTCTATACTATGATTCTCGAATTTGTGTTCCATCCAAAGAACGATTTACACTGCTACAGTTATATCATGATAGTTTTTTACAAGGTGGACATTTCGGTGAAACCACTACTATTAATAAACTTGCTCCACACTACTACTGGCCTTCCATGTCGAAAGAAATTAAGAGTTTTGTTCAAGGATGTTTACAATGCCAACTAATGAAACGGTATCGTCCAAAAATTAACGGTAAGTTACGCCCTTTAGATGTTCCATCAGGCCGTTGGATTGATATTTCAATTGACTTTGTTACAGGTATTCCAACATCTAAACAAGGTAATGATATGATTATGGTTGTTGTCGATAGATTCTCCAAACGTGCACATTTTATCGCTATGCAAAAATGTTATGGTTCTACCGGTGTTGTCCGTGCTCTTTTTCGCTATGTCTTCTGTTACCATGGTTTTCCCAAAACGATTGTATCTGATAGAGATATTAGGTTCGCAAGTGGTTATTATAAGGAACTCACTGACCGGTTACACATCAAGCTACTTAAATCCACCACGAATCACCCCCAAACAGATGGTCAAACAGAAAGTGTTAATAAAACACTCAATAGATTATTACGTACCTTTTGTCACAATGATCACACTGTATGGGATTTTTTCTTACCACACCTCGAATTCGTCTACAATTCAACTCCTCAATCTGCTATTGGTGCTGCCCCTTTTGAAATTGATATTGGTTTTATTCCGAATGAACCTCTTATGGATGTTGGTAATGACTCTTCAGCCAGAAATGATAGTGCAGTTACTCTAACAAAAAAACTTCAAGCCATTACTTTACGTACCCGTGATTACCTACAAGAACGGCAAGAAATGATGGAAACTCAGGAAAATCCTCATAGAAGCTCTCTTACTTTTAAGGTCGGCGAATACGTCTTATTAGATAGAGACATCTATTTTAGGGGAGGAAGGTATTTAAAAGTCCAACCTATTTTCATAGGACCGTTTAGAATTGTGAAGGTTTTTGATAATAATACAGTCGAAGTCGATTTGCCTTCTTCATTTAAAAAGAATAGGGTGATTAACGTAAAAAATATCAAAAGGTTTGTGAATGACAAAAGACGTTATCCTAAGGATTTACCAGCTACCGCCACAGAAAGAATAATGAGACTTTCAGAGATCATCGCTGTGACTGGTTATGACATTGAGTCACAAACCTACTACTGCAAGATGCAAGATGTTAATCCAGAGTTGATATGTGAGTACACCTTAGATGAATTTAACAAACTTCCGACTGATCGTCGCAATTCACTGCTATCAAACTTCAGAAATTTATCAGAACCTTTGGGAGAGGAAGGTGTTGTAGATCAACCTTGATATTATGATTGTAAAAAACGATTAGGATTGAAAAATATTGTTAGGGTTTTGTGATGATTGTCAAGAAAAGTTCTAGTTTGGAATTATAGGACTTAGGGTTTGTTGATAAATCCCACATGATTGTTGAATACTATGTAACAAAATGAAACATTCATGAAACATTAAATAGCTAATTAAGGAGAAATGTATCTACGGTGACAGTCGTTACAGAACCTCAAATAAGAAACTATCAACCCATAGTTCATATATAAAGGACCAGTATCTTGGTATCTAAATTTATATGTTTGGTTGATTTATAAATATGTAGCACATTGTATAATACAAAAAAGAACAAGCAATAATCGTTTAATTCTCCTAGATATATATAACGTTCTTATATATTTGTTATTGCCCTTACTATTCGTTCAATAGTACTGTTAAGAAAATTGGTCCTAAGTCCAAACTATAACATAATCTGTTGTGGAATAGAATAGTGATAACCATCAAGATTACATAAGATCCTGAATGAATCTAGAACCAATTAGTGTATTAATAAGCCATACATGTGCTACAACATTAGATGCTGCATAATAAAAAGATTGGATTACATAAGACCTTGGCAAATCTAGAATTTACCTATTGTTTTATTAAGTCCCACGTGTATTACTAATCACCATGATTAGAGAATTGGGATGCAGTTCTAATCCAGTAGTGCACCTAAATTAATATAATAAATTTTAGGGTTTGAATCAGTCAAGTCATTAATGTAGTAATCTGAATAATCGATCGAGCTCCAGAAAACATATAAAAGGACAACGTTTTCAGGAGATAAAAGATCATCTTCCATAATCGTTTCTTGTAAATAATTTATATATTATGTATAAACAAAATAGAACAACAAGCAAGTAACAAGTCAAGTAACTTCGAATAAGTACATTAGCTCGATATAAGCCGCTTAATATATAAGACCGTTTTAGTAATTATACTATCGACTATAGTTGATTACTGTCTCGATTATTTGAATTACTATTAATATTATTTGCGCTTCCCTGGAATACACAAAGAACTTCACCACACCATACTACAACAACAATAAAGATATGGTTCCTTGGCCCAGTTGGTTAAGGCACCGTGCTAATAACGCGGGGATCAGCGGTTCGATCCCGCTAGGAACCATTCTATTTTTGCAATCCAACACTTCTAATATCGTGTGGTACAGAGCATGTAGATAATGTGATGAAGACCTATTATGAGAGATGTACTCCTCTAGAACACTAAAAGAGAGTCTTTATGAAAAGAGACAGAAAAAAGCAAAGGAACTATTGAAGATGAAAAACGTTCCCCTAAATGCTATTTTCTAGAAGTCGGGAAAATCTAGCTCAAAGAAACAAGAGACTAGTAATCCAAGGCTTATGCTATTATAGTAATATTATACTTGTTATACATATATACACATATAAACAATTATTTATATATGGTTTCTCTCGTAAAGTTACATATTTTGATAATACATATAGTTAACATACTTTTAAGATATAATGTGAATGGAATATTTTTATTTTATTTTACGTTATTAAAAGAAATACCATTGATAAATCCTTTTCATTAATATTAATATCCCTAATGATGTGCTTCTCATTAATATATAATACTTCTCTAACATATTGTAATAGGAAAAAAAAAAGGTAAAGATTAAAAACAAATTATCATTAGCAACAAAAAAAGAAAAAAATGTTTTAAATTATTTCCTGACTTTATATGTTACACTTAATCAACATTTTAAAGAATAATCAAATAAATTTAATTTTTATGTTTAGAATTTCTTTTTTCAACTTTTAATAGCAGAGCTTTATTGATATGTGGTAAGACACCACCAGAGGCAATAGTAGCTCTAATTAAAGTATCTAATTCATCGTCACCTCTAATAGCTAGTTGCAAATGTCTTGGTGTAATTCTTTTAACTTTTAAATCTTTAGCTGCATTCCCAGCTAATTCCAGCACTTCAGCAGTCAAATATTCTAAAACGGCAGTCAAATAAATAGCAGCTTTTGAACCTACACGTGCCTTTCCACTAGCACTTCTCTTTAAGTAACGTTTAATTCTACCAACCGGGAATTGCAAACCTGCCCTAGCAGAGGATGATTGAGCCCTTAGAGCTACACCTTCCCCACTAGATTTACCTTTACCACCATGTATTTTACCACCGGACATACTTTTTTCTTTTTCTTTTTCTTGTAGTTATAGACGTATATGTATTTATATTGGTCTATTGATTATCCAAATCTTGCTATTGTTACGTAAATAGAGTATCAAAACGCAAAGTTATTCCTGGTGAAAGAAGAGACCTTGAAGTGACTCATTAAGTTTTTATGTTTCTTAAGGTCCTTAACTGTTTATTTGTTTGTTTACGCTTTTGTTTTCCACCTTTCTTTCATTCATTTCTTTTTTTCTTTTATTTTTTTTTTGGTGCCTCTTTTCTTGAAGATACAGTTTCCTTTTTGGGCTGTTTTCGGGTAACCATTTTTTTGTGTAACGCTTTTTCTCTTTTAGGAAATTCAGGGCCGCACACAGCGTTGAAAAATAATTTAATTTTGATCTGGTTTAAAAGATGAATAAATACGATGAGCACAATGACAAATAACTCAAGAGCGCAGATAAGATGGTGATCACTAACTGAGAAGAGATTTGTCAAAGCAGCAGCATTTATACAAAATATTCAGATACTAAATAAAAAGGGTGGAATAAACAAATATATATATATTATATATAGGGCAAACAATTGCTCCATCGTTTTAGTTTTCAACTAATTGGCTTTATATTTTTTTGTGTTTGTTTTTATACTATATTATTTTTAGCTCAAAGAAATATGCTATATGATACAATTATAGTTCCTATAAATAACCACACATTATCATATTTTAAGTTTGAAAGGTTCACAGTGACTCATTTATTCTTCCTGATCATAATTTTTAATCTTTATTTTGTCCAGGGAAAACATGAAAAGAATCAAAATAATAATGATGCCACTGGATATGCACCACGTAAAATCCACTGTGACTTTCCCGAAAATGTTTCTTTAGTAAGAGAAGCAAGTTCCATATCAACCAATGAATCTCGGTGGTTAAAGCAAAGAAAAAAAATTACTGTCCCTGCATTATATGATTTTTTAGAAAGATCAATGACTTCTTTTAAAAATAAAGAAGAAGTTAGTTTGATTCTAGAAACATTATTTAATGCCAGAAGCAAGGATCATATAGATACAGAAACGCTGTCAAGTCCACAGATTGGTGTTGCAATATCTGGTGGTGGTTACAGATCCATGTTGACCGGTGCCGGGGTTTTAGCTGCCATGGACGCAAGAACTAAGGATTCTGTTACCCATGGTCTTGGTGGTCTATTGCAAGCAACTTCATACATTGCAGGTATCTCTGGTGGTAACTGGTTAGTAGGATCTTTAGCATGGAATAATTGGACCTCCGTACAATCTATTTTAGACAATATGCATGTAGAAGATTCCATTTGGGATCTTGATGATTCAATTATATCACCTGGTGGACTCAATATTATTAAAACAGCACAGAGGTGGGACCATATCTCAGGCGCAATAGATGCCAAGAGAGACGCGGGGTTTGAGACCTCTCTGACTGATGTTTGGGGACGAGCCTTATCTTATCATTTTTTCCCTAAATTGAATAGAGGTGGTATTGACTATACATGGAGCTCATTACGTGAATCAAATGTTTTCAGAAATGGTGAAATGCCATTTCCCATATCGGTAGCAGATGGTAGATACCCTGGTACTAAGGTAATTAATTTAAATGCTACCATCTTTGAATTCAATCCATTTGAAATGGGATCATGGGATCCTTCGTTAAATGCATTCATTGATGTCAAATATATTGGTACCAATGTGTCTAATGGTATTCCTGATAATATCAATAGTTGTGTAGTTAATTATGATAATACTGCATTTGTCCTGGGCACATCTGCAACTCTGTTTAATCAATTCTTATTGAGAATAAATTCAACAAAAATGCCAAGATTTATCAGACGTTTAGGAACACATATTTTAAAGGGAATTTCACAAGATTTTAATGATGTTGCTGTATATCATCCAAACCCATTTAAAGATACTAAATTTGTTGAAACAAATTTTACTACAAGTATTACCGAATCTGATTTCTTATTTTTAGTTGATGGTGGTGAGGACGATGAAAATATTCCATTTGTTCCATTAGTACAAAGAGACAGAAATCTAGATATAATATTTGCTGTGGATTCTTCTGCTGATATGGAAATACAATGGCCAGATGGTTCCTCATTAGTACATACATACGAACGTCAATTTGTACATCAAGGTAAACAAATGGCTTTCCCATATGTTCCAGACACAAACACATTTGTTAACCTTGGATTGAATAAAAGACCTACCTTTTTTGGTTGTGATGGTCAAAACTTGACTTCTTTAAAATATATCCCGCCTTTAATCGTTTATCTACCTAATTCCGAGTACTCATTTAATAGTAATCAAAGCGCCTTCAAACTGTCTTACACTGAAAGACAAAGAAGAGAAATGATCCAAAATGGGTTCGAAATCGCTACCAGAAATAATTTTACAGATGATCCTGATTTCTTAGGTTGCATAGGTTGTGCAATTATGAGGAGGAAACAAGAGTCTCTAAGCTTGCCTTGGCCGCAAGAATGTGAAGCATGCTTTATCAACTACTGCTGGGATGGTACATTGGATATCAAGGAACTGCCTGATTATATGAAAGATGTACATGGCTCATTTATTTATGAAAATAATGGTGATGGTAATAATACAACGGTAGTTACAGAAAGTGAGTTGGTAAATGGACAAACATTACTACTTAGTGACATATCATACTTACGAAAATCAAATTCAAAGACAGTTAAAGAAAAACAAATAAAAATCAATTTAAAAATTATTTTCTTATTAATCTGTGCATTAACGTTCTTAATAAGTCTTATATGAATAGCATTTTATTACAATCCATTTTATTCTTTTCATCCATTGATTTCTCATATATTTTTGAGAGAAGTTTAACTGCATATACATTTTTTGCATTATTGGATATACACTATTAATTAATACATCCATGGATATATATACATTTATAGATCATATTTTATTTAGACATATTTTTATTATTATTCCGTCTATCTCTCATTTATTTTATCCATCTAAAACTATAATATTCATATGTTTATCGTAAATAATTTATTCCTCATCGATTATTTTTTCTAAGAAAAATCAAAAAAAAATTTTTAAGTCGAAAGTTTCTCACTGACAAAAAAAAAATAATAAAAAATATTACTTAAAGATTGTTGCTTAATTGAGCACGTTACCTCATCGCAACATAAGTTCAGCAGCTTAGTGAATTTTACTTTTTTCGTAAGCATTTTTCATGGAAGATTAATAAAATATTGAAGACTATCACATTACTAGTAAAAAATCTAAGAGTTATGTCATCAAAAAAATCTCCATTTAAAGTATTCCAAGGTTCTCAAAATTTTAGACTACGAGTTATATTATCAATCTTATCTGGTAAACCTATTAAAATTGAAAAAATTCGTTCCGATGACTTGAATCCAGGTTTAAAAGATTTTGAAGTATCATTTTTAAGATTAATTGAAGCTGTTACTAATGGTTCCTCAATCGAAATTTCATACACAGGTACTACCATTATTTTCAAACCTGGGATCATTGTTGGTGGTTCATACACACATAATTGTCCTACTTCTAAACCAGTGGGTTACTTTGTAGAACCTATGTTATATTTAGCTCCATTTTCTAAAAAAAAATTCTCTTTGCTATTTAGAGGCGTAACTGCATCACATAACGATGCTGGGATCGAGGCCATTAAATGGGGACTATTGCCAATATTAGAAAAATTTGGTGTTAGAGAATGTGCATTGCATACATTAAAACGTGGTTCACCACCATTAGGAGGTGGTGAAGTTCACTTAGTGGTCGATTCTCTAATTGCTCAACCAATAACGATGCATGAGTTAGACAGGCCTGTCATAACTGCAATTAAAGGTGTTGCATATTCAACTAGAGTAAGTCCGTCTTTAGTAAACAGAATGATTGATGGTGCTAAGAAAGTTTTAAAGGACATTGGATGTGAAGTAAATATTACTGCAGATGTTTGGAGAGGTGAAAATTCCGGTAAGAGTCCGGGATGGGGTATAACTCTTGTTAGTGAGACAAAAAAAAATTGGTATATTTTTGCAGAGTGTATAGGTGATGCTGGTGATGTCCCAGAAGATATCGGTAGTAAAGCTGCATATCATCTACTAGAGGAAATTTCTAATAGTGCAGTTATTGGAAGAAATCAATTACCGTTGGCCATAGTTTATATGGTTATTGGGAAAGAAGATATTGGAAGATTGAGAATTGCAAAGGGCCAAATAGATGAAAAATTCATTATATTATTAAGAGATATTAAACATATTTTTGGAACAGAAGTGTTTTTAAAAGAATGCCCGGATCCAGACAGTGACGATTATATCATCACAATTAAAGGTATAGGTTTTACCAATGCAAATAAAAAAATTGCATAAATATTGGAAATAAATTATAAATATAAATAATTATATACACTTTTAACTAAAGGATATAGATCATAATTATTTATACAAAATGGCACTTTCTAAGAAGTCATGCAATCTGATACAAAGGGAATTCATTCTAAATTGGTAATTCGTCAAAGGTATTTTATATTCGATAATATATATAAACATTTATTGGAAAGTATTATTAAGATAGCCCATAACAATGTATTCATCGAATATCATCCTTTATACATTTATATACATTTACATACTGCTTTCAAGAATACCGTTACAGCTACTCTCTTCCGATTGGTATATCATCTATTTGACTACTCAGTTTTTCCCATTGATTCATACTTAACTCTGAATAACTTGAATTCAATTTAACCCAACTTTTAAACAGATCACTTATCATAAATTGAGACTCTTGAAATATAGTAAACTCATGCAATATACATTCCCTAATTAACCAAGCTCTATTTATTTGTTTAGAAATAGATCTTCTATCCCTATTAATAGATGCTTTTATTTTATCATATTCAGCACCACTAACATCAGGTTTACCCTTCATAGATTCCAATTTTTCCAAATTTAATTGCACATGTCTTTGCAATTGAGGTATATTATTAGTTGCCATAATCTTATATCTGTCAAATAGATTTTTTAATGATATTAAGAGATCAATAAATTTCTTCAATTTTGGAACAATATCTGTAGAATAATCATTAATTGCCCTTGTATTTAATGTATTAATTTCATCGATATGATGATTAATGATGGATAAATCATTATTTATTTCAGGTAAAGTATCACAGTTGGCAATATTTTCAATTGGATATAAGACGGATGTCATATGTGCAAGGTCTGTTATAAAACTTTTCAACAATACATTTTCGTGATTTATTTGATTCAATCGTGTTTCATGCCTTTGTATAACTATTGTAATTTTATTCCATATATCAATAATCTTTGTTATATTACTAGCTACATCATTCCATTGTTCCGATATATTACTCGACCATAATTTCATAAAACTTATTGATATTTTTTTGTCCATAAATTCATCACTGGTGTCATAATTTTCTTTGGTTTGCCGTCTCCAAGTAGATATATCAGTTGGTACTGTTAAGAAGGTTAGTAACAGATCATCTTTGCTCAAAATTGGATGATTTACAATAAAATTAATAAATCGGGTCAATCCAACCCGTCTTTTATTAAGGCATATTGGATCTAAATTTTGTGAACCAATCTTTTTAGGTGGCAATTCGGGAATTAATCTAAATGGATATCTTTTCAATAAAACCTCCTGTAGCCAAACAAAGTCAGAATATCTCCTAACTACACTCATAGAAGATTCGGAGGAGGCACCAACCACACTGCCCTCATTTGGTAATCGCTTTAACCTAATAATATTATAATTAGTATGTTTAAATAACAAACCTTCTCTTTCTGGAATCTCCTCAATATTTATTATGTTAGGAGAAAGTGGAGTAAATGTATCTCTAATTGATTTCATCCAGTCTTGTAAATCATTATCAGAAATTTGTTGTTCTTGGGGATTTATCTTTGGCTGCAATTTGTTATCCACTATATTTTGTCTACCTAAGATAACAGAATTACTCCATATATTTACTTGAGGATCATCAGCAATCCCATTGTTTGTGTTATTAGCCATTATAGAAGAGGAGCCTTGTTGTTGAATCCAAGCAGTTTCTTCATTATTATTAGCTATATCCTTTTTTAAATTATTTTCAAATATTGGATCTTCTTGATTACTTACTATTAAAGGGGAGGGTGATATTGAAGTCTCAGATCTTGTATTTGAATTTGAAGTACCAAAGATTCTTTGTGTCAAATTCTCAATGCGATCTTGCTCTTCCACATACAAATTTGTAAAGGATCGGTTTATTGGTTCAGGATTATCTATCCTCCATGGATCAATCTCGGCAATAGCATTATTATTTGAAAGAAAACTCATAATTTATCTTAACTATTTAATTTGATCTGTTAACTACATAAATGAATAAAAACAATTAATAAAATAATGACAAAGTCATCTAATTGTCTATAACTTCTACTTAGCAAGGAAGAATAACCAGCAAATAAAATTTAAAATACAACTGATAGTTGTTAAATATAAGTAATATCTGTCACCTTCATGGTAGGAAAAAAAATAGGTTTATCGTGGCTGTACTTATGCTTGTATTCTCTCTAAGGATCTTTTTCTTTATTAGAATAAAATTTCTATATTCACAAGTCCTAGATGCTCTGAAATAAATAAAAGGAAAAAATGTCAATATTCCTCCAAAATTCAAAAAACCCTAAAGAAAAACTAACAAAAGAAAAAAATCAGTTTTATAAAACCCCATTTACGCAAAAATTTCTTTCTAAGAAAAGATTTTGAAAAGAAGAAAAAAAACAAAAAAATCAACCCTAACTCATTTCTTCTTCACATTCCACAGTGTCTATTTCTTCTTCTGCTTCTTCACTTTCCTTCTCCTCATCATCATTATAGTCGAATGTAATTGTATTTGGCCAACCAATTTCATTTCTAATAAAATCTTTGAATTTAGCAAGAAGAAATTGTTCTAGTTTATCAACATTTTTTAGAGTGGATGATCTTTCGGGCCCATTTGAAACATTATCACCAATTTCTGTTTCTATATTTAATGATTGTACAATTGCCATTCTTTGTAATGGTGCAGATGAACCCCAAGTCTGGTATGTAGAAGACAAAGTAGGTTTATTGTTTATATTATTACTCATTATATGTTCAAATTTACTGTTTGCATTATTCCTTTCATGACCATTAATATTATTATCACTATCAACATCACATAAAATACTAAAGACTGTTTGTGATCTTGAAGTTAAATGTGTCAATAAACACAAACAGTGCATCTGTAACTGGCTTATTGTCACTTTGACAGGTAATATCATAAATCTTTCACCAGGATAATTCAACACTAAAGATACTTGCAAAGATATCATCATATCACCTCTATATTCCAATTCTAAAAGAGCTTGTATATCATTTTTATGCGGATTTTCTTCAACCTGAGGATGCGGATCATCTAATGATTTCAAAATGAAATTTGGTGGGGTTGAACCAATTTTGAACTCTACAATTTGCAAATCTTGTAAATAACTTGGTAATGTTAATGATTCAACAAAATCATTTAATTTGTTGGTTATTGTATTATTCAATGTTTTATCTTCTAAAAGTTGCTCCCAATTGATCTCAAACGACATGTTAATTTATGATATTAGTACTTTACTTGCATCTTAGTTTCCTGAGAAAACAAAGTTTTCTGTAATATATACAGTCAAAATAAAATCTACAATAATAGTGTAAGATCTATAGAAGACAAGACTTAATGCATTTAAATTAATGAAAATAGCTAAGTAAAATGATGAAAGGTTTAAATGTATTCGCAATTTTTATGTAACACACCATTTTATACAAATAGTACCTAGGAATGGAAACTTGAAGATCTACGTGAAGGGCTCTTAAGAATTTCTACATTTTAGATCTCTGTACCTTTTTTAGATTTAAATAGACAATTCACAAACAAGCTAACAAATAAAAAAAGAAAAAAAGAAAAAAAAAAGGAAAGTAATACAATATTTTCTGTAAAGAATACTAAAGGTATAGAGGTTATGGGACATAGAACTATTTTTGTCCAAATACATAGATATTTTGGTTGAGTCGAATTAAAGATTAAATCATTCATGCATTTGTCAATGACTATACCTGTCTTTTTGATTCTTAATTGAATCTATTTTTTTATAGATACGTATATATACCACAACATATAATAGACGCATAAATATACATCTATTCTGATTAATGTTTCCAATTACTGGTTGTTATAGTAACAATATCCGTATTTTAGTCAATAGTAGTAAACGTAGACTATTGTGGTCCAGTAAACTTTTCAAAATTAATAAAGATGAGACAACTAGCAATTCAGCCATTAAAGGTGTCAGATCCTCAACCAAAGATATGACATATACTTTGTGTAAGACTATAAATGATGTTTCTCCACAGCGTACTTTCAGTATTGTATCACAAATACAACAATATCAAGATTATATACCCTATTGTAAAGAATCTGTAGTACATGAAAGAGACCAATCCACTAATTGGCCAATTTTGGCAAGTTTAAGGGTGGGGTTTAAACAATATGACGAGAAATTTGTATGTAATGTTAAATGTAATAAAGAATCTGATAATCATTATATGATTGTTGCAGATTCAATCTCCGATCATTTATTTAATGGATTTGTTTGCCAATGGGAGATTGTCTCGCATCCAGGCCGTCCCAACTCGTCTCAAATTAAATTATCTTTAAAATTTCAATTCAAATCCTCTTTATATAATAATGTTGCATCTCTCTTTGCAAGGAGTTTGACATCTTTAGCATTGAACTCGTTCCATAAAAGAATTATACAATATGAAAGAAATGAAATGAAGAGACCATAATACATGTTTGTAGATATACAACTTTAGCTCTTTAAACAGTAACCGCTATATAAATATTCAAAAAATAAAAATAATGAATAAAAAAAAAATATTTCCAGTAGCAAACATTTCATCAGTCTGTGTAATTAAATATACACAGGCATATGCGTACATTCATACATATACATATAAATATATATATATATATATCTGTAAATAACGAATATATTAGTAAATAATTATTTAAAACTTCCTTTATTACTGTTGATCCAACAATTGGTCCAAATGAACACTTGGTGGTCTAAATTTCTTCGACTTAACATTAGTATTTGTGTTATTATTTATTTTAGAGTTACCCATCGGAGTTGAAGTACCTATATGTATCGGAGTGCCACTATTTAAAGTTATAGATGGAATACTTATGTTCTCTCTATTACTATTATTATTATTATTATTTAGGAAAGGACCAAATGTACGCATCGGAGATGATGATATAGATGAAGCAGATAATGTTATTGAACTATAACTGTTATTGCGAGTATGTGCGAATTTATTCCCATTGAATAATACTTCTGTTGGAGAAACAAACAATTCCTGATACTCTTCATTAGTATTGGTATTATTAGTACTGCAATTATTAGTGAGATTAGACAAACTGCTATTATGGCTATTAACGAATACCTTGGATTTTCTTGTTATTGAACTAGCTACTCCCTGCTGTGCTTGTTTCTGTTTTAATAATTTTTCTGATATATCAGAGACATGGCTTGAAGATTGTATAGAAGAACGAGAATTATATGAATGAGATGGAGAAGTACTTGTAGAATTGGCGGCACCAGACGAAGGATCCTTTGATTCATCCTTGAATAAGTCATCTGTGAAATAGTCGTCACTTCCATTGGTATGAGTGTACATTAAATTATTGTAATTTTGTTTTAAAGTGTCTCTATAGTGCTTTTGTGTTCTTGCTTCATACCATGATTTAAAAGATAAAATAGACCATATTAAAATGATCAAGAATAAAAGGAAACCCAAAACACCACCGAATGCAATGTACACTGTGCCATTTATATCACCAGGATAATAATAACTGTAAGGAGCATTTTTTTGGTTCGGTATAACAACTGTAGCATGTATGGTACTTGTAGACAAATGACTAGAAGAAGAAGAAGAAAAAGAAAAAGAATATGACGTTGTTGAACCAGATGCGTCGTGGCTCTGACTTCCTGATGTAGTTGTCGAAGTCGTTATACTAGAACCACTGGTAGTGGTAGAAGTACTCGTTGTAGTTATCAATGATGGTAAACCTCTTACTACTTTCAAATACATTATCTATTTCACCTTTATATTTGTGTATGAACGTACAGATATGTGTGTGCCTCTCTAGAGTTCCGATTTCCTTTAATAAAACACGTTGTTTTTTTTCACAACCAACGTTAAAAAAAGATCGGTGTACACTAAGGTAAGAGCTGGCTAAGCAAGAATTGCATCTAGGATTCATAGACGTCGATAGTAGGACAAAAGTTCGCAGGGCTGGAAAGGAAACACTTAATCGAGTGTCCTGCAAACTACTACTTCAAAAATATGTATATATATTCATAACTACAACCAATCTACAAACATCTAATAATTGCATTAGATATGATTAAAAATGGTCTCATCATTTCGTTGCCAGCAAAGAAAAACAAAACAAAAAACGACAAAAAACGACAAAAAAACTGTACCGTTTCATCGTAGTTCTACTATCGAATGTTGTAACAACAAGGTACATTAACCTCCAATGAATGAAGAGGTGAAAAAAAGAATGGTAATATTCTTCCTTTTTAAAATTATCTACGTCCATATCTTTTTCTTTTACACTTCTATAAATAATAACAATAATGAAATAGTGAAGAAGGTTATCTAAAAATAGAAAAAACGGCTAGTTATCTCCTTTATAGTAACTTCGAAACATAGAGAAACAGTATTGTGATATTTCCCTATTAGGTAACGAATGCTTAGCACCACGGGTCCTTTTTGCTTTTTTCGTTTCTCCTCCTTATTTTCTTTTTTCTCATTTTTTTGATTTTGATACCAAGCATTGTTACTCACGAAAAAAAAAAATTCTTTTTGATAAAACATTTCGTGTCAGCCGTGTATCATTCGCGAAAAGAAGAGGGGAAAAAAAAAAAGAAAGATTTGCTATTTTTTGGTTTCTTGCTTTTCTTCTTGTTTTTTTTTTTTGATAACCTGTCGATGTATGGATGTTTTGGAATTAGAAAAGATGTTACTTTTTTTTTGATTTCTTTTCCTCATTTTTATCCTCAATAGTCCGTTCCCCTTTTTATTTTTTCACCTCCTCTGTTACCATGGTTACAATTAGAGTAAACAGTATAAAAAATGTCCATAAAAAAACGGAATATAATCAAATAAATTTTATATTTTTACCCCAACCCTAATATCTATTATCTGTACGCTACAGTCTTCTTCAGTCTTCAGTCTACAGTCTACTCGCCATTTCTTATTAAAAGTTATCTTTGCTGCGTTTTTCTTTTTCTTTTTTTTTTTTATTACAAACCCTACTTTTTTGACTATAAAGAAAACTCATACTTTCATTGTCTTCGTCTTTATAGAACTCTAACCATTTTTACAACTCCAGTAGCTGCTGTTCTAAAAATAATCACAATTCTTAAAAATTTAATACACAACGTTCCCGTGAATCATACAATCTCCAATACGAAGAGATAAACAAGTTATTATTCTTATTCTTATTCTTATTATTTCATTATGTATAGTAAGAGTTATAAACTTTAATACTTTTAACATAGGATGTCATATTAAAATTGTAATGTATATACTTTTTCTTGCTTTCCACTTATATATATATGTATATATATTTGCATAGTAAAATATGTTAAGCGCCGAATATAATCTTTACAAGCTTTAAAGGCTTATCATATACGTTTTAACAATCCGAAAAAAATGGTTGATTCTTGACATGTTTTCAAACAGTTTTATTGCTTTTTAATTGTTTGTTCATGAAGTGATACAAAGAAGTACTTTTTCTTAAAATAAAATTTTATTTATTACATTTTATTGATTTTATTATAGTCTATATGTTCCATTTTATCTGCAAAACATATATCCTCTTTTTTACGTTATCTTTAACACTCCACTATTTTTGATATTTTTAAACCCTAAAGAAGAACATTAAGTAGACAAAAAAAACTATGTATCAAACCTAATATTTCTAGTTTTAAAAAATTAACCTGACTGGGTAATACTTTATTTTACTCTAACCTTAAAATAATTTATTGAGTCACTGTTTTTATTTAATCTTCTAAAACGTTTAATTAAATAGAAAAGAAAAAAAAAAACAAAAAAACAAGAATCAAACAAGAGAGATATGTCAATTTGGTATTTACGCAAAAGATAGAAATAAGAATAAACAAAAAAAGATGAGATAATACTTTACAACTGCATATGGAACGCTATTATGGAAACAAATGTCTTAATTCCGCATAATTTTGCTCCAAGTCCTGATTTTAAATGGTTATGCCAGGAATTGTTTCTAAAGATTGATCAAATTAAATTATCAAAGGATAAATCTCATATTAGACAGAGATATAGGGATGTAATAACTAGATTTGTCAAACTTTGGAGAACTACTGTCGGCTCAGATTTTTATCCTGTGTTAATTTTGGCCTTGCCACAACGTGATAGAAGGGTATTTCAAATTAAAGACGTCACTTTGATTAAAGCTGTGTGTACTACTTTACACCTAGATTTAAAATCTTCTACAGCACAGAAATTATTAGATTGGAAATCTCATATTGATCCAAATAATAAGGATCAAAATAGATTAGCTTCAATGTGTGTTGCAGAAATTGCAAAGAGAAGAAAAGAACCTGAAATTAACAGACGCAACAGAGTAACATTGGATTTAGCTAACCAGTGGTTGGATCAGTTAGCTCAACAACGTGCGGAAAGAAAAAATGGTGGTAGTGTGGAGTCCTTGGTGCACTCCCCACTCTGGAAAGATATAATGAATAAATTATCATATTTGGAATTAAAATATTTTTTTGAGATTATACTGAAAACTAAAATATTGAGATCACAAGAAAATACATTATTATATATATGGCATCCTGATGCAAGAGATTACCTAAGTGTGACATCAGATTTATATTCTGTTACTCAAAAATTATTTGATCCTACCAAAAGATTGCCAAATGAAGAAATCTCTCTGCAACTAAATTCACCATTCTATCCCCAACTAGCTAAAAGAATAATATCGAAATCTTATAACAAAATTTTAAATAAAATTACCACCAAAAATAATTGTGCAACATTTTATATAGAAGAAAAAATGGATGGTGAAAGAATACAAATTCATTATTCCAATTGGGGTCATTCAATCAAATATTTTTCTCGTAGAGGTGCAGACTATACTTATTTATATGGTTCAGATTTTAATAACGGATCAATATCACCATATTTAAAATTTAATTCTAAAGTAGAAAATTTTATCTTAGATGGTGAAATGATATCCTTTGATAAAGAGAACAATAAAATTCTACCATTTGGTATGGTTAAGACTATAGCTAAAAACACACTAGACTCAAATAAAGAATCTTCTTCTCAACACGGGTTTATTATTGAAACAAACTCATTTCATCCATTATATATGATATTTGATATCTTATATTTGAATACTATCTCTTTGATAAATTTCCCGCTTTGGCAAAGAAAGCAATATCTAAATCAACTCTTTCAACATAGTAATAATAACACTATTTGCGATAGAGTTAAAATTCTTCCAAATATAGAATGTCAAAATGAAGACGATATCAAAAAAAATCTATCGTTAGCAATTAAAGCCAATTCAGAAGGGATAATATTAAAAAACCCACAATCTAAATATATCCCAGCTTCAAGAAACGATTCGTGGATTAAAATAAAGCCGGAGTATTTAGACCAATTTGGTGAAAACTTAGATTTGATAGTTATGGGAAGGGATTCAGCTATAAAGGATTCTTATATGTGTGGAATTGCTACAAATAAATTCATTGAAATAGATACAACGCCACTTAAAAATAAAACTTCATTAAATGAAGATCATGATGATTCTAATGAAACAGATGCTGAAATTGACGATACCATTAAACACAAAATTGTTGGATTTGCTTCGTTCTGTTCTATTGCTAATGGGATATCCAAAAATGAATCACAAGAGATTCAAAAATTGACAAAAGGCAAATGGCATAATTTTAGGGATTCACCACCTCCTTTTCATACCTTTGGAGATAATCGTCTATTTCTAAAATTTGAATCTAGAAAACCACGTGAATGGATCTACCCCGAAGATTCAATAATTCTTGAGGTCAAAGCTAGATCAATAGACAATACCGAGTCTCGAATGAACAAATATGCTACTGGATGTACCTTATATGGAGGATATTGCAAAGCAATACGACAGGATAAAGATTGGACTAGTTGTTATACAATGGATCAATTTAAAAGAGATAGATTATTCAAATCAGATCATGTAACAAATAATAATGTTATGTATTCTCAATCTTCAAATACTAGAGATGCTGCTTCTAAGCGGAGAAGAATACCTCCGCATTTTTTAATGGAAAATAAAAAGTTAGAGAATGATACAGACATCATTTCCTGTATCTTTCAAGGACTAAATTTTTATATTATATCTGACTATTTTAATCCATTCAGTAAAAACCGCATTACTAAAGAAGATTTATTAAAATTAGTTATTGCAAATGGTGGATCTATTGTTTATAATATAATGACAAGCAGAGAAAAGTTATATCAATTAAGAATCATTAGTGATATATACAATATCGAATGTCGAACTTTGATTGAAAGAGGCTATGATATTTTAAGTCCTAAATGGATACTTAATTGTGTTCAATACAAGACATCATTACCATTAGAGCCTGTCTATTGTTTTAATGTCTCAGAAGAATTGATGGAATTAGCAAAGACAAGAATCGATCAATATGGTGACAGTTATCAAACACTGATAGATGAACCAAAATTAAAGCAAATAATTGAAACAAATTTGTATTCTCAAGAAAAATCAACAAATAAAATAGATTTGGATAATGAATTGAAATGTATTCCAGTTTTCTTTTTTTTTGGTAAAAAGTTCTATGTTCCTGTATGGTGCCAACAATATGATCCGTTAGTATATAATTTATTGCTTCGGAAAATTATATTATATGGTGGTTCACTTACATATAATCTCAATGATTGTAGTATAATAGTAATAATAATGCCTGTATCACTAAAAACCTCCTCTATTGTGTCATTCAAAGAAAATATCATGAAAATCCGTTCCCATATAGCAAATATTATAAATTCAAGCCCCAAATCAATTAAAAATATTCCCTATATTGTATCCGCCAAATGGATTGATAAATCTATTGAGGAAGGAATTCAAGTACCAGAAGAATTGTATCCTGTACCCGAACAATTGATAAATTAAAAGTTCTATTCGATAATAAATGTAGTTATTAAATGAAATGATGTTTATTGAGATACTATACATTATATATTCTTTTTCGTTGAGTTTGAAATTACTTATTTATGATATATTTATGAAATTAAATTATTATGCATTTAAAAATATCAGTATTGTTTATTATTCAATCTGAATGTTCTTGACGTTCCAATGACTCTGTTTCATCAACTTCTGAACTCTTCTCTACATTCTCTGCCTCCTGTTTACTATTGTCTTCTATTTGGTTTTCTTTATTTTTCTTCTTGTGTCTTCTCTTTCTCTTCTTCTTATTGCTTTCCTCTATTGAGATAGCCTTATTAATATCTTCCTTATTCTTATTTCCAGATTCTGTATCGGTTTGTTTCTTCTTCTTTTTTACACTTAATGGATTGGGTTCTTTAGGTCCCGATTTCCTTTTCCTTACTTCTTGATTCTTTAAATCTTCTATATCAGCTTCATCATTCTTTTTTAGACCGGCATACTTAGGATCGTTCAAGCCTTTAAAAAGTTTCTCTTGTTCCATCTTCCTACTAATTCTTGCACTAGCATCACTTAATGGTTCCATAACCATAACCGATCTATTTATATGTAACAATGGAACACCAGGAACTCTTCTTAATTTACGCCTCAATTTAATATCTTGTGTGGCCACCACATATCTATGTTTATTTTCACCATCAACATTAACTACACTTTCAATGCAGATGGCTGGTGCCTTTGCATCATTTGGAGGATGGTTACAACGACGCCTTTCATAACTTTTAGCTAGATTAATGGCATTTTGATTTTCAGTAGCGTATAATGCCTGTATACAACATTGTGTAATCATTGGTTTCACTTCTGCCTGTAAAGTTTGACTTAAACTTTTTACCAAGTTAAATTTTGACGTAGTTGCATTTAACACGATTTGGTCATCTACTAATACTTGATATGGCTGCCTAAATTTGAAAGTATGTGTGTATACTAATAACTGTTTTCTATAAGATTTAGCTCTCTTTTGACGCATCTCGCTCTTATTTTGCCGTTAGCTATAAATATTTTAGTTAGAGAACCTGAAACTAATAAAGAAACATAAAATTTAACGTATAATCGGACGAAACTGCTAATATTCTATATCTTTCTTTGTATTAAACCATTTTATTCATCATATTATTTTTGTAATAACCTCATCTCATCAGTTCAAGAAAAATTTTAAATTTTTTTTATATTAAGAAAATAAGACAAACTAAACAAAAAATAACAAAGCTTACTTATAAAACATAACAGTTGCAGTGGAAGAACAGTCTTAGCAAATAGCAAGAAGTAAGCACCATACTGTAATCCATGTTGATCCATACTATTTACTTTTTTCTTCTCTTTAAGTATAATTAAGTTATGTACATAAACAAACATTATATGTAAAACAAACTTATACATCTCGTATAGTCTTATTTCTTAGAGTGAATAATTTATAGTAACTCCAAAACCAAAACAATACAAAACAACCAAATCCAAGAGCACAGTTTAATAGAACCCATAGATCTGGGTATCTTGAAGGAGGTTGAAACATATAATCGGCAATGTGAATAGCCACCATGCATATGTAGGACACTACAATAATGAATTTCCATACAAGATTATCTGGCAATAAACTTCTATGACGATAATGGGAAGAAATATTACTCATTGATGGACCTGGTGTGACACTTTTTGGTAGAAACTTTGGTGTAACAAAACTGAAATTACCAAATAACCAATTATACATAATAAAAATTACGGCGTATTGTAAGATAAGACCATCTTTTTTGAGTATTGGCATCAATGTGAATAACGCAACGTTATTGATCCAAAAAATCATAGATAAAACATTCCAGTCTGATGAAACAAACATCAAAGTGATAGGTAACAAGGGGACTAAAATAGTCTTTTCATGAACTTGAAAACTGAATAGATAAAATGACATCGAACAAGTAATCAATGCGTATGGTATCAAATGCTTCTTTGTGTGTAATAGAATAATAATAAAGGAGGGTAAAAAGCCAACAACCGTGGCTACCAATGAATATAATTTTAATTGTTCTTGGGTGAAAAGTGATCTATATTTAACTATCACATTGGTGACACACCAAAAATTAGCTACTTTATCCTCAAAAATACCTCTTTCAAATGGAAATATTCTATGAATAGACTGTAGAACGTTTTGTAAACCTGAATCACCGCCAAACATGTATAGAGGCATATATATAACTGCAAATGTTGCCAGAGTAGAAATGGAGATAGCAAATAATCTTGGAATATTTAACCACTTAGGATGAAACAAAGATTTACTTAATAGGATGGCAAAGATTATTGGAGAATAATACAAGGACATCTGCTTAAAACATATAGAACAGACGAAACATACCGCAGCCAATGAATAAAATTCGTCCAATAGATTATTAATTGCCAAAACAGTGAAACCCAACATCACACAATTATATTGAAAATGACCATGATCAATTAGCATTAAAGAAGGCTGGAACAAAATAGCAGCTGCAGCCAAGCTTTGACTTAAAGGCGATTGGTTTCTACGCTTACCCACCCACTTAGTGAAATAAAGAACGGCAGGAATATAACAGATCAATTCACTCAGCAACACCGTAAAACGCATATAACTTTTAATGCCTTCGTCTTCCATTCCACGAGACTCATCTAGTGTAAACCACTTAGGCCAGAAAAAGGAACCAATCTTACCTAACAAATAGGAGTGATACGCCGTTAATGGTGGATAATCTAACCCCCAATATTGTAGATCAAACCAATACCACTTTGAAATTGGCAAATGTTGTGTAATCTCTAACCAATGTCTCTGTGCTTCAAAGTCACCAAACATTGGAGGTGTATTAAATCCTGAATATGGACCCAACCCAATCGCAGTGGAGATGATGAGAACAAATAAAACGATAATGTATTGTGTCATCCATTGACTACCAGGAGAACGAAATGGGTAAAGGAAATCAAATAATGGAGATGCATAAAAAGGATGCTTAGATTCATCTTGTTCGTCTAAAATTTCAAATTCATCCTTGTGCAAACTTTTTGATTTCTTTTCAGTTGTGATATCCTTATTCCTCCCCATTTGGAATTTCTATATTTATATAATAGTGTTTCAATTCCCAGATATATTTAATTGCTGCAAGGACAAATTTTGCAACTAATTAACTCCTGAATCATATTACCGTTAATTCTACATTATTACTACCACTGAAAATACCATTATTTTCTTTGTCTTTATAACTAACTTTCTACTGAAATGTTTTGGATAGTTTAAACGTTCCTTTGCTTTTTTTTTTTTTTTTTTTTTTCTGTATTCTCCTTTGTGCATTTGTAAAAAGATAGGAAGCCACAGGGAAGTAAGCAAGATGGCTCTAACCGACAAAAGAAGAAGAAAAAAAAGTAGTAGTAGCAATATCCAATGTTGGCATATTATATCTACTCCTTCAGATACAGATAAATGACAGAAAAGAAAAGGGATAAATAAAAAATCGGTGGACGTAAGGATAGAAGATTGATAGAATCATTTATAGCAGTTGCACAAGGCAGTGGAATACAGTTCTGAACAAAGAAATATAAGATACATACATACACATATATATAAATGAAATAACTAAGTCATCATGGTGAAAAGATCCTATGAAGAAGATATTGAAAATGATATTGAATTAATTAATGTTGAAAATTGTGACTTCCATACAGATCAAAATGGAAACAAAAGGGCTAATAAATTCACAATTTTAAAAGTCCCATATACAAACGGTAGATACTATTATAGAAATGGTCAATTGAGTAGAGGATCTCATTCAATAGTATATAAATTGTTTAATGAAAATGAAACTAAGATATTTGCTGGGAAACAATTACTTACTAAAGGTAGCAAGATGTTAAGAAGAAAGATTATTGACGAATTAGAGTTATATAAATTGATCTGTAGACAAAAGCAAGTGAATATTGTTCAATTAATTGAATATTTCCAAACCTGTACTACTGATAATAAAAACAACAACGAGAACAATAATAAGGACCTTAAACATGATGATATATATATGGTACTGGAATACGCCAATAATGGAACATTACAATCTATACTTCAATACCGTGGTAATTTAGACGAGATAGAGACCAAGAATATAATACTACAGATATGTGGTGGAGTATTTTGGTTACACAGAAATAATATTGTCCATGGTGATTTGAAACTAGGAAATCTATTAGTTGATCGCGTTAGAAGATCGATTGCCAATAGCAAGCATGAATATGATATAATTAAAATATGTGATTTTGGTCATTCTTTTATAAACGACCAAAGCAAAAATTATTTTGATGATCAAAGTGAAATATTGGGGACACCATATTATTTAGCACCTGAGCTAGTCTGTAAATATAAAGGCGTGAATATATCTGGGAAGACTATCCCATTAATATCTTTCCCCATAGACATATGGGCAATTGGTGTAATTCTATTTACAATGTTGTATAATCGTAATCTGTTTATCTCCGATAAAGAAGAATTACACAGGCTATCAAGGATGGATCTGTATTCACGGATTACTTCTAATATATTAAGGATACCAAGTGATGGACCAAACATAACCAAGGAATGTAAGAATTTGCTGATCAAGCTTTTAAAACAACACCCATTGAAAAGACTGACTTTATTGGAGGTGATAGATCATAAGTGGTTCAAAAATGGATTTATTAAAGAGATCAACTTGTTGGCTCCTAATGGAGGAGAATTAAAGAACAGGAAAAGAAACAATCAAAACGACAATGAGATAAAAGAATATATAGATGCGTTGTATAAATACGGGTTTGATTCGTTATTGAATGGATACAAGAATGTGAGGGATGGTGGAGACAAGAAGAGCATTAAAGATGATATATTGAAGAATCTAAAAATCAATGTTAAAAGGGAACATAAAAGAAGAATATCAATGTATAATAATATCAGCAACCACAACAACAACAATAGTATTGGAACTGTTTTGAAAGAGAATAAGGTACAGCGTGATATCAGTAAAAGAATCATAGTAGATGAAATCTATGTAACTCTACATAATCTCTATAAGACAGAATCGAATGAAAATAGAGAAGAAAAGAACAAGAATTCGAATAAAGAAGAAGGTACCAGATCTTTGATCTTAATTAAGAAATGTGAAGAAAGATCCTATGGTGATGACGATACAACATTTTTGTATGAGATGACGAACGGACAAGTTGGTTGTTTATTTTTGGATGATGAGCATAGTATATTATTAAATGATATGAAATCTACATTTTGGTACATTATACCTGATAAGCAAAATGGATGGGTATCCAAATGTTTTAAACAAGAAATAGATATTGATACAGATGCGATAAAGATACCAAACGAATTGAATAAGAGATTGCAATACGTTAAAGATTGTAAACTTGATATGGATTTAAATTTAAATATGGATATGAATATGGATATGAATATAGATATGAATATAAATTGTAATGACAATGTCGATACATTCATTAGAAAATACACGATATACGGTGATAGAAGAGAAGTCAATGAAGAAAAGATAAGTTTAAAGCTATATATATTGAGTGATAACGGAACATATCAATTCAATTTCGAAGAGGAAAGAATTATTATAGTGATACAAAACTTTGGTGAAATTATCACAATGATAGATTATGAAAATAGAATAACAATCACGGATACGTACTATAATATATTATTGAACAATCTGAAAAATGAGGAGAATAAAAATTCTAATTTAATGAACATGAAAAAAAGATTATATGATAAGATGTTTATAATTAAAGATGTATTAAAAAGAGAAATGATAAATAATATAAAATAAATATACACATGTATATGTATATGTATGTATGTATGTTTTTTCCTTTTTTCTTTTAAGTATACTGTTATTATGAAAAATTTTCATCAGAAGCTAAAGTTTGTAAATTCCATTCAGTTTCAAAATTAGTTTTAAATACAGCCAATTTATTAATAATATTATTACAAGCATTCTTCAAAGCGTCCCTTGGGTCGTAACCTTCTACAGTCTGTATTCTCATTTTGAATTTTGCAAAGAAGGGATGCTCTACTTTATAAGCAGCAAATAAGACTTTTTTATCATTTAACAGTTCTGCTCTAATTAGATTACCTAGGGTATGGTCTTCTTTATTAAAAGTTATTACTATAGCATTTGGAGACTTGGTGTCTGGATCGATTTCTAATTTGGATTCACCTTCTGCGAGTAAGAACAATTCAAATCTATCTGGAGCATTCATACTTATATCAAAAAAAAAAAACAATAAAATAATAAAAAAAAAGAAGAAAAAGCAAAAGGATTGAGGATCACTAAACAAATAAAAAAAGATCCAACTATGTCTCTGTTCTATCTTATCAGTTCCAGTTCACCTTGAGTCTTATACAAACGTATCACCAATTTACATATAAATAGATAAAGAAGGATTTACGTAATACTTCACCTTTATTATTATTATTATCATTACTATGATTTTTTTTTTCCAACATTTCAGTCCCATTGCTCTTTGCTCTTCTAAAAACTTTAATTTTCCAAGAGGCAGAAAAAAAAAAAAAGAGAGAGAGAGAGAGCGAGAGAAAAAGAAACTTTTTTTTTTAAGAGAGAAATATCCATCCATACATCACACTCTAGTTACTATAAAGAGAGAGAGAGAAAGTGCATGTTTATATAAATATAAATATAAATATAGATATAGATATACATATGTATATCTATATATGACTAGTATCTGTAATTGTCTGAGATTGGTTTATGTAATTAGCTACTCTGTACAAGATAGTGCAACATTCACGAGAATGTCATTTTTGTAACAAAGCAAGAATACAATAAAGAAAAAAAAAAGAAGGAAAAAGGAAAAAGGAAAAATAACTAATCTTTACATATCTTCGAATCAATAGACCTCTATGTTGCTTAGTTATTCTCTTTTTTCTTTTTCTCTCTTTCTCTATCTATCTGCTACTATCTGTGTATATGCTTTTAAGGTGTATTAACTGTTGTGAATATAAAAGAACCTTGACGTCTGATTTTTTTTTTTATTTGCCGTAGACTCGGCGGTTAATTTTTATTTTTGTTTCTTTTTCCTTTCCCCCCCCTGCTTTTGCGGTTTCTTTTAGGTTTCTATTTCCGCCACTGCGGTTTTTGTCTTTTCCAAAAAAATTTTTCTGTATTTCCTTTTTTGTTTTATTCCGTTGGTTTGTTCTCTGAAAATAGAAAGAATCAGAAATCGAAAGATTCAAAAGGAAAATTTGACATTTATTACTGCATTCCAACGTCGAATACACAAAACAACAACTCAGTTGTATGAACATTGTACAGACTTTCTGCATCTGATGAAATTAAAACTATTCAATTCTAACACTGAATAGTAATATCGTCTGTTATATTATTTCAACTTTTCTTTTTTTTTTTTTTCCTTCTCTTCCTCTCTTCCTTCTTTTTCATAAACACATAACACATACACATACAAAAGCATTCAACTATACATATACATATACATACATACATATATATGTATGTATCTAGGATATTTTTCTAAATTTAACATCCAAGTCCTTCCTCCTTTTTTCTTTACAATTTCTTCCACTGTTTCATAATTACTTATCCTAGTTAAATAAATCCCGTCATTCCTCTCCGTACCATGAATCAAGATATTACCAATAACAACGATAATAACAATAACATAAATAGGTATAATTCAATCCCTTCTATATCACATACATTATCAAACACTTCTATTTCTGCTTCTACTTCTGCTTCTAATACCACTGCTACTACCACTACAGCCACTACGGCCACCGCGGGTCGTAAAAGAAAATCTAGTAATGGGTTTTCTTTAGCTAATTTTGATAACCCTTTACCCGCTGATCAACAGTATCCACACTCTACCTCTACCTCTTCCTCCTCTTCCACAGCTTCTTCTTCTTATCCTCAACCTTCTATCCATATTCAAAATAATGAAGATCATAACAATCTACAAGCACAAGCACAAGCACAGACAGATTCTAATTCATATAGATCGTTAAACGTAAAAGATGCATTATCATATCTGGAACAAGTTAAATTACAATTCAATTCTAAACCCTATATCTATAACCAATTTTTAGACATCATGAAAGACTTCAAATCACAGAATATCGATACTCCTGGCGTCATAGAAAGAGTGTCTAATCTATTCAAAGGATATCCCATCTTAATTCAAGGGTTTAACACTTTTTTACCTCAGGGGTATAGAATTGATTGTACTAATAACCCAGATGATCCTATTAAGGTTACTACTCCCTTAGATTCTGCGTCTACCACCAACACCACCACCACCACCACAGCTATCACTAACACTAACACCTCGACTTTTACTTCCACTTTACAACCTCCACCTATCGCTCAATATTCTTCTAATCAACATGTTGTTCAATCCAACCAATTACCATTACCTACACCGGTGATTCCAACTTCCTCCACTGTTCCTTCCACTATTCCTTCCACTGTCCTCCCTACTTCATCAACATCAACCGTTAAAAAGCCAAATAATGTCGAGTTTAGTCAAGCCATAAACTATGTCAACAAAATTAAAAATAGATTTGCTAATCAACCGGAAGTATATAAAAACTTCTTAGAGATCCTACAAACTTATCAAAGAGAACAAAAACCAATTGATGAAGTCTATTCGCAAGTCACTCTCTTATTCCGAAATGCTCCTGACCTATTAGAAGATTTTAAAAAATTCTTACCTGACTCAACTGTTTCAGATCAACCATCTCAACCCCAAGTATCCCAACAACAACAACAGCAGCAACAGAATGCTGGTATTTATCCAAATGGTAACTATTTGTATGGTGGTGCCTCCACATATTATCCCTCTGGATCTTCACAAAATGGTACTCCTGGTCCTTCAAATTTTAATATCCCAAGAAATCAACACCAACAGCAACAACAAAATTTACCACCAATTGGAAGTTTTTCACCACCTTCAAATAGTACTAATGGTTCCTTACAAGATGAGTATAAAACTACTGAATCCCAACAACAACAGCAGCAACAACCTGGTCAAGTAGTTGGCTTGCCCCCAATTGTAGCTAATGACCAATCTTTAGATCACACATCTGCTTCTTTACACAATCAGTACATTAATACCACTCAAACGACTAATGATAACTTACCGATCTCCAGTTTAAGAGATGAAAGTGGCCCAATGGATAATCAAGTTAGGTATGCAACTCAACAACAACAACAGTTACAACAGCAACTACAAATGCAACAACAGATTATTATGGAAGATCAATTACCTGTAAGGCCGGAGATCGACTTAGATCCGAGTATCGTTCCTGTAGTACCTGAACCCACCGAACCCATAGAAGCTAACCTGACTTTAATGGAAGAAACAACCTTCTTTGAAAAGGCTAAAAAATTCATTGGCAATAAACAAATCTACACTGAGTTTTTGAAAGTTTTAAATTTGTTTTCACAAGACATAATAAATATTAATGAACTAGTAGATAAAGTCGAAAACTTCCTAGGTGGTCAACCAGATCTATTTAATTGGTTCAAAAACTTTGTTGGCTATCAAGATAAACCAAAAATTATTGAAAATATCGTTCATGAGAAACATAAGTTGGATTTAGACCTATGTGAAGCATATGGTCCAAGTTATAAAAAGTTACCTAAGACTGACACATATATGCCATGTTCAGGTAGGGATGATATGTGCTGGCAAGTGCTAAACGATGAATGGGTAGGCCATCCAGTATGGGCCTCTGAGGATTCTGGGTTCATCGCTCATAGAAAGAACCAATATGAAGAGACTTTGTTTAAGATCGAAGAAGAAAGACATGAATATGATTACTACATTGAATCCAATTTAAGAACTATCCAAACGTTAGAGACCATTGCCAATAGAATCGCAAACATGACCCCTGAGGAGAAGAAAAACTTTAAATTACCACCTGGTCTTGGCCACACCTCATTAACTATTTACAAAAAAGTTATACGTAAAGTTTATGATAAAGAAAGAGGCTTCGAAATTATTGATGCGTTACATGAACATCCAGCCATCACTGTTCCAGTGGTCTTGAAAAGATTAAAACAAAAGGATGAAGAATGGAGAAGAGCACAACGTGAATGGAATAAAGTTTGGAGAGAATTGGAGCAAAAAGTTTATTTCAAATCCTTAGATCATCTAGGTTTAACTTTTAAACAAGCCGATAAAAAATTGTTGACCACCAAACAATTGGTATCTGAAATTAGCAGTATCAAAGTGGATCAAAACAATAAAAGAATGCATTGGTTAACTCCTAAACCAAAGAGTCAACTGGATTATCAATTTAATGATTTTAATATTTTTTATGACATTATTAGATTGGCTGATATTTTTATTGATCATAGTTCAACCTATTCAAACCCAGATAAACTTAGATTAAAAGATTTATTAAGAACTGTTATATCGTTGTTTTTTTTCATTCCAATGAAAACTATAAACGATGCAGTTAAGGAAAGATCTAAAGTTGATGATCAAGATGACGGTAAAAGTTACAAAGATGTTGAACAATCTAATGAAACTAACGATTCTAAGATGAAGAGAACTAGAGATGATGTTGAATTCAGTTTATCAGATATTTTCCATAAAGCTAAATATCAAAAATTGAAAAATTCATACAAAGAAAATGATACAGAAAGCCCGACTGAAGGTGACGCTGAAAAGTTAGCTGAAGAAGCTGACCTTTTAAATGAACAAGAAGCAAGAAGACCTTGGTTGTTAGGTAATATGATCTATACTGCTGATTCTTGCGGTGCCATTTCCAATAGGAGAATCTTCAATATGTTTGCAAATACAAATATTTATATCTTTCTTCGTCATTGGACAGCAATCTATACACGTCTTTATGAAATTAAAGAAATGAATGAAAAAGTCACAAAAGAGATTAACAGTAGAAAACTAGTGCAATTTGCTGTTGATTTAAATTTACTTTCTACTCAGTTAAGAGATATGGGACTCGACTTTATGGGTAAAGATAGTTACCAAGAAGTGTTATCAATGAGTAAGAGATTAATTGAAAATAAATTAGAACATCAATGGTTTGAAGAAAGTCTACGTCAAGCATTCAATAATAAAGCTTTCAAGATGTACACTGTTGATAAAGTCACTCAATCATTAGTAAAACATTTACATTCATTAATGGCTGATAGTAAAACTTCCGAAATCATGTTATTATTTGAAAAAGATCGTCATTCATTATCTACCAGCACAAAGGATCAAATTTTGTATCGTCTACAAACACGTTCTCACATGTCTAATGTAGAAAATATGTTTCGTATTGAATATAACAAGGATACACATCATGTATGTATTCAGTATATTGCATTGGATGATTTAACACTCAATACCAAGCAATCGAGTGATACGGATAAGTGGAAGTACTATATTACATCTTATTCACTACCTCATCCAACAGAAGGTATCAATCAAGATAAATTATATGCACCTTTCCTAGAAAGAATACTTGACTTCGAAAATGAAGCTTTAGATGTTGATGATCCAGCAAATAGTAAATACTCTCCAGAAGGTGTATCACATTCGATATTGAAAATCAAAATTGATAAAGCTACATATGCTATGGAAATTGAATCAGGTTCTTATGATATATTTTCCAGAAAAAGCATCAACAGATATCCAATTAAAATTAATGAGAAAACATTTAAAAAGTCTTTAAAGAAAAAGATAGATACTATAGATAAATTTCTAGGTAGTCAATTTGGTTGGAAACGGGGCTTGGGAAACATATCCAATAATACTTCTGTTTCTACTGCAGTAATTGCTGAGAAGTCTGATTCTAGCAGTGTTTCTGCTTCATCTTCAACTGAAAAAGAAAATATTGCTATTACCTCTCAAAATTCATGTTCTATACCCGTAGGAAATGATTCTAATAATTAATTTATCAATACAGATAGGGCAGAATGAGAATTTTGAAGTTTAAAGATGACAAATTGTATATTTATATATGTCTACATTATGTATATCATACTATTTTATATAGTTGTGTTTTTTTATAAATGTATATAAGTAATGATGTTAAATTATGAATTTCTCAATTAATTTAGTGAATGACATAAATATTTCTGTAAAATTAATATATAATCTCATACTGTTGGATGATGAAGTGATAGTAGAGAAACTATCTACAAAAAAAAAACCTAAAAAATGGCTAAACTACAAACAGATTACACATATACACACATATTCACTCTTCATCAACATCTACTCCAAAATCTTGTAACTTTTCCCCCCATTGATTTATCCAGTTACTTCTATTTATAACAATATTGCTTGCAGATTCTTGAGTATCAGGTTGAGATGGAACAACAACAGCTGATGATCTATTACGAACCACAAATTCTCCATCCTCAAATGTTTGTTCAACACTTGTATTTTCTAAATTGACTAGTTTTCTACCTCCATCAGATGGCCATGGTAAAGTCAGAAGTAAATCTTCAATTGATAGATTTTCTTCATATCGAGAAATATCATTTGTACTGAACCTCATACCATCACCTCTTGGTTTGTTGAAAGGCCATAATAGTAGATATATTGGCCCTAATGATTGCTCCCAATTTTGCCGTATACCAATATCATAAGGGAAATTTATTATTGATTCAAATCTTACTTTTTTGTCATTAGACTTTTTTAGAAGTAACTTAGCTTCTTCTCGCCTTTCAGTAGTGTTCTCAAATGGATACACGTCCCATATTCTTTCAATCAATAGAGGGACTAATTTTTTATGATAAAATAATGTTTCCAATCTATCCATTTCCCAAGCTTCAATTTGTGTCCTTCCATGTAATATTTGATTATTGACACAACGGATTAGCAAGATAGAAATAGTTAACCATATAAATAGATTAAATGGAATCAGGATAGTAAGGAAAAAGAACTCCACTCTTTGAAACGAAATGTTAACCTTATTCCATTCATTCCAAACATGAATAACGCTTTTAAAAAAATACCAATTCAATTGACTAGTCGATATAATTATCCATAACAAAAATCTGATGAAATGAGGAAAATTGTTGTAACCTACACAATTTAAAGTCCAGGGACAATGATGATCCATCATAAGAACGCACTGGTTACATGTTTTACAATGATGTGTTCTTTCTGGTTTAAAATTATTGCACTTATGGCAGAATTTCGTATCCTTTATCTTATTTAGATTTTTAATATTACACTTGTTGTTATTTAGTTCTGAATTATTTGATATTGATGAGGGTCTACCTGGATTAGTAAAAATAGCTGACAAGTAAGAGAACCATATCATAGTTACTGAAAACTCGAATATGAACTGACCTCGTAGAGAGACAAAATTAGATAGAATAAAATAGTGTGCATTATATGAAATAAATGTAATAATTGCAGTCGGTATGGCCACACCTAGCCAAGGCCATTTCAATTGTGGAGCCATGAAAAAGTAGCAATTGTCGATTAAAATACCTAAATTTGTTAACAAAGCTTCATATGTATCTGTTTATGTACATTGATAGGTGCTTTTAATTAAACGTTTCAACGGTTCATCTGTTGGGAGGTTGTACTCGTATTTATATTTGTGTAATTTTTGTACTGGATAAAAAGCGATGTCAAAATCTTTTGATAAATGAAAATGAGTTTAGGGTATAACAAATAAATGCATATTTAACAGCACTGGTACTAATGACAACGAAAGAGCCAACAACATAACTGCAACTGCTCTGCATTTGAATCTATTGTTATAAAGTAATATATAATTGAATATGGGATGATTTTGCAGAAAATCGAATCGATCATTTGTAATGAACTAATAAAGTATGAGTGGACAAAATGCATATTTATAGAAAGTGAAAAGAAGGAACAGAAAATGGAAGTCAGTGAGAATAGTACGATTCCTCTTACATTTTTAAAAATCATTGCTACAGATCCAATTTTAATATTTTGTTTTGTGGGCCTTCCTATAGACATTAATGTAGATGAACATCTTGAAAAGGCTAATGGCAACGAACAATGTGATACATTAATATATGCTTTATCCAAAGAGCAGATAAAACAGCAATGCGAAGAACAAGGTTATATGGACCTAGCTTATGACTCAATTTGGACTAAGATTCTAAAAACTGATCTACAGAGGGAATACCTGTTAAATAATACAAATTATGTGATATCTTTTATCCTGCTGTTATCATCTGAGTTACATTTGAAATTAAGTGTGTCATTAACACCGTGCAATTCACTATCTTTTGGTTGTTTATCAATTTTACACTCAAATCTAATGAAACAACTTGTAATTACTACTACTCTTCTATCTAATCAATTAAAGGTTCAAGATTGTATTTTAAGAAAGAAAGATGAGATTATTGGATATTTAAAAGATACTATTATTGGTTTAGGTGGGTCGCAAATTTTAAATAAATGGGCACCTGCTGGATCCAATAACTATTGTTGCATGCAAAAATATGAAAGTGCAGAAATTCAGCTCCCTCCTGATATAAATGTACAATGGGTAGAAGATAATATACAAAATATGATGCATCTATATTTAAAATTTAAAGATAACAAATATAGAAAAGATGATTCTTTTGGCTTTGGGAAGAATGTTAATGAAATACATGGAAAAAAAAAATTAGAGGTATCTTCTTCAGAATCCAACTTATATGTTAAAAAATCTTCTAGTACTGAATCGAGTAGTAATGAAACTAATTTATTGAATATTGAAAGAAACCAAGCAAAGAAGTCTAAGAAGACAACAAGGCTTTTTGGTAAAGTTAGAGTATCCAAAGATTCCTGAGTATTTGATAAAAACTTAAAAACAGTGATCTTGTACTATTATCATGAAATGTATCCAATATATGTATGTATGTATGACATAATTGCCATTACAAACACAAAACCTCTAATGAAATGAATATGTTGACAATAATAAAAAAAATATATGTATTCATTCATATATAGATATACACATATATCTAAGAAATAAATATACATATATATATATCAATAAATATTAACACAACAGATTAATATTTATAATGATTTTGATTTTAGTAAAGAAATCCTCATAAAGAAGATAATAGAAAAGGATTAAAATAAAAATAAATGTTGATAATAAAAATAAGAAGTAATAAAAAAAACTTTTATTATATAGAGATGTAAAATAATGAAAACATTGTCAAAAAAGAATCCACTCTTTTTAACCTTCTTCTTTATTTCACCATCGCCTATATAATACCAACAATTATCCCCCTTTTCTTAACGTAAACGTCTAGCTTCACGTTCGGATTCCATCAAGACTAAGATGTCATTTTCTCTGACTGGACCCTTAACATTTCTGACAATAGTTCTAGAAGTGTCTTCTAAAAATTCGACACGGACTTGGGTAACACCACCACGAGAACCGGTTCTACCTAAAACTTTGATGACTTTAGCTAAAGTAACTGGGGTCTTGGAATCCATTTTGCTGCCTTGCTGGGATGGAATGTTGGGGTAGATGTGAAGTTAAGAAAGGTAGGAACGAAAGGCACAGAAGGAGAGGCTAATGAATAAAGGGCTTTCTTCAAACTTGCTTGAAGTCAACTAACGCAACTTTTCTAACAGATAGTTCAAGAGAAATTAGTAGTGAGTGAAAAGTTTATGGAAAGTATCCTTGAGTTGCGCAAAGTTGAATGGAAATGAAAACGAGAGTGAAATTTTGATTACAAAAATACGAGAAAAAATTTTTTTCAAAAAAAATAAAAAAAAATTGAATTTGAAACAGGAAAAAAAATTTTTTTGTGCGTGGGTCACGTCGTACGGCGAGAATTTTCTAAAAATTGAAATAAGTCATTTTGATTCCAATGTAATTTGGTTACCATATTTTCAAAATTGGTGACTAGTGAATCGGTGTCTCTTTGAAATTCTTCCTGAAGATCTTCGATTTTTTTAGTATATTTACTCAATAACGGTTTAATTAAAGCCTGCTTGACTTCTTGATTGATCATATTCACTTTGATAACAATATCTCTCGTGAATATATTTACAGACTGCTCGATTTGTTGTTGCAACAAGTTGGTAAAGCCATTTGGCGGAGTAACAGTGGATGATATGGTTGCTTTGCTTTTGGATATCGCAGGATTGTCGATATGAATGATATCTTCGTTATTTGTATTCTCTACATTATTTAATTTGCTCTTTTTTGATGGATTAGTGGGTGTACTATTAGTAGTGCCTGTGGTGGTGGTAACATTAGCTAATATAGTTGTGGAATCATCATTAATCACATTAGTTTTTTGTAAAGTGCTAGTTTTTTCTTCTTTTACAGTTGTTTTATCTGATTGAGGCTGTATTAAATCCTTTTGAACATCTAACTGAGAAGATTCAATAGTAACAACAGGTTTATAGTTATCCAAATGTCCTTGCTTTAAAGATTTGGAATTCTTACAGCTGACGTTAAGACTTTTTTTATCTTTGTTCTTTTTATTATATTTTAAATTGTTTGGAAGTTTTTCAACTCTTGATTTTACTATCTTTGACTCTTTGTAGTTATTTACTTTATTATTTGCTTTCTTTTCTGTATTTTCAATCTTGTTATCTATATAATATTTCTTGAAACTCTTTTTTGTATTATTAGGCGGTGATATTTCATTGCACTTTGTTATCAGTATAGAATCCTGTGATGGTGTCAAATTACCATTCAATTTTAATATTGTTTTTGAAGTGCTTACTCTATACTTATTATTTTCTGCAAAGGGGGAAAGAAGAGTTATAGTTTTTAAATTTTCGTGGGATGAAAGAATATGGGTATTAGTGATTGAAGAGGAAATAGTAGTAGCAGAAGTGGTATCATTATGGACATAGTCATTTTTATCAAAAAGAAACCAAAAGTTATTAATTTTTAAAATAATCTCTTTATTATGTTTCTCTGTATCATTTTGATAGTATTGAAAATTATCTATTTCTAATAATATTCCAATTGAATCTATATAAAGATATAAAGAGTTATGGATAACCTGTACATAAATGGGGCCCATATAACGTTCTTTATTATTTATTATGATTTGATCTATTTTATGAACCATTAAAGAGCTAAAGTCAAAACTATGATCTGTAAAATAATTTTTTTGAATTATCTTAAGCATTAGATAACTTGGAAAATGGTTCAAGTTAAAGGGAAAATGGTTTAAAAGTTCCAAAAATTGTTTTGATACCAGTTGTGGATAATCCCTTGATAAGTTGCACACGATAATTAAAAGCTTCCAATTTTTGATTGAAATATTTTGTAACCATTGGATTAAAATTAAACTGTCCAATTCAATATCAACAACCAATTTATCGAAATGAAAATATTTTAGGATATAATTGAATATTTTTGAATTCAGATTACTAGATTTGATTAGATCATTTAACAATTGCAAAGATTTGATATAGTATGGTCCATTATTCTGTACTAAACATTCGTACAAGGTTTCATATATTTTTAGATCACCATCACTCTGAATACATATTTCAATCAACTGTTCAATTCTTTGTTCCATTTCAATTATTATTATTATTATTATTATTATTATTATTATTATTATTATTATTATTATTATTATTATTATTATTATTATTGTCGTTGTTGTTGTTGTTGTTTGTAATAAAAGGATGGATGAAAGTTAAAAGGTGTTTATTCTTCAGCTTTTTTAAAGACGTTACTCTAGAAGGTTAAAGATAATCACATCTTTGGAGTGCTTTAAATACACAAATATATAAACTTATACTTATATAACTACTATTATAAATCTATATTAGCCGCCCAGATATTGTGTCTTTCTACATACAATACAAATATACAACAGATGTAAGGTGTATGGGTGTAGAAAACCCTTGTTTTTCTTCTCTTTTCTTTTTTGTTCTTTTCAACTTCCAAAAGAAGAAGAAGCAGCCCAGATAACAAAGATGTAAGGATGTTGCAGTCGTTGAAATTCAGTTGATTCTTAGACGGTTTGGGTAAATAAAGTTATTTGCTAAGATTGACCAAACATATGTTATCGTACACTTCTGTATGCGTGCATATTCAAGTATCAGGTCCTTTTGCCCAATAGAAACTCCCCGTCTATTATTTATTAAATACACATATTTACTATTACTATCATTACATAGAGATATCAGTAATATATAGGGATGTTCAATATAATATACTTTGGCCAGCAAAGTAAAGTAAAGATAATAAATAAGACACAAAAGAAGAGAAGAAGAAAAAATGAAATGAAATAACGTAAAAACAATAACTTGTATTGTAGGCTTGGAATCACACATAACTTTCGAGTATATTTGGTTATAAACCTGTGATTATGTGTTTGTAATTTTTTGATTGAATTATTTTTTATTTTATTTAATATCTTTTTTTTTTTTTGAATCTGACCATGTTTAACTTACATCGTGAATTTGTAGATAAATATCTCAAAGAGGTAGGATAAAAGATGAAATAAGAAAAAATAAAAAAAGAAAGAGAAAACAGAGAAAAAAAAAAGAAGTAACTTATGAGGATGGAGATATTATGAATCTAATTTTTAGTATTCTTTAAGTTAGTATAATTCAGTCAAAAAAAAAATTGAAATAAAATGAATATTATGCAAGGATTCTCATTTAATTTCATAATTGGACATTACAATAATCATATGTTATATCAAATGTAGCTATATTTGTATTTGAATTACCTATTTCGTTTATTGATGTGATAGTTTCATTATCTTCATTATCCAGATAACTATTTTCATTGTTATAGAAATTTTCTCTATCATCCCATCTTTTGTCAAAACATAATAGAGTGTCCATTGAATTTGTTTTTGCCAAAAAGTTATTGTATTTATAAGGGTTATTGCACTCATCTGTAGGTATGGTGTTAGAAGTAGTAATCGCAGCAGTGTTGGTAGTACTTGAATACGTACCTGAGGTGATATTATTGGTATTGTTCAAAGCTGGTGAAAAAGTATAATCATAATCATAACAATCAAAAAAATATTCCTTTTCACTATCATCTGTATCCCATGATGATAAATCAGAATATGAAGACGAAAGTGACGGCATACTATTATCATTAATGGTATTATTAATGGTAATGACTGAGGAATTGTCATTGCCACTACTATTATTGCTATTGTTATATTTGTTCATTAATGTATCATAATCGGTTTCTTGCATTTGATCATCGATAAAGAAGGATAATTTGTTTTGGTTTTTAGGATGAATCCAATATGTATCAGTATGGAACATGTGTTTTAATGGAGATTCATTATAGTAATCAGTATCTTTTGAAAATTTTCTGGTGACAACCTTATCTCTATTTTTTGGAATAGTGCTATTATTAGTAGTAGCTGCCGCAGTAGTAATAATTTTATCGGTATTAATATTGTTATTATTCTTATCAGTGTTGTTACTATTGTTATAAATGGTGGCCATAGAATTGTTTAACTTTGGCGAAACATTCAAATTCAGTATAAAGTTTTGATAATTATTGTTATCATAATAAACTGAGTCATTAACATTATACATGCAAACAAATTCTAAGTTCAAATTATTTTGATTATTTATCATGACGTTATCGATTAATTTATGATACTCCAAGAAAAACTTCCAAGCGTTTAAATCAATATCAAAGATGAAAATATCTTCATGATTTGTTGGAGAATACGAATAATCTGCCTTTATATAATGAATTTGTTTCCAATTATCAAATGTAAATTTACATTGAATAAATTTTTCATATTGTAAGTTACGTACTTTAATTGTACCACGTATAACATTATCTTTTACTAAAGATATATTAATTACTTTAATATTATCATATGGGTCTAAGTGGTAATAGTCATTATTTTTATTATCAAAATTTGAACTTATAATGCATGCTTGAATATCGTTGTTGTAGAAATTGGTCATATTAAAAGTTGGAGATTCAATTATATTATTGAAGGTTAAGAGAGTGTTAGCATCTGTAACAGTATTAGCAGCAGAAATCGCAGGAATGACACCCGTTGGAGCATTAGTATATGTTAGATGATAATTATCAAAATAATCTAAATCAAAATCATCTTCAATGTCATCAAAATTAAAATCCCATAGATTCTGTTTGCTCATTTTATTAGCTGGTGTTGTTTCAGTGGCACTAGTAAATGGTGAGATATTATCGATTGGATAAAGTACAGGAGAAGTTTCATTAGATATACTGATTGGTTCATCGTTAATATGAAAACTTTTAATAGTAGTTAACTGGGGAGCGAATCTAACGAACTTATACGTATTTGAAGAACTTGGATTGGAAGAAAACGAGGTTGAAGATGCAGATGAAATTGATGAAGTTGAGGATGTTATGGAAGGAGATAAAGAGTCATGACGTGATAATTTTAGTGATGATTTCAATTTTTTCATAACAATTTATCTATAAACCTATCTATTTATTTATTTATCTATCTATCTATTTATCTATTTGTTGAAATTAATAAAGTAATTGTAATGTATTTGTTAGGACGTTACTTTTATGATTACTTTTATTATTTCTTTTAGCAGTTTCTTTTGTAGAAGGATACGTGAGAGAAAAATCTATTTAGGCAGAAGAAATATGATTATTTAGAAAAGATATTATACTATGTAAAGAAATGAAAAAAGGCAGACGATGGCCAAAGATGAGTGTGGGAGGAAAGAGTTTTAAAACGTTAAGATATGTAATATTGAGAAAGCACAAACATAGATATATATATATGTTTGTATATATATGTATGTATGTGTGTTTGCTTATATATTCTATTATTCTTTCCTTTGTGTTTTTCTTTTTCCTTTAATAATAAATAAATGACAGGATGAAGTTGAGATCAATAGAACAAGTAAAAAGAAATAACTAAGAGCACCTATATCAACAAAAGAAGAACTACAAAGAGAAAGACAAAAGAATTTAGATATATGAAGAAAAGTTGTTAATATAAACAATAGCATAAATAGAGGTGAATATAAGACACAATACATTTATACATTGACCCCGTAAACAAGTAAATAAAAAAAAATGTGAGGAAAATAACGCGAGAAAATACATACAGTCTGTTTCTGAAAATGTACATAAGTTTAAAATATATATAGAGAGAGGGAACGAGATAAATAAATAAAATATAGATGCATAAGATATAATACGTTCTCCTTCATCCGTGACTTTTATTAAAAATAATGATAATGTCACAAAGATTTCCGGTTTGACAAAAACAAAAAATAAAAAAAAACTAAAACAATAGTTGTTAATTCAACAAAACAACCAAATATATCTTTTTTTATTTTATTGAATACATATTGTATTCGTGTATCTGATTGATAATAATAGGTTCTATTACTGGATTAGGAAAACAGAACTCCTATTTTTTTGTTTTCTTAACTGCAACCCCCACGAATACTATTGTGTTATATTATTGTGCTTCAACGTGGAGGATAATAAGAGAACAATATCTGAATTTCAGATTTTTTAATAGCCAGCATTAATGATTTTCTATTGTGGCTTATTTCCGCCGAATCTTGTTATCATAGATTTTTTAGAATTTTATTAAGCAAGAAAGACTTTCACCATCATAGAACATGATAACTCGATACCATTTTCTTTGGGGCCACATTCACCTATTCTTATTATTTGTATTTACATATTTTGTAAAGATGGCAAAAAAATTTTTTTTTTTTTTTGATTTGTTTGTTTGTTTGTTTATATTTTTCTTTCTTCTTTTCCCCTTAAAAACTCTCTTTTATTTGTTTACTTGTTTCTTTTCTTATTGTTGCTGTTGTTGCAAAAAAAAATAAAATTAGTAGGAAACTATTCCGAAACTATTTCGCACTGAAAGAGCTAGCTTCACATAGAAAATAAAAAGAAAAAAACAGAATAGTTCCATGGTACAAAGAAATAAACTAAAAGTATCAAAAGTTTTTTTTTTTATTTCTAACGCATGTACCACAAAACTAGCACCAATTTCTTATTTAGGGATAATAGAGAAGTAAATTGTTTTTGTGCACATACATTCTTTTTTTTTTTGTTAGAGACCCTAGGTATTACTGTTGTCAGAAAATATGAAAGCAATAAAAATTCACAAGCTTCTCTATAGATATCATTCTACTAGATTTAACAACAGTATTGATTTACTTTTATTATCTTAGTTTTGGCTTTCTATCTTCCGGTATTGAGTCGTTTTTAGTTACTTTTTCGCAAATCATTAGTATTAATATCATAGAAAGTATGATTATTCATAAAGGGGAATTCCTAGCTTTTGATTCCAGAGCTCTATAAATGGACTGTTCAGAACATTAAAGGGATTCTGCCATTATATTATTATTTACCTCCATTAGAATATTATATTGTCCGAATCTTTCTTGCCTTTTCCTTTTTCTCTGTTTTTTTTTGTAGGTCTTCCTAATTTCTTTTGTACATACATAGGCACTTTATATAACATGCAAGAATGACATAATTAACAACTATTTTTAACAAATGGTTTGGGTAGTAAGAAATGAATAAAGAAAGGCACAAAGAAAAGAAATGGTAAGAAAATCAACAACAAATAAAGGTCCTTGATATTGTTGAAGTATGCTACTTGGATGATTTTATATTTTATCTATTACAGTATTCAACAAAAACAAATTGTGCATACCAAGCCGTAACTGTAAGTAGGCATATTTTGTTCATGCTTCAATACCGACCATTAATTGGTTATCCTTTTCGCTTACTCATATATAATTACTATCGCCGTTAAAATATTTTGTGTGTAACCAATAGAGCAGTTGGATTACAAAGAAATAACAAAATAGTAAGTCCTATGGAGAATCAAAGACAACAAACACCAGAGGAAAGAAAATATCGTTACTATTACTGAATAATTAAAAATAATTAATAGAAATGAAATCATTTACTCTTATTTCGTAGTCAATGATATGTCACATTTGTTTATATCGTTGGAAATGAGTTAAAGTTTTTCTTTTTTTATTTTCTTTTTTTTTTTTTTTTTTTCTTATTTTTCTGTGAATTCAAGATGTCCAGACATAGTAAAAAGATAAAAAGAAAAAATTAAAGATCATCGAATTAGTTTGTAAGAATATTGCATCATTTAACAGAAACTTATATTATATTTAATTCTCTAATCTTCAGTTTGTGTTCACTCATTATCCCCTATAAATTCAACAAAATTAAAGTTATCTCATATAAGCACGTACACACATATAATTCCGTACTGGTTGATATTACTTTTATCTTATTTTTTTTTCTGATAAACTGTATACATTATGTCTTTTGATAGTCCAGAAATATATAGTGCACCAGTTTTACAAGGTCAAACTCCAAACGATGATGATAATACACAGATAATTAAAGCCTTTACAAATTTCCTATTGGATTTTAGATTTAATTCTCAATTTATTTATAGAGATCAACTAAGAAATTCCATTTTAATTAAAAGATTCGCTTTAACTTTGAACTTAGAGCATTTAATCTCTTATAATGAGGATTTATACAATAAATTATTGGATGATCCGTCGGATACTATACCTTTATTTGAGATTTCTATCACTCAAGTAGCTAAAAGAATGATTATTTTAAATAGAAATAGTAATAACAGTGATAATAATAATAATAACATGGGTATGAATATTAACAACACCGATATGGAGGAATCAAATACCAATAATTTAACCACGTCATCTTCTAGTATCGATATTGATCCAAATTTAATTCCAAATTTCCAATTAATACTTAATTCAAACTCGAACCAAATTAGCTTAAGAGATTTAAATTCTTCATATGTCTCTAAAATTATCAGGATATCGGGTATAATAATTTCCACATCAGTTCTATCTTCAAAGGCAACGTATTTACAATTGATGTGTAAAAATTGTAGACATACAACTTCTTTAAATATAAATAATACAAGCAGCGGTATGAGTAATAATAATTTTGTATTGCCGCACTCGTGTCTGTCAAATAAACAAAATTTGAATAACCCAAACTCTACAACTATAACAAACGATAATAACACTACCAATAACACAAATTGTGGTCCTGATCCATATATGATTATCCATGAATCGTCTCAATTTATCGACCAACAGTTCTTAAAATTACAAGAAATCCCTGAATCTGTACCAATCGGTGAAATGCCAAGAAATGTCACTATGTCTTGTGATAGATATTTAACTAATATGGTTGTACCTGGTACACGTGTCACTTGTATTGGTATCTATTCCATATACAACTCCAAAAAGTTTGGTTCAAACAGTGCTTCTGGTAATAATGGAGGTGGAAATGCTGTCGCTATTAGAACACCTTATATTAAAGTATTGGGTATTCAACCAATAGTAGACACGAACTTAAATCTTCATATGAACTCTAATTCTATATCATCATTTAATACATTATTCACTGAGGAAGAGGAAGAAGAATATCTGAAGTTATCCCGTCAAAAGAATATTTATTCTTTGTTGGCAAAATCTATTGCACCTTCAATCTATGGTAATGAGGACATTAAAAAGGCAATTTTATGTTTGCTTATGGGAGGTTCTAAGAAAATCTTACCAGATGGAATGAGACTAAGAGGTGATATAAATGTTTTGTTATTAGGGGATCCAGGTACTGCTAAATCACAATTATTAAAATTTGTAGAAAAAGTTGCCCCTATTGCAGTTTATACATCGGGTAAAGGTTCATCTGCAGCGGGTTTGACAGCAAGTGTTCAGAGAGATCCAATGACGCGTGATTTTTTCTTGGAAGGTGGTGCCATGGTTCTTGCAGATGGTGGTGTTGTCTGTATTGACGAATTTGATAAGATGAGAGATGAAGATAGAGTAGCCATCCATGAAGCTATGGAACAACAAACTATATCTATAGCTAAAGCAGGTATCACTACAGTCCTAAATTCTAGAACAAGTGTATTGGCTGCTGCTAACCCAATATATGGTAGATATGATGAATCTAAATCACCTGGTGAAAATATTGACTTCCAGACGACAATTTTATCTAGATTCGATATGATTTTTATTGTTAAAGACGATCATAATGAGGAAAGAGATATTTCAATTGCAAATCATGTTATTAATATTCACACCGGGAAAATTTCGCAAGATCAACAGTATCAAGAAAATAATGGTCAAGAGATTCCAATGGAAAAATTGAAAAGATATATTCAATATTGCAAAATGAAATGTGCACCAAGATTATCGCCACAAGCAGCTACTAAACTGTCATCTCAATTTGTTACTATTAGGAAGCAAGTATTAAGAAATGAACTTGAAACTAGTGAAAGATCTACGATTCCTATCACGGTACGTCAATTAGAAGCTATTATTCGTATCACTGAAGCACTAGCTAAATTGGAATTATCTCCAGTAGCACATGAGAAACACGTTGATGAAGCAATAAGATTATTCCAAGCATCTACTATGGATGCTGCATCTCAAGACGCTAGTACAGCATTGGCTAATTCTGCTGGTAATAGAGCCAATGGCCAAAATGGCCCAGGTGGTAAGAACTTAATGGCAAGTATACGTTTGGTGGAACAGGAATTGAAGAGAAGATTACCTATCGGTTGGTCCACTTCTTACCAAACATTGAAGAGAGAGTTCGTTGACACGGGTAAATGCACACAAATGGCTTTGGATAAAACTCTATATATTTTAGAAAAACACGATACCATTCAATTAAGGCATCAAGGTCAGAATATTTATAGAAGTGGTGTTTAAGTGTTGTGTATTTGTTTGTCATTATCCATATATAGCAGGATTGTGTAAATAGATAAATTTATATTGATGTTAACTACATTTTTTGTAATTTTATAGAAAGTTGTAAACCTGTATTTATTTTATTATTATTATTATTATTAGAAAGAAACCTTGTAATAATATATTTTAACACAAATTAGTTTTGAGGAGATTTTTTTCACCATTGATTTATATTAAAGGCCACTATTAGACTTTGGTTTTAATGATATTGTCTATTAGCTCTTTTAATTGCATTACGGAGAAATAGAAAAAGTTGTTCTAATATACAAAAGTGGAAAAAAAAATTGAAAAATGAACAATTTTGTATAAAGAAAAATCTTGGGAATAAGTGGCCATCGAAGTACTATTTAAAAGGGAGACTATTATTTTACCGGACGCTAGTCTGCTTGTTCAAATATTGTTAATTATATATACATATACAGATTTAAGTTTTTTGGTAAAATTATAGCACAAATAATAAAATTACCTAATAGGTTTTGATACATATTTGTTCAAATTTGGAGCTTCTATTTTTGCTTTGTTTCTAAACTACAATCTCAGATACAAAAAATATATCATGACGTATGTTGAACTCTTATTCCATATGTGAATGTGGATAATCCTTATTTGTTTGTTTTTGATTGAGAAATTATTTTGTTTAAAAGTTCATTAGTCTATTTTACTAACAACAGTTTATTTGATATATAACTTATAGTATTTATTTACAGTGACCAATTATTAGATCGTCCAAAAATTGAATTAACTAAGGAAGAATTGAAACAGTTGGAAGAATTTGAGTTTAAACATGGTCCAATGTCACTAATTAATGATGCTATGTTATCTAGAACACCTGTTATAATATCTTTGAGGAATAATCATAAGATTATCGCAAGAGTGAAAGCATTCGATAGACATTGTAATATGGTTTTAGAAAATGTGAAAGAATTGTGGACAGAGAAGGAGAAGAATCAAACTGTGAATAAAGAGAGATTTATAAGTAAACTATTTTTAAGAGGGGATTCTGTAATAGTGATTTTGAAGGCACCAGTACAATAAACAAAAAATACAATAATAATGGAAAATAGAAGGAATAAGAAGATACATAAGCACATTTGGAAGGATGAAATAGACCGGGGTTTATTAAAAACTAAGAACGGCAGCATATGGAAATAAAATTTTCCTACTTCGCTCTCACATATTTTTATTTGAGATTTCGATAGAGTCTGATTATTTAATAAGTATACTATATTATTATTATACAAGTTATGCATGAATGGGCATATACAAATATATGAAATGCAAAGTTTTGATATTTTTTTTTGCTATGATTTCTCTCAGGGTGTTTATTTGAAGTTCTTGAGTGGATCTGTTTTAACACTTTTACGTTTCGTCACTTTGCCTTTCTTATTGTGACGACCATTCTTTTTAGGATTGCTGTAAGGAATAAAGCCTAACTTCTTCTTGCTGAGTTGTTTTCTAGCAGCTTCGGGTAACAAATATTCAGGTATTCTCTTTAAATGTTCTTGTATCCTGGCTGGATGTAATTCTTTGTCGTGTCTTAATGTTTGTAATTCATTTGGATTTTCTTCAAAATGTCTTTTCAACTTTTCACTAGTTAATAGTTCTTCTCTTAATTCCTTGATTCTTGCTTCTCTAACTGCAACCTGAGTTACTGCACGGAACCCATCTTCTAGTCTGTAACGGAAACCTTCGATCTGTTTTGGATCAAAAGAGTATGGTTGTAACTCAAGACCTAATTTACCTTGTTGTTTCACAATTCTGGAAAAAATCTTTTCATCTCTCTTTGCTGTTGGACATGAAGATGGTTTATGTTTGCCAAATTCTTTTAATGGAACCACAAACGATATGGCAGTACCAGTTCTACCAGCACGCGCAGTTCTACCAATCCTATGGACGTATGATTTTGCTGTAGTTGGTAAATCAAAATTTAAAACACATGCCACATTTTTGAAATCAACACCACGAGATACACCATACTCTTTATCTTTCTTAATCTCCATAGATTTATTTTTCTTCTTATTGCCCTCAGCATTAGATTTATTCTCATCAACTCTATCATTAGATTCTTTCATATTATTTTCTTTTAAGTTTTCTTCTTCTTCCTCATCTTCTTCTTGAAAGTATTCAGAATCATCAGTAGCGATCAATAAATGATATAAATTCTTGTTGAATTGATCCACAATATGTTGTCTTGAATTGGATGGTAATTCACTATTTAGGATGCACGATTTAATACCGAATTGCTCAAGAACCAATTTCAGTCTATATCCTCTATCAATATTATTGACAAATATCAATGTCTTTCCCTTAATTAAATTCAATTTAAAAATAACATAGCATAATAAAAACTTATCAAATTCAGAGGTTTTAACATAATATTGAATTAATTTAGTCTTATCTTTGTTAATTTCTTCATCATTGAATTTCAATATAGCTGGAGAACGACAAAATTTTTTCTTTAAATCTTGGATATCGTCGTTTAAGGTAGCACTCATTAAGAAAGTTTGTAAGTTTTTCTTCAATGGCAAATATTCAGCAATCTTACTCAAGTCCTCTTGATAACCAAAAGTTAAAACTAAATCCACTTCATCAATAACTAAAAACTTCAAATTATCTAAGGATATGGAATTAATTTTAGTGTCTAATAAACTAGTTAATTTACCTGGGGTAGCAATAATGATCTCAGGGTTTTCTAAAAGTAAAGTATTCATGACAGAAGATGGTAATTCTGCAGAAATATTCAAACTTCTAATATCTTTGGAACAATACACAATCATTTTTTCTAAAACATTAAACACTTGTTGAGCAAGTTCTCTGGTAGGAACTAATATAATACCTAATGTATTACTCTCATTCTGAAGATCTGCGCTTGATTCATTTTTCTTATAATCCAGAATAGTTTGAATAACAGGTATCAAATAAGACAAAGTCTTACCAGAACCAGTGGCAGCTTTAGCAATAATATCTCTTTTTTGTTGGAGTGCTAACGGAATAGCATGGGATTGTATTAGTGTAGGGTGAGTAAAACCAGCTCCCTTTAAAGCCTGTAGTAATCTTGAGTCCAATTGGAAAGATTCAAAATTGACAGAATCATCAATGTAAACATCGGCAGCCAATTCTTTATTATTTTTTTTGCTCATTTTGGACATGTCTTGTTATTAATTTCTGTTATTACAAAACAGGAAATAGTAAGAAATTCATATAAATCTAGGACTTATAATACAACTCAAATAACTTGTATGGTTACTGTTCAGCTAAATATGGGATGAGATGAAATGATCTTCTTTAAAAATTTAACCTTCAGTTATTTTTCTTTTTCTTTGTTTTTTTCAAAAATTTAAGTATTTTTCGAAGTACGTTGTAAATGATAGAGATTAAATAAAAAAAAACTTACTTGAGGGAAATTGCACAGAATACTATATTTTATAATTTATATGAGGATAACCTTATTTGGTTGTTGGATCTCATTGGGGTAAGTTGTGTTGAAGCTTGTGATGTTATTATAGTTTAAAAATCATTACTGATTTTAGAAAATTAACAATTAGATTAACAACGACTTTTTTATAGAGTTATTTTCGTTGCAATTACTCTATATATATAGATGTACATACATGCATATTTATGTTCTACAAAAGATAGAATTATGGTATCTCATTGTTATAGTTTTCGATGATTCATACTCTTTTTAATGTGTATTTATGCGTGTCTTTTTTTCAACATAATGTTGAGACTAAGTCACCTCCAATACTTAATATGCTTTCTACCCTACCTTTTAATGGATTGGAGTTACATTCCTCTACTTTCATGCTGGTGAAATTAACTTTTGCTATATGCTTTCCAAGAGTGATTACACCGATAATATCTGTATTTGTTTTCTTAAGTTCTTCTCCTTTTTGTTCATTCAAATTTAAAGTAAAAGCGTCACCAAATTGTTCTTTGAATAGCTCAACTACTTTTTTAATTTTCCACGTTATTTCGTATTGTTGGGCAAGAATATTTTCTTCATAATAGTTTTCAGACTTTTTTGGATGTTCGTGACTGCAGTGATGACTACTCATTTTTACACTTGTAGGGGCAGAATCAACAGACATTAAAATTGCAACTACTGAATCTGCAATAGTATCGGTTACTAATCCCTGTGTCCATTCTACAATGGCTACTGATTCAACTAATGTTACATGTATATCTCCCATAATTTGCAAGATTAATTTTTTATCTTCCTTAGATTTATTTTCTTGCTTTTGGTTTTTTACTATAGTCTCTCCAGTGATATTTTCATCATCCTGCAGTATTGTGATATCACCAAACATTTGACAAATATGCCAATATACTAATTCTTTCTTACAATTTATTTTTAATGTTTGTCTTTCCTTCAGAATAGTTGTAGATAACTCTGTATGATGTTCTCTTAAATCTGATAATGAGACCAGGTTTAAATCAAAATTCTTGTCATCGGATACTAACAACCCAGAGACAATGATCTCTTTATCAAAATTATTTTCGGGTTTAATCATTTCATCCTCAATTGTTTCTTCTTTTTTAACACTATTATTAGTTATTTCGTTTGTTATATCTTTTGTCGTGGAATCTGCCTCTATCTTAATATCTGTAGTTTCCTCTTCGTGTTTAATCTCATGAATATCACTCTCTTCTTTATATATTTCATCCACAATATTACCAATAGCTTTAGCAATCTTAATACCTTTAAATTCTATGTTAACTTCGACTGAGTTTCGTGGATTATATACATGGACTTCGTTTTCTGTACCTTTTAACGACGAAAAATTTGACAATAGGGCAGATTTTAATCTACCCATGGGGTTAGATTCACCATGGACTAATATGATATTAGAAGCATGGATTTTTTCAATAAATTCAAGATTTTCCTGGAAATCAACATGTGCAGCAAAGGATATTTCTTCTACTTGACAGCGTCTAGGGATTGAAATTTCTGGATTATTAACAGACGGGATTGTGTCGGGTTCTAATATTATATATTTAGCCATAGTTCCCTCGACTGAATAGCCTGTAATTAAAATTAAATTTTTTTCCTCAGGACACCATTTTTCTAATAAATCTCTTGAAATACCACTTTGTAACATCCCAGGTGAGGCTAGCATAACACTTGGACCAAAATCTTCAAAATCGTCTAAATTCTTCAAATAAGCTATATTTTTGAAGATAAATGGGTTCGTTTGTGAATTTCTAAACTTCTTACGTATATCATCATTCATCATGTTTACATATGTTTGATATACACTCATACACTTTCTGGCCAGATCAGAGGCATAATATATTGGCACCTGCCCATTTCCCAATTCTTCAGAATGGTTTTGCCAGTATTCTTCTAATACAAGCATTAATTCTTGTGCTCTACCCAATGCAAACACAGGCATTAAAACTCTGCCACCCTTACCAACAGTAGAATGTATAAGTTGTGTAAGTTTTTTTTCTCTGTGTAAACGCGGTTCATGAGTAGCTGTACCAAAAGTTGATTCAACAATAAGAACATCTGAAGGCTGTGGTGGAACCTCAGCAGAATTTAGATGACGATCCACTTCTCTAGAATAATCCCCAGTGAATAAAATTTTTAATCCCGCTATTTCTATCTGAAACATTGCAGCACCAAGAACATGACCTGCATGAAAGGCAGTAAATTTAATACCATTGACTTCTATTGTGGAGTGATAATCGATAGCTTCGATCTTGTCAAAAGATTCAACTAAATCTTCATCCGTATACAAAGATTCCTCATCGCTTGTTGGATCCGCACCAATACTTGTAACTCTAACAAAGTCTCGAAGTAGCCATCTATATATAGCTTTAGTTGGATGTGTCATGAATACCCTTCCCTTAAATGGAGTTCTTTGCATTACATACGGAAGTGATGCAGCATGGTCTAAGTGAAAATGAGAAATTAACAGGATATCGACGGTTTCTAAATCAAAATCATCATAAAAAGGAAGAGATGCCATTCCTTTGTGAGCAGGGTGAATGCCTGCATCTAACATAATAGTTTTTCCTTTGTATTGTAAAATATGACATGATCTTCCTACTTCGTTACCACCACCCAAAGCAAAAAACTTAAATGTGTGATCAGATGGTTGTGACATCTTATGCTTTTAAAGAGACTTCTTTTTATTTGGAACTAATTGTGATTCAAATCCGGTTGCTTTGTAATTCTTTTCCACCTATGAATGTTTCTGCTGAAAAAAGGTTCTCTTGTAAAGAGACATGATCTTAGATTAAATAGAACTTGCATAATAAGTTTTCTCTAAATACTTTTTCATATATAAAAAAATTAATTTACTGAAAAGTGAAAAGTGGTTGAGAAAAGTAACATTTAGCAAGGAATATACAGAGAATAATAAGAATAAAACAGATACAGTAGCAAGGAATTCAATCTTTATAAAATGAATATATGTGCACTAATGACACTTGTATAAGGAAATAATTATTAATTTAATCTTATCTTGTTTAAGGTATAATATACTACTATCTAACTTGTATACTGTTATGTAAGAAAACCATAATCGTCATTAACAGTCCAAAATTCTTCTACCGGGAGAACAGAGCCAATATTCTCAAATTCACGATACCTACCAGGGATATTTTGAATAAAATTATTGTTTCTTTCATTATTATTATTAGTAAAATTGTGGGTAATGCTGGGATAGCTATTAATCACAGTAGCAGATTTATTATTATGTTGCCAATGTTCTGAGTGTATTGGTATGGCATTAAATCTAGCAGTAGTACTATTAGATGTTGCCAATGGTTTGCTAGCTGTGATTTGTCTTTGATAATTATTATTCCTCCTCATTGGCAAATCATTACCTTGTTCTAAATTAAAGGATTTTTGATGATGATGTAGTCTGTAATGAGGATTTCCCGGCTGTTGTTGTATACTTTCTGTAATAATATGATTTTGTGTTATCTGGTGAGATTGGGAAGAGTAAATGTCTATATCATCATTAGTGGTTATTGACACATCGTCTACTAGAGAATCATTAGTCCAATTTGATATACTGCTGATCATATTATGCGTCCAATTATTGATCAATATGCCACTCCGTGTTCTAATAAGAGATTGCGCTGTTTTAGAAACATTTGGATCGATCGGAGTTTCGTTCTTAGTATGCTTTTCAAGATTTGGTTCATTTACAACATTAGAAGATTCGTTTGGATTTTTTGTTACTATGTTAAATGTATTTGTAGGGTTTGAGTTTGCTAATTGTGGTATAAGTGTGTAATTATTATAAGAGTTGTTTGAGGCAGGAGGCAGTATAATATGTCTGTTCCCAGCTAAAGTTGTATTTATAGGATTGGTGTGGAAATTATTGTCATAATTAGATTGCATATTCGGAATGATATAAGTACTCATGGGTTTATATGGTGCATAGTTAAAGGAAGAAAGATAATTTTGTAGGTTCTGTTGGGCCACCTGTTGCTGAATATAGGCTTGATGGTGGAATGTTTTCCAATCTAAGTCGTTATTATTTAGTGGCTTCTTTACAACATATTGCTGTTGCTTTTGTTCAGTAGAGTCGGGATTAATTTTAGTATTACTGGTATTTCTTATTTTACTGTCTTTTCTTTCATGGTTTAGTAAATGGGCGAGGCTTTTAGGTAGACTATGTTTTTCTAAATCAATTTGTTTCTTTTTAAACTCACGTTGTTCTTCAATATCTACTTGTGATATTTCCACAAAACCTGCATGCTCTTCAGCTTGACCCACACCAAATACTCTTTTTATTGCAGGAGGCATACCATGAAAGTGTAGTTCATTGTCATTGTTATTGTCTACAGATTGGTCTCGTTGAAAACTTCCTTCAAATTTTTTCATATGTTCTGGTAGATTTGATTGTATGTTGTTGTTTGTAATATTTTTGTTAAGTTGCGATATGTATATCAATTCAGAAGAATTAGGCCCACAACGTGTAATTAAATTTCCTATTGTTACATTCATTAATTCGTCAAAAGTATCTCTGAATACACGGGCAAATTTTGATCTCTCAGTCATGGAATATAAACATACAGAGCATGCTCTTAAGTCGTCCATGCTAGAAAATAGGCTAGCACTTACTAGTGGACGTGTATGTGTTGATTCATCCCCTAGCTCTTTTCTTCTTTTATCATCATAATTTCTGGATAGCCACATACAGTAAACCAGTGTGACACCTGCTTCAAACACCGTATGGATAGCTGGTGTAGAATGGCCACCAATAGTTCTTTGGTGGAAAATCTTATATAATTGACATATCTGGCCTGCAGCAGCCTGACACTCTCTAAATAATCTATCTTCTGGTCTGAGAAATTCTAAGTATGGTTGTATTAATAACCTTACAGATCTATAATAATATAGTTTAAGTGTTTCATTTTCGAAATTTTTAACACCTGTAGTAGAACATGTGGATCTCCACAGCTCTAATTGTTTGAAATATTCATTTACTTTCGGGAGTTGGTATTTTCTCAGTTCTGTTGATTCTTTACTATCATCAGAAAAAATTTGTAATTCTTCTATAAAACAAGATTCAAGTCTCCTTAATCTCAATGATTGATTAATAAAATAGATATTTTTTACTTGTTTTAGTTTGTTTTGATTATCTCTGTCTTCACCAAAATACGGTAGGTTTATCTCTGATTCACTTATCGTGAAGGGTTTACTGACAGCTTCACATATCATTCTTTCTAATAGATAAACACACCAAAAGAGTCTTAATTTTTTGGATGCAAATGGCTCATCAGGAACCCAGTGTTTTATTAAAAGATTTGTCTTACAAATATCCATTATATCTTTCATTATGTCATACAAAACCAATGAATCTCTGTCTGTTCTTATGAGATATAACACTAAGAGAGTTAACAATTCAATTTTATGAATATCGTTGAAATGTCCACCACATTTGGTAATATGTCTTACAGCGGTACCAAAATATCTAATTGGTTTATGACCTTTATATTTACCAGTTGTCTTTTGCATACATGCAGCAATGCTAAAGATCAACCACATTCTGCCACACTCAAAATGGAATTCGGTATTGGAATATGAATATATATTGTTTTTAGCGTAATTATCATGAAAGGAATAAATCTCTTCTTCATCAAGCAAAGGATATTTAAATTGTAGTCTAGTGAAAAATGTGTCTAAAAAAGTTCTTGATAAATCCATATTGAATTCAAATGCAGGGTAATACAGGAAATCAATCTTGGCGAAATATTTGGCAAAGATGCAATTATTGAAATCAATAGAGTCCACAGAATCAGATGATAATGCAGGTATGGAACCATTTGCATTATTGACCCCTGAAGAGGGTATAAATTTATTTGAAGGAGATCGATTGTTATCATTATTGATATTTTTATTGTTTACCACAGGCAAATGTGCTACTGTGGATTCCAAATCCTCGATTTCACCTAACAGATGGGTGATTTTTTTATAATGATTCAATTTTTTAGTGAAAACCGCGCCACCTATGGGTAAATCTATAAGTTTTTCCAAATATCGTAGTTTTCTTTCCAGGAATACGGTATATTGGTCCCTATCAGAGTTTTCGTATCTTTTGTTAACTTTTCCCTTCGATTTTCTCTGTGGTTTTCCTGTTTTCTGTTGTCCAATTGTTAAATTGTTGTCATGATTTGATAAAGAGGACTCAAAGGGCGTGATTGTATGAGAAACAGAATTAGTTGCCGATCCCTCTGTAGTAGTGCTATACGGTGAATCTGTAACAATGGGTGAGGTAATCAAGGAGGCTGGTGGAGTTAAATATTTCGAGGAAGGTGTACTTTTTTGTGTATTTGCTACTCTTTGACTTATTAATGGAATGATGGAGTTTGAGTTCTTTAAATCTGTCTGTTCTTCCACACCTTCGACTTCTGGCATTTGGACATCATGTGAGGGTTTGATAGTTTTTTTAATGGTTGGTTGATGATAACCTGCAGGTTGGATACATTTAACGGCAGCTCTTAGACATGCTGTACAACTGGGTAGTTTTTGGTCGCATTTCTGTTTTCTTCTTTTACATAACAAACATGATTTCGATCTCCCTCTTTTATCCTTCAATAGAATATCACTTCTATTGCCGGCCAATTGTAGTTCTTTTTGGAATCTTTCTATGTTCTGCTTACTAATTTCTTTCTTTGGTCTTCCCATTGCGTGAAAAAAAAAAAGAAAAAAGAAGAAGAAAAAGAAGAATAGAAAGATAAATGAGTTATAGAAAAATCGAAAAGAGAGTGGAAGATAGGGTAATAAGCTATAGCAGTAAAAAAAAAAGACTTATTATATATAGAAAAAGAAAAATATTGAATGTGTCGATTGGGTTCTCTTAGTTGCTTGGTTTCTGATTAATATATTGAGTAAAGAAAATAACAAATGAAGTTGCTTTGAACAAGAACAAAGAGAGAATGCTAATTGGTAAGAAAATAAAGTCTCTGAAATTCTAACTTCAATTTTTAGTATTTCTATATATATATATATATATTATGATGTTTAATTATCTTTTGATTGTAGTTGATAATGGATGATACTTATGCAGATAATCTTACTGGTCAATATGACACATATTGCATCTTTATTCTCAGACAAAAAAAGACATCAGATTAAACTATTGTAATAAGAGAATAATAGAGAGGAAATAAGAAAAAAAACCACGGTATGTTAAAAGAATAGAGAGGGGGGCAAGGGGAAACGGAAGAAGAAAAGAAAAACAATGTGTATCTGCGTGTATAAAGACGTCTAATATATATATAAGTAAGCAAGTTTGACAGCGTTATTAAAAACATCAAAAACGATTGTCGAGGACGGAGATTACATCAAATGAAATTCCATCAAAAAAAAAAAGAAAAGAAAAGAAAAGTAGAGTCAACTTTTGTTAAATTCGTGTGATCGAAGGCAAATCAGACAAGTTTTTTCTGAGATTCTTAAAAACAGGCAATACTTCTATTGTTTTGTACGCCAAAAAAAGACAATTATTCATTATGTAAGAAATCGCAAGTTTAAAAAAAAAGATAAAAAAAAAAAGAAAACAAAGGAAAAAAAAGATGTCTGGTGTCAATTTGATAAAGGCAAGATAGAAAAAATGGTGGCGTATTGAAAAGATTTATGGTTAAAAAAAAAAATTACGTATATTAGTATTACTCACTGATACGGAAAAAAAGTAGACAGGAATATAATATTTTGTGTTTTTCTAATTACCACACCTATTTGAAGTGAGGGTTTTTTACATGGAAAGTATTTTAGAATTTTATAATTCAAATAGAATAGAACATATTAGGATAACTCAAAAATATCTATGCGTTTTTTATATGCTTATTTTTTTTCTATGGTAAATTCATTCAGAATATCTGTTTTAAAACTAGCAACTTTCTTGTATTTTGTTTCCTATTGACTAAACTAAATACTGTTAGAGTTCTGCTAGGAAGATAAATTCCACACACGCCACTTTACAGTAGGGTTCTCATAGATTTTTGAAAAGTTTTTTTATTTTTTTTTTTCAAAAGACAACGCTGTTGATGGTGATGTGATTTTATCAAACCCTAACTTCATCTGAGCTCATTCCTCGAATTTTCGCTGTCACTAAAAATGAAAATGTTCCTCTTTTCTTTTCTTTTTTTTTTCTGTGTCACCTATTTGGGAAAGATGTCATGGAGAACGTGGGATTTAAAAAAATATCAGAGAATTAAACAATAGAACAAAACAATTTTTTGGCATGAGGGAGTGTGTAATTGGCATATATGGCTACTAAAATGGACCCCCAATACCTATTTTGGAAAAGACACTTAACAAGATACGAGTAGGGGGGAGCAGTGGATTGGGAAAACTTCATAATACTAAATAATGTCATGGAGGAGGGTGGAGAAGGGCGAAGACAGAGAGTAAGGAGGTGATCATTTAGATGTCTCTCCTTCTACAATTCTTGAGGAGTTATCATACATCAACATGCAAAAAAAAATAGTAAGCTTGGTTTTTGTCAGTAGTTATATTGTTTTGTAAACGATAGTATTAAATCTTTTTTTTTTCTTCTGGCTAATGGTTTAAGTACTTGCAGAAAATTCATTATTATATATATATACATATATTATAGGAAGATGTACGGAATATTATTACAAAAGAATTTGGTTACTTCTCTACAACACACACACACACACATATACATATAAGAAAAAAGAAAAAAAGATGCAGTTAAATAGTGAGTATTAGAAAGAAAAGAAAGAAGAGAGGTAACAGTATATTTACACAGGTTAGGTAATGGCAAATGGAGGGTCTCAATAATTATAAATGTCAATTATTTTAATCGTTTAACATAGATAAAATAATGTCTTGCTCTTCTAGTTGCTGCTGTCTTATTTTCTCCTCATTTGCCTTTTTATGTTCTAAATGTCTCTGTCGACTCTTCTTATCTTTTGAACGCTTATTTTGTATAGCTAATTTTTTAATAGCTTCTTCTCTCTCGGTAAGTCCACCTCCATTCCTGTGTCTTTCAATCTCTAGAGCCATCTTTTCCCTAGCTATAACTCGGTTTTGGACTCTTGATCTAGTGGATTGACAACTCACAACTATTCCAGTAGGGATATGTTTCAATTGAACTTTAGAGTTACACTTATTTATCTTTTGTCCACCAGGCCCTCTCCCTCCATGTAGAAAACTTTCTTCACATTCGCTTTCCATCTCTTTAGTAAATTTTGGCCTTGGAGGTAATTTGTATCTCTTGATAAATAATGGAATTAAAGTAGTGAAATTTCGTTTCATTCTTTATCTTTATTGGTTCTTGTTCTTTTCCTTTAACCCTTTTGTCTTGTGTTCCTTTTCAAATATCTATTGGTTGAGGTTGTCTCTTTACAAAGTGCTTTTGTAATTAGCGACGTTCTATATTAATGTTTTAAAAAGGCATTTCTTTTTGTTTTTTGTTTTTTTTTTTGTGTGTTTTATTTTCCTTTTTCTTCTTCTTATTTGCAATTTCTCGATTTCACTCTTTTGCTAACCTTTGAAATATCTAATTAAAAAAATTGGTCCTAACTTCGGTATCCATTTCTTATACCCTTTAATCCTTAAACACATGGTATGATATTATAAACCAAATATACAGATGTATCTTCATATAGGAACTTGCTAATAACACTTTAAAAAGAGAGAGAAAAAAAGATAGGATAAGTAAAATTTTGACATGCATGTATGATGTTTACAAGTTGTGTGAAAGCCAACATATTGGATAGTTCTAAAAGATATGTCGGATATAAATCTCCATTGCTTTCAGCACGAAGAGGGATTCAATTAACTAAGGCTTGTAATTATTATAAGAGTCCTGCGCTATTGATGTCTCATTCCATCTCTCTCCCTACACATGGTAGTGTCCCTAATTCCAAATCAACTATTAAGAATGGGAACATCCCCATTAATAATAGCTATTTCAATCAATCAGATAAAAGTGATAGAAAGATTGATGACGGGTTAGAAGGAAATGATTTAATAAAGACATTATCTGAACAGTTGATACTAGAGACCACGATGAATTTGCATAAACCTACCCGTGCAGAGAATCAGGTAGATACGTTGTCTATATATCGGGATCTATTGACCTGTTTTACTCCTAGGCAGAGTAAAGCTATTATGTCTACAATTTTGTATTTTTTAAATGAACAATTTTACATGCATTATAATGATAAATTTCTAAGAGATTTCGAGATTGATAAGCAGGACCATTTATTTAACTCATTGAAAAGTGAAATTCAATATATCATCACTAACAATCGTGACACTGAATTGAATAAACATCATTTATTGTTGACAAGGCTGAAAAGAGATTTGGATTCCATTGTGGATGAAATCAATGAATTGATTATTGATCAATACGAAAAAAACTGTAAATTGGATTTCCATGAACACAAAAATGAAAATACCTTGTTGTATAAGAGGATCAATCTAAATTTGAACGATTGTTCTAATAAAATCACTATTCAGATTACATCAGGCATTAAGTCAGAGATTGAGACACTTAGATGGCAGACGACAAGAAGCGGGTTGCTTGCCGTAGTCATCATGGCGTCATCGTTTATGATCGTTGTGAACATTTCTAATAAAAAATCTAGAAATTCTACAACAGATATTTTAATAGAAAATAATTCTAATAAGAATGAAGATGAAGTAAATGATAATGAGATTATAGATATTGAGGTTATATAAGTGTTAATAGGAGGAAGAAAGGAGAGGAAGAGAAGAGAGAAGAGATAGAAGAGATAGAAGTATACAGAATAATTAAAAAATGATTATAATTTGCTTTTATCAATTTTATTTCTTTTAGCGGAAATTTTCTTATCACGCAATAAGGCAAATCTTCTCTGAGGTTCACCATTACGCCAAAATGGTAAAGCACCATGAACTTCGTTTGAATTGGCTAACATTAAGGTGTTGACAGTATCATTGCTTGCTCTTAGAACTGTTTTCATTTGTAAGCATGCGGGTAGATACAGAGGTTTGATTTTTTCTTTTAAGTCTCTAATAATTTGGTTGTTAAAAGTGTCGACATTTAAGGGATCCATCCCCATAGAATAATCTTTGACAATGACTGTATTTAAAAGTTCATGGAAATATAATTTCTCACCAAAGACCAATTTACTAAAACTTTTATTCCAACCGATTTTTGTTGGTAGAGTTATTGAAGTGGCACCTTCACAAGATAAGCCTAATTTAGCAAAAGGAAACTGTAGGAAATTAGTCTCTGATTTAGTGTCCATAGCATAGACCATATCACAAAGAAGAACGATAGCAGCACTTAAACCTATAGCAGAACCGTTGAGACATGCGATAAGGATTTTAGAATGATTGATAAAAGCACTAGTGATATATTGATTTTTGGATAAAAACTGTTCAAGCCATAACCTCAATTCATAAGAGTCATCACCACTTGGATTATTTGATATGGTGTTAAAATCTGCACCAGATGAGAAGAACGTACCTGAACCTTGTAAAACAGTGAAATATATCTTATTATCGTTTTCTGCTATTTCTAACAGTCTTGTTATATAAAGAAAGTCATCATATGACATGGAGTTTAACGTTTGTGGATTATTTAATTTTATGATGAAAAATGGATAATTTATGGAAAAGGAAATCTTAGATTTTGGTTTAATTGCAGGCATAATGATATATATATGTATATTTGTATATGTTTTAATAGTAATTGTTTTTTTAATCTAATTTGAGATTACGACTTTGTGTAACTTTCTTATTGAAGCTTAGAAGGTTAGAGAAAAATGTTATAATGTCAAAGGAAAAGAGGAGATATGTAGTCAATAGCTTATAATATACAAGAAAATATTCAAATATTCAAACAAAAGAACGAATAAATAAAGGAGGAAGAATATATTCTAAAATAAAGTTTGTATAAATATAAATGTATGATATAGATTTATAGTACTTGTTTGGTTGTCTCTTTTGTTGTCAAATATATATATATATATAATAAAAGAATATAAGGTAATGTTCTTGTTTACTCCCTACAACAAATTAAGGGTTACTGTCTTACAATGTTAACCAAAAAACCAAGAAAACAACATCCATACATAAATATAAATATACTAATTTATATACATATGTAGACATAAATATAATATATACAAACTTATTGATGTTCTTATATTTTTTTGTGCTTGTAATGACTATTAGAAAAATACAGGGGAGAAAAAAGCAACAGGGAATTAGTATTACTAACTCCGACGAAGTGGCACAGACTAAAAATCTTTGACTTTGGCATGTAATAAGAACAATAGCAGCTATTCTGTACTGTACTGTACTATGTAGTCACCCATGGATATTTGAGAAGTAGAGCTTAGGAGAGGCTTGAGTCTGTGTAATATGAGTTGGTGTGTGCATGTATGTGTGTTATTTCACTTCAGACGTTTTATTTCTTCAGTAGTTGTCGAGCGTTATGTGTGACCTATCATGATACCATCATAACTCTTTAGAGATTTTAAAGTGACCTTGAGTTTCAGATAATAGTGTTTGGAATTTGATAAGAAACTACATAGACTTTTGTAATAGCATATCCAGCAATTTGATATTGATTCGATTGCCATGTCATCTCAGATCACCTTTGGTGTCTTGTTGTTGTAGAGTGCTACACCTTTCATTCAATAGCGTGAGGGTGTCTGGATTGTTCTGCTGGTCACTTCCTCAAATTTTTTGTTCCTTTAATTTCCCCTAACCTCAATTTTTTAAGATGAGATGAGATGAGATGAATCAATGCTAAAACAAGGAAGAAAAAAAAAAGTAAGAAAGCGTATACAGGATAAAGGAAGACAGAGATCTAGTCCTTGAGCTTTTTGCATGTACGTGGTAGTTTCAGTAAACATTAATAAGTTAGACTAAGTTTGTATATATATGTCCAAAGTCGATACATTATTGGATTTAATACAGGTAGTAATATCATAGTGTTGGTTTAATATGTCAGACGTAGAATCATTGACTTGTGGTGATTTATTTGAAGAACCAGAGAATTTCCGCCCGCCTCCACCTGAACCACATTTTGCCAACTATGAGCGTTCCTACATATCGCTAAAATCAAAATCTAAGCAGAAATCAATCGAATTAAGATTGGTCGGTTCCTCTCCATTATGGGGTCATTTGCTTTGGAATGCAGGGATCTATACTGCTAAACATCTGGATCTTCATCCAGAGTTGGTCCTTGATAAAAATGTTCTTGAATTAGGTGCAGCTGGTGCTTTGCCCTCCGTGATTGCTGGGCTCATCGGTGCAAGACGTGTGGTGGCTACTGATTATCCAGATGTTGATTTAATCGATAACATAAAACATAACGTTCGTGCGTTAGAGAATGTCTCCGTGGAAGGTTACATATGGGGGAATCAATATGCTGATATAATAAAGCATTTGACTGGCAATAATGATGAAAAAAAATTCCAATTGATTATTTTAAGTGATCTAGTATTCAATCATACCGAACATGATAAACTATTGAAGACTACAAAGGATTTATTGTCTAAGGATGGTAAAGCTCTGGTCGTATTCTCCCCACATAGACCACACCTATTGGATGCAGATTTGGATTTCTTCAAGAAAGCTCAAGAAGATTATGATTTCAAGGTGGAGAAGATTGAAATGGTTAATTGGAAACCAATGTTTGAAGGTGATGCTGGTCCTGCTGAGGTTAGATCTCGTATTTATGCATATTATTTAAGCTTACAGTAAAAATAATGTATTTGTGTATGTATATATGTATGTATGCGTTATCCAAATAATAGAGAACAGATGATATCAAATCATATGTAACTTCTCTTTGTTTTTTCTTCTTTCTTTTTCATCTATATACACTAATAATACAGTAAATTACTACTATCAATAAATACTATTACTAAAAATTTAACATTAGAACTCAACACAAACCAGCCTACTTTGGCTTTCTGTAGTTTTGTTTCTTTAGTTGATTATTGATTGCAGAAGAATTTAAAAAAAAGGAAAACAAAAACAAAAATATTAGGGAGAAGTAAAAATGAGAATTAAGTGAGAGGAAACTATAGAATGTACATATAATTTTGTGAAATAATATTGGTTAAGTTGGTTCAGTTTTATCATTGATATTAGTCCTAATTGTAAAATTACTAATGAGGAATGAAGGTGAAATGGGGTTATATGAAATTTTGTTTTAAATTAGTAAATCCACATTGTGTGAAGACTTGACCATCTTGATCGTATGCATAACATGTAGTGCCACTTGCACATTCCATTGTGATCCATGACCCAAAGTTGCATATGCCAAAACTTCCATCACTAGAGCATGCTAATTCACCGTCTGTGCATGTAGATTCACCATTATATTTGCCTTCTGAATATAATTTGTTTAGTTGTTGAGCCTGTTCATGAGCTGTATTAGATGATGTAGGTGTACCAGAAGTGGAAATTGTAGTACTTGCGGTAGTAGTGGTGCTAACACTTGTAGACAGTGAAGCAGAAACTGGGGATAGAGTCGAAGTGATACGTTGAAAGGAGGATGTTTCAGTAGAGATGGAATCATCGGTGATGGTTGTAGCAATAATAGTAGGAGTAGTAGGTATTAACGTAGATGTTGTTTCACCAAAGGTACCAATAAATGGGATAATGGAGGATGGAATTGTAGTAGTACCGACATTAGGTGAAACATCGTTGGGTTGGAAACTAGCAATACTCACTGGTAGAGGAGTAGAAATTGAGGTAGTACTAGAGCCATTAGAAACGGTCAAGGTGAATGATAGTTGTTCTGTTGATGTTGGAGCAACAATAATGTGAGAGATTATACTACTAATACTGTTATCAGTGCTGATAATTGTAGAAGCTGTAGAAGTAGTGGACATCGTGACGGTAGAACTGAGAGTAGAGACAGGAACAGAAATTGGTAATAAAGTAGTTGTCTTCCTATTAGACAATGAGGAAGAAGAAATACCATATTTAGAAGTCGTCGTCGTTTTGGATGCAGTTGTGGCGACTGGTGCCAATGTAGAAGTACTCCTGATGTTGGAGAAAGACAACATTATAGAAGTAGAAGAGGGCATTACTAGAGATAAAGTAAATGCTACTTCGCCTGAAGAGGAGGTTGAAATAGAAGATATGGCAAAGGAAGAGGTAGAAGAAAAGGCAGGGGAAGAGGTAGTAGAGGAAGAAGTAAAGCTAGAAGAAGATGCAAGGGATGAGGTAGTAGAGGAAGAAGTAAAGTTAGAAGAAGATGCGAGGAATGAGGTAGTAGAAGAAGAGGCGGTAGAAGAGGCGGAGGATGATGAACCTGAACTGGAAGAAGAAGAGATGGAGCTGGAAATTTTATCATTTAAAAGAGCTTCAATATTTTCAATATAATTTTTCCCATCAATCTCATAAGTAAATGCTTGCGATGCGTCCCAAATCGATATACCACCGAAATTGGCAGATCCTTTAATTGAATCAATAGTCTCTTTCAATAAATTCAAAGAAGATATGAAGCCTGAACTTGCAGCAGTTGGAGAACCAGGTAAGCCTAAGAACAACTTAATATTAGGATTTGGCGACATAGTAGTGGCATAATTTTCCCATTCATTCCAATTGAATTGTTTATCTACATTACAATAGTTGTTATAGAATTGGATAAAGGCAAAATCGACTTCAGAGTTTGTTAATAATTCGCCTACTGAAGCGTCAGGATAAGGACATTGTGGGGCAGCAGAAATATAATATGGTTTGGAACCTTCTTTGAAAAGTTCTCTTAATTTGTTGACTAAAGCAGAATAACCTATTGGGTTATTATTTTCAATATCAAAATCAAAACCATCAATCAATGCTGAATCGAACGGACGGTCCACAGAAGCTGAATCAGATCCCTCACCAAACGTATTCCATAAAGTTTGAGCAAAAGATTCGGCTTCTTCATCTGTAGTGAAGCCATAAGAACCAGAAGAACCACCTAATGAAAGGAGGATTTTCCTACCTAAAGATTGACATGTTTCAATATCAGAAGCAATTTCAGCACAATGTAATAGGTTCGGATTATTACTGAAAGTGTCAGAACAGGCATTAGCAAAATTTAATTCCATTGGATCTGGGAAAACATTTAAAAATGAAAGAATGAAAATATTTGCATCGGAAGATTGGCAATATTCAGATAACCTTTGTTGATTACCTTCAGAGTTTTGGCCCCAATATACAGCAATATTGTTTCGACTGTCAATATCAAATGAAAGTACGTACTGTATTAGAAGTATTAAAAAGGAAATAAATGTGTTAAATGAAAGCATTATTTTATGTGTGTGTAAGTTGGTTGGTAGGTTATTTTAAAGAAGAATATGAAAGGTAGCGAATTGGTCTATATAATCAAAGGAATGATATTTGAATATTGAGTAAAGATCAAAAGGAAAGGAATATAACGAATGTATTTAGTTTGTTAGTTTTTTATTTTTAACTTGAGCGAATGAAGATGAACAAAGTTTTGCCTATTTATACTTTGATTATTAGAAATACATGTTAATAGAAAGATTTAAAGAGAATAATGGTTTACGAAAGACATAATTCTGTAGATCATTTTTCATAGAAGTATCTTGCACCATTATATATATGTAAGTATTCGATTACAACATGTCGAATCTTTATGTTTTATCACCATATCTTATTTAATGTAAATAAACTGTAACCAGCATGATAAATGGCTGAGATTATTTATTTTTAGATGAGAAATCATAATGGATTAGTGTGTGTGTGCGTGCCTGTGCAATATCATTTTTGATTATATTTACACAATTGAGGATATGTCATTTTGACTGAATATTACAACAAAGGGTTAATCCCTGAGTTTCCATTATAATTACATTGAATATTCTTGACTATTACAATATTTCTTATTTACATTATAGGTTGTTTTGTAAACAAACACAGTCACACGTAAAAAAATAGAGGAAGGGGAAAAAGTTTGTTAATGTCCATGGATGGATAATATTTGGTGGAACTGTTGAACACAAGGTAAATAAAATGAAACTTGGAATAGCATTTGTTTTTTTTTTCTTTACTATGTTTACAAGTAAATAATGTAATTATCAAGCTTGGCTTTTTCTGTAAAATAAGTTTGTTTATAATATGCTGGGCAAATTCATATTTGTCTTTGCGCAGCTTTATGGTGTGGTGTATGGGTTGTTGTATAATATTGCATTCTGGGTGTGTGGGTGCACACTGTTACTCATGGTTGCGTCTCGTTCAAAATGATTTTCTTGTTTTGTTTTCTTTTCTTTTATTCCAAGTTCAAGGTTGGGGTTGAAGTTGAGATTGAACCAGAGAGTTAGTAATCTAACGGAAGAGAATCTTAAGTTGTTCAGATATTTTAGAAGATGACTATGTCTGAGCAATCAAAAGAGTATTGAGTTGCTACATAGTCTATTATTAGCATTCACTCTTTATCTTTTTTTTTTCCTCATTTCCCACTTTGTTTAATATTTCTTGATTTCCCCTTACTAAGCAAAATTATGCTATTATCTCGTTTAAATACGTGATTTTCCTTACTTTTTTGTTTTTTTTTATTGTTGGTATCACAATAATAATAATAGTAACAATAGTACTAACAGTAATAATAATAGTATTGTTTTTTCTTCGATTATCAATTGTCAGTAACTAATTATTCAGTTATCATTACTAAGTACTGTTTTTGTTATTGTTTTTTTTTTTTTTTGATTTCTTCTGAAGAGTTTTTGCTGTTCGAGAAGTTTAGTTGTACTTGTAATATCAACTGGAAGCATATATATAAAATTATACAACATACAGATCCCTTCTCTTCTTCTTCTTTCCTTGATTTCTTTTTTCTTGTTTATTGGTACTTTTCTTTAGTGTTTATTTAAAATTAAATGTAATCAATGAAGTCAATTGAATTATTAAAAATATATAACTAGTATTAAAATGGCAAGAACCTCATTTAATGAAATTATCAGTAAAGATCATCCTATCTATAAACCTGAAAAGAATAGATATTGGATTTATGGGGCATTTGGTTGTCCCTTTTCTCATAGAGTAATGATAGCTAGATCTATCAAGGGTCTGAATTCAGTCATTGGATTGACTATAGCGCATTGGTTAATGGGTCCCAATGGTTGGAGATTTATTCAATCAGATAAACCATTAAAGGAACAACCATTTAGATATGATGGAGGGGTCACTTCTACAGAGAATGACAATTCAACAACTTTTGTCGGTGTTGATGAGAATTTAGAGAGGTTATTTGTTGATGGAACTAATGATCCTCATTATAATACGAGAAGTATTAAAGAGTTATATAGGAAAAGTGATCCTGAATATGCCGGTGTCTTCTCTGTTCCTATACTATGGGACTTAAAGACTCAAACTATTGTTAATAATGATAGTGGTCAAATAGTTAGATTATTGAATAGTGATGTTTTTGATGAATTTGTGGACTCACTAAATTCTGCTAATCCAGAAAATAAAAAAGTTGATTTAGCACCTGTAGATTTGATTCCTCAATTGGATGAATATAATAAATGGTTACAAGTTAACATTAATAGTGGTGTCTATAAAGTTAATAACGCTGTTACTCAGGAAGAATATGAGAATCAATCTAAAAATTTATATAATAGTCTTGATGAAATTGAAAAAAAGTTGTCTAAAGTTTACTCCGATTTGGAATCCAGATTTGGTAAAGAAGATAAAAATAAAATATTATCCAACTTCTATCTTTTCAATAATCAAATTACAGATTCCGATATTAGATTATTTACCACAATTATCAGATTTGACCCTGCATATTATTCACATTTCAACTGCAATTTCAGAAACATTAGAAACGATTATCCCTTTATACATCTTTGGTTAAGAAACATGTATTGGAATCATGCTGCTTTTAAATTAACAACTAATTTTGACCATATAAAATTGTTTTATGCTAAATCTTTTAAGAAGACTAAACCTACAGGTCTTGTAACTTTAGGACCAGAATTCGATATTTTACCTTTAAATTAATTGATTAGGAAGGTATGCTGTTTTAATGTATGTGTTTTTTTCTTTTTCACTCCAGTATCTATATCTATATATGTCTGTGTTTATATATGTATGTAGAGTATATGTGTAGGAATTGAATAATGAATTGGTTTGTTACGATTATATCTAAGATGATATCCATATCGGTGGTTAATATATGAATAATTAGCGTTTTTTTTTTTTTTGTTTATTGAAAATTGTATAAATCTATAGATATTTTTAGAAAAAGTTAAATTTTTTCCAATCATTGTGTCAAATAGAAAGAAAATAAAAAAAAAAAATTTGACTTGCAATAATAATTTCGATTGTTCAATGTTGGTGGTCATTAAACCTTTTTCAGACACACGTATTATTAATTGGTACTCTTGGCACTCGAAACATAACTAATAATAAATCAATGTAACTATAGGAGTCAACTTATTAAATAGTTTCATTAACATACAAATACATATTTATGAAGTTGAATTTTCAAAGAATTTTGTCTCCCAGACGCTGACAAACTCATTCTTATCACTTGGCTTCTTTTTTATATTTTTTATAATAGATAGCATTTTCCTTACGTTACTATTTATCTCCTCAACTTCTTCATGAATATCCTCTTTAGTAAATGTTTCATCTGCCATATATATTGTACAAGTGAGATTATCCACAGCTGCAGCAATAGATTTATGTAACTCATTCAAATCATCTAACATCTCAATAGTGTAAATCTTAGGCGGATCCTTAGACATAATAACATTTCTAAAAGAATTAAATAGAGTTCTAATTAAAATAACTTTATGTTTCCATTCCTTCATAATAGGTAATATAATGTCAATAAGATCCTCTGTGATCTTTTCAGAACTTTTCTCTTCCTCCTCTACTACTACAACATCCTCCTCCTCAGCACTATCTAAATTGTCATCAAGGAACTCTAGTTTTTGTCCAATGTTTCCCTCTGGATCTTCAAGGAATTCATCCACTTCTTCCATTACATCACGGATCAATTGCGAACTTGTCTTAAATGACCCTGCAAGGACACCAAGGTCTTGCAATTTACTTATTTCATCCCAACTATCACAACACGACCAAATCATCCCAATGCAAATTAATCTTTCTTCGTCATATTCTCTGTTATCAAATTTAGATTCCAATTCTTGACATAGCAATTTCAATGAAGTTAAATATCTTAAAACAGATTCGTCTAATTTTTGCAATAATAATTTAGTATATCTTTTACCGTTATAAAATAAAGGTAAGAGACTAAAAAGATAAAATGTTGTGTCAATAAGTGACTTCAATTCTTTATAAGTTGCTTCATAATTTGTTTCTTTAAATGTAACCGGTTTTAAAATGATACCTAATTTGGTAGAATGTGACCTAACTAATTTAGACAATTTAGACAATTCAATCAATGGTGTTGATTCCTGTAATTTGGTTTTAGATTCAATGGAATGGATTGCTTCTAAGTTATCATTATATCTAGCCAAAAACTCAATTTCAATGGCTGATTTTAACTCAATTAAATGGTTTAAACTAATTTTTGAACCATTACTCATATTGAGAGATTTTCTTTACCTTTCCTAACTCTTAATTAATTAATTGATAGATATGATATATATTTGTTGTATGAAAAGATATTTAACCCTTCTTTGATGATTGTAATATTACAAAGTTTGATGAATTTAGTAGGAAAAAATTTTTTAACCCTTTCACTACATTAAAAACATCTTAAAAGAAATATAAATTCAAGTCCAAAAGAAGTTACTCGTAATTCTGAATAAAACTCATCAAATCAAAAAAACAAACAAACAAACATTTTTCTAGAATATAACGGCTTTATATTAAGTAAACAATGTTATTACACACATATTATATAATAAAGTTGAGATAAAAGTTTGTATATATGACAATTATTTAATCAACTTAGGAAACGTTTGGAGATGGGTTCATCTTTCTCTTACCGTTGGTTAAGGTAACGTTGACGAATCTTCTGGTGTATAATAATCTCTTGTAAGCTCTACCCTTTGGCTTCTTTGGCTTTTCAGTCTTTTCAACCTTTGGGGTTTGGGATTTAACTTTACCAGCACGAGCTAGAGAACCGTGAACTTTAGCCTATATCAATATGATAAAAGATAAAAACAAACAAAGCAATTTATAACAAATTTTTTTTAATTTGCAAATAAACATGTTTTAATCAATTTTTTGTTAGTATAATAAATTCTTTCTTTACTCATAATCAAACAGAAATACGCAGCATTCATTACAAATGTATTAATACTTCCTGATACTTTCAATACATGCGCATTTATCCTATCACAAATATTTTTACTTGTTGTTATCAATGACTCTAATTTTCTTTCCTCATTCTCCTTGTTTTAACATTCAATACTTTTAATATAACGTAGGAAGACACAGTCTCATTTAAACTCGACACTTTTTATAAAATCACATCTCTCCTCATATTGTAAACCATATACAGACTTGTAATCCTGTTTATTATTCTTCTTTTTTTTCATGTTACTTTCACTTTAACTCTCCTCAATGTTGCAGTTTTAATTTCTGTTCATTATTGCATAAATAAACTGATTCTATGTACGTACCATTTTGTATTACTAGTTTATTGGTTTTCTGAGGTCTGTACCTTATATGTGTTGCCAAGTGTTGGGTAGCACGCAATATATCCAACATATAGCGTTTGAATATATCGAAATTAAGAGATTTCCTTTGTTTCTTGGAGTGTATAGTGCAGTAATCCAAAAGCTAACTAGACTGCAACATTGGAAGGTACCAACAAAGACCAAGGTTCTAGTGGCGTTCCGGCCCTCCGCTAGGCAGACATTCAAGAGAGCAGCTGCCCTCAATTAGACAGGGGATGATGTAGCTAAAGGGAAAAAAAAGAAAAGGGTAGGATAAAGTGAAGGATGCAAAGGTAGAAGGAATAGGAAGAGGACCGAAGAAAAGAAGACTCTGGTTGTTAAGGAGAGGGAGACAGGCATTGCAGAAGGAGATAGGGAGTTTTACTAAAAATCATCCTTACCAATTCACCTTAGTAAGACCGTTTTGAAGACATTTTTTCTACCATTCATTACTGCATTTACCCAATCAGGAAATTATTCTTTTTTGTGAAAAATCAGTCTCTCCACAAAATCTCCAAAAAAAATTCTAAAAAAGGAAAGTTGAAAAATACGAATAAATGAAAAAGTTGTAAATATTATTGATACTTTTTTTACAGTAAAGGTATGGGTCTTATAACGGTCCTTTCTTTCTTACATTGAAATTAGGCATGAGACTTCCCCTAATATACTTATCGTATTATTATTATTAGTATTGTAATAATCATTAGGATTCCAAAGATTTACTTTCGAAAGCGAATAAATTCTGAAATATTAAAACAATTAAAACTGCTATTTTGTATATCTTTGGTCATATAACAGTCACGATACTTGCAATGATTTGCTCTTCAACATGTAATAGATAATCTGACCTTTTTCTTTCAAACTTGAACTATCACTAATTTGAGAGTTTTCATCGTCCTGATCTTCTTCACTTAATCCAGGCTCTCTCTCTAACGAGCAATGAAGTATACAACATTGATCATGTGCAATTGCTAATAGAACTTGATCAAAACTAGTATACAATTTTGTACAAACTTTCCAGTCTCTTGGTTTCAGTTTGACACTGTATTGTATTTTATTATCTTCTTCTGCTTGTTCTACTAATCTTGATATTTCCTGCAATGGATTTTCTCCAGAAGAGGTATGTGCGCCTGAGACATGTTTATCCAACATTGTTCCATTACCTACCATCTCACTGTCTTCTAGTGCATCCTCTTCATATTCATCATGATACATATATCTTCTATCATTCTTTTCAAATGGTGCTGTTATTGTTTGATTACCCTTTGGAGCTACATGAAGAGTACCAGTGCTATCACTACCACTGTTAGTAGCCTTATTGTTATTATTATTATTGTTACTATTCTTAGACATGGCACCATGATTAGTATCACTTTCTGTTAAGTTATTCAGTTGGTTTTCCTCTTTCATCGGATCATACGAAACATCTAATGGTCCGTTCCATTGAATTGATATGTCCCATTCAACTTGATTTACAGATAAAAATAATTGTGGATCATCTCCATTTCGATATGTAATTGCGTTTAGTTGAATATCTTTGACATTGCTATATCTACCAATTCTTTTCAGGAAACTCTGGAAGGGCCTACCAAATTCACCATAACTGGAAGGTAATTTCAATACTAATGGAGAAACATGAATAACCGGTTCCTTTAAAGATACATCTTGTTCCCACAATAATCTTTTCACCGGGATCATAAATTTATGTATGACAGTCTTATTTATGAGATTGACATCATCATTCACAACTTTTTCACTTTTATTCTTTAAACCAATGGTTTTCGATCTTATGGTTTCTTGGAATCTCATTGTAAAACTATATATTGGGGAAATATTTCTTCTTTTCACACTAATCTCATTTTCTTGATTCTCTGAATTAACGTTATGGTTATCCGTGCCTCTATTATATATTTCTTTCCATTCTCGAATCTCTTGCAATCTAATATCTATTGCAGTTATGGAACCTTGAGATAATGCTTTATCATACTGCTTCAATACACTCAATATTCTATTGCAGTTTACTTCCAGAGATACAGGCCGGTCTTTTAATGAACTTACGAAATAGCATTTAAACACATCATTGGGTATAGTACACCAAAGCTGTCCATTATTGATATTCACATTATTTGATGAAATTCCTGCAAGTTTAGGAGTGGAGATAATAACTAATCTATTTTTAGTAAACCTTAAAACTGCCTGTTCTCGAACAGAAGCGACGGTAGATAAAGTTGTCTGCAATAATTTATAATCTTCAGGCTGCTCAAATCCATTTAAGACAAGTTTTATTTTCATTAATATAACACGTCTTACTTTTGAACGTCACTATTGGGGATGCTTTTGTCAATAGCAGAACTCTATATTTTTGGTAGAAACTACTGTCTAATTTTATTTATTAATTTGTCAAGTTCTTAGTGGATCTCTAAAAGAAAAAAAAAAGATATCTAAGATACCAAAGAAAGTTGAATGTCTAAAAATTCTGGGGATGTTATGATAACTTTAATCTTAGAGTTCAAAATAACTCGAGGGAGGAATTAAAAAAGTTACTGAGCAAGAGAGAACAGTGTACACTAGATATATGTAGTGAAGAAAAAATAACTTTTCTCTCAAAACTTACTGTAGATTAGGAAAGGACTTTTCTACTTCCTATTTTATAAAAGTAAAAAAAACAATACTGAGATTATTTTTACTATATATTCGAGAGCATGTCTATATGGAGATGATAAAACTATCCTATGTATTTCGTAGATTAATTCACACTAACATTCAACAAAGATTGGATAAAATCCCTTTAAGTGACTACAGAATATTTTCCATTGCAGCTCATATAGATCATGGTAAATCAACATTAAGTGACCGACTATTAGAAATCACCAATGTGATAGCTAAGGATAACAATAATAAACAGGTATTGGATAAGTTGGAAGTAGAAAAAGAAAGAGGCATTACTATCAAAGCTCAAACTTGTACTATGTTTTACAATCAAGGGAAGAAAGATTCTAAGAGCCAAGACTATCTTTTACAATTGATCGATACTCCAGGACACGTAGATTTTAAAGATGAAGTGGTTAGATCATTTGCATCGGTAGATGGAGTTATTTTGTTGGTAGATGCAATAAAGGGGGTACAAGCACAGACTGTAGCTAACTTTAAATTAGCTCAAAATATGAATTTAACTATAGTTCCTGTTATTAATAAAATTGATATTAAGAATTCTCAAGTTGATATAGTAGAACAACAATTAATCCATGAATTAGGATTTGCTCAAGATACAATTGTTAAGATTAGTGCCAAATCGGGGTTAAATGTTAAAGAACATCTATTACCGAAGATTATTGACACAATTCCACCCCCAAAAGGAGAGTTGTTAGACCCTTTTAGAGCATTACTGATTGATTCATGGTATGATCCATATTTAGGTGTGGTGCTATTAACTAAACTAGTAGATGGTAAAATAAAAGTTGGTGATAAAATAATGAGTGGTATTACAAAGAAAAGCTATGACGTTAAAGAACTTGGTATTATGTATCCAAACCAAACCCCGCTTAATCATTTGATCTGCGGACAAGTTGGATATATTATTACAGGAATGAAAAATGTCCAAGACGCTATCCTAGGGGATACGTTAGTATCACAGAGCCATGCTAAGGATACAGTATTATTACCTGCTTTCAAAGAATCAAAACCAATGGTATTTGTGGGTGCATTTCCAGCAGACGGATCTGATTTTAAGGCAATGGATGAAAACATCAACAAGCTGGTTCTAAATGATAGATCGGTTTCATTAAATAGAGAAACTTCTGCCGCTTTAGGAAAAGGATGGAGACTTGGATTCTTAGGTTCATTACATGCGTCTGTATTTAAAGAAAGACTAGAGAAGGAGTATGGCTCAAAATTAATCATTACTCAACCAACAGTGCCGTATTTAGTTCAGTACAGTAGTGATAAGTCAAAGTTGATTACAAATCCATCAGAGTTTCCGGATAATTCTTCAAAACATAGAACAGGCATTAAATCTTTACAAGAGCCTTTTGTTAAAGCAACAATAACAGTTCCAAATAAGTATGTCGGATCTATTATCCAGCTATGTGAAAATAATAGAGGACAACAATTAGATATTAAATATGCTACTGGGATCGATTTGGCTGAATTAATTTATGATTTACCATTGGCGCAATTAATTGATGACTTCTTTGGACAGTTAAAATCCATTTCTAACGGGTTTGCTACATTAGATTATGAATCAAACGGCTTTAAAGAATCTGATATTGTGAAATTAGAATTATTGGTTAATGGTCAAAGTCTTGATGCTCTATCACATGTAGTACATAGATGTCAAGTCCAACATCTCGGTAGAGGATGGGTTAAAAAATTTAAAGAATATATCAGATTACAACAATATGAAGTGGTGATTCAAAGTAGATGTAATGGGAAGATTATTGCCAGAGAAACAATCAAGGCTAGAAGAAAGGATGTCCTAGCTAAATTACATGCCTCTGATGTATCAAGAAGAAAGAAATTGTTGGCCAAACAAAAAGAAGGTAAAAAAAACTTGAAATCAATAGGGAATGTTATGATTTCTCAAGAAGCATATCAAGCTTTCTTACGTAAATAATATTCAAAATTATTTGTATAAAGTTAAGATAGAACTTCCATGTATATATGTAAATAATAATACTCCAAAAAAAATTAAAAAAGAAGAAAGAATGGAATTAATGCATTATTTTACAGACCGATACCATTACAAATATTTTCATCTCTGATATGTATAGGTCTTTACAACTTTAAATATCTTGATGGACTAATACAGTCATGTATGTTTTTGTGTAATTTAGTGTATCTTGCTAGTTATTTGGATTTATGACAACATCGTGCAGAAAGAAACTAGAAGAAAAGAATATGTGTTAATACATCATATAAGCCTTAAGAATATCTATACAATGGTAATAAAAAGTATTATTTGAGTCTTTTATGAGAAATTACACAAAATAAGAATTATTCAGATTAGAAAAGGTCATCTATCTGAAGGAGAGTTTAATTGCATTAAAGAGGGGATAAAAATTTGACTAGCAATGAATATATAACAAACTAGGATATTTAATCTCACTATTATTTTGTTTTATTATTTTATACTCTTTCAAATATCTTTTCTATATTTTTTGCCTTTCACTATCATTCCAAGATATCATCCAAAGTAATAACACCTGTAAATTTTGGATTTTCAATCTTTGATACAATGCTTCTGGCTACTTGTTGTGTAGATACAGGAGGTTTTATAAATCGATTAATCATATCATATTTTTTTTGGAAAAAAAAATTGATTGCTATAATTCAATACACTTAAGATATCAGAAATTCCATCTCTAATACTACATGAATTCTTTACATTTTCATCAAACATGATTCCTGGTCTTACAAAAATAGATCTAAACAATTTAGGTTTAATATGACTCAACTGCCATTCTGCTTCACGTTTTGATTTGATGTAACCACTTGGGATCAATGGACACCAATCATCTGCAGATATATATGTTAAGGTAGGCAAACACGGCTGATCTTTTACAACATCTGAACTTTTATCTTGCAGCACTTCTTGAAAAGTTTTTCCTAATATCACTGCGCTTTCAGTGTTCATTCTTTTATAAGTAAAGTCTGATGTATTACCTGAACCTTTAGAAACCTCATTAACAATCGATTTATATGATGAATTTTCTAAGAGGATGCCGATAGTATCTACAACATCCGTGGCCTCACTTAAGCGGTGCTTATAAGTGGTAGGATCGAATATATCAGCTGTCTCCCATTTAACCTCTTTCATCCAATTATATGGATATTCTTCTTTATTATAATTAATTGGAAGAGGTGGTTTGCCTGAACGAGACAATGCGGTGACAGATTGAAAGATTCCTGATTGTAGAGCTATCTGACATATTCTTTTACCCAAAAAACCATTCCCCCCAAATACGACCAGTTTTCTGTTTAGTGAAGAATTCATATTCAAACTAATAGTAATTTTCTTTCTATTATACTTATTAGTTTGGATATCTCAGTATATTATATAGTTATAGAGCGATTACTTTGAACATACTTTTTGTGTTTCTTTTCGGTCGTTAATATTCTATATATGCAATTTTGAATAACATCTTGAGTATTTTTCTGTGTATTACTTTTTTTCTTCTAATTAACACGTAAATACAATGAAATGAGTATGTCAAGAAATTTGTGATCTATGCTGAAATTATACATTAATGTTATATTTTCTATATATCATGATAGTATCAATACAGTGGTAAAAACAATTATATACATTAAAAATATATAGCCCTAAAGATTATCAATGCTTTGTCACTTTCAAAAGAAACTTAGAAACAATGCTTAAAGAAAAGATGGTCTTGGCAACATCAAAAACATGAAAAGGCAGAATAATGAAAAGGATCAATCTCCTTATACCTTAACAGATTCAGTTAAAAGAGATTTATTATCTAGATTAACATCGATTTGTTTATAGTTATCCCAAGCAATTCTATATATGAAACTGGGTGCAAACCCACCAATGTTTGTAATATAAATATCAATATTCTCTGGAGGAACATACGCAGTTGTTTTGTTAATGGCATCTAATCTATAGGCAGGATTCATCTTAGGTAGAACTTCATGGGATCCACCAAATTCAACAGACTTCTCTATATTAAATGGATACAACGGAGATAGTTTATAAAGACCAGCAACTGCAAAAACAGGTGTCCTAAATTCACGAGCACATTCACATACAGAGGATACACCCGAGCTAGATGCAATTGATCCACCATTAACAAAGACTGCTTTAGTACCGATGATAACTTTCCCAACCCGAGACATTAATGCAAATACAGCAGAATCTGGGATAATGATTGTTTCAATATCATGTTGTGCTAATTTCTTGGCAAATTCATGTGCATTGTTAGTATTGTTGGGGAACCCCTCAGTGACTAATACTGTAAAAGTTCTATTGGCTTTTTCACGAGCTCTTATTAAAAATTTCAATACTGTTTTAGATTCAGGAGTAGGAGTTAGTAATAATTCATGGTCGTGAATCAAATCAATGGCAATCTGTTGAATACCATCATCTATGTTGGTAAGCTCATCAATTAAATCTTTAATACCTTGAATTGCAATTTGTCTGTAATCTGTTTTAGTCTTTTTATTACGTGATGATAAGATCTTTGTAGTTGGCTTAATCTCTTCTGGTTTTTGTAAAAGGTTAAACATGGATGAAATCAAAGGTTCTGAAGTGGAACTATTATTGTTGTTATTATCATTCAAACCGTTTTTGTTTGCTAGTTCTTGAGCTTCCTCTTCCATTTCATCTCTTAATATTGTAAGCAATCTTCTAATGATGTTACCACATGAAAATGCGGTTGGTTGAGCTTTTTCTAATTGCAAACCTAATTCTCTAAGTTGAGCTATTAATTCATTGACATGTGACCAACGTGCTGCAGACACGAATCTTTTCAATAATTGTAATGTTTCTAATGCGATGTGATATGATCCAACAATTTGTTTTCTTTTTAATTTAGCAATAAACGTGTCTAGTATGATATTAATGTCATTGTTCCCTGTAGTATTGTTATTGTGACTATTTAAAGCATTCAAATTGGAGCTACTTAATTGGGACATTTTACACCGTTGATATTCCTAATGGCTTTGTAATATAATACACATAAATATGCGTATATGTGTTTGTAATGTGCGTACGTATAAGGTTATATTTAGGGTGTGGAATTATTCACGATAATAAGTAGTAAACTCAGAAATGCTATCATAAGTTTGTTTAAGACAAGGATGGCCTTCCTATTGAGATAAGAATTTTCCACTTTGTTGGAGTTTTCTTTTTTTTTTTTTTTTTTTGGTTTTTTTTCTCGTTTGAACTGTTCTCGATGTCTATTTATTGAGGCCCATCTGCATTTCGATAAGAGATGACACATTCATAGACGTAGTACAGATATCACATATATATATCTATATGACGACGATTGTAATTAGTAATCATGACAATCAGATACATCTAATAGTGGTAGTATTGTGCAAATAGAATATAATCATTACCTTCTGTTAGGATGTCTCAATCTAGATGATCTGTATGTTTAATTTCTTTACTTCTTTACTTACTTTCTTGCTTGTTTATATAATCTAGATAAGTATATTTAAGTATGATTTTAGATATCACCATTATATTCTGCCAATAGTCTATTACACTGTAAATTAAGAGCTTTCAATTTTGTTTCATTTGGTGAAAAACTTAAGCCTCTTTCACAAACTACTACAGCTTCTTTATATTGACCCAATTTTAATAGAGAATCAGTTAATCTAATAAAAACATCAGACGTGGTCAACCCTATTCCCAATAATAACTCTAGATCTTGTAATGCATCGATTGGCTTATTAAGTATCAATTCAAGATCAATCTTATGTTTTAACATGAATTGTAATTCTTGTAATTGCAAGGCGAAGGCTTCGTATGAGTTTCTGCTTCTTCTTGACATTTCGATCGCTAATGAAACATTCTTTAGGGCTTCCTTTAATTTTTGCTGTTTCATTTTAGCTAACCCGCTATCAAATAGATTTTTGATTAGTTTTGTAGTATTGTCATTTGGCTTTGGAGTAAAATTGTTGTTGGATTCACCTATTAATGATTTAGTCAATGAATTAATTTGATCAACGTTGATCGAAAATGGTTCATTTGTTTCTTCTGAATCAGATAAAGATATTAATTTAGAATTTTCGTTATACAAAATAGACATTGGGTAGGCTGAAAGTATTAACTAATTGTAATGGTTTCAATTTATTATATTATTATCTAATAAAAGTGGATAAATATAAAAGTTCTTATTAATATTGATTTGAAATAATAACTTATGATTTTTTGAAGCAACAATAAATAATAGTATATATATTTATGTTATTACTAATAACAATGTTTCTGCTATACTTTCTTTTCTCTTTTGCTTATTTGTTACTGCTTCCTTTTGTTATATTTATCTTTTTTATTTTATCTAATTGATTTTCTTTTTATTTATTTATTTATTTTATTTTTTTTTTTTCACTTTTGTCAGCTTATTATAATAAACATGTTATTTTAGGTGTTAAATATTTGTTTGCTGAGTGTTTAGATGCTACGATGATATTTCTTGCTAGTAGAAGAAGAACAGAAGATGATGATAGGATTAAGAGTCGAAACCAAGATGGTTCTTGCTGCTGTCATTGTTGTACAAATAAAATTACACTATAATGAAATGTTTATATTGGTTGTACAGCGAATGGACAAAAGTAAGAATGTCGTAGTTATGAACTTGTATGGGTAAATTAAAAGTGTAGAATAAACATTTGATATTAAATACACATGTACTTCCATATATATATATATATATAGAGACATGTTTATCCTTTAATTATATTATGTTATACTATATGTATATAGATATATAGTTAGATGTTAACAAATAAAAAAATAAAGAAAGAAAGAGATGAAATGAAAAAAGGAGAAAGAAGATGAAGAATAAAAGATATTATAATTATAACAACAGTAATAATAATTATCAAAATTACCAATTTGTTTCTATATTTACTTGTTCATGATTACTATTATTATCATTATTATCATTATTATTATTATCAATATTCTTATAAATCAGCATCATCTTCATCTGGTAATGGTAAAGCAGTAGCTTGTTCCATTTCTTGTTGGTATTGTTGCATTAATTGTTCATCAACTTGGACTTCTGGTGGAGCCAAAGCTGGAGAAGCAACGAATTCTAGTTGTGGGTTACCAGCTAATTTTCTAGCCAACCATAAGAATGGTTTTTCGAAGTTGTAATTGGACTTGGCAGAGATATCGTAGTATTGTAGGTTCTTCTTTCTGTGGAAAGTAATGGTCTTAGCCTTGACTTTTCTTTCTTTGACATCAACTTTATTACCACAAAGGACGATTGGAATGTTTTCACAGACACGAACTAAATCTCTGTGCCAGTTTGGAACATTCTTGTAAGTGATTCTAGAGGTGACATCGAACATTATAATAGCACATTGGGCGTTAATGTAGTAACCGTCTCTTAAACCACCGAATTTTTCTTGACCAGCAGTATCCCAACAGTCAAATTTGATTTCACCAAAGTTAGTATAGAAGGATAATGGGTGGACTTCAACACCGATAGTGGCAATATATTTCTTTTCGAATTCACCAGTCAAATGTCTCTTGACGAAAGTGGTCTTACCGGTACCACCATCACCGACAAGGACTAACTTGAAAGTTGGAACTTCACCTTGAGCTGGGGCTGGAGCAGACATTATATATTCGGTCTATATAGATGTGTATGTGCGTTATCCTTTAAAGTGGTGTCAAGAAAGGAAAAACTTTCAATAGAACAAGACCACAAATAATATATATAGCTAAGGCCAGTAAAAATAGTAAGGAGAGTTGATAAGGAATGCAGACTAGAGTAAAAGAATCAAAATGAAAATATAAAAAAAAAAAAGGAAAAAAAAGAAAAAAGAAAAGGAAAAGAGTGTTATTCACTTTAGTTTTGACTACAAGTTTAGAATCGACAGACAGGGATAAAGCTGGAAAATCAAGTTTATAAAATTTTTCTGTATTTCTGCAGTTTTAAAGTCTTTTTGGTAAGCAAAAATTTTCAACTCATCGCTGCAATCAAAGAAAATAAAATAACGAAAAAAAAAAAAAAAAAGAAAAGAAGAGAAAAAAACAAGAGACCAATTTCAGGGTAACTAGTCACGTGCACAACTTTTCTAAAAAAAATTAAAAAAAATAAAAAAAAGAAAAGAAACCAAAAAAAAACTTTTTTTTGTAATTTGTTTTTTTTTATTTTTTTTTTCTGGGTGCTTCAAAATGAAAAAAAAGAGAGAGAAATCTGTCCTTATAATTAATTTATGAGAGACCTCTTATCACTATTTTAGGGTTTAATTAGTGTGATTTGACCTGTTTTCCTATTTCCTGTTTAGGAAAAGTTATTAAGTTCTGAATCGGTTCGTACCTTCATCGCTTATTAAGAAAACATTCATTGACAATTGCATACATATATACATATATACATATATACATGTATGTATACAGATATATATATATATATATATATATATATAAACAATATGGGTTTGTGTTTGTTTTATAATATCTTTCGAATTAACGTTAAAAATATAGTATTTCTGAATTGTTTAATCCTTTGATTGCAATCAAGTAGTTTGCTCAAAGTCATCCAAACATACATACATACATACATACATACATGTAATAGCATCATAAGATATGTGGATATATTTTGATAATACCAATAACAGTAATATTAGAAATAATAATAATAATAATAATAATAATAATAATAATAATAATAATAATAATAATAATGGCACATTTAATGTATTAGTAGAATCACATGGACAGTGTTATGAAAACATTCCAATGCTTTTAGTCCTTTGGGTTATATATTGTGCACTTGGTATACTTATTATCAGTTCTTTAACTACAATATATCTATCCATTACACATAAACCGGAACTGAATCATGAAACAGATCTGGAGAAACAAAAGGATACACTTATAGAGAAATGATATTGTCATGTTAATAGTTTTAAATTTTTTTTCCTAGTGACTTTTCCCAATCCCATACATGATAGACTAACCTGAATCAGTATAGCTAATACTTAATAATTAATAATTAACTCATCATCTTTTCTTCATGAATTAGCATAAATTATGCATATACACACATACGTACATATATATATATATATATAGGCTTAATTAATTATCTAATTATAATGGAAGTTAAAATTTACGTTTTTTATATTTCTCAGTTTCTTCTGATTTAATATACCTTCGTTTAGAATCTTTAACTGCACTGTGTGATACCATAATATGGCTAGTATTATTGTTATTATTATTGTAGTAGATTTGATATTTAGGTATAGTATTGGCCCATAAGGATAGAATTAGGGGAGGCGGTAACATACCTATTTTATTGGAGACAATATCACCACCTTCATACACTTCATTTCTATCTCTTTTAGAGAGATCTTGGTTTATGGGTCTATTAAGTATATTTCCCGTGTCATTTTGATTAGCACGCTGTGGTAATCTCGATTGTTTAATAGAATCACCGATGTCGAATCTATTACTCTTTATGAAAATCTTAGAAAACCCTGGCGACCCATCGTATAACGTAGATAGTATATGATCTTGTTTATAAATATTGTTTCTTTCATATCTGTAATTTTTAAACAATTCATGATTCAGTTCTTTATCAAATAATTTTTTGATTCTTCTATTCTTTTTCTTCTCTCTGTTTGATAATGGATGTATTATAATTTTTTTAGATGGCAAACCTTCACTATGTTTATTATTTTTATTATTCTTACTGTTCTTATTTTGTTTACTAATCGATGATGACGATGGTTTGCCGTATTTCGAACATACATGTTTATTTCTATAGTAATCAGATGTAACCTTTAAATGGTTCTTGCCAATAAGATGTGATTTTCTAACACTTAATGTATCGTGAGTTAAATATGAATGGCAATATTCACAGTAATAACGGACCATATCCTTTTCTTAACTTGCTCTCTTGTTATCTATTCTGCGTTTTGTGTTGATAAGTTGTTTCCCCCCTCCCTTATTATACAGTCTTTATATGACTAATCGGTGATTTGACGTTAGTTGTTTGTTGTCTTTTGTAGGTTACTTCTGTTTTGGCTTTCTTCTACAATAATGTTTTTCTATATTATAAAGAAAAAAACCCAAAAAGAAAAAGAAAAAGAAAAAGAAAAAGAAAAAAATAGCCATATGAAATACAAACATACACACACATACACACACACACACACATATATATATATATATGTATATTATTGGATAGTAGGCCTATATGCATGTATGTGTGTGATCTATATATGCTGTTTAGATTAGGTTAATACTTGGACGTTGTCACCCTGGAAATGCATCATCAAACTGTATATAGTATATAGAAAGTCTGTTTTAAGATTTAGTAAAACAAACAACATAAATATGATTCATTAAATATCTGGGCTGTTCTCTGCGCAATTATTTTTCTACCTTGTCTTATTCATTCATTTGGAAAAGAAGAGAGAATATAAAGATATATATGTATATAGATATGAACAGTATGCCAATGTATATCTATGTTTATAGATATAGATATATATATATGTATGTATGTATGTATGTATGCGTACTAATTAGCGGCATCACCTTGTGTGATAACAGAGGTTTTTCTATTGTTGTTACTCTTTCTCGGGGTTTTCGTTTCTTTTTTTTTACTTTTCTTTTTGTTTTTCTCTTAGATATCTTTCCTCTTACCACATTTTGTCTTTTTTTGTGACTAAGCATCCGTTATCTGTTATCTATCCATCTATCCATCTATCTATAAATTTATAAATTTATAAATTAGCAACTATATACAAGAATATATGGAATATATCATTGTTATTTTTTTTTATATTTACTAATATTAAATAGTATTTTTTTTCTTCTTCTATTCAATACTTTCATTCTCATATTTGTTCATGGATCTCAGGGAGGCAAGTCATATATTATCATGAAAATGTCTTTTATTAAAATTTTATCATTATATCTGTTTGTACTGTTCGATGTAGTCATCTCATATCCGTTGAATTTCAATGTGCTAGATGAACATACTGAGAATAGTCATAATTATCATCATCGTTATTTCAATAAAGTCTTTATTGAAGGTAATTTACCTCAACACAATATAGATATCACACCTATCGATCGAACACCTTCTTTGACTCCAGATATAAAATATGCAGTCCATGGAGAAAACGGCGTCCTGAGTTCAGATTTACAATTCTGTAATAATCTTGTGATAGATAAAATAATCAAATTGTATCCAAACGCCAATGCAGCAGATATGGCCGTCACGTTGACTCTCTGTATAGGTATGGTCAATTTTTTCAATAGTGGGATAGGTGGTGGTGGATATTTAGTAATGCACGACCATTCTACAAAGACAAATATTCATCTTGATTTTAGAGAGCTATCACCGTTGAAATCAGATCCTTCACTATATAAAGATAATGACTGGAATACAAAAGTTGGTGGGCTCGCTATTGCTACTCCTGGTGAACTGTTGGGGTTATATGAACTGTTTAGATTAAAAGGGTCAGGTAGCGTTAAGTGGTCTGAATTGTTGAAACCTATCATTGATTTGGGTAATCAAGGTTGGGAAGTCGACGAAATCCTGGGTGCCACTCTGAAGATTTATGAACCTATATTTACTTCCATGTCTGAAACTTGGTTTTTTGTCTTAAATTCAACTGGTAATGGGGTTTTGAAACAAGGTGATTGGATAAAAAGGCCTAATTTGGCTCATACGTTACAAATGCTGGCTCAAAATGAATCTGTAGCCCCATTTTATGATCCAAATGGTCCCTTAGTGAAATCAATGGTTCAAAGTGTACAAAACTCCGGAGGAATTATAACAGGTGAAGATTTTCAAAATTATAGAGTACATCAGACAGATCCCTTGACCGTTAAAATCAAGTGTTTAGATTCCTCTATTAGTGGTGGATTGACTGTGGTTACAAGTAGTGGTTCAAGTTCTGGCGCAGCATTAGTTTCAGCACTGAAAATAATGGATCATTTCCCTGACGCAATGGGTGGAGATTATTCAGACGAAACAAATTTCTATCTTATCGAGACTATGAAATGGATGGGAAGTGCAAGGAGTAGACTTGGAGACTATCAAACGCACCAGTTGCCAGATAGAATATTGCAAGTACTGCATGATCAATGGAGTGACCAAGCTTACCAATCAATCCAAAATCAAACAGAATGGGATCCACTAAATAATGTTCTGAAATTTCATACCATGTCGAATTATACAGATTATCAACCAGAGTATAAGATGAATGAACCTCATGGTACGGCACATATAAGTATCATTGACCATCATGGTAATGCTGTCTCATTGACTACCACTATTAATTTGTTATTCGGATCCTTAGTGCATGATCCTGGAACTGGGGTAATCTTTAATAATGAAATGGATGATTTTGCTCAAGAATCCAAAAGCAACAGTTTTGAGTTGGCTCCATCAATATACAATTTGATTGAGCCATTGAAAAGACCGTTGTCATCCACGGCCCCTACTATAGTTTTGAATGAATTAGGCATGCCAGATTTGGTCATTGGTGCCTCTGGTGGTTCCCGTATCACTACAGCTATCTTACAGAGTCTAATTAGATTATATTGGTATAAGATGCCACTCTTAGAGACAATTGCATATCCAAGAGTCCATCATCAATTGTTGCCAGATCATGTAGAAGTAGAAAATATATCAATGATAGGAAAGGGAACTATAGCCAAACTAAAGGAGATGGGCTACGCAGTTATAGAGCAAGTACCAAAGAGTGTGGTTAATGCCATTAAAAGAGATCGTTTCGGATGGATCGGTGTAAGTGATTATTGGAGGAAACGTGGGATGTCACAAGGATATTAATAGGAGAAAGAATGAATATGAAATCAATCGGTTAGCTCGGATTTTTTAAAAGTAATTGCTATTCTAACTATACCCATTGTGAAAGAAAGTATATCTTTAAGAATTTTCATATCTCATAATAGATTTTTCTATCCTTTTTTGGTTTTTTTATTGATGTATGTTTGTGTATGTGTATTTATTTATATCTTTCTCTCTTAAGAATTCTCTATATAATGTTGGAATCGTGGTAAACTATTATTAATTGTTATTAACTATTATTCTTCTCTTATCTTTGCCGTACATAAACCATTCAGTAGTGGTCGCTACGCAATAAATTAGTTGAAAAGAAGACTGAGTAATCTCTTCCTTTCTCATTTTTCCACTGTTTATAGAAATTATTTCCAACAAAATAAGACTACACACAAACACCTATATTTCTTTTTCTTCTAATGGTTTGTAAAGTTTGTGTCTTAAAAACCCTAATATTTGTCAGGTTATTTTTTTATTTTTTCAGAAAAATCATTGAGGGTTGGGGGAAAAATAAAAAAAAATAAAACGACAATTTTATAGAGTAGAAATTTGGTTGTTGTGGTTGAAATCTAAATTCCCTAATCCGAGATTTGTGCATGAAATATAAAATATTTAAACTGCACTATTTTTTTTGTTGAGTTTAAGTTGTGTAAGGTATATACAACCATACGGTTATTATTGATGCTTTGAAACAAGGTGCCGGGTTAATGTTGGTTTCTGTTTTATCGTTTTATATTTTTTTTAGATTGACTTAAACGATACTAAATGGAAAGTCAATAGAGAACAAAACAGAAATAAAAACAGAAACAAGAACAAAATGCCATCCTTATTTAAAAGAATATCCTTTGAAGTTGCTGGTCAAGCAAATGAAAGAACTTTGACTTTATCTTCTGGTTCCAACAACGGACACTATATCTCCTTGCGTCCTCTTTTGAATCCATCCACACCGGAAGAAAAGGAGTTCCCTTGGGAATGGGCTTTTGCTGGTACTAACGACACAGTGGAAGTAAACAATAAGGAAAATGGTTGTCAACAGATCTTCGATTTTGGGTTCGATGCAAATGTTTATCTTCAAACACCTAATACCCATAGAGGTCCAGTTGATACATTTTGGGCAACTTGGGAATCTGGTTTGTTAAAAGAAACTGGTACTGTTTACCCATTTGGTAAGGATAAAGATGGTGTTGATTTTGTTGAATTGTGGCAACCTATTGATGCTCAAAGAGACGAGTTTGTCATGCAAGATAAAGCAGAATCTAAGGGTAGATCTGTTACTTTCAAAGTTGATAACGACCAATTTTATGGTTTGGTAGTCGTGGTTGGTAGATGGGCTCAAGGTGTCTTGGCACAAAAAGGTAAGTCCACTACTAAGGGTTTGAACTTTATTCGATCTGTAGAAACTGTTAGTGGTGAGATCAAGAACTTAATACAGTTTGGTTCTGATGTCAGTAAATTCCCATCTTTTTTCGCTAGTGTCAAGAAGAGCGACAAAGTTGAAGTTAATGGTTTAACTTGGGATGTTATTGAAGCTTATTTCTAACAAGAAAAGCAGAAATAAAAAAAAAAAACAAGGGTTGCGTTATTTTTGTTAGGAATAACAATACTATCAGTATTTTACAATTGATTTTTGTCATTTAATTGTAATATCCACGAATATTGTGAATCATATATAAATGATAGATCTTATAATGATAAATAAATATAGATGTTATTGATAACTATTCAGAGTTTTTAGTTGAGTTATATATATATATATATATAAGTATAACGAACCTATAGTTAAATAAGAAATAATATATTTTATTTTATTTGTGATAATTAGTTTTATCTTTCAAAAAGTTTGAGTATGTGATCTTACCTATCTTCACGTAGATTTTTAAAAAAAAAAAGATGAAAATATTTATATAAAAAAATATTATATACAAATATTATCATAAAATATTATAAAAATAGTATTGATAGCATATTCAATATTGTAAAACTCCTATTTCTGGTATATTAATTTCATGTCAATATTTGACAATTAACAGCTACTCAATTAAATACACATATATTTTTAACTAATAAAAATAAATTGATTCATTGAATATGCATTATTTAGAAGGTACTTATTTTTTTCCTGCACAGACTTTTTTATAATGACTAATCTTTATAATTTAGATAAGTTGGAAATTCCACTTTGATTACAGTTTCAGAAAGTGTATGTATTATTTCTATGTTAAACTTTTTTGCTATTTTTATAATTTTTGGAATTAAAAAAGACATTTATATTGTGATCTATTTGCTACTGTATGAAAATAATATAAGTTTTTGTTTATTGTTTTATGCTCCTAGCTTTAAATATACTCATGCTTACTTTTTTGTTTTTAGAAAAAGAAAATTATATATATAATATACCATAACAATGATATCAAAAATCTAGTGATGTATGTCTAGTTGGACTGTGTTATTAAAAAAAGACAATTGTTTTTATCCATATTTATTGAAAAAATAATAGATGTGCTTGGACAAGGTTGTTAGAAAAATATGTTTTAGTTATTCTTTTGTTTTAGTAATTGATTTTAAAGATTGTTGGTTTTGATAATACTAAAGCAAGAATAAGCCGTGTGATTAATAGTTTGGTAATAATATTTCTTCTATAGTTATTTTGACTTATTGCAAGAATTAACTAAGAATTTATACAAGTTGTGTAAATATAAACACGATGAGATTTGCTTTTTTTTAATTATTATTGAAAAAATAATAAAGGCTTATCTCTAAATATATTTATGTTTTCTTGAATAAAAAATTTTAGAATATTTAATTAACTATTATATGTATAATATACCAAATTTACATAATAAAAGTTGATATATTTTAACAAACTTTAGAAGAAACAGTTTCTTGTACCTAAAAAGAAAAAAAAAAGAAAAATTGTGAAGTTAGTAATATCCAGAAACTTAAAGAAGAAGTTTGTTCCATTGGTTTAAAAAAACATTTTGTATTCTGAAATAATTGAATAAGAGCAAGTCAGTATAAGAAAATGAGAATAGCAATAGAATTTGTTATTCTTGGCAAAGAAAAAAATGCTATTAGAATTTATGGTTTTTTTACGAATCATTTGTATTGGTGGATGAAAAAAATGACCATACTTATTGATACATGAAAAGGACTAACAGACCAAAGAACTATAAAAATATTCAATACAAAATATTTATTAAACTTAATTTGTGTATATGTTGACTTTCTTGAGTTGCAAATTGTTGCTAGTTCATTTCCACATTATTAAAAGTTTACTAGAAATGCTATAACTTTTGAAATTTTTTATTGATATTTCTCTTCAGTATTGAATATTTATAACTCTTTATAATGTAAGGGTATGATATATTTACCATTTTTAGTATTTGAAAACCAAAAAAAAGAAGTTCTGGAGTTTTTATTTTTAGGAAATAGTTATGATAATTTCTATTTAGTAAGTACATTTCGTTTTCCAGCACTATTTCTATAAAATTTAAAAAATAAAGAGCAAAAGGAACATCGACTGAATTCCTCAGACTAAACTTATACACACATTTTTCAAAATAGATGGTTTGTTAAGTTTTTGGGTTATTTCCATTTGTTTTATTTTTCACAGGTGAACTCACCAAGGAAGGGTGATCCACTAAATAATATTAATATTTTATTAAGTACACATTGATAATAGATCTTAGTAAATGTTTTAAAATTTTTATTCATTTCAAATCTTGTATTGGAGTAAGGAACTATTTATTAGTAATTTCTTCTTTAGATTCTTTTCGGAAAGAAAAAGTTTATTCATTTTCAAACGTTTCTTTATGAATTTTGAATACAACTAACGAAATACAAAAATTTCAAACGATTTAAAATTTAATAGGATTGTAGCTATTATATAATCAAAACTCTGTTTGTTATTAGACATATTTATGTGAGAAATTAGAAATATTTTCAAAAATATGATCAATAGTAGAATATTACAAAATATATGCTATTATTACATATTAAATAAATATAGTGATAAAATGATTTAAAAATAATATAGTCACTACCATTTGACTTATAAGAACATTTAAATTTCACACATATCATTGAAATGCAAAAATTATAGGAAATCAATATATATTGGCTATAAATTAAATATTTTTATATTCCAACACTAAATTTCCTAAATTATTTCAAATAAGTCATGGCTAATCTAGGGTATGGTTAAGATTAAAAATTATTTGTTGGTGATATTCAAAATATATGACAAATTGATTTTAGATCTGTTGGTTTTCGCAGTAATGCTATAAGAAATTAATTTTTTCAAAGTCAAAAAGGATAGTATAAGTCTATAATTTGAAACTAGTAAAACTTCATTAAGGTTAATCAACTGTTTGATAATCTTTTTAAAACTTAAAAAAATTCTGTTTTAGATAGAGACCATTAAGATATTAAAACTAAAGAAATTTACCATAATCCAAACTGTAAAATTTATGGATCATACTTTTTTTATCAATATAGCTCTCTAAAGATATATACTTTAAAGTCAATTACTTCATTAACAAGCAGTATGTTAGTATAAGAGGGTAATAATAAACTATAAAAAATTCTAATGGCTTAAAATTGGCAAATATTTTCAGGTCTTCTACCTTTTGAGAAAAATAAAAAAGTCAATAAAAAATTTAAACTTGTTTTTTTTATTTATCTCTTTTTCTAAACTAACTTTAGTAACCCTTATTTTTATGATACGCAAACTACAAGCTATTCACAACGAAACTTTAATAATAATAATAAAATAGATCCATACAGACCATAAATTCATTCCATATGGCTCAATGGGATATTGAAACTGACTAACTACACAATTTTATGCAAACCAACTTTACTGGATAAAGAGGTAGATGTAAATAGATACAAACTTTATGAATATGGAAAATAAGGATGCTTTGTTGATTAAAAAGTTTACAATATCATCTAAAGTGACACCATTAAATATACTTCATAACACGTGATATTGCAATTCCATACTAAAAATGAAGGGTGCGAGGTTCGAACTCGCGCGGACACCGTCCAACAGATCTTAAGTCTGCCGCCTTAGACCACTCGGCCAACCCTCCGGAACATCCTGTTTTCTTTCGCAGAATAGGATAAATAATTACTATGATTAAAGAATTGAGGTGCAGTTCTAATTCACTAGTGCACCTAGATTAATGTAATAAATTTTAGGGTTTAAATCAGTCAGATCATTAATGTACTAATCTGAATAATCGATCGAGCTCCAGAAAACACATAAAAGGACAACATTTTCTGGAGATAAAAGATCATCTTCCATAACCGTTTCTTGTAAATAATTTATATATTATATATAAACATAAATAGAACAACAAGCAAGTAGCAAGAAGTAACTTCGAATAAATATTTCAGCTCGATAAAAAGCTGCTCAATATATATGACCGTTTTAGTAATTATATTATCGACTATATTTGATTACTGTCTTGATTATTTGAATAACTGTTAATATTATTTGCGCTTTCCCGAAATATACAAAAGAATTTGACCATTTCATATTATGGCAGAGGATGTTATAGTTTGGACTTAGGACCAATTTTTTTAACAGTACTATTGAACGAATAGTAAGGGCAATAACAAATATATAAGAACGTTATATATATCTAGGAGAATTAAACGATTATTGCTTGTTCTTTTTTGTATTATACAATGTGCTACATATTTATAAATCAACCAAACATATAAATTTAGATACCAAGATACTGGTCCTTTATATATGAACTATGGGTTGATAGTTTCTTATTTGAGGTTCTGTAACGACTGTCACCGTAGATACATTTCTCCTTAATTAGCTATTTAATGTTTCATGAATGTTTCATTTTGTTACATAGTATTCAACAATCATGTGGGATTTATCAACAAACCCTAAGTCCTATAGATCCAAACTAGAACTTTTCTTGACAATCATCACAAAACCCTAACAATATTTTTATAATCATAATATCAAGGTTGATCTACAACAGAGGACAACAAGATTTTCCGATGTAGTGTAACGGCTATCACATCACGCTTTCACCGTGGAGACCGGGGTTCGACTCCCCGCATCGGAGTGTACTTTACGATGCCAGATGTTTTTTTTTTTTTGAAAATTGTAGGGGTCGAAAATAACGAAAAGCAGTAAGAAAAAAATTTTTTACTGAAAAATAACATGAATGGAATGATAGAGATAAAAAGGATTCCACCATTTGCCTGTGTTAGTGTTTATTAAAATACTTTGACTGTCATTTATTGGTGTACAAATACGTTTAACAAGCTTTATTTCAATATAGGAATATAAACTGATTAGGAAAGTTTTGTGAGAACCTGTATAGCTATATATATATTACCTTATAAAACGTGGGGGCAACAAAAATAAAAACATAAGTTATAATGGCAAGTGCATCATTATTTATATTAGCTGTTATTGCAAACTGTATTAATCTTTTTGGACAAGTCCATTTTACCATTCTATACGCTGATCTGGAAGCTGATTATATTAATCCTATTGAATTATGCTCCAAGGTTAATCAACTAGTTGTTCCAGAAGCTGCTCTACATGCTATTTTATCTTTATTATTTTTATTGAATGGTTACTGGTTTGTTTTCTTATTAAACTTACCAATTTTAGCTTACAATGTCAATAAGATTTATAACAAAGTTCAATTATTAGATGCCACTGAAATCTTCAGAACTTTAGGGAAGCACAAGAGGGAGAGTTTCATGAAATTAGGATTCCATTTATTAATGTTCTTTTTCTACTTATACAGAATGATCATGGCTTTGATTGAAAGTTCATCAAGCGATTACTAAATTAAATATTGATAAATTGAATAATTTATTTATTCCTTTTTTTTTTACTGGGAAAAATATGGATATACCGATACTATACTTTTTATCTTTAATATATACGTATATGTGTATATGCTATGTAATTTTATAATTATATCAGGAGTATAACTCTTTAAGATAGTGTCAAATACATAACGTTAAACGGCAAAGAAAAAGGTAGGAATAAGAGCTCTCTAGGTACTTGTAAAAAAGGTGTATAATTCTTCCTATCAGTAAAACTTGATAATAAGTGAATATATTAAAAATTGAGATATGTTTGGTTTTAATAAACAAATTGTACTATAAAATCTATAAGGGGGGGGGAATACATAATGATCGAATAGATAGAAAATTAAAAAAAGTGGGGTCATATTTTATTATATTTAAATATTCTTCTTTTGATTGAGTTCACCTCTCCTAGCAACAAATAGATTAGCAGCATTAGATCTTTCCTTTAAGACAGCCACTCTAAATTGTGTTAGAGTATTGTGTGCGGCATTTGAGTGACGGTAAACACCACCAGTAAAAGCCTTTGTAGCATCTTTACCTCTAGCAGCTTTAATCAACGTTTCACCTCCAGGATGTTCTTCGATATAAGAAGATATATCATGAACAATTCCACCAATAATGACCAAACCAGGTCTAGATTTCGACTGTTCTTCAAACTCTTCATGATCCCAAACTGGTAAGTCAGTTAATGATGGACCCCAGTCTAATCTTTGCTTAATTCTGTCCAATTTCTTTTGTTTTTGCTGTAGAACACCTTGATCAATGATATTTTGTGGGAACTTCTTCAAACCTTTAGCAAGCCCTAATAAGTATGTGGTATAGATTAAAACCTTTGTTGGATCGTATTGGTACCACCTAATAGCATTTCTGTAGTCAGTTGGGAATTCATGATGGAAGTTGTGATAACCTTCACCAAAGGTAACTAAAGCAGTTAGCCAATTGTCACGTGGAGTTCTTCTGTCGTCAAATGGTTGTGCACCAATGTAGTGAGCCATGGAGTTAATACAGAAAGTAGCTTGTTGAATGCAGAAGATTCTAATGACACCAGCATAAATAAACCCACCAAGATAATCATTAAAGAAATAGCCGCAGACCACAGTTGGCACAACAAAGGCAGCTAACAGCATGATAAGGATATAGTGGCGGTGTTGGAATCTAACAATCCAGTCAGTATTCAAGTCGGAGATATCTGCTCTTGCCTTATTCTTTGGATTTGGTTTCATAATCATCCAACCCATATGGGAGAAAAATAGACCACGACGGGCATCATATGGGTCTCTTGGTGTATCTGTGTATCTGTGATGGATTCTGTGTGAATGGCCCCACCATTTAATGGAACCTTCGACGGAAGCAGCACCAAAGAAAGCATAGATCAAACGTAATGGCCAGCTTGCGTCGTATGATCTGTGGGACCACAATCTGTGGTAACCAGCAGTGATAGAAATACCACCAAGACCATAATAGAAGATAGCAAACATCAAGACATTACGTTGAAGAGGAACCAGTCCAGATAGCGCCACGATAAATCCAGATAACGGAATCAATATAACCAAGGTAATATTCAACCAATTCAATTTTTGATACCAGTTATTCCAAGTCCATGGCTGTTCGGAAATATGTATTCTTTCTCTTGAATCATCATTCAAATCAGTCATTTCTTTCGAACCCATTAAGGATCCAAGACCGTTAACAACTCTTAACTGTTTTTTATTTAACCCTGTAGCTAAAATATTTGCTTGTTTAAGATCCATTTCTGGATATAATTGAGTATTGTTATCATTATTACTACTATTATTAAAAGCAGAAATAGTTTCTACTTCCAGTTGTGCAGTACTCATCTTTTTATTGATATATATTTGGTTTATGTATACCTATGGTGTCTTTATGAGCTGTAGTGTGTTGCATCCATTAGGAGAGTATGAGTCCCAAAAAAAAAAAGAAAGAAGAGTGAGGGAAATAGTTAGATGTGAACAGAATGGGTCTGCCCCGACTAGAATACGAGAGGGCATCTCTATTTATATATTTTCTTGCTTGTTTGATTCCAGTAATAAAAATATTTTGACTGTTGTTCTCAGTATTGACAATAGCCAATTTTACGATTTGTTTTCAGTTGATGATACATAGAATTGCACAGAAAATAATAGGATAGTTGTAAAAAGGGATAAAACCCATTTGACAGGTGTTCTTTGAATAAGTGTAATTGTTGAGCTTGTTATTTGTCTATGTAGAAACAAACAAAAACTATTGAAAGCAAGAGATACAAAAAAATAGTTCTTTTGAGAGGGATATAATAAAAAAGATGTAATAAAAGCACTTTATTGGAATTTTTTATGGCTTGCACATTTTAATCAACTTGTTAGTTAAAAGAAAAGGGTAAGAAGGACAAGCCTAAAAAAAAAACATACAGAACAAGTAATAAGAATAATAAAGCTATTTTTCGAATAATAAATTGTTTTAGCTTGAACAATAATTAACTATTCTTATTATGTTTCCAATCTGCTTATTATTATTGTTGTTGTTTTTGTTGTTCTTATTATTATTACTATTTGGTTTGAAATAAAAAATGAAAAAGTTTGTTACTAAAGGAAATAACTTAATGGTTTAAGAGAAAGGTAGTCATCTTGATTTTCTCAACAATTGTCGGACAGATAAAAACAAAAAAAAATTGTCCGTGTTTCATTTATCGAATCTATTTTTGTTTTCATTTTTATTTTTGTCTCCTTCTCTTTTTATTTAACTCCGAAGAATTGGATTGATTTTTTTCTTTTTATTTCATTAATTAAAACAAAACCAAAGCAAGAAAAAAAGAAAAAGAAAAAAGAAAATACAAAATTTTGTGTAAATTGGTTGAGAGTTTTTAAGAACGATATTACCGATTCGATTAAAAAAGAAAAAAAAAAGCTTGACAGAAAAGACAACTTGAATTACATAAAGAATAGAATAAAGGGTCCGTTATTGTATCAAGATTCACGAAGGTAAAGAGAAAAAAAACATCTTGTTTGTCAAAGAAGCCTGAAATTGGGTTTTCTTGATTGAGTTCAACTCTTTGGATAATAGTTTGTTTGTCCTATTCCATTGAATTACAATGGTTTATCAACAGATTTATACTTGTTATAGTATTATTAGGCTGCTTAAGATCGTTGGCTACTTTGCAGATGAGAGTAACAGACTGTAAGTCTTGGTTGTTTGTGAAAAAATTGGTTTATATGTTTTCTTTTTTTTTTTAACAAATAAGTTTCGAATTTATCATTTTCTCTTAATCTAAATTTTTTATAGTTACACCTTGAGTCTGACACAATTATTTCAAGAGATCCTGGTGTGCTGGAAGGTCTAAATTGGTTGGTATAACAACTCAGAGATGAAAGAGTTCTTCCAGTATTCACCCAGTTAACTGTTAGGCTATTTATAATTCCTGGCACAACATTATCTATTTTCATAGTGGTATGTTCCATCTACTTTATTAAATGTAGCGAATAACTGCTTATAAACTACACTGCTTATTTTTTTTTAAAAAAAAAAAAAGAAAAAAGCAGTCTGAAAGTGGTTGATAACTCTTTACCTTTTTTTGGGATTATAATTCAATTGTTTGCAAAAATATATATATATATTTTTATCCTAGAAATTAAAATGCACTTTCATGAAAGGTTTTTCAATGATATATACTCCCCTAACCTATAAAGCTTATTAGTGTATTAGAAGGATATTCCAGGTAAATTGAAAAGTAATAAAAAAAGAACTCTTATATCTCATCTTTTCTAAAGAATTACATGGTATATATATACAATATAACTATAATAACAAAACAACTTGTTGTAATTTATATCTAACTTTTTCAAAAAAATGATATCAAGTATTTTTTTTTATATGTCTTTTGTCACATATTTAAACAAGTTCACCACGAACTGGAATTATATATGTGGTAATTGTAATGCATCTGATTATCTAATACTAATTAAGTAGTTTTTTTCTTTTTCTTCTCTTTTATAAGAAACTTGCAATACATTAGTAGCAGCACTTGCATTATCTGTACATAGAAGTACAGTCAATGAGGATGGTTGATATTTAAGAAAATATCATTAATATTGAAAAATAAACAAGAAATTAAATTTTTTTTAGCAGAAAATCACCTTTAAAAAAATAAATACTTCTAAGAAACAAAAGAAAAACAATAAAAAAAAAAAAAGAAAATTAATTACACATAGTAATTTACTCTAACTAATATTAACGACCAAGAAATATTTAACACCTTTTTAATTTTATTTCTACATAATGAATAAATAAATGACTTACATATATGGTATTTTATTTAAGTTTATTTTATTTTTCAAAATCTAAATCTTGCCTTAATCCCATAAAAAGAAAACAAGTAAACTAAAAACATTATTAATATATTACTATCAGTTTATCTATGGAAATTAACCAGAACTCAAACAATACAATTTAAACGTTATATGTATGAAATATATCATAAAAAGATTATAATTATTTGAAGGAATCTTTTCTTTATTCCTTTCTTTTAGGAAAGAAATAAGTACATCGGTAGATAAAGACAGTATTTTTCTGTTATGTCAAAGGCTTTAATCTTTTTGTTTTCCAGTATTTCTAAGTTTTGGATATTTCAGCTCTTTTTTCTTCCTTTCCTCCTTTCCCCCATTTTGCTGAAATAAGATTAGAGATATATGTGATAATCTAAATAAATGTAATATAGGGTATGATAGTTATATATATATATTAAGTATGTAGAACAAAAGAGGACGAGTAACATAATAACAGTTTATAGTAACACTAATATTCTTACTATAAATAGCTGAGAACTTATAATGCCATCAATATCTTATTGTAAGTTATATTATCTTATTATATTAATTTAAAATGAACTCTAATAGAATTTTTGATTCCGAAACCTTTATCTTACTTAACTCGTTTGCTCTGAGACGAAAAAAAAACGCGAAAAACTCGAAAAACAAAAAAAACCAAAAAAAAAAGAAAACGTTCTTCTTACACCCATACACCTCAACGGTTGTGCTTGTTTTTTTTTATTTTATTTTATTTTATTTTTCTTTCCGTCTCCGTCTCCGTCGCTAACATTCAAAACACATCATCATTGTATTTTCAACAACTATGGCTAAAATTACACTACTGCTGTAATGAAAAATAATTTTAGATAATAATCAACAAAAAAAAAAACAAAAAATTTTCCTTTTTCTTTGAATTTTTTGAATTTCTTTTTTGCTTTTGCTAAATGTCGTGGTAAATTTTTTTTTTTTCTGTTTTATATGCGTGACACTCTGTTACTATAGATCAAACACGTTAAAAGATAAACAAAAGTATTTAGTGCATTAAAAGAACTTTTACTTACACAAACAAATACACATACGCATACACATACACATAAATACACAAATACACAAGTACATATATATCCTTATACGCCCCCTACGTTTGCATAGAATACTGAGAATAATAATCCCAATAGTATTTGTCGATAGTAAATTTATTACTATTATTATTATTGGTATTTGAAGTTACTCTACTTTTGCACTACACAAAGTTTGGAAATTTCGCATCTTTAATACATACATATATATATATATACATATATATATGGATTAATTCTCTTCATTTGTTTTTTTACCTTTCGAAAACAAAATATTTATCTCATATTTTCTTAATTGTTTTACATTTCTATTAAAATACTATAAAAGATGCCACATACCAATGATAATATACTGTTAGCTGTTCCCAATCAACCAAACAAAAGACATGCATCCATAGTAGAAATGCTATCGACTCCTCCTTTATTACCTAGATCTGTACCTAGTCAATTGAACAATAATAACAATAACAACAATAACAACAACAACAATAATAATAATATTTCCATCTCCATCACTAACACAAATTTTATATCAAATGTTTATTCCTCGTCTGATAATATTGTTGGCTCAAGTTTATCCACTCATTCCACTCCCAAACATAGTTACACTAATTTAAACTGTATCTCAATTACCAATAGTCCCACTAGTCATAGTTCCATTATAAATAATAATAGCACTAATCATTATAATATTAATAATAGTCATAATAATAGTAATAGTAATAGTAATAGTAATAGTAATATCAATAGTAATAACAACAGTACTCTAAATGCACCTACTATAAGGTTTAATCATCATGTATTTAATTCAATAGATAATAACATAGACCTTGTGGATAATAATACTAATAGTACTATAGATCATGCTACTTTAAATTTGACAAAAACATTCACAAATGACTCTATGACATCTTCAAATGGATCCATATCTTCTATGTCTTTATCCTTATCCTCATTTCAAAATAACTATACTGATAATATTATCTATAATAATAATACCAATAATAACAATAATAATAACAATAATAGTAACAATAATAATAGCATATCTAATTGTGATAGTAATGGAATCGTACATTCCATCAGTAATGGTTCCAATTTTTCTTTGACAATGATGTCTCAATCCTTAAATACTGTACATCAACAAAACTGGCAATTTATTAGACTGTCCCAGCTAATCGAATCAAATAAATTGATCTTTATTAATTCGTTAATCTCTGTCGAAGATGCCTTCAACACATTAATGAAATATCATTTGACCTCATTACCTGTCCAGACTCATCCAAAGGACTTAAATTGTTTGACTTTCGATTATAATGATTTGAACTCATACCTTTTATTGGTCTTAAATAAAATTAAAATTAATAACGAAAAACTTGCTAAAGATTGTCAAAATGGTGAAAATATTAAAGTTGGAGAATTAATTAAATACACACCAAAGGACCCCTTCTATAAATTGTCTGAAAATGAAAATTTATCCAATGTTATCAATATTTTGGGTTCTGGGGTGCATAGAATCGCAATTACTGACCCAGATATGACACAGATTAAAGGGATATTATCTCAAAGAAGATTAGTCAAGTATCTATGGGATAACGCAAGACAATTTCCTGATCTAGAACCGCTATTGAATATGTCTTTAAAAAAATTGAAAATTGGTGTTTTTAACGATAATAGGACCACTAAATTAACATCAAGAAATTCACCAGTGATATCAATCCATGGTGATGAACCATTAATTAATGCATTATATAAGATGCATAATGAAAGAATCTCGTCCATTGCAGTCATAGATTCAAATAATATACTGATCGGAAATATTTCGGTTACCGATGTTAAACATTTAACTAGAACTTCACAGTATCCTTTATTACAGAATACCTGTAGGCATTTTATCACCATTATTTTAAATAATAGAGGGTTGGAGAATGGAGGTAAGGACTCCTTCCCTATTTTCCACGTTTATCCATCATCGTCCTTAGCAAGAACAATCGCTAAATTAGTAGCTACTAAATCACATAGATTATGGATTGTGCAACCATCATTAACCACAGACCCCGATCCTGAACAATCACTTCATTCCTCAGAAGAAAATGATTTCAACATGAATAAACCATTTTCAACACATTTAGTAGAAAAGGATAGAAAGACGGGTAAATTGATTGGTGTCATCTCATTAACCGATATATTAAGTATTTTAGCAAGAAATCAAACCCAGCATAAACAAGTTGATCCACAACAAGCAAGAAGAAATAGAAAGTAATTCAATATAATCTAGGTAGTATCCATACATTCACACATACATACATAAACCACATATATATACCGTCTTAATTATATTAAAAATATATAAAACTTTAGGTATACATCTATATAACATCTTTTGAAAAGCTAGTGTTCATTTGTTGTTAATTTTAAATATTTTTGAAGGTTAAGCCTTCTACACAATTTCGTAAATTTTTTTTCTTTCAAAAGATTACAACAACATATATAGTCTGATACTATTTAGTAGTCTTTCTCTATATTTATCATTTATTAGTACTGGAGTTATTCTCAAAATTTTTGTATATTAAAGAATTCTTATACCAATTAAAAAGTGTATTATGATGACAAAACTATATGTAATATTCAGATACATCGACAAGAAAATTGTAAAAGAGAAAAGAATTAAACATAAAACGATCACTTATTTATATATGTCATATACGGATATTTTTATAGTAAGTAAAAAGATATATAAATTGTTATTAAAATAAAGCCTTTATTTAACTAGGGAATTCTTTAATATACAATTTTTTTGATAATAATTTCAGCAATAAACTTCTGTAATATAATAGAACACATGGTATGTGCGTTGAAACTACCGTTGTATCTTTTTTTTGTATGTATTTTGTATTCTCAGTATGTTTTAAGATTAAAAACTGTGAATAAATCACCTTTAACCTTAATAGGGAGCACTATATGCTCTTAATAATTATTTTTGCTAATATACTTAAAAGTGAATATATGCAAAATAACTGAATTATCTGAATCTTATAGATATACATGTTATTCCATCACATGTGATTTTTCAATAACTGGAGATATCCTAATGGAAATTTAGAAATGGAACTAATTGAAAAACTTTGAACTATTCATCTTCACCAGAATGATCATAGGATTGTGACTTATCTCATTGAATTACGAATACAATAAAATTACAATATTAATTTGATATCTTATATTATGTACTATTTAAAAATCCGTAAAAAGAAGGAATGCCAATGAGTTAAGCCTTGTTGGCGCAATCGGTAGCGCGTATGACTCTTAATCATAAGGTTAGGGGTTCGAGCCCCCTACAGGGCTTTCTTTTTGCTTTTTGTTGCTAAGTTACTTTAGGGTTTTGTTTAGAGAAATGAGGGTGGTTGACGATATTTTTCGAAACTTTCCTTTTTGCAAAATTTTACAAACATAGATAAAAGTTGAAGTAACCAACATAAGTACAAGAGAGCAACAGACGGGCAAGAGGTATTAAGATTAATAATGAATAGATATTAAATACATAAGTAAATACTATTTAATTCCAAGAGATAGAGATACATAAATATGTATTAATATAAAGAACATTAGTCGAGTATTATATACCTGTAACTAACTAAATGTTCGTTGGATATTGGAGATAGTGTGACAACGTCAATTTTGCTTACAAATATAAATCTAAAGATTCTAAAATTACATAGATGAATTTAGTGATAAAATGTCAGGTACACAAATAATAATAGCTAAACTTAAGAGACACTATACTTACTATATACATATATGCGTCTTGTTTCTTGTTTGTCCGTTTATCATGCCGTCTAAGTCTTTATACAGTAGCCTTCTGCAATACCATTATATCTTGTCAATTTACACTCTATAAACAAACTTTCCTTCAATAACAACATGTTGTAAAAAATTTACAAAATCGATTGGAAAGATACAGTATACTGATAATTCATGTCATATAATATGACTTATGCCTCTCAATCACCTGTAAAAACTTATATGTGCAACATAAACTTATATAAAAGAGACTCGTTGATTACCTCTATAATCAATATGTATTTAAAAGATAAGTATACGAAGTCAAAGGCTTGCAATCATATATATTCTCAACCTTGGTCATTGTATACTTTTATGCTTCTGCAGTGATGCAGGAACTCTTTATAATGCTTTACAATATGTACATTTCACATCAGCCATAAATAACAATAATAAACCCTGATATAAAGCCAATCTGAATGACGATTTATTATTGACTTGTTAATCATTAAGAAGTTGCTAAACAAAAATATTATTAAAAGAAATATGTGAATATCGTTCGGGGTTGAACACCTTCATAAATCATAAGCCCTCTATTGATTTACTAATAATATAATGGTAAACAAAGTATATACTTTCATCAATACTTTAGTTTTTTAAAACGAACATACAACATTCTAAGTTACACACATCTACTCACAAAAAGTTGATATACATTTGATACCAAAGCCAGACTCAAAAGAGAAATTCTTTGAAAACTTATCTAAAAATCCTTTAAAGCACAGGCATATAGATCCTAATCAGATGTTTCAAAAGTTTTTAATATAATATTGCTTCGCTTTCTTGTCGTTGTTTTACAATTTTTTGCTCTGCTACGGTAACTTTGTTTTTTATACATACTTTTAAAAATGACTAAATTTAAACATTGTCTGCATATTCTTTTTTTCTTCATTTTTATATATAAGAAAAATATGTTATAGCAATAATAAGGACACAGTATTTCAGTACAAAACAAAGACGCACCAAACTGTGTATTTTGGTTAATACTGCTTTTAAATAAACCAAGGCTAATAGATATCCAAAAGTTACAAAATGTCTACTCCAGCTAGAAGAAGACTTATGAGAGACTTTAAGGTATGTTGTTTATTAATAAATATATGCATTCTTTTTTAATAATACAGTGATTATTATATCTATATTAATTGGAATTATTAATACTAACATTAGAATAATACATTTCTATATGTCTATATACCTTGTATTATTTCCCCCCTTTGCTGTCAATACTTCTTCAAAATAGCGTATGAAGGAAGATGCGCCACCAGGAGTCTCTGCTTCTCCATTACCAGATAATGTCATGATATGGAACGCTATGATTATAGGTCCAGCTGATACACCATACGAGGATGGTACCTTTAGATTACTATTAGAATTTGATGAAGAATATCCAAATAAACCACCGCATGTTAAATTTTTAAGTGAAATGTTTCATCCAAACGTATATGCCAATGGTGAAATATGTCTGGATATTTTACAAAATAGATGGACTCCAACTTATGATGTTGCTTCCATACTAACATCTATTCAAAGTTTATTTAACGACCCCAATCCAGCATCTCCAGCTAATGTAGAGGCCGCCACACTCTTTAAAGACCATAAGTCACAATATATTAAAAGAGTAAAGGAAACAGTAGAAAAATCCTGGGAAGATGATATGGAAGATATGGAAGAAGATAGTGACGAAGAAGATAGTGACTGAAATATAATGGAGAAAAAATTCCCCATCAAAAATTTTTAAGCTGTTTTAACCAGTTAGTGCATATCCTTTTGATCAGTCAGATAGATTCCGCAAACATAATTCGTGCTTCTATTAATTCTATTTATATATAAACATTCTGTATACTAAAAAAATACATAAAAGCCTATTCACAGGAAAATGGAGACTTTGTCTCGGAACAGTTCACTTCAACAGAAAAATTCTATTATTGAACTTGAAAATTGTTCTATATGAAATCGAAGCTTATTGAGTTATTTCAATTTTTTTTGTATCTTGAAAACTATGCTTTATAAATCCTATAGAAGATAATAAGATAAAAGCACTAAGTATGGTGCTACTTAAAATATCTTTCTTTGGTTTTGTTGAAAGAAAGGGTGATTCATCAAACTTTGTATCACTACGTGGACCTAATGGACCATATGCCATAAAATATTGTAATTGTTTAATATATATTGGAAGTGTTTTCCAATCTCTTGAGCACATATCTGTATCTATAACAAACTTATGTATTGCATCATATTCCACGGGTGCCAGTGTCTTGAATTTACTAATCATTGAAGAGAAATTTACTGTATTGGAAGTATTTTCGAACTGAAATTTATTTTTGAGTAAATTCTTGAACTTAGAACTGTTAATAAATTCGAATAGTTGATCTTCATATTCTTTGTTAGATAATGATTCATCTTCTTTATTTACTGCATTAGGATTAAATAAATTAAAAACGTCCGATATGGCGAAACTTAAAGAGTTTCCATCTTTTAAAGATTTATTTGAATTATTCTTTAAACGTTGTTCTTGTTTTATTAATAATGATTTAGGTACTTCTCCCTTAATATATTTTTTAGTTTCACTGGAACTAGAAATAAACCGCTTCAAAATATAACGATAATTTGAACTTTTAAGCTTTTTCCATGGGTACATGCTGTATTGCATCTTATTTCGAAACGTTGATTTAGTATTACATTTACCCAAATATTTAACTGTAAGAATTCTTACTGTTAGTATATCTGGTATTAGAATGGATATTTTTTAAATATTAAAAAATAATAAATACTAATCTCAAGTATAACTATCTTTTACAATTATACAAAAAAATATCAATAGACATTCAAGCAAAACTACGATTAAATATAGTGATTAAAATCTCAGATATATCTTGAACACAGATATAGTCTTTCGATGGAACATGTTTTTTATTTTTCATTTTCAGTTTCAGTCCAAAATGTTTATGTATATAGTCTGATTTAGAAATAGTTCTACATATGATACGAATAATAAATAATGTTTCTTATGAATATATATAAGAATTGTTCATTTCATTAAGAAAATCAATAAGAGGTTAGATTAAACTTTATCTAGCTGCTTTTTTTTTGTGTGTGTTAATAAATTTCCTAATTTTAAAATTGTGTCTACACCATACTGTGGAATAGAATGTAAACATAGTTCACCATTCCAATATTCTGCATAAACTTTACACATAGCGAGGCCTATACCAAGCTTATAACGAAACGATCTTTGTGACATCTCGAGTAAGGGTGCTTGACATTTAAGTGAACCCCTCTTTAAATCCCAATGAGATATTGGTTCCAAAGAAGTTCTTAAATAGGGCTTGGTCATAATATAATTCTTTAAAGTTTCCTCATCCGACCCACTACTTTCAAAAGTATTAATCTTATCCTGATATATATGATCATACAAAGATACAGTCTGAAGACCTGGTAGTCGATGGAAATTTCGTAAAGACTCTTTGGTTCTTTCTTTAGACTTAGAAAATGACCAAATATTTTCATTTGGATGCAAAATACCTCCAGCTCTATCGGATATTTTAAATATATAGCTTTCTTCATTTTTAATTATTCTAATAATAATAGGTGCAGGCGTTTCAAGTCCTTTTTGAATAAAATTTTTCACTGTTGCCTCATAGATATTTCTAAGTATTTCATTTAACATATATCTCAAATGAGACGGTAAAAAATAAAATTTTAAATCTGTTTCCCCTTGGACAATGAGTTTAGGCATAGGCAAATCATCAAAATATACATCTTTAATAAATTTCTCACAAGTTTTTGAAGCTTCCATAATATAATCCATCGCTGAACATTCTTGAAAAATATCGCCTAAGACTAACGTATTCTCCTTCTTTCCACTCATATAGTTTGCAGTAACACTTAGATGTTCTTCAACAATCAATCGCCTAGAAATACGAGCTCTTAATAACTCTGACAGTAGAGCATCCATTTTATCAGCTGGATATAAATCTAAAATAGAGCATTCCAATGCACCCATAATCAAATGAGGTAAATTTAAACAGTTAAAATCCTGTAATATCTTCTTAGTAAATTCTGCAAATTTCAAATTATCATCTAATGTTTTAATTGCTGGGAATTTTCGAAACCTTTCAAAAATATCATAATAAGACTCATATACTTGTGCAAAATGAAAATTGTTTACAACATCAAAGGGAAGATTTTGCAAGACTAATAATTTACCAGCAATTCTTATAGCTAACTCTTCCTTAACAAATCGACCTGAATTGATAATTTTATTTTTGGTAAGACCCTTATAATCATCATAGTATTGGGCTAATTGAGTCAAAGATACAGGATGTGGACGTTTACTGGCATACTCTTTTATTAAAGTCATCTGGTTATGATAATAATGTTGCTGATTAACATACCTGGAGCCATTTGGGAAAGCCTTCATGATTTCATAAATATATGGTGCTAATCCATCCTTTACTGGCTGAATTGGTGAATATTTAGTGAAATCCACACTTTGCGATATATTTTTAGGTGCTTTGACATGCTGGTATCTAGCAAAAACCTTTTGACAATTGACATATGACATATTTTATTTTCAAATAAGTTTATGAGATATGGGAAATATTAGTTGGATATACCAATACTCCAATAGTATAACACATTTTTCAAAACTTTCAGTTTATTTATATGTTGTTATGACTAACTTAAGCTTTTCAAATATAAAGCATCTGTCTATTCTAATTTATTTTTATTAAAAAGAAAAAAAAGTTGGAAAAATCATTCTGTCAACCAGTTGCTAATGCATACATACATATATACTCAGTTATATACACAATAACATGGGATAACTTATTGCTCATGTTGTCTGATTATTTAAGAATCTACCTAATGTATCATTGGCAAGTGTTATAAATTGTAATTCTGGAACTTTATCATCTTTCTTTATAGATGAAATTTTTTTGGTAATTCTATCGTCAATCTCTTTATTTATAACGTGTAGTAGATCTCTATTCCATTTATCTCGCAATCCGACAAAAAAATTCATGTAACTTAATGTCAATAATATGTCATCTCTCTTCTTAAAGTTAAGTTCTGAAGTAGTGTTTTCTATTGCCATCATTGCCAAACTATGAATTGACGCCATTCTATCATCTGTAATAGGTATATATGGCCTAGGAGGCAGCTTTGGTGGTTCAGAGGTGTTAGAAATACTTATATTTTGAATACCATCTGTAACAGGAGATACAAGAGATTTTTCTGCCAATGTGATAATTGTTGTAGAACTTTTTGTCATTAAATCCTTCAAAATCTTCAAAATAGTGACCTTCACACTTCTATAAGGACATGTTAATAAAGTATCAAAGATAAAATCATAACATATATTCTCAGGAATTAAGCATAATATTCTAGTGAATAAAGCTAATGAAATTTTTTGAATTTCTTTATTAAAAGTAGAATAGGTCTTTAATAAAAACATTTGTAAAAATGTTTTAATAATGATTGGATGAATCTCTTTAAACTGGGTTCTTATTAAATCAATTGATTTTTGGGTTAAACAAACCCACAACCAATATCTACAAACATTTTCTAAACCCTTATTATCATATACTGGTGACTGTATTGATGCAGTAGAACATGCCAAGTATAAATAAATAAGTGATTGAGTATTAATATCAGATATAAGATCTTTCTCTTTATTTATAAAATAAAACGCAGAAAGCATGACAACTCCCTGTGAATCAAGCTTCAAAGTTTTATTATCCAAGGATTTTTTTAAATTATATGTGTATGATAATAGGTATAACATTTGATTTGTTTCAGATTTGGATTCTGTGATGTTATTCAAAAAGGGTTCATATATTTTTTCTACTTCAGACAAATATTTAAGAAATTCCTCTCCAACATTAATCTGATATTTGTCAGCTAACAGGCGATACTCTGCACACAAAAGTCTAAAATTGTTATCCATTTCATTGTTTAAACTCTTAATATACTCATTTTTCCCCATTAAAGAATAATAGTATAATTTGTCAAAATTTGGTTCAATTTTCTTATAGCTTAAGCTTATTATGATAGACAAAAATTCTTGTACTAACTTTAAAACAATAGCATTTTCATCAAGGACTAATTTATTATAATCTTCTTTGGAAATTGAAAGACTTTCATTATATGGCACGATGCTTGGTTGATACTTAACCAGTAATTCACCGACACGATGAAGAAGGAAGGATGGATCCTCTATTAACTTAACATTTGCCTTTAGGTAACTCAAAATAGAAGATATAACCATACCTAAAAATTTTGATGGGTACAAGGTATCAATTCTATTTAAAGTTTCTTTGAGTAATTGAAAAATAAGATGTAATTTTAGATTAGGAATAAATTCTACCTTATTTTTAGCAATATACTCGTATTGATCAGATGTTGGTTTATTTGATGCTTTACCATCTCCAATTACTTGTTTATCGTCCAGTTGGTCAAATGATTTTATCACTTCAGTTTTGTTAGCATTCTTTATAGATAACCTTGTGTAATCCACATTATCAGGAGTGCATGAGTCTGGGCTCTTTCTTATGTCATCTTCACCGTTGATTGTGTCAATAGAAAAGGATGCTAAAAGATTACATCCTATTAACAAACACTCCTTTGGGTTACCTAACTGAGAAATTAGATTAAAACACTTAATAACATTAGTGATGATTTCATTTTTAGTTAGTTTAACATCAAAGTCTACGTTTTTTGGAGTAAAAAAATCTAATAATATTTTAGGCATATCCCAACCTATCTCTTTTATACTATCACTATTACTTTTTAATAATTTATAGAGAGCTGTCAAATACTCTACAATGTCTTCCCGAGATCCTTCTTTATTAAACTGAGCGGCATAAAGATCTATTATTGTAATCAACGTAACAGGATCCTTGACATTTTCAATAAAAGCGTTTTCTAATTTGGAAATCAAGCTATCTTTAGTTTGAGAATCCATTTTTCTTATATATATGTAGATGTATGTAGTTACGCATTTACTTGTTGTTAAAAATAGATTAAAGGAAAGAAAAGCACCGAGAAGTGATTGATATTTCACACTACATCAATGTGTTTCCAATTGATTATGCTTAACTAGATAAAACTATGCTTACAACATCACGTTTTTTGTTTAGATTAATAATATTATCCTTTCAGCTATTAGATTTGCAGCCTTTCGGTGGTGGTGGTGGTGATATTTTTTTTTTCTTGTAAATAACTTTTTTTTCCGATAGATTTTTTAGGACTTTTTTTTTTGTCTTTAAAGAAAACATCTGAAATTCTTAAAAAAAGTACAGGAGTATTATTGATTATATATCAAAGATGAAATACTAAAATAGAAGTGGAATTCATATGGTATTGTCCAATACTAATTGAATTGAAAACAAGCTTAAAGATATTATTGTATGTGTGTGCAAAGAGAATTAAACAACTTGATTATCTAATATTTGTGATTACAATAGAAATAAATATGTCAGATGAATCTTTTGATGAGAAAACTATAAACAAAATTATCCCCCAAATCTTTGAAAAAAAAAGGAATACAATAGACAGTGCAACAATAACGTCCAAATTACAAGCATCTATGAATCAAATATCATTTCTAGCTACACAATCAGTCATTGATGAAAGAAGTTCACTTGATAATATTATTGAAACAATAGATAAAGTCAATAATACCCTTAGTACTATCACACCAAAGAATATGAAAAGGATATATGAGGTTTGTAAGTCTACCAATGCAATCCTTGACACATGGGTTGACATTCAATCGCAAGCAATGTATTTAAATAAGATGATGAAAAATACAAGGTATATTGAACATTTGGAGGCACTTGAAAAAGGACATGATATTATAGGTGAACGTGTAGAGGAAATAAATAGGTTGAAAGATGAACTTTCTTTACTAAGAGGCCAACAAACGTCCAAAAAGATTGATAAAGTCAGTTCTAGTAGTACCATGGGGCGTTTACAAAGAAGAGTCGCAAATACAAAAAATCAAAGAATTTCAAGGCTTGCTAATGGTAACATTCACAATTCTATCTCAAAAGTATCTCAAAATAGAAATTTATCAAGTATTCCACGGGTTTCTTCTAATAGAATAACAAAACCTACCGAAAGCAGTTTGAGAAAAACATTCCAAAGATAGCTAACCGATTTTTTTACACTTTTTTTGAAGATTTGAAGAAGTGTAAATATTGTGTTTGAAATAACTATTTATCATATTATAGTGCATGGATATATGTGTGATGCCATTTGTTAGTTAAAAGATAGTTGATTAAAAGTATATGTTCTATTAGAATTGATAAATTAAGGAAGTTTTTAACATTAATTAGTTTGGTTTTAACTCAAGTTATTTTATTGTTATTAGTATTTTCTTTCCTTTTTTTATCTCATTACTATAAAAATTCTATCAAGCCGTTAAAACATAAGTAATCTCTTCTTTTTCTTATATTTGTCTTAAATGGAAGAAGTAGACTGCACAAAAAAGATAAATGAAATACAATAAATTAATGTATCTTCGCTACTGTTGTAACTTTAATGTCATTATCTAAATACATATAACTATTAATTTATTATATATTACACTTACAAAACCCAATATACACAGTTACCTTCTTGAGCTGGTTAACTTCAAAATTTTTCATATATACTGAAATAGTCTAAAGAAATGTGATTAAAAATCAAATAAATCAACGACCAATTATATTATAACACAAATGTAAATAGAATATTGGAAAATAAATTCATAGTATATATAAGTTATTCCATAATATAATGTAGTATAGTCATTGAGAACATCACATTTCAATAAAGTTATTGTTGCCAACGATTTACCATTTCGTTCATTAAATGTGGACCTTGTGATTGTAGAAACCTTGGGAGTTCATCTACTCCATCTAACATACCATTTTCATTAATAGTAGCGTGTGATTCAAAAAAACCATTAATCAATTTTAAGACATGTAGTGCATTGGGATACACAATACATTGACTGTATGGAGGTTGACACCAATATTCCAAATATTTTAGATAATTCTTAAATTCAGGACTCTTCCAATTAAAATTATAACCATCCTTATTATTGCTACTCTGTTGTTGAGTGAAAAGATACGTTACGTATGGAAGATTTGCTAAAGATTGAACGAACTCTAATTCCACTTCAAACCTAGTGGGTAATGGATTGTTTTCATTTTGTTGAATATTTGGAGTTTCATCCATATTATTTATTTGTAAAACTGTTGATTGTCAAATTTTAATCGCATTTAGTTATTCATGATACACATATATACGCTACTATTTTTTTCCTGCCCTTTCTTTACTACTAGTCGCTGTTATACACTGTTTCTAATTTATATTTCATTTCAAGATTCGTTTGTTTAATATTCTATTTCATTGTAGGTGTATGGGTGTATACAAGCTTCTTACTCTAAGAGACTTAGGCGGACACAAAATTTGGTTGGCGTGGTTTCTTTTTACCATCATCCCCCCCCTGTGTTTGAATGTCGAGGCATATATAATACTTGGGTATATGTTGGTTTGATAGACAATATACTGTCTATATATTAATAGCTGGAAATTGGATATGGTGTGATATGCTACGAATAATATCAGTACACTTATATTCCAGCAGCTTTACAAGTTTATCTTGTAAGGATATCTCTATGTTATCACTCTTACTATGTTATTAGGGAAAGATTTGACATTTTGACTATTTAACAAAATAAGTGTGAAAACAAGAAAGTAAGAAACATACATTAGAATAAGTGAAATAGAGCTTAGTGAGTATAAAATAAACGGGCTTGAAAGGAGTAAGGATAAAAATGACCAGGGATTATAAACATATATATAAATGGTTGACGTTACTGCTATGTCCATCTTTAATAGCTTTTGGATACTTGCTGTCATTAACTAAGTATACAAGATTATTTATTGAAATTAATAAAGATGGGTTTGTTAATGTTTTTTTTGTTAAAAATGGTTGGTTTTGGACAACAATGATTTTATTTTGGTGTTGTTATAGATATAGAATCAACAAGAAAAAAAATAAATCAATTTTGAGAAGGTACATTATTTTAACTCTCTGGTGGTATATTTTTACGCAGCCTATTAAATGGTTAAATTGGCCACCAATTATGGATTCGATTTTTCTTCTAACAGGTGGCGATTGCAAATTTAATATATGGGATTTAGATGGTAACTTAGATATTACATTTCACAACAATAATACTAAAAGAGTAAATAGAAGTTTCCATATTTTGAATAAAGTCTTAACACAATTAGTCGAAAATTACAGTAAAGACAGTAATATTAATAATAAGGATACGAAAAAAAATGAATCATATTTACTAGAGTCATTAAATTGTATACGAAATGGTGGTTCTCATAGTAAGAATCAATCCTTACATTGTGACAGTAGAGTTAATCAAATAATTAAAAATGCTATATCAAAAGAAGTTAAATTAAATACATCATTAATGTGCAGACAGTATGGTGGATACTGGAATGGTGGACATGATCCATCGGGTCATATTTTTTTACTGACCTTGATGATTATGTTATTGCTAGGTGAATTACCGAACATGTTAAATTTTGCATGGTCAAAATTTTGTCAAATGAACTTGGATAAGAAGGAAATTCATAATGAAACTAATGAACAGAAGAATAAGGGAAATGCAAAAGAAAAAATTAAAGAAAAAATTAAAGAAAATAACAAGAATCCCATAAGTATACTCAAACAAATCGGTAATTTTATTATTTTTGCATTCCACTACCTAATCTGGGAACAACCAGTTTTAATTATGATATGGTTTTTATTATTGTGGTCTTGGTCATTGTTGGTTACTACAACAAGTTTTCATTCTTTAGCAGAACAACTTTCGGGCTTATTTTTTGCATATTCTGTGGCGGGAATAGTATATTATAATAGATGATAAAAGCGATGTACATGATTGCATTCATATATATATATTCTTAAAGGTTAGTATTTTGGGATACCGTACCGACAAAAAGATAGTTTCAGCCATGTGAAGGAAATATTGCTTTATGCTGAGCCAGGTAGAGATTTTATTATATGTAAAAATTTTACATAGTTAACAGTAAGATTGTTGGTAAAAGACTTAAGTTACCATACTATGTTTGAAATATTGGCATTTTATATTAAGACCTTAAGGTATATTCATATGTATATATATATATGTGTGTGTGTGTGTTTAGTATAAGAAACTTAGCCACAGCTGGTGCAGTAGTTAAGTAGAACTTAAATCTTATTTTTTTATCATCATACTTTATCATCAAGTTGTTTTTTTTTTACATTATATGGCTTTAAAAAGCATGATCTGGTTGTAGAAGTCTGAACAGTCTATCACAATCACGTATCCTAAGAGGTAAAGAAGATAAACTAATTAGATATGTATCTAAGGGGTTAAGTGGGGTTATCTATTATTTCTGTATGTAATTGATTGTTTAAGAAGATGTATTTCAGAAAATTTACAATTTCCCTCAATATTAACCTTTCTTTTTCTTTTTTTTTGTTACACAGTAAAAATGGAGATTTACACAATTTTGTTTTTTATTTTTTTGGTATTTCTTATTTAGGATCTTATGTTAAAGAATGTTTAAAAAGTCTCCGATACCGGCCAACAAAAAACAAAGAAAATAAATACGAAATGATAATAATATTTTGGCTGTGGAATTGGTTTTTGAAACTAATAGTTTCCACGGATTAGATTTGAAAAAACTTTATATTGTGTATTACATACCGAAAACAGCGTATTTGATACTGTTTTTGAACAGAAAAGTACTAAATTATTGCTGGCACATGACATTAGTATCAAAAACTTTATTGAAATTTATTATAAATATTAACACAATTAACTGGCACAAATTTTTTATAGAGTATTTGTAGTATTATAAGTTTGTGGCTTACTTGTAGCAAGATATTGGTTATATTATAAGTCTGAATTGTATTGCTTGGTTTAATTCTACTTTACCTAACTATCAGAGGAAGTTTGATATGTAGTGTAATTTATTTTATATTTGAGTCTTTTTTAATATTACTTTTTATAATTTTTTTTAGTCATTTAATATTATGAATTCAAAATTATCAAAGATATCTTTAATTGTATTTGAACAAAAGTATTCAATGACTGATATTTTAAGTAGTATATGTCGTAATTTAAAGTGTTTTTTTTTGGATAGTTGTTTATTTAGTAAGCATCCTGTTTTACCTTTTGGTTTTAAAATATTACTTTTAAATTAAAATGTTTCTACTTATATTTAACAAGATAAAATTTCAAATAATAAGAGTCAACACAAAAATCTTGAAATCTAACCCCAGATTAAGAGAAATGACGTGCTCTTGGACACTTATTTTATAAAGTAATTGTAGAATGCTATTTTGGGATACTACTTTTACACCTGCATACAGTTCTATATAATATTTTTACCTTTTTCAGTAAACTTCGTCAGAGTTTAAACTGAATAGCTTCTTTCTCTCTATCTCCCCCCCAAAAAAAAAAGAATATATGGAAAATAAATAAAAATAAAAGATCTGAAAATATTAAAGTTTATCGAAATTTACAAAAAAATAACTTCAGAGAAACAAGGTCTTTTCAAAATAAGATTGAAAACTTTAATACATATTACACATATAATTTTTTTATTATATATTTAATTGTTAATACAAATTAGAAGAATAAATTATAAACAAATTTGAAAAAACTGAAACTTATTTTTTTTGCATGGATTGTTTACTTTATTGGAGATCTACTAAAAAAAAAAAACTTTTTTTACATATACTATTACCGTTTCTATACCCTACAGTAAAGAGAAGTCATGTCAAGAGTTCAGAAGCTACAAAACAACAATATATCCCTGTTGGAACCCTATAAGAGTTGTTGTATGTAAATGGATGAATCATATCAATTAGTATAAGTATGAGCACTCTTACGTAAGCTCTATGTATTACTAATTAATAACCCTGATGTTGTATTACTTCTTGTTGTTATTCTTGTATGATATTAAGAGTTGCCTCTTAATATCATTGCTAAGATGTATTTAAATAAGATGATTACCCTTGGCATATCTCTCAATAATCAAAAACCTTTTGACAAGATCTAATATAATTATCACTCCCTGGAAATCCTCCAATCAGATTCAATACCTTATACGAGCCACTTTGCACATAGCTGCACCAATCCTCCACCCAGACACTTAGGTATTACCCTCGGAATTGCGTATCTACTGAATTTCTAGTTAGGTTTCTTACAAACCCATTCATGTAAAAAGCAGAAAAGATTAAATGTCTTGCATTTTTCAAAATTTTTAGAATATTTTATCAAATAATAAACCAATAATATGTCTTCTACTATACCTAACAGTATAAAGAACAATCGTAAATCCAGCCAATATATTAATTAACTTACTTTAAAATCAAGAAAAATTATTAAATATTTTGAAAGAAAATGAAAAAAAAATTTGTAATAATTATTCTAACCAGTGATATTAATGATAAAATGAAGGCATAAAATAAGCAAACAAAATAAACACAGCAAAGAAAGTCATATATTCTGATAACAGTATTTGGGATGTATCTATCCTTAAGTATTCTTCATTAGAACAAGATAAACAAATAAACAAGTCTAATGCTAGAAAAAGAAGATCAATGTGAGAAGGTACAAAATAGTATTGCTCCGTTAGACAAGGACTGACTGAATCTTTGAAAAAGTAATTGAAGATATTGAACAATATCATTAGTTGATTAGTTGATTTTACCTTTTTTTTTTTATTATTTAAATTTATGTATGGCGATATCATTAGGGAAAAAATATAATTTGTTTTATGCCATTTAAAAAAAAATTATTGAAAATCATTTATTTTCTTTTTTTAGAAATCCCAAAGGAACTCCGTAAAAAAAAATCACAACAACATTTTTTTTTAGGAAACTTTACGAAAAGTTATGACTCATTTGTTTTTTTTTATAGTACCATTTTCCTTTAATGACTATAAAAAAACAAAAAAAAAAAGAAAAGAATAGGAAGCGACTCTCCTTAGTTGAACTGATATCCTATAACCAACCTTATCAATGAATTTGTACAGTTTTCTTTAAACTATATGCACATATCTTAGAAAAACCCTTGTTCTTAAACTAATATCTTAGCAAACAAATAAGAATCTTAACGGATAGTTAAAATTATTTGTTGAGTGTCGTAAAAGATCCATATGACCTGAAACGGAAAGGTTTCATCCAGAACTTATGATTCTCGTTAAAAACTTCCAAAGAATAAAAAAAAATACTTAAGTACAAATCAGAAAAAAAAAGGACTTAATAGGACAAAATAAAATTTGCTTTTCCTTCCCCCTTCTTTTACCAATTCCCTTTTTTCTTGAATAAAATGCAAAATTTCGTTCCATATGACTCAAAATAAAAACAAACAAGATAGTACAATAATACCTGTACTACGTATTGTTTCAAGAAAAAAAAAGGTCAAAACAATCATTATTCACAAAAAAAAATTTCCTTTGTTAAAGACTTTATCGTTTTAAGAAAACATAGCTAGGGTTTTATTTTTGTAGAAAACAATCTGTCATTTAATAGAGTAAAACTTTATAGGGCTATGATAAAAAATAAAACTATTTATTTAACACTGTATGTATAAATCTCATATAGATATTTTGATCTCGGTAAAAAAATTAAAAGGAAGTAAATGTTTCTTATAAAGAATTTTCCTTGCTACTACAACAAAATTAACAACAAAATTATAACTTATTTTATTTGATTCTGTTCCATACTATAATCTTGTTAATCCTCTGTGCTAAAAACTTTTCTTTGAACTCAGCTTATCTATGTTTTTTATAATTGTATCCATCACCACAACCATCATTACCACCTCATATATTTTTACTAATAAAAACTGGATACAATAAGGTGTTAATATATTTTTCCCCTAATATAGTACAGAGAACAAAAAGACAAACTTAGGGTACATTATTTAAACGGAGATCAAAAACTTTTTCATAAAGATAAAATGCAAACAAGCGAATCACTCCTCCTTCGCTTTTTTCTCTGTCTTTTTTTTTTGATTTTCTTTTTTAATCCGGAAAATTTCCAAAAAAAAACACATACACACACAAACACACACTAATTTACAAACACACAAACAAGCAAACAAACACCACACCACAGTTCTGGAAACCACTGTTTTCTAAAGAAAGTGAACTTCAAATTTTACTCTTTTTAATCTTGATTGTGTATAGTATTCTTCTTCTTCATATTGTTATTGTTATTGTTATTATTTTTTACTATTGCAATGCTTTTTTATCAGGACTACCTCGGGATAAATTCAATCATATATGTCTGTATTGTTCGGGATGAGTATAGGAATCTACGCATGGCTAGTGTTATATAAATTCATATTTTGTTAACCTATATTCTCCCATCATCTTGAAATATACACATACATATATATATATACACTATACATCAAGTTACAACTATATATATATATGTATGTATATGCATATGTGTATGGTTTGTCACATGATTCTCTTCTCTCTCTCTCTGTTATGTCTCCTTAATATCCAACCCACATTTCTTGTTTTTATTTACCCCCCTAGTCTCTCCGGTTTTGATTATTTCTTCTAACTAACTAGCTAACTAAGACAGCTAACAACAATAACAAGAAACATTACATAAACGGTAACAAGATGCATATTACTGAAAAACTGGATAAATATCATGAGACGTCAAATAAAATAACGTTTTCTTTTGAATATTTTGTTCCAAAGACCACTCAGGGTGTACAAAATTTATATGATAGAATGGACAGAATGTATGAGGCATCCCTACCTCAATTCATTGACATAACTTGGAATGCAGGTGGAGGTCGTCTATCTCAGATGTCAACAGAGTTAGTAGCGACTTCTCAATCGGTTCTAGGGTTGGAAACATGCATGCATTTGACCTGTACCAATATGCCTTTACAACAGATAGATGATGCTTTAGAAAGTGCTTACAACTCTGGTTGTCAGAATATTCTGGCTTTAAGAGGTGATCCACCCCGTGATTCACAAGAATGGACTCCAGTTGAAGGTGGATTCCACTATGCAAAAGATTTGGTTTCTTATATCAAAAAAAAATATGGGAACCATTTCCAAATTGGTGTTGCTGGTTATCCAGAAGGTCATCCTGAAGAAACAATTTCGTCAAATAACTTGAAATTTTTAAAGGAAAAAGTCGACGCAGGTGCAAATTTTATTATCACCCAAATGTTTTATGATACTGACAACTTCATTCAGTGGTGTAAAGAGGTTAGAGCATATGGTATCGATGTACCAATCATTCCAGGTATTATGCCGATCACCACTTATGCTGCCTTTTTAAGAAGAGCTTCCTGGGGATCCATCTCCATCCCAGAAGAATTCATGACTCGTCTGGAGCCAATCAAAGATGATGATGAATTAGTAAGAGAAGTGGGTACACAACTGGTAGTAAAAATGTGTCAAAAATTAATCGATAGTGGTTACATTAATCATTTACATTTGTATACAATGAATCTAGAAAAGGCTCCTTTGATGATCTTAGAAAGATTGGGTCTGTTACCAACCGAAGGTGAAGTTATCAGTCAAAATGCTTCTAATTTCCCTTGGAGAAAATCACTAAATCCAAGTCGTAAGAATGAAGTAGTTAGACCAATCTTCTGGAAACATAGACCGTACTCCTATGTAGCAAGAACTTCTCAATGGGCAGTTGACGAATTTCCAAATGGTAGATTCGGTGATTCCTCATCTCCTGCGTTTGGTGGTCTAGACCTTTGTGGTTCTCAGTTGATCAGACAATCTCCTAAAAAATCTTTAGAGTTGTGGTCAACTCCAAAAACTTTTAATGATATTGCTCTTTTAATTAACAGCTATTTGACTGGCAAATTAGTGTGCTTACCATGGAGTGATATACCATTAAACCATGAGGTCGATTCAATGTTACATAATCTATTACACTTAAATAACAAGTTGATATTCACAATTAACTCACAACCCCAAATTAATGGTATTAGATCAAACGATAAAATTCATGGTTGGGGACCTAAAGATGGTTATGTTTACCAGAAACAATACTTAGAATTTCTTTTACCAAAGGTAAAGTTACCTAATTTAGAGAAATCTTTAGAAGGTAATGAAATGATGACATATTTTGCTGTAGACCTGAATGGAAATTTGACTTCAAATCATCCAGATGGATCAAGAGCAAATGCAGTAACCTGGGGGATATTTCCTGGCAGAGAAGTTTTACAGCCAACAATTGTGGAAAAAGTTTCATTCTTAGCTTGGAAAGAAGAATTCTACCGTATTATTGAAGAATGGAAACTAACTCTAAAAGATTATAATGCCCTTGAAAGTGTTGCATTGTTAGACTCTTTGGCACATGATTATGTTTTAGTTAACATTGTAGATAACGATTTTGTTTCAGAAGAAGACAAAATATATGAATTATTAATCAATTTATAATTTCCCAAGATATTTTCACAACAATACAAATTTTTTTTCTCAATATTTGTTATATTTATTGTTGTTACTCGGTCTCTAGCCATGGAATTTTAATAGTTTACTAGTATTTTTCATCTAATTTTACATCTTTGGTTTCTATCGTCCAATTATATTTTAACTCTATTTGCATTCAACATAGCATTTTTGGTGATACTACCCACCAATTAATTATTATTTGGCATTTCAACATGAACATCTTAATTAGTCACTCAACTTTTAAAACACATTGAGACAATTTTTTACATTATTATTTTTACCATATATTTTGTAAACTAGTTCTTTTTTATATTATCGTATATAAATATATCAAAAGGGAATATATATACATGCACGTCTCTATTACTTTATTTTGTTAACAAGTGCGGAAGATATAAACTAACTGTACCAAGTTAGCTTCTATTTCTTTTCTTGAAAAGACTAATATTAAGCTGTCCCGAAAATTAATCAAGTTCTATTTAGCATTAAAAGATTGCACCATTTTGAATAAACAAACGTTGCTCATGTTTTTGGCACCAACGTAAAATGTTTTTAGCACTGGAAGAAATAGCACCTTTATCACTAACGCCATTATTAGAAATGAGATATAATTCAAAATGTGGAGTACACCATACCATTCCCATTATATGAATTCTTCTATTATTTACTGATTGTAGATTGTCAATATCGCCATACGAGGATATATTCTTTGACGTTATCCCGTCCCACTGAATAAAGTTGATTACTGATCGACTTTGCAATTTAGACCCATCCTCTGACGTAACTGAATTATGTAATTCCATATAATATCTTTGTAGTTTTATTTGATAATTTAGTAAATCTATGCCATCTTCCATAAAATGAATATCATCTTTTTGTTGATTGCCAAGGTATTTTTGATTATTTTCACTTTCATCATTACAAGAAACGGTATTTTCAATAACATCTTGATACTTTATGTTGTATTCCATAATTGGCATAATATATTGTGCATTTTTTGTTGATTTAAATATAAAATGATGGATTAGAGGAGCTGGAATATCCTTAATACTAAATCCTGTACATGGGTTATCGGAAATAATTATTTTGGCAATGTGTGAATCTTTCCCCAACCTAGTCAGAAGTCTGTCTCCAAATAATTTCAGTTTAAAAAATGCATCTTTTTGGGCACTAAGAAGTACCATTACGCTCTTATTTTTTAATGATAAAGTTTTAATATAGCTGTAAAGAAATCCAGAAGAATTAAATTTTGGAAAACATATCGGTATCCACAACTCACGGTCCATGGTATTAAGATGAAGATGACGTCTAACTAGACAAAATAATAATTGTATATCATGTGTATATAATGTATGTCCTTGAGGTCGTATAACCGCTGCCATCTTAGTATCTTCACCAATTAATAAGAATCCATATAACAATGTTCCTCTAGGTATAATATCACGGTTCTCATGCAATTCTTGTAATATTTCTTTATGAATCTTATTCCTAATTCTCTTTTCTATTGGATTGCTCTGTAAAGCATTCAAAAAAATATCTGGATAAAAATTGTTGGATAATAAATGACATATTGAGTTTAGATTTTCTATATCACTCTGAGCTAAAAAGGTTCCTAAATCAAAATTAGACCTATTCCTAAACAGTCTTTCCAAGCTTTTTGAAGTTAATGTAGATATCAAATATGAATATAAAAAATAACATTGATCCTGTAATATCTTAAATGACTCTCCTAGATTAGAGTGTATCATAATAATAATGTGTTCTTTATTTAAAAAGACAAATTTTTGACCTGTATTTCGAAAGTGTATCGTTTTAATCTCGGCTTGTTGGTTAACTTGGAAATAATTGACTATAGTGTTGATAATTCCTGCTAATGGAATTATCTTTTTGTCATCTCTGTGCATCGTAAAAATTGGCTTTCCAGCATCAGATATAATAAAAAAGTTTTTATTAAACCTGGTTAATCTCTGTTTGTTAACTGAAAGCAACGTCTCAGATTTATTAAATATATTGGGTAATTCATTACTGACCACTGATGGGCCACATCTTCCCATTCCGCATACAGATGGTGTATAAGAGTAAAAACTTTCTGATAAGAGGTCAGTTAATATTTCTTGATAGGAATTGTGCTCATTTTGTGAAATAGAATTTGAGGTTGTAAACTCAATTGGTGCTACTTCATTGATATTCCCATTGGAAGTCTTATTTGGCACTCTTGAAGATAAAGATTCATCAAAAGAAATTTCAATATCTCTTAAAGATGAGTATGATTTAGTCGATTCAGGCAACAAACGATGTGAAGATGTTGAAGAAATTGAATTGTTATTTATGATATCAGATGGAGCTGTTATGGACAAATCTGTTGTTCCTCTACTATTATTTAAGGCAATGGATACAGTAGGGGTAGCCTTACTAATACTATTAAAACCTGGTATAAATCTTATAGTACCTGATTTATTGGTCGTGTTGTTATTAAAAGTTTTATGTTCGTCACTATTTGATATATTAACCATAATTCAATATAGTCATTTTTCTGATGTATTTAGAAATTAAGAGAATTCAAATCTTACTTGTTATTCGGTTATTTAACATACATATAATTATTTGGTTAGCATTTTTTTATGTAAAAGTATTTTTTAAAGAATAGATGATTAAGTAATTTTGACAAAAATAAAATATCTTAAAAATTTGTGCTAATGAAAATGAAAATTAAAGAAACATGAATCAGATAACATATTAATTATTATAACTGTTATGGGCAAATCTTGAAAGATTATAAAATCTATTAAGCTGTTAATGTAATAATATATAAATGTTAAGATGTTGTGATAAATATATTGCATGATTACCCCTTTTATAAAATTACATATTATAAAGAGCATTAGGACAGTTAGATCATATGTGCAATACCCTTAAAAATAATAAATAAATAATAAAAGAAAAAGAAAAAGACAAAGATATACATTAACAACGATCCAAAATAAACTCCCATTTATTCTATTCCTGTAACATACTCCATGCCATTACCTTTACTGTTTTTGCATGATTTGTGGAATTTTCTTTTACAGTATTTTCTTTATGGCTCATTAGCACTATGAAGATGTAAATAATCAATAATATCCATATAAATAATTTATATAAACATTTATATTAGTTTGATCTTTATATAATCAGGTCAATTAAATAAACTGACTTCAATTTAGATATATTAATAATGAATAGGGTATTCCTGAAAATCTAGTATTAATTTAGAGGTATGAAAGTAAAAACTTTTAAAGAATTCTCCCCTTAGGAATGATTGTTTAATTGTGTTCTCAATATATTCCTGTTATTATTCACGCATTTCCTTTATAATTTTAACGTAAACTAACAAAACCCCATTATATGACGGACGGAGTTAATATTATTTTCATATCTTACTGTTTCGAGACGTTTTTTTTAAAATTCAATAACAAAGATGATATATACATTATTTTCACTTCATGTAGTAAAAATCTTTATAGCATGTACTTATCATGATATATTTTATCTTTTTTCTCTTACCCTAAAGTGATCTAGCATATCTCTGATCAATCACTCTTCTTAATTTTATTTAGAAAAACATTCTGTCTGCTTCATAAAATATATATATATGCACAAGTGTCATAATAGTGAATTATAATTACGAACTATGATATGGCTTTTAAATTAATAAAAAAGAATCACGTAGAAAATTCGCAATATATAACCATAGATTTTTATGTAATAATAATTTAAATAGAAACAAATTATCGAAAAAAAAAATAAACAATTAAGAGTTTAATATTAACTACTTCTTTCCCTTTACTCTTAAAATTTGCTCTGTCATTTCACAAATGGTATCTCTAAAACTCTTAAAGTGAAATCCCAAAAGATGACATGTCTCAGAATTATCTACTGTTGCTCCAAAATTATAATGTTGAGCACCAGTATTAGGTGTTCCAACAGGTATCTTCCCCTTTAAAATTGGAAACTCCGCATTTAATACATCAAGAATATCTTGTGTAGAAAACCTTCCAGCTGACATTAATAATCGTTTCCCTATTAACTTGTCTTTTTGAAATGCCAATATATGGGCCTTTGAAACATCTGAAACATTAATAAAGCAGCCATATGTTTCAGATAGATCCAACTTTGAATTAGGTTTTGCATGAATAAGTTTATTAACTATTTCACAGGAAGTATTCAATTTTTCAGTCACATCTTCATCAAACATCTGAGGACCTAATACATATCCAGGATTGATAGTTGTGACTTTTAGTTCAGTCTTATTCTTGTGTTCGTTGAAAAATCGCCAAACTTCTCTTTCTGCTAAAACTTTAGAACCATTATAGGCTCTACTTACACATTCTTGTGCTTTTTCCCAATCATCAGAATTCCATGAGTTTTCTGTATAAATTTGACCTTGAACTCGCTCTGTTTCAAAGTCCATTATAGCAGCATAACTTGATGTATGTACAAGTCTTTTAACAGTACCCATACCATATTTTTCAATAGCTCGTAATAATGATTTAGTTCCATTTAGAGAAGGTATGAGTAATTCTGTTCTAAAATCAGTCGCCTCTAAATTATATGGTGAGGCGGTATGCAACACGTAACGTATACTACTGCCATACAATTGAAATACTTGATCGAAAGCATTTATTTTGGAAATATCTTCTACAATTTCAAGAGTCAGATTTGTCGTATTCCCGAATTGCTTGAAAAGTTTTTCACGTTCCTCCTGTGATCTTACGGTGCCAATAATTTGGTAATTTAGTTTTAATAAATCATGTAGAATATGTTTAGCAATAAAACCAAAACAACCTGAAACTAACACAGACATACTACTTTATATATTGTCTTTTTTTTTTGAAAAGAAGCTCTCAAAAATGTAAAGAAGGAATGTGATTTTAACATCAGAATATAAATGGAGCAACCTTTAACATACTACCTTTTTTATATTCTAAAAGATCTTATGAGCTTATAAATATAAAACATCTTTTCCATTTTTTTTTCTTTTTGCCTTATTATTACATGAATTTATAAGGGAAAGAATTCACTTTCTTAAGTTGTACCTTTTATTCAAAAGTAATAACATGAAGTAAGCCCCTAAATCACTAATAACTTACCTGTAATTTAATATCAAAATAACATTAATTAATTACCTTTGTTTTGTAATAATAGCAAAAAAAATAGGTTACCTGTTTTTCGTATTTATATAATTGGAAAGTTTTTCCATAGAATATCTAGTATAAATTAAGAATAATGTTTAATAAGATATAATTAAGTTTATGTCTCCAAAATAGGGATGTCATTTGTGTTAAAGATGATTTACTTGTAACGCCTTTCCTTATTATTTAGAATTATGATACCTAAGAATAAATATCGAAGATAACATATGACCATTAAATTAACCCTGGTTTAATAGCTACCAGCATAATACATAGATAAATTAGAATAATAAAATTTTGTATTTATAGTGTTTATAGTACATCTAAACTTTATACTGTAAATCACTAGAACAAATCAATAACACAGAAAAATGTTATCAATGGAAATTCTTAAAATTTATAGATAACGGCGAGTTTCCATTATATGCTGGAGCAAAAGAAAATTACATTTGACATTACTCTCAAAGAAATAGGAATATATGCTGTTTTACAGAAAGTGTTAAAATCCTCAAAGGTTTCTAATCATAAAAAAATTCATCATTAACTAATCCAAATAGATAGTAATTCCTGGAATTTGATTTATGTTTTTGAACTGTATTAGCTCATACTATTAGACCACTAATACCTGTCTGGTTACAAGGCTGGTACCTTGAATGTATTTTAATTCGTCTCAGTTTATATAAGATGAAAATTGTAATTTTATTAAATATTTCTTTTGTCATAACCAGAAAGAAAAAAACAACTGTAGTACACTTTAGTAAATCAAATATTTATATTTAATTCAAACATTCGTAGACCATGTTATAATCTAACAGAAACTTTTAGGGAATGTTGTAACTCATATGATCCTGAGATATACTTTTTTTATTTATCTTTAGTCAATATGTGTTATGGTAGTACATTTAAATAATTTTCTATAATATAAATAAACTCTGAATAGTTATCCATGAAATATTAAGAAGTTCAATATGCTAGAATAAATGTCATGTACATATACGGATACTGTAATATATAATATTGGCTATTTTGTCATGTTTTTAAAAAATGAAAACATAATAAACAAAAAATCATAATTAAAATGATTATATCATATGATCATCCGTAAAAAAGTTATTACTTATTGTAATGAAATACAATAAATTTCTCCAAGTGTCTACAACTATTTGAATATTTATCAAATAAGTGCTATAACAATTACATAATTATTGTAATATTCGCTGTTATCATTTAGTTTTGTTAGTTGTTCAAAAAATGAGAAAAGGACTGATTTCTTATATTCTATTATTCCAAAATTTTGGTTTTTGACAAAAAAAAAAGAAAAAGAAAAAAAAACAAAATAAATGGAATTTCAAAATGAAAAGAATTAGAGTTATTCAAGTTCTTTTGTTATTTCTTTTTAAGTAGTCTGTTTATAAAGAGCTTTAACTTTATACTTTATTATTTTACACTTATTAGTTATGGAGGAAACTCTACTGTCATGATCCTTCTGTTTACACACATGAGATAAAATTTATATTACTTTTTATTTAATATTAACAATAAATAAGTTGTATTTTAAAATTTAGTAGTGTGTCAAAATTAAAGATATGTTACTATTTAGCTTATCTGAGCATCTTACAAAATTTCAAACATGCGATAAATCTGCATTTCCAGAAGTGGAAAATCCATCTCGTTTGCTTAACTACGTTATTGACAGTTTAGCTATTTCACCAGATCAAATTACAGAAGAGGACACATTTGATGCTCTATTAGGTTTGTGTCAAAGTTTTAAACATCTACCTATAAAATTACAGACCCAATTGACGTATTTAGTTGCTTCATCATTGAATTCTTGTGCAAAAGACATCAAAGCTAATATTCAACCTGATATAGACTATAATGAACTAATTGATTTGATACCTAGATGGAAGTCTCATTTAGAAATTTATTCATACCTAGTACACGTCCTGCTATTTTTCCAACAAGAGAGCATACGTGGTATACTTTCACAGAAATCAGTTAATAAAAAGGGAAGAAAAGAAAGTTGTCTTCATGCTAATGTAGATGTTTTTCGAAAGATTATTAACCAAGTAGAATCCTTATGTGAATCAATTATAAGTGTATTGAATTTAGATTTAGCTATGATTTTTCAAACAACTCCAGAAAGGGATTTATTTGTTATGATGTTTACACGACCTTTGCACTCATTAATGGATATTGAAGCAACAGTGAAGATAGCGTCTTTAAAAACAATTATTCAACGAATTATATGTCTTTCAGTGAAAAATCATGGACAATCGCTAAATGTCCAAACATTTATTATATCTGATTTAACTTATTTTTTACATCTATCTAACTTCAATGCAGAACTACTCACGCTATTAAATGATGAGTTTAATTTTTCTCAATTAACTGAAGATGTTTTAAAGGAAATTGGTAGTCGAAAATTCAATATCAGAGATACTACAGGTCCTAAATCAGCATCTACTTTTTTAGTTAAATTATCAGAACTATCACCTCTAATAATGCTACGGCAAATGTCACAGTTAATAACTTTATTGAACAGTAGTGTTGTAACACTTAGATCGGCCCTTGTGGAATCATGCGGTAATATCCTTGTTAGTTTGATATTAGATATATCAGATGATGTTTCGCAAAGACCAGGTGTATCTCATCAACAAATTGATACATTAATCGAGCTTTTAGAAGAAAGATTTTGTGATGCAAATCCTTATGTAAGAACGAAGGCTATACAGGGTTGTCTTAAAGTAATTAGTCTACCAAAAACAATAAATTCAAGATTCAAAACAGAATTTACAAAATTAGCAGTTAGATCGTTATCAGACAAATCATCATTGGTTAGGAGAAATGCTATCAAACTACTTTCAAAATTACTATTAAAACATCCTTTTACTGGAGTACATGGTGACCAGTTGAAATTAACAGATTGGTTAGAATATTTAAAAGCTGTAAAGAAGAAGGTCCAAGAAAATGAAAAAAGTTCTGTTCTACCTAATAATATAAATGCTGATGATTCTATATCAGATGTTGAAAATTCTATTACTGACATGCATTCAGGTTTGGATTTGGGGAACCCTACACAAACTATTAAATTGAAGCTGTTAGAAAAATACTATAATGATGCTGTTGAATTTATTGAACAAATTCATAAGGCAATTAATTTGGTATCTGCTTTATTATTTTCAAAAAATAGAAACGAGATATTAGAAGCTATGGATTTTTTGGTTTTAACAGAGGCATTTAGTCTGGAACCTAGCATGAAAGCAATCAAAAAGATGCTACATCTTGTTTGGGTAAAAGGTACCAACGATGAAGGTACGAGTATCACAACCCATTTACTTGACTGTTACAAGCAGCTTTTTTTTTCAGTGCCAGATAACCTAACGGCGATTAATGCTTCTAAGTACATTGCAGATAATTTAATTGATATTACTATTGGCTCTTCTCTTTCCGATCTGACTTCTTTGGAAAAACTTTTATGTTCAATGTACAAGGAAGGTATGATTACTGGTGAAATTATTAACGTATTATGGGATATTTATAAATATCCACTAACATATGAGGATTATAACACGTCCATTATGCTGAAAAATAAGATTCATGGTTCCATTATAATTCTTGGTATGTTAGCATTGGAAGATAACTCAATAATAAGTAAAGGGCTACCTTATTTACAAAGAGTTGGTTTAGATTCTATTGGTGAATTGGATTTAACACTTTGTAAGTACACATGTATTGCATTGCAAAGAATTGCTTCGAAGAGTGAAGATTTAGCTGTTGATAAGGTACAAGAGGAAATCATAGTAAAAAAAATATATTCCAAAATTATCAAGTATACCACTAATCCTCAATTTTATCCGATGTGTGAACAGGCTATTGCTGCACTATTTGTAGTCTCTTCACAACCCGATTTTGTGGTATCTAGTTTAATCAAAGAAAAGACGATGATGACATTTGGGAATCCAGAAGAACCTAGTGAATTGTCGTCATCAAAAGATATATCTAGGATAACATCCCTAAGTCAACTACTATTTATAGTTGGACAAGTTGCTGTAAAAACACTGGTATATATAGAGAAGTGTGAAGGTCAATTTAAAAAAAGAAAACTTTCTGCTGAAAATACGAATAGAAATGATGGTCAAGAAAGCTTTGATCCTGAAGAAACTAAATATTCTACCGACAAGACGAAAACAGATGAGCTCGCTATGATTGGTGGGACCAATGAGGATGATTTTTGCGATGCTATTCAGTTTATAAAGGAAGAAGAATTATTATTTGGTAGCAATTCTTTACTTGGGCAGTTTTGTCCTCTTGTTGAGTCAATAGTCTCGAACTCTTTAAGGTTTAATGACACAATGCTTCAAAGAACGGCATGTTTATGTTTAGAAAAATTGATGTGTATTTCTTCTAAATATTGTGAGAAGGCATTGCCATTATTAATTACTGTTATGGAAAAATCGCCAGATCCTGTTGTAAGATCAAATGCAATTTTGGGTTTAGGTGATATGGCGGTTTGTTTCAATAGTTTGGTGGATGAAAATACAGACTACTTGTATCGTAGATTGCATGATAGTGATATTATGGTCCAAAGAACATGTTTAATGACTATTACATTTTTAATTTTGGCTGGACAAGTTAAAGTCAAGGGTCAGTTAGGTGAAATGGCAAAATGTTTAGAAAATTCGGATCACACTATAAGTAACATGTGTCGATTATTTTTCACTGAACTAGCTGCGAAAGATAATGCTATCTATAATGGCTTTATTGATATTTTCAGTAACTTATCATCTGATAAGGCATTAGAAAGGGATAATTTTAAAAAAATTATGAAATTTCTAATCTCATTTATTGATAAGGAAAGGCATCAGAAGCAATTAAGTGAAAAGTTATTTGCAAGATTGACGAGTTGTACAAGTCAGGAACAATGGGATGATATAGCATTTGTATTAAACTGTATTCCATATTCAGATGAGACTATAAATGCAAGATTGAAAGAGGGGTTCAAATTGGTAAAAGTCAATTAGGTGACAGGCAAATGATAATATGATAAAACATATTTTATAGAGAATTCACACTGCTGCAGTTTCGCTTATGAATACAGATGATATACCATATATATTATGCACAAGATAAATGTGAGCATAACAGTAATATATATTGATATGACTGGTCCTGTATCTGATTCATTATAATAATACTATGTATTGTATTTGTGTAATAGAGGATTTGAAGCCTGATTCCTATAACTACTTGAAGTGACCTTTTATTTGGAATATCCAAAAAGTAGACTTTCTATTTCTTCTTTAAAAAAGTGTGAACAAGAATTTGAAGAGGCTTTATAAATCGGTAACAAGGACATAATAGTATTATGAAATAGTAAACCTATTATAGTATTCATCTAAATTGCACTTACATATAGTCTAGAAGGAATTCTTGAAACCCATTTGCTTTTGTTTTCTCTCGGTAAAATATTCCGAAACGGAATTATTTTCGGAAGAGGAAGGCATGTTCTTTAAACTTTTTTAACAAACTTTTACAAATAGTCAAACACGTGGAGGTATGCAAAAAGAAAAAATTTTGGTAAGAAGAGTAAAAGGATAAAGAAGAGGACTACATTAACTTGTTGTGTATTCTTACTTTGATACTGACATTTAACGACCCCATATCATTGTTACGTCTTTAAATTTTTGGAAGTAACTCACATAGTCATAATCCATAGTCTTTTTATTTACCAAACTCAGTCAAGAATGACTAAATTTTGAATTATTGATTAGTTTTGACATAATAAAAGGATCATTTGTTATATATATACTACCTGCATCATATCAGTAAGAATAAGAAAGATTGTAACTATACAAATTTATCTATAATTAGGAGCAGTCACTGGATTTTCCATCCAGCACTCGAAATGCGGAATGTTAGTAGTGGTTTAGATGTTCAAGAACAAACTGCCGCAAGCATACCAACAGTTGTGTTACCAACCGATTTTTCTAAATGTCCGCGTACTGATTTAATTGCATTGATTTCTCGAATGCTGGTCTTTTTGATACATATCAATGAGAAGAACAAAAAAAGTAATAGTAAAAATCAAAGTCATGAGGTAAAGTTAACCCGTTTTCATTCTAGTGCCCCACCTTCAATATCAGTTTATAATTATTTATTACGATTAGCTAAATATTCTTCAATTGAACAATGTGTTTTTTTGACTTCGCTTTATTATATTGATTTATTGTCCAGCGTTTATAAGGATTTTACATTAGACTCTTTAACAGTTCATCGGTTTCTATTAACAAGCACAACAGTAGCAAGTAAGGGGCTTTGTGATACATTTTGTACAAATGCGCATTATGCTAAAGTTGGTGGAGTTCAATGCAGTGAATTAAATCTATTGGAAAGGGAATTTCTTCGAAGAATTAACTATCGGATATTGCCAAGAGATGATAATATCACATTGTGCAAATATGAATCACATCTAGGAAAAGTTGTTATTACTGATAAAATAGAATATGAATATGTCCTTAAAAATACCAAGAATCATGAAAATTCAGGTTATAACGTTTTAAATACATATTATAGAAAGATAATTCAACTTGTAGGGAAATTTAGTTTGGCTACAGATATATCAAGAAGGGCAAATTTTGTGCTAGAAGATACTCTCTCTCATATAGTACAAAATGATAACAACGGTAAAAAAAGATCTTTTGAAGCCATTCAGGCTTCGTTACATGGTGATCTAGGTTTGTCAGCAAGCTATACCTTGCAAGGTAACACTTTTCATAATTATTCTGATGAAAAGAAGGCTTTAAAAAAGCAAAAGTAATAGTAGAATTGGTTTTCAACAACTTTTTTTAGAATAAAAAGTCATGAAATTATCTACTTTTCTGTTAACATATCTAATATATTGTAGATAATATTTTAAATCACAGAATGTTGTAGAATAAATTAGTCTTGAGCTAGCATATCTTCAGATGTTGGTCCAACAATAAGTATATATTTGTTGTATGTGATTAATAGTACCATTAGTAATTTTATTTATATGTGTTCACAATTAATTATCACTTAAATTTAAATAAGATACATTGCATTATTCAGAAAATTGCGGTGTTGTTGTATGGTTATTTTTGTTTTAGCTTTATTCAAGTTGAAAAGACATTTTGTAATTTTATTGTGGAAAAGGTCTTGTGAGTTTACTTAATATATATATATAATATGTTTATAAAAACTTTCTATGATTCCCTCAAGTTGATGTATGATAATAAGTACAAACATGGAATCAAGTTTTTTTGGAATTAAATTTTGTGTCTATTGATTTGAAAGCTACGTTTGTTGTATTGTATGTAATTCACACTTTTCTACTTTTTCATAAAAAAGTAAAAAAGATACTTGAGGATCCTTAAGATTTGAATATTTTAGATATATATATATAATGCAGCATTATGGAAATTATCATTGAATTTAGAAGTCAACCTAAATTACTACAGATTATAAATTTTAATTATAATGCTTTCAAGTTTGTTCATATTTTAAAAAACTTACTAATATGATTATAATGGATTTTTCTTTCTGTTGTCATGACTGTATTTCTTTGAAGTCCTAATTTCAATTTAATACTGAGTTGAAGGATTGGATTTGATGGGCAGGAAGCTATTTTATATTTAAAAAAAATTATTAGGAATATTTGGTAGAATTATAGGATAAATATTACTCAAGTCTTTCCTAAACGTGATCTGATATATGTACATATAATACATTATTCTAGTTTTTAAGATCGTGTAATTGAGTGTCCTATGGTATATTTTAACTAATGTTATATACTTTACTTATTGGAAGTTATGCTTTTCTATATTTTTGGTGAAAAACTTTGCTAAGGAGTGGTTAACTACATAACAGGACTTTTATAGTGGGTTTGAAAGGGAAACTCCTATAGCTATATTAGAATAATTAACCTGAAAAGCAGATTCGTTTATTTTACTTAAGTTCTTTTGGCTTTGTTCTTTCGGTTATATTTTTTTTATAATGATTTTCTTTATATCTATGATCAATTGATAACAAATTTATCTTACTAATTTTTAATATTACTAACAGCATATATACTAATATACAACATATACTAACATTAAATTATTTTATTATTTTTTTCCTTTAACAAACTTTATTATGAAAATCAATAGAAGCGGGTAAAGTTCCAAATATAAATTTATTACAAAATAAATTAACAAAACTGTATATTTCCATGATATTCACTATTAACAAGAAAATGCAGGCTCTCTATATGATGTATTTCTGTCATACCTGCTAAAAAGACCTCCTACATGATCCATCCTTAAAAATCATTAATTTTCGATTTCATACATTCATCTGTCCCAAAATCTCACTAATTTCAATAATCACCGATTCTATACGATACACCTATATCACGTGATATACGTCTTCAAACTATTTACCTTTTTTTTTATACAACACGAACAACATTATGTTTATAATCCGCCCTACTATCCATGTTTCCTTTTCTCGTCTACCATGATATGGCGAAATTTTTATGAGAACATAGTAATGTACGACATATATGTGAGTAACCCTAATGAGGGTTTGGGATTTAAAAATCTTACAGAAAAATTGTTTATTTTTATTTTATTTTACTTTTTCCCCATTTGAAAGAAAAGAGATATTTTAATATGAAAGTAAGCAAAGTAGGTAAGGTTGAGTTATTTATACACCAGTGCACAATTGTGATTTAGTATGGAACATATATGTAAATAGTGAGGTTTAGATGAAGAGAGATATATAATAGAAACGATATTTTATTAGCAAATTGGCAATTGGGGATTTCGGAGGGCAACATTTCCCCCCTCCCCCTTTCACCGGATCATTCAGCTACTAGGCAGTTAGGAAGCAGTGATAACTAAGATACCACAGTCCTATGACTTTTGTCCATCCTAGCAACAGACATGTTGTTCCTTTAGATAATATACACATAAACTATATAGAAGGATAGCTATAAAGAATATTACAGCACCCAGAAAGAAAAAACCTGGATATCGGGTACTAAAGGTACAGATGATAATTGCAATTAATCATGATGAAATCAAGATGCACGCCCGGAGTTGAGTGAGTCGAATAGTACCCGCAACAAGCAATCAAAAAATAAATATGACCAACGTTTATAGAACGCAAAGATGGAACAAACTAAATAAAAGAAAGTACAAAAAACATAAAACATTACAGGGAAGTCACAGGAATAGGATATCGAGAACGTCGTAACCCAGTAGAATTTGTTGATAATTTACACAATTTTGATGACAATGCATAAAAGAAGAGCAGAGTTGTGTGAAAACAGCCCCAATACGAAAAAAGATTTACGTTCCTACGACTGTTTGCCTAAGATGATCATTACCCTCACCACCATTGGTAGAATCAGGAGCCTTGAACAGAGCCCTGTAGAGAACAAGTCCACTTCCCAGAAGTATCGAATCCTTAAACAGTTGAGATGGATCAACATGAGATACTCGGGCCAGCCATCAAAACACTACATCTATTTACAAAAAAAATAAGTTAGAAAAGAACGGTATTAAGATAGAGCATTCCTTTGATTTAGGAGCTCTTGTATATACAATGGGTATCACACAAAGTAAAAAGATCATGAGGCGAGGAGGAAACATACATTAGGTAAACGAACTGGACAAAAGTTGGAGGGTAGGAAAAAAAAAGAGCGCTCTTTATTTTTTTTTTCTTTGTATGTTTCTTAGTTAAGATGAGAAAAAGACACTAAAGCAATCACACGATAGCGAATTAAGGTTCTAGGTTAATATACAATGGACAATGGACAACACATTAGAAAATGGATGTATTGTTAGTGGGATTAGGAAAGAGGAATAAGAGACATAAAAAAGTAGCGAAAAGAAAATTGCTAGATGATAATAATACAGAAAAAGTGAGGTTAATAATGAGATTGAAAAAGTAAAATAGCGTTAATAATGTGGAGTAGCCATAATGGATGGAAGTAGAAAATTTGGATTGAATTACTGAGGTGTGAGAGATACTTTTTTTTAGCGGGCTATATTTTTTTTTCTTTTTTTTTATTTTCATTTTTGTTATAACTGTTTTTTATTATAACATTTTTTTTTTTTTATTTTATTTTAGCAGTGCACTATTTAGATAAACTGGGACTAGAGAATTAATAATATGAGAGATATAGAAGAAAAAAAATAGAGATGAAAAAAAAATCAAAATAAAAAGTAGAGATGGAGGAGGGGATGGTAAATGAAAAGAGAGAGAATTGGAAACGATTTAGGATGTTGTTCATTGACTAACCAACCAATCATTCAGATATACATTATAGCATAAGTATGCCTCTTAGATCATGAAGCATAAAAAAAAAATACTACGAGATATAATTGACTTTTGTTATGCCACCCAGAGGAACAGAACCACCAGTTCCATTAAGATGTGCAAATTATAAGCCCTAGGAGTATCTTCAACTTGTTCAATATTTTATTACGAATAATAAAATAAATTTTGATCAGGTAGGAATAGAACCACCAGTTCCATCTGACAAAGAGAGCCGCGAGTCAAACAAGAATCCAATATTCCTATGTCAATTATTATCTCTGAAAAATTGTCCATTAAAAATCTCAAACACCATTTTCCTATTTCTTGGCTTGTAAATTCAACTACAACTGTAAAATCTGAAATCATGTAAAAAAAAAGCGCCTCTGTAAAACTATCACCTTATGAGTAATAGTGGAATCAAGAACTAAATTCAACTAATAAAAAATATCTTCCTCAAATCCTAAATTTGGGTTAACAATAGTCTTGAACTTGCATAATGGCAATCCACAGATCCTATTGTATTCACTCTCTTGGAATAGTAATGGAATTGAATAAAATTAAACAATAAAAGGGTAAAAAAATCTCCGAAAATTCTCTAGTAATAAAATATATAAAAAGTCTGCACTTGCTAGTATCATTCTCACTTGTTGGTTGCATATATGTCACAGCATATATATATATATATATGACCTATATTGTCAGTATTCATTATATCAGGATAATAAGGGCTTGTATCCACCCATCTACAAAACATTTTTGCCATGACTGCTATTGAGTATTAGTATTAATATTATTATCGTATGTCTGTTAGTATTGTAAAGTAATGTGTCCTAATCCCTTGGGAGATATTCACTCATCTTAACGGATCTTTTTACCACATGTGGTAACACCACTGGATATACAAGAACTACTATGCCATTAGAATACGCTATCCTAACACAGTCCCTCCAACTTAGTTTTTCTGTAAATAGACGGGTCCCTTTGGTTGAATTCCTAGCACTCACATGAACCACCCACTCTCGTTGATTCTTTCATGTAAGAAATGGAATCCTCTATAAGGTCACTGTCAACGTTTCTAATTCTCCTAGACTGGATTTTTGGGTATGTCTCTTAGCTACAGGTCGTAGCCCACCACTTTTTTTAGTATAAAGGAGAACAATTGTTCTTTTAACATTTCCACTATCAGCTTCACAGATCAAGCTATGTATTATTATCTCCATTATTTCATTATTTTAGAATCAAACTGAGAAATTCTTTTTTTTCAATCTTTTTCTTTGTGATCATTCTGACATGTTATATATTTTCAAAATTAATTTACTTTTTCCCTTCCACTTTTGTTTTCTAATAGATGTTGGACATGTTCACTTATTGGTTGGGTGTGACAGGAGCTATTGGACTGGTTTCTTTGTACCTTTTGGAAGAAAATGTGTATAGAGTAAACACCTATTCCTTTAAATATTATTTTGTGTCTCTTTCTTTTTTTTAAAAATAAAAAAAATTAATGTCAGTGTTTTCCCGTAATATTGAAGAAGTGACACAAAATGGAGTGCTCAACGACAAAATAATGATTTTTGCTTTTATTGCATTTTAAAAAGAAAAGACACAGAATCAGGGAGGGTAAAAAAGAAGAATGGGAAATGTGGTTTGTAACCGTATTACTTTTAAAAAACACATATTGTTTTTTATTATGCCAGAGAAAACAGTAATGATAGCAGCAATTTTGCGACAAAGATAAGAGAAATTTGGGATTGAAGAGTTTGTTTTTGTCTACAGCTATAAGAGTTTACACCATTAAGAAAAGCTTGCTATAAAGTTACTTTATTCTTCTTTTTTTTTTTCTTTTTTCTTTTAAGAATCTTAACAAGCTATTTTGGATAGAACAAAAGTTATTACGTTTGTTATTCCATCCTGTATGATTAGTTGACTTTTAAATGTTTAATTAGTTATATGTAGAGTCTACTGTAATTGTACCCTTAAGTTGTTATGTGGTTCTCAGTAATTTGAACAAATGATTTTTTTAAGGCTTCTAGCCAGTATTTTTAGATTTGTTTTTGAATGTTGATTTTGAATAGGGCAAAATTTTGTGTCTAAAATTAGAAAACAGACATTGCACTTTAAGCTATTAATCAAATAAAACACATGAATGAACCCCTTCCATTTTGGGAATTATGTAAACAAAGGGAACAAAATAAAAAGTGGTTACAATAAAGGAAAAGTTACTATTTCTGTTCATTTTTGTTCACTTTAAAAAGATATTACTCGGCGGCTAATTTTACTAGTTACAAGATGCAAGATAAATCTGCTTCCAGTTTTGATAATCCCTAAATCATATTATTGTTTGTGTTTAGTTTTAGTCTTACCTATACCTATATATATTTATATATATAATCCAACTAAGAGTAAACAAACATCGGCTTTCCAAATAAGACCTCACATCTTGAAAAGTATTTTATTTTCTTTAATCTTGACCTTTATTTTCTTTAATCTTGACCTTAATTTTCTTTTTCCTTTCATTGTAATATCGGTATATTTACATACATCTTACTCTTACATATTATTATAATACTCAAGGTTTTATTTCTAACTATATTCGAACTGACTGACAATTTATCACACCAAGTCCACATTAATTATTTTATAGAATAATAAATCCGACTGTCATCAAAAGTTTCTGTTTAAATGTGAAGATACGTCTGACTCTAGTCAAAATAAGCTTGTTCAAATAGCATACCAAATACTTTAGACATAATGATATGGCGAAATTTTTATGAGAACATAGTAATGTACGACATATATGTGAGTAACCCTAATGAGGGTTTGGGATTTAAAAATCTTACAGAAAAATTGTTTATTTTTATTTTATTTTACTTTTTCCCCATTTGAAAGAAAAGAGATATTTTAATATGAAAGTAAGCAAAGTAGGTAAGGTTGAGTTATTTATACACCAGTGCACAATTGTGATTTAGTATGGAACATATATGTAAATAGTGAGGTTTAGATGAAGAGAGATATATAATAGAAACGATATTTTATTAGCAAATTGGCAATTGGGGATTTCGGAGGGCAACATTTCCCCCCTCTTTTATTGAGAGCATGTAGTATATTGCAAGATAGAAATAATCTGAGAATAATTCTTGTATGTAATAAAGGAAATTGTTATTGTCATTAGTATATTACAAGATGTTCTTGCTTGTTTTTTTCAGAAAATTTTAGATGTTTTCAGAAATAAATATGAAATAATCAAGCAATAGCGTTTTTTGTTAAAAGTCTAAAATAGTTTTTTTTCTCCACTTTTTTAAAAAAGTATCACATAGAAGTTAAATCTTTTGAGCTAAGTTTAAGTCTCTTTACTTTCCCTACTTAACCGATATGCAAAAGGTATAGAATTATCAATAAATAGCACTTATATTGGTTACAACATTTATAATTTCAAAAGTATACTCACCTACAATGGTAGATATTAAGTATATAACCGATGAAATTTTAAATTTCTACGAAAACAAATTCCAAACTAATTACAGAATTTGTGTACTCATTGTTGGACCTCCTGGCTCTGGCAAGTCAACAATTGCCAATAAGTTAAGAGATAACATTAATAAAAAATATTCTCAAACTGAAAAAGAACATGCTTTATCTTTACATACACAACCAAAAAAAGATAGCAGAAAGACACAGTCTGTACTCAATTATATGCTCGAAGGTATGGAAGAGGCGAGTGATGACTTGAAACAAACTTTGAATGAAAACAAAGGCATATTTCCATTTCTAGTTGAAGATTACAGTTTTAAACCTAAAAAAATCACTAGTGTTAACAATACTATGGTGCTTGGAAGAGGTGGCACTCCAAACGCAATGAAATTGATTCTTTCACCATCGGAGGAGACATGTAAAAAACTGCAAAAGTTTGCTGAAGTTATTCCAATGGATGGTTTTCATTTATCACGCCACTGTCTTGATCAAGTCGCAGATCCTGTTCAAGCCTATAAAAGACGTGGGTCCCCCCAAACATTTGACAGTAATAACTTTTTGCAATTAATCAAAATTATAAAGAAAACAATGACATTAAGACCAAACAATGTCAAAGAGAACCTTAATATATTTGAAAAAGCCATTCAATCTTCAAGAGAGGATATTCCCAGTATTTATATCCCTGGATTTGATCATTCTTTAAAAGATCCCACTCAAAATGCATATTGTATCTCTAATTCAACCAGAATAATCATTTTAGAAGGATTATATTTATTTCATAAAGATGAAAATTGGAAGTCTATATATCCTATATTAAAAGAGTCTGATGCTATTATATCTTATTACATAGATATTGATCTTAACGTAACGGAACTAAGAGTTGCTAAAAGACATTTAGAGAGTGGACTTGTTAATACAGTTGAAGAAGGGAAGGAAAAGTTTTGTGCCAATGATCGTCTAAATGCACTTTTAGTCGAAAAAAGCAAAGAAGGTATTGAAAATCTCAAAATTATTCGTAATGACTAAAAATATATATATTTATATCACTTCTTGTACCTTAATAGTTATTGAAAGATTTTTTATGTCACTTTTTCCAACAATAGAGTACCAAATCTTCTGAAATCTATATATTGGAAGGAGAAATTTATTTTAAATATGTTGTCAAAGAATACAATAATGAAACTTATGAATTATTTATTTCATAAATAGGTATTAAAGAGAAGATGATTTTGGATTCATTGATGATCCAAATTTTAATAATACATTTGTTTTTATGCCATCTATTATTTTGCATTTCTTCAATATATTGACAATAATACTATCATATAATCTTTCAAGACCGGGTTTCCTCTGGGTTTTCACGAAAGAGGAGAATCATCTCCTAAGATTGCAATAATTATTTTATACAATGAAATAATATCAAATACCATTTGCAAATTTTTGATGTTTGCCATGTATCCTTCAAATTCTAAATCTTCATATTTTGTATGAACGTTTTGGAACTGATGCCTTGTATCATTTAATACATCTTTTTGGTGATGTATGAAGTCATTTCTTAAAAAATCAATAACCGAAGATAGATCATCTTCATTCTGTTTCAATATATTTACAGAATGGGATGTAAATTTTCTCTGTTGTAACAGTAACTCATTCAACAGTGTATTTTGATTTTCAAGATAACCTTTATAATTTGAATCTTTAATTTCATCAACTAATCCTTTTTGGAGACTATCTAATTTTCGATTTAAAAAACAATCAAATAAAGCTATATCATTACGTATATTTTCTTGGGTTTTCTTTGGATCTCTATTAATAATTGAAGACAATATATCCACGTTTACTAAAATGGAATCCTTTTTGGCTTGATTTAGTTCAATTTGCTGTTTAAGTTCATTTATTACATTATACAAATATTTCAGATTCTCATTCTGCTGACCCATGTATAACTTGCTTTGATTAGATGACATACTTCAGAATTGTATTAGTAAATTTTAAGCACCTAAAAAAATTTATTATTCGAATAAAATAATTGAATACCTTAAGTCCTTTCACATTTCTTCGTAAATATTATTACCACCATAAGAAAATATCTAACTATTTGTCTTGATATGCTTTAAACCAGCAAAACCATTTTTCTTTTTTCTTGAATCAACTCTCTTTATTTTCGAGATAGGTAGTACCTATTTATATGCCTTAACTATTTTCTTCATCACAATGTACGAAATGACTTATTGATACTAATTGTAGTCATCATCAAAGAATAATCTTTTACAGCTTTCCTATAAGATAACCTGTTGAAGCTTCAATAAACTTTAGCAGCCAAGCATGATTGTAAGGAAATAACTAAGATTTATAGTACTCTAAAACAAAAAAAAGCAAACAATACATAGAAATCTAAATGCATATTATAAAAGTTTTCTAGAAATTTGTGATTATCTTCAATAGTAAGAAGCATACCTTTCCCTATTGGACAAATTATATCACCAAACAACTTTAATGCAATAAAGTCGTATATATATTTATTTATGTTACACAATGAATGATGTACGGTCATTTATACAATATAAAATTTTTATGATTTAATAATGAAATCGAGTCTGGATTACTCAGCTGCATGACTAATTTTTAGAATAAGATTTCGCCATATTTTGTGGCAGAAAGAAAAAAAAAGAGAATAGTAAAAAGAACAAAGAACAAAGGACATAGAAACAAAAAATTCTGTGGTGTGTGAACTTATTATAAAAGCAATCTACATACTACTACAAAGGAGTCGAAAGAACTAAGGCGCTGAGTACTCGATAGTCTCTGAGAAATCAATAAACTCTCTAAACAGGATTATAAACTTTTGAGAATATATGTGTTTATACATTTCAGAGTAATTACAACTAACATATTGGAAAGGTGTCAATAATTTAGTTGTGGCACCCAATTTCATAGAGGCTTAATACTTTTTAGTATTCTTTTTTATTTTTACTTTTATTTTATTTTTTCGAAAGTTTTGAACTTTGACAAAATTATATGAATCCTATTAAAATCATATATTTATATCTCGTAACCTAGGATAAGAAACAGAGGCTAATATCTTAATCGCATCAATAAATTAAATAAATCTACTACTAAGAATTTGAGATTAATAAGATATAATGGACAATACACACAAATCAACTACAAAAGTTATCAAAAGAAGAAAAGTTAGCAAGGCATGTGCTAATTGCAGACGAAGGAAAATTAAATGCACTGGAACTAATCCATGTACAAATTGTGCAGCGTACAAGTGTCCATGTGAATACATAGATAAACCTAAACAATTTCCTGAATCCAAATCTAATAATACAAAAAATAATACCGATAATAATTCTACTCCTTCGCCTCTTTATCCTACTACTATTACTACTGTAAATAGAACACCTACTACTACTATTAGTAACGATAGTAGTAATAGTAATGATAATATTATTAGTAAAACTGTATCTGTACAGAGTATAGCTGAAAGCAAAACAAGTGTTTCATCTTTATTGAGTCATGATATCCAAGATGAGGCTCCCTTACCCCAATTCCGAAAACAGATATCCCAATTACACAATATTAATTCCAATTTAGCTCCATCACTACCATTATATCAAGACACAAGCTTGAATAGTAGTAACTCAAGGATTGAGATGAATATATCACCGCAATTGCAAAAGCTACAAAATGGATTATCCAATGATTCATCGTCCTCAAAGAACAAACATGATAATAATGATGATACTGTAACAAAAAAAAGAAAAAATAAAAAACCAAAAAAAGTTTTAAATATAAATGAACCACTTTTTGAAGATAATGGATTATATTTTGATGACTTGGAAAGTCAACCAGAATATATATCCTTAGTTGAAGCTATCAGCCAGATGGAGTCTATCAATAATCCTAATGATGTTCTCAAAAAAATTATCAAAGAGACTAAGGAAAAACTAGACACATTCATACTTAGTTGGAAACCTAGCATTGATTTTAATAAGTTAGACCAATTTAAGGATTCTAAATCTGTTGAAACTAAGTTAATGAAGAACAAATATAGAAATATAATATATCTTGGCGAATTTGCTTCATTAAATACACTTGGAAACTTTAACATAAAAGTTGTGTCCAATAAAATGTCAAATCATACTACTGATAAACCAGGAAAATCTGCTGATGAGCAACCATCGAATCTAGAAAATGTAAATAATGTGGTAATTTTACAACAACAAAGTTTTCTTCAACACTTACCCCTTGTAGATGAACTTTTTGGAATGTATTCACCCGTGGATGCATTATCTCTCCGTGGTGTAGGTTCATTAGTCCAACAATATGCAACTGTTAAGAATAAGGATACACAAGCTAAGATGAAGGCCACTGTATACATTTTGTTACGATTTTATGATATGTGTTGTTTACATCTTAATGAAGTTGTAATTTCTGTTGCTAATCCTCTAGGAAATTATTTAGAAAGAAATTGTAGAAATTCTTATAACTCAACCATTAATCACAGTAGAAAAGATCTGGTTCACATGATAATAAATAAATTTCCACAACCTTTTACCGAAGTGGTTACAGGTGTATCAAATGAAGATTTATTAAAACTTTTGGACCATGATTTGGATATGTTTAGAACTGTACTGAAGATGTATGAATTGTATAGGATTGAATTTGAAAAAATGACCATGAAGATTGTATCTAAAAATTCGAATTTAGCTCTAGCCAAAATAGGAGCTTATCTGGATCAGTTAATAAATTTTTGTGAATTACAAGATCTTCTAGTGACCCTTTGTTACTCATATTACAATGCCACATTATACCATCTAGATGAATATAATTCACTGGACTACATAGAACTATTGTTAATGTTTTTAGATAATCAATTTGAAATTGAACATGACTATGGGTATGAAAAGATTTTATCTGTGGCATTAGATTCTGCCCATAAAATTGGTTTACATCGCTGGGAGTATTATGTTAATCTTGATGAAGCTTTAGCTGAAAGAAGGCGTGTTGCGTGGTGGAAATTATACGAACACGAAAAAATGTTTTCAATGAAACGTGGTTTTATGTCAGGAATTAATGATGATAAAGTAAACTGCTTATTACCAGAACCTATGCGACATGTGGGATTTGTAGACCATGCTGATTTTTTATCAAGAATGCTAACATTTGAACCTGATGGAGAGATATTTAAAAACATGTCAGTAAAAGATTTAAAAACTTATGGTAAATGTGCCATGTCTCAAGTATTAAGTGACCTGTATGTTAAGGTCATGTTTAGTGATAAGTATACTTCAATCAAAAATGTTGCATTGCCACAAAGTATTCGTGAAAAGTATTTGAATGAAATACATGAATATTATGAATTTACCAAGAAACGGTTAGAACGAATTAAAAAACACACAATAAAGCTTTTTGAAATTGCAGCAACACCCAGGGTTGATATTAATAATGCTCTTCCATATGACGATAAGTTCGAGGCAAATGAGTATGTGGTATTATATTCGCTATATTCTACATTAATTGTAAAATCTTGTTGCTCACTAACTAGTCGATTGATGCATAAACCAAAAACAAATATTACAAAGAGTAGATTATTACATTATCATAAGGAAATACATAAAATATTTAATAGAACATCAAAGTTTTTAATGGAGTTAGAAATACGTTACGAGATGTGGAGATTGTTTGAATTTTATTGCTTCACTTTTGTACTTGCATGTCATAGTATGAGTGATAAATATAATTTCACTACAGAAGATGATATAATTAATTTATTGAAAATTTTTAATAGTGTGTTGGTATTTTCAGAAGGTTTTGATGAATTATGTATGGTTAATAAGAGTATTAGCCAAAGTCAGACTGTAAAAAAGTACGGTCGTTCTTTTTCTTTGATAGCAATTTTGATAAGAATGTTGTTATTACACTATATGGTTAAGAATAATGTTAAACTTGCCACTTTAAAGAATAGAGTAGAACATATATTAAAATCAAGAAATGAACCCACTGATATTGTAACATTAATTGATGTCTTTATGGATCATGATTCATATGCGTTTAAATTTATACTAGCACCAGTTCAAGAAAACGGATTTCATTTGAATATGCAACAAGTAATAAATGGTACGTATAGTCATAATTTGAAGAACACCGAGTACATAAATTCAAAATTTATTAAACAAACAAATTCTATTAAAAATGACTCAAGTATGAATAAAGGTAGTAACCGACAAGATTCTCAAGTTCCAATAAATGTATATCCACCGTCTGTATTACATGATTCTGAGGGGAACAAGATATCAATGAGAAACAACCCAACTACATTAAATGTATTTAATAATACTAAAACATTTGAAGGCTGTTCTCCAAATTCATTGAGTAATTCCAAAGATTTACCAAATAATGTATCAGCCATATCCATGAATAATACTACACTTTTAAATATGGAAAGACCACTACAGCAACTAAATAATAATGTTGATAACGTAAAAAACAAGAATGATATACCGTTGCATCCACAACATGATATTAGCCAGGATAATAACCACCATGATAATAACAAGAGTACATATCCCACGGCAACAACAACAATTAATAACACATACAGTCAGGATGATATTATGTTTTCAAAAGTACCAATTCCATCTTCACAAATATCAAAGACTAATTCTACAGTAATTGCAGAACAAGAGAATCATAATAATATAGCGACAAACAATAATCAACTATTGATGCAGCCTTCGTTGAACAGTTCGGCTTACAATTTTGGTACATTAGAAGAATTTGTGAACAACACGGATCTTAACGATTTATACAAATCCCTCTGGAATGATAACTCAGTTGACTTTTTATAATTAATGTGAAAGTACTTACTAGTACTTCTTAATGAAGAAAACATTTTTTTTTTATTTTTTCTAGTTCTTTTCTTCTGTTGATAAATGACCCATTTAAATAAATATTCACTTGGCTTTACTGTGTTATCTTTAGTTTATTAGCATGATTATTTTTAACCTTCCTTATTTTGATAAAGCACACACATACACAAAAAAAAAAAACAAAGAAAATAAAGAAGCGTCTTTGAATTTTTTTCTTTATTCTACATTTCGTATATCATAAAGAAAGTCATTATAATAGAAATCATTACAAGCAAATGCAGGAGAATTATTATTCTAAGACTGGAAATAACAAGTTGTCAAAGAAATGCTCTTTTTTTCCCTTAAATAAAGAGCAATATCATATATCGTTATGCGTTTTTGCCTCTCTTGAAAACTGAAATAAGACCTATTTCAGCAAAATAAAAAAGTCGCTTTAGTTAAAAATAATGAAATCCATAGAAGTTTCTCGAAGAACATCTATTGATAAAAAAAACAAAAAGAAAAGCGAGACAATTTTGGAAAAAAAATTGTTTTAATCTAGGATCTAAATATTTTCTATGGTGAACAATTACGACAGTTTGATTATTAAACTTACTTTTTTTCTCATAAGATAGGGTTTTGAGTATAATTTTGCAACTCGGCAAAAAAAAAAGATCCTTCTTCTTGAAGCTTTTTATCTAAGTGATGAGATAGTTGATTTATATTTTTTTGTCTAACTAAGACGTAGGTTAGTAAGGATATACCAACTATTTTCTTTTCTTTTCTTTTTTTTTTAAAGATAAAAATATGCGATGTATATCTAGTTTATAATATATTATTCATTAGAAGGTATCCAAAGCAATTTTATTTTATTTTTATTTTTTTTTGTACTAAAAACACAAACTAGGGTACAGTTTTTCAAATTGCAAAATAATTCTTCTAAAGGATACAAGGCACAAGGGTTGTATATAGCGTTTTTTCATCACAACTTTTTTTTTTTCTATTTACACTGTATTTGATTTTAAAATCCCATTTTTTTTTAGATCTTATTATTGAGCTTCGGATTAAGAAAACCAAACTCCACTATAAGGGGGAAAAAAAAAAGGAAACCCCTTGCACGGCGCTATCCTCTGCTTAGAGAAAAAAAAACAAAGAAACAATGACCTAATATTATTTTAAAGTGGGGAAACCTGGTTTCATTATGAATAACTAACAGTTTAAGCAATGCACAACAAAACATAACACAAACACACAAGCACACACCATTTTTCCCCTCCTCCCTTTTCTATAAGCCATTTCTCTCCTCTCCTGATCTTTCTGGCTTTAGCCCCTTGTTCTTCTCAGCCACTCACCCCCCTCCCTTCCCTCTTCCTCTCCTGAGTCTTAGTATCTTGTGCATGGTGCATTTATTAACAACTAGAAAACATATATAAGGGTGGAGTTTCGTTGACCTCATACCATGTCTCGCCATCTTAAACTCTCCTCACGTCTTTATTAGGTTTTACTACCGCTTTCAATAAGACTTTTCCCCATTCCAGAAAAGACCAAACAAGTAATTGTGTTTATTATACATATTAATATATTCTATTTCTTACTAGAGGAAAACTAGAAAAAAAATAGAACAAATAATCGAATTTTCGAACAAGCATTGCAGTTTAATTATTCTTTAATTTATAAATATAAAACTTTACTAAAAAAAGATACAATGGCAAGAACAAATAAATGGACTGTTAGAGAAGCACAAGCTGATCCAAAGTACTTCACTAAGTCGGGTAATTTTGGCGAATCTCCAAATAATGTTAAGAAGGGTGGTTCTGGTAAGTCTAATTGGGGGACTGCAGGTGATGAAATTAATGATCTAATTAATTCTGGCGAGATTCCACCAGTGTTCAATAAACAGAGACGTGGTTCCAACACCCAAAGAAACGAAAGGAGATTATCAGATGTTCAAAATACACATGATTAGAAAATTTATGTAGCATTGTAATATTTTTTCTATTTTGCATTATTATTGCATTTTTTTTTAATATTATTTTATTAGTGATTGTATATGAACTTTCATTTTTTTAATGATTTTAATGAGATTTATAAAATAAAAAATATCATATTGTTTTTCATTATTGTTTTTATTGTTTTTTTTGTTGTCTTCTCTGTTTTATGTATGCGTATATTAGGACTATTGCAATTTAATATTCTTTATCTCTTTTATTGTTGACAATTATATTTTTTATCTTCGTCTCATTTGAATCTTTTTATTGTTGTGATTTTCATTTTGTAACTTACCTCTATTCATATGTTTTTGTAATTACATAAGTTACCTTTGTTACATAATCGACCTAATATTATTTGTCTATTTAAATGTACTTTTAGGTTATTAAAACATAGGGAACATAATAATTTATTCTAACTTAATAATTCTACCTGTCTGATGGGTACGGCAAATCTGGTTTCCTTTGACAATATTGAGCACCGAAAGGACTATCAACATTGTGACGATCATAATACACTTGTTGTTGATTTAATCTTTGCTCCCTTTGTAACGAGATTCGTTGAGGCATCGGTAATCGTAGCTGTTTTTGTGACAAAGAATTGTTATTCGATCTATACTGGACTTTTGGTGGTACTGTAGGAACATTTATATATGACTGCTTTTTATTCCTATTAGTACTGTTATGCTCATCACCCAAGTTTTCCATTTCAAAAGGGTTGATCTTTTTATTATTATCATCAGAATAATTGTTTCTATTATTATATTGGTAACCACGGTTACTTTCATAATTATTTGTTTTTCTAGTTTGATATAGTTGTTTCTGTTGTCTATTCTGTATGGGTTGGGTCATTGGCGGTCGACTATTATCCATTCCTTGGGGTGTCGTCTGATTCTGCTCCAGGGCTCTTTGAACAATATAATTATACACCATAGCAGCATTCCTAGTAGAACAGGCATGCAACCATGAAAATAATGTTCCCAGAATTGGAACTAATGATATACAAAGATCTACCATAATATTTCCATGCATCTTTGCCTTTAATTCTAATGGTAGCCTAAATGATTTATCCGCTTGAGTTATAAGTTTATTATGAATTAAGTACATGATACTAGGCCCAATAAGAGGCAATAATGCTAATAATGGTGCCCAGCCTATAGTATCGGTCCAACAACAGTACCCACACATAGATCTATCATGCATCCAGGCCCTATTTTGTATAGATTTCCATGCCTTAGATTCCTTCTTTCCAAAAAAACCCTTTGGCAACTTACGTCTAATTTCTTTTGTTTCACCATTAGGTAACTTTATCTTTTCATAAAATGGATCCTTGACAGGCTGGAAATGTTCTTCTGCATATTCATTTGCCTTATCTACTAAATAATCTTGCCCGAGGCCTTCGACAATGCTTAGTATTAAATTTGACATTCATAAAAAAAAATAAAAAAAAAAAGAAGAAAATAACATAAAATAGTAACGGGCTATTTTGAACTCAAAAGGAACATCAAAAGCCAGTGGATACAAATATATTATTCCATATATATCTACTCATCCATCGCTTGTCTATTAATCATAAGACCGATGCTATCGATAAATATTTTCATTCATGTTTTTGGACATCAAGCTTCAGTTGATGAAAATTTCCAGATCAGACCATAAAGTACACAAAATTCAAAGACTGTTATGACATCCGTACAGTTTTAAGAATTTTTAGCTGAAAAAGTTAAATCGAAAATAAAAAAAAGCAAAAATTATGAAAAAAAATGGAAAAAACCACAAAGTTTAAGAATTTCCTTTTTTGTATGAAATACATACTTTTGTTATATAACGTTATTTAATTTTTCTGCGTCTTACTGCAGGATGTTTCTTTTTTTTTTTTTTTTTATTTTTTTATTTTCTTTCTTTTTTGAAATTCCAAAAATAGTAGTGCGACGTCTGATTTTATTCAATCCTGCGAAATGTTCAATTAAGGTTACTACTATTGGAACAAAGTGTGAATAAACCTCAATCTTCATAGAAGATATAACCCATAGAAGAAATGGCTAAAGGTGTTTTCAAGGAAAAGTATTTTAAACAGATGGATATATTATGTAGTATTGTGTTGTAATTTCTCACCCCGCATTTCCCTTCAACTGCAAGAAGCGAACCGACTCCCTCAATAACGTGTAAAGATGGCTAGAGAAATTACTGATATTAAGCAATTCCTTGAATTAACCAGAAGAGCTGACGTTAAGGTCGCTACCATCAAGATTAACAAGAAGTTAAACAAGAACGGTAAGCAATTTAGACAAACCAAATTTAAGGTCAGAGGTTCCAAGACTTTATACACTTTGATTGTCAACGATGCTGGTAAGGCCAAGAAGTTAATTCAATCTTTACCACCAACCTTAGAAATCAACAAGTTATAAATATAGTATAATATTATTACTAAATTTTATGGGGTTTTCAATTTTTTGTATTCCATATATTACTTTAAATAAGATAATATTATATAGTTTATAATTTCATGTCCATTTACAAATTTTAAACTTTTGTTTTGCTCTTCTTTTACTCTCTTTATTTTTCATGTTTTTTTATGATATGCTCCAGAAAATTGTATAGATAACAAAAGTTACTAATAAAAGAGATTATCATTTGGAGTATATATTATATTTTGTATATATAGCTATTATATTTCTCATATGAGAATGCAATAGACAGATGTTCCTCATGTAGAGAATATCACATGTGGCCCTAAAAAGCGCCTTTTTTTTTGTTTATTGATCATTTATCATTATTGCGTTTCAATTGTAATAGATTTGAACTGTCATGTGCCATAAAATCTTTGCTATTATTCATAGCATCATTAAATTTCATTTCAATAGAATCATAGACGTTGCTACCAGATATCATCCGACTGTTCCATTTTGGTTTACCTTTAGAATCAAGAATAGTGGCACCATCACTACTTGTAGAGTTTCTTTCTCTTGAATCAGTTTCCTGTCTTTTTCCCTCATTTTGTCTATCATCACAATCCACTTTAATTAATTCTGCGGTACGTATCCATCTTCTTCTTCTTGTATATTTAGTGAATGATTCTTCAGTGGAAGGTTTTTTCCAGTAATTATCATAGTATAGGTACCCTTGATTTGGAGTTGGATCTGCTGTGGTTTTCAACGTACTGTTACCAATATCGATTGCTCCATCATTGGTCAAATCCAAACGCCATGTTTTATCTAACCATCTCCATTTCATCCCAGAAATATTATCCATTGGTGGCAACTGGAATTTATCTGGTGGTGAAGTCTCATTCAAAAATTCGTCCGTCCAAGGAGTACGTTCGTAATTCAACATGGTAGATTTCCAACCGATTCCAATCCAGTGCCGTTGATTTTCATATAGCACGTAAGTGAATTTTATAGGTTTATTATCCTCTCCTTTATAATCCGATTTGTTAAATGCAGAGTACGTATTAAGTTTATATTCCTTGTTACTTGCCTCATCCTCCAATGAACCGTTTTTTGTAAGTGACAATTTTTTATTAACTTGTCTTTGTACATTTGCAAGCAGAGTTTCATTAAGTCCAAAGGAAGTATATATCCCATTAGAGTTGTAACCATTGGAAACATCTATACCTCCAAGGTTTAACCCAGTGATGTAATAGATTAATTTCCGTATGCATTTGAACTTCCAAAATAATCTTCGTGTGACTTTTGCGCCTGGTGAATGATATGTTAATACAAATACGCCTAGGATTAGTAGACACCTTTTTGGTGGGATAATCAATAAATTAATAATGATTACGATGGGTGAGATAAGAACCATGAATAGTAATAGTCGTTCAATATTATCCATATCTAAATTTGTCAGTGGGTATAACAATAAGTCAAATTTATAAGACACCTGATTCATTATTTGAACTATATCTTCAATAGTTGATTGTTCATAAATCATTTTCTCGATAAATTGGTTTAGCTTTGCATATCCCATCAATAAAGACACAATAATAATATGACCAAAAAATTTTGTTATGAATGAGAGCTGGGATACTGTGATAATATATATGAGCACCATTAAAACACTGGACCATATGTTTTTATTGGACCAAGTTAAAATACCCAAAATATGATTAGCAATGATTAAATAGGGGTATAATTTGACCAACGATAAAGAAATTGCAGAAGGTGTATTTTCCATTAGCGGAGAAGTTACAATGATATTTTCATCACTTTCTTTGTCTTCAAGGTGATCTTGACTTCCAAGGGTATTAATATTCCCATTATCATTAAAATCATTATTTTTATTATCACTTTTACTACTTTCAGTCGTTAAGTTATTATTGCCATCGGAGCCTTGTGATGAATCAGAGTTATATTTCTGATGCATTCCACGAAGAAACACAGTAGTAGCATGACTTCCTAAACCTGAGGGAGAATTATCTAGAAACTCGGCCCTTATTACAGTACTACTCTTTTTCCTGTTAGAATCGCTCATAATTAAAACAGAAGATTGACTTTTGCTCACACACACACATATATATATATATATGTAGTCTATTTGGATTTATTCTGTATAAGGTATAACTGTTTAACTATCCTATCTCTTTCTTAAATGAACTGTAATGACCAAATATTGTTCAGACACAAAGATCAAAGGGTTAGAGCAGTATCTATTCTATGTTTTTTTTTTGTGTGTGATTAAGTCTTTCTTTGTTAAAAAAAAAAAAAAAAAAAAAAAGAGAAAAACTTATTTACTTATTATTAAAAACTGATTCATTATTATTTAGAAACAGATTGTATGTATGTATGTGCATATAAACATAAACATAAACATATATAAATATAGATAATATATTAATAATATATTGATAATTTGACTTATGTTTAAGAAAAGAGCTAAATTGTCCGGTGGAGTAGATTCTAAAAGACGTAAGTTGGTAGAACCATCACAGGTGAAAAAGGCAAATGAAAATGATAAGAGAAAAAATGATCAAAACGATGAACAACCAAATATGACAAATAAGTGTAGGGAGACTGATGCAGTTATTACTTCTACTACTACTACATATGTAGATTCAGAAATTTCTAAAAAGAAAAAAGATGTTGCACATGAATATCTGGGCCTATCTGAAGCTGAAAAGCAGGAGGAGACTGCTTCACAAGATGAGATACAAGCCACTATTAAAACATTTTTAAATAAACCAAAATTGACGGGGAGTAGTAAACAAATCAAACAGGCGTCCAATTTGAAAAGCACGGTGTTAATGGACTATCAGCCAGATATCTGTAAAGATTTTAAACAGACAGGGTATTGTGGATATGGTGATAACTGCAAGTTTTTGCATTCTCGTGACGATTTCAAGACGGGTTGGAAGTTGAATAAAGACTGGGAGGCGTTCCAGCAACACAACCAACGGGATGCAAACCTTATTGCTGCTGCCAACACTATCAGGCCTGGTGGTGATTTACAAAAGGTGGTCGAGGAGACGATTGAGAAGACAATCAAGGACATTCCATTCAAATGTGTCATATGTCGCAACGATTACAAGAACCCCGTTGTCACCTCCTGTGAACATTACTTCTGTAACAAGTGTTTTTTCCGAAGAATCAAGGACACAGGCAACAAAAAATGTGTGATATGTGGCCACGACACAAAGGGCAGTGCAAAAGTTGCCGCCAATCTGCAACAAATATTGAAATTACAACAACAACAAAAGGAAGAAAAGGAAGAAAAAAAAGGAAAAAAAGAAAAAAGGGTAGAATGATCTTTACAAAAGAAAACAAAAAAAAAAAAAACAGAAGTTGTTGCCTTTGTTTGTTCACACAATAACGTCATCTCCTTCCTCCCTTTCCCTCCCCTTCAAGGTGCTATTTTGCTCCAAAATCGTGGTTGGTGTTGATTTCTTTGTTTTTCCTTTGAACAGGACTTGTTCTATTGTCTAGCTGCCTAAACATTCTTGATGTATTTATCAACAATGTCGAAATTTCCCCTTAGCCATGGGCTCTCTGGAATATAAAACATTACTACAACCCGTAAATTACACAGTTTTTTTTTTTCAACAATGCCGATAGTATTGTAATATAAGAGAAAGAAAGAAAGAGAGAGAAAGAACAAGCAAACAAAGAATACGTACACGCATACACGGGCACACTTAACATGACAGACATTCTTAATTATGCCTACTGCTAGTCGCTACTACGCTTTTCTGTTCTGTCAGTGTGGAATATTATAACAGAATTCTTCAGTTTTTTTTTTTTTGAAGAAACTCTTGGTCATATATATATATATAATAAAATTTGTTATTTCTTTCCTGCATCAGTATGATTATTTTTGTTTTTGAGAAAAAGATGTGTAAACAATAACTACTCCAGTTTTTTTTTTTTTTTTTTTTTTTTTTTTTTTCATTCTTTTACTTTAAAACATCTGATTTGAGTAACATCCATTCCTAAAAATACATACATACATATATATATATATCTACGTGTTTATTTTTTTGTTTAACTGGAGTTTTTTTCAACCCTCGAATAATTTGTTTAGTATTGGTCCTTGCTGTAAACTAAACAAAAAACAAAACCATATGAGATCCTCGAAGAATGATACAGTCTCATTACTTTAGATTAAAAAATACACTCTTTAATAACCATACTGCCAAAATTAATAGACTTTTGAAAATTAAAACCGTTGGTGTGGTGTGTATTTTCATATTACTCTGGTTTTGTATCTCTTTACTGAAAAATAAAAATGAGAATTATAAGATATACAAAGTTGAAAGATTAGCAGATTTGTTAAAAATTGATATCACTTCAGAGATACAAAAACAAAAAGAAACTTTATCATATATCAATGAGTCAGATAAAAATATAGATCGCTATTTGACAAAAAATATCACAGGATATATATCAAATTTAGATATTGGAAAGAATCATTTCCCTCCTTCTTCTCTTCTTCCTCCAGCTTCCTCCCAGTCTGATCCAGACTTATATAACAACAATAACGATAAATTCATGCCAAAGGATCAATTATATGAAAAATTTGTCACTTGTAAAGATTTACAATATGACGGTATTTTGCAATTTCAAGTCAATAAACGGAAAAATAAAGATGACTTAATCGGTGCTCGAAGACAGATTCTCTCTTGGCAAAACGAAATCTCTGACATGGTACAAAATAAAGAAGAAGAAAAAAATATGTCAGAGGAACAGATTATAGAAAAACACTGGTTTGAATTCGGTCATATGTCCGTTTGGTCAGAAACTGAGAATTGTTATTTAACATTTAGTAGAATCATCTATACTCGAAATTCCAAAAATTATCCTAGAATCTCGTTCATCAGAGCTACCGCATTCGATAAAGATTGGAACGAAATCAAAGGGAAAAGAGTTCCTTATTCAGATGTTAAAATACCTCCTGATTTCCAAGAACAACTCGAGAGATTGGATAAACAATTGGGTGTTGACCAATGCGAACTACTTAACAAAGGAGGTTTTGTTGAAGAATACCATGAATGTTTAAAAAGACACAATGACAATATTCTAAAGAATAAAAAATATAAAAAAGATATATTAGATAAATATTTCCTAACCTATCCAACAGTACTCAACTTCCACTTCAAGTTAAGATCCGACTTAAGTGGCCCCGAGGATCCACATGTTATTCTTAGAAAGGACCATTACGGTAGAGATGAACCAATCGTTATTTTTAATTTGGATGATGGTGTTGAGAGAAAAATGCATTCAATTCTTCCACATAGACGTATACCAACTTTGGTCAAATTCCTATTACCAGATTCCAAAGGCTTGTCTAAGACAGAAAAGAATTGGGCACCATTTTTCATTCCACGTATTGATAATTCATACAGTGAATTGTCCCTTGGCTATATTCACTTTGTTTATAGTTTTATGCCACTACGGATCCTAAGGTGTTCCTTAGATAACGGTCAGTGTGAAGAAAGATTTTCTGCTGATACACTGAAATTGAGTGAGACTAATGTGTGGGGTGGTTTAAGAGGCGGTACACAATTTGTTCCTTTACCAGAACCTTTACCTGGCGTTAGGGGGAAAAATGTTTGGGTTTCGTTTGCAAAAACACATACTAAGAACTGTGGTTGTGGCCCAGTATTTTATAGAGCTGTTCTTGTGGTCATGATTGAAGAAAATGGCATTTTTCATTTGGAATTGATTACTCCTGGGATTGATTTTGGAATTGAACCAATGGATTTTGGAATGGCTGATAAAAAATGTAGAGATAAAAATGTCTTGGCGCCAAATTCAATAGTCTCTTGGTACATCAACTCTCAGGATACTTCCACAGGATCTTTTGAAGATTATTTAACTATTACCGCTAGTGAAGCCGATGAGATAACAAAGAGGATCGTGGTTAAAGGAGTATTGAACTATATTTTAAATATTTATACACAAAAACATATCAACGGACATTTCCCAGTAGACGAGCATTCAAATACCATTATTGATAAAACAAGACAATGTTTGAAAGAAAGAATTTCAGATGTTTGCAAAAATTATGGTTTGACTCATTCACCTTAATAGTCTCTTAATGTAAAAAAAGAAAATCGTTTACATTTGTTAAAAAGTTATATTTTAGAAATATGCTTGAATCTTACGGTCTATTCAATAAATTTGAGTATATATATTTACTTTTCAAGTGGATATAAAAATGAAAGGCTATTAACTATTCATTGACAAAGCATTTTTTTTTTAATCTTTAACTAATAAGAAAAAAGATAGTGTTATTCTTCAGTGTATAAAAATTCATACGAAAGTTTTTTCTAGTGATGATTTATATTACAAATGACAAAAAAAGACAAAAAAAAAAAGAGAGTTGTTACAGAATTACATGGTACTTTCTCTATTCAATTATTACTTCTCAAATGACGTTATTGAATGTTCATCATTATGTATATATTCCCTTGATGAGTATGCTTTGTAAATATTGTATTTTTCATGTTTTGAGCTGTGAAGTTTTGTACTAACTATCGAAATTATATATTATAAATCTGTTGTTTATTACATAATTGTTAAAAAGTTTTTCACTTCGGAATTGTTCTGATTACTAAACAAAAAACATAAAAAGATATTTTCTATCACAACTTCATTTCCAGTATATACTCAACAACGATATACTGTCTTGTTTTTCATCGTTACATATCTATGTAGAATGTCTTGAGAACTATCAAACAAAACAATCTAACCTAGTGGCGGACGTCTATCAATGTCAACTACCTGATAAAATGCCAAAAACAAATAATAATATAGTTTTAAAGTGATCATTATTCTATGAAATTACCAACATTTATTCTTCATGCCATATCCTCTGTACATATTGACATATATCAGAGAGAAAATGAAAGAATATTATTAAGTGAATTATATGTATTTTCTATCGTGTCAGAATCTGTCAATGCATCATCTGCATCCAAATTATCTGCATTAGTACTGTTTATTAAAATCGTATCTACCTTATCACACAAAGTTTTAACATCCACATCACTTAATTCTATTTTAGTTTCAGCGGCAAAAGAATTATATGTACTAAATTGACTCAACAAAGAACTTTCATCAAATCCCATACTTATATCTACCATATGTAAAAAAAATTGTAAACTTGTTTTCATAAATGTAGCGTATACGTATGGCTTCTTTGTCCCTGTATCTTTGAACCCATATGTGATAAATATAAAATGTGCCAGACGAAACAACTCCAGATATTCATTTTCCTTTACCTGGTAGAACTTTTTAAAGTTAACTTTTAAAAGTATAGAAAGAAGAAAATTTGAAATCTTCATTTTATTTTTAAAAATAATTGTAGGTGTAAGAGAATCACAATAGTTCCCAACTATTGTTGTGACAATAAGTCTATAAGGATTTAGGTTACACATTTCATTTGTTGTTGAAAATAATGATATGATCTTCTTTTCAATTACATCATCAAAATTTGCATTCAAAATAGACTGCTCCATAAAAATAACTTGATCAATAATATCAGGTAGTGCATTAATAGCTTTCCTAAAATTATTATTCTCTATTTCTTGATTTGAAATTTGGAAAACTTTTCTTAAACGATTAAACTGAGAAATGTCTTGTAAATAATTAATAAACTTAGAATCCAAAAATACTACTATATCACGGCTACAATTACTTTCGATCATCCCGTTAAAATACATTTCAGCTAATTTACGTGTAAGTGAAATAATCAAATCACTATATTTCAGTCTCCCCATTACTTCAAACAATCTCTTCCAAAATGGTGAATAATTAACTATGTTAGTACCCATATTATTGAAGTTGACCACATTATTTTCACTCTTTTGTAATAACCTCTTACATAACCTCCAAAAGGATTTATTTTTCATTGAACTGTCGATATTGTCAACAACAACTGAATAAAACTCCTTTTCAAGATTCTTAAAAGATATATTGTCACATAACTCTAAAACCTCACAGTTGAAGTAAAATCTGATTTCAGGACTACTTTCAAGGCTATGGAATGTAACAAATTGCCACCAATTTAATTCACCCTTCGCAATTAGACTTCTTCCAACTTTACAATAAGCATAAATCCAATCTACTGATAATTGTGCTTTATTTCTCACCAACGGAAACAAATTTGCAAATATCCACTTTGAATCTGTGTTCTCTAAATTCTCCAAATATATATCCAAAAACAAAGAAAACAATTCTTTATCAACCTTATTGTCATCTGTGGTAATACCACACTTGAATAATGCTTTACTAAGTCTATTCCATATATCTTTGTGGTTATTGACTACTTGACGAATTTTAGTCAAAAAACTTATCCATAAAGGTTTTTTAGAAGAACAAGACAATATCATATCTTCATATATCATTGGAATAATACTATATTTCATAGCAACATTTTTTTTCACACTATCAAGGAGAAAGAAAATAACTGAATTTAATATAGCTTCAGATATTCTCATACGATCTTGTAAATTTAAATCATTAACAAACTTTATTTCAATAAGTTGGGTAATGAAAAGCTGAAACCTGTTTGCATAATTAAGATTAGATATGTGTGCCAACAAAACAAGCAGATTAAGACGATTAATCAAAGCAGATGGTGTATCATTAATCGTCATTCTGCTAATTGGTGTTAATTTTTCCAGCATAATATTCGATATACTCATATAATTGATCAAAAATAAATATTGATTGAATACAGTTTTACAAGCATAGACCATTTCTGGATTGATACAAACTTTGTTAATCTTTGATGAGGATCCCTCTTCCTCAAAATCGTTAAAACGTCTCCCTTTGAAAATATCATGAAGTTTTAAAATAATAGAAGTTTCGATATCCCAATGCATGTTATAATGACAATAAGATATCAAGGAAAGGGCTTTCTTTAACCCATTAAAATCATTTTCAATTTTTATGGCAGCCCATTGTGGAGTCTTTATTGGAAAAATATTGCAAAGTACTCGAACAACATCTGGACCAAAACATTTTTCATTAAAAATATACCACAGTTGCTTTTTCAATTTCAATTCATCAATTATTGTAGCTAAAATATCATAACTCTGATTCAAAAGATCAATATTTTCTTTATTTATCTTTTCATAACAGATAGACAAAGTAGAAAATAAAGATACAACGTGATTCAATATTGTCCTTTTTATCTTCTCTTTATATATAAGGGCAATATTCCCATATTTTGTAACTTCCAAAAGCATCAATTGACAAACAGCTAATACATAAAAATGTATGGATCTTGCCTTCTGTCCCAGACTATTCAACTTCTCTCTGAAGTTCGCATGAAATTCTTCTATAACAACACGAATAGAAGGAATATTTAGTTGCCATAAAAAATTGGTAAGTTGCTTAGATAATGTGAGCAAAGATTCTTCTGATGACCCCTCATTGATAATACAATCAAAAATTGTTTTCATAGTACTTTCTATCTTGTCACTATTAAACCTTGAGAGAGTATAGGTTTTATTATTTAACAAGATGACTATATTATCTGGTGGCACTAAGCTAGTTTTCTTAAAAAATACATCCAACACCTCCAAAGGTGAATTGTCTACTATACTAACTACTTCATTTAAAACATTTTCTCCTTCATCAGACCTTCTACCTTTGTGTGATTTAGATCTAAACTGACCTGTCAAAGCTTCTACCACTGTATTATATGTTACAACTTTACGATTTGCAAAATATTTCTTACTTTTATGGTTTTTCTTCTCAGTCTTGTTCTCTACGTCTGATTCATTATTTTCTTCTTCCTTTAATATATCTTGATAAGATTTTTTATTGTTTAATATAATCGGTGATGATCTTTTGTAACTTTTTATAGAGATACGTTGTATTATATTTTTTTGTCCCATTTTTGTTATCTTTCCCTTCCTTTTAACAGATTTCCCCTTCATTAGGAAACTCTTCTTAGTTACTTTATTTTTAATTAAATTTTCCTTTCCCCTTTCAATTACATTTAATAATGGATTCAACTCACTACGATTATCTTCCACAATCATCATATCATCATCAGAGGAAGGATACAACTCATTACCAATCAAGGATGATTCCTCCAAATCATCAATTGTATAAATATCATTTATTGCACCAGTATGAGTGAAATCATCCTTATCTATGTCATCCCTGCCGGTTTCATCTAATTCATACTTCAAAGATGAATCAGAAATATAATTATCATACTTATTATGATAATATTTATCCAAATTTATTAGACTTAGATTTTCAACTTCATTATCAGTCGGATTCTGATGATAAACTTCAAAATTTTTTGTCACATCATCATGATAATTGTTTTCTTCATTGGTATCTACTATCAACTCCTTTAGTAAAGAAACGTCCTGGCCTGTTTGCGTAATGACCTTCTTCTTCTTTGCAACACCTTTCCCATCTTTTGGTGGTGAAGTCCTTCTTGAATAGGTAGTTCTTTTTTCAACTGTAGAAAGCTGTCTTTCCCACAACATCTTAGGCAAAACACCTCGGTATCCTGTCTTAATTTTTAATTTCTTTCCTCTAAATAAAATGTCAGGTTCAATAGCTTCATCAGAAGAAGTTATTTTATGAACATTATCCTCAGTAGAGTCACAAAAATCTTTTTGTAATGTAGGTATTTCTTCATCCAAATCATATTGAGTTTCAATGTTAATATCATCATCCTCTTTTTGTAAAGAATGATTACTGTACTCCGAATACACATCTGAATCATCTTCATATATCTTACTATCATAATCACTGGTATTGTCATTAGTATATATATCATCATTATTAACTACATTGCCGTTAATCTTTGTATTTATAATATCTGTTTTATTAATTTTATTCTCAAGAACTGAAAGATCAACCTGATTAGATATAATATCAAAGGTAGATACATCATATCCTTCCAATAGTTGCCTGTGTTTAATTCTTTCTAAACTATATGGCATTTTTTGAATTGCAGTTCTTTTTCTAAGCATTCGTCTTGGTGCGGTATCCTCCCTCTCGAATGTAATTTGCCTATTAATCAAACTAGTACTTGTATTTTGCCCAATAATATAGTCATTTGTAATAGGATTTTCTTGACTATCAATGGTAGTAACCTGGTTTATTACCTCTGGACTATCTATCTGATTATAAGCCTCATCATTATTATCAGAATTAATTTGAGTCAATGAGAATTTGCTACTTATCGATACCTCTTGATTGCCATCTCCATAGATAGTTGTTTCTGGACTGCTTTCTTGAGAATCTGAAATAATATCATCATTAGATTCTCCTCCCATACTATTCTGGTATCCCCTCGTAAACCCAGCAACACACCAGCAACCTTATTTAAGTCACTTCTTTGAAAGCAAAATATAAATAAGGTTCTTTTATATTATAATTTTACTATGAACTGAATAACACTCCTATTTATCATACGAGCTGTCCCTTTCTTAAGAATAGATATTTATTTTATTACATATAAGCTATATATTAATCACTATGTTAAGTTTTCTCTATCCTACATTCTTCAATAATTCTGTTAATTGTTTTTTTTTTTACCTAATGTCAATAATTCTTCGAAAAAAATAAAGACTTGAAATTAAATGAAAAAAAAATAATCAATAGAACTTAAGAGAGAGTTAAAGAGCTGACGTAAAATAGTTGAAGCCCAGCTTACAAACTAGGTTACCTTCCCCTTTATGTATACATCAAATACATACCACCAAAATTTAAACTGTAAAAAAAGACACAAAAAAATAATACTTTAAGGAGAAGAGTTCTGAAAGCTTTTAAGTACATTCTAAAAATTATTATAAATATTGTCATTTCTAGTTATCATTACCTTCATATTATCCAACTAATTACAATCATTTTTGAGTTAATTCACAGAAGACATGGCCGAATCAAACGATCAACAATCACCCAATGTTTCCACAAACATGTCAAGAAGATCATCTAGTTCCTCTAGAATGTTCAGTATCGAGACTACAGTAACCAAATTGCTTATATCTACAAAGCATCTTCTTCAAGTATTAACCCAATGGTCAAAAGGATTGGTTGGTGGAAAAGGTGTTTCAGATGCATATGTCCAACTTGGTAATGATTTTAAACTAGTTTTCAAATACTTTACTCAACACGAAATAGATGTTAGTGATTTGGGTGATGTTCCTTTACAATTACGTCGTGTCTTAGAATTGACTTTAAGAGAAAAACCATGCGATCAAACTTTAAATAAATATTTATTTCAAATAAGAGAGATTATTGTTACAATGTTAGAGAAATTAAAAATTAAACAAGAATTCCTCAAAAACCATATGAAAAAGGACCCACAAACGGCAAGATCAAGTCAAAACCATATTAGAAATACATCAGTAACTAGCAATATTTCGTTAGTATCAACAACATCTCCAATTAATCCCAACGTTAGTGAAAAGAATCCATCCAAACAACAAGACGGTATTAGCAATAATGTCCAAAAAACACAGAATAGTGAAACTGAGGAAGATGATAAATCTGAAGACACAATGATAACCGCCAATAGTAAACTTTCACCTGATGGACAAGAGTCTTTAGTTGCACACAATAATAAAGAGATGACTATGGAAAATAGTGATGCACTTTCTCAATTGAAAAATGGCACAAATATTCAAAGACGTGCTTCCAAAAGATACTCTGCTTACCATATGGCTAAGTTAACTAACCAATCTACGTCAGAGGCAATTGCAGCAGCGGCAGTAGCAAATATGTCAACTGTAAATGTAAATAATAATAACGTCCATCAAATTGATAATGACAACAACAACAATAATAACAATAAAAATCTAGCTATAACAAACGAAAGTTCAAATCCAATTACAAACGAAGATATGGTGAGAAATGGAGATAATAAAATAGAAAAATTTAACCAACCCAATCCCCATATTTCAATTTATAATGATAAAGATATGTATACAATATTTCTGAGATTAGAAGGAAAAACCAAAAAATGCCATATCCCCAAAGTCTCATCTTTAAACAGTTTAAGATTATTGTTTGTGGAAAGATTCGCTTATTCACCTGGTAGCAAAAGTTTTCCAGATATTTACATTAAAGATCCTCAATATTCAGAGTTTTATGAGTTAGAGGAACATAATTTAACAGATTTACAAGATGGATCAGTTATAGAACTTCGATCAAAGGGGGAGTCCCTCCAAGTTGAAAAATACATGACTGATGTTATTGAAACATTTAAATCAGAGATTAAAAAATCACAAAATGAAATACTTCGAGTTGTTAATAAAATCCAAGAAAATAATTTCAAAATTACTAATACTGAAACATCTTACGATATGAAAAACGATTCAACTAAAAGTAATCAAACAGATATACAACAAATGTTACACAATTTATCAATTTTAAAACAAATATACACAACTAACAAAAAGGAAACTAACGAAAAAATCCAAACAATCCTTTCTAAAGTGGAGGAATTCAAATCAAGTTCATTTGATTCAAACAATGAATTATCAGGAGTCAGCACATATGTTGAAAAATCCCAAGATAAATTAGGCGACATTTCAGAAAACTTATTGAGTAAAGTGGACGATCTACAGGATTTAATTGAAATTTTAAGGAAGGATGTTGCAAATCGTGGCGCTACTCCATCTAATAAAAGACTTGAATCATTAAACAAAGAAATAAAAGAAGCAGAGGAAGATCTTAAAAACATGCAAAAATTCATTAGTACTGAAAAGCCACACTGGAAAAAGATATGGGAGGAAGAGTTAGATAAAGTTTGTGAAGAACAACAATTTTTAACTCTTCAAGAGGATTTGATTGTGGATTTGGAGGAAGATTTACATCGTGCATCTGAAACTTTTGATTTAGTAAAATTATGTTGCGAAGAAAAAGAGAAAAATCGGACCAAAACAAAAGTAAATCCACCTATCATGCCTTTATTAAAGCCTGGTACTTTTAATCAAGTTAGAGAACAGGTACTACTAGAAGTACAATCATTAAACCCGGATCATGAAGGTAGACAGGATGCAATTGAAAGGGCAGAAAAACTTTGGGAAAGAGAAAAACTATATAAAGAAGATGACGAATTTAAGGATGAATTAGGGAATTTTGTAGAAAACTCTTCCTTACGAAAATCTGGAGGGGTTGAAGCTGTAGAACGATTAAGACAACAAAAAGATGCAGAGAATTTAAGAAATAATTTTTCAAATAATTTTTGATAGGGAACATTAGTAATCCTTTTAGAATTTACGATATATAACCATTACAGTGTCGGATCATGAGGCTAACTTCGTTATCCTTCATACTGTACACAAAATTAAAAAAAGAATTGGAAAGAAAATCCAACAATAAAAATCAACTTAATACATAAATAAACATATTCTATTAAGCTTGTAACAACCAAATAGCTGTAGAAGGATATATAATACATGTAAAATATGTATAGACCATACATGTATATACGTATGTATGTATTTAAACTTGTAATGCTTTAATGAATATTTTTCATATTTTATCCCTACAAATTCTATAGAAATTCGGGATTGCAATATGCCGCTCAGTTTCCAAAAATTCCGCCTCATTATAGGAAACTTGAAAAAAGAAATGAAAATAAAATAAACCAACAAGAAGAGAATAAAACATACAAAGAGATTCATTATTCGAGAAGAAATTGTGAAATAATTGCAGTTAGACAAGTATTCGTCAGAGATGTTTGTCAATAATTCTCTTCAACTGTTGAAAAGGATTTATCAGTGAGATATCCAATAGTCTATTTTTCTTTTCTATTTTTGCTTACTTTTTTTTTTTAACCTCGTTTCATTGCACACTATAAACAATAAGTAATTAATGGTGAAAAAAATTCATAATCCTTTAAAGATAGATTATAAAAATTGTATTATTGAGGATAAATTATTACAAGTCAAAAACTTTGAAAATAATGATATCCCCGACTTAATACCTGTATGGACGTTACAAATCAATCCCAGAGATTCGAAAAAAATTATTGAGCTCATACGATCTCTTCAAGACAAAGATCCAATATCATTACAACATCTCAAAAGAATCCAAAAAACCAAGGATAACAAATTTTTGTGTGTTGTGATATTCTCTAAAGAATACATGGAAGATAAAGATCAAGTAATAACCTTATTACAAAAAAATGATATTAAATATAATTCAATAAGTGACAACGTTTTGGTACCTCGTTTTGCACCGATGATTAAAGAGTTAGTGCACCAATGGGGAAAGAAGTATTGGCCATTGACATGGAATGGGAACCCCAACGATCAAATATTAAACGACTATGTCATCAATATGGACTCAATTAAAAATATGTTACAAAAGATAGCCAATCTCAGTGAACGTGAATATACAAATGGGAATAAGTTTCCGATTGTAACTGCATTTGTTGATCCTATAAATAATAATGTAAAAATTGTGACAACTGATAAAAGATCTTGTAAGGACGGGTTTGCATTAGATCATAGTATTATGCTTGCAATTAAAAAGGTCTCTACATTACAAAAAATGTTTAAGGAGAACAAGGACCCAATAAATATGACATCTTATCTATGCTTAAACTATGACGTATATACAACACACGAACCTTGTTCTATGTGTGCAATGGCATTAGTACATTCCAGGGTCAAACGATGTATATTTATCAAACCAATGAGCATGACTGGAGCCCTTCGATCAGATAGTGGAGATGGATACTCCTTACATGATACCAAGGTATTAAATTCCAAATATGAAGTGTTTCAATGGTTGGGTGATGAATATGCAAATATACCAGAGCTTGATCCAAATGTATGTTGTTAGTGCAGATAATAAGTGTATCTATACATGTATATGTGTATGTAGCCTTTACTGCTGTTCAATATTATTAACATGTATCCATTTCTATATATCTTCAAGCTTCTTCATACTATCTTTCAATCCTTTTAGTTTATCAATCAATCTATCAATAGTTGCGTTCTGATTCTGTTCATCTGTGTTATCTCCCACTAATTTTAGTGAATCATAAAAATTATGTAATATATTGGTGTGATTTTCTAATTCTGAATTTATATATGCCAATCGTTTATCTAAGAGAAGCCCCATCTCATAAAGATTATTAATAAAGGTCTCCAAAGTAAAATATTGTTTCATTTCTCTCTCTGTGAAGTCAGATATGTTAATTTGTTTAAACAATAGTAACACATCTTTAATCTGTTGAGTTATCTGATTCAATAGCAGATTGTCTTGATCTTGTAAAATGGAATACCATCTTTTCATTTCTTGCTCAGTAGCATTGATATCTGATTCTTTAATCAGTTTGGTGAATTCCTCAAAGGGTAAACAATGCGTGGCTAAAAGATTGGAAAAGTATTCAACAAGTAATTTATTTTCTAGCATTTGTCTCTATATTTCCTATTTCTGTCTTATTATCTGGCTTGAGGAAAATACTGTCAATAATGCTCAATAAATTTTAGATTCAATTGAGAGTTACATACCTTATAACACACACTAACCTATATACCTCTCTTCCTCCTTTTGCTTTATCTTACTTATCTAACAATTTTAATTTCTTCTTAGATTTAGTTTTTTCTTCATATTCATTTCATTTCATTTCTTTTTTCCCTTTTTGGAAAGGGGAGACGGAGGAAATAAAAGCCTGTGGCGGAAATTACAGCAGAATGCTAATTCGAAATTGACAAGAAATTTTAACTGGTGTGTGGGTGTTTAATTTTTATGTGACGACACAATCTGCGAGAAAAAAAAATGAGAAGGAAAATTTTTTGATGACTTTTGTATTCATTGAGAATAAACAAAGTTAGATGATGATTTTATTTGACAATATATTGGTATAGGACTATTTGACAGTTGATAAAAGTAACCTTAATGATGTACTAAGGTTGGTTTGTTTTATTTATTTTCTTTTTGGTCTTTTCTTCGTCTTGTCTCTTTTGTTTTTATCTTATTTGTTTTTGTTACTCATCTCATAGTTCTTGCCTTCTTATGACTATTTAGTCACTTGAAGATTTGTTAGCAAGTGATATCAACTTCTTATTCTGATAGACGAGAACAGTTACTAATAACTAAATACAGAGATACACAGAATATTTAGATCAAGATGGCTCCTCCAAAAAAGACAGTTAAGATGGATTTAAATTCCTTCTTAAACGATTCTACATTTGACAATTCCTCATGGGGTGTGGATGACGTTGATTTAAACAAAATTACTATTCCAATTGAAAATGTAAGTGCAAATACTGTTCCATTAGAAGAGATTGCTGCTGCTAAGAAAAAATCTATGTTGAATGATTCTTCCTTCAATGGTGGAAGAACCTCCAGATTAGATCCAGCTTTAGATGGCAGCAGAAGAGAAGGTGGTTTCCGTCGTGAACGTGAAGAATATCCTGTCCCAGACTCTCCTCCATTTAGGGCCATTATTAACAACATTCCATGGGACATCTCTCCAGAAGGTGTCAAGGCTTGGGTCGAGGACGGTTTAAACAAGCCAGGTGCCGTTGAAGATGTGGACTTGCCTGTTAGTCCAAGCGATCCTTCCAGATTGAAAGGTATGGCTTTTATCACTTTTACAGAACGTGAAGACTTAGTGACTGCTTTGACTTTCAATGCCACCAAGTTGAATGAACGTACTGTCTATGTCTCTGTTGCTGCTCCAAGACGTGGTGGTGGTTTCAGAGGCGGTTCTGATCTTGATTGGGGTGCTGCTCGTGGTTCTAACTTCGAACCATCTAACAGAAGAGAAGAACCAAACTTAGATTGGGGCTCTGCTCGTGGTTCTAATTTCAGAGAACCAAGACCATCAAAGAGAGAAGAACCAAACTTGGACTGGGGTGCCGCTCGTGGTTCTAATTTCAAAGAACCAAGACCACCAAAGAGAGAAGAACCTGAATTAGATTGGGGCGCCGCCCGTGGGTCTAATTTCAGAGAACCAAGACCACCAAAGAGAAAAGAAGAACCTGAATTAGACTGGAGTGCTGCTCGTGGTTCTAATTTCGAAAATAGACAACAAAGATCTTCCGGATTCAATAGACAAAAGAAAAAGGATGAACCTGAATTAGATTGGGGTTCTGCTCGTGGTGCCAATTTCAACAGAAGACCACAACCAATTTCTGGCAGAAAGATTTTGGCTGAATCTAAGGCGGTAGAGGAAAAAGTTAAAGCCCAAAATTCTTCCTTTGATATTTTACGTACTGAAGACGATGACGATGAAGAAGAAGAAGAAGAAGAAGAAGAAAATAACGAAGAAAAAGAAGAGGAAGAAAAGAAGGACTCAACCGAAGTTGTTAACGATCTAGCTACCAAGACTGCTGAATTGACTGTTGAAGATGACACTGATGATAACTGGGAAGTTGTCGGCAAGAAGTGATCGTATACTATTGTGTTATGAATTTAAAGAGTATTTTTCTTCATCGTTTAAATGTTTTTTTTTATTTTGTGTTGAATTGTTTAATATATATCCAGATACACAAATTATATGAAGCCCCATTTGTTGTTACTATTACTAGTTGGTACCTGTTTTTGTTTTTGTTTTCCTACTAAACTTATTCTAATTCCATATATATATATATAGAACCTATATATAGTTGTTTAATATGTATAATAAAAGAGATATAAAAAAGAAATTACTACATCTTATAAGACATATTCACTTTTTTTGTTGTTAGATATTAGATTTAATTTCATTATATTCACTTGAATAAATTAATTTATGCCTTATATGCGTTAGTATCCACCTCCACATGTTTATAATCAATATAATAAATGTAATGCCAAAACAAAAATAAGAAAAATAATAAAGAAAAGAACAGATACAAATGAATAAAGCCTCTTACCTCTTCATTCTTTAAGGTCATATACAAAATAATATCCTAAATCTATCTTCCCTATTCATGAAATAGTAAGCAAAAGCTAATGCTTAATATATTTGATAAAGATTTTGCCCCATTAAGAATATCTTCACGAGATGTTGATCCTAGAGATATTATTAAAGATTCTAGAATTAACCATGAACAAATGCTGAAGGCAAAGAAGATTCCTTTGGTTGTGAGTAAATATCAAGATATCATTATAGAGAGGTCTAACAGTGAAAAAGTACAATCTCTCATTAACAATAGTTCAAATATTGATACAGAAAACAGTGGACAAAGTAAGCCATACGATACTAAAACCAAGGATAATCACTTATCGACACTCAGTATAGAAGAACAGTATTTGTTAAAAATGATTCAAGAAGAATTAAAAGCGAAAGTGTTTTTTTCTGGGAGTATGTGGTGTAATAAACAGAACCAATTAAATATAAAGCTATCATCTCACCTCATTCCTGTGGTTACCAAAATTTATAACTATCTAACAGCATTGATTGAACTTAATAATCCCGCTCTGATTAATGGAAATTACCTATTGAATCTTATAAAACCATGTAACACTACCATACATATGGGAGAGATTGGACTATATTATTCTATTCAAAAATTAAAAGAATTGTATACAGATTACTCCTTTATCATAATAAATATAAAAGATCGATCAAGTATTATGCTTCAACAAATACTATACCAAGTTATATCTCAAATTGACGAAATTGATCCAAATCTTATTGAGAAAATTGAAAGCGGAACAATTTATTCGAATTTTATTAAATTACTAATTAATCTTATTGAATATTCAAACTTTAAATTACATAGAAAGTCATTGTTGATTTTTATTGATAAATCAGGATGTCTAATAGATATTTTTAACAATTGCTTGAATGATACCAAGTCTTGGAACCGAACAATTAAAATCGGATACATACGATTATCTAGCAATGAATCAGATGGATTAGTCAACATTTTTTGTGATAGTTATCCATCCAATGAAGGCGAATATTTTCAAGAGGTGATATATAATTTAACAATTAGACCCTGTAATAAAAATGAATTTGTTGATATATTTAATACTACTATTGTTGAAGAAATAGGGAAACAAGAGGATGGTCTAGCTAATTTATTAACTAATACTATAAGGTCTAATTACAAGAATAATGCAAGCTCATTAGATTGTTACCAAAACATTGTAAAAACATTGATTATCTCTAGTAAATTATCCCATTCAAACATCTCAAGTACAATAAATTCCACCCCTGATGTATTATAACAAGTTAAATACATAATATAGATATGGATACATTTGTGAAACTAGATATTTCGAGTTACAGTATATCTTTTTAAGCTATAACCTATTGATTGTTTTAAAGTAGTAACTGACGCATTTGAGGTTTATTTTCTTACAAATAAAAAAAATATCATTATGTCATATTTTAATACCTTTCTTGATTATTATATGAAAAATAATTAACAATAAAGTTGAGAAATGTTTCCTCCTGTATCATAAAGTAATCAAGACAAAGATAGATGAAACCAACTTCTATCTTTCTTGAGAAATTTGGTGGTTATTTTTAAATTATTATATGGATCATCCAAATTAAATAGTGTCATCTAGGATTAACAGAGAATATATTTCCTTCTTGATTCTGAATGGTGGTTTCAAAATTAACTCGTTGGCATACCATAAAATAGCATTTTTATAATATCATATTAAACCAAATATATATGAGTTCCTTTAATGATTACAGATTTTAATTTATGGTTATACCTTTTTCTAGAGGATTAATATATTCTGATGGACTAACTAAATCATATCTTCTGGAGAGAAAATAATAATATTATTCATACTAGACAGTAGTCTTTTATTTCTACATGGAAATGAGTACTACAATAACAAATTTACATTCACATTGTCTACATTACGATAATTTAAGAAGGACACCTAATGGATTAATTTTCACAGAAGACCTAGCAACTGTCTATAGTATATTCTTGATCTGTATGAATCTTAAATCTCATCCTGATGAAACAAAAGGATTGTTTTCCGGAATTTTCAAGAAGGTTTATCCATATTCCTTCTCTATGAAGACAGCAATTATAACCATGAAACATCTAGAGATAAAGGCATCCTCAAACGTCACATGCATTAATCTGTCATACCATATTAAAGAACCATTAGCTAGATATCTTCTAATAACCTTTATGGAAGCAAAATTGTTACATACACCTGCTGATAGAACTAGAAATGAACCAAAAGAGAAAGTATTGTTACAACCTACTCCAAAAGGTGTTGCTATATTAACTAAATATTGCAAAGATATTGGCTTGAAAAAAATCCCAGATATATTAGTATCAGAATTGAATTCTATTACACTTTTCAATTTTGAAAGGAGCTCCATAACTGATTCCTTGATTCATAGCGATAAACTTCTGCATATTTTGCTAATAAAAATAATGGGTGATGAACCAAATATTTGGACACCTGATCGGAAACCAGATAAACTACCTACTTTGTCACAGTTATTGGAAAATAGTAATGATATTTTCACATTTGAAAATGTGTTTGATTATTTTCATAAGAAATTTCTTGAACATCCTAATCATACTTCTTTTAATCAATTGAAAACAAATATTAAAGATAGTATAGAAAAAAAAGATGAAAAATATACAGTTAGGGTCAATACATTGAATAATGATGATATTGATAGTACATTTAGTCACAATAATAAAGCTAACTGGTTTGAACAAATTCCAGAATCTATATTAAATGATACAGATAGAAAATCTCCATTATCTCATAAATATTTCACAAATCCAGACTCAGACGCTCATGTCCAATATTACGCATCGGATACCAATTTAAGATTATTTTACAATAGACAATTTATGAATCCAAATATCAATGTCAAATATTGCTTCACATCCAAAGTACTCTGGCAGTGGCTTATGGATTGTACTAATATAATGTATCCAGGAGAAGCTATTGCTCTTTCTGCATTATTTTTAAAATTAGGATTGATTTGTCCGATTGTTGGTAAACCATCTAACGCTAAAAGTGGTAAGTTTTGTATCAGTCGATCTTCATTTTTTACCTTATCAACTAGAGGTTGGAATATAATTAATTGGGATAATTGTTATAAAAAATGTCAAGATTCTAATGCATTAGTTACAAATGATAATAATAAAGATTGTAATGATGATAACAAAGACTACAATGAGAGTGATAATGATTCAAGTGGAATTCATGTTAAGGGAAAAGTTGTTGAAATCGAGATTAATTCTGTAGAGTCTATTAAGACAGTACAAGCAAGTATTCAAGATACTATAAATCAAGATAAATGTAGTGATTTACCTAATTTAGAAGATATTCTATCTGATCCTGGAATGAGGTATTTATTTAGAAAACACTTAGAAAGAGAATTTTGTGTAGAGAACTTGGATGTGTATTTAATGATCAGAAAATTCTTGAAAAGAATGACAATCCTAAAAAAATATATCGATGACATTGGTTTTAAACCTATCTATAAATATAAACAAAGATCTGTCCATTATCAAAAGATAATAGCTACTAGAGATTCTGCATTATACCAACAAGCTAACGAATGTTTAGAAATAGCATTTCAAATATATTCTTGTTTCATTATGAAAGGCGCGCCATATCAGTTGAATTTAGACCATAAATTGAGAGAAGAAATAAGTTTAGTGATCTTGAGTCCACATTCCCCTATAAAAGAATATTTTAATATAGAAGAGGGAGCTGTTAACACTCTTACTCAAAATAATCTCGGAAATGGAAAAAATATATCAGAGTATGGATTAATTGAAAAATCCATGGACACTGTAAAGGACCCAAGAGGCAATAGGTATGATGACAAAATTTCAAGAATTTTATTAATCTTGAAAGAATTATATCCACTTTTTGAAGAAGTCAGTATTATTATATATAGATTAATGGAGATAGACTCGTTATCGAAATTCTATAACTCTAAGGAATTTGGAAAGCTCAAATAAACTATATAAAGTCTTTTATTTTTTTTATTAGTATCATATTTATTATTATTTTACAACAGAAAAAAAAAAGAAAGAAACAGTATACATATATATATATATATTTATTATATTTAATATGTTTCAATGTACGTATAATATGTTGTCGATGCAAAATTATTAATACAAAACAAGGACAAAACGAAACACAGTGGCTATACATACACATGTACATATATATTCACCAACAATTAAAAGCAAAAACAAATAAAAATAGATAAACAAAAAACAAATAGGTAAAGTCTGTCAATTTATTATATCGTTTTTTATCTTTTTGCTATAATTTAAGCTACAGGTTCAAGAGTAGTACCTTTCTTAATTGTAGCCCATCCAATTAAACGCCAGTGCTTTTCGATACGTCTAGATAAGGCGATCTTTTCATTGATTTCGGTACAAGCAGGAGAAGTCAATTGTAATCTAGCCATGTCTGCCTTAACGGCGACAACACGAGCACCGGTAGCAGTAGACCCAATATTAACCATAAGAACTTCATCTTTTTCTAATTTTTTGACTTTAGCTTGTTTTTGACCGTCTGTCTTGACACCCAAAAGACGTCTCAAAAGGAAATAGTTGATTTCAATATCTGTGTAAATGTTTGGTAAATGGCCCTTTGCACCGACAACTTGACCTACAAGACGATCTGCTCTACATAAGGTTGGATCGACTTTAGTACCCACACCAATAAGACCACCAGGGACGGCGAATTTCAAATCATTTTGTTCAGCAAATAGAGAGACGATATTTGAGAAGATTGGTTTACATTGGATCTTACCTCTTTCATCCTTGGTGACGATACCTGGCCTGATCTCAATTTCGTCACCTAGTTTGAAAACACCATTCAAAATAGACCCACCAGCAACACCACCTTTCAAATCGTTGATTTCTGCACCTGGCTTATTAACATCGAAGGAACGGATCACAATTAATTGTGGAGAGATCATGAAGTCTCTTGGTGGGACTGGAATGGTTTTGACGATGAATTCGTTGACTGCGTCAATGTTATATTTCAATTGAGCAGAGATTGGCACGATAGGGGCACCATCTGCGATAGTACCTCTAATGAATTTTAGAATAGACTTTTGATGTTCCAAAGCAGTTTCCTCACGCATTAAATCTACTTTATTTTGTAAAATGATGACATTTTTCAATTTCATAATTTCTATGGCAGCCAAATGTTCAGAAGTCTGTGGTTGTGGACAGGATTCATTACCAGCAATTAATAGAAGGGCTGCATCCATGACAGCAGCACCGGATAACATGGTACTCATTAAAATATCGTGACCTGGACAGTCGACAAAGGAGACGTGTCTAACCAATTTGTAACGACCTGGACAGCCTGGTCTTTCACACTTGGGGTTAATCTCTTTATCTGATTTGAAAGATTTGTAACAGTCAGGTTCAGGACATGTAGGTTCTTGACATTTATAGATCTTTGCATTGGCATACCCCAGTTTGATAGTAATGTTTCTTTCCAATTCGTCCTTAAATCTAACAGTCTGGACCCCTGAGATGGCTCTAACAACGGTAGACTTACCGTGTGCTACATGACCAATGGTCCCAATATTGATGGTAGCTTGTCTGTTAATGATTTCAGGGGACAAGGGATTTAGTTGAGTGAAGTCAGGGTTGCTTGGTTGTTCAGGTAAACCACCACCTTCTTCAAATTCACGTTTTCTTCTGTCTTCTTCAGACTCGGCATCTTCAGAGAAAGTGACGCTCTTTTTAGGTTTAACATCCTCTTGTTGTTGTTCTTGTTGTTCTACATTTGCCACAGGTTGCTCATCTGGGATGTCACCATTAATGATAATAGATGGTTCCCTATCTTGTAGATCAGTCATATTTATTTACAAAATATATTTACTTATTTTCGGTTTGCTCGTTTGTTTATTAGTCCAGTAATGGAGAGAAAGGAAGGGGTTAATGGAAATACAATGGAAACAATACCGATCTATCAATGTACCTATATATTTGTCTCTTGATCCTTACCTTATCTTTATTAGAATATCTATAACATAACACTATAGCTTATAATATAAGGTCAATTAACTACAAGTAAAACTGGTCAGATATTTGCAATTCCTCATTAACCAAATGAATAACAAAATCTGTAATAAAAAAAAAAAAAAATTATAGCAGAAAAAAGAAAATTTTTCACTTTTCAATTTTTGCAATTTCTTCCTTGCGTGCGGAATTTAATTCCAATGTGTTTCCGCAACAAACCCGTCATAATTCCGAAAAATACGACATCCACACACCCAAACGTGGTCACGTGAAAATGTCAAAAATAATAAAATTAAAAAAAAAGAAAAAAAAAAAAACAAAAAAACGCTGGAGTAAACTTTCTGCAAAATACAAATTGCGATGACTTCAGCAGAGAGAACAAGCTAAGTTCTTACATAAAAATTCTGATTGATTGGATTCTTTTGGACGGTTAAAACTTCATCTTATCCCTCTCTCAACTTTCTTTCTGTTGGTGCCTGTGTACCCTATTTTATACCAGCTATATTTATCCTCATATTATAAGTGTCGAAAAGCTGTATATCTAAACACGATATATATATATATAATACATGTAGGTACCACTACAACTACTACTACTTCTGGTGAAACCGATATAAACGCAATTGGAATTGATATTTGTATTGTTTGGATTTATTCTATCCTCATATCCTGTTACTAGATAATTATTATTCATTTTCTTTATTCATTTTCTTTTTTTTTTGTTCTATGTTATAAATGATAAATACATCAAGTAATAATAAAAATAGTGATCTTACATCAGCTCCCTCCACATCCACCTCCACTCCTTCTCCTACTCCTCCATCCAGTTCTACTTCCAGTTCTATTACCAATTCCACCTCTTCTATTCTTTCTACTAAAAAAAAGACTACAAGACGAAAATTTGCATGTGTTGAATGTAGACAACAGAAATCTAAATGTGATGCAATGGAAAAGGCTCCTGATCCATGTACAAAATGTTTTAAAAAAAAGATTCCCTGTGTGCTTAAACGTGATTTTAAGAGAACTTATAAAAGGATAAGAAACGAAGTCATTGAAAAAAGTTTTAAACATTTAACTCAATATTTATCCAATACTCAATTCAGTAGTATCAATAATTGTAATAATAATAGTGATAATAGCAATAATATTACTAACAACAACAATAATAATATTAATCATAATAATACCATTTATGTCAAATCTTTATGGGATAATAATAATTTTACAAAAGATAAAATTAAAAATAAATCAGACTATTGGAAAGATTTTATTAATAATTCAACAACAATACAAAAACAAATACGACAAGAAGAAATCAATCATAATCATAATAATAATAGTAATAACAGTAATAATAATAACATATCATCTTCTCAATTGAATTTACCTCTGACTTTGACTGAAGAGGATCTTAAATGTACTCCTAAATCCTTAGGTGACATCTATTTAACAAGTAATGACATATCAACACTCTTTAACGAATTTGCTCAACATTATCATCCCTTTTTACCTATAGTCAACCTGAAAAGAGGTCCAGAAAATATTTACAGTTTATCCCCATGTCTTTTTTGGGTCATTATGCTGACTGGGCTTAGACGGTGTGACTCAATTCTAAATAAGTATAAAAATATTAATATTCTAAAACAACTGTCCCATTTAGTTAAATCTGTTCTAGCAGAGATTACAATATCTCCAATCATCCGGTATATACCAAATGAAAATGAACAACCCCTACTAAACGTCGCATCTGTGTACAGTGTTCAAGCATTTTTGATTTATACTCTATGGCCACCTTTGACCTCCTCTTTAAGTGCAGATACTTCATGGAACACTATAGGCACAGCCATGTTTCAAGCTTTACGTGTGGGTTTGAACTCCGCCGATTTCTCAAAAGAATATGTGACTACCAATTGGGATTTAATTAATGAGCAAAGAAAGACTTGGATCTGTTGTAACATTGTCTCCCAATTTATTGCTTCTTCAATGGGCTTCCCCCCTTACGTTTCCTTCGATCATTTTGTGTTAACACATCAAAATAATAGTAATATCCCAGTTCTTTTGCAACAGATGATACAACTTTCATACTTTGAAAATCAAATAATCCAAACTATGAATTCTAATCCTTTGACTCCATCAGGAATGATTGATTTACATGAGCGATTCTCTCTTTTAAAAGTATTGAATCAACAGTTATCTCAACTTGAGTTTCAATTAAATCAACCCCATCAAAAAATGGATGATATAAGAAAATTTTTGCTTTATGTCGCTAAAGTTCATCTTTTAACCTATTATTTCACTGTTTCAACAAAGGATCATCCAGATAATGGTGACATTTTTTCATCTACTACCACAATGAATATTAAAAATAACAATATCTCAACTTTCCAAATCAAGTCCGGGTTAGTTAAAGTCTATAACTGTGCAATTGATTTATTGTTTCATACAAGAGATATGTTCCTCAAGGACCCAGACTCCATAAAATATTTCCCTGGTTGTTTCATTCTAAATATTTGGCAAAGTGCGTGTATTGTCACCAAATTGATTCACTCCTCGATTTCGGATATCATCGATTGTAAACGTGGGGAGGAGGCCTACGATGTAGCAATCAGATTAACTTTGAAGGCATCTATTTTGAAATATGATATGGCTTATCGATCCTCAGGTATAATGAGATCTATTTGGAGTCTTTTCTCAAATATGTATGATGAATGGCAGAATGACAAAAAAAATGCAGATAAACAAAATGATATTGAATTTAATCTGAATATTACTGTCAGTTCAAGGATGTCTGTTAGTGTATTTTTTGACTGTTTATACATTTTAAAAACAAAATGTGGGATGGCTAAACTGAAAAGAGAAAGTGGTAAGTTACAACACGATGAAGATGAAGAAGAAGATGATAACATTGAGAATATTGGTGATGATTTGATGAGTGTTTCGAAAAGTACCATACATAAGAACGTTAAGGATTTAAAAGTTAATGCAAGAAAAATTATTAAAAGTGTTCCATTAGATCCTAATCCAATTAATGCAGATAATTCCAGTACAATTTCTATAGCACCTGATATAAATAATAATACTACAGCAGTTAGCACTATTGTCACTGCAGCCAATAGTAATGCTACTAAGAATGATAATAATGCAACATCCAATATAAGAAGTGGTAGTAATCCTGGTTCAAGTGTGATTGAACGTCCTCCATTATCGATAGACAGTTTAACTAATGTTTATTCAAATGTTTCTTCTCCAGCAATACAAGCACAAAAGAATAATGTACAACTGTTGGTCAATAAACAGAATGGCAACGATATTAGTAATATTGAAAATGATTCAATGAAAAACACACATATAATGGGCCTTAACACACCAATATCTCAATCAACTAATCAACAAATGCACGAGAATACAAGCATAAACCCACAAATACAATTACCTACTCTGCCATTTGACAGTGAGCCAATTAATTCTACATCTAATTTACAACAGTTTCCTCTTGAGAGACGTTGGCAAGAGAACAATTTGTCAGAAGTGGTATCTTTAGAAGAACCGATAACCCATAATATTAATTTAAATCATGTTGTTACTTCATTGTTTGATAATAATAATAATAATAATAATAATAATAATAATAATAATAATAATAATAATAATAATAATAATAATAATAATAATAATAATAATAATAATAATAATAATAATAATAGACAAAACAGTAACAGTAATAATACCAGTGTACAAACAGATGTATCACCATACTCAACAATTGCTAATTTTGATAATTGGGATTCTGAGATGGTTTGGAAAGATGTCGATATTTTAATGAATGAATTTGCATTTAATCCTACAGTATAATCATATTATTTTACTATAATTCTTAAGGCTTTATTGCACTCTGATTCCATTTATAGATTTAATAACATATATTGATATATAATTAATACAAAACAATATATATATATATGAACGTATACATTATCCTAAAATAGCTTTATTCCTACTGCATTATTATATGTAAAGATATGTTTATGACCATACATTAACGTTTATTTTTCTTTATTTCAATTGGAGGCTTAGGATTTGTGACATTTTAGATTACTCTTCACAACTTTTTAGATATTCATTTTTTGTTTTTTACAGCAGAGGAGATGGAAAGATTGGAAAAAGTTTCTTAAGATAAAGAAGTAGAAAGATGGATAGGAAGGATGAGAAAGTAAAACAGATGTCTATTCAGTAGTTGGTCTAACTAAGTGCAGGGAAAAATATTCTAGTGCTTCATATGTGGTATTTATACGTATATCTAAATATTTAGTTTTTTCTTTACTTTTGATTTACCACATGATAATTTAATTTACAAATTGGATATACGAAAAGTTATACAAACATTGCTAAATAAATGGCCAAAAAGAATAGAATTACTAATATTGGACAAGAATTTATTAAAGCTTCTAGAGATATCAAATTATTATGGGCATCAGTCTTTTTAAGATTACTATCGTATGGGCTAACAAACCAAGTTTTAACTCTTTTTTTAAACAAAATTAATTTAGATGAGTCCAAAATCGGTCTATTTATGTCTTTGACTCTTGTAGGTGATGTCTTTTGTTCATATATTTTAACATGGTATGCCGATGTTTGGGGCCGTAGAAGAATTTTGGTCTATGGTTCTGTTATGATGTGTTTAAGTGGAATCGTATTCGCTACGAGTGAAAATTTCCATATACTTCTTTTATTTGCTATTATAGGTGTCATATCTCCATCCAGTGATGAAGTAGGACCATTTAAATCTATTGAAGAATCCATGATCGCACATCTTTCACCAAATAATAAGAGACCAGAAATCTATGCAATTCATTCTTTAGTAGGCACGATTGGTTCTGCCCTAGGTGCTATTGTATCAGGCTCATTTATATCAGGATTGAAACATTATAAATTGGCAAATACAGACTTACAATGTTATAAAGCGACTTTCCTTTTATATGCTTTCTTTGCATTTTGTAAAGTTATTATTATGGTTTCTTTGTCTGAAAAGACTGAATTAGATTCTCACTATTCTAATGAAGAACAATTGCCTGAATCTATAGTCACAGATGAAATGGCACCATTATTAGAACAACGTAGGAAATCAATTGATATCCAACAAGAAACAACAAGAATTTCAGATTCATTGAATGAAAGTACTGTAACACAAGGTGACTATGACCAAGACTCAAATAATCAAAATCAAATTAATTCAAATAGGTTGTCTCCAGAGACTGTATCCATTTTAATGAGATTATTATGTATTTTTATGATAGATTCCTTAGGTGCAGGGTTTATGACAAGTGGATGGATGGTCTATTATTATAAGAAATGGTTTCAGATGGGTTCATTTGCCTTAGGTTCGTTATTTTTTATGATTCAGATTGTTATGTCCATCTCCACGATTCCCTCGTCTATCTTACCTAGAATTTATGGGCCTGTTAAGGCTACTCTATTAGTTCAAATTCCATCTGGTGTATTTTCTATTTTGATTCCATTTGCTGCTAATCATCTATTTATCTCCATTATTTTACTAAATTGTTTCTTTGGTACTGCAGCCATGGATGTAACCTCAAGACAAATTTTGTTAACTAATTTAATACGCCCAACTGATTTGACTAAAGTAATGGGGATAGTAAACATAGGTAAAACTTTTGCTCGTTGTATCGGTCCAATCTTTACGGGTATGCTAGCTGAACGTGGTTATCTATGGTTCTGTTATATTATCAGCGGTGTTTTAGTTATTGCTGCTGATTGTATCTTAGCATGTTCATTTTTACATGTTGACAAGACTATTTTGGCACAGATTAATGGAGAATGAGTGGTGGAAAAGATTTTTTTCAGTCTCACGTGTAGACATATGCATATATAGTTTGTGTAGATTTTATAAAGTTTATTCGACATTTGATATTTTATTTCCAGATCAAGATTTTCTTTTTTGTCTCCATTTATGGTTTGTTTATATGTTCTCAGATCAAGTTTTGGATAATAAGTGGATGAGTACATCGTTAATTGATCCAAACTAATAGCTTGTGTTACTCTCCGTTTACAAGGAAGCACACATATAGAAGGATTATCACAACGGTTAGTCAAACCTGGCTCAAAAGAGAATTTTTTCTTTGTTTTTTTTTTCTTAATCTTATATATTAAAAGGTAAAAGTGCGTATGATATTATACTTGTATTATTGTTAAATGTGTTTTATATTATATGTTAAAAAAGAAACAAAGAGATGGGATTGATACATAGGATATACATGTACAAATAAAGGCAAAGTTTCTTTAACGGTTAGATTTGGCAACACGTTCTAATTCGTCCTTCTTCTTGATAGCGTAAGAAGTAGAAGAACCCTTGGCAGCGTTAATTAATTCTTCAGCCAAAGTTTCAGCAATGGTCTTGATGTTTCTGAAGGCAGCTTCTCTAGCACCAATGGTTAATAAAGCAATGGCTTGGTTGACTCTTCTTAATGGAGAGACATCGACAGCTTGTCTTCTGGCAGCACCACCACCACCGATTCTGGTAGTGTCTTCTCTTGGACCAGTGTTAGCAATGGCATCAACAACGACTTGTAATGGGTTGGAGTCAGTTAAGATGTTGATGATTTCAAGAGTGTGCTTGATGATTCTGACGGCCTTCAACTTCTTACCGTTATTTCTACCGTTCATCATTAAAGAGTTGGTTAATCTTTCAATGATTGGACATTGAGCCTTTCTGAATCTCTTGTTAGCATAACGACCAGCAGTGTGACCAACAAAAATTGGTTGTCTAATTTGAATGTAGTCGACTAAAGATGGATCTTTAACTTCAATATCTTCAAAGGACCATTTGTTGAATAACTTGATTTCAGTAGAACCTCTTTGGACATCTTCTGGGATGGCAGTAGCTAATTCCACAGGAGTGAATTCTTCGACGACTTCGAAATCTTCTTGAACTTCAACTGGAGCTTCAACGTCAGACATCTTTTCTTTGATCGTTTGATGGTGTTGCTTTAACCCTTGAGGCAAAATGAGAAAAAGGTTTTGAATTCTGAAGGCTGTTAAATAGCGAAATTTCCAACGTCTACGGATAGCAGTAACGTGTATTTCAATACTAAAAATTCACTAATATGTAACTAAAAGCACATATTGAATAATATCTTTAACTGAGGTTGCTACTAGGGTAAATTACAATAATCATTTGGTGCTTAGAGGAATATCGACACCACCTCTCCATTACTGATTCTTACTGTTGGAAGCATGGCTCAATAGGTCGACAAGAATTCATCGATAATTTCCTCTCATCACTTCTCTCTTGGTCCTATGGGGGCCATTCCATCCCCGCTCACCGTCCCCATTCACCGTCTCCTGTCTACTTTCACGGTTTACAGCACCTCACTCTTTCTCTCCTTCCCTCCCTGCCTACACCACTACCTGTGTGGGTGGGGTTTTACTCCAAAGGGACCTCCCTTCTATTGCCACCAGCACTTGTCCTTTCCAATCTACTGTCATGCTAGCGTTGCCCCTTTCACCTCTCTCTAAACATCTTGAACATACGCATACGCGCACACACATACACCCACACAAAGACATTTTCTTATTGGGAGTCCTTTGGCTGTAGAAGGAAGACTTGTTCCCTAGGACAAGAATTCTGATTCAAAAGAGTTTTCCTTAGAGTGTAGTTTTGTCCAGACCACTGGGAGCAAGAGGATGTTTTCGAAAAAAAAAAAACAATCTTGAGGTTACATTATGTGTTTTGCACAGAATCAGGGAATGATCGGGGAGAGGGGAGAAAGCGAGAAACCAGAAAAATATAACGTCTAATATGCTGTCTTGGAAATAGGAAAAAAAAGAGGAAAAACAAAGGTTTATTTATTATATTTTCGGGATGTTCTGATGTATATTAGATAGAACAGTCCTTGAAATACTTACACTTTGATATCTTTGTATATCTTAAACCACATTCAATCTACGTACTGTTACAAATTAATCAAAACACTCCTTTCCCATTCTTGACCATACTATGAATAATAGATGCCACGTTTGTAAATTTATACAGGGCTATAGACAAATATATAGAATATATCATATTGTTTGCTTGCTTTCCTTTGTTTCTCTTCTTGTTGTTTTTTTTTTATTTGTGTCTTTGATTGGTGAACCATGTGTCATACCAGTAGGGAGTTTTTATCTTCATATTTACACGTTTACCGCTAGGCGTCGTCAGGTAGAACATGTCTTCAACACCAGAATATTCATCAAAGGCTAATGGGAAATATTCTGTACGTAACAATACAATGCCAACATCACCTTCAAATGCAATCAAAGTTCCGATAGGTCTTCTTCTCTTCTTTGTAACTGTGGAATTACTTTCATTGAAGGGGTTTGACACTATGTTCGTATTGTGAGCGGTATTATTATTATTATTATTATTATTATTATTGTTATGATGATAATACTTTTCATCCAATTCCACATCAACCAATTCTCTAGATGAGCTAGCGTCATATGAATTTAACAATTCATTTAATGGAGTTGGATTATTGAACACAACACTTACAATTCTTTTCCTTAAAATGCCAGTGGATAGGGTTCTTGCAGTTAATTCTTGACCCATGTAGCAACCTTTATTGTTACTGATTGAGTTAGGTAGATAGTCAAAGTTGCATTCTAATGGTAACAAAGTGGTTGATTTGATATCTTTGACGCCATCTAAAAACCCATATTTTAATCTTTCTCTCCTGAAATATGGACTGTTATCTTCATGTTTCTTAACCTCGATGGGGAAGGGCATCATTGATATATTAAAAATAGTTCCGATATCTGAGACAGTATCCTTTGCCACAAAACGGAAATGGGCAGATGCGCTACCATCTTTATATAGTATCTGCTCATACCTTCTATCTATATATCCGCCTAATATATCATTATTTGTTTTAAATAGTGTGTTTATAACATTCTTACTAAACAGCTGTGCATCTTCAGGTGTTTTCATTTGACTCATTGGATCCAATAAATTATCTATCCATGGATTCTCTACCTCTTTTGGAATATTTTGGAATCGGATTATTATATCCCAACAATTTATATCACCAACATGTTCAAGCTTGACCCTACTCCCTAATTTATGTGACTCAAATAATTTGGACATGTATGACATAATCTCCTTATCAAATTCGAGTAAATACTCAGGATATTTCATATTCAATCCATTTGCAATAATAGGTGTACAATAAAGTATAGAATCTGTTATTAATTTACCCTTCCCGTTTAATAGCCCTGTGTACTGTCCAAATCTAATAATATGTTCCCCATATGGGCCACACTCTTGATATAACCCCCAATTGGATTTATCAGTAGGAAAATCGATAATACTTGACCCCTTAAGTTGTGATTTATCGTGGTCGTTTATTGTCATTAGATTTTTTTTTATAAAATATGGTTGCAGTTTGGTTGTCACCATGCCATTAAGAAATGGGATTGTGTCTGGACCACGGACCTTTAGGTATGTTTTATGGGTTAGTTTCGTGTATTGAAATAATCCAGTAACTTCATTTTGTGATGATAAATTGCTATTGAATCTTACTGATTGGAGCCTTATCTTTTGGACTATATATTTTATTCTTGTATACATCTTACTTCAATGTTTTGACTGGCTATACAGAAAGGAATAGACACAATATAGTTTTCAGTGTAGAGTTAAGTAAGAAAAGACGTTTTGATATTCATTTCCAGTATTTATTTCTTTTCTCTCCCCTATATGCAAATCGTGGTAATATTTTAAACGTTATTTTATTACTTAATTAGAGTTATACAGAAATCAAAAAAAAAAAAGACAAGAAAAAACAAGAAAAAACAAGAAAAAGGTAATAAAAACCGAGATACAAAATATATAGTAACCAATCTGAAATCTCAAACGAGCAATCATAAGACATTTGTTTCACCAATAAAAAAAAGCTATTATCAGTTGAATGAAATCAATTTGCGGACGATTTTCAATTAAAGAAATATAATATTACTTATTTTATATCGGAATTCATAGGTTAGAACTGGAAATGAAGAAGAAAAGATTAAAGAGAACTACCTCATTCAGTGTAAAATAATAATAGTGATAATATGGATAGACTTTTCTAATAAAATATAATAATAATAATAATATTTTTTTTTATTTTAATATTGATTAGAATATAAAGATAGGATTATATTGATTATTTACTAGAATCTTTTTTTTTTTAAAAAAAAATAAAAATAAAGATAACATAACAAGGAGCTGGTAGAATTGTAAAGTATATGAAAGGTTAAAAAGATAAAATGGAGGATGAAATAAACAAACAACCAAATAAAAAAAGAAAAGAAAAGAAAAGAATATTTATTTCGATCCACGATTTTATTTAGCTTCAGCAGCTAATTTTTCTGCTTTAGCAACAACATCTTCGATACCACCGACCATATAGAAAGCGTTCTCTGGGATGTCATCATATTTCCCTTCCAAAACAGCCTTGAAGGAAGCAATTGTATCCTTTAATCTGACCAGTTTACCTGGAATACCGGTGAAGACTTCAGCGACAGCAAATGGTTGAGACAAGAATCTTTGTATCTTTCTGGCTCTTTCGACGGTTAATTTATCTTGTTCTGATAATTCATCCATACCTAAAATGGCAATGATATCTTGTAAAGATTTGTAAGTTTGTAAAGTTTCTTGAACCTTTGTAGCAACATCATAATGCTCTTGTCCGACAACAGCAGCATCTAATAATCTAGATTTGGAATCTAATGGGTCAACAGCAGGATAGATACCCAATTCGGAGATACTTCTTGATAAAACCGTGGTAGCATCTAAGTGGGCGAATGTGGTGGCTGGAGCAGGATCAGTTAAATCATCTGCAGGGACATAGACGGCTTGAACAGAGGTGACGGACCCTTTTTTAGTAGTAGTAATTCTTTCTTGTAAAAGACCCATATCAGTGGCCAAAGTTGGTTGATAACCGACGGCAGATGGGATACGACCTAGCAAAGCAGAGACTTCCGAACCAGCTTGTGTGAATCTGAAAATGTTGTCAATGAAAAGCAAGACATCTTGACCTTCTTCATCTCTAAAATATTCAGCAATGGTCAAACCAGTCAAGGCGACTCTGGCTCTAGCTCCTGGTGGTTCGTTCATTTGACCGAAGACCAAAGCGACTTTTGATTCACCTTCCAGATTGATAACACCAGTTTCCTTCATTTCACGGTATAAATCGTTACCTTCTCTGGTTCTCTCACCGACACCGGTGAAAACGGAGAAACCACCATGTGCCTTAGCGATGTTGTTGATCAACTCTTGGATGAAAACGGTCTTACCGACACCTGCACCACCAAATAGACCGATCTTACCACCTCTTGCATAAGGAGCTAGAAGGTCGACGACTTTAATACCAGTTTCCAGGATTTCTGCAGTAGTCGATTGTTCGGCAAAGGTTGGTGGATCGGTGTGGATTGGTTTTCTCAATTTAGAGTTGATTGGACCTCTTTCGTCGATTGGTTCACCAATAACATTGATGATTCTACCCAAGGTTTCTCTACCTACAGGAACAGAGATTGGGGCACCAGTATCTATGACTTCTTCACCACGGACCAAACCTTCAGTACCATCCATGGCAATAGTTCTAACTGTGTTTTCACCCAAGTGTTGAGCAACTTCTAGAACCAATTTACCACCGGTTGGGTTTCTTACTTCCAAAGCGTTTAGAATAGCAGGTAGATTAGCTTGATCGAATTGAACATCGACGATAGCACCGATAACAGCCTTAATCTTACCAGAAGCAATAGGGGCGTTAGTTGCGGCAGAAGAAGAAGAGGAGGAGGAGGCACTAGCGTTGGATTGAGTAGCCAACCCTCTCTTTAGGGTAGTGTCGATAGCAAATCTCTTCTTCTTTTGAGCCAAGTTAAAAACGCACAGATTTCTAATTGGGACCATTCTAGAAGAATTAGTTAAAGAACTAAAACAACGAGCACTAATGGCCTTTAATGCAGTCTTAGAGGAAGCACTAGTAGCACGGTATACAGTTGGCAATACCATTATTTTTTTTTTCTTTTTGGAATATTAAATAAAAAAACAAAAAAAATTATATGATCTGATATTAAATCTCTAATATTATATATTTTAGTAATTTGTTTTATTTGATTTGATTTTAATTTTGATTTTTTGTCGATGTGTTCTTGGTTAGTCTTGTTAATTTTATTCTTATTCTTATTCTTTTTTTTATTCTTTTTCTTATTCTTTTTCTTCCTGTTTAGTCTCCTATAGTTTTCTCTTCTTTCTTTCAAAAAATCGACTTTATCAAAATTTTCTCTTTTATTCTGTAATTTTGGTCTAGTGTTGTAAATAGAGAAAGGGGGAGGGGGAGAAAAGCAGAGGAAAGAGTTGGGAAAGAAGTATATTAAACAAGAGTGAGATGGAGTAAAGAAAATAAATAAATAAATAAATACAAGCAAGAGACAAAAAAAAAAAAGGAAAGGAAAAAGAGAGAAAGAAATAGAAAAGGACGATTGATGGCAAGTGACAGAGAGACCAGTGAAGTATGTTAGAAGTGTCTAAAAAGAAAGGTGGGAGACCTAGGTTTAAAGGAAAGAGACAGTAATACACACATGTATAGATAAGTACAAATATCTATAAATGCATATATATATGGATAGATAGATAAACAGATAGATTCGTACAACAACAGACCAATAAAAGAGCTGAGAATTGGCAGCACGGAAAGTGGTTCTGTGTAATAATTTGGTCAAGATGCAGATATGATTCGTTTTTTCTTTTTCTTTTTCTTTTTCCTTTTCATTTTTTTATCTTTATTTTTCCTACTTATTAATTGTTTAATTATCTAATCCTATATGTTATATAATAATAGTAAATGATAAAAGTGCGTAAATCGAGAAGACTACATATACACACGCACATCCGCGCCATTCGAGACGGAGACAAAAAAGGACAGGACGTCTAACTCGATTACTTGTAAGATGATAGTACTACTTTTTACTCTTTACTCTTTACTCTTTCTCTATCTGCCGTGTTATAGCTGTTGCTGTACTCTTGAACTCTTGAATCCTTGAGGTTTTGAGCTCGAAAGCCCACAACATTCTCTGCACCTCGATACTCCCTTTTTTCTTTCTTCCCTTTTTTCTTTCTTCCCCTTATTCTTTCCCAGTATTTTTCCAAGTCCTTGTGTTTTTTGTTATTGTGACTTTTATTGTTATTGTTATTGTTTTGTTTTTTTTTCTCTCTCTTTGAATAAATATTTCTTTCGATTCCGGTTGGTGCGTAATTCAAGACTTGATTGGCCAGTTTTGTCTTGTCGTTGTTTCTTTTTCTTCTCGTCTCGAACGGCAGCAGACCGTTGGAGGTGTGGATGTTGTTTTGAACCCTACTCGCGACTCATGCCTTAACCCTAAAGTGGCGTGTCACGTGCCGTCGTAACCCTATTGCGATCCTCTGTGCAATTTCTTTTTTTTTTTTGTCTTTTTATGGTATTTTTTTTTAGGGGTTGGAAGAAGTGGATAATCAGAACAACAGAGGGATCATTTTTGAATATATATTGTCATAGACACGTCACCATATGCAAGTATGCATACACGCACACACATACATATCTATCTATATATATATATATATATATATAGTCGCATATGTATGTATTTAAAACATAGTTTTAGTCACTCTCTCTGTTTTTCTGCCATTATTTTTTGTATAATTCTTTTAAATATATATATATATAAATATATATATATTTATATATATGAATATACCATGACATTAGAAAATGTTCCCACTTTATATCCATCTTTTGAAGATTTGAATAACCCAATTGAATATTTATCTAGACCAAATATCACTAGATTGGGTTTTAGATATGGTTTGATAAAATTGGTACCTCCTTCTAATATTGTTACTGATACTAATAGTAATGCTAAATTTGACTATGTAACATATTTAAATAAAGATACAATATCTTTTAATCCAAGGCTACAAAATTTACCTCATTTGAATTTATTATATAGAGCGCGTTTATTTTTTGTTAACCAATTATATAATTTTTTTGATAACATTCAAATTGAAAATGTCTTTTTGAGAAAAAATAATAAAAATTTTACCTCTATTAAACCCTTTTTATTAGTCAAATATAAACCAAATAATAATAATAATACTCGAACTGTCCATTTTAAACTTTATTTCTACGATCTATTTATCGAATTAGTTAAACAAATTAACCATATTAATAACAATGAAATAACAAACCACAATAAATATACCACTTTTCATACATTTGATGATTTAATTTTACTTCCTCTAACTGATATATTAAACAACAACGCTCTATGGTTACATTTGGCAAAAAAATTTAAAATTAATAAAAATACTCTGTTGAAGATATTTGGAAAATACTTATCACTTTATTATGATTTTTTATACCATTTCAATATCCATACCCACATCTTACCTAAAATTCAACATAATAGTTTAACTGACCCAGTATCTCTACTAGATTCTCACAATCAACTCATCCCAAACGACAAGGAAAATCACACAATAGAAAATATAATAGACAATCCATCAGTGATGGATCTTGATCTTGTATGCCACATATGTGGCTCACATATCCTAGACTCCAGATTATTTGAATGCCAAAGCTGTAATAATTGGTTCCATGAAAACTGTTTTAAACTAAATTATTCCTACTGTTCAATCAACTTAGACTCTATTCAGCTAAAACATTGTCATGAATGTGTAATAGGTAACTCGATATATGGGTTCCCCATAGATGATAGATCTTACACTATAACAGAATTTAAGAAAACATTTGGAAATTCTGAGATCCCTTCTACTCAGGAATCAATAGACCTAGGTATTCTGGAGAAAGAGTTTTGGTCGAAAGTTAATAATTGTACAGGTAACGAAATAATCAAATATGGTGCAGATATACCATATCCAATAGATAATGTTTTAAAAAGTTGTGTTTGTAATAATAAAAGGAAAGGAAAATCAAAGGAAATTGAATTGCAACCCATAAATCTATTGAATTTGCCTAATAATAAAAATTCTCTATTAAAGTATTGTAAAAATTTACAAAATAAAAAGACTAGAAAGAAGAGAAACAAAAATACTAATAATACAAATACTGATGATAATAATGATGTAAATGAAATTTCAGGGATGACATTACCTTGGTTATATGTCGGATCTAAATTTTCCACATTCTGTTGGCATATGGAAGATCAATACACCTTATCAGCAAATTATCAACATGAGGGAGCACCAAAGATTTGGTATAGTGTATCACCACAATCATGCTTTGAATTTGGTAAACGTTTATATGAAATGACACCGGATTTATTCCTTAAAGACAATAATCTGATTCACCAATTAACCACTTTGGTTTCACCATATGATCCATATTTAAACAAAACAATTCATTTTTTTAAAGTCATTCAGTACCCTGGCGAATTTATAATTACATTTCCTCAATGCTATCATTCTGGATTTAACACAGGCTATAATTTAAATGAAGCAGTCAATTTTACAACTGATTTTTGGTTAGATTTCGGTATGCGGGCAGTGTCCGATTACAAATACATTGGTAAACCGTGTGTCTTCAACATTTATTTGTTATTAGAATTGATTCTAAAGGAATTTCTCACATTGTCAAAGGTAACCAATTGGGTATTATACAGAGACTCCTATCATTTTTTGTTAAATTATGTTAATATTGAATTAAAAAGGTTATATAGATTAAAAGAAATGAACAATCAAAGAAATTTCATAAGTTCAGGCTTGAATAGTTTTGAAAAGAATAATCATAAAAAATATGTTGATAATGACGATGAAATAATTTGTAGTAAATGTCAAACAATGTGTACATATGCCTATTATGTCTCAATAAAGGAAAACAACAGCAAAGAGAAGCCCTGTAAAGCCCTTTGTCTTGAACATGGACTGCAACAAGCAAGTAAAGATAGTTTTAAAGAATTTAATATACATGTGATACGAGATGTAACAAAAGTACTTGAATTACTAAGTAAATGTAGTAAAAAATTGGATCAGTTTTGATAAGTAACCAAACATTAATATATATATACGTATGTATGTATATATATGTGTGTGTATATGTGTAAAAAGGTTAAAAATGACAGGAAAACATCAACAGTGATACTTTTGGTGCATATATTATGTGTATATGATTATATCTGTTTGTCATACAATTGAATTGTACTGACACTTATTAAAAAATTTAAAAAACTACCAAAGGAAAAATTCTGTGGAAAATGAGATGGCAAGAAAAAAAAAATAAACTTTATGAATTTTCAACTACATTAAAACCTAAACATATCCACACGTAAGACAGTATAAGGGCCCATGTGTTGTCAGGTATATGGAGAAGAATACAAATATCAAGTTCATAAATTTCATAGATACCAATAAAAAAAGAAAGAAATAAACAAAAAAAAAACATAAAACCATGGCTATTTTATCCTCTTTTAATTTACTTTTTTTAAGAATCAGTCTTCTGTTAACATTAGCTTTCTACTGTTTAAAAGATGTCAATATAATTTTAAATAATTCATATTTTGATGTTTTGACACAAGCAATGAATCTTCCAGCCATTCAAATGTCTCGTTTCAGTGGTCAATTGGGATTCTTTAGTGTTCTCTTTGTATTATTAGCAATTAATGATTTGATCCCACTATTGGAAGATAATAAACAATATTTTTTTTCAGTGGTTCCAGTAAGATTAACCGTGTTTTTCATTTTGACTACAGTTTCATACTGGGGTCAAGATTATTACTATTTACATAACAATGTTGTCTTTATTTATTCATTTGCTGAGGTTTGGTTAAATTTCTTAATTTATACATCTATTAGAGAAGAGAGAAATGCAGATATCATAATTCAAAAGAAGGCCTTATCTGAAGCTGAATTAATCAATTAATGATGTTAAATAACCTTACATAGAGTTTAATACATGTATGTATGTATGTGCACGTATATGTGTATAATATGTAATGGACGGTAATTTCACAAGAAATCATCTAAGTCGTCTAAATCAGATAGATCAGATAAACCACCGTCATCCAAAAAGTCACCGCCATTAGTAATCGAACTATTGTCATTTTGTTTCTTTAAATGTTTCTTTTTATCATCGGGGTATCTCATAGCCAACACACTTTCGTCGTGTAATTGGTTAATGAATCTGATTCTTTCATCAAAGACTCTCTGTGGATCCCTTGTATCATAAACATTCAAAAGCTCTGTAGTTTCGATGTATCCATCTTTATGATTAATATTGGCTTCAATCACACCATCTCTGATTGATCTTGAAACCATATATTCTACGGTTTGTTCAGAATCTAATGAAAGTTTTAAGCATATATCCTTCAAAGATATTCTCTTGTATGTTAATGAGATGATTCTAATACCTGTCTTGATGACATTAGACCTCAATCTGACACAAAGTTGGTAGTTATCATCTTTAATCAATTGTCTTTTGAATTTAGTTAGAACATTAGTAAATTTATTTAAATCACCAAGTTTTACTGTGTTAGTTAGATGATAATATGGATATAAAGATTTTTGCATATCGGTTTGATGAAAGAAGGATAATTCAGGAATATCACCCATTAATAATTGGATAACACCATGTAATTTATTTGCTTGTTGTAGGAAACCTAATGAGTTTTTATTATGTGGAGCTTTTCTAATGGCTGCAATAATATAGTCATTAGCTGTTGAATAGTTCAATTGAATTGCATTAATCTTGGATAGATAGAAATAGTACCGTGCTTCTAGAGAACTTGTGACGTCGTTGGATGGGAATTCAATTTTTGATACGAAATCTGATGCATAATTAATTTCACCCAAAGTGATAAAATTTCTTAAGATAGACACAATTAGCATTGCTTTGGTTTCATTATCGTGTCTTAAAGTTGACAATTTCAGAAACTTCATCATTTCAGAACGTAGTTCAATCAAATTGTTGTTAATATTTCTATCAACTTTTTCATAGCCTAGAGTGATATAAAACCATAATTTAGAGTTGATTAAATCCAAAGATGACCTATTGATGTTATTGTTGTTGTAATTGTTATTTGAAATGTCCTTTGTTTCATCTGAAGAAGAAGTATATCTTTTTAAGATATTTGGTAAAACTACTTTTTGATTGAAAAGATTTAACAAATCGAACTTATGACTATCAAATAAATGAATCTGAATGATTAAATGAACAAAACTATTGATTGAAGGGGCTACTTCAATGAATGGTTTTTTATCAATTGGTGAATTATTAATTACTTGATAGAACCTAACTGGATAGGAATCCCTTATTTTTGAAGCATCTTTGACATTAGTAACATGGTTATCATTTAGATATTGTAGAAGATGTTTTTTATCATGTCTTGGATCTGTATCAGGGTATAGGGTGTCGCATAAGACTGACAAAGTTTCACTTATTAGTAGTCCTTTTTTTCTCAGTGTGGTCAATTCATTTAAAGCTCTCCAAACATGACGAGAGTCGGTGGTAGTTAGATTACTCTTAGCCAATTCCTTTAAGACAGAGATAAATTGTTCAACTTCTGTGCTTGGTACAAACATTTGTTGATCGGTTGAGTTGTTGTCACTATTATTCATATTGTTATTAGACCGTATGGAGAATTAGATTAGCCTGTAGTCGAGTAAAATAGAAAGATGAGGACAGACAGTGTTTCTGATGCTAATCTTGTTACAGAAAGTACAAGGCAAACACTCAATATGTATATTTTGTCGGGTATAAATATAGGCACAAGTCAAAGTACAGATGTAGATATGGTTACACAAAATGAATCAACATATTTCAGTTCCCCTCTTCTTTTGCTCTGTGTTGGTGGCAATTTTTTTTTTCTGTTTCTTTTTTGTTTGCACTCTCTTAGATAAAGAAATCTAGATCTTTGGTATGTGGTGTCTGGATGCACACGTACTGCTGCTGTGAATAAAGAATTCCTGACACTTTAACCATTGAAAGTAGTATTTTGCTACGTTTATGCGGATGTGTATAAACATAATAATATATGTATGTATATATGTATACTTACTTCTGTTAGATCTATCTAGACTGGTGGATACAATTTTGATAAATCTAAAAAATCTAAATACAGATCATCAGTAATTGCATTAGACAAAGCAGGAGAAGTAGTAGTAATGGTGCTAGTAATACTATTATTCTTAGGTATGATATCATTCTTCTGAAATAAAGATGATGGTGATAGAGTCGAGAGTGACGACTCCTGATTGAAATCTAAGTAACGATCAAGCCATGAGTTATCATCTTGGATCATATTCTGTTCGTCATGTTTATTCTGTACATCTGTGATAGATGGGATAATAGTGGTAGCCATAGATTTTGTATATGTATTAGTACTATCAAATAATGAAAACATCTCATCATCTAGATTATATATGGTCGTATTTTGGTTCGTATCGAATGTGTAGGGATAAGTATTTATTATATTAGCTGTAGAGAACAATGATGATGATAATGCTGAAGAGAAGGTTGAGGAAGAAGAGGGGGGAGGAGAAGAAGACTTTGCGGTTTGGTATTTTAAGTTTTGTACTTTCTTTTTAAAAGGTTTAAACATGTCAGTAAAATCGATTTCATCTAAATTAATCATATCATTCTTTGTATTGGTAATGTTGGTAGTAAGAGTGGTATTAGTTATGTTGTTACTATTATTATTATCGTTGTTGTTGTTGTTAAATAATATAGATAGAGAATCATTTGCTAATGTATTTTTAGATGATATCAATTTTTTCTTGGAAACAAAATTATTTTTGCTCTTGCTATTATTTCGATTGATATCAGATTTGTTTAAAATTGAAGGCTCTGGTATAATTATATTATTAAACCAATTGATTTCGTTAGTCAACCCACAATCACATGTCACGATTTGGGTGGATGGTGAAGACATTGGTAAGTTGAATTTCGTTTTATATTCCAATTCTTCAAAGAATTTCATAGTATCTTTATCCTTTTGCAAATATAAATAATTTTTAAATTTTCTATACTCATCTGTGGATGGATCGAATTTTAATTCATGTGAATGAACGTTATTGACTATCAAAATGTTCCATTTTTTCAATTTTATCGAATATGTGGCTCTAATTCTAAAAGGACAGAAAGACTTGCTGCTGCTACCGCTTCTCTCTGTCTTTGTTTTTTCTTGTTGTTGCCGTTTGGTGATACTTGACTTACATTTGAAAATAATCTTACTGTTGTCTGATCTTTCAATAACTAAATTGATGCCTTGCGGGAAGAAGCTTTTTTGTAGCCAGAATTTAATTTCATTACGGTCTTTAAATAGAGGCACTGGATCCAGATGGATTAATTTATTTTGTTCTCTAATTAGGGCATTACTTAGGTTGTTTGGAGACCAAATAGATCTTGGTTGTCTAACCATTTTGTTATTCCTTACTTTCTCTATAAAAAAAAAAAAGGAAAAAAAAAAGAAGAAGAAGAATTTTTTTTGACTTATGTGTCTGTATAGGAGTACTGAATGAATATGGGTTTGAAGAAGTAATAATATTTGGAGAAATATATTACAACCTTTTCTTCATATCTTATTCCTTTCTGTTTTTTAAAAAAAATTTCTTGTTTAAAATTGATTTTTTTTTTATTTTCTTCTAGCTTTGGATAGGAAGCTTGCTCTCTTGTATTGTTGCTTAATCAAAGATTACTGTTTAATGAAAGCTGGAAGAGCATGTAATAAGACATTAAACAAATAATTATAATTTTTATCACCATAGCGAAAAGAATAATTAATATTTTAATTACTCATCATTTTCTTCTGCACTGAGTCATTTTCCACGTCTCTTGTTTGATGTCGTTTCTTTTTTCTTTCTTTTTTTTTTTTGATGGGCGGAGACGGAGAGACAACTCTACGCCCACAGTATTTCGTGAACAATGATCACAAAAGGGTCGGGGATTGTTTTTTTTTGTTTTTCTGTTATCTATTTAGGTTTTGTTATGGTGTGGATGTGATGACGGCTGCTGAGTAATGAATATTACGTTATGAGCTGGGGAGAGAGCGTGTGTGGAAAGAAAGAAAGAAAGAAAGATGTTGTAATTAGACGAGCAGGTTGGGCGGCTAGATGGAAGAGACATACAAATATACAACTTTATAAATATATATATAGATAGATATATAGATATAGATATATTGCCTGATTGATTGATAAGGTGGTGAGAAGGTTATGGGATCAAAAGAGTGATATACGGTTGAGGTTTTTTACACTATATTAAGTGATGTTAAGTTTAAAAGATGATTTGGATATTTGGAAACATAGATGTGATTTTATCCAAAGACAGACACTAACTATTCTAAAACATTCTTATGATGTTACCTCTGTTTCTCATAAACGGTCCTCGTTATCATATACTCTATTGTTATCATTATCATCATCATCAAATTTGTATAACAGCACTCTCCTTCCAATATCACAAACTGTTTGGTTGGACGTAATTATATCATTATATAGACTGACTAAAGATCTAGAGTTTCTGTCAAGACAAATAAATATGATAAATATTTATGAAATGCAAAAGTGTAGTACTATCACTGGTAATAGTAGTATTACTACTACATACAAATGTATTTTCAATAAAAAAAACACAGGAGACAAGGATCCAACTTTTCTAATACCCTTTCTTCTCATCATTACAACTATTCTTATGATGATCACATTCTATTCATAAGTTTGTTTGTTTGTTTGTTTTCATTTTTCATTTTTCATTTTTTTTCACATGCAATTGAATTATTATTCAGTTGATAACAACAATGACAATGGCGATGACCATGACAATGACGATTACGACGCCGGCTATTTTCTTTCTATTGAAAAGTTCCTATGATTCTGTTTTTCACATTTTTTTGTTATATTAATTGTTGTTTTCATTTTGTATCGGTGTTTTATTTTAATTTAATTTGATTTGATTTAGTATAATTTTTTTTTATGCACAAAAAAGAGAGGGGCCGAGAATTTGGTGTGGTGTACGGCTGTTATGTATTGATTTCGCTTGTGTTTCGTTCCATTGCTGTTTGTTACTGTTATTGTTATTGTTATTTTGGTTTTGGGTTTTTGTCTTCCTCGAGGATTTTGTTTTTTTTGTTTAACAAAAGACATCAAATAATCAAATAATCAAAGTGCAAACAGATATTTATGTATTATTATCATATATACTCATTTGAACTTCTACATGTAATACATAAACTTTTACACATACGTATGTATGTGTGTATGTATGTATGCGTGTTTGTGCATTGTCTTATATTATAAAAGAAGTGTCCTTAGTAGTGCAGAAACAAGGAATAGAATGAAATAGAGTCAAAAAATAAAAAAATAAAAAAAACAAGTGGTTTGTTATAGATAATATAAAATAATACACCATTTTCTCTGTTTGCCCTTTTTTTTTTTTCTTTATCATATCTTTTATTTATTTATTTATTTATTTATTTATTTTTGGAACTTATAATATATATATATATTATATGGATCAGTCTGATCGCGTAATTGATTTTTTGAAATGAATAATGTTATTGATAGAATCTCTATTGATTCTTCACTATGGAACGATACTTTACATCAAAGAGGTAGTTTGGTTTATAATGACAGTAACAGCATAATAATAGTAAAAGAAAATAATAAAGCGTTTTCAAAAGATTCAACAAGCCTCAAGGGTGATTTCAAAACTACCACTGGTGACAAAATAAGTGAGAACGGTGACAGTGACAATAATGATGGTGACAACAGCGATTTCTCTGTTCATTATGATGATAATGGTGAACCTATCTTACGTAAATCCTTTTCTTTGTGGTCGATATTGGGTGTTGGTTTCGGTTTAACAAATTCTTGGTTCGGTATATCTGCCTCTATGGTCACTGGGATTTCCTCTGGTGGGCCAATGATGGTGGTCTACGGTATTATCATTGTAGCATTGATCTCTATCTGTATCGGTATTTCCCTAGGTGAATTGTCTAGTGCTTATCCACATGCAGGTGGCCAGTTCTGGTGGGCTTTACAACTGGCCCCTCCACGCTATAAAAGGTTTGCTGCTTATATGTGTGGGTCTTTCGCTTATGCTGGTTCCGTTTTCACGTCTGCATCTACCACACTATCCGTGGCAACTGAAGTAGTTGGAATGTACGCTCTAACTCATCCAAATTTCAAAGTGGAGAGATGGCACGTCTTCGTCACTTTTGAATTAACTCATTTCTTTTTGATGTTATTTAATTGCTATGGTAAATTGTTACCCTTGATTTCATCTTCATCACTTTACATCTCGTTAACCTCCTTTATCTCAATCACAATGACTGTTTTAATTTGTTCTTCGGGTCACTTTAATGATTCCAAATTCGTCTTTGCTACTTTCTATAATGAAACTGGCTGGAAAAATCATGTTATCGCGTTCATTGTCGGTCTGATTAACCCTGCTTGGTCGTTTTCGTGTCTCGATTGTGCTACACACATGGCATTTGAAGTTGAAAAACCAGAAAGAGTCATTCCTACAGCCATTATGGGCACCATAGCCATTGGGTTTGTTACCTCTTTCTCCTACGTTATAGCTATGTTCTTCTCTATCCGTGACATGAAAAGTTTGATTGCATCAACCACCGGTGCACCCATTCTTAATATATACAACCAGGCATTGGGCAATCAACATGGGGCTGTGTTCTTGGGCTGTTTGATCCTGTTCACCTCATTTGGTTGTGTTATCGCATGTCACACATGGCAAGCAAGACTGTGCTGGTCCTTCTCTCGTGATTGTGGTTTGCCATATTCAAGGATTTGGTCACAAGTGAACCCATATGTCGGGGTCCCACTGAATGCCCATCTAATGTCTTGTGGCTTGATCTCAATCATCGGTCTTCTATATTTAGCATCATCTACCGCATTTAACTCTTTGATCACCGCGTGTATCTCATTCTTACTGTTGTCGTATGTGGTCCCCGTCATCTGTTTACTTTTTAAACGTAGAAGAATAAGACATGGCCCATTCTGGTTGGGAAAGATCGGCTGGTTCTCTAATTTCGTTTTACTAGGATGGACTCTGTTTGCCCTAGTCTTCTTTTCATTACCTCCAGTCTTGCCAGTGGATCGTAACAATATGAATTATGTCTGTGTGGTTATCGTTGGTTATACATTGTATTCTATTTTGTACTGGAGGTTTAAAGGTACTAAGGAATTCCATCTGGAACAAGGATATGATATTGAAAAGAAACAAAGACAGGAACAAACACAAGATGAAGATTTCAATGAAGATGTATCTGTTTCAGGTGTCGTGAACAGTCTTTGAAAGCGACTTGTTAGATTTTATTTTATTTTATTTAAATTTATTTTTATTTTTTGCTTCTTCTTCCATTTTTTTTTTTAAGAAATCTATATGTATACGTAGCACTATTATTTCTGTTATTATTTATATTTGTATATAATATATATTCTGAATGATGTTTTATTTTGGTCTCACAGCAACCTGTTAGCTATCATTACTATTATTTTATGTATGCGGGTTTTGTTAATTGATCTCTTCTTTTTATCTTTGTCTCATCTGTGATCTATGTCAAAATATGAAAAGAGAAGAAGAACTTCTTTCTTCAAATTTATCCATTTATGAATACATAAATAAACACACACAGAGACAAACACATGCATATACATGCATACATATATGCGTATGATAAGTTAATAAATATTTCTTTTTTTTTAAAAATTTAGATAGTAACACCTTTTGTTTATTCTCACCAATATATATTATTTCTAATGTATACTAATATGGTTATAAGGACAGCATGGAATAAAATATCAAAATCCTGGAGCACGACAATCGATTCATCAAATGAGAAAAGTTCCATACGTAATAGTTCATCAAAGAGATCCTCATCGACCATTAAATCAAATGACAAACCAGATACTGACTTACAAGAGTACCGACTTCCGATTAATTTACTTGGTTTCACCTCAACTACAAGAAACAGATTACTTACCGATGAAATTGGACATGAATTAAGAATATTATTTCCTTCTAGGATCCAACTTTACACAGATTGGACTCTGATTTACAGTTTAGAACAGCATGGAGCTTCTTTGCATTCTCTGTATGGGAATATACACAATACCATAGTTCCTAAACGACGCGTTGGATATTTGATTATTATTAGAGATGCACGAGGTGGAATCTTTGGTGGGTATTGTAACGAACCATGGTTACCTAACGAGCATAGACGATACGGAGGGAATGGTGAATGTTTTCTGTGGAAATTGGTAAGGGCTAAGAATATTAATTTGGGTAAACAAGAGCAAGGAGTTTTATCAGAGTCTATAGGAAGACATATTCAAAGACAAGATAGCTCCAGTGTTGTAGGGTGGAGACTAGTTGGGTTCCCTCATACAGGTGTTAATGAGTTCACTATGTATTGTACCTCCAAATTTCTTTCCATGGGGGCAGGGGACGGCCATTACGGGTTATGGGTAGATGATGGTTTATTGACTGGTGTCTCTTACCATTGTTTAACTTTTGGAAATGAACCATTATCACAAGAAGGCGAAAAATTCCATATTACAGGTTTAGAAGTTTGGAGAATTGGAGGAAGATAATATTATCTAGAGTGACAAACTGTAAATTTGGCAAGATATTCAAAGAGTATTTGTTAAGATTAGTCACTTTCTTGGTTGTTTATAAATTTATTTATCAATTGTCCATAATAATAATGATAATTATAATGATCTGGGAAGGTAAGAGGAAGATGCGTCATGTACATACATATAAATGTACCCATCCATCTATATATATGTACATATATAGTCAATTTTATACATATACACATAATATGTTGAACCATTCCACGCTACAGAATCCTTCTTTGTCATCCATACTTTCCTCTATATATATAGACATTATTTTGTATACATGGAATAAAGTCTTTGTCATGTTTGTTTTATTATAAATTATTGAATATTCTAAAGAAATTTGAAGATTTTGTAAACCTTTCCTTTTTTTTTTTTTTTAGATTAAGAGATGTACAGAGATATTGTATTTAAACAGTAAATATCAAGTTTGTAAATACACGTATATATCAATATATTTATATATGTATACTCTAGTAACATTGTTCTTTTATTAGGAATCTAGAGTAAATTATTCAGAGTATTATATTGTTGTATAAGGGTTGACAGTTAATGGATTTACATAGAGATAAAGTACAGAAGATCAGAAAAAATTAAGAAAAAAGAAGCAGAAAAGCTAAATCAATTTGGCAGATATATGTATTAGGTAAACATGAGTTTTGGTTTATCTAGTAACAATGCACCTACTGCAGAGGTAGTGAAACAAAGATTGAGACCATTTGGGATCTTTTTTGAGAAATCTTTGAAAGATTTAATTAAAGGTATTAGATCACATAATGAAACACCAGAATCTCTTCATACGTTTTTAACCAATGAATTGGTACAATGTAGAAAAGAGGCTAATTCATCAGATATCAATTTGAAGGCTAATGCAGTCTTGAAACTGGCATATCTAGAAATGTATGGATTCGATATGGCATGGTGTAATTTCCATACTTTAGAAGTTATGAGCAGTGAATCCTTACAAAATAAACGTGTAGGTTATTTGGCTGCATCACAATCATTCCATAGAGATCCAGATATCCTAGTATTAATGACCAATCTGTTGAAAAAGGATTTGAAATATGCTGGCAAAGATGATATGGTCAAGGTTGGAATTGCCTTAAATGCTATATCTACTATTATTATTACACCATCCTTGGCAAGGGATATTGTGGATGACCTATTTCTGATGCTCAATAGTTCACATGCTTATATTAGAAAGAAGACTATAGCTGCATTATTGAAAGTTTTTTTACAATATCCTGAAGCTTTAAGAGACAATTTCGATAAATTTACTATGAAATTACAGGATAATGATATATCAGTAGTATCAGCTACAGTAAGTGCTATATGTGAACTCTCAAAACAAAATCCTTGGCCATTTGTCCCTTTATCTCCATTGTTATATGAATTATTACTAACTGTTGATAATAATTGGATTATTATTAGACTTCTGAAATTATTTACAAATTTATCTCAAGTGGAACCTAAATTGAAATACAAACTATTGCCGAAAATTGTTGAATTGATGGATTCTACAATGGCTACATCGGTGTTATATGAATCTGTTAATTGTATTGTAAAAGGCTCAATGATTTTAGAAGATGATTACAATACTGCTAATAAATGTCTTCAATGTTTAAACAAATTCTGCCAGTCACAAGACCCAAATTTAAGATACATTAGTTGTACACTGTTTTATAAAATAGGTATAGTTAATTCTCAGTTTGTGTCTGATTATAATGATCTTATATTAAGGTTAATATCTGATGTGGATATTTCTATTCGTTCTAAAGCTTTGGAGCTATTGAGAGGTATTGTCAATGAGAATAATTTGAAATTAGTAGTGTCAACATTATTAAAACAATTTGTGAATGAAGAAGTAGTAATTTTGAACAATAATGGGAATGGAAGGGGTAATGGTTCAAGGAAGGAATTTCCAATTTTAATACCAAATGATTATAAGATTAAAATGATTAGGACAATCATATCATTATGTAGTATGGAAAATTACCGTAATGTAACGGATTTTGAATGGTTGAACGCACTTTTAATTGACTTAACTATAGTCTCGCAGGACTTGATAGAGGCAAGGGATGAACTTGGCAAATTAATTGGTTTACAACTTAAATCGATTATGATTAAGGTTCCAGATGTAAGAAATATAACTATTTCATCGATTATCAAAATTTTGACGATGTATGATATCGAGTTTAAATTGCCAACAGTGTTAAGGGATTGTATTTGGTCATTAGGAGAATATTCATCATTAATTGAAAATGGAGAGGTAATGATAAAAATATTGATTGATAAGTCTACTAGATTCAATGCAGATATAAAGGCAATTCTTATTCCTTCGATATTAAAATTGTTATCTACATGGTGTAATAGTGGTAATATAACATTATCAGAGGTTAAAGATGTGATCACTATAATTATCCAATTTTTAAATCCATTAATTTCAAACAGTTTATTTGAGATCCAAGAGCGATCCATTGAAGCGGTGGAATTTTTAAATCTAGTAGCTCAGTCAATTGATGAATTGGAAGTTGAACAGAATGAGAGTTCAACCGAACTACCCATGCTATTGACTGATGTTTTACCAAGTTTTTTTGGTGGGAATGAATTGAGACCTATTGCTAAAGGAACACAGCAGGAATTACAAAAAAACTTGACACATGATTATTTAGAAACTCCATTTTTATCTAGTGATGATTGGAATAATCTTTTTAAACAATATGATATAGATGAAGGTTGTATTACTGAAAGCACATTATTTGATGGATCATCTGATGAAAAGTTTAGTGATAGGGATACTTTTTATGAAAATGATTATTCTGAATTGTCATCTAATGTTGAAGATAAGGATAATCCCTTTAGTAATTACAATGATGATGCAACAATAAAAAATAGAAAGGAAGAACAATTATCAAATCCATTTTATTTGACAGAATCTGACGATAAAGCGAATATTCAAGGGAATGATATATTTGAGCATCAAGAATATAATTCCCATGTAGATGAGCTGGTGACTATTGTGAAAGTTAAAAATACTATTACTCCAAGCGAGCATGTTGCACAATCAATTGAATCTGAATTAATTACTACCAGTAACAAGGAGCAAAAGAAAAAACATAAGAAACACAAAAAATTAATGAAAAAGGTCAAGGTACTTGATGATGAAGTGATTGTTCAACCAGATCAATCACAATTGGAATTAGAGTCGAAAAAATCAAGGTCACTGTCTCCAATTCCAAATTTATATTCTATGAAACCTAGAAATAACAATGGTATTTTTTTACAAACAAAATCAAAATTAGGAAGCTTTAATTTTAATAAAGATGAGATCAACGACTTGAATGTTATAGAAAGTGAGCAGTTAGAATTGGATAAAATAAGGCAGAGGTTCCAAGAACAGAGTCTTGAAGATCAGTCAACTATGAATGATGGTGATGAGGAAGTAATTATCATTAAAAAGAAAAGGGATAAAAGTAAGAAGAAGAGTAAAACTAAAAAGAAAAGCAAAAGTAAAGATGAGATAAAGCAGATAGAAGCTGATCCAGCAGGTGCAATTGAAGATAAGTGAAATAAAGGTGTAATTTTTTGAGATATTATAATTGTTTCATATTTTGGTATATATATTTATGAGTGGGATGAATGAGAAGATAGATAGCTAGATAAATAGGTATATACAAACATTATCTTATTTAAATTTTACTTGTTTTAATGGGGAATACCGTTATTTATGTTGGAACTTTGGGTGATTTATTTGTTCAGGTATATTTTTGTTTCTTGTTCGTTTAATGTTTCTTTAAAGGGATTTATGGTAATCTATCTCCTCCACTTCAAAAAGATTGAAAAATGTTGCTATAAGTAAGATAGTAAGACGTAAATAGGCCTATAAGAAACTATTGGAATTAGAGGATGCCTGATATAGATGAAATAATCCTGTAACTGAGGATTCAAAATAACGTTCCTGGTTATATGAGCAGTAGATAGTAGATATTGTTAGTTTTTTCTTATTTTGCCGCTAATAATTTGACATTAAAGATGTCATTCAGAGCTACTATTGATTCTATCAGCAAACATAACGCATGGTACAGAGGAATATATGTATTAAATACAATTGACGAAAAGATTAAGATCACCATAATTGAAAATTCATTGATTTTGTGGGCAGTCCATAACACTGGATCATCATGTTGTCAAATTATTTATGATAAGTCTTTTTTTAAAGATTTTGAATTTAAGCCAAATAATGTTGTCTTTGGTGAGGATGGATTGCAGACAGTAACAGATTTACATGGCATTGAACATAAAATATTTTCATTCGAGATGGATGCAAAGAGTCTTAATATGGTATCAAGGAAATCTGATAATGATGAAATTAAAGAATTTACTATATCAATAGATAATACTACAACATGTCCAGATAGCCTTATGAATAGACTGATTGTTACTATCACTATGCAGTCTCTAATTGTCAAAGATCATACACCACTGTTTACTCCGATTAAATTTAGTTCTAACAGATTGGATTTACAATATAAGAAGAGGCTTTTGGATGTTTATGGTGATACTATGTATGACAATGATGAATTAGATAGATCTTTTGATCCTGCATTAGTTAAATTATTTAAGCAAATTGAAAGGGAATTATCACAGTCTATATTTGGTAACATTATTGGGCGACATTTGATTAGACGTGTGAATGATCCATCTCAGTTAACTGAAGAAGATGAAATTAATTTTATTAGTTGTAACTATAAGTTAATTAAAAATTTTGTTGATAATTGCAAAAGTAATGTTATTAAGGATGTTAAGATGGAATTATTTGAAAATATACTTACTTTGACTGGATCAAGAAGTGATTTGAAGAATAGTTCAGAAATTCTTCAGCATGGTATTATTATAAGTAATACTATTGATACTAATGATTTGGGTCCATATTGTATCTATAATATAGAGGAAGATGAGGAAGGGGAAGAGGAAGGGAATGTAGAAACAAGATTTCGATCAAAAGGAAAATATGATAATCAGAAAGATAAACACGTTGATCAGAAAAAGAGACACAAGGAAGTAAAACCATCTAAGAAAATGGTATTTACATTAAAAGATTTTAAAAGTTTTATTAATATGGCTACAATATGGAAGAGTATAGGTACCCCTCATGGAGTGCAAGAAGATTCAAATAAAGAGGTAAATATATGGTTTTGTCGTCCTGGACAGCCAATTTTGTTTCAAATATCTAAACCGAGTATTCAAGCTTCTTTATTATTACTTACAGACGGTTCTGAAACTAATATTAGTCAATCAATAGGAACACATTTTTTTGTTGAAAGACAAAGTCCATTGAAACATAAGAAAGAACACTCTCCTCAAAGGATATCACCGAATAAAAAAAGATCTATTATACCTGATTTAAATCCATCGCAATCCGTAAAAATGAATAAGGATTATGATATTTCGACTTCAACTATCGCAGGTTCCATTTCAACCAGAATTCCTCGTTTAGATCTATTAGAGATACGTAACAATAGAATTAGTCCATTAAAAGTATCGAAAACACCATTAACGAAAGTGGATTCTCCGTTAAAAGGTGATATCTATGAAAATAGTCGGTTATATCGTCAAAGTCCTAGAAGATTATTTGTTACTGATGATAATTCACAAGAAGGTTCTCCACAGAGGATGCAAACAGGATTAACAGGAATGTTCCCTTCGATATCACGTACCTCTTCTACTTTATCTGATCGTGGACTAAGTAAATCTTCAAAGCCAAGAAATGAGACAACAGATCATGAACAGATTCAGAGAGGAAAGGGGATAAGAAATAATTTTGAAAGAACAGATACTATTGTGGGATGGGGGAGATTTAAAGAGGAACAAAAGTGTTTTAATGAACAAAAACCGTTTGGAAAGATTAGCAGAGAATCATCTATGAAAGAAGATGAAATCGATCGTCAAAGAATTCTAAGACAAGAAAAAATGAAATATGTCAATTCAAAGAAAAAGTCTACTGATAAAGAGCAACATAAAAAAGATGAGTTATCTATATCATTAGATGACAACTTAGGTCCAACCCAATATAATCCTGTTAAGGGGCTTTTTGAATAATGTATCTGTTTTATTAAGATTTACAGTGCTTACTTGTTTAAAGATATTAATTAGAGGTTGATACAGAACTTTTTTTATGTGTTACAGTAGAACTATAAATAGCGGTGCTGATATGTTTAACTAACATCTTGTTTGGACATGTCCTTTTCTTTAATTTATCTTTTGCCTTCTTCCAGTGTTGGTGATCATCTTTTTAAAATAAATTTTAGAATTTAATAATTGCTTTAATATATGAAAAAATCTATAGCGGAAAATTAACTGGAAAAATTTTTGATACTTAAACTCACATCTATATTGACAGTCAATTAGAAATAAACGATAGAAATCATCCTAAGAAGGTTAAAAGATCATCAAGGTCACTCTATTTATAATAATAGTATGAATAATAACAATAATGGCAATTTACATGGTGTTCCAAGACCAAGTTTTTCGGGTACAATCGGATTAGATAAGGGTGGTGGTAATAACAATAAAAATAGTAGTAGTAGTAATGATGTTAGAAATAATGTTAAGAAGCATGAGCTATTGAATGACAAGTATATTGTAGAACAAGAATCGAAGAGACAAAGGTATGCAGAAACAAATATGTTTGGGTATTACAATTATGATAATAGCAATAATATTAATGATAATAATGGTGTAAATTATCGCCAGTTTTATGGCCAGCCAAATTCATTTTATAATCAACCATACATGTACAGTACTATGAATCAAGGTTATCAATATTTTGCAAATAATTATGGACAATCTTATTATGAGGGCTATCTAAACTCTATGGATTCAGTACAACATCAAAATTATATAACGTACAATCAACAAATAAATTCTTATCATAGTGATAATTATACAGTTGCTCCCAGTAATTCTATCAATTTGATTAGTTATAAGGATATTTATTCAAAAGAAATAGTACAAGAAGTGAAAAATAAAAAAAAGTCAAAGAAAAATAAATTGAACAAGAATAAGAGCAATAGTAGTAATGATAGCCAAGTATTATCGGTCAGAAACATGACATCGCAGGGTATTCAAAAACAGCCTATTAAGAAAAAAATGGATGCAAAAGGAGTTGAATCTTTTGAAGAGGAGACTAGTGATGCAAAAGATGATATGTTGAAAGTTAAAAATAGACTTGAAGAAGACTATGATAATTCTGATTCTAGTAACGAAGATTTTAGTGAGGAAGATGTGATTAATGATAAAACTGAAGATGAGGGAGCAAATACTTACAGTGATAAAGTAAATTCAACTACCATTCCAATTCCTGGTACGTCAATTACATTAGTAACTGATGAAGATATAGCAAAATGGAGAGAGGAGAGGAAGAAGATGTGGTTGTTAAAAATATCTAACCGTAAAGAACAACATATGGAAGCTATGGGAATCAAGAAGGAGGATTTGAATAATATGGGTAGTATTTTAAGAGAATCTAAAAAGGAGAGACAATTTATTCAAAATATTCAAAGTCAGGTTAATAGATTTAATCCTAAGGTGAATTTAAATTTGAAGTTTGTTCAAAAGGAAATGTTGCAAGATAACACTAAGTTATTATCATTTATTAAGGAACTTGGTGATTCTGGACTATTAGAATATGAGTTGACAGAAAAAGAAAAAAAAGTCTTATTTGGAAATAATCAAGATGAAAATAATAAACAAAATAGCCATAAAAATGTTGGTAATAAAAAAGTCGACAAAATAAAATACAAAAAAGCATTTAATAATAATAATCGAAATGGTCCTATTGGTGATAATAATATAAAAAAAAGTTATAAAGAATATAAAAAGTAATCTTGAATTTTATTATCAAGTGGTTTCTGTTAAAAATTTCGTGATTGCACTAGATATGACTGCTCCAAGGAATGATCCTACAATAGCACCCGTATAGAATGAATCTGATTTGTGTGTTATAACTTTTGTAACCTTATTGACATTTTTATGTTTCTTTTTTGCTGATGTTTTGGATGGTTTATGAATTTTGTTTAGTCCAGGAGAAAAGCCTGGTTTCTCTATTTTGTTTTTTGGATAAGAAATTATATACTCTCTACTACTGCTTTTAGAACTAGGTATTTGACTAATAGACTTATTCTTTTCAATACCTTCCATCTGATTACCTTTACATTTAGTATGATTAGTGTTAACTCTATCAGTCTCATTTTTGCATATTTCATTGTCCCTTGTAGTATTTTTTATGATTGATTGTTCTAAAATACGATTCTTCTTGTCCTCCATTATGTCATCTGATTTCATTTCGGGTTAATTAGTATGTTTTGGGTTTGCATGGAATTGTTTCTGTGTCAAATTGAAATATTTTGATGTTTCCATAAAATGTTTGTTTAAAAGTCTTCTGATAGGGTCATTTGTAGGTATTACAGAAACTTCACTATTCTGATCAGAGCATGGTATACTACTATATATATGTGTGTATGTATCGTTAATTGCACCGAGCTTTTACATTCTAGAAACTCAGTAATTCCATTTTGTTCAGAAATTGTAATAATTGTGTTTCATAATTCAAGTCTTTGTTCCAATGGGTGTTTCACATATATATATATTTCCAATATGATTCTCTCAGACTATGGTACAGTTACTGTGAACCTTTGCAGTTCTTGTTTTATCTGCTTGAGTGATAATAGATTTCTGTTTACTTTGTGGTGATATTTTACTATTTTGCATAGTTTTAGACTTAAGTTGTAATCTATTTTGTGCTCTCCTTTGCTTCTTAGAGAGTTCCTTAGCTACTCTTTCATCTTCCTTTTCCTGTAATTTTAGGGCATATTTTTTATCTTTCTCCAGTTGTGCCTCACCTTCTGTGATGTTATTGTTATTATCGTTAGGATGATTTATATTGAAAGAAGTATTGTCCTTGGTGGCGACAGTCATTTCTAACGGTGATTCATTAAAGTTTCCATCAAAGAATACATCATCAGAGCCATTGATGGTGATTAGGGATTGCCAAACAATGTTCTTATATTTTTTAAACCCAATATCAGTCACTAAAGTATACAATATATCATTTTTTTTGTACAATGTAGAGAAATGATTATTTCTGAATAAGATAGTAAATTCATCATTTGAGATTGTGTTATATAAATATGATAAGCCAAAACTAGATAACTGGGTTGGATTATCATGAAGAAAGGATTGTATTATCTTGGCTTTGGGTTCCATTTTCAGATCATTATCTTTCATTAACATAACTTGAGCTTCTTCATAGGAAATATTGCAGAGATCTTCGTTGGATGAGTCCATAATCCAACCATGGACCAAGCGAGCACCAAATATCTCAAATAGTTTATTAGTTCCTTGATTGCTGGTAGTGAATTCTCCATTAAATTTTAGATTTACATTTAACCCCTTGTGTAACTCAGGTAAGATTGATAAAAGACTATCAATATCGTTGACTTTACTCTTTTGCTCTTGAGTTGTTATTTTAATTGCAACATCAGCCAGAATCTCTAGGATGTCATGCAGTTGAATTGAATTGTGATCATGTACTAATTTGATTAAATCTTTGCAATAACTTGTGTAATGAGAAGATAAAATAAAAATATTGACCAGTGCTACTAAAGCACAAGGACCATTTTCATTTTGTAATAAAATCTTGTAAGATTTATTGTAGAATTCAATGAATTTGGTTTCGAAAATAAGGTCCATCTTTTTATATTAGGTTAGTTTACAAGGTATTGTAAACCTATAAGTACAGTAAACTTGTAGACATAGTGTTTGACAAATGGACCTAGAATGAATTGTTATTTTTTTTCTCAATATTTTATCTTTAAAAACTCGGGAACTCATAATACATCTTATATGTCTTATATTTAGAATATACATAGTAATAATTTATACAAGGTAAGCATACATTCAAGCATTAGATAATAAGAACGATTTGAATAATATTATCAATATGTAAATTTCCTGTTTTTAAAGCATACAAATTATACTGTATTAAAAATATTAGTTGTTTACAATAAAGATGGATATTATATAATTAGTGATAGAAATAAACAGTGATTTCAAAGACATGCAAAAAACTCTGTAGGGCGAAAAGGAATAAAATCTCACCGAATGAAGAAAACTTTAAGATATGAATGATCTATATTTTGTTTCGTAAGATAGTTTCTTATTTCCCAAACTTTATTTTTGGAACAGTGTAATAAGCATTTGTTTTTATTAGAACAAAGACACATGGAGATGAAGATGATTAAAAGAAAAGAAAGAAAAATTTAATGTAGTGAGCTTAAGATATAATAAGGATAGTAATTGGTTATTTCATTGATAAAAAGGTTTATCAATATATTTCCAAGTAGTTTAATATTGAACATGTAGTGAACAGAAACAAACACACCTAAGAGATGGAAAGATGAACACGAAGAGAGAAAAAGAGACGGGAAAGATGAAAAACAAGAATTTGATATAACTTCATTTCAAATTTAAAAAAAAATAATAATAGAAATAACTGGCATAGACATAAAGAGAAATCTTTAATAAGATAGTGATAAGAAATTTTTTATTGAATTCATTTCTGTAGTTTAGCTAGACTGTCCAATAAACTTTGCACATTACTACCAGGTTGTTGTTGTGGTGGTGGTTGATTTTGTGGTTGAGGTTGGCTCTGCATCTTCGAAGAATCGTAAGATGAGCTACCACCCATTTGAGAATAGGTATTTTGTGGTTGGTGGGTTTGTTGGTTTTGAGTATTTTGTAACATACCTAATAATTGCTGTTGTTGTTGATTTGGTGGCTGCTGTTGTTGTTGAGCAGCTGATAATAAACTCGAAACAACATTTGGTGGCAAGTTTTGGATGGCAGCGAGTAATTGTTGTTGATCCATTTGAGTTGGATTACCATTTAAAGCAGCAGAAAGCTGTGGCTGGACATTATTTTGTGGTGGAGATTGTGTAAGTATTGATTGTTGAGAGGGAGCAGTACCTATTGCAGCCGGAGTTTGATTGACTGCAGAAGTTTGTGGGGGGTATTTACCATAAGCTTGGCTCATACCCATCGAACCTTGTGGTGGAGGTGGTGCAGGTTGATTTTGATAACGTGAATAATTATTTTGATTTATTCCACCATAGACAGGAGGTTGTTGTTGAGGAGGTGGTGGTGCTTGGTATCCATTGGTGCCTGGAGCCTGATAACTCATATAACCTTGAGGTGGTTGTGGTATTTGTTGTGGAGGGATACTACCATAACGAGAACCATATCCATACCCGGCATTTATATTTGGACCCATTGGAGGTTGGTTATAACCACCATACATATTTGCACTACCTGGCATCATACCAATGCCCATAGTACCTCTTCTCTGGTTTTTAATGTTATTGAAAATACTTACCGCATCAGGGCATGAAATATTAACATATTCGTCAAATTTAGTTTCACCAGATGGTCCTTCATAAAAGATTTGAATATCAAGATTACGAGATTTGTTAACGATAATGACCCCCCAAGAACCATCGTAAGCAGCATCGTTAATCAATTTTCTTAATTCCATTCTTGGTTTTAAAAATATCATATCAGTTTCAATTCCTGTACCGTTCTTGATACTATTGAACACTTCAGTAGCAAATGTTCTATCAGCAGTCCTTTTGACGTAAATGACACAGTGTGGAACTCTTCTTTTTGGTTTTTTGTACCCAGTACCATCATTATATAGATCTCCATCATCAGATCCATCAGTTTGGAATGGTCTTTTTGAAGAAGAGATGAAAGTAGAACTGCTATTAGTACCGTGATCACCATGATCAAATTGTGGACGACTATTAGAGCTCGACACTTCAAGGATTAATTTCTTGCCAAAATTTATTTCATCAGATTCATATTTAATAGCTTCTAAGACACTGGTTGGATTATCGTATTGAATGAAACCAAAGGCATTTTTAATGTTGATTTGTAGAATATGACCATAGGGAATAAAAATTCTGAAAAGATCTTCCTTTGTAACATTCTTTAAAGGCAAATTACCAATGAATAATCTGGATTTGGCTGGAATATTGTGCATTTCAGTAATTTTATTCTCACCACGCAAATATGCAGCATATAAATCACGTTCTTTCAAGGTCATTGGCATAGACAAGTTAGGTCTTTCATACTTAGATGCAGGTTTGTCCTTTGTAGAAGAAGTAGACGATGGCTTACTATCATTAGAATAGTCCAAAGCTTGTTTGTTATTTGATGCTGATGAGGAAAATGAGGAAGTTGTGGTTGTGGTTGTGGATTGATTCTGTGGATTATTAGAATTTTTCGTATAACCAGATAAGGCTGTTTCCGGGTTTGAATTTATTAAGTTAATTATAGCTGTAATTTTACCCTCCTTAGATAAAGCTTTAAAATCGTCAGAGTGTAACATATCACTATCAACCAAATATTTGATTTGTCTTTCAAGAAGGTTAAAATTTACGTCTTTAAGATTTTTAGTATCATCTTTTTTTTCCTCAGTGTCTGCTTCTTCAGTATCTTCTTGCTCTTCGTCCTCTTCCTCATCATCATCATCTTCTTCTTCTTCTTCTTCATTGTCGTCATTATCGTCATCATCGTCCTCACCTTCTTCATCTGATCCAGATGTACTCTCAGAATCTGGACCTGAGCTTGAATCAGATTTTTCTAATCTGCCTGCCTCTACATCTGTTTTTTTATTATTATTCTCTTCTATTTGTGTTTCTTGTTCTTGTTCTTTATCTTCATGTTCTTTAGATGTAGCATCATTTTCTTTATCAGATAAATCATTATGCATGTTTAATTCCTCTCGGTGAGTCTCTACAATCGAATATTCGGCATTGGCATTGTCATTGTCATTGTCATTATCATTATTGCTATTGTCATTTTGATCATCTTTTTCCTCTTGTTCATCATTATCTTCTTCATGAGAATACAAATCATCGAATTCACTGCCTGTATCAATATTTTCATTGCTGTCGTCACCATTATCAGAGTTATGATCTAGGCTTGTATTGATATCGTTATCGTTGGTTTGGAAGACTGGTTGTGTCGAACCAGTAATGTTGTCATCGGACATTTTATCTATATATATATATATATGTGCGTCTATGTCTGTGTGTGCGTGTGTAAGTAGATGAATGTAGGAATACGAATGAAAAAATTTTTTAGCGTTTTTATGGACTCAAGAGTAGTATTTGAGAATTATTTCAATCAACTATAGAAGATATACCAAAAAGATAGAGATGAGGAATAGTAGATTATTTGAAGTTTGTTAGTTTGTTTTTGAAGTGTTCTTAGACTTGTTGTTTCTTCCTTTGCACTCTCTAAAACATAACAGGGAAGAAAATTTTTCTTCGGTTTTTGTTCCTTCTTCATTTATTTTTGTTTTTTTGGTGTTGTTTAGTAATTTAAACAAAAACTGTCCGTTTTAGGAAATTATAAAAAAAAGAAAAAAAAAAAAAAAGAAAAAAATGCAGTCTTTTTTTTGGGAGGCGATAAAAAGGTTCCAGATCGTTACTGAGTAATCATATCAGGTATGAGTAAGCATAGTGAGTTATGCAGACCTTCGAGAAAACGAAAAAATAAAAAAAATAACAAAAAATAACAAAAAATCTCGAGGATTTCAAGAAGTTGTAAAGTATTTCGAATAGTATACTAAAAATAATAATAATAATAATAATGGTACTCTATTTCACTTAACTAATATTGCAGATGGAGATGTTTTGATAAAAGAGGAAAAGAAAGAGAGAGAGAGTGTGTGTGTGTGTGTGATAGAGACGTTCTCTTTTTTTTTTTCTTGTAGTTTGTTTTTTTTTCCTTTTTGTTAAATGATTAAGATTGTTAATAAACAAAATTCCTTTACCTCAAACAAATTCATATTGAAAAATATATTACAAAGAGCTTTAATGTCATCATCTTCAACACCACCGTCAAATCAAAGCATACAAGGGCCGGCGATTACTTCAATTAAGAATAAGATTAAAGCCAGATTTCCTAATGCTACCCACTTTGCCATATTTAATGATTCTTATTTACATAAAGGGCATGGAGGCATTATGAATTCAAGGAGTACATCTGAGAGTCATGTTAGGATTGAACTAGTCACGGATGATTTCGAAGGGATGAAGTTACCGATGAGACATAGAATAATATACAAATTGATTCAAGATGAAATGCAACGATATAATATTCATGCAGTACAACTGAAGACAAAAACTGTCAAGGAAATGGCCAAAGTATCGTTGCCATCATCTTTATAGTCTAGTAAATAAAAAAAAAAAAAAAAGGAAAAAGAAGAATAGAAATAAAAAAAGTCAGTATGATAAAATATTATCCTATTGTTTGCTACTAAGAGGTATTTACATCTACATATATATGTATGTATGTTTGTGTATGCATGAAAAGTATTCTTGTAAATAGAAAAATATATAAAGAACAGTAGATAAAACTTTCAAATCTCTTGTTCTTGCCTTTATTTCTATTCTGCTTTTTTTTTTTTTCAACATATTCAATGTTTGTATTAGCATTGCTGAAAAGCTATTTTTTCATTCGTTTACTTATGATATATATATATATATGTATATATTGGTGTGTTAGTTGAGTTTAATGTTCATCAGCCTTTAAGAATTCTTTGTACTGTTCTAAACTGAATAATTCATCCATTTGTTCCTTACTCTTTGTGTTATCTACTTTAAATTTGACCATCCAACCTTTACCCAATGGGTCAGAGTTGATCAACTGTGGTGAATCTTCTAATTGGGTATTAACTTCAGTGACGGTACCGTCAACAGGCATATACACCTCAGAAGCAGACTTGACTGATTCGACACTACCAATAGAGTCACCAGCTTCTACAATTTGGTCTACTTCTGGCAGTTCTACAAAAGTGGTATCACCCAATGCAGCAGAGGCATAGTCGGTAATCCCTAGAAACCCGGTTCCATCAGGATGTAAAGCCACCCATTCGTGGTCCTTTGTGTATTTGACTTGTTCTGGACCCTGTGGAGAAAAAGTGAAAGGTAGTTCACTTTTGTTTAAACTGTTCCTTGAGTTATTGATGTATCTTGTGGAAGATAGCCTTCTTAGTGAAAGTATCAAACGTGGAGTCATAATAGTAGACTGTCTGTTGATTAATAGATTGGTGCAGTGACGACGACCCAACATGATCACTTGATTAGTCATATTTCTTTTCATAACAGTGGCAAAGGACATTCTTACTTATATGTGTATGTATATATGTTTGTGCGTGTATATGCCTAGGTTTAAGTATTTAAGTATTTATTTTTTTTCTTGTGGTGGTATTGTGTTTGAACTAAGTAGCCCTTTTGTGTCTGTGTGGTATTGATATTGCCTTAGATATAGACTAGAAACGGACTAATAAAGTCTTAAATCAAGTGATACGTATATGTCTGCGGTTTAAAATAGAAAGCTGATAGAGATATAATTAAGAATTGAAGGATTCTTTTTTATTTTTTTCTTTTTTCAAGGTTTCTCTTGGATCTATATATGAGCCATGGGAGGGATAAAGAAGACACAATGGAAACTGAGCAACACTCCACCTGTCCAACTCTAATTTTTTACATTCCAACCCCAACATCTGTTGACTATCTCTTTTTCTTCCTGTTTCTTTTCCTTTTCTTTCTCCCTCTAGATCTGTGTATGTGCCATGCAGGAATCTGAACTTATCATCGTTTCTGAAGTGCTGCTGGTAAGGAAGAAATGGCCACAAATTTTTGGGTGGCCTGTGATTTGTTTACGCAGAGGTTATTCGGTCTGGGTGCTGTGACTCTTTCCAGCGGGAAGAGTGGGGGGAAGAGGAAATGGAGAGCCTGAGTCAGGTGAAAAAAGACAGAGTCAGAGTCGGAGTTAGCCCTGCACGTGCAAGATGACAGACTTTTTTGTTCATACAAGCCTGAGAGTCACTTTTGTCGCTGTCAACGAAGGTTGCAGCGGTCGTGCGCAATGAGAAAGTGTTTGAGCTTTGTAGAAAGATAGAAACGTATTGTCTGTTTCTGTCTATGTCGCCATTCTCTTCTCTTGGTTTATACAATCGCTCTCACTTATTTATTCAACTGTTCGTTTATCCACCACTCATTCTTCTATTATAGAAGCCTTTTGAGGAATTGTTATCTATCTTATTTTCCGTCATATGACGGTCCATTTGCTTTATTTTTTAATATATATATATGTGTGTGTGTATACGTATGTACATACATGTGTGTATGCGTGTTTCTCATTTAATCTTTGTAGAACTTGTCGAGTATTGGTTTACATTGTGGTTCCACTGTAGGGTCTTCCTTTAGTATGGTCTCCAAGAGAGGTTTGATCATGGCTTTCACAGGTAGTCTAAACATGATTAAGAACTTTAATGTCTGAAATCCTAGTGTACTTCTGCTTGGATCAATCAATATAGGTTTCACTCTAGCTAAATGCTCACTTCTCAATTTTGGCAATTCACTCATCAATCTGATAAATAATTTACGATGCTTATTCTCTAAAAATGGTATCAATTCATCTAATAACCTCAACGACCAGCACATATATTGAGATTCTGTGTCCTCTCGTGACTCAAATAACAGATCTCCATGCCATTCCTCGTTCATCCACTCAATTATAATAGCCGTACGATGACTGTCATTAATATCCATCATAACATATCTTAACAATTCTTCTCTGATGAAATTACTCATCTGTAAATTCGATCTGGTCCCTCTAGTGGCCAATCTTATCAAAATATGATACCATGATTCATCGTTAGACCAATTGAGTAATTTTATCTGTTCTAACGGGTTTTTCGACATTGGGATAGAATTGATATGGGGTGATATCTTGCTGGTTTTTATACTAAACAATCTTTTGACAATCCTTTCGGTGATTTTCATCTTGGTGTCGTTATCCATCGGTTTGGGTTCAAAGAAATATGGCTTTTCAACAATCATCTGCACATCTTGGTCCTCATCCTCTTTCCCTTCGTCTTCTCCATCTAATACTGCTTCACTGGTCTCTTGTTTTACCAAGGTGGAATTATTATTCAGTCCTTTGTCTTCCTTTAAATCAGTTTTAATCCTTTTTGCTTCACTGCTGCTATTACTATTACTATTATTATTATTACCACTATTATCATCCTCAAGTTGTCTTTTGTCACCAATCGATGGGTCGTTCCGGTTCATCAAATCGGTGTATCTAGATGCAGCAATCGATAAGGCAGCGATTATTTTTCTAGTGTCAGCCTTATATAGCGCTTCAGTAGATAACTTGATCAAGACATTGGATGGAACCTTTGATAAATCCTGTTTGGATCCATTATTGTCCATTAATGCAAATAAAGAATTGTATGTATTATCGTATGCTTTCGGGGTTGTATTGAAAAATGACGCTGAAGGTGTTTTCCCTCTTGAATATTCTTGCAATTTTGTTAATGCATTCATTTGTTCAGTCGTTAAAAAGTTATCAACGTTATTTGGATTACTGTTATTTGGGTTTATAGTACCAGACCCATTGTTATTGTCGTTATTCAAAACTAGCATGTTTTGTGTTTGTTGACTTTGTTGACTTTGTTGTCTCTTTTGAGTTCTAACCATTATTATCTTTTCTCTTTCAGAATCTGGGATTCTTTTACTCACACTTTCAGAATCAAAATTCAAAATACCTTTATTTTTGGTCTCTTCACCTATAACAAATAAAGTTTGTGAGATCTTAGATAATTTAGGATAGATTTGATTCCAGTTTGGATTGGAACTATTATTCGGATTTTTAATTAAATTATTTTTGATCCCAAACTGAACAAAATTTCTATAGCAACGTTCCACAAATCTTTTACACAATTTGTAAGTCAATGTATCCATTTGGTCATTTTGATACTTTGCATCAATATTAAACTTCAAGATTCCGTTCAAGATTTTCATTGTTGTCTGGTTTCTTTGTTTCATAATAAAGGAAAGACAGTTGATAATACCGATAAATAATGAACTGACCATCATCGGTTCTTCAATAAGATAATTTATGATAACATCAAGTAATATTCTGGCCTCTGTCTCCAATTTGTTCCTATTGATCAAAGGCTGATTCTCTGGAACCACTGAGATGTTTATACTCGAGTTTGTTAGATCAACAGTATGTGTGATGATAATTTGAGAAATAAATTTGATTATAGACAACTTTAGACCTATTTGTTTATTATCAAGATTTAAATCTAGCGGTGAATTAGTAATGGTCATCAGCTTCCATTGACTTAGGATTTTTTTCCTGAATTGTTGTAGTAGAGACCATTTAGATTCATCTGAAGTCTTCGCTATCAAGTCGAATAACATTGGGTAAATTTTGGTAAAAGTTAGAATTGTCAATTGCTGATAATGGAGATCATTAATTGAATATTCATAGCATGAATATAAAGTTGATAGATATTGTGACGCAATTAGAGGTTTTTCATGGTTCGAAATTTTGTTGTGGTTCATTGTATCCAATAATAGATTTGTAAAGAAATTAGATAAGTTGTTGTTATTATCGTTGTTGTTGGTCTTCCATTGATTCAATAGCATTGAATTAGTAGTTTCCAAAACCTTTGGTAACATTTGTTCGGGACTGTTGTCCATAGCTAAATCTTTAGCCTTTTGCAACTGCTGTAATTGAGATTCCATTTCATTTATTTCTTTGGGTTCAAAGAAACTTCTGTATAGATAGTCGTGTCTTGTGGTAACACTGATTGTAAAACCAATAATATTGTTCGAAATTAGCACACACTATTGCTCAGAGACACACTCTATCTACACCTTTCTTCTATTCATGAACAGTGGACTCTTCTGTACATTCTTGCTGTTGTTGTCGTTGTCGTTGTCGTTGTCGTTCCTCCCATTTTCCTCTTCTTTTTCTTCTTCTTTCAAGTGAAAAACAAAAAAAAAAAGCTTCGAGAGACAGTAGAAAGATACCAGTTAAAAAAAGAAGCATACTCACTAAGACGAAAATGTTAGCTAGGATATTAAACTGAAGTATAGTGGAATGCTAACACTAACTCTGTTCAAAATTATCCATTCTAGTATTGTAAAGCTAAGAAAATAAAAAAGTATCAGAAGAAAAATAAAAAGAATAAAAAGGAGGAAGGTTAGGATCATACAATAGCGAACAATGTTGAATAGGAGACCAAAATCAAGACTTGTGTCATTCGATGCATTTACCAAGACAGAAGAAGATGTTCGTATCCGTACAAATACAGGTGGGTTGATTACTATCTTGTCCATGATTATTGGATTAATGCTACTCTCGCGAGAATGGTATCAGTTCAATGAATTGAGTATTGTCCCGCAGGTGGTCGTTGATAGAGACCGTCACTTGAAGTTGGATTTGAATTTCGATATTACATTCCCCTACATATCATGTGATATTTTGACAATGGATATAATGGATCAAGCTGGTGACCTTCAGTTAGATTTACTTGAATCTGGATTTACAAAGACTCGTGTTGCTGTAGACGAACTAGGACGTATCCATGACATTGAATCCAGTGTGGAAGAATTCCAACCTGGTGGGGTTAAAAAGGAACAAAATGAGAAGAGACGTGACACCAGTGAATATTGTGGATCATGCTATGGTGCAATAGATCAACAAAATAATAATAATAATAATAATGAAAACTTAGATAATAATAATAATAGAGAGCGTGTCTGCTGTCAAACATGTGATGAAGTCCATGAAGCATATTTGAAAGCAGGCTGGGCATTTTATGATGGTGCAGAGATTGAACAATGTGAAAGGGAAGGGTATGTTTCAAAAATTAGAAACCACATTAATGAAGGGTGTCGTGTAAAGGGGAAAGCTAAATTAAATAGAATAGATGGTGAGATCCATTTTGCACCAGGGAAATCATATGAAAATTACAATCTAAACAGAAGAACTATAAGTACCCATGTCCACGATACATCATTATACTTCAAATATGGACAACTAAACTTCAATCATATTATTAATCATTTTAGTTTTGGTTCCAAAGTGGAAAATATAGATAAGATTAAATTTCATGGTGCAAAGCAAGGTAATGGTATTAACAACAAGGGTGACAATTATGATAATGACGGTGGTGCCAATTTATCCACAATGGTTTTAAGTCCGATGGATGGTAGAGTTGTGATGCCCAAGAATAGAGAATCTCATTACATGTTATACAGTTATTTTGCCAAAATTGTGCCTACAAGATATGAGTATTTCAATAGTAGAAGAAAAAGCGTGGAGACTGCTCAATTTAGTGTCACATATCATGATAGATCTTTAAGAGGTGGCAGAGATGAAGATCATCCAACAACATTGCATGCTAGAGGAGGAATTCCAGGTGTTTACATTAGATATGAGATGTCACCAGTGAAGGTGATTAACAGAGAAGCATATATTAAGAGCTGGTCTAATTTCTTACTTGGTTGTATTACTACAATTGGTAGTGTATTGGCTGTGGCTACTGTGTCTGATCGCGTCTTTTATAAGGCCCAACAAAAATTATTGGGTAAAAAACGCAAGTAAGGAATGTGTAAATGTAATTATAGCTAATAACTAGATATTTATACATATCTATGTATGTATTTGTAGGTTGATATACGTCTCTTTTTTTTTCTTTTTTTTGTTTTTCCAATTAGATTATGTGTTAGTTTGCACATGTTAAAGATGTAGTAGCGTATATAACAAGTGTTGTAGGTGCTTTATTTTCTTTCTCCTGGACTTTTATTCAGGAGAAACAAGTAAAATTGATTATTTTAGTCAGTATTGATGTTGTATCAACTTATGTACATGCTGATACATATCTCTACATACAAGTACATGGAAGTGTATGTAATATATAAGGAGGAAGAGCTACGTTTAACATGGAATTTACATTTCAGAAAATATTTTGTGAATGGAAGAGAAATTTGACTTAAGCCCTAATGTTTATGTAGAAAAAAGTATTTGATAACACAATAACTCTCTTGTAACCTATGTTGTATGGCCTTTTCTAGTTAGGGTTTGTCTAACTTTTTTTTCTTTTTTTAGATTTTGTTCTTCTATTTTTTTTGTATGGCAAAGGACAAAAAGGAAGGCTAAAAAAAAGTTCTCGAGAAAAGTTAAAAAGATGAAAGAAGGAAGAGAAGACAAGAGAAGAGACAACGAGAGAAGAGAGGATAAGCTTCTCTGGCTGTCGCTGTTTGTTAGAAAAAAAATTAAAGTGGTTTCTCTATCACCGTAGCTACCAACAAGATATTATTTCTTGCAAATTTTTTATTAAGCTTGAGTGGCAGACTGATTAATAAATACTGTAAATTGGCGTTTTTGAGGTGCTGTGATTGTGAGCTTTAATATAGGGTAAGAAATTCACTTTCTTATAATAACAGTATTATCCTAGAAGAAGCAATAACAGGAAAAAATTGATAAGTAGAAAGGAATATCTATAATAGTTACATTCTATCAATAACTTTAATATTCTAAATATGCCACCATCCGCTCACAGTTCAAGGAAAAATACGGTTATAACCAGTCATACATCGATAGGGTCCTCTATAATGATGGCATCTTCATCCAATAATAGTTCAAATTCACATATTCCAAATGTTATGAATTCAGCAGTTACTTCAAAGGATTCCTTATACTATGTTTGTCTGAACGTAAAGAAAAGGTTGGAATATGTCTCTCAATTACAGCCATATCTAAATTTAGCATATTCCTCTAGCGAGTTGTTAAGTGAGAGACAATCTTTATTATTATCTCAAAGACAACAGCAACTTCTGCAGAATAATAATAATAACGTTAATGTTAGAAATAGTACCAATAGTAGTTCTACTCCAACTGCCTCTAGGATTAGTACAATGTCTACAAACAGTATGAGAGAAGAGTTTTCTTTAGATAGTGGGCCTAGTCTCACTAATAGTACAAATAACGGTATAATGGAAGATACTCTGTTAACTTTCAGTATGGGTATTCTACCAATATCTATGGATTATGATCCTGTAACTCAATTATCTCAATTATTCCAACAGGGGTCTCCATTATGTATCATATTTAATTTGGTGAAACCACAATTTAAATTACCTGTTGTGTCGAGTGATGATTTGAAGATATGTAAAAAATCCATCTTTGATTTTATTTTAGGTTGTAAACAACATTTTGCATTTAATGATGAGGAATTGTTCACTATATCTGACGTTTTTGCTAATTCTACAAGTCAATTGATTAAAGTTATTGACGTGGTATCTACTATAATGGATTCTGCACCAGAGATTTTCCCGCCAAAGGAAAAGATTCAGATAGAAATAGATCAAGACATAAACAACAAGATGAATAAATATTCCAAGAAATATGATGAATATACTAAGATAATAAAAGAGTTCGTTAATACAGAAAGAAAATATGTACATGATTTAGAGATTCTGGAGACTTACAAGAATCAATTATTAAATGCAAATATCATCACATCAGAAGAATTATATATGTTATTCCCTAATCTATTTGATGCTATTGATTTCCAAAGAAGATTTTTGGTATCTTTAGAGATTAATTCCTTAGTGGCACCAACAAAACAAAGGATCGGTGCCTTATTTATGCATTCTAAATGGTTTTTCAAATTATACGAGCCTTGGTCTATTGGACAAAACGCAGCAATAGAATTTTTAACCACCACATTAGAAAATTTAAACAAATCAAATATTGACCAATCCAAATTTGTCATTCGTAATAAATTAGAATTACAATCGTTCTTATATAAACCTGTACAGAGGTTATGTAGGTATCCTTTATTATTAAAGGAATTAGCATCATGTAACATTTTATCTGGCTCTTCATTGAGTGACGATAATTTGAAAAATGCGAATGAAAGAGATAATAATGGTAAATCAAAGGAATTAGAGATTGCTCTGGAAATTTCAAGGAGCATTGCAAGAAGTATTAATGAGAATCAAAGACGTACGGAGAATCATCAAGTAGTTAAAAAACTGTATGGTAGGGTTATAAATTGGAAGGGTTATAGAATAGCAAAATTTGGAGAATTATTATATTTTGATAACGTGTTTATATCTACTAACACTTCGAATGAACCTGAACGTGAATTTGAAGTGTATCTATTTGAAAAGATTATTGTATTGTTTCAACAGATATCTAGCAATAATGGAAGCGGAAGCGGTAAAAGTAAGACATCTTCTTTGATATTAAAAAAGAAATCGACCTCCTCATCTGCATCTTCATCATCCACGTTGAATTTATCATCACATAGTTCAAGCTTCCTACCAGGTGGTCTTTCAGGGAGTAATAATAATAATAATAGTATTGGTGGTGGTGGCAACAGCAATAATAATGATGGATATGGAATTCTTAATAATAGTAACACTAGTTTAATTGGAGGGTCATCCTTTGCTAATAATGAGCCCAGATTGGATTTAAGGGGCCGAATTATGGTGATGAATTTGAGTCAAATATCTCCTATATCTAATAGATCTCTGGGTATTACATGGGAATCTATAAAAGAACAAGGTAATTTTATTTTGAAGTTTAAGAATGAAGAGACAAGAGATAATTGGTGTTCCTGTTTACAGTCTTTGGTAAGAAACATGAAGAGTGAATCATATAAAAGTCATGCTAGTGAAACTTCATTTATCTCGTCTTCATCAATAAGAAACAGTGATAGTAACAATACTACTCTTGTTGAAAAATTACATGATAGTGTTTCATCATTCAATAATAATTCCATAAAACATATCTCTGATATGTTACCTAAACAGAAGAAAGGGGTATATAACTTTGAAAATGAATACAGAACAGTATCAGAGAACTATAAGCATTCTATCCCAGAGACATCTATTTTGATAAGGATATCATTCAATTCTGATTTCTATACTATACTAATGGAATTGGACTCGAGTATGGAGGAGGTTTATGAAATGATTTTGAAAAAATTGAACCATGTTGGTGAGATCTCGAAGATCAAATATCAGGATGAAGATGGGGATTATGTTATATTAGCATCAGAGGAAGATTGGTTGGTTGTTAAAGATATGTTAAGAGAGAATGATGAACGGATATTGAATATGATTGTATATCCAAGGGAACAATAACATGTTAAATAGGTGAATACTGTGATTCATTTGAAAAAGTAAGTAACTTTATTAAATATATATATATATAGCGTGCATGTATCGACAGTCTAACAAAACAACATAAATACTATTAGAAGAATTTATTAAAAAGAATTAAACTGATATATGTATGTATAAATTTTTTGTTTATTTTATGTGTGAAAGTTTCAAAGAGATCCATTCTGGCCAAAAACAGAATTTTGTGACAAAAGATAAAAAAAAAAACGACAAGAAAAAATTGAAATTTATAGTAGAATTACTACTATATTACAATATATATGTATATATATATGGAATAATGAGAAATGATAAGCAAATAACGAGGACATTTCGATATATGTATGTATTTGCTATAAACAAGTAAACTATTTACAAAAATAAAAGAAAGAGTGAATATGTATATATACATAGATATCTATTCACCTTTCGTCTTTAGACAATTTAGATAAAATGGCTGAAGTAAAATGGTTAAACCTATCTTTAACATTAGTAAAATTATCTAAAGCAGGTCTAACGTCAACACTAAAAGTTGGCATTCCATTAGCATCATCCGGTCCACCATAAAAATCCAACACGTACCTAACCTGAATATACTTAGGTTCTGTTGTGTTAGTGCCAACGCTAGTGTCAGTGTTATTGTTTGGTTCACCTCGTAAAACGATCCAGTCGTGTCTATCGAAAGGTAAATCACCATGGAAGTACCAAGGGAAAATATAACTCAAGTAATGGTTAATTTTAGCTCTGGGAGTCAATACTCCAGGTTTACCCATAAACTTCAATAACTTCGGTTCCAAGTGTGTTTGATCAGTGTAAGGTTTTTCCCACCTCAAGATCTCATACCAACAACTTTCGTTTAAGAAATTATGTATCTGGACCATAGCCTCTACTGTATCTTCCTGTAAGGTTTCATGGGAACCTATCTTGCCCTTTTTCACCATGGCATTATACATCTGTTGAGCGGAAGGATACTCCCATTTGCCTTGCTGTTCACCACGGGGGATAGACGAGATAGTTTTAGTTGTAGTCAGAGACAATTTCTGACCGGGCTGTGTCTCTGTGGAGGAAAGGTCTTTGGGTATATAGTTCAAGGGATTAAGTCCAGCTGGAACGTTGCTATCATGACTATACTGTTCTTTTGTATTGCCACCACGACTGTTATTATTACTATTACTACTACTATTACGCATTACAGGACATAGTGATATATTATTATTATCATCATCATCTATATTAACATTATTATTATTGTTATTATTATTATCTCTAGTTGATACAACTTTATCGGCCCAAAACCAACCCATATTTATTTATTTATTTATTTTCTTCTGTTGTATAAAGAAAAAATTAAACTAAACTATGTTAAATTGTTACGGTTATTAGGGATACAAATAACCACTATATTATTAGAGATCAAGATGACAGGTAGAACAAGAGGTGTAGAGTAAGCAAAAAAAAAATATAAAAGAGTCAGAAAGTCACAGTACTTAAGAATAACTGTAGTGCTATGAATAATCCAAATCATATAGTATAACGAGACATTCTGTAATATACTTCCAATCTTATTACTATCACTATCACTATCACTACTACTACTATTATTAGTAGTTACTACCAGTAACCAGTAGTACCACTAGTGCAACTTCAAGATTACGACAGTTTCGATTTCCTTTCCTCCTCGTTGTAAAAAAAAAAAAAGAGACCGGTTCCAACGATAAGAATCACGTGCGATACACGTGACCTATCCACCCATCCACCCACAACATCCACTCCGAAATTGCAGTCCATCCAGGGAAGGAAGAAAAAAAAGAAATAGCTTCACGGGCATCCTGTGATTAGAAGAAACCCGTTAAGAAAAAGAAAGAGAGAAAAAGAGAAAAAGAGAAAACAGAAGAAGGCACCGATAGACAGACACCACTCCACCCAGACCTCCGCAGATCAGCATCCTCTTAATTTCAACGTGAGAGGGTTTTTTTTAAGAAGCGAGCCAGAAATAAAAAAAAACAAAACAAAACAAAAAAATGTCGGCTGGTGGTTTAAAGGCATTTTTTTTTCTTTTGTGTCTTCATCCAAGCATTGCTTTTTTTTCTTTTTTCGCTTTTGTTTTTCTCTTGTTTTTCTTTTCCTTTTTCGACGCAGCATTGCTATTTCTTTCTAAAATAGTATTACCATCACTTATTACCCATTACTAGTACTATTACTATTGCTTATTGGCATTGCTTGTTACTTGTTACTATTATTATCATCACCATCACCATCACCGTTTAGACAACATTTTTATATCAACAATCAAATACAAAATATACAAAAATTTACAATGACATTCACCACCATAACGTAAAACAAACACGATATGCACAAAACACAAAACACAAGAAAACAAAGCACTCTCTTTCTCTCCCCCCCCTCTTCTCTATTTCCTCTTTCCTCCTTCCTCTTTCTGTCTCTTCAATATATACCTGTATGCACATGAAATAATACACACACACACACACACACGAACAAACAGACCACCTGTTACGTGCAAATATGTACACATGTACATACACCTATTTATATATATATATATACATATATATAAAGTGATGATGATGACTTGTTTCTTGCACACGTTGCCTACCACTTCCCATCCTTCCATCACTTCTTGCTTTCCTTTCATACAATTTCTCTTCCTTCACAAACATATTCCTTTTCTCCTTTGTGTCGCTTCCGTGTTTTCTCTTACTTATATATTACACTTTTCCGTTATTCTTTCTCTTTTACTTCACTTACCTTCACTTTCTATCTTCCTCTTCGTTTCTTATCCTCTCTTTACAAAAAGAATCGTGCAAACACAAATCACCTTACTTTATCATAATGGAATCCAGATTACAAAGATTAACCAACTTACAAGTCACTGCTGGTAACGAATTGAGAAGAACCTCTATCATCGGTACCATTGGTCCAAAGACCAACTCCCCAGAAGTTCTTGTCAACTTAAGAAAGGCTGGTTTAAACATCGTCAGAATGAACTTCTCCCACGGTTCCTACGAATACCATCAATCCGTCATCGACAACGCCAGAAAGTCTGAAGAATTATACCCAGGTAGACCATTAGCTATTGCTTTAGACACCAAGGGTCCAGAAATCAGAACTGGTACCACCACCAACGAAGTCGACTACCCAATCCCACCAAACCACGAAATGATCTTCACCACCGACGAAAAATACGCCAAGGCCTGTGATGACAAGATCATGTACTTAGACTACAAAAACATCACCAAGGTCATCTCCAAGGGTAGAATCATCTACGTTGATGACGGTGTCTTATCCTTCGAAGTCTTGGAAGTTGTCGACGACAAGACCTTGAAGGTCAAGTCTTTGAATGCCGGTAAGATCTGCTCTCACAAGGGTGTTAACTTACCAGGTACCGATGTCGACTTACCAGCTCTTTCCGAAAAGGACAAGGCTGACTTGAAGTTCGGTGTCAAGAACGGTGTCCACATGATCTTCGCTTCCTTCATCAGAACTGCCCAAGACGTCTTAACCATCAGAGAAGTCCTTGGTGAAGAAGGTAAGGACATCAAGATCATCGTCAAGATCGAAAACCAACAAGGTGTCAACAACTTCGACGAAATCTTAAAGGTCACTGACGGTGTTATGGTTGCTAGAGGTGATTTAGGTATCGAAATCCCAGCCCCAGAAGTCTTAGCTGTCCAAAAGAAGTTGATCGCTAAGTCTAACTTGGCCGGTAAGCCAGTTATCTGTGCCACTCAAATGTTGGAATCCATGACTTACAACCCAAGACCAACCAGAGCCGAAGTCTCCGATGTCGGTAACGCTATCTTAGATGGTGCTGACTGTGTCATGTTATCTGGTGAAACTGCTAAGGGTAACTACCCAATTAACGCTGTCACTACCATGGCCGCCACTGCTGTTATTGCTGAACAAGCCATTGCTTACTTACCAAACTACGATGACATGAGAAACACCACTCCAAAGCCAACCTCCACCACCGAAACCGTTGCTGCTTCTGCTGTCGCCGCTGTCTTCGAACAAAACGCCAAGGCTATTATCGTTTTATCTACCTCTGGTACCACCGCCAGATTATTATCCAAGTACAGACCAAACTGTCCAATTGTCTTGGTTACCAGAAACCCAAGAACCGCCAGATTCTCTCACTTATACAGAGGTGTCTTCCCATTCGTCTACGAAAAGGATGCTGTTGCTGACTGGACTCAAGACGTCGATGCCAGAATTGCCTTCGGTATTGAAAAAGCTAAGGAATTCGGTATCTTAAAGACTGGTGACAACTACGTCTCTGTCCAAGGTTTCAAGCCAGGTGTCGGTCACTCCAACACTTTACAAGTCGACACTGTCGCTTAAATATAAATAAAAAAATTAAAATAAATTGATTTTTCTTTTAAGAAGAAAGAAGAGAGAGGATGGAAGGAAAAAAATAGATGGAATAATTATATGATAATTATTAAACAGAGATAAACTCTTTTTTAAAATATATATATATATATATTCATTTCATCTATTTTTCCTTCTTTTTTTTCTTTCTTTTTTATTTCTAATTTTTTTTTATTTTTATTTAAAGTTATTTAATTATTATATACCGTTATGATAAAGTTTATGTTTTATTTATAAAGTACTATTTTTTTACTTTTTCTTTTATTTTGACATTTTATAATATAACTGTAAAAGACGTCTGATGAATCTAACTATCTTGAATTCTTCACGGGTGATCTCTTCTATCCTTGTAAATGTCTCAATGTGTCTTTATTCCATGTCTTTATTTATTATGAAAAAAAGTAATCAAGAAAAGAAATGTATATATGTTAGTTGCTTATAGATTTTTACAGTTTGACCTTTCTGCTTCACAAACACTGTATAAAAAACACCACTTTTCAATAAATAAATAACAGACTTTTACTACAAGTAAATCATTTTAACTCCTAAACCTGAAAGAGAACAAAGAATCTGGAAGCAAGGAAGATGAAAAATAAAAGTCATATAGGACTTAGTTATGCATATCGTTACACACGACCACAACATGCAAGAGACGCTGTTGTTGCAGACAATCGTTGTATTATTTTTTTAAGGAAATAACAATAATAACACAATAAATTCCTTGGTTGTTGAGATTGTTTTTTCTTAACAATTTTGATCTTGTATTGTCTATAGCTGCAATATTATATAATCTCGCATTTGATGAACAATACACTTTTGCAGGATTTCTCGAAAATCCTCATCAAAACGAAAAAATATATATGCACTTCTTGTTTTTGTTTTTTTTGTTATTGGGTGAATTCAATAAAAAAAAGAAAATAAGAAAGGACATATACATATAAATATATATATACATACATACACACATACATTTATAATTAGAATCATGTTAAAAGTTAGTTTGTTCAGTTCAATTTTTTTTATATATAGACCTTTTATTTCTCACTTAATTGGTTGTCGAAGCACTTGATATATTACATCAGTAAATAAGTACTAACAATTGTGATGTGATTAGTTCATATAAGTTCATAGTCTTCTTATCCTTCTTTTCAATAACTGGCTTAGCACCCACTATTGTTATTTTTTTTCTTCCCTCCCCCAAAAAAAAATTGTAAATTAAAGAATTTATGAAAGTGTAATTTTAGAAAAGAATATAGATTAGATTATCTGGTCACGAAATAACCAACATCTTCACTAATTAAAAAGTAGGAAAATTGAAAGGAGAACTTAAGTTTTGTAAAAAGAAAAATTAGTATATCTTCCAGCTTATGAAACATAAATATAAAAATACAAAATACATACAAATATGCACACACGTAAATGTATGAATATCAAATAATGCAAAAATAACAAAACAATATCCAATACTGATATGTAATAAAATTTATTTCTTTAAGATGGTTACAACATCTTCATCTTCTAAGACATGGTTCAAACCAACATACTGTGGTTGATGTTTAACACTAGTACCATAGACTAACGCATTTCTAAAATCATCCACTAAGGACTTATGAATGGAATTACAAAAATCACGGACTGTGCAACGATCAGATCTTAAAACTACCGGATCAGTGAAATCTGGAACTCTGCCCTTTGGTTTGGTGTAAACTCTCACAAGGTTCAACTTCTCCCACATAACTTGTAACAATTCGTCAAGATTCCATTCCTTCCCACTTGATATTGGAACAGCGTTTGGAATTCTATATAATAAATCTAATTCTTCTAAGGACAGGGAATCAATCTTATTTAACACATAAATGGCTGGAATATAACGTCTTGTTGGTGCTTCTAGGACATCAATCAAATCATCCACCGTGGCATCACATCTAATTGCAATCTCAGCACTATTAATTCTATATTCATTCATCACAGCACGAATTTCATCTGCATCCAAGTGAGTCAACGGTACCGTATTAGTAATAGATATACCACCTTTCTCTTTTTTCTTGACGATAATATCTGGTGGTTGCTTGTTTAATCTTATCCCCACACCTTCCAATTCCTTCTCTATGATCTGTTTATGATGCAATGGTTTATTGACATCCAAAACAATAAACAATAGATTACATGTTCTGGCTACAGCAATGACTTGTTTACCACGACCACGACCATCTTTAGCACCATCAATAATACCAGGCAAATCCAACATTTGGATCTTAGCACCCTTATAACGGATCACACCTGGAACTGTCACTAAAGTAGTGAACTCATATTCAGCCGCTTCTGATTCAGTACCAGTCAACTTGGATAACAGTGTGGACTTACCAACAGATGGGAACCCAACAAACCCAACTGAGGCAACACCAGTCCTAGCCACATCGAAACCAACACCACCACCACCACCGCTACCTGCAGAAGCATTTGTCAACAATTCTCTTCTTAGTTTGGCTAATTTGGCCTTTAGTTGACCCAAATGGAATGAGGTGGCTTTATTCTTTTGCGTACGAGCCATCTCATCCTCAATAGCTTTAATTTTTTCCACTGTAGTCGACATAATAGATCTCTATAAATAGGGACTTGATGTATATTTGTATTTATTTGTATAAAAATGTGCAAATACCCAACACTTCTTCCTTAATCGTTTCTATATGAATATTTCTAACTTTAGTAATATGCAGATAACATTACCTTGTTTAATTGTAACAGTAGATCTTTAAGCTCATCGCAATCCTTTTCATCTAAATTATTTCTAAATTCATTATAATTGTTAACGCTTGATTGAAAAATTTTATATGTCTTTCCGTACAGAGTGATGCAATTGTCTGCTAGTGCCAAATCTTTTTTTTTTCTTTTTTTATTTTTTTTAAATATTTAGCTACGTATTTGCAGAAAATCGATAGTAATTGTAATAATAGTATACTGGTCAGTCCAATCAATAGCTCTCACATTTCTGGAATCACGATTCATCAAGTTCCTAGACATACACGTTTATCTTTTGCACCAATTAATACAACCAGCGGGTGAACATTTTACTGATAATAGTAATATTAGTAGTATACAAATATATAACAACAATCACACTGTTATATATACATATATATATCTATATATATTATAGGTCATATTTATTCATATAGTAACGGAATATGTTATAATACAAAATCAATAATTTAAAATGAATAGTTCAATTCCATATTTATATCTTTATTTAAGCTGGTACTTGAGCTAAGATATCAAATGCACCAGTACCCACATTGTTCAACTTACCAAGAACAATTCTTGCAGATGGTGATTTCAATTCTTCACATTCATTGTCTAATACTGCCTTCGTCAAGAATTGACATGTAGTTTCATAGGACATCTTCATTAAAGAAGAAGTAGAGGTTTCCATACCTTGTCTGTTAAAGGCAAGATATGTACCTTGTCTTGTCATCATATCAGCAATCAAATCTAAATGACGGAAGGAAACAGAAATAGCATAACGAGAGAAAACGTTGTTAATTTCATTAACAATGGTATTTCTGGCTGCCTCTACACCATAAACTCTCAATACTGAAGCAACATCGTTGGAAGTAATCTTGTCAACATTAATGAAGTCTTCTTGGTCCCACATGGCTTGAAAATTAACACCCTCAGTTACTAAAACACGTCTGCCATTTTCAGCTTGCGGATGGACACAACGGTCAATGTGTGAGACTTGTCTAATAATGGATTTCTTACAGATATCTTCTACAATATTAACCATTAATAACTTTTCAGTGTCTGCAGATAGTTCAATTCTAAATTCACACCATTTACCTTCAGCATCATCAAAATTATATCTAGTAACAAATCTGTGGCTTGCAATGATAGCAGATTGACGGTCACGTTGTAACTTAGTCATGTGCTTGTTAGCTTCTTCAATATGTCTCTTCAAATCTTCTTCCATATCAATATCACCATCTTCATCCACTTCATTCTTGCTTTCATCATCAGAAGAATCCTTATCAGAATCGAAATCTTCTTCGTCAGAGGATTTCTCAGCCTGTCTCATGGTTTCAATTTCATCTTCATCTGGTTCTTCATATGAAACAGCCTCCTTTGTCTTCTTATGATATTCTTCTTCATCACCATCTTCATCCAGCTTTTTACTTGACACTTCTGAAACCTTGTCTAACGATGGAACAGCAGTAGCAATATCAGGTCCACCTAATTTCTTTTGCTTTCTAATTTCCTTCAAAATAGCAGCTTCCAATAAGGTCAAGAAACTCTTAGAGATGGCCTCTTGTAATTCTTCCTTTGAAACGTCATATTCCTCAAGGTATTCTTCAGCATCAAAGAATTTCATATTAATGGCGTAAGCACGAGCTGCAGCTTGTGACGTAGAAGAAACAGATGTTTCAGTGACAGTAACCTTATCTATCATTTCAGATAGCAAAACTTTAGAGATAGATTTACTAAACAATTCAGCTTGTTCATCACTAACATCATCTAAAATTGGTAACGTCATTTGAGGTGTCTTAATAGCAGCGGATGCGGTCATAATGATTTCTCTCATACGTGGAATACCCAAAGTAACATTAGCTGCACCGTGACCAGCAAAATGGAAAGTGTTCAATGTCATTTGTGTCGATGGTTCACCAACAGATTGAGAAGCAATAATACCTACAGCCTCACCTGGGTTAATTAATGAACGCATATATTTCAATTGCATCAATGCTCTGAATTTTTTTTCATTGATATTATCATAGGACTTAAATAATTTAGAATTGTTATCCAAGAAACTTTCTAATTTGTCTTGGAATTTCTCGGACACCGAACCCAAATATTTTGCTGGATTATATTTGGATAACACTGGATCATATTTAAGAACTTGTTGGTAATGTGGTTCCTTACTATGCTTTCTTCTATATTTCAAACTCTTCTTAGAGTACTTCAATGCAGTCTCAACATCCAAATGCTCAATTAAGGCAGATGGGTTATATTTCTTTAATAAAGCCTCGTAATTTTCCAAACAGAAGTCAAACTTAGTCATGTGGGATTCTTTTGTGACATCAATAGCATCACCACCATACAAGAATTGAATTAAAGTACCATCTGCGTCTCTTACAGTATTATCGTATGAGATATGGACACCTTCCAACTGCTTGGTCAAACAACGTTGTAAATAACCTGATCGAGATGTCTTCACAGCAGTGTCAATTAAACCTTCACGACCAGCCATACAGTGGAAGTAATACTCTTGTGGTTTAATACCAGAATAGAAACGACCTTTGATGTAACCACCTGCCATAGCATCAGTTTCATATGGTTTGAAAGATGGTAAAGTTTTACCACTTACCATAACAGGAACTCTTCTACCTTCTAAAGCTTGTTGACCTAACAAACACATGATTTGAGAAACGTTAACATTGGAACCTTTAGCACCAGATAAAGCCATAGCTTGCATAGAATTGTATGGAAACTTCTTCATAGTACCAGCAGGAACACAAGTGGAAACGACCTTAGATGTGATAGCGTTGACCTTAGAAGAAGTAATTGCATCAAGAATACCTGATTTATTGTTGTCACGTAAAATTTCTTCTAAACGCTTCAATAATTCAGCATCATCAGCTGGGGTATCTTTATCTAAGTTAGTAACTTCTGCAGCTGCTTCACGACCAGTATCAACTGACGATTTCAAAATATCAGATCTCCATCTATTACCTTCAGCTGTTAAACGTAAATCATCCATACCACAAGTAAATGCTGTATTCATAATGTAGTTAGTAAAAAGTCTACCTAAAACTGACAAGGTCTTAGCAGCAACCTCAGGGCCATAAATCTCATGCATTGAATGAACAATACCGTATTTAGAGGCACCATATTGGTTTTTATCTAGGATACCACATAGCAATTCACCATTCTTAAAAATAACTTGGTTTTCATTAGACTTCTTACCCCAGTACTCATTTTTAATCTTATTAGTGGAAGTTAAATTAATACCTGGCATATCAGCAGGAGTAATATTCAATAAAACAGTAGTAATAATTTGCTTACCGGTCCATAATGGCACAGGTTTCATGATAGCAGGTGGCACTGTGAGTAACTTTGGTCTAGTGGAATGACCATCTTCAGGTCTAATACAACTGTAAATATATTGTTGATATTGCTCCCTAGTAAAGAAAGAATCCTTATTAGTTAACCAAACACCAGCAGAAATATGATCTTGAATCAAACCTCTAACAGGAGAACCAGAAGTTGGAGTCAAATATTGAGAATCGGTGTTTGCCAAGTTGAAAGCTTCAGCTCTTGCATTTTCATTTTGTGGGAAATGCATATTCATTTCGTCACCGTCAAAATCTGCATTATAAGCACCAGTATTTGCATAATGTAAACGCAAGGTCTTTTCACCAGGTAGGACTCTAACTTTATGACCCATCATCGATGCTTTGTGTAAAGTTGGTTGACGGTTCATGATCACAATATCTCTATTCTTGATATGACGGTAAACTTTCTTGTTTAATGTATGAGTGACGCCATCATGAGAGGATGGAGTCATTAACTGATTAGCAACAGCTTTACGTTGTTCCAAAGACATACCAACCAAAGATAATAAAGAACCATCTTCATTTTGGACTTGGATAGCACCTGGCCACTTATCTGGACCATTAATGACAGCTTGACGCAATTCAGCAATGTTATAGGAAGTAACAGGTTCTGGGTATGTTAATTTTGTGGCAAAAACAGGTGGGACACCAATTTCGTTTGTCTCAATATTAGGATCTGGTGAAATAACTGAACGAGCAGCATAATTGACACGTTTACCCATCATATGTTTTCTAAACAAACCTTCCTTCTTTTCCAAAGCTTGCTTAACACCAGGAATAGGGACTTTGGCATTATTACTTTGAGCTTTAGAAGAATCAATGAATGCGTTAACATCATTTTGTATAGTAACAAAAGCATTCATCAATCTTGCAAAGATAATTCTTCTGTCTTCAACGGAAACCTTATCCTTTTGTAATTTTGACATTTCTTCGTTCAAATCTCTAATCAATAAAGAAGTAGTTAAAACTTTAGATAATAATTGATTTTGACTATTTTCGTGGACTTCATCTCCTAATTTAGATGGTAAACGGAATCTGGTTGGTGGAACAACAAGAACATCCATGAAAAAACTGTTAGCTGTAACATATTTCCTAGATAGATTTGGTCTAGCATGAAAAACATATTGTAATACTTGTTGTTCAGTTCTAAAGACTGCATTTAAAATGTTTCTAACTTCTGTTGATAGAATGTAAGTGGAACCAGTCTTTGGTCTAGTGGAAGGATTTCTACCAATGTTGAAATCAGCAGACTCATCGACTTTTTCACCATCCAATTTCTTAGCTTGTTGTTGTTTCTTGATCATATCTTGACGAATAAAGCCCTTAACCCTGTTATTAGTCAATTGTTTTTCGTTTAAAGCTGTCTCAAAGATTTTAGTAAATCCATCCTTTCTAAATTTTGGTGAATACATACCACAATTATCACACTTTGGTCTGGATAATAATCTTTTATGGAAGTCATGGATCAATTGCTTTCTTTCAGCGTTGACAGTAGCTGTGAAGGTACCTCTTTCAGTAGTTCTACCTTCAGATAAGGCTTTAGCAATACAAAGTTCTACATATTCTTTACGTTTGATCATTAACTTTTTATTATCAGCTTCATTATTTTTATTGTTTGATTCATCATCATTTTCTGCTTCTTCAACCCCATCTCCATCTTGTTTACTTTGTGTGTTACTTAAAGTCACAGCACTCAATTTAATATCATCTAATTTGTAGGCTTCATCGATAAGACCGTATTGTAATAACTTCAACTTCAAAGCATAAGCATTAACAGCTAAAGAATTCAGTCTGAAATGATGACAGTAAAGACATGACGCTCTTAAATAAATGTATAATTGATTAAAAAATAATGGATTATAACATGGTACAGGTAATTCAATGTGACCCAAATGACCTGGACAAAATTTTTCATCTAAACCACAGGTAGAACAAAGATTTCTCAAAAAGGCACCCAAAGAAAGATCATACAACCCACCAGAGATTGGATGACCTAGGTTGTCTAAGACTGTTGGATTAGTGATCTGTTTAACAGAAAGAGATCTAATCTCTTTAGCAGAAAGAACACTAAAGTTTACAGAAGTAATCTCAGATCCAACTGGCTTAGAGATATCCATAATTGATACAACAAAATATGAGTGAAAAAGAAAGAAACCAATTAAACAAATGACAACTTTCTAGTCAGTCAGAAGTTGTGATATAAATATATATATATAAAGAAGTATAGATATATATTATTAAGATTGGAAAGAGATGACCTTCTAGAAGCGGTATCAAGCAAATAAAAAAAATAAAAAAAGTGCTTTAAATGGTTTCTGGTTATAACTGTGGTGCAATGTAGTAAGTAATGAAGAGTTATTTACAAATGATAATTAACATACATAGACACAAATGAGTAAATATAAGATAGACGTGTAAGAATGTAAAATTTAAAAGAATTAATGTTCTTCACTTCTTTAAGATTGAAATATCTCTTCTCTTTTGCTCATCTCAAAAATTTTTCATTTGAGCAAAAAAAAAAATTTTTCCTAAGGTCACGTGTTTAACAATAAAACTGAATCTCGAGAACATTTGAGAAATCGACAAAGAGACGCTTTATAACAATATTCTGGAATAATGGAAAGTGAAGCAAGGAACAAACTGTCAATAGCTGGTAGCATTACATGGCTATAGACTCTGTTAAGATCGAAGAAGACTATGAATAAAGTAATTAGTATACATAGTTTAGGGAGGAAAAAATAAAAATTTATTAAAATATAAATAAATAAGTGGCATATCTATAAATAGATAAATAACTGGGTTAAAAGTCATCCCCACGATATCATTAAGTATTTGAATTGCTTTACGCTAATTTAACATCAATTTAAGTCTCTCTATCTTTTTTCTTTAAAAAACAATTTTAGATGAAACTATGTCAGCTCCAACATTACAGACAACTGCATTAATGACTGAACATTTGGGGTACCCTCCAGTGTCTCTTTTAGATGATATTATCAATTGCGTAAACGATATAATGTATAAATGTATCTCTGCAATGGAAAAATATTTATTAAAAAAATCTGTTGTTAATGGACATGATTATAGTGAAGAAATCAGAATTGGTGTAGCTCAGTTAGAGACTTTACTAGAAAATTCAGTTGACAGGAATTTTGATAGGTTGGAATTATATATGCTAAGAAACATTTTGCATGTACCTGAGGAATTAATCTCAAATAATGTATTTAGATTAAACCATCAAAGAAATCTAATTCTTGCCAATGAGTCTCTAAGAAACACGAGTCAATATGTACTACAAGATAAAGTCAAACAGATAGAATATGAATTATTTAAAAATGAACAGTTAACTGATTATCTAACCAAATTAAAAAACTTAAAAATAAAAGTAGGACGATATAAACAATTTGTTCAAAGAATTAGCACTTTTGATTCGCCCGATTTGAAATCTATATACGAATCTCTAAAACCAATCGATAATTCTATCACTCTATTAAGTAAACAGTTGAAACAACTTTATGAATCTTCAGAGGAGATCTGCTCAATTGAAAGAGTCAATTTAATTAGAAGGGAACAAATCAAAAGAACAATTAAAAGTAAAAAATATGAAAATGTACACTATAATCCTTTAAATAATCACATCACTAGCATCACTAATAGTAATAATAATACAATGATAGAGATAAAGGATCCTGATGTCAGTACCTTTGAAAATATTCCATAGAAGACAAAATAGGGAGAGAAAAAAAAGATTTTTTCTGTAAATTAATCTAGATATTTCAAAAAATTTTCATCCTCCAACCATCCAACTTTTTCAAAAGCAGAATAAAGTCTCGATGCTTTATTAACATCAATCCTACATGCCTTTTGTGCATCAGTTCTTCTAAATGGAAGATTATTTTGTAATTTACAAACCTTCTCTAAGAATAATCTTCTCTTGGAATCTAAATATAAATCACAAGGTAACCTTAAAGTCGAAGCCAAATTTAATTCTGCCGGATGCAAATATGATTTCAATGGATCGTTTGAAAGATTTAATGGAGATCCCTTCCACCCCACCTTTAAACATTTATTATTACCTGGTGGTAATGTTTCGATAGATGGTGAATAATCAGGTAATTTTTTCCAAGATATATTAGGAATATATTGTGGTACGTCTTGAATAAGATCCATGGATGCAATACTTGGCCGTGGTGATGGTGTTGATGCCATTTTACCATTCCAAAATGGAGAAACAGACTTCTTGTAAATTGTGGGCTCTTCGGCATTTAGGTAATTTCTATAAGAGTTTTTTAATACATTTTTTCTTAGACCTTCACTCTCCACGCTACTTTCATAATAAATATTTCTTAAATAATGCGAATGCCGGGAGTTGATATTTCTACTATTAATTCTATTATAATATGACTCATTTTCATAAATACTCTGGTTGCTGCTAAACATTCTATATTTTTAAAGAAACGATTTAAGGTTATACCTATAGATTTTGGTTGTCTGGTCTTTTTTCCATATGGGTAGTACCATTATTCCATTATAACGATTTTTTGCATATTGTATAGCATTTTTGATACTTTTTTGGGGTGATACTGGAGGTGATGGAAATTTATGTTTAATCCATTCAGAAGAATCGGTTCCAAAGCATTTTCTCTTTAGTTGATTCTGGTTATTATTATTCGAAGTAACTGAATCTAGATTTGAATCAGATTGTGAAATTAGATGTTGATCTTCTTTTCCCATTGGTAGGGATGTAAATACAAAAGTTGATGAAGATCTTTTCTCCTTCATGATTGGAAGACTCTTTTATCTTTACCCTAATGTTGTCTATATATGTAACTATGAAATCCCCAGAATAACTTATATATTGTTAACATTAGAACTCTTTAACCAATATATATTGTCGTTCAAGTTAACTTAACATATAATAAATAAATATACAATATTACATTTTCAAAAACACCAATAATTTAATAAATCTAATAAATAGTCATTCACTATGATAGTAGCAAGTTCTCTGTTTAGTTTTATTACATCATCTGAAATAATCTCATACAAAATATTTAAGGGAAGCACATAATAACTCTTCGTGCGGCTGTTTGTTGAAAAGTTTGTTAGGGTCAGAGTAGAATATTCAAAGATATTCCTACATTGTTATTAGGGTTTTATCATAAAAATTACTTTTTTACCGAAAAGTTACAAAACAGCTAGGGTTTAGAGATTAAGTTGTCGAGCATTAGATGAACAATCAATAGAATCAATTATTAGTGAAATAATTTATCAATGCTTCAGATACATTTATATTTCTTGCGCGAATAATTGGAACTCTGGATTACATATTAACAAATATTGTATCAGACAAGTTTCTCACTACATTCTTTGCATTTTTATCATATTTTACTCCTGAAAAAAAATATATATATATAACAAAGGATAAAAGCTTTATTTAATTTACTGGATGGTTCGTTTAAAGACTAGATATATTCTATTCGAAGTGATACTTTCACCTCATATTATTAACATTGATGAAAATGAGGACCACATAAATACTGTCCATTTTACAAAACATAATATTCTTTTATCACATCATAGACCATGTCCAAAAGAAATATCAAATAAAACGTTGTTACAAGAGATACGACATTCTCTACAACTCAATTTCGGTGATTATGGATCAGGGAAAGTTGGCTCTCTACTTCAATTCAAATACTTTTCTAATAATACAAGTACTGGCATTATAAGATGTCATAGAGAAGACGTAGATACACTAGTAGCTGCATTGACTCTTATTAATAAAATCGGTGAAATCAATGATGTTATTATTAATCCAGTCAAAGTGAGTGGAACTATAAAGAAAATTGAACAATACTCCATAAGAAGAAGTTCAAAATTGATATCGTTGTTAAACAAATCTAGAAAACAGCAAAAATTAAAAGTCAATTTAATTAATGATTTTACTAAAATAGAGGCAGATATTGAAGAAAATGTTTGATTGTTATTTACCTCATATATATTTAGCATCATAGCATTTAATCTAATTAATATCTTTAGTTATATATTTATTTTTTTCCATACAGATATAGAATACATGTATAACTCATTTGCGTTCTGCTTTTGTAAATTCTACAGGCCCATTACTCATAATACTCTCACCATCATCGGTATTGCCTTCACTCTTGTTATATTTCACACGATAGATGCTATCAATATTCTGTTGTACAAATAATGGGTTATCGTATGCATCTTCTAGCCTACTTTTACCACTTACAATTCCCTTAGTATATAACCTTGAATCATAACTAACTGTATCTTTCTTTTTAGTTGTTTCTTTTTGATACAATTTTATCTTTTCAGAAATATCTCTAGAATTTAATGATTTGCTATTGCTTCTTTGATAATTATGACCTGATACTAACTTATTCTGTCTTGCTTCTTTTGCAATTCTGTTTAACTTCTGTTCTCTTTCCTTCATTACTTTATTTAATTCTCTAATCTTAGCCTTTTTTTTCTCTTGTAATTTCAATCTAGCCTTCCTATCTGCCTGTTCTAACGCATTAGCTAAATCGATAAAACCTTGATTAATCTCCTGTGATTCTCCATGTTTTCCACCTCCACGAGATGAAATTGCATAACCTTTAGGATTCTTCCATTGAGACACAAATGAAGGGATTCTCCATTCATTTTTCATTTTTTTACTTATCTCTTGACCACTGGTATTTGAAGACACATACAATTGTGGTTGAATAGATTCTTCTTCATTAGATGGAACATAGACTTTCTTTGCTGTTTTAATCATCTTTGGTTGTAATGGATCCTGAACCTTAGTGACAACACGAATTTTACGACCATTACCAGCAGTTATTGTTTCATTAGTAGCACTAGAAACCGGTTTTTTGATGTTCTTAGATAACAGGTTTTGGAAATGTTCATACGTACGTTTATATGTTTTATCTATTTCTTCAGCAGATGGGTAAGGTATCTCCAAGTTAAAATTCTCATATCGAAGTGGAATAAAATCCTGCAACCGTACTCGAGATGCAATATTATTGAACGATATTTCTATACTACTAGGCTCACTATCTTGTGGTTGATTTGATTCATATCTATCATCTGTGAGAGCTCTCACTATATTCTTACCAGCTTCACGAGTATTTTCTATCGGTTTTATTTCGTGCTTTGGATCAGGCAAAAGAGAACTAAAAGTCATCTTCACTTACCTTTCAAATTTTCCTTGAATTTCTAAAATAATAAGTATAACAATAATAATAATGTTTTTCTAACTCGCACTTTTATATTCTGTTTATTAATAAACAATAATCTTCACTGCCTGAACATCTAAGCTGCTAATTCAAGTGCTACCCTTCTATTGACTTTTTTTTATTTAACAATGTAGATCATTTTTACTAAACTAACTCCTTCTTCATACAAAAAGAAATGATACGAAAATAAATAGAGAACATGTGAAAAGTATTCACCATGAAGTTCGTATCTAAAATAAAATAAAATAAAAGAAGAAAAAACATAACCGTCTATTCAATGTTAATATAATGTATCTGTACATTATCAATTACTATATTTCATTATACATCAATATATATATAATTATAATAAAACGAAAGAATATTAAGAAGACCTGAATTTGTCTTTTAAAGTAAGTCCAAATTTATGAGCGGATGATGTTTTCTTTGGAAGCATGGTTTCATCTAAACTAGTTAATGTTTTTGGTTTCCTCTCTTCCTCAACAGTTTCTCTCAAACTTTTTCTGAATACAATCCCTTCTAAATTATGCTTCTGTTTTAAAGCAGTATTTACTTGTAGTGGTATTGGTGAATAATGCAAAACTGCTGGTTTTTTATACCAACCCTGCTTTGTCGGTCTAGGATTTTCTGATGGCAACATAGGGGGCACGCCGATAAATCTCACCTTCTTGACGATGTTAGATCTCTCACTACCTGTTGGTGTCGTGAAGTTAGCAATAATATTATCGTTTGATGCAGCATTACTTGTAATATCAGAAGCTTCTTCTAATCCAACTGATATCTGTTTTGTTGTAGAATTTGGATTGGCTGATTCCTTGAATTGTAATCTTTCACCACTATGATTATAATAATCCTTTTTCTCCTTTAAAGGAGAAGTTACAATAATTTTCACTTTGGTACTTAATGGAGAAGCTATCCTAGATGAATTGTTATTTACTTCAGTAACAATCTTAGGTGTTGCCTGTTCATCCGAGGACAACTTCAAAGTCATTGAATTATCACTGTTTATACTAGCTGAACGTGATCTATTACCACCAGGCGATTTGGACCTTGATAAATTAAGACTTTGGTTACTTTGTGTTATATGTTTTCTTAAATCACCGTCCATTAACTTTTTCATTGTATCCTGAACTAATCGCTGATTCAATGCATCATTAGCTTCTAAAGAATTTGAACGTTTAGTATTAGAGACTGACATACCAAAATTTTTTGTAGTAGTAGTATGTTTGACTGTTTGTAAAGATGAAGAACGGGGTCTACCTTTTACTGATGATGACCTTCTTGGTATACTCTTACTTTGCTCTTTAGAAGGTTGAGCTACCATTGTTGACGATCCCATCTTTTCATTTGAAGTTGTAGACTGTACGTGTTTTTTCGTGGGTATAACAACTCTATCAATAATTGATGACCTTCTGGACACTAATGGAGAATTAGTACTTGAATTTCTAGGATATGAGGAGCTCTTAGACAAAGGTGACATTCCTAAGGAAAAATTCGTGGAGTTATTATCTACATATTGCCTTTTATTATTATTCTTTGGTGACAACGAGGAAAGAGAAGATAAAAGTACTGTACCATTGTTGGATACATAGTTTTTGGACGTTAATACAGATTGATGTGCTTTAGTATTCAATATTTGAACATCCTCTGATTGTAGTTTATATTGTAAAAGTGAAGACGTTCTTGATGATGTCTTTGAAGAATGACTAGATGATGTTGTGGATGGTGGAGAAAAATTATTTAGAGTATTTTCATTATCTAATAATTTCTGTTGCTTTCCTGTAGTTTTCTCCAAATAAGATAGTTTATCAACTGATCTTCTTTCCAACAACATCCTGTTTAATTGATCATCTTCATAATCTTTAAACTCCTCTAAAGTTTCAATATTCTCTTGGATGTATTTCCAAACAGATGCCCATTTAGTCACCCAACTTAAATCAGACTTCATTAATTGGATATGTTTTATAGTAAATTTTTTATGAAGAACAGCTACAGCATTTATACCAACTTCATCATTAGCAATGTAATTTATGTTATTTTCAGTAAATGAGTCCAAGTCATCTCTAAAATTACAAAAATCTTGATTAGTATACTCAGTTGATATTTTGTCAATTTTATCTAAAATCTGTTCATATTGATAGACATTTTTACTTATTAATTTTGTTTTGCAATTATGGAAATAATTTTTATTTGGTAGATATATAGAGATCACTAGACTAATAAGCATAGATAATAGATCAAAAGATTTGTAAAGCAATGCATATATTCTGTGTAAAGTGTACTCGGAGAAGGGTAAAGTATCAAAGGAGGAGGATTTGTTAGAATATTGATTGATTTTATTATAATAATCTTTGATTGCAGGAATCACCTTTTTATTGAAATATTTCACAAACTTATCGACAACTTGATATTGTAATTTTAAAAATGATGATAAATTTGTATCTTTTGATCTATCTTTTATTAGTACAGCAAAATCTAATGATAATGGTACCTCTCTAGGCCGTATTAAATCTTCCACATAATCAATTATGAATTTTGAATTTATTTCTGTCAGTTCATAAGGTCGATTAGAATTACTGGTTTTTTCTAATTGAATCTGTCTTAACTTCTTGTTATATAATGAAAGTGTCTGCGATGTTAATTTCTTCAAATAATTCAATAATTTCCACTGTAAATTTTGATCATAAATATGCAAACGATGGCTTTCAAATGAGTCTTCTTTTACTATTGCAAAGTTAAAGGTACTTGAAATAAACGTTGTTGTTATTGGAAGATTCACATCTTGAGATTTATAAAATTTAAATTGGCATAATGCTATATAATGTTTTCTGATCAATGGATGAATATTAAAAACATGACCCTCACATAGCTTAAGAATATAATTTAATAGTGGTATGATTATATTATTGCTTGTTGATTTGGATTCTTGATTATTACCTGTTAACAGTTTTGGATTCTGTAAATTTTTCTCTAAAACTCCAATTATCCTATTTACCTCCTGCAATCTATATAAACCATCTTTATACTGAATTAATTTAATATCATAGGCAGTTAATGGTGCTAAAAAATTCGTCTTTGCTACAGCAACCATTAGAAAAATACCCCTCAGATGAAGTGTAAATATTTATAATCTTTTAAACAAAAAAGGAAGAAAAAAACTGGATATTGGGGAATAACACTATATTGTTGATATAATAGTATAATTTTAATACAATTATTCTTGAAAGTGAAACTTTTTTAGTAAGATTTTATTCAACAATTCGCTTTTCCAAGTTAGCAATAGTTAAAATCCTCCCCGATTATTATTAATATTAAACTATAATTTAATGACTATAACTATTGAAGAATCAAACGTCGTTAAGAAGACCAACACGGGACTCCAATACGGATATAAACCCGTTATGATCCACCTCTTTCTCTCCGTCTCTTTATCTTCGATATTGAAAATTCGATCAACTCAAAAGGTATGAAAGATGATTTAAAAAACCCTAATCGTTTGTTACATACTATTTTCCAAATTAACACTATAAAGAGGGTTAGGGTTTGTCTAAGGAACAAGATATATGGAATGGAATGGAATAATTGTTGGCAATTGACAAAGACAAAGGCCTTGTATCTATATAAACAATAATGTAATCCATAAGATAACGACTACAGCTCTATTATATGTTAGTTAAGTTAGAAAAAACTAATACACAAAAAAAAAAAAAAATATGCCGGCTTCATAATGTTTATAAAGTTAAAATATTTCTATAGAGCTCTTGGAATACGTATCAGCTGGTCATTACACGAACAATTTGATTTATACTAGCAAGCTTATATTTAGGGTGATTCACAACATTTGGATCCCGTAAATCAGCTTCATTGATAACACGAATTTCTGTTTTTAGGTTCAAAGATTTATCAAGAACTGGATTAGGAAAATCATTTAATTCCATCTTTAGTGTTAATGAACCAGCTTTTGATTTGTCCTTGTTTATCACATTAGCTAAATGATCAAGAATATCAGATGGTATTTTAGAATCCCCTTTAGCTGGCTTATATTTTTTTAAAATTGTTTGCAATTGGACTGGGTTTAAAAGATAACAAAAATCTTTAGCAACTTCCAAGTCCGATAAATTGTTCATTCTCAATTGTAGCAATGTACACAACTGTCTCAAATGAACTAAATCTTTTCTTGGATCTATCTTAATGTTATGTTTTAAGAACCAATCATCTAATGATTTTAAATTATTATGGATTTTATGACCCAACTTCCAATCCATATTATAGAATTTAACACAAAGATCGTTAACACATAGTGAATTGGTAAAATTTAAAATATTAATGATAATTCCATGTACAATATGGTTTTCTAACTTATACATTTTTGAGAACTTAATTAATTCGTAGAAAAATACCAACAAATGTGTTAATTTCTTCTCATTGATTCCTTCTTCATTAAATCGTGATGGGGACCCAATTAAAATATTTGATAAATTGAGATCATATCTAATATATGACATCAATTTTTTCAACCAAGTATTATAAGCAGTAATTAATGCATTGCCTATCAATTCATGCCAGTAAGAATGTGTTTCGTCTCTGTCAATAAAAGATTTAATATATGAGTAAATTTCAAACAAGTTACTAAACCAGAATAAACCATCCCCAACTAAATTTTTATCGTCAGATAGGTTTGACATATTTTGTAATATACTATTTATGGAACTTTCAAGGAAGTTTATTAAATTGTTAAAAAGTTTGTTATCAATATACTTTTGAGAAACAAAATTTATAAGTAGTGCTGGATATAAGATAGAAATATTATTATCAAATTCATTAACAATTCTTGGGATTGTGTACGATTTTAAAAATTCATCATGTACCTCATTAAATATATCCTTTTCCACTGTAAGTATGTTTTTGATATTTGGGTTGTTGACTTGTTGTGATAAGAACATCGTGCTATCTTCAGAAATATTTTCTAAATCTACATTTAACTTTGATTCAGGAGATGCACTATGATTAATTGTTGCAAATTTTGACGTATCATTTAATAAAACAATATCTTTTAATTCTGAATCTAATAAATGTAACCTTTCGTGTAATATATTAGTTTTATTATCAGCTTTGTGTGTTTCCTTATTGTTAAAATATTTTAATTGAGATTTAACAGTATTTTGCCATTGAATATATTGCTTACGTAAGGTTTTTATATCAGAATAATTTTTCTGTAAAAGATTTATTACATTATTAATCTCCAATTTCATATCATTATACTTTGTATCATTGTTTAATATAGAAAGTATATCTTCAGAGTTTTCCAACTGCTTTATAGTATCATAATTTGTTTTATTTTCATTAATTTTATCTTTGAGTTCTTTTATGAAATCAAGAAACTCTACAATTAATTTAGCTTCTTCAGAATTAGAAAACATCATAGATTCTTTCAATTTTTGATATTCGATTTGTGCTGCTCTTTTTCTCATATGTGACTGAATCATAATAGATGATTTCTTCATCTTTGTGTATTTTGATCTTTGATAATATGCCTTTATTCTACTTTGAATCAGCACTAGAGCTACCTTTCTTTGTTCTTGCCTAATATACTCTTGTATTAATATCTTTTTCAAATATGCTTGAAGTAAAATATTCGATCTGACAATATCGGCATAGTATGTTTGGACAGTTTTTGCTCTAATGACAGATTGAATCATAGTTGCAAATCTTATTTGTAATTCATGATTAATTTTTTTCCGAAGGAGATTGTTGTGCAAACGTAGTTGAATATTTCTAATGGACTCTATAATGGCTAAATATTGTTTTCTATAGTATCTGCCTCTAATCTTCTTTTGGATTTTTGTTATAATTTTAGTAAATACAGTAGATCTCAATTTTTCTAATTGAGCTAGCATGCCGGCTCTAAAAAATATTTTGGTTCTACCTATTTGGTATTTCTCTTTATCATCAATAGTGACATCCAGAATATTTTTAACTAATGGGAGAAGATTAGCGGTATCATCATATAGATATTGTTGCCATTCAGAATTTGGTACCAAAAAATAGTACCTTTGAACAAATTCATCAAATGACCATCTAGATGGGAAACCAGCAGATGACATTTTGATTGTTTCAAGAACACCACAAGCACGTAATTGGGATAAAACCATTAAATTCTCAAATTTCCATGCTTCTTTATTTGGATTCGGTTTGATGCAACGAATATAATGAACATTAGTTGCATTTATCGTATTCATTAAATCTGTTAATGAACCTTTGAATAATGAACCTAAGGTTGGCTTTTTTTGCACCATTCTTCTTGAACCAGGGAAAGTTGTATGTTCTTTTTTCTTTTCCTCTATATTCATTGAAGTTTTTTCTAAATTATCTAATAGAGAAACCAACATTTTGTTTGATGATGATTTAAGAATTTCTAAATGGGTATCTGGTACAGTATCTCTATTTTTCTCAATAAAACCTTCTACATCATAAGCCACATCATGTGCATAGTGACTAACAACAAATTTTGTTTGGCCAAATCTTGGTTTAGAGAAGACTTTGTTTGTTGGCTCTTTATCGAAAGATTGATATAATTTTTGAGTCCATGATTCATCAGAACCTGAGGGTAATCTACTTTCTTCATCTAAAAGAGATAGAATACCAAGCTTATTTTCAATTAAGTCTATACATGGCTGATTATCATTGAATTCAATAAATGACCATTCTATCTCCTCTTTAATATATTCTTCTTGCTCTAATTTAAAAACATGCTGATTAAATTCCTGTTGCAATTTTTCATTAGCATAATTGATACAAAATTGTTCAAATGAATTTTTTTCAAAATGTTCAAAACCATAGATATCGAGAACACCAATGAAATATTTAACATCATCTGACTTTATCTCCTTATTTAAATTAGCATTAATGGTTTCAATCAACCAATTAAATAATGCTGAATATATGAATTTAGAAACAGAATCTCTAACTACAATAGCTTGATTATAATTTAAATTTGATATGATTTTTTCAGATCTTGTTATTATTTGTTTTTTTGTAATCCATTTAGCAAAATTGAATGAATCAATTCCTAATAATTCACACGCGATCTGTAAATTTTTATCCTCAGAAGATACAGAAGCATCATTTCTTAATTTTTTGATTTCAATATTTCCAAGATGAAGAATACCAGATAATATTTGGAAAATTTGTTCTTGAACTTCAGAATGGATACCCACCATACCCAATGCATTTATTGTAGTATGAAATTCATCCTTATCACTGACATCTGGAATATATGGATCACCACCTTGATTCATATAATAGTAATAGTCTATGGGCTTATCTAAATGTAGTTTAACCTTTTGATCATCTGTTAAACCATTTAACATTTGATAAAATATATGGTAATTTCTTTCCCCCTTAGGTTGAAACACTAATCTAGATCTTTCTAATAAATATGTTTTAATTTGTGCTCCTAAAATTTTGTTATCTTTATTAAAAGAGATGGATAGATATTTACCAAATCTAGAAGAATTATCGTTTCTTGTAGTCTTAGCATTACCAAATGCTTCCATAATTGGATTTGTTGCAAGTATTCTATGTTCAATCTCTGACGTCTTTTGCATATGTGCAGCTTCATCCTGAACTGAAGCATAGTATCTCATAATATATTTTGCAGATACAGTTTTTCCTGCACCAGATTCACCACTAACAATAATAGTCTGATTCTCACCATAGTTCTTCATATGTTTAAAAGCAGAATCTGCAATGGCAAAAATATGTGGTTGCAAATCTTCTTTACGGTTTGTGGAATATTCATGAATTTTTTCAGGACTATACAGCTCATCTACATTAGCAAACGGATTTGTTGCAATAAGAACAATTCCTGAATATGTGTAAATATTTTTATCTGTAAATCTTTTCTTGATTGCATGTAATACAGCAGGTTCATTTAAAAATGTAAGAGAAGTTAAATCATCAGTAGCTTCTAACACAGGTGGATTTCTTAAATGAAGAGCATCATTGAAATCTTCCTTAATTTTATCTAAATTAACTTCGATCTCTTCATCATTTTCCAATCTTAATCTAGCTTCAGTAGATTCAGAATTCAGTTCAATGATCTCTGCGCCAACCCAACCATGTTCTTTGCTGGGATACCAACAGCGGGCGCCAACGTAGAAAGTCATATGGTTGCTTTTCTTAATTGTAATATCTTAGTAGAAAGGCCCACTTGAAAACCTTTTGATTGAGTAGAAAAGAAGCAAGTACTTTCATAAGTAACATTTTTGTGTTTATTCATAGTTGTTTATTAAGTTCAGCTGTCGAGATGTTTCTATATCTTGTTTATAGTTTGTTCCTGTGATTTTACATTGGCATATTGTTTGTCCTCGAAGGAAAAAAAAAGGTGAAAAAGTAAAAAATAAATAATAAAAAAATAAATTTCAGGGTTAAGTTTTTCTTACATAAAACCCTGTTAACATTTATTTAGGGTTGGAAGGCAAAAAAAAAAGCTTTTTTTTTGGAGAAATTACAGAAATTGCTACAGGTAGTGAAAGAAACAAAACGGCAGGGGAAGTTGGAATGTGTGAGGTCTCAAGAACATAACCAGTATCGATGCAAACTCATAAGGTAAGGAAGAGATAAGAATTTGGATTGATAATTTTTAAACAATGTATTGTACAGTGGTTTTTCTTTTGTTTGATCTGTGAAAAAGATAAAAAATATAAACGCAACAGAAAGAAAATAAACTATACCAGGAAACCATATACACTTTTGTATGCCTATTCATATATGTGAGCAATATAAATGAGCGAATCTAAAAGTCATATTGGTATACCTCCCTTGAAAAAAAATCCAGAGAATTCAGAAAGAAACTTTAGACTATTCAAGAACAGTTTTATGCAAAATGATATCACGAAAAAATTAGATAAAAACTATAATATAAATCAATATCAAATAAAACGGGCAGATTCTGAGATTGATCCAAATTCAGAAGACATACCGCCTGAGCAACCATCACCACTAAATAATTATCAAAACATAATACCAAAAAATGATATATTTGAGAATAAAAAATGGAGGGAAGATATTGGCAAACATAAAATAGACTTCAAAAATTTTTCAATGAAGAATAAACCTTCAGATCATTTATATACAAATAAGGAAAAGCTTTCTTTACCTGTAAATAAAAAAAGTAATTTTGACCTTGAACATTTTCAAAAAGGAAGAGAACATTCATTGCCAGAAAATTTATCCAATAATCATACAACTTATCCGATTAATAAAAGTTCCTCAGGTTTTCAAAATAACTCCAAAAGTAATGATCATAATGATTCAAATCCTAAGAAATCAAGTCTCAATAATCATACTACTTTTAATTTGCAACATTCCTGGGGAGAAAAATCGCATATATCAAATGCAGCCACTAAACAATTACATATATTGGAGAAGCCACTTAGAAGAATGTCTGTTTTACCTGAGTTACACAACTTCTTACCTCATAAAAAAGAAAAAGACTCAATAATTAACCATTCCAAAACATCAATATTGTCTGAAGGTGCTACCGCCGATTTAGACTTGAGAGACAAACAAAGCCAGTCTTTTGAACCTAGAGAAGACTTTCTACAATCACCATCAGCAATAAGGAATCAAACAACCAATATAACACCTATATTTAAGAACTTTACATTTAACCAACATAATTTAAACCAAAGTGATCCAAAATTATCAGAATTGCATGAAAATGAACCATTAAATTTGCAAGAAAGAAGGGCATCTGATCCCTCTGAGATACAAAGAAGCAAAACAATACTGCCTTCTTTCCACCAAAATAGGAGACAGACAATATCTACCAATGTGGAGATTCCTATTTCAGTTCTTAAGGAAAGAAGAATGTCAGCAGTATCAGCAGGATATGAGCCACCATCAACAACAGAATTTTCATTACCACAAAGACTGAGAAGAGCCAGTATGGTGTCATCACTAAATAGATCTTTCCCCCCAAATGAAACTATAAGAAGAAGGTCATTATCTCCAGAATTGACTTTTACTCATTACAAAAATGATAATCATCACACAAAAAATAAAAACACTTTTAAAACTTTCGATTTTAAGTCATTTCAATTTCCATTATCCACACCGCAAGAAATTATTGGACAAGAATCACACTTTGATAATATACCAGGGAAAGGTGAGAGATCAACAGTTGTGAAAGAAGAGAAAGTTAATCGAAATAATGGTAGGAACAAAGTTAGAACTATTGAAGACGACAATGATTACGAGGATATATCTAATTATGTTCATACCAATAATATTTTTGCTACTCTGATTGAGCAAGAAAAGGAGAGGGAAAAAGAAAGGGAAAAACATCATCACCATCATGGCCACCATGGTATGGTTGATTATACTTCTGCTGTTACAGGTGCATTTAGCGATGTAATGTTTAATTGGAATGAAACTTCAAACGATAATCAATCACAGTCTGAATCTGAATCAACTTCTGAATCATGTAATAGTCTTTGTAACATCAATACCCAACTTGGTGGAAATGAGATTATTTCTAGCAAAGAAAATACTTTAGACACAACTACCCCTGTACCGACTGCCTATAACTCAACTTGCCAAACACCTATATTAAATAAAGCTACCAGAATTGAAGAGTCGAAAAAACATCGTCATCATAAATCGTTAAATGATAATATATCCAAAAGTATCCCATATGTAAACGATAAGAAACGTTTAGTGTATCAGTTTTTACAGTCTCTAGCTCCACCTAGTAAAAACCAACTAGAAAAACAGGGTCTGTTGTTTACAAGTGAAAATCCGTTAATTTCATCTCAATTATTGGACAAAGATTCTGCAAACACGAATAATGGAATAACAATGTCATCTAATAGATCTTTGCAAAGTTTACTTTTTCATGATTTGGAGCAGCCTGAATATCTCTCAGACTCACCTGGTCCTTCACCATATTCAAGATCTTCCTATTCACTTTCATCATACTCTAGTAGTTCATATTCTTCTGATTTATCATCCACATCGTCTAATGGATCAAAATCTAACGAAGATTCTAGTAACCAAAATAGGGATCAAATGGATGACATTTTGGATCGCTATGATGTAGATTATTACCAAAGACATATAGCATTATTATTATCTAAGTTTGATGATATTATGAAATCGCACCTAAAAGGGGCTATTTTGAAAAAGGAAATTGATTTTCAAAGGACCTTGCAGAACTTTGATAATTTAGTGGATGAATTACAAAAATTGAAAAAGAAGACTATCGATCTTGAAACATTGATAAAGAGTAAATATTTGGTTAAGTTGACAAAAGATTTTGGAGATAAAAATAGTGATTCATTTATTGAAGTAATAAAGAAAAATGTAACTTATAATATCAAACAGTTAGAAGCATTTGAAACAAGAATGAGTGTATGTCAGCAAAAATTAGCTACACAAAAAAGAGACCTGAAAAAAATGGAAAGTTTACTGCAAATAGAACAAAGTATTATTCAATCTAAAAAATCACTTGGATTTTTCTCGAAATATAGATATATGATATTCGATCTCCTTTCACTACTTGTCATAGTATTTATTGTCCTAATATTTGTTTCTTCAAAGAAGTGGGAGATGACATCTTATATATTCGCATTTTAAATAATACTACTTAAGCAATTTTGAATACATATACTCATTATATTTACTATAACATTATATATGTTAAGGAAATTATAGTGATAACAAAAAAATATCGGGTAATGTAATATTTTCTTTCATACTCAAATTAATACATATATTTGATTAATGACAACTGAGGAAAGAGTTCCTAAGTCTTTAGTAATAGTGAAAGTTGGGCTTAGGGGTTCTTAAGTAACTATTTTGAAGCATTAAAATTATACAAGTCGTCTAAAAAGAATTTCTATTTAGACAACTAAGATGTTTAGAGGATTATCTAATTAAACATTGTTTGGTAAAAGTTTAATGCCACTGAAAGAATGAATATCGATTAAACATATAAGAATTGTAATTAAATATTCAAAAAAAAAAAGATATCAAGAAATATGTTTTGTGTCATATGAATATTTAGTATTAAAAAGAGGGGTATCTTCCAGCCAAAAATAAAAATATTATACAGGACATATAGTGACAGAGGTAGGAGCTAGAGTTCTAGCACCTATGACATATAAGCACACGTTGAGAATGAGCGCCTTTATTCATTGGATATATAGTAAACATTCTCAATATTATATTAAACAGATTTAGTATACAAAATTATAATAAAGTTCTTCACTTTCTTTCTCTATATACAACATAGAAATAATTATATACAAAGATTGTAAATAAGATAAAAATAATGTATGATGAAATCCTTGGCTTTATATATGTTAACATTAAGCCATTTTCCTCTACGAACAGTAAGATATTTAATAAACAAACCCAACAACTTTTGGTGACCTCTCAACAATTATTACTCAACAATTTATCGTTTAGTGTCTGCTAAAATCTTATTGTTCTATCTATTTTATTATTGAACATTCTATTTCAACAAATATAAACATAATGTTACTTTAAAAAAGAGAAAAAATAAAAATGAAAAGGAATGACGGTCTTGTGAATTTTCTTTTTTAAATAATTTTCTGTCGAGTTTTAAAAACTAAACATAAACAATTACCAATTAGTATATAAGGATCATCCCTTAACGTCAATGCTATCACTTATATATCATATATAGTGAAGGAAACCAAAGAATTTATGTATAACTCTCTATATTATATCTATCTAATTATAATTTTGAGAATGTTTACTATGTATCCAATTACTACAGATGCTAATTCTCAACAATTATTGTCCTCTTGAAATGCTCTCCTCAGATTCAATACCATATGTTTACTATTGCACACACAACTGTAATAATCCTCCACTTAACCACTCAAGTGTTACCCACAAGTTTATATCTCCACCAGATTCCAACCCAATTTTTTACATAGTAACATTGTGATGTTTTTTACTGTTTTAGTTATAATACCGTGTAGCAAAAATCTATTTGGTTCTAAATCATCATGAAGAATTAATATAAAAATTTATATTTCAAACAGATAAAATATGAAATTACAAGTCAGGTGTTATTGTGCAATATTGTATGTTGAGTTTTGAAATTTAAAAAGTGCAGAACTATGTTCTACTAATAATTATTTTTATAATTTATGTATAAGTTATATGAACTCAATGAACACATTCAGTAGAATACTCTATACATAGTATTAAAAAAAGTCAACCCCGATTCTGACCATTCATATTATAATACAATATTTAATTTTGTCCTTTATCATAATCGCATCTCTAAAAGAAATACTGTGTAGCAAACTAACGGTGAATTTCCAGTTCAAAGTTAATGACATAAGACTGACGTATTTAATACAACATTACTATTATATACTAATAATATAATGTCATTTTCTGTTTTTTTGAAACATAAGGGTGCTACCAGAATAAATGTGTTAATGTTTGTCAATGGAAAATTATATAAAAAATTCAACATCAAAAAATGCTGTGTTTCAATGATCTTTTTGTTTAATACAGTTTTGAATTCAAATAAAACATAGAGAACGTATAACAATTCAACAAAGATAAGATTATTAATAGTGTTAAGATTCCTACATTGATATACATTGCCATATATTCTACGTGTTAACAAATATTTCATTTTTATTGCCATTTTAAGTCAAATAATCCGAATGTTCTATTAAATAATCCCTCAACATTCTGAAAAAGTTTCTTAGTTTATTCAATAACTTATTTGATCCTATTTCTCCAAGAGACTGTTGTATAATAAAGAAGCCAATACCACCGAGATTATGCAAGATTCGACTAGAATCTAGAATTATTTATTATTTTTATGTACAGAGCATTTACATACCTTTATTACTGCGTCACAATAACCTATTGTCCTAAATATTCTATGGTGTTCTATTATATTAGTATAACTAATAATAAAGATATGGATTACTAAGCTCATTAATATATCAATCTGAATAATTGATCGAGCTCCAGAAAACATATAAAAGGACAACGTTTTCTGGAAATAAAAGATCATCCTCCATAACCTTTTCTTGTAAATAATTTATATATTATATATAAACATAAATAGAACAACAAGCAATTAACAAGAAGTAACTTCGAATAAATATATTAGCTCGATAAAAGCCGCTCAATATATAAAACTGTTTTAGTAATCATATTATCGCCTATATTTGATTATTGTCTCGATTATTTGAATAACTGTTAATATTATTTGTGCTTCCCTAGAATACACAAAGAATCTCATCATCTAATATCCCAACGCAAAATGTTATAGTTTGGACTTAGGACCAATTTTTTTTTTTTTAACAGTACTATTGAACGAATAGTAAGGGCAATAACAAATATATAAGAACGTTATATATATCTAGGGGAATTAAACGATTATTGCTTGTTCTTTTTTGTATTATACAATGTGCTACATATTTTTATAAATCAACCAAACATATAAATTTAGATACCAAGATACTGGTCCTTTATATATGAACCATGGGTTGATAGTTTCTTATTTGAGGTTCTGTAACGACTGTCACCGTAGATACATTTCTCCTTAATTAGCTATTTAATGTTTCATGAATGTTTCATTTTGTTACATAGTATTCAACAATCATGTGGGATTTATCAACAAACCCTAAGTCCTATAAATCCAAACTAGAACTTTTCTTGACAATCATCACAAAACCCTAACAATATTTTTATAATCATAATATCAAGGTTGATCTACAACACCTTCCTCTCCCAAAGGTTCAGATAAATTTCTGAAGTTTGATAGCAGTGAATTGCGACGATCAGTCGGATGTTTGTTAAATTCATCTAAGGTGTACTCACATATCAACTCTGGATTAACATCTTGCATCTTGCAGTAGTAGATTTGTGACTCAATGTCATAACCAGTCACAGCGATGATCTCTGAAAGTCTCATTATTCTTTCTGTGGCGGTAGCTGGTAAATCCTTAGGATAACGTCTTTTGTCATTCACAAACCTTTTGATATTTTTTACGTTAATCACCCTATTCTTTTTAAATGAAGAAGGCAAATCGACTTCGACTGTATTATTATCAAAAACCTTCACAATTCTAAACGGTCCTATGAAAATAGGTTGGACTTTTAAATACCTTCCTCCCCTAAAATAGATGTCTCTATCTAATAAGACGTATTCGCCGACCTTAAAAGTAAGAGAGCTTCTATGAGGATTTTCCTGAGTTTCCATCATTTCTTGCCGTTCTTGTAGGTAATCACGGGTACGTAAAGTAATGGCTTGAAGTTTTTTTGTTAGAGTAACTGCACTATCATTTCTGGCTGAAGAGTCATTACCAACATCCATAAGAGGTTCATTCGGAATAAAACCAATATCAATTTCAAAAGGGGCAGCACCAATAGCAGATTGAGGAGTTGAATTGTAGACGAATTCGAGGTGTGGTAAGAAGAAATCCCATACAGTGTGATCATTGTGACAAAAGGTACGTAATAATCTATTGAGTGTTTTATTAACACTTTCTGTTTGACCATCTGTTTGGGGGTGATTCGTGGTGGATTTAAGTAGCTTGATGTGTAACCGGTCAGTGAGTTCCTTATAATAACCACTTGCGAACCTAATATCTCTATCAGATACAATCGTTTTGGGAAAACCATGGTAACAGAAGACATAGCGAAAAAGAGCACGGACAACACCGGTAGAACCATAACATTTTTGCATAGCGATAAAATGTGCACGTTTGGAGAATCTATCGACAACAACCATAATCATATCATTACCTTGTTTAGATGTTGGAATACCTGTAACAAAGTCAATTGAAATATCAATCCAACGGCCTGATGGAACATCTAAAGGGCGTAACTTACCGTTAATTTTTGGACGATACCGTTTCATTAGTTGGCATTGTAAACATCCTTGAACAAAACTCTTAATTTCTTTCGACATGGAAGGCCAGTAGTAGTGTGGAGCAAGTTTATTAATAGTAGTGGTTTCACCGAAATGACCACCTTGTAAAAAACTATCATGATATAACTGTAGCAGTGTAAATCGTTCTTTGGATGGAACACAAATTCGAGAATCATAGTATAGAATGTTACTATCAAATTTATAGCGTTCTTGAGCTTTGGCCGAAAACTTCATGCGTTTAAGATATTTCTTATAAAGTGAATCATCAGAGGCTGAAATATTGACCTTATCAACAACGCCTAGGGAAACTAAAATGGCAGCAGACCATGGATCTTCGAGTAATGATTCATACCAATCTTGTGGATTAATCGAGGACAACGTGGTTAGTGGATAAACATTAATAGCAGAATCGTCTTGAGGGCGACTTAAAGCATCGGCAACAGCATTGTTTTTTCCTTTAATATGTCCAATATCAAAATCGAATTCTTCTAAGTACTGTAGCCATCTAGATAGACGCTGAGAAGGTTCCTTTTTGCTTCGGTAGGATAGTAGAGAGCTGTGATCGGTCCGCAGTAAGAATCGATGTCCATGTAAATAGTATCTGAAGTATTTTAATGACTCAACTATAGCTAATAATTCAAGTTCACCAATATGATAACGACTTTGAGTATCGGAAATAGTTTTCGAAAAATAACCAATGACACCTAATAATTTACCGTTAGCTGATAAACGTTCTAGAACTCCACCTATAGCAGCATAACTTGCGTCTGTGGTAAGCCTGTAATTATCACCTGGGACAAACGGAACGAGAACAGGAGCTGAGGTGAGACAAGCTTTCAATTTGATCGTGGTATCTTCTTGAGCTTTCGACCACGGACATTTCTTAGAAATAAAATCGAAAAGAGGTTTGGCCAGCTTACTGCAATGTGGAATAAATTTTCGATAATAATTGACCATTCCCATAAATGATTGAGCACTCTTAATAGTAGTAGGCATAGGAAGTTCTTGGATAGCCTTAACTTTGTCTTGTTGAACAGCAAAACCAGCAGTGGATAATGTATGACCTAAAAATTGTACCTCAGATTGGGAAAAATAACATTTGTTTTTCTTGCAGACTAAACCCTCTTGCCGTAATCTTGTTAAAACTTGTCTAAGATCGTGGATATGACTTTCATAATCTTTACTAGCAATTAAAATATCATCCAAGTAAACGAAAACATGTGGAATATCACCAAGTATACGTTGCATGTATCTAGCAAATGTTGCTGGGGCGTTACATAAACCAAATGGCATAACCTTGTAATGATAATGACCGAAGGGAGTAGTAAACCCAGTTAGTTCTTCAGAGTCTGCCGCTAGTGGAATCTGATGATAGCCTGAATGTAGATCAAGTGTAGAGAATATGGAACAGTCACCTATTTTTGTCATTAAATCATCAATTCGTGGTAATGGATAGGGGTCTTTAATGGTAAGATCATTTAATTGTCTAAAATCTACAACCAGTCTATAGGAACCATCTTTTTTCTTTACTAATAATACTGGTGATGAGACTGGACTTTTACTCTCGACAATGAACCCTTTATCAAGTAATTCTTGAATTATTTTTTTGCATTCTTTTTCTAGTACCGGGGTCATGCGATAGGGTGGTAATCGAGGAGGACGACTATTAGGCTTTAATTCGATCGTATGGTTATAAGTATGAGTACCTGACTGTGGCGGTAATTCATTGGTAACAGTGTCTTTAAATTCTTGCTGAAGTTCTATAGGAAGTTCATGGTGATGGGGGTTGATTGGATTTTCATTCTTGGATAATTGTACCAAAAAAATTTCTTCTACGTCTGTGTCAAAAATTTGATCTATAGCACCTATGGTAATGTCAGTTGTAGTATTGAAATTAGTGATATTATTAGTTGTAGAAAGTAGTTCTGGATAATGTTCGATGATAGGATTGCCAACAATGACTTGATTGTGTAATTCTGGAGTGACGTAAGCGTTGAATTCGTATGATGTCTTATTGTCTAAAAGTTTACATTGAACGGCCTTGGTAGTAGTAGAGGTTCGATCTGCGATAGCACCTTTCCATATGAATGGTGGGACAGTGTACGGTTTCCATCCGTTTTTGGCAACTAAATCTTCACTAACCAGTGAAGTAGGACTTCCTGTATCAAACAGTACAGGGACCCTTATTTTGTTAACGATACATGGACGTTCGTGTCGAGTACCTACTAATGGCTTGGTGGTGGTTATAATAGTAGTGACTTCTGGTATTGTAGTAGTATCGATGTATTTTGTTTTTGTATACTCGTCTGGGTGTTTTAATTGGATGTGTGACCCAGCACTTTTCTCGAAAAAAAATTTATTTTTTCTTGATTTATTTGTGTCTTGGGAGTTTGATAAAGAGGATAAAGAAGAAGGAAAGAAATGGGAATGAGAAGTAACGGTATTTTTAGCGAGAACTCGCATGTGGGCAAGTGCTGGATTGATGTCCTGGTTTGCGACATTTGAAGCATAGTTTATATTCCAAGCACAAACGACGAAGGTCCTCTTTATCACGTTTATTGGAAGAAGTGGTATCAGCTGAGTTCTGGGATCTTCCTCTCCTGAAAGATGTAATGTTAGTAGAATGCGTAGAATAACCTCTACGGTAACGGTTGTTAGAATGAATAGCCATAATAGTATCACCGTCACTATCTAATTGGTAGGAACCAGAATTAGGTGAGACGTCACCTGAGTAATTAATCGTAATTGGATCTAGTAAGCAGTGCTCACATTTGCGAACCAGTTCAGTGGCTTTATGAAATGTTGTCGGAGACTGTAAGACGACAGCCTTTCTAGTGTCGGGTTTTAATGAACAAATTTTACGACTGATGTCGTACACATCTAGTTGTGCACCAAAGGAGGCAGTGAATTGAGAGACCAGGGTGGAGTAGGAAATGGAATGTAGATCATGATCAGCAGAGAAGTTAAGGAACCATTGTGTAGCTTTACCTCCAATATTGTCAGCAAAGATGCAAATTTTACGGAAGTCATCAGTAATATGATGAAGACCAAATTTTAAATCTAAGGATAACAAAAATTCACGTAAGTTAAAGACTGAGCGAGTTGAACCTGTGAAAGGTTGAGCGACCTTTATGGCTTGGACGAGGACAGGATTGGTTGGGAATTCGGACATGATGGACAGATATTTTGGCGACGCTACCAGTTGTTATAGTTTGGACTTAGGACCAATTTTTTTTTTTTTAACAGTACTATTGAACGAATAGTAAGGGCAATAACAAATATATAAGAACGTTATATATATCTAGAAGAATTAAACGATTATTGCTTGTTCTTTTTTGTATTATACAATGTGCTACATATTTTTATAAATCAACCAAACATATAAATTTAGATACCAAGATACTGGTCCTTTATATATGAACCATGGGTTGATAGTTTCTTATTTGAGGTTCTGTAACGACTGTCACCGTAGATACATTTCTCCTTAATTAGCTATTTAATGTTTCATGAATGTTTCATTTTGTTACATAGTATTCAACAATCATGTGGGATTTATCAACAAACCCTAAGTCCTATAAATCCAAACTAGAACTTTTCTTGACAGTCATCACAAAACCCTAACAATTTTTTTCAACCCTAATCGTTTTTTACAATCATAATATCAAGGTTGATCTACAACAACAAAACATGGGTACTTGCTTCTATGGCCAAGTTGGTAAGGCGCCACACTAGTAATGTGGAGATCATCGGTTCGAATCCGATTGGAAGCAGAACCATTGTTTTTTTGCTTTTCCTCCTTTGCTGAAAGTGTAATATTAGGGATATTACATAGTGTATTTGTGGTATAAATGAAGTTACAAGATATATTGATATTTAGAAAGACGGCTGTAAAAGGTACTAAGTAATAGGGTAAACAACCGAGCAAGAAATATAATGTAAGTTCTTTTTTTTATATTCGCTAACTATTCTATTATTATTTTCCATTTATTTTTTTTTTTTCAATTCCAAAACTAGCTTTTTTATATTTGTATTAAAATCCTTTAATTTATTTCTGCATTTAAAATCAAGGTTATCGCATATTGTAGTATAATCAAAAGATGTAGTAAATCTCAAAGTAGATTTTCAAGAATTTAACAGTTTATTTAGAGAAATCTTGATTACACTCTCGTTTATATAGACTTAATTTTTAACATTTTTTCCTCACATAAGAACGAGCCTGCTAAAAGAAAAGGTAACATACTATTAGAAAAAACATAAAAACATGGAGATAATAATGAACAAAAGAAAAATCACTAATAACCAATAGTTAATACTCTATAATTATCAGGAATATATTGATTTCCGTCATGTGTCGAAAATGCCTCAGTATTTTTTTTTTTCATTTTTTTATGACTTTCATATCATTAACAACGAATCTTTATCATTAGTAAGCTTGATGACACATCAATCAATGTAAATAATTTAGAAGATAGAATTAATTTCAATCAAAAAGAGAATCAAGAGACATGTAAAAAACTTCTACACATGGCTAAAAATAAATTTGTCCATAGTCACCATAGGATATCGATCTCATGATTGATTCAAATAAATAAATTGTCACCAAAGAATTGAGTTTTTTTGTTAACCTGTTTTAATAAAGATCCCTGGTTCTCTCTTCCACCTGGTTATCAACTAAAACCCATGACTTTAAGTGTAGCCAATATCCGTGTAGGTTCTAATTCTATTCTACCAATAAGAATATTTATTAATAGGAAACAACTTGCAAATAACATCCCATCCAATACCGTTTTTGAAACACCTTTATTATCTAGCAGCACTCTTGTATCACTAAAATCACCTAAAACAAGAATATATATCTCAAATAATGATATGAAAAACTTATGTGATGAATTAAAAGATGACCTTCTTCTAATATTATATGAACTAACTTCTCCCATGATCTATAACACAGTTCTTCAGAAAACAAGAATTGGTAGTACATTAGATTTTCAACAAAATATAGTTAAACGTATAATAGGTTCCTATGATGAAAATAGTGATGATCATGGACGTGGTGAATTTCTAAAATCACATATACTTACAATTAAAAAATTATCGAAAGTTAAATACAAATTACATTTTAAGTTTAATTGGGAAGTAGAAATTTATATTAATAGCATATCTAAATTGTCAAAAATACGGCAAAATTTGATCTTTAAGAATTATCCAAATAATTTAGATGTGTATGATAGACGAGCTTCATTGCTTATAGATAAATCAACAATTGTAATACCAGAAGAAGAAGTAATGCCAAATATTGATAATAACTCAATTTTATCCCAATCAAAAGAAGTAAATGTTGATGTTAAGCCAGAAATTATCTTCAAATATAAACCAATTGCTACTTTTGTACCGTGTATAGATATTCACATTTTACAACGACCCAGAAGAAAACATTGAATAAATTTACAGAACAAACTTATCCAAAGATAAACTACTCTATCTACTTTTTACATGAAAAAAAAAAAATAATAATTTATTAGACACATACTGCTATTTATATATGCACTTATACATATAAATATGGATATATGCAAAATATTAAAATATATACTCGCAAATTTTCTGATGTTACTTTCATAAATCAAAAGAACTGTCTATTTCATCGCCTATTTTTATACGATTTAAGTCATCACTTTTACTATTACCATTATTTGATTCAATTAATGAAACTATCTGATTGCTATCATCAAATGGATTTTCCTTTACTTTTATATCTTTATTAACTTTTTGTTCAGTTTGTGGAATATTTTTGAAAACAGCTAATACATCATTAAATGGATTAAGCGAGGCATCATGGAGTTCACCATAAACACCTCTCTTCTGAGTTGTATCATACATCCTAATAATTTTTTCTTGGCCACCTTCTTCAGCTTGAGAAAATGCAAACCCTCTTTGTTTTTTCATTCTTTGAACTTGTCTTACTTTCCGTATAGCATCTTGAAAATGTTGTATATATGGTTTATTATCTGTAATATTGTATTTTTGCATTTCCTGAACTAGATGATAACTTTCAGGTTCATACATTCTCTTATAGTATTTCCAAACAAAATCCCTAATCAAAGCGAAGAATGGTAAAACTAATAAAGTTAACCAAAAAACACCTGAACCATAAACATGTGGCACTACACCAAAATATTCTCTTGATATATTGGCATAGGGGAATATTGAACCGTATATTGGGAAAAATATTAGCCAAAATATGAATGACCCAGGAATTGCTATCAGAGTAAACTTTGTCCACATATTAGTTACTAAAGCAGCCTTACCTAGCACAATAACAATGCTTACTGAATAAATACATACACCCCATGTCCAATGATCTGCCACCGCACCGCGCATATTTAGAGACGTACCATATCTATAAAATAACATAGTACCAATAAATACTACTGCTGAATGATAAAACCCATTAACAATCCAACTCCAAAATATTTGAACAGAGAAAAACTTTCCTTTTTGACCAAGTTTGTACAATTGTGGATAGCGTTCTAATAATCTACTACTAACAAATTGATCAAAAACGCCGAGAATAAAAGGTGGTAGGACTGTAAAAAAGACGTTGTAAAAACTTAACGCCCATGACTCCATAATTGATTGTCCTGAAAACCCATTAGCAAACACATACCAAAACTGTGTCATGTATAGTGCTGTATTCTTATAGAAAGAATACAAAATAGCTACCGAGATTCTCTGATACGACCATAATCCATGAACCAATAAAAGTTTCTTCAAGTATTTGAACTGACCAATAGCTAAATCAGCAGATCTAGCTGCCTGCATACCTTCCATACCACTAATACCAACACCAACATGAGCTGCCTGTATCATACTAACATCATTAGCACCATCACCAACAGCCAATAACAAAGATGCAGTTTTTCTCTTTACCATTTTCACCACTAATGCTTTTTGTAAAGGGGAAACACGACAACAAATAACAGCCTTACATAGCTTACCAATCGTCAATAAATAATCTTCTAAATCCGGTTCTAATGCATATCCTAAAGATTTACCATCGATAACTAAAGCTAATGTATTTAAATCATGAATAGTGACTTTTTCATCATGTAGAGCTTCAATTTTTTCGATCATATTTTTTCTAGTATCCTCTTTAGTTTCTTCATTAATAATAAGAAGATTCATATCTTCAGCTAATAATTTACAACTCATACCAATATTGATTGCTGTTTCTTGTCTATCACCAGTAAGGACCCATATTTTAATACCAGCTTTTTGTAATGTATCAATAGTTTCAGGAACACCATCTTGTAATTTATCCTCAATAGCTGTAGCCCCAATTAAAAATAGATTCTTTTCAATAAGTTCTGCCGCATCATCCATTTTTTGGCTTCTGTTTTCAAGTGTAGTAGATGCCTTATCATTTATTACTTTCCATTCTTGATATTCTTCTTCCGGGATAGTTCTTGTAGCTAGACATAATGTTCTTAAACCTTCAGAAGCATAATCCTCAAGATGTCTCATTGTTGCATCAACGTAAATATTTGTTTCTGGATCTAATCTTTCTAATATAACAGTATCCGCTCCTTTACAAAATAACTTGATAGAGCCATCAGGCATCCTGAAAATTGCACTCATTCTTTTCCTTGTGGAGTTGAATTCACATATATTTAACAATTCGTATTCACGTTCTTCACCTTTCTCTTCGAGCAAAATTGTTATTGAATTTGGTTTTCTAATAATAAATTTGTACCCAAGATCTGCACTTCCTTGTACTAAGGCTCCTTCATCTGGTGATGCTGCCTGATACTTAATGGCACCGTCTGGTTGAAATTCTGGAATAACAGTATGACAAGTAGCCAAAAGAGTTAAAAATTCATCAATAACCTTAGATTCAGCATCCTCGGTATTCTGCAATCGATTGTTCATATCATCAAAACTTCTATAACCAACCTCAATACCATCTTCTATAGTTACTTGTTTATCTTCTGGGATTTTTTCAATATAACAACGTCCAGCAATCGAACAAGACTTAAACTCCATAATATTTCTTGTCAAAGTACCCGTCTTATCACTGAATATATATTCAATTTGACCTAATTCTTCTACCAGTGACGAAGTTCTCACAATTGTTGGTGTGTCTGTATCTTCATAATAAAGCGCTATATCGGAACCAATCATATAAGCTTGATAATATTTTATCAATTCCACAGTGACAAATAAGGAAATGGGCACCAAATTTGAAAACAAAATCCAATAAGTCAAAAAATCTTTAAAAAATAAAGCTGCTTTATTTGTACCCTCTAAATACAAATAAGAAAGATGTTTGGCATCAGCTGTACTCATGATAACGTTACCAATAGAGGAAATCATAATAAGAACTATCAAGACACAAAATAAGGCTATGATTTGTTTATTAATGATCCTTTCCACTGCTGTTCTTTTAATTGGTGTAGCAGTAGCATTACGCATTAATTTGGTTTCATGCCCAGTGAATATTACTAAACCAAAGATCCAACCAGTATTTCTTAGAGTTGCACCTCTCAAAATCATTTGCTCTGGAGATAAAGGCACATCTTGTCCATTTAATGTTAAAGTACCTTCATATGTATATAAACTGGAATTTGGCTGTTCTGATAAAACTTTACCATGAAGACTATTGAGTATTCTAGAATCAATAAACTTACAAGTCTCCTGCCTAGCTTGTTTCACTTTTAGATTTGTTTCACCATCAAGATTTGCAGTTTCTATATAGCAAAGACCCTCAGGTTCGGAAGACGATAAAACAATAAGATCGGCAGGAATGGCCTCCTCGGATTTTACTCTAATAATATCGCCCACATTTATGTCAATCCATCTTTTCTCAACAAATCCACCAGATGTTAATGAATAAACCTCTGTTTTTGAATTATTTAGTTCTTTATCAGATGTGGCTCTTTTAATATCCTCTACAATTTCTTTCATGGCAGACACAATTAACACAACCATTAAAGTACCTATAGTTGTATACCTGTTAGTAGGTGATACATGAGGTACTTGTTGAATCGCAGATGTACAAAGGAAGAAGAGATTGGCATATTTAGAGAATTCTTGAAACAGAAATTTTGGCAAAAATGTTGCAACATTGTATTTGGTAGTTGAAATATGATTATCAACATATCCTAGCTGATGATTTTCTTGTTTATCGTTGACATATATAACCCTTGGTTGCCCTAAATTATCGCTATGAATAGTTCCTCTTCTCAGAATGTAACGATTAAAAAGAATTTTAATATTAAACCTATCCCTTGAATTAACATAGTTATCTTCTACTTCAGTAGTTGTAACTGCATTATAATGGCTCATTTCATATGAATCATAAGTATTTTCAGTCTTCTTACGGAAAGTAAATGCATTCTTAACTGTATCTATTGTTTTACTAAGAAAACTGCGAGCAGGTCGAGTTGCAATAGGTTCAGCATGATAACTGGCCGATCTATCATTATCTGTTGTGCCATTCCAAACAACTGAATCAACATTGTCAAATGGATTATCTATATCATTTTCAATGCTATCATCGTAATTTGGTATTCTATCATTGCTATTTCCACCTTCGGACAAATAGGTTGGTCCTATATAAAACTCTTGGCTGTCTTCTTGACTATTATGTTGTGTGCTATTGGTATGCCCAAAGACATCACTATTGTCTGGATTATTATTGCCTGTGTATGAACTATAATCGTTATGAGAGTCACTCAGAAAATCAATATCAAATAAGGTATCATTCTGACGCTTCCTATCTTTTTCTTTGCCATCAGCCATGGTAACTTAACAAAAAAGTATCACTTAACTTATCCAAAGCAGGTTTTGTTATAAATATGTAGGTCTTTCTCTACACAAATAATCTAGTGCTCCCCCCAAATTATACCCTTTTTAGCTCTCTCTCCATCCTTATATATATTGTGGTTTATAACAAATTGTAGCACCTTTGGAAATATTCAAAAATTTAAAGTGTTCATCAATAATTGATAAAAAATAAATATGGAAAAAAGATAAAATAGCACTCATAGTAAGAGAAGGTTAGATCAAGAACATATTAAACCTACAAGTGAAGGGTAAAAAAATATAAAACTGATTGAAAATCCAGCAACAATATATCATAATCTTTCTGGTACAAGAACCTCTTCTTTTCAAACACTGTTATTCAGCTGTATCATAATCAATTGCTGAACTTATTTAAACTGAGTATAAGATAGAAGAAATGAAAATCTACATGTATGCTATATGTTCATATGTATAAATGTCTTGTAAATAATGCAAAGCTTAATTATATAACTATTTTTACTAGAATTGCCCGCCCATTAGCTACTTAATTGTGAGATGATGTGAGTTGTTGGAGTTCATCTTGTGGAAGTGTAGTCAAGTAAATACATTTACTTAATAATTCATGATCAACTTCAATTTGATAGTTTTTGCACCATTGAACCCTTTGAATAAAATGTTTAACAATTTGAACACTAGTATCAAATTTATTATAATTAATAATCTTATTCTGTTCAATCCATGTCTTTTTTTGTGCATTCAATGATAAATCTGATAAATAAACGACAATAAATGGAATGCAACCTTTTAGTGGTTCAACATTATTCAATAATTTTCTTATTGCCAAATAATTTCTATCCAATGAAGGTATCTTCTTTAACTCTTCCCATACCAACAAGTCGCCCGGTTCAATTAGCCTCCAAGCTTCAATAAATTGCTGCACCACCACCGAATTTAAAGCTAATACGATTTGCATTAATGTATTGTAGTTTTGAAACTTACGACAGTGTTCTGCTACATGAATAAATCTTTGTATAGTATTACGTTTTAATTTAATATCTTTAGTAATTGCAATTTCTGAAACTATCCAATCTACAGTTAAATTGAACCTGGCAATGGCCAAATCCACTCCTGAAAGATTTTCATTCTGAACCAATAACTGAAGCCAACTGGTTACAGATGGTCCATTATATTGTATATTTAAATTTAATAAATCCTCCCAATCAATTTCACATAAAAGTTCCTTTTCTATGAGAGTCATTTGACGTGCAATAGAAAGAGAATCATAGGTCAAGATAAAAGGGATATGATTTTCATTATTAGATATTAACAAGTTTGGATCGTGTATTTTATATCCTGCTAATAAGTTTTGAATAGCTTCAGGTTTTATTAATTCCATATCTTGTACTGGAGATTCAAGTGATCCATCTTTTTTAACGAAAGATGGAGTGTATGGAATATTCATCACTGTTTGTCTTCTACGTTGAATTAATAAAGACCTCCTTTTTTCTTGAGGGGTTTTTGGAATATTAACAGCAGGCGATATATTTAACATTTCAACTTCTTTTGGTAGTTTCGATATTTCTGGATAACTTTCTGTAGTAACTAACCTGTCTCTTACCTTTGCGTAAGTACCTTCTAATTTCATCATTGCTACTTCTAGTGGATTATCTTGAATGGTATCATCTGTTATGTCTGCAATATTTTTTAATGCTTCTTCATTTATTGCTTGACTAATATATGCGTGAGGTGATGTATGTGCACCAGAGGGCTGCTTTACTTCCATATTATTTGGCAATTTTGTACTCTCCTTCTTTAAAAATTTACTCTTCAATTCTTCCATATTTTTTAACGGAGATACATCGTCTAAACCTTCTGACATTGGTTCAAATATATATTTGTTAGTGCTGGCTGTCTCAAAAGTTGATCCACCTTTAACATTTAACCCTTCTTGAAATTTGGTTCTTAAACTAACTCTTTCACTTGGCTTGCTTTCAAATATCGAGTAACTAGAAAACGTCCCATCACTAATAATAGACTGAATACTTGGTTGTACTGAAAGGCGTATTCTTGAATGTACTGATTCCTTCATATATTCCTCAGCCTGCCCTTTCTTACAAGGACTATTATGCCTTGAAGTAAATAGTGCAGTAGTAGCAATACTTGGGGTCTCCGAATCCCTTTGAGTTACATCTTTTTTCAAAGTCTTTAACTGATCCTCACTTTCCTGCAGCATCTTATCCTTCTGAAAAAAATCAGTTTGTCTAATATTAATCTTAATAGTGGGCATAGTAGTTATTGGTGTCTTGCGCCTATTTGTTTGTTCAATATTTTTCTTTATTAAACTAATTCTACCACTAGCAGGTCTAATAGCTGCAACAGTAACAGAATTTCTATTATTCTCAATAGAAGAAGATTGATGCTCCTCATCAGCAACTAATATATTGCCTTCTTCATCTTTTGCTTGTTGTACATCAGAAACTACTGACAGAGAACTACTGTCATTTATATTACTCGTACCATACAAACCAGCTATTACATCTAAACTATCATTGATTGGTTGTGAAAAATTGAGCACAGGTTTACTGTTTGTTGATGGGTCCCTGTTCTTGGCATTCTCTTCAAGTGTGAACTCTCTCAAATTGTTGAATGAATTTTTCTTCCTTAAATTAGGACCACTGCTACAGTCTGATTGGCTATCCATATAGTGATCATTAATATCATTTTTAGATATTGATAAATCAGAATCATATATGACATATTCAACGTTGTTTATGCCATTGTTTCCTTTGTTAATTAGTTTATTAGGAGATTGAACATTTTCAACACTACTTTCTTTACTTTCTGCCTCTTCAAGATCCTCTAACAACTTTTTTAAAGGAGAAGAACTTCTATTACGACAAGGTGATCTCGAAATTTTTGTTGGTGTTAAATTAACAATATTAGAATTACTAGAATCAGGCCTGCCTGAAAGATCCTGTGAAGAAGTATGAAATATAAGTCTTTGGGGTCCATCAATGTATAGGGGTGAAGTCTCTAAATTTACATCATTAAAACCTTGATTTTGTAGTATAAATCTCGATGAATTATTTTGCTGTCCAAAAAATGCTGCTATAGAACTTTTAACTTTCCTTCTTGAACCAAAAGGTGCTGTTTCAATTGTATCACCATTACTATTATTTGATGCATTTAACGTGTTAGACAGAGAAATTACTGACTGTGCTATGGAGCTTACTGTTTGGTACATATCCAAGTTATCCATGGCACTAAAATTATTCACTGGAAGCTTTAGATCTTCAATATCATTTAAATTATCTTCATACTCATTCTCTACTGTCTCTACTGTTTCTGTTCCGGACAACTCACCACTATTAAATTTATTAATCTTTTCCAACAATTCATTTTCCATATGAAGGAGAAACTCCACTTCATCAATAGTTCTGGCGCTGAGTATATCAAATTTCGAGACACCTAAATTCATTATTTCATTAGGATTTTGATCATGGTTTTCAAGAGAACTAATGGATATCACATATTTAATAAAAGTGTCCATCTGTGGCTTAACAATATTTCCTATTTGTAAATTATCTTTTTGGTTGAAATTCTTTTTATATGGAGATGTAATTTCATGTTTTTTACTTCTCAAATGATTCTTTTTCCATTTATTTAACAACCCTAAAGGTCCCATGACGGTATGATTATAAGAAGATCTCGAATTAGTGTGTACTGATATTTCCTCATGATTAGTACCAGAGTCCGTTGCTTCCATGGTGGATACAATTTCTTCTTCCGGAATATATTTAGTATTCAAAATAAGTTCAATCTTTTTGGCTGGTGTAGGGGGTATGATTTTGTCAATTTTTGAATTTCTTGGATATTCCAAGTCTGCTATAGTTGGCGACATATTGGACGGAAGTTTTGATATAATACTGACTTTTCTTTTAGCAGGTCTTTCTATAAAGTCATCATTTTTTGATATTGGAGTGACAGTCGTAGCATTTATATTATTATTATTATCATTATTATTATCATTATTTTTGTGTTGATATTTTGGAATGCGATTTGGTGATACTTTTGCGGCATAATTAAAACTATTGTAAGGATTTAATAGCATTGAAGGGGTATGTCTTGATGATTTCTTATTATTTTCATATTCCGAAGAAATCTTTAGTTGAAAGTTTTCATTACTTTTGTACAATGACATCACACTTCGATTTCTATAATCAGGACTTGAAAGTCCTTGTAAAGCAGAGATGCTCAGTCGACTATTCCTTTTTATTTCTTTATTCAATTGAGATATATCTTTAATTATGAACTCTAACCATAGATCGTTCAGCTTTCCATAATTATTTGCAGTGCTATTAGTATTATTATAACTGTTATTTTCAGAGGGTATATTAACAGGTTCATTAAGCACTACATTATCCCATGTCAATTTCATGCAGTGAATCCATATTTTTTTCAAATTTATAATACAATCTTTTATGATTTTATGCTCATTTAAATAGGATTTATTAAGAAATTCGAGGAGTAAAAGCCGTAATTCAATATTAGGTAAAAAATCCTGTACAAAATGATTCATTATCCCATGTCTAATGAGAACAAAAGTTCGTATTAAAGCAATTTTGCCAATCCTAGATTTATCATTATCCTCAATCTTAATCTCCAAAATACACCAATTAAACCGGTTAATCAGTATATCATAAAGTTCCATTGATGAAATAAATTCCCTATAAACCAGAAAAAAATCATTAAAAATAGAATATGATACAGGATCAACTGGAGATGTCAAATAAACTATCAAAGCATAAATATCTGCTTGAAATACAGATCGTCTGGATCTAGTTACAGGTTGGTCACCATATAAAATTACATCTGATGATGGAGATGGATAATAATGTGGATTACTAAAGATCTCCATGCGTGTTTTTTTTTTTTCTTCCTTTCCTTTCTATCAATATATCTATCTATCAAATAATATGCAATAACAGTCTGTTTATTGAATTCTTTTTTTTACGAGCAGTTCTTCTTCCCTGCTACTATTATTGATTTATTCACCACCCTCCTCTTCTCAACCAACACAACAAAGCTTTATTTATCAAACTTCTGCTTTCGTATTTTATTTTCCGTTTAATCTATAAGAAAAATAACTCAACTAGTAGAGAAATTCAATGAGCAGAAAATATACAAATATATGTGGATAGAACTCTTCAATTGTTTTTAGATTCGATTGTCTATGAACAAGTGTCAATTATTACCTATTAGTAGTGTCAAAGAGCTTCAGTTGAGATTTACTTGTTTACAATCATCGGTCGGTTTCTCCTTTTATTGACAGATCAAAAATAAGTCACCAAAAAAAATAATAACAAAAAAAAAAAACAAAAAAAACATAAAAATAAACAAATTGAAAGTCATTTTAGTTAGGGTTAATAATGCATTCCAAATGTTTTCCAGTTTTTTAGGTAGGGCTTTAGGGCCTATAACAAAAAAACAGATGAAATTTTTTTATATATAATATCTTATAACTATACAAATATTTTTTCACCATAATAAATAGATAAAAATGAGTATCTTCAATGATATAGAAAATTAATTCAATATGCATATGAAACAACAATTGGAACTATTAATATATACATCCATATGTAAATTAAAAACCTAATTTATAATGCGTGTTAAAATAAAATAAAAAAAAAAAAAATCTATCAATTTTCATATATTCCAGGTCTTAATCCATCTCAAATATTTGTAATTAATTGCAGAACCGGTCATACCATATGATACTGGAGCAAAGTATATGAAGCAAGATATGACACAGGCCATAGCAATTAAGTAAATGATCCAACGGACAATGTATCTTTTCATAGCTAATTTGTTTAACGTAGCTTCAAACACATATGTTAAAATAATCAATGAGAAATATAGCGCTGGAAGGTAATGGTGGACATAAGTGACTCTTGACATAATGACAAAAGGCACATAATGGGTACCCCATGCTAATAATGGATAAAATCCACCCATCAAGAAAAGATTCAAATCTTTTTTATTAGATAAATCGTTATATTGCCTTTGCCATCTTAACAAAAGAACAACCACATAAATCATAAATAAAATAACTGATACTGTAGAGGCCCATGTTGATACTGGTGTACCCATTAAGAAATATTTAGGAAATTCGTCTGCCCAAGAACATATCCTTAACCCTAAATATAAAGTTGGCCATTGCCAGGCAGATGAAGCAATTGGATCATATTTATCATCATCAGGCACCAAAGCATTATTAGTGGCCATCATGGCAAGATTCAAATGAATAAACTTCTGTAGAAAACTGATAGATGGAAACTCAAAATCTTTTGGTTTTGGTGGTAACCTCTCGTTAACATGTGATTCAACAGTCCACCATGTACTTCTATCATTCTTGGATGGATTTCTAGCACATATAATCTCTTTTTGCATAAACCCCCATTCTGGTAAATTATGTTTAGACTGAGCTAAATAACAATCCATAACAATGTTTTTTAAACGGAATGATGTTGTTAGCGTATGTATTGTTGACTTATTTTCATTACCATACTGGTTAACAATCTCCACCCTCCAATAATCCTTCTCATCACCAATTGTAGTATTCCCATAACCAGAGACTTCCCAAGCAATATTAGTCACAGGGGCTGGTATATCATGAGAATGCAGATTTCTTCCAGTGTTATTATGAACCAATCTATAAATCTTACCATCCACAATAAATTCTGGGTCGTATTCTTCACTGTCGAAATCAAATGGTGATAGCTCTCTGACTCTGTCAAAAAACCAGTCATTATTACTATCATGATGTGTATAACCTGTTATCTGTTGTTGTCTAGAACCTTCTGGGAAAATAGATGGATGAGAATGTAATAATGTACCCCCTACCCCTGAATTCTTCAAAGTGATATAAGAACCAATGACTACGTCACGAGGACCCTGCCCGACAGTACTATTGATCAAAGAAGCTTGAAATAAAGATGGCATAACGCCTGAACCTTGACCATCATGTGTCAATAACATGAAGTGAACATAAAACGATGCCATGAATACTGCAACGGGCACGATAATCAAACCAATAATTCTAGCCATCCAATGACTTAAATAGGTTTTCCAAGACATTGATTTATCACCTAGCCAATTCCATAACTCCACAACTGTATAAATACCAACGACTGTGATGATGAATAGACCGACCATTTTAACAGAGATAGTACAACCAAGATTCAACCCGGTCAAGATCAGCCATTTCCACCACTTGATAGAAAATGGATTGGATCTTTCGTTGTGGAATCTAACCAAACAAAAGAATGAGGTGACCGTGAAGAAAAGTAGCATTGAGTCCAATAAAATAAATTTACCTAAAGTTGTATAGGAATTTTCAAACAAAACCAGAACAGTTAGAAACCAAGTAGCTGGAACAGAGAAACCAATACTCTTTGCTGTAAAATATGCAATAGGAACACATAACGCAGAAAAAGTTGCATTAAATAAACGCATCTTGACAAAATCGACGTAATCTGGGTATGGTGTACCAGAATCAAAGGAAAACGAACCATTATAACCTGAGATATAACCGGATAATCCCACAAGCATTTTTCCTAGGGGAGGATGAACATCATGATAGAATTCGTGTTTTAAATATTGAGAACCAAAACTACCAAAATGGGCCTCATCCCAAACAACGTGTTTATTGATACCAATCTTATACATTCTAATGTAAAATGCCAATACAGTAAAAATCACTGGCATGATATATGATTCCAATTGGGACAGGGTGAAATGCTTATTTGGTACACTCACTTCATTATTTTGTACATCTACATCATTCTCCCCAGAATCTAACGATGATAATTTATCTGTTAAATATCCATCATCTTGTATATCCCTTTGTCTTAGCTCTGACTCAACTGCTTCTTGATTTCGATTACCATCAAACCCTGTAGTCGCACTCATTTTATAATATTAATTTTTGTTTTGTTTTGATATCAAAAACTTGGTAAAGACTTGGTCCGAATGAGACAAGGTAGCTTTGATCTATCTTATCAACCGTAAATTACAAATCGTACTTCAGCGACATCCAACAGACACGAAAATAGATTGATTTAAATAAAAACTTTTTAATATCAAAGCTCTTCTTTACCATTTTCTTCTTCTTGTAAGTTCCAATTTAACGATGTTTCAACAATGTATTTTTTTTTTTTTAGTTTTTCTTCCAACAGGAACAAAAATAAAAAACACAAAAAAACACAAAAAAAAAAAACGAAACGAATTCTTAAACGAGCCAAAATCTCAAAAAGACATGTCACAAATTAAAATCAAAAACAAAGTGACACACTAATGTGATGGTAGATATACAATTGGATAGATATAGATCATCAAATGAGTCTTATACCAGTATATATGAGTGACAACACTGTTTCTTTATAGTCAACCCAACTTGCCAATTATGGCTACAAATACATAACTGACCAAACTCCCTGCTGCAAGCCCTATAGAGACAAACACAGAGGTCAGCCCGCCTGCTGCTTCTTTCTCCTCGTTTGTATCCAACTGTTCAGGGACTTTCATAAAACTTAACGATATCACATGTCCATTAGTTACACCAAAGAGAAATTGAAGCAAAATATAGGTTAAATCTAACCATAATAATTTGTTTATTGGTTTTTGATTTTTTACTGTGAAATACAAAAATAATGGGATACAAAGAGTTCTTGATAGGGAATAGGTGAAAATAACCCTTGGAGTGATTCTGGAGTCTTTGAAAGTAGGTAAGTCTGCCAATACTCTACCGTAAAGATCACCAATGTTCCATACCGTAAAGACTAATGGAACAAACTGTGTATTATCCAATGGTAATTTATTTACTTTAATTGTGGAAGCAAATATTGGGAAGATTAATGTGACTACAAATGTGAAAAATATCGATAGTAACAAGTATTTTAATTTGCGATAAAGTACCCCTAGAGGTATTGTGCTCATTCTATTATGAATATTATTGTCTTGCTCCCTTACAGCTTCATTATAATTTAGAAGATTATTACCTTGATCTACTAATCCGTCTCTTGAAACGTTAATTCCATTTTTATTACCTGTTTTTACCATAGTAAATAATATTCCGTTAACATTACTCATTCTATACAAAAATATACTAAACACACAAACCACCACTGTAGTCATGAAGTAAAATAATACCCCACTTGTATTCATAGTCTCTGTATCTGAATCATTAATCACTTGATTATCGTTTTTAATTAAAGTAACAAAAAATAGTACTGTTGAAGGCAAGACTCCAGCTACAGCCTGTCCCAACATTACACTCTGACTAAACTGAGGTCCAAATACGTTTGCAATAGCCATGATTCCATTTTGTGTTAATGCTGTAGCAACGGTACTCATTCCAACCAAGATCATTACTAAAAGAAAGATTAACCCCACGGGGATATACTTGATCAAAGTAACAATATAGGAAAGTAGAGTTAATATGAGAAATGTTAGTATTTGCCAAAATAATCCTCTTGTTACACGTTGGTTATAAGAATGCTGTCTTTTTGACAGATATAAGTTGAATATTAATGAGGTAATAGTAGATGTCGTCATCATTGAAGATGTGAAAAATTTTGCATAAACAGTAGTTGATTGAAATAGATTATTTTGGAAATATAAAGTAGCACTCAGTATGTTATTCCATGGCCATAGAAGACCAATCCCAACAAACAAAAATGTTATAAAGGGTAAGTATCTCAATTTGGTGAATAACGGAACATCTTCTAAATTTGGTATTATCATTTCTTGTATATTTCCTTTATTTTTACTACTAGAACTTTCACAAATATATCTATTGCTACACTTCTTTCCTCAATATCCTTTAAATATCTTCACACCAATTATAACAACTCTGTAAAATAAACAGTTATCAACTGTTGTTTTACTTTCTTTCTTTCTTTCTTTTTTTTAAATAATAAATATATTTAATCTTTGTATATATCACCGATAGAAATATATTTAAATAGTAGTTACTTACATACAAATTTATAGAAAACAAGAAATGAACAAAGAAACAGTAAGAATTGAAGAGATGCTACCACATAATAAGAAAGAATACTCCTACTTTGAAACTTATATGTGAAAAAAAAAAGAGAAGTTTTGCTATCAATGATATATATAAGGAAATTCATTTCGACACTGGCCGATTTTCAAAGTAATAAAACTTTAAATGTACATTTATATATATAGTTATTTATATTGAATAATACAGATAAAGGATAAATAATAATGATAAGAAAGTAACTATTATACATTATGATCATGAAAAAAAGCAAGTTGCCTCTATGAAAATATGGGGGGATATATGACTAATGACACAACACAAATGATAATGGATAAAAAGATAAAAATCAAGTCTAATATGAGATAAATGTAGGTGGCATGAAAATAGAAATGGAAATATTACACTTTTCTACTGCCCATTGGTGCACTATTATTAACAGCAGCGTTATTCAAACCATGACTATTATAATTATAATTATTTTTCTTGCTATTGTTATTAGTAGAGCTGGAGAAGATCCCAGCAGTATTATTATTACCACCGCCTATATTAAGATGTGTTCTAGTATTTACACTATTTTTAAGAAACTCTAATTTAGTAATTAATGGTAAATGATCACTTGGGAATTGTTCATTAGGGAACCCAATAAATTTGGAGACATAGTCCTCATCAACTTTACCAAGTAACCCTCTAACACGTAATGCGTTCGAAGAGTACCATATATAATCAATTACATCTACAAAGGATGGTGTGAAGTTTGTGAATGGTAATTCACCGATACAACCATAACTTGAACTTAACGCTAATTGATGACTAAAATTACCCTGTGACATATACCCATAATCTTTGGTGATACCATCGGGATGGTTTTTGACAGATCCTGTACTCAATAATTCATATACTGCAGAATTCACATACGAATTAAAGTCACCACATAAAATTATTGGCACCTTCTTAATATCTTGTCTTGGATTGTCTTCTTTAATTAAACTTTGTAGATGATCTAATAAGACACCCACCTGAAACGTTTTCACATCATTAAATTTTGGATCCCAATGCAAATGTGTTGTTACACACCAAACTGTTTCACCTGTCTGAAGATGTTGTAACTTCGTTATCAACGCCACATTATCTTTATTCATAGCCCTATTTAAGAAGTCTTCAGTTCTTTGAAATTTACTATGTTTCATCCATGTAGCAGAGAAATCAACATTCTCAAATTTAATCAATTTAAATTTATTATTTTTAAAGAAAACACAACAACCATCCACTTTCTTTGAATCCTTGTTTGCTAACAATTTAGCTCGTGTCTTAGCATGAAAAAGACCTGTATATCCATTTTTTTGTAATAGTGGGGACCAATACTCTTCGTAAGTTTTAGCTTCTACTTCTTGTAAACAAATGATATCACAACTATATGACAAAATTTGATCTTTCAATTTATTTTTTCTATATTCCCATGCTAATGCCCATGATGGTGTATAACGGTACATCTTTGGAGTGGCGTAATGCTGACATAGTGTGTTGTATTGCAAAACTGTAAACGATTTCTTAGCTAGATCTGGATCTTTATTTGATGATTTCCAAAATTGATCAGATTCTTCCAATGAATTCGATTCATGAATTGGCTCACCGTCTTTTGAGATTTCAATAAATTTTCTGGTATTTATTAATGGAATCTCTGGCCTATTATCTCTTAAATAAAATATTAACCCAGTCATTGATTTTTCAGTTAAAGTCTTTAATAACTTGGAATCTAGTGGATTACCTTCAATACCTAAGAATTGTAAATTGTATAAGTTTCCCAACTCCCATGGTAACTGGTTAATTTGATTATTGAAAAGGTATAAATATTTCAATTTGAAACAAAATCCCAATTCAGATGGAATACTGGCAATTTTATTGTTTGATAAATCCAATACCCTTAAGTTATTTAATTTTTTAATTTCCTTTGGTAAATACATTAATCCATTCCCATTTAAATATAATCTAGTTAAAAATTTATAGTTGAAAAGAGAATTACTTAAATTTAATAATTGTAAATTTGACAAATCTAATGAATACCACAACTGATCGTCGTATTTAAATTTCGCCAATATATCATTTATTGTTGTTTTTGCACCACCCGTAATGACAGCGCCGGTGCGAGTCGTACCATTAACGTTTTCATTCTCAGTGTTGCTAGTATTAGGGGATCTAATATTATTGTTATTGTTATTATTATTACTATTACTATTATTATTACTATTATCTCTTTCCATTTCTTTATTAAGTAAAAATTCAATTTCATCATCTTCATCATCTATATTAAACTGAGATAGTTTCTTATTCTGTAATAAGGTTAATTGTAGTGGAATGTTTGTATTGTTCAAATCTATAGAGGTGTTCAATGGGGTAGATACTGCACTATTGTTAGCTGTGGTGGTTGCTGTATCGACAATAATACTACTATCATTCATATTTGTAGTAGTATTTCCACTATTATTATTATTGTTATTATTGCTATTATTATTTAGACTAGATTCCTTTTCTATTGCAATATCCATTAACAATTGTTTTGTCTTATCCACAAGAGTAACATCACTTAAATCACCCAGATTCATATTTATATTGCTATTATTGTTGTTGCTATTAGTGTTATTATTATTATTATTATTATTATTTAAAAGATCATTTTTCATATCAATTAAATTATCTCTGCCATTTTTTTTCTGCAATGCGATTTGTCTTGCATAGATATTAGATTGACCAGATAATAAAGTGTTCAATGAAATGTTTGATAAAGTCACTTGTAATTTCCAAAAGGGATTGTTCAAGAGATTCCTGTCGTTTAAATGCGGATGATAATTAGGATTATTGGCGTTTGCAGAAATTGTATTAATGGTATCATTAGCTAAAGGTAATGGCATTGTAACAACAGAATTTGAGGCCAAAGTATTATGATTGGCAGCAACAGCATTATGGTTAGTCAACTGGTCTAATAGAATACGTTGTTGTTGTTGTTGTTGTTGCTGTTGTTGTTGTTGAGAATCTGCATTTAAAGGTGCTACTAGTCCCGGAATTGGAGGACCTGCAGTCCTACTGTTCAAACCAATTGATTGTTGTAACATATCACTAGTGATACCTGAAGTAGCAGACACATTATTCCTGTTGCTGCTATTTAGGGTACCAATGTTCATCATATTGAAATGAAAACAGTGGTATTGAAGATTTGTAGAAAATTTCAAAGAAAATTAGACTGGGAGATAGAGGAGTAGGCAAACAAAAAATAAATAAATAAATAAATAAATAAATAATAATAAAAATATAAAAACCAGAAAAAAAGAGAGTGGTAGCTAACTAATGTATTCTATAGCAGTAAATATGAGCTTGCTTTTGTATGCTTAATAGAGTATACGATACCCTCGAAGGAAAACAATTATCTAATACTACAGAATATCAAGACCATAAACACGAGAAGGCAAGGTCTTTGAGGGTTTACCACAACGTTTAACAATCCCAACAAAAAAAAAAAAAATAAAAAACAGTTTAAGTTTACTTTAAAGCTATTCACTCTTGCTTCAATGTTTCCACCTCTAATGGAGAAAGAGAGAGAGGGAAGGGGGAGACAAGGAAAAAAATTCAAAAACGAAATTTTGAAAATTTCGTTTTTGAATTTTTCTTTTTGTTTATTTTTTTCTTTCAGTTTTTTAGAGTTGTGGGAAATCATTCCAGACGAAAAAAGGAAAAACACAAAGGAAAAAAACAAAACAAACAAACAAGCCCTAAAAACCCTAAAAACCCTCAACGGAATCTGCAACATCCGCCAGTCGGAATTATTTGCGAAATTATTTTGCGGATTTTTACGTCGTGACTCGTTTCCGTTTTTCCCGTTTGGCGGGTTTTGACGGATCTTTAAAACATAAAAGCAAAGACTTGTGAGTTCTTTGATGATGCCAAGCTGCCTTCAGTTGACCTCAACATAATGAAGATTTGGGTTAAATGGCTTCGAGTGACTTATATATATATGTATGTGCTACACATTTCTTTTAAAATCGTGTACATTTGGATGATATTGGCAAGCGTGAGGGAAATAATGTAATCAGATAGACAACAGTCATAATTATCATTCCGTGATATATATCTAATACTAATAATTACAATAAATAATAATATGTCTACATTGTTATTGCAATTAGAATTTGCTTTGGATAAGTTACATGATGTTTTGTTAGAGGCGGAGATTTTAAACATTGATACTGAGACAGATATTCATTCCCGATGTGAATGTGTTATTGACTTATTATCTCGAATATATAATAGTCAGGGAGATAATAATAGCAATAATGATGGAAATTTCTCTTTAAACATTGATACAAGGTTAATTGGTTTGCTATCGAAATATTCAAACATATTTGATTCAAATAGAAAGGTTTACAAAGATATTGATAACCTATTACAACTATTTGAAAACTATACTACAAATAATAATAATAATAATAATAATAATAATAATAATAATAATAATAATAATGGTGGTAGTAGTGAAAACACTCAGTTATTGATTAAGAAAGTACGATTTGATAATACTAATAACGATAACGATATGGACATTGATACTATAACAAATAAGAATTTATTAGAAAACGTTGAAAGAACTTTTAAACCATATCACGACAATGTAGAAACTAATGATAGCCAGATCGACAACAATATTTTGATTGACTCCTCTCATGAACAGTCTTTTAATTATAGTCAACAAAGATCGGTTTTACAGAGCCAAGACATTCAACTGAACACTTTATCACAATCAGTGAATATAGCTAATTCCATGTCAAGACAAATGGGTGATGAAATCGAAACACAAAACAATCAATTATTACCCGATTTAGAAGCCAATCTAGATCATGATCAAAGAAGACTTAATCAAATTGTTAATCATAAGATATTGAGGAATGAACATAAGGAACAAGACCGTCTTTGTCTGGTCATTTTGATCCTGGTATTGGTTCTTTTATTTCTTCTAATTGTTTTATAATCTAAAGAAAAATGTTGTCGTTTTTTTTTTTAATTTTTTTTTTTGTAATTTATTTCTTTTTCTTCGAGGTTTTTTTTTTAACCGTTTGCGGCGAGATTCGATTGATGATGAGTAATCAAGAAATTGTCAAATAATCAAATCATCTGGTAAGAATTCTAGATTACATACATATATGACACAACCAGATATAATTCTTTACTCCTATACACTATAGAACAACAACAACAATTTATAGATATTGGGGAAAAGATTAATTCATCTAATTCCGTTGAGTTTCAAAATATAGTAGATGATTAATACAATTTGTTGATTAGGATATAATTATTATCATTCTTATTCTTTCATTTTTTTTTTGATTTTTTTTATTTTAAGATAATATCACACAATAAATACTTTACAGTTCAACAACTATAAACGTATAAATATATAATTATTAGCAAATTGTTCAATGACCGTAACAACTAGAAAGAGGAAAATTAAACTAGAAATAGAGGACTCTTTAGATCCAGAAGTCAAAATAGAATCTAGATATTTTGATAAAAAACTTAAAACGAACTCAGATTTCGATTCTCAATGGATTCAATCATTAAATAATAAAAATTATTTTGACTGGATTGCAAAACAAACTGGTAATATACCAAATAGATGGAAGATTCCATTAGATCCAGCAATATTCGATAGTGATGAGAACAAGTCTGTCTTGCCACCTCTGTTCAAATCTGTATATTTAAAATTAAGAGACTTAAGGGGTAAAATAGAGACACCCGTGGATACAGTAGGGGGTTCAACGTTACCTTTTACTATTGGAAAGCAATGTAATATTGATAAAGAACAAATTTTACCCATAAATTACAGGGTTCAAGTTCTTATTGGCGTGATGCTATCTTCTCAGACCAAAGATGAAATGACAGCAAAGGCATTTTACAATTTAACAAAATATTGCCAAGACGAATTGAATTCAAATCAAGGTATTACTGTGGCTGCATTACAACAAATAGATGAAAACGTTATGGATAAACTTATCACGTGTGTCGGGTTCCATAAAAGAAAGGCACATTATATCAAACAAACCGTGGATATTCTAGCCAATAAATATCAAGGTGATATTCCTACCAATGACCAGGAGCTAATGGATTTACCTGGTGTAGGTCCAAAGATGACTTATCTTACATTACAAAAAGCATGGGGTAAAATGGACGGGATCTGTGTTGACGTACATGTTCATAGATTTTGCCAACTGTTTCATTGGGTTAATCCTAAAAAATGTAAAGAACCAAACCAAACAAGGTTAGAATTAGAAAAATGGTTGCCAATTCAACTATGGAGAGAAATCAATTCATTATTAGTAGGGTTGGGACAGATCATTGATAGGCCTAAAAAACAAAGAGTACATATCTGTGAAACAGCCTTAAAAGATGACGCAGAAGCAATCGATCTTGTGGAACATATGGTAAATTATAAAGAGTGGGCAAATTATGTGATAAAATTATGTAGAAATGAGGAAAAGAAGAAGCTTGCAGCAACACCAGCATTGAATGAACCATATGATGTAAAAATTAAACTAGAAGAACCAACAGAAATAACGAGTTTTGAAGGAACTCCTGTAAAATTAGAAGACAATCATATCAAACAGGAAGAAGAAGAAGATATAAAGTTGTGATAAAAACACAACTTTACCATGCAAAAACAGATTAAAATATCATGTGCAAGGAATAATGAACAGTTACACTTTTGATACCTATTAAATATATGTACACATGTAAATATATATATATATAAACAATTTTTAACAATTCTTAATGATAATACAATTTTTAAAATAATTATAAAATTCATTAATTATTACTATCACTTATTTATAGACTAAATTTTAGTTAAATAATTAACCACTTATTGTTGTAAATATCATCAATTGTCGGTCTGTCTCTCACCGTTCTATTTAAAATTTTTACAATCAAATCTATGCAATCTTGACTTACGTCGTTGGGGTCACTGCCAAATTTTAAATCACCTTCTAAAATTTCATCAATGTTATAGAATGGGTTTTCCTTGAAAATAATAGTGTAAAGCAAAATACCAATAGCCCATATATCTTGAGGCTTACCTTCATATGGATCACCACTTAATACTTCGGGTGCTGCATAATCAATAGTACCAACGAAAACATCAAATGGACCACTTTTAACATATGCGGCTGAACCAAAATCAATTAACTTTACAAAACCTTTAGAATCAACAATCACGTTTTCATCTTTAATATCTCTATGAACTATGCCTAAATCATGTAGATGTTTTATACCAGATACAACTTGTTTAAAAATCAACTTGGCTTCAAATTCAGTCATATTTGTTTTTAGTTCAATCAAATCAAATAGATCGATACAACCAGTCTCACCATGAACTGGAGTTTCAATATAGTAATAGTCATCATCTTCAAAGAAATCTAATAAACTTAGAATATTTTCGTGTGGTTGTTTATTCAAGGTGGCCATAATTTGAATCTCTGATGGAATGGTTCCTAGTTTACGGTCTCTAACCCATGTATCAACCAGGATTCTCTCTTTGAAAATCATTTTGATGACTACAATATATTTTTCTTTTTTATGCATACAAAGGTTAACCTTACCATAAGCACCTTCACCCATTTTTTGTAATATCAAAAAATCAGAAAATTTAGTGACACGTTTTAATGCACCAATATTTGTAGCAGGTGTGTGTAAAAATGTAGTCTTTTGATAATTATCAATTTTTAACTCTACATTGGTTAATTGTTTTTCAGGTGGAAGTACGATGTTTGTTTCAAGATTTTCATCAGTTGATTTTGCAGGAGACGGTGGCCTTGGTTCCATAGCTTCACCTTCTGGGGTTGGTGTACTGGAAATTTTACTTATGATTAAAGTCTTATCAACCTTAAAGTTGTCGTCTTTAACAAATTGTGATTTGTCCTTCGGGTACAGTTGAGAGAGTCTACTCTTTATTTCAATTTCTGTTGGATCAGAACGCAGCTGAGATCGTAATGTATATGTATTGTCAGTACTTGTTGCCAGACTTGACGTAGAAATATTATGAACTTCATATGTCAACTTTAAATCTTTGTCTGCAGATGTAGGTTGACTAATCTCCAATTGATTGTCTTTTAAAGATATAGTACTAACTCCCTCTTTTAATTCTGCTACAGAAGCTTTAATACTAGGCTTTTTAGATGATGCAACGGAACTTCCAGAGCTGCTCATATATGACAACTCAGTTTCTTTTAACATTTTTAATTGGGAAGGATTGGCCTTATAATCTTCAAACGCGACATCTCTGGAATGAGTAATCCACACAAAACAGTAATTACTATTCAATACACGTACTTGAAAGTCAACTTTAATTTTAGATCCATCGATATGAATACCATCAATACCCGTACTATTGTAAAAATCCTTTGGATTACCATCCATTTCTGCCTTAAGCTTTCTAAAAAAATGCTCTGTTAAAACTAAGCCTCTATTCTTTGGCAAGGTAATGGACAAATCAGGATGTTCCTTACTAATATAATCTATCATATCCTTGAAACATGGGATAATTTTAGTAATTGGACTGTCAACAAGTTCAAACAAATGATGACCAAACATATTTTTTGATATTGATTTATTAAAACTTATCAGTTGTAATGTGTGAGAATCAACAACGAAAAGACCCGCTTGATAAGGTAAACTATGAATTTTCAATTTTAACTGATCCTCTAAAACTGAACATGATACAGCACATGGGATATTCGAAGTCGGTTGATTTATTGTGAAATATCTTGCACGATTAACATGATTGCATATTCTTACAGGCATGGACGATAAAGAGTCATCAGGATCATATATCGTTTCATTCCGCACTTGATCGATTAACTTTGCTAACGATTGGCTAATAGAACTTAACTTTTGATATATGTTTGCAAACTTAACAGTCTTTTTGCTTTTAGTTTTATCAATTATAGTAGGTAGACTACTTTTTATACTTGTAGAAGTATTTTCATTTTTTAAATCCAAATTACAGTCACAATTACTTGAACTTGTATTTGGTGAATCATTTCCCACTTGAAACTGTACCGGACCACATTTACATAGAACTGGTGTTGTTTCTACATTAGTTTTACCATGTTGTAGGGAGTTTGCTTCATCATCTCTTAATGTTGCAGGATCTTTCAATAGATTATTTTTATTAATGATGCTTTCCACTTCAAAAGTATTTATATTAAGTAAGACATCTACGTAGTCACAAGGAACCTTTTCAAAGACACATACTAATAAACCATTTTTTCTTTTGGCCCAAAATGATGCCCAAATCAGCCCGTTATTTGAGGTGCCCGGTTGAACTATCCCAATAATTTCACCAGTAAATACCAATTCCTGATCTTCTGTAGTTAATAATTTGTGAATCACAAAACTTCTAGAGTCAGTATGAATCAAATCCAACAATGTCAAAGCCTTCAATACATTTTTGGAAATCCCAAATATTAGACAAGCTAAATCGTTAGCAGCTCTAAATTGCCATGGATGCTGTTGTATACAAGTAAAAATTGCTTGTGGTGCAGAGTTTTTCGCTGAGGTAAATGTGTGTAAGATTTTACCATAATCTTGCTGTGGTTTAGGTGGATTCAGGACTACGGTGTCAGCCCCGTTATTTGTTATAAATTCATCTAGCCCACGTTCCAAAGTGGCTTCATCTTCTAATAAGCTCTCCTCAATTGAAACATCTCTTTCAAAGAATGGTTCTGCCAAAGAATCCAAAAGAATTTTCTTTAATTTTCTAGTATGCTTCTTCTCATCTACAATATTACTTAAATTTGTATTTGATGTTGAAGACATTGGAGACGGTGTACCTTCTTTATCTTCGTCTAGGATAAGTTTATCGATATTGTATAGAGACAACATGTGAAGATCTGTTGCCTTTTCTGATGTATTATTTTCCAAAGTTTCATTTAACAAGTCCAGTAAACTGATAAGATTCGATCGTTGTTCTTCAATGTAAGAATAATCGTCATCATTGTTATATACATTATTATTATTATTATTGTTATTGTTATTGTTGTTGTTGTTGAATTGATTTTTTAATAGACTTGGTGTATTGGAATTATGGCTAGTATTTATATGGTCACTTATTTTCCTTAAAGATACGCCTGGAACACTTTCTGGTGGTATATTATTTAAAGAAATATTAATCTGTGATCTTGACCTATTGGATTGTAATTTAGGTCTATTAGTATTGGTGTTAGTATTATCAAAATTAAATGTATAATCATTCCAAAGTTTAGGTAACATAGCCAATGAATTAGTTCTGTGTTTTAATGATATCCTATCACCGTTGCTATTAAAGGTGCTTCCACAATTACTATTATTACAGTTGCTATTACAATTGCTAGATATGGCAGGATTTGCGACAAATGCATTTAAAGCGGCAGCAGGCGAGGTCCATTTCCTTTGTTGGTAATTACTCAAAGGATCTTCAGTTGCTACAGAGAATCTTCTGCTTGTTAAATTTGCCATATTGGCTGTTGAAACATATGGTCTCAGTTGACTGTAGGTTCTTTTCCAGCCATGAGGGTTCCGTAGTAAAGATGCTTGTTGATTTTGTATTTGTCGTTGTTTGATACTGCTGATCACAGGGCTGTCCAGACTTGTATCATTTTCCATCATCCTTGGGTTAGCAATAATAATTTCCAAAGATCTTTTCAAAATGGACAGTCTTACAGCCAAAGAATTTGGTGATAAGGGATTATATGAATAGGAATGTGTAGATTCATTAGGCAAAGTGAAAAGTTCCTGAATATCGATATCTGTCATATTTGAACTAGTAGAATCTACAGATGCTGTTCTCATAGTTTTATACGACGGAGTGCTAGCTGTACTATTCGATTTCTTGGACGAATTATTCCAATCTGGCAAATCGTTTATATTAGAGGAGTAACTTTGAGATATAACACTTCCTATCAAAGGTCGGTATTCTTTTGTGGGCGTGGCCACACTCAAGCTTGAAAGCGAAGATGCAACAGACCCATCATTTTCTTTATCTAACTTGGTATTATCATCATTATCATTATCATTTTTATTTTTATTTTCATTATGTTGGCTATCTAATTTAAAGTTACTTTTATTTAGAGATTTTATGATAAATTCTGAATTACTTGATTCTTTTATTGAATGTTTTTCTTTCAAACTCCTGAAAGAATAAGTTGAATTATTTGAAGCTCCAATATACGGCATGTCTGATTTAATAGTTTGTTATTATTTTTTTTGTTATTAGTTAATAATAATAATAATAATAATAATAATAATATGTACAGGAAAAAATTAATCAATCTATGGCGGGAAGAAAAAATATGCGTATATGTGTGTATATGTGTGTATATGTACGTAAAAATTAGTGAATTTGGTATTATTTGAATAAAGAAGAGTGAACAAATTGGATAGATAAAGGATATGGGAGACAATATATCCTTAGTTATGCTGATTGATGTAATCTAATATATTATAATGATAGAAATGATGGATATAGCAAAAACAATGGTATTAAGGAATGTGAATGAGCGGGATGGGAAGATGGGATAAGAAAGTGAAGGTTAGAAGAGGAGCGTGTAAAATAAAAAAAAGAAATGATTAATATATATGATATTGTGTAATTGAATATTGCGTCAAGCACAAGGAGGTAGACAGGAATAACTTCAAACAATGTTAAAATGGAAGGGAAACAGAAGCCAGGTTAATCTAATAAAGTACCAAATAGCAGAATGACAGAGAGAGAGAGAAGTATAGAAATGTTAAGTTTGTTATACCCCTTTCTTATTTTAACCGAGAACCCAACACAATATCCCTCGAACGTTTGTTAATTCATAATAGACGTTCTCTCTATAAATGGAAGAAAGAAAGAAAGAGGAAAAGAGAGGGGGGGGGGGCAGAGGGAGGGTAAATTGGATTGAAGTGAAAAGGAAAGAAAAAAAAAATAATAAAATAAAATAAAAACATTGGCAGTGAAAAAGACAAACGGAAAAAAGTTTTCGTACAAAGGGATAAAAAAGAATAAAACACCTGCTTACCGTACAGAATATATTTAGGGTATGTCATATTAGGGTTTCACTCTGCACTTTATAAAAAAGGAATGGAAAAACGATGGGCGGCTAGATCAATATAATTATCATATAACTGTACATATTGTAGATTCTTTAAGGTAATAAACACATGCCATTCTCTCTTAAAACTGCTACTACTACGTTTGCTGGAGTAAGGTATGGTAAAAGATATACATACATACACAAATACATATGCATATATCTGTTTGTATGAATAAATATATAAATTTATATAAATTGTCGTCATGTCGTATAAAGTTCCCTTTTTCTTCTTCATTTTTTGTTCTTATATATATGAAGTTTTAATTCAAATGAAAGGGGAAGGCAGAAAGAAAAATAAGGGAACACCACAGGGAAGGAAATAAAGAATGACATTTCGGCGGCTAATGCATTTTATCTAGAATATATTTTTACAATATATATATATATATATATGTGTGTGTGTGTGTGTATGTGTATGTGTTTGCAAGGAAGATTTAAAAATTTTTCTGTTATTTTTTTTTATTTTTCTTTCTGTCGTTGACTCATACGTACAGTAAATAAGAAACCAATAGAATTATACATATACATATATAAGAATATATAGTTGATTTTAAATTTTTTTTGTTTTTGTTTTTTGTTTTTTGTTTTTTGTTTTTTGTTTTCTTCTAGTTTCGATGTGTTTTACAATAACGTTTATTTTAACCGCAATTAATGGTTTGTTTTATAAATATGATCGTTCACAAAAATTTTTGGTTTTGCCTGACTCCTCAACTGATAAGAATGAACTAAAGGATAAAACATATAAAAATGAAATTAGTAAAATAAACACAAGGGTGATTAATATCATATCTAATTTTTCAAAAAGCTTTTTTCAAGATTCTCCATGGCTATATCCCTTTAAAGGCATAAGCAATTTTTTACAATTTAAAGAAAAATATCTTAGAACCGTGCTAGGTCGTTTTTTTTTATATCTGTGTAATTTCTCCTTCATATTGGTCCTATATTGGCTCACAATCACACCTATATATTTGACAATGTTTCTCATATTAGGTCCATTCGGCGTCTGGTTAGTTCTGTTTCATTCCATTTTACATGCAAACTGTCTGACTATGCTTTCCAGTAGATTAATGTATCCAAATGCTTCTTTGATATTCAAGTGTTTACGTGTTCACAACTATACAAAAGTCAAGATTGGTAATATTGCAACAATCAGATATTACGTACCCATAACAACAAAATATTTTTGGGTCTACTATCTCCCCAAAAAAATCATTAAATATTTGTTTTATTTCACTATTTTCCTGTTTCAAATATTCCTTTCATTTATACCAATTGTGGGGCCTTTCCTTTTCCATTTGACTATGGCACCATATATTGGCAGAATCTATTTAACAAAAATATTAAGATTACAAAAACTAAATAATTTACAAAGAAAAGAATACTTCTATACCTATTTGGGCATGTTTGCATCTTTTGGTGTCACTGCTGGTTTGTTGGAGACAATCCCACTTCTTTCTGGGATTTGCCTATCCACTAACTATATTGCAACATCTTTGTGGTTGATGGATAATGAAAAGTAAACCAACGTACATAATGTTTAGAGTACTCTTATTGAAAGGAAGTATGCATATTATTATTCTTTACCATTTAACTATTATTTCTTTAAACTATATATACACATTCATACACATACACACACACATATATATATATTGATTTAGAAAAAGAGGTATATTTACCATTGATAATGATTTATAAGTTGTTTATAAATTCTTGCAATGCATTCTGTCTTCTCTTTTTGTCTTTTCCTTCTTTTGACTTTTTATCATTATTATTATATTCATTTGTTTATTTCCTCTTTACTTCACATGCAAATCACCCCTGCAATTTCGACCAAAAATCCCAATTCCAGAAATTGTTGATCTTATCCTTCTTTGATACTCCTAATCTTTTCTCATACTCACCAATATCTTCCTTCCCACTGGCTTCATTGAAATTCTCAGAAAATATATCTTCGGGTGAATCCAATTTAATCCTTTTAGATTCTCCCATTAAGGATCCAGTAGACGGCGATATGAAATCACCACTATTTATACTGTCTTGGTTAGTACTACTGGTTGTTTCCGAATCTATATCACTAATCTTCCTCTTCTTATCATTCTCAGGATTTGTCAATGATGGATTCATTATTGTATTTTCACTCACCATAGATTGAACTATATCATTCTCACCTACTTTCATGACACTCTTGAATACCCCTGCAATTGCCTTTAATTTAATATCATATAGTCGACCCTCTTTAACAGCTTTGCTTTTCATGATTAGTCTATGATCATCGTTAATGTGTATATCAACCACATCTCTATCACGTACCCTTTGTTGCACTTTGGTCAATTTTTTCTTTCCGGTTCCGTTCACTGTATCGATTGTGTGTTTAGAAAACTTCATCATGGGTGGTTCAATATCTTCATCTTTTATACCAAGAGTATCAGCTAGAGTCCCTAAAAATATATCTATTGGAGAAGAACGAAACAAGTCTTGACGATGTTTATAACGCGATATCATCTCACCTTTCTTAATATTTAAGGACTCAAGAGTTTCAACCTCCTTCTTGAATTGCATTTGTAATTGTGCTGTATTATTTTGAATAGCATTTTGATTGGGGGATGATGCAAATGACTGTTGACTAGTCGATTGTGCACGATTGTTACTGTTATGTGATATCCCCGTATTTTTGGGTGTGGCAGATTTACTAGATAAGGTACTGATGTTATTTGATGAAAATCCACTGGTCATTGCTGGGGAAGGTTTCTTACTCGTAGATTTATTACGAGAATGTGGTGTGGCATTTTCTTTCTTAGGAGATATATCATGTGATGCTGTAGAGTTCTTACTCATTTCGGGTACACCAGCCAATGCATTGCTGTTATTATTGCTGTTATTATTATTCAATGGTTGTCTATTCTTAGTTAGATCATTTAAATTTGTTTGTGGCAATTTAGGTGTATTTGCAATCGAATCATTTTTAGATGAATTATCAAGGTTCTGCGGTGAAAACATATTCCCATTAGTGGCACCTGCTGGTACAGTAACCTGTTGATTTGTATTCCATTGCTGTTGTTGTTGTGGTATGGATGGTGTTTGTCCTTGTGGACTCAATCTAGTCATATTACCATTATTGTTATTACTGATGTTGCTATTATTGGTAATCATGCTATTATTTGGCATGTTCCCTTGCTGTGAATTGTTTATATTTCTTTGAGACATCTGCTGCTGCTGTTGTTGTTGTTGTTGTTGCCTTTTCTGTTGTTCAATTAGTTGTTGTCTTCTTAATATCTGCAACTTCATACTTTCCCAATATTTTTGATATTTCATAACCAATTTATCAACAGTATCTAATTTGACTACATATATACCTCGGGAACATTTTTCTAAAATTTCCTTGACAAATATTCTTAGTTGCAACACCTCCTTTAAAAATGGCTCACTCTTAGTAAAAACATATACCTGTGGTGCATAATTACCAACTTGTGCAAACAATTGTTGGTTCATTTGCAATTTTCTTTTAATTTCTTCCTTTTCTTGCTGGGATATCATATTAGTTAAGTCTGTTAATCTTAAAGGTATTCTAGCGGCTGCAGCTGAGATTTTTCTTACCATTTCAAGATCCTGTTGTGTTGGTTGGAACATTTGAAGACCTGAATTGTTTTGTTGTCCATTGTTGGCCGGTGATTTTTGAGAATTTTGCATTTGGTTGTTATTAGGATGATTCCTAATAGGAGTTTGTCCAATTTGAGGATTACCTACTTGTTGATTCATCATTTGATTATTTTGTACATGTTTCAAATTATTATTATTATTGCTATTGTTGTTACTCATTTGTGGCATTGAAACATTTTGTGAAGTTTGAATATGGGAAAAATTACCTCCAGTATTATTCGAGATGGATCTCTGTATATTACTATTTCCTTGCAATTGTTGATTTGGGAAATTATTAGTGTTAATGTTAGTGTTGTTGTTGTTTGGATTATTTAAATTGGTGTTGTTCGAAGTTGTTGCATTGTTAGTCATTCCTGCTACATTTCCACTTGCGCTTCCATTTCCATTTCCAGCATTTGCTACTGCTTGAGACATTTTGATTGCTTGAATCTTCTTTAATGCTTTTTGATTGATATATTTTTTAATAAAATTGTGTTTTGCTGCGTCAGTCATATTACCACCATATTGTGTTTTTTGAAAATGTTTACAGGCTTCAATCGCTTCTGCTAGAATAGACTTTTGTTCTTCTTGAGTGAAGATTTGATGAATTTGACCCAACACATTAGGTATTTCACCTGGCCTATTAGCATTTCTCTGTGGCTGTTGTTGTTGTGATTGTGATTGTTGTTGATGAATGGCATTTGGTTGCATTTGTTGATTCATATTATTGATCTGCTGTTGCTGTGGGCTTTGATTTTGATTTTGCAGTTGAGATTGCATATTTTGTTGTTTCAATTGCTGTGCTTGTTGTGCTTGTTGTTGTTGCATTTTACTTTTGTATAATAATTGTTGATGTACCTTATAAACTTCTTTTGCAATCAACATTTCTTGTTGTGTAAACCTTTTCTGTTGTGCCAATTCTGTAATTTGCTGCCATGTGTTAATACCAGGTGGAACATTCGGTATTTTTTGCAAAAGTTCTCTTGGAATTGGAGCCACTTTCATCTGATTGATTAGCAATTGTTGTTGTGCAGTTAACTGTGGTCTAGGTTTTTGTTGTAGGCCTTGCTGACCAGAATTAATATTGGTATTCAACTGTTGTTGTTTCAACTGTTGTGCTGCTTGTTGTCTTACTTGCGCTTGTTGATTTAAAAACGTTCTTGAATTAGCATTACTCGAACTAGGAACGAAATTACCATTATTGTTATTGTTATTAGTAGAAGATGAAGAGGAAGGTATTTGCTGTTGCTGTTGCTGTTGTTTAGCGGCGGCAGCAGCCATAGAGGCCTTTTTTCTAGCATCTCTTGTGTTACACATAGCAGTTATTTTTTCTTTCATACTGTTTATGTATTCTTTCTTTGTTGAACATTTAGCAAACAAAGCAGACTCGAAATTCTTAACATGCACCTTCATCTTTTCTGCATTATCTACACCACCACCATTCATTTCATTGATTTCCATCAACACCTGTAATAGTTCAGCCACGTACCTGGCCCTTTCTTCTGTTGTTAAGGCATCCATTCCTGCTGATAAATTGATATCCATTTTGAAATGACGGATAACTCAATGGTAGCTAAGGCTGTATTTACACTAATACGAGTGTGATCTTGAATATAGTATTGTGTATTCAATTGCTTGATTGCCAAACTTCGGAAAACAAAGAAGGAAAACAAAGCAAAAATCAAAAACAAAAAAAGAATTATTTATATTCAGAATGTATATATATATATATCGTAAATGGATAATATACTTGCAATATAATTATTTCTCGTTATATGTATCTTCCATTGATATTATAACAATCAATATATAAAAAGTGTATATAATGAATGCACTACAAATAGACATAACTTAACAATTCAGGAGCTTTGTACAAATGAGGCGAATCAAGTAGTCAATGAAATAAAATAAAAGTAAACAAAATAGGATCGATCAATGTACGTTCAATTGTTCCTCTATATCAAATTAATTTTCTTCGTTTTTTTTTTTTTTTTTTTTTTTTTTTTTTTGGGTTTTTGGATATTTTCTTATTTCTTTTTTTCTTTTTTTTTTTATTTCTTTTACCCTTTGCAATAATTATTGCCTCTTTAGGAAACACAAGTGTTGCAACTGACCAAAATAGGAAATACAAAAGGAGCTTTTACTTAATTGGGCTGTTTCTCCATCTGCTCCGCCATTCCCGCTGGTTTCGTTGGTAACGACAGCACGGCGTTGTCATGTGGAGTCTGTGGTGTGGCTTTTTGCCCAATTGGGCAACTGTTGTCATAGCAACGCACTTATATGTGTATATAAAATAATATTCAAAATATTTGCATATGAGATAAGATACATTTAAAGAGAGAGGTATTTACTAATGCATACTTTTCATATCTATCTATTCACAATATATACAAACAGATGTAGACTATATAAGTTGATCGTCTTATTTGTCTGTTGGTTTCTTTTCTAAGGATTCGTTTTCCTTGTATATGATATCTTCCAACAGATCACTTACTTTCTTTTCAATTGCATCCTGTGCCTTCTTATCATCTTCACTAACACTTGTATCTAATGCTAACTTATTTTTAGCTAACTGGTATATTTTTTCTTCAATTGAATCCTTCGTTATTAATGTGAATATAGTAACATCTTTGGTTTGTCCGACACGATGGGATCTATCTGCTGCTTGTCTATCATCATGTGGATTAAATGATTGATCAAAGATTACAACATTATTTGCACATACTAGATTAATACCAAACCCACCTGCTTTCGTGGACAAAATAAACACTGGAATTGTACTATCTTCATAAAATCTATCAATTAAACTTTGCCGTTCATTCACTTGAGTACTTCCATCCAATCTTAAAAATTTATACCCTAATGTAGATAATACCATTTCTAAGATATCTAACACTTGTGTGAATAATGAAAATATTAATATCTTCTCTCTTTTGACATCAATCACATCCTTTAGTATCTCTTTTAACTTAGTTATTTTGCCTGATTCCATCCATTCATTGTTTTTTAATTTGTATTTGGACAATGTCTTAGGAAAATTACAACATAAACTATGCAACTCAAAATCTGTCATCACACTCATATCCTCCATTATATACCCTTTATTCCCATCTTCTGCATATGCAGGTTCCTTCAATATATCTTGACTCATTTTATCGATCAACGAATCCGTATAGATATTTCTGAATAATAAGGGATGGATTGATGCCTTTCTTAGACTCATAATCAAATTCCTAGAAACATTATTCTTATTCCTTGTCTTATTCTTATTTGGCTTCTTAACAATACTTTGTTCCAGCTGTTCTTTTTCCCTTGCCAATTTGGCTCTTCTTTGTTCCATCACTGATTTGATTTCTTTATCATATATCTTTCTTTGCAATTCATTCATTTCACACATTATATTTTTAGTATGCTTTGCTGGTAAATGTTTTAATACTTGGTCTTTACGTCTTCTCAGAATAAATGGCCTCATCATAGTACGTGCTCTTTCAATAGCATTTTGCACCAATAATGGGTTATGCCCCTTGTTATCGTCTGTGGTTCTAACTCTTTGTTTGAAGATAGTTTGTAATGACTCCTTCTTTGATACAAATAAATGAGGCATAATAAACTCTAATAAAGATATTAATTCTCTTAAATTGTTTTGTAGTGGCGTACCTGTCAACAGTAATCTAAAATTACCATGAATCTTCATCAATTTATTGAATCTTTCTGACATTGAATTCTTTAACATATGTCCTTCATCGTATACGATAACATTAAAATCACATTTTCTTAGAAATGCAACATCATACTTATTACCAGCTGCTAAATTATATGTAGTAACCATAACATCATACTGATCATGTGCATTCTCCAACATATCACGCAATTCACCTCTCTCCTTCTGTGATCCATAATATGGTTCAATCTTTAGTGTTGGGCAAAATTTCTTGAATTCTCTTAACCAATTCTCTAAAGTTGAAGATGGTACTATAATCAAATGAGGGCCAGGTTCATTGATTTGCTTCAAATATGCTAAAAAGGAAATCACTTGGCATGTTTTACCCAATCCCATATCATCAGCTAAGATACATGACATCCCATTGTGATATAATAGGTTTAACCAATTGATACCCATTTGTTGATAATCCTTTAATTGTAGATCAGGTGATAATAACCTTGGTTTGCCCCTAAAAAATTTAATTAGTTTTTTAGTTTTGTTTTGTTCTGTCTTGATCTCTTTAGTTCTTCTTTTCAACACAAAATCATCGTCGTCATCGTCATCATCATCTTCTTCGTCTAAGTCTACAGGATCTTCATGGTCAATTTCTTCCACATATTCATCGTCTGCACTACCTGTGTCATCATTTGATTTCATTACTTCATTATCTTCTATATTAGGTCTTAAATTTCTATTAGTTTTTTGTTTTATGGAGGTACCATTCTCTACTTGTTCGGTATCTTGTTGAGAACTATCTTTCTTCACTTCCTCTTCATCAAATTCTTCAGCAATAGCTCCGGACTCACTCTTATTATTGCCACTATTATTATCATCTTCTTCGACTTCATCATTGTTTAAAGTCATTAATTGTAATCCATTTTCTTCATCATCTAGATTTTTGTTACCAGATGATGAAGAGGAGGAGGAAGAGGCATTTATATCAACCCCCCATTTAGAAATTTGATTTGAGATCATGTTACCATATGAGGAACATCTCTTTAACAAAGATTCAATAGCATTATAACCCTTAATAGATTCACCAATCTTCTCTAGGAATTTTTCACCATCCTTTCTTAGCGATTTTGGTGTTCCACGTCTACGCAACCGACTACCATTATTATCTCCATTTGTTAAATTTTCAGAACTGTTTTGTTTTTCAATTTCTTTTTCAGTTAAGAATTCCATACTACTAAATTTTGTTAAGCTTGTGTATGGTCTTTTAGAAATAATCACTTGAGCTTTGTCAAATGTAGTATCAGCTAAATCTGCAATATCTAATGGATCCGCAGTGTTCAAGAATTGTAGAATTTGTTCATCAAGATCAATTGGACCTGTTGTTGAATCTTCATAGTCGGTACCTTCATCATCATCCAAATCGTCGTCACTTGCTATGTCATCACGGTTTAAACCATCGGAATCTGAATCTGATTCTTTCTCCATTAATTGTTGCGCTTTCGTTTTCAATAATTTGTTTCTAGCATTATCTAATTCGGTAGGTTTAGAGTATGATTTATTGTGGACTTGTTTAGTACTATTAAATTTATTTTCAAGCTCATCTCCTCTAACTAATTTCCTTCTTTTTGTAATATTTGTCAAATTAGAACTAAAAGAATCATTATAAAACTTCCTGGACTTCATTACATTAGAATATCTATCAAAAATTGAAGTTTTTGGTTTATTTAGAACAATTTTCGTAGAATCTTTTGAAGTTAAACTATTAAAACGACGTGTAATCTCATTTTGACTTCTGCTATTACTGGTAGTGGTGTTATTACTATTATCTTCTGAATATTTATTGGATACAAGGTTACTCCGATTCAATTGACTATTGCCTGACCAAGTGCTTCTTTGTTGTTTTATTCTAGTTAATCTACCTCTAGATAATTCTAAATCAAAAGAATTAGATTTAAAGACGGCTTGAATTAAGGTGGAGGAAAATTCAGGGTATTCCTTCTGTAATATCTCTAAATTTGTCTGCATATCCTTTGGGCTCATACCATTTTGTACGCTGCTAGCAGTTCTGTTAAGGGCATAATCTCCCATATGGTGTTTAATACTCGGTTTAAAACTGAAAGTGGCTCTCAATAATGAAGTGTTACTATCGGTGTTATCTGTATCTTTTAATGGGGAAGAAGAAGAGGAAGGAATCACTTTTTGGGGAGAGGAAGTAGCTGGTACTTGTACATTGTCGTCATCATACTCATCACCGCTATGAGGATGTCTAGTGCTCCCATAATAACCTGACATTTTCTACTGACACTGGTTTCCCACTAACGGTAGGATCTTAACAGTTACTTATGGATGATTAGAACAGTGCTAGATAAAATGGTTTTAGTTATATGCGTGATTTTGTATAGATCTTTTATTATGGTTTTCCTAGATACGCCTATGGAGGATGAAAAGATCAGAGCATTTTGAAAAATTTTTCATTTTTTTTATCTATCGAGGATTTTTGCGATGAGTTGAGCTAGAAAGGATTTTTAAAGGTTACACCCCCAATAAAGAGACAAATAGGGTATATTAAGTGTGTCCATCATTATAGAAAAACGGCATCTTCCTTGTATATTCGAACAATACTCGTGCTTTGTTTTATTATATTTACTTGTACTATCTAGACATGGTATAGTGGATTAATTACATATCAATATGGGATTTAAAGTCTATTCTTTTGGGTCAAATGGGAAAAATCAGTTGGGGTTCCCGCATGGAGAGGATTTAATGGTACCACAACTGACGTTGTCTACAGATGTTGGGTTAGATGCAGCTTTTGAGGCATTATTTCTTTCTACAAATGGTCAGTTGCAAAAAATAGCTTGTGGTGGAAATCATACAGTGATTCTATTGAGGGATGGTGGCATACTTATGACTGGTAATAATGAATCAGGCCAGTTATTAGGCGACATTAACTGCAAAAGTATTAACAGATGGACCAAACCAGATGACACATGGAATTTCGGCTATCAAGAAGGTAGCAAGGTCACTGGTCAAAGTGAGAAGAATAATAATAATATTGAATACGTAGTTGATGTTACTTGTGGTTGGGACTTTACTATGGTGATGACTTCATTAAATAAAGTGTATATTAGGGGTCAAGGGTTGAAAGGTGAGTTAGGTGCGGGTCCAGATATTGTGCAGAGTTCCAAATTCATTGAGGTATTTCATTCAGATGATTTAACTGACAAGATTCAGATTTTTTCTTCATTTCAAAATTGTGTCATATTAGTGACAAATCGTGCTAACGGATATAGTAAAGTTTATGGATGGGGGTCTAATATTAAATGTCAATTGTGGTCTCCTAAATGTAAAAGCGTATTTGAACCATCTTTGATATATGAAACACAAGATCATGTTATTGATTATGTGTCCATGGGGAAGGATTTTATGGTTTATATAGATGCTAATGGTTCAATTGTCCATACCACTGGGAATTTACCAAAGACATTTGATTTAGAATCATGGAGAAATCGAATTAATTTAACTGTGCTATCTATGTGGTCATCAATTCATATTATTCAGAAGACACCAACATTTAAAATTTCTTCATATGGGTTTAATATGCACAATCAATTACTAAAAAATGATGATGTGACAGGTCTTAAGGTAAATACAGTGGCTCTAGGTAGCGAACATGGTATTATGGTATGTGATGAAGATGGCAAAGTTAGTGTCAGGTGTTGGGGATGGGGTGAACACGGTAATTGCGGATCATTACAAAAGAACAAATCTATAATAATCAACGACCGTTCTAATGAATCAAGTCTCCTGAATGAAGTTATGTCTATATCAAAAGAAAATGAAACTAGGGTGGATGTTTTTGGTGGATGTGCTAATACTTGGATAGTTATTTCAGATTGAATTTTGGTGTAGCATTAAATGAAATCTGAATAAAGCAAAAATTATTGAAAATATTGAAGATCATTATATATTAGTTCATTCATGTATATATTTCGTACCTAAGGGCAATTGTCATTTTATTAGGATTATAGTACAACTTCCTTTTTTTTTTTGTGAGATAAATCATTGTTTTGTGGGATTATATATACGTTTTAAGCGGTTGATAATGAGTTCAATTGAACTTTAAAAGAGAGTATCAGATGGGATAGATATTTTTGCTGGGAATATAAAAAATTTGAAGGAACATTTTTCTATTATACCATTTGCTAAGTGGGGTAAATTGTGATAAAATAATAGTGTTATTAAGTTTTTTAAATATATACTATTTTATGTACTATAAAAAAAATGCTTATTTATTACATGAAGGTATCGTTATATGAAATAACTATAAATAGGGTTGTTATAAAGAATATTTAATGTTGTCTTCTATTTTGTCAACGATATTTGATTATTGACTAGCTTTAAATGATGATGTATGCATATGATTGATGGAACACGAGGGGTAATCTCTTGAATTTATTGTAAAACTCAAAGTAATAGTAGTTCAATTTTTTGAATTCACTTTTATTTTAAGTATATTTTTGCTTTAAATCTGTGAAATAAGTACCTATTTATTTGTATTATTATTTTTAACAAATCTTTGATCACGAAATTTTATTATTATTTTCACTTTTGTTGATGTTTTAAAGGTACCCCTCTTCTGTCATTTAAGAATTAAGATCATCGCTCTTAAGAGTATTCACACTATGTTGGTTTCTGCTGTTGCTATTATTATTTTGGTCAGTATTGATTGAGTTAGTTGGGGTAGATATATGATTATTATTACTGTTATCGTGATTGTGAGGGTGATTGTAATTATTATTTGTGGCATTCTGATATGGGGGCGGTTTCGTTATAATAGTTTTTAACATTGCCATGTATTGTTGTTGTATTAATGGACCTTGCATATTGATGTTGTCCCCATTTGCATATATATTCTTCAACAAATGAGTTGGATTACTCTTATCGCTGTCATTATTATTAATTGCTTGACTTCTCAATTGAGTTTGGTTATTTTTGTCTTGATAATTCTTAGAATTAAAGTTCGGATTATTTTCATGAGTAGCAATATTCTCATTTATACCAGGTGAAGGTTGTCCTTGATTTGAATATGTCTGGCGTCTCGATTGCTGTGAATACATTGGGGGTGATGTTATATCTTGTGGAGACATTTGTCTTCTATTTGTTTGTAGCGGTGGTTGCTGTGTTGAATTGGATCTTGAAGTACGGTTGTGCGATCTCATTTGTTGCGATAAATAAGTAGGTATGCGAGGTTGTTGTACGGGGATATAATTTGATTGTTCCTGTTGCTGTGTTGGATTGATTTTTTCATTGGATATAGGTGTAGTAGCATTATTATTGTTGTTGTTATAGTTAATTGGATATTTTTCAGGCAATAAAGGGTATATATATTCATAATTAGGTGAATCAAGTTCATTTAGAGTGTCAATTGAGGAACCCTCAATAAAATCGTTTAACAAATAAAAAAGTTGCCACCATTCGAGCAAGAAAGTATCAGGTGAATTAATGATCATTTTCGATCTTAGTAATTGGTCCCTTGGTAATTGCTCTAGTAATTGTCTAAGATCTTCGTTTTCTTTGTTTTCGCCTTTCGTTTTCTCCTTCTCTTTCTCTTTATCCCTTTCAGTGTCTTTGACCCGTTGATCAAAGTTTCCACTTACAGCGATATTACCATTGAATTCAGAATCAGGATTCTCGTTATTATAAACTTCTAAATTTCTAGTGATTGGGACATCGGCATCTCTTAAAAATTGTCTGGCAGTTTCATAGTATTTATTTTCCAATAGATAGTTATAGATATGAGCATATAACAACTCGTTTGAATTGCCTGCCATAGTGTCAGACACCACCAAAGTGTCATTGAACTGTAATTCTTGGTCGCTGCTATTAGTACCAATATCGTTCACAAAATCATTCTTTTTACGACTCCCATTATTATTATTATTAGCATTATTATTATTATTACTATTATTATTATTATTATTGTTGTTGTTGTTGTTGTTGTTGTTGTTGTTGTTATCGTTGCTCTTTTTAAGTACCATTATTATTCATTATATCCTATTTTTTTCAGGCTGTTAACTGAAAGAAAGAGAGAGAGAGAGAGAAAAGAGAGAAGGAACTATGTGTATCGTATCTTAGGAATACGTTTGGTAATCCTCTTCTGGGCTATTAACTGGAACAACTCATTTCTCAAGTAGCAATTTAGTGTTATCTATGCACGTCCAGCTTCTTTTCTCCTCTCCTTTCCCTTTTCTTCCTCGAGAATTTGAAGATTGGATTCTTTTTTTTCGCAATTTTGCTGGTCGTGTTTTTTTTCTTTTTCTTTTGTTTTTTTTTTTTTTTTTCACGGTGCCTTTGACGAAGAAACTTTTTCGAATATGTTTTCCTATTTAGGACACTTTTGGCTTTGTTTCCTATTTAGGAAACATTTGTGGTTTTTTCGACATGCTTTTGGTTTTGTTGTTTTTGTTAGCGCCGTGAGAAATGCAGTGTATATATTTACATGTTTTGTATTTTGTTTTAAAGGCATGAAGAAGAAAAAACACAGCTGGGAAAGAGTAGAAGGTAGGAATGAATGTATGGATTAAGTGATAGTGGGGTAGAATGAACCCCTTTGGATTGTTACTACAGTTGCTTGATACTGGGGAATAGAGTTTGGTGATTACTGTATGAGACATGTGTTAGATCAAGAGGAAGAGAAAAGGAGCAAAGAGGGGACTAATAAGAAGAGAAGCTAATGAATGATGAGTCTGTCATTGATAAGACCTGTATTCCATTCCATGGTGAAGGAGACAAGACAGCTATACCGTGTTTTAGCTATTGAGTCCTCGTGTGACGATTCTAGTGTGGCTTTGTTGGACTATGATGAGAATACTGGCATGGCCAATATAATATCGCATTTAAAATCTACATTAAATAGTAGCTTAGTCGGTGGAATTATCCCTACTGAGGCATTGTTACACCATCAACAGACAATGCCACTTCTAATAGATCGGATGATGCAAATCCCACAGTTTAATGACTGTCCACTTGATTTAATTGCGGTGACAAGAGGTCCCGGGATGGTTGGTCCTTTGTCTGTTGGTTTGAATTTAGCTAAGGGGTTGTCATTGGGCTTATCCACATCTGTCCTTGGTGTCCACCACATGTTGGGACATTTGTTGATTCCAAGGATGAGTTCAAGTGATACAAGCAATCAAATAAATTTCCCCTTTATTAGTCTATTAGCAAGCGGTGGTCATACAATGTTAGTATTATCTAAAGATGTGTTAAATCATGAAATTTTGATTGATACCATAGATATTGCCATTGGCGATTCCTTAGATAAGTGTGGTAGAGAATTGGGCATTAAGGCTAATATGATTGCCAAAGAAATGGAAATTATGGCTTCCCAAAGGAGAAACAAAGTTCATTCTGTAATCAACTTGCCTAATCCATTGTCCATGGCGCATAATAAGAATAAACTATCATTTTCATTTGCGTCATATATAACGTCATTAAAAAACCAGATTAAAGATACTCTGATTCATGGTACTAATCGTAGGGACTCCTTGTTGTTGAATCAAATTGCATATGATATCCAAGAATCTCATTTCGATCACTTAATATATAAGATTAAACAATGGGTGCAAAAAAATATACATCTGTATGATACAGAACCTAGTCAAATGGGGTTACAGTTTATTGCATCTGGTGGTGTCAGTTCGAATAAAAGGTTAAGATATAGATTGGAGAATGAATTGAAGCCATATTTCAAATCGTTCCATTATCCAGAACAGAACGATTTATGTACAGATAATGCAGTGATGATCGGATGGGCTGCAATTGAATTAGTTAAACATTTCAAAATTAAAGAAGGGTGTACGATTTATAATAGTTTGGACATTTTGCCATTAAGAAAGTGGGATTTAACGGATCTTGTAAATATATCTAGATGGAATAAACAGAAGTAAAGTTTATGTTTGTATATATACATGTAAATATTCACATTCCATATATATATATATTATGTATGTATGTATGTATGTATGTGAGGGACTGGTTAGGGTATGAAACTTTCAGTAATATCAAATTTTTTTATTAATTTTTGCCATGTTTCCATATCTAATTGGAATATTATGTGATTCTGTTGAGCATCCGATCTTTTCTGTCTTTCAATTTCTCTTTCTTCCTCAGTTAAATCCTTTAAATCAGGTTTTATTCTAAGTACTGGAAAGCCTTGATCACTGTCATTGTCACCAGGTTCAAGTATCAATCTACCATCTTTGATTAAAAAGCTTGTATAGAATAGATTTTCAACACTTTTAGCAAAAGAATTCGGGTTTAAAATGAATTTAAATAATGAGATCTTAGAATTGTAACCAACTTTACTTAACAACAATTTATAACACTTAATGACTTGCTCTGGGGTGGTCAAATCTTGGTTATTTATTAAATCATCCTTTGTGACATTTTCCGCGGTCTGTCGACTTGCAGGATTTAATAATTGATCTTGTTCATTATTTAAAGAACGTCTATTATTATTAAGTGATCTTTTCTTTCTTTCCAAAGAGAATGGACCTAGTAAATGATCGGTTACAGTTATCGACTGGTTATAATTTTTAAAGATGGATCCCATTTTGAACCAATTGAACTGATTGAATTTATTAAATTTATCGAATTGTTCTAAATATTGTTGTCTTCTAACATGCTTTTGGAGATTCCTTGATATTGGGTCAGTATATTGATCCTCTTCCTCCTCCTCCCCTTTCCCTTCCTCCACATTCTCTGTATCCTCATTGCTACCGCGGTTGGATTGACCGATTTTTGGGTCATCCTCAATATCACTTAATGAAGTATCTGATATTATAATATTATTTTGATTTAGATACTCTTTTAGTAGATACCGTTTAATAAATAAAATTAGATCATTTAAGTTCAGCATCGATTTAATTTCACCCAACTGCAGGTTCTTAACATTTAACTGTGTTAATTCACTAATATTGACAATGGCTCTTGAATCATATGCGAAAATATTATTATTATTATTATTGTTGTTGTTGTTGTTATGTGTATGTGTGGAGTCAGTGGTGTTGGCATGGTTGTTCACAATTTGAACGTTATTGAATAATTGATTTAAAGTTGACAGACTATTTAAGACCGTGGAAATATCACCATCTCCACGCATAGTCATGGCTTTCAATTTCGAGAAATCTTTGTCCATCTCCCGATACTTCTGTAACACCTCGAATTCGAGGTTATCCTTGGGAATGGAGCTATTTCTAGTTGAGTCATCGCTACCAGGGCCTATGGCGGGTTGATCAGGACTAGTCCTTAGCCTTTTGGATACGGACAATTCTTCATGTTGCGTTTCTTCTTCAAAAGCGTCACCATGGCCTCTTTTATCCTGCAGCATCTTTCAACAGATACAATACACACTCACACACTCACACATTGGCACCCAGATATCTGACACTGTCCAATGGTGTCAAGACCAGTTGTAATGATCTGCCCTTTGCTCTTTTTTCTATAAAACAGAAGACATTGCCAGATTTGCAGATAAAACAAAAACAAAAAAAAAAATTCGACATCGGCGTTTGTAAAAATCACTAGGCACGGCAATCACGTGGACGTTGTGCCTGGTTTCTCCGAGCGGTTTGAAGAAGAAATCGAAGAGAGAAAATTCGAATGGAGAAGAAAGCAACGAGTTTTGGTTGAACCCATCGATTATAACAGAGGGTTAGACAGTAACCCATTCTGATACTTCATTCTAGTAGTTCATCCCGTTATTTCGCTTTGTTGGTTCGACTCCCAAAAGTGGAAAGAAGAAAGAAAGAGAGAAAGAGAAACCGAAGACAAAGAAGATAGCTAAAGCGAAAGAATCAGAGAGACAAACAGAGGGAGAAGTGCGTGTGTGTGTGTGTGTGTTTGTGCGTGTAAGTGTGTACAATAGTCTATTAGTTTCTTTGTGTGAACGTTTCTTAATGGGTAGTCTAGATTACAATAATATAAGTAATAATATGAGTAACGAGGATCAGGACAACTCTATACACGCTGATCCTTTCACTGCGGAGGGTTTCCATCTGTTACAACCGGCTGGTTTAATGTATCCTAATGAGTCCACTGATGACAACATCACAGGCAATAATAATACTGCTATGAATTCCAACAACATGAATAGTTCTCCTAATAAAGTTAGAAGAAATAGAGCTAAAGGCGAAACTTTAAATATTTTGAAGAGACAATTTAATTTGAATCCCAATCCAACCCCACAAGAAAGAAGACAGATTGCCAAATTGGTTAATATGAATGAGAAGAGTGTTACTATTTGGTTTCAGAATAAAAGAGCTAAGATTAAAAGAAATAATAGACAGAAAAGTATTGAACAGGAACAAGAAAACAAGATGTATTCCAATAATAATAATAATATTGATAATAATAATGTTATGACCGTCTCTAATGAGAGTAAAAAGAGGAGATTTAATAGAGATAATATGGACAGCGACAGTGATGATAGTGGTATTTATAGAGAAAAAAATCACAATCAACATGTAGGAGGTGAAGGGGATGAGGAGGACGAGCAAAGTGATATGTTTTTGGAAGATGGGAAGGAGATAAATTTTTTTGATAAGGTCCCATTAGATATTAATAACAATTATTATTTTATCGATATTTGTTCCATTTTGGTTGGTTCATGGAATAGAATTAAAAGCGGCTCGATACTAAGTAAAAAATTCAAATTGCTACAAAATTTAAAGAATCTGTCACCTAGATCAGTGAATGACATTATGTTAAATTCTACTGATTTGCTTGTGTTGATATCTAAGAAAAATTTCGAGATTAATTATTTTTTCAGCGCAATGACAAATAATTGTAAAATTTTGTTTAGAATCTTTTATCCAATAGATAATGTCGTGGATTGTTCAATAAGTTTAAATTCAGATGAACTCATATCAAATAATAATAACAATAATCATGGTAATAATACAAATAATAGTATTTGTAGTGAACTGAAATTGACTATTAATAAATCACCAAATTTTGCAGTGTATTTTTTAAATGAGAATGTTCTTGACACACAAAACCAATGGTCTATATGTGAAGATTTCTCTGAGGGAAAACAAGTCAATGATGCATTTATTGGTGGATCAAATTTGCCACATATCTTAAAGGGTTTACAGGATTCTTTGAAATTTATGAATTCTTTAATCCTTGATTATAAAGCTACAAATCAAATAATATCCCCACCTTCTCCTGTACAATTACCTCTTCATCTTCTTCCTATTACCACTACTGCTGTTGCTGCTACTAATACCTCTTCAATGGATGGTCATCTTGATAAATCAATTATTATGCAATCACATGATGTAGATATTCCAATATCTGTGAATATGGCAATCCCTGATGCTTCATCTTTCCAATCTTTGTCGGATCCTAAATTCCATTCACAAATTAACGACCGTGTTCCACAAGATCATGAACACAACAATAATATTCTTTTTGGTGATAATAGACATATATCATATGATACCATTTCTAATACTAATAATAACATTAACTTGCTTCATTATCAAGATAGCATTAACACATCATCATCAGCTTATTCACCAGCTTTGCAATTTGATAGAAATAATCTTAATATTCCGTATAATACAATCCACAACCAAATTGATAATAGTCTCTATGCTCATGATAATATTTCTTCGTCTATCATGAATCATATTGATAATAAAAAAAATAATAGTAATATTAGCAGCAGCATAAATAATACTAGTACTATGGGCACCTCCCTAAATCCACATGATTTAGATAATATAAATTTAACACCAAGCTCTTTCTTTTTCGATCATCAAGATTATCTATCAAGTACCACAAATGACCAAATTTACACGTCTTTACATCAGTCAACAGTAAATTATGATAATACCCATAATGCTATACATAATATTAATATTAACAACGTGAATATGGATAAGAGTAATAATTTACTAGATGATACTAATTGAATATCTTCTTTAACAAATACTAAATAAAGTTTATAATAAAAGCATACAATAAAGGGGAATAAGAAATTTAGCACTTTAAGTTTGTTTTTTCTACCCCTCTTTACATATTAATATATTTGCATATGAATAATATCAAGGCATTATAAGTATGGTGACGGCGATTATTGTTGTTTACCCTGAAAGTCTATTATTTGCGATCTTGTTTCAATGATATACTTTCTTTCCTTTTTAAAATATTTATATAGAATATGTACACGATTAAATTTAAGTTTTAGTATGAAGCACCTCTCAATACTAATAAGTAATATGGTACTGAATAAAAGAATATGATAAAAATAGAAAACTTACTTTTTGTCTTGTTCTGAAAGAATATTAGAATCCCCATTTAGATCTATCTTTTATTGTGGTTTCTAAATTTGATAAAGGTTTTGGATCGAATTCTGTGTATTGGCTCAAATGCTCTTCAATTGATCTGATAGTATTTGTGTGTGCATGTATGAAAGTTGAAATATTAACTCTGTCTGCTTCATTTGTAATAATATTACTGAATTTAAGTTTGTTTATTGTTTCTATGCATTTCTTAGCTTCAACCCACTCTTTCAATTTAATACAACATTGAAAATATCCAAAAAAACATGATAATTGTTGTAATTCCATTCCCAATTTAAACCACTCTTGTGCCTTCTTTGGATTTCGAAAATAATTCATTTCTAAATATCCAATTTCACTGAAGGCTTCTTTAAAACCTTGTGTACAACACTGTTCTAATAAAATTTTGGATTTGGTTGGTTTATATTTAATGTATAACATAGCTAAATAAAAATATGATTTAACACATTCTTTTAATGGCACGGTTTTGATAGCCTCTAAGAATCTTTTTTCACATGATATTATATTCTGCACACCACCTTCTCTGAATTCAATCTCGCCTAATTTTTCTAACACTTTACCTTTTTGTTGTGTCCCCCAATAATTGATATCAAAATTGGGTTTTAACTTATTATAAGGTTCTACAGATTTTAAATATTCTTTATACCATCTTTTGGCTTCTTCAAATTGGCCCATTGAACAGTTTAAATCTGCAACAATCTTGAAACTTAATGGATGTTTTTGTTTGACTAATTGTTTTAATAGCTCTTGCGATTGGATAATGTCCTTTTGATTTTCAGGCGTTGTTGCGGATGATGATGATTTAGACATTAATATTCGATAGCAGAGTAATGTTATAGCATCATTATTCCCCAATTGGGCAGCTTTCTTCAGAAGATAGAGTTCCATTTTATGAAGCTGAATTGGCTGTTGCTTAGTTCTCTTCCTTAAGTCAACTAATACTCTATTCATTAAGAATATTATATTGGGATTATTGGCATAGTTTGAGTTTTTGGAAGTTAATTCATTGTTGGTATATAGTGTTTCATATAAAGGTAGTAGTTTTCCGGACGAAAGTTCACTATCCATTTGAAATAATATTCTATTTAAAAGTTTCTTCGAGGGAAACAAAGTTTTGAATGATGTATTATTCATGGTTTGCAAATAGCAAATTGCAGTATATATATCCAAAAAGTCTAGGTAAAATACATAGATTATTAAAAGAATGGGGAGTTGATATATATTTGTGTGTTGGTTGTAGAAAAATCCTTGGAATGTCTCTCTATAATTAATATTTTTCTTGTCTCAAATATAGTTTCACCCATAAGATCCTTCTTTATACATCAAGAGATAGAAATGAAAATAATTAATTGATATTGGTGATAAAAAATCATGCTTATTCATATAATATGGTTGAGTTAGTTAGCCAGTTACATATAATCTTTAAATAGTGCTTAGATGGTTCTTCTATCGCAGATTCTTCGAATCCTTCAGTGGTAGCGCATTTTCTTTCCTTCTTTCCAGAGTTTCAATTTTAAGTCGAAGTAAAATACAATACACACAGATAATAAAAATATTTACCGATAAAAGGATAAGAGAATGTGGTGTTCAGTACATTATAATGATGATATAATAACATGTTCACTTACATCTACATGCATATACATGTATAGATATATATTTATATACTTAAGCATGTATAATTAAAGTAAAACTTTCTTTTGATTAAAATTTCATTGTTTATGTTCAATAATTCAATTATGGAATATCTTAATATCTGCTGGATCAGAAGGTGGAGGTAGATCTTTGAAATAATCTGATTCAAGACATTGAATTGCATTCCATCTTTTAATTGGGTTCATTTCAAGCATCCCGCACATGAAATCCAATGCATTTTCTGTAGCTGCGATAAACCGTTTCCTTAATTCATCTCTTGATGGTGGTGGATATATCTGCAATTTATTATATGTGGGGAATATGGAAACACCTGGCCAATCTCTATCTGTAGGGGTTCCTAATGCTCTAAATGTCACTTCCATTTGATCAATATCATCTTTACCTGGTAGATAAGGTATTCTTAACATTAACTCTGCAAAGATTACACCCACAGACCAAATGTCTACAGCATAGGTGTAATGCTTGGCCCCAAATAATAATTCAGGGGCCCTATACCATCTAGTAACTACATTACTTGTCAATATTTCTCTTGGACCCGGAACTGCTCTGGCTAACCCAAAATCCGCTATTTTGATAATACCTTCTGGCGATATTAGTAAATTGTTAGGTTTCAAATCTCTATGCAAGATGAAATTACGATGTATATGATGAACACCTCTTAGAGTCATCAACATCCATAATTTAATATCAGCAGGGGTAAATAATATAGACTGATCTTTTATGACTACTTCTAAATCTGTCGGTAGGTATTCTAACACCAGATTTAAGTTATCATAGGCCATAAAGATGTCAATTAAGGAAATTACATTTGGATGGATCAATTCTTGCAGATATTTAACTTCACGAATAGCTGACATGTCTAACCCATCTTTAAATTCCGAGGTTTTAATCTCTTTCACAGCAATCTTCCTCGATGTAGAACGTTGAGTACCTAAATAAACAACAGCATATGTACCTTCACCAACTTTTTTCTCTTTTGAATATTCCATGATTCAATTCAGTCGATTTTAATTTCTCTTTTGATATTTATTTCCCATATATATAGTTATACATATATATATATATATTCATCTTAAACATGTATCCATTTGTAATTTTTGACATATTCAAATATATAAGATTTCTTTAATTTCTTTTTTAATTTCTAAAAAGATCGATGTAACAATTAAAAAAAGACAAGCATACTAAAGAGACCATGATTTTCAGTCATACAGCAAATATAGGCGTAACCGTTTGGTAGTTAGCTACTTTAATTACAGTAGAATGTAGTGTGGGGATAGTAAGTATGGAGAAAGTAGCATGTGAAAAGTTATGTTTTTAGGTATCTTGACTCAGAGGATAGAGATGCAAAATATACAAATATATCTTTCTGCTAGCTAGCTCGATTGATATTGGAGCAAGTTTATAAATTCAGAATAATAAAAGCTAACTTTATATATATATATATATTAATCTGATAGTAAACATATATATATGTAGTATCCCATGTTACATATGTTGAAGGCTGTATGAATTAACTACAATTGCTGCTGCTGTTTGAACATTCATTATCCTACTAACACCGTGTTGTTTAATTTCTAAGCACATGTCTAAATCAATTAATAGTTCACCTGGAATCCCCCTCTGTTCTGTCCCAAGAAGAACTACACATTTTTCTGGAAACTTGAATTCACTATCTAATGGAGTTGCATATTCAGTTTTTTCTAAACCAATCAATGTGTATCCTTCTCTTTTTTTCATTTTCATGAATGTCCCAATGTTATTAATAGAGACTTGTTCTATTGGCATCCATTTATCAGCAGTTACTGCAACTTTCTTAAACTGTGGATGGTTCTTTATCTTGATGTCATTAACGGTTAATAATTCTGCACCCAATACATCACATAATCTACAAATACCACCCAAATTTGGTGGTTGGCTTATTAGAGATGCAACAACAATCATTTTGGAACGCTTTACAGTGGCAGACGATTTCTTGTTATCAATATCTAATACGGTTTCCCAAGCACCACTCTTTGTTTGTAAAGGCGACATTTCCTCATGAACATTTGTTGCTTTATCTGTATATTTGGCTTTTTCCCCATCAGCATGTGTATCTCTGGTATTTAACCATACATCTTGATCATCAGTGCCGATTTTAAAATACCCAATATATTCTTTAGTGTTGTTCCAATCTTTAAATGTGATAGAAGAGATGTAAAGTGGACGGTGATCAGTAGTCTTTCTTATTACACCACCAAAAATGCCAGTTAATGTCATATCTTTATATATATCCCAAACATTAGCATCTCCTGAACGGTATTGACCAATGACTTGTGATTCCCTCGCATTATTGTATAGATTTCGTAACAGCCTCTTGATATCATCCGACAGTAGGCTATCTTTAATGAATGGCCATAGAGATAAAATCAAGGAATTAGAAAAATGTCTAACTAATGGTTTATTTGAGGAAGCATTTGAAACCAAAACAGTAACAAATCTGTTTAATAATTTCATGGAGTTACTTTGGACTTTAACCTTCAAAACAAGGAATATTATCTTTTCTGCACTGACGGCAAGAATTGGCTTATCATGATTGCACATTAACTCAAATAATAGATTTGCCGTAGCATTAGTTTCCTCATGTAAGTTTATAGATGCAAGGGAGTATGAAATAAACCATTCTTTATAAATTCGAACTATAGGGGAGGCTTCTGTTTCTAAACTATGAATTACGTTTAAGATAATATTTTGGTTAATTGGAAGTTCTTGTTGTTTTGTGGCTGTATGTAGGGAAATTAAACTTAATTGCCATTTTAAGGATCTTTCTTTTTCTTCAGGACCATCAATACGTTTTTTCGAGATAAGCATATTGGTATTATTTATTAGGTAGTTGATTAGATTTGTTTGAAATTGGAAATTACCCTTAGTAATAGTTGAAATAATTGAAATAAACTTGTTTATCTCAGGTTTGTAATAAACTTGGTTGTATAAAGGTGTAAAATCTGAAATGTTCTTTTGAAATATGCCATCGTAAAAATAACCCATCACAGACTTTAAATGGAAAATATTCTGTTCCATTTGATCTTGAACGAACAATGAAACAATTATTTCTGATAGCCATAGTGATCCCTCTTTTGTGAGTTTGGAGCCGTGTTCTTCCATAAACTCCTCTAGTTTGGTAGCCAATAATGGTAAAAATCTTCTCTTTGAGTAACCTAAAACGATAATTTGTTCGCTATAATGTAAAATCTTATCACTCATGGACGAACTTGTATACTGTGTTGCATAGTTAATGTTATTAATATCAAAAAGTAACTGAATAATTCTATAATGAAGCTCACTTTCTTTCAATACTAAACGTTCATCACAAAGATTGTCCCATATTGTTGAGATAACTTTGAAACAGATTGTCAGAGTCTTTAAATGAATGATCTCAGTATTTTTGTATATATGGCTAATTAAGTTGGTGATTTCTAAGTTACACATATATTGGTTATTTCCTTCTTCAATGGTGAGTTGAATAAGGTTTAAAATTTCTTCAACAAAATCATTACGAGTATCCTTCCAAAATGTATCATTGGTAATTAACTTAAAGAATGAGGCATAAGTTTTATCTTTTACTTTAAAGGACACTGATACCTTTCCAAAAAAATCAGACATTGAGGAGTATAATTTTTGCAGTTCTTCAAGCGTACAATTCGTCTCAATGTTATATTTTAGACAAAGCGAAACAATGAATTCATGTTTAGCTGGACTGAACAAATTAATTAATTGACTCAATAAAGTATGAACATCCAGAGAATTTTTTATTTCTTTACATGGTTTGTTATTAGACACAATTTCACTACCTAACATGAAAGCTTCCTCTGTAGTTAAATTAGTGTCGGATATAGATGTTATAAGATTAAATGTAGTATCTTTCACAACATCCTGATAGTCATTCAATTTACTTGAAATGTTATTGAGTGCTTCTTCCTTAATTAGCAAAGGTAATATTGATAACAATTCGGGTGTATATTGTTCAGGTTCAATACGTAAATATATTATGCAAAGTGCGTCATACATGGGATCTACACCCATATGTTTTGATACCAATAACTTAGAGTTTGAAAATTTTATTTTATCAATAGGTATATCATAATGGCCTGTGTATACATCAATATGTTTTCTTGTGCATTCACACTTCTTTAAATGAGAAGCCATACATCCAATCCATTGGTTTACTGTAACATCATCTGTATCTACATAATTAAGTAGCTGAAATAGTGTTGTTTTTATGGTAGTTTCAAAAACTTGGTCTTCGCATTCAAATTCAAAAAGTTTTTTGATTAATGAAATATGATTTGATTTAATTATCGGATATTGTGTGTTTTTGGCATATTTAAATATACCTGAACAGGCGAAAATCCTTGAAGGGTCGAATGACGTACCAAAATCTATTAATAATTTCAGCAATGTATCTAAAATATTTGGTTGAATATCAGCAGGTGCTCTATCCAAAATGTCGTAGAATAGGTGAGATACAATGTTACCATGCTTACATATGTTTGGATGAGGAACACTTATATCATTATCATCGTATTCAGCTTTGAAATAATGAGCAAGAAGGACAGAAGGTAATAAAGTGGATCGTAACAGTGGTAAATTTAATGAAAAGATTTTTCTATCCTGAACATCTAACATCAAATACATGACATATTTTCTTACACTTTCCATTGATGCTCTTTGTCCTGTTGAAAAGAAGATTAACCCCCAAGTTCCATCGATGTATGGATCATTGAAAAAGTTAAGTATATCTTTCCTTGCAGCTTGGATTTGATTTAAAGATGTATCTAGTGCTACAATTTCATATAAGGTGACGAATTTTTTCCAGGAGTTTTCAATTTGGGAAGATTTGTTTGGGTCCCAAAAAAAATATTTTGTTGTGAACGGTTTCTTTATCTGAGAATCATTCATTGTCAATTTCTGTATAGTCATTTTCAATACAGATAAAGATAGTTTACGATATTCATGTACTGTATGATCAAGAGATTTTTGTAAATTGGTCCAGAAAGTTTCACCTTGTAAAAAATCTATCATTTTCAAAGATATCCTTGGGTTCATAAGTGATCTTAAAAGAAAAGTCAACAGATTTTTAAGTTTCCAGTCAGCATCTTGATCATTGGAATAAATGTATATGAAAAAATTCCAAACTAATTGATCAAATTCAATATTGGAACAACAATTTTCATGGATATATGGATGTCTCCATCTCATTAACTTAGAGCAATAATTTGAGATGTTTTCAATATTACAACCTAATAAAGATATTAAACATAAATCAAAATTGACAAATTCGGAATATTTAAAGTTATACTCCTCTTCTTCAGTATATATTACTTCAAGGAGTTGTAATAAAAGGATAATTTGATCATCTTCCAATGTATGAAGATTGTTTGGATCTTTTTGTGTTTCTACAACAGATAGTAATTGTTTAAGAGGTCGTGTAGATAATTTTTTCCCAAAGAGTTTATTCTTAGAGGATATTATATAGTTAGATAAACAATTATTAATATATTCATTAACCCTATTTTTAAGACCTGTTACCAAAGAAATGATTTTAAATAATAAATTGAATTGTTTATCATTTACAATTATGTTAGAAGCATCTCTTATTGAATTACTAGCATTATTAGTAGTATACAGATAATTTTCAACTTTGATAATAAATATTTGAAATATTTGATCAATTAAATGGATATCTTCCGATAAATCTATATCAGTCAAAGTTATCAATTCAAAAGCTTGTTCCAAATCATCTCGATTAATCAAGTCTCTAATCAACTCAGATATATTTTCCAAAGGAAAATATTTGGATAATATAGAATTGGTGGTAGCCATGAAAATTTCAAAACAGAAACTCTACCAAATTATTTGATCTGTATCTATATATATATATATATATTTGCTTGTTTGAATAGAGTGTATTAATATGTGTTTGCACAATAGTTGAATAATATATGACCAACTGATTTGATTTGTTTTTATTTACATGACTTTCATCTTGGTTTCATTTCTACTGGTTTATTCATCGCTGTAATTAAAAAAAAAACGTAAAAAAAAAATAAAAATTTAGTTGAAGTATGTAAAAATACGTTATGCATGAAGTGTGAATTTATCGGCGGCTAAATCAAAAAAAAAAAAAATAATATATACTAACGAACTATTATATATAAGATAAGTTATATTATGTATCACACATGCAGTGTTATATATTACATGCCCATATATCACTTACTAATTTAATACACAACTTTCTTGGAAAAATAAAGCAGAAAGGAGCAGTGATGTATAAAAGCTACTTATTAATATAAAAGTTTATTCTCTCGCTCTATGGATGTAAATGCATCATAACTATATACAATAGTCATTTTAATACACATATACTATTTGGTAATAATTATACACTTCAAAAAAGGAAGGGAGAAAAAAAACATGCGTTTCAAAGGGCGTAAACAAATGGAATAAAGTTAGATCAATCCAATTGAATATGTTCGCCTTTATATACAAACCATTTTTCTCTTTTCTCTCTTCTCCCTTGCAATTTAGGGGTTTCAATATTATATATCATTTATACCAGTAATATAACAGTAGTAATATAATATGAGATCAGCTATTATTATTAATTATTGTTGGTTTTGTTCCCCTTTTTTTGGGGGGCCTAGAATCGTTTTTCTGTCCTCTTTTTTGAAAATTGGATTGTTCTGAAATGCTCGAGGCAATTTCTTTCCTCTTTGTCGTACCAAATTACTTTTTCTTTTTTTTTTTTTTTTTTTTTTTTTTTTTTTTTCAAATATTTTTTTTGTGTTTCCGAGACTTTCAAAGAGAAGAAGAGGGGGGGAGGAAGGGCGGGTGACAAAATGGTTTATAGGGTTTAATACATTTACAAACATTCATATCACTTGCAGGGAAGTTTCCCTCAGGTCAGTCAGGAGGGCTCTTAGTAATTTTGCAAAACAATTGAAATGCTTCTTTATCTATATGTTTGGTTGCATTGTCTTTGTTGTACCAACTGCGTTTGGTTCAGGTTTTTATGTGTCTTTTTTGACTTAAATAAGAAAGAACACTATTTTTATTATTAAAAGAATATAATAACCATAACTTAATAAATAAATAAATAAATAGAAAAAGATATAAAAGAAATAAACAAGTATATTTCATAAAAATGTCTTCAACAGCTATTCAATCCGTTGTACCAAAAGAGGAAGAAGGTATATTAAACTATCTTTTGGATGTCAGAAGTTCACTGGCAAAATTAAAACAAAATAGAACCCAATTTTTGAATTCCAAGGATGTTCAAAGCACATATCAAGAAGTTCTAACTAAAGTTAGAGAACTGGACGAAATTAGAAAATCATCGAATTCAAAGACACTATCTTCTAATGATGCTACTCTGATTCATAATAGACAATTACATAATAGAGTGGACTCTGTGCTTGATGATGTTTTCCAGCTATTGTCTCTATGTTTTTTAACTGTTGGTTTGAAAAACTCGGCCCCTGCCACTTATGCATCTTTGTCCACTGTGCAAAGTTTGTTGGAACATTTAGAAGAGTCTAGAATTTATACACACCATGATTTGAAACCAATTAAGGATAGACTGGACGAAATCTCAAAAATTGTAGAGAAAAGTTGTGCCCAACCATTAATCGAATCAGCCAAGGATAATGATGAAATAACAGCAAAAGTTGCTAGTGAAAGGAATAAAAATAAATTGGAACAGGATTTATTGTTACGTGCCAAGTTACAACATTGTATCGACGAATATAATAAAATTGAATCAAATCTTGAAGATATCGACCCTGAATTAAATGGTTATATGGAAAAACTTTACCAAATTAGAAGAGGACTTTTGTCCCTAGTGGCTCTTTTAAAGAACACAGATGACCAAACCATCACTGACACAGAACTTAAAGACGGTCTAGGTGGCGATCGTCCTGGTTTTTCTTCTTCTTCTTCTTCCTCTTCTTTTATTAATAGAAAAAATGATATTACTGAGAAATATTCTCTTTTAAAAAAACAGTTAGAAGAAGTTGAAACTGAAGTTCGTAACATCAGTGATTCTTCAGCCCCAGGTCAAACAAGAAAGGGTGAATCTGTGCTTAATGGTCTCTTGGACGATTGTAATGATTTGGTTAATGATTTATCGTATCAATCAGAAGGTCAAATAAGTCTAAAGATATCCTTTGACCCTACTTTACAAGAGATATATAATAAATTGGTTGAAATTAAAACATCATTGTCTAATTTAATGATAACAAGAAGATGGACACTAAGAGAAACTGATTTGTTTTCATATCAAAAACAATTGAGTGAAATAGACGGTAAAAGAGTTCATGGTAAATTTCCAACTGAATCAGGTGACTCTAAAGGTCAAGCCATTTTACTGTACTTGCTACGTAGATGTTATGCTATTATTTATAAATTATTAGAAAGTTCTGAACCTGTCTCAGAAGCTTTACAGCCAATTCATAATCAGTTGTCAACAGTACGTCGTTGTTTGTTGGAATTGAAAAGAATGGGTGGAGTTGAAAATGAAAGAGAGTTATACCCATATCAAATGAAGTTAGCATCTCTAGATAATTTACGTAGAGATGGTAAGTTCTATGATGCTGATGGTAATATTCCGGAAGGTCAAGGTATATTAAATGCTTTACTAGCCGGTTGTTTTGATATTATCCATGAATTAAAGGTAGAAGCTGAGGAACGTGAAGGTTCGGGTTCTGAAAATAATTGAAATGATAGATTAAATAAATTATACATTTCATTTTTTTTTTAATTTTCTAAATTCGAACTTCGATTATGCTTTATTGGTTTGTTTCCCTTGCTTAGTGTCTGTTTTCATTTTTTTTTTTTTTTCATTCGATTGGTATCTTATTTGACAACATTTTGTTTACTAAATTTAACAATGATATTAGAATGATTGAAAGGGTGGTTTTTGGAGAGTGGTATTTTTGAAAATAAAAGAATAAATAAAAAATATATGCCTATACATACACTTATATATTTATGTTTATGTTCATACATTTCTCAACATTAATTTATTGTCTTCTTTATGCTAATCTGTTTTGTATATGCATATATAGATATGAAGTTTCTTTATACACACATGTATATTTTGTAACATTGGCTAACTAATACAAGCACTACATTCCACCTAACTATTGTTGATCCTTATTGTATAATCATCCCCATTCTGTGTTATATAACGAACCCAAGGATAGCTTTTATATTGTAATGTTGGCTCATTGATTTTCAAATAACGAATTTGTATGCCTGATGTTGTGAAGTATGGTATTTGGAATTTTACTTGTACTGGTTTCTTAACCTTTGTATCATTTATATCAGATATTGATGGTAGTAACAATTCAGCTCTCATGGAATATTCTTTCCCACCTGGGAAACTTCTAATTTTCCATAAAATTGCACTCTTTTCTGGAACCCATTTAATTGAACCATGTGAATATTTGAAGGATGGGGTATCAGCGTCACTAGGAACAGGTATTAATATTTCTACATTAGTAGCAACGGACTTTTTCTTAATTTGTGCTTTAGTTTTACAAAATATTTCTACTCTGGAATTTGAATATGTTTGAACTTTCACATCACATAAAATTAATGGTTTGATAGAAGTGGTTAATCTATAACTCATCAAATCAAAGTCGCCATCAGGTGGAATAAAAGAAATAATTTTTTCATTCTCAAATTTGCTTAATCTGACACACTGATGGAATTTCAGGTCTTCTAATTCAATGTTACTTTTAGATTTTCTTCCATCATTAGTAATGGAACTTTCGTTTTTATTTAAATCATGTCCTTTGCCTTTCTTATCACCATTTGAAGATGTTGTGCCTATATCATTTCCTTCTAAGTACTTGGTAAAAATACCCCTATCATTGATACCTAACTTCAAATCAGGCATCCCAGATAATCTAGATTTCACTTTAACAGTACCAAGGATTTCCGATCTAATGACCTGCCCATTCTGTGATATCAACATGTTGATAGATTCCACAATGTCTAAGAAAGCTTCATTTTTCTTATATTTAATCCCCTCCGGTCTCCAACTAACGGAATTGGTCAATGATGATGGTGGTCTTGCAGCATTCAACTTTTTCTTATGTGCTTTCACTAATTTGAAAGATTTTTGTGTGATATATTTCTTTAACATCTTAGTCTCTGTGACTTGTGGGATACCATAATCCATCATTTCATCCAGTAATTCATAGATGATGACAAAGTTATCTCGGATAGATTCTTCCTCCACAGTTTTCAAATATTCTTCTAACACAGCTACTAGTTTGTGTAAGAATGTAAAAATGGTAGCCACATTGATACTTAAAGAAGTAGCCAAAACAACGACGTACAGATCATTATGCTGTATAAATAAATAATCAATTCCGCTATGAGAAATACATGGTGGTATTATACTAGATTGTTCCACATTCTCTAGAAGCAAAGTGGAAAACTTATCGATGGCTGATAGTGGCACATCGTCCTTGTAACGACGTGATAAAAGTGGTTTACCTTTGTTATCACAAAAGTAGATAGCAGACGCCATTTCTAATGATTTCTTGTTTCTATAAGTTTAAATACTTGAGAATAAAAGGCAAGTCGTTATGTATGTTTCTTCTTGTCTTGTTGATCGTTGCAATGTTCAAAGAATGCAATTACTATGAACACTATTTAAAAGAATGCCATGGAGAACAGAGTATATATGCATATATATACATATATATAAATTTTGTTACGCAATTTGATGTATTTTTTGTAATTTGGTAAAGTTCTATTTCACCGGTGTTCGGTGTTCTTCGTTAAGAGTGATTTGACCTGTGCCACTAAAACAAGAGTTTAAAATAAAATAATGAAAAATTATGATTATATTATTGATACAGATAAATGGTGACAGACAAGCAAATAAAGTAAAGCTAGGAGTACTATTGTAGATGCATTAGGTTATTTAACTATTTAGTAAGATTTTATTTACAGAGATTTCTCACTTCCAATATTAATGTATTCAACATTAAAATTAATGTATGTTAATAAGGTCTTAAAATATTTTTAGGTTTTTTTTTTCTTGGTAGTTTTGTAGCCGATAATCATTTGAAAAAACTCAATAAATTGTCCAATCTCTAACAACACTAAAGTACAGTATTTGTCAGGGAATCTAATGTCATTAGATAATGAGCTATTAAGTTAGTGTAAGGGTTTGTTAGTCATAGAGTAACCCACAAAAAAAAAAATAAAAAATTAAGCCCAATAATCACAACTTTGGGGAGATATGGTCTAAGATTATAAACGTAAATTGCTTCAAAGTGATGCTATAAACGGATGTACATAGACCTACTCTTTGTTTTTTTTTTAATGTTAAGGTTGAAGAGTTATGTTTTTGTGATCTCAAGTGACACATTGCAAGATTTGTAATTATTAAGCTTAAATTTTTGTTGAAAATCAAAGCACACAGCATCAATGGTAATGACAAACATCATTAAGTTATAGACGCTTGTTCTGTTTTATACTAAATACATGTATATACTTATTTTATAGTGTATATAGTATACAATTTTATATTTACTTCAGGGCTTCTTTTAAAGTTTTTTTTATTTCTCTTCAAATCTCTGAAAAACATATTTGGTGAAAAATAAAATGTCTTCCTGATATCATGGTACATCCGTACACCACATAATATACAGAAAAACTAATTACAAATAATTCTTATGGAAATGACAGTAATAAACTCTCATTTTCCAACAAAAACAATAAATAGTTCTGGATTCATTCAGGATCTTATGTATTTTTGATGGTAATAACTATTCTATTCTATAACAAAGTTTGTTATAATATGATGTGGTCAAAGTTTTGCATTATTCGGGGAAGCGCTAGAAATATCAGACGGATAATCTATTAATAATCGAGACAATAATTGATACAATCGGTAATGCAATTATTAATACGGTCTTATATATTAACGGCTATATCGGGCTTATGTAATTATACTATTTGCTTATTGTATTCTGTGTTCGATGTTCGATGGTTGTTTGTTGGTTGTTGGTTGTTCCTTTTATATATAATATATTTAAATTATGTGTAAGAGAGGAGTAACAGAAGATAGTTCCATCTACAGAAAACGTTCTCCTTTTATATATTTTCTGGAACTCGATCACCTATTCAACTTGATATATTACAGAATTAGTAATTCATATCTTTGTTATTAGTTACAATAATATAATCGAAAATCATAGAACATTTAGGACAATAGGTTATGGTGGCGTAGTAGAAACTATAATGAACACGGTGTACATAAACATAATATGTTATGGTGCCGCGGTAACAACAATATCTGAACACGCCGAACACTAGGTGGCAAATGGACACGTTGTACTTAAAACATAATAGATCACTTTAGATTCAGATAGAATCTTATGTAATCTTGGTGGTGTTATCTCTTTATTATACGATAAGGTTTTAAACATTGAGCTCGTATGGCGCAGTGGTAGCGCAGCAGATTGCAAATCTGTTGGTCCTTAGTTCGAATCTGAGTGCGAGCTTATTTTTTGTCGTTTTATGATATTCCGGTGGGTGTGATTATTTTTGCCAGCTGATTTAGATGTAATGTAATAAAGGAAAACCTGATTATGAGAGATATACTCTTCTAGATGCTAATATAGACAGATATAGCTTGAATTGTTGTCTGTATATGACATATAAACTATACTCTACATAAAGAGTAAACTAATATACATAGATATACAGATAAACATAGTTATATAAACAAGAAAAACAAGAGCGCTGTCGTCGACCAAGGAGTCCACAAGATCATTTATAGTGACATTCGGATTTCATATGTTACATGTAATATGATGGGTGGAAACCTATTATGAGAGATATACTGTTCTAAACACAAAAATAGATAAATATTTTTTAGTTAGTTGTCTATAATCTAATAGATAAACTATATGTTATACAAAGAATCGCCTGCATAATGAGATATATAGAAATATATAAAGTTTATGAATATAAAAAATAAGAACCTTTTTGTCGACTAAAGAATTTGCAAGAGCAACTATAGTGGCATCAACATAATCTATTTTACACTATATTTAGGGTATATTTGGATTAATTTAAAAGAATATAATGTACTCAAAGAAATAAAGATTTTTTTAAATGTAGATAATAAATAGTATATTAAAATAGACAAAGATAAAAAGTATTGAAAATAATGAATAAGCATAAGTATCTTTGGAATCATTATATTTTATTGTTGTTTCCTTCATTATTCAGTGACGATAAGTATTGTTATCAAATATTCAGAATTAAAATGATATATTCAGGTTTATGACTCTTTGTAAGTTCTTATTTATATTTATATAATTTGTTGGCGATACCAAGAAATATTTTTCCTCAAATTCAAACAATGATAAATAAAAGATATGATTTATCATGCAAATTTGTGCCATAAGTAGTATTTTCATATTTTGCAATAATAAAATTATTAATCTTTTTTTGAAATGTTTTCATTATTTGTTGTAATGTTTTGTATTAAACTGTAAAACTAATTTTAATTAAACAATTTTAGTGGTACTTACCATAGAATTAGAATGGGGGATTTTTGGATCATACATCAGAAATTATTGACATATTCAGAAAATTTAATTATTAAAATACTATATATTATTTGTAAAATGTTCTCTTTTTATTTGATATATTATTAATAATGGATATTCTTAAGTTAATAGAAAATAATATTTTATAGTTATTCTTTAATATAATAATTATTTATATGAAATTTAGAATATAATCAAATTTTAATCAATAGTTTTTCTTGGTATATTTTTGTTTAGCATTTAAGTTACATTAGTTATAAAAACAAAAGGTCAACATTGTGATTTTTACATTGAATTAATTGTTTTTTTATCATGCTTTTTTTATTAGGTTTTTTTAATTTTATATAAACAGTTATTAAGTATTAATACACAATACTAGATTAATGTTGTTAAAGTTTACACAATTACTTATTGGTTTATCTTTATATTTTATATATATATTAATCACAATTTTTATTTTTAAAGCATATCGATAAAGAAATTGTTTATTTTGCAGTTGGCTTTCACAGCGAAGTAATAATTTACTATTTGTTCACAAACTATATCTTTGGAAAAAGGCAGGTAGATTTTGTACTAAACTATAGCGAACTAAATATTTATCTTTTAAATATAACAAAAGATTAAACGAACCCCTTTGAATACTTTTTTACCATTCGTATAACAAACTTATCTGTTATTCACATTTTTAAAACCAAAAATTTCCTCATATCATATTTTTATTTTATATATACTCTTTTGTATATAATTATTAATGTTGCACTATGTACAAAAAAGGAGATTGTAAAAATCTTATTTAATTTTGTCTATTACTCACTACATAAAAATTAGAGAATATATTTAAAAATATGTTCAATTTTTTTAATATATTCCAAAATTAACTCTCGAAGTTCACACATCTTTTAATAAAAACTTAACAAAAAAAAGTTCTCTTTACTATAATAACTTGTTAGCGTAAGATCCTTGTTAGAATGACAAATTTATTTAAAATTTTATGATATTAATATTATTTTGTATGATTAAATCACTTTTACAATAAAAAAAATTTATCATTGAATGTAGATAGAATTCCTAGTAAATAAAATACGTACTTATACTTCCTCTCTTCAATTATTATAACTTATTTGACATGTCTTTTTAATATATCGAAATAAGTGGATAAGTTTGAAACTAATGGAAAAAATACTAATATACTTAAAAACAAGAAAAACATATTTATTAAACTTATATCAATCCCGTAATGTATTTGCTATAAACAGAAAAAAGTGTCGATCTAGGAACCTCTCCCATTAATTTTTGATTTAACATATCTCATCAAACCCTTCATCTGCAATTTATAGTTGAAATATTTATGCTAACAAAATACCAACTGCTGGAAATGATATATTACCGATTTGGGTAACATGTAAATATATCAAAGAGGAAAAATGTTTGTTTTGCACATTCAATATTACAGAGATAAGATCAAACAAAATGAAAATAAATTAATATATTATGAAGATTTGCCAACAGGTAGACATATATAAGTAGACGATTTTACTTATTAATTTTCCAATCTGGATGAATAAGTTATATACATTTTATCATATGTTTCTTTTTGTATTTGTATAATTATTAATTCCCAATCAAGAGATGGACGGAAAATTACTCTACATATCAACATAATAATAATACATAATAATAACATACAATATGATCACCGATGCTAAAAAATGTATACTAATATTATTCATCCAGAGGACCAACAGATACAGAGAAATTAACCACTTATTGAAACTATTTGATTTTATAACAGTCATATTATTTCTACTAAATAGCTGTTTTATTTACATTAAATGCAGTTTAAAAAGCCATCAACTTCAATTCAAAAAAAAAATCAATATTCTTATCAGATAAAATTTTAATTAGTAATCTCGATTTGAAAATGATAGCTTATTTATATTTTGTCATTTGAAATAGTAAATATGTGTATTTTGTTAGAATTGAATAATTATTGCTGTTAGAGAATGTCAAATTAATCAGGAAAAAAATACTCCTACCTCCTATATACATATATATCTGCCCGAAAAAATATCTTAAAAAGAATCTTACTCTTTATGGAAAAAACAATAAAAGTTTCAAAGATTCCCTTCTCTTAGGTTAAATCCTGAATGATTGACGAATGTGGATCAAATAAATAAGCAGACTCTCTTGCCAACAAAAAAGAAATATTTAAAAAACAAGCAAATTCTCTCATAATAATCTGCCCCATCTTATATTTATCTTATCTTATCTTATCTTATCTCTTTGCTCTATAAATTTTTTCTCCTATCATTTTTTCAGTTGTGTTAACTTCCTATCGGGAAAAAATGCAATGTAGAAATGTTGCGACAAAATTTAAGGATAAGCAAATTTGTTCAATTTCTAATGAAGATCAGAGCAGCTGAAAAACAAGAAAGGATTTGTAAAACTCTTCTTCTTTATACGAAAGACTCTTCCTTGTAAGTGACTATGAACTGAAGATAAAGAAGCGAATGTTGATGGTGATATAACGTTTATCTATTCCATTGTTTGTTCAAATTATTTTATATAGTATCAACATATACGTTACCAGTAATCATTTTCTGTTGTTAATCTTCAACACATATCAATCATATCAAGTTAGAAATTTAAATATAAAAAATCTAAACACATACACATATGTATTTAATGAAAAAATGATAAGGATAGAGATGTGAAAATAACAAAAGTTTTATAACCGATTATATGTGGAATCATAGTGACCTTACATCAAATTAAATTTGGTCCTTTTAAAGAAGTAAAACCAAACCTTTATATTGATACATTGCAACACAAAAAAAGCTCACTTATAATCTCCTAATAACTACAACAATAACAATTAATCAATCGATTAAAGTATGACAAATGGCAGCAGTGATTTCACACAAGGCTGGTACATTAATGAATAGAAAGACTTTCGCAAAGCTTCAAATCTAGAAGTGTCCTTTAAAACTTTGCTTGCTCTTATTGAATCTCAGGATATTAGTTCTGTAAATCCTGCTTAAATCTCAGTTATTTCGAAGGAAAATTTAGAAGAACAGTGGATTGCTCTCCAAACTAGAGGAAATAAGTATAATTTACCATTATATGGTGTTCCTGTTGCAGTCAAAGACAACATTGGTGCAAGAGGATTTAAAACAACTGCAACTTGTCCTTTGTTTGCATACGAACCTGAAAAAGATTCAAAAGTTGTACAATTATTAAGAAATGCTGGTGCTATCATTATCTGAAAGACTAATCTTGATTAATTTGCTACTGGTCTAGTAGGTACCAAATCTCCGTACAGCAAGACTGCACGTGCTTTTAGTGATAGACATGTATCAGGCGGTTCCTCTACCGGTTCTGCCAGAGTCGTTGCTGATGGGATTGTACCCATTGCTCTAGGTACCGACACGGCTGGTTCTGGACGTGTTCCTGCCGCCTTAAATAATTTAATCGGTTTAAAACCTACTCGTGGTGTTTTTTTATGTCAAGGTGTTGTTCCTACCTGTAAATCTTTAGACTGTATATCCATATTTGCTTTGAATTTATCAGGTGCAGAAACCTGTTTCAAAATTTTATGTCAACCTGATCTTCACAACAATGAATATTCAAGGATATACCCCTCTAATCCATTACAAAAATATAGCAAAGATTTGACAATTGTAATTCCAAAGGTATTACCATGGTAGAACGAGACCGAAAATCCCAAATTATACCATAGTGCCGTTGATTCCTTGAAACAAATGGGTGCTAATATCGTCAAAATTGATTTTGAACTTTTATTAAATCTAGCTCATTGTCTATATGAAGGTGCATGGATAGCTGAATGATATGCTGCAACAAAAGAATTTTTAGCTTCAAAACCCGCCCATGCATACATTAGATCCCACTGTATTAACGATTATTAAAACAGCTACAAACTTTGATGTATTTGATGCTTTCAAATTTGAGTACAAAAGGCAAGGAATCTTACAGAAGATTAACCAATGGTTATCATCAATTGGTGTCCTATGTGTCCCTACCTGTCCTTTAAATCCCACCTTTGATGAAGTTGAAGCGGAACCAATATTAGTTAATTCTAAACAAGGTACTTGGACCAATTTTATCAATTTAGTAGACATGGCTGCATTAGCTATTCCCTGTGGTTTCCGATCTGACGGCCTTCCAGACGGTATCACATTGATTGGCAAAAAGTTTACTGACTATGCTTTACTCAAGTTAGCACACAGATATTTTGGAAGGAGCTTTTCATCTGGTTCGAGGTCATTTGGTATTTTTAAGGATAAACAAGTTTCTAAATATGACAATGTCACTGGCCCTGAAATCAATCCTAATTCTTCCATCAAGTTAGCCGTGATTGGTACTCATTTACAGGGTCTTCCTTTGCACTGACAATTAGAAAAAGTCAATGCAGCGTATATAGCTAAAGCTAAAACTTCAAAATCGTACAGACTCCATGCCTTACCAAAAGATGGACCTATTTCGAAACCAGGTTTAAGTCGTGTTAATAGCACAGAAGGATCTAATATCAACGTTGAAATATACAGTATTCCAATTGAAAATTTTGGTGAATTTATATCTATGGTTCCACAACCATTGGGAATTGGCTCTATTGAATTAGAATCTGGTGAATGGGTCAAACCGTTTATTTGTGAAGAATATAGTTATACTGTCAAAGGTTCCATAGATATAACCAATTTTGGTGGTTTTAGAGTATATTATGATTTTATTATGAGAGAAAAAGGAAAAACCATTTAACACTATACTAGTTGCTAATAGAGGTGAGATAGCTGCCAGAATCATTAGGACATTAAAAAGATTAAAGATCAAAAGTGTATCAGTCTATTCTGATCCTGACAAGTATCCTCAAAATGTTATTGAATCAAATATTGCTGTTCCGTTATACGGTTCTACTCCAAGTGAAACATATCTTGATATAAACAAGATTATCAAGGCTGCCAAAAAAACAAATGCAGATGCAATCGTTCCTGGTTATGGATTTTTATCTGAAAATGCTGATTTTTCAGATAGATGTACGAAGGAAGGTATTGTGTTTATTGGCCCTATCGGTGAAACAATCAGAAAGCTAGGTTTAAAACATTCTGCAAGAAAAATAGCTGCTGATGCTAATGTTCCTTTAATTCCAGGTTCTCCTTTGATAACTGACGCAACTGAAACTAAAATTACTTCAAGCAAAATTGGATATCCAATAATGATTAAGTCAACAGCTGGGAGTGGTGGTATTGGTTTAAGAAAGGTTGATAATAAAAGTGAAATTGAAGAAATATTTCACATTATTCAACATCAAAGGAAATCGTATTTTGAAAATGCAGGTGTTTTTATAGAAAAATTCATTGAAAACTCCAGGCATGTTGAAGTTCAAATTATGGGTGATGGGCTAGGTGTTACTATTGCATTGGGTGAGCATGATTGTTCCCTTCAACGTCATTATCAAAAGATTATCTAAGAAACTCCAACCCCAAATGTTGGTGAGAGCACAAGACAGGCTATAAGAACTGCAGCTGAAAATTTAGCTTCCCATCTAAAATACAAAAGTGCCGGTACCGTGGAATTTATCTATAATGAAAGAGCTGACAACTTTTACTTTCTTGAAGTAAATGCGAAACTTCAAGTTGAGTATTCAATTACTGAAATAGTTACAAGTTTAGATTTGGTTGAATTAATGATTTTAATTGCTGCGAACAAATGTGTTCATTTTAGAAATATCAAAAGGAATATTACTGGTGTTTCAATGGAAGCGAGATTATATACTGAGAACCCTTTAAAAGATTTTAGACCATTTCCTGGTTAATTAACATATGTTGAATTCCCTAAATGGACAAGGGTTGATACATGGATCGAAAAAGGTACTGTTATATCTGCAGAATATGATCCAACCTTAGCCAAAATCATTGTTCATGGGAAAAATAGAGATGATGCCTTGAGTAAATTACTACTTGCTCTCCAAGAAACAAAAGTTTATGGCTATATTACAAATATTGAATACTTAAAATCGATTGTTTCTTCTCAAATGTTTAGAGGTACTAAGATATCCACGAACATTCTTAATCCATATACCAATAATTCAACTGCTTTAGAGATTATTACCCAGGTTATTCATACATCAATTCAAGACTATCCGGAAAGATATGGGTATTGGAGAATCGGCGTTCCTCCTTCTGGCCCAATGGATTCTTATTCCTTTAGATTGACTAATCGAATTGTTGGCAATGAGGATTCGGCAGCTACTATTGAAATTACATTAATTGGTCCCATTATCAGGTTCCACTTTAATACAATTATTAGTATTACCGACGGTTCTGTTAAGTGTACCATAAATGGACACACCCCAATAAAACAATTTGAACCAATTCAAGTTCATCATAACGACACCTTGAGTTTCGGAAAATTAACCTCAGACTGTAGAGCATACTTGGCTATTAGGGGTGATTTTGATATTCCCAATTATCTTGGGTCTAAATCTACATTTACATTAGGTCAGTTTGGTGGTTTCAATGGCAGAATTCTTAAAGCTTCAGATATTATTTTTATAAAAGAATCAACATTCACTGTTAATCCAATTTCCATTCCAAATCCAATTATCCCACAAATTCCAGGTCATGGACTGTAGTTAATTGGTACAATGTGTGATCCTCATGGATCTCCCGATATTTTTACTGAAGAGAGTATTGATGCATTTTTTAATGAGGAATGGAAGGCTCATTATAATTCAAACAAGTTTGGTGTCAGACTCACTGGACCTAAACCAAAATGCGCAAGAAGTAATGGTGACAAAGGTGGTCTACATCCTTCAAACACACATGATTATGTCTATTCTGTCGGTGCAATTAATTTCACAGGTGATGAATCTGTCATAATTACTTGTGATGGACCATCTTTAGGTGGTTTTGTTTGCCAGGCTGTTATACCTGAGGCTGAATTATGAAAGATTGGCCAAGTTAAACTAGGCAACTTAATCAAATTCGTTCCAATTAGTTATAATGGCGCTAGAATTTTAAAAGAATTCCAGGATAATATGATCAATACCTTAAAAATTAAACCCTCAGTCAAAACTCTTTCTGATCTAATGGTTCCATCATATAACAATCCCATTCTCGCTGAAGTAAATCATAAAAATGAATACAGTCCAAAGATAACATAGAGACAGGTTGGTGATCACTATATTCTTATTGAGTATGGTGATAATGTTACGGATTTCAATCTAAGTTATAGAGTACATTGCTTAATTAATTTGGTGAAAAAAAATATGACGGTTGGAATTGTAGAAATGTCACAAGGTGTTAGATCAGTTCTAATTGAATTCGATGGTTATAAAATTTCTCAAGCAACTCTTGTGAAGACATTATTATTTTATGAAAATGAAATATGCTTTGATTCCAACTGGGTGGTTCCCTCTAAGGTATTTAAACTTCCAATAGCCTTTGAAGAAAATAAAACTTTAGCTTGTGTTACCAGATATCAAGGGACTATACGTTCTTCTGCACCTTGGTTGTCTAGTAATGTTGACTTTATTACAAATGTCAATAACATATCTCGCCAAAATATATATAACATGATGTATTCTGCCAGATTTTTAGCCTTAGGTTTAGGTGATGTCTTTTTAGGATCACTATGTGCTGTTCCTTTAGATCCAAGACAAAGGCTTCTTGGAAGCAAATATAATCCATCAAGAACATATACAGAGAGAGGTGCTATTGGTTTAGAGGGCATGTATATGTGCATTTATGCGACATCAAGTCCTGGAGGATATCAGTTGGAAGGTAGAACCATTCCAATTTGGGACAAATTATCTCTATCCAACTTTAACAAGAAATATCCCTGGATGTTGACACCATTTGATCAAATACAATTTTATCCTGTTTTGGAAAACGAATTAGAAACACTAACTGAGGAAACAGAAGCTGGTATATTTGTTGTCGATGTTGATGAGGGGACCTTTGATCATGGATTGTACCAACAATGGTTAAAAGAAAATGAAGGATCTATTAATGCATTCTATGAAAAACAAGCGGGGGAAAGAAAGGATAATTTTATCAAATTAGTTCAAAATTTAAATAAAGATTTATCAACTCAACAAAATTCTTGGCACCAACCTGACTCAGATGAATATCCTGAGAATGTTACTTTAATCTATTCTGAATATTTTGGTAGATTTTAGAAATCCATGGTATCAATAGATGATATTGTCAGCGAAGGACAAGGCTTACTTATTATTGAGGCTATGAAAACTGAGATACTTGTAACCACAAATGTTGCAGGAAAAGTATTGAAGTTATTCCACAAAAATGGTGACATTGTTGATTCAGGTGATATAATAGCTGCAATTGAATGTTTAAGTTAATAAAAAAAGCAATTACATGTATATCCACATACTCATATTTTGGTACTTTAAACTCATATCAATTTTCTCTTTTATTAAAAATCCAATAGAGCCACTAGTTATTTATCACTCTATACTGATTTATCATTATAAAATATATATACAACATTATAAATATTAAATACTTCCTAAGTCTAAACATGATTCTTAATCTGAAAAAAAAACGAAATGGAACACCATTAAGAAATTTAAATAAACCAAACTCTAAAGCTGAATTATTTCAGATTTATTGTTTATAAAATTTTTTTGAAGTTTAATGAGTAATTAAAGGTGTTGTACTATCCTTAGATCTTGCATTTCTTACACTCAGATACAACCTATTCTCTTCATTTCTTTGCTTCATCTTTATTGAAGTGTCTGCAATTTTTATTCTTTTAACAATTCTTTTCTTTTGCCATGAAATAGGTAAAAATGAAATATAACCACATTTTTCCTCAATTATTAAAATATTAATGGCAAGAATTAGAATTAACCAATAAATGATGTAACTGATGATAGAGCCATAAGTAGCACTATTAGTCCAACCAAAAATAGCTGTCAAAAGCATCCAGAATCCATCTCTTTCACCGTTGCAACAATTAACATGCCATACAGACCTAGAGATGTCATAGGATCCAGGACCATTACCAACTTCTGACATATCTTGTCCATTACATTTATTGACGTAGTCTTGCAGTTCAAATTGCCAAACTCCTTTAGAAAATAAACCAGCTGCAATTAGATACATAAAACATGTAGTGATTGAAAGACATATCTTTAAAGATAACGAACTTGAGTATTTAAAGAAAAAATAACCGAAGATTAAACTGATGGATACTGCAGCTAACATAGATAATGGAATGGAAGTCAATGGTTGATCGATCCCAACACCACCAACAAAGACAACAGCTTCTAACCCTTCTCTCAAACTAGTCACAAACGGTAAGACAAAAAATGCATATCTACTGCTAAAAGTCAATGCCTTATTATCATTATCATTACCATTTCCCTTCAAAATATGGCCTTGTTCTGAATAGATTATGCTGACTAATTTAACTCTAAATTTTTCCCTTAATTTACCCATTCTTAGAAAGAATAAACCCATCACAGACATAATAATGGATGCAACAATGCTTAGTGCCCCTTCGTAGTAATGTTCACTTAGTGACCACAAATCTGAACCGATATGATAAAATACCACAATAAACGTACTACCAATTACAAGACACAATATTAAACCTAAGATACCACCACTCCATATTTGAAATTTTAATCTGTTATATTTTTTCAATCTTTCTTGATTATCTGTCTCTGTTCTTTCTTCTTCTCTAAATTCACCTGAAAAATCATACATTTCCTCTTCTTCTTCCACAGTAAGACCACGTCCAAGGGAAGAAACTGATAAGAGGGATGTCCCATATGGATCTGCTATATTTCTACCAGTGTCAAGAGTACCTGCAATTGCAATATCAGATGTTGTTGCTGCAGTTGCAGCCGTAGTGGTAGTAGAAACTTCCGTAAAAATTAAATTTTCTTCTTCATCTTTGATACCTAGTGCCTTACGGACAATAGTTATTAGAATAGATAGAATAACAATAATTTCCAAGGATTCTCTTAAAAAGATAAAAAAAATTTGGAATGAAAAATAATCTTCAAACATCACACTTAACCTCTTTCTGAATACAATGTATACTGACAAATAGCCACGGGTGTATCCTTACGTAGATTCAAATAAAACTTTGTATACCTAAAATATATTTATGCTTTCTTTCTTTCTCATCTATAGTATATCCTTTAGATTGACCAAAGAATAATGAGGGTGTGAAAGAGAAGAGGAAGATAGAGAAGCAAAAAAGGAAGCAGGACAGATGGCCTTGTTTTATAAAACACTAGCAACCTTGTTTCCACCTCCCTCTTCATCTATCTGAATCAAAATAAACCCACACCAGAATTCACAATTCCGCTAAACAAACCCGCTAAACCCATACATCTGCACATTGCTTCATATTTCAAGCATCACAAATTAAAGAACCACAATTTAAATATAACAAGTATTGCTAATATTTGAATAAAAATAATAGTGTCCTTGCCTTTGGAATATCACCACTCAACGAGTTTTATTTATTAGTTGTTGTTTCTTTTATAAATTAAACAGATAGGAATAAATGAGCATGAAGACATAAAGAAACAATTTTAATAATTGAACCCAAATGGGTTCATTGGTTGATTTTATTGCTAATGTACATACAAAATAGTTTTCTTTTTATCCTTTTCCTTCTTTTAAATGAAAAATTTTTATCATCGATATATATATTTTATGTTATAATTTTACTGTCGCACTGCCTCCTTCCCTTTTTTTTTTTCCTGTTAAACATTCTCCTTTCTTTTTATTATTATTATTATTATTATTATATTCATTTATTTTGATCGATTCCTGCTGGCATCTTTAAACCTTGTGCTTGGAAAAATTGCCTTGTACAAAAGTAATAATCTAACCATGTTTGATCTTTATGTGGTTCACATATGCATCTATTCTGTAACCTAATGGGCTCCTCAATTGGACAAGAATGGAAATCTGGATGGTAGAATCCTAGCCCATCAAAGAAATGAAGCTCAGATTTATCTAAGAACAAGGATGCAGCAATAGAATGTACAGGTGCATCACCCCATCTCTCATAGAAAAATCCACCACTCTTATCTAAATAATCAAAGTATTCTCTATATGCTTGAGACCTATAGAAGTCTAGTGATGCAATCTCAAAATTAGTCCAAAAATGACACATATTGTAAGTCTTACCATTATCATTTGACACAAACTTCATTAAATTATTCTTATTAACATGCTGTGGGTTCTTCTCAATAAAATCGTTGATTGTCGCCCAAAGAGTTGGAATAGTAGCCTCATATTCACTGACAGATAAGATAAACCCATATTTCTTCTTATTTACCTTCATAAATTTGAATATATCGTATTGGAAGTCACAGTACAACTTAATATCTGTATCAACTCTCCAATAATATTCATACTCATCCAATAGTGGACTTTGGAATAAGAACCCAGATTGATAACGGCACATGTGTCTATATGGAACAGACCCACCATAAGGAACATTCTTTTTACTCATATCTTTTCTGGCCTTATCAAATTTAACTTCATCGATAAAAGATGGGACTGACCAATGTTCCTTTGGAATCAATCCGTATTTGGCTTTACCTGACACTAATGCAGATGTCACTCTTTTGAATTCGTCAGTAAATGGTTGATCATTCAAAAACACCCAATCGTAGTGATATCTATTATTAAATCGATCTTCAACATGTCTGATAGAGTTAACTAAACTCCAAAGATCAGAATTTCTCGCTAATGTAACCATTGCGGCTTTTACAATCTCACCATCATCCATTGGGTGAACCACTTTTTGTGAGATATCAGTAAATGGCATCAAATATTCTTTATTTAAATCGTATCTACTGATTGTCGTCATTGGGATAAAAGACTTTGACCTGCTTCTGTTATTTGTAATAGATGAAGAGGAAGAAGAAGTAGAGGATTGCAATAAAAATAGAATAGTTAATACCATTATGAAACCAGCAAATCCTAACCTTATACTTTTCTGATACTTTTTGACCAGCAATGCCGATTTAGGCATTAATCTTTTCTTACCTTCTGCTCCCATATTTTTACGTGGTTATATATATGTATGTACACACTACGGGAAAAAAGTAGGAGAAAATGAATACATCTTTATCTTTGCCATAGCAATAAGAACACTAAGGCAACAGGTACTACATAACTCTATTCTATCAATAAGTACATATACTCAAATAGATAAAGGTTGTTAATGCACTTCCTGACAACTAGGTGGACACTTGCAGCAAAAACAATAAAACTATTCTAATTGATCTTTATTTGAAATGCCTGAAAAATTTGTCTCAAGACAAAACAGCTTCTCGAAGAAAAAAAATCAAAAGATAAATTAATAGAAAAACCAACAAAGAAAAAAAAGTAATAATATACCAAAACCCTAATAAAGCAACAAATATTTTTAAAAAAAATAGTATTAAATCGTAGTATAACCTAATTAAGATTGGGGCTCAAAGACTGGAAACACAAAAAAAATGAAACAAGAAAAAAAATATAACGTAATCAAACAGAATGACAATTAAAACAATAGAAACACAACACAACACAAAAAGTTCACACTCGAGGATTGAATACATTTCAATATTTATCACTTGAATTTTATATAGCTTTCTATAACACACCATTGGCAGCAAAATGTCTTGAATATATATATATATATATATACATTTGAATTTTATTATCGAACAGTTAAAAAAACGAATTGTATCGCATAAGAAGAGGAAATAAAATGACCTTCAATATTGATGAAGATGATGCTATTAAAAAAGCTACTGATTTGAAAGGGGAACCAATATCAAAATGTTCTTTAAATGATATCGTTCATAAGTTTGAAATGATCCCAAATAATAAACTAGCTGGTACTCTACTAAACACAGACAATGCAGATCATTTTAAATTGAACTTTATAAATCAACATCAGGAATTCGTATATTTAAATACTTCAAAGAAAGTACGTATATGCCATAATTTATCGAAAATTTCACCAACAACTGAAAAAAATGTTATCTACATTTATTTACACGGTCTTGGCGGCTCCTTAGATCAATTTTTACCACTTCTGAAATTAACAGAACTGTATCATATACCGTTTTTAGCTATTGATTTGTTTGGGTTTGGCCAAAGTGACGAATTAGATCAATATAACATGATCTATATAGTGGAAAAATTACATGATATATTAATCAAAATCTTGACTCGTTTCCAAATAGATAGTAAACTTATTAATTTATCTTTAATTGGACACTCAGCAGGATGCTACCTTTCACTACATTTTTTAACCAAATATATCAGTCAATGGTCCATAACCAATGTCATTCTACTGGCCCCACCTTCTCCAAATGTAAAACATTTAGATAAGACAAAGATCTTAACACAGGCATTTCTAAAATTCTTATATAATGTACCTTCACTTTTTACTTTTTATAGAGAATGGTTTGATCAAAGTAAAGGTTTACATAGTTCAGGAATTAACAAATTTTTCCATCAGCTTGATTCAAAAGAGGAAGAGGACCATAGAGAAGATAGTAATGATAATCTATCATCAAGATATTTAAGATTGTTTCAATTCTATAATAATATTCAAATAAAAAGTAGAACCCTCATTGGGTATTTGTTAGGTTGGGAACCATTGGATTGGAAACAAATAAATGAAATTATTAAAAAGTTTAATATTAAAATTACTATTTTCTGTGGAGAACTTGACACTATCACTGATGCAAATGAATGTGCTGTCAAGACGAAGGAATCATTTATTACTCTGTCGAATAAACAACAAGTAGAATTAAATACCATACCTAATTGTTCTCATAATATTGCCTTTGATGCTCCAAAACAAATCTGCAAATTATTTGCAGATAAATTCTTTTGAATAAATAAATAATTAGATATATAATTAATAAATCAATTCATTATTAATTATTCAATCATTATTCAATCATAAATTTATTTGGCATAAAATCATATATACGTTAACACATATATAAAAACATGTATAAAATAATAAAGAAATGCATAAGAAAAACAATGTATAAATAATGTGATTTAATGCTATAATGTATGCAAAGAAGTATACCACCGGGCATATAAGGCATAGAATATATTCTTTTTATGTGACATAATAAAGGTAGAGTAAAAATGTATATTTGATTTTTTTGGGGTATCAGTAAGTATAACGAAGAAAAATGCACAGATCTATCTGTAAACAATTATTCAAATAATATTGATCGTATTAGAAATATAATTGTTCTCTCCAACATGTCTTCTTAAATCATTGTTCCTTAAATATTTGATTCTAGCCACCAGTCCATGGATTAGACGATCTATTCTCTTTGGAGTCTCTTTAGGTAAAATTCCTAAATCTGTAGAAGAGACCATAAAATTATAATTTTCATTAATACACAAATTAATAATTAATGAAATATAGTCATTAGATACTTTTTTTAAAATATACGATGTTTGACGTTTATTCTTTAATATAACGATCCTAAAATTGATTATGTTTTGATTCTCTTCATCTAAACCAAATTTGATTGGGAAAATATTTGAAATTTCCATAACATCTGAATCAGTTATAAAATTATCATTTTGATATAACCTTTCAGATTTAATGTTAAATAGATCTTCAATTGTCAAATCATCATTCTTCAATAATTCATCTAAAACTAGCAAAACAACAAAATCAGACAATGTACCCTTACATGACCAAGGAAAATTTCTATTCATACCAGCTTTTAAGAAACTTAAATCTATAATCTTATTATTATTATTCATGTTAATTGAATAGGCTCTTGAAGTAGTATGAATATCGTAGTCAATAATTCTTTGAAATATAATCAAAATAAAATACTTAATCATATATTGCCTGCACCAAACAGCCCCATCCATTTTGATTGTGGTTACTTGCATTAATTTTGTACATAGAATTTCAAAAATTTCAACAGGATTCAATTTATATAATTCAACATCATCGCCTGAATTTTTATTACTGTTCCGTCTACTCTTTTCTATGACACGTGCTTTTGTTTGGGAGTCAATAGGCATTGGATGCTCTGATCTATTACTAATAAGTCTGGAACACCAGTGATCGGAGTTTGATCCTGTTGTATCATTATTGGATACACTACTCACACTGTTACAACTAATGATAGACAGAGGTCTGCTCAATCCTGAATCAGTCACATTGTTGGTCAAGATAACACCTTGCCCAATTCTACTATTTCTTCGGGATTTGCTATTTCCAGTACTGACAATAATATTCTTATTATGCTCATAATTTTTAGATGAATCTGTTGCATATATCACTTCCAATCTATTTTCTTCGGAGTTTGTCATAATTGTACTTTCTTCTACACTCGGTAAAATCAAAGATGTCAATCTTTTATGATGTTTTGATTTGTTTACAATTTTAAAATCATCACAAATCGTCAAGTGAGATAAATCTAATTCTACTAGATTAGGACAGTGATTCAATATATGTAAAATATAGCCTAAGGGTAAATCCTTACACGATGCATATTTTAAAAGAAATTTATTTGTATATGGATGGTTAGTCTTAAAAGGCTGCTCAATGGCAAAACGAATCTGAGATGATGTTCCAGTAATATCTGAGTTATTTGTACAATCAACTTTATTAACTTCCGTAGTTTGAACACTTTTAGAAATAGTAGTGTTACTTGAACCTTTGTTGTTACATAAATAATTTTGTTGTTTTGAGGAATTGATAGTGGAATATTTTGTCAAGTTTCTTGCTCTTCTCTTATTCTTTGACATAACTTTAAATCTGAACCATTTATTATTTACGTCTTGAGATGTGATTGTATTAACTTTTTGAGTAATATTCATATTATTATTTAAACTATTTCCTTCTCCCTTATTGTAGTCACCAGTTGTATTATTTAGCAAAGGGGATGAAGTTAATGAAAGATGGGATGCATTTTGAAATGTAGACATAATACTACTTGTAATTGAACTAACTGAACTGTTTGATCTAGCTCGGTTAGCAGTATTTTGTGAGGTATCAATGTGACTGCCAGATGGCTCATTTCTAGTAGATGCTGAAGTGTTCATTGAAATAACAGATCCATTAGATAATGAGGTAAACAAAGAAGAATTGGAATGAATAGAAGAAGAACGAGATACAATCCTTTTCACAGTATAACTATTTAATACAGGACTACTATACAATGGATCATTTCTATATCTCCAATCTCTCCAACCGGCATATGCAATATCACTAAAAGGTTCAGAATTATTCGTGTTATTGATACTGTTATTATTATTATTATTATTTCTACCAGCTTCATTTAGTGCAGTTCCATTATTATCCCCTTCTACATTGTTTTGATCATCATTACCATCACCACTCTCATTGTTTGAGTCATTAATGTTGCCTACCACCTCCTCTTCGTCTTCATTATCATCTTCTTTGAATATTAAACCGTTTTGCAAGTCTGATAGTTTTAAAACTTTAACAAAATATCCATTTTCTGGGTGTAACCTCAAAGAGGTGACAAACTGAGCAACACGATATGTAGACACAAATCTGGGTTGTTTATACAAAACGATCTTAGTAGCCTTATACCAACGTTTGGATACATAGAGACAACAAACCAGAGCTTTATAGTGTTTATCATAATCAATATACGATATAATTCTAGACAATATTTCTAATGGTAGGTCGTCTATTGTGGCGAATGACTCACTGAACGTGGAATATAAGTAGATATCATTATTATTCAGATTAAAAATTTCTTTTTCCTTATGTGATTTTGAGGAAAAAATGGAGAAAGTATCTGAAGATCCATGATCGTATATTTTGTTGATTAACTTCTTCGACCCTGATGATATCAAAGATTTATATTTTCTTTTAATCCTTGATTTTGTGGACCCAATAGTCAATAAAGATTCGTTGTCTGCCACAATTCGATTGTTAGCAGCAATATGAGACGTTGAAGCATTATTTCTATTATAAGAAGGAATTAAATAAGAACCTGTCTTTGTAGAACCATTTTTTTTGGATGACTGAGTATCATACAGTTTTTGATAAATGGAAGTTCCATACCTTGAGTAATTATTACTAACTATGTTGATATTTTGAACTTCGGATCTAGCCATAAGTAGTTATATACAAGAATAACGAAAGAGAAAAAAGGAATAACAAAAAGTTGAATGCAAAGATAAAAGGATAAATAGTATGGTTTTTTTTCTTGTTTATGAATAAAGCAGTACAAAGTAGCAATAATATAGCGTTAGGCCAAAAGAAGCAATTTTCAAAGATATATTTGTTTATGTATTTTATGTGTGTTTGCAATTATTTTTGTGTGTAGTGCTAAATTGTTTTTTCCTTTATCCGTTTCAAAACTGTTGCATAACTAATAGCAAGATAAAAACACCCATTTTTTCTTCTTTTATGCAAGTATCTCTTCTATGTTGTAAAAGTTTGACCTCTTCAAAAGTCGCCTACCTGTTGTTCCTTTTTATACAATTGTCGATGGCTCTATTTTCCCCACATGAAATTTCACGAAAGCAGAAAACCACCACAGGCGGAGGTTAGAAACAGATCTATGTTCGCAGAAAATGAGGGGTAAGAAAAGCAGAAAAAAAGAAAATAAAAATAGAAATAGAAAAAAAAAGGGGAAAATTGAAAAAAAAAAACAAAACAAACAAAAAACTCAAGGGATCAAAAACTCAGAAACCTTATTTATTTCTTCTTTGAGTCCATTTACCCTCACCTTATTTTTTGTATCCTTGAAAACCTCAATGGTAGATCTTCAAAATTTCACGTGACATTAATATCACATACATATACATACATACACATATATATATATATTAATCGATACATTCTTCAATATAATCCAATGTAAATACATTAATATCATAAGATAACAAGAAAACATCCATTTATTGGCATTTATTTCAATTAAAAAAATACTGCCATCTTCATTTTTCCTTCCTTCCTTCATTCTTTTTTTCTTTATTTTTTTTTTGTTGCATTTTTTGATATTGTGTAGTTTAAATTAATGATATATGGGAACTTCTAAACAAATGAAGTAAACTAAAATAATAAAATTACTACAATTATTATTAATATTATTACATTTCGATGTTTGATTTTAATTATACATCTATACTTGATACCTACTATTCATATGGATTTCTTTATTTAGGATTCACCTTCTTCATCTACTATCATTTTATCATTTGTATCTTCATGCTCCTCATCTTCTAGCTGATGTGATATTTCATCATCAACAAATTTCAATTCTGAACCTTCATTGATCAAATGCCAAACATTTAAATATGAATATTCTTGTATACAGTTACTTAACTGTAACATGGTAAAACCACGGGATCTAACCGCCTTCACTATACTATCATAAGGTATTGTATTTCCATGAATCCTATCTTGCGACATCTTTTTAATAATTGTAAATATTTTAGTCGTTGGATTCTCTTCTTCACGTCTTCTGTTATTGTCCTGATATAATGATTCCTTAGATACTTTAATTAATCTTAATGCTTCTTCAACATCTTCAATCTCCACTGTATCCATTAATCTTAATTTAGCTAATGCTTGTGCTAATCTAATTATACCAAGTAAAGTTCTTGGCGTAGCTTGTCCAAAGGAAAATTTAGAATCCATTTCACGTTTAGAATCTTGTCTTAATCTTATATATGCTTGAATCACATATTCATTGACTTCAGGACTCATCACCGGTCTTTTACTCTTTGCCACAGCAATGTATTCTCTCATACGGGCAGGCTCAATTGGTTCAAAATCAAGGTCTGGCTGTTTATTATACATATGAACATATGCAACATGCTCTGCTAAAAGTGAGTCTGATTCCATATTTGGTGTATCCAACATTAAAAATAAGACATCAAATCTTGATAACAAAGCAGCTGGTAAGTTAATATTTTCTAATGGTGATAGCCTTGGATTGTATCTACCATACACAGGATTGGCAGCCGCTAAAATAGAAGTTCTTGCATTCAATGTTGTATTGATCCCTGCTTTGGAGATAGAAATGGTTTGTTGTTCCATAACTTCGTGGATTGCAGTTCTATCATTCTCATCCATCTTATCAAATTCATCAATACAACAGATACCATTATCTGCGAGTACAAGGGCACCACCTTCTAAAATCATCTCATCCGTAACTGGATCTTTCATAACTGCGGCTGTTAAACCCACACCGGAGGAACCTTTACCTGTAGTGTAGACACCACGTGGTGTAATCTTACAGATTGCTTTCAACAGTTGTGATTTAGCAACACCAGGGTCCCCCATTAAACAAATATTAATATCACCTCTAATTTTCATCCCATCACCAACTTTTTTATCTACACCACCTACCAACAGTAATAATAATGCCTTTTTCACATCTAGATTACCAAAAATTTCTGGTGCAATGGATTTAGCCATTCTATTATACACATCTCCCTGTGACACTAAGTCAAGGACACGTTGCTCCATATCACTAGTCATTTGAAATGAAGTAAATTTTTTCTTATGTTGACGAACATATTGTGATTCCAAATAAGTCTCAGTTAACAGCCCTGCTTTCAAAGCTTTAAACCCAGTATATGGCGAAGGTAAATAGATACCACTGACATCAACAATATCACCAGGTGTCAACGATCTGACTAAAGGACCATTAACATGAACAGTTAAAGAACGTGGGATATGACCTACAGGGACTTGTTGTGACAATTCTTGAATCTTACATTCTTGGAATGCACTGAATTTAGAAGCTCTTGTACTCATAAATAATTGGCCCTTAGTTTGATTTTGGGAACATTCTTTAGAAGTACATTCCGTTAATGGTGTGAAAGTACGTGTATTAACTTCTTGGAACACTTCATAACCACATTGGTCACATGTATAAGCAATCACAGTGACTGCTGGTTTGACATCAGAGACTCTAGTCACAATACCTCTGACAGTAATCAATTTACCTAAATAGTCACCTTTGACTTGTCTAACTGATAAAGGTCTCATCATTTGGATTTTTTTACCAGAAAATTTATAACGATACATACCACGAGAAGACAAAGGTTTGAAATACACAGAATAACGTCTAGTCAAGATGGGTGGGAACAGTTCAGCTTCATCTTCTGCCAATTCTCTTAAAGTGTCAGAATTTTGGGAATTATCGATAAGATTCTCCTGTCCAATCTCATTGACCCTATCTGAGATCAATCTTTGATTCCTCAGTCTTCTTTGGTTCAAGATAACATCGAGAACATCATCTTTATAATCAATCTCCTTTGTTGGCAGAGGTTTAACCTCATCTATGGCCCTAGAGAACAATTCAATGAAATGTTTTGTATTCTCCTGAATTAACCCTACTAAATCAATAGGTGTCCTAGAACCATCGAGGAATTTTTCTTTCTGGTACTGTAATATGTCATCTAACTCAATAAATATTTCATCAGTCTCTCTATTAGCGACTCTTTGTAGAATATACATATATTTAGGTCCCTTCCCGATGTCCGGACCCCCAACCTTGTCTTCCTGGACCATGTTTACATCATTCTCATTATCTATATTTCCATCTGTAGTCAAATATTGATTTTCATCAGTTACATCAGTCTTAAAATGTTGTAAGAAATCTCTGATATCTTGTGATATAGTTGTATAGTCCACATTTAGTTGGATTGAAGGTAAAACAGTAGCCATGATGAAAGGGATACTTATATAACGTTTTGGTTCAATCTTCTCTTGATATACTAGACACTATACAAGTATATATTGAGGTGTTACTTCTTTCTTCTTATTATTTAAATTGCTCGATCATATATGATGTATATTAGATCGATTCTATATAAGATCCTTGCTTTTAACTTTTAATAAATTTTTTTTCAACTGTTTGTTTTGTTTTGATTTTTTTGCTTTTTTTTTTTTTTTTTTTGCACTTTCCATATATTGGGGACAGAAACTAATTATCCAAAGAGGAAATCTGATTACAGATCACTCAATACGAAACAGAAAGAAGCCAAAATGGACGAAGCCATTTTGTAGTTTAAACTATCAAAGCTGTTTTTATTTATTTATTTTCAAATCAAGTAACTTTTAGAGTTAGATTGTTGTGGTTGTTACTGTGTGTAATGATTATCCACTAGTTATAATCTCATTACTGCTTAACATCATACAGTGTACTGGCTATATCATGTCAAAACATTAAGATCTGTCTGTATTTCACAAAGAAAAAAGAAAAAAATCAAAAGAAAAGAAAGGAAAGAAAAGCAGGACTGTATGACCTGATCAAATATCAGAGCATTCCATATACAGCACAAGAAAGAGTAAAATAATAAAAAAAGAAAACAAAAAACTAATACAGGAAAGCCTCTTTTTGTTCTTCGAAGTATACATCACCAGTCCAATACAGTTGTATTCTCTCTACAGATATATAAACAGAAATAAGAATATTAATGGTGCATAATACAAATGAGGACAATATCAATGAAACACAATACGACAAAAGAAACGATCTTGATATAAATGAAGTAACAACCTTCAAGGTTACCATAGCCGCTATGGAATTTTCTCCTCCCCTTTTCTCTTTTCTTTTTCTTTTTTCCTTTTTCCTTTTTTTTTTTTTTTTTTTTTTGTTTGGCATATATTGTTTTCTCGAATCAGTTGTCATGGCAACAGAGTTGTTTTGGTTTGCCTGATTGAGACTTGTTTCCTATTACCACTAATACCTCAGTACAACACAGTAATATGTAGGTAGATATTCATTATATACATACATACATACACATATACATATACATATATATATATGTATATGTATATATGTTATCGAATGGCAAGAATGAAAGAAAGAAGATTCCTCTTATTTTTTTTTCTTTTTATTATTGTTATAGACCCAATCTTTCTGTCAAGTCTTTGGTGCTATACTATAACAGATAAACATTCATATACATAGACATTCACACACACACATATATATATAACGAAATAGAAAGATATGAAAAAAAAATTTACTTTATATTTACCATCCCTTTCATATTTTATTTTTCAAAATAAATTATTCAAATGGAATAAATTATTTTATTCAAGTTATTTAACACTTTGTTTTACTCTACCTTTTTGCCTACCTGCTTACTCTTCTTTTAAACAAAAACCAGATATAATACCTCCTATCATTAACATGGCATCTCATGTTCGTTCCTATTAACATAACCATAACCATAACCATAACCATATCCATATATACAGACATATACAAATATATATATATATATGTATGTGTTATTAATGAATAACAAATATAATTATATTATTTATTTGATAGCTTAATCTTCGACTGATCCATTTCCTTGTCTCCATTCTATCCAGTAATCATACGGTGTCTTACACATATCAAACCCATATAACTTCAACAACACATTATCACAGTAATATAACATATGACCCGCCATAAAACTTAAGGACACTTCAACTAAGCTTCTATGCGCCACAAAATACATTACCAAAGCCATATTTAATGGTAACAACGCAAATATAAGCTGGTTCCCACCAAGCAATGGAACATTTATGCCATCGTTTCCTGTCTTGTATAGATAATACACTAAATTTTGATGCAGTAGGACTCCCAATGAAGTTGAGGGTTGTACCATTGAGGTCATTATGAGAAGAAATGTTAGAATCAATGTAGTCATCCATAGAAACCTTCGTTTGCTGCCCAGAATGTTTTCTAGTGTGCTCAAATGATTCGCTGATATGAATATATCTACTATCGTAGACCAACTAAACTCACCTAGGTCGAAAAGTGAATATATGACCCGTAAATATTGCCTCTTATGGAATACTAATTCATAATTATAAAAAATGTCTGTTCTACTGATTGCTCCCGTCGACGTCAATATGGATACTCCAATACATCCAATTATCCATGCTCTAGTTATTACAGGAACATCAAGAAATAAATTGAAAACAATAGCCTCCATAATTACCAGTTATAACAATATAAAATTGTATTAAATGGAAAACTTCTATTTATTTATCTTTCTTTCTTTCTTTCCTTAGTTATTTTTCCTTCCTTCCCTTCTTCTCTAATTGCTACTTATCTATATCAAAGTAGTTATATTTATGTATGCTTAAAATGGCTCAGCCTTGGGCAAACTTCATTGCTAAGTATCGTTATCATTTATTCTTAATAACTCAAATTCTTTATTAATCATTTTTGTCCAGATAATTCTATTTTTTTTTTTCCTTATTTTTTCTCTTTTTTGTTTTTTTCTTTTCTGTCTGGTCGTGTCTGTGTATTTCTCATATATTGCTGTATTACTTACAAAATGAAGTTTAGCAAAAGCAACGAAGAATCAACAAGGATGAAAGACTTCTATAGAAGGTAATATTTGTATTTTTCTATTGAAGTCCTTTCTTCATCTCTCTCTCTCTCTCTCTCTGTATGTGTATGGTGAGAGGCAAAAGGTTTAAATATATTTTATTTTTTTTCAAAAAATGTCTTTATGTGTGAATAACTATATATATATGTATATATATTATATTTATACAGTGTTACAATCATTCTCTATATTTATTTTAGATCATGAACTGATATTTTCAGTTTAGAATAAATGATATGTGATACTTGATCATCTGATGTAATTTCTTCTGAATCACCTTCTGGTAATCGGATTTGTAGTCTAAAGTTTTCGCTATCGATCCTTGGAGCAATTTTATTACAAAGTTCATGGTACGTTATGTTTGGGCTTAACATCAACGCAAAAATATCATTCTTATAATAGAATTTGATTTTTACTGGCTTTAAGGGTGGTGGTGCAACACTTGGAGGTCTGGATCTAGAATTTGATGATGATATGGACAATTTCGAAACCTTTTCTGTGATCTTTAAATCTTCTCCAGTTAATGTGCTGTTCTCATTATTTACATTATTTACGGAATCATTTTTAACACAATTGGTATTATTTACAGCCGTTTCAAGTACTTCTGTTTTCTCAGTTGGACTATATAAGCCATTGTTATCTATAATCTCTTCTCTATCATATCCGTTATTTCTGATATTAAACAAATGACGAACTGCAATATAGTCACATATATAGGCTGGCAACTTGATTAGCTCTTTCACATATATATTTAGATCCTCTTTACGTTTACTTGTTATACTATCTGTGACATATGGGACTGGTCCTGGAATATACGGTATTATTCTCTTGGTCCAGTTCCCACTTGAATCTCTCAACTTACCACTCTCAGATGGGAAGTTATCTAATAATTGGACTTGTAAGTCATAGAAATCTTGATAATAACGTTTCAAATATCTAATTTTCCCAGATGATAATTGACATTCTAATGAAAACCAATATTTATTGTCTTCAAATTTAAATAAATTTATTGCTGCATCGATAATAACATTATGAACATTTCCAATATCGACTGATTTTTGTGAAGACGTGTAGTCATTATAATATGACTCCTTGTCATCCTTCTGTGGTTTCGATTCACTATTTTGATTATGATCGACTTGACCTAAGGCAATGTTGCTGGCTTTATACTTGGCCACGTTTCTTTTCCATTCCTGAATAGTTGGCAGATTAACAGAATCTATATCTTCTTTTACATCATTACCAGTAGCGTATCCTGTCTTTATATCAATAATACTGACAAATCCGACAGGTACTAAACCTGGCCCACCTAATCTGCCTATTGGCTTAGCAATAAACCACTCATAATTATGGTGTGCACATATAAATAAATTTTCACCAACATATGAGGTCAGTTCATCTGGTTTTTCTGCTTTAAAATCATAAAGAACTATTGCATACAACGAACCCATTTTCTGTGATTCAGTTTCATTGGAACTCCTCTTTGATGAAGTAGACTTTGTTGTAATATTACCAGACATTTCAGTAGACATTCTGTCGGTTGAAGAGTAAGGTCTTTTATCAAATACTTCAAAATATTCTCTGGGTACAAGGCCTTGTGTCCCAGTGGAAGGGTTAACGGCTTCAAACCACTGATCATTCTCATCGATAACATAGAAAAAGTCACCTTCATTAAAGGATATTCCAGTAGCTGTATGTGCTTTAAAAGATTTTTTAGCTTTAATAACCTTTTCTGGCGACAACAGATCTTTATTATGAGAATGCCTCGTACTGTTACGACCTTTTGATGGTGAATATCTGTTGTCACTAGAATGTGAGATCCTTTTAGAAGATTCTGGTGCATATTTAACAGAACTTGTCCTTCCATCACTTCCTCCATTAAAAGTATCTGATACATGTGTTGGCCCAGAAATATCTGAAGAACTTATTCTACCTTTTGAGCCATGATGGTCTTTCTTTGGAAGCCTAAAATTCTTTAACATTGATGATTAGCAAAAATAATATTTTGTTATTCTTCTATTCTATTTTTTTTGATTTCACCCCTTTTATTTTATTTTATCGCAATTGAAATAAGCCTAAATAATTTTTGTTTTCTATGGAGTTTTATTTTATCCAAAATAGTTATATTATACTGAATCCTAGTTGTTTATTTGATAAGTCTAGAAGAACCTCAAAAGAAATTTTCTGCTTAATAATATTCTTTTGACAAATGTAAAATCTTCCTTCTATTCTGTCAATCTCTCCTCTAATACTTCTTACTATAGTATAATCAAAGTACAATAACTAATATATGTATATATGTTCCTGTGTATTTAAACTGCTATTGTCTTCTTCGAGATACTCTTCTTCTTATCTTTAATTTTTTTTCTTTCCTGTCCTTCTTTTAATGTGAAATTCTAATTTTGTCACTGAATAAAAAAAAAATAGAGAAACTACTTATCAAAAAATTTATTAATAAAGGAAGGGCTTATTATAGACAAAAGCAAATAATGCCAATATTATCAGGAGAAAGGAAAACTAGAAACAAAGTGGGAGAGATGCTGGCAAAAGCTCCACTAACCAATAAATATGCATGCATATTGCATAGGTATATTTTATCATAATGAATAAAGAAAAAGTAAACAGGAATATATGGTTATATAACTAGTGTGATAATATAATAAATAGTACGTTTCAATTATGAGTTTTCTTAGTTCAGCTACTTGGTAGAAATATGTTACATACTCTTGTATTCAGTAATGGTTTTCACTCATCCATAACCATCTATATGATTACAAGAAGGTCAGAGTTATATTATATTTTTCTCTGTTAACACAATGAATTCAATCTTAATTTATTTCGTATAATTTCAATTGATCCTCTGTCATACTGTATTCTAACCATGTAGGCATACAATTTTCAACGTTTAAATTAGGATATGGAGAAAACTTGCCAGCTACACAGTTGCCATTGCATCTATCGGAATCAAAAGGTGATTTTGGGCAATTAGTATATGGGAAATGATGATATGCAATATCTCTGAACCAATGTATCCTAGATTTATCAGCAAATAAAGCTAATGCAAGACTTCTTACTGGTGCATCACCCCATCTTTCGTAATAGAACCCTCCTTTAGACTCCAAATGTTCCATATATCTTTCATATGGTTCAGATCTAAGAAAATCCAAATTGTTAATCTCAAAATTTGTCCAAAAATGGCATGTCGAATAGCCATTTGTAATATTGAAATTTCGAGGTTTTTGTATATTTTCTTTGATCCACTCAAATGCACCATTCTTATTCAAATAATGTGGGTTTTCTTTAATAAATTCAAACGTGGTTTCCCATAAAGTCCTTACAGATTGAGGACTATCATATAGATTTAATGTGAACCCATATACTTTGTCATATTGTTCCATAAATTGGAAAACATCATAATCTATCTTGCAATAGAAATTCACATTTGGTTCAATTCTCCACGCATATTTATAATTACTTAATACATCTTGATGATAAAATTTACTTGAGTAGAAACGACACATGTTATGATACGATAATTTTTTGGAGTATTGAACATCTTCAGCTTCTAATTTATCCATCGCTTCATTATATTTTGTCACATCTATATTCCCTGGCCTATTCCAATCGTTTGGATTTATCTTAACAAAATGTATTAGACGTTCCTTAGGTAATATTTCCCATATTCTTTGTTTAAAATTATCAGAAAATTCTTCATCATTCATAAAGGTATATGGATATCCGAACTTACTATTGAAAGTGTCTTCTAATTGCTTGATGGTAGATATAATAGCATTAATATCTTTATTCTGAACTAATGATAAGATTGTAGCATTGGCTTTACCTGCAAGTGGAGTTCCTGGGCGTACCAAGCCATCAACTTGTGGCTCAATAATAGGTTGAGCAAGAATTCTATCGTATAACTTAAAATTAGCCTTTATTTTCTCTTCTCTTTGTAAATCATCCATCGTCTGGTTATATAGTGGTGTTTGTAACATTTTTAGTATCGAGTCATAATCAACTGGTTCCTCCACTTTCTTGGGTACGGATGAATCATCGGTATTAGATACTGGCCTGTCTTCTTTATCATTGTTGTTGTCTAAATCAGGAAGAAATGTATCTACATAGTCCAGCAACTGGTTATAAGTGCTACCAGCTAAATCCATATGATTTTTAGAAAGATCTAATATTTTATAAACCATACCACATATTAGTAATGCAATACCAATACATAAAAAGATTATAAGATTCTTCAGTCTGAACCTTCTAAACGTGAAAATATAGTTCCTCAGCATAATAATTAGGTAAACAAATAGAGCAATGTTCTTCACCGGTTGAAAAATAAGTCACCTCCTTTATATATATATGTAGTTTATCAGTAATACCAACTTGACAGAATAATTGATAATGACCGCCAAATAAAATCAAACCAACTAGTGAAAACAAAAAAGAGAAATAAACTGATGCACTTATCTTATATATATATGACACGACCTGTTCTATTATACTGATTTCGATTAGTACAAGAACTCAATTCAACTAATTGTTAATACAGAACACAGAAACTTGCCTCTACCAATAATCAGCAATTTTTGACAGTCTTCCTTTCTTTTATCTTTCTATTAATACATATTTTCAGCTAGTTTACCCGCACAATAACTTTGTTGATGTTTCAGGAAATTTATTTTTTTCATATTTTCTTTCTTTCTTTTACCAGAGAAGGTAAAAGCATTTAATAGAATGAGTATATGTGTGTTTGAAATACAGAGGCCAACACACATGTTAAGAACAACATAAAGAACGTGTAGAGTATTTGTAGAGTTTCTGTCAAGAGGTATAGCAGTACAAGTTAATAAACTACCTTTCTGCTAGTAGACTGAATTAATAAAATAAGTAAGTAAGCAAGCAAAATAGTTAACTGAATAAGGTCATCTGGAACTGCCCCATTATTTTTTTATTATTTAATCTAACTCTTTGTCTTCTGGTCAGTTGCAAAGCAAAATCTTATAAATACAAATGTCACAAAATTCAAATCCACAAACACCTAAAAATCAGTCTAAGCAAAGTTCCAATGGTGGTAATCAGCCTGGTCAATCTCAACAACATCCTCAACAACAAAATAGACCCACTAGTCAATTTTCTGCACATGATTTAAATAGAATTGTGCTGGAATATTTGAATAAAAAGGGGTACCATAGAACAGAAGCTATGCTTAGAGCTGAAAGTGGTCGTACTTTAACTCCACAAAACAAAGATTTTTTAAAGACAAACAAAACTGCAAAAATCCCTGAGCCATCCAAGAAACCACCGGGAAATGATAAAAATATTAAGCCTGTGAGTAATCCACCAGGTATAATAGGTACTAAAAGAGATGCAGAAGGTGGAATAGTGTCTAGACAGCTAGAAACTATAAAAGTACCAGAGAATTATATTAGGGCGTATTCACTATTAAAAAACTGGGTTGATTCATCATTGGAGATTTATAAATCTGAATTACATTATATCATGTATCCAATTTTCATTTATATGTTTTTGAATTTAGTTAAAAAGGATGTTTTCCAAGCTCGTAGATTTTTTGATAGATATTCATCTGATTTTAAATTATATCATAGTGGTGAAATTAATAGATTGTTTAGTGTAAATTCAGTAGATCATATCAAAGAAAATGAAATTGCCAGTGCATTTAATGATAATAAATATAGAGTCACCATATCGAAAACCGTGTTCAATTTATTGTTGTATTTCTTGAATGAAAATGAAAGTGTGGGTGGTTCTTTAGTCATAAGCATCATCAATCAATATCTAGAACCAAATGTTGTTAATACAGTATCTTCCAAAGTACAATTAGCCGATGGTATTAAGACTTTAAAAAATAGAGATACTATAGTAGGGATTGACTCTACTATAAATTCTAAACCAGTCAAATTGGGCCCATTTCCAAGAGATGAGGATTATGTAAAAGAAGTAGAAACTGAATTGAAGATCAGAGATGAGCAAGAAAAGCAACAACTAGAGCAAGCAAAGGCAAATGCAAAAAATGATTCAAATAACGCTGACAGAATAAATTCACAGACAAATAAAATGGTCCAACATTCCACTACATTGTTAAATGAGTATAAAATGTTAAATAATGAAATACCAAGAGAAACACAAACCGGTTCATTTGCATCAAATGACAAGGAGAAACATGATAGTTCATTTATTGACGATAAAGATTGTAAGAATAGCTTAGCCATGAATAGAGTTCTTCTTCAGATAAATGAGAAGTTAGAATCACCATCTCATGATTCATTGCCATTGCCCCCAAAGACAGCGTTAGATATTAAACTGGAAATTCAAAAAGTGAAAGAATCCAGAGATGCAATTAAGCTAGATAATTTGCAAGTTTCATTGCCCACAGTTTGCATGTATACTTTCCATAACACAAACCGTGGAATGACATCATTAGAATTTAGTGACGATTCAAGACTGGCTGCTGCTGGGTTTCAAGACAGTTATATAAAATTATGGACCCTGGATGGGTCATCATTACTAACGAACAGGATTCCACTATCCAAGAGAAAAGAGATAGAATTGGGTGATCCTTCAACAAGTATGTTGATTGGACATAGTGGTACAGTATATTCAACAAGTTTCAGTCCCGATAACAGATTTTTGATATCGGGCTCAGAGGATAGAACTGTTAGATTGTGGTCATTGGACACTCATACCGCATTAGTCAGTTACAAAGGTCATAATCACCCTGTTTGGGATGTTAAATTTTCTCCATTAGGTCATTATTTTGCTACAGCGTCCCATGACCAAACAGCTAGATTATGGTCTTCAGATCACATTTATCCATTACGTATATTTGCAGGGCATTTAAGTGACGTTGATACTGTATCCTTCCATCCAAATGGATGTTATGTGTTTACTGGGTCTAGTGATAAGACATGTCGTATGTGGGATATTAACAGTGGTGATTCAGTACGTCTATTCCTTGGACATACTGCGCCTGTGCTATCCACAGCAGTGACTCCAGATGGGAGATGGTTATGTAGTGGTAGCGAAGATGGTATAATTAATGTTTGGGATATAGGCACGGGTAAGAGATTAAAACAGATGCGTGGACATGGTAAGAATGCTGTTCATTCGCTAACATTTAACAAAGAGGGCAATGTGTTGATTAGTGGTGGGGCAGATAACACTGTTCGTGTATGGGATATAAAAAAAGCGACAAATGAACCAAGTTTAGAACCCGAAGAACCGTTTGTAGGATATATTGGAGATGTGACAGCTTCTGTGAATCAAGACATCAAAGATTACGGTCGCAGACGCACTATTATACCAACTAATGATCTTGTAGCTTCATTTTATACCAAGAGGACACCAGTGTTTAAAGTCAAATTCACAAGAAACAATCTTGTGCTTGCTGGTGGTGCATTTAGGGACATATGAACTAGATAAGAAAATAAGGTTGTTTAAAAATGTATATAAATATGAAGAAGAAGAAGAAGAAGAAAAGGAGATAAAGAGAAGTAATTGACTTCTTTTTTTTTTTCACACATGTAACGTTTGTTGTGTGGATGTAGATAAATATGTATATAATGATAGAAAAAAAGAAAAGGTGTAATTGAAATGTAGTAATCTTTAGCATATTGGAAAACCCAAAGAAAAAAACAGCATTATAGTTTTTCAAGTTCAAAAAGGGTAAATTTTGATTGAAAGATATTCATTTGTTTATTTTTTTTCTTTTTTTAAATAGTTTTTTTAATTTTGAAGATTCTAGTAAAATTTGTCAAAACAAAGAAAAATAAAGACAGATCTACTCAAAAAAAAAAAATTAACTACCTAAATTAAAAAAAATGCAAAATACTGAAATTACGACAATTTAAACTAGCATATTCCAACTAATTAACAGTAAAAACAACAATAACAACAACAACAACGACGACGATCTTCATTTAAGTTTTACTGATCATCCAAAGCAAGATATATTTATGTTGACTTCCCGTATTGTATGTGTCCTTCCAAAGTGCAAAAAAAATAAATCTATACATACATATACATATATATACATACATATAAATATATAAACTTCCATATAATCTACAAAATATTGGTAGTGATGGTAGACACACAAAGAATCAACCTGTACTACACATAAAAAAAACAAAAGAGTACGCCATCAATCACAAGACCAATTGTTTATATATAAAAAGGGAAAAAAATAAGGGACAGATCACCTAAAAGGAAAAAAAACAAAAACAAAAACAAAAAAAAAAGTTATACAGCAACGCGTCTAGAACTGCACTTACACACATTACTACACGTAAATATACATAGTGCAACAAGACTTGTGCAATAAATAAATAAATAATCAAGTAAATGCACGTGGTATAGTCATGTCACCAGAATAGGAAGTAGAATGCATTAACTAAGGGACGAAAATCTACCATTTTTAGGTTAACAGAGAAACAAAGAAACGAAGGTTAGGAAACAATAATGGAAAGTAATACAGTGCCTGAACTTGTTACAAGTCAAAAGACAGTAACTGACACAAAGAACAATACTGCCAATAGTGACAGCAATACTAATGAGAGCTACCACAGTAGTAATAATGAATTCTCCACTGAACACAATGGGGGAAGAAAAAATAAAGAAAAAAAGAAAACTAGAAACAAAGAGAAGAAAAAGAAGATTGTAGAGAATAACAATAACAACGACAACGACAATAGCAACAATAATAATAGTCATAAAAATAATAATAGCGACATTATAGTCACAGACACTAAATCATCAGATTATCTCAGTAATAATGACAGTTCTGTTACTATGGAAACAAACGGTTCCAAAACAGTTACTACCAACGCTACAAGTAGTAATAATACATGGGCGGCTATTGACACATTAGATGATGTACGACAACTGGCTAAAGCGACAACAGATTCGGATAATTTCAATAAGGAACAAGAAAATGAATTAAATAAGATGAGACAGAATCAAATTAAATTACTAAAACTGATGATTGAGAGGAACTCAAAACTACAGAAGCTGGAAAAACCCTTGGAGGAGAGCAAAAATAACGATACTGGTACGGATAACATCATTACCTTTGGATTTGATACAAATAATAACAACAATAATGATAGTAGCAAAAATGCAGAACAATGTGATAAAGATACTTGCCACAACAAACATTCGAAAGAGGGCTTAGCAAAACCTATAAAAGAATCTACTATCAAACAAGAAAAAGATGTTATAACAGAAAATGAAGGGGAAGGTCTTTCGATATCACCTTCTAAGATATCTAATCAAAAGTCAATTTATGTTAGTGACTATTTTGAGACTCTGGATGATGTTCAAATGATCACTAGAAAAGAAAGCGAATACATTGAACAGATGGAAAAAATTATTGATGATAGTAGAATCGAGAAATTACATCACAGCAAAAAAAACAATTGCAGTCTATAAATAGTTGCAAAAACAGTGTTGAATAGATCATTAAATAACATTCTTTAATTATATTCGAATTCTTATTATTTTTTTTTCTTTAATTCTTTTTTTAGCATTTTTTTCCAACCTTGCCAATGACAAATACTAGAGAAGTAAATATAAAGATATCTATAATGGCAGAATAATACGGATAGTAATGTACTATGTCTTTTGTATATTCCTGTTGTTGGTAGCGTCGTTGCTCCTTGAAAAATAAAATACATTTCCCTCTTAACTCTTGTTTGTTTTATTTCAGGGTTTTTTTTTCTGTCTCAATACTCTTTTTGCAGCAACAATAATAAAAATAAAAAAAACTTAAGATAAAAAGAAAGAAAAAAAAAGACCAAACAGTCTAAATTTACTGGAAGCTGAAAAGGATCGTTACATTAACACCCATACATCTTCTAGACTTGACCGCTTTAGTGGAATCTCAACTTTTGTTTTTGTTGTTTTTTTTTTTTTAATCTCTTACTCAAAAGTAACATTGTTTATATATAGACTATTAAGGACTTAACAAACTAATAAAAAATATTGTAGTTACTAGTTATATCTACCATCTTTTAGAATAATATATCTTAATTAATACTAGATATACGTATATATAGCTGGATCTACTCAGTAGGAATGCCCTCTTAAGTTACCTCATCAAATAAAGTCAAGATGTTCAGCTACTTAGCTGCCTTCTATATGGAAGCAACAAGGGTGTGTAAAATATTTATCTGAAAGGGTTCTACGCTTGCAGCGACAATAACATACTATATTTAAATATTCAACACTAAAACAAAACTACCTACCCATTATTTAGCTTATCCGATTATGTAGTTATGATCACATGGAACCACATGTATATTATCACTTGGTGGTTTGAAACTCTTGACTCCTGCTATCAAACTACGACTTGTATGCAGATGTATGGGTGTGTTTATAACACCGATCGGGAGAGATGGCAAAACATCTACATGTTTTTATTTATCATCCTTATTATTATTCTTATTATTGACCCAGTTTGGGGAGGGAGGACAGGGAAAAGATACGTTGAATATTTTCTTTCTTTCTTTTTTCTTTTGGTTCTACCTCCGTCTCTTGAAGAGAAGCTGGTTGAATGAGTGAAATGGGTAAATAAATGCATAAGTAGAGGGAAAGGAGATCGTTGTTTGACAAGGCACCCTCTACGCCAGCGTCTGATTGCATACAACACCATAGCACTTGCTCCTTTTCCTTTTTTTTTTTTTTTTCTTTGACGCATTCTTGCCTTCAAACGATCCTTTTCCTTCGTTTCTCTTCCCTCTGGCCCTCAAACAAAACTTGGCTTTAGAGGTTCTTTACTCTCATCTTATTTATATTATCTGCATCGATTAGTTAGTTAGTTAACTACTACTTACCACTCCCTTCCTACGCTTATATGTATTTTCATTCTTTATAACACTTCTGTCTCTACTATCCTATCTCTTGGTTAGTTCCTGTTCCTTGCCTCTTTTCTTTCTTCTTGACGTGTTTGTCTTTTCTTGAGTTCCATACAACTCAAAGAACCCATCTATACATATACGTATATATATATAGTGTACATACATATTAAAAATGTCTTCTTTCTCCAACTTCAAATTAGCTACCGATTTACCAGCTTGGAACAAATTACAAGCCCTTTACGACAGCGAAGGTAAGAACATCTCTGTCAAGAAGGAATTCCAAAATGACCCAAAACGTTTTCAAAAATTCTCAAAGACCTTCACCAACTACGATGGTTCTAAGATCCTTTTCGATTTCTCCAAAAACTTAATCAACGACGAAGTCCTAGCTAACTTGATTGAATTGGCTAAGGAAGCTAATGTCACCGGTTTAAGAGACTCCATGTTCGCTGGTGAACACATTAATTTCACCGAAGACCGTGCTGTCTACCACGTTGCTTTGAGAAACAGAGCCAACAAGCCAATGTACGTTGACGGTGTCAACGTCGCTCCAGAAGTCGATTCTGTTTTACAACACATGAAAGAATTCTCCGAACAAGTCCGTTCTGGTGCTTGGACCGGTTACACTGGTAAAAAGATCACCGATGTTGTCAACATTGGTATCGGTGGTTCCGATTTAGGTCCAGTTATGGTCACTGAAGCCTTGAAACATTACGCCAGTGACATCAAAGTTCACTTCGTTTCTAACATCGATGGTACCCACTTGGCTGAAGTCCTAAAGGTCATTAACGCTGAAACCACCCTTTTCTTAATCGCTTCTAAGACCTTCACTACTGCTGAAACTATCACCAACGCTAACTCCGCTAAGGCTTGGTTCTTAGAACAAGTTGGTGGTGATGCTTCTCACATTGCTAAGCATTTTGCTGCTTTATCCACTAACAAGGAAGAAGTTGCTAAGTTCGGTATTGACACCAAGAACATGTTCGGTTTCGAAAACTGGGTTGGTGGTCGTTACTCTGTGTGGTCCGCTATCGGTCTTTCTGTCGCCTTATACATTGGTTTCGACAACTTTGAAGCTTTCTTAAAGGGTGCTGAAGCCGTTGACAAACACTTCACTGAAACCCCATTAGAAGACAACATCCCATTATTAGGTGGTTTATTATCTGTCTGGTACAATAACTTCTTTGGTGCTCAAACTCACTTAGTCGCCCCATTCGACCAATACTTACACAGATTCCCAGCTTACTTACAACAATTATCCATGGAATCCAACGGTAAATCTGTTACCCGTGGTGATGTCTTCACCAACTACTCCACTGGATCCATCTTATTCGGTGAACCAGCTACCAACGCTCAACACTCCTTCTTCCAATTGGTCCACCAAGGTACTAAGTTGATCCCATCCGATTTCATCTTAGCTGCTCAATCTCACAACCCAATTACCAACAACTTGCACCAAAAGATGTTGGCTTCCAACTTCTTCGCTCAAGCTGAAGCTTTAATGGTTGGTAAGGACGAAGCACAAGTCAAGGCTGAAGGTGCTACTGGTGGTTTGGTCCCACACAAGATCTTCTCTGGTAACAGACCAACCACCTCTATTTTGGCCCAAAAGATTACCCCAGCCACTTTAGGTGCTTTAATTGCCTACTACGAACATGTTACCTTCACTGAAGGTGCTATCTGGAACATCAACTCCTTCGACCAATGGGGTGTTGAATTAGGTAAGGTCCTAGCTAAGGTCATCGGTAAGGAATTAGATGATTCTTCCAAGATCTCTTCTCACGATGCTTCCACCAACGGTTTAATCAATCAATTCAAGGCTTGGATGTAAAAGAAGAAACCAGTTTGATCGAACATTACTGTATTTTCTTCTCCAACTGAACTATCTTGTACCACACCTCTCTTTTTTTATCACTTATACTATTTTATGAACTAAATTTTATCTTTTGTTTTATAAAATAATATATATATATTTATTTACATGTAATGTGTATATGATATGACCATTTTTTGTTTAATATTTTGATTGTTATACGCAATATTTTTGCAATGGGTATTTCTATTGGTTTTTTAGTTGTAGTGACAAGACCTTTTTTCGCTAATTGATTTGTTATTATTCATATTTCCTTTTTGTTTCTAGGATGGAATTACAGAAGCAAGAAACCATCTACATTAAGTAGGGACAAGATAAGAATCGAATGTGAATTTCTCAATTCATTCTTCTGATCAAAATATATCACTACCTCCTTTCTCACCAACAATATACAGTGTTACCCTTAACAATCGCATGTAATCTTAAAGACTTGTCCTTTAGAAACAATAATCAGATGACGTGTTTCATATATACTGAAAAACCTTGATACTCCTTTATTTCTCAACACAGAATTGCTAAATTATCCATTTCTCTCTCTTCTAGCATATATATATGTATATACTCATTTTTGTAAATATCTATGGGATATACGATAACACAAGCAGCATTTAAAATTGTTGAGCTTATTAATGATCTATCTTTTTCTTTTTCTTGGTTGAAATTTTAAATGGAATCACGAAACAACGATTAAAAGAAATGAAAAATAATGACAGATTAAGAGGACTTGGTAGAAATTCTTAATATACTCAACGAATTTTTATACAGAATAACTCCCGATTCTATGAATAATTGATAATATTTTGCTCTAGGAAAGAAATATTGATCCTGCAAGTAACAAAACCATGGAACAACAGACAACTTCAACTATTAATTATGGAATTGACGAACAATTACAACTAAGGTACAGTCACTGGAAGAAAAATACCAAGTTGTTATATGATTATTTAAACACCAACACTTCAAAATGGCCATCTTTGACTTGCCAATTTTTTCCTGATCTCGACATTTCATCTGATACACATCGTTTGTTATTATCATCCTTTACCTCTGGTCAATTACCTGAAGATGAAGCTCTATATATTGCTAGTTTGTCAACATTAAAGCATTTGAACTGGTCAAGTTTAAATAATTTTGATATGGATGAATTAGAATTTAAATCAGATAATTCAATTAAATTCCCACCAAAACATTTGACTACTAATCTGACAATCAAATTTCCTTTAGGCGACTGTAATAGAGCAAGATATATGCCCCAGAACCCGGATGTAATCGCTGCCGCATCTTCCAATGGTGATATCTATATTTTTGATAGAACCAAACATGGTTCAAGAAGAATCAGAAAATCTGTATATGATGAAAAGAGAAGCTCTGAGACCCCCGAAAGTGATATCAACGATGGATTAGATGCAACTTATGAAGCCAAGTTTAATGACCAAATTAATAATAACCAAAACAATAGAAATTTTGAAACTACGAGTATTGATATTGATGAAATGGATTACATTAAAACTGAAAATGAGAATGAAGCACTCTCAGTAGCGTGGAATTTACAAAAAGAGGGTACTTTAGTAGCTGCATACTCCCAAGGATCAATTAAAGTATGGGATTTAAAAAAATTTAATCAAAATGACAAAAATATATGTAAAGCTGAATGGAGTATTACACAATTTGACTCTAATGGTTGTAACGATGCTAACTGGATGCCATCACATGATTCTATTTTTGCTGCATCTGGTGAAAGTAAGGATTCATTAGTTCTATTCGATACAAGAACTCAAAAAGAAACTTCAAGAATACGATCTAAGTTTCATAATAGTGGAATCAATGCATGTAAATTCAACTATGGAAATTCTATGCTGCTGGCTTCTGCTGATACTGATGGAATAGTTAATTTATGGGATATTAGAAAATTAAACGATAAACCACTAATGTCATTGAACCATGATTCCTCTATATCTGTCATAGAGTGGAATCCTCACGAACATAGTGTTTTAGCTACTGCAGGACAACAAGATGGTTTAATTAAATTATGGGATATATCTCAAGATAATGCCATGACTAATGAAGGTATAACAAAACAATTGATATTTATTCATGCTGGTCATATGCTAGGCGTGAATGACATATCATGGGATCTACACGATCCATGGCTGATTTCAAGTGTTTCAAATGATAATTCAATCCATATTTGGAAACCTGCATCCAATATTGTAAATCCAGCGTAATGACCATATTTTGCTTTTAGTTCCCTTATTTATAATAATACTAATCAGATCGATATAGAAATGTAAATATGATATATAAAAGTACATAGATAGTAACTATAGCATTGCTTACTAAGCACTGTCTATATATTTATTATTAATATATAAATACATACATACATATCTACTACCTATATATCTATCCATACTTGATATAGTAAACCAATACACATATACAGTTTATTCTTCCTGCTTTTTCCATTTTTCTGGCGAAAGACCTGCTAAACGAGGTTTCAGTTCTATCTTACGTTTGAATGTTGCTGGATTGTATGCAATCTGTCTTTCACCAGGTGGTGGAATACCTTTTGGGTTCCAATCAGGATCATAGAATATACTCTTTCTACCTAAACCACCATCTACCTTCTTGGTATCTTCCTTAGGTTTATTGTCAGACATCAGAGTCGATAAACGAATGACTCTCTACGACCAAGATACTATCTTATACCCGCAAACAAATGCACGTACACAAATACGTCTTTGTTCACAAGTCTGCACATATAATATATTTGTATTTCCCAATAAATGGATCAATCTAAGACCTGATAACAAATATTAACTGCAGCTTTTTTCAGATTCTTGAAAAGTAAAAAAAAATGAATACAAAAGAGCTCATTTAGACTACAGAATCTTTAAATTTTGATAGCGTAAACTATTAAACAAAGATCAACAATTACAAAATAAAGCCTAAAACTAATTCTGAGTAGTAGAGAGCTGTTATAAGCCCCACCACTACACTACTATCCAAACGAGAAATAGTAACCATGTCTAATAATGAACCAATAAGGTCAAAATCCATTACCCATGTGTCTCAAAACAGTGATTTGAAAATCGATTACAATGGTATACCAAGTCAAGCATTAGATGCCATACGGATGAGACTGGCACAGCTAATCCATTCTTTAAAAAGAATAAGAGATGAGCTATCTAAGCCAGACCTACCACAACGTTACTCCCTACAATCACAATTAAACATCACTTTGCAACAATTATTGTCTGTTACTTCAACACTAGAACATTTTCACGAATCATTAGATTCAACTGTAATATACCCACTCCCTCAATTTCCAACAACTTCACATGAAAACCTTTTGACCACACTTTTGAGAAAAAAGTATACACCAGAAGTGGATCAATGGTTAGGAGAATCTCGAGAAGCTGCAGAGGTTGATAATAGATGGCTAACTGAAAGTAAAATTAAAGACTTATTAAAAACTGATAATAATATCACGGAATGGGCATTGGGGGTGTTTAATAAAGAATATGAAAAGTATAATGCACGAAATGAACTAGATGTACATCCTGACAATTCTAAGATGGCAGTTGATGAGGAAGATAAATACAATCATTATAAACCTACAAAACCATTTAAAATCGAAAAAATTCTATCGTACACTTTTAGGGGAGAACTTTAGAAGTCTATCATCATCCCTAAATAGCAATAGCGTATGTAATTGTGTCGATAAATAAATAAATACATCTTAATGATTGCATATATGATGACCATTTATCGTATTAGAATCTACAAATATGTATATACCTATGTACAGGCACTACTAACTACTAACTAGAACAAATGGCATAGTCTAAAAAAAAAAACAAAAAAAAGTCTATTATGTCATACAATCATCAGTATCACATGCTTCATGATAAAAGTTTAATAACCAACTCCCATGTCCCAAACATAATTATACTATTTGGAACTGTTCTCATCAGATGTGGTGTCAACCCACTATACATGGATGCTAACCCTTCTTCCTTAATAATGATTTTGAAACTCTGTATCAAACCTGTATACTTCAATTTATTATTCTCCATAGGGGCTTGTCTTAATCTTGTTCGTACTACTTCATGTGGATAAGTGACTATACTAGCAGCAAATTTAGCTAGCCCAGCACTTCCAGATCTTTGACACCACTCTTTAACTTTATCAATTGTCGATTTTTGACCATCATTATTATGGCCAAATTTTTCTATTGATCTCTGTTTAATAATATATCTCATTTGTTCATAGAGTAACCATTGCAACACTGTCTCCACCGAGCCCAAATATGAAGCGCTCAAACCTTTATACAGCCCATAAACCCCTTCATGTCTTACTACACTTTTCAAACAATCCCATGAATTTTTGTATTGCTTACTAGTGCCTGCTTTACCTAGTTGCATTCTGGTCTTGATCAACCAAATTGGATTTGTTGCAGTAGAAGTGGCAATACCGGCTGTAGCAGCAGCCATTAGATGGATCCATGCACCTTCTTCCCCCTTATTAAATGCTTTAGAATAGAGATCCTTTGTAGTACCATATGTGAAAAAATTAATACTTCTTGCAGGGATAACACCGACTAAATTAGGACCCAACCCTTTAAACAAACTAGTAAAGCCTTCCATCCTGTAGACATTGGATATAATACCAACTGTTTCTTTGAAATGGGTCCCAGCTTGAGCCAAGTAGCTCATAGTGTTTCCGGAATGGGTACTCGACTGATAAGCTTTCTTATAGATATCACTTTGCAATCTAGTTTTAACCAAATCAAAGGGACATGTTGCTATAGCACCGGCCATACCACCTATTCCACCTGCCACAAAATGAACCCATGGTTTCACAGTTGGGTGTGCTTCAATTTTCTCACACTTAGGATCAATTGGACCCGAATTTCTAAAATTGGATGCTTTCTCATCACTTGCCAAGTATGCAGAAGACTCAATTGCTTCTTCTTCTAATTTGCTCAATGGCTTTCTAGTCATTATTCTTTATCTTTTATTTTATTTTATTATTGTCCTTTTTTTTTAAAAAAAATAAGCAGTCTCTTAAATTCTAATTTTGTATAATATAATTCTTCTCTTTTCTTCTTTACTAATGATGTAATATATAGGAACAGAAGAATATTTGATTATTTACAGGATTTTTATAACATAAATAAGTTTAATATAAAAAAAACTTTATCAGATAATGAGGAAAGAGTCCATATAACACACTATTAACAGGGAATTAATGACAACCGATTTTTTTTTAAGAGGTATAATACAGTTATGATCAGCTAGATCTGAACGGAGAAGCTGTTTTATCACTACAAAAAAGACTAATGCCATCAAAAATAACTGTATAGAAGATATATACACATTTCAGTATCTTCTTTGACTTTGTATTTATTAAAGTTTTATTTTTGTTTTCAAAAAATTTCAGATACACAATGTCCTTCTCGGATTTTTCCATAGTAAACAAAAAAAAACAAAACAGAAGACGTACATATAAAACCAACGATGAGGTTCTCTCCACAACAAAAAAAATGTGTCACAGTGCCAACAATGTCAGTAAAAGAAGTGACGCAATGGTATTGTTAACAGAAAACTGTAGCACTACAAGATACTAGCTGTTTCTTATTATCATCTACGTTTGTCCCTCTGCATCAATTTATTTGCACACATTATTAGCCACTACTATTATTTCTGTCACTATGTATTCCTGACTAGTCTTAGCACCCTTTTGCAACATTATTATGGCTTGTAGTGTAAACATGAAGACCGGCTCACAGAGATTGATCATAATAATTACAGTAAGGATATAGAGAGAAATAAGGACAATAAAATAGCAATATTACTAGATGTGATTTAGTATAAGGTTGCATTACACTATACAACGTATTGAACCATGTTACAAAAAAACAATAATTTAATTTATTTATATATAGTACAAAAAAAACTAATAACAATAAACAAAATTATCAATTAATTTATTCTTCGTCGGCTTCTTCAGCGCCTTCAGAGTGCTTAGCAGCATTCTTTCTGGCAACTCTACCTGGTCTGGCACCACCGAATGGAGAAGTGGAAGCAAAGTCAATGTGCTTTTCAGAGTCTAATCTGACCATGAAAGATGGGATATTGACAATTTGCTTACCAACAGCAATGTGTCTTTGGGTAATCAAAACTCTAGCATGGTGGATAGACTTAGCTAAACCTAACTTGTAGACTTGGGTTTGTAATCTTCTTTCCAAGAAATCTTCAACCTTCAAAGCTAAAACATAATCTAACTTCTTCTTGTCTTCAGATAAGACACCAACTCTAACCAATCTTCTGATTAAAGCATTACCTTCGAATAATCTCTTTGGGTCCTTTTCGTCTCTGGTTAATAAGTCTCTGGCAGCACGTCTAATCTTAGATAATTGGAAAGAAATTCTGTAAATTTCTCTCTTGTTCTTTAGACCGTATTCACCAGCCAACTTCAATTCGGCATCTAAACGAGAAGATTCGTATGGTCTCTTTGGAGTAGAGTAAGTCTTAGAGTAAGTGTTTGGAGCTCCTGATCAAAAAATAAGAAAAAAAAACAAAAACAGTACAATATCAGAGTGATATGTAAAGAAAAATAATACAAAAGTTACAGTGTCCCCTTTTGCTCCATAACAAATATGAGGAAATAAAAACTTCGCATTAGGGCATAATTGTTAGTAATTCAATTCTTTTAAGGAAACAAACAAACGAGTTATGAATAATAATAAGATAAAGCAAATACAAGCAATACAAAGTGTGACGTTCAAGAACGAGCTACATTACGTATTATTGAATATTGATTTCTTTTTATTGTAGTATGTATATAATGGTGAAGGAGAAGAGCCGTTTCTGATATCTGAATCAATAATAAAAAACAAGAAATATGATTAATAAGCATCACAGAGAAACAAAATAAAATGAAAGAAAGACAGAAAACACAAAACACTACATCAAATTATAATAAATAATATGATATAGTAGATATACTTTCCATCCTTTCTGTCACTCTCCCTTCCTGTTCTCCCTTTTCTGCTAAACCTGTAGTTCCCAAGCATCACTGAAGTGTCGGGAATTCAGTGCCATTGGGGTACTACTCACTTCGTATCTATATTTTTAATTCCTTTCTTTCATAAATATATCAGATAATACAAAAACACTATTTCTCTTTCCATTTAGATCATCCATATACAAACTTTATAATCTCCCCCACCACCACTCAATGGCTTAGAAGAGAGAAGTTACCAATATTCAACAATTCATAATGAGGACCCGATCCTCAAACAACACCTATTGCATGTACACTCATATCTATCCCACGAATTCATAAATATTAAATGAACATACTTGGCATTGTGTCTTATCTAACTTAGGTCTGGCGGGGTATCTCGACTAGGAGAAGCAAAAGGTTCATATTACAAAACAACTTACGATAAATAGGAGAGGACCTAAGGGAGGAACACCTATATATAAAACAATACTTATTCCTCTCAATACATATTAAAAGGCAGCCATACTTTCCCCAACTTTGTTTCAGCAACCCGTAACTGGACACCAGAATATTAAACCACCAGACCCAAAATTACCTGAAGGCTTCTTGATGAGATGTTCTATCATAAATTGAAATAATTTTTTTGGAGATGGCTAATTTTTTTTTTGCTGTTTCTACGATTTCCAACTTTTTGCAAACCTTTCATTTCAAAATATACACAAACAAACAGTATTACTAGTTTGGGAAATGGAGAAAATAATAGAATTCATGAACCGTTGTTGGATTTTAACAGAATGTACGGATGCATTAAAAATTCTAAGACAGTCCTCCTTTGGGATTCAAAATTTGAAGGCTAGGATGTTTTCATTAGCATTTCCTTCTGATAATAAATATAAACACTTTTATCATGTTATATGCACAGGTTGACTGTCTTTAGCATTTCCTAATTTGATTATTAGATAAGTAACATCATTCCAAAACCTGTACATATATATATATATATATATATATATATATACATGCTTGTATATATTCCACAGCGTATACATACTGGTGACATTACAAGAATTGATACACAACAGAGAGCTATATATCAATTTGCGCTACTGCAACTAGGCACAATCGTACGAGAATACGAGATACAATGTATATTTAAATGCCTTTACTTGATAATTTAGTAGATTTGAGAAGGCAAAGATTAGAAAATTTACGGTCAAATAATAATAATAATAATAACGATAATAATAGTAATAGTAACAAGGAGAAGAAATCTTCAATTTTACCAAATATTATTGACCATACTAATGATGATCTTTTAACGAAGGATACCAAATTAGAAAACAATTCTAGCGGTATTCAAAATCCAAATAAAAATTATGAAACTGATGACGAAGATCAGAAAAAGGAGGAAGAACCAAACGGTCAACCTGTGAGTGTTACACGAGATTTTGAAATAAGATTAGATTCGCAACTTAAGGTTTTAGAATCACGTACGAATTTAGCTTTAAAAAGAATTCTTAGAAGACAAATGTTTCAAAAGGACTTGAATGAGGAGGATATTGGTGAAAGCGACAAAATAAAAGAAAGCATAAATATAAACACGTAAAGGTGGAAATATTCTATAACGAGTAAACATGTATAACATACACACCTAATTAAATATATATATATATATATATATATATACGTACCTGAATACATACTTTAATTAACAAAAAAACAATAAAGGATAGTCAGGTGTATGAGGAAATAGAGGAAAGAGGAGAAACTGGCCTGACCTCCTTTTTTTGCATCTTTTTTTTTCCTTTTTTTCAAAAAGTGAAAGCAGAATATAGGTAGATGACTGCAAATAAGAAGAAGCAGAATGCACCAGCTAAAGTAACTGTTCTCATACTAATCTTGGAGGCCAAATATTTACCACCGATAACGGCAAAACCACAACATATAAGATGACCCACAACAGCACCAGCTATAGTAAACCGATAATTGTTATCAGAAGCCAAGGCAATGATACTAATCTGTGAACGATCACCTAATTCAGCAAAGAAATTAAGAACAAAGATTTGAACCCATGCAGGCGAGAAGATTAGCGCAGCTAGATCATATATCTTATTCAAAACAGAAGGTTGTTGTTTCTTTGCATTTAAAACACTACCACTTTCCATATCATCCAGTCTAGAGTTCATATCGTTGGCAGCAAGCTCTTCTTCTACCTCAGCCATTTCCTCTTCCACACCTGCGTCTTTAGACATCTCTAAGCCTTCCATGGTCAATTTGTAACCAAAAATAAGGAACAATAAAGCAGCTAAGAAGGCAGTATAACGTTCAGAGATGAAAGAAATCACGGCATGTCCTACAATACCAGAAAGAATAGTCATTATAGCTAGGGATGATGCAGCAGAAGAGAAAACAAAGAGTCTAGAATGACGCATAGCCATTAGAACAGCAATTAAAAAAGTTTTATCACCGATCTCAGATAAACCAATCATGGAGACAGCCATAAAAAAAGAGTTTAAGCGGTCGTTTGACGACCTGTTTTCATTTTGTAAGCCGATCTCATTAGAATTGAAATTATTTGCGACAGCAGCGGCTGTTAGATCTGCAGCAGCTACTAAAATTGAATTATTGTTTAAAATAGAATTCAAAAAGAGAAGTGATAAAACTGAAATTGAAAGCATCCTTTTTCAAATTTTAGATATATAAAAGATAAGAGCGGATTGAAGTATTTATTCTTTTTTTTTTTTTTTTTCTTCTTCTTCTTCCTCTTCTACTTACTTTTGTTCGTTACGACATAGACCTCCTAAATATCAAGACATTACTAACAGTTGCTAAGCAATGAAGTGTAGACGGACATAACGCCCTTATTAAATACTGGTATGTTCACGAATGTTTAAATGTCAAGATCACCGATCGAGTCAGCGAAGTTTTATCATGTTTCTTTTTCTTTTTTTTATTTTTTTTTCCTACGTTCCTTTCCGTTTTGGAATTCCCCATCGAGAAAGAACGGAAAATGCGGGAATGGACAGGAAAACCGGCGGATCTGGAAATCCCGAAAACACACAGATTTCCCTTGCTTCTCCCCTCATAATTTCCCTTTATGCAGCCCGTGAGTGTTGATATCTTGCTCGAGAAGAAAGGAGATGGGACAGAGGGAAAGGGGTACACCACTGACTTGTCAATATATAATCTGTCTTGTGGCCTGCTTATTTTGTGTGTTCCCATGTATAACGGTTTCAAAATATGTTGATGTAGTAACCTGAATCATTTTTTTACCATTTAACCACTTTGAAAGAGTGGTAAAGTAACGACTTTGTTGTATTATTGTTAAAAAAAACATAGCTGGGATACACAAAAGAGTATCACATTGGTTACATATGGTTGTAAAAGATAGTATGTAATATGAAAGACCTAGCAATTTATTGATATTCATCTTTCCCTCCTTACCCTCACTCTTTTTTTTTTTTTTATTTTTTTACTCTATCCTTAACAGCAATTACTCCATATTATCTCCTTCAAAGAGAGCACATATAACTCTACTAGATTACTCTCATAGATACTGTTCAAAACAGTCTTACATAACGCCATCAGTATTTTACTTAACAGAACACACTCAGACATTGCTGTTGCTACTATCGGTAGCAGTACCAGTTTCAAGATCTATTTTGGCATATTTTATTGACACAATCTCAAGTGGAATTGCCTTTATTGTGGGGAAAAAAATGAAAAGAAAAGGAAAGGGTGTTCAATCGTTTCTTTTTTCACAAATTTACCCATTCGGGAAAAATGTTGAAAAATTTTTTCATTCTTATCTATTATGATAAAAAAATAATAAGATCAACCCAGTTAAAAGAACAGATTAGATGTACAAAATATGCCTAAAATAATCTATCACTACTGGGAAGTTTCATAATATAAGTGTTCTGTTGTAATATAATACATAATTTTCAAATAAGCAGGGGCGTTACAAAAAGATAACATTTATACAAGGAAGGAGAAGAAGCAAGAGAAAAAAAAATAATAAAACAAATAAACTACTCTATGTCCAAATTAACAGATCAAAAAGATCTTTCTTCATTGTCCTCTAACCATAAAAGTAAAAAGAAAAATGGACTTATGCGAAATGATGATAATGACAGTGGTGATGATTTAGTGAAAGGAACTCTTGATATTGAATACGAAGAAGATGAACTAGAGAAAGACTGGTCTGAAGTCATCAAATTAAATAAGAAAAATTTGCAAATGATCATACCAAAACGTGGGGAGAAGGATTATGAACCAGACGGCACTGATATTCAAGAACTATTGTTATATAAGGCAAGAAAGGCCATGTTTGACGCACTGTCTAATTCTGTAAGAGGAACTACAATAAAACATCAAGTAAAAGCAGTCTATGATTTTGATAAGCATAAAGCTTTGGTACTCAATCCTAAAGGTGCTTTTCTTCAAACCATGGGTCATATAACTAATAATGGCGAATTTTGGTTGGATTTTATGGAATTTTTGTACTTAGCCGAACGTGGAACCATAACTCCATATTGTTTAAAATCAAATTCAATGAATCTCAATCAATTACTGCCCTCGATTGATGATCACAACTTATTACCATTAAGTATCGAAGATATTTACGCATTTTTTAAAACACAAAGAGAGATTGATGAGTTTTCTGTTTACAGTCATTTAAAAAGACTAGGCTTCATTATCACTAAAGTTGAGGATGACGATAATGACAATAATAAAATTACATTTTCCCCTAAGGTCGGACCATTCAAATCTATCTGTGGTTATCAACTTCATTCTCTATTTAAACAAATCACATCTTTATTTGTTTCACATAAAAATAATCTTTTCAATGGTTTATTTTATAATCCATCGCATTACAAGTATATTAAATACACATCAACCCCACAGATTTACAATAATTTAAAACTTTTAATTCCACATGTAGAGGTGCCTAAAACTCTTCTGGAATTACAACACAGAAAACAAAGTTATCTGCTCAATAAAAATAAAAATCATTCAAATAATCCCCTAAAATTGACATTTAACGTTTGGAAACCACAAACTAACTATAAGAAGAAGATCCCTGAATTGCCTGATTACCAAATAGTGGTTTACAATAAAAATGATAATAAACAACATTTCCCAACAAATGATGATTTAAAAAATATCTTTGATTCTTTAAATTACAAATTTGAATTCCTAGATAAATCAAAAAAAAATGCTGGTACAATCAATTGGGATGATCATTCTTATATAAACGGGATTCCAAGATCAGCCATACTATCTAAGAATCAGAAGAAAAAAATCACTAATTCGCAATCAGAGACAATAAATAATATAAAGGAGGAGAAACGTAAAACATTGAGGAAACAACCATCATCATCAGTTTCTTCTTCCACCCCGGCACATATAAAACAGATTAAAAGACTTAAAAATGGTTATAGGTCGTTTATATTAGCTGTAATGGATAATGGTATTATCAGTTTTATCAAAATATCTGAAGCAGATTTTGGATCTGAAGATGTTTGGTACGTTCCAACTGTTCAGGCAAAAAAGATAAAAAAACCACAATATCAATATAAGAAAAGAAACATTATGAAACAAAGCAACACAGACCAAAAAGTTTAGTATAGATAAAAAATTTTTCACTCCTTCTTATGATATATACTCGGGATATGTATATATATATATATATAGGCATTGTTGATTTTGGGAGAAAATCCCATTCCAAAATATATTCATTTATTTTATTGCATAATATTTTTTTAAACTTCTTTTACCTATTTCCCATATTTAAAGTACATATTTTCATCAAACACAGGCGATTTATTGTAAAAGGCTGTTGGATTTCTTTGAAGTTCACGTTCTTCATCTTCATAAGGTGCATTATTATCTAATATATTAGAGTGTTCTGAAACAGGCTGTCTTAGAGGTACTTGTGGGGCATTCCTATGGTTGGAATATGCTGGTGGTTCATCCACAAATGATCTAGTAAAAGTAGTTGAGGAATCCAATAATGAAATGTTTTTTTCTGAAGAAGGTGGTAAGGGAATAGAAGGGACATTGTGATGATAAGTTCTAGCAGGAACTTCAGGTGCACTTTGAACAGTGTAATAGTTATTTACCCCAGTTATACTGTCAATTTTTTTGGGAGGCTTTGGAGGTAATCCAGCATTCGTCATATTGGGGTTTGGAACAGAAGAATTAATATTTAAATTGCCAAATTGATTATCTAAATTATTCATTAAAGAATCAAGGCTATTTCCCACATATGAATTAATTGTCGGTTTATTTTTCAATTTACTCGGTTGTTCTGGTAAAGTAGGAGGCACTGGTGAAGGCAAATTGTTATTATTGGAAAATATGCTGTTGTTGGCATTGGTTTTGCTGGATTCCAGCAGTTCTTTAGACATTGATAACAGTCTATCATAAAAATATAGACCCTTTTGAATATCAGAAGCAAAAATTGAAAAATTGGTTGCAGCCTTTTCTAAATTATCAAAGAAATGTTTTCTTTCTTTTTCTCTCTTTGTTTCTTCCATATTCTTTTCACGAAAGCCAGACATGGTAAAAATTTTATCTAGATCAATCTTAATTTCATTTATTAAAGAAACTTGTTTATAAATAGCTGCCTCTAACCTCGAACTTAATGGTTCAAATTTTTCTAATTCTTTATTAAATAATTCTTGAATTTCTGTATCAGCAGCATTTTTCAAATTGATTAATTTACTTGTTATATCATCATTGTTAATTGCTTCTTTTAATTCTAATAAGATAGCATTTCTTTCTTGTTTAAGATTTGTCAAATTCACATATAATAATTTCACTCCATTTAGTTCTTGGAGTATTTTCTCCGTCTTAGTATCATCAATATCCAGTAGGCTAGGTTCTGATGAAGCTGGATCATCATATTGATTAAACTGAGACCATAATGTATTATTATCCATTAATAGAGAAAGTTCAGTTAAATAAGGTTTCACTAAAGATAGCAATTTTTCGTCAGACTTAGAAGCTTCCAATAAAGAAGATTTTATTTTAACAGTATTTTCCTTTTGTGATTCTGGTAATTGGCTCAATGTATCAACAATCTCTTTCCGCTTAGTCGTAATTAGTTTAGTCTGCTCCTGAATATCACTATACACACTTGACTGAACATTTTTACTAAATAAACGCAATTGATCTCTCATAAATTCTAATTGTGGATTTTCTTTATTGTTTAATCTACCCGATTTATATCTTTTTTCTAAATCTGTTAATAACACGGGTAATTTTGTATATTCAATGAAGGAATCAAATTCTAAATTTGAAGTATCATTGGCTTCAACCTCACGTCTAAGTAAAGATGCTTTCTGTTCAGAGTAAATGCTTTCCTTTTCATAGACTTTCATTGGAACGATACCTTTGTAAAGAATGTTACATTTTTCAGATACAGATTGCATATATGGATCTACTAGTTCATTCCATTTAATTGGCCTGATAGCATCCATGGCTTTAATGGTTTCTAATAAGGCACCCTGCGGTATTGAATCGTGATAAATGTAATCATTATCTTTTATCAATTGTTGTGTTTTTAGTTCAATGGTTTCTTTGAGTCCATTGAAATCGATATAATCCTTCAACCAAGCTTTAAAGGGTAATGCACTGATTAAAGATGTATGTGCATATTTACTAAATGCAATTGCCTCTCCAAATTTATTCTGCTGTTCCAAAGATATACTATAGTAATGAGCAGCGATGGATCTATACAAATAAGCCTTACATGACAAATTTGTGTTCCATCTAGGCTCACCATACACAATAATTCCACCTTCAGGTTTCTTTAAGAAAGTGGAACATTGATCGTATAATTCATATGTGGTTATGGCCAATTTACTAATTAAAGAGGATTGTTTTTCTGTGGTAGAAGGATTATTAATCAGTTTCAATAAAAATAATTCTTGTGCTTGAGCATGACATAGGTTTGCCAAAAACTGAGTATTCTCTGCATGCAAATCGATTGATGGAGAATTGAAAAAATTTTCCGCTAAATATGTGAAACATGCAATTGCTTTTGTCATTGCAGTAATCGATTTCTTATAATCATCTACTAGTGTTTCTTCGGCTACTTGAGTAAACAGAGTACCTATATTGAAAATTATGCATGATTTCTCAAATGTCAACGTATGTTGTGTATATTTAGTATCTACTTTTGTGTTTGTTGAATAGTCCACATCGTACCATGTGAAATTCAATTTCAATTGAGTGGAACGGTTACCTAGTCTCATATCTAATTGTTCAATAAAGCAATAATATTTTAAATTCTGTTCCAACAGAGATTCGGGTGCTAATTCACTATTAGCATTTGTCCTTAAATGATTCAATTCTTTAGCTAAAGCTTCATCAAAGAAATATGACCATTGCTGGGGTCCATAATTTTTTTTTAGATAACTGGACAATACCTTTTTCCAATCAATACCTTCTGTATCTTTGGCATGCAGTTTAATTATAGAAGGTTTCATAATGATAATGTATATGTTTTTATTAACGTGAGGAAGAGTAAACCAAACTGAGTTAAAAATAAATAAATGAATAAAAGGGACTAAGAATCAAATAAGTGGTATATTAGATCTCTTGACAATAGAATAGAAATTGATTAGATATTAGTGGTAGTAGTAGTAGCAGTAATGAGATACTCTGCTTGATCTTTTGTTCATCTGTTTTCGCAGAGTTAGTTTCTCTTTTTTTAGGTTCCCCTTTTTAATTTCTTTGCCAATGTTTGATTTTTTGCGCCTTCAAAAGTTTCCCAAATTATGATCGAGAAAGATAAAAGAGATGGTAGGGGCAGCAATTAATGTACAATAATCAAAGGCAAAATACATGCAATGGTGGTGACCACAATAGGATCTTTTCCTCAATATAGACTGCCTGGGCAAATATCAGAGTGACTTTGTAAACGATAGCAGTTAACTTAGGTTCATAAAGGAATTTATTATTATTAAAGAAAAGGGTATCAAAGACAGAAGAGAACTAAAAATAAAATAAAAAAGGACATGCAAACTGTTGGAAGAGTAATTAATACTAGTCCCCTGTGTAGAGAAGTGAAAGGTTGTGCAGGTATTGTCACATTATTACCTACTACATATTGTATTAGTTATCAAAGTTATGGATCATTTAGTAACTTTCAAGGCAAACGTTTTCATTCTACTTCCAAACTATTATTGAACTCAAAGAAATCATATGAGATAAATAAAGAGCTATCTAAACGACATAGTAAGAGTAAATTACCCGAATTCAATCCTAAGTTTATGGGTGTGGCTACAGAAATTTTTATTCCTGCATCAAGAAAAAATCTACCAAGCATCATTTCACAACCGATCGTGGTGTTCAAAACACTGATTAGAAGAATATATATGTTTGGTTTGAACACATTTAAGATTGGATTATTTAGGCTACAGTCTGGGAATAAACCTGAATTCTTGCTTTGGAAAAATAATGCTATAGGAAATTACATCGAAGTCAATAAAGCCTTTGCGTCGAGGAGAATAGATAAAGTGAAGAATCATGTTTCTGTTTGGGTAGAGAGGGCTCTTTTGCTACGTTCTGAAAGTTTGCCAAAGAATATTAAATTGAATTGGCAGGTGGTTAAGTTCAATGAAGTGCCGAAATTAATGTCCTTGGACCCCATCATGGTACCTGGGATGCCACTTGAATATATTCAATTGGTATACAGATTTAATACTAAACAAGAATTGATAAAGATCGACACAGAGACTAAGGAGAGTGAAAAGCAGGTAAGAGACATTGTGGATTATTTGGTATTCTTGTGTGATACAAATACAAATGAAATGATGTTATCTGGTTCTATCTTTGAAAGTAAACCAGGTGCACCATTACCAAAACAAGTCATGGCAGGTGATAAGAAAAAAGTTTTAGCACGTATGAAGGAATGTGGTGATATTTTCAGATTACCACCTGAAAATATTGAGTAAATACAGAAAAGAGAGAGAAATAGAGAGGAGGAGAGGTGTATATTTATGTATATGCGTGTGTGTGTGTTGTTAACTTTTCACATGTTTATAATTATTTATCAACTTGTAAATATAATAGAATTAATAAGATTGTTAAGTAAGTTCTAATTTTTTTTATTCTAAATTTATATGTTGCTTAATGAAATTGTTCGAAATTTAAAACTTTTTACCTAAACTATTAAAACATCAACAAATTGTCAAATTATCAACTTATCATATAAAAATGTTTTTTGTCCTATTTATTCTGTATGACACAAAATAGCTTCATAACTAAAATATATATCAATCTTTTCTGTATAGCAAAGAATTTTCTTTGTAAGTAGTTAAGAGAAAAGAGACACCTATTGAAAAGTCATACACCATCTATGCATGTTTTGTTATAATTAAAGAGAAAGGATAGAAAATTATAGATTACAAGAAGTAAGTTATATTTTAAATATAGATTTTCAGCTGTTTTGCACGTTTTTATATAGTTATATTGTAATAAGATATTTGACATATTAACTAACAAAATCCAAGTCGTCTTTTTCTCCATACATCAATACACACACACACATATATATATATATATAATACTCAATAAAAGTACATGCAGATCTATTTTCACATATATACACATGCTTCTCAACTTTTAAAGGGAGGGGAGGGGAGAATACTGAGAAAGATAGCATTTTTCAGTGACAGATATAAAAAACGTTCTTTATCTATGATATTATAACTCCACAATGTTTTCTATGTTTACCTCTGTAGTAAGTATATTTTTTTTTTTTTAAGCATTTTTCTGCTTGTTTAGCTTTCAAAAAAAAAAAAAGTCCGAATTTTACACTTTTCAGGACCGGTTAAACTCTAACATCTGGACATCCATTCGAAAAGTAATTATAGTGTTTTTTACGCGTTGTGTTTTCTGTGAAATAAAAGAAAATGAAAATGCTGAAAATATGATTTCCTGTTCAGGAAGTAACAAGTGTCTCTGTCTAATGGGAAAAAATAAACAAATAATTTTAAACATATGCGCTAAACTCTCTCATGATCAAACTGTAATTCGTGCAAAGAACGGAGAAACACACAAGGGACAACCATTAACAGAGATACATCCAGAGAGAACGAAAACCATGGAGAGAAGGAACTCTAGCTCTCCTGTGAGAAGCAGCATACTATAGGGAAAATTCTCTGCCGCACTCTAGCTTTGTTCCACCCAGACCTGTCTTCCCTTTCCCACCATGCCAATGCGTTCCTTTTGAATAGGCTAACATTAACCAGCACACCTTCCCTCCCAGATCTGTGTAGAGAGCAAACACCACACCTGTCTCTTCCTAATTTTTCTTTCTGTCCCTCCACCTTTGCTTTTGCACCAAGCCTAAACCCCACAACCCTTGTAGCTGAGTTTCGCAGCAGCCCTCCTTCCCAGTAACACAAACTACTGGCTAGACAGACAGAAAGAAACACACGAGAAAGTGGAATAAGGAGTCAATAACAGGCCAGAGCATAGAAGCCTTTGAATCTATTCTCATCCCATACACATCCTAGCAAACATTTACTCCAAGCAAAGGTCAATCATTGGTTTTTGGAATATCGATATACGCCCTCTCCTGCATCTGCTGTATCAGCATGTAATGTGTAGGTGTGCTCCACCCAGTTTGACCATCAAGGCCACCTAATGAGGATGAGAGAGTAAAGAGAACAACTGTAGCAAAGGTTGAAAGATTTCAATGCTTTATTGTAGAAGACTGTTTCTACACTCTTGATGGTGTCTTGATTAGGCTATATGTATGTGTATAAAAACTTCTTCGCTCAAATCATCGACAGTAGTAACCCAATACAAGACAAGTGAGGCATCATGAAGGTATGTTCGTAATTATAAGGCACGAATAGAAAAAAAAGAGTACAGAACTCAACTGCTTCGGTTATATCAATTATCAGTAATATTTGAAGAAGCTGCATGAAAAAGAAAGTGACACATACATGGAGAATATATACGAATGTTAGTCATAATATCCAATACTACATATAACACTGAGGTGGAATATATTTGTAACACATTTAAGTAAATATATGATAACATTCTTTTCTAAGATAATTTTCCAAAGATAAGAAAAGATAACATGAAATTACACAACATATCCATTGTTTTTATTAATTCAAGATGTAACCACCAAAATATTAGTTGAATTAAGTCAATCTCAATGAATAAGTTCGAATTTTTTACTAACAAACGATAATAATGATGAGTATGATGATAAATTTTTTTATCCCATATACATTCATTGATTGGTTTTTCCCTTTCTCTCACATTATGTGTGTTTCCTTTCCTTTATTTTATTATAGTTGAACATCTCTTACCCAGTTAACGGTACTCAAAAGTGTATTGAAATTGAAGATGAACACAGAATCCGTTCCTTCTATGACAAGAGAATCGGTCAAGAAGTCGATGGTGAATCTGTTGGTGATGAATTCAAAGGCTACGTCTTCAAGATTACCGGTGGTAACGATAAACAAGGTTTCCCAATGAAACAAGGTGTCTTATTACCATCCAGAGTTAAGTTATTATTAGCCAAGGGTCACTCTTGTTACAGACCAAGACGTACTGGTGAAAGAAAGAGAAAGTCTGTCAGAGGTGCCATTGTTGGTCCAGATTTAGCTGTCTTATCTTTAGTCATCGTCAAGAAGGGTGATGAAGAATTCGACGGTGTCACCAACGAAACTGTTCCAAAGAGATTAGGTCCAAAGAGAGCTAACAAGATCAGAAAATTCTTTGGTTTGACCAAGGAAGATGACGTCCGTGATTTCGTCGTTAGAAGAGAAGTCACCAAGGGTGAAAAGACCTACACCAAGGCTCCAAAGATCCAAAGATTAGTCACTCCACAAAGATTACAAAGAAAGAGATACCAAAAGGCTTTGAAGATTAAGAACGCTCAAGCTCAAAGAGAAGCTGCTGCTGAATACGCTCAATTATTAGCTAAGAGATTAGCTGAAAGAAAGGCTGAAAAGGCTGAAGTTAGAAAGAGAAGAGCTTCTTCTTTAAAGGCTTAAATTAATTAGTCAGATGATTTGTTGATCTAAAATGTATTTTATAAATACTGTCTAATTTATTTTATACTTTTACACCATTTCTTTCTAATTTTTTTTTGTATATTTTTTTCGCCTCCCCATTTAATAAATTATATATTAAAATAAAATATTGATTTACTCTTATAATTTATCTCTAAATATCTTAGTGGCTCAAATTAACCTAATTTCGCTTTGTTATTGCTGCTAACTAACTCTTGATTTTAAGATGGATATGTACACTCTTTTTAACTAAAAGTGCAAAATTCCTTGTGTGGATTGTGTAATATTTGAAAAATTAAATATATAATGATTAAATGATTGAACGAACCTACATAACTGTCTGATTATATATTAAAAAAAATAGTATTCATGTACCTATTACTGCTGCCTGTGTTCACATATTATATTAGATATACGAAGTAAAATTTTGCCATCTACCTGCCCTGTTTACCAACCAGGATATTAGACATAATGGTACTATATTTACCAGGCCCAACCCAGTAAAGCACCAACCAATCCCCATAACATCGCAAAGTGTAAATATTATAGCAGAACTTATTGCAGCTGCCACATTCCTAAATAAACTACTCACTGCAACACTACTCGCTGCTCTTTTTGACAACAATTCAGTTAAATACGTCATTGTAGTATTATTACACCAAGTTAAACCTGCTGCTGTCAACCCAGTGAAAAATAGAATTATGGCAATATGAAATTTCCTTTGAATACTCCAACCATATCCAATACAACCTGCTGCGTTAATTATGATACCAATTATATTAAGTATTAATCTTTCCTCCAAGGGGAAAACACGGTTTCTATGTCTTCTTTTCCAATTGTTACGCAACATATCGGATAGATGACCACCTATTTGAGAACCAAATATCATACAGACACCTGGACAGACATATGCAGCACCAATTTTTAGCATTGAATAATGATACTCAGATTGCAAATAATGGGAAAATGTGACACTAAACGCATAATAATTGGCAAACAAAAGAGCCGTACTGATTGAGGTGAAGAGAACAGGTTTAATTTTAACCATTTCCCAATATGTCATAAGTGTTGCTCTAGGTGGTTTTGGATATTCTTCTCTAAAGTATACGCTCAATGACACAGGCTTTTGAATTCCAATGAATTTACAAAATGACCAATTAGAATTGTTGAATTCAAGAAGAACTTGATCTTCATTCTCATCTAGCCGATCTTGTTTCCAACCTGGATCACCATTCCCAACAATACATCTTAAAGTTTCAGGTAAAAAAAATAACACTAACAGAAACCCTACACCACTCATGATACAAGTAAAACCAAATAACCATCTCCAATTATTATCGTCAATTAATATCAACCCAGCAATAATAGGTGCTAGAATTGGACCAATATTAGGGCCCATCATAAAATATGCTATTGCCTTACCTCTATTCTTTGGTGCAATAATGTCAGTGACAGTACCTGCGCCCAAAGTGATGACTGAGCTCGAAGCAAATGCTTGTACAATTCTTAAAATGAAAAGTGACACTATATTACTAGGTAATGTCGATAATAAAACATTTACAATCATCATTAATAACAATGAAGTTAAATAGAGGATTTTTCTACCACCAATATCTGCATACATCCCCCAAAGTAAAGGACCAACAGCAAATACACCCATAAACACTGATACAGTAGCATTAATTACAGTAGTTGTGGTCTTAAATTCCTGTTGTAACAAAGGTAATGCAGGAATATAAATATTTCCGGATAATGGTCCTAAGAAACCTATAAACATTATTATAAAAAATATGACAAATTTCTGTGATTTAGTGAAACAACTATAAGGTAAGGGTTTAATTGGTCCTGGATTTGATTTTTCTGTATGGACTTCTTCTAAAACTGCATCTTTTGAAACATCATCTTCATCATAACTTTCTTTAAAATATTGTGAATTGATATTATACGGTACATATTGTCCTTCTAGTGCACCTAAATGAGGGTGTCCACTTGGCGAAAAGCTTGTATTAATATCACAATCTTTATATGACATATAAGATATGTATAGATATAGATATATTTGAATCGTAGGAGTTGTTGTTAGAAAGTTGAGTTTTACTGGAGATTCTCTACACTGCCATTCAATATTAATTTTCTCATATTACCAATTCATCTTATTTCCAAATATACACTTATATATATATATATAGTTGTATTAATTGAATCGTGTTCCTGTAGAGAACAAAAATAGCAAAGAAAATATTTTTATTACATTTCATTGTATTAAAAAGAGAATAAGTAACAGCGAGAGAACATTTTAATTTATCCTATTTCTAGCAATGAATTATCAGAAATTTTGTGAAATGCCACTAAATCAAAATGAGCCTATTTTTTAATAATATTTGAAGTTTGCCCCAGTGAATCAAAATAATCAAAAAATAGTTAGTAGTATGATCTGAATTGATAAAAACTTCATAATTTTTATTTTGGAGAAAGAACTATTCAGTTCAATATTTTAAGTCTTTAATAGCAGGTGGCATACCACTTAATATAGTCATTAGTAATAGTATTGCTACCATTCTTTTTATTATTTTCATTCTTTTTTTTAATTTTTTTATAGATAATATACAAATATAAAATGAAATATATAAATATAAATATTAAAACACGAATATAATGCTAATTAGACTCTAAAAGAATCATTATTCTTTCCTTTAATTATTTTTTAATTTAGAGAAATCTTCCTGTAAATTAAAAAAAACAAAAACTTCTTTTTCTTACAAAATATATGGTATAATAATCACATACAATCAAAGCCTATTATTATTACTGTTATAATCATAATTATTTTTATTATTTATAAAATCTAACGGAAATCGGTCTTACCATTACTACGCTTACCAGAGAATAAGTGTTTTGGTAAAGAAACTGTAGTATGTCTATCAGCTTCACCTCTTCTAGCATTTCTATTTCTCTCTCTTCTTTGTAATTTACTCAATCTATCAGCCTTGGATCTTTGAGAACCATCTGCTACACCATCCAGCAATCTATCAGATTGCCTTAGCTTACCACCATTAGCAGAATCATTGGAAGCAATAACTTCTGAAGCAGCAGCATTCATGATGACATCAGCACCAGTTTCAACATATCTATTCTTCTCGGCAGCGGCTCTATGTTTATCTTGTAATGAAGTCAAATCATGACCTAAGATAGATAAATGTCTTTCCATTTCATCAAACGATTTGGTTAACTTGGAACGTGGCATGATAGCTTTATTTTTTAAGGACTTTCTGTTTCTTGCCTCTTTGATCATAGTCTTTTGCTTATTTCTAATCCAAGCAGCCTTAGCTCTGATATCATTGACTTCATCTGCATCATAGCCTTCGAATGTGTCTTCGTCGTCGTCAGAATCGTAGAAACCTTCTCTTTCCAGCCTCTCTTCCTCTTCTTCAAGAGCTTGTAGTTTTGCAGCAATATCTGGATCCAAGAAATCATAAACGTTTTTACCATCCAAGATCTCTGGCATAACGTCGTTCTTCCAATCATCATCCTCAAGAATATATTTTTCTTTCAAGTTGATGTTATAGACACCCGCACCACCATTTTCAGCTTCAATGTCCTTGGCCAATTTCCGTCTGTTTGGATCATTTGGATCATACTTGACTTGATTCTTGAAGGACTCAGGCACATAAGGCAATCTTTCCACATCGTCTCTTGCCTGAGGTTTAGCCACATGGATTTTATTAAGCACGTTGTTGATTCTTGCTTGAGATTTCAATTTGCTTTCGATTCTGGAAGCCAACAGTTTTTCACAAGCATGGTTTCTGACTTCCATGATGTTATCTTCCAAATGACATGAGATGGTCATAATTTCCACACCAGGCACAGTCTTGATTGAGTCTAATAACTTTGAACGGTCTTCGTCCAGATCTTCTGGTCTGATAATATCGGTTTTGTTGACGACAACCATGACAGACTTGTTTGCAAACAAGGGTTTAATAGAATGGAACAATTTGACTTGTGCTTCGACGGTGAAACCACACTGTTCAGAAAGATCCATGAAATACAAGACGCAAGACCTTAAGTGTGCAATAGCGTAGATGGATTGCATTTCGATGTTGTTCATCTCTTCGGTAGGTCTGTCAAGGATACCTGGGGTATCGATAGCTTGGAACCTCAAATATTTATAATCGAAATGGCCCACGTATAGGGACTTTGTGGTGAAGGCATAAGGTTGGACCTCGACGTCTGCTTTAGTGATGCATCTTAAAAAGGAGGATTTCCCGACGTTTGGATACCCACAGATCAAAAGGGTTCTTGTATTTGGGTCGATGGATGGGAGTCTGCCTAAATGTTGTCTAACCTGTTCCAAATAGTTCAAGGGGTCCTTCAGTTTTTTGACAATGGTGGCCATTCTACCCAGAGCTGCTCTTTTCAATTGTTTACATTGGAATAAAGATTGACCAAATTTCAACAATCTGATGTAGTCACGAGACACTTGTTCTACAAGGGTCTTTGCACAGGCAACCGCAGCCAAAGAGATCTTGTAGTGATTCTTTTCGTACAGGGTGTCCATCAAGTCCCTGTGGAAAGGGTGGACGTCGTTGATGTTAGGGAACCCCTTGATGATTTCATCGAATTTTTCTACAAAACCTTCACCAGTGAATTTCACTTTACGCATATAGAAGGCTCTGATTCTTGTAATTTTAAAGCCCGGTCTAACGACGGTGGGAGTCTTTCTTTGGGTTCTGTTAAGAACAATATCTAGCAATTCATTGGATGATGCCACAGTAGGAATATCTTTCCAGGACAGTTGCATGGTTAGTTAAATAGTAGGAGTTACTTTGGTATGTGTGATTTATTATATTATAAGTAAAAACAGGAATAAGCCAAAAAAAACAAAACAAAACAAAAAAACACAAAATAATGATGAAATATATGCAATAATGTCCTCTTCCTTCCACTCCTTCTGCTTGTTCTTTCTCTTGTTCTTCTCTTTATTTTTCTTTTTAAAAAGAGAGTCAATACACAATAATTGTTATTATCTAAGGCATAGAGAGAAAGAGAGAGAGAGTATATGTGTACGATACAATGAGATGAGATGAGATGAGATGAACATTATTCAAGAACTGAAGTTTGATCAAGAAAGAAACAAAAAGAAAAAAAAAAAAAAAATAAATCCAAAACCTTGAAAAATTTTCCATCACGTCATTTCACACGAAAAAAAGAAAACCAGAGCAATATGGGGAGGTATGGGTGTGGACACATCCTTCTTTTCCCGCGGAAAGAAAAAGAATTTGCCCTCCGCGGAATACAAAACTGCAAAAAATGCAAAAAAAAAATAAAATGAAATAAAATAAAGGCAAGTTTCACAATGAATAACATATAAATATATCTTATATCTTATGTATAAGCCATGGGATATGTTATAGACTATGCTATAAACTATGCTATAACTATGTTACGCAATGAAATAATATTAGTGTAGACTGAAGCTAACCTGAATATATAGGAATAGATACACGCTTGCGATCAACGTTTGCCTTCAAACACACACACACTCTCTCCCTCTCTCTCCCTCTCTCCCCCCCCTTCTGTATATTTCACTTGTACCCGTAACGATCTTACATAATCGCATTCTTCATTTACTCCATTGCACTACCAGAAGCTAATCTCTATGAACGTGTGTGTATGTGTGTGTGTCCATTGCAGATTCTCATTTCCAGTAGAACGAAAATAAAAAGTTTCAATTCCATCATTTTTTATAAAGTCTTTTCTTCTTTTTCGTTTCTTCTTCTTCTTTTTTTTTTTTTATTTGTCTATTTGTTTATTTCTCTGCTGTTTACTCCGAACGGTTACTAAGAAAGGGGACAATGTAGGAAAGAAAAAAAAAAAAGAATGAGAGAATGAAGCAAGAAGAAAGAAATATCAGAAAGCTAGCAGAGAATAAACAGAGTCATGAAGAGTTGTGAGATAAATAGGTTGTATAGTTATATAACGAGTAATTCTATGGAATAGATTCTATAGTTCTACTATATCGTCTAATGTCTATACTTTTATTATAGAAACGGTTTAGTTATATCATCACACACACGTTCACATACGCAAGTCCACATGGATGAAGATGGTACAAAAATCAATCAAAAATGGTTCATCTGATGAATCATCCTCCTTTAGTTCTCAAAATAATGACAGCACACCTTCTATTAAGCCTTCTTTGGTATATTCACGTAATGATAAGTCATTGAAAAAATGCTCGGATGACTCTTTTTCGCAAAATCAAACCTATCAGACCATTTATGACAATTACTCAGATTTAATCAACGAGCCTGGAGAAGAAGAAGAAGAAGAAAACATCTCTAATCATTTTGATATCTCAAAACAGAGAAGAAACAGTTCAGATACAAGATTCATCTCTGCACAACTCTCCCAGTGGAACTACAATAATAATAAAGCTATATTAAATAGAGTCATTAATCATGTATTAGATCTCATAAACCAAATTCAAACAGAAAACGATAAAAGACCTATCCATATTGTATTAAGTAATAGTACCGCAGAAAACAATATCAAACTTCGTATACTAGATTTGAATATTAAAATCGATGGAACCTATAACATTAATAATAGCATAGATCCATCTAATTTTAATACCAAAGTTAAAGATAAGATTATTATTACTACTACTACTACTACCACCACTCCTCCTCCTCCTTCTCTTCCTCTTCCCATTCCTAACCATAATAATAACAATAGTAACAACAATAATAATTTATTTGATTTAGATAGAAATGCATTATCTAAATTATTTAAATTAAAATTAACTAATATTCATAATCACTTAAAATCTTTACAAGAAAGAGTAGACGACGTCTCTTCAAAAGTGTTTATCACCGGTGATGTAAATACAGGGAAATCTTCCTTTTGCAACTCTCTGCTAAGAAGAAAATTATTGCCTGAAGACCAATTGCCTTGTACAAATGTCTTTTGTGAGATTTTAGAGGCTAGAGATAACGGTAATGTTGAAGAGATTCATGCTATTTTAAACGATAAATCAAACAACAAAAACAATTCTACCTTATTCAAATATAGTATTAAGGATAAATCCACTTATGAAGTTCATCAATTATCCGAATTGGATGATTTAGTACAGAGAAATGACAAGTATAAACTTTTAAAAGTTTATATCAAAGACGATAAAAGAGACCCTGAAGAAAGCTTGCTTAGGAACGGTACTGTCGACATATCCTTGATTGATTCCCCTGGCTTAAATATCGATTCCATACAAACCGCAGAAGTCATGACAAAACAAGAAGAGATCGATCTTGTCATTTTTGTGGTCAATGCAGAGAATCAATTGACTTTGTCTGCACAGGATTTCATTAAAGTCGCATCAAGAGAAAAAAAATTAATGTTTTTCGTTATTAAAAAATTCGATAAAATTAAAGATAAACAAAGATGTAAGCAACTGATACTTAATCAAATCCAAAATTTGTCCCCTGAGACTTATAAAAATGGGAAGGATTTCATTCACTTCCTAGAAAAAGATCTCGATCGATATCCATTCAATACACCAACAAAAGGGAACCCTGATCCTGATGATTCTGATGATCCTGATGATGGTTGGAATGATCCAGATTTTGAAAATTTAGAGAATTCTTTAAGAAATTTTGTGTTAAAGAAAAGATCAATGTCCAAATTATTACCTGCAAAGACTTTCCTTCTCAAAATCTTAAATGATTTGGAGATAATATCCAAATATAATATCGAAAGTCTTAATGATGAAACAAAAAATATTAATGATGAATTAAATAAATTATTACAAGATGTGATAGATACGAAATCACATTATGACAAATTTATTAAAAAAATTGATACACTTGTAGAGACCACTATAACTAATGTTTATAATAAAACTAAAGAAAATATTGATTCATCTCTGTCTTTTGATATTAATAACAACTATTTACCCAAGTATCAAGGATTATCAAAAATTTATGACTATGTTATTGAAACTGAACGATTCATTAAAAGTAACATACAAGAGAGTATACTTAACAGTGAATCAAATGCACGCCAACAGACTGATTTAGCCGTACAAAATATTTATACTTTAGTAAGAAATAATATGGATCCAAATTTCATGGAAGAACGTCAATTCGATAGTAATCGCATGTTTATGTGTCGATACCATTTATCTGCTAAACAGTTTGATGTACATATCCATCTGTCTGATCTATACGCACCTTCTTGGGAAAAATTTCTAGAATACATTGGAGTTCCAATATTACTCAATCCTATAAGTTTAAATGAAAATACTAAAACAACAAACAAAAATAGTGATCTAGAGAAACAATTGGTGAATAAACAATTACAAAAAAACAACGAACTCGGTACTACTCAAAATACCCTCACCACAGTTCTTGGTTTAACATTATATCCATTAACAAAATATATGAAACAACCTTCACTAATTTTCACTTCAAAACTACCCACATTGGCTATTTATTCTTTTGGAGGTTCTCAGATTGTGAAAGCTATAGTATGGAACGGGATTCAAACTTTTTCATTCAAAACTTTGACTCATATTGCAGGCTCTACTATTGTGGTTAGTTGTTTGTTAGGTATCTCATATTTAGTATACGATTTACCTAGAGCATTACCATTAAATCTAGCAAATAGATACAAACAAAAACTGACAGAATTAAATTTTAGCCATATTAATGCAAAACGTGTTTCTCAAGAAGTAGCTACAGTATTAAAAGTTCCAACAAGAGAAATTGTAAAGACATGTGAAATTGAAGTTAATAAAAAAGAATCTACTAAGTATGATTTAGAGGCTAAAAGAGATAAGTACAGAATATCGCTTACTTTTTTTGAACACATTCTAAATGCTACAACCACCCAGAAGGCTGTTGTGGAGGGTCTAGATCTAGAAGTTGATTAAATTTTTATAAATATTCTTACAAAAAAACAATGTGAATACATTTATTTATATAAATCTAATATAGTTCAAGGAATTATCTTATTTTTTTTTCCTTTCATTGTTTTACTAAATACCATTCTAGATAAATGAAAAAGGAAGGGGCAGGTTCTATCTAAATTTCAGCCGAAGATTAGCTCTGTAACTTACTATCTCTGTCTTCCCTGTGTTACAATATGAATGTTCTTGACTCCTTCATTGAAAACAATCTCACACAATTTCTAACATAATATTATTTTCATTGAAATTTTGAGATTGGGGTTTTTCAAGATTTCAAAAACATTGTGCATCTTATTTATTTATTTATTTTTTTAATTTTATTGGTGTACAAAGTAAAGAATGTGGACAATTAATAGGAGTAGTTCTAAAGCCAAGCCACGATAAAACAGTATTAATAGTCTTCAATGAGTAATTTCTTTGACCACTAAGTCATTTAAATCAGGTGAATGCGTATAGTTAACTACTTATATTTTGATTTTATTCACCTGCTTCTTTATAGCTTTGTTACGCTCTATATATACATAAAGACGTTATTAATATTAGTAACACCTAAATAGTTTAGACCCTTTGTGCGACGTTTAATTCCTATCAAATTTGATAAAAAGTTTCTTTTATGAGCAAAGATAGTAGTAATTCTCAATTTAAAATTTTCCAAGACGTTGTCTCAAGTATTATCTTAACAGATGATCATAATATTCCTTCTGAACTGAGATTTAATAAAGTTCGACAGATGCCAATAATTAGGCAGACAATGGAAAGCAATGTGTATATGTTTCCCTCAATTCAAAGTTATGATGCCTATAAAAACAACAATAAAGAATTTTGTTTGAATGAGGATGGGGTTGGCATTCCTCTATTTACATTTGAAGTTTGTAAATTTACTGAGTATAATCCAGATAATTCTTCGGAAAAAATAAGGTATAAAATATATATTTATATTTTAAAAGGTGTCTTAGAAACTCCTCCATTTGATTACGAATGCATTATTAAATCTAACGATAAATTTAATATTTACAAATGTCTCTTTTGTACCATATCCAAAAAATTAAAATGGTTTAGTATCATATATAACATGTCAATAAAAGAAACCACAGAAAAAGTATACTACATCATATCCAAGGGTTTAAAATTAGATGTGTTAATGGATGATTATATTATTCGTTGGAATAATACACATAAAGTATTAAGGGACACAGGATTCAAAGCTCGAATCCTACCAATTGAAACCAAGTCACATTTCGATTCAATCAAGGAATTTAAAACTTCCACCCCATATTATAACCAAGCTCTTATAAAAAAGAAACGTGACAACACTGATAACTATGTTACTGAACCCCAAGTATATCCGTTTGACACACACGGTACAAAAGTTCTGATGACGGAACCTCAAAAACATTTTATCGGACGTTATACCACAGATGGTGCAGGCGGGTTTTCAAATAAAGTGGCTATTGTATATGTTGGGGAATATGGTTCATTAAATTCATTTGGGATCACCAATATTCCATTCACAACTAAATTATTGGCATGTCAAGCACTGCTTCTCCATAGAATTGAAGCAACAAGGCGAATGAAAAGACAAAATAATTATACTAATTACGCAATAGGTATGATGTGGTAAATCTGCATATACTTAATAATACACGGTATATATATATATATATATACGCTTATTAAAGGACATTAAATCATATGCATTGAATTATCCATCCACTAATATACTATTATCCCAGAGATGCTTGTGCCCATTAGAGTTTTCAAAATATCACATGATGAATTTAACATTTCCTTTCTCTTTTTATTTCTATTTTTTTTTTTTTTCGATAAAGCATTCTTTCGGGGATAACAGAGTAAACCCGAAGATAAATAAAATATCTCAAAAGATTTTTCAAATAAATAAGCAAATGTTTGACAAGAAAAGAAATAGAGAGACAAACAGGTCTTAAAAATATATATATAAATCCTTCAGTCTCCATGGGTTGAATCTCATTCTGAACATTAATACACTCTTATAAGATATGAATTGCCTTCTCCTTGGTTCCTTTGTTGCTTTTTTCATTTTATTTTTTTTTTTTGGATCTTTTGATCTCTTGATTCTACATTTATAGAGAATTCAGTAGATAGATATAAACAAGAAAAAAAAGTAGGAAGAAACAGGACTAAACTGAACCAGGAAGACAAATGGCGACAGAAGGGGATTTATTAAAAGATATTAATACATGGCCAGTCCTAAATCCCTTCCATTGGGGGTTTAATGGTACCGTTAACCATCGTATTGGTGCTAAGGGGACTGTAGAATTACATTTAAATAAGAAGAATCTGGCACAAAATGATTTGAATTCACAGGATACAGTTACTTTGGACCAGTTTGTCAAGGAATATATTCCTGGTTTAAAAGATGGTGCTAAGTTTCAATTGGATAAGAAGTTGTTTACCGGTATTTTACAGACTATGTATCTTGGAAGTGGTGATTTCAGTAAGAAATTTCCTGTGTTTTACGGTAGAGAAATTGTGCACTTTTCTGACAATGGTGTCTGTACAGCTGATTGGGTTATGAATGGGCCATGGAGACAAAAATATCATTTTGATCCATTGACAGGTGAGTTCAACAAACATTTATTCAATGAAGATGAAGAAGCCACTCATCCAGAGAATTGGCCACGCTTACAACCAAGAACTAGATACTTAAGTGATGAAGAATTGAAGGATCTTCATAGTGAAGAAAACATTGAACGTCCGTTAATTGTTATATTACATGGTCTAGCAGGCGGTTCACACGAACCTATTATTAGATCTTTAACGAATCATTTGTCTAAAGTCGGTAACGGTAAATTTCAAGTGGTGGTCCTAAACTCAAGAGGTTGTGCACGGTCCAAGATTACCACACCTTGCTTGTTCACTGCATACCATTATTTGGATGTCAAAGAGTTTTTGGAACGTGAAAGAGCAAGAAATCCAAAGAGAAAAATGTATGCGATTGGGTGTTCCTTTGGTGCTACTATGTTGGCTAATTACCTAGGATTTGTTGGAGAGAAGACCCCGTTAAGTGCGGCAGCTACTTTTTGTAACCCGTGGGATATGGTTCTTGCATCATACAAGATAAATAAAGATTTTTGGTCACAACACATTTTCAGTCAAACTGTGACTCAATTCTTAGTTAGAATGGTTAAAGTGAACATGAAGGAGTTAGAAGTACCTGAGGGAACTAAACCCACACATATTCCAACACCGGAGAATCCATTGTTCCATGGATTCACACAGTCCAATTTGAAGAAGGCATATAAGATGAAATCTTTATCTGAGTTCGACACAATGTTTACTGCACCAGCGTTAGGTTTTAAAGATGCTATGGATTATTACCAACATGCTAGTTCTGTAAATAGATTGAATAAGATAAGTATTCCACTGTTGTCTGTTAATTCCAGTGATGATCCAGTTGTAGGTGCGGATCACATTCCAATGCATTATTTAGATGAAAATCCAAATGTTTTGGTGTGTGAGACAGACTTAGGTGGTCATTTAGCATATTTGCAAAGTGACGGTGATTCTTGGGCTACCAGGCAAATTAGTAATTTCTTTGATAAGTTTGATGAGTATGTCATGTAAGTAAAATAATATATATATACATCCTATTATTGTTATTGATAGTAATATTATTAGATAAATGCTTGTTATATAAAGGTTAGATATTCTTTCTTGTATCTTTTCTTTTTATATTCGAATAACAAAAGACTAAATTAGGAGAAAAAAACAAAAATAAATAAATAAATAACTAACTAAAGATTGAAAAAGAAGAAAGAGAAAAACCAAAATGAAAAAGAAAACATTATTGAACCATTTCATCTTTCCCTTACGTATTGGATCTATGCTTGTGATAGGAGAATAACTAGAAGTGACAAGAGTCTGCAGAAAAAGCTTGCAAAAAGTAATTTTCATGAAACAGAGGACTGTGGGACTTACGGTGCTATCTGTGACCATCTCCGTTGTTGTACTAGTGATATCTAGTTTCATTTATGCCAGAGACAACTCTACGAAGGTGTATTATTGGTGTTGGATATGGCTATTACCCATGGCAGTATGGTGTTGGGTGGTCACTGCATGGTGCGATTTCCAGTTGTTCAAAAATGCCAAACCGGTCGGTTACTAGACAAATAAACCATGTCTCGATGACTATTTGATCAAACGCAAACAAATACACTAAATATTTGGATATATTCTATTATGTATGTATATAGACAGATATATGTATGTGTGTGTGTTTGTGTTTGTGTGTGTATTTTCTTTCATCTCTTCTTCTAAATTTAACAGAAAGATAAATGGAATACGTCTTAAAGTTGCAAGAACTTCCCTTTTGGGTAATTTCATCTTCATTGGGTAGTGATGTTTTGTTTTGTTTTGTTTTTCTCTTTTTTTCTGTTTTCTCTGTTTTCTCCACAAGTCGCTGCTGATTTGAGAGGAGGAAGAAGGACGGATTTCCTTTGGTTGTGGGGAATCAGTGGCATTAGCTGATCTCTGAAGATGTGGTGCTGGTGATGATTGTGATGGTCGTAGTGAAAGATCTTTGCATCTTGGTAGGCAAAAGATGATCTTCTTTAGGGGAAACAAGAGATAGATATAAAGAATAAATAGATATATAAATAAACACTGTGGTCACGAAGTCAGAAAGTATACATACATACATACGTACATACACATATATGTATACATATCACATATATTATCGGTATAATATCAGTATAATAATAATTGAAAAATGCCTCCAGTTAGACAAGTCTATGGACAAGAAGAAGTTTCAAACTGGGCCAAGTTCAAAATGGGGCTGATGATGGGAACTGCAGTCGGTGTTTGTACCGGTGTTATGTTTGGTGGGTTCACAATCTTGACTCAAGGTGCCGGTCCAGATGGTGTAGTTAGAACCTTAGGTAAATATATCGCTGGTTCTGCTGCCACCTTTGGTATGTTCATGTCTATCGGTTCAGTTATTAGAAGTGAGGGCTCGGAAGATACTATGTATAACAACAAAAGTATACTGCAGCTACAACAAAGAGCCAAATTTGAAGCATGGAAAGCTAAGACTCAATTGATCCACCGTTTTGACCCACAACAAAATTAATTATAATAGTATAAATTTTTGTATATGTTTTATACCCAAATCCTTTCTTAAAAAAACAAAAAAAAAAAAGAAAAGAACAAAACAATAATATATGGAATTGTGTTTGAAGGGGAATTGATGCTTGTATATATATATAGATAGATAGATAAATGGATAGATTGATTGATAAATACATATTTATCTGTTTATTTATTCATTTATTTATTTATTTATTTATGAATTTATATCTATGTATCTCTGTATTAAATTGTGTAACTTCTTTCTTTTTTTCTTTTTCATTATTCATGATTAATACCGTGATAATAACCTGATCATCACAACAGAGGCACCCTATTTTAGCTTAGTGTCATGGTGGATAATGGTTATTGACTTGGAATTCAATTTTATGCTGTTTGTGTAGAACACTAACTTCTTTTCATTAAGAAAAAAAAAGAATTTCTTACTTTAAAGGGAAAAAAACAAATATATATATTATATATATATATATATGTGTGTGTGATTTAAAAGGAAGAACATAAAGTGTGATAAATAGTGCAACAGAAATATTCTACAAGAAAACAACAAAACACAAAATATACATTAGCTATACATTAGCCCACAGAGTTATTTAATAGTAAGATCACAAATATTTATAGCGATTATTATGTCAGTCCAAAGTGTATAACCGGAAAATAAAATAAGTCTAAGAAAGAAAATAAATAAAAAAGAAAACGCAAATTATTAAAGAGCTCTTTTAGGCATATATAATCCAATGTCAGAAGCCATTGTAAATTCATATTTGCACGCACCTGTTCCAAATAAAGTATCATCTCAATCACAGCCACAATCACGATCACGATCACGATCACAATACAAAGATACTTTGTCACACACCAACAATATAACTTACATCGATAATCACATAAATAGTATTTCTCAAAAGAGTACTGATCCCATACCATATGTAAAATTTATATTTCCAGATATAAGAGCTATTTACCAGTTAAATAAAGCAAATCCCTTTCACGGTATTGTATATAATGAAGTAACAATTCATGGATTCGAACTGTACCTAGTGGAAAATTGGGTCGCACAAAGAGGATTATCTTCCATTATTACATCCTTTACTGGGAATTCACAGGATATTATTCATGGTATAGAGATGGTTTTACCTGCAGATTATGAACATTGGCCACCCGTTTTAAAAAAATATTACGATGAACTTATAACTTTCTCTCAACCAAAATTTAACGATAAATTTCAATGTATCCTTTTTATAACAAATCTGTCTACTCTTCCTTTATCTTTGCATATCTTGCACATTGAAAATGGTGATTTAAGATCTGTTTGGTCGACTTTTAAAATTAATTTCAATTTAAAATCAATGAACTGCTTAGGTAGGTCTTCTAATTTGCTAATGGAACCTTCCAATTCTTCTATAGAGAAATTTAACCATCTATTCAAATTATCAGCACCAAATCCATCATCTAAAATCAATTCAGGCTATTCAACTAATAATAATCATAATAGTGCTTTGAAAAATGGTTCTGGAAATCCAGAAAACTGGAGTTATTATGCTATCACAGATATTATTCAAACGGTCCAAATTGCACTGCATTATTTTAACAGCTATAATCATGCTCAAGATGGATTGTTATGTGATTTCACAAAGGCAGCAATTAATAATTGGTGGGTTGATTATGGAAAACTTTATTTTGGTATGGAAGGTCCTAGAAATGAAACAGTTTTAAATCCTACCACTTACGCCGCAATCATATCTTTGACTTTTGCAATATATTACAAGTTAATTCTGGAAAATTGTATGAATTCTAAACATCCGTTCCATAATATCGATGAATATTTTTTGGCTATCTCACTTTTCCAAAAGAAAATTAACTATTCAAGAAGAGATGGGAAAGTATATTTAGATCATATAACTTTAGAAAAATTATTTGAAGCTACAGCAAAATATAATACTAATAAAGACTTACTTCATTTGAAAAGAAAAATGAAATCTAAAATGCAAGACTTAACTGGAAAATCAAATACTGCAAGATTATCTCATGAAATTTTAACTACTGATCTGGATAATTTAATATCAAATTTGCATGATAGTGATAATGATTTAACCTATTTATGGAAACCATCCCATAGTAACAAATTTATCTCTTTGTCGGCAAATATAAGAGATTTTACACAATATAATTTTCATCATGGAGATACTGACAAAGAATTAAAACTACGTACTCAATTGTTGAACAATTCCAAGAAGCCCTCCTTTACCGAACCTTTTAAAAGGCACAGATCCCATTTTAGTGTACACAATTTCGTAGAAAGTAGGTATGCATCAGATATAACGAATAGACCAACATTAGATATGTCCCCTTCATTTATAAGTATATCTTCCATGTTCCCTATGTATGATAATCCAAGTGACAACTTCGATGGCCAATATAATAATGAAAATTATCAAGAAGAGTATTTCAGGAGGAATTCACTTCCCTTTATTAACGATGGTACCAGAGATACTGATGAATACGCATGCAAGAATATTTTCATATATAGATCAAATTCACAATCAAATATTGCAGAGTCTATTGAAAGATGGGATTTGCCGTTTGATCCGTCAATAGTGAAATTAGCAAGAGATTTGAAACGGATTGATCTTAAATTATTGAGACAAGAACGATCTGAAAATGAAGAACAAATTTGTTCTGAAGATAAGATCTGTGACAGTAATTTAGCTAAATTTGATGCATTGACCGAGGATATTCAAAAGGAAATTGATAAATACAAAGAAAATTCTGGGTATTTCCAAACACAATTTTTGGCTCTCAAAAATAAACAAAATCTGGCTTATAATGATGTGTCTGAAATAACATCATTGTCTGCTAAATTGAATTATGATATGAGAATTTTGGAATTGAGAGTTAGAGATGTGGAAGATAGTATTAAGCAGTTTGATACCAAACTATGTCAAGTGAAAAAGTCGTTAATTGGCTTGGATAATGATGACAAAGAATTCTGTAAAGCTATGTCATGTATTGATGATAAATCCCAGTTTGATAGTTGTATAAAGAAATTAGTACAATTAGAAAATAAGAGTACATGTTATAAGAGTGTATGTTCGAGCATACTAAAAAAGTGTTTTTTACTTGATTTAAAGAAGGATATTATGAGTTGGGTAGATTATTTTTTTGCACATACATAGGGATGACTTGGCCGCCTACAAAACTCAACTTTTAATGCCATTTTGTGAAATTAAAAAAGGAGGAAAACCATATGCAAATTTCTTTGGTTATTGTATAACTATATTATACAACTATTAAGGTAGCATCAAAATGTTTGTTTATTCTCTAGCATTTCTATGTAATGAAGCTTTTACATTGCATATCTGAAAAACTAGAAATAATTTTTTTGCTACCTAATATGAATAACCAAATCTATGAATAATATACATGTATTAGTCTATATCTAAAACAGTTCATATCCTTAAAAAAATGAATTAATTAATTTTCAGAGTTGTTTTTAAAACATACTTTGTCATATTGTAAAATCAACCACTATATTATTATTAAGTTATAGGATTGATGCTTGAAATTTTACATTAATAATAATAATAGTAAAATATTGGTATATTATCATTTATTCAACATCTTTTAATCATTAGCAAGATCATTGAGCAATAATATTTAAAAAACATGTTTTTATTCTAATCATATATACATTAAAAAAAATTAATGGAATGAATATACACAGAAACTTATATATATTATTTCATAATTTGCCTTCATATTTTAAGATTTGAGCAGCAGTATCATGAATAGTCTTTTTCAAATTAACTAACTCAAAACCAAGAATCCTCCTGGTTTTTGAATTGTCAATGATACAACCTTGTGGACCAACGCCAAGAACACCCATATGTGGTTTTCCAATTGGTATTTGGCCCTTTAAACAATCGAAGTCTTCATTTAATATATCTGCAATATCTTGAGACGAAAATTTACCAGCATATAACATCAATCTTTGGCCAACAGCTTCCTTACTCTGGAAGGCAATTAAATGGGCCTTTGCGACGTCACGAACATCTACATAACCAGCATATATACCTGCTGGTTTGAATAGACCATCAGAAGGAGTATGGATTAAAGAATTAACCAATTCACAAGAAGTGTTCAATTTTGTGGTAACATCATCATCAAATCTTTGAGGGCCAAAAACATATGCTGGATTAACGGTAGATAATTTGAATTGGACAATATCTCTATTTTTTTCTAAGAAATCCCAAGCTGCCTTTTCAGCTAATTTTTTAGACCCACAATATGCCCTACCAGCATTAGCTTGGCACGCTTCCCAATCGTCTGGATTCCAATTGCTTTCATCAACTATGAAAGTACTATCATTCTCTCTTTCAAATGTCTTTATAGCAGCATAACTAGATGTAATAACTACACGTTCTACTGTATCAGCGGCATATTTTTTAATCGATTCTAAGATACCTTTAGTGCCTTGAATAGCAGGATTTAAAAGATCTTTGACATACTCAGTAGTTTCAAAATGGAATGGGGAGGCGGTATGTATAATGTATTTAATCTCCTTGGCGTGTTTTCTGATTACCTCATCAAAAGCATTTGGTTTGGAGATATCTTCAACAATTTCTAAAGTTAAATTAGGAATGTTACCAAATTGTTTATTAAAAAGGTTGATCTTAGTTTGAGATCTAACTGTACCAATAACTTTGTAATTTTGTTCTAGCAATTGGCCAACAATATGATAAAACCAGTAGCACCAGAGACGAAAACAGACATTATTGCACTAGTAAATATGTACAATATTTTTACTGTCGGAAATAAACGCAATATAATAACCTATTAAATGGCCTACTTTGTAAGTGAGTTAACAGACAACTATGACATACAACTTGGTATTTTTTGTAACTGTGTCTGTCTATGTTGAAATGATGGATCAGATCTTAATCATATCTTAGACTCCGAGAATTATATTTGGGGGTGTAGATGTTGCAGGTTGTTCGGATTATAAAAATAATTTTTCTTTTGATAGTTTCTGCTGTATCTAACATTAGAGAAAGTGAGAAATATTTGGGAAAATCCTTGCATAGGCAAACAAGATTCATTTTTCATTGTACACTCTGTTCTGAATTACTATTATTAATTATTTTATACTTTAAATAGTTATATTCTTAACGGTTGATGTTATTGTTATAATTAATCACCATATTTGAAAATGATGAATAGTTCTTCAATATCTATATTTATGTATATGAGACTTCTTTCCATATATCGCTGATAAATGTAAATATATATATATGTATGTATATTATTTCAATACGTAATTCATATCATAACCTATCTAAAAATGTTAGTTTTTAAATCAAATTTACATTTATATCAATAGCTCTATTGAGATAATATTTGTTATAGAAAGGTTATTTGACTACTGAAAACATTGTAATACTACTTTAGAATATTTTTAAAATACTGAGCAATACATGAATTCTATCAAATAATGATATTTATCAATAATACATATATACATAATAAACCTTTTAAAGTCCTCTTCTTAATCATCATCAATGTACAATGTATCTAATATGAATTGAATGATAAATTGTTTTTGTGACAATAATGATATTTAAATAAAAGATAACTAGTTGAAAGTATAGATTAAGTATAGTTAAATATAACGAGATGGTTTATGAATTTTGATTATGATAAACTGTTTTGGTCTTTATAAAAATATCTTTTAAAAATATTTTTGGTTAATCGCAAACATATTACTTCAAGTTACAATATCACTCAAAAAGTTCAAATAATGATCTATTGACCAAATATCTAGAGTTCAGCGTATTGACTTATCTTAATAGTCAGGTGACTGTCCAAGTTGTTATAAAATATATTATGGTTTCTAGCATTATCATATTATATATTATTTGTAGGTATGGACGTGATATTTGTAAGTATAATGATTAAATAAACATCTCAAACCTAGTTTGTTGAAATCTCAATTGATGTATAAATATCTAAATGAAAGTATTTAAGAACCAGATAATAGACATAACTATGTTTATGTCGAATATATTGTGTTCTTTGTTAGTTTTGGTGTAAATATTCAGATGTCCATTATTCCTTTATTAGAGTGAGGTTAAGATTGGTACGATAATAATAAAGAATGCAATGATCATACCTTTTATTATAAAAGTATCATCTCATAGATTTAAAATTTATCTAATTCAATGTGGTTGTGCAATATTTTAATAATATTTAAAATATTTTTGTGAATAAAAGACTAACAGTAATAAGAAATTTTCTTTTCAAATAAAAAATATGCAAAAATATTATTTTATCGGTAGAACACATTTGGTTGTTTTAACATTATGATCAAATTAAATTTTGAAATTTGTAGATATTCATAAAATACATATAAGATGATGTTTATTGGATTCTTTTTACTCCTCATGAAAATATATTATGATAAGATGTCAGAAAATAATAATATACCTTGAATCATAATAAGATCAAGTTAATTTCTAAAGAAGATAGAGTCTACTAATGCTTTCTTGAATATTAGATTGATAATTTGTTAGGTTACTGGTTTATCATAATTACTTCTTTAATGTTGTTCTATCTTCAAAAATCTCAGTAAGATTTCTCTATATGTTAAATAGAAAAATTAACATGAGAGAATGAAGTGAAAGTATAGATGGTCAAATTACTATTTCTTATATTGAAATTTTGATAATATCATAGGATGTTAGCTTGCTTATATTAGGATATTAGTGGAAATCTAACTCTAAATTATATTCAATAGTTCTTTTATTCTATATAATTGATATACAGGGTATAATATATAATACAACTTTTTTATATTGAGTCTTCTTCAATACAAAATTTTTTAACACTTTCAGCTATTATTATAATAAATTTAGATTAATAAAGGTATCGCTAAACATTTTTTAACATTAGCTCACCTGATGTACTAAACTGTATATAGTAATGTTAATACTACACATATACTCACAAATTAGAAAGTTATTAATTTTAATTGACAAATTGATAATACAACCCATGTTATTATTTTTAAAATAAATAATATTTCTTAGATAGAGCTTGAAAAAAAACTATAATAAGCATATTTTTGTTGATAATTATATCTGTTACTCTTTCATAATAATCAGAGTTTTCTTGACTAAGTTTCTCTGCGATTTAGTGCCAACATTATTTCGACTGTTTTACTAACACATTCATAGCCAGTATATAAATAGTTGCCTATTCTAAATTTTTCATTTTAACATTCAGCTAAATCACATATTTTATGATTTCCAACTAGAACTTCTTTTGTTTAAAAAGGTTTTCAAAGTTACGTTATTTTTATACAGAGTTACACTAATTTAGCTGATTATATGAATTTATTTGAAATTTTAAGAAAAATAAAAAAAAATTGTTATGGGTTACAGAAGTGATTAATTATAGAACTCCTAAACAATACTTTGTGAAATAAGATTTTTAAGAAAGAGAAATATAAACTAATCATATTTCAACATATACTAGACAGTGAAAATTTAAATATATTTCTTTTAAATATCACTAAACTTTGATCTAATTATTTTTTTACTTTTGCGATTCATAAGAAAAAACTTCATCAATAGATACATAAGTAAAACCAAGAATTTTGCATATCATATTTTTTTATTTCATCTACATTTTTTCTGTGATATTGTTATTTCTATATTATTTATGAAGAAGAAATAGGAAAATATTCATTACATTATTAATAGTGTTAAATATATAATAGTTATAATTGAAAATATGTGCAATATATTGACTACAAATAAGCACTCCTTCTCAACAAAACACTAATCTCACATGCTGATTTCTTTTATCACTTTATTTTTGTTAGTTTTTAAATAAAACTTCCAAACCAAAGAATCTTGCTTTTAGTCTTTTTGGAACATATCTAAAAGGCTTCTAAACAAATCTTTTATTTTCTTTAGATTGAATAGTAGGATTTTCTGAATTGATATAGAAATAAACAAAAATCATTCTTAAAAAACAACAAGCTCTCCAAAATTCTTCTTTGCCTCTTTTTCTATTCCCCATCTTCTTCAGTACCAAAAAACACTTTAACAAAAGATAAAATATTTCTAGTAGAACGTATTCTAAAAAAAATAATTTGATAAACACAACGTTAGTTACTTCTCAAAGCATAAAAAAAAATCAAAGCTATACAGAAACATAATTTACACAGAAAACTACAGAAGAAAATAGACAATAACAACACAATCTATGATAATATAATCACTATTTTGTTATTGATTTACAGATAATTCAAGCACCCAAATATTGAGTAAGGACATAACAAACCACCTTTGGATATCTTTCTTACAAGCAAATAGTAAGCTTACTAAACCTTTCTTAAGAAACTGAAAATTTTGGTAATGAACCCAGTAATCTATTGGAACTGACTAATGTTGACAAACCGTCAAATAATAGTTCTAAATTTGGTGCAGTTAGTGAAAATAATGCTACAATAAGACATTAAAGAAAATTAGTCAACTAAGTTCATTTTGATTTTCTGATATAAATACCGCAACATATTCATTAATGATTCCAAAAAAAAAATTAAAATCAAATTATAAATTGTCTAATGAACCTATTAAATTATGTTGATGGATTATCGATAACGAATAAGCTGTGGAAAAATGAAACAATGAACACAAACAATACAAATACTCCACTTTTTAGTTTATTGATTAACTGTACTGGTTGGGTTGAAAATCAGAAATAAATTGAGAGATTAGTGAAAAAAACACGCAATTCTGGGATTGCTTTTTTTTTTTTTTCCTATTGTAGAACAACTATTATAGAAGTTATTGTACATATACTTATGTATTTGTTTTACCACAGTGGAAAAAATGTTTTTTTTTGCTTGGTTCAGGTAATTTTTAAAAAATTTTTGTGATTTTTAACCTCCATAAACCTATTTCCAAACATATTGTTTTTGTTGTACTTATTATATACCACCCTACTTGCAACAATAGTTTCGTAGTAAAAGAAATATTGCAATTTCATTGCACCCTAATCAAAAAAAACCATAGCTGCTGTCTTTTATGAATCTATGAGCAACTTTTATGGAGTGATCGAAATCTATAAATAAAAATAAAAATCTTACATTATAGTATCAGATACAAATGTAATTCATAGAAAATTCTAGATTCTCCTTAAGAACAAAGTGGAGATTATTTTGTTATTTCCGGAACAATAAAGGATTATGCAGGAAATAGCAATAAAAAAATTAAACATTGTCTATTCTTTGAAGAATATTTTTGCCACGATATAAAGAAAAAGAAACAAAAGAATTAAAATTGTCGACCATGAAAAAAATTTTTTCTTTTTTTTTTTTCTTTCATTCCGTGAAAAATTTTCAATCGTAAAATTTATTGGATATCGCAAATTCCGTTTAAAAACAAAAGCGTCATAGCACGTGATTCTTCCTCTTTTTCCTGTTTTTTTCTCACTGGTTTTTTCTTGAGAAAAAAATTTTTTTCTTTTTTGGTGTATCTTCAACTTTTTTTGAGATCCCAATTTTTAGAATAGAAGTCTTATTCTTGTTAATTTATCACAATAACATACTTTGCACCTCATAATCTAATAACGTTTTTCAATGAAGATACAAACACGAAGACAAAAGAATAATCCTCTTTTCGTAATCAGCTACGATTAATATTTTTATTTTTATTTTAAATAATGTGTTCCTTCTGTGTTTCTTATTCTTCATCGATATGGTGAAGAAAAATTCTACGACTTTATCAAACTATTGTTTTGTTTCATCCTCTGATTAGGCTTTTCTTTTCTTGAAAAATTAAAAAAAATCTTTACAGGTGGAGAACTCAAGAAAAAAGCAAAGAATACAATAAAAAAGAATATACTAATTATTTATGCTTCCACTTTATTCCTTTCCTTAATACAATGCTGACTGATTTAACGTTCGGAAGAAAATGAAAAAAAAGTTAACAATAGAATTTGTCGGGTTTCGGTTCAAATAAAGTATTGACGTAACAATAGCTATCAAAGACAATATATGCAAGTATTCTGGACTATTGTTCATTATTTCCACCCTAGAAGTTGGAATGCTGTGAAAAATTCCGCTCACTATTTTCTTAGTTTTGGTAAAAACGAGTATTACCCTTCTTCCAATGTACAAAAAGAAAAAAGAAATGGCTGCAAAGACCTATCAACTATGACATATCCAAAATATGAAATGCAAAATTTAATTAGAAGAAATATGCTAGCAATACTCATACAAACCCAATAAATTATAGCGAAATAAGAAATTATTCCAAATCCTTAAACACAAATTATGGAAAGTTGTTGAACTAACTGATTTTCAACAAGAAATGTGCTATGTTTACTTTGCGCTATTCAATAGAATATATATATATATATGTTACAAATTAACACTTGTATTTGTTGAATAACATGAATATATTCCCAACTATAGTTTATAATTCTTATAAAGTTAACCGTATAAATAATTAAACTAAAACTCTTTTTTTCTCTCTCTTGTACATAGCATAGAAATAATTTTATATAGAAAGTATGCATAACGTGAAAAATACGACATTAAGAAATTCTTAGTTTTAATATACGTGAATATTTTCTTTTCTGTCTGGCATTTATTAAAATCCCATTGTTCTACTTATTTCATTCTAGAACAACTTATTTTAATAATTTCACTACTTCAGAGAAAAAATCATTTCTTATGTATTTATGAAATAAATTAGCAAATAGACAACTAATTTGTAATAAACACTTAAACATTGAAATATCTAAGTATGCTTGTTTTTTATTTTGTTTCAATCATAATATATGGTGAGAAGAATCAACTTTCACATTTTGTAATACTTAGTACTAGAAAAAATGTCACACCGTTTTATTTCAGCGAAAAACAAAGGAAAAAACATATGATATTTCCGTGAACCCTACTTTGTTTTTGTTCCGTGGAATAAACGTTTACCAAATTTTTTACTTGAAAAACTCGACAGCTCTATAAAAAAGAAAAACAATAGGATATGCAGATCTTTTTATACCACCAAAAGACCATTCTGAAATGGTCAAAATGTATTATGCATAATATATACCAGCATATACATATTCAAAAAAGAATCTAGATCTTGCTGGTTACTCTGGTTTGATTATTTGTCATACATACTTATAAAACAAAAATATATAAACATGTATATATATCTGCATTTGAACAGTTTGTAAATTGATCTTTATTTTTGTTCTTTTGAGTTTTACTTTCTCCTATTTTTTTTTTTTCGTGATTCTTGTTCTTGTGCGTTTTCCACAGAAAAATCTTCGAAAAAAAACCAACAAAAAATATTAATTGGATAAGATAAACAAAAAAAAAATAAAGTGAGATAAAACAAAAATTAACTACTACTCATTTTTGTTATACTTAGAATGCAGATATTAATTTTGTGGTCACTATTAGGACTACTTGTGACCAAAGTAAGTGTTGCTACTACAACTATTTCAACACCAACAACCTTGTCTGGTGATCAAACGTTTTCTGATGATATCGTAATTGAATCAGGGGCTACTCTCGCATTAGTATCTGGTTCATCATATTCCTTCAATGGTAATATTGATGTTAAAGGTTCTTTAGACATCATCGGTGATTCAACAAACGGGTTAACTAGTCTACAATTTGGTTCTACTACAACAATTACAAACAGTGGTAACATCAACATTGAGAATATTAAATCTGCAGGTTCTGCTAGTGATTTTGTTATTGCACCTGCAAGTATTGATAACTCTGGTACATTTACTGTTTCACAATTAAATGCTGCCGCTACTGTACCAGGTACCAATTTTACTTTAGCTCCAACTGGCTCCTTCATTAATACAGGTACAATTGACTATGATACGGCTGGTAAAGGAGGCACTACAAATGGATTCCTTTACCTTGGTACTATAACTAATAATGGTATCATTAATTCTGGTGGATTTTCAGCACTAACATCTGATGGACTTTATAGCACTCATAGTAGATACAAAATGAGAGGTATTATCTTCAATAATCCTATTGAAGGTAAAGGTGTAGTTACTGGTAATGCTGGAGCTACAATTCTTCTTAACACAGATATTCTAGGAGGACAAACTTTTAGTATCAACAAGGCTATGTATTTAATTAATCCAAAAATTGTACCAAGTTCACTTAAAATTGTAAATTTTGTCTATTCTGCAATAGTATTCTTAGGTATAGATTTTCAACAATGGATTAATGAAAATTTTGGTGCAGTGAAAGGCACCATGCAAATTAATTATGGGGTAGATGGCCACCAGTACTGGTTTAATTCAAGTTGTCCATATGGCTATGTAACAAACCAAATATCTTTTAGTGTTGTGCCATCTGATCCTAAATATCAACTTGATGGTACCTTCGTATTAATTACTCAACAATTGAGCGGTAACCAATGTACATGGTTATCTGAACCAGTTATTAAGACAACAACAGTTACCACTGTAGATTCTATTACTAAAGCTACCACTATTTCAACTTTAACAATATCTACGACTAACCAGTATTTCTATACTGTGCCTGAATTCATTTATGAAGTTGCTGTACCTGCATTATCTACTACCTACACTACTCTTACTACATCGATTACCACCCCTACTACATCAATATATACCACAACTGTTACCGACACAGAAGGATCTGTCACCGAAGAAGTTGTAGTTGTTGTCCAAACACCACCATTATCTACATCCTACACAACTATAACATATCCTGTTACTGCCCCAACCTCATCCACATTCACGGCAACTGTTACCGATACAGCTGGATCTAAAACTGAAAAAGTTGTTGTTATTGTTCTCACCCCACCTCCATCCACTTCCTACACCACTATTACTAGTCGATTCGCATTTCCAAAAACATCTACCTATACCACCACACTTGTTGACAACAATGGTTCTTCATCCCCAGAAGTTGTTGTGGTTGTTGTCACCCCGCCTCCACTCACTATCCACACCTCTACTACTTCGGACATCGAGGAACCAACTAGTACTACCTACACTACCACAGTTCTTGATATCCAAGGCTCTCCATCTCCAGAAGTTGTTGTGGTTTATATCAACCCATCTCGATCTACTTCTTACACCATTTCTACTGCAGATGTTACAGAACCAACCACATCTACTTACACCACCACAATCACTGATAGCAACGGATCTTTAACTAGTGAGGTTGTTATTCTTGTGATTACACCAACGCCATCTACTACTTACACTACTACTACCGCAGATATTGCAGAACTAACAACCACCACGTACACTACAACGTATATTGATGGTGACGCTTCTTCAACTGCTGAGATTGTTGTTGTAGTGATTACTCCATTGTCACCCACCATCTACACAACTACTACTGCAGATGTCACAAAACTAACTACAACTACATACACCACTAAGGTTACTGATAGCAACGGGTCTTCATTTTCAGAGGTTGTTGTTGTAGTTGTCACTCCATCCCCATCTACTTCCTACACTACTATTACTGCGGATATTTCTGCCCCAACTACAACTACTTACACCACTACTAGCACAGACAGTAACGGCTCTTTATCCCCAGAGGTTGTTATTATAGTGATTACACCGTCTCCATCTACCTCCTACACTACCACCACTGCGGATGTTTCTGCTCCAATCACAACTACTTACACTACTACCATCACAGAAAGCAATGGCTCTTCATCCCCAGAGGTTGTTGTTGTTGTGGTTACTCCAGCTCCATCTACTATCTACACCACTACCACAGGTCCAGTTTCTGCCCCAACCACAACTACTTACACTACTACAGTTGTTGATAGCAATGGGTCTTTATCCCCAGAGGTTGTTGTTGTAGTGATTACACCGTCTCCATCTACCTCCTACACTACCACCACTGCGGATGTTTCTGCTCCAATCACAACTACTTACACTACTACCATCACAGAAAGCAATGGCTCTTCATCCCCAGAGGTTGTTGTTGTTGTGGTTACTCCAGCTCCATCTACTATCTACACTACAACTACAGGTCCAGTTTCTGCCCCAACCACAACTACTTACACAACCACTGTTACTGACAGCAATGGCTCTTCCTCTCCAGAGGTTGTTGTTGTTGTGATCACTCCAGCTCCATCTACCTTCTATACGACCACTACTGGGGATGTCTCTGCCTTGACCACATCTACCTTCACCACCACTATTACTAACAGCAATGGCTCTTCCTCTCCAGAGGTTGTTGTTGTTGTGATCACTCCAGCTCCATCTACCTTCTATACGACCACTACTGCGGATGTTTCTGCTCCAACTACAACCACCTACACAACCACTGTTACTGATAGCAATGGCTCTTCCTCTCCAGAGGTTGTTGTTGTTGTGATCACCCCATCTCCAAGTGGCCCAACTATCTACACCACTACTACTGGGGATGTCTCTGCCTTGACCACATCTACCTTCACCACCACTGTTACTGATAGCAATGGCTCTTCCTCTCCAGAGGTTGTTGTTGTTGTGATCACTCCAGCTCCATCTACCTTCTATACGACCACTACTGGGGATGTCTCTGCCTTGACCACATCTACCTTCACCACCACTATTACTAACAGCAATGGCTCTTCCTCTCCAGAGGTTGTTGTTGTTGTGATCACCCCATCTCCAAGTGGCCCAACTATCTACACCACTACTACTGGGGATGTCTCTGCCTTGACCACATCTACCTTCACCACCACTGTTACTGATAGCAATGGCTCTTCCTCTCCAGAGGTTGTTGTTGTTGTGATCACTCCAGCTCCATCTACCTTCTATACGACCACTACTGGGGATGTCTCTGCCTTGACCACATCTACCTTCACCACCACTATTACTAACAGCAATGGCTCTTCCTCTCCAGAGGTTGTTGTTGTTGTGATCACTCCAGCTCCATCTACCTTCTATACGACCACTACTGCGGATGTTTCTGCTCCAACTACAACCACCTACACAACCACTGTTACTGATAGCAATGGCTCTTCCTCTCCAGAGGTTGTTGTTGTTGTGATCACTCCAGCTCCAAGTGGCCCAACTATCTACACTACTACTACTGCGGATGTTTCTGCTCCAACTACAACCACCTTCACCACCACTGTTACTGATAGCAATGGCTCTTCCTCTCCAGAAGTTGTTGTTGTTGTGATCACTCCATCTCCAAGTGGCCCAACTATCTACACCACTACTACTGGGGATGTCTCTGCTCCAACTACAACCACCTACACAACCACTGTTACTGATAGCAATGGCTCTTCCTCTCCAGAGGTTGTTGTTGTTGTGATCACCCCATCTCCAAGTGGCCCAACTATCTACACCACTACTACTGGGGATGTCTCTGCCTTGACCACATCTACCTTCACCACCACTGTTACTGATAGCAATGGCTCTTCCTCTCCAGAGGTTGTTGTTGTTGTGATCACTCCAGCTCCAAGTGGCCCAACTATCTACACTACTACTACTGCGGATGTTTCTGCCTTGACCACATCTACCTTCACCACCACTATTACTAACAGCAATGGCTCTTTATCCCCAGAGGTTGTTGTTGTTGTAATCACCCCATCTCCAAGTGGCCCAACTATCTACATCACTACTACTGCGGATGTTTTTACTCCAATCACATCTACCTTCACCACCACTATTACTAACAGCAATGGCTCTTTATCCCCAGAGGTTGTTGTTGTTGTGGTTACTCCAGCTCCATCTACTATCTACACCACTACTACTGTGGATATTTCTTCTCCAATCACAACTACTTACACCACTACCATCACAGACAGTAACGGCTCTTCATCCGCTGAAGTTGTTGTAGTAGTGATCACCCCATCTCCATTTAATAGCTTTATAACATCATCAATTTCTGTACCATCTCCTCTCTACGGAAATTCCACAATTTCTGGTGAAAAAACTGAACCTATTTTGACTGACACTTTAGTTGTTTTGACTACAGTTGTTAATGGAGTTACTATGACTACAACTTATTGTCCAGAACCATCTGCAACTTCTGAAACAGGTATGACTGCGATCATTGGACACAGTTCTATTGAATCTGTTTATACTGATTCAAGGAACCAACAAGAAGAGACTAACTCATTTACTACTGCTACAAATGTGACTCCAGTTATTTCTATTGCTTCTACCACCACGGGTCTAGCATTTACCAATGGTGAAAATCACCCAACATCTAGAAACTCTAGAACATCTACCACTGTAATCGGTAATAATGAGTCTAGAAGATCAGAAACATCGATGCCTTCAATGGTGCCGCAAGTTTCCCAATATGTTTCTGAACAACCATCCTCATCATCAATTGCTATCACAGTACCTCATGAAGGCGTACCTTCTCTTGTATCATATGAAGGTAAAGGTAGCACCATGTATATGATGAAGTGGAGTGTTGCCCATTGCATTGGTTTATTATTATTCATGGTAATTTAAATTGATTAAAGGCAAAAAATTTTAAAATAAAGAATTCTAAATAATTTAATAATTAAATATTTCTATATAAGTATATAGTATTCTAATATTTTTTATATTGTGTATTTTTATTATTTATTTAATTTCCAAATAGCTTGTACAGCACAAATAGATTTGCTCATTCCTAATAAACCATCAATATCTTCTTTTAATTTTAAATAGTTTAGATTATTCAATACAATTATGCAATCTAATAGTTGCTATATAGACATTTTAATACATGTATATTTTTGCTACATGTTTTGGCAATTTTTAATAAAGAGATTGTGATTAGGAAATTTACTTCTGTATAAATCAATTGATCATGGTTTAAAGGATATAAGGTCTTTAAATCTTTTCTAATTAAGAAAAATTGTAATTGTGAAGATTTGATGCTAGTTTAATTCAAAGATCATAATAAAAGGTTTGACACATGTCTTAAAAACAGCTACAATCTTTCTTTACCTGCATTTACTGAAAAGTTAACTAGACAAATGTATTTATTCCCATATTCCTTAATTATTTTCTTTCTGTCCTCTGTATATACAAATACATCCATAGGGAACACATAATACATACATATATACATGGATGTACACTAATTAAATACCACTGTATCTTGCTAAGTCAAATAACTATATATATGTATACTTGTGTTAATATAGTCACTGTTATTAACTCGCTTAAACTTATGGTTATACTTCTATTTCTTTCTTTTTTGTAATATAATATTCAATTGTACGTAAGCTAACATATCCAATAACTATTGTACTCACATGAACAGTAGAGACATACTATAGAATTACTCTAACAATATTTGAAGAAATGGAGATTCCTTTTAGGTAGCAAAGGAAAAAAGGGAAAGAAAGAGAAATAACATGCTATTTCCCAAATGCAGAGAATTGCACACTGATGATATATTATACTTACTCTACATGTTAAGAATATTATACACAAAAATGTAGATACACAGAATTTCGTAATGTACCTTATTTTGAAAACATATGATATCTCTTTTTGTCTTTTACTGGGTGTAGAACTTTCAAGATTTACAAGATACAGGAGAATGTCCCCTCTATATGTGAAAAATATTGTAATAATAATAATAATAATAATTATCCAAGGATTCCGATAATGTGAAAATTTTCTTTTTAAATAAGGAACATGTAAAACTATCATAACACAGTCGTATTTTTGCAAATGTTAATTCATAGATATATTATGTCTTGTTATTTTAATGTTATAATGCAATTAAACTCTTATTACTTTTTTTTGAATTTCAATATCTTCTCATGACTCTTGGTTACAATTAGAGATCCATACACAGTATTAAACATCCAGCTATAATAATGTCAGATTAACTCTTAAAAAGAGTAAATTTCCTGAATATTAAATTGATAAATTTTCATGTTAATATTCCACCACAGTATATTCTTAAATGTTGTTCAATGTTCAAAGATTAAGATAAAATTTCTCTCTATTATATTATCTTGTCAAACATTAAAATAAGATCATCTGAATAAAAGACACAACAAAAATTATTGAACAGGGAAAGTAGCACCGTAGAATGGAATAAAGATATAATCAAACTATTATTCATTATATTAAATCAATGTATCTTTTATCATCATTACCATAAGCATTGGAAATCAAACATAAATCAAATACATCTATAATAAGATTGGAATTAGTAAGGATAAATATCCTGTAAGATATGAATAAAAAGATTATACAGTAAATTTATTTATTGATATAGCATAATTGTATCTATGTTTATAACAGTTATCATTATGTGTTAATTTCAAAAGAGTATTGCATATGATCATAAATTATTATAACAGTATCATTCGATGGATAATGAAGTGATGTGGAAGATATAATTATATTTTTCATATTGAAAATATTAGTAAGGGATAGTGTTCATGTAATATTGGAATATGCTTTAATAGATATATTTATTATGACAGTAGTAGTATAACAGTAAATGGTTATGGCCTATTAATAAATGTCTTCCTTAGTCACAATCTAGGTATGAAATAAGTTGTTATGAGGGTATTCTCTATAGCCAGTTATGAATGATTATTAGGTGTACAATGATGTAACTATACCATCTTAAATAGTGGTTTGGCAATGTTCAAAGTTATACCATATAGTAAGCATATCGTAACTGTTTATTTATGGTTAGATGGATCTGCATTTTATATGGTTGTCAATGAGTGTGGTTATTATTGTAATTGATTTTTTTTTTTTTTTCGAACTATTTTTTCAAATTTTGAAACAAGGAAAATTGACAATTGAAATTTGAATGAAATGAGATTGGTGGATAATGAAAAGAAAATGATGGCTGATGCTAAGAGTAATTAAGTGTGATATGTTTGTACAGTATCATTCTTGTCTAAGACATAATATCAAGAGAAGTTGTATATTAATGAGGAGTTCATAGTTTAAGAGTGATACCATACAATCTACCAGTTATTAATGTCCAAATGAAGTAAGCAGTTCAAGAGTAAAGACATAATTGAAAGAAATAGTGGTTGATATGAACTTAGTCTATTATGTATAAATCCATAGTAAAGATACACATTAATATCATGATGACAGACACTGTGAATAACATTGTATGTTATAGGTTTAAAAGAGCAATAAAATTTACTGGATGATATTACCATATTAAACATAGAAATGTGGGTGTAAGTATGAGATGTAATAGAGTAATCATTGATGATTCAGATTAATCCAGTGTATTAAGTTTACGTTGTTTACATCTTTTCTACATTCTACATATGAAAAGAGAATGGTCTAAATTTATTGATCTATTTATCATAAAACAAATGACTCTATCGTTGTTATTTTTATTGTTTCGAAAATTGTGGTTCACTCATATTTTGTGATTTAAAGAAAGAGATAGTAATATATATGTTTCAGAAACTTTTTAAAAGGAGCTCATTGTTTTGTTTACATTGATATAGTTGGTAGATTAAGTATAAATTGTTCATATAATCAATTGACATGGGAAAAGATATCTTGGATGGTTTCCAGAGAACTATGAGAAATGTTATGTGTTTAATAATACAAAACTATTGTTCAGAAAACAAGATCGATCCAACAACAATCTGCAATTCTCACATATGGTAAAAACTAGAAATCTGTAAAACCTGTTTAAAGCTTTCATTTTTGAGATAACTTTTGATAAACGAAACTGTGTTAAACAACTATATTATCCTTCCACTATTTCTATTCAGGTGTTTGTTCTATAAAAAATATTTAAAAAATAATATTTAATTTAAATAATCTTACTTGTTTATGTATATCATAAGCATACTTTTATAAAGTCAACCTTTAGGGTTAGAACCCCAAAGAAACCAAATGTGATGTTTTTTTTTTTTTTTTTTTTTTTCCTTTTGCCATAACACTAAAAATGTATTTCAAGTCTTTAAAAAGAGTAGAAAGTTGTATAAAAAGTTGCATGAAGAGTATTAAATATTCAAAAGATAAACAAGATACTAAATCTTTACCACCAACTGTCCTTTTATTAAAGTTGTGTATACATACAACAAACAAAATAAGAATTGTATGAGAAACATAACAACAGGGCATTGGAATTCACACACAATATTTGTTTTCCTACTCATGTTTGTTCTTGTTTTTTTTTTTTCTTGTTATTTTTTCGCTTTGCCCCCCTCCCCCCTCGCCTCCGACGGCATCTGTGTGTTTTTATTTTTTTATATAGGTTGCACCATTTTTTTTCTTCTTTTTTGTTTTTGTTTTTCCCGAACAATGGCTCCACTTTTTCGAAGATTGGGATATTTTTGTATTGGAAAAACCCTAAAAATCCTTAATGGCGGGTAATCCCGTCCTTAGTATTCGAAATAAAAAAAAAAACGCAAAAAAACACAATAAAAAAAACAGGAAAAAACAAGAACAAACAAGAAAATTTTCTTTTTTTTTTTTCATTGTAGATCATCGTTTTCGGGCGGAAAGAAAAAATTCTTATTTTCTCAAAAGAAGAAAGCACACATTCCATACACAAATCACAGTATTCATTAATGTATGACACAATGCTGACTCTTACCCATTAAGCACCATAGATAACACTACTATGTTCTCTATTGTTTATCTTTTTTTTTTTATGCCAGATTATTGTAATCTGTAATACTTTTATTACTTTTTACCGGGTGGGAAATCCTCAAATAAAAAAACAAAACAAAACAAAGCAAAACAAAACAAAACAGTGTGTATATATATATATATATTTATAAAGATTTCAACAGAATGCATGGTATTATAAATCTAAAACAGTCTCATCTCCAAGCTATTAATTTTAAAGATCTGATTTCTATGTTTCATTTGGAAATTTTTGCTTTAATACTTATCTTCCCGTTCGATGACGAGAAATGCATATCCACCTAAAGTGAAAAAATATCTCACTAAATAAATCATAATATACATCCATATATTAATTCCCGCATCAAGACAGTTTCTTTTTTTTTTTTTTCCCCTTTTTTTATTTGATCTTTTGAGATATAATCATATCTTTGCAAATCTTAATAAATATAACACAACATGGTATTCCATTATAAGAGCCTCATCGCAATACTGTTAAGTTTACATACATATTTGCAATTTGCTTCAGCTGCCTTTGCACCTGCTGCATGTAAAATTCCAGAGGACGGTATCACTGGGGCCACCGTCAGATATTTTAACTACCCTCTATATGATGTTACTAGTTATAAAAACATAAGTTTTTTACTAGGTGGCTATCTAAACAATCCATATAATGGTACAATCACTGGTGTTCTAAATCTAGCATGGGATTCAGGCTGGCCAGCAATCAATCCTCCTTATGGATATACTGGCGTCCCTATTTCTAACTTCCTGATGGAGATTACCGGTTATTATAAAGCTCCAATGACCGGTCTTTATACTATCTCCACTAGAGTCGATGATTCCGTTACAATTTTCATGGGTGCCGGTGTTGCATTTGAATGTTGTGGCCAACATAAAGATTTTGTGGCCACAAACTTCGTTTTTTCAAATACTGGTAGTGCAGAATTTGGTATGGGTACAGCTGCACGTGCTATATACATGGAAGAAGGTTACTATTATCCTTTCAAGGTTGTGTATATTAACTACATGCAAAGAGGGGTATTAGATATTTCAATAACTTGGCCAAATGGTACTGTAGATGATACTATAGGTAATCATCTACGTAGTATTCCAGATTCTAATAAATGTTCAGACATACCTTTCACCTATACTGGTTTTAAAGCATACACAACAACAACGTCTACCATCAAAACTACAATACCTGGCATATACGCAGTTACTACTACTTCTACACGTACAATTACATCAAACATTAATAACTATAACGATGAAGTTGTAATTATCTACTACGAGGCAGATCCAACATCAACATATACCCTTTCGACTACAACTTCCTACACCAGAGGTTTGGTCAGTTCTGCTACTGCTGTCTCCACATTCACTTCCTATGTCACTGATTCCAACGGTAACAGCACCCCAGTGGATGTTGTTATTATCGAGACTCCAATTCCAAGTACTGTTACATCCTACACCAGAGGTTTAGTTAGTTCTGCTACTACTATCTCTACATTCACTTCCTTCACCACCGACTCCAACGGTAACAGCACCCCAGTGGATGTTGTTATTATCGAGACTCCAATTCCAAGTACTGTTACATCCTACACCAGAGGTTTGGTCAGTTCTGCTACTACTATCTCCACATTCACTTCCTATGTCACTGATTCCAGCGGTAACAGCACCCCAGTTGATGTTGTTATTATCGAGACTCCAATTCCAAGTACTGTTACATCCTACACCAGAGGTTTGGTCAGTTCTGCTACTGCTGTCTCCACATTCACTTCCTATGTCACTGATTCCAGCGGTAACAGCACCCCAGTGGATGTTGTTATTATCGAGACTCCAATTCCAAGTACTGTTACATCCTACACCAGAGGTTTAGTTAGTTCTGCTACTACTATCTCCACATTCACTTCCTATGTCACTGATTCCAGCGGTAACAGCACCCCAGTTGATGTTGTTATTATCGAGACTCCAATTCCAAGTACTGTTACATCCTACACCAGAGGTTTAGTTAGTTCTGCTACTACTATCTCCACATTCACTTCCTATGTCACTGATTCCAGCGGTAACAGCACCCCAGTTGATGTTGTTATTATCGAGACTCCAATTCCAAGTACTGTTACATCCTACACCAGAGGTTTGGTCAGTTCTGCTACTGCTGTCTCCACATTCACTTCCTATGTCACTGATTCCAGCGGTAACAGCACCCCAGTGGATGTTGTTATTATCGAGACTCCAATTCCAAGTACTGTTACATCCTACACCAGAGGTTTGGTCAGTTCTGCTACTGCTGTCTCCACATTCACTTCCTTCACTACCGACTCCAACGGTAACAGCACCCCAGTTGATGTTGTTATTATCGAGACTCCAATTCCAAGTACTGTTACATCCTACACCAGAGGTTTGGTCAGTTCTGCTACTGCTATCTCTACATTCACTTCCTTCACTACCGACTCCAACGGTAACAGCACCCCAGTTGATGTTGTTATTATCGAGACTCCAATTCCAAGTACTGTTACATCCTACACCAGAGGTTTGGTCAGTTCTGCTACTGCTGTCTCCACATTCACTTCCTTCACTACCGACTCCAACGGTAACAGCACCCCAGTTGATGTTGTTATTATCGAGACTCCAATTCCAAGTACTGTTACATCCTACACCAGAGGTTTGGTCAGTTCTGCTACTGCTGTCTCCACATTCACTTCCTATGTCACTGATTCCAACGGTAACAGCACCCCAGTTGATGTTGTTATTATCGAGACTCCAATTCCAAGTACTGTTACATCCTACACCAGAGGTTTGGTCAGTTCTGCTACTGCTGTCTCCACATTCACTTCCTTCACTACCGACTCCAACGGTAACAGCACCCCAGTTGATGTTGTTATTATCGAGACTCCAATTCCAAGTACTGTTACATCCTACACCAGAGGTTTAGTTAGTTCTGCTACTGCTATCTCTACATTCACTTCCTTCACTACCGACTCCAACGGTAACAGCACCCCAGTTGATGTTGTTATTATCGAGACTCCAATTCCAAGTACTGTTACATCCTACACCAGAGGTTTGGTCAGTTCTGCTACTGCTATCTCTACATTCACTTCCTTCACTACCGACTCCAACGGTAACAGCACCCCAGTTGATGTTGTTATTATCGAGACTCCAATTCCAAGTACTGTTACATCCTACACCAGAGGTTTGGTCAGTTCTGCTACTGCTATCTCTACATTCACTTCCTTCACTACCGACTCCAACGGTAACAGCACCCCAGTTGATGTTGTTATTATCGAGACTCCAATTCCAAGTACTGTTACATCCTACACCAGAGGTTTGGTCAGTTCTGCTACTACTATCTCTACATTCACTTCCTTCACTACCGACTCCAACGGTAACAGCACCCCAGTTGATGTTGTTATTATCGAGACTCCAATTCCAAGTACTGTTACATCCTACACCAGAGGTTTAGTTAGTTCTGCTACTACTATCTCTACATTCACTTCCTTCACTACCGACTCCAACGGTAACAGCACCCCAGTTGATGTTGTTATTATCGAGACTCCAATTCCAAGTACTGTTACATCCTACACCAGAGGTTTGGTCAGTTCTGCTACTGCTATCTCTACATTCACTTCCTTCACTACCGACTCCAACGGTAACAGCACCCCAGTTGATGTTGTTATTATCGAGACTCCAATTCCAAGTACTGTTACATCCTACACCAGAGGTTTGGTCAGTTCTGCTACTGCTGTCTCCACATTCACTTCCTTCACTACCGACTCCAACGGTAACAGCACCCCAGTTGATGTTGTTATTATCGAGACTCCAATTCCAAGTACTGTTACATCCTACACCAGAGGTTTGGTCAGTTCTGCTACTGCTATCTCTACATTCACTTCCTTCACTACCGACTCCAACGGTAACAGCACCCCAGTTGATGTTGTTATTATCGAGACTCCAATTCCAAGTACTGTTACATCCTACACCAGAGGTTTAGTTAGTTCTGCTACTACTATCTCTACATTCACTTCCTTCACTACCGACTCCAACGGTAACAGCACCCCAGTTGATGTTGTTATTATCGAGACTCCAATTCCAAGTACTGTTACATCCTACACCAGAGGTTTGGTCAGTTCTGCTACTGCTATCTCTACATTCACTTCCTTCACTACCGACTCCAACGGTAACAGCACCCCAGTTGATGTTGTTATTATCGAGACTCCAATTCCAAGTACTGTTACATCCTACACCAGAGGTTTGGTCAGTTCTGCTACTGCTGTCTCCACATTCACTTCCTTCACTACCGACTCCAACGGTAACAGCACCCCAGTTGATGTTGTTATTATCGAGACTCCAATTCCAAGTACTGTTACATCCTACACCAGAGGTTTGGTCAGTTCTGCTACTGCTATCTCTACATTCACTTCCTTCACTACCGACTCCAACGGTAACAGCACCCCAGTTGATGTTGTTATTATCGAGACTCCAATTCCAAGTACTGTTACATCCTACACCAGAGGTTTAGTTAGTTCTGCTACTACTATCTCCACATTCACTTCCTATGTCACTGATTCCAACGGTAACAGCACCCCAGTTGATGTTGTTATTATCGAGACTCCAATGCCAAACAGAGTTACTTCGTACTGTAGAGATTTGATAACCGTAAGCTGTACTATTTCTACTTTAACATCCTTTATGACCACTACAGGTACTGTCTCTGTCCCAATTACAACTACTTATACAACCACCGTCACTAACAGCAACGGCTCTTCCTCTTCTGAGGTTGTTGTTGCTATAATCATCCCATCTCCCCTTAGTGGCTCTATAACATCATCAATTTCTGTACCATATCCCCTCTACGGAAACTCCACAATTTCTGGTAAGAAAGCTGAATCTATTTTGACTGACACTTTAGTTGTTTTGACTACAGTTGTTAATGGAGTTACTATGACTACAACTTATTGTCCAGAACCATCTGCAACTTCTGAAACAGGTATGACTGCGATCATTGGACACAGTTCTATTGAATCTGTTTATACTGATTCAAGGAACCAACAAGAAGAGACTAACTCATTTACTACTGCTACAAATGTGACTCCAGTTATTTCTATTGCTTCTACCACCACGGGTCTAGCATTTACCAATGGTGAAAATCACCCAACATCTAGAAACTCTAGAACATCTACCACTGTAATCGGTAATAATGAGTCTAGAAGATCAGAAACATCGATGCCTTCAATGGTGCCGCAAGTTTCCCAATATGTTTCTGAACAACCATCCTCATCATCAATTGCTATCACAGTACCTCATGAAGGCGTACCTTCTCTTGTATCATATGAAGGTAAGGGTGGTACTATGTACGTGAAATGGAGTATTGCCCATTGCATTGGTTTATTATTATTCATGGTAATTTAAATTGATTAAAGACAAAAAATTTTAAAATAAAGAATTCTAAATAATTTAGTAATTAAATATTTCTATATAAGTATATAGTATTCTAATATTTTTTATATTGTGTATTTTTATTATTTATTTAATTTCCAAATAGCTTGTACAGCACAAATAGATTTGCTCATTCCTAATAAACCATCAATATCTTCTTTTAATTTTAAATAGTTTAGATTATTCAATACAATTATGCAATCTAATAGTTCCTATATAGACATTTTAATACATGTATATTTTTGCTACATGTTTTGGCAATTTTTAATAAAGAGATTGTGATTAGGAAATTTACTTCTGTATAAATCAATTGATCATGGTTTAAAGGATATAAGGTCTTTAAATCTTTTCTAATTAAGAAAAATTGTAATTGTGAAGATTTGATGCTAGTTTAATTCAAAGATCATAATAAAAGGTTTGACACATGTCTTAAAAACAGTTACAATCTTTCTTTACCTGTATTTACTGAAAAGTTAACTAGACAAATGTATTTATTCCCACATTCCTTAATTATTTTCTTTCTGTCCTCTGTATATACAAATACATCCATAGGGAACACATAATACATACATATATACATGGATGTACACTAATTAAATACCACTGTATCTTGCTAAGTCAAATAACTATATATATGTATACTTGTGTTAATATGGTCACTGTTATTAACTCGCTTAAACTTATGGTTATACTTCTATTTCTTTCTTTTTTGTAATATAATATTCAATTGTACGTAAGCTAACATATCCAATAACTATTGTACTCACATGAACAGTAGAGACATACTATAGAATTACTCTAACAATATTTGAAGAAATGGAGATTCCTTTTAGGTAGCAAAGGAAAAAAGGGAAAGAAAGAGAAATAACATGCTATTTCCCAAATGCAGAGAATTGCACACTGATGATATATTATACTTACTCTACATATTAAGAATATAATACACAAAAATGTAGATACACAGAATTTCGTAATGTACCTTATTTTGAAAACATATGATATCTCTTCTTGTCTTTTACTGGGTGTAGAACTTTCAAGATTTACAAGATACAGGAGAATGTCCCCTCTATATGTGAAAAATATTGTAATAATAATAATAATAATAATAATAATAATCCAAGGATTCCGATAATGTGAAAATTTTCTTTTTAAATAAGGAACATGTAAAACTATCATAACACAGTCGTATTTTTGCAAATGTTAATTCATAGATATATTATGTCTTGTTATTTTAATGTTATAATGCAATTAAACTCTTATTACTTTTTTTTGAATTTCAATATCTTCTCATGACTCTTGGTTACAATTAGAGATCCATACACAGTATTAAACATCCAGCTATAATAATGTCAGATTAACTCTTAAAAAGAGTAAATTTCCTGAATATTAAATTGATAAATTTTCATGTTAATATTCCACCACAGTATATTCTTAAATGTTGTTCAATGTTCAAAGATTAAGATAAAATTTCTCTCTATTATATTATCTTGTCAAACATTAAAATAAGATCATCTGAATAAAAGACACAACAAAAATTATTGAACAGGGAAAGTAGCACCGTAGAATGGAATAAAGATATAATCAAACTATTATTCATTATATTAAATCAATGTATCTTTTATCATCATTACCATAAGCATTGGAAATCAAACATAAATCAAATACATCTATAATAAGATTGGAATTAGTAAGGATAAATATCCTGTAAGATATGAATAAAAAGATTATACAGTAAATTTATTTATTGATATAGCATAATTGTATCTATGTTTATAACAGTTATCATTATGTGTTAATTTCAAAAGAGTATTGCATATGATCATAAATTATTATAACAGTATCATTCGATGGATAATGAAGTGATGTGGAAGATATAATTATATTTTTCATATTGAAAATATTAGTAAGGGATAGTGTTCATGTAATATTGGAATATGCTTTAATAGATATATTTATTATGACAGTAGTAGTATAACAGTAAATGGTTATGGCCTATTAATAAATGTCTTCCTTAGTCACAATCTAGGTATGAAATAAGTTGTTATGAGGGTATTCTCTATAGCCAGTTATGAATGATTATTAGGTGTACAATGATGTAACTATACCATCTTAAATAGTGGTTTGGCAATGTTCAAAGTTATACCATATAGTAAGCATATCGTAACTGTTTATTTATGGTTAGATGGATCTGCATTTTATATGGTTGTCAATGAGTGTGGTTATTATTGTAATTGATTTTTTTTTTTTCGAACTATTTTTTCAAATTTTGAAACAAGGAAAATTGACAATTGAAATTTGA